GAAAATGGAGAACGCACTGACACGCGTAACACACGCCTCTCTCTCTTCCTACCCAAGACTCCCCCCCCCCCCCTCAGGGATGAGTAAACAATTACAGCCTCGTATTGATGCGCAGATACTCACAGGTGGACAACGGGCCAACCATACGCTTCACGGCTGACTCAGATCATCCTGTGCGGATCAACCCGCAACACTTCCCGGTCGCCATCAAAACAATCTCATATCTCACTCGTCCCAGCTCTACGACTGGGGTTTCGTAATCTTCATCCCACTGCTGGTAGGACACCCCATGACGTGGCGTCCGCAACTCTCACGTCCGACCCGTCGAGGTCACCGCGTCGTCGCTCCCGGCATGCCAGACGACAGGGGCTCGACCAGCATCGAGACCAAGAGAGACTGTTTTCTGCAAACCCTCGTGAGCATTATGCTAGTCGTCGTCCGTCCTTCGACTCGGCCGGGGGGGTGGACCGGTGTCAGCACAAGGTAAGGAGGGCGAGAGCGATGAGGTCAGATATGAGGACGAGGTCAGGAAGCATGCCCAGGCGCACTAGGAGACCGGCACATCCACGCCGTCTCCGAGCGTGCATGTTTGATTTGAACTGCGCCGTTGAGGGTTCAAGGATTAACATATCTATCTCACACTAGCTAGCTACCTAGATTCCTAAACGGAATCTCCTAATATTTTCGGTTTCCGGTGTCATGTCAGCATGGTCGACAAGATACGCACATCCTGGATAACTGAAATCAGAAGTACTAAAACCACGAGGGCCGACCAATTCACGCATTGTATCAGAAAAGCCACCGCTGGCGCGACAGGATGGATTGAAAGATCATTAGCCGGGCCGCTTCCAATATACCTAAACAAAGCAGTACTCCCTATCTATCATCCTTATATCCATGGTACTCATAATCTCATGACCAAGTTTATTCAGTCTAGCCTAAAATGCTTCTCTGTTGCCCACGATTCAACCATCAACGCCATCGCTTTTGCGATTGGTTTCTCTTGCAATTCCCTAGACCATTTCCGAGGAAATTCGACGGCCGCTTGACGCAATGCCGCCACCGCTGCGGCTCCAAAGAAGAGGACAAACCGCTCGACCGCATTGTTCTCCAGCATGTTCTTCAAAAGGGTCAGGTGACTAATCTGAACTTCTGAGGGCGGCGTGTTGACAATGAGTGCGAGGCTGGACCAAAAGTGCGTTGGTGGCCAGGGGTTGGACATCTTAGCTCGTGAGAAATTCCGCAGCGCTATCGAGGCATACCCGACCCCGAGACCGGTCTGACGATCATAATGCTTGTTTTCGGTAACGAAAGCTTTCTTATCGTCCGACACACTTTCCAGGCGCCAACCCAGGCGCAGCTTCCCAGCGTTCGTGGTTTCCGACCCGTAGATACCGAACAGGATTGGAGCGGAGGCATGGAACTTGCACATCAGGATCGATATGAGAGACTCGGTCGGTGATAGGTTTGATGTGCCACTGGTTGTTGGTAACTTTCTTGGGAATTGCAACTCTGCCATGGAGAATATTTGCGCTACCAGCGTACCGATAGGTTCCGCCGCTTTCGGGTTCACAGCACATTCTCCGACAAAGGCGTTGATGATGGCTTTGCTGAAGATTGAAAGCAGGTAAACCACTAACGATGGAACCGTCGTGGCACCATCGTCGTTGAGGGAGAGGTGAGAAGGTAGGAAGTCATTGACCGGAACCATCGGCGAGGGCAGCTCCTTGAGGGCTTTTTGTAATGTAGTTCGAACACGATCATGCTGTATATGACATCAGTGATTGAAGAGCCTATGCCAGACTCAGAGAAACTTACAGCTTTCCTGTTGCCGACCTTGTCTTCTGTGAGTTGTCCGACACTCGTTCTCATCGCTCTTCTCATGTCTCCGACGTGCGGTTTCAAATTCGGGTCTTTCTTGACGTTCTCTGTGAATTGTTTCCGGAACACTTTGAGCTTCTTGTGGATTCCCAGATAGTTTTGATGTATCGCTTCTATATTTGGGGAGGCTTTGCCTGGAGGAATTTGAGGTGTTGTTGCTGCGGTGAGTTGAGTTTTAGAGGCGGCGGCGGTTGCGGCGGCAGAAGCAGCAGCAGCAGCAGCGGCAGCCTTTTCAGCCTCTTGTTGCCTTAATGCTGCTTCTTGATGAGCCTTGAGCTTTTCTTCCTGCTGCTTGCGCTCTTCTGCTTCTTTCTCTTGTCGCCGTTTCTCCTCGGCTTCGGCCTTCTGTTTTTCGTATAGGGCCTGACGCTGGGCTTCAGCTTTGGCTCGTTCTTCTCGCTCCTTACGCTCCCTCTCTTCACGTTCTCTACGTTCCTGCTCTGCACGTATTCGAGCTTCTTCTTCCTCCCGACGTTTTCTCTCTTCCTCTTCTTGCCGCTTACGCTCCTCTTCACGACGTCTTCTATCCTCCTCTTCTTTCTTCAGATACGCCTGGAGTACGGCTTCGGCTTGTAATCGCACCACTTCATGTTGGGCATTTGCCAGGCTCAGCTCTGTGCGATGTGCCTCTGCCTGAGCAAGTTCTTTGGCATCCAGCTCCTCTTGTTGCTGACGCCGTTGATAGGCGTAGACTTTCTGCCGCTCACATTCCTGCAATTGGATTTGGCTGAAGGCCCGGTCTAATTCGAACTGTAATTGCCTTGACGGGCTCTCGTCAAGCCTTCTGTTGCGTGGACTATTTCTGGCCGAGAACGGCGATGAATGAAGTTTTGTTTGAGCCATTGTTATGTCACGTGACGCTACTCGGGACCCGTGGTTGAGATTTCGGGCGAAAGTCTCCAATGGCCCAGGAACAAGAACAGTAACGGGACCGTTTATTTTCTCGACCAAATTATTCAGCTGATATCCGAAAAATGGCGATCAATTGAAACAGGCCATCACGGTTGCAGGCGGTTGAGCGACCTCGACAAACTTTACACAGACACAATGAATTCCGACAATGGCCGGAGAAATCGGTGTTGATTGGTACAATGCTCGAAACCAATATCTCAAGCTCGCACCCTCACTTGACCAGACCAGGCGTAAGCTCCAGAGAGTTGACTAGCCGAAAGCAGGAAATCGAAACCCTGGTAGGAACAAAGGGCGACAAGGCCGTGTAGTTGAGAAAGCCAAGAAATCCCCTCGATGGCTGTAACTCGATTCGAAACCTCTGCAGTGTCAGGGAAACCCACGGTGACAAATGTGATGAGCAGCTCTCCGTACAGCGTAATGTGTGGCGCGTCGAAAGTGAACAGAAGCGACGGAGGTGGTTCTAGAGCTGAGAAGATGCAGTGCAAAGCTCTATGTAGCAGTTTGTTTCAGTGCTGCGGAGAAACAACAGTGAAAAACGATTGTCGAGGCGTTTCGTGTTGACTGGGGTTCACAAGACGGCAAGTTGTGCCTAGAGCGACTGGGCGAGGGAGACAATGAGAGTCACTAACTAGAGCGAGACGGAGGCGAAAGGGGGGGGGGGGAGTCGCGGCAATGCATCCGCCCGCCTCCTGCTTCTTGGCATCAACGTCGACCTCGAAAGCTACCTGTATTCACCTTGTTATCGGGCTACAATGCATCGAACCCCCCAAGAAAAGTGTCGCCGATTCGAGAAACCTTTCACCCCTGTTTGAGTGCTCATAACGCGTACAATAACATTTACGGAGCCCAGCCTGGTGACCCAAATGTAGAGACATCTATCTCATGCGCTGCGGCTGACGTGGGGTATCGATAATAGGGGCGAGACATACCGGCACCTAGAGATAGCCCCCCAAAACAAGATATACGTCGAGCCAGGTTGTAATTCAACCACTGTATACTCTTTGTTATTTCATGAGAACTAGCAGGCCACAGCAATGACATTACCTTCGGCTGTTGCACATCACCCGCAAGCCTCCCGTATTTCTCTGTCAAGCTTCAAAATACCGTGGCTTAGGCTGGGCCGTGCTAAGGAGGGGCCGAGGCAGTTTAAGGGCGTTAGCGGGCGGCTTAGTGGCTGGCTTAGTGGGCGGCACGGCGGGTAGCGAGGGAGGAGGCTCACCCGGCAGTAGAAGGTTGACCAGGCTCTTTTGCGGGTAAAGCTGTGTCCTTCTAAGCACCCGTAGAGCGAACATGCTAGGGATCTGTAGGGACCCTGTAGTGACCAACTGGGTGGATAAATGCTTCTATCTTAGGCTTCGATATCCCCATCTCCCCCCTGCAAACTGACACCGGCTCACCAGCTCACCAGGCCAGCGGCGAACCCTCCTCAGTCACTGGCATCATTGCGTATCACCAACTCCGTACGAAACTCACCTCCCAAGGTCTCAACACCACCAAACCTCTTCCCATCTCGCTCTCTGCTTTTCCTCTTCATCTATCCCAATTCCTCCTCGGCATCACCCTCCCTCTGCTGCTCCTCGATCATTTGCTTCAGCGCAAGACAATCCTTCCAGCAAACAGCCAGAGTCACTCTCTTGTGCTTCGACTCATATCGTCCGTGTCCGCAGCCAGCTATTCCGCTTCCTGTCCTTCCCTCTCCAAGTCTTAGATCCTCATCGAAAGATCAGCCCACAGCCGCAGTCGCACTTCGCAATCATTGTCTCAGTGCAAACCATCACCTATCACCTCTACTGATTCTTCTTTGCGACTGCCTTTCAGCTCAACGCTACTACCTCGGTGCTGGTCGAATTCCCTCTCCGTCCGGCGGATCGGCCTTCAACCGTGCCCTTGGCCGCAGTCCCTCTCATCGACACACTTGAGCGATAAGTTCCTGAGCCGTTTTTGTCCATCCTTCTCAGCGTCTTGACAATTTGCAACACACTGTCCTGCATCGATACCGCAGTTTAAGTATTTCAATATCTGGTACGTTGACTATTCGAACCTGGGATGATTATCTAGGTTCGAGTCTGTCTCCCGGATTGGAGTGACCCCACGATTGGATATTCTGTTCCGTGCCCATAGTATTCAGCTCATCATGTTTTCTGTCCGCTCAAGATCAACCGTGTGCTGACTATCTCTTACAGGTCGGATTAGACAACTTCTCCTTGCCTTCGATCTCTGACCTGCCCTCGCTACTTCCTCACATCCTCCCTCCCCAGGGTTGATCCAAAGGCTACCACCGAATCCACGGTGGACAAAGTGAAGATACTATCCGTCACTTTGGTGAACAGTTACAAAGATGGCACAACAAAATCCCACCGGCGTTCCTGGCCCAGCCGGACGCAGATTGCATATTGCTCATCGCCGCAGTCCATCCGAGCTCACCCCGCTCATGATGGAACAACTGGCCCTTCAGCAGCAGATTGAAATGCTACAACAGCAACAGCAGCAGATCGCTGCCACTCACCAGCAGTATGTGAACATGGGCATGATACAGCAGCCACTACAAAATATGCCTGGCTACTCGCCACTTCAAGGCCAGTCAAATATGGCGGGCATGTCGCCCAACAACAGCAATTTTCAATTCCCCCAAATGCAACAGCAAATGGGAATGCCGTCAAACCCCCCAACGCAGCCCGCTGCCCATCGCAGAAATCAGTCCGCACTTCCGGGGATGGCCATGGGTCCACCTCCAGCACCCTCATCCGGCACTGCTGGCGCATCGTACGGTGATTTTAACCAGCAAGCTATGAATCAAAATCGAGAAAATGCAGCTGGTCGTGGAAGAGGTGGCGGATCACAAGGTCATACCCGACGTCACTCTCTGGCGCTTCCGGAGGCAAAGAAGGCGGCTGAATTGGCAGAGAAGAAGAGAACTGCTGCCGGTTTCCAATTCCCTATTCCGGGCGCAGGTGGTGTAACCGACAGTCCGGTAGCATCCACTCCTTCAGACGACAAACAGTCTACACCCACGACTGGCCACGGCCTAGGCTTGCAGCGTGCTGGTAACGCGCGGGTCACCGGTCACAGCCGCAGTCAGAGTTTGGCTGCCGGTAGTGCGAGAGGAGGTGGTGCTGCTGGCCGTGGCGGTTTCCAATTTCCTCCACCAATGCCTACCAATGACGGTGGTGCCACTCAGGCAAATCAGTCCGACCTTCAGCGTCGCGGCAGCCAGAGTGGCCACGGACGTACAGGATCTCGAAACTTCGATGGAAACTGGCGTCAGCAGAACAACCAGCCGAGTGAGCAGAGTCAGCAGCAGATGGGACAGTTCAGTCAACCCCAGGGCATGAATACTCATGCCGGAGGCTTCCAGCCTGGTCATAGAGCAGGCCGAGGCTCCATTAATCAGTCAGTCGGGTCCATGAGTGGGTTCCAATACCCGGGACAGCCACAGCTCATGCAACTTCCGCAGGGCCAGATGATGATGGCGCCTCAGATGTTTGCTGGTCAGCAACTGAACGCTCTTCAAATCGCACAGTTGCAAGCAATGCAGAATGCTCAGCTTGGTGGACTTCATGCAAGCCAGCATGCTCCACCAATGGGCTTGCAACAGCAACAACAGCGCAAAACTCTCTTCACTCCCTACCTGCCTCAAGCAAGTCTCCCAGCCTTGCTCAATGATGGGCAACTCGTTGCTGGTATTCTGCGCGTCAACAAGAAGAACCGTTCTGATGCGTACGTCACCACCAGCGATCTTGATGCTGATATCTTCATTTGTGGTAGCAAAGACCGCAATCGTGCTCTAGAGGGTGATCTCGTGGCTATCGAGCTCCTCGATGTTGATGAAGTCTGGGGTCAAAAACGAGAGAAGGAGGAAAAGAAGAAGCGCAAGGATATAACGGATACTCGCTCTTCAAGCAACACCCAGAATGGCAAGAATGATACCTCGTCAGCAGAGACTCAGTCAATCGCTCCAGATGGTAGCATTCGGCGACGTGGTAGTCTGCGACAACGCCCGACACAAAAGAAGAACGACGATGTCGAGGTTGAAGGTCAAAGTCTTCTGCTGATGGAGGAGGAGGAGATCAGTGACGAGCAGAAGCCACTTTATGCAGGCCATGTCGTCGCTGTCATAGAACGGGTCGCAGGACAGATGTTTTCTGGTACTCTTGGTCTTCTCCGACCAAGCAGTCAAGCAACCAAAGAGAAGCAGGAGGCTGAAAGACAGGCACGTGATGGTAGTCACAACCGTTCCGAGTCGCGCCAGCAGGAAAAGCCTAAGATTGTTTGGTTCAAACCTACGGACAAACGTGTTCCTCTCATCGCTATTCCTACCGAACAGGCGCCCAGAGATTTTGTTGACAAGCACATGGATTACGCCAACAGAATCTTCGTTGCCTGCATCAAACGATGGCCGATCACGTCTCTACACCCATTTGGCACTCTCGTTGAACAGCTGGGCGAGATGGGAGATCTGCGCGTTGAGACTGATGCACTCTTGCGCGATAACAACTTTGGTGCTGATGAGTTCTCCGACGCTGTGCTCAAGAGCGTTGGCTGGGAAGATTGGTCTCTCAAGACCGAGAGTGAAGAAACTCTGTCTGAAAGACTGGACCTGACCAACGAGCGCACTTTCACTATCGATCCGATGCACTCTAGTGAGCTTGATGATGCTCTTCATATCAAGAAGCTCGACAATGGCTTGGTAGAGATCGGTGTTCACGTTGCCGACATTGCTCACTTCGTCAAAGCAAACTCTCTTGTGGACCGAGAGGCAAAGAAACGAGGGACTGGCGTCTACTTGATGACTCGCTCTGTCAACATGCTCCCACCCAAACTTTCTTCCGAAGTATGCTCGCTTCTCCCAGGTCAAGGGCGCCTCACTGTCAGTGTTATCTTCAAAGTTCATCCTGATACTGGTAAGGTTGAGGGAGAGCCCTGGATTGGAAAGACAATCATTCAAAGCTCTGGCAAGCTCGCATATGACGAGGTTGACGCTGTGATCAAGGGAAGCGAAAACATCGACCTGCAAGGTGCTACGGTTGCGGACATCAAGACACTCCACGGCATTGCCAACAAGTTCCGTGAAGCTCGATTTGGTCATCGCTCTGCTGATATAGCCCCACTGCGGCTTCTCTATCAGCTCGATGACGAGAATGTGCCTGTTGAACAAAACATCTTCAATTCCTCTGCTGCGCATGAGATCATGGAAGAGATCAGCTGCAAGGCCAACTTCTTTGTCGCCCAGAAAGTCTACACAGCTATGCCAGATAAAGCCTTCCTTCGACGACAAGCTCCTCCCAATCCTCGACGTCTTTTGACCTTTGCCGATCGCATGACCAGGGCTGGATATGAAATCGATACCAGCAGTAGTGGAACCCTCCAAAATAGTTTGTTCCAGGTCCAAGATGCCGATCTTCGCAAGGGCATGGAGACACTTCTCGTGAAAACATTGCAACGCGCCAAGTACTACCTTGGCAATCAGCTCTCAGAGGAGCAGCGCCAACACTACGCTCTCAATCTGCCAATCTACGCTCACTTCACCAACCCATCTCGTCGGTATGCAGACATTGTCATACACCGTCAACTTGAAGCCGCTCTTTCGAATGGGGCCGTCGAATTTTCTGAAGACCTCGAAAGTTTAGCCAAGACTGCCGAACAGTGCAACAACAAGAAAGACTCCGCGCATTCTGCCCAAGAGCAAAGCGTCCACATTGAGTCATGCCGACTGATGGACAAGAAGAGCAAAGAGATGGGTGGCGACCTTATCAGCGACGGCATCGTTATCTGCGTCTACGAATCGGCTTTTGATGTCCTCATTCCCGAGTACGGCTTTGAGAAACGTGTACATTGCGACCAGCTGCCATTGAAGAAAGCTGAGTTCCGCAAGGAAGAACGAGTGCTCGAGCTGTACTGGGAGAAGGGTGTACCGTCGTCAGCATATGTCCCTGAGGATGAGAGACCTCGCGCTAATGCTAGTACCAAAGCCAATGGTGCATCAGAAGCAGCCAAGGAGCGTGCCCGGGAACGATTCGAAGCTCAACGCAAACAGACTGATAGCAACACTATGTCAACAGATGATGTTGATGCTCTCTTTGACGACGAAGACTCTGCTTCTGAAATTAATGAGATGACATCTGGCGTTTCTTTGAACGAGCGCTCGAGTCAGAGTGTACCGGTGTCTCCTGGCCGAAACGGTACTTCTGTCCACGGACCGGCTAGGACACAGTCCGATTCGAGAATCAGGAAACATGCTGGTGACATCCCCGAGAGTCATCTTCTGAAGAAGGAGAAGTACGAGAGCTACTTTTCGCTTCGCGAAGAGGGCGGTGAGTACATTCAAGATGTCAGAGAGATGACTCGGGTGCCGGTCATTTTGAAGACCGACATGACGAAGAGTCCACCGTAAGTTTTGGTCTATGTACAATTGCAAGACTAATCGCTAACTACATATCCAGATGCCTCACTATTCGATCAATGAACCCCTATGCATTGTGATCAATGTGTAATGCATATTCCTAATACCTGGTGAAAGGTACAAGCGAGGCGTTGAGTCTTATCTTCAGAGATACATCCAGAGACGCAAAATATCGGGTATTTCAGACTACATCGGTATGAGCTCGAGTACTTCGGTACTTCAGCAAACGTAGTTGGAGATGGCATGGTACTTGGCGAGGAACCATAAAGTACGATTTGGGTGCGTTATGCTTACCATGCGAGCTGGCACCTATCTCGAGGTGGTGCCGAAGGAGAGTAGAGAGAGCAGAGGAGAGAAAAACAGCAAATGCTCTCTCTATTTGATAAAGATGAAGGGAGTAGGGAAAGTGGCTTTCAGAAGTAGCAACAGGGAGTGGGTGTGTGAGAAGCAAAAGGACTGCAGAAGTGTAATCAGGAATTTTTCCTATGAGCGTGATATGCATAAAAGTCTCTATTTCTTTCATGAGTTTCCGTCTGATCGTGATGGGTGTGCTGTATCATGCGTGTATCCATTTTCATCGGAGTAGGCGATGCCGAATCCGTGGAGATTGAAGGTGATCTGTTTCTGACCCGGGGCGATGAATGCCGCCCGGAGAACTCCTTGGGAGACGGTTTCCCGTCGCAGGTGCACGGTAAGAGTTGCATACATAACCCGTCCGCCATGGGCACGATTGAACGGTCAATCTCTAGTTAGAGCGTAGCGACGTACCGATGAATCCACCCCTGTCCCAAGGCGGCTCCGAATCCCCGACAGAGAGCATTTCGTGACAACTGGCGAGTAGGGAAGGGAAGTATCTCCGCCGGAAGTTGGATCGAGGTGGTTGTAGTAGGCAGTAAGTACATGACACCTCGCTTTCTCTCTCATTTCGGTTCAGTCTCCCTTTGTCATCTTCTCAAACACGGCCACTCCGTACCTGCCCAAGGCACTCGCGCAAGCGACGGCGTGGGCGCCGACCTTCCGCATCCTCTCGACGCCCTGCTTGTCCTCGACGCCGCCGACGCCGATGATGGCGACTTCTCTGGTCTCGGGGCTCTGGTCGAGCAGCCTGCGGAAGGTGGCGACGTTGCCGAGCGCGAGGGGGTGCAGCGCGGCGCCCGCGAGACCGCCGATGCCCGTGGCCGACTCGCTGTTCAAGACCGGGTCGAGGGCGTCGTCCAGGAGCAGCGACGAGCCCAGGGTGTTTGTGCACGTGACAAAGTCCAGCACGCAGCCCTCGCCCGGTTCGCTGGACTGGGCGCTGGGGCTGCGCATGGCGGCGACGACCATCTCGAACTGGGCCGTGTGCGTGTAGGGCGGCAGCTTGACGCCGACCTTGGGCACCGACTCGGGCGTCGCCATGCGGCCGCGGTACGTCGCCTTCGAGTCCGCGATCGCCTCGAGGTACTCGGCCAGCTGGGCAGCGTCGTAGGCCGGCGGCGGCGCGTCCTTGATGTTGGGGCACGACAGGTTGACCTCCATGGCCAGCCGCAGGTCCTCGTCCATCTCGGCCGCGTTGGCGATCAGCGCGTACGCCATGGCGATCTCGTCGGGCGTCCCCGTCACGCTGAGGATGAACGGCTTCTTGGTCGGCGTGTCGGTGCCCAGGTGTCGCTGGCCCACGATCTCGTTGATGTAGCCGAGGTACTCGGAGAGCGTGAACGGCGAGTAGCCTAGGGTGTTGAGCGTGCTGGCTGGGGGCGATGCCGACGCCGCTGCCGTCGCCGCAGAGGCGTCACCTTTGGGCGTGCCCGATGGGATGGTGGTCCCCGGTGTGAAGAAGACGTACTGATGCACCGCGTCATCGTGTGTGAAGCCTTCAAGAAGGGACGTCCGGATGGTTACAGCGCCAGTGTACGGGCAGTCGTAGAGTGCCTTGATGTCTTCTATGGTCGTGGACCACGGGCAGGCCGAGTTGAGAAGCGGAGGGTCGATTTTCAGCTTGGATGCCATTCTGTTGAACCTTTCTACGGGGTTTGTATATTGATCCGTCGGGTGCTTTGTTCGGGGTTTGAGAACGGTGAGCAAGAGAGGAAATTTGGATCTCGAAGCGCCTGGGTCCTCTGAGAACCGTGATACGCGTGTACTATGTGCGTGGGTGCGTGGTGAGAAGAAGCTGAAAGGGAGGAAAGGCTGTTTGCAGTTCTCAGCTGCACAGCACGGCAGTGTCAGGGTCAATATCAGTAATCGTCAGCCAAGATCCAGCTTCCGTCTCGATACTGAGCCGCGTCCTGGCGGAGTGATGAGCGTCAAGGGATCCCTGATGAGTGGGTTTGTGGTTCTCGATCAGTCAATTCGAACTATTATTTCTTGAATCGCGAGGCCCGTTGGTCGAGTCTCGTGCAGAGAAGAACAGAGATGAGGCTGGACGATAATAGTCTTCGTGGCGGTAAATGCTTACGTTATTCTTCTTCGTTCCAACACGTGTCGAGACGGAAGAGTCGATCACTCTATTGCCAGGGTTCAGATTCACGCCTGCAGAAACAATATTGTGTTCTAGATCGAGAAGAAAGGTCAACCCATGCGAGGTCGGGTAATTGTTCTTAATATAGCATCTTCATAGTCCGGATCTAATCGAACAACAGCAAATCATGGCCCTTGACACAACATCTCAGGACCCGATAACACCGTCACCCAGGATTCGACTTGGAACAATGTGACTAGTAGATATTGTAAGGGCCGGCCATGAAGCTGCTTGGCTACATCTTCTCTTTGGACGCGAAAGGCCCGAACAGGAAGGGGGAAGCAGAGAAGAGATCAAGACGAAAAGCGCCAGGGAACAATTAATCATTTCGGTGGACGTGTCATTCATGGATTTTTCATTCTCATCTATCATGATCAACAGCAATGCATTTGTTCTAAAGTTGCAGAACATCGAGGTTCGTGAATCGCCCAGACTTCTGCACCAGGCCGACGTACTACACGCTTTAAGCTAGGCAGTCTGCTGGCATATTTGGGTGACCTGACCGAATGACCATGACCCTTCCTGATGCGTCCTTACAACTTCTGCATGGCAACGACATCCTGGGAATAGTTAGCAAACAGACCTCACAGATACCCCCAGGGATAGGTGAAGATCCAAACTTACAGTTGACTGAACGTGATCCTCGTCCTCCTCAATCTTCTCCTGCAGGTCAGTGAGAGAGACCTTCTCATCTTCAATGACCATGTTGATTTGCAGCTTCTTGATACCGAAACCAACGGCCTCAAGCTTGTGAGCACCCCAGACCAGCCCATCTATTTCAATAGCAAGGACGTTCTGGATCAGTTCGTCCATGTCGGTCTCGTCATCCCATGGCTTGACATCCAGTGTCACAATAGATTTGGCGGCAGGCTTGGCCTTGCCCTCCTTCTTCTTCTTGTAGTCCGCCAGTCTTCGCTCACGCTCGGCCACAACCTCTGGGTCTTCCTCCTCCTCGTCGGATCCGAACAGATCCATCTCGTCATCGTCATCAGCCGGTGCGTCCTTGGGGTTCTCCGTCACGGCGACCGCTTCGGGACCATAAGTGGTGAATGGCTTCGAGGGGTCACCAGGCAGGGTTGAGAAGTCGGCCTCGTATGACTTGACGTGGTTGTACCAGCGGTAGGCGTGGGGATATTTCTCGACGGCAGGGGCCTTGTCGAGGGCCTTGAAGGTGACAACATCGGCTTGGGATGGGGTGTATCTAGACACTTTGAGTCAGCATCAACCAGCTTCTCGTATTCCAGCAGAAGAGGATAGTTGTCGAAGCTAAAAATCAGAGGTGCAAATGTTTGCGATTGGAAGTAGTCATTCTGCGGTGTCTTAAGCCGCCTCATCAACACGGACCAATTTGTTCTCATCCGGGAACGCAAAGGGAAGGAGAAAGGAGCGTATGGACAGGCACATACCCGGTGATGTATGATCGAGTCTTGAGCCAGTTGTTGAGGACTAGAGTCATTCAATCAGTGCGTCGTTCAAGGAGGGGCTGTTGCGAGTAAACATACGGGTGAGGCCACCGTCCGAGACGAAGTCGGTGAAACCCATTTTGTTGTGCTGTGGAAAGGTTCTTCGTAGATATACTAGAGGTGTTGCTAATCCCAATCTTCTACGAGCGTGTAGGTTTGTTTAACAGTTTCAATGGTCGAGACAGAAATCCCAAAATTTTTTGAACTTCGAGACGCAGTTTCGGCCGCTGCCAAGGCGAGCGATTGGGCTGCTCGCGCCTCTCGCTCGCTAGCCCTGAATCCGGAAGGAGAGTGACGCCGCCCTTAGCTGCAGCGATTCGCTCACCTGGCACGTGCGGAGTACAGAGCATGGCAATGATCAGGAGGACGGGGGAGCCTGAATCAGACATCTTGCTTGTTCTTGTTGTCACGGTCAGCATTGAGTGAAGTTGACTCCCTCCCTCTAGAGGGATGGAGGTGCTAAGCAGGAGATCTGAGATCTACCGAGATATACGACATTGCCATCCTACTCGGAAAAAGCCTTCGCTACTGTCTTAGGGACGTCTTCGATCTTCTAGGTACCGAGATGCCGGCCGGACGTCGTCGCAAGTGCGATGGAGTTGCTCTGAGGAGCCATATAAGATCCATTTGATTCACTTCGCCGCTCCTGGAGTCGAAGCACCTTCAAGAAGGGCGAGCACCCCGCCAACAAGGTGCAGACTCCCGGTAACCAAGATTTCCGTACTGGTACATCCTTCGCTCAAGGCCTCCGCAAGTTCGATTGCCCCTTGAATCGTTGGGGTCAGATGGACGTTTGCTATGCCATCATGGGCCGACCAGATCTCTGCAAATTGTTTTTGAACGGTAAGCTCTTTGATAGATCGAGCACAGGCATTTCGATTTTCAAACTCTGGAGACGGATGAGCTTCTGCACATCGGGGATCTCGGCGAAGCTTACCAATTCTATATCCATCTTTGCTCCTTGTCACGTTTGTGGTAAAATTAACATGAGCAAAGGCAACCGGGCTCTCATCCGATAGGGCTTCTTGGAGCACCCTCAGCAATTCTTGGGCCTCTGGTCTTGTTTTCTGATTAAACAACAGAAAGCGTGATGGTTCTGGATCTGTACAGCATCGAGCAAACCATCGTCCAACAATTTTCAGGCTATCTGCAGTATGCGCACCATCGAAATGCCAGGTTCTGGGGCCATCTTGTTTGATTTCACACCTTCCCCGCCAGGTGGTCGTCCTCTCTATACCGAGCTTGAAGACTTGCGGGAGTGTAGTTGGATGTAGGTCGGGGAGACCTAATCACTCAGAGACAGCAGTGACCAAAGCTATTGCAAGAGAGATGTTCTTCTTCTGGTACTCAGCATCTGGTACAATCTGTACCTGGGACAAAAACGGGGGTTCTTCAAGGAATTTGACGCGAGTCCCTATCTCTTGAGCACGCTCCTTCAAGACCTCCGCTCCCTCGGGAAATTGCTCCACGGAGAAAGCGGGCACCTTAGACTTGAAGATGCCCGCCTTGTGCCAGGCAATTTTGGCCAAGGTATCCCCCAGAACCGCCTCATGGTCGATGCCCAGCGTCGTGATGCCAGTCGCTATCGGCCGTTCCACAATATTAGTGGAATCCCAAGCTCCTCCAACTCCAACCTCGTAGATGGCAACATCAACAGCCTCGCTCACGAAAATATGCCAGGATAGAAGGGTCAAGAAGCGGAAGTAAACCGGTTTGACGGAGGCGTCTCGGCCATCTTGCTGTGCAGAAGCTTCAAGAGCATCCCAAACTTCGAAAAAGTATCGTGCAAACATCTGCTCTGCGATAGGTTGGGAATTGATCTGTATTCTTTCTCTCACCGAGATCAAATGCGGCGATGTATACAGACCAATCTTCTCTGGGACAGAACGCAGCTGGCGGTGTTGCTCAAGCATCGAATTGATGAACGCACAAGTCGTGCCCTTACCCTTGGTCCCAGCGACGTGAACGATATTCAATGAGTCCAATTCTGATGTCTTTTCGTCTTTTAGCCGGATGTTTCTACTCCGAGAACAATACTACCTTATGCCCCGACCTTTCAAGCCACCGACGCATCTCCACAAGGGATGTGGTGCCATGTTTTTTTGCGTCCAGTTTTCCTTCTTTCCTCGAGAACCTCGAAGGGCGTTTGGAGTGTGTTGAGGTAAGAAATAGCATCCTATCCTATTAGTAAGAATTATGTGCCTCATAACATGCTTGTATCCTACGCGGTAATTTCTCATGGTGCCCATACTGTGACTTTGTCTCCACAAGGAGTCTTTGAAATGAGTAGGGACAGGGAAAGTGATATAGACGCTGTTCAACGTGAAATGCTCGGATCGTAACAAAATGCAAGACAAAAAGCATGAAGTCTTTTGACTAAGGGATAAAAGTGACAATCTCTTTGTCGAAGGCCGCAACGAGGCGTCTTTTGCTTTTAATGGGACTGACTAGGTTGCTGACAGCGACCGACTTCCCGGAACCGTGCAGCTTCGACAGGATGCGGCCATTCATAGTGAGCAAGGGAACATTGAGACTTCCCACGTCCAGTTGTTACCTTGCAGTAAAAAGTGGACTTATCCTTGCCTTGAAAGAATGTGGATATCACCAGCGGCTCGCATTAGAACCAGTAACCCAGGGATGATGGTAATCCCATCCAGTTGTTATCGTTGTCTTTGTACCCAGAGTCTGCAAGGGCTTGGCGATTTAAAGATGGTGATCGACCTGCATACCAACCCAGCCTCACTTTCACTCGAAATATCGCCTGGGTGGTTCGTTCTGGGGCCTTGCATTGGCACCTCCCTCATGATTCGGCCTAATCAGTTGTCTCGCTTAACTCTCCGGTGTTCAGGAGCAAGGCAAGTTAGGTGAGTCGCATCAACCGGTAAGAAGCATCGACAACAAGGAATTCTGTAAACGTACTAGTGAACCAGTTTCGACGTGGAGTCTACAACCCGTCATCTCTCGCCACAACAAGCCAGACAAGATGGAACACTGCCTTGACACAAAAGTCAAGTAAGGAGAGGGTCAGGTAAAGCATGCCGTGAGAGCCCGTCAATCCAAGAAGTTCCACTCGGATCGGAACATCCTTGTTCCAGGTATGTTTTCCGTGTCTTGAAGTTCCTTTTCACTGGTAGCCTCGTGGTCGGACAGGTTTGCCCTTGCATAGACCAGAATTCGGGACGTCTAGGTCTTTTCATCATAAACTTCTGTGGTGAAGAAGGCGATTGACGATAGACGTAAATGCCGAGCAGGAAATCTTTCAGGAATTGTGCTACGACCTCTTGTTCATGGGTACCCACACATTGTTTCGCTGCCCACGCAGAGGAATAGAACTTGTTGATATTGACAAGACCCTTGAGGATTGTCAGGCACGGAGGACCGGGACGACGCGATATTACAGGATATAAAGGACATCAAGAGTTGTTGATTCAGAGTACTTGATGTGTTCTGTAACCACGACAAGGCCTGAGTACTTGGTTTCTGCTATCCGATTGAACATCCTCCTTGTGAACCTAGTGCTTCCCTACCTACTCCTATCATACTATCTCGGTCAATAGGTCAGACGGCCACTTAGGCTGGTCAATGCCGTTGGTCCTGGCACCCACCTGGAACCTCAACTTCACCTTTCCAGAGGGAAATCTGAGAGCTGGTTTCACGCAATTAACCTTACAGCCCATTGCTTTAGCGTCTCTATCTTCAAAATAATCCGGATTGAAAAGATGTGGCATATTCGCTTTGAGCATCTTGACTCCCTGAGGAAACAAATACTGCATAGGTTGATAGTGTCGAAATTTTGGTCGCCCATGTTGAGACCATACTTTGTCCCATACTTCCTGTGGGTAGGTACCGACAGACTGCACGAGCCAGTGCGAGTATGCGTTGATTGAACAATCCACAATATAACTTCCTCCATTTTGCGCTCGTTTCAAAAGTGCCGAGATGACTCCCAAATGTCCCGCTAAGCCTGCACAATGGTCGGAGTTCGGGAAAATAGGAGTTACAGGCTCATCAGTACCGTGCATAGCCCGCCCGAAATCAAGAGAGACACCGCAACAGGCATCGCTGATTTGTTGCCATCCACTCCGATGAGCCCAAGGACCAACCCAACCGTAACAATCTAGCCTGGCAACGATCAGACCTCTCTCCCGGTTGTGGCAGAGTTCGAGGACATCATCACACCCCAGGCCGTACTTGGAAAGCACCTCAGGCCGATAACCGTACACAACCACGTCGGCTTCAAGAATCAGTTGTTTGGCTTTTTCGAGGTCTGCAGGTTGTCGGAGGTCCAGGTCGGTGTTCCATTTCCCCCATGCCATGTCTGGATGCAGGAATCCCATATCTGGGAGATGAGATGAAGTGATCCGCATTATGCTTGCTCCGTACTCTGCCAATCCGCGGGTCAGAGTTGGCGCAGCAATGATGCGGCTGAAGTCAACAACTTTCAGTCCAGAGAGTGGTCGAGAAACCGACGTTTCGTCGGAGGATGACCACCAACAAGGCGCTTGGTTAGGATTCGGAACGTCCTGCACGTTCCACAATTGTCTGTCAGCGTTGGCGTGTGCATGTTCACTGGCCAAGTACTCTTCCACGCTCCAAGCTACAGTCCCCGAGATTTTGATTACTTCGTTACAAAGATCATCAAGTTCGGCAGCCGTGTATTGAATGGCCCTTTCCTGATATAATTTGTGGGCCACATCGTAGTTATCGTCATCCCCCTCAGAATCGTGAGGCAGACCAAGTGCATCCTGAAGCTTATCAGGATTCAAATTTGAGTGCACATGATAAAATCGACCGTCCTTAGTATGATACATATTGCCCGCGCAGCTCCGATAAGCACTTGCCGAATTTCGATATATGTCGCAACTTGGAAAGATCGAGGTCGTCGCGAAACCTTCCGTCGACACCGAGACATGATCGATGGTCTTGATCGTTGTCAAAAGACAAGAAATCAGGAATAATTGCGCGTGGTCGATGTTGACCACAACATCTTCGGGCTCAACACCATATTTTTGCTCCAACAATGCGTTCATCATGATGCCTTCAGTCGCCTTCAAAACAGCAATGCTCTCTGCGAAACGCCAGTTGATGGGAAAGGCCGGCTTGTGGCACCCCTCGAACTTGATTCGTTTAGCATATTCTGCGGCCTTCGACGGTAGTAGTTTCAAAATGACAGGATTGTTCAGGATACCACTGTGAAGAAGTTGGTATGACTGATCCACGATCGAGTATTCGCTCACAAGACTGTCAGAAGCCATGGTCAGAGGAGTTTAGAATCATTCCACTCAACAATGCATTTGATAGTCACAACATAGCGTGTTGAATCTTTATGACTATAACTCCCAGCCCACCTCCTCCTGAGACTCTGTCATCCTGAGGCAACCTACGATGACAAATTGCAACAGCAACTCGGGGGATTTTGTGACCCTGTAAGCAGATATTTCGGCCCTTCGCGGCGATTTTTGTAGTTCCGACTTAGTGTAGCCTCTCTATAATCTGGGACAACATCTCCGCGGGAGAAATCTAGGTAAAAGCACATAGGGCCCATATGTAACATGATAATCCAGTCAGTCCTCATTTCCCAGAAAGATGTGTCACTACTTTCGTTCGAGTAAGGTGTAGAGGTGGGTACAATCGGTGTCCACCCTGACCTAGTGGCTGGATCCGCCGCTTTTGTATACAGTCTAAAGTGGCAAGATGACCTTCGAACTGCAACCAACTACAGGGTTTGGTTGCCATAGCTAACTTCGACTAGAAGAGATGATAGACGTGACCTGCTCATCCTCCCAACCTGGTGCCTAAGTTCGTTCGGGTTTCTTTCCGCTCAACCTGTTGATTGGACACATGAGCATGGAGAGGATAGAATGGAAATACTAAGGGTAAGCGCCACCAGCCCAAGCTGTTGTACTGGTTTTCCGTCGGAAGAAGTCGTCAGCATGCATAATAAATCAAGTCCGAGGGCTCCATCTTGGAGCGTGTTTCCACCCTTCTAGTCAGAGCCCGAAGTTTTGGTCCTCTGTACATATTACCGTGTCCGTTGCTCCTCTTGCTCCAATCATTTCACCACAAGGTTGCTGCTCGCTATCGGTCCTTGCACAAGATGATCCCGGTCAGATGCCTTAGGCCTATAGGCGGTTCATGTTTTTCTCCGCGGAGATCTGGGGTATTGTGGAGACGTCGCATCTGCAAAGGTACTCCTGCGTATCTTCCTTCGCAGACGGATCCGGGGAATGTAACTGAGTTTACATGTAAATGGTAGAATGTTGAAGGCGTGTGTACTTCGAACAATTTAACTAGGGAGAAAAAGGCTCCTAAGCTTGCAAGTTCTACGGCAGCCTTTATATTGTAGTGGGTTAGGCTGTGTGATCCCCTTCTCTGAGGATGTGGTCTCTGCCACAGCGGGCCTAGGGCCAACTAGGCGCAGAAGGCTAAGTTATAAAGCCTGGGCATGTGTTTTTCTTTCTTCTCAATCACGGAGTATGGTCATGTGTAGACATGTACACAGAGAAGCGTGCATAGTCAGTATATAGTTAGGTATATTCTAGATAAGTAGCCAGGGCGTTTTTGATAAGTCCTCTGCGCTGTCCCCGATCAACAGCATACCTCGAGGAGCGTTCAGAGAGACTTCGAGAGGACGAATAAGTGTTGCAGGGAAGGAAAAAGTCTTCTACAATCGACCCTCGATCCTCGACTCATGTTGCCTGATTGATGACAGCCCTGTGCACCTGGTGCTTCCCCCTCTACTCCTGTTATAATATGTCTTCTGACAATACTCTCTGCCCCATTTTCATTGATGGAAGCAGGACTTTTCCCACTGTTTTTCGCCAACGTTTTATTGTTGTTTCTCTTATGCTCCCTTCAAGTAGGCATGGTGTTCTTCGACGCTCTCTTCCGCATGTTTGCGAGGCCAGCATAATAAACTAGTTCACCAGTCTACAAATAAGCTATGCAAATCATCGCTCTTGTGTTCTCTTCAATGACAAGGCCAACGCCATAGGGTCTCCGAGTCGCGCCACTTGAACTTGAAACACCCCTGCTCTCTCGCTCTGCAGTGGCTGATGCTACAGTTGTACCGGTCCCTAACCTTGAGCCTGGCGAGGTGCCAAAGGTGTTCATGGTAAAGTCTGCACAAGCGGGAACTAGAGGAGGAAATGATGAGCTGATGAAGCGGCACATCCATCGCAGCATCGAGCAAAACAAAGCAAAACACAAGTGGCTCAGAAGAGGGATTGAAAAGGAGAAGGCAAGGTTGGACGCGAGGGAGGCCTGGATAAAGCTGTGGGCTGTAGCAATGGCCGATTGCATGGTGTGGTCCTATCATCATTTTAAGCCTGGTCCTGTTTGTATACATTCCTCAAATAGATTTGTGTCGAACTTAAACCACTGTAGTATATACACAGTGATAGTATATAGTATAGTATATATTGACGTGTTTCCGTACAGTAAGTTAGTAACGCTTAGTCAACATAATATGCGTCTATCCTCCTCATGATGGAGTCTAATGCATGTAATATTCCTTGAACACCGTGCGTAGGAACCTTCGTATATGCCCTGTGGACAACAATAGCGACGATTTAGCCCGCCGAAGCTCCAACTGGCAGAAGCAAGCGGCACCTAAATTTACACCGGCACCGGCTAGGAGAATGTCATGTTGCTGATTTCTCATTCGGGGGGCTCAGGCCCCATTCAAAGTCGTCGAATGACCGCCACGGGGGCCAATTGCATTCTTCAACGACTGTACGGCATTGGTCACTGGAACTACCGCATGGAGTAATCGAGCCGAGGGCGAGCAAATCGGCGAGCGGCTAGTCAGAACAGGACGACGAACAGTAGGTTTTTTGCATAATACCCAGTTAGTCTATCCAATTCAGGCCGAGGGTGCTATTGTGGATAGTAATACACTCAGTGGGTGAGAAAACGTCAGGAGCTTGCGAGCTTTACCTAAAGGAGCACGGCGTATCATAATGTTCGGTGCTTGTTATAAGCTTTGTGAGCAATTCTAACCTCATCTTCTTACCATGCCAGGTGATCGGAACGAACATACCGGTGGTGACATTCCGAGGCGAGCATCAATTCGCCTTCCCAGGTTACCGGACCCCGTACGTCCACCGATATGCTGTATTCTTCAGCCTTCGCGTTCCTCTTTGACGAATGCCGTCTTACTAACCGAAGCAGCCAAAGTTCCCTTGGATATTGCCCCTGAGTCAGCGAGCTTATACCTTAGCCTGCGAAAACAAACACCTGTTCAGGATGGGCGGTCACCATCACCATGTGGCGTGAAACATGAATCTTTCCGGTCACCCAGAACAGGAATTTGTTTTTACAATCCTTCCTGGAAGACCTATGTCAGCTCTTAATGATTAATCTCTAAGCGATGCTGCGCCTGTCGGCAGACAACAGGTGGAGGATTGTCTCGGAAATATGAGAGCACCTTATAAATATTGAAGCCATCAATAGGGAGTGGAATCTTGTCTTCCTACCTCCCTCCATTCTCACCAAACCTTCATTCGAAACCATGTCTGTGTTCTGTTCTCTCGAAGAATTCCTCTCTTATCACTTTGACTTTATTATTGTCGGTGGAGGTACAGCCGGACTCGCACTAGCTGCACGTCTGTCTGAGGATGGGCGATTTAGTGTGGTGTGCTGGAAGCCGGTGAGAACAAGTTGGATGATCCTATGGTCAACATTCCAAACCTATTCCCACAAACGCAGTTCAACCCCAGCTATGACTGGATGCTAAAGAGCGTTCCTCAAGTAAGGGACCCACTCGTGGTGTCGATATCCATCTAACAGTCTTCAGGTTCATGCAAACAATCTAGAGTTCGCTTTGCCCCGTGGAAAAGTGTTGGGAGGCACCAGTGCCATAAATTACATGCAGTACAGCAGACCACTCCGCTCCGACTTCGATGAATGGGCGGGTTATGTTGGCTCGGACGAGTGGTCTTGGGCCAAAATGATGCCATATTTTATAAGAGCTGAGCATTTGGAGGGTGAAGGGTACCCAACGACATGTCTTGCAGCGCATGGGACCGCTGGGCCAATCCACACCAGCTCCACAAGGTCCCAGATTCCTATTGAAAACACCTTTCTGGATGCGTTTCGAGAAGTTGCTGGGTTCGATTCAAAAGCGCAAGATGCCACCAACGGGACACATGATTCGTTTTATACATCTCTTTCCACCGTCAACCGCTCCGATCGCAACGGAACACGCAGCTACGCAGCTTCCGGATACATTTCACCTTACTTGCAGCGAACGAACCTCAGAATACTCACTAGCGCCAACGTCGAGTCTGTGAAGTTTCAAACAAACAGCTCCCAGTTTGTGGCGGATGGGGTTCACTTTTGGCATTCAGGAGCCAGGTACACAGTAAACGCCAGGCGAGAGGTCATTCTCAGCGCAGGCGCCTTCAAGACCCCCCAGATTCTTGAACTATCAGGGATCGGAAACCCTAAAGTTCTCGAGGCTGCTGGAATGGCCTGCTTGGTACCGAATACTTTCGTCGGTGAAGATATGCAAGACCACACTGCGTTCGCCACGACGTTCGAACTAGCGCCGGGAGGCTTTTCCATCGACGCCTTTGCAGACCCACTTGTCGTTCAAGCCGTCATGGAAGAATATCAACGCACGGGAGGTGGCCCTCTCGCCAGTCCTCCCTCGGGCATGGGTTTTCTCAGTTACTCGGCCCTGGCGTCCCCCGACGGCCTTGCTACCACCCTCGACGCAGTACGAAAGGTTGAGGGTTTGAGAAGACCTCTGACAGCGGCCCAACAGCTCAGGGCAGTCAACAGGCTGAGTGACGCCCGCGCAGGCGCCATACAGATCCTCTTCATTCCAGGAAATATTGACACTGCTGAAGGACGCGAGGACCAATCCAAATTCATTCGACCAGCAGCCGGTGGAAACAATCATGTGACGGCAATAACAGCCTTTCAATATTCATTGAGTCGCGGGAGTGTCCACATCACAGGCACTGGCGCCCAGGCTCCACCCGCGATCGACCCGTCCTTCTTATCACATCCGGTGGATGTCGAGGTGTTGCGCACCACCCTGGATTTCCTGACCAAGGTCGTGGAGTCAGCAGCTGTCAAGGACCAGCTCAATCCAGGCTTCAACCTTGCTGAAAAGGTTGGACTTGGAGACCGAGACCGTGAGATATCGTACATCCGCAACCACGTCGGGACAGAGCATCACCCCATCGGCACCGCCGCCGTGGGAACTGTAGTCGACACGGATCTCAGAGTAAAGGATGTGGCCAAGCTGCGGTGCGTAGACGCAAGTATCATTCCCATTCACATGAGCGGAAACCCGATGGCGATGGTGTATGCAATAGCGGAAAAGGCAGCGGATCTGATACTGGGTGCTGTTCAAGAGTGCTAAAAAATTCTTTGCTAAATCCCTAGGCGCCACCACTGCTCACATCGAGATGGGAAGTGGCACATCCGTCCGCTCACGTCAGCGAGCAATTACGGCAGTCGATGAACCAGGGGCAGGCTGTATTTCTTTTTCCCAGCAAGCGTGATTTTGCGCAGCGGAATGCCAATGTGATGTTTATGTCGGAGAAAGGGTATCGATCCTCGTGCTCGACGGGCCACATTCAGAAGGCGGAACACTCATCATACTCACACGGGCCGTAGCAGAACTAAGATGGTTATTGGCGACGGAAAGTTGGAACCTGCAAGAGGACTCCAGCTGGTTTCGAATATGGACAAGAGTTGGGGGACTCGTGGCAGAAGTCGAATTTGTCTGGAACTGCAACCGTGCGCCATCGTGGCAGAGATATATGATGAGATGGTGAAATGTTGATGAGATGGATTGACCCCATGAGATATTGGTGCAGCCTGACGTTTATTTGCCTTTGTCTACGAGGAGAGAGATATGCGCGCTGCTTTCCCATGGCTTCGCTCTCCTTCTCAGTCCGAAGCAGAAAATTCCCTCGTTTTGTCTCTGTCGACATGTTCTGAAAGCCCTTCGAGAACCTGTTTCACTTGCTGTGATACCAAATTCCCGTAGAGACGCGGAGTGATGTTATTGGCAATAGCCATTTCTCTCATGAAAGCGGCGACCTCCTCCACGGATGTCATGTAACTTTCCGGCAGCTGTAGCGCCGTTCCGAAGAATTCGTACAACTGGACGAGGTAGAGGCAGCAGAAGGCGATTAAAGCGTACCCAAATTCACCCATGTACCGGACATTCTCACGCCGTAGCGGCGAAATATCCACCAGGCATCGTGAAAAGGCATGCGCCGCCTGAAATGATTTCACAACCGACTCTCTGCCCAACGGGCTGAGGATTTTTCCACGTGAAGAAGTAGATTCCTCAACCACCGCTGCAGTTCGATCTTTTTCCAGAATGTACCGAGTGGCAAATGCGCTAATGAAGAAGCGAGTAGCTTGGAAGTGGAAATTCACGGCTCCATTTTTTGATATGTCGACATTTGATATGGTTACGTTGGACTCGCCACGAAGACCCCATCTTATGCCCCATACTTCTAGAGCCCCTTCCAGGTCCTCCAGAACAGCAACAATTCCCTCGACACTTATCGAGTCTGAAGGCGTACACCACCACTCGGAAAGACCGGGGGCACTTCGGCCAGCTTGCCGCCATAGTGTCTGAAGATCAACTTCGGCGAGAACGCGAGTCACTCGCGGTGGTCGGGGGATGTCTCGTAGAAAGCCGAAGGCTACAGCGGTAGTGCTGTCCTCCTGTAGTGTCGGAGGTGTCCGAGTCATCACGGAGAAGTGATGGGACATTGTCACCAGCCAAAGCCAGTACACGTACATGGAAAACGCCGACGACTTTGATATATCTGACGAAGCTCCACCTCGTACCACAATCCTAAGTCTGTCGATTGAACGGTGTAGCCCCGCTCTGAATGCGAAAGCCTCAACTGAAGACTTCAGGGTGTAGTAGTCGAGCAAGGCCGCCACTGGCTGAGACGCTCCAGAGAGTGGAAATATCTCTCCAGGAGGACAATATGCATAGAGAATGGCCAGGGCTTGCAGTTGCGTCCATAATTTGTCTCCATCCTGCGTCAAAGGGCCACGAATGGTCTCAAGGAACTCTGAGACATGGGCCAGAAGCTTCTGTCGTACATTTGTACTTCCTGAAATGAATTGCGAAGCAACATAACTTGCACAGTAAGCCAGAGGTCGTTTATAAGCGATAACATGGCGCTCATCACTGAGGTCGGCATCGTCAATGACAGGTACATAGTACAAGATCTTTTCCCGGAAACTGAAATCGTGCAAGAGAGAAAGTCAGCATCGCCTGCTGAGCGACAAACGTGGAGCAAGAGCGACCTACAACTCAATGTGCTCGACCAAAATGTTCTCTGGAATATCAATCCGATGATCCTCTGGCTCTCGCAGATGTCGATGCTGGGAACCTGAGAGAGAGTCCTGTGCGGCCACAGAGGCTAGGGTATCGAGAGGGGAAAATGACCATACCGGGGGAAGGGTCGGGCACGATATGTTTCCAACCCGGGAAATGCTAGGAGAATCATGTGCACCTGAGCTGTGTGTAGGACCCCTGGGATTCGTAAGCTTGGGCAACACCTCTGGTGGAGTCCGAGATGGAGATATTGTCGAAATGCTTCCTTGAGAAGATGTTGTCGTGTGCACGTCCTGAAGCTCGCCGACGGATGATGCTACGGGAGGCGGCCTCTTGCGCAATGAATTGGCCGGCGTTAGGCCTCTCCTGGACGGATTCACCACACATCTCCTGCTATTTTTGAGACATCTTTTGCATGGTGGCTTTTCAGCTCCCACACACCTCATCTATAAAATGGTCAGTAGATCTCTCGACCGTCTCTCCTCAGTTGGGTCACACCTTCAGCCGCCGACATGCCGCGCATGCCACGGGAGCCGACCCAAGTATAGGGTTCGCTGATGGCGCCGGGGAGGCCATGAGGACTGTCACTGTGGCATCAACATCGCGCCGTCATGCCGTCTTGAGTCGGTGGAACGAAGCAACGATATTGACCTCTTTATCATGGGTGCGGACGGCTAAAGTCGGCGATTTGGGCGATGTGCAACGAGACCCTGGTGAGGCTGAGTCATGGCTGCTGACTAACTGCAGACGGGACGCGACGCTATCTACATAAGGCCAAAGCAGAAAAGCTTCACCAATCTCAAAGACAACCTCACGACCTCGACCTCAAAATACAACTCCACTCGTGCCGCCTGGCCTGATTCCCTCGCCACGACAGAACTTTAGTCCCCGGATCGATCCAAACTTCCAACGAGAATGAATCGTTGGTTTTTCCTCTCGGCACCGACGGGAGACTGTGCAGGAACCGCGAATGTGTGACTGTCACTAGCCGGCCTCGTCTGCTCTTATATGCCAGCTTTCCCATTTTCAACAGGAGGTGGGATTGTATCCCTCGATTCTCTCACCACTCTTCGACTGGCTGGTGTTCATGGTGAAGGGAGATGTTACAGGAGGAATTGTAGGACGTCTTTCCAGGTGCTGAGTCCTGTAGGTCTGGGTTGCCATTTCACACGATGCGGATCAGATGAGTTCCTTTGATTGCTGTCTTGTGATTGACTTTCCTCTGGGGCACTAGCCTTGATATACTCCTTCTGTCGATCCTAGGTACTTGTGATGCGTGACGGCGCGGTACCGCAAGAGTTCCATCTGCCTGTAAGGGTTAATTTTTCGCTAGGTCTACTTTATTTCTCCCAGGACTTTGACAGCTTCTTGAGCGTACGATTACTCTCGAAGACTCCTAAGGGTCGATGCGGTCAAGTCGACTCAGGTGGGCCAACACCAAGCGCGAGACGAGGGTGACTAAAAGCGGCATGATCTCGCTGCCCGACTGGGGTGAACCACAGTATTGTTGACCATCGACACCTTCGGGCTGCGTCAGTTTAACATCCTGCGTCAGTTTAACATCCTGCGTCAATAAATCTCTCCAACAACTCCAGCAATCATCCAATGCTTCTCACGTCCTCGTGGCATGTCGAAGCACCATTGAAACTTCGGCGTATCTACTGATTCCGCAGATACTGATGTAATTTGCTCAGTCATCGTGCCCAAAGTCGCGGCCTGGTTCTCGCTGCCATTCCGGCTCGACCGCCACCATACACACACCGCTGCAACAGCGATTTGCACTGTAACACTGATGGACCTTCCAAAGAATTTCATTCCTCCTTCTCCTCCAGCCTCGGCTGCTTCTCCCGCACCTACAACCACCTCATTCACAGGCCAAAATCCCGATTTACCCACCCCACGTTCACATCGCTTGAGACCGGGCTCTCCCAAGGAGATTGCCCTCATCAACTACCTTGATGATAAGATACTCAGGATCACACGGAGATATGCCAAAAAGTTCAGTGATGAGATGACATCGAAAGATGACGCTCCAGGTTATACCACCTATGATGAGTTCGTCGCGGACGTAGACCCTCTCGTGGATGTTGCCTGGGTTAGTGGAACGCGTAAGTCGAATCTCTGGCGAGTATTCTCATGTGTTGTCGGTTCTTCCTCTACATGTTGGGTCTGGCGCCATCGCTCGCTGCCGTGATGTTTTTGAAATCGCACTTGATGCGACAATGCCCTAACTGTTCCACTCGAATAGCAACTCTCCAAGTCGCCTACCTGCTGTCACTAGCCGGCCTCGTCTGCTCTTATATGCCCGCTTTCCCATTTTCAACGGCAGTGTTTTATATTACCGGAAAACTTGACCGAGGCTTTACTTCGCTCCTGCAATCCTCATCAACCAACAGCCCTGATCCAGCCGCCGCTTACCATGTCTCAATGACTGAAAAGGTTCGAATAAAATCCTTGGTCGAAGAAACTCGCATAACAGCTGTGAATGTTACATCCTCCAGCGGGCTCTCAACCAAGGTCGTGGATGTTTCCGAATTGGAGACAGAAGAGGAAGAGGAAGAAGACACTGATGATACCAACCTGGAGCAAGGTCCTCAATCAAACAATATCTCAAGATCTCTTGCTCTCTCAAAGATCTACAAGCGAACTTTGGAGATTTTGGGAGATTCTTTGGATACCAGCGCGCTCCTCAGCGATCAAGAAATGAGAGATGCTCCAATGACCGAAAGAAAAGCAGAAGAATGACGGAGTATTTCCACGACTGCAGCAGAACTGCTCTTAATTGTGACCAACTCCTGTCCGAGAACCTTTCTCTGCGACCACCACTGGCCCTGCATGGCTCTCAGTTAGTCATCTGACTTCTTCCATCGATGAAGTGTCGCGGTACTTATGCTGACACTCGACCTATGACCAAACGAAACGCTTCGTTGCAAGATCTATCAACCCAACAGTCTTTCTTCACCCGCCCTCGTACAAAGCCGAGCTTTTCGATTGCAGTCGCACGTAGTATCTGGGCCGCTAACGATACTTGCGGTCTGTGACACTGGGTTGAGGCATCCAATCACATTCCGCCACGCCGGACCGCCTTACAATTTCACCGACACTATGCATTGAGCGGGCCCTATTGTGCATCCGGAACACTGGATTGATGCCCGAATAGCTTGGTATCACGCACTCACTTCACTGAGAGTGTCTGCCACCGTCTGCAGACTGAAAAATTCAATGGGGACTTCGAGGTCAAGTAGTGGGTTCATACTACCGACATGAAAAGTCGATCTGCTCGCTGTGTAAACTACCTTTCCCTCAGTTCCCTCACTCGAATTTCACGCTGCATCATGAAGCGCATCACAATTCTTCTGTTCGTACAGACAGTATTCAGTCTTGCTATCACATCAGCACCGACACTTAACAAACTTATTCGGGTCACCGCCACATCGCCTCTGTCACCAGTTCAGCATGTCACTTGGTCCACATTGACGCCCAGTGTCACTGAAATTCAGCTACCAATCATCCCTTCAGCTGTCATTACGCTGGCACCGTTGGTAGGAAATCCACTTGAACGGCGCCAACGATGTTGGGATGATCGTGGGTTTAGTGTAGACTGCGCCACATGGACAGGCTACTATTATACTTGGGGTCCGCCTGGAAATCCATATGAAGGTGGTCCTGGGGAAGGCGGTGGTGGTTCTGGCGGCAATGGCGAAGGAAGTGTGGTGGTATCTCAGAGCGACACTGGAAGGGTGCATTTGACGGCCTGGTCTCTCATTCTTGGTGTGCTATGTTTGGGAATGGCCCTTGTTCTTTGAGCTTGCCTCAGCCCTCAATTTCAAAGTCTTCTACCATGAAAACAGCGGGACTTCAAGTGAAAAAAGATTCGATCGATGCTGCAGAGAAGCTACGGGCGTTTCGGCGGAAGGCGACTATTCAATGGTTTCAGCGGAGCATTACCTGAAATGGTGTCACAGTCACCTTATGATAGCTCTCCCGTGAGCTTTTCGTTTGATTCAACAGACAATACAAATTTTCGGAAATCACATGCATCGCTTGTTCCAACTACTTTATTGTTCTTTGATTTCATTGATCCCCCGGTCTCACGCCGTCTCAGACTCAAATATTGGATTCGATCTCAACTATTTGATTCTCGAAGATCTCCATCAGAAGCACAATGAAGTCAGACCACCGCTCAAGAAAGGGGCGGCGACAAGATAGAGGGTTGCGAGGGTGTGTCTCATATTGCTTAGTGCTGTTCTGTGTTCTTGTGGTTGCAGCAACTCCTGCTCATGGACACCCAGGCCAAAGAAGCGGAGTGCATAAAGGTAAAGTAATAACATTTCAAAACAAGGACACGGCCGCTAACAGTTCCAGAAGACACTCTCGACCCCATAGTCCAAGCAATCCCAGGAGGCGGTGTGAGTGTCATGCCTACAACGCTGAGTCCTGTTGCGTCAACCGCATGGACCAGGTTCTCGTTTGATATGCCCCCTGCTGAGACAGGAGCACCAATATCATCAGAGACGCCTACGACATCTTCCGGTCTAGATTACGATACTGTTATGATGTCGTTTGAGGCCACAAGTACATGGTCAACTCGCGTGGCTTCTTTTACTTCGCAAGCTACATTCTCGGCTCCAAATCCTGTATCCACGGGAAGAACGCAAGAGTTACCGATCTCAAATTCAACAACAGACAGGCCTCTTCTGCCGACATCTTCATCAGATATCGTAAAGGCAACAGTAGCAACAACCATGCAAGATTCTTTGCCTTCGGACCTCGTGCCCCCTTCTTCCAATGGCTCCTCAGGGGTGGTCTCCTTTCCATCGCTCACGAGCTCGGTTTGGATCACCGCAACGCGTACGCAGACAGCGTACATGAACACCACGGTCGTCGTCGAATTGCCTTCAAGCGCGCGGAACCAGTCGTCCGCAAGCAGTGTGAGCGACCTAGGAGCGCTGCCGAAGATTACAGATCCGCAGGTCTTGTCGTCCCTGTCGCTGGAGTTTTCGGTCTTGCCTATCACTGCAACCGCGAACACGACGACCCAAACCACGCAGACTGCGCTGTGTACGAAGGCTGTGACCGCGACAGTGACCGTGACGGTGTCGTTGAACGCCACAGTGCAGTCTGTCATGATGCATACGCGCACAGTGACTGCTTCAGCGTTGGTTGCGCCTGGGACAACGATGGCTGGGCCCCCGTCGACTTTGCCTATGGATACGACGTCCATTATGGCTGTTACAGACACTACAAGTCTCAATAGGAGTATGACGATGCCAATGTCTTCAACAGCTGCGTTGAATGTGACGACTCCGCCGCCGCCACCGCAGCTTATGCCGAGTATGAGTATGAGCTTGAAGACGAGCTCGAGCCCGAGCCCGAGTTCGAGCCCAAGTCGGACTCCGTCTCCTACTTCTGAACCATCGTCGTCGTCGTCGTCGTATGACTTTTGGTCAGTCGTCGCAAGCTACAGATCAAAGACTGTTGCAAGTGCGTCTAGCACCGAACTACCTACTGGGACGGTCATGCGGCTACAGTCACCCTCGTCCACAACGATAACGATAACGACCAGAACAACTTCGACGTCAACGACGACTGACAAGGATCGACGATGAGTCGTGCCCAAAACCGACGGACAAGGTCATCCCCATTCGAGGTCGTCGTGTTGTCAAAATCGACAACTGGTGTTGTTGTGTCCACGGTTATTACAACGGACTTTCTGTTATTGTGTCGAAGGGTAGTTAGTCAAGACAGGTAGATGCTCCGAGATCTCTGAGAGGTACCTCAGCAATCTATGTTGGCCGGGAGGCGTACCTGCGTTATTCTGGTTCTGTGGTGCTGACGAGGACCGGGGTCACCTGCCGATAGACCACGAGGTCAAGGGCTGATACCAACAGAGTAAGGTGGTGAGTATGTGGCTACGCGCATATACATTCCTACCTACCGACTTGACGGAGAAGGTATGTGGGCTCGTACGACGCTTCACCTGGATCTTAGTCACCTGAAGTACACACGTGGGACTGAGTGTCGCCAGTTGCAGACATGGCACTGATAGCTATTATCATTTACACCCATGTGACTGAGAGCCCTGATGAGGGACTTTGTCCGTGGACGGCCAGGATCAAGGGAAGATGGTATCGTATGCTGCGACTAAGCAGAACTCCTTCAAACGCAAACGCGAGGACGAAAGTCATCTGATCGTGTGTTTGTGGATAAGAAGGTCTCAACGGACCACGACACAGACAGCATGTTTGAGCGGTTGGCTAAGGGAATTATCACAGCTCTCTAAGTAGATTTAGGATTCTGAAGCCGCAGTCTAACAGCTCATCTAGCACTGCGAACGCTGGGCCAGCACAGTCGTAGCCATTGGCCCTACCTCTCAGTTATCCGGTGGGGACAACGAACCCTTCCTCCATGTCGAAAGCCTAGCTTACTCAATCTCGCTTGTCGTCATCCTTTTTCGGCTCAAAGTTTAACTGATTGCCATTGTAGAACTGCTGGTCGCGTCTCGCACTTTCAGCGCGCTGGTCGGCCAGAGTTCGTACCCGAAAGTTCCTTGCGGAACTCTGTGGTATCGATGTCGACGCTTGTCCCCCGGCAGTGGCAGAGGCAGAGGTGTCGGCGGCAGTTTCTTGGGTGTTGTATCCTAGGAGACTCTTGACACCGCCAAAGACGGCACCGGCCGTGCCGCTGACGAGGTTGTATCCTCCGCTCACAGCGCTGCTGAGCAGTCCACCCGTGGAAGAACCGGTGTATGATTCCACGTAACCCTTGACGGGCACCATGACGAGCGTGCAACTTCCTACTATTCCGAGATTGTGGAGTTCTTGCTCCTCCTCGGCCGCCTCGATGCTGCGATTGGGCAAAGGCGTCAGGATCAGCTTGAGATTGTACGGAGCGGTGATGTTTGATTCCGCATCGACCCAGGGCCGGACGTCCTTGGATAAACTGGAAGTCGGTTGGAATGTCGAGCGGAGTGTGCTGCCGTCGAATGTGCGGACCTGGACCCTGACTTCCGTAGATCTTGGCTTCGACGGTGACGAGGACCCGGACGACGAATTGGCGATATCCCCTTGCTTGCGGAGTTCCTCGAGACGTCGACGTTCTTCGCGGTCGGCTTTTATCTGAGCTTTGATGCGGTCGCGTTCCTCTCGTTGATGCTGTTCGCGCTCGCGTTGCATCTTGATGTATTCTGATCGTTGTGCTCGTTGTCGTTCATCGGAAGGTGGGTCATTGGAAGACGTCGAGGTATCATTTCGTGGGACGGGAGGGGATTTCGCGTTGTGTATTGTCGACGTCTGCGAGGATGGGCCATTGTGCAAGGTCTGTTGAGACTGGGATGGAGTAGGAGTGGTTGAGGACCGCGTCTGGCCAGGTATTCGAAGTCCAACTGCTGGAAAACGTAGCAGTCTAGATCGTGCGTGTTCGGACAGTTCACCCTGTGCACCTGTGCGTAGTCTTTTCACCTCATCTCGAAATATCGGTATGTTGTTTATCAAGTTCAGTTGAGTCTCAAAGATGTCGGAAGGAGATTTGCCATCTTCAAGCAGTTTCTGAGTATGGTTCCGTAGAGCATCATAGGCGTTGTTCGTTATGCGTGTACCTTCAGTGACAGGCTGTAGATCGAGATATCCTGTGTGGTCTGAGGAAGACCGTTGCTCTGGCTGCAGAGTCCTGCATATAATTTAGAAGTGCATACCCTGACGAAGTTGCTGTACCTACTCCTCATGCACGGCTGACTCTTGCTCAGGCTCCTTCACACCAAACGCTCTCTTCAGGCGACTTCGAAGCTCATCGGTCGAAACCTGGCCGGACTGAATATTCTCTTGTAGTTGGGCATTCCTTCACCTGTCAGTGCTAATCCGACTCTCATTGGCGAAGCTCTCACTTGATAACAATAATCGCGGGAATACTGTCGATTGGACATATTGGGGAGAGAAAGCCAGCTTCCTGGGAGCCCGCCTCGATGCGCAGAGCAACGGCTTGTGAGGTGATCGCAGTCTTGATCTGGACGAGGTCAGAAAATGCTCTTCTCCTTCCAACTTTTACAAATTGACCGATTCCCCGTTCAAAACAGACTCCCATTCCCGACTCGCCTCTGACTGATCTATTCTGCGTTAGGCGGGGAGTTCAATAGAGCGGTACTGCAGGTCGCACCTTGGACGAAGCATAGTACTGCTTTCGACTGTTGGAGTGCCAGGCCAATGCCGCTCTGCAGGTCACCCTCGTGAAACATATCCGTTGAACGTGAGTTGGCTAGACACAGGACTTTGAAGCTTGGTGTCGCGTGGAAGGCCGCAGGATGACATACATTAGGTTTGCATAACGATGCTGATATTTGGTGGAGAGATGGGGAGATCAGCGACTCCAAACTCGGGTCGGGGAATTTCGATGCAAAGCAGTAGGAGAACGAGTCCTCGCTTGTAGTTCACGATTCTACCTACACCTTCTGGATCGCGTCCACACAGCAGACATGGCCAAACATGATTTTAACATGCTACGTGGGATGCTGTCAAGGTGCCGAAGACCTGCTAATGGCCTCCCAAAGTCCCCTGCCCGCAATGTCATGACGAGAAAACCACCTCCGAGCCACGACAATCCAGATTTCGTCTCGATCGTGGATGCGCCAGCAAAGATTGTCTCAGTCAGCCAGAAGCACTCAAAAATAGGCCTTGCCGTGCTCGCGCTCATTCCGATCACGGCTTTTTGTCTGGGAACATGGCAGATTCAGCGACTCGACTGGAAAACGAAACTGATTGCGAAGTTCGAGGATCGGCTTGTCCGACCACCCCTTCCACTTCCACCGAGAATCGATCCGGACGCAATCCACGAGTTCGATTATAGACGAGTATATGCTACAGGGAGGTTCAGGCATGACAAGGAGATGTTGATTGGGCCCCGTATGCAGGACGGAAAGGATGGGTTCATGGTCATCACACCGTTTGAACGAGAAGGCGGGAGCACAATTCTCATTAATCGAGGCTGGATCAGCAAAGACAAGAAACATCAACAAGACCGAGATCCGGCGTCACTCCCTCAGGGTCAAGTGACGGTGCAAGGACTGCTTCGAGAACCTTGGAAGAAGAACATGTTTACACCACCGAATGCCCCAGAGAAAGGCAAGTTTTATTTCCCGGATGTCGCTCAGATGGCTCGGGTCTCAGGTGCTGAGCCAATATGGATCGAAGAGACTATGACTCCGAATCTGCTAGTGAGCTGGGATCGAGAAGCAAAGGGCATTCCTATTGGAAGAGCCGCAGAAGTCAATCTCAGAAACACTCATTTCCAGTATATATTCACATGGTAAGCCTGTCTTATTTGGGAGCTCGAGGGGATCATTTCTCATCAAGTCATTAGGTACTCATTATCTGCCGCCACCACGGTCATGATGTGGATGCTTCTCAAAAAGAAACCTGTGGATAGAGCCCGACGAGTACGGCACGTCACCAATTGGTGATAATCCAACAGGAAACCATCCATCAAGTCACAGTTCATTCTCCTCGAACTCGCCCAACGCTTCCTTTGGGAGCAGCTCGCGAGCAGCTTTATGGAGCTCACCGTCGGCCTGAAGTACCCTTTGTCGCTGCATCAGCATAAGAACGTCACTACGATCAACTCGCTTTTTTCGCCGAGCATGGTTGGAATAGGCAGCAAGGTCTTCGCCGATCTGTTCAAAGAACCATTCTGTGGCTTGCTCCAGGGCCTTCATGTGGTCTTTTCCAAGCTTGGGTTTACGATTACCAAGTCGTGCCTGGGCATCAATGGCAACCCTTTTCATCAGGCTGGCTGGGAGTCCAGGGACCATCTCCCCATGCCGTGTCATCTTGACCCTTTTTCGACGGTTTTGCGGCGCTAGCGACAATTCAGGCGCTTCTATGCTGGATTCTAGTTGTAACGACGCCTCTTCCAGACCAGGTGATGCCTCCGTCGCCGTGATATCGTTTGAAGCCCGCACAGGCGGTGTCCCTGCCAGTGCTATGGCCGGATTTCTGTTGGCACTGTTGGCAGCCACGTCTGTGTCGACCACCAGCTCGAACTGGAAGCTTTGGTCCAAATCTGGAATATTCATAGTGCTCTCTTCAATTGCAGGCGGGGTTGGAGACTTCTGCAATTGATTCAAGTGTTCTGTCTCTCCACCAACGTCAAATGATCCATCTTCAAAAGCTATCTCTGCGTACGGAGGCACTAATTTCCCGGCATTTGTCTGGTCCTGAAAGCCGGATTCTCTGCGGATTTCTAGTTCGGAGCCAAAGTCACTCATTCTAAGACTGCCGAAACTGTACCGTGAGAGCCGGCCGGTGGGCTCCTCGCTAATTGCCCTTCTTCCGATTTCAGTCAGAATCGTATGTTCATCGTCATCGTCGGCATCGTTTTGTTGATGGGCACCGAAAGCAGATATTCTGGATATCCTACGATCAGTATCTTCGTGAGACTGAGGAGCCGCTGCGAAGTCAATAGATTGGAAAGTGATCGATGGGTCATGGTGGTTTTGGTGATCGCTGTCGTCATCGTCGCCTGGTAGTATTGACGGCGTCGGTGGAACCGGCAGCTCGCTGTCCTCCTCTTCCTCTTGTGTAGGCTGTGGGATCTCATCCAGACTGTCATCCACATCCAAGAACAATCGCGACCTCTTCAACCCATCATCAGTCGTTTCGGCTTGATCAGATTCCCGGTTTTCCTTGCCTCGCGCAGTCGCAGGTGTGGGTACAGTTTTCCTCGTCAGCGGTGCTGTAATCTTAGCGAGGCGCCGCAAGATTCCTCTAGCAGAATCTGGCCGTAAGTCCTCGCTCAAAGCTCTTCTTTTCCGATGCGATCGTGTCATCGCGCCGCTTCGCTGTTGGAGGGCGTAGAGGGCATGCGGTGTTGAGGGAGCATGTCTGGCTGGTGTCTGGGAATTGAACAATTCGGCCAAGGGCCGTTTTCGCGAAGACATGCTGATAGAGCGTGGTCTCTATAGTCAAGTAGTAGTTGTGCTGAGGGAGTACGAGTGTCGTTGCGTTGGTGTTTATAGTGATCTCCTCACGCGTCTGGGCCTCGGGAGTGCAGCGCGCAGTCACGTGTCTCTGCTTGTCCGGCCGGTGCTCCATCTCCACCTAAAAGTTGTTGATGCCATCTGCCCCAAGGTGCTATTTCTTTGTACTCTCGCACATTCTGTTCACAGCTGTCAATTGCGTTCAAGCGATCATGCACAGGGCTCTTGGAGGGCACAAGCGCAAATCCTATCAGGCTGCTCAATTTTGTGCCAGGTGTATCAAGGCAAAGAGCCATACGGATTCCAAGCCGCAGGTCAATCGTCCAGAACAAAGGGATGGTGATCCAATATCGGGAGCTAGTAGCGTAGCTCCTCCAGAGCGAGACCCTTTCGACTATCTTAGAGGTCGTAGACTGAAAACACACGATGGGCCCTGGAATAGCTCCAACATGCATATGCTTTCCAGAGCCTTGTCTGCTCACCTGAGCATAGCGCCTGCACAACGGACAAGAGTTCTGCCTGGTTTCCACCAAGTATCGGGCAATGATGCTATCCCCGAGCATCTGCTCTGTGACGATGGAGCAGACGCTCGATACTCTCCCGGGCCAGACTGGAAATTCAGAGTTTGGGCTGGTGGTCAGATGGCATTCAACGTCCCCTGGACGAGGCTCGACATGGCCAGTACTGTGCTTCCCAACGAACTGGTGCTTGCCACTCGAGTTATTGGCGACCTCAACTCAGATCATGCCAAAGTCAAGGTCACCATAGGCAGAAGCTACTTTTCAGAGTTACATGGGGGCAATTTCCCAGCTATCACCGAAAAGAAGTATCTTTTCTTCATGCGAAGCATTCCACCCTCGTTGCAGTCTGTGGATATCCAGCGCAGGTTCCAACCACCAGCCAATCCATTTCATGTTGAAACCATGACACCCTCATCCACGCTACTCTTCCGTTTCAGTGCACTCACGATGAACGACCATAAGATTCATCTAGATACTGAATATACACGGCGAGTGTATGGAATACCAAAGCTACTGGTCCAGGGTCCGCTCACTGGTGTGCTGATGTTGGAAGTTTTGAGAAAAGCCCTCTACATCTACGGAAAGGAGCAGACCGGTTTTCAGGATCGTTCATTGGTTGTAACGTACTTCAACTACAAGAACATCATGCCGCTGTTTGTCGACGAGAAGATTACCATCGCCTGCCGCAAGATCGATGGTCGGGGACCCGCGCGCTTCGGGGACAACACTCCAACGGAGACATGGAGGGTCTGGATACAAAAAGGAGAAGGCGACAACGCTACTGTAGCAGTGAAGGGAGATGCTGTCGTTTCCTTGGATTAGAGAACGTCCCGCCTGTTAAATGAACGAGTCTGACATTGACTCTCGCCTATTCGAGGTGTACGACAAACCCGTGCATACCTTGGTCACTATCCACTTGACGACGTGGAACCAATGTGAGACAGTCTACACCGCGTAGTCTCCAAGAAAACCGAAATGCGGTTAACTCTTGGATGCCTCTCATCTGTGCTTGAGAACTCTTCCTGTCAGAACCATGATCTGGGACTCTCCGCCCAGCTATCTTTGATCCGGCAACAGAAACATTATGACTTGAGACCGACTTCTCGGATAGTCCTCACTCTGTGCAGTCTTCCATGGCACCTCCAAGTAAACGAGCAATCATAGGCTTCGTCGCTCTTGCAACAGCCTCCGAACCTCAGGAAGCGTCGCTCCTTGAACGTTGAGCAGCCCATTGGACTGCGTCGTTCCGTGACCATGACCAATTCATGTTCACCACCCAACCCAGCTTCTATTCTGTGGTTGCATCATGTCGATTGTGATTCCGGATGCCTTCAACCAATCTAGACGCCGTCTAGTCAGCCGCGCCTCTTCTTCTAGAGTGTCTACTTGCTTCAGCCGGTTCATCAGATCACCGGACTCGAGCGATTTCTTGACCGTGGCTCGCACACCTCTGCTTGCATATTCTCGAAGCACTGCAAGCTTTGTCTGAAAGGACTCCTTGTCGAGAGTTACCAGGCCCGTCAGCGTTAGATTCTTCTCTGCCAGCCAGGCTCGCAGTAGACTATGGAGCCTCAGAGCACCGAATTGCACTTTTTCGAAGTATAAGCTGTTAGGCTCGTTGAGGAGAGAACCAAAGGTCTCGTCATAAGTTCCGATGGGCTGGATCGAGGTAACCTTTCTCACTCGCTCTGGAAAGTATCTGCTCACTGGGAGGATAGTGTCGAAGTGACCATATTGCGCATTTGCTAGGTCGATCACGACGCCTTCGCACTTGCCCTTCAGAGCCGCAACAAACATATGGTGACTGAAGACTCTTTCATCGCCCAAGCCATTTCCTGCAGGTGGTCCACCCGTCAAGGAACAGAGAGTATTGCTAATCTCTGTGTACCTGCTTTGGCCATGCTTTCGATTATAGCACAATAACTTCCGCTTTCGTCCTTGCACACTGACGGTCACTTCCTCGACTTTCAAGGAGATTACTGCCCATGTTTAGCGAACGAAAGCATGGAGGAATTGGCCACTTACCGGTGAAGAGCTCTTGGACGAACTTCCTCATGTGAAACAGCGCATCACCACATGCCCCATAATCGAGGATTGCCTGCTTGACTTGTTCATCTTGGAACATGTGATGTGGGAGCCAAGCGAGGTAGCAAGAAGCGTGAATGAGAGGAGAGCGAACAGCAAGAGGATGGAGGGGAGTAGACGGCAAAAGCAACAGAGGCGGGCAGCGGCAGGAGAGGTGACCGGCGCAATGGTGAATGTCAAAACCAGGCGGGAGTGAAGTCTTGGGGTAGAGTGCAGATAGACATTGAGATCTCTCTCTTGTCAACGCGTGGCAGTAAACGGGTTTGTCTACTTCATCGCTGCCTTGCCGCTTCGACGCAGCTTCACTGATCACTGTTTCCGCTCGAGGCTATACTAGGTGTCTATTCCCCAAGTTGAGTTTCGGAGTGCGTAACCAACGATACCATTGACTATCTACTGCATGCGTGCCCTCTTTTCTTTCTCGACGCCGGCACCAGGGCGGATGCCCAAAAAAAAAATATAATCCACTGATCACCCGATACAATACACAGGCACTTTTCGGGTTTCCATCCTCGCCTCGTTTTCGTATGCAACCCGCCGATGAATGGCTCAACCACCGATAGATACGTAAAGTACACAAAGCGTCTAACTAGGTACTTTCCGTCCATCATGTAAAGTGACGATGCCCGAGGAAGAAGATCCCCCCTAGCAAGGGTAATTGAATCCCCGAGCAAACATGCAGGGCTCAGCAGAGCAGCGCCCCGAGTTGACAACACCCTTTTGGGTAGGTAGAGATAAAGGTAGGTAGGTAGGTAGGTAGGTAGGTAGGTAGGTAGGCAGTAGGTACTCGAGTTAGAACAGGCCAACAGGCCGGCGTCCCGGTGTCCGTCTCCCAGTTTCAGTTTTACTTCAGACATGCTTCCAGCCGTTCCAGATCAAAATGTGGGTTTCGTCAATGATGCAAAGCTCGCCGGACTCTTCCCTCGTCTCGAGGGAGTGCTCGCCCTCGTCCTTCCACTGCTGGACTCTACGCTCGACGTCCTTCATCGTGTGCGTCGTGGCGGGGAGAAGGTTTCGGAGGACCCGGTTGGCCCAGACCCCCTTTACGTACTGCGCGGCGGAGACGAACGTCCGCTCCGGCCCGTCGTGTGTCATGTTGTAGGCGGGGATGGTGTAGCCGACGCGCACGGCCGGGTTCACGTAGACGCCCTTCTCGCCGCCCAGCTTCCGCGTCGCCATGTCGGTGTGGATCAGGCAGCACTCGCTGGCCTCGAGGTGCTTGCTGGCCAGGCTGTCGCCGAGCGCGCGGAAGCGCAGGCCCTCGTAAAAGGGCGCGGCGTCCATGGCGATCATGCCGTTCCAGCACGACTGCACCTTGGCGGCGCGGCCGGCCAGGAGGGCGTCGCGCGAGTCCCGCGACCTGAAGTAGGGGAACTTTGTGTGGATGGTGCCGTAGCCGTCGGCGTCGCGCAGCGCGAACGTGTCGTAGTAGTCCGGCGGGTAGTGGAAGTCCAGGGCGCACGCGGCCGAGTACGACCCCTGGTTCGTGGCCAGGAGGGAGAGCACGTCCGGCGGCCGGAAGACGACGTCGTTGAGGAACAGGACCTTGTCGAACGTCTGCGGCTGGAGCGCCGACGACTGCAGCGCGAACATGGGCTCGAGGGACTTGTTGCGCAGCCGCGCGAGGTACGGGATGCGGCGCATCTCCTTGCCCACGCCGACTGTCGTCGTCTGGATCCAGCCCGGCCGCGGGTTGCCTTGCACGTCGAGGGGCCCGGCGTTGATCTCGTCGGCGTGCGTGGTGTGGTCGAGCACGATGGTGCGCGGGATGTTGCTCTCCCCGAGCACCGAGTCGAGAACTTTCAGAATCTCCTTGGTGTTGTCGAGGCTGCCCGACTCGTAGATCGATATGTACACATTCTCTTTGCCCAGTGCGCCGACCAGGTCGAGCAGCGCCTGGCCCCAGCGGTCGTGTATCACGGCGGCGTTCGTCCAGAACTGAGCGACGATGAAGACCTTTTGGTTCTGCACCGGCGAAGGGAGCGTCGCGAAATCGCCGTACGTGTGGGACAGGAGACTGCGGGAGAACTCGCGGTAGTGCTTGAGGATCGTGAGGAGGTCGTAAGTCAGCAGTGCCACGATGGTGTATAGTAACGCATACAGTATGCGGCGCTGCCGTGAGCGACGGCTGCGGTATGCCCTCAGGATCATGGCGAGGACTTGTAGGCAGCGTGTCTGCTTTTGCTTGCGCTCTCCATCGATGCCTGTGATGTTTGCAACCGCAGGGGCATCACGAAGAGAGGGCGAGGACAACGGGCAGATAAAAAGAAAAGCCCCCAACCAAGGGTGAAGGCTGAAGTTGACATGTCTTGGACCGTCAGTCTGTGGGTTTTCCAAGCGGCCCCGTCGCCGCGAAAATTGCATGACAGCTGTTATTAGTGTGTGTCTGGATACATGTACGTATATCAATTTATATCATTGATCACTAGCAGTGTTCGATCACGTCTACTACTGGTCTCTCCAGAGCGATCATGGTCTGAGTTCCTTGAGATGATCTGCTTGTCTCTAAGATTGTGAGTGGTTCAGGCCAACGACTTCCAGCTGTGACGCAGCACGCGAGCAGATACCGGATGAGGGATACAACACGCACGAGAAGCCACCAATTGATCTATCGCAGGGACCGTGCTATGGACGGCTACACACATTGCGTGGGTGCCCTGGACCAGGAAGCAGCAGCTGAGCGCGCGGTATATGGCATGGTAGCAAACCATTTGGTGCTAGCATGTGAGCCAATGGTCGCCTGATCGGCCAGTCAGTTAGAGTCGTCGTGAGCAACACAAGATCTGGCTTTGAGCAAAGATGGCTCTCATGGCATTGACTGTGGTTCCATCGAGTGCTTGTAAGGCACCACAGACCCAGGCGTCGGCCGACTACAGTAAACCCCCGGAAATTCCAAAGCTGACGACGAGGGTGGGTAGGATGTCAGCGCCAAAGAGAGGAAGATGTGAAAATACGGGACTGGAAGATTTGGCCACTGGTAGAATCATGAAAGAGAATCAGGTCATACGCAATTCAGGGCAGGAGACACAAACGAGAGAGGTACGAGGATGACGACGACGACGACGACTTCCTCAGCAATCAACACCTCACACCTCAACGCCTCTCGGCTGCTCACAATTCTATCTCGACCCAGACCAGCGGCACTGACAGACAGAAGGAAGCACCAAGTCCTGCAGGCAGCCTACATGCTCAACACTCCCATCGTCATCCAACTCACATCCAGTGGCTTCTTCATTATCTCGCAGTGCTACAGCCAGCCCCCAATTGACCACGCTTTTCCCTTGCACTTCATCGGATCAAGACCAGCTGGTTCCCTCCCCAGATCTTGCTCAACTGCACTGGCGTAATCCTCGAAAATGAGATTCAACATCCTCGTCCTCGTGCTATCGGCTTTTGCCATGCTCACCGAGGCATATGTCGCTTCCACCGGGACAAAGAACCTCAACTTGAACAACGATCAGATTGCACAGAACGCCTCTGCTGCCACAGCACAACTCCAGCTCAACATCGATCCCGACATAACCAACCCCAATTGCGGTGGAATATACCCTGCCAACATCAATGTGAAATACGGACCTGATCCATTCTACCTGTCGGATGAGTGCCGGGCAGTGCTGAGTTGGCTTGGTGGAAACGACGGCAAGCAGGACGTCGATATCGTGTGGACATGCACTGGTCAAATGACAGCTGGTCCGGGAGACCGCAACACCTATATCATCCTGAATACTGCGCCCAACGTTGTCTTCTCTGGGAGCGGTGGTAATCAGCAGATCGGCGCATACATGGAGATACATAGACTTTCCGATGGCTTCTTCACCACGGCAGCTGTATATCTCCAAGCCAAAACCGACCCTGCTGATAACAAAGCGACTTTCCAGTTTATCTTCTGCTGAAGATAGAGAGTCCGAGAGTCGAGGGACTTGGCATTTGATGAGAAAGATGACTGGTAAGAGCCGGATGGTTGAACAACTGTTACAGAAGGACTGCAGAGAGTATGAGGAGGAGTCGAGAGTTGCCCGGGGCGGAAGGATCCATGAAGAATGAAAGTGTATGTTTTTGAACAACTTGTTCCTTCTTAGCCTCATTGGTCTTGTAGTTTTTCGGCTTCATCATGGTTGCCGTCCAAAGCCCCTTCATACAAGCTTATCAAGTAGCTGCCGTCTTCTTCGATCTACCAATTCCTCTTGGACTTCCTCAAGCGTCGGTAGCCGCCAGGGCACTCCATCACCCGTATCACCAGGTAAAGGCTCCCATTCGTCGTCTGCTTCGTCGTCCCCATCGGCCAGCTTCGATATCCTCTCGACGGCCTCTTTCTCCTTTCTGCGTTCGTACTTTAGGAGACTCCCATCTTCCTCGTCCAGGCCGAAGCCAAAATACCTCGCGTCGAGATTCTTCCGGCTGATGTCCTGTCCCTGTCGGAGTTTGCTTGCGTCTTCGTCTCCCTCGTCCCCGTGCACTCGCCTCTTCGCGGCCCGCTCAAACATTTCCTTGACGCCCGGCAACTCCCTCGCCCGGCCAAAGTACCTGTACCCTTTGCCGCCGCCGGGGACCTCTCGCCCCTGGTCGTCGAACACGGTGCCCCCGCCTCGCATGTAGTTCGGCCCGCCGAGCTCTCTTATTCTCCGCTCCCAGCCCCATTTCTCCTTCATGAGTTTGTTGATCTCGTCGTTCAGGTCGCGCACCTGGAAATCCGACAGGCTCTCGTCCTGGATCTTTGTGACCTTGCGCGAGATTTCCTTGAGGATCTGGCCTCGCCATTTCTCGCACACGGGGATGGTGCTGATGGTGCTCGGCGCCTTGGGCCGCCGCTGGCCCGCGGTCGGCAGGAGTCCGGATTCTGCGGCCTGCGCGGCGCGGAACCGGAAGAGCATCGACTGCGCCTTTTCCGAATTGCGCGCCATGGTGGTGAGCCGGGGGGGGGGGGGGGGGGGGGGGGGTTTGTTGTTAGAAAAGATCGAGCTCCTCGGGCAGGGTTTGTTTTTATGATGTTTGATGAGAGGTATAGAGAATGTTATTTTAACTTTGTCGCGCGCGGATGCAGTGGTCTTGCGAGGTGGTTGAGGGTTCGCGCGGAGGGTAGTGTTGGAGCGCGGTAGAGAACAAGCCCAAGGACATCCAAGGGTGAGCCGAGCGATCGTGGAACGACGTAAACAGGCCAAAAGCCCTACCCTAGACGAAGAAGCTGGAGGCAGGCGTAGAGACAAGTAGAGTAAGAAAGGAAGTGATAGATTTGAGGTTGGCGTCGCTCCGGGAGGGAAAAAATAATGCGGAGATCGTTCGAGATTCGCATGCAACAGATTTTGGGAGTTGGAGACGAGAGCACGGATTGTTGTAAAAGAACACACACCCTCCTAATGACGGTTCAATGAGTATCTTTTGCCTTTTGCTGTAGATACATCCTAGAGAGGGTCATCGACTTCGAATATCCTCTACATTTCATGGTATACAACGAGGTGTAGAGTAGAGCGGAGTGGCCTGCGTGTGTCGCTCCCTGAGAGGAGGAGGAGAAAAGGAAGCAGAAAAGTGTTACGATACAAGCGTCTCATTTGGGCAGAGATAAAACGCAGGCTTCCTAAACCGCGATCACCATGTCACAATGGGTCCAGCGACATGCATCTACGACGGTGCAGCTGAGCGTCGCTGCGGCTCTGGGGGCGATTGCGGCCACGTCCATAATCTTCACGGCGACGTCGATACGGCGCCGGCGGATCACCGAGGAGCTCAAAGCCTCGATCCCCGAGCTATCCCGCGAGCACCACGCGACGCAGTTGACGGAATACGGCGGTGCCCTGCGGCCGAGCATCACGGACAAGGAGGACGAACGGTCGGCGAAGATCGCGGCGCGCGCTCGCAAGGGCGAGTACGACGAGGAACTCATACTCGAACAACTGGCGCGGAACAGGGTGTTTCTGAAAGACGAAGGGCTGGCGAAGCTGCGTGATGCCTTTGTCGTCGTCGTCGGGCTGGGCGGGGTGGGCAGCCACTGCGTCGCGGCGCTGGCGAGGAGCGGCGTGTCGCGCATCCGCATCATCGACTTTGACCAGGTCACGCTGAGCAGTTTGAACAGACACGCGCTGGCGACGCTGGCGGACGTCGGCACGCCCAAGGTCCACTGCGTTCGAAAGAGGCTGGAACAGATTTGCCCGTGGACCCGGATCGACTGCCGGAACGAACTGCTCGGTTCGAACACCACGGAGGCCTTGCTCGCGAAATGGGACTACGAAGTCAGGGACGGCGAGGACTGCAAGGAGCCCGACTGGGTGGTGGATGCGATCGACAACATCGACTCCAAGGTCGGGTTGCTGCACTACTGCGCCATGAAGGGAATCAAAGTCATCAGCTCGATGGGCGCGGGTTGCAAGAGCGACCCCACGAGGATACAAGTCGGGGACATCTCGACGAGCACCGACGATCCCCTGTCCAAGTCCACGAGGCGCAGACTGAGGATGAAAGGCGTCAAGGACGGTATTCCGGTGGTGTTCTCTACGGAGAAGCCCGGGGAAGGAAAGGCTGAATTACTCCCGATCGCGGATGAAGAGTACAACAAGGGGAACGTGGACAAACTGGGTGTCCTGCCTGATTTCCGGGTCAGGATCCTGCCAGTACTCGGGACGATGCCGGCCGTGTTTGGATACACGGTTGCAAACCATGTGATTTGTAGTATCGCGGGATACCCGATGGACTATCGGGTAGGAGACAAGGGTCGCGAGAAGATGTACGAGGGTATCTTGGCTGGCCTGCAGGCTGTCGAGGAGCGCCTCGTCAGGACCACCGACGGCCAGGTCACAGTGGGTCTACGGATCCCCGTCAGTCGCGACGACGTCGCGTATCTCGTCGAAGAAGTCTTCCGAGGCAAGAGTGTCGTGTCGGGTTTGATAAGTCGACTTGCCCTGATCAGATGGAGGAAACCCGAAGGTGGTTTCCGCATCGACGAGTCGTATCTGAAGGAAGGCCAGAAGATGATCAAGCTGCCCATCGCGGATCTCGTCTTGATGACGAGAGAAGAGGCACAGAGACACGAGAAGGAGATTCTTCGTGGAAGCACCGCACCCGAGGACTATTACGAGCCGGAGGTCGTCAATACGGTCGAACGCAGACGTCGCGAACAAATCTCATATGAGAGATATCGATAAGATTCGTTGCATCCCGGATTCCTTTTCGCTACAGAACAACCCAGACACTCTGTTTACAAGGGGGCTCCTTGCCACGGCGCAAACCCCCCATGGCTACGTGGCAGGGCCTGGGATAATGCAACCCTGAGCAGAGTAAAGTTGTGGCTTCTACCGCTCACACCTCTCTCTAGTTATGAAGAAACGGTCTGTTCTGATCGCACCATTCACCTCCTTGACGAGCTACTGGGGCGACATTTGAAAAGCGTGGCCATTTGATTTCTGGATACCCTTGTTTGGGCCGAGAGAAAATGAGCTACGAGGAATACAGACCTTGGTCCCGTAAGCTTATGTAGCAAACTAAATGCTGATCTCGTATCGAAGTGTCATCCTTTTTCGGCAAATTTGTTCAAGTTCCTGAAAGGTCGACTTAGGCCGACTTTCGCCGTGCCAGCGGAGGTCGTCTCGTGGCTGCTGAGCTGCCCCGTTTCGCAGCTAGATCGATGAAAGTACGGAGACTCGTAGCCGTTGCGGAGAGTTTCATTGGGATACTTGTACTCCCGAGTCGCCACAAGAACGACGTACTAACTCGATATGTATATTGAGAAAGCTTAACTTCCTAGCATCGCTCAGGTCTCCAGTCTGGATGCCTACTACTCGTAGGCTCATTCACAACACGCAGGATCCATTGAACGGACGAGCAACTTCGATTCGGACGAGCGTCGACCGGAAATGGATTGTAGTATCAGCAGGCAGTGCGTGACTGAGAATATGGAGGTATATATAAGTCGCATACCAAAGGACCTGTTCTCTGAACATCCAAAGTAAATAAATCACGTCGACACGCAAGAAGCCTTCTCGACTCTCAGATAATTGTAGCCCGGACCTATATCCTCAGGCCAGCATGTCGTCGTTCGCCGTCACTGGAGCCTCTCGGGGCATCGGAGTAAGTCAGGCTCCCTTGCTGTGAGCGTCGCCTGACGCGAGCAGTGATTGATGTTCGTATGCTGTATAGTTCGAATTCATAAAACAATTCTCCGCCGATCCCGCAAACACTGTCGTCGGCCTCGTTCGCGACGTCAAGGCCACCGAAGCCAAGGTCAAGGCAGAGCTCAGCGGCAGAAGCAATGTCCACATACTACACGGAGACTTGGACAGCTATGAGTCGTTGAAGGTAGCGCTCAGACACCGACATCGTCGACGCGGGCTGCTGAATACTAACCGAGTGTGCCGTCACAGAAAGCAAGCGAAGACACTGCCAAAATCACGGGTGGAGGCCTCGACTATCTCATCCACAACGGCGCTCGCCTTAGCGACGACAGTGCTTTCTTCAACTTCACTCAGCTGTAAGTGATTTTGTGCCCATGGATGATTCCCCGTCTTGATAACTTCGTGAAAACCCGTGTCCGAGAACAATAGTTACCAAAGTGAGAGCATGCTAACGACGAGTTGAACGTAGCGGCGAAAACCCCGAGGCTCTAGAACATGAAATCCTTGCAGGTTGCAAAAGCAACGTCGTCGGATCCGTCCACCTGTTCAACCTGTTCGTCCCGCTCATTCTCGAGGGAAAGAAGAAGAAGGTCATTGCCATCAGCTCGGGCCACGCCGACCTCGACCTGATCACCAAATACGATGTTGACACAGCTCCTACTTACGCCGTAGACAAAGCCGCCCTCAACACCATCGTCGCCAAATACAGCGCTCAGTTCAGGAAGGATGGCGTGCTCTTCCTCAGCATTAGCCCGGGAGTCGTCGATACTGGGCGTCTTGACCCTTCGAAGCGTAAGTGACGAGAAATATTTGCTTTCTTTGCCTCCACCTTGCCTGTGCAGTGTATGAGTGATGGGAGACGAATTCTAACAAGATAAGAAATAGTGAGTGAGAAACAGTTGCCAGGGTTCGCTGCCACGATAGCAAAGTTCCAGGCATATGCGCCACATTTCAAAGAGAAGCAAACTACAGAGCAGGCTGTCAAAGCGGTCATCTCGGTATTTGAGAAAGCGAGTGTCGAGAATGGAGATGGAGGAGCTTTTGTCTCTCACCTGGGATCCAAGCAGTGGATTTGAGGTGCCGTTGATGAAAGACGCATGCTTGACGCACTATACGATGGTTGGGAAGTGGATTTGTCCGCTCATTCTGCGAGAAGACTCGCGACGAGAAGAGGCAGCGGTATAGTACATAAAAGGCCGCACATTCCGTACAGCTACGAATCACTACACTCCTTCCAATCCATGACTTCCGATAGTATGTGGCGGCACAGGCTAGAGAAGATGGACGGTATCCAGAAGAATGTCTCCAAAGTTCGCTCAGCGTCGGTCCAGGATGCGAGTGCTAAGGCGTCCGCGATCCGCTTAAGCCTCGATCTATAGAAAGATTTGACGTCGGAATCAGAAGCAGCGATTGCACCCATCGTCGTATACCAGAAATTGGACTCAACCGTAGCGCATAACACCAGCGAAGAAGGTAGCTGCTGCTTGGGTTTCTGCAATACTTCCATGAGCTGAACAGCCAAGCTCTTGAGATCCGTCATTCTCCCCATGGTGTGTTGCAAGGTCATTTGAAGAAATATCTTGAGCGACAGAGCTATTGCCGTGAGAAAAGCCTCGCGTGAATCCGAGTCGCTGTTGATTTCAATCGCTGCATCCAGAGACTTGATTATTCGACGAAGGAGGATCTGCTCTTTACGAGCGAAAGGTGCCTTGTTGCCATCATGGATAATCCACCTGGTCACTTCCTCTGCGTCCGCCAGGATTTTGTATGCTGCTCTTCTGCCAGTTACGGAAAACATCATGTCGAATACACCAGTTTTTTCGATCATTAAGATTAGCGTCAAATCGTACCGGGAGAGGAGAAGAAGTCCCTGTACCACGGTACTTCAAGAAGACAGTCTTGTTAGCTTTCCGTTGAATCTCACCAGACTGCAGAGGTGTACGAACCGCGGGACTATCAGTGATGCTAAATCGGAGGGTGGTGAATTCAGCTTCCTAGAACGAAGGGTAATGATCTCGACGAGACCAGTAATGTGGATTTTCCACGCTTCAATGCTGCCTAGAGTTTGCTGTCCAGGTGTAACTACCATTAGTAACGATTCCAGGGGGCGGGAGGAAATGAGTGGGAAAATTTGACTCATGCAAAACGAGACGAACATCAAGGATTGTGAGTATAAGTATTGCCGCAACGAGGCTATCACTGAGAGCCTTGAGTCCCTGGTTGAGACATTCCCGTACGGCTCGGATTGCCCTGCCCTTGTAGGCATCCACAAGGAGTCGCTGTGTATGTTCTTGTCGCCGCGCTGCATAGAGCAGCCTCGCAAAGTATAGAGAGACATCAAACATGGTAGGCTCGGGAAGAAAGCAGGCCCAGTCCGACTTCATCATGATCAGGACAGCGTCCGAGGCTGGGACGGTCGCATCGAGGTGAAGCTTCTCCATTTCGTGTGTCACTGTGCAAAGATCATGAGTTGGCCACGAGCAATACTGAAAATGCAAGAGGAACAGATCACATGGCTCACGCACAGTAGTTGATGAAGAACGAATCGTTGCCACTTGGTTTTCGATCCAGGCCCGGATGAACAAGGAAGTGGGGGTGAAGCTCGACTACCGATGCTGATTCAAAACCAACCTTTTGGGAGCCATCAACCTCGATCTGCAGAGACTTAACGACGGTGTCATGGTCTTTTTGTTTTTGAACAGCGTATTCTCGTACTAGGCGCTGTCGTCGTCTTGCAAAGTTGGCTCTAGTCGTGTGCGCCCGCACTGCCTTTGCGCTGTCATGGTCAAGTGTAGGACCCGTCGTCGACACGAAGGTTAAAGAAGGAGTTGAGTCCGTTTTGTTGACAGACATAATGCATGTTGCACTGCTAGGAGACGCGTTGGCGTTAGAAGTCGAGCATGAAAAGCTGCGTCAAGCTTCTGGGTCTTCCTCGACGAGTCTGACGGACGAAAAAAATCATTAGGTTTTAGATTACGAATTATTAGGATACCGCTTCTTAGCTAGTTAGAGCGGGCTAAACCTAAAATATTATTATGCCTTACCAAAATCTGTAAAGTTAACTCTACTCGAAAACGGCTCGAGTACTCGTGAATAAGGTATGAATTTTTTTTTTTAAAAAAAAAGGCTCCAATGGGTACGCGGGTAGAGTTAAGACCCCTTAACGGGTTACTCAACTCTACTCGTTACGCAGCCTAATCGATATAGCGACTAAAGATATAGTTCAATATACTTAACACTACACAAGCGACATTACTAGAAGTCTACTAGAAAAGGTCGAAATTTATCGAAAACGGGTTGACACGACATTACTAGGCAAGCACACGAGACAACTTTACGATTATCTTTCGTGGAGAGAAGTGAACGTGCTTGTCTAACTTAGAATAGACTCCATGACTAGACTGAATAGTCATCTTCACCGCATTAATGTCGCTTTGATCAATCTATATGTATACAGGTAAGTAAGAGAGACTATCGACCACTTACTCTCTCGATACATTAAGTAGATAGCCTTCTAAACGGAAATGCTTTAATATGTAGAAACTTATAGAAACAATTTATCTTGGAAAGTTACTCAGCTAATACATGATACATATTGAACTCTAGATCTGACGGTAGCTCAGACAACGATTCGATTTGCGATAATAATAGGACGACTGAATAACACCACCTGACGAAATCACCCTCTCTGAGGCTCTCTCTTTTCATGAATATTTTCGACTCCCTTTATCTCAACCCGTGGTAATCCAAGTAGAGATGCTTCAGCTGCCGAGAATATAATGCCAAACACCGAAAGAGCCGCCTTCAAGCTAGACTGCCATGGTAGGTTTACTAACACGAGACTCTAAAAGATGTAGTAAGCGAGTGGAGCTGTATGTCGAAGAGGAAATTTAATTTTATATGGGCTTTAAGGGAACTAGAATATATCTTGAGAATTGTATTAGTAGCTTAGCTTTAGCTTGCCCTTTCGGGGCGTAATAGTGTGTGTGTGTACTGCAGTACAATCCAGTACGGTATGCAATCTGAGCCTGGACAAATAGTTTGAGAGTGGAAGTTTTTGAAGACGACGTTAGAAGGGGACCATTCTTGCTCTTTGACGGGGGACGCGCAAGGATGACCGTCCCCTTCAATTATATTCATTATCGTATTGAATACAGCCTCGAAGCGTCCAAACCCCCAAAAGCCTTTGGGCTCTTCTACAACCCGAACCCGACCGCCTTTCTACCCGCCTCACCGTTCAAGATGGCAGATTCTCCTGGAAATCCTTTCAAACCCTTCTCATAACAGCCTCCGCGGAAGTCTTCTGGAGAAACACCATTCAAGAAGTCTTTCAGTTGACCTTTCATGTAGTTGATGTTCATTTCGCAGGTCGGAGTGGCGGCGCTGTAGACCACGCATGCATCTTGTGTTCCATTGTGTTCGACTTCTACAGCATGGCACATCTGTTTTAATCTTAGTCAGTACTGAAGCGGTGTCCTCAGGAAGATAACCTACATCCATATGCCACCAAACGGTGTCTCCGGGCTCCATCCTGGGGATGTAAGGTAAACACTCTTTCAGACGTAGATGAGGAAATGCGTCAGGACTCAGGACCTGTGGGGTGTGGCGCCATACCCCTGGAAACCAAGCGTCGTCAAGGTTGAGAGTCCACTTTTCGGCGTCCATAATATCAGCTGGATTTTCTGGTGGCTGAAAGAAAGGGCGTAACAAAACGTATGCAATCCCGTACTTCAAATCAGGGAACAGCTGAAGACTGCCTTCGTGGGGACTTGCTGGTGATAGCGCAGTCCATCCTTGGAAAGCCCGTACAACATGAGACTGTGCTGCGCCAGGATAGTACGATGGATTGGCTCGCTTCCTATGGGTAAGATCATATGGGTCAAACTCCTCGGGCTTGCCGGCCCAGATCTTGTCATACACCATGCAATATTCGGGATCGGCCCAGCGACACAGGCTGCCTGCGTCGATATGAGGGCCTAGACCGTGAAAGGGTTTGCCTGGAGGGCGAATGCGCATGGCGTCAGCATAGGCCAGCGGGGCAGCAAAAGTCTTTTGAGGATCCTCATCATCGTGAAATAGGTTAAGGATGGCACGTTGCACCGCCATGGTACGAGGGTGAGTGCGACATTCCAGTTGAGGTCGAGACCAGTAGAGCTGTAGGATATAAGGCTGTTCTTTGGGCCATCCTGCGGCTTTTTATCAGCTCTCTGAACTGAGAGAAAGGTAAGTGTTCCTGCTTACCCGTTATGACGCCCTCATTTTCCCTCAAGTATGTCTTGATATCATCAAACCAAGCATTAGCTGTGTCTTTGGGCACTGTGTCTCGGACGACGAAGCAGCCTTTTCTCTTGATCTGCTCCTTGTCGGTATCGGTAAGGGCCAGAAATTCCTCCCATGAGAACTCTTTGATCAGGTTACTGCCTTCATCCCTCATCTGTCGGCTTGACTCTTCCAGCTCTTTGCACACAGTGATCCAGCTACGACGTAGACCATCCTCTCCGTACCGAGCTGCAATGCTTCTTTTGATCGTGATGTTCTCAAGATCCAATTCCGCGTCCTCTCGGCGATATTCGGGCCATTCCCATTCCGAAGGAAGGCCATAAGATCCCATTTTGGCTTATGTGTGAAGAACTTTCTGATAAGTCCACAACTAGAATGCTGGTGGCAGAAGGGGTAAGGCTATTTCAAATGGTTGAGGTTCAGGTCAGACCATCAAAGTTTTATACCCGAAATTAGTGATTCAATGTCAATTAAAGCCAGGCATCATACTCTAGGGATTTTGTGCCTGGACGGTCGCAAATGGTCCTGGAAACAGGAGAAAAAGGTTAACCGCCGCTTTCTTCAGGGTCGTAAATGATATTTGACCTGCACGATATTTTGCCTGTTTAGGCGGTAGAGATGACCCGCCGGACTAGAGCGAAAATGGTTAACCGCCATTTCCCTCCTCCAGAGATAACAACAGGTACTTATCTCAGCCGAGGGTGGACGGTGGACCCCCCCTCCCCCAAACCTCTCTTCTAATCTTCCTTGATAAATCGTCCAGTTTTTCTCGCGATACTGCAGTTTTGTCGTGACTGGATGATCTGTGTTCACCATGTAAGCCGAACCAAGCAGTTTACAGAAAGTCTGAACCCGCCATGTTCGCTACTTTCAAGGTTTCCAAGACGGACATTGGTGCCACAAAGGCCATTGTACGGCATCGCCGTTCGACCGCCGGTTGCATCACCTGTAATGGAGTATCCCGCTTAGCCAATACCCCCGATACCTCCGCTAATCTACAGTGTCTTAGGTCGGCACCGGAGAAAGAAATGCAGTGAGACAAAACCTGTTTGCCGAAGGTGCAGACGAAATCCATCCGTCCAGTGCTTATGGGATGATGATGAGGAGCAAGATCCATCGTCATACGAATCTGAAGCTGCAACTGCTATTTCGCCATCTCCATACCGCGCCCACGTCCCTGGCACTCCTCTTACGTTCATTGGATTGAAGCTCCCAGCCTATACCGAGCAGACCCGCCGAGGACCGATACCAAACCCTACCATTAAGGCGACTCACCTCGACTTTTTGGTCCATACATTCGACGTTATACAAGGCTTGTCCTGGGCTGACCCCGAGTACTCGCTCGTTTCCCTGGGGTTTCAGGACGCAATTCACAATCCATGCTTGATGTATGCTTTTGCCGCCTGTGGTGCTGCAGTATTGGCGAAAGGCGACTCTAGATGGGAAGCAGTCTGTCTTGCTCACCACACTCGATCGATTGAACTAGTCTCTACCGCCCTCCGCAGTAACTTAGTCTTAACAGCGTGTGATAGTACCTGGCTTCTTGCTGCCATCAATGCTCTCCATATCTTTGAGGTAAGTATCTAGCATAACGGCGCGTCGTGGCATTATCTAATAACTAACGCTAAACTTCTAGACCCTACGCACGTATGACTCACAGCCCAATACGTTCCACCTGACAGCTGCCGTGGAACTGTGCACCAAACAAATTGAAGATGGTCGAGCTTTGACGATATTCCAGCACAAGGTTCTGGGAGAGGTCATCTTTCAGCTAGTGATCGCAAGTACGTTCCATCCAGCCTATCTATCACTGGAACAAACATCTTTGAATATGAATCATCTGCTCGATGCTCTTGCCACAAGTTGCAGGAGGCTTCATGATGGTACGATTGATTGGAGAGTCTCATCTCATACAGCCATGTTGCACGATGTCATCAATTGGATATTCAGGCTCTCATATCTACGCCTGCGAGTGCCGCTGTCTGGATCTCACCTGTCCGAAGCAAGAACAATCGTGGCCAGTCTAGAACGATGGCAACCGTCATCACCGATTCTTGGCTCAGGAGAAGATGGTGTTAGAATTCCGGCGGAAGTGATCTCGACGGCTGGAATATATCGTTGTGCGTGCCTCATCTACGCACATAAACTAGTCGACTGCACCCTGAGCTCGTCGGATGCGATCATTGCTGTATACGTACGTTCTGGTGTAGACCTCTTGGCCAACATTCACGCTTCCAACCCCAGGGATACGAGCGTGACGATATGGGCGGTATTTATTATTGCATTGGCTACAGGGACCACTGAGGACCGGATAATCTGCAGACGAGCTTTGCAGTACTTGCTTTCCACCTTTGGCATTGGCTGCATCCGTGGCATCTTGGATCTGCTGTCGTATGCACTGGAAGACGACTCAACTTCCCATTACGGCACCGCAGGTCTCGATGTGCTTTTTAGAGACGATCTCCTTGGCCAGATCATCTTCTGATATCTACCCGTATGCTTCATGAAAATGTATCCGGCCCCAAACTTCGGTAGGATAGAGGTACGTCTTTAGATGTTTAAGGCATCAACAGTGGAAGACTGGAGTGTTATTCCCGTACGGTAATGTTCTTGGGCACGCACGGACGCACGTCCCGGCAAGTCCTCCATGGTGTGGATGCACACTGCGACGAAGAGTCTGTCTCGTATCGAGGCCTACCGAGATCAAATTAGGTTAACCGCCAGTATTAGATTTCTCGGCGGGGCAGGGACGGCACGGTGTATTGTTCCCCCATATTGTTACTTAAACCTGTTGCGAAGTAGCCACCGCATTACGGGATTGGCAGAGTCAGAGGAAAGCTTTGGGCTCCCAATCTTTCTGGACCGAGGCGTATCTCTAAATGGCTAACCGCCATCTTCTTATCATCAATCTCGTAAGCTCTCGCCAACACCTACGTTATCTGATACAAAAAAGTAGACATTCCTCAGGCAATCAGGTTCCAGAAAGGACATCAGTCGTTAAAGTCATACCAACCACTTAGACGACGGCGATGTGATAGGGCAGAAAGCGAACTATATAAGGCCAAAGGACCTTTTCTGTTGTGAAATCATGTCCACCACAAAATCGATCTCTACCACAAAGTCTTGGTGCGATTATTTGACAAGTCATCCCTCCATTTGAGAGCTACTTAACGAGAAATAACCGCTCCGAGTCAAGTTTCCTCATTCTCCTGGCCATGGTTAACTCGAACACGGGAAGAAGCTTCCGTCAGAGCTCCAAATGGAACTTAATTTTTCTCCTGTGGTGTTCTAGCATTTTGTCAACGGTAGGGCGGTTTTTCCCAAGAAACAAACACCCGCTGACCGAAGATGCGTTTTTAGACGCTTGGGTATGATGCTTCCATGATGTGAGTACAGAAAAAGGCTTCTATGGAGATTTCGATTCTGATGTGAAGCAGGTCTGGACTGAACATTCTCCCATCGTACACTGATTACTTCCATCTGAATACTGCAACTTTCGCTCTTCAATCCGCCATTGGTTGGGCTGGGACAGCAACTGCTGGGCTCTTCTATGGTCAAGTCACCGATTGGATTGGACGAAAGAAAGCCATGTGGCTCAGTGCCGTGATCACACTCGTCGGAGTCATTTTACAAGTATCAGCACAGAATATTGCCATGTTTGTGATTGCTCGTTTCGTCGTGGGCCTAGGCAACGGTACCGCATTTCTCTGTGGACCAGTTTATCTTTCGGAGACGCTTACTCTGAAGTGGCGAGGTGTGGGATTAGGAATATTTATGTCGTTCTTTTATGTCGGTACGTCAGGCCGACATGCGGTATCCTCTGGCCCCATAATCTCGCGGCTGACTATTCCCTCAGGGGGACTCCTGGCAGCAGGTATCACGTATGGAACCGCCAAATTGGATTCCACCTGGGCGTGGCGTCTTCCTTCGGCCTTGCAAGGGGTTTTGACCCTTATCTCGGTGACAGTTCTGCCGTTTGTTCCGGAAAGCCCTCGCTGGTTGGTTTACCGTGGGCGTCAAGCGGAGGCCATGTCGGTCCTTGCAGCAACATATGCTGACGGCAATCGGGAGGACCCTGTCGTGATGGTCACTTACAAGGAAATCTGCGACGTACTTGAGCGCGAGGTCACCGAAGGGCAAAGACTAAATCCATATATGCTTCTCAAAAATCACCAGAATCTTCGAAGGCTGGCGCTGTGCCTTTCGGTTGCTGCCATTACCATGCTCTCGGGTGCGTTCCACATTTGAGGCCATACGTGCCGAACATCGCACTGACAAACTCAAATAGGTAACAACATCATCTCTTACTATCTAGGAAAGATGTTGGATAATGCGGGGATTACAAACACCAACACGCAGCTGGAGATCGTAGGTTTCCCGTTTCTTGTTCACGGGCTAACGTCGTTGATTGGCTCACGATTTATGTCAGAATATTATTCTCAACGCATGGTGCCTTGTCTGTGCTCTTGTGGGCACATTCACTCTGGACGTAGTAGGACGAAAGCCTCTAGCCATTGTCTCAAGTGTCGCGATGACAGTTTTCATCTTCTTGGTTGGAGCCTTGACAAAGCGCAAGTCTATACCCTCAAGCAGCTTGGTAATGCCGAGTTCACTGACTTGTTTACCGCACTGCAGTCTACGGCAACAGCAGCAACTCGTCCGGAGTCTATGGCACCGTGGCGCTGATATTCCTATTTCAAGGCTCCTATAGTCTTGCCTGGACACCACTTGCCATGCTTTATCCTCCAGAAGTTCTCAATTACTCACTTCGATCGAGTGGGATAGGAGTGTACACATTCGCATCCAACGGGCTGGGGTAGGTTCTACGACACGAGCAAAAATTCCCCTTTTCCGTGCACCTTTCAATTGGCTGACTATGGGACTCTAGATTGATGGTGACAATGTCTTTCCCGTATGCCCTGGACGCCATCGGGTGGAAAACTTACATGATTAATGGTTGTTGGGACGTGTTGCAGGTGGTCTATGTGGTTATTTTCTGGGTGGAGACCAAAGGAAAGACTTTGGAAGAAGTTGACGAGCTATTCGGCGTCGAACCGAGTTCAGGAGTGCCACATCTGGCTACGGTGATCCAGGGTGTCGAGCCTGGTTTGCGACTTCGCGGCTCAACCGACCTGCCTATAGCGGCCCCGCTGACTGAAACCATGGGGAAGCAGTAGAATGGGCCTAGTAATGAGCCTGGAAGCCCAGGAAAACATTTACACTCGACGTACCAACAGAGAAGACCGAGTGTGGGCAAAATCAAACGGTCCACAAGTCGAGTCCATGACTGGTATTGCGAGGGCAGCGATAAGGCTGGCTCAGTCTATAGCTTAGTGGATTTGCATTTATGATTGAACCAAACTGCGGATTGATCGCACCGTATCGTAAGGAGGCTACCTCGGGATCACCTGTCACATCACAGCTACGGGTACCTATGCTATGTTTCTCTGCTCCCTGGTACCCAACCACGAGTTACATGTTGTCCTACGCTATTGTCTAAGTTCCTATCTTTCTGGTGGAGAAAGCTGGCGGTTAACCATATCGAGACAGGCTCATCAATGTGTCTTGCACATAAAGCAACACGCGACCCCAGCAAAGGTGTCTCTTGACCTTGTCGCGCTTGTAACGTTGGGACAAGTCCACTCGGAAACTATATTTGAGAAGTGTGCTCTTGAGACACCTGCGGTTGTCACTCGGCTTGCGTATCGATACCTCTTCGCCAGTCCCGTGCGGGTTGCAGAATGGAAACCAGGACCATTCGATGGGGGATCCTAGGTCAGTATTTTATCCTCAGAGGCAGTCATGACCCGGCATGTAATATTCACATGACATTGACAGCAACTGGCCTCATTGCGAAGACCTTTGCAAAAGATCTACTTGTCGACCCTCGCACTCGCAACGTCCACGATGTCAGGCACACCGTCGTGGCAGCAGCAAGTTCTTCGGGTCTGGAACGAGCGCAGCAATATCTCCGAGACATCCATGCACCGCAATCTGCAAAAGGCTACGGATCATACGAAGAATTGGTGGGAGATGAAGCCATAGACTGCGTTTACGTATCCACACCACATTCGCATCACTATCAAAATGTCATGCTCTGTCTAGAAGCCGGCAAAAACGTGCTCTGCGAAAAGGCATTCACCGTCAATGCTGCCCAGGCAAGAAAGTTGGTGGAAACGGCGCGGCAGAAGAATGTCCTCCTCATGGAAGCCATGTGGACGCGATATTTCCCGTTGTCAATCTATGTTCGAGAATGTGTTACCTCAGGAAAGTTGGGCCCGGTGATTCGAGTCTTCGCGGAAAACGCTGAAGGGGACGATCCCGAGAAAGATCTTCCGGACAGCCATCGATTGGTCAATCCGGCGCTTGCAGGTGGTGTTCTCCTCGATATGGCCGTCTACAGTCTCACCTGGGTGTTCCAAACCCTGTACACTACTCAAGCCCCGGAAGTCCGCAAGGCCCCCTACGTTCAATCTTCTGTACAAAAGTATCCCCGCACTGGTGTGGATGAATTGACGACTATCCTCTTGACCTTCCCCCGGGACGCGAATTCAGGGGGCAATATGCACGGCGTGGCTTCGGCTAGTCTACGTTTATGCAACGACTATGACCATAAGGGGTCTTCCGGCCCAGCCGTGCGGGTTCAGGGGACAAAGGGCGAGGTTCAGGTGTGGCCCCCAATCTATCGGCCTACGCGAACGAGGGTGGTGTTGGCCACCGGGGAGGTCGAAGACAAGACCTGGCCCCAGCCCGGGCCCGGGAAAGGGAGCAACTGGTACAATGGTTTCGAGGGAATGAACCCCGAGGGAGAAGGACATGGAATGTTTTGGGAAGCAGACGAGGTCGCCAGAGCCCTCGTTGCCGGCAGAAAGGAGCCGCGCGCGGAATTCCAGAGCTTGAATGAATCGGTGCTGATTATGGAAGTCATGGATGAGGTCAGAAAGCACGGCGACCTGATATTTCCCGCGGAGATTGAGACCACGGATCGGGTGGCACTCGGAAGGTAGGAAGAATACATCATATTACAGACCATGGTTAGAGTGGGTATTAGATTTTCAAAAAAAAAACAAAAGCCCCGCTCTGAGTCCATGAACCGCAAGACATGAATTAAGCTGGCACTGCAGAACGTCAATAGTCTACACATGGCTCACTTGAAAGAGAGAGGGGGGACGCAGGCCCCCGAATCGACAGTACGAGATCAGTGGTTTTTGACTCAAAGCTGAAAGTACAACGCAAACTTGGACCAACCAGTTATGGGTATGCGAAGGTACGTTATCCGGATCCTCGATGTGGGCTTTCCATCATGATGCTGTTGAGTCCTCGATGTTCTTTCGGAAATGGTGCCCTCGCGTTCCTTTCATGTCTTGCTATAGATCTCTCTCCACCTGACTTCCACAGGCTTTCAAAATGCCAACCCATTGCAATCTCCTTCAATTCGATCCTGGCATTCTGTCGTGCTGCTGAGTCCTGGGGCAATTACTCTCGGCTTCATGATGGCCTCCGGGATAAGTCGAGTCACGCAGGTGCTGAACGATCCAAGGTCGGTCCCTGGCAAGCAGGATCAAGGGACTTCTAGAAGCCTGTGGAGATGGATTCGGCTGTAGGCGCTAGATGGAACCGCCATACATGATCTGACTGACATTGGAACCGGACAGACACTTTTCGTCATTGCAACGGGCCTGGAGACCAGCAGACTCAGTCATTCTCGCTTCGGGCACGCTGAGCGTTGATTGGCCTGCTGTTTGGAATCGTATAATGGAAAAGCAAATCAATCCTCAAGGAAAATACCGCTCCAGATATACTGTGACGTTTTCCATGCCGAGGTACCTTACTATATATCTGTAAAGGCACTTGCTGTGGTGCTCCAACTATTGAGGTTGCAAGAGCAAAACGAAGGGTGAAAGAATCTCTGTTGGATCTACCTGGGTCCTAGGGGACGTGATAACTATATGCCCACTAGATAGAGTGGCTGGTAGGTGGTTGGGAACGCAATTTATGACCTGGTCTGACACCAATACATTCGGAGACTTCTTCTCTGGTGTTCAACATGCCTACATACCTGGTTTCAAGTGTCTGCTTTGCGCTGTGGTATGTTTGCCGTAAATCAGTGTGTCAGCTTATAACACTACCTTCACCTGGGCCTTCATTGATTTACGCCTTCGCAGACAGCACATGTAGCATATTCTTCAATCACAAAAGTAAATCCGAACCATTTAATCAATCCGGAGCCAGATGCTCCCGTAATCGGGTTGGAATTGCTCAAGCCATCCGTGAACGCCTTTCAAAAGTGAGGATGTCATACAGAAGAAAAGAGAGTACTGAATCATGGGTGCCATACCGTCCAGATTGGCTGTACGGTGATAGAGGCCGAATCGAATCAAGTATGCAACATCCTGTCTACACAGGCGTATGGCCATTATAACGTAGCTCTCTTTCAGATTGACTTTCCCCCGAAAATCCGAGTGAGCTAATTTTATCACGTCCAATATCGCCAATCCCAATCCAGAAGCTCGAACGTCTCGTCAATGCCGTCCAGCTAAATGTACTAGAACAATAAGCAGCTGGGAACGCCTCCTGGCGCATCTATTCGTTCACAAATGCTAGTTTTGTTTTTCCGTCGTATCAACCAAGTCGAGGTTCAACTTTGATTGAATCTTAGACAGGCAACTTCTATTGTTCCCTTCCAGGGATCATGGCTTGTATTCGTGTTGATGGAAAATCTGCCATCATAAACGGCGCAAGATCCAATATGTTTTTCCTCGGTAAAGGCGTTTGTGGACGTCTTATGTTTTGAGATGGTTGAACCTTACTGCAGCCTCTCTATACGCGTTAGTGTTATTTGTCATCACTGCTCGAGACATGATTTGTCATCATTGTTCGGGGACACCGTACAGCCCAAATTTGCTCTACAGGTTATACGCGCGTCACCCGAAATAACCGGACTAGCAATCTCGTCCCTGATACGATTAGGATGCGCTAGTCCTCTGGCCCAAGGTGAGGAGGCTTAAACAAGAAATTTTACTGAGACGAGAAAAAGTGCGAAGCGAGTGGTGGTGTTAACTCGGTAGTAGCAACGTGATTCGATATGATGATTTCTCTGGAGTGTGCGTTGCTTCTCTGTGTGGGGTGAGGGTTTCTGTGTGGTGGACCATCTCCCAAAGGGACTCTTCCGTCAAGATTTGTACTCCCCCCTGCGGACCCTCTCGCTCAAATCTCGCAGGACCTGGGCTGCGTACTCACAGTCTCGAACGTCTACGTACACGGCGGTACTGAGACGAGCCCACCATGCCCCGTTGTAGAACAACAAATACAAGAATGTTCGATATCTCTCCACAAACTCGCGATTCATAAACTGGGTGACGGTTGGCACGTCCTCCAAAGGGACCTCGCCAGCACCAGCGCCGACCGGGATAGGCAGGCGAACGTGGGCAAAGTAGACTCGGTGGGTTTCCGGAATGCCAAATGACTCGGTGCCCAGCGCTTCAACCAGGATTTGCTCTGCTTTGCTGGCCAAGGCGGTGCAATAGTCGTGGATAGCGGCTTCTCCGCCACAGTTTTCATCTCGGAACTTTAGCGCTTCCTCAATACAGCAGTAGGGTGCTCCGTCGATCGTACCAAAGTACTCAAACTGCTTGACCATGGGGTTTTCCTCTGCGGAAGCCGGCATAGGGTCGTAGATATCCTTTCCCTGAGGCTGAAACCCGTGTGACGTGGGGAGAGTGGTGCGGATGAGATGCTGGTTCCGCCGGGGCACGAAGAACGCCGCCACCGAGCGGGGAACGTACAGCCATTTGTGGCAGTTGGTGACCAAGAAATCCGGATCGAGTTCTGTCAGGTTTAGAGGGATGTGGCCGATGCCGTGGGCGGCATCCACAAGGCTCAACACCCCCTCCTCTCGGCAGGTCTCGATAAGCCTCTCAAACGGCATCCGCAGGCCGGGCATGCTGACAATCGTGTCGAAAACCCCCACGCGGACTCGGCCCTGGCCGTCTGCTTCGCACTTACGCTTCTCTCTCTTCACCGCAGCGCGGAACAGGTCCACGATTTCGTCGTCGCTGCGAGGGAGTCCGAGCTCGACCTTGACGCTCTCCGCCGCGGTCGACTCCACAACGTAGTCGATGGTCTTCTCCAACGCCCCGTAGGCCCCAGAGGTGTAGATGATCTTGTCCCCAGCTTCCCATCGGAGGTTGTGAAGGACGGTGTTGGTGGCTGTCGTCACGTTGGGACACAAGACCAATTCGTCCACCGGGCAGTGCAGGGCGTCCGCCAGCAGAGCCCGACTCTGGCGGAGGAGCTCAGGATAGGTATAGCGGATGAACCGGTCTGGTTCTGCCTCTGCGGCACTCTGGAAATGTCTTAGGCGCTCCTGGACCCTTCGAGGATATCCTCCAAAGGAACCTGGGACCGGGCAAGGCCAATGTCAGAACACCCTGAGAGCGGGGAAAGAATGGACTACGCGACGCCCTGATCCGGGGGGCTTACCTTGGTTCAAGTTGATATGTCCATCAGCGAAGAGGAAATGGGAGTCTCGCATTGATTTTCCGAATGCCACGAGCGAGGATCCATCTCTGATGCCGTCCATGTCTCCCACGTTATCTGGGGTAGCCGTCGAGCTCCTCTCTTGGGGTCGGGCGGGGCGAATGTTTTCAGAGTCTATCCTTTCTCAGGCTGTAAATACCTCCCTGATCCTTTATAGCTCTTCGCGAAATGAGTCCGAGCTTCGATGCTGTCTGCGTCACCACTACACACTACACATGGCCCTGTAAGTTGGACAATGTTGGCGAGTCAAAGGGCGGACAGAGTAAGAGGTGGAGCACGATGACAAAGTGCATTCATTCCGTTGATTAGAAAGACGAACCCCGAAACTCTCGTTGGCTGCGAACGCCGAACTCGGACTGCCCCCTTGATTTATCAGCAGTCGCCAGATTTGCTGTTCGCGGCTTCGCGGCTTTGAAGGATTTATACGCGATCTTGTACGAGTACTAATGCACTGTTCAGATGCTTCACGGCTGGCTGATCGCTACCACAACTCCAACATGTCTTCTTCACGGAACTTTAACGCGCGCTCGGGAAATGCTGTTGTCACAGCCAACGCCCCGGCACCCCTGCCCGTCTTCTCGCAGGCCATCAAAACAAAGGATATGATCTATGTGTCTGGAAACGTTGGCATGGATCCCCACACGAACCAGCTGGTACCGGGAGGGGTCAAATCACAAACCGTTCGTCCCCCGTCAATTGACATGCCGTTGGGGACGAATCCCGGGAAAGAAATGTAGCTGCTGACGGTTCCGTCGGGAATACAGGCGCAGATCTTGAAAAATTTGCAAGCAACGCTCGAGGCTGCGGGATCAGGGCTCGGGAAAGTGATCAAAATCAACGTCTACATCACCGATATGCGAAACTTCGCCGAGATGAACGAAGCTTACCTCGGTGTCTTCGAGGAACCACAGCCAGTAAGCGTTCTGCGATCACACTGAATCCTCGGGCATTTGACCGACATTACAGGCGAGAACTTGCGTGCAGGTCGTCGGCCTCCCTTTTGGAGCCCAGGTCGAAATGGAGTGCCACGCTTTGCCTTAATTTGATCAAAGGGCGCGACATGGGGGGCAGAGCTGGACGTGGGAAGGACGGCTCGATTGGGTCGAGGTGGAATGGGTTACATTCGTTTTTTTGTGCGCGTACGCAGGATAGTTTGATCAGAGATTCATACTTCAGCTTACCAATCTTGCCCGTAACCGGGGGCCCACCCAGCGCCCTTCTCACCCTATTGCTGGGGTATGTCAGACTCTTCATACCTCGTACTTGAATACCTGGCCTGCCTGCCTAGCGAACACTCCTAGAGCCTTCAATCCGTTCAAACCGTCAGAAAGAAAGATCGCTGCCCCAGCTACACTGGACGAAGGTCAGAGCATAACCAGAATTCCAGTAAAAGCTTTCCCAGCCATGCCAATCTACGAGTTCCACCACATCCTGCCACTCTCTCCAATCCAGAAGTCGAGGCTGGCTCGTGTAGTGACAGATTGGCATAGTTTCACCTTTCGCGCCCCCCGATTCATCGTCAATTGTCGCTTTGTGGACACACGGAGCGTACCAAGTGAGGACAACTATGTTGGGGGCAAGCCATTCAAAAGCAACAGGCTGTTTGTGTCCCTCAGAAGTGGCACCGGAAGGACTGAGGAACAATACATTGACATGACGCGCAAGCTTCAAGCCATGTGGAATGAGACAGTCCAAGACGTCCCGGCCCCCAGCGTCGAGAAGGAGCTGAAAGACGTCTTCATCATGGGGACGCTGGACTCCGCTTTCGAACGTGGTTGGTTTCTACCTATGGTCAGTCTAAACCGCTCCCCCGTCTCTGTTTGTTTACCCACGCCAGAGCTGACAAAGGTAAAACGTTCAAGCCCGGAAAATTCGAAAATTGGGTCAAAGAGCATACTCCCGATTTCCAAAAACTGGCCGAAAGTGGCGATCCCGTTTTCAAGGACTTGCTCGAAGAGATCAAGGAGAGACCCGAGTTTCAATAAAGTCGTGCTGGACCGTTGCAAAATTACCTTTCAATCCGGCCGCGGGAAAGATGAACGGGGCTCAGAGAGATTACGGGTAAGGAAGGAGGAAAAGAACATGAGCTTGCTCCCGTAGGAGCCGAGAACTTGGGACAAACCAACCAAATCATTCGTCCTCGTACTCAGACCATAGGTGATAGGGCCACACTTCTAAACGGCCTCCGAGACGCAACTTTGCGACTAGCTGGACGTTTGATTTTACAGAGAATGAGATTTTACCTGAGTCAGAGCCGTCAGTCACCGAGCAACCGGCGGAGTCCGATCTTCAAAGCCTGCATCTCTTCTAGCTTAGCTTGTGTCGTAGTATTGTCCTCAATGCGCTGAGCGAGAAGCTTGTTCTCGTGCACAACGGCGTTGTGAGCCCTGGTCATGGCGTCTAGCTGCTTCTTCAGGGATTCTATTTCAGCATCCCTCTGTGCGATACTTTCGCCTCTGGTTGAGCGTTCGAGAGCCACGCGACCTTGCAGCATCTGGCGTTCTTGATTGGAAATCTTCAACTCATCTTGCAAAGTTCTGATCTCGAGCCTTAGCTCCTGGACTCGTTCTATCTCGCGATAGATCGTCGTGAGCGCCAGATCTACGTCGCTCTCCATCGTCTGATATCTTGACCGCTTTGTTCTCCTCTTAGACGCAGGCAATTTCACGCCGTCTGGGTCGTCTGAGGTCTCTGGAAATGCGGACTCATGCCACTCGTGCCGTCGAGATGGATGGGTCGACGAAGTTGCTGGCAAGCTCGGGGCCCAGGAGGGGTGGGAAACCCTGATGGGTTGTGGAATTATAGGGTGTGCATCTGACGCAGTTGGCGTCGAATCTTGTTCAGGATTGAAGAAATCCGATTCGTGGTCTTGGTTCCTTTCCTCAGCCTGTGCAGGGTGTGAGGGTCGATAAGGCTGATTGGGGTCATTCTGCATCTCGCCATCGCCACCGCCATCACCACGGCCAAGGCGCGGCATATTTGTCGGTTCGTCTCCTGCACCAGACACTCGGCGAGAAACCACTTGACGACTGGGCGGGTCCGGACTTCCTGAACGGGACGAGGGAGCTGTGAGAGGTAGTATTTCAGGAGGAGGTTGTTCATCCCAGCCCCGCTCGATGCAGAGTGGACAATGAAACCTTCTTCTGAAAACCAGTTCTTCCGACGCCCTTTCTTTCAAACAAGCAATATGGTATGATCTCTTGCAGGTGCGACATCCAACTAAGTTGCCGCCCTTGTTGCACTCGAAACACGTGGACATATTGGGGTCTCCAACTAGGCCGCTACGAGTCAGCGGAATTTCACCATTTTTGTTGGAACATACTGCGCCAATGTCGGTATCCAGGGACCCTTTCTGATACCAACCGCTTTTGCCCATTTGCATCACGTACAACCCACATCTCAATGGCTCCGGGGTAGAATGGAGCCTCTGGAGGTCGGGAAACAGGGATCATATTGGGAAGTGAAGGAGAGGAAGTGGCCGCCTGAAGGGCCGTTGCAGCATTGTAGGCTTGCCTATTGGGATCTGGCTGTTGAAGTCAACGAACAGTCGGGCGGTGCGGAGTGGGCGTGATCTTGGGCTTACCGGAGCCGAGCCTCGTGCAACTTCGATCGTGTCTGTGGTGTTGACCCTTCTGCGCTTGACCCTGCGCCGCGTTGAAGGTTGAGCATTCGTGGACATTGACGCGGAGCTGTCACGGCCCAATCGAGCTGTCGGCACAGTAAAGAATGGCTTGCGCTGAAGGCGGACAGTCTGGTCGCGCATGGGGCTTCAAGGTGATTTGTACAGGAAGGCTTGGCGGCACGTGCGTGGAATCAGAGGACAATTAGATTTGTCAGCGAGGGAATTTGCTCAGGTGCGAGTTGTGTACAAGTATGCACTTATGTAATATATCTAGGTGCGGCCTAAGCAGCAATGGGCAACATCGAGAACGTCGCCGTGCTCGCGGTAATTGTATGTATGTTGATGACTCCTACACACGACTACTGAAACTCACCTCGACAGGCAAGAGGTACCATCGGGAGACCCACCTTCGAAGCACTGCGTGAGGCGCTTTTTGTAGTCATGGAAGAGAACCTTTTCGGGATGCGACACGTCCGCTGGGAGCGAGAGAAGCGCCCGTCGACCGTCTTCCGAGATATCTCTGGCTGAGAGTTTGGGGCGAAGATTCTGCAAGGAGGTGGCCGATCGCTTGGACGCAGTCACTTACAAGTTCCTTGGTACGCATGGCGTCTTTAGACCCTTGAAGTATCGACCAAATCCAGCGTCAACTTTGGTAAAAGGTTGCGGGGCTCTTCACAGAGGACCTAAGCTAGCTGGAAATCAAATACGTGCTATTTTGTGCGTCTAGAAGCCTAGATTATACTGATACAGATCGACAATTCGGAGCATGACGACCTCGCAGTGTGTTGTGGAAAGACTTTCCCCAGAGGGCAAAAGTCAGGTGCACCATCAGCACTATATCATCCTACAGTCCGACAACAGGTGTGGTCACTCTCAAACATGTCCCCGAGACAGCATGAGTGTGGAGGTCGAGGGTCTTGTAGAATTGTGACGGGCTGAAGGCTGAGGAGAACCCATCTATCAGTACAAGCCCGAAGATACCGGTCAAAGCATCTCCAATATCTTTATCGGAGACTACTGATTCCATGTAAGCACTGGAAAGTCATTACAGTACATTCTGCACTCGCTTGCGTGAGGGGAAACATTTCTCGGTGAGGGTGTGGTTGGCTGAGAAATCAATCTGTCCGTCCGGATATCCTACTCGAGTTAGGTTTGTCGTGGAAAGTTATACAGTTCGGTGTTCCGGTCGGAAGGCCGAGAGGAAATGGCCCAGGAGGCCCGCATTCGCAGCGCAGTAAACGAACTGGCTTGAAAGGCAGACATGATGGCGCTGCAGGACGGCCAACGAATCATCTGCCCACGACACGTTCCAGTCCCAGACCAAATACCAACTTCTGATTATAAATATAAGCACCTAACATTTACCTAGATAAGGGCCTCTCATACCCTGAAGTACCAACGAGGACCAACCTTCAAGCGAGTCAACAGTCCCATCTCCAGACACAAACACATTGTCATCCACGACCATCATGTCTCAACGACAAGCACTCGTCCTGATTGATCCACTCAATGACTTCCTCCATCCTCAAGGAAAGCTGTATCCGGCTCTGGAGGAAAGTCTCGAAACGACTGGCACCGTGGACAACATACGCCAGCTGGTACAGGGTGCTCGATCAGGCGGGATTCCCATCTACTACGGCCTTCACCAATCGTACAAGGAAGGCCATTACGATGGATGGCTCCATATGCGAGCGTCCCACGTGCGCAACAAAGATAAACACGTCTTTGCCGGATGGGGGGGTGAGATCATGTCCGGCTTCGAGCCACGGCTCGACAACGGCGACGTTGTCGTGAGCAGGCACTGGAACTCCAGCTCGTTCGCCAACACGGACCTAGACTACCAACTTCGCCAGAGAGAGATTACGCATTTGGTCATGGCTGGAATGGTGGCCAATACGTGCCTCGAGGCCACGGCTCGTCATGCCACGGAGTTGGGCTATCGTGTTACACTTCTCAAGGATAGCACGGCTGGGTTCAGCAGCGAACTCAAAGCGGCGGGTGAGTTTGTATGGCCAATTCTCTTTGAACAGGTCATGACAGTCAAGGAATGGGTTGCAACGGTCCGCCAGGGTCAGCCGGCCCAGTTGTGACTTTCAGTAACGTCTCTGTCGAGGCTCGAGGTCCAGAGAAGGCCCTCGGCCAGCGGCGTCGGAAACCCCTCCGCACAAACTTCCGATAAGGCTGCTGATAAATCAAACCAAGCGCCGGGGTGAAAGTAAATGACATGAATATTAAACAAAGAGGAGTGGGGCACGATAACCAGTTACCCCTAGCTTCCGTGCATCGCTGCTTGGTCATGATCGACTATGTGTAAGCCAACAGCTCAGCCTTGCGACGCAAAGGTTGGCCCGGCTGACCTCCCGTTTCCGTGGTGCACCTTCGTGGGTTCCGGACTTGGCCTGCGGCTTGTAAGACACAACCATCTGTTCTATCTGCAAGAGGTTAAGAACGTCGAGTCCTAGAGAGCTACAAGCGTACACCGTCGCTTCTGTGGTCACATCCCTCCTCAACGATGGAGAAACTAGTGTACTCTGGGCACTGCAATTGCTCGGTCACTGACGACGGCGTTTCAGATTTCGACCGAATCGGAATTGCCAGTGGGCTTTTCTCGATGTGAGAAGGCCAAGTCTGTACAGATGGCTCGTCCTGACACGAGGTTTCCCACGCCATGAACACAATAGGGGCAGCAGCTGAGGGCCAAGTCTGTACGGACAGCTCACCTGACGTGACACTGCCCATGCCAAGGGCAAAATACGAGCAGGAGCTGAAGGTGGCTTGAAGGAGCTGGAAATAAGCTGAAAAAGAGCTGGACTCCAGCTACCACACTGACTTCTTCAGAATCTGGACTATATCTATCCCAAGTTTCAACCCATCGTGCAGACATAACTTGTCGTCCTAGAAAGTTTTACCAGTGAGCTCTCCTTGAATCCACAACTCTATACACCATAAGCAACATACCCCACTACCATCTGCCATGGCCAACCCACCTCAGACTGCGATCCAAGACATCCCGGCCGAGAATAACGGTCCCATTCCCAAGCAAGGCATTGATGTCCTGCACCCTTTCCCTCCAGTCAAAGCGGTCATTATCAACGCTGCGCAGCCATCGGCAGATGCCGTGACGCCAGCAGAGCGACTACCCAATTTCCCATTCAAAAGCACCCCTGCGCGTATTCCAGCCTCCAGCATAGAACAGACTGATGATGAACATCCCAATGACGTGGCTGGGGTCGTGTTTCCGCCAGATGAACGCCATATCTACCATGACACCAACTATCCCTTCTCCTGTATAGGCAAAGTCCGCACAGCGGTTAGTACCTCTTCCGGCACGCTCGTGGGGCCACGTCACGTCCTCACGGCATCGCATTGCGTCAACTGGACCCGCGATGCAAATGGCAACATTGGTTGGATGTCATTCACTCCATCTTACTACGATGGTCGTGGACCTTGGGGCGAATTCTACGTCACTCATACGCTCGCGTACAAGGAGAACGGCAGGAGAATGACGGACGAGCAATCCGCATGGGACTATGCGGTGTGCGTCCTGAGCGAACCCATTAACACCAAAGTAGGCGGGACGATTGGCACAAAGGAGTACAGCGCGAGCTGGAATGGGAAACCTTACTGGATATCATTCGGATATCCTGCGGATCTGTTCAATGCGGAGCGACCAGAGTATCAGAACGGATGCGTCATTAGCACGACCGAGACGTTCGGGAATGCTCAACTGCTGGGCCACTTCAATGATACTTTCAACGGACAGAGCGGGGGACCAGTATGGGCCAAGTGGGATGACCAGCCAGGTCCGCAAATCGTCGGTGTGGTGAGCACATCGCCGGATGTTCCTCAGACGGGCTCTACCGCCGGAGACAATCAGTATGCCGGCGGCAGAGCGATGGTTGATCTAGTGAAACAGGCGCTCAGAGACTATCCATGAGTTGCCGGAAAGACAGCCCGGCAGTTAGCCAGAATGTCTGCACGAATGATATCTAAGTGCTTCCCCCTTTTCGGACTTCATTTAGTCATGGTTCTCGAGCTCGGAGATCAATTATAGTCTGTGCGCTTGGAGGCAAAGAGAGACACCATTTCCTATCCAGGATCAACGAGGTCATGGGAGAGTGGACCTCAGATTTAAAACGTTGACACTCTTGGTTAAGACCCACAAATGAATTCCCTAATTCCTGCTAATCATAGAACTCATCTTGAGACGAGCCGTATCAGGAGGACTGCAGTAGAAATCAGACTGTCACTACGAGAGTATGCGACAGCGCGAGTAGGAGAGTGAGAAGACGGTGAGAAGAGAGTAAGTCGCGAACAGGCCTTGAAAAAGTGGACGCCGCCTCCGTCGCTCGGACCAGTTCGACCGGGTGATGCCGCCCTTGCTCGCCCCGGCGCGAGCCGTCTCAGCGATCACCCCTTAGCTCGCCGGTTGAAGGGGAGAAAGGCCTGGCGTGACCCTGATCTTCCGTGTTGTGACATTTGTTCACTACGCTCTGTACCAAAGGTTCCTCTATAGTTAAGCCTGCACTGCTTTAATCTCAGCCTGCGAAGCAATATTACAGCCTTGCAGACTCAACAGACTCAGGCTGGCAAAGCCACAGGGCAATGTGAATCGCGTCTTCAGAAACAATACCAGCCTCCGGAACTGGTACGGATCCAACCTCAGAGGGACCATCAGGTTTTAGCTTCCCTGTCAATACCACTATAGGTTGTGGATATCCCTGCGTTAGTGGTGAACCGTGTACTATAGAAGCCTGTCACAACCATCCTGCGACAACCCAAGCGGGACTACTGGACTCGAATACTGCACTCGCGAAGCCTTCTGTAATTAGTTCCTCCTACTTGACTTGATAATTTTCATCAATATGATCCTTATCGTTATGAGATCCTGATAGCTCAGAAGAGTACTCTTCTGAGTTTTGGTTACGTACTCCAGAACGGGTTTCGAGAATTGGAAGACTCCGTCAGTGAGAGTCAAACAGACGTGGGATGGAAATCCAATGTCCAGGTCCCTGAGGATCGACACCAAAAATGATCAAATAAAAAAGCTGCCCGCCGATCCCACAGATGATCACAGAGCAAACAGCCCAATGAGATGGGTATCGGAGGCAACATGGCAAGCTCAGAGACAGCAGCAATAGCGTCAACCCCTCCAAGATCTCCGCTTCTGCTCGAGCTTGACGCAAGAAAGGCAGCAAAACATATCACTCTTACCATGTGTGGCAGTGAAGTACGGCGTTACGCTGCGATCAACGCAGTATTGCATGTGACAGCCTCACGGTGACAGGACTGTGAGCAAAATTGGTATCGAGAAAAGGAGTTCATTGGTCATAAACAAAGACGATATCGCGATTTTCAAATCCTGTCCTCAATCAGTAGGACGACGAGGCAAAGGAGATCCATTTCGGCTCGTCAGGACGACGGTGACAGGATCCATCCGACCCAATTACCCGAATCAGGCAACGCTGAGGCCCGCGTTGCACATGCAAGGACGGCCTCAACAGTCAACAATGGCGCAGATCAAACCGCCGACTTGGTCTGCCTGTACAATTTAAAGAGTCGGCGCTGGTGTGGGCGAAGGGGTGAAATGTTGTCGACCCATGCTTCAGGACTCCCTCTGATCTGCAAGTATAACTGTGCCCTACTACTTCGAATTACCACAACACATCATGTCTTCTACGCGACAAGAAACTCTCATTATCCCGCAAAGGGACAAAACCGCCGTTAGCGACCTATATCAACGGCGGTGGTTGAAAAGCGGGTTTCTTGAGCGTCAGGAGATCGACTTTCAGCGGCTGCTTCAGCTGGCTGGGTACCATGCCTAGTCTATCTGGCTGTTCACACTCACCGACCTCAAAACCATCATGGGTCCCGGTCTTGTTTTCGCTCTAGTCGCCTCTCCAGCGTTGTCGGTATTTGGCATGCGAGATGCTGTTCTGGTCGACCTCCTTCGCCGGGCGCCTTTAGCCCTCTTCTGGCTGTGGATCAACCTGTTGCCCTTCACCATCGACAATCAGCGGCAGCCAGACTCTATCGCCGAAGATAAGATCAACAAGCCGTGGCGAACCATGCCTTCCAAGCGAATGGCGCCTCGACAAGCTCGGAACCTCGTGCTCGTTCTTTATGCTCTGGCCATCATCACCAGCCTTCGCATTGGCGGGCTTGAACAGTGCTTGTCCTTGGTCGTGGTGGGAGTCTGGTACAATGATTTCCAAGGAGCTGAAGGCGTCTTGCCTCGCCATCTGATCAATGGCTTTGGATATAGATGCTTCAACACTGGCGCTCTTGAAGTCGTCCTTGGTGGCCGCGGTATCCATTCACCAACTTCGTCGCTACTGGTCTGGGAGGCCATTATTTCCGCCACCGTCTTCACCACCATTCACACAATGGACATGTACGATCAAGGAGGTGATGCCTCACGTAACCGCAAGACGGTACCTCTCGTCGTGGGTGACAATCTAGCGCGTTGGTCGATTGTCTTCTTCATGACCATCTGGTCGGTTGTCTGCCCTGCCTACGTTGGCGCGCCACCTATTGGTTTTGCGTTGATGGTGGGCCTAGGTGGGCTCATTTCTGTGAGGTATCTGCTGTTCCGGACCGTTGCCGATGACAAAAAGACCTTCAAGCTGTGGAACTTGTTTATGGTCGGGGTCTACTCAATGCCACTCCTGCGGGTAACCATGGGGTGACCGATTTCCCTTTACTTCGGCGAAAGAGCATGTCAGGCGAATGATCTAAGATGAACCTTGTAACTCCATTTTTTGCAGCGACTTTTCAAGAAGATTTCGCCAAATCAGCGTCATGCGAACAAGAGGATCGTTGCAACGAATCTCCAACCGCCAACGAACTCCTCCTAACAAACTGTAGTGTCAAGCCTGGTGAGGTCAGCTAAAGTGGTCGTTGCAAACGCGAGCCCGAATAATTATGATGAGAACCGAGAGTTTCAGGCCTCAAGGCTCGCTCTATGCAAGCGTATCAAAGATTGTAGCTATGTGCAGCAACCAAACGAGTTTTTCTCGCTTGTCGAACAGATGTAACCCCCAGGGAAGGACGGGTCATGAGGTGCTACGCTTGTTGTCGCAAAGGTAGATTTGTGTGTCCCAGGGCGGCTATTTCGCCGTTGCATTGCGAACCCAGCTCTTTATTCAATCGTTGAGCTTTCTCACCACCATCATCGGCCATCAAACAAGCACCATCTGAAACCACGAAAAGTCCCTCTGCATCAATTTTTAATCGACCAAGGTTCTTGAGACGCATATTAATAATCAAAGAGGGTACAGGACAGTCGGTTCTGCCAACTGAAAACGTATAAATGGCAAGACAACGAACGGGCTTGATGTTCGTTGTGGACGGGGTAAAGTTCTAGTTGGGACTAGAGACGAATAAGGACTAGATTCTGGGAAACGAGGAGGACCCAAAATACCCGTAACGAAACGGGCATCAACTCACATCCAAGATCTTGTTATCATCGCAAAGAAAAGGATGATTCGACTGATCAAGACGTCCGATCTGTCCCAGCATGTATTCGAGGGGAGATCTGTCCCTGGGTATGTCATTCTTTCCCATCGGTGGGAAGAGGGGGAAATATCTCTGGGGGAACTGCAGGGTAATCTCAACCTCCACAAACAAGGCTGGTTGAAGCTTCAGCGTTTCTGCCAATTTGCCGAAACAAGAGGCCACCGCTTTGTCTGGATAGACACCTGCTGCATCGACAAGACTAGCAGCGCCGAGCTCCAAGAAGCCATCAATTCCATGTTCAGATGGTATCGACGGGCAGAGTGCTGCTACGTATACCTATGCGACGTGCCGGCTAGAGATGATCTCGATCTGCCCGAATGGACAAAGATCTTCAAAGCTAGCAAGTGGTTCACTCGTGGATGGACTCTCCAAGAGCTCCTCGCTCCCCACAGACTGACCTTCGTATGCTCGGATTGGAAAGAAGAGATTGGTTCAAGACAGTCGTTGAGCCACGAAGTGAGTGAAGTCACCAGAATTCCTGAGAAGCCTCTTGTCCAGGGCTGGTCTCTGAAGGATGATTTTGGAGGTGCAGAATTCACCGTCGCCCAGATTATGTCTTGGGCATCCAAACGCTCTACTACACGCGTCGAAGATACGGCGTATTCAATGATGGGTCTTTTCCACATCAACATGCCTTTGCTGTACGGAGAAGGGTCGAATGCTTTTATCCGGTTACAGCTGGAGATCATGAGCAAATACGACGATAACAGTTTGTTTGCGTGGGGCATTCCCCTCAGAGATCGGCATTTTGAGTCCAATAGTGCTCTGAACCGAGCTCTCGACATCCCAGAAGCATACTGGTGGGGTGGTCTCCTTGCCCCTGCAATCCATTGTTTTGAAGATTGCGCAGGCCACTTCCACCATCTTGAGAGGTACGAAGATGCACGATTGTTCTCAATGACCAGCAAGGGAATTCAAGTGGAAGGACTCCTAAGAAGGTATGAAAAAGCCCGCTACGGAGGTAGCCATTGGCTTCTACCTCTCAACTGTGGCCGGGAGGCTCATCTGAAGCATCGACTCGGGATTGTACTAGCGGGAGATGGTCAACTTGCCATGAGGGTGGTAAATGTGCAAAGCGTTGAGCCTGGCTTGGTGGAATGTCATTGGGACGCGGAAAGAGAATTGAAGGCCGAATATGAGTACCGCAGGGTTTTTGTCCCACAAGCCTGGCCAGGCGATTTCGACTAAATTGGTGAGGTGCCCATCCATGTCAAGGAGCTGGAGGTACTTCAGAACACCTCAAAGTGTGATTCTGCCTATCTGTGGTTGTAGGTGGGCTGGCAAGGTCGATACAGGCTGTATGACTCATACACAGTGAGCTCAGAGCGTATGCAGTTGGACATTACTTCTCACGGCAGCGCTGATTCTCATAATGTGAAAGCGACACGAACGTTCAAAGGCGAAGCATGTGTTCAGATTCAAGGTTGGTACCTGGTTAGACATTGTTGTTCAGTAAGAATTGCACTGTCGAATCCAATTCATTGTCTAATGCCGACAGCTTGGGGCCTTTCCATTCAATGGTCATTACCGCGTGCAGCGTGATGATCAGAACGTTGGTCGAGGATCAGACTGGGCGGCACAAAGTGGCAGCTCAAAGTCAGAGGATGTAAAAGCGGCGGCGCCTGGAAACAAGTTTTTCCGAGTTGGAGCCTGAGTGCCAAGCCTCAGCGCTTCGGGGAGACTACTTAAACTCGTCTGCCCTCGCGCTCCATCGTCGAACTTTTTTCTTTTCTTCATCTCAGTGCACGGGCTTTACGCGTTACAGTGAGGATTCGTCCGAGTACGTGTTATTGCTAGTTGAAAACTATACAACTGACCGCTCCTTGAGGTCCTCACGGATCTCACGGGAATTTTTGAATAACCTGCTTTGACCTTTTCATTATCATCAGCGCCTTGAGCGAGGAGATAGAGAAGAGTGACAGCACTCGAGGTCGAGAGGGGGGGACAAGACATGAGAAGGACTGCAGAACAAAACAAGAGAAGCGCCGGTGATATTGCTAGTGTCGTGGCTGCAAAGAAGACGGCTGTGGGCTATCGACATGCAGGGTGCAGTCCCTGGAGAACGACCGGACCAGGATAGTCTAGCATGATGAAGCTTTAGTTTCAAGTCAAGATATGACACAGTGGTCACTAGCTCTAGTTGCAGATTAATGATGAATGAGTTTAATGCAAGGCCTGTAGATTCTGGGATTCGGGGTCTCACAGACGCTGAGAGACAGTGAGAGTTCAGCTGAGATAGCGACAGACACATCTCAAAGTGTCCACCGTCGCATGAGCCTCAAGACGATATTACCAAGACGCCGCAAGTCCAACAGGGTGTCATGCCCCGGTTCATCGTGATGATGCGTGCTGTAAATCTCAGACGCGAGTTGGAGAAAGCGGACAACATCTTCGCAGTTTCAAATGTGATTCTCCAATCTTCCCTTTCGAAGATTCACCTCTCTGGTCCCTTTCATCATGCCCACTGCGCTCACCACGGGCGCCACAGGCCTGCTAGGCAGACAGGTCTTGAAGGCCTTTGAAGATGCCGACTGGCATGCGGTCGGGACAGGCTTCAGTCGAGCCTCAGGCGCGATCCGCAAAGTCGACATCACCGACTCTGGAAGCGTGGCTGCGCTCTTCAACCAAGTCAAGTACGGACAGCTGACATATCTCTACTGAAGAGTACAAGCTCGACTAACCGCCTCAGACCGGACGTTGTCGTACATTGTACGAACCACTGCTGCCACTACTGCAGCTCCTCCTGCTCCTACACATTTGAAAGACTAACTCTTTAGGCGCCGCCGACCGTCAACCAGATTCCTGCACGAAGAACCCTGCCGCAGCCCGGGCGCTGAATGTGACCGCGACACAGACGCTTGTCGAAGCCTTCCATGGCTCGCTGTTCATCTACATCTCTACAGACTACGTCTTTCCCGGCGCCGCAGGCGACGCACCCTATAAACCTACCGACGCGCCCAACCCGACAAACATCTACGGGCAGACCAAGGCCGACGGAGAGAATGTGGTACTCGCACACGGCCCCAACGCAGTCGTACTCCGCGTTCCCCTCCTCTACGGACCAGGCGAGAACAGCGAATCCGCCGTTAACACACTGATGGACGCACTGTACAAGACCGGCGGCACCGTGAAAATGGACGACTGGGCCCTCCGGTACCCGACGAACACCGAGGACGTTGCAAGAGTGTGCGTTGACCTTGCGAGGAAGAGGATAGATCAAAAGGAACAATCAGCAATTGCAATACCGCACATACTGCAGTTCAGCAGCGAAGACAAGATGACAAAGTACGAGATATGTCAAAAGTTCAGCGAGATCATGGGTCTGCCCATGGATCATATCGTGCCGGACAAAGATGGCGGGAAACCCAAAGATGGCACAATGAGGCCGTACGACACTCACATGGACACGAGCGGGCTCAAAGATCTGGGGGTTGATGTCTCTACGGTTGATTTTGTGGCGTGGTGGAGAAGATATGTTGGTGCTTTTAGGCATTGAGATGGATGACTCTCTATTGAATCGGCACAGGATGTGCCATTACGGGATCTTGGACGAATCACACTTAGCGATAAGAAGAATGGGCATGGGTTATCCGGATGAACACGATTCACGTCTTGATGAACCCTCAGAATACAGCGAAACGAGTAGGACTGCAAGGAGTAATCATCATGAAAGTGTTACTGAGAAAATTACCCAGTTGTTCCAGACCATCACGTCGAAATCAATGAAAAGCTCGCTTTATCGCTCTATCAAGGTTCCCTCGATGACTGTGTTGTCGTTCCATGTGCAGAGACTGCCATTTCTGTCCACTCCAAGCGAGAATCAAATTGAAGACTCGGTCTCGATCTGAAGGATGGAGGAGAAGTGTGATTTCGTCCTGCAGAAATACAATCTCTAAACCCGCCGACGAGCGAGAATGGACATTTTTCAGATTCTTCCACATCGAGTCGTTCTCGTCAGGGTCGATCTTCCGCAGCTCGTGAAGTTCAGAAAACGGCCAGTGACGTTCGTCAGCAGTCTTTCTGATCCAAGACAAGGCTGTTCTTCCCACAACAAGCTGACCCCGACCTGAGTCTCTTTCCACGGCAGCAATGGCGTGCGACTCTCCCATCGGCCACCGGGTTCTCTCTCCATCATCACCCTCATCGTCATCGTCATCGTCATCATCTCTGTGTAAATCGAACTCGGCTAGATTTGCATCTCTGACGACCGCCTTCTCCTGCAACCTGAGAATAGCGAGCTCGGCATGGCTAGGTATACCCCAGAACACCCACCGAAACTGAGACACCAAGAGCCGGTACTTGGGAAAACTGGTCGCGATGGGATAGGAGAAGAAGAAGCCACCGCCCACGACGAACCACACGACCTTCATACAGAATTCCATATCGGCACAAAGGCATACGGCGAGGCAGCAGGAGAAGAAAAACACCGATGCAAAGGTCAACCGTGGCTTTTCATGCCTGTGAAAGTTGACCATGACTTCGAGGAGGTCGGCAAAATCGCCCAGCTGTCTCTGGATCAGGGGTCCGATCTGGTCGAGAAACGGTTCAAGCCAATCGCGCTTTCCGTGGCGTTGGATCAGCTCTCCCCAGGCTTGAACCCGTGCTTCTCGATCGATGGCTCTGCCCACGTTGGCACGGACGGTTTGCACCGAGCTCGGCTGGAACTTGTTCCGGATGGTCGAGTAGACGATGTAGAAGTAGAAATAGGCCATGATGTACTGGAAATACCACAGCACCAGGAAGAGCGCCAGCCATCGCCCTGTTCGCCGAGGGTCTTGCCACATGTAGACTTCCCGTACGCTCATCAGAAATGCCTGCCATGGCGCACTGGTGATGGCGATCCTCTCGATGATGCGAGCGACATCTTCGAGATCAAAAGGCGCGGAGTCGAAGTCGTCGATATAAGGGGACGTGAATCCGCGCGTGTAGTAGAGTACCAGGTGACCTAGATATCGCTCCCACTGGAATCGCGATGGAGAGGTGAATTGTGGTCGTGAGGGTCGGGGAATGGGTCGAACCACCCTGACCCGAGTGACGTGGCGACCCAGAATCCAAGCAGTCTGCAGGCTTTCGCGTTGCTCCTCGACCCTGCGAATCCGGTCGCTCGCTTCGTCGATCTCCCCTTGAAGCTCTCGGGGATCTGACGTTGAAGCGTTGGTGGACACGGCATGATCCAGAGCCTCATGAGCGTCGAGTAGTTCTCGGTCTCGATCGACGGTCAACGTCGGATGTCGCGCATTTCCAATCCTGGCGGCCGCTTTCTTCGTGACCTTGCTGCGGATGAGGCGCCGTGGATGCGCCGCTATGTAGGTGGCATCTTTGACCCCGTCGGCGATGGTATCGCGAGCCGACTTTTTGCTTTGAGATTTTGGCGACGTCTGGTTCAGGACCCGACTCGGGTCGAACGCGGCGTCATAAAAGATGTCGTTCTCGTCGATAGAGTCGTCATGGTCGGGCTCATTCAGGATCTTCTTGACCTTGGCCTTCGCCTTGGATTTCAGGTGCAATGCCCCATCAACGAGATCATTCGCATGTCGTTCGGTTTCTCCTGTGCTATCTAGAGGGGCTGATGACATGCTTCACGAGAAGTCCGTGATACGCGATACATTTTGGTATGTTTTTTTCAAAGCGGTCTTCCCAAGGGGTAACTGGAACACGGTGGCATCATGAGCATCATTGCATTATGACGGCCCAAGCCCAAAAATGGGCAATTTTAGACTGCCTCGACCCGTCAATGATGCAGGCCTTGTGTCTGCCAGGCCTTTCGCCTAGATGTCATTCGACCGTTGGCAGGGGGCTGTCGCCACAAATGGACTCGAAGCGAACGTCTGTGGGGTGGAACGGGACGAGCTTCCAAAGATTTGAGGCGAGAAGATCCGATCTCATCGTCCGGTGCCACTTTGTGATGACGACGGACCCAGACTCCCAGCAAGAAACGAAATCCTGGAATTCCAAGCGAGTGGCTCAAAGGATCAACCACTAAGTCGGAGCTTTGACAGATGACAGGCTAATGCTGACCTGATATGCACCGCGGTCACCGCCAAAAGAACCGCCCAATATCGTATATCGTATTGTAAGATCAGCAGCTAATCAATTATATCCAGTCCTCCCACCTTTCAGGTGTGGTGAGACACGAACTCCGTATCCTCCATATTCCAGCCATTCAAAAGCAGGTTGCCTTCCGGAGTCTACTGATTAATCTATGTCTACTCCTCGACATACTGTAGGCAGTAGGCTGTAGACAGGGGGAGCGGTTCCGCCCGATGTTCATCCTGAGCGTAACCAAGGCTCAATTGAAACGACCCAGCTTCACAAAGAAATGCGCTGCACTGTAAGTAAGTCAGGGTCGGTAGGATACTGGCATTCTCTTGGACAATAACGATAATGTGGTTGGTATATCATGGTGTATCTTCACAAGCAGCGCGCAAGGGGTGAGCTGAAAATCTCTGATGCTGCCTCACCGAGGCAATGCCATTCATTCATGCTATTGATTTTTTTTTTGGCTTCACTGCTGATGTTGTTGTTTTTGATTTCTCAACCATTATTCAATGACTAAAGAATTTTTCTTGGTTTCACCTCTTTTCCATCACTGGACTTGGTCTCACATCATCCCAACGCTGCAGCTTGATGTTGATTTCGTCCTTCTCATTGTGCTCCTTTTGTTCAACCCTTCCGTCAGAACCTCATTCAACATGGACGACGACAATCCGCCTCCGAGAAAGCGATCTCGCTTCTTCGAAAATGGTAGAAGCAAGATTGGCAGCATCCTGAATCCGTCGAGAAGATCATCCAATCGCCAACCTGCTCCCTCCAACCAGAATGCCTCATCTTCTCATTCAGCTACGGGGAACAACAGTCCACTTGTCGACAATCCGGCCTTCACAGAGCCACGGCCCCCTCTTTCATTTCGAGCAGACTTTAATTCCGATCGGGTAACAGCTGGGCCGTCGCGGCCGCTACAGGAGAATCCTCGTGGCAGCCAAGAACCTGGTTCCAGACCCAGCAATCAAGAACGCTCCTTTGGAGATGCTCCCTCGTCATCAGCGATCTCCATGGCGGAGGAACATGAACTTGACGAGAAGGCCAAGAAACAACAACGTCGGAAGGGCATTTATGGCCTGGATTCACTTCGAGCGCAAAGCAGAGAACATGACAGTGGCGAGGAAGATGACGAGGGAGATGACCATCAAGACAACGATCAAGACGATATTGTGGGACAGTTTCCTATCCCTGGTGTAGGACCCCATGCATTTGGGGGTATTCCACGCCAATTTACCTTTACGGGAACTGCGTCTTCTACACCATTGCCTCGATTGACGCGCCCGACCACTGATCAGGTTATGGCTGAGCAGCATCCAAACACACCACAGCGTATGATTCCAATGATAGCTCCGGGGACTCCCAACGTGATCCACGGCAAGACAGGCGAAACTCACGCGACGCCTCCTCCTCCAGATCTCCCTCCCCCGCCTCCTCCAAAACCCTACGTCGACATGGATCGCGACTCTCGTGGCAATCGAATTCAGTATCCGATCTACCATCCCGGTATAGCACCCCACCCCTCTCAACCCGTCTATGCCAACTCGTCAGGTCGCCCAGCCTACCGGCTTGCTCAGTTTCCAGATTCCTCGCCTCCGTACGACGGCCCCACCTCAGACACTCTTCTCACCTCGCCGAGGCGTCTACAGCGTGCTCAACAGCAAGCAAGGATCAGCCTCAAACGTAAGCGGGTCGACCCTATACTCCCACCGCCTGCGTACATCTACACCCACACGGACAACCCCAGTTTCAACGTCTTCAACGGCATCCTGCTGTACCCTGAGCTTGTCTTTGCATTGGCCTCCCACCTTCCGGTTAAGGATCTCGTGAGTCTCTACGCCATCTCCAAGGACTTCCACACCATCATCGACACCAGGTTCACAACAGTGGTCCTGAATCAGGCACTCACCAAGGCACCCGAGTCGGCACGCATCTTTGGCTTCCGCACTTACGGATCTCTGTGCCGGACCGATCCTGCTGCCCGTATTCCACACCCCGATGCTGGAAAGGCGGCACAGAACATCCCGCGACGAATTCCATCGTTCCGATGGCTCAAGATGGTCCTCCATCGCGAGAAAGTCGTCCATGAACTCGTGACTGTCTTCGCTGAGGATGGCATTCCGCTACCGTTTCGCTGCCGTTTGGCGCTCAAGAGACTGTGGTTCCTGCTTGACATCCCCGACAACGCTAGACGTATTGGCTATGTGCACAATGCCCGCCTGCTGTCGAACCTGGATATTTATTTCGCCGCGTGCTTCTTCGTGAAGCTGGACCTGCGCCTGAACGACCCCCGAGCCAATGACAAGAGAGACGGCCTGCGCAAGATGCTCTTGCAACAAAGATCCTTCACCACGATCCTCAGAGTTATCAAGCGCGAAATCTGGCAGACAAAGTACGACGTGCTGCAAGAGTGGGTACGCCAGAGATACATTCCTCGTGGCCACGAACTTGGAGTTCCGATATTCGGCGTTCCTCCAGAGAAGGTTGGGAAGGGCAAGCTGGAGTATTGGGGCGAACGGAGCGCTACAGTACTCGGGCGTCCGCCGAAAGATCTCCTTCGTCCAGATCAACTGATCGTGCGCGAAGCGTTGAGAAGAGGCATACCGCTCGGGAAGGAATACATGCGGCTCATGCTGGCTGGATACGTCAGGCCCGACACCTTGGACAACTATGCGCCCAGAAAGTATGGACGACGGATTGAATACCTCGAGGACGAAGAGTACGAGGTCGACGATATCGTGGGAGGAGTGGCAGCGCTTGGTGTCGATGACGAAGGGTTCGATTCTCTTCTCGACCTTGGACCCCCGAGACGAGGAAGTAGGTGGATCATCGAAAAGGAGAAGATTCATCGCAACGAGATGGAATTGAGAAAGGAAGAAGAAGAACTCGCAAAGATGTGTGTCGAATGGTGGAAGAACGAGACCACAGGAGCCACCAGCGACAGGATGGACATTGAAGATGACTTTTAAGGCGACCAGTGGTCTGTGGAAAGCAGTTCAACATCCCAGGAATAACGGAGAAATGGGAATTGTGAAACTCTGAGGTGGTATTGTGTTTTCGATCCCCAAACGAGGACTCACACGGCTGGGTGATACTTGGATTCAGAGGACCAGAGTTGTGGTCACTCGAGCGGAAGCACACGACATCCAAGCCATGCAACATCTCTTTCGAAGAAGCCTCAACTTGATGTTCAGCGCCATCAATCTTCTTGAAGCTGAATCCAGTTTCTGTTGGAAGTACGAATAATGACTTCGCTAGGAGCTCTCATTAATTTCAATCTCTGTCTCAATCTGACAATGCACAAGCAAATCAGCTTACCATTACTCCATTACGGACCAGGATCTCGCGCCCGTGATATTCGAAGCGGTATCGCCGAGAAGGAAGAAGACGCCGTCAGCAATCTCATGCGGCCCTCCCATCCTCCCCAGCGGTACAGTATCCATCATGGCCTCTGCCACATCTTGACGATTGTCAATTAGTCCCCTTGTGATAGCTGACGTTGTGAGGCCTCAAAGACCGACAGTCCAGTCAGGAGTCGTATCAGCATGTGCATGTCTATCAATTCATTGACGTCACAGGTGTATACCTATACCTTGGTATCGTAATGGGTATCGTAATGGGTATGCGCAGTCTTGGGTTTTTGGGAGTCTTGGTGCTCCAGAGTCTGTAGTCTGGGAGACTGAGAATCTTGCTTGAGAAAAGGTCTATTTCACTCACCTGGAGCAAGAGCGTTCACTCTCACACCTTCCTTTGCCCAATCCAAAGCTCAATCACTCGCGAAGAGCAACTAAGAATTTGGCAAATAACGGGTCGTCCTGGGCGTCAATTTAGACAATAAAACTACGAAGAGAAGCAAGAAAGGTCGCCTGCCCAACATAATCTAATCACTCGATCAATTGCGCCCCCCAAATGTCACTCTACAGCTTCGCCAGTGTATCTGCATACGGCTATTGACCTGCCTCCTTGCTATAGAGTACCGTCACTGTCCTGCTGCTCACCAGTTGAAATGCTCTGGGTAAAAGTCGATCTGCGCGTTTTCATCTCCCAAGGCCAAGACGACCGCAGCCCGGGTGTCATCGGTCAAGCTGGCCGGTCCGCAGCAGACGACTGCGAGTTTTCCTCCCGTCGACTGACATTCCTGCGCGCTGGCGAGGACGAGGTCCTGGACCCAAGGCCGATTCTCAAACAGGTTGACACCTGTGGCGAGCTCAACTGTCTTGATGCGCCGCTCGTCGTCGCTATGACCAGCCCCTAAAGAGCCCCCCGGCGACAACGGTGTGACAGTGGCCGCCTTCATGGCGTTGTCGACAGGCTCGATTGAGGACACGTTGGTTTCCTTCTCCATGGTCTTTGTCTGTTTCGTTGGTGCATTTTCGATCTCTTCCTCGTCGGTATTGCTCATAAGATCGCTGACAGACATCTTGACCGATTGTTTTGTAACATGTATCTCGACCTTGAAGTCGACAGAGCCGTGGGAGCGAAGAGCGGCGATTCGAGACGACAGTTCCCGTTCGTACACGTCCTGAAAAAGCGCAATGTCACGCATCGCCCACACCAGTCGCACGGCGCGTAACTTCGAAGGTAGCTTCTCCGTGAGTGTCTCGTGTAGAGCCTGAATGTGGGCAAGCGCCACAGTGATACCCATGCCGCCAATTACGAACAAGGCAGAGTCATAAAGCTCGACGCTGTGTCCAGTGCCGTAGGGCCCCTCAATGATGACCCGAAGACTCTTTTCAGGCGACAGAGTACCGTCTTCCTTTTCCTGTCTCGTGACCAATTGGTTTCGCAGTCGGGCCGTGAAGCCCTTTTGAGGCCGTAACATGAAGGATATTGTCTTGTCTCGCCGAGGAGCATCGCTCTCGGCCGTGTTGTCGTTCAAGTCCCACGCAGCGAGGGTAAATGGGTGACTCTCCCAGAACTTGGCCCCGTGGAGGGTGTACAAGTAGTAGTACGTCCCTGGGGATGGTCGCACTCCAGTCCTAACGAATACCTGGATACGGATGGTGTCGGACTTCGGATTGAACTTGGCCGTGGCCTTGAAAGGTGCGAAGTTTAGAAGGGCGATTCGACCAAGTCGCAGGGCACGGTCGAATGACCACAGCGCCACGCACGTCCATATGTAAGGCTTGTACTCTGCATCATAAGCCTCGACATGACTGCAGCGAGAGTTAAATTTGCCTCCCAAGTTGCAAGAGATTTGTGACTGTCCAACTCACTAGTACATGCCCACGAGAGTCAGAACGCCAAGGACAATATGGATCATCAAGAAAGCGTCGTAGAAGTACCTTCGCATGGGAAGGATAGACAACCCGATGGCGAAGCTCATGGTGAAGGTAGCCTAAAGCGTCAGCGAGGTAGAGTGTGTTTTCGACGCGCCTCAGCCCAAGGACTAATCCAAATCTTGTGAGGGATACTTATAACTTACAATAACACCCATCCAGAAGAATCGTAACGTCCACTCCCTATCATACTCTTCCTTGCCCCCGACTTAAAGATCGTCAGGGATTGCAGCTTTGACCACCAGCCTGTTATTCGGGGAGTTCGGCCACTTACTCATGAATGCACAAACACTGTAGGCGATGCTGTGCACGATGGCCTGAATGGTCGAAACGCGAGCCACCCAACGGTGGAAGTGGTTGAAGGTTGCAAAGTCCCAGCCGGTTAACCACAGCAAAACGTTGTTTCTCGTACCGAATGCCCATATGAGCACCATATTGGCCAAGGATATCACACCAGTACGGTCTGCGACATATCGCCATAACTGTTGATGGGTACTGGTCCAACTACAAATAGTAGTGAGCAGTCTGTGGCCCAAGAGGGCTCGTGGATAATATACTTAAGATTGTTTTCGAAGGCACTGTAGTCCGAGCAACAGAGGACCACATTGATGATGACAAAAGCCGCAATAGTAAGAGACTGTACGCGAGGAGGGACAGTGCACCAAGCCAACGGTTCTGCCGCCCGGTGAGAAAACAGCGCAGGCGTAGAGATGTACCGCTTAGTTATCCGCTGTATGCCGGAAAACAGGGGAGGCGTCGTGGACTCTTTGAAATACTTGTCATGAAGATGGACGTGGGCGTAGCTGATGACACGGGACAGAGTCCCGACGAAGATGACGATGCCAAAGAAGCCAAACATGGCGTATCTTTATCGCCTGTAAGTTATGATGCTGTGCGTGGATGGCGTGGACGAGTAACTCACCCATAGTTTGCACGATTTACCACCGACTTATCCCAATCCATCTGATCCGAGTGTAAGTTTTGCGCACGGGATTTCACCAGGTGCGATACTTACCTGGGTACGAAATGAGAGCTGAAACAGAGTCTTTACGATGAATGCAGGAGTATCGTAGTACTGGACTTCGTTCATAGTTTCAAGGTCGATCCGTGGCCATTTTTGCACCATAGCATCGGTAATGTTGTCAATGAAGCTGAAGGGTAACAGGTCCACGAAGGCCTCCTTGCAAACACCGGTGAAGTACTCCATTCCAGCTTCGATATGTTTCTCTGTACAATAGCTTCGCATGCATACGAAAATGGTCTCGACTCGTGGAACCACGGCACACTGCTGAGCGTAGTAATTGTCCAACGGTACTGTACTGTTAAACTGGAGGATTGAACCGACAGTTTGACAGGCCAAGGCACATTCCAACTTGTCACACAGAGCCGTACCAAGCAGGAGAAGGAGAGCTGAAAAGCCCCATAGAAAGAGCCTCATAGTGGAATCACCAGGTCACCAATGGAGCATACACACATGCCATGGGCATGGGAGGGACGAAGTTTCGACGCGCGTGGCCTCCTCCATGGCTTTATAGCTTGTCTGCCCCTCTCCTAGAACCACATCGAAGAAGACTCCTGCAAACATTCTTTGGTAGACTAGCATTGTCGGGATTGCATCCATCGCCCGCCTCTGCCTCTTCTTGGCCATCGATTGCTAGGCCAAAGAAAGAAACAAGCGCAACAGAGGAGAATGGATACCTTGCCTCACCTGCGCTAGTCCTCCACAAGAAGTTCTGTTCAGATTAATGCACCCAGGACTGCGGATGGCGCGAGACAGGGAAAATATGGACAAAGTTTGGTGCTATGCCAACATGGCCTCTGCTAGCCGTTTTCTCCCCTCGTAAACTAGTAATGATGTCGCCCAGAGGGGATTGGGGAACAGAGGGCCAAGATACGGATGCACATGCTTGTTCAAGACTGAAGAAGGGTAGACAGAAATCGGCAGAGCTTGACATGAGGGACTGCTCTCTGAGCTCAATGGCGGAGGTCGAGTGTGGTTGTCTCGAGGAAAGTGAGAAGCGTGGGCGTTGAGACACCTGAGGCGACTGATTAGATCAAACCTTTTTTGTTGTCTGATAAGATATTATTGATAAGATTATCTCCCAATCTGCTGTCACCATTGGACATGTCGCCGCGATTCGTATTCGATGCTTTTAATGGTGCAGCCTTAGTGTGAAGACGTCCGTGAGCACGTTGAAAGTTTGCACTCCCATCTGGAACTCCCAATAGTGAGCTCATTCTGTTAGTTTCGACAGCAAACAAGAATCCTTTCTGTCTCCACTGGCTATTCTGAGGGAAGTCTAGTCCCAGGCCACTCCTCCACCTTCGTCGACGATGCCTCTACCCTAGGGCCTAAACGAACAGGAGCAACTCGATCACACAGGTTATGGTCACTAACATCCTCCAGCGCCTGGATCGGCAAAGAAAACATGACTGTATCGTGATTGTAAATGTGACACACGACCCTCCATCCTCTTCCGGCATCTGGTTCACAACTGATAGCTATCTTGGATTTCCTTAGTTCCTCCTTTAGTAACAATTGCATTATTGCTTCCTAAGCGTCCCAGAGAGACATCCACCCTCCACAAGGCCACTTCCAAGTTGTGGAGAAACTCTTTCAGAGCCTGGCGCTTGGATGTGCTTGAAATGCATAAAGCTTGATTGCAAAGGTAGAAGCTGCCTCGATAAGTATGCTGGTAATGTTACCACAAGGAAAAACGACAAGCATTCCTGGGGCCGTGATAAGCACCGTTGTGTCTCATTCTCCATTTCTGAATAGTTTGAAAGCCTGTGAAGGTATTATCTTTAACTGGGAAAGAGCTTTCATGTTGGGAGCTGGGATACAGGATTCGGTTTGGGTCCACTCATTCATATGACTATGGTGGTCACTGAAAGATCGGTCAGCCGATAGGATGTCGTGAAAGTCCCAATCCGAAAACCGCGTGGCAGTAGGCAATAGAGCGCATGTTGTTCCAAGTGTAGGTCAAGGTGCGCTGATATACTCCGGAATCCGGATAGATGTATTCTTGCGCACTGTTGTCACTCTCTCATCAATCACGCACCGCAGGAGCTTTCCACGGCTTCAAATACGCAGTCAAAGCACTCGCGCCACTAGCGAGCATACACGACCCGGTAAAGAGCACGACGGCCTTGTACTTTGTGGCACCGTAGTCAGCGGAATGAGCAGTTGTTGAGGAGGAAAAGTCGTCAATCAAGAGATTCGCTCCAATAGGACCGGCAAACACGTTTCCCAGGCCCTTCCCAAAATTGAACAGCCCAAACGCGGCAAACGCGGCGGTCGTGTCGCGTGTGACGTTGGTGCCCATCCTCGCCCACACGGCCGTGTACCCTGCTCCGAAGAAGCCGTACAGAACGGCAAACAGGCACAGCAGGCCAAAGCTGCGCGCGAGGCCCCACAGCGTCAACACGGCCGTGGCCGAGACCAGCGTCGACGTGACTGCAAGGGTGTTGACGCTGAAGCGTCGGTCGGAGAGGTAGCCGAAGCTGAACTGGCCCAGTACCTGCGCCACGCTCATCACGGACAGGAGCAGTGCGCCGCGCCGCGAGCCCATTCCCATGGTCGTCGCCGCGTACGACGGGAGGTACAGCGACGGGAAGAAGTAGCCTAACCCCTGCATCAGGTTGGAGAGAGTGTATATCCAGAACAAAGGCACATGGAGAAAACTCCAGTCTGTGTGTGGTGTTGGGGTGGGGGTGGGGGCGGTAGTGGGTTGTCGCTGTTGTTGAGGAGAAATAGTCGTTCGTCCCTTGAGGAAAGGGATTAAAGGACCCGTGAGAATGGCTATCCCGATCGCCACGGACCGCAACGTCGTCGACAGGCCGAATTTCTCCAAGAGAGCCTCGGGGGTGACGGGCATAACGACGCCCGAGAGTCCCGACGACGCGCACAAGATGCCGTACGCCATGCCGCGGCGCGCGACCCAGAGCTCGTTCACCATGCCGAGGATTGGGTAGTAGAAGAGCGTGAAGCCGACGCCGTACATAACACCCTGGGTGAAGATGATGGTGGGGAGGTTTCTTGCAAACGAGCTAGCGAGGACGCCGACGATGCACATTGACCCTGGACGGTTTCGCAAGTCGAGGATAAGTAAAAGAAAAGTGCCGTGAGGTGAGGTTATCATATAAAGCGGCCAAGGTGAAAGAAATACAGAATAAGGGTAGAGGAAGACAGAGGGGCAACGTACATCCAACCCAGATAATCGAGGTTCGATACCGCCCCAGACGTTTCAGCAACGGGATGATCAACGGTGCGCCCATGTAGGATATCCCTGAGGCGACTGTCCCAACGACCGAGACGTAAGGTTGGTTCGCATATTGTGGGAGGCGGGAGTAATAGTTTTGGAAAACACCAAAGGATAGAGGAAAACCTATGTATGTGCGCCATTGCGAGAAGGCCATGCGTAAGTCATTCCATATTGTCAACTCTGGGACTCGCCGCAACACACCCAGTAGAGGTCCTCGCTCACAGAGTCAAGTAGGATTGGGGAGCGGTGGACATGAAGATGGGTAGATACATGTAGGTAGAGGGATCGAGTCGAAACTCACCCCAGAGTAAAGCCTCGAAGATAAACGCAGAGAAGAGCATTCTCCATGCCGCACGGCCTCGATCTATCGGAGGCAGGTCTGGTACTGTATCTTCTTCATGGCCGTTGTGAGTATTCTCGAGACTCTCGCCTCGGCCCTCTACGGCGTCATTTCTCGATTTTACTGTTTCCAAAGCGATGGAGTCGTTGGTGTCACTCTGCGCCATGTCGTAGCGGTCCGGAGGAGTACTTTTGCGTGCGTATTATATAGTCTGTATCTGGTGTGAAGTGATAAGGTACAATTATAGTATTTCGTCAAATTCCAGTAGACAAAAAGATAGATAATATCATTACAACTGTCATGGTTGATCGACAACGATATCTGAATGCGCACAAGTAATTGAAGCACGATGAACTGAGCCGAGGTAAAGGCTTACTTCCCAGTTGAGAATAGTTTTGTCACTTATAAGCATCGACCGTCTTAATCATAGGTCCTAGGCGCCTACAGATGACGCCTAACATTAGGCATCGCCGCCTAAAGCTTAGGGGGCGTTAAGCTGTAGGCTCACTAAGTTAGCACATACTCAGTTAACTAACTAGCCTTTCTTCTCTTTATCCCCTTCTCTCGCAACTTTCACCGTCTCTTTACTCCTTAATCAGAAAGAACAGAGTTTCAATACAATATTTGTATGAGGAGATCTCTCTCATTAATTTCATTTCTTGTCTTGTAGTGAAGCACTAATTTTTGTAAACTCTTTGAGTATTTGTTGATTCCAGTGATTATGATGCTGTTACCTGTGTCAACGCTAACTTAGTGGACTAACCCAGTCAGAAAGGGTGCGGTGCGTAATAGCCACGAATGGGTGCGTTTTATCCTTTACATCCTTGTTGTGACTGGACGAATGCACATCTAAACTTCTGATGGGGAGAACAAATTTGACTCACGCTTAAGCTCATGGAGATCAATTGAAGTTTATGAGCTTGAGACACCACCCCATGGATGGCGCGGCCTTTCCCCTGCGAAAAGCTGGACTAAGACTACATGTGTACTATTTTTGGTCTAGAAGCCAAATGAATCAAAATCCTAATATTCAGACGTCCCAATCAGTCAAAGAGTGTGTGTCATGAGCCTGCGTAAGCTCACAAAAAAATGCCTCGTCTAGGTAAATAACTTCTGTTCTCCCGAACCCCTATAAAATGCCAGCTACATCAAGCCACACGGTGCTTGGAGAAGAAGAACCCTTCAAAAATTTTGTTCTGGAATCGATGGGAACCGTTGCAACGCTGGAAAAGGGTGGCGTCGAAAGCCCCCATTTCAAGAGATCGCGCGACCACATTAACAGGTGAACACCTACTCTGAATATCACAGGCAAATCGCCGAACCTCGGGGAGCCCTCACAACCTTGGGCTTCATATGGCATCCCCTTTCCAACAGATGGAGGACTAGGAGCAAGCCAGAACAACACGAAGCAACCAAGAAAGAAAGAAAAAGACCCATAAGAGAGATTGGGGCAACTGTGAGTGACTAGGCCATGGTATTAGCTTCCCAAAGACTGACTGCGGTTTCAAAGCAATGTACCGAAAATGGCGTATGTGATCAAGGCACTGTCCTCCCCTGGATCCAGGAAACCGGTCACCAGGGCTGCCACGACTCAAATAGTGGCACGAGCGGGCACTCAATCACCAGAGAACGAACTGGGCCTGCAGGTGGATGGTGTCTCAAGGGTCAGCACCCACGATGCCCTCGACGGAGAAAAGCCTCGACTCCTAGACCGATATCTCGACGCTGTTGTCACTGCTTCCGGATCTTCCCTGGCTCTTCTGACTACCGCATGTCTAATCCTTCTGTGGGCATTCATGGGAATCCGTTATGGGCATTCGGAGGACTGGCAAGTGGTTATATCCGACGTGCAGGCCGTCTTCTGTTATATCTTTGACTCCCTTCTGGTCAGGCAGCAGCTCAACTCCTATGACAGAAGCATCAGAATCTCGGTAACCTTGGTTTCGCGATCTGGTAGCGTCAGGCGCATGCTGAGACAGGTCGCAAATTGCGAGTTGGGCACCGGCATCTCTACCAGGGACATGGCCCGAGACCCCCAAATCCAATCCGAGTGGTCGGCCGGCCATAACCAGGAGGATTGGATCAGTCGGACCATTTCCTTCGTCGGCCGATTATTTGGCCATGTGGTGACGTTGATATTGTTCTGGATTGGAATCTTCGTCTGGCTTGCGTTCGGCGACTACTGCCACTGGGATGTGCATTGGCAACTGTACATCAATTCCGCGACGTCTGCTTTGATGATGCTCTGCTTCGCCCTTATAGCCTGCACCAGAGAGCAGACCCGGGCGAGGACCGCCGCGTATCTCAATCGCATCTGCGACCTCGATGTGTCGATCGAGCGTCGGCTTCGGCAAATAACCCAAGACACAATCGCCCACGACGAGGCCACCATCTACCCGCAAAAGGTCAACCGTCTTCAACGAGCAATCTCCTACTACGCCGATCTTGTGGGCACGCTGGTGGGGATTGCCTTGCTCACATCGATAATGGCCATTTGGATCGCAATAGGGCCGAGTCTACACTTCAGCTCCAACTGGTGGCTCATCATCGGGACCTACGCCGGCTTGATTGGTATGCATGATGGCTTCGTCCTTCACAACATACAACTGCAGCTCAACCGACACGAAGATTCGGTCATGGCTGATCTTGTGAATGAAGATTCCGGCAACCTCGCCGTCGCTGGCCTCACCAAGGACTCTCCTGCTCCCAGTGCCAGTGCCATTGCCACACCCAAGCCAAAATCAAGCATTACACAATCGTTGTCCTGCCGGCTGTCTTCTATTTGTGCGCACGAATACTCTGTCATCTTCGGCATCATTGTGATTGTCGGCCTGATTATTGCTGCTACGGCATTAAACTGGTCCGTCACAGGCCAGCTCCTGTGCAACATACCTCCCAGCATCATCGAGACTTTCGTCATGATGGCCCTCATCACGAGCAACGAGTTGGATGACAAGAGACAGTACGATCGTCTAGGGGAGCTTGTGGCAGCCAGAGAGATGCTGGCCACCTGGCTTGACGGAATCGAAGTAGCTGGGGACCTGGAACCCGAACAGCTGGCGCAAGTTTTGAAGACCGCGTGATCCGGAAGTAGAATGGAGCTTGCGAAACTGCACACTTACACAAGTAGAAAATAAAACTTTCGACTCAACTCGAGCATCTTGTCCATTGAAATAGCTGCGTTACACTTTATCAGCTCCCAGCTCCCGTAGCATCTCTACGCATGCCTCATCAACATGTCAAGCCTCGTCTGTGCTATGTAATTTCTCTCCCAATCACGTTGCTGATGGCTGCTATTCAAACCAGGTAAATTCATGGCTTCGTGCAAACTTGCAAACCCAGTATCAATTTACTAAACCCACCAAACACTCGTTTTTCAAACATCTCCATGGTGCTTCTCTATTGATGGTCGGGACGTTGTCTAAAGCCGAACAAGGTCATGTTGCCTGTCAAAAAAGATAGTCCAGACCATCATCGGCCTCTTCCTGAAGGGTAGCCGGCCCCTGGTATTGTGAAAGTGGTCGTCCATCCCCATCCTCGACTACAAGTGGTGATATCGAACGGGTAGAATTTCTGTCGCATTCATCGGTTCTGTTGTCCTGTTGAATCAAACGAGATTCTCCTCGATTCTCGTCATGTGCTTCGTGTGGAGCCTCCATGCTATCCTGAGCCACTTGATCGTCAGATGAGTCTTCAAATGCGCGAGTATCGAGTGTTCCAGCATCCTGAAAACTTGACGCGGCAGTACTAATGTCCCACGTGTCGTCATTGCGGCCAGTCGAACGCTGATCAACTGCTTCGTTTTCCAGATTATCTTCAACGTCGGCACCATCCTCCTCAAGGAAATATTCCTCGAAGCATGCTTCTAACGCATCCGAGTCCTCATCAGTCCCGGCACCGGTCTGGTCGCCTGGTTGAGCGACGACGCGACTTCCAGTGGAATTCCGTTCCGATACACCTCTTTCTGGCATTTTGCCTTTGACTACTGCGTCGTCTTTGTTGTTTGTCTTCGCTACCAGCCCCTTGTGATGAGCAACTGTTCTTTTACGTGCCGCATTGTCCCGGCGAGAGTCTTTCTTCTTTTTCTCCGCCTTGCGCAAACTGAGGTCGAAGGTTTCCCTCTCACGCCGATTGGAGATCTCTTGGGCATATTGAGGGCTAGGCTTCATGCCCAAAGCCTTAGCAAGATGGAGATTGGCCACAGGTCCTTGCCATCGTTCAGTCTTGGCCCAAAACTCTGCTGTGGTGAGTCGCTTCTTAGGAGGCTGCGACAAGGAATTGTCATCGGATACTTGCGGTGGACTTGACTCGGGAGTAGCTGTGATAAGAGGAGCTGCTGTGGTATCTGTCGAGCTTGCTGCCGAAGATGCATCTGGGCGTGTCCTTGATTGACTGCGAGGACGACGGTGACGACGGTGACCACTGTCGATTTCTTTAGGTGCGAGAGCTAGGCTTGCTTGCACAGCAGGTTGTTCTCCAGGCAGACGGGCTCCTGCAAAACATAGGGCATCGTTAATGTGGTCCCGAGGAACCCCATTGTCATCGCCACCTGTAAGATCAACAATCTCGACCGACTGTCGGTACTGCCCATGAACATTTTGCTGCCGAGACTCAACTTCGGAGCTCCTGCGGAGACCATGGCTGTGGAAGGCTCTATTTCTATTGGTGTTGATATCGATGCTGGCTCGGAGACCCTGGTAGTGCGCAACGAGAAAGTCACACCTTCTCAATATTGTAGCGTTGCGCTGTGGGTGGAGATTCTGGATGTTGACTGCCTGAACCCCGTTGTCTGTAACCTCAAAGGCAAAAAAGTTCCTCATTTGAGCATATCTCTGTGACATGGTTCGGCCTTCTCTCAACAGCCGATCAGTCGCTGCCCTGAGATTGGCGTTGTCTTGTTCCAACATCGCAATATGCTGGGTAAGTGTCATCATGGCGTCTGCCTGGCCGACAAATCCCTCATTTTGGTTGTATGCTGTCTGAAACTCTCCGAGGTTGTTGGCGGAAAGGTCTGCAGCGGGAAAACCTGGACTATAAATATATCCACCTGCCATCTTTGTGGGCATAGGCTGGAGAACAAAGTTGGGAGGCTCATTGTAGCCGGGTGTCATGCCGTTCGATGGCAGAATGTTGAACCCAGGGTTGCCACCGGAAGAAGGGAATGACTGTGGGTTTTCTGGATTGTAGATATTTCCCATTTGAGAAAACTGTGCGGCATGCTGGTTAAACCCGGTGTAATCCATCTTTGTAGTTGGAAGGTGAACTGGCCGCACGTGTTCCGGTTCGAACTGTTTGAGTCTCAAGAGGCAGAGGTAGAAGCTGAGGCTGAGGCTGCTCAAGTTCAAGTATTTTCTAGAAGATCGAAGGTAGCGAGTCACAAGCAGGCTGTAGAGAGGGAGGGCAATGGTAAAAGAACGATTCCATGAAGAGTGCAATTGAGAGATCCGGTGTTTTGGATTGCACTGCTGAAGGTCCTCAAGAAGGCTCACAGGCGTCTCTTAGCATCAAACTCCTGAGGACCTTTGCCGCACCAGCGAATTGCGCGCAACAACCGGACTTGGGACTTGGGACCAGACTTTGAGGCGGCGCGCAAGTCTTTGTGCGAAAGTGATAGTGACCAGACAGTTTTTCTCAACCTACTCCCACCATCACATCGCGCAGCGCAAACCCGAGCTGGCGTCCCAGTTCTCTGCTCACCTGGACCTGCGGGGGTGACATGCTTGCTGCCCGTTGGGCGGGGGATTACAATAGGATGGTTGGCCATCTCGTGCGTGAATGGAGTTCAAAACACCCTCACTTCGCGTCCATAGACTTCTGTGACTGTGACACCGCACACGACCCCAGAGTTACATGTAGTTGTCTTTATCATCAGTGACTGAGGTTGGCGACTGACCAAACAAACATCGTCACTCCGATAACAGCCCTTATCTACACAGCCACGCCTATTGGACAACCGGAACAAATTATCCGACGATGGCCGAAGAACAGCCGATAGAGATCGTGACAGCCTCGATGGCTTCCACCACCCTCACCACCACAGATTCCTCGCCTCAGCCGTCTCAGTCTTCCACTGCCGCCTCTCCGCTATTGCCTTTGCTCCCTGCAAGAGTCGCAGTCGTTCCCAAGAAGACCGGCACTTTTTTCGAGCACTTGGAGGATGAGCAAAAGGTCAACATGAGTGTCATTCTCTGCACAGGTATGTTGAACTGAAATTCAAGCCTGGAAGACGGATGCTAATGTTTACCGTGTTCAGCTGGCTATGACCACACTATCCGGTGCGCATGAGGCTTCTCTGTAGCTTTTAGTCTACATGCTAACTTAATTTCCTGACAGGTTCTGGGAGGCTCTCTCGGGCATCTGTTCTCGAACGATCCAACATCCCGAATCGCAGGTGAACCGACTATGCATTACCCCGGACAAAAAGTACCTAGCTGCAGCCGGCCGGCACATGGTGCGCCTCTACGACATCAAATCGAGCAATCCTAATCCGATCATGCAATTCGAGGGCCACACAAACAACATCACTGGGGTCGCGTTCCATTGCGAGGGCAAGTGGATGGTGACCAGTTCTGAGGATTCCACTGTAAGAGTTTGGGACACACGATCAGGCCAGATTCAACGCAACTACCAACACACTCACCCGGTCAATGATGTTGTCATCCATCCAAACCAAGGTGAATTGGTCAGCTGCGATCGCGGTGGAAACATTCGCATCTGGGATCTGGGTGAGAGTAAATGCACACACCAACTCGTCCCAGTCGAGGATGTCTCCATGGCCAGTGTGAGCGTTGCTAGTGATGGATCTCTGCTCGCCGCAGGCAATAACCTCGTATGTTGGATGACTGCTGTCCATTCTCTTAACCGCGCTGACTGTGATTACAGGGTGATGTCTACATCTGGCGCATGTACCAAAATCACGACTCGACCACCCTCTTGCCATGCCGCGTCTTCAAGGCCCACAAGGACTATTTGACTCGCTTGCTACTGTCCCCAGATATTAAGTTGCTGGCGACATGCAGTGCCGACCACACAGTTCGGATTTGGAGAATCGACATGAACGAAGAACACCTCGAAGTCATTCCTGAGTCAGAGAACCAAGCGGACGGTGCGAACCCAGCCATGTCGCAGGGCCAGCCAAATCTCAATGGCAAGTTAGGTGATTCACAACCAGCAGCAAACCCTGTTGTGCCCGGCGAACCATCGACTTACTTTCAATCGCAATCAACCGGTAGCTTGAACTCTGTCTCACAGTCGATGTCGGCATCCTCATTCCGTGCATTGAGCGACTTGATAACCACACGTCGTCCTCTTCCTTGCAACGCAGTGTTGGACAATCACCAGCGCTGGGTGTGGGACTGTGCATTCAGTGCTGACTCGGCCTACCTGGTGACCGTCTGCAGCGACCATTATGCTCGTCTTTGGGAACTGGCTACCGCTAGTATCATACGACAGTACAATGGCCATCACCGTGGCGCTGTTTGCGTTGCTCTCAACGACTACTCCAACCCACCATAGGAAGGTGACGAAGAGAAGTGAAATGATTTCCATCTGAAGCGATGGCGCATGGCGTTCAACAGGATCACCACAAAAGCAATGTCTTACGATTGGCATGGGCAATATCTTGACTTATTGAGCATAGCATACTTCGGGAATGACTTGGACATGGATCACAGGTACTTGACTGCATGGGGTGGTCGAGCTTGTGGACCTCGCTTACTACAGCCTACGTGTTGTAAGGTTCGCGGAAGGGCAAAACTTCGAGAGATGCTCAAAGAGGCCAATGAGCTCGATATGTCGAGATTCTTATTATGCAGTATTACGAATTGATACCCAGAAGAGTGACTTGGGATGAGCCCAAACGTGCATATCATGCATTTGGTAAGGATGCCATAACAGAGCTTCCAGTTGGCGCGATGTCCCCCGCGTGGGTACCATCTGTTCCAGATTTCTCGACTTGTGCTGTTGAATTTCGTTTTCCCATATGTGCAGGTATGACCTCATGCCGCTACCAGTCTAAGCACGAAATTAACCACAACAGCTGCCAGCAGTGCCAACGCCAATACTGTAGGTCCGATCCTGTCGTCGAACCCTCCTTGCCCTCGAACGCGAATGGACTTGGCGCGCCAGTGGAAGGTGAAAAGGGCATAGACCATAGCCGCCATGGCAACGAGTGTGAACAGGCCGGCAGAAATGCGGCCTACCTTATCACCAAAATTGAGAAGGCCGACAGCCAAACCGCCGAGGATAACGGTGAAGTTGAGCCATGAGAGGAACGTTCGCTCGTTTGCGAAGAAGACTTTGGGTTCAACACGGGTTGGAAGGGCAATTCGTTTGCCTAGTCATAGTGTCAGTACAGCGGCGCACTGTAGTCACATAAGAAAATGAGCACATGGTTCCTACCTGGGGCACTTTGAAGGAGGGGTTGTTCGGACATTGTGTATGATTGCTTGTTATACAGACGGATCAGGTACGGAGATTGCGAGCCCAGTTGTGTTGATTCGGTGCTGGCTGAGAGTAAGTAGCTGGATGTAACGGAAGTGTATTTCCCAGAGGGTATGCTCTTTCTCGCTGTTCCCTTGTATGCAATCCGAGTTCAAAGTATATTCCGAGAGGCGTAGATAACCCTGACACCGTCTTGTTTACTGGGTGGATAAGATAAGTCTTTGTGTATAGTTGACAGTAATACCCAGCTCTTGCAGACTCTGGTCTCAACCAAGCCTCGATATACCCTCGGATTGCGAGAGTAACAAGCACCAGACAACACAGAAATGTCGCCGTCCGGTCAACCGCAGATAGTCAAGGAGAGTCGGGCAAGTGCAGGCAGTGCCGTTTCAATTGGTTTGCTCGGATTCTCTTCGAGTTCTTTCCTGCGCTTTAGTACTCGCACCCGCAGTTTTTCGAGCGGATAAATCTGCAAAGAACACAGCTGTAGCGTCAGGGTTTTCGAAGCTCTTTCAGAAAACACCTTCACCAACCTAATAAGAAAGAAGAAAAGCCGCTGCTGGAACTATTAAGCTTCTCGTCGCTCGCTTGCACGACGAGGTCATTGGTGGGGCGATTGACTCGCGACTGCAACCATTCGCAGCTTTGGGGACAGACACGTGCAGAGGTCTTGGAACTGCGCTTGAAGACGAAGATGTCGGCCCTACAGATTGTACGGAAGATCAAATCGGCGCTGGACGCTGGGCCTCTGAATTCTATTTCCCCACATCAAGACGGAGATGAAAGACCGCAGTCAACAAACGACGAACAAGCACCGAGTTCTCGCACACGACTTGGGAAACCTCTACACAACCTTCGGAATACCAGAGTATCCTCTATAGGAAGCCAAAGCTCCGGCACACTCCGATCCCAGCCAGAACGTAGTTTCGTCGATCTCCGGAGACGACTTGCACGCAAAGCATCTTTGCTTGGGCTGCGGGCAAAGTGGTGGAAAGCTGAAATCCAAGGTCGAGAACAAGAGCAAGAAAACAATCGATCAAGTCCTGCGCCGACAGCTGAAGAAGCGCTCCAACAAGGAAGGCCGTTTCCGTGCAAAGCGAAAGATAGTGATAATCCAGTGCTCACGATTCAGCCTTACAACTACAGTAAGGCAAGCGAACGAGATCTTGCTCCTCCAGACCAGGACCACGATACATTCCCAGCTTCTTCTCTGGTTACCATTCAGCCTCCACCTATACTGCCCGACTTTATACAATCCCACCATATACGACCCGATCCTATACAAACAAATCAAGCAGCTCCAGCCTCCAAGCCCACCAAGCCGCGTGATCAATCTGATCTTGTTCAAGCACATATCCTAGCTCAGCAGGCAAACTATCTCCGTGAAGAAATAGCAGACGGCATCATCAGCATCAATATGTCTGGCGAACAAGCACCCCCTCCAGTTCCTTACACTCGCCTGAAGGAGATCACCGAAAATGTACAACTTTCCTTCCCACAAATTGCCCTCTTTCCTTCAAGGCTCTCCCGAAGCACCTTCCGGGTACACTGATCTTATTGCTAACGCTACCTGCAGGCCTGTTCTAGTGCCCTTTCAAGTGTGACTTCATACTCTCATGCTGAGACCGAGTCTTGGAACACAACCATAATCAACAGCATTCTTGGCGCTCTGGTGGAGGAGACATCGAAGTCAGGATCGGCTTCTTCCTCACAACCACAGTTCAAATACGTCGTCAACAGCACCATTATCCAACACGCGTCCTCGTCGTCAGACAGCCCCAGGACTGCAGGTCGCCGAGGCATGCACGCGGCCAGCGGCGCGTACTGGAACAACGAAAAGGACGGAATGTGGAGCTACAAGTATCCTGGGGCCGAGAGCAAGGGACTTGACGTGGTGGTGGGAATCATTTGGATCTGGGTGGGACCAGTATAGAGGTATCAATTGCGGGAGCAGTATCATACCAGTCGAGCCAACGTAGCAAGCACGTTGTAGACGTTTTCGGTTATCTAGCGGCCAAAGATGGAGATGTCAAAAGTGCAGAATTTGTATACGAGAAAAAGTGAAATGCTTTTGAGGGCTATCGGAGGAATCGAGGCAATGAATCGCTCCATTCCATACCTGAGATTCGATTTCTATTTCGTGCTGCTTCTCGTTTTCGCGTGAAAGGGTTTTTGAGTAGCGGTACGTAAGACATCCTCGCAGTGCCAGCTATCAGGCGCACAGAGGGCTGAGACAGCCGGTGATCGCTAACAGTCTTTGGGTCAGAGCAATACAGGGCCGGCTCATTCACCCTAGACAAGCTGACATTCTGATATCCTGAGGACTAGGAGTAAGGAAACGACGGTTCGAATAGGATAGGGTAGAACAGGATACCTCCTCCTTAGGTATGGAGCAGACACCAGGGCTAAAATCTATCTACTTCATACTATGTGGATGCGTACCGACCTAGGTACACAGTGGTATACTTCCCTAGATATCCACAAGACGCCGTTTTCGTCCGTTGGGGAGAGTATGGAGGAGAGAAAAGTCGGATCATTAGTCTGACTCGCTGGATGAAGTGTCGTCAAAGAAGAACTCCCCACATAGCGATTGTAGGGACGGGCACTCCAGCCGTCTATTAACCTATTGAGAGTTCAAATGCCGGCGGAAAAAGACCAGGGCAGTCGTTGTACTTCATTCCTGCGTAGACTTAGGGCCTTAATGGGCGGTATTTGAGGTCACCGCCAGCTTGAGAATGAAGTCGCTACCATATTTACCAATGCCGATAAGAACATATTACCAGATACTATCTAGACAACCGTTGATGCGTAGATGTGGATCTCTTGTGACGATGGATGAAGACACATAAACACATTACAAATAATGGCTGAGATACTTTGAAGTTCCCTCTGGCATTATGCTTGGAAAGGTTCTCTGCAAAACAACCCACGTCAGCGAACTCACCTAGCTCGAAGCGAACATGTATCAGCTTGGCTGTACTGGATATTCTTTATCTCGTAACGTATAAGAACGATGGTAATCAGGTCTGACGAAAGGGCTTTGTTGCTGTAGGCCTTGACAACAATATTCCTCAGAGAAATGCAGATCCCAGTCTTGGAAAGGAGACTTCCGTCTATCTACAGTAGTTGTAATGCTAGTGACGGAGCCGAACTATACTGGATACCAATCACCTTAGAGTCCAATGCCACTCGCTCGCTCACTCTCGACCAAGTAACCATTCCACGCCTGCGGTTTTGTCGTCCTTCCACTTCTGAGCCTGCTTCGACGTTGTAACGCTACCAAAATTACATGCGGTGTGCCAGGGTACAGTGCCACACGGGTCTGGAAGCCCAGATTCTCCGGAATATCCCCGTATATCTGCCCGTCAGGCAAGATATACATCCCACAAACGGAAAAGTATGCTCTGTTCGCAACAACCGGCGCGTTTGGACCGCGTCTTCGCGTTCAACGCCACTTATAACGGCGATGTCTGGTCAGCTTGGAACGCCTTGGCCAAGGAAGCTTTTGTCTCTGCGTCGAGGTCGGCGCCGAGAGAAATCGCTCATCATGTCGCGAGCGGTATTGAGACCTGTATTTCTCGGAGGCATTACCGGGTGTTATTAACGACGGAGCGTCAGAGTACAGGCCTCAAGTCGACTCATCATCATGTTGAGAACAACCACTGCGATGCCTTGGTGGGGGCTTATATGCCGTTCGGACCCATCCAGTCAGGAAGCCAGAAGTCCAGTCCACCAAAAGTGAGATTACCTAGCCCATCATCCAATTGCGATATTGGCATCCCACCAAGCACGGTACCTAGTTCGTTGGTGTTTTCGACAAAATCGACAAAGACATCCCCGTTTACAAGCGCCTGGCCTTCCGTACAGTTCTGCGTTTCAGCGTCGCGCGACTCTTGCTGGCGGCGCTCGGCCATCGATAAAGGCAATGCCAATTTATCAAATGGAGCTCCATCAACATGCTTGCCAAATACTATTGGCCAAGACGCACATAGAGCTGGTCCAAATGGCGACAGAAGTTCTTTCTGGACGGGGGATAAGCCTTTGTAAACGGTCTGCGGCCTCATAGGGCGGGGGCTTAATGAGCGTGATTTCTTGAGTAGGTTTTCGAAGATGCGCTCTGCGCCCAGGGCAGTGGGGAAGCGTTTCTTGAGAATGTCCAACGCTGTGCGGACGGTGTGGATCTCTTGTTCAGCATTTTTTGACAGAGTCGAGTCGCGATGTGAGGAGATCTGAGTCAGCCCTGCGACCAAGAGATAGAAGATATACGCCGGGGCAAGAAACATAACGTCCCCCCACGCCAGGAATTCATCAAAAATTCCCGAGATGAAAGATGCGGATAAGAGGCTTCCCAGAGAAAACGGTTGCATGTGCCCTGGGCTTTCCGAGCGGTAGAAAATGACCAGTGCGACGAAGTAGGGAATGTGCAATTGGCGGGCCTTGAAGTCGTATGGATTGAGGGCGCGTGAGGTTTTATCGTAGAGACGAAGAGCGGGGGGCAATTCGTTGATCCATTGCAGTAATGCCGTTTCGATATTGAGGCGGTTCATCTCGGTCATGCTGCCGCGACGATGATGTTCGGTGATGTCCCCCAGGATTGAGACGATGCGCACAAAAGCAAGGAACAACGAAGCATCTTGGTCGTCGGGGTTGTCGAAATCACTCAGTCGCAAGGGCCGGACGTTGGAATCTTCGAGGCTGACGGCTCGGGGTCGGCCATGGCTCGTGGATATTTGATTGTCCCTAGTCTGCAGTGGCGTGAATCTTAAATGCAACAGATTTGGACAAATGGAGCAGGCCTATATCAACAACAACATCGGGAAGGGTGCCCACTTACCAAAATCGTCCACCATAATCGTCGGCGAAGACGGAAGTCAGGCATATTGGGATCTGGCTCTCGGTGAAGGCCAATTTGATGAGCTAGGCCAACCCCGATCCTGAGCCAAATGCCACTGCTGTCAAGCGAGACATGTTCCGGACCGGATGGATTCCACCATTGCAGAAGAACGGTGGAGATGATGGCCTCCAACGTGTTGCGCCAGGAGCCGTAAGTAAAAAGCGCTTTGGCGTAGAAATAGCACCTCTCTCCCCACTCCCGCGCATTATGCGCCGTGGAGACTTTGCTCCCTGCCACAAGAACCGCCATCAACAGAAGCGAGCTCGAGCTCTGGGCTTCAAGCTGATGGATATCATCCTGGTCAATGATTGGCATCCAGGGCTTTCCTCGATCGAGGAAACTTTGAATCAAACTTTGTCGTAAAGATTGGTGAGGCAGACTGATGACCGATGCGTTTTGAATCATATTAGATTGGAGTTCTGAGAAGGTAGGTGTCCCATTAGAGCTAGGCAACTGATATTGCCTTGCATCATCTTCGTCAACAGCTAAGTCAGTGCTGGTGATGTAGCTGGAACGTCCGAGAAAGCTTGACTGAGGTTCTCGCTGTGGTGAGTGAGTTGAAACCGATGTTGGCGTCGGATCTCCCGAGGCATCATCCTGTTTTTTAGAGCGATCATAGTGCCCGATCAATCGTGGGAGACTTTCTGGCGTCTGGCCGGGGTCGATAGCTATACGGTGGGGTATAGCCGCTGGTTGTTGGAAGTCGGCCTCAACTACCGGAGTGCGTTTGCGCTTTCTGATATGAGGCCTGGATAGTGTTAGAGCCAGTGCGTGATTGAGCTGTCTACTAACTAAGCAGAATCCATACTGACCTGCACTCCAGACCAGCACCATCACAATTGGAACACCGAACCCCCGGTTCGCCAGACGGAGATCGGTGGCATTTCACTTTTCTCACATGACAGGTCTCACATGCGCGTGCCATTAGGTTGTTTCGACGGTCAATTCTGGCCGGAGTTACGTGCTCTGTGGACGATGGGTGTGAGAATGGCAGATGGTGAAGATGGAACCAGCACGGGAGACAAGGTTTTGGTGGCTCGGGTATTTGGAACAGACAAGTGTCGGCGAATTCGGTGATATTCACGGAGTTGGCCGGATCCTGAGCTGGAAAGTTTACCGAGGAAGAAGTTTGGTGACAGCCTCGTTGGCAAGGCTGAATCAAGCCAGACGAGGAGGCTGAAGCATGCATGGTGTCTAGAGGCGCAAAAGTCCATCACTGTTCGCGCCTCACGTGTACACCACGATATATCGTCTCGACGAAAAATACAGGAGGTTCAGCTTACTTGTTGATCTATCCACATTTTGAACCATCTATCAATCAATCACTCTGTGTACCGGCCTTTCATGGCGTTTCCGCTGTCGTGCACCGTTTATAATTCAGAATTCAGACCTCTCTCAACTTCGCTATCACATGACAAGCATATTCATACTACATCTTTCGTCCCCTGGCTTGACGGTCTGTACAAATCAAGAGCAGAGCGACATCTCAGAATATCGCTATAGCATTTGGGGGCGAAGCAATTCCTCCCTTAATGTTCAGCGGTGCACTAGTAAAGAAGAAGGACCATCGCTGACACCTTGCGCAAGCTTCCGCCAACTTTTCCAAGTCCCAGAGTTCGCCTATGGGAGTTCCCCACATCGCAAGCAGCCAGTCGTGAAGACCTAAGGAGCACACAGTAATGTCAGCCGATCTCGAACATTCGTGCGGAGTATAATATGTATCAGCACAAGGTCTCACTGTAAGGCGGCTGAGTCGGCCACGCCTCGAAGGCTAGAGTGTCTGAGGCCACTGCCGCAAAATGTCTACTCCATAACGACTTAACCGTTTCCTCGGTACTATCGAGACCAATGTGTTCATTGCCTTGCGTTCCAGCCGCCTGTTCTTCCCCAGTGCTGTTGTTGTACCACTCCGTCCACCCAGTCCGGATGATCAGGATATCTCCTTGTCGAAATTGGACCCCTTGATGCTGTGCAACTCTTTCAATGTCTGCTACTGTGAGAGGCGTCCGTCGTATGGCCGGGTGCTCCACGTTGTTTGCAACCGCCCAGGAGTGGTAGTCGATGAGAACTCCACGACCAACGATGCCGCCTCGTTCAGACCAGTCTACAGTAGGAGATTGAATATCAGCTCCCCATGTGTGTAGCAAAGCTAACCGAAAATGACGTACAATGAATAGAGTTATCTTTGCATTTCAGATCAGTAATGTCGTCGTGAGGAAGATCGTTGTAGTGCAGCCCTGTGGCTTGATGTCCCCAGTGTCCTAATTGCGGTCAGTAAAATACGAATGAAGAAGCACTTTCCAAACCATACTAAATCCGTCCCACTGGCTACCACTTTGGGTGTTTATTGAGACCTCATCATCATATGCCACATATCCAAGGTGTCGTAAACTGATAATGCTGTGTGAAAACTTCTTTCGGTTCACACCTGGGGTCTGTGGGTGCTCGAAACCCCAACTAGGGCCATGTTAGTCTCCCACACTGATTCGATCCGCGCATATATCCTTCTCACTCACTTTAGACACACACTTTCCCCTGTCTGTATCTCCTCCTTGGCCTTCATCACCGTCATCGGGGTAAGTAAATTCAAAGTACCCAGCTGATCGCGTTGCCCACCTTGATCAAACATACCCCAGATACAGCCATGAGGCATACCGGGGACTTCCGGGATATCTTCCCAGGAAGGCAATCTGAGCGTATCCAACTTCATGGCCGATCACTTCAGGATGTAGCTCCTTATTTGGGGTACCTGGGATTATATTGTAGAACTCAGCCACTTGCGAGTTCTTCGTCCAGAGAATGCCTCTCGTCGCATAGCTTGTTCAGATGACTTGCAAAATGACAAGTTGTAAAAGCCAGCTTTACATCTCCCGACTGTTTAGACGTTTTGAATTCCAAATGGTGGGCCCTTTGAACACATGGGAGATCTCCGCCCGTTAAGGGTAATTCTGATGCTGCCTCGGTCATTGTCGGGGATTTTGCTTGGCCCAGGCCGAAAATCAATTTTCCTTTCGCCGACTGGTGGCTGTCAAGATTAGCCACAGGAGGGACAGCCTTAAGAGATGCTATATTCTCCAAACCTTGGACTAAGTTGAAAGTGAACGCCTAGATTGAGGTGTTGGCATGCGCTGGTCGATATTTTGCTTACCCATACCTGTACGTCGGCCTCGAATCTTCCCAAGAACAATCACAAAGCTCTTCAACCAAACCAGCGAGAAAATATGGCATCGTATCCTCCCGTAATACCCCCAAATGGTCTGTCTACATATCATATCATGATTCAATCGCATGCCAGGGCTAAGGCAAGCTACTAGGCGCAAATTTTACGAAAGTGATTCACAATAACACTTATCCATTCATCGATTCGAAAACAAAGTGTGATCATAGCGGCCGTGCAGTCTTCATATCGGGGGGAAATCGTGGGATTGGGAAAGCCATCGCAATTTCATTTGCTCAAGCTGGAGCCTCGTTCATTGGCCTAGGCTGTCCGGATGGGTTTGGAGATGCGAAAACTGTTATTGAAGTTGCGGCAAAGAGAGCAGGCCGCCCAATCCCCCAAGTCATATGCATTGAACTTGATGTGAGAGACAGCAAGTCGGTGGAAAAGGCAGCCACAGAAGTGCAGAGGTTATCTTCCAGGCTAGATGTCTTAGTCAACAACGCAGGATTTATGACTCCTGCGCTCTCAGTGGTGGACGCCGATGAAGATCTTTGGTGGAAGACTTTCGAGGTGAATCTCAAAGGGATCTTTCTCATGTGCAAGTTCTTTACGCCACTCTTAACCAAAGCGTCCGATGGATTGGGAACAGTTGTGAATATCAACTCAGTCGCAGCCCACAATATCCGTCCGAATGCCAGTGCCTACGGGACTTCGAAATGGGCGGTCCTCAAATTCACAGAATTTCTCTTGGTCGAACAAGCAAATCAAGGGTTACTGGCTTTTTCCATCCATCCTGGAGGAGTAATGACCCAATTAGCTGAAGCTATGCCTAAAGAAACGCATACCGGTAAGCAGGGACGACTCCTATTTCACGGGCGTGTCGAAAGCTAACCCCGGTTAGGTTTCACCGATGACCCTACGTTGACGGGGGATACAGTTGCATTCCTGACTCAGAGGCGTCGAGAATGGCTTGCTGGAAGGTATCTTAGTTGCACATGGGATATGGAAGAGCTTCTCCAGAGGGAAGAAGAAGTTCAAGGGCAAGACAAATTGAAAGTGCGGTTGGTCTTGTAAGACGGCTTCTTTACATGGGCAGCTAGGGAGTAGCGTCTTTGCGGATAGGACGATTGATAAAGAAAAGTCACCTAGTTGGTCGATTAAGGTTTGCAGAAGATAGCATTATCAAAAATCACATATCAAAGGCGCACAGTACAGATAGCTCCAACAGCAGAATATTCCACCATGTCCTGATGGGTGTTATTGATGATATGAGTGATCTACCTATAGCGCCAATGTTATCGCTTTGAGGTCAGTGTACTCCTCCAATGCATGTCTTGAACCTTCTCGCCCCAATCCACTATCTTTGATGCCTCCAAAGGGCTGCTCGATAGCGCTAATAGTTCCAGTGCGAGCACCCACCATACCGACCTGCAATGCCTCTGCTATCCGGAAAAGTCGCGAAATATTTTCCGTATATACGTATCCTGCAAGTCCAGTATTAGCGGAATTTGCGATCTCGATGGCTTCAGCTTCCGTCTGGAAGGCAGAAATTGCTACCACAGGGCCGAATATTTCTTCTTTGGAGATGTCCATAGCGCCGGTCACTTTGATCAGGAGCTTTGCAGGGTAGTAAGTTGATCCTTGTTCGTAGTTGCCCGAGGTCAGGCACTCAGCGCCTTTGAGTATAGCGTCATTGACCAGCCGGTCAACTTTTTCCGCACCCTGCCTTGCGTAGAGAGGTCCGAGCGTGGTGTGTTGGTCCCAGGGTGAGCCTTGACGGATATTTTGCTGGATTGAATGTTGTAGTTTCTCCAGGAACATGTCATGAACATTCGTATGTACCAAAACTCTGTTGGCAAAGATACATACCTGACCAGAGGAGGTGAACTTGCATGCAAGAAGACCTTCGACAGATAATGTTAGCCTGACAATTGGTGATACGGGAATGAAAGTGGTCCTGACCTCGAACAGCTAGATCTAGATCAGCGTCATCAAATACAATGAATGGAGCATTGCCTCCAAGCTCCATCGTCACTTTTTTCAAGTTTGCACCACATCTCTCCGCCAGATACCGACCCACACCCGTTGACCCTGTAAATGTAACATGACGGACCATTGTATGGGAGCTAAAAAGCGAGCCCACCTCTGCTGCCGCTCTAGCAGAGCTTGTCAACATGTTGTATACACCCGCGGGGATTCCAGCACGTTCACTAGTCTTCGCAAGCGCTATGGCGCATAGTGCCGTTTCTGGGGCTGGTTTATGGACAACTGTGCAGCCAACAGCGATTGCTGGTGCGATCTTCTTCAAAACGCCCGAAAAGGGAGAGTTCCAGGGCGTTATGGCACCGACAACTCCAACGGGTTGTCGTATTGTGAAGATTCTCGTCTTACTTTGACCTCCGGAATTGGGAACTGTCTCTCCACCGCATCCTTCCTCTGCCAGGTTCGCAAACCAGTTTACACAATTGATCGCGTAGGTCACTGCCGACAGTGACTCCTTGAAAGGCTTCCCCAGCTCGAGAGTACACAGGGCGGCGAGATCATCGCAAGAAGCCTGGATTTCGTTGGCCCATCTGCGTAAAGATTTCCCTCTGGCATTGGGTGTAGTGGCTTTCCAGGAAACAAATGCGGCGTGCGCTTCGTGGATTGCATTTTCATAGTCGTCTACGTCGCAGTCGGCGACACGAGCTAAAATCTGCTGATCGGAGGGGTCTAGAAGTCACTGAATTAGACCCTTCCACTTCCCCAGCACGTTGTTAGAGCAACAGAAGTTGTACCTTCAACTGGAAATGTCCGCCCAGATGATGATTTCTGCCAAGCGCCTCCTGCAAACGCCCTGTCGTCCAAAAGCGAGATATCTTTGAACTGCACAATGTATCAGCATCAAGACGAGAAAACCTGGATATGAAGAGCTCTCTACCGTATACGGAATGTCCTTTAATAGAATAGGGGACTGGCGAAGCTTATCCATCGAGTGCTCGGGAAATTGTCAACACAATAATGGCATGAACTGGTCGTAGGTGGCACGTTGGAATGAGCGAAACACTCATAGATGATCTACAAGTCCCATAGAAGGTGCGCAGTCAGCTATCACACTTACCCACTGCTGTGTATACTGTACCCTCTTTCAATTCAGAGACACTTTTATCGAGTTTGGAAAGAGACAGCTTTCATCTTCCGAACCAGTGAGAGTTTGGTTCATTTGGAGGCGGGCGAGAATTCGCCGATTGAGCCGAACAATTTGCCAAGGCGGTATGCTCGAGGTTCGTGATATTGCCACGATGTTTCGTCAGATGATGTTTCGCCGAACGATATTTCGCCGAACGATGTTTCGGGGAACGATGTTTCGCCGAACGATGTTTGAAACTCGGCTTGAGCTGCGGCCATGCGCTCTGGCTACTCTACAAATCTGGCAGCATACATAGCGGAGAATGTGGGAACGCTTGTAAAGTTTGCATTGGAAACTTGCTCTCACAATCATCAGATGACATCTTCATGCCTTCCTCAAGGAGAGACTGCCGTCAAGGTGGCCATTCTCTGCAATGCCAAACTCAGCGGCATTCCAATGTCACGGTTCGCTAGTCCCAGTATCCGCGGTCTCGAAATACTCAGAGACTGTCCTAGCTTCTCGTTCTACCTGGAGCATCCGTCTGGCCGCCGAGTTCTATTTGATGTGGGCGTCCGGAAAGATGTCTCGAATTTGTCCCCCTCCTTGAAGCAGCGCATAGTAGATGGAGGCTGGACTGCATCCGTCATATCTGAAGTGCCCGAGATCCTGGAAAATTATGGGATATCCAGGCAAAGCATTGAATGTGTTATCTGGAGGTATGGAAAAGGCTCTCACTCTTTTCCCATTTCCACCTTCCGGCAACACTCTCAAACCCTGCCGCACCTATCTAACCCGAATGGAACGGCTGACGTCGCTCTTATACTCTTAGTCACTGGCACTGGGATCATATCGGAGATATGTCCAAATTTCCAAACTCGACGTCCCTTGTCACCGGTCCAGGCTTCTCTTCCGCGCTTCTTCCAAGTTTTCCAAGCCGCATTGACAGTCCCTTACTTGAGACAGACTATCAGGGCAGGATCTTGCGAGAAATCGCAGACTTCGAGACTCGTGTCGGCGATCTTCCCGCGCATGATTTCTTTGGGGATGGATCCTTTCAACTCCTTTCTACGCCCGGCCATGCCGTGGGCCATCTTGCCGGCCTGGCACGTACCACGACATCTTCCGGAGGGACTGACGACACGTTTATCCTTATGGGGGGTGACTGTTGCCACCATATGGCGATGCTCCGCCCGTCGATAGCTTATCCCCTGCCCTGTGAGATTTCGCTGTCTACCATTCCGGCGTCAACAAAAGCTACAGATGGTTTCAATCGTGTTGATTACGGTAAAGGTCATTCGAAGCAACTTTTGGAAATTTCGGACTATCCGAATGGCGAGAGTGCCGCTCTCGATGTGCAGCAAGCGAAGAGGTCTTTGGATGAATTGAGACTGCTAGAGGCTCAGGAAGAGCGTGTCCTATTTGTCATTGCACATGACAAGAGTTTGTTGGATGTAGTAGAACTGTTTCCAAATCTCGCCAACGACTGGAAAAGAAAAGACTGGGGGAGGAAGGCAAGGTGGGCGTTTCTAGATGAAATCCAAATGACATTTTGAAAATGTTTCAGAATTTTCTTGGAATATGGGCTATCTTGTGTCAGAGTGTAAAATTCAACCTGATACAGCGTACGGTCATCGTAGTACCGAATCGGCATTATGAATCCCACAGGAAAGAAGCCTCTAGCCGCTCAATATTCATTTACTCCTGTTCTCTAGATCTGGGGCTTCTTGAGCCATAGTCAGTGAGTGAAATAGAACTTCGCCCTAGATCTTGAAGGCTCTCATCGATGAGTTTGCTGGAGAGGTGTGAAGAAGACGCTACGAACAAGCACTGGCTGGAAGGGCGTGAAACTTTCGCAATTATTGCTTCAATAATTCTCCATTGCCGATCTAGGCGCAATGGCCTCCTGGGACAAGGGTGTGGGCCACGTGTACCTACGATCTATGATCCCCATTACAAAGAAGGCCGGCTTGCTGCCTCCGTCCTTGTATGCTAGTCACACGAGAGCAGCCACAGACGAGCACTATCTCCGACGACTAGTGCAACTCAATATCTCGGGAAATTAGACACATCTCCTGGTGCTCGGCGTTCATGCTATAACCCGTCGGGAAAGCCTAACGAAACGCCACCTCCAGTTGCTTCTTGTGGATTAGTAAACAGTATCCATCTGCCACTGTGTCGAGAGGTGGGTGTTGACGAGCCTGAACACCTCCGTAATCTAGACTTTCAGGAGACTTATCTGAACAGACGTTTCGCCTCAGAGAGCGGCAACAGGACAAAATGGTACACGAAATACTTCCTCAAAACCCTCTCAAAGACGAGAAGAGAGTGCAAACTGAACCTCTCTTTGGACAACTAAATGGTGCGAAAGATGTACTAAGCTCAGAAGGTGCCACCAAGAAAATGCAGCACACTGGCCTTTACCTCTCACAGGTTGAACGAGACTCGCTAGGGGAACGGCCTCATAGAGGCTTAGCATCCACAATCGCCATCGTAACGGGAGCTGGCGCCCGAGGCTACTCGATTGGGATTGGCCGAGCTGCAGCTATCATGTTAGCAGAAGCTGGAGCGAATGTTATCTGCGTGGATAAAGACCACGAGTCGGCGCAGAGGACCGTCGAAATGATCCAATACCTCCATCTGGAAGGAAGAGCAGTCGCCTGGACTGCGGATATCACCAACGAACGCCAATGTCAAGAGGTGGTCGATTTTACATTGCGCGAGTTTGGGAGAGTCGACATTCTCGTAAACAACGTGGGTATTCATGGAGCCAAAGGAACGGCCGAGACAGTGGACCTAGCATACTGGGATTCCGCGATGCAGGTCAATGTCAAAAGCATGATAGCCATGTCGAAATATGCCATTCCGGCTATGAAACAGGAGAAACCAGGCCACTATGGGAAAGTGAGAGGCAGGATTATCAACATTGCAAGTGTGAACGGCATCAGAGGAGGGTCCCCAGACATTCTCTACCCGACTAGCAAAGGGGCGATAGTGAATATGACTCGAGCAATGGCAGCACATCACGGTCCGAGCGGTATCACCGTCAACTGTGTCTGTCCCGGTAAGTGTACCTCTGGGCCATCCAGAACTTAAAAGCTGGCTAACTCCTCCAGGGGCTGTATACACACCCATGGTCGGGGGGTTTGAAGGCGGCACCATGAACGTGGAGATTCGCAAGAGCAGAGCTCAAAGAAGTCTACTGGGAACGGAAGGTAACGGTACGTTCAAAATATAAAGACTGGAAGCTGTGAGGATATCTATACAGTGCTCGTAGCTGACTATTACTGACAGGCTGGGATGTCGGTGCCGCCATTAGATTCTTGGCCAGTGAAGAAGCCAGGTGGATTACAGGAGTCGTCCTGCCAGTCGACGCTGGAGCTACTGCCGCCGTGGGATTTGGGCACAACATGGGACATTGATTCTGGTGACATGATCTATAGTGACAAACTTCAATGAAGTGCTACTCAGTGGCATGGTCCGATTAGTGGCCAGTGTCTGGAATAGAAAAGAAACAAATATAGATGAAATGGTAATAGACAAACGGGATTACTGAGTGTAATTTCCACCGTGGACTTATTCTAGTGTTCTTCGAGCTCTGTGCTCAATCGTATAGTCTTTTTCATTTGAGACCCAAGCTCGGATCAATTGCTAACAACGAGTTCACAGTGTCAACAACGCTTTTTTCAAATCGAATATACTGCAGACCTAATATGCTCCGTGAAGGCTCGATCTCGAATGTAAACATCTCGTCCGGCATATCGCTCTTAATTTCTCTGGGGAGGTTTGCCTTCAGACCAGGGAATTGCACGCCAATTGTCTCAACCAGATCTTTGTTTGTCCAGAAACTCGAGACGAGCAAAAAACGATGACCACCAGCATCGGGTCGCTCTAGAGCCCGGACATGAGCAAGCGCCACATCTCGCACGTCCACCCACATAAAACTCCCGGTCGGTGGAATTTTGTCTCTGAAGCCTCCGTTGGCTGCACTCAAGATTCTGCCATTGGAAGTATTGATGTTGTCGAGTGATCGGAGGTCGTGAATCACAGGACCGAACACGAATGGCGGGTTTATTGTGGCTAGAGAAAATGCAGGTTTCTTGTCGCGCAGAAAGTCCCACGCAGCCAATTCAGCAAACTTTTTGCTTGCGTTGTAGGTCAAGGCAAAGTCATTGAGAGCTTGCTCCATGGTAGTGGGGTTCCAGACTGTCTCGTTGTACTCATCTGGATGATTCGGCATGCTCAACATTGCGCCGAGCGAGGACGTAATCACAACCCGTTTAACAAAAGGGGCGTATTCAGCCGCCGCTGTCAGAACGTTTGTCGTTCCGTTGATGGCAGGATCGAGGATATCTTTCTTTGCATCTCTGATGTTGAAATGGAATGGTGATGCGGAATGGATGATTCCGTCAAAGGCAGGCGTCGACTGCATTGCTTGGTCAAACGCATTGGGAGCAGCAACATCCTCGACGACGACAAAGGAGACATTGCCACTTGACCTGAACTTGTTGACCAGAAAGCTTCCTTTTGCAGCCGACCTCACAGTGACGACAGTCTCATGACTACCCAAGGAAAGGGTTAAAGGAGGGTTTCTCGCTGTTTGAGTGCAGAGGTTTTTGACTTACCCGTGGTTCAGCAGTTCTTTCAGAATATGGGTGCCTATGAAGCCACTACCACCAGTTAAAAGAACCTTCATATTTCTTAATCAGCACAATGATGGTGTTCGATGGGTTTCAGAGGATATAGCGTGGCTAGTATTTAGTAAATCCGAAATATAAGCTCTTATGGAATTTCTTTGTTGGGAGAGATCCAAGTTCTTATAAGCCATCGATTGGGCTCTCGGCGATGTCTCGTCGGCGCATTTGTGGTGTGATACTTGTGCAAATGCCGACGAAGGACCTTGTCGATCACTGCTTCTAAATATGCTGAACTAGTGACAATCTGAAGTTCTCACGGGATTGTGTTCAGACAGATTGTCCTAATACGAATACTCTCCCTTGTAACCATGCTGCTTTTGACATTGAGATTTACGGCAGATAGCATCTTCCTTCGTCCTCAAGAGTCCCTTGCTCATTGAAAAAGGGAGATGTCTATACTGGCTCTGCATGTAGCATCCATCTCTTGTTGCCGCGTTTTCATGAACAAGTAGATATACAGAGCCCAGACATCTCTTTGCAATTTCTCAGACTTCCTACCGCACTGTATTTGATGGAGATCTTACGAAATTCTCTTCCTTGCCTGTCCCCCTTTTGATAACACTAAGCCTTGAGTGTCCGAAGCGTACTTTGCCTGGCCCTCATTACTCCTTGTTCACCCTGTCCTCCATGATAGAAACATCACATGGAGCTTCGATGTCTTGCTCCTGTGTGACAGTATCACCGAACAGAGTGGAAATGTCCTCCAACGATTTCTGATTCGTCTTCAAAGTGAGTTAGCATGAATTCTCAAATTCTTCAATCAAGGAGTCATACCTCGGGAAACAAGAAATACACCACGGCGGACATGACTGAGCTAGCACACACGAAGACAAGGAAATATTTCCATTTGATTCTTTCAAAAGCAGTAGGCGCGGCAACCAAGATGATGATCGATCCTAAGAATAGACCTGCAACGGAGATCGCCATACCCTTCGCACGGACCGGAGTAGGGAAGATTTCCGATGGATAAACATAAGTTGTGGCGTCAAGTGTTGAGGAAAAACTGGAAACAAGGTAAGTCTGCATTCTGGGCAATATTTGGATCTTGTCTTCTCACACTGCGACCTCCAAGAACAGGAATAACACCGCAGCAATAGCAGCGCTATGTCCACCGGACTTTTGGTAAGTGGCGACTGAAGCACATTCGCCGATCAGAGAAGCGACGCAGCCCAGGAAACCGAACACTGCGGAGTACAGATCTTTGTCAGTCGTAATCCTGACATTTTCCATTCTACTCACCAAGAAGAGGCCGGCGACCGAATCTATCGAGGGCAAAGGAATTTATGACGTTGCCGAAGATGATGGTTGTTATCCACCCAGATTGGATAAGCAGTGTATCAGTTGTTCCGAATCCGAGACTCGCGTATAGCGAAGGTCCATAATCTGCTGAAATTAGCCTTCGTGATATGCAAACATGCCATGCTGAACCTACTGTTTATCACTTGAGTACCAGCTGCTTGGCCGCCAAACAAGGTCAAAAAGCCAATTAAAGTACGCTTTCGTAAAGTTGGATGAGTGAAGAGGTGTGTAAACATGACATCTGAATGCTTTTCATGAACGATCTGAGAGTGGAGCAACCGGAAGGCTTCATCGACTGCCGCAGACCCTTCCGACTCATTTGAAGCAGAATGGGTCAATTTGAACATGGCAAAGGCTTCCTCAATTCGATCACTCAATAGCACTGTTCTCTGTCAGTAGGAAGTCAAAAGCTCTCCGGAGGATTCGGTTGTACGTACACCAGCGAGGAGACTCTGGCAGAAACCAGATTGCCACAGACAGGAGAAGTGGTGGGATGCACTGAAGTGCAATGGGGATGCGCCATTGAGTTCCTGCGGCATTCACAAAGTAAAATCCGAAGCCGATCCAACTTGCGCTGGCATAGCCGATACCAATGCAAATACCAGTGGTGCCGACCACCAGCCCCCGTATCTCGGCCGCAGAAACTTCTGCCAGATATAGGGGCGTCAGCGTAATGAGGGCGCCTTGAAAGGGATGGTCAATATTGGCCAGAATGACAGGGGAGAGCTTCTGCTAAACTGGACATACCAACCCCTAGGCCTGACACAACTCTCATGGCAATGAACATGGCGATATGTACACTGCCCGCCTGTAGAGCACCGCCGAGGATAGCCAAGATGGAAGCCACAAAGAGACCCATGCGTCTGCCATATTTGTCCGCGACGGGTACGGACATCAAGGCTCCAATCAACCCACCAGCTTGGAAGACACCATTTATAGCTCCTTCCAGTTGAGCAGCATTCGCACGGTGATCCAGACCAAAGTATGTGATGAAAGACGGCTGAGCAAGCGTTGTACCAATGATACTGGACGCGTACGCGTACGTCAAAGAGCCCAAGGTGACGAAGAAGACTCGCTAGAAGGAATCTTTGTTAGCGAAGGCCTCAATCATCATCGGGGGTTTCCCTCACCCAACTTGCTTTGTGGTACCTGGGACTTGGTGCAAAACCTTCCATTATGTCGAGTGTTGCAAGGGGAAGGTTGAACAGCGAACAAACAGAGGCCATGCAGAAGTCTTTATCAGCAGTATTTCACATCTACTTCCCCGTAAATACAGCTGGGGCTCCGCGATTCCCCCAGTGAAGCGTAACGGAGTGCATGCTTAGAATGGCACCCCTCGTCAAGGTATCCCGCTGGATCAGCATCTCGAACGAACTCACGCCTGAAATCGCCGATAACAGCCATGCTGACCCAAATTTCCGCGGCGGAATTCACCGTGTGGGGGCAATTCGCCGAGTCGCCCGCGTGTCTATCTCTGACTACGTAGGCGATGCTGCGGAGTGCGTGCAAAAAACACCGACACAGGTCACGATCAAGTTTTCCCCGATGCGCATTCGAACCGGGGCTCCGGAGTAGCGATTGTCGTTCGCCGAAAGGGTTCGGTGTATAGGACGCAGTAGACCAACACTCCGCAAAATCTGTGGTAGGATGTAAAGCATGATTTAAAGGAGATGTTTATTTTGCGTTGGTCAAGCTATCAAACGAAGGGTTTCAATCTTCTATCTGCTGCTGACCTCGGCTTCAGTGCTCAATGACTACTCCTGCCTCGGCAGGGCCGTACCAGGCCCTGATTTTTGGGGCTTCCGGCATCTCAGGCTGGGCCATCACCCGGGCCGCCCTTCTATCAACGGACTTCAAGTTTTCGAAAGTGGTCGGGCTGACACGCAGGCCGCTAAGCATCCAGCAGTCCTCGCTGCCCACAGACTCGAGATTAGCATTGCAGAGTGGCCTTGATTTGGGCAGAGGTCAAGAAGCCGTGACCGAGCTCTTGGGCACGATTCAAGATATTGAGAGAACAAGCCACGTGTACTTCACCGGTGTGCCATAGTCCCTTTTCATCGAGCGGCAAATTCAGAGAGTACTGACACTTGCCCATAGCATATATTCACGGAGCTTTTGGTGAAACAAAAGACGAGGCGCGCACTCGTATCAATGTCGAGATCCTCCGGACCGCCATCGGAGCCGTTGAGCAGTTGTGTCCGAAGCTGCAGTTTTGGGTTTTACAATCTGGAGCAAAGGTCAAACTCCTTTCACATCCCCGGAGTTCTGGCGACTATTTCATTAATGCCCAAAGCAGTGGTATGGAACCGAGTTCTCAGAGATTCTAAAACCGAAAGCACCTTTCAGAGAATCCGCACCCCGTATACCCTCCCCTTACGGCGATCATATCTTTTATTACCCCCAGTTCGACCTGCTCGAGCAACGATCAAGGACGAAGGACTGGACTTTTGCGAATATCATCCCGGACTCAATAGTGTGTCATTTCCGAAAGCCCTGCTGACCCGTGTTAACCATCTGGATCTTAGGTCGGATTTGTACCGGCAAATAACCCCATGACCATCGCTCATCCCATCGCTCTTTATCTTGCTATGTGGAAGAAGTTCCGCGAAACAACCGTCGTGGCGTTCCCCGGCACCAGTACCTCCTACAAGACCTTACACACAGACTCCTCCTCAGATACATTGGGTAATTTCACAATATACGTGTCGATGCATGCCGAACAAACCTCGGGCCGGAACTTCAACATCGCTGACAATGACGGTGTGACGTGGGAGGATACATGGGATGGGATTTGCTCCTACTTCGGGCTCAAGGGCGGACCCCCAAATGAAAACGCAGGCTTTTTGCAAGGGGAGAATTGGATCTTGTCATTGAAACCCAGGTGGGCTGAGTTTGAGAAAGAAACCGGCCTGAGGTCAGGGGTGTTGGAGACGACACCATGGGAATTCTTCACCATTATTGTGTAAGTACTCCTTCTCTGTCAAAGAACGTAAGCTCCAATCTGACCATTGCAGGGGTTATTACTCTGAGATCAATCGAAATCTCGACATCTCGGAAGCGAGAAAGATAGGGTTCCCGTTATCGGGAGACGCGGTTAAGAGCTACCACGACACCTTCGACCGATTGCGCGTGGCTAAGATGATTCCATGACCTTGGGTTGTCGATCATATATTGAGTCTGAAGTCTTTATTGTACTGACTACACTCAGGAAAGTGAAACCTCCAGCAAATTTCCTATGTCTGAATAGAGACTATTGAGAACCGCAAACCGCGTTTTCAAGATCAACTAGTTATCAGTCAGGATCTCAAACAAAATGGTCTCGTTCGTGAGAAATACAAAGTTGAGGTGCTACTTGTTAGGAAAACTGCCTATCCGTAATATATTGCATTCTTGACCAACTTAATTAGTGTCTATCTAGTAGAGAGAGAACGCCCCTTGATATACTATAGAGATGGCAAATAGTGAAAACCTATAGAATCCTTTCGAAACTTAGATTAGTAATAGATCTAGATCTATTATCAATTCTCCTCCTAAATAGGCTAGCCTTATATTTCCTTACATATCTTTGTAAGGCTAGTCCTGTTATAATCAATAAAACCTTGATTATTGCCTTGTATTAATAAAACCTCGATTGTTATCTTTACAAGGGCCCTTGTCTCAACAACAATCAGCCCAGCGTCTACGGTTAGCAATATGTCTATACAATATATAAGTATCTCACATAATAAGGCGAGAAGAAAAAAGTGGTTCACTCATACTAAAACCAGCTGCCTCTCGTGTCGCAGAAGAAGAGTGAAATGCGATAAATATCGCCCATTATATAAGTAATTACCCTGCTTATCGAGCATAATATAGCGCCTTTATAGGTTTGATTTATTTACTCATATACTGTCAGGTATTAATTGTCTTCGTCAAAAGTTACCTTGTAAAGAATATAATTCAGGTCCTCAAGGAATGAAATCTCAGTCTATCACTATACCCTTCATAAGACGGTATCTCAGCGTGAAGAACATGACTATACTTGGACTGGGCCAACAATCCGAGTACGATAGTCAGTTATCGAGCCATTTTCTCTTTAGTAAATGTTTAAGCCACTCCAATAAGTATCATAAGAAGCCAAAGTATCTTCCACATCTAGCAGAGCTAGCTGGGACAACATTGAGAAAGGAGGGTCATGCAGAATGGCCTCTGAAACCCAAAGACGCCCACGCACAGCAAAGCTCCTCATTAATGGAGATTACTCCGGAATCTATACAGTCTTCAAATCCCCGCCCTATCTTATACTACACTCGCGCCTTGTCAATCTATGCGGGCCCTCCACTGGCGGTCGAACCGTCTATACTATACAGCAGTGACATTGCCCAACAATCGCGACTTGGAGACTTGCCTAGCCCACTTTGGCGCCTTACCGAACTATACGACCTTTCTTTAGCTGGTCGAGCCCTCTGCACCAACCGTGAGTGATACTATCTGACGATTACGGGTTCTAGAATTTTCCGACCATCTTGGGCACAAGTTCAATAACTTCGACCTTTAGGGTTTGAAAGTGGGTCGCCACATCCACTCGTGGCTATACCTGTATAATCAAAATCCCAGTGCAATTGTGATGTTGAGAAACCCTAGCTCAATGTGCTTGTGAGAAGGAGCTGTTTGCTTATGTTTCCAGCCAAAAGCACCCTGGCTGACAATTCCGTTGTCACGCCGGCAGGTCCGACAGGAGCTCGCCTTCTACCTGGTTATGTAGGTAGATCGAGAGTGGAAGCTTTCCATTCCATTGAGGTACCCCTAGCATGAGGGGGCTCGAGCGGCCTAGACTGTGGGCGTGCAGATGCTGCGGAGCGAGAGAAGACTGAGAATTACCTTCAGGATCTTCGTGGACGACGAGGTATTATGACGACGACGAACGTCGACGACATGAGAGGGATCCGCCTCCGAGAATGAGTGAAAGGTACAAATTAGGCCCAGTGATGACCGAGCCGACTATTACTACATCAATTACTGCCCTCTTGCGGCAAAATTCACGATAACAAGACAGCGTAACGACACGGGAATGTAACCACGTAAATTAATATGACCACACGTCTATCTGGTTTCTAGAGCCTCCGCCGCGTCCACTCCCGCAAGCCGGCCGAATGTAAGACAGCGAAGCACACTGCTGCAAGGTGGATCTGTAGAAAGAATATTTCAGCCTGTGAAAAAGTCTAGCCTTCCACCATGGGTGAGGAATTGTCACCAGGCGCAGTTGGCGAATCGACGCTCTCATCAAGGGGAAAAGGAAGCAACACTTACTCTAACCAGTTGTTAGCATGATTTTACTGTCTTGACTGCGTGACATGGACTCGACTTACCTCGTTGTAGTACACCCCGCTCAACTCGCCGGTGCAATACAAACCTTGACCGATCCGTCAGCTCTTGATGCCCCCGGTCCAAAGAGCAAAACTCTCGGAGTGAAGATCCGCGGTGCAAAGGGGGTCCTTCTTCACGTGTCTTGGAAGGCTCACCTGGAATGGGAATCCCTGTAGTGGAGAGCACCCGGGAGTCGGTGTCACATTTCAGGCCGCCAAAGGTGAATGCCACCTGAGCCTTCAGTGGATATCTGAGTTATCGTCAGTGTTAAGTCCTTTTCTTTCCATAGGTTTTCGGCCATTCAAGATGATTATCTCACCCGTAATAGGGAGGCTGGTTGATCGGATTTGCCCAATTGGTTTTGTTAGGTGACAAGCCATATGTTCTCTTGCCATCAAGAGTCATCAAATTGAATTCCTTGTCATCGATTCTATGGCGATTTTAGTGATAGATCATGACATGACATCCACCATGAACTTACGCAGCGTTGAATTCGTCGACAGTCTGCCTCAATTTGCTGGGTTCAAGACCTAACTTCTCAGCGAGCCCTTCGATTGTGTCGCTCTGCTCTGGATCTAGATCAGTGGTGTCGTACACCCATCCCGGTCGAAATCGATCCATGATCGTCTTGTCCGTGATGCTGAAAGGTGAACGTTAGGGATCGTCTCTTCGATACGCTAGTCTCACTCACAAATACGCTTTTTGATTCTGCTCTGCTCAACATCAGCCAAGGGAACATTCCCTTTCTGTTGATTATGAGTGACTTACCTTTCCATACTTCCACGGCCAGTGGTTCACATGTGGCAAATAGGCTAGGGTATGCAGGTTAGCTTTCGACCAGCACTAGCCTACCGACGTACATACGGACGTTTGCCTTCGTCGTAGAATCTCTTGCAGTGTCTAATTATCGTCAGCTTGTATGTACCAAGTAAGGTGCGATAGTCGATACGCACTCATTGACAATAATGCCATAGCTGTGGCCCCATATGGTGGCCTCAGGCTTCGATGATCGGGTGTCGACAAGCTCGCACTTTTCACCAGCTTAGCAGCGTCCAGGTCAGAGGTATAAGTGTGGGTTGCAAAAGAGACACCACAAAACTCAGCACACTCCCAACCCACAGCCTTTCTACTTCCAACAGTCCTGAGGAGTAAAATATACTTACATGCATGCCGCTCATAGAGCCCGAGACTGCCGCGCCAACTTCCAAGCCCATCTTCAAGCCAAAACCAGTATTGTGCTTCAATCCAGGAGCCAGGAGAGGGAGAAGCTCGGTTTTTGGCCCAACATATCGTGCCATGCTTAAACAGGTCAATAATGTCTCTTTCCGTGGCTGTGCTATACGTACAGCTCGCGATTACCCTCGAAACCACCACAAGCCAACATGACTTTCTTACCATATACCTTTTTCCAGTATCCGTCTGACTTCCGGACCCTGACTCCGCAAACGGTCCCATCTTCCTCAACGATCAAGTGTTCAGCATTTGTCTCCCACATGATGTCCAGGTTAGCAAATTTTCTGATGTGATTAAATAGTATATTCATAACGGCGATCCCACCACGCTGTTAGAAATTTCAGATGATGCTGTTAAAGCTTCGCGACAGTTGCATACCTCTGCGTTGGCAAAATGCTGGTCTGCGATTCTGTCAGAAACAATTGCTGTCTCCAGCAGACCGTCGCCATATCTTACTGGTATTGAACTCGAGTAGCACGTTTTTTTCGTCGTGGTGAGCGAGCTTTACCCCATCTGTTATTCAACGTCAATTTGCGGTAGATCTCAAGAAGCATTCCCTATCTGCTCACGGTCAAGAAGGAATTGAACTGTTGCCGGCGCCTCCTTTTCTAGTTTGGAACAATAACTCTGGTCGGCAAGCCCCCCACTGTTGCTGTTAGCAAGCATTCATGCTGCCTGAGATTTTTGCTTTGCTGACCTGACTTGCTGATGACTCGTAAGCAGGAAGGAACCCTAGTCACTATGCGTTACTAACCATCATCTCCTTCTTGAAAGCATCGTCGAAATTGTTATCTACCCAAACTCAGCTTTCATCATCAGCATTCGATGACAAGCCGTACCTTTGTCAAGTCGAAGGAAGGCTGGAGTCCATCTGGGTGATTGTCGTTAGCACCTCAAGCCTTGAGCATCCCAGGAGAAGGATCGCAACCTGCTGCCGCCACATCGTTCTCCATCCTTTCCGGCCTCAATCAGCGCGATTTTCCCATGCTTTCCCAGCGCCTTGCATCTTTCGAGGAAATTGAGCGCCGTCATGGTTCCCTAAGTGCGATGGGCTAGGGTCAGTATATCATTCGGTTTCGTCACGGTTAGACCTACTGCGAACCCACTGCCCACCACGACCAGGTCGTATTGGGGCGATGATTTCGTCCGGCTCATCTCTGTTTGATCGATGATAGACATGATTGATCAATGTTTGAAACCGCCAGGCACAAATCGAGGAAGATATGTTCCAAAGCGTGCAGCAGTTGTGTCATTCGTTCATATTTCACTTTTGAAAAGTTTCCGGAACTTAGTCGTCCCGTCGACCGTTGAGTCGGGTTGGAGCCACTCCCGAAAAGCTGCCGTCGACCGTCGTGCCGAACTAGACCAAGATGCTTACAATAGCAAGCTCTCCCTGACATCATGCCTTGGTACTGTCTAGGTTTGACCGTGTAAACCGGCTGTTGAGGCTGTCGACTTTCCTGGTGGACGAGAAAACAACACGCCGGCGAGGCAACCCTGGGGCGGAATGGTAAACTATTACAGTACCCCCGCTAAAATCTAAGCAGGCGGGGCGCCAAACGCGAAAAATCGCGAAAAATCGCGTACCTCAACTTCTCAACCTTCCAACAACTATGCAATATGCCTGCCCTGAGAAGACCTCTACAATCTATCGACCCTAATGGGAGGTCAAATAAGGAGTTAACTCCTTATAAAAGAGCCAAAATCGTCGGCGCGCGCGCGTGCGGCGTCTCATGGCAGCAGATTTCAGAGACGTTCAAAACACCCATTCGAACGGCGCGTACAACTGTTGAATTGGACGATTTACAACTCGGTGATCACTCTCAACCACGCAGTGGGAGACCAACTATATATAGTGAGCGTGATGAGCGGGCAATTCTGCGTCTAGTGCGTCGCCTTCCGAATTTAACTTACGACTCTGTTCGCCGTCAAACTGGCCTTTCCTTCTCGGACGAGACAATCAAGCGAATACTCGATAAGCATGGTATAAGCAATTAGATTGCTATGAAACGATCTCTATTAACAGTTGAGAATGCTCGAAATTGACTTCGCTGGTGTAAGGAACGTAAGGATTGGGTCTCAGAGTAATGGAAGACTATAATATTTAGTGATGAGTGCTCACTTGAACGAGGCGCTGGAAGATGATCTACCTGGGTCTTTCGAACACCTCAATAGAAGTGGAATAAGAAAAGATGATTATCCCCCATATCAAAGGAAGAGACCTTTCTATTATGGTTTGGGCCTCTATATGGATTGGAGGACGCTCTGACTTGGTCGTTATGGTGCGAGATTCAGAGTCGAAGAAGAATGGGTTCTCAGCACGTTCATATATCGCTGTACTTAATGAATAGATACCTCCTTGTTGGGAACCAGGTCGCATTTTCATGCAGGACAATGCGCCTATTCACAAGGCTAAAATAACTGAGAAATGGTTCGAGGAGAATGCTATTCCATGCCTAGAATAGCCACCGTACGGACCAGATCTCAACCCCATCGAGAATGTATAGGCGATCCTTAAGGACAAGCTCCTCAAGAATTGGGAGCACCTCCTAGACGGTGGCAAGACAGATAAGGACCGTGTGGACCTCGCAACAGCGATTCGACATGAGTGGGACAATACATCACAGGAATATATCGATACCACTACAAGGAGTGCTGAGAGGAGGGTTCACGCGGTAATAGACGCGGAGGGTTGGTACACGCAATGGTAGAGCCAAAACATCACGATTAGTCTACATCATTCGATAGAAAACGCAATGACAATCATTTCCAGATCTAGAACGTCAAGTTTTGCTAGGATATGCGCCAACAGCGTCGATTTATATGGGCGACGGCATGGTTGAGTACATGATGGCGGAAATGCGGCCTGCGCGGACTTGAGCGGGATTGTTGTAGGCTCTACGGTCTCTACATGCTCTACGATCTCTACAGGCTTTACAGACTCTGCGGTCTCTACAGACTCTACGGGCTCTCCGCGGCCATGGTAATTGTCGTGACTGACCCCGTCAATGACATGGGTGTTGGATCTGGTGCAGGAATATGTACTGGTTGGGGGAGCCAAATAGGATGAATTGTCGAGCCTGACCTCAATAACTTAGGAGGTCGACTTCTATCGGCTTCCAAGAAGATATAGACAAAAAGGAGTGAGAACCTCCCCCGGTTTTGAGACATTCCTTGCCCCGGCATGAGGTAACTTCTCGATAGACCTAGGTCGAGGCCCGTCGATAGTTGTGTTGCCCTTTCAACCTCGCGCTCCGTTTTGACAGGCAGTGATATAGCTACACGAGTGACTATGTGTAGGATAATGCAATGAGTGACAGATTGACAAAGAGATAAACGAGGGTGGTGACGAGAATTATCAAATGACCTAGGCAAGGCGACCTAGTATCCCGCAAACTCGACCGCTCAGCACATGGTCGACGCCACATCTGTCCAACATATAAATAACTTACATATATTCTCTAGTGGCTAATTTCTATTTCGAAACGCCAACTTCTCCTTTGCTGTTTTTGTTTTAAATGTTTGCAGAGTCTTGCTGTTGATACCCATATGCCTGCCAGTTCTTCAACACCTTGCTCTTGATTTCTTCCGGGTAAGATGCACGGAAAGAAGCTTCAATCCACGGCCGGTCCAAGGTCTTGAACTCGGCCGGCAACATGCACAATCTGACAACCTTGGCTTGCGGCTCGCTAATGTTGAGACCGTAGGTGGCATATGGGACGAGCTTGTAGGTCGGATAGTCCCCTACAAAGAAAAAGTCGCTGTCTTGCGGCTGCGACTTGGTTGCCTCTGCCCACACAACCTCGTGCAAGTCACTTGGGTCGATGTTGTCGCCGACAAGGAATATCTTTGGCACGAAACGCCCAGGCTTGGAGGAGAAGACGATCTCCCCGACCTGGCGGCAGAACTTCTCAGGCGTGGTCTTCATCTTAACAAGTCGCGCACGATCGACCTGGACGACGTACCAGATGGCCTGAGACTCATAAGGACACCAAGCCTGAGTGATTGGTAGACCATGCTGCTGCAACAAGTCGAGAATTTCAGCGCAGATTGTCAAGGCCCACACGGTGTGAGTTTCATCTGGAGCACGACCGGCGACGGAGATCGGAACGATGGGGTTACTTCGATAGGTAATCGCATTGACTGTGAACACCGGCTCGGGGGCCTTCTTCGCCGGGAAGAGAAAGCCGTGGTATTCTCCCATGGGCCCTTCAATCGCCGTCTCGGTGGCGGAGATGGTTCCTTCAAGAACCACCTCAGACTGTGCTGGCACGACAAGATCGTTTGTCTCACACTTGATGACCTGCATAGGACTTCCTGTGATGGCACCAACGTAATCCGGCTCGTTTACGAATTTGGGGAGTGGCATACCACTTGCCACGGCCTGTGGAGGAATTTCAGTTAGCACTTTAGGTCTAAGTTCAACTCGACATTTAATTTAGATAGTAGCATATAGCTCTAACAAGAAACAAGCCAAAAAGGAAACAAAATAAATAAAAAACTTACAGCAGCTGGCGGAACACCAAGGGCGCAAGCCCATGGAGTGTCCTTTCCCTGAGCCTTCCACATCGACCAAATGGCGCCAATGTCCTGGTTCACGTCCACGAGGCCGGTTAATTGTCGTTTGCCAATCACCATACAGCGGGTGATGGCCCAATTAACCCATTTTCCATCCGGAGTTTGAACGCTGTGCAGTCCATATGTGAGAAAATATCTGCCTCCATCGCGTTCATGATTCTGTGGAACTGGTAGCTTAAAGAGATCGATCTCATCGCCAAAGATCTTGTGCTCCTTGAGTGGTGCGTCGCGAACGTGAACTGATGGTATAGGGCCGGCTCTTTTTGAGGCTATGAGTTTTTGAATAATATCATGTCCACTTGCGTTGGAAGGTAGCCCGATAGACTTTGCGAAACGAGCATACCTCTCTACTCGATTGGATCGAACACCCACTGGGGCGCCGAGAATTCGGAAGAGACCGTCTGGGCCATCTTTCCCCTTGGGATTGTTGATGAGAGGCATTGGGCTACCACTTTCGTATGCGCGGCGAGTGATGGCACCGGACTCGAGATAGGGATCCACTTCAAGATCGATCTCTACCACATCTCCCTCGGCCTTGCATTCTTCAAGGAAGGTGCGTAAGGATGAGGCGGCGGAGTGCGTTTCTGTGGACATTATCGATACTCGGTGCTGGGAATGACAGAGGAGATTGATGGCGACGAGTGATTGTTCGGTGGGGGCAGGCAGTATCTTCGTCTGGCTCTCTGTGCCTCTGCTTTTGCAATAATAATAGTTGGGTCTCTGAAGTTGAGTCGGTAGAACAAGTTCCTTATTTCGTCTCGATCTGCGTCGAGGTCCTAATTTGATATACTCGCCCTGGTGCTGCGACACGTGACTGTGGAAGTAGGTACAGTAGAGTATGCCTTTCGGGGAGATAGGGGACAATGGAGGCGTTGGCCTGACAGAAGCCTTGGGGTGCCGACCGTAGTCCGAATAATATCCGTTGCCGGAGTCTGTTATATTGGCTGCCGTATATTGCAAAAGATGACCGTTAGAATTCCCTATCTCCCCGACCTCCTACGCCACTTCTGCCCATGTACGAGATTGTACGTTGCCAATGTCATATCATCTTCACCTCGAGTCCATTCTAGTCGATATTGAATCGTCATGCGGACCTAGGTGGATTGCACAGCTTGCTTCGCTCACTTACTGAGTGCAGGAACGTTGGAGATTTATGTCTCCACCAATTCTACAATTTCCACTGACAAGTTTTCCAGGTCTGAAGAATAGATTTAAGAGCGAAAAGTGTTGTCTTCGTTTCTTAGCCTTTCCGGTCCGTGATTGCTTAGTAAGCTTTTCGTTCTCAGTATCAACAGCGAGCAGTGCAGTTCAAGACAATGTTGATCTTTATTGTCGCCATTAGTTCTGGGCTGGCCTGGCTTCTCGGAAGCGGCATGAGGCCCATGATACGAAATGCATTTGCAGCTTTTCACGAACCCGGGGCTGGAATGAGCCAAGCAGCCGGCCTCACCTCTGAGGACAAACCCGTTGGACCCTCGGAACCAGTGACAAGTATCATGAACGAGCCCAAGTCAAGGGCCGCCAGGGGGAAGTCGACTTCAAGGCCGGTTCGAATCATTGTCGCCGTAAGTTGCCCCGAATGAACCTATGTATTTCGAAAGAGTCACCATCAACGTCTTGCAAGTTGAAAAGTACCAGACTAAGAGATGTTTGTAGATGACAGGAGCAACAGGGGCTGTTCTCGGAATTCGCATTCTGGAGATCCTTCGAGACATGGGGGTGGAGACCCATCTGATAGTCAGTCGCTGGGCGGCCGAGACGCTGAGATATGAAGGAAATTACTCGATCAAGGACGTCAAGGCTCTCGCGACTTTTTGCTATGCACACAACGATGCGGGTGCCCTTCCATCGAGCGGCTCTTTTCAAACGGACGGCATGATCGTTGTACCTTGCAGCATGCGAACACTCAGCGCGATCCGGACCGGCTTTGCCGATGACTTGATTTGCCGGGCTGCGGACGTTACCATCAAGGAACACAGGAAATTGGTCCTGGTGGCGCGAGAAACGCCCTTGAGCCCCATCCATTTGGCTAACATGTTGGCTTTGGCTCAAATGCAAGATGTAATTATATTCCCGCCCGTGCCTGCCTTCTACACCAGGCCCAAATCTCTGTCGGATATTGTCGACCAATCAGTGGGTCGTATGATAGACATGCTTGGCCTCGAATCTGACCATTTTCCGAGATGGAACGGGATGGATCCGTCCAAGGCATGAGCGTAAGCAATGAAATGGGACCATTTCAGCTCTTTCGCCCTGGTGAAAGGGCAATAGGAGTTGTACGAACTTAGTTCTGGGTTATCGCTGCGGCATATATTCAAGTGTTGACTGGTCTGCATGAATACCAAAATTTTTCAACTCTGCCAATAGACTAGATAGAAACGACAAGGGGGATCAGTTGGATCAATGGCTAGGTTTTGAATTATTTTTTACTTCATCCGTACTCGCTTTGCAAAAATCGGTGCTGGACTTGCGTGAAGTTACCAGTGGGTACGCGGAACGTACACCAAGTATCAAGAGGTTCAGAGCTTCGCGACTCGATGATTGAAGAGTGCGAGTTCTTGGAAATCTCTCGGTCTTCGGGCTTTTAAACGTCTAGTGCGGCTATCAGCTGTTGCGGCCGGGAAAACTAGGTGGGTATCCCTGGCAAGGGTTGTTTGTGATGAAGGAGTAGACGCAGGATGAATTCCATTTGTTGCTCTGAGGATGGCAGAATCTATGAGCGTGCACAAGTGCCATGAGGCAGTGGAAGAGGCATGGTGCCATAATTCGCTCGGCGCGTGATTGCAAGGCACGTGACCTGCATGCAACAGTTAGAGAGGTACAGTCTTCAAACATACATCAGACTTGAACTTTTCTCACCTGGATACTGTCATGGCGGGCAATTCTCGGCCACGACAAGTGCAGGGACCACTTGTTATCAAGTGAGCGCCTTCAAGATTGGAATCCCGAAAGTGCTCCGGACGCAAACTGTTCTCGATCACCTTGTGCGATCGGTTTTTGCCCAGGCGGCGGGCCGGGTTAGCCGTGGACTTCCGTTTCCCGTTGTGTGTTTGTTGCAAGGTATAAAGCCCGTATTAAGAATCCCGTCGACCGAAAGCTTCCCATACCAAATCAATCTACGACCAAGCGTGATTCCAGGAGACCTGGACTTGAACCCTGAATGCCCGCCATGGTCACAGGGGCGCGACATGCTGAACAACACCACGCTTTTTCATCTGACCAAGCACGCACATCGAGCGTCCCGAGACCTCCATCGTCGGCGAACCGAGGCCCTAGCAAGAGACGGAGGGTTGCGTTGGCCTGCAGCAATTGCAGATATAGGAAAGCACGTGTATGCTCCTTTGATAATTGATACACCCGGGTCATAGAATCAGACTTGACGTAATATAGTGTGATGGGGGTAGACCCAAGTGTTCTCTCTGCAATGAGCTGGGATGCGAATGTCTGTATGAGCAGGCGGGGACGACAACAAACTTGACCGTTGGTCGAAGGTATGTCTTGATAAATAAAGACCCATTACTCCACGTATAATTTGACTAAACTGTCCTCGCCCAGTTACCTGTCACGATTGGAGCAAAGACTCGAAACAATCGAGGCGAGCTTGATGTGGCTGCAGAGTGCTTCCCAGCCTGGAAATTATAAATCGGCAAAGACTGCTGTGGGCTTACAACCTCAGATGCAGATGTTGGCGGGAACGGATGATGGTTTGGCTTCGCAGATATCGCCCCAGCTGAGATCCTCAACAAACACGGTTATGGACGAAAATGACACCTCCGAGGATGCGATCGATGGTATGGGTGCTATCAAATTCACAGATGAACAAGTTAGCGACTATTTTGGCACGTGCGCTCCTTCTTATATCTGTTGACCCCAAGGGGTTTGTGCGTGCTCCATGCTGACTTTTCCAGGGCCGTCGTCCAATATTGCTTTCCTACGCCACATCTCAGAGGCTTTCGCACAAGCAAGTGGGCAGCGTCAGGTGACAAAGGCCACACTCAATCCTTCAAATCCCACTGGTGACTGGGTGTGTGTGACACACGCTCAAGGTGACATATCCGGCAACACCTTTAATCCGTCAGAAGACGGGATCAATATCTACGCACTTCCTTCCGAAACTCGCACCAGGGTACTCATTGATGAGTATTTTCAAAAGACGGGTCAGCTACTACCTATCATCCATGAAGCATCTTTTCGTGAGACGTTCATTGAGATGAAGCGCTCCAATTTCACAGCCACACGCAGAACGTGGCTGGGCTTGGTGAACATCATTCTCGCCTTGGGTTGCACATTGATTGTGGATGGAGACGATACCGCCAAAGAGAGGATTGCAGAATCAGATATGTACTGTCAAAGGGCCAACAGGCTTTGTGAAAGAGAGCCAAGAAAAAGTATAAGTCTTGAACTCGGTGAGCCGCCACATTGAGTATCCCGATCACGTGGCGCTGTTTGCATGAAGAAATTACACTAACGACATATTCAAGTGCAATATCTGCTCTTAATGGGCCAGTATCTCCAGGGAACACAAAAATCGGTCCAGGCATGGACTGTGCATTATCTGGCGATATCAACAGCTTTTCAGTTAGGCCTACACTCTCCAAGAACCAACGCAGGCTTTCCACCTGTAGAGGGCGAAGTTCGGAAGCGGGTCTGGTTCGGCTGTATCCTTCTCGATCGGTACGAGGTCTTTAACCTAATCACGGCGTGGAACATGATTATTAGCTGACCATCTTTTATCTACAGAACCCTAAGCATGACTTTTGGTCGCCCGTGTATTATCTCTAAGAAACATGTGAGGCTTGAACTGCCGTCAGCCAACATACAGATCATGGGCCAGACACCCGAGAGTGCTGCCATCCAGCATATGGATGCAAGGTACTTTCAAGCCACAATGTAAGCCTTCTCTGACGCGAAAAGTCAGACGGAGCGATTTGATAACGTCATCGAACAGTAAACTAAACAACATCTTGTATGAGGTTCTTGACACGTGTTATGAGCAGAATATAGGGCCTGCAGAAACCCATGCCGACGCCCAAATCCTTTCAATGACGCTCAAGGGAGATCAGCAACTGGACGAGTGGAGGTCCCAGATCGTCCCTGCATTGGGACTTCGGATCCTCCACACTCCACTGGTCTCTCAAGACCTTGGGAACTTCGAGTTGAAGGACAAAATTGTCGAGAGATTCAACCTGGTTTTGTCTCTTCGATTCCATAATCTCCGTATTCTAAATCACCGCCGCATACTGGAGAAGTTCCTTAACAGCACCAAAGGTGTCAATGATGTCGAAGCCAATATGATACGTCAAGTTTACGTCAGCAGCATCGAAACGTGCCTCGAATCGTCCATCAACATTGTTGCTATTGTACACCACGTGGTACTATCCCATGGCTGGCACCGTGACCTACTTGGAGCATGGAACTATTCTTTATTTTACAGTGAGTCTGACATCATTGTTTGTCATCATGCGTGAGTATAGGCAGCTTAACAGGTTACTAACCATGTTGAAAAGCATTCAACGCCGGGTTAGTTTTGATTGCAGCTTTGCTCGTTGCTGCGAAGGGAAGCGATACAGAACGGGTGCAGACATTGCCTTCCTGGAAGTATCTGGACAATGCAATGATGTACGTCAACATGGCAGTCGAAGCTTTGCAGAACTTGGACCGAGGGAACCGGGTCGTTCAAGGCATAGTCGATTATTTGTCACATTTGGCAATGGCATGTTCAAGCCTACGTGAGTCCCTCCATCAACCACCATCTCCCAAGCCTCAAGCCCTTCGTGTCGCGCATTGGATCAGCTGACCGGACTTTGGAGATCTAGTTTCCAAACCTGGCACGACACACAACGACAGAAATGTCGATCAACACGGCCCCCACGCAGCAACGGGTAACAGTCTTAGCCCTCAGCAAGCTCCTCAAGCAGGAGCCTCATACCGAGCTTTTAGCCAGTTGCCCGAGGTATTCAACATTGAGAGTAATCTCAGCGGATTCATGCTGGATACAGATGTGGACTCTTTTTTTCGCCTTTCTGATCCTGATAGCTTGGATTTGAATGGATTTCTATAAAGGTGAAACTAATAGATAAAGCGCAACGGGGAGGAGCTCCTCGAGATCTGGAAAGCATGCTATCGGGGTTGTTGGTATATCGCTATACTTCCCAGGCATGACTTTGGTCAGCTGGTCCCTCCTTAGAAAGTCATCCCCATCGAGGGGCTTGGGCCACCCTAGTCATATCGTGGCTGACGAAATTGTATTACCCTCGAAGATCTCTGATCCGAGCACCGCTGTCGGAAGGGATGAGCTCACTCACGCCCTCGCGCGTCATGGATGATTCTTAGGGGCGCCAGATGACAGATTACGTTCCAATGATGATTTGGCCGTAGGCTGACCTTGGCCATAATGTTGCATTGCAATCCTGCAAAGAAATACTGTAGGATCACTGTCTTTTTTTTTTTAGCATTGACATGGGGGCTTTCTATCGACTTTGATAAATTGTAGAATTGCAATCTAGTCGATGTCTAATGACTTTAATCCTCGCACCACAACTTGGTCAACAGTCTTCGATACCAGATGAGGCTCGCCCAGAATGGTAAAGATGGGTTCCACGGTTCAAGGAATCGCGTCGGAGCGGCGTGCTAGACACGGAACTTATATTTCAGGTGACAGAGAATAATACTAAGTAAAATAATATAGCTTATAAAATACTTAAAGATCTAGTCGAAACGATCATAAAATATATTAACAAGATTGGTCCTTACTTAATCCTGAATAATAATCATAAAGTGTGTGATTACGCCATTAAAGGCTGCTATAGCGAGACTAATAAGAGAGAAGAAGCCCACTGTTACGAATCAGCCTGGCCACCGGCCGCATACGAAGCTGTGACAACAGCCGAACCTTCACGAGGGGAGGGATTGCCGACAACACGGGATCACGGGCAGGCTATGACCCCTGGGGTCACGTGACCTCTGTTCCTCTGTTGACTATGCTCGGGCATAGCGACAAAGAAGGCAGAGAAGGCAGTATATATATATACGGTTATTACATAGACTTACTATATAGTCAACTTCGTTCACGATCATACCTATACATTTTGGTTATGATCACTTCACTCTAAGTACTCGCTCAAGTACTTTGTTCTCAGTGACTCCGCCTCTTATACTTCCCACTTATCAGGAAACGATACGTATAGTGACACCCCTAGTGGAGCGAAACATAACACTTTAACTACCTCTTGATTGGAAGTATTCGACACGATGTCCAGCTCCAAAGCTCCTATCCGCTCACCATCTCCCACCGGGTCGGTTCGGTCCGCCGCACCGAGCGCGTCGACACCTGGGCCAACCTCCACTATTGCCTCCAGCTACGGGAATTATAGCAATCACGGCAAGGATAACATCAAGGTTAACGTGTTCTATGGGTCTCGTGAGAAGCTAAGACTATTTATTACTCAGCTTATCACGACTTTCAAGTTGAACTGTATTAGGTATATTATTTATAAAGACAAGGTCTTATTCGCGGGGCTTCACATGAGAGGTTCAGTCTTTTATTGGTTTAAACCCATTATAATAAATTATATAATGTCCCCCTAAGGATAAAAGAACCCGAAAACCGTTGCTATTTTCTCTAACTTCGCGACATTTATAGAACAACTCAAGCAGATATTTGAAACTCTAGGGGAGAAATAGATCGCGACCTAATAAATCTATTAGCTTAAACAAAAGAGATTAGCTACGCAGTACTATGCCCTGTTCAAAAGGCTTCAGGCTAAACTAGACTAAGATGACAACGTGCTCGCCGCTGCCTTCTATACAGACTTAAAAGATACCATCAAGAAAGAGTTAGGGCCGAAAAGGCCCGATATATATCAAGGGTTAGTCAACAAAGCCATCAAAATAGACAACTAGCTGTATGAGTTAGGATTGGAAAAGAAAGAGTACCATGGTAAGACGGGCGGCGCCTATTATAAGGGAAAGCGCATTAACTATCAGTCTTACAGTGACCCGATAGACCTCGACATTGTTAAATAGGGCCGATCCTCATGACTAAAGGGCAAGTTCCAACGCAAGGGTCTATCCAATAAGGAGCGAGAATAACGCAAGAAGAAAAACCTATGCTATAATTGTGGAAATCCGGAACATAGAGCTAACGAATACGATACAAAGCTCGTGGGACTGCATATTATTGAAGCCGATATTGGAGAAGAAAAGGCCGACACTTTAATTAAGAAAAAACTCGAGCGCCTGAGACTCGGAGCAAGGGAGCGAATCTATAGTATAAGGTGCTTGGAGCCTAAAAGACAATAAATGCTTAAGGAAGAATCAGAAAAGGCTAGCCGCGTCAAGAAAGCACAGAAGGGGAATCCTAAGGGAACCTAGACAAAGGGAGCGACTTCGATATCACTGTTAATGATTAACGATAAAGAGATTATCGACACTGTAGAGATCTATCCTGATCGAGGTCGACAGGATAAAATAGCCACGACATTAAGGGCCAATAAAGAATGATCAGAACACGCGAACCTATTATAAATAGCTTGCCATGACGATAGTTGCCTCACCCACTACTTTAATAAGCAGGGTGTAGAGTGATTCCCTCACGAAAAGAAGCGCAAAAGTCGCCGAAGCAAGAAGTCTAGAAGAAAGAAAGCCGACTAGAAAGAGCCTGAAATAGTGATCATGATAAAAGCAAGATCATCACTATATAAGATTATTAGCGTTAGATATAGGTTCGCACGAATCAGGACTTGTCACTAGGAATATAGCGATAATAGAGCTATATTCAGCCTATACACTAATGTTAAACAGGACTAAATATCATTGAGGCTAGAAAGATACTTCTAACAATATAGTTTTAAAGAACCCTATATTCACCTAGCAAAGAGAGAATAATACTAGTTCCTGTTCAAACTATTACGAGAATGAACCTTAAGCTAGATAAACTAGAAAGTCATAAGCATTTATGACCTTATAAGTAGAGCGAAAACACTAGTGATAATATAAATATATTATTGGATTAGAAGAAAGAATAGAACTTTCTTGAGTCTATATTAAGGAAAATAGTTAACAGAGTATATCCTTATTATATATATTTATTAAGAACCTAACTATATTGAGGGGTCCCGTCTATATATATATAATATATAGAGAATATCTATAATCCATTATTTTCTATTTAACGACAACTTCGATAAGGAAAATAATAAACCTAGCGATCAAGAAGAAGACGAAACATTTATCTGAATAGAGTTCAATATCTAGAGAATAGCTATATCAATAATAAAGACATAACACGAAGAAAAATATAGAATAATTACTAATTATAGTAGTGTGGCAATACTCATGATAAAGTATTAAAAGAATATACTATGCACCTAAGTGTATAAAAAGGGTTGCGCCACGAAACATAAAAGATTCGATCTTAAAGAAAGTCCAAAGAATAAGGAAGACCTAGTACTCGTGACAAAATATGAAGAAATATATAAAGGACCCACTCACACACACGATATACTAGAGGAGAACCGTTACGATTTCGTATTTGGCGAAGAATCGGACTTAAGCGACTTTGAGCCCGAGTGTAATATCGTGTTGTTCCACGAGTACTATCACACGATTATCGAGACGCCGAACTAAATTTACTACAAGAAAGGAGTACCCGAGACGTGTATAGTTAACAATAAGCTTAAGCTAAACTATACTTAGAAGCAAGAGAAAAAGAGACTAATATCTATATAGCGATACTTTAGGTGCTTAGGTCTAGCTCCTTATATACATTAAATTGATATTAAAGAACTCTACTTTTTTCTATTTAAAGAATATAACGATCTAACCCCAGAAGAGATCGACTAAGACGTGACGAGACACTATATTGAAGGAGAAAGGATAAGGAATATTATGGTCATAAGAATATATTATTAGGTCTAGACAGTAAAAAGGGTCTAGAGATATAGCCTCTACACTAACCTAAATGCTCACTAAGTTTCTATAATCTTATGCTTATATCATGATAAACAGTGTCCGCACAAAGAAGAATATACACACGATATAATTAGGAGCGAAATATATTACTTACTATATAAGTTGAAAGATTTTATGGTAATCGGTATCTCTAAAGAATCTAATGAGGATAACTCGTTTAAGTTTGTCGTTATCAGGATAACTAAAATACACCTCTAGTTCTTAACCTCGTTTTGGAGACCAGTAAAATGTGAGCGAATAAACTGCCTAAACGAAGCATTATATTACCACCCGAAGTTCGACCTTAAAATAAGCGAAAAGGATAAAGTCCTCATGTTAGCTAAAAAATGGTGTACTGACACGATATACACCTATACACCCAGGATACATGTATATCTCACGACGAAGAATATAATCGAACCATCGATCGAGATGCTCCTATATATTTTCAGAAGCAGGGATACAACCATAAACGACGTGCCAAAAAACTAGGCGAAGGACCTATCATGAGGCGAAAGGTTCCGCGTAACAGAAAAAAGCCTTAGAAACGCTATATCAACATGGTATAGACTTAATGTTTAACGCCATTAGTCTTCAGCGCTAGACTAGCTAATAAGCCTATCTAAGTAATGATTAATAACGGAGTAAGCTAAGACTATATATTACCAAAAACAGCAGTAAGACTAAATAAGCAACGGAAAAAGAATTTATACCTAGTTTTCATGATAGATAGAACGCTAGATAAGTATAATGGCGGATAGATATAATAGAAGATTCGCGACGTCTATCTAGAGATTAGAGAGTATAGAGAGTAGATTAAGCTTATTATGATGCCGATTAAGTATAATATTATTCTAGGGATAAAGTGGCTAAAAGAACACTCGCTAGTGATAGACTAAAAAGAAGGAACCTTATTCTTTCTAAATTATAGTCACGAGAAGACAAAGAGAAAGAAATAATTAACTTTTATTGTATCTCTATAAAGGGCGATATAAGTATAATCTAGGAGAAGGGCCTTAAACAAAATATAAGAGAAAAGCCTATCTAAGAAATATAAGGACTTCATAGATATCTTCAAAGAAAGAGAAGGTATAGTCGCGCTACTAGAGCATAAGCCATAAAACCATAAAATAACGCTTAAAGAAGAGAAAGTGCTAAAGTATAATGGTTAGCTTTGACCCTTATCCTTAAAGGAAGAAAGCTTCCTTAAGAAGTATATAGAGACTCACTTAAAGAAAGACTTTATTTAACTATTCAAGTTATTTATAGTATATAGTGTGCTGTTCGCCCCAAAAAAGAATGAATCTTTTCGACCATACATTGATTTTCGACCACTTAATGTGATCATCAAAAAGAATCAATACCCATTACCCTTGATTAAGAAGCTATAGAACAGACTCCTTAGTGCAAAATACTTCATCGCGCTTAATATATAAGATATTTACTACCGAGTATAAATAAAGAAAGGCCATAAATAGATAACGACTTTTAAAACTAGCTTTAGGTTATATAAGTATTATATTATGCCATTTAGATTAATCAATATCTCGATATCTTTCTAGGAACTAATTAATAACACGCTACGAGAATATCTTGATGACTTTATAGTTATATACTTAGACGATATATTTATATTCTCAAAGATGTATAAAGAATATATACAGTATATTTAAAAGGTTCTAAGAAAACTTTAGGAAAAGGATTTATCGTTAAAACTTAGTAAGTATAAGTTTCATAAAAAACGAATTTAATTCTTAGGCTATATTATATCTAATAAAGATATCGAAGTGGATCCCGATAAAATAGCGCCAATCAAGAACTAGCCAGAACCCAAGAATATCACGGAAGTACAGTCTTTCGTTAGACTACTTAACTACTACTGAAGATTTATTGAGGGATTTTTGAAGATCGTAGCGCCTTTAATGAATCTTATCAAGAAGGATATCTCGTTCAAGTTCGGACCAAAATGCAGAAAGGCATTTAAACGCCTCAAAGAAGCCATCATAACGGCGCTAGTACTTACGATATTTGACCCTAAGCTAGAATACTAGGTAGAGACAGATATATCGGACGAAGCGATCGGAGCTCGCCTCACACAAAAAGGGCTAGATAGTAAGACCCAAACGATCGCGTACTTCTTAAAGAGAATAATAGGGCCGAAGTTGAATTACGATATCCACGACAAAGAATTACTCGCTATTATGGTATATCTCAAGAAATGGAGAGTATATCTTAAAGGCGCTAAGTATTAAGTTCAGATCTACACTGACTATAAGAATCTGTTGTACTGAATAACTATAAAAGAACTCAACCGCAGGCAGGTTCGATAGGTAAAGATATTAGCACTATATAACTTCAAGATATATCATGTCCAAGGAAAAGAAAATGCTGTGGTAGACGCGCTTAGTAGGCGACTAGATTATATAGAGAACATTAAACCAGAACCGATAGCAGTACTCAAGGAAAAAGATAGCGCCTTAATATACGCAACACCTGAGATAGAGGTATTAACTCTTATCGATATCGAGTTAACAATAGATTAAAAGAAAGAAATCATCAAAGAAAGACATGATAATAAGTCAGCAGGATATCTAAGGGTGAATAAGACTCTTGAGCTGATTATAAGAGACTTTATCTGGAAGGGGATCAGGAGAGACATAGCAGAATATATCAAGAATTGCGACATGTGTCATAAAGCAAAATATACACGACATAAGCCTTATAGGTTACTCTAGATATCAACGATACCTAGAGAAGCATGGTATATAATCACATTAAACTTTATCACGAAGCTACTAAAATCTAAGAAACCCCTCACGGGTGTGGAATTCGATAGTATACTTGTGATAAACGATATTCTGACTAAATATATAGAATTCATTCTATATAAGGAATTATCGACAGCGAAAGACTTAGTATATATACTATACAAGAAAGTCTTCAGTCGATATAGAATACCAGAAGAAATACGCTTAGATCGGGATAAGCTATTTATATCATAATTCTGGCAATCACTAATGAACCTCACAAAAGTCCACCAGAAAATGTTAATAGTGTTCTATCCACAGAGCGACGAATAAACAGAGAGAATAAATCAAACACTGAAATAGTATTTATGATATTATGTCAATTTTCAGCAAAACGACTAGGTATAGCTATTACTTATCGCGTAGTTTGTATTTAACAATAAAGCAGCGGTAACAAGAATATCGCCGTTCTACGCGAATCATGGATTCCATCCAAGAATAGATAAGAATACGAGAGACATTAAACTAATTATAAAAAAAGCAGCAATCTCGGTTAAGAAACTATAATCATTACATAAATTATTAAGAAAAGAACTCAAGAAAATATCACAAAAAACAGTTAAAAATTCGAATAAACAAAGATTTAAGGGACTAGACTTCAAAGAAGGGGAGGCAGTATACCTTCTCAAAAAAAACATTAAAACATAATAACTATCTAATAAACTAGATCACACTAAGATTAGACCTTACAAGATTAAAAGGAAACTTGGACCAGTGAACTTTAAATTGAAACTATCGAGAGAGATAAATATCTATTTAGTCTTTCATAAATCGCTTCTTAAAAAAGCATCACTAAACGCTAAACTAGGATCGGTGCTAATATATAAGAAAACCTAGTAACCAATATACGATATCGAAAAAATCTTAGGCCACCGAAGAAAAGACAAAATAGACTAATATCTAGTTAAGTGGTTAGGATATAACTAGACAGAGAATATATAGAAGCCGCTAAAGTATCTATCGCCAGACCTGATCTAATAGTATCATCAAAGAAAAAATCGATTGCAGAAAAATCGAAACCACCTTCAAGCAGACTAGGATCGTCGGCTAAGAAGAAGTTATCTTTAAAACCCATAACCTGCTGATCCGGCTTGTCTTTCAAAGGTGCGTTAATATTTAGCTCGTCTAATGTCCGCGCCTCGCGATTCAGTATAAGGTTTTACTGACGAGATATATTTTCGAGACGCTTCTCAAGATTAGCCACCTTCTGCTCCTGAGCGAGTAGTTAGCGGGTAAAAACGGTTATTAGTCGACGGTCTTGACGGCATTGTTCTTTAAGTTATGCTTTCTTTTTGTCTAATCGATCGAATTCAGTTTGCAAGAAATTTTCTCCGCAAGATACGTTTTTACGGGTACAGGGGCCACAGCGCTTATATCCTTTCTTGACAATATAGATTTCGCCTAAGTTAACGCATTGAGGGCAGAGAGTCATCGCTATCTCACCGATACTGTAGATGTTTTTGTCAAGACGGGTGTAATCAGGTTCGCGGGGGTCAAGCCGGCCGGGGCGCTGCCAAGGCATTGTTAGCTATATCAAAGGAAAGGAGAAAGCGAACTTTTCAGAATGAGGGAGACACTTATTTATGTACATTACGGACAACGAATAAATCTAGAAGGGGGAAAGTGTTATAAATTAGCCTGACCATCAGCCGTATACGAAGCTATAACAACAGCCGAACCTCCACGAGGGGAAGGATTGCCGACAACACGGGATCACGGGCAGGCTATGACCCCTAGGGTCACGTGATCTCTGTTTCTCTGTTGACTATGCTCGGGCATAGCGACAGAGAAGGCAAAGAAAGCAGCATATATATATACAGTCATTATATAGACTTACTACGTAGTCAACTTCGTTCACGATTATACCCATACGTTTTGGTTGTAATCACTTCGCTCTAAGTACTCGCTCAAGTACTTTGTTCTCAGTGACTCCGCCTCTTATACTTCCCACTTATCAGGAAACGATACGTGTAGTGACACCCCTGGTGGAGCGAAACGTAACACCCACTTTAAGGCGAACTAGCGTGGTACCTATTTTCTGGAAACTATATAAATATTAGATGATTATTGATTGATAAAGAAGGGCTTGATTTAAAGCTAAATCGATTCTTGATTATATAATGAGGATATTCGAAAGAGCGTGCTTACTATGAGATATATATAATAGTAGCAGTCCTCACAAGAAAGAGTAAAATGTCTTTCGATTCTGCCTTAGAGTGGACGGAGCAGGGCTAATTAGGCATGATTTTAATATGTAAGGGGCTAATGCTGGGCTGATCGGGTACTGTCTAGATATCTTAAATGTTCATATTTATATATAGATAATGGTCGATCTATCTCACCTGCCCAGACAACCTTCCCAGACAAGGTGAGAGTGGAAGGTTCACCACGCTGAGAAGTGAGGGACTCTCACCAATCAGGGGCTTGTGCCCAATAGAGAATTGGGAAGATGTTGGACCATGGCTTCGAGCTAATGGTTTGCGAAGTCTCTATTTATGACTGGATGAGCCACCAGCGCCACCAGCGCGGGTGACGGCGGATGGCCCTGCAATGGCGGCCTGAATGACTGATAAAATCGGGGCAGGGCGATGCAACGAGCTTGCTCAAATCGACCCGGCGTCTCCTTGCTGCTGACGGATCAAGCTGGTGAGAGAAAAGCAGTCTGCAATTTCACTTGCCTATGCTTAATGGCTTCAGGCTGCCTGCCATCGTCGGGACAGGGAGTTTCAATCCAGTCTTCTGATAGTGGTGATGACAGAATCAAGTAACAGATAACGGTCCGGAGGGACCTTCATGTTCAACTGGCGTGAAGCATGTCCCCAAAGCCAGTATCTTTTGTTTGGACACATACTCAAGCTACCTACATAGGGTCTCCAATCTAATATATGATTTCGTTTTGTGTCGCCTCCTTCCCTGATATGTGTCTTACTTGACTCAACATTGCCGAATATACGTCACACTGCAATGTAGTTCATGAGATCAGTAACTCCCCGAAACTCCGATATTGATCATCAAGTTTCCTAGCCATTGTTACACATTCTCCTAAACCTTGCCCTTTCTTCTTCTTTTGCCTGCTCCATCAAATGAGCCCTCTGAACTTCCCGTGCCTTATGAATCATGACATGGGCTGACATTACTTCGCGTAGAAGCTGTAGTGGATTTAAATAGCGAGCCCAAGCACGTAACCCCCATCGGCCGCCTTGATAGCGTTTCTCAAAGTCAGACATAAAGGCTTCTTCGTCGCCAGCGGACTCGACGGCCTGATATCCTTGGACTCGGAGGATGGACACTGAGTCTGAGACCTCGTAAGGTTTTGTGCGGTATGCGTAGAGAACTAGGAAGGACAGTGGCACCATCTGCACGCAGATTACTATTGTTGGGAGGCCCATCATTACGTCGATATAGGTCATCGAGGCAGACGGAGTAAGGACTTTTGTTCCCGTAAGAATCAGGAAAAGTATCTGGCTTGCTGGTTAATGTCGTTCTTCAAGCTTTTACGCTCGCGTAGATACTTACTTTCTCCACGAGAACTACTCCCACAATCAGCTTGAACGCCATCAGCTTAAGTAGCGGTCTGTGCTCGGTCATGTATCCCTTCAGGTTTATGTAGAATTGGAGGATGGCGTTGATAGCCACTGACGTCGACAGCGAGGTGATGACTTGGAGCTGTGTGATATAATTAGACTTAAATCGAGAATGAAGTCAAGCTGTGACAGTACGTACCCAGATATGAGCGAAATGAGGCGCTGTACTGTCAAGACAGTAAGCATGTAGTGACTGCGTCACTATCTGGGAGACAGCGGTAATCCAGGTGATGACTGGATACTGGAGTACAGAATACCATGTCAACTAGAACCAAACAATGGGTTAGTCATTCCTTCAGGTTCTGCGTTTCTGCTGCTGCAATGCTTACAGTCAAAAGCCCGATGCCGTTCCTCTTCTTCTTTGGCTGCCATTGTCTCTTTACCTCTAGTGAAGAAAAGAACTCCACTTTACCCCCATCACTGGGAGCCAGGAAGTCACAGAGCAGCATGAGAAATGCATATAAAGCCACACCCTGAAGCACCTCGGTAAATCCTTGGAGGTAGACGTAGGAATTCGGAAAACAGATCGAGATGAAGGATAAAATTTGGTATGAGGGAATGAGGTTACAAATACGCATTATCCTATAAGAGATTCCATTAATATCACAGAGTTTGAGCAAGTATGTCGTGAATTCATACTTCATCTGTTCACTGGGGTTACTCATACGCATCGCATGTCGTCCCATCAGGCCAAAAATCAAAGTCAATACTATGGCAGTGCAACTGCCGGATACGATCATGTTGAAATGGTAGAAGGTAAGGTTTCCCACGAAAGGGCCACCACCAACTGAATAACTTGTTAACAAACTCATGCCTTCTTTGCCGGGCCACGGAAAAATCACCTACTTTGCTCAAGATGGTCAGGTATAGGACAGCCGAAGCTGCCTGCGGCTGTTGTTCTTGAACTTAGAAGGGGCATGTTGTATGGTTGTTGGATGCTCACAGCCAAACCAACGACACTGAGTCAATGACTTGTTCAATTGAAGATGGAGTGTAAAAAACGACCGAGAAGTCACTTCATCTTATATCTACGATCACAATCAGATCTACGCCTGAATTTCATATATGGTCAGGGGCGCCGCCGATCCCCAGGTTCCACTACGAGAGTCTTGGCAATGGTAAATGCCCGTTTCGGGTTTGGTGCCATAACACACGCTCAGCCCTGATGCTTTGCGTTGCGTAGGCCCAAAACATTGCTGATCTCCAAGCCCACACATGGAAAGACTACTGGAGGCGATCCTCATGGATAATGTATCCTTGACATCTCTTTGGCTTTCGAGGTGGACAGCTGATCGTGGAGCAAGAGAATTTGTCCGACCCTGGCGACCGACCATAGAAGGTGTTATGGAGACGGAGATCTTCGTCCGTTGTCATTGTGTGAGGGCCTGATCGGCCTAGTTGTGGTTGGAGAGATGGGCTATATGACAGCTTATGCGGCACCATATACCAAGTGACAGATAAGGATCCAATTCGGAGCTGATATCACGACTGATCAAGAGCATACGGCTTCTTGCCGAATCGTTCTGGACCAAATGGTGGTTGAAACAGTATTGACTTGCGAAACATAAACCAACGCAATACTTGAGATGAGGTTGGAAATCTCACAGTGAATTCACTGATAGGAAGCACTTGAATGGAGGCACCTCAGGGAGCCAAGTGGCGTAGTTGCCGAAGATACTTGCTTCGACGACAGACCCTCCCGCACCCTCAGCTACGGGAAACGGGTCATTTTCTGCAGAAATAACGAAAATCTACTGCTTGCGAGATGTGGCCTCGATTGAAGTCAGGCATTGCGCACAAAGCTGATGCATAACTACTGTATTCCATTCCCTTGTATGCGATAAAGTCATGTTGCTTCGCACAATGGCCCATACAATGCCCCACCAGTTACTTCGAGCCAAGCATCATTTCCCACGCATCTCCAACACCAGAACACGTCCTCCGGGTCGTACTTCTTCTTGATCGACACAAGCCAGTTGTAGTTACTCCCCCACCAATCCTGCTTCCAGTCAGGGTCGTACGGATCGGCTTCGTTTCCGTATGTTCCCATACCTGGCGCCAGTTCCTTCATTGCTTTCAACTTTCTGAATGTCAATTCTTTCTTGACCTGTGCAATGTCCTCATAGCCCGCATTGTTGGGCCAAAAGTCGATCTGTTGCATAACAACATAGGTCGTTCTCCATGCTGGGTTGACGGAAGTGAGCGGCTGAGGATCAAGAACTTTGCCACCCGCAACAAGATTAAAGAGCGTGGCAGACTCAGTCGTGGTTTGCGTGCCCTGACCAGAGGTAAGGGTGTCCAGGAGACTCTTCATGTTGCTCTGTTGGGAGGCCAGTGATGTCTTGTCAAAGAATCGGGATGCCATCATGGGCCGCTTTTGCCCAGCCGATATATGTGGGTGGGAGTTGTACCATTTGAAGAATGAATTGAAAGTTGTGAAAGATGATTGAATGACAAAATATGTGCCATTGTACGGACTCCATTTGTTGACAATTTGCTGGGTCATAGTGTCCTTCACCTTGTTGATGGCCGCAGTGGAATTGATCTCAAGTAAGTTGACGAGATTATGTGTGTAAAGCATGACTCCATCCTTGTGAGTAAGGGCTCCAGTGCCCGAGTACCCCGCGTCCACCAGTGAGGGATAGCTGGCCATTATGTCTGCAGTGGCGTTAATCAGCTCAGAAGTTGCATTTGGGAATGCCACAATTGTCAGCTCGTGCCCAAGCGCCGTAAGGTCGGGATATGCTTTGACTGTCGCTGATGTCACGACGCCGAATGTGCCACCACCCCCTCCGCGGAGGGCAGCGAACAAATCTGGATTCCGACATTCATTGGCTGTGACGAGTTCGTCCGATGCGAGCACGACTTCGTATTCAAGGACCTGGTCTGCGCCCAACCCGAACTGGTGACTTGCAGGACCATGGCCTCCGCCCTGGAGATAGCCTCCAATGCATCCGACAGTCTACAAGTCGTCAGTATAGTTCCATTTCATTGGTAAAAGCAAGCGTGACTCGGTGACATACCCGGTCGTCTCCGCCAACGACTATGCTGCCATGTTCGTATGCAAAGTTGTAAACGTCGTCCCAGACATATCCACCACCAATTTTGATGGCCCGTCCGGTGTAGTTGGACAGACAAGAGCCATCCGAGGGAGTGTACCTCTCTTGAAAATACAGTCTGTCTTGAATACTCTTGATCCAAATCGACAAACTACCGTATCCTTGAGAGCTGTCTCATCTTGTCAGCGTCTTGGTCCAAGCTCTCCGCTACGAGGAGCATATCTTACCGTTGAGAAATGTCATGACCCGTATTTTTAATGACAAGGCGAATGTTGTGGTCTTTGGCGAAGTTTATTCCCGCTGAGAGATGCTTTCCTTGAGTGGCATTAACTGTATAGACTGGGTAGTTCCCAAGATCACACTGGGGATAGTGTCCGTCGCCCAGGGTGGCATTGATCGCGGCACAAGTCTCAATCGTAGGGTAGCTATAGCCTGTTGGGAATTGCGCCAGCCATGAGTTGGTGGACCAGTTGGCGCTGATTTCCTCACAGCGTTCATCGCTGTAGCCCGCACCTTGATAACATGGCCGGGCAATGGGGTGGTTGCGAATGAGCTTTCCTTCAACGGTGGCGTTAAGCGCATCCCATGTTGAGTCTGAGGGCCAGCAGTCTTCAGTCGGGGTCTATGAAGCCAGGAATCAGAATTAGATGGCCACTTCTAGGTTATAATGATCATAACGTACACATTTGCATTTTGCAAGGGCAAGGTGGGCTCCTCCAAGGAGCATGAGGGTTGAAAATAGCATTTCGAAGGCAGAGGAATTATGTCTCCAAGATATAAACGCCTTTAGGGGTGCGAGCAGCCTACTAACCTTGATTCTTTCTCTGAGATCCCAGCCCTTTATATCCCAGAAATCTGCACCTTTGACATAATTAATTCTCCAGTTTCAACCTCTCTGATCTTGCACTGGGTTATTCTTAGACCCGGGCTTTTCGAGACTATAACAATCAGCGTATAACACCACTAGTTGCGTGGCATCTGTCTTTATCCGGCAATTAGGTATGCCAGAAAGTTGGAGTCTACTGCAGCTTGGCAAGTGTGAATCCCAGTTTAGGAAGAGGTTACCCTTTGACCTTGACGTAAGGATTCACGACTCCTTCAAAGATCGTCGACTCCCGGTATTGGATGCCTGATATGATTGTTACGAAGATAGCCTTGATAGGCATACTTCCTTGCCAAGCATAGCCTTGATAGGCATACTTCCTTGCCAAGCATAGCAGCCATGGTCTTGTTGTAAAAATCAGCCACTTGGGGTAGTACATCAAGAGTTGGCTCAGCAGGGATGCCTTGAGATAGCATGACTTGAAAATTCAGACTCCATCGTAAACTGCAAAGCCTCACGGTTTTGTTCGTGTGGCTAACTCACACAGCATGCTGAGGTTTCTGCTACGGAGAGGAAATGGAGGCTACAAACCGGTAATCCATCCAGTGTGGATGCCCGCTGTATCATAGCATGTTCCCTGAATACATGTCCATTTCGTCATACTACTAAAAGACATGGTTTTGGTCGAATGGCCATTCTCATTAACCTCACGCAGACTTGGGGTATCTATTTCGGCGAGCCGACATTTAAAGCAATCTGGGAGGTAAAGACGTACTGCTTGTCGAAGCAATCATCCCAACCTGCCTTGCCGGACGCCCAAAATCGTTCTAGGACATCCTTTGCCGCCAACGGGCTAGACACGCCCATAAATCGACTCATCTCAGACAGTTTGTTTTGGACAAATATACGTCTCACTGTATAATCGCCGGAAGTTGCTTGGGTGCCCAGTATGACAAGTGGCCACAACAAGAACCATCGGAGTTTTGGGACCAACAAGCCTTCTTCGAGGAGACTCTGTAGAAGTTCGCTTTGCATAAGGCAGCTGTTTTGTAGTGAAGAAGTTGATGGCAGTACCGACAGGCTTTGTAGTGATGAAATGCAGTAGATTATGGTGGCAGCTTGATACACCCTTCCTATGAAGGCCCAGTCTGCCGTTGATCTAGGTTTCAACTCCGCCCATTGCCCAGGTGAGAAACATTGGATGTTTTGAAGTACATTGTGAGCCTCTTGAAGAATATTGTCTGTGCCTCTTGGCTCCTCGTGGGGATTCGTGGCTCTGAATCGAAGATGGCCGATTGTGACGAGTTGGGCAAATAATTCAGGCGGGAACTTGTGAAGAGCCAAATAGTTATGTCCGCACCCTTGAATCATGGATTCCACTTGCTGATAGTGAATGTAGGAGGCAGGCAAATTTGAGGCGTGCGATGTGGTATCCCCAAGAACCGCTATGCTGCATCCGTTAGTTAGACCTCAGCTCTCTAAAGAGCTATTGTACGGGCTAGCTCACAAAATGCAAGATCGGAGTAGCGGCCCTACACCTGTCGATTCGGTGAGTGTAGATAAACCACCCCGAAGCACGAGAGCTTTGTATGCTCCTTCGAGGTGACATCGCCAGTCAGCCGGAGTTCTTTGCTGTGCCTGCAAACATTAGTATACTGAATCGTGCGCATGAGTGAGCGTACATCTAGGAGCAAAAGAATCAACATTCCCGTTATGACGAGGTCACTGGTGCACTTTTCCTGTGCTTTTAGGTCATCTCTTAGCGATCGGATCATTATACCTCGGTAGTGCAAAAGTTCCGTGCACAAGTTGTGACTCTCGAGGGCCATCTTGCACTGATTGATCTGATGGTTAAGAGACATGCAAACAAGGGCCAGTCTTCTGTGATCTGGAGATGCTAGACCTCGCTGGAAAATTGTCGAGGTAATAGGATAAATGGCACCATTTGGATCGAGTTCGAGCATCGGCAACAGATTTGGATATATGCGGGTGTTGTCTATATCTTTTCGTTAGCGAGATCGAGGTACTTAACTCTTTGACACCAACAGTAGTCCGCTGCCCTCATAAACACATGGACATCCGTGCCAACCCCGCGAGGAATATCTATTGCGACAGGGGATGCAGCTTGAACCTCGGCCGTTTCCTTGTCATCGACGCGACGCTTTCGATTGCGAGCCTTGACCTGTCCAGGAGCGAGCCATCTAAGTCTGACTGGTTTCACACCGTACCCAGGACATGTGATTCCCGACCGCGTGCAACGACCACATTCAGGAAAGTTAAAGTCACAGACCAACGTCCGTCGGCGGCACTCCCAACAATGACTCCTCGGCCCATCCTGCTTCATCGTGATGTGTGCGGTGGCCATCCGGGAGAGGGAATTGACAAATCGGTATGTAGGGAGAAATGAGAACTAGTTGAATAGGGCGATCCTCGTCTCTTCCTCATTGAGATATTATATGAGCCAAGAGGTTTCAATGCGGGATGTGAGAGGGGGGCCTCATTACCCACCTATTACCTCATGGGCCCCATAATACCCAGCCGCAGCTCTCTGTAGCAGTCGCTCAAGGCCGTCTTGGCGCACAGATAACCCCTTTTCGGTCAAGCGTGATATCAGTAATATGTAGTTTGTGTCCACTGCCTGGTTAGTAGTGGGTTGAATCATAACCCTGAGGTGCCCCTAACATTCTTAGCTAGATCTCTCGAGTAGGGATGGTTGTTGCACTCCTCACATCAGACCCATCCAGACGCAAATCAATGGATAGCAGAGCATAGCTATTTCCGTACTGCGGACCACGGCCTTGGTTCTGGGCAGGCCATGCTGAGAGCGTCGGCCGTTCTCGAACCATGGCTTGAATAAGACAGTATAATCTAGACAAGGCTTTCCACAATAGAACTGGCTACCTATTTGATACCGTCTGTACATAGCAATCATCCGATGGCTTCTTCAACTTCTGCAGAGCTCTGCTCTGCAGTGGACCGAGCCCAAATGGGAACAAAGGAGCTTAACCGGGCCCGATCGGCGCCGCAACTTGGTGGCCCTGAACAGTTTACTGTTCTGCACTGCTGTCCAAACCTTCTCGCCATACTCTTCAAAGACATTCAGTTATCAGATATTGTTACAAGCTGAGATGCGATTACAGGCAATGCATTCGGTCTCTTGTTACTTGCATTCCTCTTGACGCTGGTTATCTAATTCCTCCCCGCAGCAGATTGATAAGAAGGCAATTGCTCTTCCATCACCTCCTTCCCCTCCTCCTTAGCACTGCCCTGGAGACGCTTCTCAATCCTCCGACCAGTGCAATTCTCCTCGTCAGACTCGTGCCCACTGTAGTCCCTTCCACTTTGCACGTCTCTGTTCCTGATTCCATATTGGCGGCCTCGACTATCGTCACGCATGGCGTCCCGGGAATGAGTTTGATCCTGTAATTGCCACTGCTCTAGTCCTCTATTACGGGTGTCGTAATGCATGTCTTCGTCCATCCTTCTTTGCGCCCTCACTTGACGTTCCTCATAGTCACGCTCGGAACGGTCGCTCATCATGCTCATTGCACCGCCGACAACCGTGCTTAGAAGAGTCTGGTGTCCTCTATTTAGTATGACCGGTCCACCAGAATTGTTGCAGCGACAGCGGCGAAATCCGCACATGTTGCATCCCAGGCCAACGCGCCGACCGAAGCCCGGAATATATCTCGGGCCATACCCAGGACCATACCCGGGACCGTACGTGGGACCATAACCAGGGCCGTAGCCACCAGCATAACTGGGCCCTGTGTTGACGGTGATTTGGGGACTACGTGGATCGTAGCTACCCTGAGGTAGACCATAGTTGTTGGCTCCTTGATACATGTTGAAAGAAATCTGCTCTGCACTTAGGCCTTTTGAGTGACCAGGCCTTGTTGAGGTGTAGTTTGTTAGGGATAAAAAGAAGGCTTGTTGTGCGATGTAGGTAAAGAGATTCGATCAGGCTCGCGAGGTATAGCAGAGTATATATATGGAGGTATATTCAGTTGACTCTTGCGATTGAAATATATCCAACCTTATCCCACTCTTCCTAACACTAAGTATAGGTTATAGTTTCACAGCCTCCGACTCTTCTCCAGGCGCTCAGCAACCTGAAATGTCGGAGTGATAAAAGGGTCGATACGGGTCCCTTGAGTGACAGTGATCTGCAAGCTGAGGGCCCACCGTGTGGCTTCCCTTAGAGCTTATACGAGCTTGTACGCAGCCCCTACGAAAGGAGAGGGATTACTGCCTGACAGAGTAGTTATGACGATATAGAATGGAAGCTTGGACTAAATATTGGATCGTACATCACCACCCTTGTACATCCACACCAAGACTGCCTAGTTGGTGCTAGCACTATACCTCTACTCTCGCAATACCGATCAAATGCCGTCAACTTGACATCGAGGCTCTGGAAATCCCTGTGTACGTACTTGAATTGGGGACCTCTCCACCTGACCAATAACGAATCGGCAATCTCGTTACTGACTTGGGCCCTTGTTCTGGTGATGGCTACAACGCAAGGCTAGGCAAGAATTCTTGCTCCAAGTCGGCTTTCAGTAGATCAAAGTTGCCACGATTGTCAAGCCTCCCCTTCACTGAGTCCCTCGGCGCATGCACCCAATGTCGCGTCCTCGGCCTCAACCCTTTTTCATCGTCTCTTGTACTACAATTTATCTTCAAAATACCTAGTGCGACAAAAGTCGACCTCCCAGCCTCGAGCGTATGCGCGAGGTTTGTCAAAATTTCGTGATGAATCATGTCCTTCACTGATTGGTAGTCAACCCCTCTTGTAAATCAAAGCTACATGAGTCGATTACATAGTGTTCTAAGATTACAGCCAGGCCGAAGCTTTCCAAGCCCTACACACGGGGAAAGCGAAGGGTAGAGAGACGTGGTCCAATTGAAAATCAAGATTATGCCATCTACTTAACGTGTTCTCTCAAGTTACCAGCCGACCTAAGCCCATCAATTTTGCATATTCAAGTATCGTTCTAACTCTGTAGCGTAATGACTCCTCATTCCTCTGTCGTCCTCGATATCAGCGAGGTTGGAAAGTATTGCTGCGCAACCTCACTTGAACTGAAGACCAAATCGGACCCGAGTTGCGCATGGTCTGAGCCTCAGAGCCCTGATCCTGGGCTCTGGTAAGTCGGCTTCATTGTTGGATTCTGATTGCTCTGCCGGATAGTAGTTGGACGAGGTGCTGTGTCTTGACGGTTCATGCAGACGTTCGAATCTTTGTCTTGGGTGCCTTTAAGGCTTTTGGCGAGGACGCCCAAAAAGAGACACATCTTTCCTTCTGGATGATTTATTTTGAATGTCTAGATTGGGCGCCAGTGATGTGAAGAAATTCAGATTGCTCCTGTGTTGATTGATACAAGGCTGTTACGCCTTCTTGCTCGCACTTCTTATTGAGCTCGAGTCCTCTTGGGCGCTATGGTTTTGTATGGCGGCCTCTTGCACCCTTCCTGGATGACAAGAGCTCAGCCACGGGAAGGCTCGTATCTGCACAGCATCACAGGTGCTTCCGTTGGGTGCCCTGATCGAAGATAACATCCTTTGCAGGTGTAGACTGAAACTAATCTGATGGAGATCGAGTCCCGAGATCTTCGTCTTGGCTGTTATATTTCCCATTTCTGGAAGATATACAGGATCTCGCGGCGCTGACGGCGATCCTCGCGATCCTGGCGACCCACGGCGACCCGCAGCGATGCTGAGAATTTTTCTACTGGTCAATGGAATTTCTAATACTTGTGGTCGTAATTCCAGTCACGTCGTTAGTAGCACGGCCCCCATCCATCCCTACTGGGCTTCCACAAATAGTTGTTTCCGGGGCGCCGATCTCCAAGTATTACGCATACAGTGGGGACAGCCATGGAGCTTGGTTTATTAGGGAACTTCCAGGCGCTCCAACTTAGTGAAGGCGACCCAGAAGACTCTAGGGATGAGGCTGTTGTATTCGCGATTGACGGACTTGTCTTTGGAAATCTCTTCAGGAGACTTCTGTCATCCGCTCAAAATTTGTGGATACGGTGCCAACCTGGTACGTGATCATCTATCTGTGCAGGGCGAGTTGCAACTGCACGGATCTATTCAATGTCGTACTCAGTCATCTCGAGGATCTCACTTACGAAAGTTTCCTCGACATTTCCGAACTCCTCGTTCAATGGTCCCTACTTGGCACCATGCTGCCAAAACGTCGTATTCAGCAACTCGATATTGCGTCCCGTAAGGGCTACGACGCCATCTTCAATTCTAACTTTCTTGAGGACATCCCAGAGGCTCTCGAACGGTATGGATGCTCCCGCGTCCTGCTCCTGGCCAGTAAAAGCCTCGCTGCCACCACCGATCGAATCTCAGCGCTGCAATCGGCTCTGAAATCCAAACTACTGTATACAAAGCTTGGGATGGGCAGCCACACTCCTTACGCCGACGTTCGGGATCTCGCTGCTGCCATACAACAGCTTCAGATTGACTGCCTGGTCAGCGTAGGGAGCTGCTCCTACAGCGACGGAAGCAAGATTGCGTGCCTGTTAGCCGCGAATCTTGAGCCTGGGTTTGGCATGGACGAGATGGAAGCCCTTGTCGACACCCAACGAGGAATCGCAGACACTAAGGGCGGTCAACCGCTTGTGCGCCGAACATGCCGCCTTATCACAGTGCCGACCAGCCTGTCTGCCTCGGAATGGAACGCTGTGAGTTCCGCTGTCAACAACCAAGGAAAGAAGCAGCACTTCGGTCTTTGGGAAGAAGGTCAGCCGGATCTCATTCTGATGGACCCTGCGCTGGCCAGTACCAGCCCTGAGAGGTTATGGATAAGCAGCGGCGTACGCTGCGTGGATCATTGCGTCGAACTCCTTTGCAACCCCATGTCGAGTGAGGCGGGTTTCGAAGTTGTTCAGTTGCATGCCGAGGACGGACTGCGCCGCATGATCACTGGATTGACTGAATATAAAAACGCGAAGAATACGAAACCGGCTAGTCCGGCAGATCATGAAGCACTGCTAAGGGCCATCTCTGAATGCCAGTACGGCTCAAGAGAGGCGATCACGGGTTTGTTGGTGTGGAGGGTCCCGATGGGCCCAAGTCATGCTATAGGGCACCAGGTACGAGGATGCCAACTCTTCAAATTCATATTTGCCCGGCTAATCGAACGACTCAGCTTGGTTCAGTTGCTCATGTCATGCACGGGGTTAGTCGCAATAACTCCCCCTATTTTCCCATCTCAGCTTATCATTAGATGTTCCGAATATAAAGATCACCAGCTGTATCATGCTGGCACCAGTTTTGCGCTGGCAAGCAACTCATCTCAGCCTTCTACACTATAGGAATGCCCAGGCTAGAATCCTCGGAATCTTTAATGAGGCATTGGATTGGCAAGAGTCATCTACCGCGAACGCCATCGAGAGGTTTGTGATGACACTAGGTCTCCCCACCACACTTCAAGAGGTCAACGTGATATCAGATGAGCAAGTTGAAGAGATTGCTGAAAAAACCATGTCGGATGTCTGGGGAGGTGGAAAGCGACAAATGGAGTTTGATGATGTGAAGAAGGTTCTGAATAGTGCGAGGGGATAGATAGCGAAGATGCTGTAAGCACCGATAGCTGTCTAGGAAGTGTTGGATGCTGCATCAAGCTTGGAAGCAGAATCTTGCGATACACATAAGGACTATCGTCATAGACTTATAGCTCTTCCTGCGCTGGTGTGTCTCGCTGCAGATCATCTCGTCAATTTTGTTGTTACGTGGGATGAATCGTACTTTGAACGGCTCTGGACACATATTTTCACAGGAGATATAAGCAAAGATATCCAAGGCTACTTCTCGGTGGAGTGATTACTGGACTTGCCACTCCATCCGGGTCGGAGAAAACTGCTCACCTGGTCGTCAAGACCGGGACGAATATCAAAGACCCATAGCAGTCGAGCCACGACAGCGAACAAACTCTACTGCGCCAGTGGTCCTCCACTACGCGCCCGACGCCCCCAGCTGAAAGCACTGTGGCACTTCTTGGTCGGGCATTCGAGCCCGTTCAGGAAGCGCTCTGGACGAGGAAGCGCTCTGGACGACGAAGCGAATCAGGCGCAGAAAACTCGCGAAGATGCCGATGTATCGCCCAGACGTGTCCTGTGATCGTCGTGCGAGCTGGGCTGTGGTATCCACTGTGTTCATCGGCCTGGACTCGCGCGCGTGGAACACCTCCCAACGTGGTCACTGTCCGTCAGCGTAGCTCTTCAGAGACGCAGGTCGCAATGTAAGGGAGCGGAGGCTCGTTGCTCCAGAGTGGCGACCGTTGCTGTCTCACTACTCAGTCTATCTCTTCTTGTGCTCTCCTCTGGACTTCTGGAAAGACGCACATTGCCAGGATGAAGGTGATGAATGAGTTGCTGGTCGTGTCAACTCCACCGCCGATCAGTTTACCTAAGTGACGAAAGTGCGGTCGACATGTAGGAGATACCGTCGTACAAATCGTGCAGGGCTCGAGTCGCCAGCACAGCGGCTGGCAAAGAGCGAGAGGCATCAGGGCGTCGAGAAGATTGAGCCGAGTTCCGGCCCAGTTTCAGGGTGGGCATTTGACGAAAGGGCTTGCAGGCATGGAGCATGCAGGCGATTTGAAATTTAAGAGAGCTCCGCGAGCGTGGTCGAGACATCGAAATGGTCGGAGGTCATGAAAGCGTGAATGCACGCTGTGGAGAATGTGACGTGAGACAAAGAACGGATTGTTTGTCGAACCGTCAAAAGCGGCGAGGAAAACGTGGAGCCATTCGGGGTAGACTTTGTCACAAGCGGGTTCGGCTCAATCCCCGCCCCCGGTAACATTCGCACCTTTCATTTTGCGTCCATGGTCGGGTGAAGTTCAAATCCTGTTCAGACTGTACGGACCTTTATCAGACGTAGCTCATTCTATCTCTTCCAGGCCGCGCATTCGCAATATCGTCCTGATCAAGTCAGACTATGATGTAGCCTCCCCACACCTCTAAATCTCTACGTGTCATGGGACGCTCCCTGACATCCAGCGCTTCAGGCCATTCACAGTCCACAGGGCGCTATGTTGCACAAAGAGAGATCGCAGCGCCTGTGATACCCGGGACAAACGCCACAATCAAGGGCGCAAGCGGACCATATACAGCACTACGTGACCCGCGTCGAATACAGCATGCGTGCGAACCCTGCAGGCTCAAAAAGACGAAATGCCACGGAGAAAAGCCAGTATGTCGGCGTTGTCGTGGATTGGGATTTGTTTGCCTTTATGCAGACCAAAGGCGGGACAAAGCAAAGAAGTACGTCCAGACGCGTACATATATGCCAGACTATCGAACCTGACAGAGGCTGTGGTAGGATCAGTCAAAAGCTAGCTGATTGCGAGGCTTTGCTTAAAGTTTTGGTGAACAGAGTTCCCGAGCCCGAAGCGAAGCTCATAAGGCATATTTAGGAGAAGTACGGAATTCCTAACCGGGTATCTATGTAGTATTAAATGCATTAGGAAACGGCGAGGAAGTCTGACATACAAGACACCGACGTTGAAGCTACTCCACGGTCTGGGACTAATGAACACCAGGGGACTTATGCAACCAGTTCTGAAGATTCAACCGAGCCGGTTCTGACCAGAGAAACCCCGCATGGTACAAAAGAGGACTTTACGCGGAAAGGGGCGACAGTAACTGGCTTTATGGGGCCGACTTCCGAGGTGACATAGATGCAGACTGTACTGAATGATAATAATCTCAACGACTTGCGGCCAACCTCGACGCATTCTCCTAGCGGCGCGGAAATGACCTATACTGACTTCCCTTTGTCAAGTTCCGGACCACTTTTTACAAACGATAGAGCCCATTTGGCGGAGGCAGATCGCTCCTTCACGATAAACAGCATGAGTTACCATTTGGATAATACTCCGCTTTCGGCCTTAGAACATGTTGAACCATACGAAATGCCACAGACCGAGACTGTCCAGTTTCTGTTTTATACTTATCTCGAACGGACGCACTCAACGTTCCCTATCATTAGAAAATCAACCCTTGCATCACAATTTCACCGATTCTTGTCGAATCCCTTTCAAAGACCTCCTGACCTGTGGCTCGCAATTATCAACACTATTTTTGCCATTGCCGCCCGGTATGCCTCTCTTATTCGGCCCGACCGTAACGGAAATATCGAAGATCATCTTGTGTACTTCACCCGGGCCAGATATCTCGCTATCAATAGCGAGACATTGTTTGACTTCCCAGACCTGCAGCTTATACAGGTATTCGGATTGATGTCTTTCTATTTTCTCTGCACCAGCCAAATCAACAGGTACGAAACTGATGTTCGAGACTGATGCAAAACTAACATGAGAAGAGCTTGGGTATTGATAGGGATTGCTATGTCGCATACAACGGCCCTTGGCCTGAACTTATGGAACGACAGTACGCGATTAAAAGACAAATTGAAGGAAATCCGCTACCGAGTTTGGTGGGGCCTCTATGTTCTCCAGCATCGACTCTGCATAATCACCGGCCGCGTCACTTGTGTCTTCGACCAACAATGCTCAACGCCGCTCTTAGTTCCCCTGGAAGAGGACGAATTTGATACCGACAGGGGCGTGGAGCTCCTTGGCAAGGAATACCAACAAGGTCCTTGAGCGCCCTCCTCAAATAGCTATGTCCCTAACCGTTCGACATCCACATGTTCTACCGATGGAGATCGTTCTTTTCCGCCACACCAACGACCCCAATCATCGAGACCCATATCGATGCCACAACTTGGATTATATTGGGCAAAAGATATTATGGCTAACCTATCCCTTTATTTTCTCCATCTCACGCAGCTAGCAAGACTCAGCCAAAGTATCCTTTCCCAGATTCACAGCATTGCTACTGGCATCCATCTGCAGCCCCGACTCGAAGATATTGAAATTCAACTTGAAGATTGGGTTCACAATCTTCCGCCAGTTTTCGACTTCCGGTGCAATAATAAGGAACAGAGTTCCCGTGCACTCAGACTTAGACTAGGGTTCTTCTACTATGGAACCCAGCTAGTAACCTATCGATCTTTATTGAACCGATTGCCAGATCTAAACCTTACTCGTCAGTCCAAAGACTCAGATACCTTCGACTTTTCAGCAGCCACACGTTGCGTTGAAGCAGCGAAGGCTATAATTCACCTCGTCCCTAACAAGTCCAACGCTGAAGATATTATGCAGTGTGGGCCATGGTGGTCTGTTTTGCCCTGGCTCGTGCAATCAACTTCGGTTCTAATTCATTGGCTTTCTTTCCCTGTGTATCGTGCAGCTGAAGGTTTCCGCGATACCTTTGAGACTTTGAAGAGAGCAATAAGGCTGCCCCACACACTCGGCGAGCGCAACCTCTCTGCCAGACGAGCCTAGAGCCGATGCAACTTTACATTGCGTGTAGTAGCAGCTAAGGCTGATATAGACGTTAACGATCTTCCCGAACAGGCTGTCTTTCATGGTGCTCCTTCAGCACGCGGCACATTAAATACTAGAGGAGTTTCTTCACGAAACCACGACACTTTTTCAACACTACCCCTTCGCCTGTACAATCCTTATAACGATCCAGACATTTTCACCTTAAAGCCACGCCGGTATAAATGGCCTTATGCTTTCTGACCCCTAACTCGGATGGAGTGAGCATATAGAACTGAACCGTCCAGACGGGGAGTTCTATCAGAATGCCGCCTATTGAGACTAAAGAGGCGAATGTAGTAGCGTGGTCTTCGTCAGATATTGTCGATGCAAACTTTGTATATTCGTCGACGGTGGGTACGAGCCAGGTCAATCGAAGGTCACAAGGTTCGGCAGCTGAAGATAGATGTCAATCCAAACCACAGAACCTAGCTAATCACCCTTATCCTGACACCATAAAAGAATGAATCGCAATGAAATCGCTTCTAAAGTCGACGAAATATTCGATCCTCCCTACACCGCAGCAATAGTTGGCCGCCATATAAAGTCGATACTACTACATGCTCAGCTGCGTCCATGTAATTGGAGTTCTAAGAGTCCCGAAACCCGAAGAATAAGGTGTCTAGTTAAGTTGTTGGTGCGAGAATCAGGTTCTGGAGGTAGTTGCTTGGCCTAATTACGGCTGGATATAGCCATTGATTCGAGATGGCTTGGCTGTAAGCAGGAGAAGGGGGTCGCAATGTTACTCTTTGGTATTAAGGGCGCACTAACTGGTTATGGCAACTAATAAAACCTTATTTTCTAGCTACTCTAGAGCTAGTGTCGCAATCGAGAATTCAAGACATACCTGGTCAGGTGGTCTTGTACTTAAGTCTAGCATTCTTGATTCCCTTCAGGCGAAAGACTCTATTCTCTCTCTGAAGCTTCTTTTCGCAGCTAATTAGAAGTAACTATCTTATCTGCCTCTCGAGCGATAGTGTTGCTTCGCGAGAGTGATTGGACTGATGAGTGTGAGGCATGAGTTTGCCTCTTATGGGCTCACCGTTATTCACATCGTATACGAACCATAGGTATTCAGGGGTGCAAAGAAGACTAGTGGAACCTTAAAGCCGCTTAACGAAAAGGTGTATGTTAAGGTGTCTCGAAGCAGTGAAATACTGAACTCTAATGGTAGAAGAAATAGAACTAGCCATATCCACTTATTAGTTCTCCTTCGATAGTCCTGTATAAAACTCACTCATTCTTGATCGCGTGTCCCAGACTTATCCCTACTTCCACATCCATCATCACTAGGCGCCTGCTGACACTGAGTAAATCTTCGTCAAAATGAATTCTTCGCTTCTTGAAAGTAACGATTATGCTGCTCCCTCCAAATTGGAACAAACCTACTTTCTCGTCTTTTTCTAGCCGTGAGCCCTTAGTCTTACACTTTTGGTTGATTTCCACAGTTCCCATGTCTGTGGCCCCGATTGCGATAAAGAGCACACGTCCGAATGACGGGCTGTTGATACAGATTGCGCAGCGAGCGTTTACCGTCAAGACGTCGATGTCGGATCGCAAGCAGAGCGGGTCGACTTGGTAATACTCTCCAGGGATTTGTCTGTATTATTTCATAGTGCCTTCGACTGAAGAGTGATACCGATGATAGTCTTGCGGACTGAGTCTGAAGGATGTGATCGCGTTGTGGTCCTATATTTTGGCGGCGGTAATGTCTTGGATCAAGTTACCGATGGTGAAGTTTCGACCTTTTATCCATACCCATTTAGTCTCGGAGACGCTAGGGTAGACTATAAGCCGATAGTCCGCGACAATGACGGCGAGAGAGGGGTTATTCTTTTGGAAGATTGGATGGGCGCTTGGCTTGTGTCGCCGGACGAAGAAATCTTCGACAGTGTGGTATGCCTGGATATCTGTGGGCGTGAAATCTTCTATATTGATGTGATAGAAGTCGACGAAGGACGCTATCTGCTTGATAGAGGCCGGAGTACCTTCTTTCTGACCAGATTTTATGGTCTTCTTGTGTATTCAATACCTCAGTAACCACGTTCGGTCGAACTATTCTATGGGCCGACTAAATAATAGCTACAGCTTGACTTTCTTGTAGATAGGTTATTGTTCGCGCATATAGTGGCCAGTCTTATGATTGAGTGTCTTTCAGCTGACCTCACGATTTTGGACTAGCTTGACAGTGGCGAGGGCGCTGTCTAGGAGGTCGTGAACGTAGCTAACGATAGCACCCATCTTCCGATATTGCTGCTGTTGTGAGAAACCGGGCTTAAAACCCGGGTTTTCCTGCTTACTGAGAGATAAGAAAGTATCTTTGAACTCGCGAGGTTGAGAATTTGGCTTATGGAATTCAGCTTAGATAGAGTATTTTGATTATGTTATATCGTCGCTGGAGCGATAAGATCATGAGACGATCTCGCTTCGCTCATCAATTTTCGCCTTTGTTTCCTTTATTTAACCCAATCCTCTTATATAATTATCATTCATGTCCGTGTCGGCCAATCTGTCCCGATCATACAGCTAAATATCCTTCTAACAACCAGCTTGGCTTCTTTCTACGCCGATAAGACTCGAATGCGCTTATTTAGTCTCGAATCTTTCTTAAACTTACAGAACGACACGAAACTGGCGATGGTGTCTATTCTCCCCATAAAATTTGTGATGATGAATGATTAAGCGGATCTCGTAAAGGACCTTGCTTGAACAGCAGAACTCCAATCCTTTCTTGTTTAATATAATCTCATGTCCCGGACCGATAGGGAGGCTCCTAGGGGCATAATCAGATGCTCAGGCAATATATAATAGCTATCGTCGGTCGTGCCAATGTACTCATAAGACGAAAAGGTGTACCAAAGCGACATGATTCTTGAAATGCGACTTTCCTTCGAAAACCATTTCGCGGCAAGCCATCTTGTCGGGGCAAGGAATTCGATCCTTTTCTTGAAAGTGCCGGAGGCGACAGCGTTCGGCGTGTCGCTGAAGGGAGTGTTTATCGGTATACCGTTTCTCCCGATCTTCCTGGGGGAGATTACTGTATAGCCAGAAGAGGCATTGAAATTCCTGACAGGTCAACGGCACGCAGTCTTCGAGCGTCGACAAGAGCGGCAGAGTCGGTGTAAAGACTATAGTAGTCATTGTTTCTTCTATGGAACATGAATATTTTCTTAATAGTCTTTTATATTGTGGTTTATATCGCCCTTTACATTGTCAACATAGCGAGATCATAGTGGCGAAACATTTTATATACCGGGACAGAGTCTTAGGACCGATAAATACAGTGAGATCGCTTATAGCCGCTTCCGCAATTTGCCATTGTTCAGGAATTTTGATCTCGGTCGGGGTGGACTCTAAAGTAAGCTCTTGCCCTTTAGCTAAGGTTCCTTTAATCTGTCGCTAAATCGCCTCAATAGGAGCTACTTCGTTATACTGCCACTGAATACACTTCAACAGAACTTGTTCCTTAGCTCGAATTATGCTGTTAACTATATATCTCAACTTCTTATACTCGGCATGGATTGGTTCTTCAATCGCCATTCGAAGAAAGCCAAACTCTCGAAGGATAACATCGCGAACCTGATCTCGTGACTCCAGAAGCCGACGAATAGATGGCAACTATCGAATCTACTTGTCACGGTCTGCGGGCAGGTAGGAAGGTAGGTATTGACCAGGCAGTGTATTCTCTACGTGTAGCTATTCAACAGGCACAGACAGCTTGCTGACTAGGTCAGGTTGATTGACAAGGACGTAGCTCAAGGAGCTACGAACAGGAAACGAGGACGCGTCGCACGCATATCACTGTGTTCGGTAGACCTTCCCTGTAGGGCTCACGTGGCTCCGATCCAGCCCCCGTGACATTAAGCTTTACTCACTATACTTATATCTATCTTTATATATAAAATAAAGATCTACCCTCAGGGTTTCATGAAGCCTTGTCATGAGTTCTGAATTCATGGTTCTTTATATTCCAAGGAACTGATCGTCAAATATATCACACCCTTCGTACCGTCATTCTGTTCGTCGCAGATTTCTTCGGGCCCGGCCCTGCAGACATCAAGCTGTTCCCGCCGTGCAACCCGTATGAGAACGCAGTCGTGTGTGGGAGGGAGTCGTTCAAGACGTACGCGACGCTGGACATGTATGCACTTGTCCAAGGACCCGGGGTTTCTTGCCTCGGTGAAAACACAGTATCCCTGCATCGCGACAGCGACAAGGGGGGAATTCATGGAATTCATGGGTCACTGCTGCGGAGACAAGAAGAGTTCTCTCTTCGCGGTCCAGCAGACCCAGACCCCAGCTCAAGGTTCGATTGGAGAAGAACAGGGTGTCCAAGAGAACCCAACGCACAAGATCACAGCCATCGTCCAAGTTCATCCGGGATCGATTGATCCCAGCGAAGCCGCCGGACATAGACATATACACGCACACACAAACACCATCCCGGTACGGTAAAGAATGAATCCCAAAAAATCATTTCTTCATTGCTCGCAATCACCCTTGACTAGACCTATAACTCCACCCTCGGGGTATCTCATGCTTGGGAGTGTCATACACAATTTGTTGGGTTTTCTCTGGAGACTTGTCTAGTGAACGGCTCGTTTCGTTGCTGCTATCATCTGTGCAACGGCAGGGTCGTCGTCATCAACCACAATACCTTGCTCACGTAGAGTATTGGTGTATCTTCGTTTTAAACCTTCGTCGTCCTCATCATCACGCTCGGCGTCCGGGTATTCATCTCCATCAACCGCTTCTTCCTCCTCTTCCTCGTCTGAGGATTCTTCTGCCTTTGGTACTGATGTTTCCGATGCCTTGGGCCTAGGGTTGACATTCATGTCTCTCATGACTTTGGTCAAATCGTGCTCTCGTTTGGCGGCACTCTCTGCTTCGCGTTCTTTACGTCGCTTCTCCAGCTCTGGTCTGTAATCACGTTCGAACTCCTTCCTCTTCTCCTCGACGGCCTGGAAGAAATCGTCGACCCCGTCACCGGTCATACTCGACACGGCAACCATGTTCAAATGGGAATAGAACTCTTCAAGCATCAGACTCATACTGTTGAGCAGGCTTCCCATGTATCCACTTCCGCCGAATCCTTCGCCTCCAAATACACCCTTGCTCTCTTCCTCGCGCAGGGCTTCCTGGAACTTTCCAAAGTCTGTCATCCACTCTTTTGCAAAGTCGGCGTCTTGGACGTCCGTCTTGTTGAACACCAGGATCATCGGTAGTTTCGTCTTGTACAATATGGAGCATGCGTAGAGCATGTTTGACATGAAGGTCGAAGTTGAGGATGTCCGCGGTGTATCGATGATGTATGCGATCACCGTGGGAAAACTCGAGGCGAGGGATTCGAGTAGGATGCTGCCGGAAGCGGACCAGACGAAGACTTCAATCTGCCCGGGCGTGTCGACAAGGAAGTGCTTCGGTGGAACAATCTTGCTATCTGGAGGAGGGTTCGCGCGCTTCTCGAGTAACGTGATAATCTGATCGATCTTGGTTGCGAACAGGTTGAGTGAAGTGAGGATGCCACCATTCGGGCCCAGATTATATTGCTTCATAACTTCTTTGTAGTTGATACTATCTCTTATGTCGATGTTCGGTTGAAACGGGACATTGAGTACCGCAGGATCCAGGTTCAAAACGTATGGTTTCTTCTTGTTAACGTGAAGGTAGTTGTTGATGCGCTGCATGAACGTCGTCTTGCCGGAACCTGTGGAATGTTAGTCCTTCGCCTGTTGTCTCTGTTCGAATGCACCTACCGGCCATGCCGACACATACGACGGCGACTGGTGAAGTCGCCATATTAGCTGAATTGGCTGGTCGTCGGTGTGCATGCAGCGAAAATGGAATGATTGTCAATCAGACTCGAGAGGGTGGAAATGAAACGCCGCGGGCTTTTGGTCTTGGAGAAATTTTGGTGAATGACGCATCTGCGTTTTCCCCCGGACGACAACATCCCACCAGCAACATCCCACCAGCAACATCATTTGCAGCCGCCCTCACTGCACAGCCACCAGCATGACTCTAGACGACTTTGAACGGGAATTAGCGGAGCAGAAGGAGACGGAGAGAAGAAGAGAAAGGCGAAGAGAACATGAGAAATCTTCAGATCGTCACCACAAACATCACCACCATTCTCATCGGAGCTCAAGGCACCACGACTCGCATTACGACGATGGCCACAGGCCGAAAAGATCTAGACACTCAAGAGACGACGACACTTCCGAGGGCAGCCATAGACATAAACACCGTCGACGCAGCAAGGGCGACGATGATCGAGACGAGGCCGGGCGACGTGCACCCTCACAGCCTGAATCGAGTGGACTAAAACGCGACTCTTGGATGGAAGCACCCTCAGCATTGGACGTTGACTATGTCCAAAGGAAGAAGCCCGAGCCCACTCCACCCACAGGGGCGAGTCTCGGGGCCAACTTCGAGCTGAAAATCCACGAGAAGGAACTCAATCATCACCTACGGGATTTGCAGTATGGGAAACTGGTCGAGGAGCTGGAAGACCAGCCTGCTGCGCATGAAGTTGATTATGTGTTTGGGGATTCTGGTTCACAATGGCGCATGACTAAACTCAAAGCCGTATACCGACAGGCAGAACAATCAGCCCGTCCCGTGGAAGAGGTCGCTTTGGAACGATTCGGGTCTTTGCGCGACTTCGACGATGCAAGAGAAGAAGAAATTGAGCTGGACAGGCGCAAAACATACGGAGAAGGATATGTCGGCAAGGAGAAACCCAGCGGCGAACTCTTCCAAGAACGCAAGCTCGACGCAGGCGTACGTCGACCTCATCCACGCGACACCAACCAAGACGAGCCCGATGAAGTCGTTGAAGAAATACCTGTGCCCACTTCCGAAGCGGCAACTTCAGGCCCGAAAGTCGACCAAACCACGCTGAACAAACTTAAAGCTCAGCTCATGCGGGCCCAACTTCGCAAAGATCCCAAGGCAGCAGATCTCGAGCGGGAATACAACGAGGCTGCTGCTGCATTCTCTGCACAGGATCCCACTGTGATTACATTGTCCGCGATGGACAACCGCATGCTCTCTTCGGCGCCACGGAATGAAGTCAAGGCTGTCACGAACCGCCGTGGCGCCGAGCGAGGTAATGTAGAAGAGAACGAGGACATGAGCATTGAGGACATGGTCCGCGAGGAGCGCCGTACAAAAGGCGAAGCAGGCGGCGAGGGCCAACGTATGGCTGAACGGATCGCCAAAGACGTCAAATTCGACAATGACCTCGACTATATGGACGAAAACGCCAACAAGTTAGCGAAGCGAGTCCACAAGTCGGCGACGAATCTGAGGAATGTCGCCATAAACGACTACCAGAAGACGCAGCGCATTCTGGAGAACTGTCCCCTGTGCTTCCATGAAGATACAGACACCCCTCCTGTCGCGCCGGTGGTGAGTCTCGCAACGCGGACGTTCCTCACTCTTCCAACGGAGCCTGAGCTGGCGCCTCAAAGCGCCATGATCGTGCCGATGCAGCACCACACGAACCTCCTGGAGTGCGACGACGACGAGTGGGAAGAGATTCGCAACTTTATGAAGTCCCTGACGAGGCTGTACCACGAGCAAGGCCGAGACGTCATCTTCTACGAGAACGCGGCGTACCCGTCTCGCAAGCCGCACGCTGCGATGACTGTCGTGCCTTTGCCATATGAGCTGGGAGAGACGGCGCCGGCGTTTTTCAAAGAAGCCTTCCTGACCACCGAGGACGAGTGGAGCCAGCACAAGAAGATCATCGACACTTTGGCGAAATCGAAGCAGGCCGGGTTTGGGCGGCTGGCGTTCCGCCGCAGTCTGGCGAAAGAGATGCCGTATTTCCACGTATGGTTCGAACTGGACGGAGGAATCGGGCACGTTGTCGAAGACCCGGAACGGTGGCCTCGGGGGGATCTGTTCGCGCGCGAGATTATAGGAGGCATGCTCAGCCTTGAACCGGACGTCATTAAGCGGCAGGGCAGGTGGCATCGCGGGCACGATAAACGAGTTGATACCTTCAAGAAGGGATGGAGGAAGTTTGACTGGACTAGGATTCTGACGGAGGGGAATTCATAGGTAGGAGCGTCTGTACGACCATGCCGTATGTGACGTTTGTCTTTCTGAAGCTTCGTGGCACTACGAAACTAGGTCGTAGGTACCATGGCAATTGCGGCTTAAAAATGGTAAAAGTTGATCATACGTGTTATCCATATCTTAAGGTCGGTATCTCAAGATACTTAAGCAAAGTTCGTCGCCAACGACGCTTCGTCGCGCCTCTGTAAGAGCATCACACATGTGACAGATACCCAATTCTCATGTCTAAGAGCCGAGTCATTGATCAAAAAGTGTTTTCGGATATGATGATGATTATGTATAGGCTACCATACAGGTCTGCTTACCACTACATCATATTTTGTCAGGCAGTCAACAAAGAGCACAAAAGGATCCCTCCGCATTCGCGTAAACAGTGCTGGGAAAAACCGCGTCGGTCGACGAGGGAAAAAAAACCAGCACCGAGGGAAAACATAAGCTGTCCAAGAACAAACGTCAGAGTAATGGAGTAATGTGCAGCCCAAAAAGGAAACACACGCAAGATTCCATAACGCATCTTCTGCTTCCTCCATCATGCCTAGGGAGCCAGGGTGGTTGATCCGGCGAGTCGGGATGAGATGGTTAGAGACCATCCAGGAGAATAAGCTATCAGGAGGAGTAGAGATTGAGTGAGGACCAAGGGCATTGGTGCACTCATTGAATCGACGTTGGATTTTGTCAGTAGTCGTCTCCACGACTGAGAATCTCTTTATGAGTCTCGTGCAAGATGAGGGTCTGCGGACATTTGAATTAGCCTTGGTGTGCCATCACAGGTGAGGCATAGTCGCGAATAAGTCGTTCGATAAGCAGACTCGTTGAAAGGCAAGGTCAGGAATATTGGTGCAAACCTACATGTTCGAACTGTGCCGAGTACGAGCCGGGAATATCACGGAGAGGTTCATATGATTCGACGATGCCGTGCGATATGAGACTATTCATCTGTAATCGGTGTTAGCTAACTATGACAACGGGTCTCTTCCCATCAGCAGCATTGACAGGACCAAATCAGGGAAGAGATATGGGGAGGGCTGAAACACTCACACCAGCCAGGTATCGATCCACACCAAGTCTTTCAATGTACCGACGACAAAAGACCAGAGTGCCAAAGTTCTCTCGGATAGTCTTGTGTAGGCGTCTGGCGGACGCCAAAGGAAGCGACACCTTCAACGGCGCATCTTCTTTGAGTCCGTAGCCGTAGATTCCAGCCTGGATATTTCATATCAGTCAATAGTTACTCACAGATGGGCAAAACTTGAATAATGGTCTCCTCGCTGCGGCATCGGTCGGGAGGGTGGGAAGAAGAATTAAGACTTAGTCAATCCGGACAAAACTCACATCATCATAGATGTAGCCGCGACCGGTCGTACCAAAGGTCTCAATGGCAAACACCTCATTCTCTTCCATCTTGGTCGTGTCTGAATTCTTGACGAACGGAATGGACTTTCCCCCATGGATATGATAATGACCAATATTGTGCGCAGAGAGATTTCGAATGGGTTTGATAGGGTACGTTTTGCCGCTGATTTCGACCTCGTAGCATTCCATGGCTTCTTGGATCGCGGCGCTAACATCACATATGCGAACGTCGATTCCAGCGGTCTATTCAACTAGAATTAGAACCTAGAGATCCCAGTTCACATCAGAATCACAGGAGATATCCTGTCTTACCTTCACACCGGTGTTAGTGGCGTCCTTGACCGCGGCCAGGAGATTGTCATAAACCGGATCAAACGACATGGTGAATGCGCTATCCACGATCCAGCCATTGATGTGGACGCCAAAATCGACCGTCAAGACATCCTTCTGCTGGATCACCACGTCCTTCTGGCCAGGGTTGGGCGTGTAGTGAGCGACTTGGTTATTGAGACAAAGACCCGTCGGGAAGCCCATGCCGGCCTTGAGACCGTCGCCGGGTTCCAGGCCAGCGTGGCCCAGGAGCGCTCTCACGCTGTCATCGATTCCATTGGCCACGTCCATCAACTTATCGCCGGGCTTGACGGTGTCTTGTAACCATTGCCGAGTCTGGCGATGCGCCTCTGCCGCCTTGCGGTAATTATGAAGAAAAACGGCATCATGCGAGCGTCGAAGATCGTCGTAGCGCGCTTCAGCCGCAGCCTTGGGACCTCTGGTGTAGAGCTGTACTTCGCCCTCAGCGTAGTCACCGTTAGGGAAAAGGTCGCTAAGCGGGATTCGTGGCGGCGAAGACTGCTTTAAATGCAAGGATGCTGCACCTTCAGGAGCCTTGTTCTTCTTCTTTTTCTTAAGCTTTGGCTTCTTTCGTTTCTTGGGTGCATCAGTGGTTGCACCCACGATCGACGATGGAGGTTCTAGCGTGGCCAGGCTCGTTTCCTTGTCGGCGCCATCGTCGTCGTCATCACTGTCACCCTCGCCGCCTGCGTCTCCGAGACAGCCATCTCCATCTCGCGAGGTGTGTGTACCACGGGGCTCGCCGCCAGCACGGTTGGTCTCAACGGGGCTGTTTGCTTCTCCTGGGCGGAGACTAAGCTACGAAGTTTCGGGGGAGTGGGTGTGGTACTTACCATAACCTCCGTGGTCGCCATTTTGAGGAGTCTTCGATCCCATGGTGACATTGACAACTCCAGCAAGTCTTGTATACCTTACAGAGGCGTGGTATCGTCTTGATCACGAGTTTATCAAAGATGTGGGAAAGGAAAGGTGGGTGTTACAAGGCGATAAAAGTTGGAGGTGAGATTTCTGGCTATTTCCCTCGGCGATCCTATTTATCGCCAGACAAGTCCCTTTCTAAGGCTGTGCAAGGCTAGTGAGGCTGCGTGCTAACTGGATGTGTTCATTGGACGCTAATCATTAACACACTCTCTTGACTTCTATTTAAAGGTCGTGTCTATGAAGGGTTACTTCGAGTTAATGGGAACGCCTGTGAAAGGTTACCTCTCATACGGGCCCAAGGGTCTGTTCAATTCTTGGGGTGGTAGACGACACAGTGGACGAAAGCTCTCGGTATTTGCAGAGGGAACCGACTTTGAATGAACAGCTACCATCCAAAATCTCTCTTGACCCAAATATTCATACCAACTTTCTGGCCTTCTTGGACAGGAAGGCCAGCATGTCTGAGTCTTTCGTCACCATAGCCGATGGGTAACAAGTTGACCCAGAAAACTCCCGATCCTTTCCTCGGCTTGAATGACAGACCAGATACAGTCTTGTTGTCTCCAATGTGGGCAAAATCAATTCTCTCATTCCAAAACTCTTCTGGCTTCAGCCTGCCTTGCTGAGCCGCGGACTCGATAGAAAAGTCTAGATCTGGAAACTCTGTTCCTCCGCCTGTACATTCGTCTTGGAGGTAGATGAAGAAGCTTGCAACTCGGTTATAATATCGACCTCGCCCTCTTCCTGCTTCACCCTTTCCGGGAAGATCGTCGCGGAGCAACGTGTCAAACCAATCCATGTGATGGTGATAATACTGGCTGGGCAAGTACTTCACCAATTGGATCTTCTCGAGGCCATAGTAAGATATACGCTCGGGCATGCGAGGGGCGGTCGGAGGGGCGGTCTTCGTTATATTCGAGAGGAATTGGAGAGCTCGGTTAGCGACCACAGAGGCAAGAGGATGTTCCTCGGGGAGGAGGCAGGAAGATGAGGTTCGGTGCTTCGGAGCACTGTCATCTGGGCTATAGACTTGCGAAGGGACAAAATGAGGCGAACTATAAACACCGATCAGTATCTTCACATGAACAAACAAGAAGTCACGCCCGTACCTGAAGTTCAAGATCTCCGTGATCTCTGCTTCCGAAAGAAAATTGTCCAGATAGATTACAGGCGGATCATCAAGGACAGTCGTATATGTATAGTTCTGCGCCGCAGCTAGTGCCTCGATACGTAGCTGCTCCTCAGACACCACTTCGGGCCCTAGAAACGGAAGAGCCGAACGCAGAGAAGGGACAAGCATAAACAGAGCCGCCACGAGGGCAACTAGAAAGGAGAGGATGCTCCATGTCTTTACCATCTCGACTCCAAAAGACTTACATTGTTGTCGCAAGAGGACATGGGAAGACGCATGAGCGTGGCATGATGCTCTGGGCCCACTCGATGGCGGAGAGCGAAATCTGTTGCGCGTACGGAGTACGGAATGGTTTTTAGCGACGACTCGGTGGGCGTCTCAATCAAGCGGAGAAAGACTTCACTTGCTCTTCGGTAATGGAAATTCATCTCTCCGTCCTTCGCGGTTCGTCTACTGTTTCTACAGAATAACAGATACAACATGAACATACTTCGTCTCAACTCGGAGTAACGACAGAGTAATCGAAAGGTCCCCAGCAACGAGACAAGGAGACTCTGTTGGTGCATTCCGATGCGAATAGTAAAGCGGCGCTGTTCCAGACCCGACAGAGTCTAGTCCATCCATCTGCTTGGCATTGAAGCGGAATATCGGAGTTTTGTGAAGTTGATACAGGGATCTTCCTCCTCGAGGCAATTTTCTCGAGTATCGAGTGCCGCAGTTGCACAGGCGGTGAATGTTTGTTGACACATTGGACCAACTATACAATTTCTGCGTGGTCAATTTCGATCTGTTGTTCTGCGTTTGCAGGTCAACAGCTTGAACGACTCTGAAAATGTCTTTGGTCAAGACGCGTCAGTGTCACAAAATACACATGTTCTACTGCTCAAATGGCTGATCGTGGTCGCGGATGGCGCCCGCAACATTCTCATGAGACAAGAGCATTAAGCTATGGTCACTTCGGGACCGCGACATATGACAGTCGCGCTCAGACTTGGGTTTTTTTGCGCCAGAATCAACCGCTGCGGAATGCTATTGGTGTCGACGATCCCACTAACACGACCGGGTTTCACCTTGTGCACGAACAAGTAGTCAGCACGCAAGCAGCGAGAAAACCTCAGTTTCCTGATGCATTGAATCCATCGCGGTCTGTCGGAAGAACGGGTCTACTCAAGCAGCTTCCAGAAGCAGCTCTTTTGTCGAGATTTCTGCCTACTGCTCAAGTATCTCGAGACCAAGATTTTGATCAAGCAGTCCTTGGCAATACTCTAGCATTAGGAACAGCTAGGGCGTCCTCGCGGAAATCACAACAGTATGATTCGCCCAGCTGTATGGTGCTCTTTTTTCGAGGAGGAGCATGTAACGAGGACATACACCTGGCCGAAATCGAGGCGGAGGAGATCGATATCCCGATGTATGAAATCAGTTGCAAGCTTCCAACCATTTCCTCAGACCGTGGAAGCCATATCAAGTCAACAGAGCCCGTCCGTCACATTTCTTCCGCCGATACATTGAGTGGGCGATTCCTTGTGCTGAAGGAGAGTGGAACCAGTATTTTCGAGCTGCTCTGGAGACAACGTCATGTTTCTGAGCTAGAAACAGAAGATTCCTCACACAGGAACGCCACCCTGGTGGATCAGATCCTACTGCTGGCCATCCCTTCGACGAGGACTGGAGAGGCCGCGCACGCCCACGCTTCATTCCAAACCGGTAACCAAGGCATGCTCGCGATTGTGGACGTCAATGGCCAATGGAGCACTTGGGAGATTCGCCGCAAACGATCAGCATTGGCTCCTGTACCATGCCACGCAACTCTCCAATACTCAAACAACATATACGACGCCATTTCTGAGCCCGAACGAGTCCTGGTGGACGATTGGCATAGAATTTGTTGGTTGCCGGATACTGGACAAAACAATCACCGGATTTTGGTCTGTAATCGAAGGGTCGCGGCAGTCTTTGGTGGCGACGGGACCCTTGAAGGTCATGTAGACATGCGACTTGGTCCACCCTCAAATGAAACCCAGATCCTTGACGTGAGAACCAGCTCTGTCCGGCCATATCTGGTCCTGGCTTTGACAAGCTCGCGACTCTTAATCTTCACTTCCCAGGGACTGGTCAACCGGGGGGCTGCCAAATATGAGCCACTCGAACTCGTCTGTTCTTGGGCTCACTTTCGGCATGGAAGCGATCTTAGTCTAAGGATGAGTGTTGCCGAATTTGAGCAAGGTACGGACGCTATCAAGGTGCACCCTTCGCATTCTGACACTCGATAGATACATTTGTGCTGCTTTACTCGCCGAGCAGTGACATTGCAATTATGTACCACATTGGACACGGACCGTCGGATTCGGAAACTTTGTCTCTGCGTGACCCGGCTATGTTTAATCTGCCAACAGAAGTTCGGGCACGGATGAGCGGTGTTACGGACATTGCTCTCTACCCGGTTGATTTCGATACTGTTTTAGAAATGTCAAAGCCTCCCTTCCAGTTTATGAAACTGGTTGCTTCCACCTCTCAGGGGATCATTATTGAAGCTTTGTACAGACATCGGTTTCAACAGCCCGGCGATGGAAAGGTTAGCATTGAGCTTCCTGGACTATGTTTACCTAATAGACAGGTCATCAGCACTGCACACGTCGCCAGATCGGACCTAGCAGAATTGGGAGATTTTGTTGTTGACGACGATGCTGAGAAGCGGCAGACGCCTCTGCCAAAGGGAACCGTGACCAATGTTTCTCTATCTGTCTCTCCGTTACCTTGTCATACGCATGATTGGAAAGCAATCTTTGAGATGGACAGATTCCGTCTCGCAGACGATTCTTCGATACCATTCTCCGACTCTTTGGATATTGCGATTCGCTACTTCGAAAACTTGCAACTCCAACAACGTCGTTGGCCGATTCAGGTATTCTCAAATCTCGTCCATCAACATCATATCAGTGACGTGGAGCAAGATTCGGAAGCCACCACAATACGGATTGCTGAGTTAGTACGACGAGATGATTTGCGACTGGATTCGGCGGGCCTAGATGGCCTCTCGGCCTTATCTTCCGAACAGAACCTACTGGATTTATATCAGCTAGGCTTGTTATCATACGTGGCGTCTCTTGGTGAGAAGGTTACCGACCGCAACCGTGTCAATCGAGAGAGACTTGTTCGTCACTTGGCCGGAGAGGTCTTTCTGGGAAACATTATAGTCAGGTCCATCCACCCTTCCGACCAATCTATGGAACTGACATTGCCGTCCTCTCCACCTGAACCGCAATCTGGGGACACTCCAACCACAACTCCTCTGCCAACGGTGTCTCCAAATCCGGTTGCCGAAGAAGAGCCCGCGGTGACACGTCTTCGAACCTACGTATCCTTTCGAGAACAGGTTCCGCCCTTTCAGGCTTCTGACCAGGAGAACATTTCCAACATCGTAGCCCACTTGCCCGACTCTATCGACGAAGACCCTGCACATTACTCGTACCAGAACACTAATCAAAGGCTGAAATTGATTCAAGAAGAAGTAGCTGCACAGTCGTTGGATCCAAGAGAAAGACGAAAAGCCGCGAGGCAGGCAGCTCGTTTGCAGAAAAGGTTGGAAAAGTCGGTACGGATTGGTCAAGAGATTATGTCGCAGAGAAATATGCTCCCGGATATCAATAGTATTGGAAGAGGTGCTGGTTTTGCTGGCAGAGAGGTACAAAGCAGTCAGCCAGGCGTCGGCGGATCCAGTCAAGGTCCGAGTCAGAGTCAAGGCATACCTGGGTTGACCATGACACAGCCAGAAAGAGGGGCCTTTGGAACACGACCTAGTAAGTCGAAGGGCAAGGGCAAAGACAAGGGATCCAAGCGAAAGGCAGGCTTCTAGATACGTGAGGTACCTTGGTACATACCTACACCTGAGACGGGGCTTCGAGTGCCTGCCAAGGCCCAAGACGATACTCTAACCTACCCCGGATTTTGGATTCTCCATATTCCGAAGAGTGCCGGCGCAGGCAGAAGTGAAGTGGATTGCGCTAGTCCTGGTTAGTCCTGGCTCGTTCCGCTAGTCCCTTTGGGGCGCAACGAGTGCGGGGGAAGCATCTGAGGTGTCATAGTCGCGTGAGGCGCCAGCGTCACCTGTTTACTGAGGGATTTCCCATCCATTCCCATTGTACCCGTACCTGATACTCTGACCAGCCTTGACTTACCCCTCAATTGCTTCCTCTCTCTGCTCTTCATCCTCTTACACTCTCCCTCTCATCTCTCCCTTTCTCTCTCCCACCAACTGCTACTCTTGGTTCGTTTACACAACACACCTGGTACCAATCCAATCGATTTCCCGTGACCATCGGAGCCATTGGTTCTTGGTATGCTTCCTATCCAGACCTCGTCTCGAAAAGCTCCCTTTCGACTCTGGCCCCTTTGACACCGTGTCTAACTCTACTCTCCCTAGAAACAACTCATCAATACTCATACCCTCTACTTCAACTCAGTCCATCCTCTCAGCGTCATGTCTGCCGACACATCGGATCTCACAAAGGTCGATTCCGCTATTGGCGGTATGGCCAGCTCTCCGCCCAAAGAGACCAAGCGAAGACACACCTCTTCCGCACCCGGGGTCATGAACCTCAATGATCTCGGTAGGCTCTTCCCATCACAGCGACATTGTCATGCTAAACGGGTATGCAGAGAAAGAAGGCGTAAAGATTACCATTGCACCGGAAACGCAAAAGACCGGATGGTGAGATCATTTGTCCGTCATGATATCGTGCAAAGCTAACATAACCCCCTCCAGGAAGCTAAACACGTCGACGAGTAGCGTTGAAGATCCTTCAATCCTCAAGAAGATGCTCACCGAGCCTCCTGTCAAGAAGATTGACCTGCACTTCCCCCTAGGTCTAGAGGTCACAGCACGAAATCTCAAGGGCGTAACGATAAAGGATGCATTGGATGCCATTCACAAACAATTCAAGAAGAAGGCAGGCAGTTTACAAATCCCTTGGATACGCTCACATACTGACACTTTGCTCCCAGGCTGATGACGAGCTGGAAGAACCCTACCTGAAAGGTTTCGAATGGGATCCCGAGGAGTCATGGACAAGACTGAAGGTGCACACCCAGAAAGAAGGCCTGCCTACAACCAAGAAATCCAAGAAGAAGGGCGGTGATGAATAGACATGTCGTTCTTGTGACGGGCAGACGTATGTCAGCGTCTGGACGACTCGTACTGCTACAACATGACACAACAAGATCCAGATGGATCCTATCTACCACTCAATCAACTGTGGTACCGCATTACATAGTGCTCCTGGGCGTTCTCTTCACGTCTCGACAAACATTGCAAGTCATCTCATGCATACCACAATGAGACTGAGAATATTTGCCTAGTTCCGCAATGGACACACCTTTGAGCTTGGTTTTTGTGCTGTTTCCTCCTTCGCTGCTAACTTGCATACATGCTAGACACGGTGCTCAAATACGTGTAGGTACTTGTGTCCTTGACCCTGTATCTTATCAGATCAAATTGGTGCCAGTCGAGGTCTAGCGGTTTTGGTACAAGCTTGTACTATGCAGCAGACGGGGGATCAGAAATTCATATTATGACTTTAATCATAGGTCCCGCGTTACCCATCGCAAACCTTCCATACAGCTCATTGGGTTTCATGTCCGAAGCCCGGATGTAAGCAGACAGTGGATATGATACGGGCACCGAATAGCGAGTTGCCATGGCAAGGTTCTACGCAGATCCCCGTCAGCAGGCCGTCCTTATCCACGACACACATAAGTCGTCGACAAATCAATAAACCAAACCATACTTTGTATTCGCCAGTCATAGCAGGGCAACTACATGAGTCTATCGTTCTCGGCTTCAAATAAAAGATGGGCTCGGTTGGAGAAACAGATCTCGCTCAGGGTTCTGCGGCCGACATCCCTATTGTGGATCTTGAACCGTTCTCGTCACCGTCCAGCACCGCAGAAGAGCGACGTGTGGCTGCAGAAGAACTCGTCAAGGCATGCAGGGATGTCGGCTTCGTCTACATCCGAAACCACGGCGTGTCGCAAGACGAACTCAACAAGGCATTCCAGGTGTCGAAAAGGTTCTACGACCTGCCACGGGAGGAAAAGATGAAAGCGCCGCATCCTCCTGGGTGGGCTGTTCACCGAGGATACTCATGGCCGGGGTTGGAAAAGGTATCAAACGTTCTCAGCAAGACCGACGATGAAGACTCGGTCAAGCAGTTACGGGAAGTTCAGGATTACAAGGTTTGTCCGTCTTATTGTCAATACTATCAATCCCTCCGTCGTACGAGCAGTGGCACTCGGGTCCTCAACCATTGAAAAAGACGTTCCATGCGACCACAATACTGATGCCTTTCACAGGAAAGCTACGAAGTCGGATCAGAAAACAACCCGAACCAACCAAATGTGTGGCCTCCAGACGAGGTCATGCCTGAATGGCGACCGTTCATGACTTCGTTCTACTGGACGTGCTTCGAGGCCGGCAAAAGGATTCTGCGTGCGTTGGCGCTGGGGATTGGACTCGACGAAGACCATCTCCTAGGGTACCACAGCGGCGACTACAACCAGCTCCGACTCTTGCATTACCCGCCCATCCCGGCGCAGGCGATCGAAGGGGGCAAGTTTGCCAGAATGCCCGCGCACACCGACTGGTCTACCATGACCATGTTGTTCCAGGACGATTGTGGGGGATTGCAGGTCGAAGATCCCAAGCGGCCAGGAGAGTTCATCGACGCGCCTCCTATCCCTGACACTCTTGTCATGAATGTCGGGGACTTGTTGATGCGATGGAGTAACGGTGAGCTTTTCTCTCATTGAATCTGCTGTAGAACAGCCAGGGCGACCTGGTGGTTTGTTTGCGTTTCTGTTCCTGGCTTTTTAGGCTGATTCGATTGAATTTGTCTGTGGTTACGGAAACAGATTACCTCAAATCTACGCTGCATCGAGTCCAATTACCGCCCCGACAGGACCGGTTTTCAGGCGACGAGAGAATGACAAGAGCTCGGTACTCAATCCCTTACTTCATCACGACCGATCCGGACAGACTGATTGAGTGTCTTCGGTTTGACGATGATCATCCGCCAAAGTACGAGCCGATAACGCAGCGCGAGTATTCGGCCATGAGAGCCAGGATGCAGTATTGAAGGGTATCAGAAGGAACACACATACCGCGTAGAGCACTGTTCGGGGTCGGAAGACAACAGACTGATATCTGTTGAGTCACACACCGCCATGCGCGATGGAAGTGAGTTGTGCTTTACCGCATTTGGGGGCTCCATCATTTACCGTGCCTATATTCCGAGCGCCGAGTTTCCACGGTAGTGATGACTTTCTCCTCGGTCGTAACAATTGTGCGGACTTTATGTGAGTCACTCTCTCACAGGGCTATGCGGCACTACGGAGTGCGGGACAGGTGTTGTACCAAAAGTTGTGCGATGAAAGGAAAGGAAATGTCTTCTACACTATGACACATAAATTGACCATCGTGCGTACCTCGCGAGTTTCAATACATAGTATAAATGCCGAAGAAGCTCCCCGTCCGGAACGTCCCATCAACAGTGTAATCCAGCGCGACCTTCGAAAATAGGCACACAGCATTGTCTGGGTCACCAGAATCCTCTCTCTTAGTGAATATTGAATATCGAAACGCCATGGCATCTCAACCTCAGTCGTCACCAGTCCACGCGCCGCCGCATGTCCTCAAGCTCCTATCCGAACTGCACCAGAAATCCATACAACAAGAAGCAGCCATCGAGGGAGGGATCGGCAAGTATGTGACGTCCGAGACCAAGGGCCAGACCGAAGCAGGCGGCATTCCAGGGTACACCGACTTTGACCGTCTCATGGTCGACAAGTTCATCGCGCTGGACGAAGACAAGTGCCAGTTCATGTACCAGTTGATCCAGGCCATGGGGGCCACCAACGTCGTCGAGGCCGGCACCAGCTTCGGAGTCAGCACGATTTACCTTGCGCTGGCCGTCGCCCGGACCACGGCCGTCACTGGGAAGCAGGGGGTTGTGATCGCCACCGAAAAGGAGACTTCCAAGGCCCAGGTGGCCCGGCAGTACTGGGCGCAGTGCGGCGACGAGGTGGAAAAGCAGATTGATTTGAGAGTAGGCGATTTAAGGGAGACGTTGAAGGTCGATCTACCTGCGGTTGATCTCCTTCTTCTGGACAGTAAGAGACCTTTACCCACCTGCCTTTTTCCCCTTTGTCTTTGCTCTTGCTTTCGAGTCGTACATTTATTTCTCTCTGTGTGTCTCGGCTCGCTGAAAGTCTTTCCACACTCGTGCCCATCCCGATACCCATACCCATACTCGTACACTACTGATTACTGATTACTGACCTTCCACACTTGCATGCGCCAGTCTGGACACCAATGGTCCTCCCCACCTTGAAGACCGTCCTGCCACGTCTTCGACATGGGGCCGTGGTGTTGGCCGACAACACGATATCGAGCGCGAAGGGGTACGAAGAGTTTTTGACCTTTGTGCGAAATCCTGAGAACGGGTTCCGGACCATGACATTGCCGTTCAACAATGGCTTTGAGATGAGCGTTTACTTGCCAAAGTGACAAGGTGTGCATGGGGAAACGAAACCCAGCAAAAGTTGCACCGTGCAGAACATGAGGGAGTCGAGTTACTACTACCTTAGTAAGTAGTGGTACGACGGAGGTACCTCTCTAGAAGTCTTTTGGGTTCTACGTGATGCTTTCGTGTTGATGCTTCTACTTCTTCGCAATGGCAATATACGCAACGTGACACAGTCCTTCGGCCGGACCGTCTTCGCGCGCCTGCAGGATCTTCAGCATCTCGGGACCCAGCCTCTCCTTGTCTTCGTCAGGCCAATCTTTGACCGCGGCGCCGTACGCTTTGGCGACCAGGTGCACATCCCGCATGAACGGCTCGTAGACGGCGTCGGTCCTCCTCTCGACGATTTGGATCTTCCGGGCCTCGAAGCCAGCCTTCTCGAGGACGCTCCGCAGCGTTTCTTCCTTGCTCCATTCCTCCTCCCAGGGGGCCCCCAGCGGCTTCGAGTCCGGTCGGATCAGCCGCCGTTCCTTCCAGCTCGTGACCACGGCGGTCCCGCCCGGCTTGAGCGTGCGGTAGATGTGGTCGGCGCCCCTCTGCGGCTCCGGCAGGAAAAAGATGCCAAAGTTGGTGACGCTCAGGTCGAATAGGCCGTCTGGGAACGTGAGCGCCTGCGAGTCCATGACCGACGCGTCGACGTTCTTCCACCCCAGCGTCGCGCTCTTGCGCCGGGTCACGTCCACCACGGCCGGGACAAAGTCGGTCGCGTGGATCGTGGGATACGATCCCGTTCTCGAGGCGATGTCTTGCAGGTACTGCGTGACGAGCCCCGTGCCACAGGCGTTGTCGTGGATGACCATGGCCGCGCCGGAAGCGGTTTCGTTTTTCGCCGCCGCCGCCGATGCCCCCGTCGCAGGTAACAACATCTCGTACAGAATGTGCCGCGCGATGTCGCCGGTCATGAGGCCGATGAGACCTTCGTACGTGCTTGCGAGTTCGTCAAAGTGCTTGGCTGGGTTGTGATCTGCCATGGTTGCGACTCGGGATGGTTGGGAGGTTGGGGAATTTGGGACCGACAGTACCAAGACAAGAGCCTCAACTCCACCGGAGTTCAGTGAGCGGTGAGTGACTGAGAACTCGTACACTAGGTATGTGAATACAATGATAATACGCGAGGAGAAAGTTTGAGTCAGCTCTTCAGGTAGAATCCCGCCGCCCTTGACGAAGTCGAGGTGAGATAGATGTGCAGAGGCCGGGGTAGTCCGTCAGTCTAGGTTACCTGCAGTTTGTCGATGTTGTGCTGTATTGGCAACTCTCTCGAGGCATGGATAGGGAGATATATTTATTAGATACATGTATAGCTAGGCGAATTTGAACTTGTGCATGCATATGTACATGTACATGTATGACTCTCAGAGGAGAAGATGATTCGAGGGGCAGGTATATAAATAAATTATTTACCTGATGAGATCTCCAAGGAGTAAATCTCTCCGGTTCTCGGCCGATCAACGGCGTTCCTGTCATCCTTTTCTTCATTCTAGGTCCCCACGAGTACGCACCAAAAGAAAAAAAAGAGAAGACGAAAAGACACTTTTCACAGCATGTGCTCTACTGATTTGTCTCCATGGCCAGAAAAGAAAAACCCACTCATACTGCCCCAGGATACTGTTCCATACTGTTCCCTGCGGATGTGGCAAAAGCCACAGGAAGACTTTGAATCTTGGGCGCTTTGTTTCTCAAATGTCTCCCCGTCTCTTCTTCTGGTCTTGAACATGGGCTCGCTCACGGTCTGAACCTGTTCGTGATACGAATCCACGGTACGTAACCTCACGAATGCCCGACGACGGCCTTCGGCACATACGGCTCCTCGAGATACTTGATCTCGTCGTCGGTCAGGGTCTTGCCGCGCACGTCGGCGGCCTCGTCCAACCTGCTCAGGTTGCTGAAGCCGACGATGGGGATGGTGCCCTTTTGGATGATCCACGCGAGCGCGACCTGGCTCATCTTCCAGCCCTTCTTGTCGGCGACCTCGGTGACGCGCTCGATGATGGCGTCGTCCCCGTCGACCTTGGGCATGAGCCCGATCTTCTTCGTGCTCTCCTCGCGCGCCGTGCTCGCCGACCCCAGCGGCCGCGCGAGGAGGCCCCGGTACAGCGGCGCCCAGGGGATGAGCCCCACGCCCGTCTCGTGGCAGTAGGGGATCATTTCGCGTTCCTCCTCGCGGTAGCACAGGCTGTAGTGGTTCTGCATCGACACGAATTTCGTCCAGCCGTGCAGCTCGGCCGCGTGCTGCATTTTGGCGAACTGGTATGTCCACATCGAACTTGCCCCTGTATCACATCACCACCACCATTAACGGACATTTTAATCAGTATGGGAGAGGGTGCTTGGAGATCACAAATAGAGTAGAACAGAGAAAGATAAGAAAGAGAGATGATAAGATGGAAATTGAATCCCCCCAGACCCCCAACGAAGACAGGTTGGAAAAAACAAAACCAGAAAACAACTCACCGATATATCTAACTTTACCAGCTTGGATAAGATCGTGTAGAGCCTTCATGGTCTCCTCGACGGGCACGTTCGGATCGAAGCGGTGGATCTGGAGGAGGTCAAGGTACGTGGTGCCCAGGCGTTCCAGACTTGCTTCGACGGCGTTGAAGATGGCCGCGCGGCTCAGACCGTCCTGGTTGACGTAGTCTTTGCTCAGCTTGATCTGCTTCGGGTACTTGATGTGTAGGACCGAGGGCTTCTCGCCGACGGTGCCGTAGCACTTAGACAGCAACACAAGCTTGTGGCGGGGGATGTTGTGTTTCTTGATGGTCGCGCCGATCAACTTCTCCGACACGCCGTTCGAGTACACGTTGGCCGTGTCCCACGTGTTGAGCCCGCGGTCGTACGCGCCCTTGAGGAGCTGGTCGACTTGGTCCGGGTCGTCGATTACCCACGGTAGCCAGTCTTTGTGGCCTATGTCGCAACAACGCGATCAAGAGGGATGTGGTTAGTAGTGGTTCGGTTGGAAAAAATAAAGTGTGACAGGAAGAAGGGAAAAGGTGACGCCAGCAGTTTGATAAAGTGTATCCAAAAAAATGTCAACTTAAAGATAGTATGTGCATATTGTGTATGTCACATCCAGGCGGAGAGGAAGGGTATGGACTCTGCAGTAGGGCAAGTTGAAGGCGGAGGCGCGGGCGACGACATGTACATACCGAAAGACATGGCACCGAGGATAGGAACTGATACTCGCAATCCAGATTTGCCCAATTGAGCATAAGACACTTTGGTGTTGTCCAGACTCTCCTGGAGAGATTTAGGTAGACCAGAGTCACCCATTTTGACTTATTCGCAAATTGATGATTGATGTGTTATTGGGTTATTGTGTTATTGGGTTGAAGAGCTGAGTGGTTTGTTCTCGCGGAGAGCGATGGTCCTAGATATAGCAGGCGGTGTATCGAGTTCGTCTACGGCGTCTGTCAATGTCGTATCTCCGAGAGGTGAAGGAGAGATCAGAAGTGCACAATATTTGCTACCTCGTCGACTGTTTATATACGCATGTCCTGAAACTCAGATAAGACCCCACCGCAACGGCCATTCGCCGACCACAGCAATGCAAGCGAGAGACCTTTGTCGATTGCAAATAGAGGAAACGAAGCCCCCGGTCTGTCTGATGGATGGTCTGATTGAGCATGCGGGCTTCGTCACCATTCCGAACTACTACTGGACGATGTACTCTCGATGATTAGTCCATGTTAATTCGTGGGCTGAAGCTTGCATCGACGGTTTGAGACGATTTCCCCGCAGCGGCGCAGGCCATGGTAGTTTTTCCGCCCACTGAGACCGCCCGTGGTTGCCATGGCCCGAGGGAAGAGAGAGGACACAGAAAAGAGGGAGGGAGGGAGGGGCAGGCCACGCGGGAGAATCTGAAAGCGACTCCTCGTGGCTTGCGGTTATAGCGGAGTTTAGACGATATAAAATCCATTTCTTGGATGAGGGACCGTAGTGCCGAGTTCGAGGACCATGGGGTCAACCAAAGGGGGCACAAGAGGAGGGTCGATGGGACGAACAACAAGTAGCAGACCACACCTATGCAGTTGAACAGGTGTCTGCCCAAAATTCATCCAAGAGCAATCGCAGCACTCCATCTTCATAAACTGTTGACAACCCTTATAAACTCGATCGCATCTCCGTCATTGTTATTTGTACACACACAAGAGTACGAGTCATAAGAATTCCTGTATACTTCGTCCAACACACCGTTTTATCCCTCGTCATCGTCCCCAGTGCCCAAGACGCCGGTCGCGTGTTATCGCATATATAAAAATACAAGGACGACTACATGCCATCCTCAATCATAATCACTTCGTCGGTATCGAGTTTAAACCAATTTAACCCATGCATGAATCGTCCCTCTGCGGGCCTCGTGGTCATGTTCCATCGAAATGCACATGCTTCACCTATGCCCAATCAGATCCATGGTGTCCTCTTCCTCATCGTCCTCATCTTCCATGACATTGTCACTGCTGCTACTCTCGCTCTCGGACTCGGAGACAATACCTATCTCCTCGTGCTGACGCGGTGAACTCGGCCGTCCCCAGAAATCCAGGTCATCGTCATCTTCCAGCGGTGTCGCACCACGTCTCGGAGCTTCAACCGTTTCTGTAGGTCTTTGGCCGGTTCCAAAGTAACTCCCAATCACCGGCGACTGGGACCGCACAGACCGCGCAGTTGGAGAGTGCGGTGAAAGCCAGGAAGACCTACTACCCGGAGAACGGGCATTCAGCGTAGTGTCAATAGGTCGAGGGGGAGTGGCACCAAGATCCATCGTGGTTGCAGGCTGCGTTAACTCTCCGGTCGGAGTGTGACTTTGGCTAGCCGTGATGGCCGCCTCGCTGATGCCAGCTTGCTGAGCTTGTTCTTGCTCGCGCTCAAGTTGGGGCGTTTGCTCGGCACCTAAAAGTTCGAGCTGGGTGGTGTTGTATGATTCACAAAGGGAACATTTCAACCCTAGCCAGTGGTACCTGGTCACGCTGCGGCTGTTGCAGTCGTTGCAGAAGATGTAAGCACGGTTGTCTCGATATTCCTCGGGCATTGGTTGCTCTTCGATATGTCGGTCCAGTCTTCGAAATTGGCTTTCCATGTTGGCGATGCTCTTTGAACATATCGGACATTTATAGCTCGCATTGCACCATTCGGCAAAACAGGACTCATGTATGCTGTGACCACACCGCATAAACACCACTGACTTATTCGAGGTGAACATGTACTCTCCACAGATGGGACAATCGCATTTTGTACTCCTCTCAATGCATTTGTGCACACTCTCGGCTTGGATGGACATGCAAGCACCGCACGTCTTGCAATGGAAGAAATCCTTTCCCAGGCCTTGGCCAATTCGGCATATGCCGCAGTCATCGCAATGATAGATCGGCTTGTTTGGATCGTCGCTCCAGAGTTTGCAGACCCGACAGTAGTAGCTGGCAGTCATGGTGCGACACGCCCGGCAAAAGTGTCCAGCAGGTTGAGGGGTTTTACACAACATACAGAGCATATGCTTGGTCTGTCGCCGGGGGAGAGTATGATCTTCCACCTCATCATGGCATAATCGGCAGGGATACCACTTGTGACAGGTGTTGCACTGCATCTTGACATTTCGTTTGTAATGTATACAACCCAAGTCTTGTGTCGGGGGCTCTACCGCACCGTCCATGTCGTCCTGCACGGGCTCCGAATCCATTGGAGCATACGTCGGGATCAAGTCTTCGGCAGTAACATTGTACACCACATCATGGCTACCACCAGAGATAACAGAGACAGGTGACCCGGGGCTGCGAGAAGGGTCGCGCGCTTTGCTCGACGACAGTGTTGGGGACCGGAGAGCTTGGAAGGTAAGATGACGCTCCATCATCAATGCATGTACCAAGCGAGACTTTTCTGATTGTGTCCCAGGGCCATTGCGTACAGCATTAATCCTTTGTCTGAGTATGCCCATGCCATCGTCTTCAGGTAGAGTGCCGGATCCATCTCTTCCACGAGATTCGTTCCCGTCGTAGTCTTCTCGTCTGGGGTTGGTCTGTTCCATTCTGAACGGACCAGCATGAACAGCCGCTAACGGATCAGACATAGAGTGTGGTCTCGCGCTGTCTTGATGCGCTCGCGACCTATAGGACAACTCCTGCGCGGGGTTGAGAGACCTTTCGCTATTTGTTCGATTCTCTTCGCGCAGGGCCGGTCGCGAGGACAAATCAGGCTCACCGTCCAAAGAAGGGAACTCTGCTATGGCTGAGTCGTGGTTCGAAACCGTTACTGCCAAATCGTCATCCATTGGCTCCAGCGGGGGCGAAGGGATCTGATCGTCGAAGGCGTTCAATTGATTCACCCATAACTGTATTGTTCTTGTGATGGACTGCACCGTGGTCTCTTTATTCTCTGGTACCGGTTCCTCGAGCGAAGGGGGAGGAGAGGTCGTCCATAGACGCGATGGGTTCCAGCGCTGGAGGTCAGGAACAGTAGGGAGAAAGCCAGAGGAGGACGGCTCTTCGACGGTGCTGAGTCTGGAAAAGCGCCGCGCTTGGCGGAGGACAGGTTCGACGATAAATGAAGGTAGATACTCGCTCATTGAAGCCGTGGGATAGGCATGTTATGAAGGATAGATTGTCAAAGGCGAATGTCGACGGTGAGAATCAATACTGAAGAGTCTAGACTGCGTGGGCATGGGAGAGGGCGAGAATAAGAACGAGAATACAAGACAGCCTGAGTTTGTACGGGAAAGGAGAGTGTAGAAAGTGGCGTAGATCCAACTGACGTCGATGGTGTGAGGGCGATATATGCGGTGTATTGGACTTGTCCCGATTAGGAATACTCTCTTTTGAGATATACTGATAGATACACTTGTATACACTCTGTGCACACCCTCTTCTACACACCACTGTATATTTCTGCAAAAATGCAAAAACTTAAACTAGGATTTATCTCCCATAGGAGCCTAGTTAAGAAAACCCCAGTCGTGTAAGGATTTTTTTCCCCCGAGGCCTCCCATCCCGGGTCCACTGAAGGTCGCAACGGTTGATGGTACTCGCCCTGGAATCTCCCCTGCCGCAGCGCATACAACTTTTTCTCTCCCAGATTTCTCCTCCTATGTTGTCCTCGCCCTCTGCAGTTGTCGGCCTTTGCCCAATTGCCCAAGTCCGCTTGTTGAAGAGTTGAAGTTGAAGAAGAAATCCAAGTTTGTTGATCAGTTGCCAAATCCTCCTCGTTGAAGTAAAGTCACAAATAATGTTTTGGACTGAACCGCGATTCGAACCCGTGCCCCGTCTCGCCTAGGAGAAGCTGCCGACTCACATCGCCATGTGGCCTTGACCTGACAACTCCTAGGGGTCTTGGTGTTGGGGGTAAAATTCGAACTTCACAATGATATCCTTTGATTTTTTGCCAGGTCCTCCAAGTGGATAGCCCCCCCGGTGCCTTAGCGATCAACAGCCAACAGCCTTCAGGATGCCCCTTCGCGTTGTTGGACGCGGTCATCGCTCGGTCCCGGTATTCATGCCAATTCATTGCATCCCGCAACTCAACCTCTCGACCCGAGTCTTCCCTGAAGGTCAATATGTTCCATTGACACGACGCGTGTGTAGATTTGCCCATCTATGGGTCACGCCCTGATGTTTGTCGTCTGCTGTCTTTCCAACACACTCACTCAATGTCTTCTCTTGCCGTCGCCTCCAACTCTCGAAGCGTTCCTTCAATCTCTGAGGGTTCCGTAATAGACCAGACACCACCCCCTTTGGTAGAAGATCGGCCAACCTCTTTCGACACCAAGTTGCGCCCTACCTTTCCGGGACCAAGACCAAGCCAACGACGTGTGCCAGCTTGCTTATGCAAGTACTTGATCGAGTCCCACCACATGATTGTTCCCACGGCTTGTTGCGACAGATTTTGGAGTATGTCTTCTTTGGATTGGAATGGGCGTGCGGTCACATTGCTGATGCAGGGACATCGTCCAGGAAATGTCACTTTGTCGACAGTCAGGGCCTTTCTCATGAATTCATATGCAGGCATCATGATAGGACTATGGAATGCCGATCGAGACTTCAACTCGACCGCCCGCGGGTCGTGTCCTCCAAACTCGTGGATATTGACGAGAAGGTTTCGAATCCGCTGAAAGCTTCCGCTCAGGACAATTTGGTTTTTGGAGTTGATGTTGGCAATCGAGACCTGGCGTATTGCAGGACGAGCACTCGAGTCGTCTTTGGTGCCTTCCGTCCCATGGCTCAAGAACTCTCGCACGCTGGCAACCAAGGACTCCATCTGTTCAGGTTCACAGACCAAGGCGATCATGCCGAAATCTTCTCCTGACTGCTCTTTGGCTTTCCTTGTGCACTCGCCCATGACCTCTCCTCGTCTTCGGACAAGATCCAAGGCGTAAGCGTATTCCAGATTGCCCGCTGCAACGAGTGCTGCGTATTCCCCCAAGCTGTGTCCCAGAGTGACATCGATCACTTCTTCTGGTTTGAAGCCAAACTCCTTTTCCAAGACCTTCAGGATCATGATGGAACAGGTCATGATGGCAGGCTGCGCATTTTCAGTCCTGTCTATATCGATGATTGGCCCTTCATCAATCAGTCTGGACAGCTTGCATTTGACAATCTCATCCATCTCTTCCAAAATCGGTTTACATGTCTGTGGGAATGCTTCGACCCATGGCCTTGTCATGCCTTTTCTCTGCACTCCATGGCCTGGGAAGAATAGGGCTGTTCGGAGAGTGGGCTCTGCTGGCGTACTATACGTCCTCGAGGGTCGAGCGATGCATCTCGCTGCATGGCGAAGTCCCGCACGAGAAGGACGATACATGGTGGAGTTGAGAGGTTTGTGGGGTGTTTCTACGGCATGGTATCAGGCGGCCACGTCCAAGGCGTGTAGGGAACACAGTGGATGAGAGCAAGTCTCAGCGAACCACTTCAGGATGTGAGTAGGCGATGAAAATCAACATACAGCAAGGGATGTCGCAGCCTCGGAGCCATTTTAATCCCATGCGCCCGGGACAGAAATACGTAGGCGTTTGTGGAGAGCTTGGGATGCGGAGAGAAATGGATGCTCGTTGTAGAGTACGAAGAGCTTGTACGATGACGGCGTTGAGGGAAGCCGAGGTTTCCTACAGTACGTTAGTACTGCGTACGACGCAGCCCTCGCCGATTTTCTTCCACATCTTTCCGACCAGAAGCCCTCAGCATTCCGATGCATGTATGAGATCTGATTGTGTATGGGACAATGGGTGTGGTGGTGGACTTCCAGTGTGTTGTCTGGGCCGATCCTTTCTACCGGTGTGATTGCAGCAGCCCACCCATTCTACAGTGTCTTGCGCTCTGGACATGCCGCCAGGGAAGCATGCAGTACCAAACACCATGTACGCGATGAATCATGAATTCGTGCAAGCAACGGGGAAACCTACAGGAGTCGCCAAATCAGGGCGGTGATATAACTTCTTTTCTGCCGCACTCAGGGCAACACCGACTTCGTCTCCGTAATGAAGGGCCGCGTAGACACTGACATTCACCTTGTCGTTCATAAGTTGAGTCCATGCTTCCATTTGCTGACCTTGAAGAAAGCCAACACCCGCATTCAACTAAACGAAGACGGACAGGGCAATTACTGATCGAAGATTCTCTTTTCGGACACGTCTCAATTGTAGCTCAATGGCAAAGAAGAGACGCCCAAAATCCGACAATGCCTCGACCAAAATGACGCCAGTTGGTCCGCCAACATCCATGACCGTATCACTCGATATGTCGGAAACGAAGAAAACAGACAATTCTTCCCAAGAGCAACAGCCAATAGAGACATATATCTGTCGGATCATCTCTTCAGAGTGGTGTATCCTGCATCACCATGGAGCACATGATACCGAGGACAAGGTCTGCGAAGCAATCAAGACGGGAAAAAGATCAAGTCAGACGAGCCCAAGATATCGTGAAAGGTCCGGGACTCATATGGCGTGAACTCATGACGGACAAGCAAGTCGACCGACTAGTCAATAGCCGCCCTCCGAGTCTGGACATCAAAGCCGCATTGGCACACATTCTAAAACTCGACAGGACGGTTCAAGCGTATCAAAGATTCGTTACCGGACGAGATAAGCTTGCAGTCCTGGCGCGCGAGATGGTCAAGGAGGAACTTCAGGACACAGGTTTAGCGAGATGGGATGTTCTCATGAGGACATTTGCAAGTCATTCTCACTTTATCTACGAGTACATCACGGCACACATCGAGCGACTGGAAGAAGTATGGATCATAACTCCATTGACTAATCTCATGCTGCAGCACCACTGCCCTCGCCAGCCAAGCATGTCCTACACCCGTCGAGAAATGGTGGACTTTGCGAAAGTGTTCGACGGACAGTGGCCGGCGGTGAAACAAGCACGACTCTCCCAAGACTTGATGAAAATCGAGTACTTGTCTCGATTGAACGCTAATGTTCGAGAACGTCTGTCTCACGCTACGATTCAAATCCTCACTTATCGTCCCGAGGTTGTCCTTTCGGAGGTGCTGACGTTGTGTTTTCGCCTTCCGTACAATTGTGTTGTCAGGTCTGCACGTCCAGTTGATTCGCACAAGGGGACGCTTCCTGTGTTCAGCTGGCCAGATGTCGACGAACAACGGATAAAGTTGAGTCTCGCTTGGAGGCAGGACAATCTGTGAGACGAGGAATTTCTGCTAAACTACATTCGAGGCACGGCTCGGAGTAGAAGCTACAGATGACAGACTGCAAAGCGGAGGCGTGACAAAGAAGCCCTTCGAAGCTCTCACCATCAGCGGATCATGGTTTATGTGTCCGATTTGTATGACGTGACTCGTGGTGCCTCAGATTGATTCTAGCTGGCCTGAAGGGTGTGAAAGAGGTCAAGACGTCGATGCAACGGCACGAGATCAGGATAGTCGATGGCCAACTTGTGCAGAAGGAATCGATCTAGTGCCTTTACTAAGTCCATTCTCGGTCGCATATGCTTCTGTGAGACAAGTCATCGTCAATTAGAAAGAATTCCCTGACGCTGGAGAGCACACTCGGAGGTGAAATTGTCCGCAGCGAACTGGGGGGCGTCCTTGGGCTGGGAGCTCGATTACCTAATACAATACTATTCCGAATTTGGTAGGGTCTTAATATTTTCCGTTGCTCGCATCTTCGCCATGAAGCTGCGGCACCTCAGGCGCAACTCTCGAAACCATCACCAGCTCCCACTCACTACAGACGTTGTGTGCGTCGTCGTTGAACATGCCTCCAAACACTTCGCGGCTCACTGCCGTCCCCCTGCCTCCGTCCTTCCTCCTCCCTCGATCCGTTCTACGGCAATCCATCACATCCTCACAAAGACGGACCTTTGGTATCAAATCGATAGATCCTCCCACACACAGCAAATACAATGTCGTCCCGGGTATCCAGCCTCTCCTCTCGACACCGGCGGCAGCTTTTGAGCGACGACTGGCGTCCGACACACTCCCTCTGCGGACCGGAGCTCTCGCCATCAAAAAGGGCATGACGGCCGTGTACGACGTCGAATCTGGACGCCGGCTCCCCTGCACAGTGTTGCAGCTAGATCAGAACCAGGTGGTCAGCCACAAGACGCGCAGGCGGCACGGGTACTATGCTGTGTGCGTGGGGTGCGGATCGCAAAACACCAAGAACGTCACCAAGCCGATGCTAGGCCATTTCTCCGTCCAGGGCGTGAGCCCCAAGCGGTACCAGCGCGAGTTTCGAGTCCGCGGGCCGGAAGGGCTCTTGCCGGTCGGCCAGGAGATCCGTGCAAATTGGTTCATCGAGGGGCAGTTTGTCGACACGCGGTCGAATTGCAAGGGGAAAGGCTTTGCAGGCCCCATGAAGAGATGGGGGTTCAAAGGTCAACCACGAAGTCACGGTCACTCCAAGAGCCACAGATCACACGGCACGATGGGCCAGGGCCAAGGTGGTGGTAGCAGGGTGTATCCCGGCAAGAAGATGGCGGGAAATATGGGCGGGCAGAGAAACACGGTGCAGAGTCTGCGAGTGTTACAGTCGGACGCCGAGAATGGGTTGGTCGTTGTGAAAGGTGAGTTCCTTCCCGGCTTAGTTTTGTCGTATATGCTTCGGAGTCGTTTGGAAAACTAACGTCGAATTTTTTCCGTTCTTTGCAGGCGCCGTCAGTGGACCGAAAGGCACACTGGTCATGATCCAAGATGCCTTGAAGAAGAATTGGCCTACGGTTCCCGAACCTCCGAGCCCGGCAGAGATCACTGAGGCTGCCAAGGTTGAATCATAACGTTCAATGTTGTACCTCTGGATGCTTCATTCTTCTCTTTTTAGCGCACGCGATCTGTACCAGTACGTAGAGGTAGGTATATTCGTGGTGTCCCCGTTTCTGGGTCGGCGAGCCATGTATATATCTATGTAGGAATACAAAGTGTTACAAACTGCAACTCGGACTGGAACCTGGAACTCGTGAGCGATCTACTGACGGACACGGATTCTGTACTGTCATATTCTGATCGATGCTTCTCTTTGATGATTTGAATAGCTCGGAGCTTGTCTACCCAGGTGCATCAGGTACCTAATATTGCATTCCATCATGCCGCCAAGTACAAAGACCCATCCTTTCGACATGGTCTAGATGTACGCCAACGGGGGAGGTCTGCTCACACGCTACCTTGCCCTGTAGACACGGCATCAGACACTACACCTCCAAATAATGCTCGCTCATGTCGTCTGGAATTGCCATTCATTACCACACTCCATTGGCTAGCGACAAACATAGTATGATACCGATATTGAGTTCGGGAGGAGGGGTGACTGACCATCTTATAAGTCGGAGAGCCCGGTTACGTACCTAACGAGAGGTAGGTAGGCAGCTACCGTACTCCAAGACCAGCCCTCAATTTCTCCGTACTACGCGCCCTTGTACTCGTACCTCATCCCTTGCAACTCCGACAAGCCCACCTGGATGTCCCCAATGTTCCGTCTCGCCATGACGACCATGCCGAACACCACGGCCGGCAAGACCAGAAACAGCCACAGGCCCTCTGGAACGTCCGTTCGGGCCCTGTACCCCATCGCGGCGACGAGGAGGATGACACCGGTCGCGGCGTTGAGGTAAGGAAGGTATTGCTTCACGGGGCCGTCGTCGGGGCTCGTCGCGAAAAACGACGAGAACGAAGAAAAAGGAGAAAAGGCCGCTTCATTCTGCGAGCCTCGCGCGGTGCCCGTGCCAAACACCACACTCGGTGGCGGCGGAGGCGGTCGTAGTCGCCGTCGTTGTCCCGAGCCACCCAGACCCGAGGATGACGTGTTTGCCGAAGAAGACGAGACAGGCATACATGACATGATGTACGCGCTTGAGCCGAGGGAGGTGATGCTGAGGAGACACAACAACGCCATTATCCGTGACGTGGCGATGAAGAGGTACCACGCGAACGGGAGCGTGACGATGAGTGGCAGCGCCGTGAAGATGAGCGTGTACTGGGCGTTCGTCGAGGATTCGGAGGCCCGTAGGCGCTTGAGGAGGGATTCTTGTTCTGTTTTTCCGACAAACGTATGAAGAGTACTTTGTCAGTCTGGATTCATTTGATCATGAGAGGAGGAGAGAACAAGGTGATGGTGACAGGTACGGAATGTTTGAAGAAAGCCTCGCGTCCGCGCACACTCGTATATACATGATAGGTACGCATTGCCCACGAACGCAGTATACCTTTGGTAGTATCGACCGTCGGGTGGAACATAGTGTTCGTACCCTTCAAGCGGCTAGGAGCGATGGTTCATACAGCTTGGGACAAAAGGAAGACGGGAACAAAAGAGAGACCGGCTTCCACTCGACTCAACTCACCTTGTTCATCCATTTCGTCGTGCGACGCATCAGTCCCTTCATCGTCGGATGGGTATTTGAACGCTTTCCGTAGCCTGGTTGTATTCATGGCTGAGGATGTGTGTGCGTTCGTGGTGGACGACACTATGCCACTTGTTCCTTTCCAAAAAGAATAGCCTTGGGTTGTTTTGTTTTCAGTCGGTGCTTCGAGTCAGGTGTTCTCGTATTATCAGTGGCCTCCTCAGTAGCCTTTGGCGAAGCATGAAAACACCACAATAAATGATCCCCGGGATCCGAGTCCGGGTATTCGGCTTGGAAGGGAGTAGGACTAGGAAGATCGTGATGTCGAAAAACGGTTTATAGATTTTGTCTTCATTTGCAGGTCGACGTGTCTTTTGAACCGAGTGATTATTGACTACATTGGCGCCTGCAATATGGAAGTCCAAAGGGCCAGCGAAACTCACCAAAACAGAACAATCATATTGTTAGCATTTACCTAATCATTCCTCGCCCAAGGTACGATTACGAGTACGAGTACGAGACTTGCGTATCGGCTTCTTTCCACATGCAATGTACGTTGAGGGGAACCAACAAAACCAAAAGGTTGGAATTCTTTTTTTGCTCTTGAAATTCTCTAGACATATGCTTTTCTTTAGCTTATTCATGACATTTAGGAATAGGACGAAAGCCGCCACTCATAAAAACTGGGATCGACTGTGTTCGAGTCATACTCGTCATCAGCTCGTCAGCACCTCGCCAGCTGCTTGCACAAGGTCCAACTATGAAGCTTCACTGACCACTTCAAAATAAACCAGTTACATGTCAATGCCCTCATTGAATCTTAACACACCATTGGGTCTCAGCATACCATCAACGCCCTCAGGCAGCACCGAAAGCACACTTTGACCGGCACCTGTGGTCTGTGTAGGCTCCTCCCCCATGGCATTCGAAACGAGAACCAACCCTGCTTGTTTGATGGTCTCGACCAGTGCTGGGACCATGCGTAGAAGTTGTGCTGAGCAAGTCAATCCCATGAAATTGTTCATCTGCGCAACTCGAGCAGACTCTTTGATCGAGGCACCATGACCACTTGGGGAGCCAAGCGAGTTGCACAACAGCACTGGAAAATTGGGTTGTTTCCAGTTCAAAGCCGTACAAATATTAGGATTTAGCGAGGAGAAGACGAGCGAGTGCGACAGGTCTGGAGACGCGTTTCGTAACGCTCGAGCATGGTTGAAGACTTCAGTCAACAGAGCATCAATGAAGGTGTTGATGTCAATGTGAGAGCATACTCCTTGATCTACATCTTCCGAGGGAGATGGATACAGGATATGCAGGTTGAGGTTGATATGCGGCGGCATAGAGCTCAAGACGTCGCGCAGGAGGAAAATTGACCCGGACAGGCGGCGTTGCCACTCGAGGATATCTGTTCTGTCGAAATCTGGCTCCCCATCCTTTTGGGCAAGCGAGCCAGCCAATCCTAATCCAGCCAAGGTTTCGAAGTTGAACTGGCACAGAGATATCTGGAGCTTGTCGTAAGGAACAAAGTAAGAAGGGTAAATGACGGGAATTCCATCGCGGGTAAGCTGCACGATTAGTCTCAGGTAGTCACCCGACAAACTTGAGCCAGTAACCAAGCCAGAATGATCGTCAAGGGCGCTGGTAGCCTTCCAATATGTCGCAAACTGTGTGATCTCCAAGGGGGTACCTCTATACGGCTTGATCACCTGGAAATTGAACTGTATTTGACCGACCGCTCGTAATCTAGGGTCAAACAAAGGAAGACAGCAGGTGCCGCTGCTGCTGTCGGTCGCTCGAAATACGTCGGGAAGGGCAACGGACTTTGCAATCACCTTCGAGCCGAAGGTAGGGAAGATCTCAAAGTCCACTGCAAAAGTGCTCAGGTTGTCGACTTGGAAGTATATTGACCTTGAATCCTCTTGAATGGGTAACATTAGATTTCGAGGTATAAGATCCGACATTTTTGAAGAAATGGTTAACCGAGCAGCAGGATATCTTGCCTCGTTGAAAAACCTTATTGCTCGTGCCCCGCCGTCAAAACTGATGGCGATAAAAGTTTTCGTGTCGAGAAAGTTGTGTCCATATCGTCGCAGCGGTATTATCGGCGGAGGTAGTGAAAGGTCGGGTATGCCATCGCCTTCTATCGGGGAAGGTTCCTCAGGGGTGATTTCCATCGCATTCATTTGGTTATGGGGAGGGACAACAGCGCCTAGACGTGAAATTTTTCTTTCTGCCCGTCGATAACTCGTGCGCTCCCATAGCAGCTCCATGCACTGGAGGTGACCTTCCCACGTGGCATAGTACATTGCTGTGAGTCCCTTTTCATCCAAAGCCTCTGGATCTGCTCCGCTCTCCAACAGAGCACGCAAACATTCGACCCGACCTTCACTGGCTGCATGGAAGAGTGGCGTCCATTGGTACAATTTGTCCCTTTGATTGAGGTCTGCCCCGTGCTGTCTGAGAAGCAACAACAAATCAGCTTTGTGACTAGAACGGGCGACCAGATGCTGAGGGAAAAGTCCTTCCGCATCTGGCAAAAGTTTTGCATTTCTTTCGAGCAGCATGGTGGCGACCTCGATTGACTCATGCTGGCATGCCAGGTTCAACGGTATATGGTCCCCCTCAGATTGCGGGTCTATCCTGACATTGCTAGCTAGCAGCAAGCGAACGCATTCAACCCGATGACGAACAATGCTGTGAATCAGAGGGGTGAAATTATCGTGATCTTTCAGATCGATGGTGCTTGGACCAGCTGTGAGTAGCTTTTCAACCATTGCCAGTCGCCCTCTGAGACAGGCATAGTGCAATGGAACCCGACCATAGACATCGACTCTCGTAAGATCAACACCATGTGCGAGACCATAGTCCAGTACACTATCCTTGCCATAGATAGCCGCCTCATGTAAGCAATTCCTTTCGTTGATGTCGTCTTCAGCATGTATGTCAATCAAGCCAGAGTCGAGGAATACGCGTAAAGCGTCATCGGGGGCCTCGCTGATTGTGGCCAGGAATATTCGCGTGAACCGCTCACTTGCATTCGGTGCGGTGCTTAATCGAGAGATCCACTCACGAAGAGCAGCAACGTTACCGGCAGCAGAAGCTTGCAATATTTGCAAATCGATATCGCTCTCCTCTGTTCCAACGCGTTGGCCAATCATCCGGTCTTGGGGCTTAGATACCTCATATTGTATGTTCTCGCCTTCAGCCCAAGCCTCGAGGTCAAGCCTAGCAGTGGTTGCTTTATCTGAAAGGTCTCGAAGCACGTCTCGATTGAAGCATGGTTGGATCTCAACAGCCCTTTGGAGGTAAATTTCCTTGGTCCGGGACTATTGTCGTTTAGTATGCGTGCAAATGCAGTAGATGTGAGCTGTACCTTGGATGTCTTGTCCCACTACCACATAAAAATCAGCACGACATGATAACGAATTCTGGATCAATCAACGAACCTTTTTGAGAATTTTTGAAATTGCAGTTTCATTTACCTCGACAAATTGCTGGCGTAAAGTGAGAAACAGGTGATGCACCACTCAATAGACCCGTACCTGGAGTTTGTTCAAGTCATTGTCAAATTGTTGGAATCCCTCAACTAGTGTGACAAAGCTAGCAGAAAGCCTCGAATTTGCAGCGATTCTAGCCTGAATGACACGCTTTTTGTCGAGCAATGTTTTCAGACGCAGTGAAAACTGAGCAACGTCAGAATCAAGATATCGCACGACGCTTTGCCGTACCTCTGCTTCCTTCTGCAGATAAAAGACGTTCACCTTCTCTATTTCTCGCTCCTGGAGTTCTCTGTGAGTACAGGTACATTTAAAGATTAGGGATCAGTCGGCATACTAATCGAAAGAAGAAAACTTCTTTGTTGGCTCGCAGGGCTGCTTGAATATCTTCGGTCGCAGAACCGCCTTGAGCCTCGATGGTCGGCGTTGCACTGAGCTGCTTAATGAGCTGGAGGACACTGTCAGCGCTTTCGAGCCAACTATCTCCTTGTGTCTCACCTTTTTAAGAGCCTTGTAATTGAGGAAGCTGGCCGCATATTCAGGAAGATCTAATTGCTGTCGCTGTATCTGCTTTCCGAATTTCCTAATCGAGTTAGAAGCAGCGCACAGTAAGAAAGATGAGGGAGTTGTACATGGTGTCGAGTGGTACGTCAGAAACTTGGTTGAATTTCGGCTGTCCGGATATCGATCGGATGCGAAATGCTCTGTACGCACTACCGTGAGTGTTGAGTTTGAGGCTGAAGCCGGCTCAGCGAACCAAACGATGAGTAGAAGGTGATTGGATCCAAAAGATGCCGGGCATCAGTGCTCAGGCAGCGGTGTGGCAGAAGATCAAGGAACAGCAACAGCGTTTGCGGTGAGTGATAATGAGCGGAATGCTGCTACTTAGATGCAGGTCATTTCGCAGTCGAAATTTTACATACTCGCATCCAGTCCAGAGCTGTCGGTTGAATTCAGGGTTAAGCGAACATTCGACGCGAGAAAATCCTCGACCGCGGACAAAAAGTCACAAACCAGGTTTGGACAGAGAGGTGTTGGGCCGGCGAATCACAGCAGCGAGATTCAGCACGCGGGCGGCTTTGGGGACGAGACGCGGGCCTTGTCGGTGGTTGGACAGCAGAGGTTCGATATACACAAGTATTCAGGCCAAGTGTCTGGGATATCTGGGGGTAAGGCTGCCGTCGATATGTGTTGTACTGATGACGGATCCCTTCATGACACAAGAGTCAATTCCCAATATTATTTCCTCGCGCCTTCCCGCGTTCCTGGAAAAGATGCAGTGCAGCGCCAACCAATGGAAGCGCTTGGTCACGTGATTATAGCCGGACAATTGGCTTGGCACATGTCACGGGCATTCAGTCCGAACCTTCCCCAAATGAGAGTAGCGTGTTCTCCAGGCTCTGGACAGTCTGAAGGGAGTCCGTCTGAAGCTGTCCTCGCACATACTGTTCCTGTGCCTGACGATGTACAGGCGCCCAAGGTAACATCCTATTCGAACGCTGGAATGATGAGAGCATGATTCCTCCTTGGGAAAGGGTCCCTTTCCAGACAGTCAGAACAGATTGGCGGCGCAATTACACAGATACTTGCGCTTCTGTCAGGAGAGCCATCGAACAGGATGACCGGGTACTAAACTTAGGTGTTTCCAGCCTTGCCAGCCTTGCCAGCCTTGCCAGCCTAGACAGCCTTGTAGGCTCAAGGCTGTCATCGCGGAGCAAGGAATAAATGCTACCACGGGTCTCAGTCCGCATGAGAGATTACGCTGGCCATTAGTTCATTGGTGATCAACTCACGGTCGGAGTTCTTCAACCTCGGGCTGCTTTCCTTTTGTGCATTTATTTACTGATCTTAGTCACGGCTATAGGGGTGTCATGACTGCCTCGAGAAATTGTTCAAGCCCTACTGTGAACTTGCAAAATTGTCTCAATGTCGCCATCAACACTTATATTTCGCCATCAACAATCACCCATCCAGATTGGCTGCAATACTACTGCCGAGCTCATGCTATTTGGGGTCGTGGACCCACGATGCTCGTCTGCGGGCCTCAGACCATGTGGCAACCCACAGCCGCGGTCGGCACTCGTCGGCTCAGGCCGGCAAACCTTTCGACTGGCAGGGACCTAACTCGCAAGTCGACGACTACAAGTGTAAGGCGTGATGCTAACAAACGTACAACTGGCCCCGAATTGTACTGTGGTTTCCCCTACATTCCAGACATACCAGGCTCAATCACCAAAAGGCTTACATAATGACTGAGAAGTCACTTGCCAATGGCGAGCACACACCGACCACCCAGCGTAACGCTGACGCACAGGATGCCCTCGGATTCGCCTACCAGGCATGTTCAGAATTGACTCCTCAATGATTTGTGGTATGTGATGAATCAGCTAACTCGATGGGCAGTATGGGTATCCTTTGTTCGCCTACGGGCGGTTCGCGAGGAAACAAGGTTCAGCTATCAACGTGCTCTATCATGAGCGAGACGTGATAAAGCCAGGGTGGACTAAAGTCGTTCGACCCAACAACGACACCATGTACTCGTCAATCTTCTGCGATCTGTCCCAGTCCGATTTGGTCATCTCGGTACCTGAGATTGGTGACCGATTTTGGTCCTTCTCTTTCTTCGATATGTACGTTAGCAGCTGAGTGAAAGCTTTGGCGCTAATGGCACATAGGTACGGTAACAATTACAGCTCAGTGATGGGTTTGATGGGTCATAAACCTGGCGACTATCGTCTGACCTTTGCCGAAGACGATTTTGGGCTGCACGAGGACAGTAGCGATGGCGACGAGCGGGGAGTGATCCATTCTCCAACTCCCTATGGAATATGGACAGTACGTTTACTGCTTAAAAACCAAACAGACGACGTGCAGCACGTCCATGCTCTCCAAAACCAGATTAAGGTGGTCACAAAGCCTCGGGTTCATGATTCTGGAGTTCCTCCGTTCGACCTGAGCATCTTCTCCGAGGTGGCAGGCTCAGAACAATCTCCTGTGTCGGAAGCAGAGCAAGTTTTGCGCTTGACGGCCGCCCTATCGAGGTATAATCAATCGGAGGTCTTGCAGGACCGATCCTGGATTGCTTACGTCTTGGAAAAGGCGGGTATCCGAGACGGAGTATTCACACAGCCACCCAATACTTCGCTTGCCGTTGCGGTTGACTTGGCAAACTTGTCAGCAAAGGCCCTCAAGCTGACTGCTGGGATCGTTCGCGATCAGGGACACGGGTGGTACACGAATACACCCATGATTTGCGGAAATTTCCGGTCGTTTTACGCCGCAAGGTACCTCGTGGCGATGCGCGGATATCTGGGAGTGGCATCCGATCAAGCGATTTACCCATCTTACCGTCCTCCTGGGAGTGCCGCTGAAATACCAGACATCAAAATTGGACCCAAGCAGGCGATTAAACTCTCTTTTAGTAGAAAGCCTCTCCTTCACCCTTTAGGGTTTTGGAGCTTGAGCTTGTACGACAAAGATCAACTGTTCATCCCCAACGCGCTGGAACACTACGCTCTGGGAGATCGCAACGATCTCAAGTGCCTCGATGGAACGCCGTTAAAGGAGCAGGCAGATGGCAAGTTTGAGATATTGATTCAGCCTTCGGATGTGGTTCCGCCTGAGGAATGGCATTCCAAGTAAGTCTGAGATGAGGGCCCGCGTGGAACGGTCAGTCAGTACTAATCTGTTGAACTTTTACAGCTGGTTGCCCGCACCGCCGGGCGGTGGTGAGGTTTCCTTCACTTGTAAGTCGATCTCTTCTACAATTGTGCGTATACCAGTATTGACACAAGGTCAGTTCGCGTATTCGGAGCATCATGCAGCATGATCGACGGGTCGTACGAGTACCCCAAGGTGATATTTTCGGATGCCTTAACCGCATAACGAGGTGGCAGAACCGAGGTCGAGCTATAAAAGTCGTGGTGGTGTCATGTCATGGAATCGCACCTGCCTTACATTATGTACCTTATGTAACCCGCAATGGCAGTTGTCGGCGCGCCAAGCAACTAAACCAATAGAGACAATTGGTATCAATTATTTGACGCTCACTGCCCTCGCAAGATTTACTAGTGCGGATTAACTTCCCTCCATCATGACCACTCCTCGGACATTCCTACCTAGTACCTGAGCATTATCATCAGTCCTTGTAGGTGCGGTTGTCCTCCCTCAGAATCAGTCCACCACACTCATACTCTGCTGCCAACCCTAGGTTCTAATGCCGGGCAGTCGACAACCGCCCCCACTGCGGACACGCCGCGCGAAATTGGTGTGCGATCATTGTCACGCCCGCAAAGTCAAATGCGATCTCGAAAGCCGCCATGGAGCGCCGTGTGGGAGCTGCTCAGAGCATGGTCTCAGATGCACGTAAGGATAAATGCAACCAACTAACGTCCTGATTCTGCTAACACCCCTGTAGAAGACGCCATTCTAAGAGAGCCTCGGTTCGGCAGAAGTACAACTCCCCAACTTCGGCACAGTTGTCACAATCCGCTGGGCATGATTTCACAGACGCGATCACACAGCACTCTACTGACACTTCTCCCCCTCTCGAATCTCTGGATGCCAGTCAAAGCCGTGGAACGAGCCTGTCGGTCATGCCTGAACAATCACCATTTCTTGGAGACACGTCACTTCTCCTACATGAGCAGCCGTCATTGCGACCTAATTATGAGAGCACTACCGTCTTCTCGACACGACTAACGGAACAGATTTTACAGATCCCAAGTCTTGTATCGCTGCCCTCGGAGCTTGTTTTCCGCGCGTATGCCGATATGTATTTTGAACATCTAAGCCACCGATTTCCCGTTGTCCAGCGCGAAGACCTAGTTGTGGAGACACGATCTACGCCACTTTGCCACGCTGTATGTATGGTGGGATCCATGCTTCGATTCCCTAGGGGCCCAGCGCCGCTGGCAGAGAGCGAGCAATACTACACAATTGCAAAGACGTTGATTCATCTTGACTTCGAGAGCGATTACATGGCGATATTGAAGACTATGTGTCTGTTAATGACGTGGAACATCAAGGGTCATCTTATCCTCACCTTCGACTGCGGCTGGCAGTGGCTCGGTATGGCTTGCAGACTCCTCAGTCAGATGGGATTGCATCTCAATCGAACCTATGCTCGAATAGCCAACCCTAAAATCGCGCGCAGAGTTACCTGGTGTATCTTCGTAAGTTGGTCAATACACTTCAATGAGACGTGCTCCATAACTAGTGGTTTAGATACAGGATCAACTTCTGTCAGCGACCATGGGCCGCCCGACAGCGATCAAACTGCATGAGTTCAATGTGGCGCCTCCCACGGCCGACGATTTCGAGGCTGTCAACCGTCCGGCAGTCTTATTTATAGAACTCGCTAAGCTGGCGACTATATTGGGACGGATACTAGACCTGCAGGCCAGGCGTCCTTCAAATCATCAAGAGGTATGTCGTCTAGCCACGATCTGGTTCCCATAGCGTTCTGAGTGTCTATCTCCATCACACTTTCCTATTTCTTGGCGCTGACCTATAAACAGCGCTGTCTTATCGTTGAATCTCTCAAGTCGTGGCTTGACGATCTTCCAGATGAAGCTCGATTATACGATAGGTCGAACAACAGGATCTATCATCGGGATACTGCAGAAGCACACATCATGTACTTTGTCGTTGTGATTACCTACCTCAATCTGTTTGGGGATCCAAGACCCTTTTCTGCCAGTAGTCTTGGAACTTTAGTGGCCTCATCTTGTATAATACGTTTGTACCACGAGATGTACATACGAGACGACATCAATTTTCTTCTCGGCGGCAACACCTGGTACATGATGGTGGCAGCAGTCCCGCAGTTACGTTATAGCGCCACACCTCGTCAGAGTGACATGTGTGCTCAGGAGCTCGACATTATTGTGAAGGCCCTCGAGCACATGCAGATCAAATTTGCTGCGGCTGTTCCGGTACTCAGTACGATTAATCGATTGCGTGCTTCACCTACTCAGGTGAAAATTCGATCAGGTCCGCTCACTCCATCAGATGAGCGACACACAGACTACACTGCCTTTGATATGCATGATTTGCGGGGCCTTTTCCCGTTTCCAACATCATTCAGTCCGAGGCTAGAACTCACCCTTGCGGATGGCTCATCATGGATGAATCTAGACAGTGTTGAGCCACCATGGGCTCATGAAGACTTTGGCGGCATCTTTGACGAGCTTTGGGACACGTCACTGTTGCCATTCGAGACTGATGTGTAGTCCAGATGTCTTCAAGAAACCACCAATGCGGTCTAATCTAAGCAATTCTCCTTAAATTTCCCAGCCGTATGCTGCGGTATGAGCTGTACTTCTCGAATCCTGGAAAATTCACGATATTCGCTACAAGAGAGAAATTACTACAGGGGCATGCCATGTACCCGGTAGCCGGCCAGAATTCGTGGCATAGTCCACCGTCAATGCTCTCTACTTCATATGCCCTTCAGGTACCCTTGAGGTTGTCGTCCGCACCCGACGGATCGGTAATCGCGTGATAATGAAGATGGAAAATGGAGCAAAACAGCCGTAAAAGCGCCGTCGGCAGTGGTCGGCAATGCGCGGTATTCTCGCTGACAATCATCAGCTTTCTATGGGGAATTTGGAGTCCTCGCGGCTTGGGTCCACAAACTCTGCTTTTGGCATCGTGGATATCTCCCATTTGGGTATTTCGCGCCTGGGCTCACTGAGGGGAGCTCGTATATAGGTTGGTTGAGCGCTCCCTAGAGACATGCCATATTCCAGCTAGCAGCCGATATCTCAGCGACTCTCTGACCCCAGTCGTTTGATCAAGTCGCCAACCTCAACTTCCACAGTCACATCGTGGCACGACACAATGGCAAGTGAAAAACTCGGCCTGTATGAGCAGGCACGAGATGCAAGCCTCGATCCGACTGTCGAAAGTCCTGTATCCCAGCAAGATGATGCAGAACCCGAACTTTTCACACACTCTGAAACCCGAAAAATCGTCCACAAGATCGATCGACGTCTCCTCTCGATCTGCGGTCTTATGGTCGCCGTCAGCTTGATGGATCGAAGTAATCTCTCCAACGCTTATATTGCTGGGTATATCGCTCTCTGAACATACCTCGTCCCTTCCGTCCGTGGGTGCTAACGGATTCGCATAGCATGGGTAAGGAGTTGAAACTCACCGTTGGAACACGATATGTAAGTATTGATTCACATAATGCGCTTCCGACATGCCCAAGGCTAATCATACATCATCGATAGTCTCTTGTTGTCCTCATCTTCTTTGGCCCATACATTGCATTTCAAGTTCCTGCCGCCATAGTCGTCAAAAAACTGGGACCGAGGTGGACTCTTCCAGGCATGACCCTGCTTTGGGGAGGTCTTGTCATAGTATGTCATTAGACTCACTACCCCAAAACACGGCATCATCTGGCCTTGTACGCTGATATTGGCTCCCAGGGATTTGGATTCGCTAAGCACTGGACGGTTCTGATCGGTCTCCGTATCATTCTGGGCATCCTCGAAGCTGGCCTGTTTCCCGGTATCATCTACCTAATCTCGCTTTACTACACTCGCTGTACGTCCTTTCCCCGTCAGTTGGTAGTATCGATACCTTGCTGATGACTGTTCCAGACGACATGGCTAGACGGTATGCCTGGAACTACCTAATTGGGATTGTTGGGTCATCTTTTAGTGGAATCCTGGCATATGCCTTCATTCAGATGCATGGGCAGGCAGGACTGGAAGCTTGGCAAGTGAGTTCCTCTTCCTGACCATCGCCACCAGAGTCTCCGAGTCTTCTGGCTGTGGTGCAATGGCTTCAATCAGCTTCTAATGTCCTTCACCTAGTGGATTTTCGTGATGGAAGGTATCTTGACCTGCGTTATCGCTGGGGCCGCATTTGTGCTTCTCGTGGGCTATCCAAGCAATCCCAAGGCGTGGAAATTCCTGAAACCTGACGAATTGGCTTACATGATCCGGCTCGTCGAGAAGGATCGTCGAGACACCGAGGCTGACCAGAAGTTCAATCTACGAAAATTCCTCCGCCCTGGACTTGATCTGCGCATCTGGGGCTACGGAATGCTCTACACGTGAGTGTTTTGATCGTTTGGTCAAGGAGTTTGTTATGCATCTCCACTAACCTGGGCAACAGATGTGCGACCGCCCCTGCCTATGCCGTGTCGTATTTCCTCCCATTGATCTTGAATTCGAGAATTGGCTTCAGTGCGGGGGTTTCTCAACTTCTAACCACGCCTCCGTACATCTTCGCGGCCATCCAAATGTACATTCAAGCTTGGCTCAGCGACAAGTACCGCATTCGGAGTGTGGTCATCCTTCTGAATGTTGTGGAGTCTGTTGTCGGCCTGGTTCTGTTGAGCTGGACCGAAGTGCCTGGAGTGCAGCTATTTGCGGTCTTTCTCGTGACCGCCGGTTGCAATTCGTCAATTCCTTGTGTTCTCTCGTGGCAGGCAAATAATATTCGAGGCCACTGGACTCGGACCTTCTGCAGCGCTACGCTGACCGGAATGGGAGCGGTGGGAGGCATTCTCGGCGCCTTGACATTCCGCTCGCAGGACTTTCCGACGTACCGCCCCGGTATCTACACCGCACTCACGTAAGTGGACTCTCTGTAACGGTTTCTGATGGCCACGTGCTGACGGTGGGCTGTTCAGTTGCAACGGGGTTATTGTCCTAGTGACAGTGTCAATGGTTCTATATTTCCGTCGGCACAATCGATTGGCGGATGAGGGAAAGGAAGTCATTGCCGGCCTGGCAGGTTTTCGATACACCTATTGACGAAACGCGCTCAAAATGGATACTGCAAGGGTTCAGCTGACAGAGAATGAATGGCCAGCTTCAAAATTGAATAGTCAACATGGTGTAGAGGCACGTTAACGCCTGGAATAGTATATGGCAGTAAAGTGGTCATGCATCCGTGTCATTGGTGGCCGCGTAACGTCAATAGAAGCCGGCAGAGGTGTAAGCTCAGCTGGTACTATACCTTGGGTATAAACACGCCAGATCCAGACCAGAATTCTGCTTCACGACTCTCCGTCGAGGCATTATACTTAGCACAAATCCAGTCCAGTTTCGGGTGGTAGTTGTACAGCTATTCTCTTTCCACACAAATTGGTTCGATGCCTTTCTACCGCGTCCCGATACCGCTTTATCACCACGTCGCCACCCTCGATGGCATGGTTGAAGTCGTGGTTTCAGCGGCATGAAGAGAGTCAACTTCGCTCACTAATTAGATGCAGAAAGCAAATGGCCGCTTATACTGTACTTGGACACTTTTGTAGGTAATGTGCCTAAGTACGTAAGAGGTTAGACCGGGCATGAACCGCTCTAACCGTCGGAAATAGGTTTATCCGATCCTCACGACTAGCCCGCCCGGCACCGGTGAGCTGCGAGCGGATTCTACCTAGCCTGCCCTCTACTGTACTACGTATTGTTTGTATTGTACATCCGCATGCAGCAGAGCCTCGCAGGTCCAGACTCTTAGACCTCCCCACGAGGTAAGTGTTTCTGGGCTTTCAACAGCAACAAAACAAAGAAGCCCATTATTGGTGTCGGCTGCTCCTGCGTGCCACATACCTCAAGTGCTAGAATGTCCGCCCTGGCTTGATTCCCGCTGTCAATGACGTGCGCCGTGGTGCAGGTACCTCGCAAGATACATCCCTTGATCAACATACAGTAACACGACGCGCAACAAAACGATCAGTCTGCCTCTGCCCGTGTCTCGCTCTTCTCTCCCCCCTGGACAGACCCGGTATACTGACCTCATTTTCTGTTCTCTTCTAACCGCAAATCGCATTATACGTACAAGGAAGGATACTGGTACCTCCTGCAGTGCAAAAACTACCTGACCCATCGAACTATCCTCTTCCCTCCAACCGCCACAACCAACCAACCAACCAACCATGGCTCCAATCCCCGTCCACACCGCATCACCCATCAACAAAAATGTCCCTTCTGACACACTGCCTGACACCTCCCCAAGCGCAGCAGCATTGCGCTATACGCCACCAGCTAACGCCGAAGCCAGGCCGACGACGACGACGACGACGCAACAACAACAACGCGGCAGTTCCTACTACCCTGCGGCGCGACCAGGCGCAGCGGCAGTTCCGCAGTCTACCAATGCTGCCTCCGCAACGTACAACGGCAGACTGCAGCCGACTCTGATGGCGGAGACGACGACGTCGACCACACTGACTCCTACTCCTACACGAACGACGGCAACAAAGGCGCCATCATCAAACGACGACAACAGTCCTCCCTCTCCTCAGCCAGGTGCAGTTCCGTCAGCTGCAGCAGACTACACCCTTACACCGACGACGCTTTCTCTGCCTCAACCGCCGCCGATGCCGATGCCTGTGCCCGGCCCGCAACCACATCCACATGCGCAGCATGCGCCATCACCATCATCGCCTTCTCTTATGACACAATCATCATCCCCCGTTCGACGACACGCTCTCCCCTCGCCCACACCAACCCGTACTTCGTACCCCGTCGTACCTTTTCCATCCGCGTATCCACCTCCCGGGCAACAGGATCTTTCCCATCCACCGGGCTACGTACAAGACTCGCGTGCCTCATTCGACGACAAGCCCGTTGAGGAATGCCAGCCCTACGAAAACCGTGCGAGCCCTTCTTCCTCCTCCTCTTCTGCCGGTCGCCGTGGCATTCTGGATAGTGAACCTGTCTTTGACAGCCGGGCGGAATCTGACTCTCTCCTGAACACCGCCATGTCTTGGGCAAAAGCTGCGGGTAAGAGATTGTCAAAGACGGAGCAGGAGATCTGGCGGCATGTGAACGGGGAGAATTAGATCTTGAGAACCCAATGTAGGCTACCAATGCGAGGAAATAGACTCAATCATCGAAAGGCAGGGCATGCCACATCCTTCCGCGCACTTGCACTGGACCTAGAAACCCACCGTAGAGACCACCGTAGGAGCCACAAGGCAATGATTGCTACGGATACCTTGGTCGAGAACCTAAGATGCACTTTGAAGGATTTTATAGAATAATGAGTTGCAACATCAGGCAGTAAAGTACAATTGGGATTTGAGGAACGACGCAGACGAAAAACAGATCAAGGAAAACCCCGTGTCAATGAACTCCTCCCTTAGAATGGTGGTCATTCATCTCCATGCGTTGTATCTCCCGATTCCTTTTCGCTTGCATTGCATCAGACGTCTATTTGCAACCAAGTATCTTGTGCACCTCCCTCTTCACCATATCCCTAAAGCATCATACAAAACCCCTTTGCCTCCCAACTGAAGGCCCTCCATTACCCGCACCCCTTTTGTGTTGTTTGTTCTGGGCAAAAACAGAACTGGCAAACAAATGCCAGCAGCCGCTTCGCTCATGTTGCCATCGTAATCGAATTACGAGACGTTTAGCCGGAGCCACCCTTGAAGGCCTTGCCGAACATGAGAAGTTGGACCTGGTCGTAGATGGACAAGACACCAGCACCAGCGACACCACGGAGGATGTTGGCACCGGCACCCTTGAAGAAGGATCGGATACCCTCAGCAGCCATGATCTTCTGGGCAGCGTCGAAAGAGCTCTTGTACTTGACGGCCTGGAATGTGGTCAGCAAAAGTGTGAATCGGTGGGCATTCATGAGATACGTACCTCGCCGGAGGTCATCATCATACGACGACGGATAGTGTCAAGAGGGTAAGAAGCGATACCAGCACCAGTGGTGACACCCCAGCCGAGCAAGAAAGAGGCCAAGAAGTTACCCTCAAGAGGACCAACCAGGAGAACAGGCTTGATGGAGTCGTACATGCCGAAGTACAGACCACGGTAGACCACGATACCAAGAACGGAAGGACCGAAACCACGGTAGAGACCAGCAATACCGTCGGAAGCCAAGGTCTTGCGGTAGACATCGACCAAACCGTTGAATTGACGGTCACCACCACCCTTGGAAGCAGACTTGGCGTCGTTGGCAAGACGGGTACTAAATCAAGGTTAGTCTTGGGGAGCAATATCCAAACTGAGTGAATCCAACATACCGAGCATAGTCGAGAGAGTAGACGAAGAGGAGGGAGGTAGCACCGGCGGCACCACCAGAGGCCAAGTTACCGGCCATCCACTTCCAGTATCCATCACGCTCCTTCTTGAAGGCGAACATGGACTTGTAGGTATCGCGGAAAGCGAAGTTCAAGGCCTGAGTGGGGAAGTATCGGATAACGTTGGCAGTGTTACCTCTCCACAGGGACATGACACCTTCGTTCTTTGCGGTACGGCTGAAGCAGTCGATGATACCGTTGTATTTACGGTCGAGACGACCGGCCTTGAGCATTTCATCCTACAAGATATAAGCCTTTGTCCTGAAAATCTTTCGATCCTCGCCGGCAGAGAGAGTATTTTTGTTTTTTTGCATCTTAGATAACAGCTAGGATGCGCCGGAAACATAAGGAGAAGGTAGCCAAGGTGCATACCTGATTCTGGATCAAGAGCTTGACACGCTCAATGGGGGCAGCAGCGGTTTTCTGTCGATTGAATTAGCTTACCTCCTTCGTCGAGATAGACAGAATAGCGAACTTACCGAGACGGCGGCGGAAACACCACCCATCAAGAAATCAACAACGAAGCCGGGCTAGACAGAGAATCGAATGTCAGTGATTATTCTTTTGACGACCTTCAAGAGCGCTGCGGTCGTGATCGAGCTCGAAGAGGCTGCCGAGCACAGGATAAGGAAGCTGGCAGATCATCACTCACCATGCCCATGAAGGACTTCTTGCCCTGGTTAACCTCACCCATCTTGACTGTTCAAGAGATCAGTGATGACTATGATTGAGTGGAGAGAAGAGAAGGATGATGAATCGAGGATGAAATGAAAGATGCGAAAGAGAAGGGTTGATAAAGATCAACTTTTTCTGAGCTCCGGGACCAGCTAAGTCAATTCGGCTTGGCGGCTGGCAGCGCGCCGTGACCTGGGAAAGAGGGACCGACAGCAGGAACGGGGCTCAGGTTTTTCCTTTCCGCCCGGCTTATTTTCGCCCTCAATCAAAAATTGTCTCGCAGGGAAAAGGAGGTCGCGCTGCCATCCATCCACCCACACGCCCCCGTCGCCCATCCCACACCAATGGACCATGCCATTACAGTGCGATATTATCCGCCTCTGCCCAGGGCAACCGTTGCCCCCGGTGTCCTCAGCAGCTGTCCCATCACCATCCCCTTTTTACCCTATCGCAGACGGGGTCATCCATGGCCTTTGCTCGGCTTCTCCGGTCCATGGGCACCCATCAAGTGCGCTTCCTGCCGTCCAATTGCCGCAGCTACTCTATCCTTCCTACACGATCCATGGCGTTTTTTTCTTTCACGATTCGGAGAGCCCGGTCCACCTGGATGCGGCTCTTGCCACTACTGTACGGGGTGTAGACACTAGCAAAAGCATTCATTGGATGATTGAGGGCTTCTAGAATACGACAGCCTCGGGATGCTGGCGATCGTGCAAACATATTTCAACAGCGATGGGGTCGGGTCCTGTGTGGACTGCATTCCGCTGCAGTATTCCTACTATAGGAGCACAAAAAGGACAAAACCGAACGGTGTGCCTCGAGCCAGATCGATACTGCAGAGGTCACTTCTTGATCATCAGTCGTCTATCTAGGTCATCTTCAAGCAGTACAAGGTGCTGCAGCTACTCTGTCTGGCGGGCCATGGTCGAGAGAATTTCACACCTCGACGCAGGTACGAGTTAACGACTCCATAAACGTATTGTCCGCATGTCTTTGACAATTATCCACCTGTCTGGAACCTCATTCAGTGCCATTGACCTCCACTTTGCTCTTCTTGTTGTTCCTCCTTCGTTTCTTTTTTCTCCTGCCTTCGTTGATGTTGTCGACGTTACCGTCAGCGGCTTCAATCTTCTCTTCCACGGCAGACTCTTTCGGAACCAGTTCAGAGGCTTCTAAACCATCTTCTTTTCCGAATGTGTCCAACCGCCATTTCCTCAAGCGTGCTTTCTTTCCCAGATGCTTCGCGTCCTTGCGCTTCTTTTCGGGGTCCCTGAAAGCTGCCAGTTTTTTGAGCCCGGCAAACTCGTTCAATTGCTTGTCATCTGCCAACAAAATATCCCTGGCCGTCAAGCCGAAACTCTTTGGGGACGTCTCGCGATACCTGAAGCCAGCCTTCTTTGGCACTGAGTTATCCAATTCCAGTTGCAGCTGATCTTCCACCAGCTGCTCGATGATTCTTCGTTCTTTTCGTGCCTCTCGTTTTGTGTCATCTTTTGACTTCTTGCTCTTCTTATTCTTGCGGCCACCCTGCTCTTCGTCCGAGAGGCTGAATTCTGCCTTCTCGTCATCTTGAAATTCTGGAACAATATCTTTGATGTCAATGTCATCGTCAAACTTGGGTTTGCGGATTTTTGTCTTCTCCCCAGCCATCTCCTCATCGCTGCCCACTTCCTTCTGCGCATAATATTCATCCCCGAAGCGTTTTTGCATTTCTGCTTCCCATTGAGCATCGTCCCAATCATCATCAACAAGGTGAGACCAGTCATCAGGTTGTAAATCTTTTGTACTCAATCCTGCTGCTCGTTTGATTCTCTTCAACTTCTCCTCCAGCTCCTCAATTTTCAACTTTCTCAGACGAGCCTTCTCTTCTTTGCGCTGTTGTTTCTCCGCCTCCTTTTTGGCCTTCTCTGCCTCTCGCTTCTTCTGTCGTGGATTCGCCTCCTCTCGCCTCACGGAATACTTTGCAGCCGCGTCTCTGGCATGGGATCGTAGCTTTTCATTGGATTTTGCGGGATCCTCGAATCTCATGTTATATGCCTCTTCATACTCCTCGGCTCTCCTCTCCTCTTCCTCGTCGTCAGACTCAAAGGGATGTAATCTCGAATCAGATGCGGCCCAGGCTCTGGAGACCATGAAATTGGATAGGAAGGTTTCAGGGTCCCGTTCGGCGTTCTCGACGTCAAGTGTAACCTGTTCCCGAGAGGACTTCTTCCTTTCTTTCGCTACCAGAAATTCATCTACCTCGCCCCTGCTCTCGTCTTCATCTTCTGAGCCTGAAGCTGCCTCGGCAGCAGCAGCGTTTATTTCTCCGACGACAGACTTTTTGAGTTGTTCTTGCTCTTCAGTGTACGTCAACGGCGCAGGTTCGTCTTCTTCTGCAGGACCGCCATTCAGCAAAATCTGTCGATGATAGTCTTGGAGGTGCATCGGTTCATCCTTCTTCGCTCTTGATTCCGCCGGTGTGGTGTCCTCACCCGCAGTGTAGAACACCGCAGACTGGTCATACACCCGAGGATCTTTGGAACGAATGGCATTGATAGTTGCCATGATCTCCGAATCGAGGGCCGCTGTAGCAAGATCTCCCTCATCTTCGGACTCACTTGTAGATTCGTCAGAGGAGTCGTCGTCGGATGCAGGGTCGTCGGTTCGTTTGCGTTTGCGGGAGGCTTCGCCATGTTTCTCTGATACTGCGTTGGTCAGCATAATGATGTTAGGCCGTAGACATTGTCCTTACATCTCTGCAACTCTTCTCGCTTCTTGTTGTATTCGAAGCGTCGAGCGAAAGACTCGTTGACTTTGAAATCTACAGGATGGACCTCTGCGCCTCCATCCTCGCTATCAGAGGAGCTATCGTTCAGAAGATCTCGAGCCATTGCATGCGAAGCGCGCTAGGGATATGAGTTACTTCGTAATGTGTATGAGAAGCGTGAGCCCGCTATTCTTCGGCCGCCGTGAAAGAAAAAAAGTTGTACAGCCTTGCGCTCCTTGGCAGGGTCTCCATTTTCTCCATAATGTCAAAGCATGCGAGGCTGCGTTGACGTCGACGCTTGTCTGCGGCCCCAACTCGTCGTTCTTAACCACGCTCATACTACAACATCCCAATTCAATGCGCCTTGTTGTCCGCAGCAGTGGCATCAAGGACCTCTATATTTAAGGCCGACTGAAGATGTCGTCAAACACATCTGTAGACTTAACATCCCAATAGCAGACGTACACATATTCACCTGCGCCAGCACCATACAATGTCTCGAGCACTGCAGCCTGCTCAGGATGTTGGCCGTCTTATCAACCTGGTTCCTGTAGGCCTTAAAGAGGCAGCAATCGATTCTCCCACGGCACGAGCGAGCGTTATACATTATGGGGAACAGTTGGATTTGCTGGAACGGTGGCTCGATGACTACATGAAGGCGACAAATCGACTCGTTGCCGAGTCTCTCACCCTCGAAAACGTTGTCAACAGCTTCATCTCCCACTCTGTCCTTCCGACCACGGTTTCCGAGTCAATGCTGGATCATGACTACTGCGTGTTGGCCATGAAGAGATATGGTGATGGGGCCAAAGACTACTGGATGAGCATGGTAGCTGTGGTCAAGCGACTTACCGCAATTGTCGCAGATCCTATAAGGCAATTCCTGGCGAACGACCTAAAGGCATTCAAAGATGCGCGGCGAGCTGTAGAGGCCTCACAAAAGACATTTGAACATCTACAATCAAAGTATGCAGGACTTGGAAAGACCAAAGAGCCGTCATCGATAAGAGAGGACGCTTTTCAACTACACGAGGCTCGGAAACTATACCTGAAAGCCATGATGGACTTTTTCAGCCTAGCGCCACAATTCAGATTCGCTTTGGACAAATTGCTGGTCAAGTTGTTTTTCGAGCAGTGGCGCGAGATGAGAGTATCCAGGGACAACACCGTTGCGACACTCCAGCGGAGCTCAGACGAGATGCAAAGAGTGAAAGGCTGGCTGAACGAGATGGAGACCAGTGAGAAAACATTTCGAAAAGAGTTGCTGGAGGCTAAAAAGCAGCTGGAAGACACGGCAGAATTCACGACTCGACCCTCGAGAGAGCTGGACGATTACAGCCAGTCCACCATCCCACAGTTTGCCAGCCACGGTCAGTCAGCAAACGGTTCCGCCTTACAGCACTCTCCCAAGAAGGCTGTTCAACAATCTGGGGAGAAACAGGGTTGGCTATTCCTTCGAACTTACAGCGGCAAGCCTACGAGGACGCTTTGGATTCGAAGATGGGCATTCATCCGCAATGGCGTCTTTGGTTGGCTGTTACAGAGTACTAGAGCTGGTGGAGTTGAAGAGAGTGAACGCATTGGTGTCTTACTCTGTAACGTTCGTCCAGCTCCAAATGAAGAACGCCGTTTTTGCTTCGAACTCAAGACCAACAAGAACACTATCTTGCTACAGGCCGAGACTCAAACAGAATTGGTAGAATGGATTGCAGCGTTTGAGGCCGCAAAGTCGAAAGCTGTCCAGGATCCTGATGCTGCACAAAATCTGAGTGGCGGCGGAAACATCCAGACGGGGGCGGCGTTTGCAATCTCTGCCCCTCCCATCCCTGAATTTGGGACATATATGTTAGGTTCGACTGAGCCTGGTGCCGGGGGAGACGATATTGCAGCTCTCGAGAAGACGAATACGTTACCGCTTCCAGGAATGGATGGGCGCGAGACAAGTGTAGACTTACCGCGCCGTTCAACTGCAATGGAAGAAAGTGGTCACCGCGAAACTGCATCGCGTATCATCTCGAAGCTAGACCTTCATCGCAAAAGCGCCGCTTCACCGCAGGTATCGGCCAGCCCGTCCACTCCAAACTTAGCTGCTGGTGGAGGCATAGCGAGCTTGATCGCAGCGAGTCACGGTTCAATGCCTGTTGGCCCCGGCATTAGCATGGTACAAAATCCGGAAATAGATTCGAAACCGCGAAACACGTTTACATTGGCGCTCCGAGACATGCCCGCGAGCACATTGGCCCCTTCGACGTTAGCCGCAGTCCCATCACCCACGAACTTCAGTAGATCCGCTGTGATCATCACTGGGGAACGCGGGCTTAGCCCTGCCCCAGAGAAGAGCGGCATTCCGACAAGCTTACTAGCGAATCTGTGGGGGGCGTCAAATACTGCGGTTGTCAATCGACTAGAACGAAGCGAGCCGAGAATAGCTTCCGATGTGAAGATTTCTTCGCAGCAGACACCAGTTCTTCAGCCAAGTTCTTCGCCGCCCAAGCCATCTTCATCGCCACCACGTCTTATCCCTCAGCAAGCCATCGCGCACCTGGACCTGGGTATTCCCCAGTCTACGACTCCCATTGCAGGTAGAAGCCGTACGCCCTCGCCAAGCAAGCGAGGCCATAGAAGTACCATAAGTGTGGACCGAGACACGTTCAGGACGCTGCGGAGGGAGCTTCTTGTCCCAGATTTCCCGAACTATTATCCTCTTCAGCTCAAATCTCAGGACGCGCAGTTTAGACTTCTCTTCCCCAATGTACGACGGGACGAGCGTCTTGTCATGGTGTTCAGAGCCACGTGGAATCCAAGTGAACAACAGGAATTTCCCGGCCGTGTCTATGTCACCTCGAGGGATCTGTACTTCTACAGCAACCACATGGGTCTCGTCTTGACTACCAGTCTGCCTCTTGCTTCCATCGAGGAAGCAACTGCCGCTCCAGGCAGAGACTGTGATTTTATCTTTATGCATCTAAAAGATGCAGGAGCCGATGGTGGTCCCCGGAGAGTGACCATGAAGACTTTCTTAGAGCCATTGAAACTACTCCAACGACGACTAAACTATTTGATCAAGAACAGCGTGTCTGAGGAACCTTCAGAGTTGGAAGAGGTAATCAAAGCGCTTCTCAGACTTGAAACTGACGCGCCAGATCGAAGTCCAAGTCTCGAGAGCTGGGAAGATGTATCACCAAATACGCCAGTAGACACCGGTGGGACGAGTTACCGCGGCCGTGCATCTATAAGTGGAAATGAATTTCGATCGCCCATCCGTGTTGACAGAGCTCTACACCAGACTCAACTCGGGCGAAGAGAGTCCAAATTCAAATTGCCGGCTCAGCCAGTCAAATACGTCCCTACAGGGAACCTGAAGCTTACGGTCGAGAAAGAGTTCGATATAAGTGCGAAAGCATTATTTCATGTCATGTTCGGAGACAAGAGTGCTCTATGGCAATTGTTACAGCACGAACGTCGAGCAAAGAATCTCAGTCAGGGACCTTGGCTGAGCTTGGGTGAAGGCCGCCTTCGCCGAGAATTTGCCTTCGATATTCCAACCACGAACCTCATTGGTCAGGAAACTTGGTCAAACGTCCGAGATTATCAAGTTGTCGATGTCAACAGTGACCATTTGTGCTATGTGGTGACTGACAAGCGAACACCATGGCATTTACCTTTCCGGAGTAAGCACCGCCTCCTCAGCAAAATCGTCATCACCCATGTCGCCAAGGCCAAGTGTAAGCTCGCCGTGTTCACCAAAGTTGAATGGTTGAGCAATCCATGGCTTCTGGGACAAATGATAGAGCGGCAAGCTATGTCTGACTTGCAGCTGGATTCTTTCGATCTTGCAGATCTTGTTGCAGACCAGGTGCGCAAACTTGGACCGCATAGCCGCACGAAGAAAGCCGTCCACATCTTTGGTCAAGTCGGTCATGCCACTGAAACTACACAGTTGCTTGTTAATGACTTGGCTCTGAATATCGAGCTCAGACGACAGGCTGGTCCCAGGTCGATTACGAGCCTGTTAGTGCAATCTGCGTCGTCAGTAGCCCAAAGTGCGGCTGGCACGATCCTGGAGGCGTTCTTCGATGTTTTGAGGTGGTTGGCGAAGACTTTCTCTGCCAACAAGTTCATACTGATCGCTCTGGCCTTCAGCGCTCTATACAACAGCTGGCACACCTACCGCGATACAATGGAATGGTGGCGTGAGAGTCGCGCCACTAATTTCATGGCCCGACTCGGTGTCTCTCCGGACGTTGCCATGAGCCGAGCTGTCTATCTGAGCGATCTGGACGAAATTTCTCGCCGTGATGCGCACTTGCCACCTCGCGAGTCGAACGCCTGCTATAGCGTGTTCCATGACGAACATGACCCAGAGTATGTCCATACGTCTATCAGTGAGCCTGGAACTCTTCAGGTCCAGCAGGCCCGGAAGCGTCTAGGGACTTATAGACATGACCTAGCCGTCGGTATCCGCGTGGTTAACGGGATCGAGAAGGAACTCATGCAAGCCGCGTGGGAGCAGTGGGTGGTGGACGAGAACCAACGGTGCCGCGTTGTCGAGGGCCTAGTGCTTGATAATTCGAGCGCGAATGCAACGGACGTGGACGACGACGTGAGGAGATGGTATGATGAGTATTGCGCGAGTTGTCGAGATGAATATGCAAAGATACGTGTCTGATTTGACCATGGCGGTCGTATTCTTACAGCGTTTATTAAGAGCATTGAAGGTGGCTTGGTTCCAGTCGCCAAAAGCGCACGCAAAAGATACCCTGGTGAGCTTTGATGTTAGTATTTGAGGTCGGAAAGGAATACTGGTTGGCCCGTGGGAGCTTGGAAGCGGTCGGGTCTGGCTGCTATGAGCAAGCCATGCAGGATCTTTGGATGGCTTATTATAATAGAATTGATATTCGTACATTTGCGCACACACTTCCAGCGCCTTCCTTACTCTTTGCTTCTCGCTGCGGCATCACCTAGACCTTGGATGTGTCCTGGATCAGCGATTTCTTTTAAGGTGGGTGACTCAAGTCAGACTGTCGACGTATTCGGCGCATAAATATCTGTAGAATCCAGCGCATGTCTTGATGGCCTTTTTGTCAGAAGACATGTCATCAGCCATCTGTACGTCCCGTCCCTTGGCACCGGCACCGTCTAGCTGCCCTTCGAACTCGGCCTCGGCTGTATCATGATCACCGGTGCTGTCTTTCATGACCATATCGTCACCATCTTTGGTGTCGGCTAAGGGAGATTCTGGATCATCGCCGCCCTTGGCATCTGGTAGAAGTTTCGACTCCGCTACAGGTCGTAAGAGCACTGTATATCCGTCCGTTTGACCAACCGGTTCAGCTTTATGAGCGGTAACGGTAAGGCCCAGCCATTGGGCCGACCGATCGAGACGGGAGAGGTCTTTGGCGCGTGAGTGTTTTCTGGGCACCGTATTTAGCTCCAAAGTTCCAACGTTGTCGTGAAGAAGTGGGCACGGTAAACTGGGCGGGATACCGGGAACACCGGGCAATAATCGGACGCGTACTTACATGATTGCACAGAGGATGTCCAGTGTCCACTGTGCCGGCAACAGGCCCGCCCATGTTACAACCTTGACGGACGCAGAGCGGGTTCCTGAGACCGGGGCGGACCCCTTATCCGACTCCGGCGGATCCGGGACTCGGTAGCCACTGATAAACGAGTCGACGCTATCTGTCGTCTGAACACGTGGAGATGCTAGCGCAAGCATATCGATGAATTCGAAGAGGTCGTGGATCGATTCCTGTATTTCTTCGGGCGGCCTGGGACCTGGAAATGTGGATATCGGGGCGGTGAGCGTCAATGGGAATTGGACGTTTCGCACGGTTTGTATCAGAGGCGATAAGGACTGAACGTTTGGGTGGTGGGCATTGATCGGTCGTTGGTCTTCTTCAGACTCTGATAAGGAGTTCAGTCGTAGGAACTCTGCGAACTCTGCGGAGGTGTAGGATGCGCGCAGGTACACCCTGTCACATACCTTTGTTCGGACTCAGGTCCACGAAAAGCCAACAGAGGCTTCGGTTCAAGACGTTCTTCGCGGCCCATAGGAGTCTGTCGAAGCCCTTTTTCCCCCGAAGCATGGACGGAAGCCGGAGGTTGTTTTCAACCACTACATCACATGTCAGTGACCATCATACCATGTCTTCCGTCGACGTGGTCGAAATTGCATGGATTCGAATTCGAATGCAGTAAATCTGATTGTACGCGGCAAGTCGGAAAAGTTTGGACAGAGACCACACTCACCGTATCTTGACTTCACATGTTTGCGACCTCCGGATCGTATCGGGACTCCCTGGAGACCGGCACGCTTGTAGACTTCCTGGGCCAGTTCCAAGCGTAGGACTCCTGTGTTCCAAGCGTCAGTCAGTAGGCCTCCCTGATTCGCAGCCAGGTCAGACATTGAGTTCGACGTACCTTGTCTAAGGGAGAAGACTTCGTCCACGCCAGGCTCTCCCTCTGAGAGCATGAGAATATTCCCTTTGAGTGGCACGTTACGTTAGCCGGGACGACGGAAAGAAAACTGCCGTGGTCGTAGAGCGGGCGGGCATCAGGCTTTCGGCTTTACCTCTCTTGATGTAACCATTGAAAAAGTCTCCCTGAAGCACGTCCTCGAGTTTCATGATGACTTTCGAATACTTGTGTATTGCGAGAGATGCCTCGATCTCACGCCATATGATATCATATAGCTCCTCTGGTAAGGTGGCCGTCACGGTTTGGACGAATCCCACATTTCGAACAGTCCGCCATGGAGCCTTTTTCGTCGGGGCTTCTGAAGGTGAGATGTATGGTGGGAGACTTCCGGAAGTAACGTGGACCTTGGTAGAAGGTCCCTCTGGCTCAGGGAGGATTCCTGGCATGTTTCTTGCGAAGGCTGTGTATGTCCCCGAACGCGGTTGAGGAACATATGGAAATCGAATCAACGAGGCTGAGCGACATAATCTTCACAGCCTTGTCTTGGCAGAAGATACCGCACCTCCAAGAGATATGCTTCGCCGTATACACATAGAGGGGTATCGGAGCTACCTACAGTACCCACTCAAAGCGCACACAACGATACCATAAACGGGGCTAGACTGATATTGAAGACGGCCCCCGATAAGGAGAGTCAAAACAAGAGGCGCCTTTAGATTCTACACCAGATAGAGCGACAAATACCTCACATACTAGCCGCCGACTCGTATGACGACGCTTTCTGGTGTTGTTTTCATTCGTTGTTCGCTACTTACCCCTAGGCATCTGGCGCCTGCGGGTCTCCTGGGTCTTAGTGGGTGGAGGATACTGAAAGTTGATCTGCGTGCTTCAGTCCACTATCATGGAGCCAAATGTAACCAGAACGTGGGCCTTTAGTCTTTCAGCTTTGTTGCCCTCAGCATCTCGCGACTCGGTGTCTCTTCAGGCCCGGAGCCGAATGAGAGTCTGCGCTCGAGCATATAAGAAGACCTAGCGACGACCGCAAAGAACATGTCTCACCTTGCACGAATCTTGCGACGACAAGGACAACCATGTCTTGCTCCGAAAATCGATTCGATGTCTTGATCGCTGGTGCTGGCCGGCAGGATTGCTTATCGGCTTGGGCCTGCAGCGGATGGGAATCAAAACATGCATTATCGGTCGGTGGTACTCTGTGAATCTTCTGAAACTTGCTTGTCCTAATCACAACATTCGCAGAGCGCCTTGTGAAATCCGAAGTTCCGATGTACGGACGTGCGTGCACACTATATCCTCGGAGTCTGGAATACCTTGATCAATTCGAGCTTCTGGATGACATGATTCAAGAGGGGTTCATTGCCCGCGGAACGGTCAACTTCGATAAGAATGGAGTACGAAACGTCGACAGAGGTTGGCAGGGTATCTTCCATCATTCAAAGGATTCGTACTTCTCCTGGCTGTTAAACTTGCGGCTGAAGTACTCCGAAGACATCATTCGCGAGCATTTTATCAGACAAGGCGGTTCGTACCGCGATGGGCTAGAACTGACGAGTTTTGACCACGATGGAGCGGCCACGAAGGAGTACCACCAAGCTCATATCAGAGACGTGCGCACAAACCAAAGCCAGGTTTACGAAAGGTGCGCAAACTAAGCTGTTCTACCTCTGATAATGATCCAGCCTGCTGACTTACACTGCTTTGCGTAGTCGCTTCCTGATCGGTGCAGACGGTGCCCATTCCACCACACGCCACTTGGCTAAGATAACCACCCAATCTTTTGGCTCCCCGACTCCCATAAAATGGGTCCGGATGGACGGCGTGTTCAAGACGGACATGCCGGACCAGCACCTTGGATTTGGGTCGCTCGAGTCTCCAACACATGGCAATGTCCTGTGGGTCACTCTAGATCATGGCCGGTCACGTATCGGCTTTGCTTTAAGCCCCGAGTTGCAGAAGAAGTACGGGGCTTCCATGACCGAAGAGCAGGTCGTGGTCGAAGCACATGAAGCTATGAAGCCCTTCAAGGTGGAGATTGCTCAAGTTGACTGGCACACAGTCTATGGGTGAGGGCCGGCCCCTGTCCCTTGTCTTAGATGGTGACGCACACTGACCGCAGCACGCCCACAGGATACGACAGGGACTGACAGATCAGTACATCAAGAACCGCGTCGTCTTGGCTGGAGATGCGTGCCATGTCCACTCCTCTGGCCTGGCACAGGGTATGAACACTGGCATTCACGATTCGTTCAATCTATGCTGGAAGCTGGCTGGCTATCTCAAGGGCTATCTCAATGCGGAAGTGTTGCAGACGTATGAAACCGAAAGGCGCGCCGCAGCCAATACTCTCATCAACATCGACCGTGTTGTATCGGAATTGATAACGGGTACGGTTCCGCCAGAGCTCGCGGGCAATGGCGGCGGCGCAGACCCCAACGCTCTACTGACACGCCACTTCGAAGAGTCGATCGACTTCACCGTCGGCCTCGGGGTTCACTACGCTGTCAACATTCTCAACAGGAGCTCCACTGCTAGCATCGTTCAAGCAGGCCACCGACTTCCCGATGTGTTGTTTCACAAGCCCGGACACAGTATTCCAACACGCCTGTACGAACTGCTTCGGTCCCGAGGCGAGTTTTCGGTCTTGGTTTTTACTGGTAGGCCTTGGCTCACGAAGGACACTCTTGACACGGTGCACGAGGCTTTTGGATCTGCAGGATCGAAATTGACCAAGTCTACCTCAATCCCGCTGAAGCAGATCACAATTATGGCGGATAGCAGCGCATCGGTCTTTGACTCTCTAGGCAGACCGGCGTATGGACAGGTGTATTACGATCAAAGTGAAATTGCTTACGGTCGGTATGGGATTTCTGTCGAAGAAGGAGCAATCATCATTGGTAGACCCGACAGCCTTGTCGGCGTCGCATGTCGACTTTCGGAGGCAGAGAGCGTTCTGCACTATTTCAAAGAGTTGGAGCCCTAAAGCACGTTTGTGTTCGTAAGGTGGGAGAATAATACAGCTTGCGCAGGCAAACTCAAACACTCTTTGAAGGCCTATCTGGGTTGGATTATGCTGGAGAGAGATGTGAACGACAATCTTGGATATATCACTGCCGTTACATTGAGAAGTCTGACATCTGTTCGCTACGAGCGTGATCTCAGCAATCCATCATTTCGATAAGTGCTATTGAAACATCCCCCTGGTCAAGGTTCGAGAAAGCAAAAAAGTAGCCGCTGAACCCATCTCATCTCACGTACTGGAAAACAGTGGCAGAATTTGACGGATCTTTGTGGCCCGGCCTCAATATTATGGCTGGATTGCTTGCTATGAGTGATGTGCCACTATTTCGACCCCGTCAATGCTAATAAGAGAAACGTGATTGGTATCCCTCTTGCTCCATGAGGAGCGTCGTTTGAGAGCGTCCTAACTCCACGAGCCGTCCGCTTGTCGAGGGATACAAGCGGAGTGATAACCCTCCCACCACTTGCGTGAGCAGAAGGACGAGTGTTCAGCATCACCCGGTGAGTAACACCTTTCCTCCATGATGTAGGCCCGATTACAGGTGTCTCACTACGTACACGCCAATGCCTCCGATTGTTGCGGCTCACGATGTTGCCGCCTCTCATACTTGCCCACGACGAATGAGCCCAGCTTCCCAGCCTTCCTATCTCCACAACGCAATGTGTCCGACGATGTCGATCAATTTTCTCCAGAATGGGGTCGGCATGCATAATTTCGCCGGTCAATTCGCCGTCCTTCAAGGCCAAGGTATATCCTGTGGAGATAACATTGTGAACGGCGTGCACTTCAGATATAATCGTGCCTACAGCTCAAAAGAAAGATTCAATCCCGGGCGCAAGGAAGCGTATAATATAGAGCGCAAGGCCAGCCAAATACACAACGATCTTCACCACTCGGCAGACGAGGGATGACCCAACAGTGCCCTGTCGGATTCGAAACCGACCATGACTCTCTTCTTCAGGCAAGAAAATGGTGGAAAGAATCAATCATCTACCAGATCTATCCTCGCAGCTACCAGGACTCGAATGGCGATGGAATAGGAGACTTGAATGGGATCACGGCCAAACTGGATTATATCAAGGGCCTGGGTGCTAACTTGATCTGGATCTGTCCGATGTACAAGTCTCCCAAGTCGGACTACGGCTATGATATTTCGGACTATTACACAGTCTCCGAGGAGTATGGAACGAATGAAGACCTTTCTACGCTAGTCGCGACAGCCAAGAACAAGGACATCGGAATCCTTCTGGATCTTGTCATTAATCACACGTCCGACGAGCACGAGTGGTTCCAAAAGGCGCTTCAAGACCCCAGCAGTAAGTACAGAGACTACTACTTCTTCAAGCAAGGGATTAATGGCCAGCCACCAAATAATTGGCGCTCGTACTTTGGTGGATCGGCGTGGGAACCAGTTCCAAGTGAGCAAAACATGTTCTACCTGCATGCATTCGGAACAAGAATGCCCGACCTCAATTGGGAGAATGCGGAACTGAGAGAGGCCCTCTACACTATGATCAACTGGTGGCTTGAAAAAGGCATTGCCGGTTTCAGAATAGATGCCATTATGAACATCAAAAAAACCATGATCGAAGGAACCGTCGAGCCTGACGGGAACGACGGTCTGGTGGCAATCCACAAATACATCATCAACCAGCCTGGCATCAAGGATTTGCTTCAGGGACTGAAAGACAACACGTTCACGAAGCACAACATTATGACCCTCGCCGAAGCGGCGGTGCCAGATGATCAGCTTGAGGACTTTATCGGGCCCAATGGGCTCTTCAACATGTCCTTCGATTTCAGGGCAGCGGATATCGACATCCCCGAGTCTGGCGAATGGTATCGTCCAACCGACTGGACAATCAATCAGCTACGGGACACTCTCCTCAACGTGCAGACCAGCGTTCAACGGAAGGGCTGGGGTGCCACGTACTTTGAGAACCACGACCAGAACCGCTCTATCAACAAGTACTTCCGTCAGCATAAGGAAGACATCTCAGATGTCACCAAGAAACTTCTAGCTACCATTCTCCTTGGGTTCAGGGGGACGCCAGTGGTCTATGAAGGCGAAGAGATTGGAATGGAGAACATCCAGCTCACGTCGATTGATCAGTACGAAGACGTGAATACACATGGTCAATACAAGGCCGCAATCGCGGCAGGGGTGGACGCCGAGCAGGCTCTTCGCCTGGTCTCCTACCGCAGCCGGGACAACTCGCGCACTCCTATGCAATGGGACAGCTCGGACAACGGAGGCTTCACAACGGGCAAGCCATGGTTCCCTGTCAATTCAAACTACAAGACGGTCAACGTCGCCCAGGCGATCAAGAACAAGGACTCGGTATACCATCACTATCGCCGTCTCATCGAATTGAGGACCGGTCACCACTACAAGGACGTGCTCGTGTACGGGAAAACAGTTCCCAAGTACACCGATATCGATAATGTCATGGCTTACGAACGTGTTCTTGGAAATCAGAGCGTCCTGTTCTTCGCCAATTTCCAAAACAAGGCTTTAGAGCTCGACAATGGCGCATTCCGCGGTAAAGTCTTGAGCAATAACTATGCAGATATCTCTGTGGAGGAGGACAGGATTAACCTTTCGCCCTACCAAGCCCTCGTGGTCGACACAAGTCAGTAGATTCAAAGTTTTGTCTGGTGAGGGCCGAAGGATAATGTGAAGCATCGTGATTCAATCATGCCTCGGCATATTAATTCCCTTCCCTTCCCTTCCCTTCCCTTCCCTTCCCATCATGCCCTGGTGACTTTCCGCGACCTCATTAAAGTAAGTAGCGGTCCGTAAGCCTCAGCCGTCAGCGTGACCAATGCTGCACCTTCGTGGGACTGCATTGCGCCCAGGTGAGCGGACACCAAGACCAGATGATCTAACTGAGTTTCTTTACAGAGTGTCCACAGAGGAGCCCCATATAAAAACCCCCGAATCGGGCCGATAGGAAACGGCTGTGCTCAGACCCCAAGACAAGTGACAAGTATCAGCCTGAATGTGCATAAAGAGAACCGGATAAAATGCCGTCTGCACCGAGGTACTTGTATATTTCATCTTCATTCGACCGGGTTGATCTCAACGAGGCGAGATCACGGGCATGGCGTCGTGACCACCTGAAAGAACGATTTTTTGCATATGCTCATTCCGAGCCAACCAATCGTCGATATTCTTCGTCTTCTTTGGCGCTGCCAGAATCGAGCACCTCTCTCACCCGCTATTGGAGAAATCGGGTCCCCATTATTTATCTACCAAATACAATGGCCCTGACGACCATGTCTTCCAATGCCCAAACATTGCACGACAATGCGATGCACACGTCTCTCGAAACACACCTTTTGCCCGTCATCCGGCCAAACCTCCATATCACCGCACCGTACTGGATGAACGACCCCTGCGCACCGGGATATGATCCTCATACAGGGCTTTACCATCTCTTCTACCAGTGTCTGTATTCTCCTCCCATGCTTTCCTGGACCTGACGATGGTCACGTTTCCTGAGAGGTCACGACTGACGGAGAGAACCTTTACCTTTAGGCAACCCATATGGCTGTGACTGGGGGAACATGGCGTGGGGTCATGTAGTGTCGCGGGACATGGTACGATGGAGGATGGCATCTGTTCAGCCGTCACTACAACCCAGCGAAGCATATGACAAGGACGGAATCTTCACCGGCTGCTTTGCGCCACCCGACACGGCAAACAAGCAGTTGACAGTGTTTTATTCGTCAATACGGAAACTCCCTTTCCACTGGACTTCGTATCCCAGCAGCAGGCCCGCAGGCTTGTCCATGGCAGTTTCGAGGGACGGAGGGACAACGTGGACCAAGTCGTCCCGCAACCCTCTCGTGAATGGAGAACCCGACGGCACCACGGTAACGGGCTTTCGCGATCCTTACATCGCGGACTGGCCTGTCCTGGACCAAGTGCGAGGCGAGTCGGCCTTGTACGCGATCATATCTGGCGGTATCCAAGGCCGCGGCCCGCAGATCTTCATGTACGCCGTGCAGCCGGACAACCTCGCGGAATGGGACTACCTTGGCACCCTCGTTGACGTGCCTGCCAGCTTCCAGCCATCGACCAGATGGTCCGGCAACTACGGCGTCAACTGGGAATGCACCAACTTTATGACGCTGTCGAACGATTCCGCGTCGCGATATTTCCTGGTCATCAGCGCCGAGATCGACACGGAATGCGAGAACCACAAATCCCACATAGCGCCCAAGGACAGGGCACAGCTGTGGATGTGCGGCAGCATCTCCATCGACGACCACCAATCTATTCGTTTTCAGTACCAGTACGGCGGATTCCTCGACCACGGCGACTACTACGCGGCAAACTCGTTCGTCGACCCGCTTTCCGGTCGGCGGATCGTGTACGGATGGATCCCCGAGTGCCAGTGTCCGCAAGGCTACGCGACCGAAAAGGGCTGGAACGGCAGCCAAGCGATCCCCCGCGAGGTCTTCCTGCATACGGTTCCCAACGTCACCCGCTCTCTACGCAGCCCACTGTCCGAGATTTCGTGTGTGGAGGCTGTCCCTGCCGTCGACTGCCCCGGCCTCGGCGTCTTCGATCTGTACACACTCGGCGTCCGACCGATATCCGAGTTCTCAAGGCTCCGCGACAACTGTCTCGTACATTCGTGTTTCGGGCCAATATCTCTTCTTCTACCGCAGTCATCATCGTCCTCCTCTTACTCTTCATCATCAGCATCATTATCTTCTTCGTTGTTGTTGTTGTCGTCATCGTCGCCACCACCGTCGCCACCAAAACAACACGAAGGACAAGTCCTACTGACCCCCGTCACGACGTCGACCTGGGAACTCGAGAGTGTGATATCCATCGTCGACGACGATGCGCAGCCCTGCGTCGCGAGGGTCGGCTTCCACATCCAGCATTCAGCAGATTACTCGGTGTCGACCACCGTCGCGTTCGACTTGGAGAGGGAACTGATTTCGGTGGTGCAGAATAATCCAACGGTAGAAAATGGGGCCGCCTGCGTTAAGAAAGGTTCATTTACGCTTTTTGCATCATCATCGTCGTCGTCGTCGTCGTCGTCGAGCGACCACGAATCCGAACCACTACTATCATCAGCATCAGGAACCAGCGTCTCTAGCACGAGCAGAACCAACGAAACATTCGAGAACCTCCACCTCCGGATCATCTGCGACGGCGACGTCCTGGAGATCTTCGCCAACGACCGCTTCGCTCTAGCGACCATGGTGTACCACGCCGGCACGAACACGGTCGAGAAGGGCTGCAACGGGATCACTGCCTTTGCCGAGGCGGCGACAGCCGGCAATGCCGCGAACGCGGCAATAGCAGTGTTTGAGCAGGTCAATGTCTGGGACGGATTGAACGGGCAGCAAAGCTTGATCAGCAAGTGATGAAATGAGATTTTGACGACGACGACGATGGTGGTGGTGTTGTTGATGAATCAGAGCGATGACCAGTGATCAACTACTGGTTATCTATTGTAGAACAACTATAAGAAATCCGCCAAAGATAGACAAACATCGACTGATACGAACGGCCAAAGCGGATTTTCAAGTAAAGGTGTCTAGACGTAAGGCTGGCTAGATTGCGCCGAGAATGTTGAGGGTCGTCGTTGACCAAAAACCACTCAATATCGCGGAGTGAGCCAACAGCCAGACGATGACAAAGTTCCTGCTCTTCTTTTCCGTCTGCTTCATCAATCGTGGCCCGAAAGGCTCAGAGACCACACTCCATGGACTGCACTAGGGTCTAACTAGATGCGGTTCATCCACGTACAAACGTGAGATCACCACGGCGTCAAGTACACTACCGGTGGAGTTCCTCGTGGCCGGCTTCAACATTCTCGGTATCTGCAACTACAAGGTGTCCCGACCGGTAGGGGTCGATATGAACTCTGCGGAAGTTGCGGGCACTGACCTTGTTCTCGAAGAGAATGTCAAGGTCCGCGTATGTGAGTCCCTTGGGCTCGGGGAGCCGGAAGTAAGTCTGAAAAGAGGCGACGTGAGATTTGTGTGCATACAGACAGAAAATCGCTCGGGAGAAATGATGCCTCTTACCCAAATCAACCCCAAGAAACAGGTGCTGGCCAAGAAAAAAGCAGTTTTGCCTTGCCAATTCCACGACGTCGGATTCATGAAGTGAGGCTGGAGGGTTCCGACGGCGATGCCGAGAACTTATGTGAAATCAGACTTAGCAAGCGCCCCCAAAAATGTTTCCTTGCCGCGGGCTTTTTTGCAAAAAGGACTTACTGTTGTAGACGTTCCTGGCCAGGACAACTGTCTTGATCCGTAGACGTGTCGAAGGCAACTCCGCCACAAGTGAATAACACACAGGTCCCACGGTAATGTCGTATACGAATGTGAGAACCAACAAGAGTGCTCCAGTAGCCCATCCGGTCGAACTGCTTATGCCGGGTACACCCAGGCCTCCGATAGTGAGGAGGATAATGAGCATGCCGATCTGTCCGACGAGGTAAAGGGTACGCCTGCCGATATGCGGCATGAGAAACTAAAATGGGTCAGAGACAGGTGACGAGAGAGGAAGCTCAATCTTTTATGGAATGGTACAACTTACCCCCGAGACTATGGTTCCCACGAAACCCATGGCGTTCTGGCCGATACTCAAATTATATGCAGACTGCGAACTGAGACCGACTTGGAGTAAGAAGTAAGTTCCCCATCCCATCATACCAGAACCGCATGTTTGCTGAAGGGCCCACGTCATGACAGTGAGCTCTGTGCGACGGAGGTTAACGCCCTTGAAGCAATCAAGGAATGAGGTTCCAGCTGTTTGGTGCAACTCGAGTTCGTTGGTGTGAATCATCATGGCCAGAGAATCCTCGACATTGAAATCCGGGTTTTCGTTGGACGTTAGCCGCAGGAGAGTAGCTCGTGCTTGGTCGAGTTTGCCGTGGCGAATAAGCCACCAAGGTCTATCTCATGTTAGCTACCTGTGAGCGATTTTGATTTCGGCATGAAACTCACGACTCTGGAGCAAACCAACAAACCACGAATATGGGGAGCGGCCACATCCACTGGATCCCAAAAGGTATGCGATATGCCCATTGGGTCGTGTTGTCCAAAAAGCCTCGGAGCACTCCGGACCCGATGAGGGATCCAATGACCCAGCATAAATTGACATACGTCGTCAGGTATGGACGCAATACCACAGGGGTGACATCGGCCGCATATGTCGTGGTCAAGGTCTGGAACGCGCCCCTGTTCAGACATTAGCTACAGTAGCCACCCTCCCTGGCTAGGTTTTGACTTACCATGGCAACCCGCAAAGAAGGACACCTGCGAGTAGCATGTGCACATTCACGGCAAAGAAAGTGATGAATATGGTACCTGAAACGAATACCAGACACCCAAGCATCATTTTACGGTAGCCAATGCGCTCTGAAACAAAGCCGTTTATGAAAAGGCCAATAATCTGACCACATTGCTGCCCATTGGTGAGTCCTGATTGCCACGCAGCCGAGACCTGGTACGTTTCAACGCCATTGACCATAGCGAGAGATCCGTACTTTTTGGCAAATGCAGGTATCCCGTAAAAGTTGGCCAAAAGAGCAGTGTCATAACCCTCCATGACCACAGCCAGTGATAATGCGAATGAGAAGAATACAGCCATCGGGTAGAGCCTCAATCCTTCCATGAAGGCCATCTTCCTTTCAGTTTCGGCGGCATGTTTCGCACCAGAGGTCACTTCTTTTAGGTTGGGTGTTGTTGCTGACATTCCGCGTAGTGTCCCATCCTTTTGTTGCAACCCATCAGTTTTCGGAGATGCCTCAGCAATGTGGTTTATAGGAGAATGACGGCTGAGCGAGACGGAATCGCTATCGCGCTTCATCGTTGCATTTTGTGACTGGCTGTAGCAAGTCTGGCTAGGCGAGCCTATCTCTTCGTCGTGAGCGTAATACATGTTTCCTGTTCTGAGAAGACACCAAGCGTACAAGGAGGATGAAGCTGCCGAATTTCGCGCGAGTGTCTGTTAATTGCACCTGCCCATCGCTTTCAGAAAGCCATGTTGTTCGAACAATAAATGTGTTGCACGGTGAGGCACGAGTGAGCATCTCCGAGATGCGGGATCTTCCGCATAAAGAATATTATACGTGGAAGTTTCGGCTACGCCATTCCGTTTTGGTTGGAGGCTCGTTCTGGTAATTGGATGAACTTATATTCGGACCGATTGGTGTTCTCCATCAGGGACGTCTGGGAACTAGTACAATGGTCACGACATGCCATTGACCAGCACGGATGGCCGCCAGCGCCAAGCGTGATCGGCCTCTGCTCGCTGCCGTGCGTACAAAAGACTCTGGGGATCCCATTCTGGAGAGATCTCGCTGGGAGCCATTGCCGCAGCCCCGCCACGCATGACGATCTTGTCACATGATAGCCCAGTACGGGCCGCTTTTGCTCCATGGTCCGGTTCATCCGATGGCAAGAGAGCTTGGCGAGGCTAACAAAGGTACGACACCGCCGATCAGGTTAGGCGGCGTCCAACTTGCGGCGTGAGATTCGGCCCTTCACATAGCTTCAATCTAAGTCGACTCGCCTCTTGATCCGGCTTGTACGGCATCAGGGATTGAGCCCAGCGGTCCTAGAGCTGCAAGAGATTAGGGAATTTGAGGTGCGGAGATTCCATCTGGATGCTGGATGTCCAGTTATTATCCCCCACGTCAATTCGCAAACAGTCATCTCTGAGCAGCTCCTGCCATGGACGGCCGACTGCGGGGAGGAAGAGGTTGTGTTTGTGCACCGAGGCCAGCGGGACCAGAATACATTGGTGGAGTCACAACACTTTGTGGTGTGAGATTCACCTCGCTAGCCGAAGTGCTGGGGCTGTAAGAGCCATATGGCCGGTGTGTTTGAGGAAGAAGAGAGGCTCTCACAGTGCCGATTTCTGTAGAAGATGTGTATTGCACGGTGTTTGATATTTTGTCGGCCGCACCAGCGTAACCTTGTGTGATGCTCATGCGCAGGGCCTCGGCAGGTGGCGTAATTGTAGGTATGGTTTCGGAAACCTTTGCTAGAAGTAAGGGTAGATAACGAGATGAGCCACCGCGAAGTTGCGAAATCAGCTTCAGATATCGGTCGAGCAATTCGGTGCTGGACCTTGAACCATCAGCCGAAGGACCCAAAGGAACGCAGGAAATAACATCCGTTAAAGTACAAGCGACATCGAAGAGTTTCTCAATGAGTCCAATGCCATGTACCTCCATGGATTGCTTGGACAAGGCCTCAATGTCGCGGATCATGTCGCTAGCCACATCGATCGGGTATTTAAATGTCATGGACACATTGTTGGAAGTGGAGGATAAGGCTCCGCTTGCGATGGAGAGCTGCCATACCATAACCCTCAACCAATGAAAAGTGATACGCACATCTGCTGCTTGACCTTCCGTCGTTTTCAGTTCTGGTGGTAGGGCGTCCGTGAGTTGTTGCTGCAGTTCTGACAGCCATGCAGCTGAGGCCCGCTTTTTAGATTTATTCCATAGAGCCATAAACTCGTCATCAATGCACCGAAATAGACTGATCAAGTAAAGAAACCCGTTCATGACCTCTGTTTCTCCGATGTCTTGAGGGGCCGGAAGTTCGATGGTTGGCTGGAGTGTCAATGGCCGATGACGTTCGAGGCAGTATGCCCTTTCAGTAACAAACAGTAGCCAGTACATCCTTCTTTTGTACATGTTCTCGACATCGTCGCCATTCGCGTAGGACGACTCGTCATGCATCCCCATGATTTGAGCCAGGGTTGCTGCTTCACGAAGATGGTACCAGCATACATTCTGCTTTTCGAGTGTGAAATAGCAGCTGAACAAGAAAAACGAGATGTGGATCGAATTCACCGTGGGTGCCCCGACGTAATCAATGTTTTTCCGGATCCGAGAAATCTCGTCGAGGATCATGTTGGCATATCCGTACCGATGCTCTGGAGGCTCACCCTTGTAGTGGCTCCCAGGCCCAACCGCAAGGCTCATGCCAGGTTGGACCATGACAAAAGCGCATAGTGAGGCCGCCAAGCAATAAACCTCCGCGTCGCTTGCAATACGACAGGTTATCATCTCACGAAGTGAGTGTTCGTTCAAAATCCATGCGGTGGTAGGCATGTTACCGAAGTAGAACTCAACACAAGTGTCGATCGTCTGCTTAGAGAGCAACGCAGTGCTATGCGAGTAAGGAGGCGGTGGCATGCTGTTGAACTTGAACGAACACGGTTGTTCGGCATCGTTGACCGCGATATCAGAGGGACTTGCTTGTTGCTGCGTCGCACGGATCTCAGAGATGACTTTGGCGCGAAGACCTTTGGGGCCTTTCTTCTGTGGCATTGCGAGATAGGTACACTGCAAGTTCATCTGACCACAGTTTGTACATGGTTGGCCCCTGGAGCATTTTACTTTGCGGCGGTGGCAGGCGTCGCATGCCTTCTTTGCGGACAGTGTGGTGGACATCGTGGGTTGTGAGGCTACGCGGAGTTTTTCATGGGTTCTCCTCGAAGGCTCTGGTTTTGGACGGACACGGTCGAAAGAGAAGAACTCATCCCTGCCCCTCCGCCGGATACAAAAGCCCGCTAGCAGGAACGTTCTTGTCGCATCCACGAATGATTCAGACTCGAGCTGATGCTGTCAGAGGCGGAGGTGGTGGCGGAGGTGGTGGCAAGCAAGAGTCAGGTTGTTTCTCCAAAGTAACTTGGCGTCAAGACATTTCACCGAGATGGGGGTGATTGAGGGTTAGGGCAGCGTCAATTCGAGCCCGAGAGGGGTTAAACCCGACAACGGCGGCGAGTTGTGCCTGTAAGCGCAGCATCAAGGCATCGGCATGGACTGCAGCGACCTTTCTCTAATAAACCTCAGCAAGAATTACCCAAGCCCATACTCCGGAGTCAAGGCCAAATGTTGAATCACAAGTGGGCGGCTAAGTCGTCCGCGTCGCATGACTCCGGTTGAATAAAGTTCGGCAATCTGGCGTAGAAAGGGACGACGCCAGCCTGCAATAGTCCGCACTAAGCTCCGCACTCCACGCTTCAACCCCCATGCAGAATACGACAAGTTACTCCGGCATTATTGACGCCATCTCGAGCTCCGCTTACCCCGTATCGTTCACTGGGTTATCTATGAATTTAGGCAAAGGTTGGCCTGTCAGCGGATCCCGCAGCTGGAAGGAGATTCTTCGTGTCGTATGCTCTACCTCCAGCTCTTCTAGAAATACAAACACGGCGTCAGACAAGCAGGGGTGGGCATATGGGTATCCCGTGTTCCTTCACAAATATAGCGCGAAAGGGGCACAGAAGCGCCCTCGCATATGGGGATTTGGGAGCCCCCTGTGTAGATCGGACTGAAGACGCCTTCCTAAAGATTAGCAAAGTGAAGATATACTTTCCCAAGATCATTGTTACTAGAAAGGGTCTGACGGCCGGTCAGTGAGTGACGTTGTCTGACTTTCTGAATTCTAAACCGCTTGATTGATTAGTATTACAACGCCGGAAGGGTCAAAGGGAACGAAGAGAATTGTAGATTTGTGTTCCAGCGAGCAGGATGGAAGACTCGAATCAATATAGCTTTTCATTGGCTGCCATAAGCTTTCAGCTTGATGCGAGAGATTGAAGGTATAAAGGGCCTTCACCAGCATTGTTTGTCTCGGATCCAACGTCACTCAAGATTCCCAACAGGACCAACATGGGTCCTCCACAAAAACCATTGCAATCAAAGGCTGTTGCACATGGCTCGAGGTCATGCTTTAGCTCTTATATTTTAGAAGTATCGCTAATGCTGCGGCATTGTTGCTAGACGCTAGAATTTCCTCGCCTTGGATGCATACCCTCATTTGTTAAAGTTCGTGGGCCAGGACTTGACAAGAAACTGTCGCGGGACGAGTCTCGTGCGATGCGCTTGTGATAGAGTTGTGACCATCATCGTACGTAGGTTCGGAACAGGTGGTGTCCCGTCACAACCTTAAGCGGATTTTCAGGGCCTCCTCAGAAGTAAGACGCTTGTGATACAAAAGGGAGACAAGGTTTGTCAGATCCTACAAGGCCAAATCGCAGTATCAAAGCCATGAGTTTGCCCATTGGGTTCCGATACTCACTTTCAGTAAGTATGCTCCGCTTGGTAGTGGGCCAAGCCAATCCGTATAGATCCCCAACCGAGGGGCTCCTGGACTCTGGATGGGATGCTTTCGGACGGCGATGGATCGTGTCTCAAGCTTCCTCGAGTGATGTCACTTGTGATGTGAACAAGACGTGTCCAATATTCTTGTTGAGTCAGATGGAGGGCCCTCCAGCTGCACCAATGATCTTCAGACTGGACTTTCCCTGCCTCGTTTCTTCAATCTGGGTGTATGCCAGCCAATAACGATTCGGATGCCATTCGACGGCCGGGATACCGCTGGTCCCTGTAGCTATAGTATGCACAACATCTCCGGTCTCGGCATGGTATATTTCAAAGCCAGAGCTCATGCCTTCGCCGCCTCCTGAGCCCATCTCCTCACTCGCGCCAACCACGTATCGGCCATCCCAGGACCAGCTGAGACCTTTGATTGCTCCGGAACTCGAGTTTGAGACGGTCCGCCGGCACACCCAATCAGTAGTATCCCATAGAGATATCATGGCATCAGAGCCTCCGACGGCGACATATTTTCCATTCGGGCAATACGATATAGCGGTGCACGACGAGGTATGCGCGGATATGGTGTGCAAGGGTTGGAAGGATGGGAAATCAAGTATCTGGACCGAGCCATCGCCGCGAGTGATTAGAAGGTCTGTTGGTGGGTAGGCATTCGAGAACGTAGTCTGGTTTGTCTGCTGGGATTGTTTATGCCTCGACAGGACGACGGGGGACGAGGGAATGGCTGTTGAAATGGGAATGAGGACATCGCCCTATTGCAGGTCTCAGCATTGTCTGCAAGTCGCGGCTCAGGTGTATATGCATACTTTTGTCCCAGCGACCAATGTGCTGCCGTCAGCGCTCCAACTGAGTGTGAACGGCTCACCACCAACGTCGAGTTTCGTGACACATGTTTTGCTCCTTGTATCCCAGAATCGTACGGTTCCGTCGGAGGAACAGCTCGCCAATTCGAACTCCCGTACCGGATTAAACAGAACCTTCTCTACTGCATGACCATGCCCACGAAGCTCGGTTTGACTTCGCGGACTGGTCCTTTCTGGGTTCCATACTCGAACCGTCTTATCATTGGCACCAGTCGCAATGAGACCCCCAGAAGCGTTCCAGGATATTGTTCGGTGGCTGTGGGAGGCAAGACAAGGGATCAGCCAAAGATTCGACAAGGCCGAAAGGCAACCCAAGTACTCGAGGAGGCATCGTTATGAGGCAACTACGTACATTGTCGGGGTGACAGTACGAGCAGCAGGGTCGATGTACTGCTGCGTCTTGAGGAGGCTGAATTGGGCGCTGAATTTGTCGCGGCCCAGGTGTTTCCGTTGCGCAATGGGTACCATCCCTGCGAGAGGTTCGCTTTGAAGTGAAGAGGTTATACTCGACGTGTCGCATTTCGCGGAGGCGACCTTCGACTTGCCAAGAGGAGGTAAATTCAGGCCGAGCTTACCCCCGTTCGGGACGAGGGTCATGCCGCCCTGTGCTCACCCCGGTCGCGACCCTTCACCCGGGTTTACCCCGACATAGGTGGACGTCCCAGCCATACGAATCAACCAACCATTTATTTACCCCTGGGAGCATTCTGCCAACATCATTTCCTCCATCGCTGTTCTATTTACTTCACAGTGCTGTAATGGCTTCAACAACGAAGAACACTCCTAAACGGGTTATGATTCGAGCTCACGAGCATTGGCATGATAAATTCCAGCAAATTGCGTAGGACTGGTTCGACTTCGCAGGCTACTCTCAAACTAGGCACAAATACGACTGGACGACGGATTATGTAAACCTTGGAGGACTAAACGACGGACGATTCCATCTTATCATTGACATAGAAAAGAACACTTCTTGTGCTTCGATGGAGCTAGACACAGTTCCTCTCGAAATGTACCGTCTGCGAAACCGATCGGGAAAGACTCGTGAGTGCTGAGAGCCTAGCCTGAAGCTGGCCATGTACCTAACAAGGGAACGAGAGAATTTGAGTACATTGGTCCAGCGGTGATGGGACGGGAAGGCTCGAGCGCTATTTTTGGTAGGGAGGCTGAGGAAGATGGACAGGACGTTGTAGGCTACGGGGCTGCTTTTCTTTCCGTAAGCCAACGTGTAGTTGAACTACTCGCACCCGAGCCCCGATCGGGGAACAGAGTGAAGCTCCCTTTACGGATGCAGTAGTATCATGTTATCACACCAGACCGTATTAATACTACTCATAGTAGCAGCGTCATTCCGAACAGAAATCTACATGTCAATGCCGCTATATACAACCACCTACACATAAAACAAGACATTTCCTTCAAACAGTTTTCGAGCTGTTCTCGACACAATACACTTCTCAACCTGCCGGTCTCCACAGGTGTGAACGCCGACAGATATCTCTCCGCTTCGATGGCTGATCCGGACAGTTTTGCTGGGCTCGGTGTCACTGTCGGAGTTGTCGGAGCTGTCGTAGCCACTCAACACTTCAGGGAATTCCCTTCTCCGATATCTGTACGCAACTGTACCCTTAAGACACGCCGCCGATGCCAGACATACGGCGCCGGTGAGTTGCAGGCTGGGGTGTATTTGGCCCATACTCATGGCGAGCACGTTGATGTCCGGGCTTGTGCTGAGCGGGTTGCCGTCGTTCGGCGGTGACACGAACATGATCTTGGGTGTTCCTCGAGTCAGAGCCGCTTGCTCCACACTTGGGGCCAAACGCATCATCACTGCCGCCTTCTGTCGGATGTCCTCAACCATGGTCAGCCACTCGGGTGATCCTTGCACATATCGTGAGGGGACGGTCAAAGCATCGACGATGGCGAACGGGTTGGCGACGTCGATGAGTGTGGCTTGAACCGAAAAGGGGCCATCGCCGTTCCGTGGCGCGTCGATCACGATGGTGTCTTCTGGATTTCCGGTGGGATAGAGTTTGCCTGTCATCGATCCCGCCGGCTCTACAAAGGCCACCTTGATTTCACTGCCGGTGCCCTTGACCCCTGCCATTTGGTAGTCGCCATAGTCACGGAAGCAACCGTCCTCGTCCACGGCGACTGTCTCGACTAGGGTCCGGCCGGTGTTGGTGTTCAGTACGCGAACATCAATCTATCACATGTCAGTCACAACTCATTGCTGTACAGATCACACACATACATGAGTCTGCCCTGGTTTTGCTTTGACGAGCCCTTCTTCCAGAGCAAAAGGTCCAACTCCACTGGCCATATTCCCGCAATTTCCGCTGTAGTCCACTTTCTCCTTTCCCACGGCAACCTGTGCAAAGGTATATTCGACGTCTACCCCTGGCTTGTTCGACTTTGCAACCACGGCGACTTTGGACGTTGTCGAAGTTGCTCCCCCAATCCCGTCAAGCTGTCGAGGATCCTCGCATTTAGAACCCATAGCCGCAAGGATCCAAGGCGTCCATGCTTCTATTGAGTCTGGAAGGTGACTTCGATTGATGAAGAGGCCTTTGGAGGTGCCGGACCTCATCCAAGAGGCAGGCAGTGAATGGCGAGTACGCTTTGCATATGTGAGTTGCGGTGGAGGAGTCTCGGGTTTGGCGATCATCGTTCGGGACTCAGTGATCACTTGGGCGAAATGCCTCTGTGTGGTGTGGTTGCGGCGTAGTGAAGGCTGTCTGAAGATGAGTCGACCTGCAAGCATCGAGGTACCGTACAGTGGTGGACTGATCCGAGGAATAACTGGTAATTAGGGCCGATAAAGACGTATATGCAAGTACTTGCCCGGTATCCTTGCCTCCATAGCTGCGATTCGGTATTTGCTGTGCTGTAGTTTATATCGTCCTGAACGGAGCTTCGAAAATCGCTCAACCCAGACCCAGTGCTCCCACATCCAAAACGACGGCGGATAGTGTTGCAAAACAACATCCACCGCAGCATAAAGATCGACATACAACATGGCATGGAATGAAGTCTGTGTTCGTAGCCGCGGGTAGCGGATGGAGGCTCCCCAGTTGATGGCTTCAGCCGTGGGAGCGAGTAAGCGGCCGGGTAGCGCAACTCTCAAGTCCGTATCCGCGGATAAGACGGCCCCCACGAGAGAATCGAATGTCGCAATCTATCAAAGATAGCCTTGTGGTTCATTGATTTTAGGTCTCTGCTGTAGGTGGACTCCATGAATTTACTTGGCCACTTTGGGCAAAATCATTGTCCAAGTCCAGTGAATGAGAACTCGTCCAGCATTGCACCGTTGAAGCCAAAAAGAACGTCGTCCACTTGATTAGCCGACATCATGAAAGGATCATACCAAATCTCATTGTTCTGGTTGGCGTTGCCTTGGAAAAGCCCCTGGGAGCTATAACCTGGAGGATTATCCCCAAACATGAGCGGACGATTCAGGTTGGATTCGGAGAATCGCTGGCTGTTCTCCGGAGGATTGAACTGGCCATTTCCGGCCTCTCTGCCAGGAGCAAAGCTTTGGATGACAGCATCTATGTCGAGTCCTGGAGAGAACCCGTCAGGCCTAAGCTCCTCGACTGCAGCCACTTGAACCGGATTGGTAGCACTGGCATTATCCGAAGGGACTTCGATGTCATCCTGGGGGAGATGTAACTCATATGGAGGGTCCGGGAGTTGAACATTGAGTCGGGAAATTAGCCCTTCGACAATGGCTTTCGCCCTTCTCGCAGCAAAGTTTGTTTCCTGGTTTTGTCCCAAAACTGCCAGGCAGGCTCCCAGGCTCTTGTGCGCGTCTGACGCTGCGTTACGCTTGGCCGCGATGCGTACATGTATCGTGGCGCTGACATATGTGGCATAGGAAATCAAGTACGGCGCGCGCAGCACCGAATATGCTTTGTCGTAGGCTCTCAGGAGCCCTACAATCTGGGTGGCCGCATTTGCACACGTGAGAAGCGAATTGACCGGTATCGATCGAGCGTTATTGTACAGGTGGCCGTCGGCCACGAAAGGGCGGTGGAGGAGGATAAGGAGGACGTTATATACCGCCCTGAAACACAATTAGTGAGGAAGGTCCGCGGGATATGGTTTGACATACATTAAAGACAGGGTATGTGGAGGTGGTGTGATCGAGGTCTGTTTGATCGGATCGAATTTGAGATGTGGTGCTAGCGAGGCATACCAGCTCTCCAGCTTGGAATGTAGGTCGTCGAGTATTTGTGCAAGATCGTTAGAGCTTCGATCGAAAATCCGCTCGGCGTAAATGCTGTTGAGAATCTTGTTCATGATGACCGACAAGCTGCAGAGCGCCGTAAACGTCGAAACGCTATATGCTGGACTTCCTTCATAGTTGCTTTTGCTATCAGAAGTGTAGGCAAAGGGAATCCAATTTTCGTGCTCTTCGAATTCGTCAAGGAAAGAGATGGGGACGTTCGTGTCTGCTTCTTGTAAGCTGACCGGTCTCCCTTGATACAGACTCATGATCTTGTCCACCACTTTATACCCTATTAGTGAAACTGTGGCCAAAATGGACGTATGCAACTCACCGTAGGCACCCCAGAACACTCTGCGGCGTATTTCAAGATCCTCATCACTAAGCTTCCGAACACTGGAGAGTGCTGGGGCCTCCGCGTGCATACCCAGATCAATGATCATGCGGAAAGCTAGTCCAGAGTATAGCCAAGCAGCACTTCTCTCGTCTCCCAGGGCAAACAAAGAGTTGGCCATGACTAAGAGTGCCTGGATGGTTGTAATCTCGCTTCCATCCAAAGCATTCCCCAGAAGCTCTCTAACTCGCTGGCGGAATTTCCAGCCAGCCGTTCGAACATCGCCTGGGACGCGTCGCACTTCCAGTCGAGTGCTGAACTTCGAAGAGCCATAGTAGATCGCATTGAGGAGAATCTTCGAGAAATAAGGACCGTTACATGCCATATCACGCATGAAGGCCGGGCGGTATGTGATGAGAAAGGAATGGTGCTGTCGGTTCCAATGAAGGTCCAGCAGATGCATGCCCAGCTCTGGCTCGACTCCATCGAAATCAAGGACACCATTCTTGTAGTTAATAATCTCCATCTGGCCTGTAGGATACCTCACGAGTTACCACAGATCGCCGTGGTCGGAGATGGTACTCACGCTGTAGTGCCGCCTCGGCCATCAAGCCTTTCTGTACCCATTGCCTTGGTACTGGAGCGACCTTGGACTTTCGTCGGTCGTAAGGGTTGTCCTCGAAAAGAGCGCTGGTTTGACCGTGATAGCTCGAACCCCCATCATCTGAAAAGATTATGCGAGAGACTGATCGCTCCTGGAACGAGCTATCTGGGTTCTGGGGATTGGCTTCTAAGCACAGTCAGCACATGGAATGCGGAGTACCATAGTGTACCAACCTTCGGGCAGATCGTTGTTCAACTGTGGATCGATCTCGTCCGGGGTCCGGCCTGGAGCACTTGTGCCAGAAGGCTCACTAATGGGACGAGAATTTGCTCGTGAAGACTGGGTTGCGCGTGGCCGTGAGGGGCCATTGCTGATCGCTCAGTCAACACGGAGTAGGTCATTATGACGGGACGACGTACCGGGCAGACTGGCCGGGCGATGAGAAGTCGCACACGGTGCCATAGGTTTTGCAATTACTGCACCGAGGGCGCTCATTATTGCACCGAATCTAGGTCGTGGCATTGAGATCACGCTGCAAGATTTTCAGGCTCTCAGAATCTTACCTTCCGGTGTCGACAAAAGGAACAGGCCTTGGACACCCGTTGCCGCGGAGTTCCTTTCCTCGTTGTAGTGGGCAGACTGCCATCCATGGCTTTTTGCCAGAGATAGTGGGAGGTGGTGAAGTTGTTTGAACCTTCCGCGGCTGGAGATGAACAAAAGAGAGAGAGAGAGAGGTAACGGAAAAGCCACAGCCGCGGATATTCACTGCTCTCGTTTCCGCCGAACTATCAGATTCTCGTACTAAAATTACTGCATGTCGCCTCGGATAATGCGGCGTGGCCAAAGTCCATCGTTCCAGACAACGGCAATCTCGGTGCGGATCCGGCAAGCTTTGTGGCCCACCTAGATCATGGAAAAGTGAAGATCCAGACGTTTGGGTGATGGCTTTCATTTCATGGAGCAGTCTCATGGGGTTTAAAGACAAAGACTCGGCAGCTTTCGACTGCGTTACGAGTGATTGACCTCGACAGAGCAAGGTGTATTAGGTCTTCCACAGCAATCAGACCAAACTCCCGAGCAACATGGCTGCCATGGCAAGCCCTCCGGCTTCTATACCTCCACTGACCGTTCCCAAACCATCAGTCACACTTCCAAGCGCCAACAAGGTACTTTGTGCTGCCCATACCTGAGGAGTTTACAGCTGACCCCTGGACCAGAGAAAGCAGATTCATCCAGCCGTGTCGCTGCTCGCCGGAAGCGTGGCAGGTGGAATCGAAGCAGCAGTCACAGTACGTACTCGAACATGCTTCGCTCCCTAGGTCTTACAGCTAACAGTTTTCGAGTACCCATTCGAATTCGCAAAGACACAGGCACAGCTGAAAGGGTCCCATGGAAGTACGCGGAATCCATTGCTCGCCATTGCCCAAACCGCCCGATCAGAGGGCGTTGGTGCCATCTACACCGGGTGCTCGACTCTGATTCTTGTACGTGACTCTTTCCAGACTGCTCGAATGACCATTTCGACTAATGTCTCACAGGGTACAATGCTGAAAGCGGGAGTACGATTTCTGTCATTCGACTTTGTCCGAAATCTGTTTGCCGACGACCAAGGGAGGCTCTCTGCTTCCCGTGGCGTCCTGGCAGGGCTTACTGCTGGTTGTGTCGAATCGATTGTAGCAGTAACACCTACGGAGCGGCTCAAGACGGCTCTGTGAGTTCCTCGATACCACGGCCCAGCCAACTCTGCTAACATTAGCCATCAGGATCGACGACGCTAAAGGCCAGAAACGGTTCAAAGGAGGCGCCAATGCCTTTGCGACCATCATCCGAGAGCAAGGTCTGAGCGGCCTTTACAGAGGCTTGGTTCCCACCGTCATGAAGCAGTCTGCCACATCTGCAGTGCGTATGGGCTCCTACAACGTTCTGAGAGAGTACGGAAAGCAAAAGAACCTGCCCAACAACAGCCTTGTCACTTTTGCCACCGGAGCTATTGCAGGAACCGTCACCGTGTACATGACACAGCCCCTCGACACAATCAAGACCCGGTCACAGGGTGTAGCGAGAATGAGCACCATGAACGCGGTTCGGGACGTGTTCGTCACCTCCGGCGTCAGGGGATTTTGGCGAGGAAGTACCATGCGACTTGGCAGACTGGTCTTTAGTGGTGGAATTGTCTTCATGGTGTATGAGAACGTGGTGAGCATGTTGTCACCTGCGCGGGAAGCGGCGTGAAAGGGAAAAGTTATAGCATCTAAGGCGTTTGGCACTGGTGTCTGGCGCCGGAGTGACTCAATTTGTATCATGATAACCAACATCCATCGCAATCCTCCGCAAGCCTATCTGTCGGACGGTGAACCTGGTGGTCTGATTTATTTTTCCTAAGCACGATTCGTTAACAGCCAGGGAGTTCCCGGGACCGCTATACGCCCAACAGAGGCCAATTGCCCCATAGGTCTAGTGCCTACAATTGACATTTCCTCATACGGTTTCTGTGAGCCCTCATAAAGCTGCCCTGGGATCTGGAAAGAAAGCTTGGAAGTTTTGGCGCAAAATGTTGAAGCTGGATGATACCATGCCCAGAGCATGCCCAGAGCTTTATGGGCTTCCTGGACGGGATGCAGCCTTCATATCAGAAGCATGGTTGAGGTGCAAGCTCCATCTGCTTTGCCCCTTCAGACAAGAAACGATTGGACAAGAAATAAGGGAACAAGTCTGCGTAGAAAAGAGACTGAAGCGGTAGTTATATACAAATGACAATCTAGAGGCATACACATCATCGAGAGCAGGCGCTCCAACTGGTAACATAACATTCATTAAAAGCCAGCGCCCAAGTGTTCCATCCGGAAACCCTTTCCTGAGGACCAAGCATCCATTTGCCTCCTGTTTATTTGGCCGTCTCCACTGTCTCAGCCTGAGCCTTTTCCTCATCAACATGAGGGAAGGAATGTGTGCCTGCGCCGGGAACCCCGAATAGCTGATCCATGGATTCCATATTCAACCCCTTGGTCTCTGGGACGAAGAAGTAAACAAAGAACACGGCCGCCGTCAGGAATGAAGCAAAGACAAAGTAGGTGCCTCCGCCGATGTTTGAAATCATGTATGGGACACTCCTTGCGATGACAAAGTTCATGAGCCAGTGGGTGGCCGTGCAGATGGCTACGCAGATGCCTCGGATGCGTAGGGGGAAGATCTCGGAGCAGTAGATCCAGGGAACTCCAGCCCATGAGAAGCAGAAGCCGATGGCATAGACATATATCAAGGTGCAGGCGGCGTATCCCCCGGCCGAGATATGTTTCGTTGTCGTTTCACCGTTAACGGTGACATAGGCGCCGATGTACCACATGCAAGCGGCCATGAGTGCTGAGCCATAGATCAACATCTTCGTCCTTCCGAAGCGGTCGACCACAAAGAAGATGGCAATGCAGACTGCGACGAAACGGACGAGGCCGTAGATTCCAGTGGCATAAAGGCCTGTATTCGAGCCCTTCAGCCCGATGGACTTGAAGATGCGTGGGGAATAGAAGTTGATAGCATTTGAACCAGCCATTTGCATGAAGATGAAGAGGGTGACACCAATGGCTATTCGGTTTCGGTTGCCCTTTCTCGAAAGCTCCTTGAATTCAGCAACGAGGCCTTTTCCCGGGGTTGCTTCGCGCTCATGCTCAATTTGATCAATAACGCGATACATTTCTTCTTGGATGTATGGGTGATCCACGGGCAGATTTCGCAGCTTCGCAAGCACGTTGACAGCGGCTTCTCGGCCACGGAAGCGGGCGTACCATCTGTAAAGATAATTTTTGATCAGTGATAGGTCGACAAGGAGGGGGCGGGACTTGATGTAAGACTTACCGAGGAGAGTCTGGCAGGAACAGCATGCCCAAGATGAGGAGCCCACCAGGGATCAATTGTATCGCAAAGGGGGTGATCCATTGAGCATCGGATTCAGGCATGTTCAGCTTCACGCCGTAATTGATCCAAAATCCGATACATGTTCCAGCCTGGACACCGATTTCATAGATCCCAACTAAGCGGCCTCGAATTGCTGGTGGAGAGACTTCGGCGAGGTACAGTGGAACTAGCATACTGGCTGATCCAACTCCCTGGAACCATGTTAATTGTTTCGTCATCAAAGTCACCCGCAAGGACGCTTACCAGTCCTCCGACAGCACGGCCAGCGAACATAACAGCAACATTGCCATGCGAAACAGTTTGCATCAAAGAACCCACGCAAAAAATAACGCCAGCCACCATCAAAGCAAGTTTTCGACCGATTTTGTCACCCATCCAACCCGCGATGAGGGAGCCAAAGAAACACCCTGCTTGGAGAAGGGAGACAATATTTGCCGAAAAGGCATCGGTGTTCTTGGGCAAGTGAAAGCTCCTGCGCGATCCTGGTTTAGCCAGAAGATTGAGAAATCGAGGGACTGGTACTCACTTTTGAAACGAAGGAAGGGCCAGAGTCGTGCCGATGAAAGCAAGATCATAACCGAAAATGAAGGCGCCGAACGAAGATAGGGCAGCGAGCACATAGACTCGGTAGTTGTAGACCTCAGGAGGGGTTGGAACATTGAATTCCTCGACAGCATACCGTGAAGGCCTCATTTTGAATTGATCTTGAGGGTTGTTGTAATGTAGGACCAGGATGTCGAAAATCCAATCAAAATCCAGCCCAATGTTGATGCTCGAGGAAGTGCTGGCTGAGCCATCTGGATTGATCAGGGAATGAGGCCTTTAAGTAGCTGCGAAGGCTGCACCCTCCACCGTGGATGAGCTGACAACATCGTACAGAGTTCTCTGCGAGGGAAGCGAAATCCGGGGTCTGGTCCGGCCATGCGGGAACCGAGCGGGGATGGGGTCTCACGCCACGGGCAAAGCTTAGGCTGCTTGGGCTGCTTAGCCCTCTTAGGGCCTGAGGTTGGATCTGGGCGCCCCAGGTGGTTGTGTCCGCGGGTACTGTCACCATATCCGTGGATACTGGCTGGACAATCTCAATGTATGCCCGCGGGTACGAAGTAGAGTGAGCCTCGCTGAATGGGCCAGGCGCGGAATGTCCCCTAGGTTTGAGCTAGAGGCGTGCTCACGGAGCGGGAATGATGCACGGTAAATGCGTACCGGCAACTAAATGGCTCGTTGTTTGCCGTACTCGGCTTGGACGACTACGATTCTTTATGATAAACAGAATTTGTGTTTGTGTGAAGACAGAATAATCGAGGAAAAAAGGCTACGGACGTGATATATCACGTGGCAAGCCATGTGCAGCAGCACAAGCTTTCTCTTCTTCGGGACTGGTCTGGTTTTTGCTGAGAGCACTGAGACGTGTCTACCATCAGGTTCACTGATGATCCAGGGGAAAGGGAGCCCATTCTTCGCGGAACTCTGGTTGCAGATACATTGTTTCGTGGCGGCAGGCGGCCACCCGCACCTCCGGATCCGGATCTAAAGATTGCATAGAACAGTTATGTCAAGCTTCGTCAGTTGCAGCACAATGGCGTAACGCGTTTCGCCAACTCGGGTTTCACTGTTGAGGAAGCAGATCTGGTGTATTCGTTTCTGTATGCTCTATGGCCTACCCAAGCCCACCAGCGAGTATGCCTGACAGCTGCGGGTCGCCTCGGTGTTGCTCCTGATGATGTACAGAAGGGTGATCTTGTATGTCTGTTTCAAGAGCTCGATCTTCTGCTTGTGCTTCGATCCAACGATGCGGACGCTACGTACAAGTTGGTAGGGGACATTTACGTGTATGGAGGTGACATTTCCGACGAAGGAGAAGATGCGTGAGCTCCGTGAAGTGCAGAGGGTCACTTTGTCATAAGTTGATCTCCTTGGAAAGCGACTGGGACGGGTTTACCTTGGGACAGGATCTAATGTTTAATCAATGCCTGCTCAGACTCAACTCTCGACCCGAGGCCTGTTTAAATCAATGGACTCCTGTGCCCCTATAACTCCAATGGTCGATATACGTTGACTTCTTCTCTGAATGATCATCCTGCAGCACACTCGGCCTACATCTAGGTTACTGAAAGTCTTCATATCTACGCCTAGGTTTTGAACAGTCTGAAACAGCTGGGGCTGGAAGACGGGTTATAAACGGCATGGCAAAAGAGCTAGGGGTATCACATTTTGGTACATAGAATGCTCATTTATCTAATCGGTTTCCTTGACATTTCTCATAGTCACAGAGGCGCTCATTGGCCAGGTTGCGGGGGTGATCCTGACCATCCGAACATCCACTCGTTGCCATCGGTCATGCCTTCCGGGGGCCAGAACGAATCCAATCCTGGCGTCATACCCGTAGGATTTGGTGTCATTCCAGTTGGGCCTGGAGTCACGCCCATGATGGCAATGTTGATGTTCTGTGCTTGGCTTGTCGATGGACCTGATGCAACCTGACTAGATCCAATGATATTCCAGCTGTCTTGTGGACCGAATGGGAACCCTCCTGGAGACTGTTGAGACTGTGAGCCGCTATTATTATTGCTCGACACGGTCTGATTCGTGGGAGGGCTGGTATACGAAGTGCTTGAATTGTGATTCGAGGATGTCGATGGTGTTGGATGACCTGAATGTGATCGTGACCCTGATCCTTCCTGATTGGAATTCTGTGGCGATTGTTCGGTCCCTAGAGAATGTAGAGAGAAACCGTACATATTCTCAAACCCTTCCGTAGACGAATTTCCGCCAATATTACCGAGGTTTGAGGTATTGGTAGAGCTGTCATTGCCATAAAGACTTGGGTAGGAGCTATTCATGGTTGCCAGATTGGGGTTGGCCCCATTCGACCATTGTGAGTTGGGGGTGGGTTTGGGGGCGGTATCGCCTGTGTTTTGAGATTGGCGTATTTCGAATAGCGGAGAGCACCTCACTGTGTCGGTGTTGACAGGTACCTCCCCCTAATGAGACGTCAGCGAAAGAAGGCAACTCAGGAAAACAGAACACGTACGGGTGGGCGGCGACCAAATTTCCAACGCGAGTAGTTGGTGGGTATATCAAGACCGCTACCTTCGAGGTCGACATCTAGCTGAACCAAGAATGATTCTGTCAGAGGATTCTTAGTTTTTAGGACGTGCATGGCCGCTAGGAGGAAGTGAAGAGAAGATTTGACTGCGGCATCATCTCGCCTGGCCTTTAGGTACTGTACAAAAACCCGAGACGCGACATATAGGCAGAAGGCGAGGAAGGGATTCATCTGAGAAAAAGTCAGCAAACACTCTCCTCTGCTGGAAAGTCTCCATACCAAGGCCATATCGAGATGGCTGATCATCTTCATGATATTGGTGATTTGGTCTGCGGCGACTATACAACGCCGTTTTGACTCGGCGCTGATCTGTGCTGGCAGGCGGTTTTTATCCGCTTTAAATATTGCAGCTTGGTGCAGACATATTGTGGCAGTGTGTAAGTTCATATTGACAAAGACAGTGTTAGGATCATTGATACCCGCCGGAAGGCGAAGATTGGCGGGGAGTGATAGAGAAGTATTGAGAAGGATGTTGTCTAGTGCCCGATGCCGCTTCCAGAAAGCACCGTTCAGATCGTGATCGTTCTCGTGTTCATCAGGTCTATGCAGATGCGTAAGGTTACGGCCGAAGAGTGTCGATAGCAGAATGACACCGCCAAAAGAAGATAGCGAAGATGTACCTTCTCCTTTCAAGATATCTGACAATTGCAATGTGGTCTCTGGCTTGGATGTGTTGAATGCCTCGTCACTGGCTGGCAAGTTTGTCAATATCTGTACATCGTGTCAGCATATTACAGTTGCACGCCTCGAGAACCTTACGTCTTGTTCGTCGATGACCATAGGCCAACCCGTTCCAATGCTGGCATAGCGATCCTGACAATACGCCATCCAAAATGTCCTTCGTCGCTCCTCGCGGTCTGTCCAATCACGAGGAGGTGGCAGAGTTTGTTTCACATCCAGACCTACCCGATCTTGTCGATGTAAACCCATCATGAGCGCCAACCTGGCAGCGCGCCCGATACTCATCCAAGCTCTCGGGAAGTACATGAGCTTGAACTCGTGGCAAGCTAGTAAAGTCCATGCCTGGCAATGTGCAATGCTGATCATGCTCTCGCCATGGCCCCGCATCTCATCCGCTTCGGCGTATTTTCGAGACCTCGCGTAGAAATGTTCAGTATATGCCGAGTACTTAGGGGTGATGCCACATGCATGAGTCCACATGGCATATCTCAGGCAGACCGCCGGTCGCATGTGCGGAGCGAGATCCATTGATGCCAAAAATCTGGCTTTGTGAATCATTGGTAGAGAGGGATGGATTTTCTCAAAGTAGATCTCGTTCCTGCACAAGTAAGCATTGACACACCACAAAGACTGTCAGTCACATACAGTTCATCGATAACTTCGCGTGATGGCAGTGCCTCCTCTAGGCCAAGACCTATCATCTCCCACGAGAAGTCATCGCTTACATTCATACTGGCGAAATCCTGGATCCCGGCCATCGGGTCTGTGAAACTGGTGTCCATCATTCCGGACATTGAAGTATCGACCAAGCCCAGGTTGGGTATATCAATTGAGGCCATTGACGGATGTGTGTTTTCATCAAGTGTCGTAGACGCCTTGGGCGCCTGGGGAGTTTCTTCCGGGTTTGTATCTCTCGATTCCAGCAGATTTTCCACCTGTTTAAGGCGAGCCTCCAGCAGTTTGACATAACCTCTCTTAGGCCCACTCTTTTTCCGTTCTTCTGAGTATTCGCAGTGATGATTCAATCTTGAACACGTTCCGCAACTAGGCTTGTTCCCATCGCATCTCAGCTTCCGCTTCCTGCATAGGATGCACGCTATCCGCTTCGGTCTGGGAACCGCATCGTTCGACCCTCCAGCGCTGTGTCCGCTCGTCTCTTCTGGCGGGCTCTGGTGCTGTTCACTCTCTTCGGTAGAGGTCATTGTGGATGTCTTCACAGACCTTGCGCAAGGTCCGCGGTATCAGATTGCGACTACGCGAGTCGCAGTGATTGTCGTACAAGTGGCAACAGTGTCAATACGAATCTGTTTGTTTCGCAAACCCGATGCTTATGCAACAGGCGGATATGGACTCCGCAGGCACGAAGGACTGACGAATGCGTGGTGTGCGACCTCGATTCGTCGGTGAAGGAGAGGAGATTCCGACTCAGGCAGCAGGGAAAGCGAATACGAAATACGGATACGATGTCAGCAATGGGACGGAGTTGACGAGCTGCCAGATGATGGGGCGGCTCGTGGTGTGCGGTTGGGAGGTTGAGTTGCTTGACTAAAAACTCATATCAGTGCGTCGACGCACCAGCTCGAACAAATTGCATGCTCTGTCATTGCGGTATGCGGGCGACGAAGCAAGGGAAGTCATACAGGCGCTGACACTACGTGTACCCAAGATCTTGCGGGAAAATGGGGGACTCAATCCAACCACCGAATGATTAGCTAATCGTACGAGAGCGTTAGCGGAGTCCTCCATATTTACATAAGCAGGGCTTTTCGGCCACGGGCAGATCGTAGTTTGCTTCTCGAGAAGTTGCCGGCCGTAAGGTGCCGGGGCTAGTGGGTATTGCAGTCCGAAAGGTGGTATTACCCATCCGTGCGGGTAACCTTCCCAATCAGCAATAATTTTAATTTGCGCCGCCACTACTCCGTTAGGTGCGCCCATATGCCGCCACCTAAATATTAAGGACCATTAAAGACTCACCAGTTATGGTTATCTGCTCTTCGATTCATCTCTCTTAGCTGTTAGAGAGTCAGACTGTCTCTCCACTTAATGCTATCCTCAAGCTCTGAAGCACCAATATATATGATTTATTGTCTCTACATCACTGTTAGGTAAGGATTAGCATGAGCAGAATAATTAGGCGGGCCTTAGTTGTGCCAAGAGAGGCGCTAACCTAATGAGGATGGGCGTGTAATACTGTACCACCACTCTTCAATGATGGTGAAGCTAGTCCCAATGGAGAATTACCATAAAGGGCTAAGCTCCGTCAATGACTGGCCTTTTTTGACTCTGAGGCGACAACAATTCAACCTCATGAACCGGATGTCATATACATTACTCTGTAATCTCAGCTTGCTTGCATATGTAGCACTTCTGCACATACATTCAGATCCACCGACTAGCCTCTCCTTCCTGCGGGCGAAGTTACCGCATTTTGGATCCCCGAGCTGGGCAAAGATCGTCGCTCTCCTGTCATCTCCGTGGCCACAAACTTGGGTCGAAAAGTCGCAAAAATGCTTGCTGAGAGATCTTGCAGTCCATGGGGAAGATGGAGCAGATGGATGACTCCAGGAGCGGCAAGATTCCGTTTTCAGGAGAGAAACTCCCTTTGACCATTCACCATTATGTGATTCTGATTCTCCTGTTGAGCATAACATCGAATTATACATATGTCTTGTATTTGAAGCTAATGGATAAGGTTTGGCCTGGCTCTTAGAATATGGGGAAGCCTCAACTGTACTGCCATACTATATACGTAAGTCGTCTTCACACCTCATTAAACAAAGAATAAAAACTCGCGTCCGAGCTCAGAGACTCTCGGCTCACTGCTTATCCGTTCAAATTGCTCGCGCCTCGGCTACAGCGACTACATACCTCTCGAAAGGCAGGAAACCATTCCATCCTTTTTCAACTGGTTGTCCTCGGGTAGGCTTGACCAAAAATCAACTCTACATGCTCGTGGGATGTTTGAGGGAAGACCAAGAACGTACACATGATCGACGGTGGGGAGAGATTGTTCAGGTTAAGAAATATAGTCTCCGCGGTTTTCTACACAGAGTCAAAGTCTCATCAAGACCCATACAGGAAGAGACTTTTGGAATCGTCATCCAATTATTTGCCTCGACCCCAGGGTTTAGAGTTCTACTCAATCTCTCCTCGGTTACATCTACCACCCTCATCATGGAAAAGGTAGCAGGCTTCATTTCGGCTAGCGGTATTTGTCGCCTTGCTCAAGACTGCGAGGCCAACTGGTGATATGGTATAAATGGTCCACAGGTTGCCAGCATCCTCTCGCGGCTCCCCAAACTCGCTACGCTCGCACCCATTCTTTTGCCACAACAACGCTAATTCGCTTCCCTCGACCTTTGCTTGCCCAATATGTTCATCAGAGTCGCCCTCTGTATCGCTTCGATCGCCGCGCTAGCACGCTCTCAAGAGTCCAATGAAGCTGCAGTACGCCAGTTTCAACCCGGAACTCGCTTGCGCTTAATCCAGGGCCCAGCACAGCTCGCGGCACGCTCCACCGACGAGACATGCTCCGGCACTTGTGTCCAATGCTTTGGGACAGGATATATCAATTGTCCTAATAGCGACATACAGTGCTATCTCCCTGGTGATCAGACTTATGGCATAGATACCTGTCCCAGCTCTGCCAGTGCAACCTCGGGCGCTGCGCCGACATCTTCCCCAGGGAGCGCTGGCGGTAGCGAAACCTGCTCGACGCCTGGCGCCTCTTGTGTCCAATGCTTTGGCGCTGGGTACGAAGACTGCCCTGATGGAGTTTACTGCTACGACCCGAATGACCCAGACCACAACACCTGCCCGGATTCGTCGAACGGCAATGGCGGTGATCCAACCACGGATAGCCAGTGCGCGAGCCAGTTTGGATCAGGCTTCATTATCTGTGGAACCGATGCATGTTACAACCCGGGCAATGGAGAGTCGTGCTGTCAAGACGGCTGTAAGTTCTGCATGCAGTCGATCCCGATTGTCGATAAATCAAGACGATATAAGGGGCGAACGCTGACCGTTACAGACTATTGTTCTTCCGGCTATACGTGCTCTTCTGTCGTTGGAAAGTGCTGCCCTAGCGTAAGTAATCGAGACTCCCCGGATTGATTCCCAGAAATTTGCGTGTTGACTTGTCGCATCAGGGTTCCTCATCCTTGGACTGTTCCGCCGCCGATGGGGGTCTTTTATCCTCTTCTTCATCCGCTTTCAGTTTTCCCAAACCCAAAACTAGTTCAGCTCCGAGCTCGACCAGTGATTCCGGAAGTCTCTTCTCCTCAGCATCCACAACGTCTAGTGCATCTTCATCGACTGGCAGTACCGTCTCTGGTAGTTCGAAAGGAGATGCGATGCTTTTGGCCCCAGGACAAAGACTTCTGGCTGCGGCTGTTGTTGGGGCAGCGTTGCTGTGAGATGTATGGCCTCTGGGGGAAGCCGTAGGAGCTGTCGAGTGAGTGTTTGAGGTGTCATCATAGTGCACAAGACACAGGGGCTACACCACAATTTCCGGAAAATACATACTTCATCCATACCGCTTGCAGATATCTGAACTACCAAGCTTCGCCCAAGACTGGATCTTCTCGAGTATCTCACAGATCATATCCCGACATAGCTAGTTAGTCAGCCTCTAGAGTTCGTGGTCGCCGGCCACTTCGTCCCGTTAGCACACGACGTAACGCACCAATAAGGCTTTACCTCCGCCATTGAGGTGACGGTAATGGAGGAATAACGTATAGGGAAGGTTAGACGAGATCTCAATCTTCTGCAAGATTGTTTGGACACCCCCCCGCGTTTCTTCTGCACGCTGGTCGGCCATCTGCAAGACGCGCGCTCAATGTGTTCCTACGCTGCACGTATTGCCTTGAACGCTATGCTTCGATGATGAACCCAGGCAAAGATGCAATTATCCCATGAGATGTTGCTATGACAACTGAGCGCGGTTTTGGAGGTCAAGAACTCAGCTACACTAACAATGGTCTCCTTAACACTTGTTTTACAGCCCCATGCATTCTAACGCTCAATCGCCGCGCGCAGCTGCCACTCTATGCTGTTTCTATTTGTGTGATACAAGGTCTTTACTCGCCGCGTCTGTGTACATCGACCAAAAATTTGCAGAGTCCCATTCCACAAACACCAATCTCCGCCTGTTGACCTTGACCCCGGTGTTTGACTCAATTAATGAGATGGGACGTCACCGCCATCACCCTCCTCATTGAAGAAGACCTTCACCGGCAACCAAGCGTCGCCACAAACCTTGAATCGGTCTGGGATACTGCTGATCTTCTGTATCTCATCTTCAGTCAACTCCCAACCGTCCAGTTGGAAGTTGGCTTCAATCCGGGACTTGGTGACGGACTTGGGAATGACAGAGGTTCCACGCTGCAGACCCCACATCAAGAGTACTTGCTGAGGGGTCTTTCCCTTCGCCTCCGCGATGGACTGCAGAGTCTTGTCGTGGGCGAGGGGTGAATCGGTCGATCCCAGGCAGGAGTATGCGGTGACGTGGATTCCCTTCTCTTTGCAGTATTGCAGGGTCTTTGGTGAGGGCATGTTGGGGTGCACCTCGATCTGGTTGACAGCCGGGACAATCTTGCAGGATGGGTCGTTGAGCAGCTTCTCCAGGTTGGAAATGACAAAGTTGGATACGCCGATGTTTCGGACCTTGCCGGTACCAACGAGCTTTTGCATCTCGCGCCTGGTACGTTCAGCAAGTGTACGGTGAGTGGACACGAGGCTACTGCTTACCAAGTATCGATGAAGTTCCAGTCATCGTAATGCTTTTTCAAATCCTCTGGTACAGTCGAACTGGGCCAATGCATCAGGTATAGGTCGACATAATCAGTGTCCAAGCTCTTCAGCGACGAGTCAATGCCCTCGGGCACGCGCTTGTGCCATGGGTTGTCTAGTTTCGTGGTGATCCAGATCTCGCTCCGGGGGACGCCAGAGTCCTTGATGCCTTGACCGACTTCCGATTCATTACCGTACGCAAGGGCGCTGGGTGTGTTAGCACGTGCGGAGAGTTGGAGTGTAAAAGAATCTTACGTGTCAATGTGACGGTAGCCAGCGAGGAGAGCGTTCTTGACGGCCTCGCGGACTTCGTTGGGCTTGGATTGCCAGGTGCCCAAACCCACACCGGGCATTTTGTCACCAGTGTTCAGAGTGAACACCGTCCTAGACGGGGATGTCAGCATTTGCTTCGAACTTCTCAGCAGCAACACACTCACTTGGTGCCTTTTCCAGATTGTGTGGTGGCCATGGTTCGCGACACGATGCGTGACTTTGGTGTTATCGTTTTGGACGACTGGAAGCTGTTCGCAATGGTGCAAGAAGAGACTCTAGGGATTCTACTCAGAGACGCAACAAGAGAGAGAAAAGGCATGGAGATTCAAAGAAAAAAGATTATTGCGATCAGTAGGGCCCATAGCCTTCTTATTGAGGCAACACACCGGCGGACGCGCGATGACGGCTTTTGTCCACACAGGCTGTCACTCGATGAGGGGCACTGGGTTTGGGCAATGCAACAGTGCGGTACAAGCCAACGAGGGGCTAATATCCCGTCTCCAGTAGGTGGCGGTGGTATTAGCCTAATAAGCCGCCGATTATCTCGAGAGCCATTATCCACAAGAAAGACGATAAGGACACGTCTTCTCCGTGCCGTACTGTGTGCGGCGGGTGAATGCATTGACACCTTTGGGCGACTAACGCTGGAGAAGAGATCTGTACCTCTTGGTAGGTACCTGTCGGCAGTGGAAGCGTAGACCAACAGGCAAATATCTTACCTAAGGTACCCTGACCAATCCCCTAGTACAAGCACTGCAGGTACCTCTCAAGCCTCGACAAAGCGACATGTACTCGTGCCCGCACTGGAGGATTAACGGTACAATTCTACCTCGCACCGAAAAGCACGATCGATGCACTCCGTACCGCGGCCGATGGTTCGTCAGAATTTCTCCTCCACACTTTCTTCACGCTCAAGCCAATAACCAAAGCACTCGTCGTGAGTCCAATGAAGCCACGAGTCTCCCTCCTGCATCGAGAAGGCTTCTGTTGATAAGTTAGAGCTGCCGCTTGCCGCGAGCTTGTCTCCTTGAATCGAATGTCTCGGTTTGTTCCAGGTAAGTTCGCTCTCGGTGAATCGTTCCACCCAAAGCACCAATCCTCCAACTCTTGGAGCCTAAATAAGTGCCAGTCTAGCATTCTGACTTTTCACAGCTGGGACTGATCCTGGCTCCGGATCAAACGAGAAGGAAGATGATGCGTGGACCAAGGCTCGTCAGCAAATTGAGGCTCTTAAAAAACCCAAGCCTGTGGATGAAGGAAAGCAAGAAGGGGGCGAAAGCCTCTACGACGTCTTGCAACGAAACAAAGGCAAGTCGAATGCTATCCAACACTTGATCTTCTACTTTCCGTTCTTCTCTAGATAGAGATCGATTTCTGACACCTTGCACTTTTGCATCTACAGCTGCCAAGCAAGAGGCTTTTGAAGAGTCGATTAAGTTGAAAAACCAGTTTCGTGCTCTTGACGACGACGAGGTCGATTTCCTAGACTCGGTCCTCGAGTCAGAAAGGGCAAAAGAAGACGCAGTCAAGAAAGAAATGTCCGAGCAGCTGGAAGCTTTCCGCAATCAACGCGCCAAAGCAGAAAAGGATCTGTTGGAACATGAAATACCGGAGGCAGAGGAACGTCTCGGCGCTCCGGTGGGCAAGAATGCGTGGACAACCCAGAAGAAGCGCCGGCGCCGTGATGAAGAGTCAAAAGCCATTGCATCCAACAAAACAAGAAAGCTCTCGTCTTCCGCCGACAACACACCTCAGCAGCCAACAGCCCCAAAAGAATCCGGAGAGCTTGCAAAGCCGCTTGAGGCTGCAAATCAATCATCGCCCGCTCAAGTCAAGTCTACGCCCGGAGTTCTTGGCCTAGGCGATTATTCCTCCGACGAAGATTGAGAGTTACACCTTAGACCTCGCGACGGCTTGAGCGTGACCACCTCGAGATTGGTCACCTGGCTAGTAAGCTCTACAAATGATCTACAGCGAAGATTCTCAGCTACAAGCCATATTCCTCAGACAGGCCACACTCCTACAGATGCACTCCCAGGAAGTTTGTGAAACCAGATGAACATCCTTTTTTTCCAGCTGGAATCAATTGATGCAGGCCGTTATTGATCCAAACTTAGCCAATGGATTATGTCGGTGAGCGGCGTCCCTTGTCTCTGGTCTGGTTTGGTATGCGAAGGACTTTGGCCCGCAAAGGCTGCCCAAGGTAGCTAATTCTGCAAGTTGGCCCTATGGCGGGAACAGCCGGGTTTCTGCAAGACCTGTTCGTCACGTCACAGACGTCCCGGGCCCTGCATGCTGCATCATGGCTCGCCTCGTCCGAGCAGCCATTTGCCGACTTTGTATCGACTCACAGGGTCTCACCGGTTTTCTTCACTCGACTCGAGAACCAGTTATCAGCCAGGGCAGCATTTGTGGTTTTGGTAGCTGAAGTCTACGATATTCCGCATGTCGAGGATTGGGGGTTCACCGTCGAAAATCTTTGGTGCCCCGTGAGCATCCTAGCCTGGCATTTTCGTGGGCCACTCTGCCGTTGTTCTGGGCTCCTCCCGGCGCGGTTCGCCGCATCGACGGGCCAATGGGCCGCCTGGCAGGACGAACTATGCCATTATCAGCTCCTCCCTATCCCGTCCACGTTGGCAGCACATCACACCCGAGCTTTTCCAGTGTCTGGTAGCTTTGGCCCATCAAAACATGCCAAAGCGGGAGCCCATGTAACCGGCGCGTCTTTATTCGCTTAGGCTATCGTCCAGCTCTGGTAGCGGTGAAGAAAGCCGTAATCTTATTCATTGCTGCTCGAACGCGCCCCCGTTTTGGCTTTTCGCGTCATTCGCCAGGTGTGCCCGAGGCTCAACACCGCCATATTGTTGTTGCTGCACTCAAACGGGGTATGAGGCATCAATCGAAAATTTTGCATCGTTGTCAGAGAGGTGGTCGTAGCGGTTTAAGGGCGATAAATACACTATATCCAGTATACTCGACTGCTTCGGTTTTTGTTGTTCCCGGCCTAAGTGTTTGTGTATCGCTATCGATAGATGCGATTGCTCGCCATTTAGGGGATCGGCACTGGTCTGCAAGGGGCTTGGTGGCAGTCTGTGTGGCAGGGAGCGTCACCTGGATTCGTTTCGTCTCGCACGCACTGCGTCCAACCAAGTTGCTGCATTCTGTGACCTCCTGACTGAGTGCTCTGTTTGCATTTCTACCACAGTTGCACTTTTGCTATCGCTTTTTACAGGGGCTCTATACCGAGAGGCCTCAATTCCTACCTTCTGATCTGCCCTCTGCGACCTTTTGAACACCGCGACAAATGCTTTACCATTCACACCTGCCGCAACGCTACGCCCATACCCAAGATGGCGGCTCTCGTAGCCGCGTCGCAAGCCACAGATGTCAGCGACGGCGCGTTTCGTCGACAAAGGATCCCGAAGTGGTGGAGGATTGGAATGGATGAGCTCCTTCGGTCGCACTGCCGTGAAATGCGGGCAGTGATACCTCTTTACCCAATCGTAGCCGATCGGCGCTACAGCACGCACACCGCCATCCTCGAGAACAGCAAGCCATCTCAACGGGTATGCAAGAAAGCCCTTTCCTTCCTTCTTAACGCAGATAGCTCACGCCCGATCCTTGCTGTGGTCCTACTTCCCCAAATCTACTTTATCGTCCCGCCTCCTCGCCGCGTGGATTGGACCTAACCTGACGGGATATACAGAGTCTGACCTCAAACCATGAGGTCTATCAGAAAGTGACTGCGCTGGTCGCAGCCTTGATACAGGAAATAACAGGCTCTCCTCCACCATATGGAACCTGCCCACCGCCCTCTGCAGCCGAGCCTCTGCCTCCTTCACTGTTATCCGAACCACGTGCCTGCGCCAAAGATCTTAGCCAGCCCCTGGAGTCTGTCACACCGTCGTGCCGGACGTTGTCACAAAATTCAGGAATGGATTTCAGTATAGACTTCGGCACTCCGAGTGGTGTACAAACACGCGGCAAAAAGGCCGCAAAGAAGGCCGCGAAAGCGGCTGCGCAGGCCAAATGGTTTGAATCAGATAATGAAGGAGAAGGAAACGCTGCTGGGGAAGGCGGCGATGGCGGCGGCGGCGGAGACGGTGGCAACGGAGGAAGTGCTGGTGGCGATGGTGGCGGAGACGACAACAACGGTGGTGCTGGGGACGACGATTGGGATCTCGGTGGCAGCAAAAAGAACAAGAAGAAGAACAAGAAGAAGCAAGAAGAGGAAGAGCGGAAAAGGCAAGAAGAGGAGGAGCAGAAGCAGAAGGAAGATGCAGAGGCTGCTAACGCTGCTGACCCGCTTAGTTGGGCAGACGAGACAAACAATGCTGCCGCTGACGACGACTGGACCACAGGGTTCACAACCAAGAAGGATAAAAAGAAGAAGAACAAAAAGGTAAGACCTGATCTGCCATCTGCATTGTGAGAATACTGACTTTCCAGGGGACCGAGGAATCTCCGGCCAGTGCTGCATTTCAAGACATCAGTCTGGATGACACCGCTCCCAAATTAGAGTTCAGCTTCGGTTCTGACGAAAAGAAAGATAGTGGTGGTTTTGGCGCGTGGGGAAAAACTTGGGACTTTGGCTCGCTTGACAATGAAACCAAAAAGGCCGACGAGAAATCTTCCAAGAAGGAAGCAGAGAAGAAGGACGGCTCTGCCGACTTCGGTGACAACAATCCCTGGTCATCTGGCGCGAACAAGTCAAAGAAGAAAACTTCCACCTTCAGCAACTTTGACTTTGGGAACCTAGACGGTGACAAGACTACTTTCGGTTTTGATGGTGATGGTGATGGTGGAGACACCAAGGTCACGGATGATGCTTGGGGGTTTGCAACTGTGGGCAAAAAGGACAAGAAGAAGAAAGGTGCTGCGGAAGAGAAGAAGGAGGACCCGCCGGCACCGGCCGAGCCAGAGCCCAAGGAAGAAGACACATGGGGTGGCTGGGGTACCTCTACGAAGAAGAAGGACAAAAAGAAGAAAGGGTGGCTGGACGACGACCCTATTGAGGAGCCGAAGCCAGTTGAACCTGAACCAGCCGCTGAAGACGAGTGGGCGTCGTTCTCTACCAAGAAAGACAAGAAAAAGAGTAAGAAAGGTGCTATCGTCGAGGAACCTGTGGTCGAGACGAAAGACCCCGGGCTAGATGTCGGCAGTACGGATGATGCTTTCAGCTGGGGGCTAGGGTCCGGCAAGAAGGACAAGAAGGGGAAGAAGGGCTTCAGCACCCTAGACGATGATCTTCTGGCGCTTCCCGATCCTCCAGCTGCACCTGAGCCGGCAGCTGATGACGGCGACGACTGGATGGCTTCCGCTTGGGGTTCCAAGAAGAAGGACAAAAAGTCGAAGAAAGGCGCGATCGATGATCTTTCCGCGTCCGTCGATGTGGGAGCAGTGGATAATAAGGGTACCACTGCCGATTCTCTGGCCGAGGACGATACCTGGGCAGGTTTTGCAACAGCCAAAGGCAAAAAAGACAAGAAGAACAAGAAAGGCTTGCTTGTCGAAGAGGAGCCGGCTCCGACACCTGAGCCTGAGGCTCCTGCTGAGACAGACGACCTTTGGAGCTTTGGCAAGAAGGATAAAAAGGGCAAAAAAGGAAAACTAGCGAGCCCAGAGCCCTCAATCCCTGATCCCATAGTAGAGCCCGATCCTGAGCCTGAGCCAGCTAAAGAAGAAACGCCCAACAACATTGCAGACATATCTTCGTGGGCAGGTCTGTCGGCAAAAGAACGCAAAAAGAAGGAGAAGGAGGCCAGGAAGAAGGGATTGATCATTCCCGAAGAACCGCCACCACCTCCGCCTGAGCCGGAACCCGAGATCAAAGAGGAGGAGGAGGACACTTGGGGTGGCTGGGGAACATCATCCAGCAAAAAAGATAAGAAAACCAAGAAAAAGGGGTTCTTTGATTTTGATGATGACCCAGCCCCAGTCCCTGAACCTGAAATCGAGCCGGAGCCTAAAGTTGAGCCGGAGGACACTTGGGGTACAGTGTCCGCCAAGGATAAGAAGAAATCAAAGAAGAAGGGTCTACTTGATGTTGTAGAAGAACCTCCTCCTCCGCCTCCAGAACCAGAACCCTCGGCCAAAGAAGAGCCTATCTTATCGGCAAAAGAAAGGAAAAAGAGGGAGAAGGAGGCAAAGAAGAAGGGATTCTTCGATTTCGACGATGAACCGGCTGCGCCCGAGCCTGTGCATGAACCTCAACCCGAACCCGAACCACCCGCGAACGATGACGATACTTGGGGCGGTTTTGGTCTTTCTGCGAAGGACAAAAAGAAAAAGGAGAAGGAGGCAAAGAAGAAGGCCGCGGCAGCAGCTCTCGAGGCTGAACCTGAGATTGTAGTTGAGCCCGAGCCAGCCGAAGACAATGCGAACAACACTTGGGGAACATGGGGTGCAACAAGCAAAGATAAAAAGAGTGGTAAAGAGAGCAAGAAAAAGGGCATTTTCGAGCTCGATGAGCCGAAGGAGCCTGAGAAACCTCCAGAGGACGATATTTGGGGATCTTGGGGCACGAAAGACAAGAAGAATAGTAAGAAGTCCAAAGCCAAGGATGAGCCTCCTCCTCCTGTACCAAGCCCGCCTGCTCAAGGTCTCACTCCGGAGCCAGATTCCGGTGAAATGCTGGATAACGGAGATACATGGGCGGCGCTGACGACAACTAAGAGCAAGTCTTCCTCCAAGAAGAGCACAACCCTAGAAAAGGAACAATCAAAGGCTACCGAGGAGAACAGTACCAAGATCAGCAAAAGTAGCGCGTGGGGATTTGGAACGACCACCGCTACAAAGTCTTTAACCAAAAAAGAGAAAGAAGCAAAGGCCAAAAAGGAGGCGGAAGAGCAAGCCAGGAAAGATGAGGAAGAGAGACTCGAACGCGAAGCTGAAGAGGCTGAAGCAGCTCGGCTGGTTGAAGAAGAGGCTACAGCGGCTGCGAAGAAGTCTAAGACAAAATCTGGCAAAATGTCTAAGACTGAGACTAAATCCAGTAAATACAAGGAAGCAGATGACCTTCTTGAGGCCCTTAATGAACCGACTTCCGGCACAAAAGCAGACAAGACCTCCAAGCTGAAAAAGACTACTTCCAGCAAGGAGGAAAAGACCGAAAGCAACAAGACTGAAGACTACTTTGGTATCTGGGGTAGTAGTGGGTCGACAACCAAGAAGACAGCTGGCAAAAAGGAGGCCGACGCCAAAAAGGAAATTGTCAAACAGGGGTGGTCCAATGAGGACGACGCGCTAGCAGACCTCACGAACGATCTCGACCTCGATGTTGACTTCGAAAAGCCAGCAAGCTCCTCCAAGACGGCAAAGGCAATGACATCTGGAAAGAATAAGTTGAGTTCTTCGGTAGCAGAGCGCATCAAAGCATTGGAAGGCAAAAAAGAAGACAGCGGAAAGAAGTCGAAGGGAGACACGTCGCTGACTAAGGATCTGGCTTCGCCTCAAGACGCGCCACCACCCAAAGAGGAAAAAAAGATCAAGGACAAGGCGCCAGCCTCGAAGTCAACCGTCGTCGAGGCAAAGTCTTCCAGTAAGAAAACCGAGGCGTCTACTATCAATGCTGAAAAGAAGTCGAAAGACGCAGTACCTGGAAGCTTCCCTGGCGCGTTTGGTGACGACTTTGACGATTTTCTCGGGACCGACAACCCATCCATGCCGCCGTCGCCGGAGAAGTCTAAGTCGAAGGCTAAGACTGTCGACAAGAAAGGGACCAAATCATCGAAGACGGCAACAACGAAAACTTCTGCGAGTAAGGACGTCGGCCTGCTCGACGAGGAACCTTCAAAACTGCCAACACCTCCACCCGAAGAGAAGAAAGCTAGTAAAAAGGAACGGCCGAAAGTTGAGCGATCTGCCACTTCATCATGGGGATTCTGGGGCGCTGCACCTCCCCCGAAGAAGTCGACGAAAGAGAAGTCTGAGAAGGAGGATCTTGACGTAGCGCCGATACCTAAGAAGGAAAAGTCACCCACCGGCTTGACACGTTCCAAGTCAACACGAACACCCAAAGAAAAGGATCAAGAGGACAAGAAGGATGCCGAGAAGCTTTCAAAATCATCTGGTTCTGAGAAGGACACCAAGACGAAGACAACAAGGCCGACGACAAGCCGTGGTACATCATTCTCAAATTTCATGTTCGGTGGTCCTCCGCCGTCAGCTATGCGGCAGAAGACCACTACCCGGAGGTCCAGCAGTGCTGCAAGTTCTCGACCATCTTCGTCTCGGCGACAGTCCGTGGATGGCCTCATGTCGCCTCCTCCAGAAGAAGAGCCTCGAATTACAGACAAAGCGGCAAAGCTGATGGGAATCAAAGGTAGCAAACTTGAACGTCGTCAATCGGTCAAGAGCAAGTCGAGTGAGTTCCAATTTCTGATATTCACCCTAATCTCATCTGTATTGACATGAAACCAGATGTTCCCGATCCATACCCAATCGACGATGATGACATGGTGATGATCCATACTCATGATGATACTCCTCTAGTCAATGGTGGCACCACGACGGAGAAAGCTAAGTCGAAGGCAACAAAATCTAAGAAAGAGGTAGGTGACTTTACCTCCTCGTCCACACCAGGGCAACTTGTCCGGCCATCCTGGTCGCCAGACTTTGCCAAAGTGACCCAAGCTGACGGACGGATTTATTATACACAGGTAAAGTCCCATAAAAAGGACCTATCCCACGACGACGACGTTGTCATGGTTGATGCCGCTGGTCATGGAGACCCTGTGGTTACAAGCGGTCCAGATGACGTCGCCTTTGTTGACCATCCACCAGCTCTCAAGAGGAGTAATACCGCTTCAAGAAAGTCCACTGGATTTTTCAGCAGCTTCTTTGGAGGTCCGAGAAACGCTGACTCGGATCGCGAAAGGCTCCGAAGCACCACACTCACCGATGCCGAGGACCAAGGCTTGCCGATCCGTACCAAGGACAGAACCAAGCGAAAAGCCCGTGTTGTGGACGAAGAAGGGCTCACCACAGATGCTCCTGCCGAAACTGATGCTGACATGGAGGCTCGTCGAGCCGAACGAAAGGCCAAGCGGCAAGCTCGTGATCAGGAGGAAGAAGCAGAAAGAGTAGAGCGTGAGCAACGCCGCCGGGAGAGGAGAGATCGCGAAAAAGCAGATCTTGAGGCCCGCCAACGCAGAGCACGTGAGCGTGAGAAAAAGGACCGAGAAGAAGAAAAACGGCGGCGCGAAGAGAGAAGGGCTCGAAGAGCAGAGAAGGAGGCACGGATCCGCAAGGAAGAACTTGATTTAGAGGCCGATGCCGAACGACGACGTGAAGAGCGGAGGCGACTACGAGCCCAACTCGAGGCCGAACAAGGGGGTGACCTTGAAAAGTCCAAAGAAGAGCGACGAAAGTCGTACTACGCAGAAGAAGAGGAACGAAGGCGGCGAAGAGAGGGCAAAACCAAAGACAAAGTTCGTGAGAAATCCAGCCGCAAGAGGTCTAGCGCTCTGGTCGAGGAGTACCATGAGAGTCGAAGTGGGAGTGGCAAGGGGATTGCTCCGCCTGCCAACAAGACGAGCTCGTGGGTGAACTCCCAGGCAGACGAACCTCCAGAGATTCCGCCTGTTGAGGGTACAATCTTGGATCCCAGTGGTGAGAAGCCTCGACCAGCTGAGGACGAGCTCGATCGCAAGCGTCGCAGTCGACATCATGATAGGTACGCTGGCATGACTGATGCCGAGATTGACGAGTATCGAGCCAAACGCAAGAGTCGTCGCGCGGAGGGCAAGAGTGCCAGTGGTGGTAGCGATGAAAAAGACAAGAAAGACAGACGGAGACGGCGAGACCGTGATCCTGCTGCGGATGGCTACGGTGGCTATGGGTACGACGAGGCCCCGGTCAAGACGTGGGATGGTCGACCGACGCTCGCCAGAAACGACAGTAAGAGAAGGAGCTTCTTGGGCGGATTTTTCTAGGTCCATGGTCGTACGGCAGATGAATGAACAGAGATGACATGATGTGGCAGGTCCAGACATGCCTTGTTATTCATTCGACCATGACAACAACGACGACGAAAGATACCACGGGGAGTTCCACCAAAAACAACACGATTGAATCGCCACTCTTTCGACGTGAGTCCATCATCTGCATACACGGAAGCGGTGATACCATTTAAACTTTTCTATTTTTATTTGATCCGGCATTTTCAGCGAGGCAAGCGACCTTTTTTCAACATCTCTTTTGATATCCCTACTGCTGGCAATCATTATTTTGTGGTGGAATTTGGCGACGTCTCGAGACTGGGACAATGGGACCAGTCCACGCGAGGACTCTAATCTGTACCAACAATGAATGACGATCGACGACAAGCAGCGTTTGTGTGACAGAGTTTGACGAGTGTGAAAAGAAAGTTCTTGAAGGATAATGGTGCCCACAGCGTTTTTGGGAAAGCTAGTCGTTTTTACTCAGACGATGATGGTGGTGATGGTGGCTAAGGTAGCTGCTGCCATTGATCTGTGCGTGTGTGTTTTTTTCCCTTTTCGGATAGATACCCCCTTGAAGCTTTTCTTTGTCTCTAAATTCACGATACCATCATTACATAGTCTTTCTCGTTGGCAGTATACTACAATACTACCATCTATAGTGCACCTTACTACACGATATACACCATACATTCGACTTTTTACTACCTTGTCGTCAACATTTGTGACGTTTGACTTCTGCCTCGGCCGTTCTAACTTGGAAACGCGTGCAACAATGAAAAGGATATCGGTATCTACGGAGTATCTAGGTAGATTTGCACGTGTACTCGATAAGCAAATGTCATAACGTTCAGATATCTCAGGGATTCATATAGTCCACTGACTGTGCACCCGCATCAGGACAGGTAGGTAGGTAGGTAGGTAGGTATCTTATGTAGGTATGTAATGAAGGCGTTGTGTACGAAGTAGGTACTATTGTTGCAATCTCTCTCGTCATTCGTCACAACTTCAACGACACAGCGCTTGTAGTGGTAGTAGTGCCGTCGCGGGATGCTCGTTTAGCCTTTTTGCCGTTGCCGACGATGTCCTGCACTTCACCCTTCTTGTCAATGACCTTGACGTTACCCTTGCGCAGGTCGGAGAGCAGCTCAGCCTGGTCCTGGGCTTTGGATTTCCCGGTGGACTTTGATGAGGCCGCACCGGTGTTGTTGTTGTTGGCCACGGACGAGGCACCGCTCTTCTTCATGCGTTCCTTCTCTCTCCTTCGCCTCCGGATCTTTTCTTCTCTGGTCATTTCGTCCTTGTTGACGCTGGCGCCGCCCTTGCGCGACACGATGCCGTCTGCAGCGGCGACGCCCTTGTTGTCCTGGCCTCCTCCTGGCCGGTACACCTCCTGCGGCGCGAGCATGCTCTCCTCGGCGTTGACGCCGACGCCGACGGGCCTCGCGTCTTCCATGCTGATGGTCGGCTTGTCTTCGACCGTCTTGATCTCGGCCTCGACCCGCTTGGGTTTGAAGTGGAGGTTGCTCAGCAGGTCGAGCTGCGACGAGACTTCCTTCCACAGCCGCGAGATCTCGTCGTGGGCGCGCTTCGTCGCCGTGGACCGCTTGTCGACGTAGCCCGGGTCCGTGGCGCGGAGGTGGTCCTGCTCGTAGATTTCCGCGAGACCCGACTGCGGCTTGGTGTCGTCGATCTCGACCCGGCCGCGGCGCATGTCGTTGGCGCCGCCGAGTGCGTCCGGGTACCGGCGGACCACCTCGTCGAACTCACGCGCGAGGATGCGCCGTTTGATCAGCGCCTCGATCTCCTCGGACACTTCGGCTGTGATCACGGGGACGGGCTTGCCGGTGCGTTCGAACTCGAGGTCCTCTTCGATCAGCGAGTTGAGTGGCCGGTCGCCCGCGCGGGCTTCGCCGGATAGAGTCCAATCTCGCTTCGCGACGTTGGCGGCCTCGAGGCGTCGGATCTCGGATGCAATGGCGGCCCGCTGCCGTTCGTGCGTCGACATGTTCTTTTTCAGCTCGTCGTTATCCGAGCCGTCGGTGCCAGATAGCTCTTCGTCGGATTCGAGAAGATCCCGCCGTACATCGGCCATGGCGCGCTGCATGTCGGACTCGAGTTCAGAAGCGTCGCGCAGTTTGGATTCAGGGGCGGGTTGGGTCTTCGGCAGGGCTCGCATCCGTTTGGTCCTTGATTGCTTCTTCGGTGGAGGTGCAAAGAAGTCAGCGTAGCGGATGTCATTGGTGTTTGAGATTGTAGGCATGCCGTTTTCCAGGTCGACGTTTTCACCCTCGGAGATGTCTTCGTCGCTATCGTCGGCGTTGAGGTCGGCGTTGCCAAATGTAGGGCCGTCTTCCTCATCGTCTTCATCATCGTCGTCATCTCGATCCGCTTGATCATCTCGAGCTGCTGCGTCTTCGGCATTCTGACCGCCTTTTGGTTTGTGGAATGGCATGGTCAACGGATCGACATCCCAGTCTATTTCGTCCTCATCGCTGGGGTTGTCATCTTCCCCTCGTGCGTCCTGCTGCTCGAGAAACTGTGTTTGCTTGTTGAAATCGTCGATGGAGAAAAAGCCGTCATTGAGTCCGTTCGGGTCGGGCAGATATGTGGCGGCATTGGCTTCTTCCGCATCTGTGCCAGACTCTTCCTCGTCTTCAATATCTTCCATGTCCTCGATGTCCTCTTCATCATCGTCGTAGTCGTCAAAGTCCATGCCATCGTCAAGCATATCTTGGTCAGAATCATCTTCTGCCTCTTCTTCGTCCCCAGGCATGTCCGCTTCTTCATCCAAGTCTTCGGAAAGATCCTCGTCTTCAGTGGCGTGGCCATTAATACCGTTCGTCAGCGAGTCATGCTTAGAGAGTTCCTTTTGGACGGCAATTTCCCGCTCGACCTCGAAGCATGCCGCGTCCAGTACACGTCTAGCCTGTTCCCATACTTGCTTCACTCCCAACCCACCAGTGTAAACTTGTCGCAGGTGCAGGACCTCCTCTTCTCGCTCAACATCTCCACGTTTCCTCTTCTTTCTGTTCTCATCGCGTCTCGCCTTCTGTGTGTCTGCGACATTGGTGGCCAAAGGGTCGAGGAGGCTCTTAACACATGCTAGTGCCTCGAGGTGTAGCGCAGACGAGGGTTGCAGAAACGTTTGTGTCGAGTCTGTGAGGCTTGCGAGCAGACCACTGGCATCGGGCATTGCACCGGCCGCACTGGTGGCAGCGACCGCAGTCATGTTGGCTGCAATGCTGGTCGAGCCACTGATGGAGCGTATGGAGTGTTGCAGTCGGTCGCAGTGCGCTACAGGAAAATTTTGGTAAAAGCCGCTGACGATAAAAGTTGACTACGCCCAGTTGGAGAATCACATGCAGTACAATTTTTCGTCTTAGTTTTTTTGCCGGGGAGCCTCAGGTGGAGGAGACATGAAGCCCACCAGCCCCGTGGCCACTAGGAAAAACATCCTGGCGTCACTAACTCATTGCCCTTGGTGGCGCCTGTGCTTGAACTCCGGATTTCTGGATTGCTGGGTCTCTTCACTGCAGCAATAAACCAGAAATGAAAAGCTTGGACTTTACCTCGGATGATTCTAAATCAAGATTAATAACACATGTGAGCAAAGCTTCGAATCAAACAGTCAAAAGCAATCACGTTGTCGTGTCCGGGAGATTTGCTGACAGGGCGAGATTGATGCATTAGAGCATGCATATCACTCTCATAAGAAAGTCGTCGTTCCAACTCATGATACCTGTGTTTGGGTAGCTTCATGGCTAGGATACCTTAGTCCCAGAGCACCGAGGTCCGTAATTTGCCAGGTGTTGGCAGCCCCCTGGGCCCCATTGAGAGCCTAGAACTCTTGACTGCGCTAGGCTCCTCCAGGCGGGCTTAGGTGGGTTTGGGGCATTTAGCCTGTGCTGAGCCACCTGCAAGACCCGCTGAAGTGGCCAGGGTCCGTCACTATCTTTCTCTCGCCGTCGTGTTGCGATAGTCCCTCCCCTCGTGCCAATGAATATATCTGCAGCCAGGCGAAGCCAATCGACGAACTATTGCTTGAAACAACTCTTGTTCTCCTCTGTCCGTGCATATACTCAGCTGCGATAACCTTCATCCCCTCTCTACCCTGGTCCCTGCGTAGCCTATCAAAGCACCCCAGTCGACCTTGCTCTCACAGCAAGCTTCTGGCAATAGGAATCACTAGGCCTTCCTCGCCCAATTCCCGGTCGAATTATGTACCAACAACTTATCCTCCAACATCATCCACATACGTTTGCTGGTACACGATCTACGATCGGCCTCGATTGATCCCCAGACCTGACTGCGCTCTGCTCGTCCGAAGCGGTTCCCAACCTATTGTTGTATTACCCCTCCATGTATATGGAGTATATCTTCTCTATTCCGCCGCAGACACTCAACTTTCCCTATCACTACAGAATAGTGACTATCGATCCTACCTGCCAATGAAGTTTGGTGACACCCTCTACCAGAGGTCTGTCCCGAAATGGACCGCCTACAATGTAAAGTACAACGAACTCAAGCACCTCATCAAGATCCGAACCTCCGCAGGTGTCGTGGTTCCTGTGGGTATACCTGTGCAGGGCAAGAGCAAGTGGGAAGAGTTGGAAAACGAACTGTACACTTTAATAGAGGGCGAATATAACAATGTGACTCTCTTCCTTCGGAGTAAGCAGGGCGAGATTGAGCGGCGCCTGGCCTACGTCGAGAAGCAGATCAAGTTGGCACAGCGCGCCGTGGAAGATAACGCTCTGCATAAGTCCATCATACAAGCCAGGAAGTACCGACAACTGATCAAGGACGTCGATGGTATCGGCGATGAGGTACAGAACTTGTCGCGCTTTGCTGCCGTGCAAAAGACGGCCTTTCGCAAGATTCTCAAAAAGTACCGGAAATGGACTGGTTCTACAGCTTTACAGACCAGATTGGACGTCGAAGTGTTTTCCTCCAAAAAGTTACAGACAGACTTTTCTGATTATCTTCAGGAGTTGTCTGAGCAGAAAGCAATCCTAACAGAGGAACTCGCTGGTCCCATGCTTACCGGTCGACCTGGAAGTCCCTCGTCCGCATCAGACAAACAGCAGAAACGTATCTCTGCTTCAATGAAAAGGTCATCTACTACCAAACTCAACGAGGCAGTTCTTCGGGGTTCTTTGGCGTTTGACGCGGCCATCTTGACCGTGCCATATGGCGAAACTGCAGGAAGTGTCTTCTACTGGATTCACCAGGACAATCTTGACGAGACTCGTGCTCTGCTTTTGAGACACATGCGAGATGCCTCCGTTTCCTCAACACCATCCAGGAACAACTCACTCGAGTCCATCGCTTCCAGGAAGAGACCAACCCTGGAGTCGGATTCTAATCTCCTCACCCATATGGCCATTTTTGACAATGCTTATCGGTATACCAAAGACCAAGGCATCTCCCGACCATCTCGGATAGCATTGAGTAGTCATTGGGGCTCGGCACCCGAGGCAATTGTCACTCTAGCTGGCCTGTCCCCAACTTCCTCGGACAGCACCATGCTCACGGTCAGTCGCAAGGATTTGGTCAGTGCCCTACAGTGTGATCAGACAACCAGTAGCACATCGGAAAATGTACACATCGTTCGCAAATACCTGCGAGAACACAGAGACATTCAACCGCTGGCTCATGTTCACTTTGCTCGTAATCGCTACCTCGGCCTGACCAATACTACGGAGATGGGAATCTGGGCGACACTTGACTCTAATGTCACCGTGACTTCCGTGGATATGGACCACATTGGAGAACCTCTTCCGCAGACCCAGACTGGAGATGTCTTCCCCTATTCGATACTTCATATTCGATGGGAGGCCGCACGCATACCACCTGCGGCACGCGCTTTCGATGAGTCCCATTTGGTGGAGCGCGTGGAGGGCTTCACGCTGGAAGATTTGGCCATTCATGCTGTTCAGAAGGATTTGGCAGAACCATCCTGGCATCCTCTCCTGCAGAAAGATATTCGAAAGGTGCCGACTTCGCCGCGGATGAGCAGACTAGGGTCTGCAAGCCGCTCGCGGCTCAATGTTGCAGATATGGCTGGCACGTCTTCTGGGCCTTCGTCGACCGACGGACCTCAAGGAAGTATCTTCTCCGCTGGCACTGTTGAAGCTGTTTCAGTCACATCCGAAAGCGCAGAACAAGGCAACACAGGACCTTCCAGAGTGTCGGCAGTCGCGAACAAGCCCCGCAGGAAGAAGATTGCTCGTATCAAGGTTCCCGAACGAGCTCCGTCTCCCGTCAGATATTGGAACGAGTTCGACGATGGGGACTCCGATGTCAATCAGGGGGGCGGCTATGTGATTTATGTTGACCCTGACGAGCCTGCATTCCCCGGTGCCGAGAAGATGGCACAGGCGTTTGGAGCTTTGTACGACAGCCTCAGTCGGGGCACAACCAAGCTTGTATCTTGGTTGCCGCTTCATTCGGAGAAAGGCCAAGATGGCTTTGCGGGAGAACGCTCGCCGTTGCTCAGCGGCGAAAACGACGATTTTGACACGTCGGGTTCGGACACTGAAGGATCGATTGTTCAACGTTCCCCGCGGCAGGCAAACAGGCGTCGTCAGTCGCATCGGCCGCGCTCTGGAACTTCAACATCTTATCGCCCTGGTCAGGTTCTCACTCCGCGTCAAAAGGCACTGGAACAAATGCTATTCATGTTCTACTCGGGATTGATCGCCATATCGTACGTGCTTCTGATCATGTCGAGCATCCTCCTGGGAACGGGCCGCAGGAAAGCCTATGTCGAGGTCGATGCCGGCGTTGTCGCGGGCGTCGTCTCCGCAGAGACGTGTGCCATCGCCGCCACGATCCTGATCATGATGAGGAGACAACAGCTCAGCGTGCTCCACTGGGGCCTGGTCGCCGTCCTGGTCTCGAGCGTTGTTGTCGTTGGCGTCGCGCTGTTGTCGTTCATGTTTGCAGGTGTAGCTCCCGGCTCCGACAAGAAAGGGTCGGGTGGTAAATCGGCGAGGATAACTGGAAATCAGTGATCAATCAGCCCGGACCCTATTCTGTTCTGCGTCTGTGTGTTATGGATCTAGAAATTTTCGTTCAGCCGAGTCGAGTACTTGTGCGTGCGTATCGGGGCGCCGCTGTCTGCGGTGTGGTCGTTCCATGCAACAACACAACTACGGTTACTATCTTCCCCTTTTTGTTGTTGTCCTTGGGATCGTCTGCTGCGCCCGAGCTCTCTTTGGGTGTGTGCCGGCACCATTGTTCTGTCGCGTACAGTAGTCCTGTCGTTTTCGAGCGAGGCGTTCAGGCGGGTTTTCGTTGTTTTGGCTGCCTGGCAGAGTGAGAAGCCGGCAATCGCAGTCCGCATTGTTTGCACTGGCCATGGGGTTTGACATATAGAATAGGTACCTCAAATGTGCATTATGCCGTAATGGAATCATGGCTATGACATGCAGGAGAAAAGCGGAAAACAGGCAGGTTTTCTTGAGAGAATTGCATGAACTTTGTTTCTTCAATGGATTCAGTACCGTCGAAACCCTCACTCGTATATTCTCTTCTTATCCTGAGCAAGTACGATCCCTGGTATAGCTCTCATCGCAAACTCCAACCAAAAGCACATCTCTGACGTCTCTACATCGACGGGCATCCAGGGTGAAACTACACCCACAATTGTCAACCACGCCATCCTATCATCCGCCACGAAACCCTCAACAATCTCATGACACCCAATCCCTGCATTGACTTGTAATCCAAGTGCGTCTCCTTCGGAGTTCCACATGTCCGCTCCTTCAGTGGGAACGAATCCACCTGGCCCACCCCACCCACATGTCTTGAGTCGGTGGTGTCGAATGATCTTCTGCTCTGACGTACAGAAGTCACGTCCCAGCATGGCTTGCTGTTCGGTCTACTGCTGTTTCTTCAGAGTCCCATGTCTCAGAGGGAGTTCGACGTGGATGCTCATCGTCCACCTCCGCCGGGACCTGGTTTGTGAATGTATATGCGGGAGGTGGATCATTGATGTTGTCTCCCCCGTTAACATGCAATGCTCGAGCACCATTGTCGTAGGCCGCCCGCGCAGGAGCACCCGGACCCCTCTGTTCAGCGCCCACGACTATCGAATACCCATCGGCGATATTTTGCAGAATGTCTCCCTCTTGCCCAATCGTCTGCCCAAGTATATCGGAGTTTTCAGCCTGTTCAACGTGTTCCCAACCACGCTGTCCTCGTCGATAGCGTGTGCGGCGCTGGTCATCGACGGAAACAGCCTGGTTTCCGGGATGTCTGTGCACTGAATCATCTTCAAGCTCTCGACCTTCTGCTGTGTTGCCCGGCAGACTCTGCCGACCGATGGGGAATGGGATGATCTGTTCGATTTTCTTGAAGAGGAACTGGAGGCAAAACGCCAACAGGCCAAAGACAAGGATACAGAACAACATGATCAGTAGCCAGACAACAGATTGCTAAGCCAAATTGTCGTCATTGTGACCGTCGCGCGACTTTTGCTCGGCTTCAGTGGACATGTTCGGACGCGGACTGCAATGATGCCGCCTTAGAGCAAGTTCTCCGGGGTGGTCAATGTTATCTGTGGTAGTCAGACGGCTTATGATCTGGACGAGATGCTCGGCCGTTTGATGGGATACAAAGAATGTCATAGAAGGTCAGTATCAGCAAGAATGAAACGAGCATGCAAGCAGAACTAGATGATGAATGATGATGTTGGACAAAGAAGGGAGGGAGTCTCTCAGGACGAAAGCCTTCGTCATTGAGTGCAATATTGCACTTGCCAGGTTTCAGATGTGGTACTTGCCATAGCAGCAGCGCCTGCCAGCACAAGGTAAGATCGTTGTCATAAGGCTTTCTGATGCTGGGGAAAGTGTTGCCTAGTACTAAGAGCCAGGCATGTTGGTGAGTCTTTCCTCTGTCAATCCCCGAAGCAAGGATGACTGGAGTGTGTAGTTTCCATGTACTCTATCAAAATGAAGAAAATACTTGACAGCACTCATTAGTATCAGATGAAGGAGTTCCGGTGTAGAAATGTGGTCAGGTCCTAAATGGTCTTCCTTGGAGGGGAAGCTCAGAGTGCTCGTCTAAGCGCCGGCGAGATTACTCTCCGTGCCCTAAGTCGGAGCAAAGGACATGAACTGATGAGGAGCAAACAAAAGGAATTTTTGAGGAACAAAAGGAAGTTTTGAAAGCGAGTCTGATTTACAGTCTTATCGGCTTGATGTTGAATATGATTGAAGGATTGTTACCGAGATAGATAAAGAGAGCCGAGTTAGTACCAATGAAGCCTGCAACATCTCGTTACTTAAGTTTAGTGGCTGAAAACACGAACAATCAATTTGCTGTATGTTTTAACGATGAATTGCGTCTCAAATAATCAATTTGACAGTTCCAAATATCATTGAACAGATTAACGGGCTCACTCGTCATTTAAAGGATTGATAAGAGTAGGGAGCAGAGAGATAACATCGCTAGCAGGTGCCATGTAAGGAATAACTATATTCCGAGTGCCAAGCTATTTTAAAGTTAAGGTATGCACGGAGTCGGTGGCTTTGCATTTGGGAGAGCCAATCGGCCGCGCAAGGCCTTATCCGCCAATCGCAGTCGCGGCTTCCTCGTCGAGAAAGGCGCGTGTAGTCCCCCAAACCCGAGCAGGCGAATGGTCGACCCTCTTCAAAGCATCAGTCAACACAACTATGTGTATACTTCGTATCCCCTTCAGCTGATATCATCTACTCGTAGCCACCCCAAGCTACGAGGTAATCGTCGTCCTCTTTCTCTCAATCTTCTTCTCCCATACCACCAGGCGCCAACGAGTATCAGAACACAAAACATGGAAGATTCCGAAACGCAAACGCTCGACAACGAGGTCACCGACCGTACCCCCCTCCTCCCCTCTGACCGTCGTTACCTCGAGACTCTGCGTTCGTCGCGGGACTTCATCGCCTGCCACATCCTTAAGATCCACGGCGAGGACTCCTCTATCTGGAAATTGCGCACCAGTCTCCAGCGTTTCTTTTCCTCCAAATGGGGCCACTACTTTGTCATTGCCCTCGTCACGGTCGACATCTCTTGTATCTTTGCAGACTTCATCATTTCGCTTCACGTGTGCGAGCATGGGGGCGACAAGGACTTCCCTTTCGAGTTCTGGGAACTCGTCAACTCTGTCTTGGGCTACGTCAGCCTTGTGTTCTCGTGCCTTTTCATGGCTGAATTGTTAGGTTGCATCTTCGCCTTTGGTCTTGGGTACGATTTGTTTCCCCCATTGCGCCCCCCTCCCCCCCGGCAAGCCCCTCCCTTTCCATGGTCTGCTTCAAAACTGGCGCAGTTGCCATCAATATTTGTGCACAATCAACCCCGCATGTCTTCTGTTAACACATGCGCCCTACAGGTATTTCAAGTCGAAATTCCATATCTTCGATTCCGTCGTAATCGTCGCAGGCTTTATAGTCGACGTCCTTCTGAGGGGCCCGGTCGAAGAAGCAGGTTCGCTCATTGTCATCGGTCGACTGTGGCGCGTGTTCAAGATTATCGAGGAGTTCTCCTCTGGCGCCCAGGGCGAACTTGAAGAGATGTACGAACGGATCCAACAGTTGGAGGAGAAGAACGATCAACTCAGCAAAGAGAATCAACAGTTGCGATTTCGAGGCGACCGTTCTTCTGACCCATGACGTTAAGTCGGAATGATGGATTTTCCTTGCAGACTGACGGTCCACCATCGTTGTCGGGCGACGTAATTGATGGGGATTCCCAGCATAGACACCTATGTTTGCGAGATTGCTATTTGTATCACGGATTTGCGATACCTTGCGTTATTGTTTAACAAATGTGCCACCAAAGTCAAAATCCCCTTTCCAGGATATAATCAGCCCGGATCGGCCAGAAGTTCGGCGGGAAACCCCAATAACACGTCTCTGAGTAAGGAAGATAACGACAAGGGTAGTGTAACTTCACCGGCGATGTTTGACCGCGGATGACAATAATGATCAATGATGAGACGTGATTCATTCCATTCTGAGGCTCGCTAATTGTGGCTCTTTCTGCTATATAAAGACACGAAACTCAAAGAAAAACTTCGTGAGTACTAAAGAGTGGACGCCTTTCCAAGCGGCTGCACTCGACGGCGACAGCATAAAAGTGTCAATCCACTCAGGATCGAACTCGGTCACACTCCTCGATGAACCGATAAATTCCTTCCAGTCCTTCGTATCCGTTGTCTCTCACGGAAGCTAGATCCCGACCAGCCACCCTTGCCCTCTCAGGCTGAAAGAAGTACATGGCAGCATCTCCCTCGCCTAGCTCGCTCTCATGCAGGCTAGAGTATCCCGAAGGCGATGATACCCAAGGGTTAGTACCCAAGGCACCGTCGACCACCTCGAAATTGTCTGGTGATCGACCTCGATCAGACACATGAGAGTAGCCTGCGGATTGCCGCCGCGGTGGAGTGAGCATCTCGTGCCAGTCTACGCAGTCCCGCTTGGCTCGTTTCGCAGGTCTGGCCAGAGCCTCGAGACAAACTTCACTCGCGGTCTTGCTCGGAGCGAATGGAAACATCAGGGCCATGTCAGTGCCGTTCTGAGAGTCAAAATCCTCGTCCTGTCCGACTATGCCTCGCTTGATGTTGAGCTCCCTGCATAGGCCCTCGACGGTGTCCGAGTCACATCCAGGGAAACGAACACGGAGGGTGCTGTTGTCGTGCAGGAAGAGAGGCAGGTCGCCCAATGTTGCCAGGTGTTTCAAGTCGTTCATGATTGCGGCTAGATCTTTCAGCGCACGGGCAAAGTCGACAGCCAAGTTGGACATGAGCTTGGTGTTATTCAGAGAGTGCTGCTCGGACTCGTCATCACAAGATGGTGATGGTGAGCGTGGGATGTTGCTGAGTGGGCCGACGGCGGTGATGGTTGGGCAGACTTTGAAGTCGATGAACGAGCCGGGTGCATTGGCCGAGGACATGTCCATTCTTTGTCGGGCGTCTTCTTGCAGATTCGAGACGGCCCTGAATCGTTTCTCTCCAGTCTTTGTCGCTCCATCGAATCGCGCCTTTTGCCCAGATAACCAAAAGGCTCGAACGGCCTGTGAGACATTGTTGACAACCTGCGCCGGGGCAGTAGGTGAGTGCGAGAAGTATCTCGCTCCGCCAACACGACCACCTCCTAAGCCATAGCCTCCCGCTGAACGGCAGAGCGTGCCACCTGTGAGACTTGGTCGAAGGGTCGAGGCAAAAGGAACTCGGCCAGTGGATCGACCGACAGCGGCGGCCGTTCGAGAAGATGGGTAAGATGCCCGGGTTCGTGTCGAGGTGCCAGAGTACGAAGAATAGTGTCTGGCAGAATTTATAGTTGCACGGCTTGTGCTGTAAAGACGGCTGCTATGAGCTTGTCGAATCTGATTGATGCGGCTGATGGGTTGTCGCTGAGAAACACGGGCGTATGCAGGCTCGGCGTTGGCCTCAACCGGCTTTGCTGCCTGCGGAAGCTTCTCACGGATGAGGCGACCCGACTTCTCAACGGCGTACTTGATCAGCCTCATGGCCTTGGGGACCAAAAGGTGACCTGACGCTCCCGCCATGATGTTTACCCACCAAGGCGTGAGATCAAGAGAGATGGTGGGAAAGGGGGAGACGAGGACGACGTCCGCAGCAGCGAAGTTCAACAACCAAGACTCGGACTGTTTGGCTGGGGATTCGGAATCATTTGCCACCCATGATTCGCTCCCCCGCATCAGGGTCCGAACCCAGCCACGTGATCAAATCACGTGATTTTATATATTTGAGGCACGGCTTGCGATGTTGTCTTCATGGGCTGTAGAGACTCAAGCTGAGGATCGGCTACTATGAGTGCCCAATCTATAATCATATCTCTGGGCTGCGACTAGAAGTTTGAGTATGGGAATATGGGAAAGGTAGATATCCTGCAAAGGCTGGAACTCAACTCCGCTCAAGAAGTCATCCCAAGAGCAAGCCTCGGACTTGGGACTAGACTGAGGAATGCTGGCTTTCCTGAGGTTGTGTATAGGATAGAACGAAATCCTCTAGAACGCGGTGATCATTGATCAAGTGTCCTCGAATTCCTGTCATACTGCCGACACGGTAGGCAAATCGCTGTTTAGACCAATCGTACGTCTCACCAAAACCATCCTGGAAGTAAAATCGCTGTACTTAGATTGCTCGATTATTCTGGGACTTGCCCGAGTGGAGTCATCGACCGAGACATCAATTGGGGCACCATGATCCCGGTCGCGGTGGATAGCTGACATGCCTGCTCAGGGTGATGTTTCGGTGGATGTTGAAAGGGCCTGAAATGTATGTTGCTTCCTCCCAAGAGCTCGCTGTCAACAGAAAGATGTTCTCATCGTCGATTGGCACCCACGGAGAGTGCGTACACTCAAGCGTGTACACGTGTCTCTTGAGGCCAGCTTGAGGGATTTTGAGAGTTACGGGGGTCTCCGTCGAACTTCCTGGCTCGGGTGGGCATCAAGGTATCTCTCAACGCGGTACCGGCAGAATAGGCGTCCCCCTGTTGGCCAGGTCAATAATTTACGGGTTATATGTTGTGAACTGTGAATTCTTCTCAACAATCATACTACCCGGGTCTCGACCTGCACCGGGCAGCTAGTCGAGGCGTAAGGGGTGTCACCAGTATGGTTCCCAGTATTCCCTTGGGCTCTCGTCGTGAATCCTTGAGACGACCCCTGACTCTAGAGTCCCCCGACTCTAGCAGTTCCTAGCTAATATGGACTCTCCCGAAGAGCACCTAATGCGGGAGGTAACCTGCCGATACCTCGAGAAAAAATCCCTTCTTCGACTGGGGATTTTCCCTCGACCTGGACGTCAGCTACAAGAGCGTGTAGTTGGCCTCCAGGTTAGAGTTTTTGTCAATTCAGAAAACTTGGTATCGGGTTCGAATCTCATGCTGATTTTTTTTGTCACTCACAACTGAGGTGTTGAAATCATTCTCCGACGCCAATAAACAAACAAACAGAGTGAAGTTGAAGAATGACATGTCAAGGCATGATTAAGTGTCGTACTTTGCAACTACTCTCAATCGAGAAGAGAGTGATGCCGCCCTTACAAGCAAAGGCTGAAACACACGTAACACTAAGAACCCAACAACGTACACCTACAACCCGAAATGGCAATTTTCCTCCAAGGCCACACACAACAGCAGACGGCCCCTGAAATCTAAGTGAAGATCCATCTCTCCATGCCATCGGATTGCCGTGCCGAGAAGTTCGGGGTTAAAGGTGCCACCGACGACTTTCTCCGGTCGAGGATGAGGATTGATACTCCTCACGGCCGGGAAGGTGACATGGCCTCTTGGGAAGAAAATGCAATCGCCGTGTATGAGAATCGAAACCACGCCCCAAACCCAAGAGATCCGATACAGCAGTTTTACAGTATGCCTTTCGATTCTGAAAGACAGCTTCGGCGACTCGACCTACGAGTGGGGATGACTTTTGCCACGGTTGCCGATGACTTCTACCAGTGTGACGCCGACGACACATCCTTTCGTACTCCAGCTTCGCCTGGGCTAGTCAAAAGTGCATGAATTTCGAACCCCATGGACCGGACATAGTTCATAAGGCCGGAGTGTTGCTAATCAAGCTGGTAGGTTCACAGCGTAACACACCATTTGCGGCAGATTCGTCGCCTTCCATGCCCGCTGCATGTGTAGGTAGGGGTGTGTTCATCTATAAATACATATATATCACCCATCGAGCTGCATGCGTGCTAATGAGTCTTTCTTTTTTACGCCAGACTACTAGACACCGACACTGTGAGTCGAGTCAGATTCTGCATCGATGGCTACACAGGATGAGCTCGCTACTGGCCCTAATCTTTCGACTGCACAACGGGCGGACGCAGTCCAGTTCAGTCTTGCATCAGCCCATGATCAGAACGCCGGTGGCATTGTCAGCTTCGACGGCTTGACCGACCCTGACAACCCTTTGAACTGGACTCGAAGGAAAAAGTGGACCATGACGATCTTGTGCGGTATGACCACGGTGGGAACGACGTGGGCAAGCAGCATGTATGTATGCCACCCATTCACCTGATTCTTGTCTGTGCACATTGAACGAGTTACTCACCTACGACCATCCTCAAGCAGTTTCTCAACCGGAGCGAATTCAGTCCACCACGAATTTGGCATTGGCCTCGAAGTTGCGGAACTAGGCCTCACGCTGTTCATGATAGGTTTAGGTACCGGTCCTGTCCTCTTCGCTCCCCTCTCCGAACTCTACGGTCGCCGAATTGCTATTCTACCGGCATTCTTCGTTTCCGCATGTTTCGCATTTGCAACGGCCACCGCGAAAGATGCACAAACAATCTTCATAAGTCGCTTCTTTTGCGGCTTCTGCGGCTCCGCACCCGTGGCTGTAACCGCGGGCATTCTGAGTGACATCTGGATACCAAAAGAGCGCGGGAAAGCCATGACCATTTATGCCATGGCGGTCATCACGGGTCCACTCGTGGCTCCTGTCGTGGGGGGTGCATTTGTTACGGCCGAGGGACTGGGTTGGCGATGGACGGAATATGTGCGCAAGCTTTGAACCCTTGTCCCGCGTGTGGCTGGGAAGCAATGCAACTAATATACATGATTGGTACTAGATCACCGGGATTCTCATCTCCTGTATCCTCGTCGCTGACGTCTTGTTTCTGGACGAATCTTACGCCCCAATCCTACTGAGCAGAAAAGCTAGACTTATGCGAGTCCGTGGTAGTTGGGCTGTTCATTCAAAGCATGAAGAGTGGGAGTTCAGTATCAGGGAACTGACGAGCAGGTACCTCCTTCGGCCGCTCATGCTCATATCGCTAGAGCCCATTTGCTTCTTGATGTGTCTTTATGCGAGTTTCGTGTTTGGCATGATCTACATGTGAGTCCGGAACACCAGTAAGGGGGTGTTGTTTCTGGATTTAAGAGCGTTTGGAAGAATCAGAAAACTGATGCGTGTCCCAACAGGACGTTCCCAGCTTTTCCAATCGTTTTTCAAGGCGCAAGTTTTTCCCAACATGTGGTCACCTTTTTGCTTGCTCCATTTTACTGACTTACCTTGAAGCTACGCGGTTGGAGCCCAGTTGTCGGCTCACTCCCTTTTCTCGCCGTATTGATCGGTGCCACTCTCGGCTCGGCACTGAATCTCTTGAATCAACGACACTTTGTCAAGGTCCTCCAACAGAACAAAGGCCGCCCCGTTCCTGAAGCACGATTGCCGCCGATGATGATCGGTGCACCTCTATTCGCCACAGGGCTATTCATCTTTGGATGGACTTCCAAAACAAACGTCCACTGGTTCCCGTAAGTTAACCTATCTTGCAGTCGGGGCAGGAAATATGTCTGACTGTATACGCCAGGTCTATATTTGGGACCGTTCTTGTTGGGTTTGGCTATGCTACCATATTCCAAGCAGCATTAAATTATCTTGTCGACACCTACCAGGAATTCGCTGCGAGTGCGGTTGCGGCGAATACGTTCTCAAGGTGTATGCTTGCCGGAGCATTTCCGCTTACCGCACATCCGCGTGAGGGCCCTAGAGTATTCCGTCTCGGTTGATTGTTTGCTGACATGCTACAGTCTTTGCTAGCCTGCATATTGACTGGGCACTGAGCCTCTTGGGTTTTGTTGCTGTTGGTCTCGTTCCCATTCCTTTCCTGTTCTACTTCTTCGGGAAGCAAATTCGAGCACGGGGGAAGTGGTCGAAAGCTTCAATTTGAGGAAGATTCTCGCAAAGCGCAAGCCGCCAGAGCATAAGTTTTCTTCCTCGAGAGAAAGGTGGTTGTGAAATGTTCAATTTCATGGTTGCAAGCTGCAACGTGCCGCTTACAGTAAATAGTTGCCCTAATAGCCTACATATTTGACGACTTGGTCGAACTTGTTTGGAATCGGCGGGACCATCTTCAATTCCGCGAGCTCTGAGATGGTCTGAAAGATGGCCGCATGGCTATTGACATAGCCATGCCAGCCCAGTTCTCTGCTTTTCCCCATACTGGGGAGAGTCAGCGAGTGGCCTGAATGGTATGGGACCCGGACCATACATACCTGATGCTTCTCGCCCACGGTCCCGATATATCGCCATCGAGGATTCCAAACACATCTGTTACATTGTCAAAAGGGTTCTTTACCAGGCTGTGCCTTTCGGCAATTCGTCTCCATGCATTCTGGACGTCGTCTCGCAGCGCCCATTCCTGGAAGGACCAGGCGAATTCTACTTTTCCTGCCTCTCCAAACCCCCTCGGGGGAGGAGTGTAAGGCATTTGCACGCTGTTCACCGGTTCCGGAGGCGTTCCGTACGACACGCCATACCAGCTTGCAAGCACAGGCCAGAATTTGCCATATGTGAACATGGAATCGTCAGAGATGTTCAAAGCCTGGTTCTTTGCTTGGGCAGTCAGTACGGCCCACTCTGCGTGCCAGGCAATGAGCCTTGCAGCGCTCAGGTGTTTTTCCAATCCCCACGCAGCGATAGTCCCCGGATACTCCAAGCCTTCGCCCATTTCCGCCTGCACTGAAGCATACACGGCCAATCCGTATGCTTCGTTCATCGCGGCATTGGGAACCGCCCCAATGATGAAACCGGGCCGCGTGACGTTCCACGACGTACCATGTTTCTTACACCATGCTGCCAAAAGATCTTCCTGAGGGAAGTAGAAATTGGGGCTACCCAAGTACCGAGGATCTGATTCTTCCATGGGCGTGAGCGTCGGCCCAAGATGAACCCCGTAGTGCTTGGCCCCCGTCTGGAGAAGGAAACGCTTGGGGATGGATCCCGTGTAATCCAGCGCCAGGAGAAGATTCTCCAAGATTTTCACTGTCACGAACGTCAGAGCACGGTGATCAGAGCATATTGATTCGACTCACCATTGAGGCGTTCCAGCTCCTGCTCGTTGGACCACAGGCCTTCTCCCGGTGCAGTGGGGGGTTGGATGTACGCCGAAAAGAAGACATAGTCCCTGCAAGGAGCCGAGTCAGTAAGTGACCGCGAGACTGCTTCTCCTCCTCGTTTGCTTACGCTTTCACGTCATTCTCGGACAAGGTCTTCCCAATAACCTCATGATCTTGTAGCAAGTCGATCGATAGATGCTGCACGTGGTCGGGGAGCGCGAAATGCGGTCGACTCCGGCTGACGGCGACTATCTTCTTCCAGTAGGGGGACTTTGACAGTATCTCGACAATGTATGCTCCTGTGATGCCAGACGAACCGAGTACAAGGGCCGTATACTGTTTGCCTTCATGTTGGGGAAATGAGGGCAACCCATGATAGATACCCTCCGAGTGTACTTTGCCTTCAGACATGGCTTCGCGTTGAATGTGAGGCTAACAAAGCGTCTGTTCTGCCCATTCTTGAAAGAGATCGAGACGTTTTATGTCGTGCGCACCAACAGTGGACAATGTGATTCTTTCGGAAACTGTCCACCTGCGATGGCCCCGACTGACTCATCGTCGTGCGTGCTTCCAGTACATTCGTAGGCGAAGCTCGACCGTGTACCTGGGTGTCGCAAGTGTGTGATTGGGGCAGGAGGATACCTATTTCCTATACGGGTAAATTTTCCAAGAACGCGGGTGCAGGGGGCATCTTCGTAGGAATCTCCAGACACTGCGGGATCTGAAGATCGACGATGCCACAATGAATGTACTAAACGGCTATCATGTAAATATAGGCGCCGTTGACGCTGCAAATAATTATAGAATCGTATCTGGCTCCAATGCGTCAGACCAACCAGAGTTTGATGCGAGAGGTCCTTCAGCCGGGATCGGACACCTTTGATAAGCACGGGAAAATATCACGTACCGGTAGCATCTCCCATGACTGGAAGCACTCTCTAGAGAGAAAACCCAAGCATAAGTGATTATGAGTAAAAGTCTCGCACCGGCGTGTGAGCTTTGTTGGAAGTTTTAAAAGCACCAGCCAAAGAACCCTCTCGCTGCATGCTCACGTCTTCACTCACAGCGGTCAATATTCTGTGGGACTTGTATGAGAGCTACCTGTCAAGAGAAGATTGCATCGTCCCTCTCCAGAACGCCGCTATGCTTACCTACGAATGAGGCCATCTGAATGAAAATTTAGGAGGTTCGAGACTGACCCTTCACTCCCTATGTTTCTGGGCATCAGGCGGGCAATCATCCTAGATGTAGTGAGTCGCAGTATATCGCGGCCTGCTAGTAGGTTGTACCCGGTTCTAGCAGTTCTAGCACCCGCTAACAAAGATCCAGGTGCAGACTCCGTGGGCAAAGAGTTCTGTCATCCGTCCCGAGCCTCTCTTGATTAACACACCCCGTAAGAGCTCACCAGATACGCCTGACGAGGTACCCGGCACTCCGAAGGGCCACTAGATCAGGTACCACACCGCTGATGTAATGCAGGTTACTAATCACAATCTCTCCCTTCCTGCACTCTCGTCCGTCATGGTTTCGGTTGTTGCCAAAGGCGAGCTGGCAGCTGCCAGGATGCCCAAGTGTCGTCGACAATGTGATGGAGCGCTCATCCGAATATATGTTCGTAACCTTGGCCGACCATGAAGCGTTGGCAACGCGGGCGGGAACAGCGACGCGAAGCCTTCGTGCACATGTTCAACACAATTACCTGTCTAGACAACAAAAGGGACGAGACGGTCCATCAGTGAGACCTGATGATCCTCAAGCGAAGCCTGCTGTCATGCGTTTTCGCTGGGGCAAAAGAAAGCAAGTCAAAAACGACAACAACAAAAACTCGTCGGGGCTGGCATCCTCAGACGAGAAGCTCAGTCGCGATGACAGGCATAACCTGATGCTGCGCTTGTTGAAACCCAGGTCAACAGATGCTATGTTTTCGCCATCTCGGGGAGAAGGCGTCGACCCCTTTGGAGTGTTGCCATTTCACGTCCACGAGCAAGAACGTCTAACGCTTCAGGGGTTCCAGAGCCACGAACGCTGGCCATGGTGTCCGATAAATGGAAAGAGCGCCTGGTCTAGATTCACAGTGTCTGATGAGCTAGTGTTCCACACGACCATGTTCAGCTGGACCATGCATATGCGCTCTCGTGGTGAAGACGCAACCCCCATGTCGAACGTCTTGAGCCACAAGGTCCGGGCGATATCAATCATCAAGCAACGAGTTACACAACCAAAGCTAAGCACCAGTGACGAGGTGATTGGTGCCATTGCGGCATTGACGAACATTGAGCTGGTCTTGGGGTCGCAGGCTGATGCATACACACACCTACAAGGTCTGCGCGCCGTAATTGCTGCGCGTGGTGGCTTCACTACGCTAAACTCTCCAGAGCAGCAACTGATTCTGCGGCTGGCTACTTGGAATTACCTGGTGTACTCGGAGGTGTTTGGAGACGAGCTGCGATCCGAGGAGCTACAGTGGTGGGAGGAGGCGTGGCAAACGACATTCGCATCTGCCGCCATCAAGCCTCTCCCTGGTTTGAGCTCCCAGGAGTTGAGTGTCGCGCAGGTTCCTCCGCACCAGGTGTTCACTCTTCTGCAGTACCTTCCTCATCTCTGCTCCCTTGAGTCACAGAAGCCGCTCACTTCTTTATCGGATAGAGAAGCGATGCATCGATGCGACATTTTCCACCGACTTCAGTGGCGTCTTAAGCGAATCATTGACGGAATCAAGTCGTCAGCAACGAGTCCAGGTGCGATGCGGGTTCGCGCGGTTGCAACAGCAATACTTGTGTATGTTCACCATCACCTTCGTGGAAACCCCTTATCATATCGAAACTACTCAGTCTTGCTACCGATGCTGATCCACGACCTTGATGCTCTTGAAACACTCAGCAAAGACCTTAGCTTTGCGCCGGAGCTGTACCTCTGGATCCTCAGCATAGGCAGTACAACGAGCTCGAGACTTGCAGAAGTACATGGCAGGTTTCTGACAAAGCTTTCGAACCTGATCAAGAACCAAAACATGGATCGAGCTGCTTTCCTCAAGAAGCATCGCGAATTTCTCTGGATCAAAGCAAAGGACGAGAAGCGCCTTGCTGATATCTGGGACAGACTTTGGTGCTTGCACATAGAACATGAACACATCGAGGCTCAAGATCCCTCGAATCAGTGAGATGTCCTCATAAACGATTCGGTTCTGATGCGATCAATTGTTGTGTACATCGAGGATCCAATCATGATGTAGTAGGGGTAGAACTATCAGAGATCAAGGGCATATTCGATGGGCGTCGATCAATTCCAAGCGCAAGTTGCACCCCCTCACTTGAACTGTCTCATTTCGGACATCCTTGATCCCAACTCCTATGGTACTGGTTCTATTCATCCACACCGGTTCCTTACGTTGCTGTCTCTCGGACAGCGAAACACCATCACTTCGACCATCACCATCTGACCATCTCCACAGGACGACTTCCACTAGCCCGGCTAGCGAGGCTTCTCCCCAGGTGGCCTAACGAGTGGGGAGAGCCTCTGACTAAGTCTACACGGTGACTGTGAGCCGCTGAGTCACCACCACCATTATTTGACACTTGATCACATACGTGGCGTGAATCGTTGGCGTTCTCTCATGAAGAAAATCAGAAGCAGACAGAGGAAGCATCGACTTTCTCGGCTCAACGGCGCATCCAGCGCAGCGATCCTACAGGCCTCAACATTACTGTGACGAAACGGCTAGTCTAGGCTATCACGACCACTGACACATAGCGGTGCAGGTGGCAGGGCAGCAGTATGGAGGTCTCCAATCCACCCAGTTTCGAGATACCAGTCCCCCATCCAACGGCGAGGATCATCCTAACTCCACCGAGGTTGAATGACGGCGCCGCAGTGATCGCAGCTCTGAACGATCGCCGAGTTTACATGAACCTAACTTCACCTCCGTATCCTTACACTCTGGATGACTGGAGACTTTGGTTCAAAGACATTTCAGACGTAGCCGGACACAATGCGGAAAAATTACAACAAATCACGAATCATCCAGGGCCCGTCTCGGGAGACGCAGCGCGTGCAAAGCAAATCTGGTCGGGGTGGGTGGGGTGGTTTTCGTCGATCAGAGAAATCTTGTCAGATGAGGACAAAACCGATAGATATCTGGGCGAGATCACAGTCGGCCGCAGTCGGTTTCTGTTCATCCCCGACGAGGCAGAAAGAGCAAAGACACGACATGGCAACGACAGTCTGGCTGCCGGAGATCCCAACATCGTATGGGAAGTAGGATGTATGTGGGTGAAAAATGCCAGCAGCCCGAGCTGATGATGGCCAGGCTCTACTAGTAGATAGTGGGCTGACTTTTGTGGCTTGGGTTACTTACTTACTCTGCATCCTTTTCTTTTTGTTTTGCGACTGCTAACAAAGCACAATTTGCCAGTCTACCTCGCCTCCGAACACCACGGCCGCGGAGTCATGACCAGAGTCCTCCAGACCGTCATGAGCGAGGTCCTCATCCCTGGGTACAACGTACATCACATGGTCGCGACTTACTTCGAGCATAACATTGCTAGCAAGAGAGTCTTGGAGAAGTGCGGATTTGACTATGTGACCACGGTCCCAAATGTACACACGTTGGAGCCGGGCAAGACCGGAGGGCAAGAAGGCCAAACAGTCGGTCTGGGTGTCATGAAGTGGGAGAGCAAGGCCGCCGGAGAAGCGTGACACGAATGGGCCATCATAGCGCGTGCAACCGATAGCGATAGAGTCTGAATGTTATCGATATCATGCCATATGGCAATAGTTGGCGATCCAAGGAAAGCATTGAATAGGTAATCATGGTATGCCCCTCAGTCTCATCTGGTAAGCTGCAGGTGACCGAGGGGTCTAGACTCCTCTCGGCCCACGACCACGACCTATCTCGCTGCCAAGGTAGGGATTCCGCGAAGGGTCTTTCCTCGAGTGGCTGGCTGCCATCGCGCTGTCATCTCCTGCAGAGAGCATATACGAGATATCTTGAGCGTGCGTAACGATACATTAATCCCAGAAAACCACAGGACGCGGACCCTTACTCAGTACGAGTACTGTGGCTTGCAGGGTAACTGCAGATCTCTGACCAGGTCGCCAGCGGAAGGGTTTGTTTCCCTGTGTGATTGATGCCACAAGGGGTTTACAGTTCTGTCAAGGGTTCCTGACACTTTGTTCTCACCTGCGGTTCAACTTTGAATGCGGATGATTACGGACCAGGCTCGCTGAAATCTGTGCCGCCCTCGGATGAGTGATCTCGAAGAAACGCCATCGACATCAACCAGGTCAGTGCAGGGACACGGCGGACTTCCAAGAGACAGCTAGCTGTCTAGAGCAAGAAATTATTGCAGTAGCAAACGTGAGCCAGGGCTCCCGTGTGAATTTTTGCTTTGAAGCTGATAAGGATCTCCAACTAATAAGACCGGTAGATTTGAGTGCATGTCTGCCAGCATTGGAGAATATATTGTCCCAGTCTCCCAGAGCAAAAACAATAGGACTCGGCGCTATCAAAAACAATGAGATAGTTCAAAGCACAGACTCGAACAGAAGAAGAATTGGCTGTCCCAGATCTGGTTGGTGAGCATGGACCCTCGCCAAAAATCTGCGAAGTCCGGGCGTCGCGGCTGTTATTCGTGCCAATCCAGCATTGTTGACAGAAGGTCAGAAAGGTGAAGGCTGTCATGGAGCAAGTTTCCAATTGATTTTGTTGACCAGTGAACCATTGGTTGTATATATATTTGAAGTTGACAGGAGTGGTCGGAAAGGATTGATTGATGCCTCTGAGACCCTGCATTGGATATCCCTCGTTCGCAAGCAAAAGTCGGGTGCTCTCAAAAGCTTGAGACACGTCACACCTCACGCTTATACTGAAGCAGCGCGTTGACGTGAGACCGAGTGGGTGAGTGTCAGGTGTGAATCCCGTACTTCTGCACTTTTCAATACAATAGCCCCCCCGGCTTATCCTGCACGGACCTCTTGGAAGCTCTGGAGAACAATCCTTCTGCCCTTGCAGTCCGTAGACACGCACGTGTCCGTGCAACTGATTAGATTGCCAATGGTCCGGAGTCGAAATTCTGTGGCTTGCTCATGGCTAAGAGAAAGGGATGTCGCAATTCCCGGCAGCCACAGCAACCCTGTGGGCATCCGCGGACCTGGAGATGAGGCTCTGTCGGTAATCTGCGAGACAAGGGATTTTTTTGGGCACTCTAGCGACTCTTGTTGGAGTCTTTGGGGCGCGCTGAGGTGTCCACTGCCCCAGGCATGATGGAAAAAATGGACTCTACGGCCCAAGGGACGATCAGGCTTCAGGCGCCACGCTGTACAGTACTGTAAGCCACTGAGGCAGCTAGTGGCTCACTAGGCTGTAAATGCCTGGTTAGGCGAGGAAGTGGCCCAAAGTAGACTAGCGTGGCTCTGCCCCTCGGCCAGATCTCGCGCTACGATGCACCATGTGCATCAGGCGTGGATGAGGGCGTTTCTCATTTCACCATCAGAAACAATTGATGCCCCCCTTTTCTCTGGTCCCAATAATCCCAATCACTCTGACACTGACACTTCCTGGCCGCATCTCGTGGCTGGACCTGCACGACGGGCTACTCTTCCCACGGCTTCTTCCTCAAGCCCCGCCCCGCCCATTGACATTGACCTGGCGCTGACACTTCCACGGCTTCAAAGGATCCAGCCAGTGACACGTCTTGTTGTTCACTTTCGTCAGGCACGAAAATCGCTGAGATGGCGTGTCGATTGCTGAAATGGCTACTGCCGACTAGTCTATTGAGTTTCGCTTCTGCCGTGGGCCCCCTTGAGACCCCTGGAACGGGCAGATCTTCACGTATTGTACAATATTGTCCAGACTACAGTAGCCTGCAACGCAAATTTCCCCAGATGATCCCTCGGCCGCAAATCCAATACACCTCCCGCTTAGACTTTGCGACCCTTGCACTCCGTCATCCGCTTCGAGCAGTTCCTGGGCCCACCTCTCATTGTCGTGGCTGACTGGGATTGCAGAAATGGGTGTCCCTTGCCTCACGGACTCCCGAACCAACCATCTGCGCCTGGGGCTCACGGGCCAGATGAGTCGACTCGCTCGTATTTCCCCTCCCAGGGCAGAACGGACCTGAAGCGACATGTGTTACATATCCAGCCTTACTCCCAGCTTCGTCCACCCGTCTTTCCTTCCCTCAAATCCCATGGCCATTGTTGCTCGTCGGACAAGTCCAACTCGACCACTGAGCACCATCGAATGTTAGAAAAACCAACTGTTCTTTTTGACGAACCATGTCGTTGACGAGAAGTCCAATGAGCCCGCTTCGCTCTCATAACCCTTTGTCTTTTGCCTCTCAACCCGACCGCCAACAACCAGACATGTCCCGGACGACGGCTTCAAGGCTCAATTTCGTTGCCTCGTGGAAACTCGACTCCGAGGCCGCCCGGGAGGAGCCCAGACTTCGAAACATGCTCGGCCATCTCTCCATCTTCGAAGGGACACGCACGATACCTAGGCCAGGGAAAGTGCCAGCTGAAGACGCCGATCCCAACGAGCTCTCCGCCTACATTCAACAACATGTCCCATCATTCCAGGACTTCCAGACCGCCATCGCTCTTCAACTAGCGACAATAGCCCAGATACAAGCCGCGGCGGCCTCGGTGACCGTAGTGGAGTACAACAGTGACGACGACGATGAGGAGGAAGAAGAAGAAGAAGAAGAAGAAGACGACTACGACGACGACGATGATGACTATGATGATTACGATGGGAACTGGAGCGACTCTGACCCTGCAGCCGAGAGCGACGATAGCTCTACGGACGACGCATATGAAACTTCAGATTCTCAGTGGTCCCCGTGCAGTAGTCCCACGTCGAGTTTAGGCGAGTTGGAAAAGGACGAGGAAGGCGATGCCGGACTGTGGGCTATTCGACCACTTGCACCAATCATCAAACGCCATTCTGAGATCGTCTGCTAGTGCAGAGCAGCTGAGATCGTATTTTTCTTGGCTACCTTTCAGCTTTTGTATTGAGATCTTGGCTGCTTCGCTTGCCCGGGCCGGGTTTTTCGAACGGCATCTGGAAAACCAAGAATGGAACTCGGTTGGTTAGGAGAAAAAAAAAGGAAAAACTACAAAGAGCAAAATGGCTTACGGAAAAGGTTTGGCGGAGAAAGTATATTTGATAGTGATAGTGATACCCCGGTTTTTCATCATGCACGTACTGTCGGAGCAGGAAACACTGCAACCAGGAAGGATATTTATTTACAGTCATGAAATCCTTGACTTGGGAGTTCTTCCCCCTTCGAGTGCCAAAAAGGTCTCTTTAAATCTCAAGAACGGCCCGAACTCTCCATCGCTAATGACACGTGCATATAACTCCATACCCTTGAAACTCCCGCGAAGGTATTTCAATAACAAACAAAAGCTGGCGGATCTGTATCCCATCCCCCCACGGTCACTGGTTGGAGGGAAGTCGATGCCACGCCATCTGATCTCTTTTCGGAGCAGGTACTCTGAATGTCTAGAACAATTCGAGAAAGGGCCTTGTATGTCCGGTTCATCAAACGTGCTGGAGCTGTCTACTTGAACAGTCTGTTGTCGGTACCCTCGGCGAACCACTTGGTGCTGTCAAGGGAGTTGCGCTTCTTTGCGAACCGAGCGTTTTGTCTTCCGCCGGATCGTGCAGCCTAGAAACATCCGCCACAAGATAACGTCAGCCGCAATCCCACTTTATTATGGCTTTTCTTTGATTGAGCCTATTTTGATTTCAAGGAGATTGATTCGCTTACGACTTGCTGCTCGAAGCAGTAATGTCGATGGGAAGCATCTCCAGGATGAGATCGAGAACACTTACGGCATATAGGACACCGGTCGCGGTGGCTAGGGTGCAGGCTCCAAAGATGCCCCGCATCATGCCTCGTTCCTGCTTTGACATCTTGCCGCTGTGGGTGATTGCGGACGACGAATATCTGACCGGGGTGGTGAGTCTGGGACCCATGGTCGCCATGCGGCGAGTGAGGACTTGAGCGGCGGCGTTCATGGTGACTGGTTGGCTGGTCGGTTTAAGCTGAGAGATGCTCGTTGAAGGATGATTGGATTATCGTTGTTCGTTGAGTAAGATGTTGATCTGGTCGTGTGCTTGTCTGGTGCTTTATCTTGAATTCCGTGTGATGGAGTGATGGAACAACAGTACCTTGGATCGTGCATCCTTCAAGGGACCTTTTAAACAGGTCCAGGGACGCACAATATTGGCTTCCTTTCTTACCTGGTAGCTGCGCCCCTACATCTTCCGCTATGGCATGATGGCACTGAACACCAGAGTTGCTATGGCGGTTTGCACCCCGTCACCAGACAGGTGAGGTATATCGGCATGCAGTATCAGGTGCCTGTAGAAGCAGATCATGGACGTTCAGGCCAGCCCGGTAGCCCTACACAGCAAAAGTGGCTCGACCTGATCGACAACGGCGGGCTCCGTGCAGAGAGAGATAATCCGCACTATTGTCTTTTTGCACAGGGCTTGATTCCTCAGTCGCCGGTTGCGCCCAATCGTCGGTGTGGCGAGTTTCTGCCGAGACAAAAAGTCACGCAACTCTGGATTTTGCTGATACGTCATTTACACGCCTGTTACGCGACTTTTGGTGGGTAATCTCGGTCATTACCGTCACATCAAATCGGTCTCCTGCTCGAAGGTCTGGAACCTCCCCGACGGAGGGCCCCACGGCTTGCTCAGCGTGTATGGGTAATACTGCACGTGACTTAGTGCGCTGATTCGGTGTCTCCCATTGGCCCCAGCTGATACCGTGGCTGTTCGCGCCATACGCCCTCCCAGCTCGGTGGTGTGACATGGGCGGGTGTGGGTTTTCTTACTCACCCTCCCAACACCACCAGGTGCCAGCATCTCCCGATTTCCGACAGGCCCCTGTACAATACTTGTTTCTGGCCGTGCCCATGCTCGTTCCGACCGTCCCTTTGATCACCTTACAACTTCAGCCTTTATCCCCACAACAACACGTTGGACTTCACATCGTGGCCTGACTGTTTCCTTTGCTTCATCCACCGTACACTATCACCAACAGCTTCCAGCCCTCTAACTCTCTAGCGCCACTTCGAGGACGGCTCAAGCGACCGGCAGCGCAGTCCTGTTCGTCAGAGACGAGTCCGAATGGTGTACTAGGAGGCTACAGACACAGTCGGTAACCCGCAAGGTTCCAGTGCAAAACGCAAACAGTACCTCAGGCCCTCAACAGCCGGTACCGTCATCCGCTACCGAAACGATGCCATTTCGAAATGCTTACCCAGGGCACAATGGCTCTCCTGACTTTCATAACCAGCGTCACGCCCAGCAGTTAGCTATTGTTGATCCCGACTCCGTCGATTACAGCGGGTGGCATGAGATGGACTTTACGACGGCACCCCTCAATCATCCCTCCTCCTCCATCATGGTCACGACCTCGAGTTCTCAGCAAGCCCAGGTACCAAAATACGCGTCCAGCATGGACACTGACATTGAGTCGCTGGCCTATCTACGCCCCGGCCAACGACAGAACTCCACAGGCTCTTCTTCTCATCACCAGACCTCGCTCTCAGGAGACCTCTATAGCACCGGACCCTTTTCCTACTCGCAGCTTCTCAACATGGACGCTGACCTAACATCCATGGATCAGTCGAGCCTCAGCAGCTCACGCACCGACACCGACTCCAACATGATCAACGACGGCAGTACCATGACAACCGGCTCACTCTCAGGTGTCGACTCTCTCAACACCTCGCCCCCAGTCGCCACGCTCGATCCCATCTCGATCCAGCTGTCCAAGAGTGACGAAAAGCTGTGTCCCCTGATCGCAGGCCAGGTCGATTCCTGCCAGCCGTCAAGATGTGGCCCGGACGCACCTTGTATGAATTTCACCACCCTCCCCCCGATCGAAGAATGCACGTCAGTTCCATGCATAACACAGTCGTCGCCCAACGAGACCATGATCACCAGCGAGAGCGTCGTGTCGCTGCACCAACGACCCAGCCTTGGCTCAAGGTCAAGTACGGGACGACAGTCAGCTGGCCTTCGACGATCGTCGACCTCGTCCGGCGAAAATCAGATACAGTCAGTACCACTGCCGCCTCGAAACTCTTCCAAGACGGCAGCGGCTCGCCGCCAAGCAGCGGCGCGGAACAACAGCAACAAAAAGGTGGCAAGCGTCACCGCGTCGGAGATTCCCTCCGAAGACGAGGACAACGACGACGTTGATGATCAAATGAACGCGAAGCCGACGGCGCCGTCCAAGGCCGACGCCAAACAGCGCGCAAAGCAGGCCCACTCGCTCGTCGAGCGCAAGTACCGCGAGAACCTGAACGCCAAGATCGCCCAGCTGCACAACACGCTGCAGTCGTCGCACTATGGGCCCAGGGCCAACGAGGACGGCGACAGCGACGCGCCCGCCGCCGTTCCCGCCAACAAGGTCCGCAAGAGCGACGTCCTGACCGAGGCCATGAACTACGTCAATCAGACCGAGGTCGAGATGCGACACATGGAGAACGAGATCCAACGGCTCGGCGAACGCGTGCGTGTCTTGGAGAAGCTCGTCCGCTGCGAAGACTGCAGTCTGCTAAAACAGATGGTTAATCTGCAAGTGCAAGCTGTTTGATTCGCGCGCGGGCGCGGGCGCCACGCACTTTACGTAACAAAAGGAGTACTCTCATCTCATCCTTTTGGGGGATGGTTGGGTGAGGAGGCGCGGTTTTCGCGTATATCAACCCTCCATTCCGAATCATTCTTTTTGCTCCCGACTCCCCCTTGGCCTCTCTCCCACCCGTCCTCCACGATCGTTCACCACCGTATTGCCAGGACATACGAAGAATGAATGTCTCGAAGTGCGAACGTACGTCAAACGCCTTCAGGCATGGGCGTATGAAGAAGGCCCTCGGGCCTTCAGGTATCGGCGTACGACGGAGCCGTCTTCGAGAGCATACGGGGTGGTGGAGTGGTGGCGTGATGGTCCTGAGGCCCATCCAATTTGCATTTGTGCAGAAAAGGGACTGGTGAAACGACATTGTTGTCAACCTTTCGAAGGCGTCCTTTTCTGGCGTTTCCTTTTTTGGGTTGCGCTTGCCAGGGATCGAGAGACCTACCATGGTTTCACAATGACATGACGTGAGATGACATGGCAATTAAGGCGTTGATACCACCTCTGGCGTTGTTTGTCGGGACCTGCTTCTTTTGTGTCGTGTCGTGTCTTTTTTGTTTTTCTCGGTGCCACACAAAAAATTCTGATGTTTCGCCGACGGTTTGGATTTGGATTTTGGGGGGTTTGGATTCAGCGAGACATTGTGACAAGCAGGCTACAAATTTTTGTTTCTACGAAGGATATTTCAAGTGTGCTAGCAGCGTTGGGGGGTTTGGGGAGAAATGACTTTGTTTTTTTGACCCAGCCCTTTTGGAAACTTTCGAATGTTGTTTGTGAGAGATGTGTGATGTGTGAGATGTGAAAAGGGAATCGAATTCTTAGGTACATAACCTACGGACGGACAGACAGACAGCCAAGTTTGTCCCGTCCTTGAGTGAATGAATGAAAGTACATACAAACAACACCAAGACCACCCAGACCACCAGCGCCGCTGCCGCCGCTGCTGCTGCCAGTGAGGGGGATATGCAAGAAGCAAGCAAGTACCTACCTGAGATACCCGGGGGAGTTAGGTGGTAAGTAAACCCTGTACATGGACTCCCGAAGCCTGCTGCCTTTTGGAGAAGAGGACGGTTGGATGGATAGGTAGTTGGCTACCAGGCCGAAAGAGTCTGAGAAATCCAATTTGAACATTCGTACGGAGTACAAACGATTCTAAGAAAAACATTCCCCACTATCTATCGTCACTAGGTACGGAAACAGGTACTCTCTCACCTGCCTACACGATGTACTTACCTGAGGTACCTACCTATGCTGACAAACCGACGGTTAGTCGTATACTCTACCTACTGTAGGTACTTGTGGTGTCCTTCATCTACGCTACGTGTTTGTTGGACTTTTGGTTCAAAAGATAAAAGAAAGCAAGAGTCGCGTATCCAAAATTTCTCGAGGTCCACACTGTACGGTGAGTAAATATATTCATTATCAATGGTCGATCGTTCAATTTTATAACATGCATCCGTGTTTTTTTGGTGCGGTCAATCACAATATAACACCACCTAGTCGCCTAGCCAAATACGTATGCGAAATGTGCCGCCAGTGACTGTCCATCGATTTATCCGTCGATCCATTCATCCATACTATTCGATCTCGATCTTGATTCCGCCACCTCTCGTTTCGATTTCTTCCTCGACACTGCGCTTGGGCAAGTCGATCCTCAAGAGGCCGCCGTCCAACCTGGCCTTGAGCTCTTTCATCTCCACGTCCTCGGGCAAGGTGAATGTACGTCTCCACGGGCCGACCTTGCGCTCAGACAGGAGCACGGTAGGCGTCGCGTCGGAGAGGAGTTCGGCCTCGACCGTCTCTCGTGAGGGTGTGCGGACGATTGGGCCGCCATCTTCTTGCTTCTATTTGGGAGGTAAGGTTAGCCACTGCCATACGTTTTGCTTCTCTGTCGGATAAAAAAAGTACAGATCGAGGAGAGTGGAAAGGGAGCGGTGGTGGTGGTGGTGGAGGAGGGTGTTTACCTTGACATGCCCTGATTCTACTGCCCATCCTTCGCCGGATGCGCCTTCCCAGATCTTGCCGCCTTCTTCACCGTCGAGCAGGCCAATGTTGGCGGGCCTCTTGGATTCTCCCTGGACAAGGAGCGTATGAGGTGTGAGCCATTGAACCATGATGCTGTCCTTGTTCGTGACGCCCGGGGTTTCGATTTCGATGTGGTACGAGCGCATCGTCTCGCGGATATCGGTGGCCGGTGCGAAGATGCCGGCTGTTTTCGGTGCTGACACCTGTTCGGGCTTGTGTGGGCCACGGTAGTGAGTTCTCAGTGTCATCTCGTGCAGGGACACGCGAGGGAATTGGAAGTGTGTAGGGTGCTCGTGTGGCTGAACGGGTTCAGAATGCTGAGGAAGACCCTGGGTGGCCGCATTGCTCTCCTCAACGAGGCGGATGATGTAGTTTGCGGGCACGGCGTATGGAAGGCCTGGCATCTTGAAGTGCGGTGCGGTGCGGTGTGTTTCTGTAAATGAGGAAAAAGTTCCCAAAAGTCTGATCAGAATGACCTTTCCCAATCTGCGTTAAAAACTGCGGACTGGTCAAAGTGAAGTTCTCTTGCTTCCTTGGATGTGATATATGTATTCTCGGTTGCGAGGGGTTGGATGAGGGAGAAAGACACCACTCTCACTCAGGTAGAGCGAGCAATATATACACCTACCGGCGAAGATGTCCTTGATGGCACCTAAGCGTTCAAGAGGAAATCCGCACGAAAATCAACGTCACCGTAGAAGGAGCCGGCGGTCTCCCATTGAACCGCCATTGCACGGGAACGGCGGGATAACGTGCAAACTCAGCGCATATCAAGGAGCGAGACCGGACAGTATGTCGGATAGCAGGAGTTCATTGGCTAGGAAGCTACCTACCCCTGGACGATAAAGCTAAAAGGCAACGCGACCATCATGAGATGTTCGGACGAGTGACAAGAGTCTGGGGTGTAGCGGAGTACAGACGCGAATGATAGACGGTCCAAGGGATGAGGATTGATTGGGTCCACAGGTCCTCTGTTGATCACCAAGAGATGTTTGACCAACAGTCATCAGAACTTGGTATGTGCTGACGGAGTATATTGCACGACCCGTCTCATGATGAGTGGTTATTGGATAATGTTGGGACTTGGCCGTCAGAGCCGAGGACTCGATGAGGCTAATTTTCGAGACATATTCTGGTAAATAATGAGGGCATGGGCTGAATGCCAGACGGGAAAGGTCAGGACTGTAGGATTTCTGGAGCACGCGCTAGACAGAAGTTCAGATACAACGCAACCGGGGAGTTCTAGATCCAGGAAAAGTCTAGAGGAACCGTGACCGCCGTGAGGGAATAGACAGCCCTGGCCGAAGGGTTGTGTACGTTTTCGAAAGGACCAAAGGATGATTACTGGCGAGTGATAGAAAGTGGTCTGATGGTTTGAAAGCAAGCAAAAAGTCCTCCGCACAATCGCGCGTCTTTTTCCCAACCACGTGCGGTCAACCTGGATCTCGGTGCCACATTTATCCGAGCCACTGCCAAGACATCTCGCATGTAACTCGGACGAGATACACCGAGCCCAAGGGTCTATGAGACTTTTTCCAACGACAACAACATCGAGAACGTCTCGATTTTCCAGGAAACCAGGCAATATGCTCTTTCAGCGCAATTCCCTTCCAAAACAGAGTACCGCTTGGCCCCATCCTCCCGCGAATACAGAGCTTAGGTCTTTACATCTGGTTCACCGCAGGCCATTCTAGCCCGAATCTTATCTTGTGCTAAAGAAGTCCAACTTCGACCGAGGTCTTTTGGTTCAAGTTTCAATTGCTATCACAGGCCGAGTTGAATGTACGATGTCCTCACAACGTAACCTGTGCCCCTCCACGCCAGTATAGTATATACAGTCCATTCAAACATTGCCGGGAGGCTCAAAGTTTGGGACTCAAATGACCACCATGGTCATATTGCAGTGCTTCCTTTGAATTCTTGGGTTTGACAAGTCCCTAGCCCTGGCATCCCATTTACCGTGAACGCCGTCCCTATCCTCATGAACGGCCCCTCCCCAAAATGTGTCATAAGTCTATCATCAATCACATCCCGACATATCTTCAGAGCATGGGCTGTCTTGCTCTCAAATCAGCTATGAGTTCTTCGCGCATGATTTGCGCCATCTGCTCAGCAGCCTGTTGGTCTAAGCTTGCTCTTTGTCTCCGAGGCTTGATTTCTTCGGGCTCTTCCACGAGGCCATATCTTTCATCCAGGTTGTCGCCTGGGATGATGGTCTCACAGTGACAATTGGCATTGGAAGCCGAGTTGTGCGGGGTGGAGGAATTCTTGCGCGTCATTTGTGTTGGCGAAGTCCTGCCATCGTTGTGCTCTTGTGAGATGAGATTACCGGGACAGAGGCCAGAATGTCGCCTGGTGTGGACGCGCGGGCGATGAACCTCTGTGGGCATACAGATGTCTGGGCAGAAGCTCTCGGAGTCCTCATCGTCGCTGCTGAGGTGAGAGCGGCTGCGTGTCAGTACGAGGTTGTGTGATGAGCGCCGCATATGACATTTCGCGCAGTAGTGTTGTTGAGGACTATGACTCTGAGAAAGCCTCCGAAGCCGCGGGTGCAAGGCGCCGGTCACTTCAGTTTGACCTAGCAGTTGTCAGAAAGATCTACCTAGATGCAACAGTCTATAACTTACTGGGAGACCTGGCGATCTCCGGGTGAGACTCTGTGGCCTTCTCACGTGTTGGAAGGCTACCGTCCACCATCTGAGGGAATTGGTCGTACTGAACCATTTCGACTTGTTGCCTTTTTAGAGGTACTCTGTGTGGATGTATGGGTGTGCGACTTTGATTGGTGTTGATTAGGTGTTCTCGACCTGATGTGTCTTGCTGGATTGGGTGAATGATGAGCTGTCGAGAAGACGTGTGGCCATTTTATGGGTTTCTTGAGAAATCTGATATCGGCGGAGACAGGGGCGGCATTTTGGACTGGTGAAAATCAGTTACGACATCGACGCAGTGAGAGTCCGCTCCGCTGCCAATGACCATACCCTGCCCGGGCCAGGGTAGAATAGGGGAGGGTTTCAACAGTCATCTGGTGACTGGCAGATCTGGCGGGAGATCCTATCAGGCCAGCTGACGGGATCAAACCACAGGCCCTTCGCGGCGGAAGATTATCGAGCGCGGTCTCGTTTGGGTTGCAAGGCTGAGCCACTCAGGGTCTCTTTTGCGGCCGCCGCCGATACAAGGGAGCAGGAGCCGCACACGCCACCTCCAATATTGGAAAAGCCCACCCAGAAGATTCTGTCACTCCACCATGCAAAAAATTGGCTCACAACAATACGAGTACTTGTAATGTACCAGAAAAAGCGAGGTCCAGTCCCTGTGGCGGTATTCGGCCTCCCATAGGTCGGATGTCGACTTCCACTGCATCATGTCTACGGAATCCTGATCCTGATGTTTCCTTTCTCGAATTCGTTACACTTCCTGGAAGAGTGTTGTCATGCAGAGAGGGGTCTAGACACCACCAGTACGGGTATGTCTTGTCCTTGAAACGACTCCTGATACATGCACGTTTCCGCAGCGTATTCTCAAACGCACACGATTCAATCTTCTAAGGAAGGGACTGAAGGCTATACCACTTCGAGCCGTGAGCACGGTGGACACGGAGCCAGATGGGTATCCAAAATGATCACGAGTATACTCCGGACCCCGGAGCCCGGTAAAAGTTGTCAGTCAGAGCCGGCATAGGAGAGTGGTTTTTCGGTAGCCTCCTGGCCTGGTGCATGTCTGTCCTAACATACAGTCTCCGCCGACATCTGGAAGTAGACTGAGTACGCCGTCTATGTCTGTCCGCATGATGGTGACCGACTGTTCGGAATACTATATCATCTCTGATTCGCCAACAATGAGGGAACGCTGGAAACGCTCTTGCAGTGTATTTAGAGTCCATGTTTTCTTCGGGCCCGGGGACCCGCGTTTCTGCAAAGCGAAAACCTACCTGCCTCCTCACACAGGGACAAAATCTCTGAACTCACGGAGTAATAGGCCTCGTTCAAGCTAAGCGAAAACGAGTTAGGCAAAGCCTTTTTGTTGCAATGCCGCCTCTCAGCAGATGCAAAGTTCGACGCGAGTTGCGGTGTCGGTAAAACTAACCCTCCATGCCTCGTGAAAAGTCGAAAGATCTCGATGCCGCAAAGCTGTCGTGGTTTTCGCTCTTCTCGTCTCCGCGTGCCTATTTCACGTCAATGTCAGATGTTCGAGCGGAATATTTCTCCCCGAATGCCGCGTGCAAAGACCAACTACCCGTTTTCCTACGGTATTCATTCTATAGTTTGCAACTGACGCAGAGGGACTGATTCGGCAGCAAGGACTGATTGTCTGGCAGAAAGGAACCACTCTTTCGATCCACGACGAAAGTTCAAGTTTGGGAAACAGAGGTCGTGCATCACCAGACATTTTTCGGCGTTAAGCTGTTTCGGAAGACGGACAGAGGATAGACAGGCATGTCATCATCCCTCTCAGCTTTGCTGACATTGAGAGCACGGGGGACCTCTATCAGGAGAGGGGAATGCGCGAAGTTGGTTCTGTCAACAGATATCTGATTGTCAGGAGAGACGTGCGCCGTCCCGAGCAGCAGCCATCACGGTCTTGTTTTTCTTTTAGGGGGGCCCTGACCCCGTAGAAGGCTAGGTAGGCTTGCAGTCCCGACGCGAAGAATAATGCTCGATTCAACCAGTGCTCATGGCTTCAAGCTCCGGTGCTTCTTTTGGTTGACCGGCAGACGGGTGGACGAATCTCTTTTCCCTCCTGTCCCCCTCCCCTGGATTCCTCGCAGTGAACCACGCAAGCGCACCCTACTGTATAGTACAGGGGTTCGGGAACGTGGCACCACAGTTCGCAACAGCCAGCCATTGTGACCATGTCTGATCTTGGTTATCGTGAGAACGTTTGCTTTCCAACACCCGAGGGACCGCGAGTCAACGCCGAATAACACGTCCAACAGACTTCAAAGCATGATGTTGATAGACTTGAGGATCCCCTACATCATACCATATGGCAAAAAGGTACGCATGATTAGTGGTTGTCGCGACGAATTAGTAGTACAATCAGTTAAGTCTACAAAAGCTAATGTGCAGAACTGGAGGCCCTCTAACCGGAGTCCCTGTGACCGGCACATAAATACTGAAATTCTAGGTGGATCTAGCCCATAGCACCACAAGCGTCGCCAGATATACTTTGGTGCAGCCGTGGGGTCTTCTGTAGCACCCAAATCGCTCGTGTCGACTCTCGAGAATATTTCCCAATAGGTCCAATCTATCTGCATATATCTGGGCCACCAGATATCGCGTTCACAAGAGCTTGAGATCCCTTTGGGAGAGCTTCGTTGAAATCAGCCTCACGGCGCTGTCGCCAGAACTGCTGGTTCTTTATTGTCACGTCGTAAGATAGCAAGGTCGCCGTGCATTGATTCATGAACCATCGCTTCGCCTTCAGGCTGATCTTGTCGATGTGCAGGTACCGGTGCAGCACGGGCTCCATCTTGGACCACGCCCACGGGCCCGCTCCTCCCTTGGCCCAGCTGCGGGGCAAATGTATCTCGGTGGTAGTAAAGGTGGCGACGAGCTGGACGAGCTGCGTGCCGTGGTAGGATTGGTCATGATGGTGGTACTGTTTATGGTATCCATTAGAGTCTCCGCCGACTTGTTCCCCGGCCGCCGGCGGAGGTGTCTGGACCTGGCCCCGGCCATCTCTGTCCTGGGCGCGGATATTGCACTCGGCCATGGTGCCCACGTACAGGCACCACAGCCGGTCTTGGTCCAAGCTGCGGATATGGTGTGTCTCGGCAGGGTAGGAAGGAGAGGAGGAGGATGATTCCAACTGGAGAATCCTTAGGTCAAGATCCCGCAGCTTGACGGCGACGACACAGCTCATGTCAAATGCCCATGAGCCGGCCTCCTCGAGCTTGGAGCCGGCGTCTAGCTGCTCGTGGGCGGCGCGGCGCACCCAGTAGAGCGCTGCCAGGGCCATGCGTGCCTCGACCAGGGCCGCGGCAGGAGGAGACTGCGGCGCGAGGGCCCGACATTCATCCATGCGGTCCAAGTAAAGGTTGAGTAGGTGTCCCTCGAGCACCATGATCTTCATGGCACCGTTGATCAGCAACGCCAGGTTCAAGAGGCCGCGGTTGAGCATCACGATACCCAAGGCATCAAGCCACTCGCGCACGCCGAGGAAGACAGAGCGCAGGGCGGGAGAGAGCGAGGAGGACAGGTTTGCGGACGAGAAAGGGAATGCCGATGGGTGCGGGTGATCGTGGTTCTCGCTCTTCCCGTCCTTTACGCTGTCGATGAGATCGTCCGTGATCCGGGTCGGGAGGTGTTCCCGGGCCCACCTGTGCAGATCGAACGACGGCCTCGTCAAAGAAAGGCACGCTCGAGTCATGTCCTGCTGCAGGACTACCATCAAGAGCCGTCGCTCCACGTACAAGGTCCTCCCGTCCGGCTGGATCAGACACCGCAGCATCATCCCATGCACAGCCGCGGCCGGAAGGTTGCCCCCGGCGATCTCGGCGCAGAACAGCGCGTATACGCCCCACGCATCGGCCTGCGATGTGGATGAGCTGCTGCTGTGCATGACAATGGATTTCCGCAGATTGCTCGTCGCTTTACCCAGGTATTGCAGGGCCATGACGCTCAAGCAGTGCCAAGGCGTGAGGGTGGAGAGGATCGACGCCGAGCGAGCGAGATACGCATAGCCCGCAACGCCGCCGTCGTCGTCGAGTCCACGGATAGTGTCGCCCCAAAACAGGTCCATATGTAGACGGCCCCCGGTGACGGAGGCCTCGTTGGCGTGGGTAGCGGGGAGAATGAAGTCCCGCGTGAAGACCAGAAGGCGGTTGACTTGGGCTGTGACGGCGATGGCCCTAGACGAGAACGGATCAGAGTTTCCCGCCAGCTTGACTGGCGAGGGGATGCTGCTATCATAGTTACTGTCATAGTCCTTGGTGTGGGAGTACGACCGCGTCGGAGATACCCATTGTGCCTGATTCTTCACGTTGTGTCTATTGTCGTTACTCAGCCCCTCTGTTCGAATATTGAAACGCTTTTCCCGCCGCCGTCGATGTGCCTGACGGGCAATGTGTGCGTTGATGGCGGACTTGTTGAGGCCAGACGACGTCCCTTCTGCCTCGAAGACGAACGTCACTGGCACATCGAGCCCTCTCCTCATGGCCACATATTTCCTTCCCCCATTTTGTCTGGTGTCTGTATCTACTTCGTTCAGTTGGGCAGCCTTTGCGACCGATCCAAGAAGAAAGGTGGCGGACTAAAGGTGATTGAATCACTCGCAAGTAGCGAGCAGCATTAATAATGGACCTCGGATCGGAGATGCGCTGCATGATGCACCCATCGATCTTCTTCTCGGATCGGTGTTGGCGTCGTGCCTGGAGAGGGAGGGGAGGAGAGCCATTGCGCAGGTGGAGACGCCGCCGGCGACTTATGTAAGGATGCATGCTTAGCCACGAGCCCTTCTGCCACTGACACCACCTACGTGCTAAATCGGGAGAAAGGCGCGGACACACTCCCCGGAACAGGTACGGCCATGGCGATGAGAAGAGGAATCTACCCAGAACTGCCTCAATTGGTTGTGTAGGGCAAGGCATCAAGAGGGTGTGCTGCAGGAGTTAGGTCCCGCTGGATACCCGTCTAGCAAGCACACAAGCGTTTATAAGGTCCGCAGCCGATAGATACGATCACCGACCCACTACATAGGGAATAGATACATAATCCTTCTGTGCAGCATTGCCGAGCGAGAGCAAGCTCGAGCGTAGGCATTTCCTGTAAGGACATCGTGGTGCCCCGACTTTCTAGACTTCTCGTTACCCATTCTCTCTCCCCTCGCGAGACCGACAAGTCACAACCCGACTGAGGCTCCTTCTCCCAAAATGCCGACCGGTGCTTGCCTCTGTGGTAAGATCAGGTATGAGTTTGAAGGAGAGCCATTGAAGATTGTAAGATCCTTGTGCACACGCTCGTGCACACGCTCCCATTGTTTGCTTGTTCGACACCAGGGGTGAAGGGAGACTGACCACGCACGCAAAAACAGCTCACCTGCCACTGTGCGCAGTGCCACAAGTCGACGTCGACCATGTTCAGCACGGGCATCTTCCTGCTGGACACGCAGTTTAAACTTCTGGCGCCGTCGGAGCCGACCATGCTTCGGACCTACTCGTACCCGCAGACGTCGGACGGCTCCCTCCAGACCCTGCACTTCTGCGGCGTCTGCAGCACCACGGTGTGGAGGACGGGCGCCGCAGACAAGTACGCCGGCATGTTAAGCGTGCAGCTGGGCACACTGGACGAGCCGCAGGTCAGGAACCAGCTGACTCCGAGCGTCGAGTACTACGCCAGCTTGCGGACGAAGTGGGTATCGCCGATCGAGAAGACGGAGCAGGCAGAGGGATGCTGAAAAACGAAAGACGGGAAAGGGCCGCGGGGGAGTGTATAGATAAAGATCAAGGACGATGCCTTGGATCGATGCCGGCCTGCCGCCGAAAGAGCGACATGCAGTCGTCTGTTTGGTGAGCGCGGCTCGACGACGTTACGGTTCCTCGCAATATTTCTTATCTCCCTCGTGCCCAAATTGTTGGTTGTCAGCATAGTGCATGCAATTTTACTCTGCTTACTACTTGTAGACATTGCACCAGCCAACCATGAGACGCTGACAGTGCATTCCAAAAGCTAAAAGATAGGTTCGAGGACAAGCAAAGGTCCCCATCACCTTAATCTAGACCCACAAAAGGAACCAAACCCTCTTCCCCTCGGCTCCCGCCTCTGAGGACGGATGCGGGTGCGGAGGCCAAGTGACTACAATCAGAGGGCAGTCCAGTCGTTTACCCAACTATGAGATAAATATGGAGACCTATGACCATTCTAGCGCCAACGAGCCTCTTTCTTTTTGTTCTACAAGTTTCAAAATCCTTTTTTGCAAGAAGCTTTTTCCCGGTAAGCCGCCGCAGACAAGGTTCTGGGAGGTGTTTGTTCCTCTGGCATATTGAACGCCAAACAAGCTGCGTCAATGTATGCTTCAGCTTCAGCACGGATTATCGCCCTTTCACCTGCCCACGACATTCTCTGAGCTACGGAGTACTCTGGCATATTCCGCGGTGTGAGACCTCTTGCGGGTGTGCGAGTGATACAAGCCATTGGTCCAGCTAGCGCAGATTTGTCGCCCGGGCGTCGCCATAGTCGATCGCGGAAAATAGCTTTTGGTGGCGCAAGGAGCCCCTATTGACGAGATGCTATGTAACGTGATTTCATGAGGTAGTGTAACATCATTAATGCATACAAGCAGTATGGTACGGTATGAAGCGAGGAAGAAAACGACAATCACACCACACCAAGTCATTATGAGTCACGATAATACCGATCTACTGTTAACGAATGCCATGGAACAAACACTTTTGAGAACTTGGTCTTGAGTTGATTAATCAATCAATTAAATCGATTAGAACAAACCTATCTGCAGCGATTCCGAAACTGATAGCGGACAATGTGACGTTTTTTCGACTTTTCGAGTCATTTCCGACACTCATACAAGCAAACTGTCCCAGCAAAGAACCGAACAAACGCCAATGCATGATGCAGAATGAATGATGTGTGCGTGCTTGCGTGATGCATGTTCTGTGATGGTCGTTGGAGTAATTGTAGTTCGTAGGTCGTAGATATTACTTTGTAGTCGTGAGGAATCAACAGAAGGAATGATGCAGGCTTATGTTTGTGGGTTTTTGTACAAGGTATCAGAAATGACTTCGTGTGACAATCGCACCCTTTGACCTGATTCTCCTAGCCATCACACTTATTGAAGGCGATGATGGCGAATAAGCAGTCGATTTGGCTCTTTACTCGTTGCTGATTTCAATCTTTCTGGAAGTGTTGTTCTTGAGCAACTTCGGAACAGTGACGCTGAGGATGCCGTTCTTCAAACTGGCCTTGACGCCGTCGTGGTCGACGCGAGTTGGGAAGGCAAAGCTCCGAGCGAACTCGCCAACGCTGCGCTCAGTGACCCAGTACGTGTTTTGTGGCTGATGTTTGGCGACATCCTTGCTTCCGGTGGTTGCGACTTCTTTGCTTCCCGATTCGGCAGTTTGCTGGTGCTGCTGCTGTTGTTCATCGGATGATGGCTTGCTGCCTTCTTCGCGGTAGTGCTCGGTGCGGCCTTTGATGGTAAGGGTGTTTTCGTCGGCGAACTCGATCGTCACGTTCTTCTGGTCGATGCCGGGGAGTTCACCTTCGAGGATGTACTTGTCCTTGGACTCCTTGACGTCGAACTTGGGCGTGAAGGTGCGTTGAGCCGTGTCCGAGATCTTCTGGAGTTCAGAGAAGGTGTCGTCGAAGAGCTTGAAAAACGGGCCCATCTCTTGACGGTAGGGGCCGAATGCAGATCCGAAGCGTGGGAACAGAGCCATGTTTCTTGTTTGTGGTTTGGCGATTCGAAGATGAGGTGTTCGAAGTAGTCGCTGAGGTAGTCGTCGCAAAGTGCTAGTCATTCAATTGCTTTTTGTTCTGTTTGTTGTCTGATTAAACACAAGGTTTCAGGGAGTGCTCAGGCCTCTTTTATACACGTGAGGGCACGGTAGGGTGAACGTTCTCGAAACCCGGATGCATGGCGGATAGAATCCCCGGAATGCGGGGGAAAGACTCGACTTGAAGCTTCTAGACATCGGTTGATACTGTCATGTTGGATCCCATGAACGTTGGTGGCGTTGAGATGGACGCTCTGGAAATTTCGAGATGAGGACCGAGTATTCCGCATCGAAGAGTCCTATTTTCCGTTGACTACTCGTGAGACACTCCAGCCGCAGACCTTTCAGACTGTGCGAGCACTGCTATTCAAGGATCTACTTCACCCTTGGAACATCCGACTCCAGTACGTAATGTATCAGTTCTCCAAAACATGGTTCTGCACATAGCCTGGGGTGAAAGTTGCGAGTCTGGACGTTTGGGAAGTGGAGAGTGACTGGCCACCGTGTCATTACAAGAGTGGTGGCTGCGAAAGACGCTTGCGCCGTTAGATGCAGCTAGAATCTTCGGCGGCAACGTCATTGTTCCAGGCATCCCACCCTCTGTTACGAAGGGGCATACAATCCCCAAAAACCCTAAACAACAACGAAGAAAACTTTTAGTCATTACAATGTGGCTCCAGCTGCTCCTATAGGCTTACAGTAAGTACGCTGCACACGGTCTCATCATTGCCGCTACGCGCTCTCCCTCGGTATGTAGGTATTGCCAGTAGCTGTTTTTGAAGCCTTCAAATAACAGAAAACTCACGCAACCAACCGGGCATCACTTTTTAGAGTCCAATACAATATCTTCCCGACCCATTTGTTATTTGCGATACGTGGATGCTCAAGAAATTACGAATTTCTCAATTTCATCGTAGCTGCGACGGCACCGTTAAGCATCACCTCTGGACATGGTAATCGTTTCTCGTTGTCTTTCGACTGCTTCTGTTCATGGTTTCTTGGAGGCTGGGAAGTCACCGAGCCCAGGCCAGCCAAAGCTCTCGGACTCAGCTGCACTGTCGATGGCCTCGTAAGTTGCTTCTTCCAACTTGTGTTCCAGATCCGGGCTGTGTGTCGTAGAATGGCTCAATTGTCGAGGCTTTGGAGCATCCTTTGCTGCATCAGGGTAGTTTCCGAGTCCTGGCCAACCCCAACTCCACTGTCTTTGCCGTACTTCCTCGGAATCAGCGCCCATAGAATTCTCGTTCAAATCGAAGAACTTACGGGCTTGTACGGCCGGGCTGGCACCATTGTTGTTATCTTCCCATATCATCTCCTCCTCAGCACGAGCTCGGTCGGCTTTGTCTTGCTCGCGTAGGTGTTCCAGGTGCTCACCCACCTTGGCTTGGTATTGGCGGTGTTGCTGAGCCGACTTACGGGGCCCAAAGAGTCGTTCTTGTTCTTGAGAGAGACTTTCTCTAATATGGTCCATTACGCCGCCGAGTCTTGAATTGCGCCGTTCTAGGTGAGTCGACTCGGTGCTCCTTCGGCTCAGACTGGGTGAGGTCGGGGTGCTCTCAGGGTGTCCTGAGGCGTCTGATGACGCTCTTGAGTTTCTCGGCATCTCAGTAATGCTTTTGGCAATCGGTGTTGTGGTGGTAGCAGTGCCACTGTTTGTAGCTTGTGGTGTCTTTTGGTCGTGAGGAACGGAAGAATACTGTAAAGGGAGTAGTTCTGCCATTTTATATGTTACCTTATCGTTGCGTGGATAAAGACCTGGGGTCAGTAGCACGGCGGGATGAATATTGGAAAGCCAAGGGTTCGTGCCAGAAGCTATCACTCGTACTGGCGGAAGCCCATCCTGCCTGCGGCTAGTGTGCTGGGATATAACTCACGACACATCGGAAAGCTGGGCGGTAGCATTTACCTATTGTTTCCATCAGCTATTGTAGACGTTGGATGGATCAGACCACTTGAGCATCTGAGACGGTCACCGGGCACGGCCGAAATCGCTCAGTCAGTCACCCGCAACAAGTCTGGGCGCTTTCGGCTCTTCTCAGCGGAAAGTTGATTACAGACTCTTGTGCTGAGAAGTAGTAGCTCGCCCACATCTTACCAACTTCCGGTCGCATCATCTGGGGCATAGCGAAAGCTCCTGGATGAATCCGCATTGCTCTTGAGCCACGGCGCAGATCATATGGGGAAAGTATGCCGAGTGTTCAAATGACGCCAAGTGCTTCAAACACGGTCCTCCTAGCTCCGCGCGTGCTGGTAGCATGATACCTGATCTACAGAGTACCAATAGTATAACAATCTCACCACGTCCCCTCCCCTGTACGGTGTAGTGCCAAGAAGATACAGATGAGGATCTTCATCGCCGCTCGCACGAACCAAGTTGAAAGGGATTGAAAGCACGTTCGAAAAGGCAGTAAAGAATGCTAGCACACACCTCCCGCAATCAGGGCAGAACCATCATCGCATGGCCGTCCCAGCATCTGTGGCTTTATCCTGGTACTGGTCCGCCTTTGGAGTGCCTGTGACTTCAACATCCTTGTCTGGGATGACTGTGATATATATTCTTACTGCGGCACCGTTCCCGCCATGCTCGTTTCATTGCTTGCTTCGACGAACTTACAGCCACCGCTTTGACGCCGACACTGACTACGCTGACAGTGTGTGCCGGCGGGATTGGCGGCTTCAGAGTCATCGCTCCACATTTACATCATCCTTATAAAGGCTCCTTTTCACAGCAGGATGCTGTGCTTCAAGGTGTTTGAAAAATGACAATGAGGGAAGCGATCACCGAGGTTTCATCTGTCGATGTATAAAACATATTATATAAGCCATGCAAGGAAATACAATACCACATGGTGCGCCTCGGGAGAGAATTAGTGATCGAAGCAAGTACTGATTCTGGTATAGCGAAAGACTGTGGATTTCTTATCAAGGCGGCCATCAGCGACACGAACCCACCTCGCCATCTACCAAACCGTGGGCATCGAGGTTATGGTTCGCGTAAACCCAGCCAATCATACCCGGTCCGCCTCGCAAGTGCCGAGGTTCACGAGGCTGTGGATCTTTGCTCGTACCCGCAAAAAATCAAGATTAAGGGTACGAGCACGAGGAGTGCAGACCTTCTGGTCCTTATTCCCTTATCACTGAGATTCTCCCTTCCAGTGGTCTCTCGTCGCATACGGAGCGCACGATCAATGTCTACAAGTCTACTCGATGTCGGATAATTGGATGTTACTGTTCACGCCAAGGTACCAAAATCTTGATACAGTACACACAGCATCATTCAACGAGATTGGTTTTATTTATGTTCCTGAGGCCACCCTTGCTAGGGCTCGGCAACCTGTATCCGACCTTGACATTTTGTGGATACGGCTAATCAGACCCCTGTCCATCTTTGCGGCCGAAAACAAACACCGTTAATCACCACTCATCAACGGCAAGGCCGACGCCACAGCAAGGTCGGGTGTCATTTTGCGACTGCCATGTGTACTGTATCTCTCGATCATGTTCCTCCGCCGGCGGTCGGCTGAACCCCCAATCCATCAAGCTGCGCCAGGATGTCCACGTTACATCTGCTGCCAAACTTGAGTGGCTGCAAGTGGTGGATAACGGTTCACCATGGCCTCCTTAAAGTGATGAAAAGTTTATGATGCAATGCTGGGAGCCGCTCGGCTTTAGATAAGTGTTGATGTTTTCCCACCTGAGTATCTCTTGTACTTTGTTTCGTATGGCATGAGCATCTTGCATTCAGCCTGTCATCAGTGACCCCGATCCTACGCCATGGCCGAGAAGACCGACTTCGACGATCCTGCCCCTCGACATCTCTCACTATTCCGCCTGGTAGTCGACCAGGCGCGTATCACACAAGAAGTCCTCAAACATCCGTATCCGGGTTCCGGCACGGAGGAAGATCCATACATCGTCTCCTACATTCCCAATGATGTTGGCAACCCTTACAACTGGACTTCGTCCCGAAGATGGACGATTAGCTGGATCGCCGCTACCGAAATGCTTGCTTCTGCTTTCGCTTCAAGTGCATTCAGCGGTACGTTGCAATGGGCCCGGATGTGTGTTGACTGTTGGAACACACTAACGACAGGCACAGGCACTCTTCGAGAGCTCATTTTCGACTTCGGCGCAAGCACAGAGTTGATCACAGCCGGAATTTCATTGTTCGTGCTCGGTTTCGCCACAGGGCCACTCCTGTGGGCGCCATTAAGTGAGATTTATGGACGACAAATGATGTTCTTCATCAGTTTCTGCGGATTCACAGCTTTCAATGCCGGATGCGCTGGCGCCAATAGTATCGGTACACTGTTGGTCTTGCGGTTTTTCGCTGGTGCTTTCGGTTCATCGCCCTTCACGAACGCTGGAGGTGTGATTGCAGACATATTCCCAGCGAGCGAACGAGGACTTGCTATGGGGATCTTCGCCCTAGCGCCTAGCATGGGACCAACACTTGGACCTTTCTGCAGTGGCTTTCTTTCGGAAACACAGGGCTGGAGATGGGTAATGGGAATGCTGACAATCTTCTCCGGAATTCTCTGGATCCTCGGAACTGTTTTCGTTCCAGAGACATATGCTCCGGTTATCCTTCGTCGGAGAGTTGACAAACTAACCAAGATGACTGGAAAGGTCTATATGCTGCAATCGGACAAGGAGAAGGGGCGTCCTTCCTTGAAGTCGCTCCTGCCGACTGCTTTGATCCGACCTTGGATTCTCCTTTTCATGGAGCCAATTGTACTACTATTGTCATTATACATCGCAATCGTCTATGGTAAGCTCTGAAATCAACTGCCACTCGTTCTCCCACGCTGATTATCCCAGGAACCCTTTACCTTCTTTTCGGCGCGTATCCGATTGTGTTCCAGGAAGTCCGTGGCTGGTCCGAAGGCATTGGCGGCCTTCCCTTCCTCGGAGTCGCCGCTGGAATGGTGTTGGGCATAGTATTCTCTGGCTATTGCAACAAATTCTACCTCAAAGCCGCTCAAAAGCATGGTGGCATTGCCCCAGCCGAAGCACGACTTCCTCCCGCATTCGTGGGAGCAGTCGCTGTCCCAATCGGTCTTTTCTGGTTCGCCTTTACCAATTCACCATCGATTCACTGGATTTCGCCGGTCCTTGCGGGGGTGCCGTTCGGCTTTGGGTTTTGTATCCTCTTCCTCGTCGTCACCAATTACCTCATCGACTCCTATACCGTCTTTGCTGCATCGGTCCTCGCAGCTAACACCGTATTGAGATCTCTCTTCGGTGCTGCATTCCCCTTGTTTACCGAGGATATGTTCAAAAATTTACACATCCACTGGGCTAGTGCAATCCCGGCTTTCCTGGCGTTAGCTTGCGTTCCGTTCCCCTTCATCTTCTACAAGTACGGAGCGTCGATCCGGGCACGCTGCGTTTACGCTGCTAGAGCAGAGGCGGCCATGGACGAGCTACGGGCCAAGGCTGCTCAGACAACTTCCACAGGAGGTCTCGCATCTTCCGTGCCTTCGGAAGAGGGGGCAGCGGAAGAGCAGGCCGCAGAACCGAAGTCGCGGTTCGAACCCATTAGGTCATCCACCGATCAAGTTGACCGGGCATCTTTGACCAGAACCAAGTCACAAGCTGGAAGTATCTCAGAAGCTGCCAACTACAACGCTAGTCCTTACGATATCGACCGGGTCAATACATCGACATCGATCGCTGGATTGGATCTAAGCAAAACGAGGACGAATCCATCCACAAGTCGGTAACACAGAAAGGCGACACGTGAAATGAAATCATCGGTTCACCTTGCATTATGTACCCCTCTTAATTCTTGCTATATTGGAAAACGAAACGGCGCTCATAGACTTTGCTCTTCAAGATAGACAGATACCCCCCATAGAACGAGGTGGATAATGAACTTCATATACTGTACGACATTCGGATTGTCGTCCATAGTCCACAAACCTTGACGCCTGGAATTCCTTCCGGTCGAGGACCATCAAACACTACGCCGAAAAGCTCAGTGAACACACCCGCAGCCTCGGGTGCCGTGTGTGGCACTGGCTGCGCTCCCAAACTCGGTTATGATACTGTCCATGACCCATTTGACCACACCGCCGACGGCCTCCTGCAGGGCTACCGCCGGACTCTCAATCTCATAGTCCTTGAAGTGTGAATCAAAGTTGACGTTGCCGTTGACCCATTCGGTGGTTAACCACGGGGACGTACGAGCGAGCGCCTTCGCCTGTGCCTGTCGCGAGCATGTGCTCTTTTCCGAGGAGACGAACGCTGCGAAGCTGTCGCTCTGCAATGGACAGACATGTGTGTGTTAGCGAGTAAGCAAAGCCAGTTCACCTATAACAGGCAAAGGTAGGCAGGGAGGTAGGTGGATTGGTCGGTTGGTACACAAGGACCGGGCACGAACGACGACGTACCGATTTCCTGGTTTTGATCTCAGCCATAATTGAAGTCCAGTCTCGAAACTAGTTTCGTCGGGTTTTCTCACAAGGTGTTCTGTTTTCTAAGCTTGTCACCCTATTGACTACTTTGGAAGTGAAAGGAGGGTCGAAAGGGCAAACCAAACACCTAAAGTACTTTCGTACCTCGGCTTGGTGAGGTTCAGGAGACCAGCAAAAATGGTTCCAGCAGGACTGATTATCATCCATCTTCGTATCCCGTATTTGCCTCAGGGAACAAATAAAATGCGCGGCTGACGCATGGTCCAGCTAAGTCTTTAACCCAATTGAGGTGGTTGCTCCTGAAGGGTGACTGATGGGGGCCCAAGCGAAGAAGTCGTACTTGTACAAATAAGCACGGAACCTTCTGAAACCGAACAAGACGACTGATTGATTGAGAGTCTTCCCTCGGCGCTGGATTGAAGCCCGATAGTTCCAGAAATTTCACATGCTTTGGAAATGGTCCAACCTTTACGACTTTCCCAAAGCTAAGTCGTTGGCCCGCTTTCGGATGTTGTGTGGGTGGGTTGGAAGTTTTTTAGTGGAGTGATTTCGACCCATTTCGGATGGTTTCCGTCCCGATCCACTGCCCAGGGTCAACAAGGCACGTCCGTGTCCAAGCTTTGAAGCCGTATCTACTGGATCCGGATTTGTTGTACCTGTTTACAGACTCCGTCCTCCATGTGCCAATTCATTCATCAGATATCACGGACAGTTTGCCGACGTTTGTGCTGTTCCTTCGAATCGGGAGGATGTTCAACCCGAATATGGCGGATTATCAGGCAGCATCGGATTCCACGGGGCTTGTCTTGAAGCAGCTTGGAAAATCCTGATCTCACATCGGAGCTGTCTTTTCCGATGGCCTCTTTCACTCGCTCAAAACCACATTTTCCTCAGACTCTGCTAGACGTTCGTATCAAATGGATCTCTGATCACCAGCTAACCGTTAGATGGCTCTACGGGAGTTGAAATCGCAGAATCCTAGACGGGTTCGAAACGAAGCACTACTGAATCGCTGGCCGTGAGTCGATGATGATAGAATTAATGTCTCTATGGATATCAAACGAGACCATGAGCTGCGATTTAACGGACGTCGATCTGACCTCCATCTGACCACTTACTATCAGGGAAGGTTTTACACTGTCGAAGACGATTCATGTTAGCGAATTGATTGTGACGGCATGACAATATCTTCCTGCCTGACTTCGATCAAGTAGCAGGTATGTGTACGCCTGGTGTCCAACTCCATCACAATGCCTTACGATGGATTGGAAAACTTTCAAGGAAGGAAGAAGAAGAATGTTGGCGGCACCGAATTTTTGTCGTTCTCATACACACGTACACCACCCCGATGTCTCTCTGGTGCTCGCCGCTCTCATCTTCGCCTCCTGCTCAAGGGCTCCTGCCCGAGCCTCAACAACGGACCCCTATACCGGTACCCTGCATCGTCCACCCCGTACCACGTCATCTCCACCTGGGGTACCGGCCGCACCAACCGAAATCCCTCCCTCCCCTCCAACTGCCTCATGTGTCGATGGAAGTCTTGCACCTTCCGATTGCGCCTCCGACAGACTTCGCACTCATAGGCATACGGCCTATCCGCCACGTTGTGTCCCTGCCTGATGGCGACGTGCGGCACTATCGTTCGAATTGTCGAGGTGTACAACGCGGGTGCTCGAGTAGAGCCCCGGTTGAACACCAGACCACCTGGTTGTGGCGGATGTTGCGTGGTGGGAGGCGGGGGGCGGGTGTCGTAAGGACCCACGAGTCGAGGATGGTTGGAGCCTGCTCCAACAGCGCCCCCGACCTGGCCCATCTCTCCATGGTTGTTGTTGTTGTTGCTGCTGCTGCTGCCGCCGCCGCCGTTGTTTTCGTTGCCGGTTTGCCTGTTGCTGTTGCTGTTGCTGTTGTCGTTGTTGTTGTGGCTGTGGGAGACCAGCTCTCCACTTGTTGCTGCCGAGGTCGACATTTTGTTTGTTCATATGTTTGCCACTGGTCAAATGGAGAAAGAAGATGTAACTCCCAGTGAAAAGAATCACATACTTGAGGGGAATGCGTTTCTCGCCATTTTACCGAGATCTGGCTGTGCTTTTCGCCAAGGCGAGAATTTCGTGTAAGCGGCATGCCGTGGTATCTGTTGTTGAATGAACATATTGTCCATATTGTGAACATTCTCTTCTCAATAACAACAGGTGTTCAACGGTGCACTGACGAGGCTGAAGCCCCCTGCGTAAAGCCTGGTGGTGGGCGGTGAGAAATGCTTGCGGATAAACTACGGGCGTCGGAGACGGATAAGTATCAGAGGTGCAAGATGAGGTTAGCGCCGAGAGATAAGTGCCAAGACTGGTCTTAGTGCACTGCCGTAGTCACGGGCGCCTGGATTCCGTGCGGTGAAGCATGTAGCCACATTACGTCAACCTGATTGAATCGCTGGTCACTTTCGCACTGCAAACATCTTGACAACAACCAACGACACATTGCTCACTTCCCCTCGCACGGCACACATCAATCGGGCGTATTGCCTTCCAGACCATCTAAACTGTCCGAGACAATCGGCATTGTCTACATCAGTCCCTCTAACTTCAGAGGTTCATGCCGCCAGAATGATGGAGGACTTTCAGTCAGAAACTGATAGTGACTACACAAGTTACTGGCGAGACTGGGTACGTACAGACTTTGATTCCCTGTGATTTTGTCATTTTGGAATATTCTTTCTTCTTCGAATTGCTGTAGGAGAAAGAAGTGTGGATGTCGTGGGATGAATTCCAGGCTACAGGAGACGGTGAGCCCCCGCGGTCGGTCGTCATCAGACAAGATATGAGAACAGATCCTACATTCGAATGTCTACTTGTTTGCTCTCGATAGCTCGGCCGATCTCTGGTAAACTGCCAGAGAGTCAAGTGCCCGATGTCTGTATTGGACTTCAGTATCCTGCCTAGACATCGACCTGAACGACACACGGTCAAAGGACAGCACAATTCAGACTCGGCGGAAACATACGCCTGTGCATTGATATCGGACTTCGAAAGCTTCTCCACACAAACCTAGCTCCCATCTCTATTCGTTGCTCTTTTTTTCCACGACTCGCCATATCAATTTCTTCGCCGCGTTATCCTTTACGTTTTCTCATTCACGTCCTAAAATGCTAAAATGCAAAACACTAACCAACCCCGGCCATTTCACAGTTCATATCATCTCGAGGGAACGAATACTTTTGCGAAATCGACGAAGAATACATCACCGACCGCTTCAACCTCACAGGGCTCAACACCGAGGTACACTACTACCAACATGCGCTGGACTTGATCACCGACGTGTTCGACCTCGACTGCGACGACGACATGCGCGAGACGATTGAGAAGTCAGCTCGCCACCTGTACGGCCTCGTGCACGCGCGGTATATTGTGACGACGCGCGGGCTGGCCAAGATGGTCGACAAGTTCAAAAAGTGCGACTTTGGCCGGTGCCCGCGCGTGCTGTGCGACAGCCACCCCTTGCTGCCCTTTGGGCCGAGCGACAACCCGGGCCTGAAGACGGTCAAGCTCTTCTGCGCAAAGTGCGAGGACATTTACAACCCGAAATCGTCGCGCCACGCGGCCATCGACGGCGCCTACTTCGGCTCCAGCTTCCACAACATCCTGTTCCAGGTCTACCCGGCCCTGGTCCCGGCCAAGTCGCGACGCCGCTTCGAGCCCAGGGTCTTTGGATTCCGGGTGCACGCCGCCGCGGCGCTCGCGAGGTGGCAGGACGAAGAGCGCCGCCGCATGCGCGCGAGGCTGCAGGACGCCGGCCTCACACCCAAGCATGGACACTTGTTCATCGAGGATGCCGAGAGCAGCGACGGCGAGAGCGACGGCGCCATCGGACACGACGGAGACTCGAAGATGACAATGTCAGCCGCCACCGCCACCGCCGAACACGACGATGGCGTCGTCTTGCAGCAGCAGTAGCAGAACCAAGGCTAGGCAGAAATTCACTCACTCAGTCACTCACCCACTTGCTCACCAGATGGCAAGAAAAACAAATGCCACAGTCAATCAGCCCGCTCCTGTAAATCCCTCACGGCTTCTGCGGGTGACATGGCAAGCTCGTGCCTTGGACAAACCGGAACATCAAAAGATGAGACGAGATGGGACGGGATGGGACTGGGGCTCGACCCAATATCATCGAACGAAGTGCCACGACCCTACGAGGCAGTGATGGTGCAAAAGAGACAAGAGACTGGAGAGACTAGATACCGTGCTTGTTGTCAGGGGGGAAGAGGAGATACTGGGGAGGATAGGATCGATGGTGGCACTTTCTCCTCTTTCCCAGTACTACACGCGGGTCGCTGGGTTGCCTTTGTGAGACTGATGGCTTTTAGACTTGAGGCGGGCGGAGCGGAGAATGTTACGAAAGAGCATCAACTGGCACGCGAGACATCACCTTAGTTCGGTCAACTGACGTTGAGAGTCGCGAGAATAATAAATGAAAAAATAACCTCCCCAGTCTGCTGTTATCGCAAACATGATTACATATCCTTCGAGAACAGATAGGCGGAAAACCATGACAATTTTTGCTCGGAATCTTTCGTTACATAATGCTTCTTCTTCTTGTTCTTCATCATCATCATCATCATCATCATCAAGAAACGCGCTCGGCGCACGCGGACATTTGAGGATCGGGATTCGAACGGGTAGATCGCGTTGAAGTTGGGTGCGACGCTGCTCTTTTTGCACCATCCCTACATGTACTAGTAGTATCAGGGGACTTCTAATCCCTTCTTCTCCTCTTGCCCTTTCGACCAGTGTCTTCTTGACCTTCGACTTCTTCTTCGTCCTTGCCCTTCTTGAGCTCGTCGGGCGCCAGGCCCCATGCCTCGGCGTCAACCCAGTCCTCGCCGTCAGACCACTCCCCCACGTGGCCTTCCGTCTTGCACCATTCCCAGACTTGATCCCGCATTCTCTTAGCCTTGATCAACTTCCCCAGGACGGCTTCGAACCCACGCACACTCTCTTCCTGCTTCTGAATGTACATCGACAGCAACCTGCGGGTTTCAAGAAACTCTTCAACGGGCAGCCCGAGCCGTGATAGGCTGTTGGGCACTCTGTGGTTGGCAGCAAGTGAGGGCGGGAGGAGAAACAGAGGGTCAGCTTGCAGCAGGGAGGAATCGACTGTGGACGCGGTAGAGTTCGGTGAGAGGGGAGGGCTTGTAATGGTCGATGTCGTATGCTCTGCGGCCAACGCGCGCGTGATTCTTCGCGTAGGTTGCGGCTGTTCTGCTTGTTCCTCTTCCTCTTCCTCCTCGGACGCACTCTCATCCCCCGCTTCGTTTTCTTTTGGTTCTTTTCTTGCATCTTTTGCTTCTTCGTTTTGGTCGACCTGCATTTCGTCATCACCATTTTCTTTCTGAACCTTGTCATTCTCCTGAGCGGGATCTTGCTCTGTCTGCTCGTCCGAAGAGTTTCTAGCTTGCTGAGATTGGTCGGCTTCGATTTTAGCTGGTACATCGTCCATCTCCCGCTCTGCCTGCTCCTTCGTCGATGCTTCAGGTACTGGTGGAGCTTTTGGCCCAGCTTCGCTCTCTCGATCTAACCGACGAGCCACCGCCGCCTCGGCCTCAGCCTCGACATTGACCTCGACGGAACTATCAGCTTGACGAGTAATGAGGTCATTGGCAATCGCATGATCATGACCGTTTATTCCATTTTGAGACATTTCCTGATCGTGATCTCTCTTCCTCTTGCTGCCTGCGGGCTGGAGAGGAGCATTGAGCTTTGGTTCAAATATGTCCCAATCGTCGAGGCCTTCGACGCTGGCGCAAGGCACCCATGGCTCATCTCCCATGAATTGTCTGTTCAGATTCTTGGCCCTCCATAAGTTCGCTCGTTCTTGGCGTAGTTTCGTTTCGACTGAGACGACTAGGTCTGGAAGCGCACTGTCGAGGAACGGTATCGAGAGGGTAGGATGAGAGGCAAGCTCAGAAGGGTGCTTTAGAGGACAAAGAAGCTCTGTTTCGGTCAGTCCAATCCCACTATAAAGAGTGAACAAAATCCAGCCTACCTTCAAGTTTAATGCCAGAGTAGGGATTTTCGTCTTCGGCGTCTGCGTCGGCCTCGGCATCGCTCTCGCTGTCCTCAAGTTCGTCGCCATATTCGTTATAGCGTTTGGGATTACGATCCAAGACATATCGAGAATACCCTGCGTGGTCGATTTTCTGGAGAAGGTGTGAGCTTTGGTCCTTCCTGCGCTGCGTCCGATTGAGACCATACCTCTTTGTATCCATCAGGCCCATGTGGGTATGGTAGGGCACCAGCATGGACGGAGCTTGCGCCTCTTCTCAACTTGTTTCCTCGGTTCGTGGCGGATGAGATGTTCTGGTCCGTTGGAGCTAGACGCGAGGACTCGGTTAGCGTGATGGCCTTGCGGAATCATTTTCATGTGCCTGTAGGAAGTAATTACCTTCTTTCTCGCGGCGCAAAGTTCTTTTGATGGCGGCGATAGTCTCTGCAATCTCGACATGTTGCGGCGCCATGTTGGCGGTGCCTGAAGACAAGCAGGATGGGTGTTGGCTTTTCAGGAGGGTGGATCAAACTGCGCAGGCAAAAGAAGTTCCAGATCAGACGTGGCGAAGAAGCAGAAGCGACAAATTTATTCGCATAGAGCCAAAGTATGGCACCTAGGCAGACTCATCACAAGTTGCCATAGAAAATGAACTGTTTGAAAATGGTGTTGAAGAGGTGCGTATGCTGTCCAGGCTTGAAGAACAGACTGCAACGCGAAAGAGTCGGTCGAATCATGCAGCCTGAGGTAGCCCGCACCTCTGAATCAGGGCTTCTCCAACTACGCAATGCCAAGACCCCGGTTGTCCAGCAAAACACCCAAAGCGTCCTCGCCGCGATAGACATCCAGCCTCGTCCCCCGGCCCTCTGCCTCATCGTCACTCTCCCGCAAAACCTGACGTGTTGAACGCCCACCACATCTCAATGCTCTGGGTATCAATGTGACCGTCGTCTCAAATCCTCCCCCGCCACGATATGCCCGATCTATGAGCACCTAGTCTCAGCGCTCATCGCGCCGACTTGATCGTCTGTCTATAATAACGTGCTAGTCGACTCATGCCTTCTTGCGATCCTTCTGTTTCGTCATTGATCGCGTCACGGGTCTGGCGTTCTTCTTTGCATAAATCGCGGCGGTGAAAGGACTAAAGATGTCAGCGCATGCGTCTTTATGATGGGTCCGACATACTCTTCGAATTGCAATGCCAACAAGTATAGCACAAAGACTTCAAGAGTGAGCAGAACGCCAGCGGCCCGGCCTGTGTATAGTGCGGTTCCCAGAAACGACAAAGTGCTGCCCCAGTACATAGGAGCACCAGTTACATTGAAAGGGAAGCCTTCGACCTTGGAGTCCATCAAGATGCCGAAATAGTCGCCTAGATACGTGCCAGTGACACCTAAGGCCCACATACTCGATAGAACAAGAACATTCCCAGCGACAAAGCATGCAATCCCTGCAATTGGCTGATGGATAGGGGGATAGAGTGGTTGTTCGTCAAGTGCCGTCTTGTATAAAGAGTCGCGGAAAATGCCCAAAGAGAATATCGTGACTGCTAGTGCATAGCAGCCATAGTACGGCGAGCCAAAGATCTTCGTTAAGAAGTGAGTTCGGTACTCTATAGCTGGTTAACTCTGAGCCCACCGAGAAACGAAGCCTGGCTTGCCTTGTCTCGCAACAATACTGTGTCTGTTAGCTCTCGAATCTGCTCTGACACAGGCACAGACTTACTTCCAGAAGATAGGGTTGAAGGCTATTGCTGCCGCTGCCACTGGTCTGGGGTCAGTACAGCTTCCAGGGGTGCTACTCCACCAAACCAGAGCTTACCATAAAGTGAGGTTTGCGACGAGTCAATGAAACCGATCTTCTCTTGACCAGTCACGCTGGCAATGAAATTGTGTAGCTTGTCCATCTTGAAAAGACAACCCTTCTACACGGTGGAAGATTACTATATGCGCGCTCGAGTCTTTGCCGGCATCAATTGGGAAGACTGGGACGGAAATGCCAGATCAACGCCAAGCATGACGCAAATTTCGCGACCTCCAACTCGGGACAAAATGGATCGCGAAACGGGAAATCAGGATTTACTGTATTACGCTCCAAGGGCGAACATTAATTATACTGGAAAACTTCGCATCTAGGGCGCATCTTTTGTCTGACATCTACATTTTTGTGATTGGCTTGCTTGCGCATCAACACCCTGCTCGCTGAACCCGCAGTCAGACTTCACTGAAGTCTAAGTGGGCAAGTAGCCCGAGCATCAGACTGCGGTTCAATCGTCGACTCACAACTTCCAACACGCCGAGTCAGCCCATATCATCACACACAGCTAGACTCTTCCGCTCTCTTGTCTGAGGCTATCGCTATGGCAGCTTCCGATCTGATAGATCACTCCCCCCATCAACCCGTCGCGGCGGAGAAGTTGGCTTCTGCGAGTAACCTTGTCCTCATAGACAATTATGACTCCTTCACCTGGAATGTGTACCAGTACCTCGTCCTCGAGGGCGCTACCGTAACCGTCTACCGGAACGACCAGGTGACCCTGGACGACTTGATAGCCAAGAATCCTACACAACTGGTCGTCAGTCCTGGCCCTGGTCATCCAGACACCGATGCAGGAATTAGCAAAGATGCCATTAAATACTTTGCGGGAAAGATCCCAATCATGGGCGTGTGTATGGGACAACAATGCATCATATCCGTCTTTGGAGGCAAAGTAGATGTTACAGGAGAGATCCTACATGGAAAGACATCCCCTTTGAGACATGACGGCATGGGATGTTATACCACTCTACCACAAGACTTACCGGTCACCAGATACCACTCACTGGCAGGAACGCATCCAACACTTCCCAAGTCGTTGGAGGTATCGTCTTGGATTGCTAAAGGACCTGACAGTGGAAAGGGCGTGATTATGGGTGTGCGTCATAAGGAATATGTCATCGAAGGCGTGCAATTTCACCCCGAGAGTATCTTGACCGAGAACGGCCGTGTCATGTTCAAGAACTTCCTGAGGATGACTGGAGGGAAGTGGTCAGAGAATCCTCAAGTTGCTTCTCCCGCAAAAGAGACGAATGGTGTCACAAATGGGCACCCGCCGGCCAAAAAGGAGTCCATTCTTGAGAAGATCTACGCTCACAGACGGAAAGCTGTCGCAGCGCAGAAACTTATTCCTTCTCAAAGGCCAGAGGACCTTCAGGCTTCTTACGATCTCGGTCTTGCCCCTCCTCAGATATCCTTCCCCAAAAGACTTAGACAGTCGGCTTATCCAGTTGCACTGCTGGCCGAGATCAAGAGGGCATCTCCCTCCAAAGGCATCATTTCACTAGGCACCTGTGCCCCGGCCCAAGCACGCAAGTACGCTACAGCTGGGGCCAGTGTCATCTCGGTGCTCACTGAGCCCGAGTGGTTCAAGGGTAGCTTGGAAGACATGCGAGCTGTTCGACAGAGCCTTGACAGCATGCCAAACCGACCTGCCGTTCTACGCAAAGAGTTCATCTTCGAGGAATACCAAATCCTGGAGGCCCGTCTCGGCGGTGCCGACACCGTTCTGTTGATCGTGAAGATGCTCGATGTGGAGACTTTGACAAGGTTATACAATTACTCCAAGTCTTTGGGTATGGAGCCTTTGGTCGAAGTGAATACTGCGGATGAGATGAAGATTGCCGTGGACCTCGGGGCGGAAGTTATCGGTGTCAACAACAGAGATCTGACCAACTTCGAAGTTGATCTGGGCACCACAAGTCGATTGATGGACATCGTGCCGAAAGACACCATCGTGTGTGCGTTGTCCGGGATTTCTGGGCCTCAGGATGTTCAAGCATACCGGAAGGACGGTGTCAAAGGCGTTCTTGTGGGAGAGGCTCTGATGAGGGCGTCCAATACAGTGGATTTCATCTCGAAACTAGTCGGAGATCCTAGTGTGGAGTCCTCGGAAATAGTCCAGGCACCTTTATCTGTCAAGATTTGCGGTACAAGAACTCCAGAAGGTGCCAAAGCTGCCATTGAGGCCGGAGCAGACTCTGTGGGCATCATTCTGGTCCCCGGACGATCACGGTTTGTCTCGGACGAGGTTGCCCTGCAAATAGCTAAGGTCGTCAAAACCACCCCAAAGCCGACGCGGAAGTCTGCTCATGCTCCAGATGTCGGGTCTACCGACTTTTTCGACCACTCCTCGAGACTCCTAGTTCGACCTGATCGTGCTCAGCTGGTGGGTGTCTTCCTCGATTCTCCTCTGGAGCACGTTATCGAGCAAGTCTATAAATTGGGACTTGACGTTGTTCAGCTCCATGGGTCAGAACCTATCGAATGGGCCAGGAATATCCCTGTTCCTGTTGTCCATAAGTTCTCGCCGCATGACCACGGTATCAGCGCTCGAGGATATCACGCTCTTCCTTTGTTAGATGTCGGGGTTGGCGGCACTGGCAAACAGCTCAATGTTGACGAGGTGAAAGCCTTCTTCGACAAAGATCCGAGCGTCAAGATCATTTTCGCTGGTGGATTGAATCCTGATAATGTTGAATCCATACTGAAATCCCTAGGACCATACCGCGCCAATATCGCGGGTGTCGATGTTAGTAGCGGAGTCGAAACGAGTGGGAAGCAAGATCCATCAAGAATCTCGGCGTTCGTCAAGGCTGTTAAAAGTCTAGACTAGAGACAGGTGTAGAGAATATACCCATTTTCGATGTTCTTCAAGCCATCTGCACCCAGACAACGGCTCCATCTTTGCTCGGCCGCGACATTTTCTCCGACGTTTCTTTTCTGACGGTCGCCTTTTGGAGGCTGCACGATGTTCACTGAGGCGCGTTTGACAGTGCTCTTCCAGCCTCACTTGGTTATAAGAATACCTTTGGCTACTCTATTTCTAATTTGGCGGTTTTCAGCTCACTACTTCCTCTGGAACAATCATATTTGATCTCTTTTCGTCTTTACTTCTCTGATCCCATTTCTCTCTTTTTTCACATTCCAGCTGGACTCATCCTTACCTAGGTAGGTAGCTTGAATATCCTTTCATATTCGCACGACTTCAATCACTTTCACTTAGCTTCACTCACTTTACCAACCACTTGCGGTGTGGATCTCTTTCCTATCGTCTCCTATATCTTCTCTTCCCTCTGCCGTCTCTTCCAATCTGTTTTGTTTTTTTCTTGCTCTTGCTCTTCCTCTTTTTCAACCCTACCTTATGTGGTTAGAGTCCTTTGACCTATTCCTTCTCTTGCTCCATTCTTCCCGCCCAAGTCAAACCCTCACGGGAGGTACCAGGATCACTCTTCTTCTACTCGGCTACCTTGAGCATTTCGTCGCTACTTGTCTCTGCTGCGGAAGCACAGCTCATCCTGTCACCCTTCAATATGGGCAAAACATTTCGCAACATCACAGTTGCCTCGACCGGTGACTTTGGCGACAAGACAGATAAGATCAAGAATTGGGTCGAACATGCCGGTGGTGCTTTCGTCAAGGACATCACAACAGACGTCACACATCTTGTAGCCAGCAAGAAGGCATGGAAGAAGTACCATCCCATGGGTAAGTAACGCCTTTGCTTTTTGCAGACCTTTTGCTTTCAGCCCGGTCGTGCCTGGGCCAACTTATGGGGGGCATGCTTTGTGTCTCGGTTCTCAATGTTGATGGACCGTTTGCATGACTTCATGGGTGGTTTGTTTGCCCAAAGCGCATTATTACTCGCGGGATTACCGCACCTATTTCCTCGCATCGTAGTACGAACCATTTATTACAAGCTCCAATGCATGGATATATCCTCTCTGCTCCTGAGATCCGATTCTGGTTTCCCTAACGGTGTGCCTTATCACAGTCCAAGCGGCACGGCGCCTGAAAAGCGTACACGTCGTCAGCCTCGACTGGTTGGAAGATAGCTTGACCATGACGAAGTCCCGCAGACCGCTCAATGAGGCAAAGTACACTTATGAAAAGAGGAGTGGCAAGGCCTCGAAGGTGACGCGGAAACGGAGTCGTGCGAAGAAGAAGGACGAACCTGCCGCTATCGACGCCGCAACACATGAGGTCCAGAGGAGGCGCGGACCCGAGCAGGTCAACGACGACCCCAACGGCGAAGATGAGGATGATGACGGCATGGGAGGGGTCAGCCTTGTGGAGAGAAAGAGAGATAGCACGCACATCGACGATGGAAGCGCAGCAAAGTCTCCGAAAAAGAAGAAACAGCAGCAGCAACAATACCACAGTTTCTCTGGCTCACCAGGTTCACGACACGGCGAGAAAGACGGTGAAACGGAAGAGATGCATTGCTCCAAGGACGAGCGTGTCGAGATGACAGGTATATCCTCCGTTCCGAATACAGCAGAGCCTGTTGGTTTCTGGATCCATTGGAGTGAGGATGCTGACATGAAACAAAGCAAATGAATACGAGGCTGAGTGTGCTGAATTCGTCAAGGAGATGGGTACAAGTGAGTATAGCCTGCACGATTACACATGCGTCTCCCATGGCTTCCTCGAGTAAGGGTGTCTCACAGACTGACAGTGGTCTCCACAGACGGCTACCGCCCATTCACCGACTCTAAAGGCTTCATGTACCTTCTCACGCTCGTGAGAAAGGACATCCTCCGGAACCGGCTCGAAAAGCATAGACTCAAGGTGCGTTACGCATCTGATGTCTTTCCCTCCTCTTCCTCGTCTTCTTCCTCTGTCTTGCCAACCACATCGTCGACATGTCGCCTCCCACATACAATGTCATCAGCCAAGTACCCCTTAACCAACCAAGAACCTCAACATTGGTCGAGCCTTTCCAACGAGGCGGTATATAAAATCAACGAAAATCTGCGACGCTCGGAACTTGTTCACACAGACTGTGTGGAGGGCCATGAGGTTACCGCCGTACCAAAGGCATACATGCCCTCATACTCTGTGGCAAATTTCATCCCGTCGCTTCCTTGCTGTCCTGTACCATTGTATTACTTTCCAAAGCCCTTCCCCTTCTGCAACTACCCTGTCATCGCAAGCAGTCTGCCACAATCCCTTCAGCCGTCCAACCCGAATTTGAAGGTTCATGTTCCGAACCCATGGGCTCAGAGTTTACAGCTTTTTGAATTCGATCCCAACCTACGATCCACGTCGACGACAAACGGAAACGGTCCAGGTTCGATAACAGATCTCGCTGCAGGGGCAAGCCCTGAGTTCCCAAGAACAAAGTCCTATGCATGTTACAGCATCTACATCCGTCCTGGGCACCGATATGTCACCCAGCTTGCACCTCCGGGAAGTACCTTCGATTTTGCATTCGCCATGTTCAACAAGTTCTTCCAGAAGAGAGTCGGCGTTAGCTGGGAGGATCGTGATGGTATTCGGGAATTGGCGCGGGTGAAGAGAGGCGGCAAAGACGCGATGGCACTCCAAGCTGATGGAACTGCGGATGATCGGCTTTTCAAGTTCTTTGGCCCTAGAGTGATGAAGGACAATGGTTTGAATTTGCTTGAAGACGGCGCGGTTGAGAACATCGAAGGTCGTTTGCGAAAACCTAGTGTGACAATGCTGGTAAATCCAACTGTGGACCAGCCGATGGATGAGGTGAAGGCAAGAGCCATGACCCCAGAGGGAGGCTGGTAAAGAGATGGAGTCGCCGAACTTCTCATTTTGAGCCCCGGATGCTGGGTGACGTCGGTCCCATGAGCAACACCGATAGTGATATCGATCCCTATGGAAGGTCCAGTATCGCAGTGCTATGCAGGCTTTGGGATGGTTTTTCTGTCGTTCCTTCGAGGCTTCTGATTTTTTTGGGCATGATCTGGTGCGGACGCATTTCACTGCTTGGTTTTGCTGGATTTCATTAGACATTTGCATCCTCGGAAATAGTCAAATTTGGACACAACCAGTGCCAAACAAATTTTCAAAGATAATCCTTCTTGCGTCCTGTGCGAGTATATTGGGTTAAGGCCCATTCGACCTCTCCACCCGATTCCTTCTCCAGCGTTCCTCCTCTGATTTGAAAGCATCTCATGGTCATTCTAGGACCAACTTCAGCCAGCTCCACGACTCTATAGCCCGTCTGGACAAAGACGTGATGACGAACCTCTATACTATCTTCCACGTTCTTGAAGGTGACTACTCTGTTGCCAACTTTGTGTGGGCCGTCTCGCGGAGGAAAGATATGCTTGAGAATCTGGACCACTCTCTTTCCCAGTCGGGTGGTAAAGCCTTCAAAGATTAAATGTGGATATGACTCTGATACTGTGCCCCTTGATGCGTCTGGTATATCCGCGCGGAGAACGACGTTGTGTAGAGAGAAAGAAGCCGTGGGACCGTGGGGCAGATGAGAGATTGTCATGGCGGTCGGAGTGCCTCGATGTTCGTGCAGGAGGATGATGTCGGTCAAAGCTGCGGCTTTCGCACTTGCCAGCAGATTTGGAAGGATCAGGTTGCCTCGATTTAGGCGAATTGAAGTGGGCAGGAGGAGTCTGATCTCTTTGGAGAATGTGGCCAGTCGAGTAGACGGACTGCGGGAGGTGGTGACGAGTGGTCTGGGGTCGGCGAGGCCTGAGAGCATGGCATATTCGTCGTCGAGTGACTCCTGGGCAGCTGCAGTCTCTGGATCGAGTGACTCGTCGTACTTGAAGTCTTTGCGGAGGGCTTTGTCGTTTGCGACAGAAGGGTCGAGAGGCTTGCCTGTGGCGAGGGACTTTTTCAGCAGGGCTCGCTTTTCGGCAATACTGGCATCTCGAAGTTGAAGAGCGCGGCGGTAGATGTAGTCTCTGCGCTCTCTGGCCTGTCTTCGCAACATGGTGGCGTGCAGCGGTCGATGAGAGAAACGAGAAACGGAGTGCAAACGGGGAGGGTGGTTTGTATGGGACAAAATTTGGGCGGAAAATTACTCGTTAGGACTTTTGCACATCATAGCGTCGAATAATAAACTCCGCCCTTGTTTGCCCTTTCGCTTTCCCTTCCACCCCTCCGCCACCTCAATAGACCGACTCACTCTCTCTACTCCCCTTGCGCATGTCCTTCATAGCGCATACGACATTCTGGAGATACTTGGAGGGGTGTGGAATCGTGGTGTCGGTGTGATACAAATGGTAGCAGTCCCACAGAACGACTCTCTCTCGCTCACCCTCAAAACTGCGCTCCCGATAAACCCTCATAACCTCTCTCTACTTGCTCCTGCAAACGACGGACTCTCTCACAAGGGCTCTGTGAGGAGTGCCTCAGAACATCAACAACATGGAGGCCTTTAGTAATATGGGAAACCACTTGGTGTCCAACTCCGCAGCCGCCATAAACGCCAGCGACGACATCTCAACGGTTGACCCAGACGAAAGTGTCCTCAGCCTTGCCAAGGGCCCCCGAAGACGACAACACGACGACGACGAATCCGAAAGTGTCGAGGAAGACGACTTGGAAAGCCTGGCAAGTGCAGCGGTGGACGGCAAGAAGCAAGCCACCAAGGCCGAGGAGGAGAAAGAATTACCACCACATGCGTGCGCGTACGTTAAGTTCAGTCTTGGATTTGGCCTGAGGACTCTACTGACTTAGATTCTGATCGTCAGGTACTGCGGCATCCATAACCCCAGCAGCGTCGTCAGATGCCTCACTTGCAGCAAGTGGTTCTGCAGCGCTCGCGGAAACACTTCGTCCTCGCACATCGTGAACCACTTGGTCCGAGCACGCCACAAAGAGGTCCAGCTTCACCCGAGTAGTTCTCTGGGCGATACTGTCTTGGAGTGCTACAACTGCGGAACCAAGAATGTGTTTCTGTTGGGCTTCATTCCGGCAAAATCAGATACCGTGGTCGTTCTACTATGTCGACAACCGTGCGCCGCCATGCCTTCATCCAAGGATATGAATTGGGATACTTCCAGGTGGCAACCGCTGATCGAAGACCGATCATTCTTGTCGTGGCTCGTTGCGCAACCCACTGACCAGGAACAACTCCGTGCCCGGCACTTGAGCCCTCAGATGATTGCGAAGCTAGAGGAACTGTGGAAGGAAAACTCCGCCGCCACCATCACGGATCTTGAGAAGGCATCGAATATCGACGACGAACCCGCACCAGTTCTGCTCCGATACGATGACGCATACCAGTACCAGAACGTTTTTGGGCCTCTTGTCAAGATCGAAGCCGACTATGATCGTAAACTGAAAGAAAGCCAATCGCAAGACAATTTGATCGTGCGCTGGGACCTGGGTCTCAACAACAAGCATTTGGCTAGTTTTATTCTTCCCAAGCTCGAACTCGGTGATGTCAAACTGGCCGTTGGTGACGAGATGCGCCTAAAGTATACTGGCGATTTGCGTCCTGCGTGGGAGGGGGTTGGCTACGTCTACAAGATTCCGAATAATCAGTCTGACGAAGTCACCCTTGAACTACGAGCCAAAGGAGACCATAAATCAGTGCCGACCGAGTGTACCCACAACTTCACAGCCGACTACGTGTGGAAAGCCACCTCTTTCGATCGAATGCAGCTCGCTATGAGAACCTTTGCCGTTGACGAAATGAGTGTTTCTGGCTACATTTTCCACCGACTCCTCGGTCACGAAGTTGCAGCAGCGCCCATGAAGACTCAGATGCCTAAGAAATTCAGCGTTCCTGGCTTGCCCGAACTCAACAGTAGTCAGATCAGCGCTGTCAAATCGGTCATTCAAAAACCGCTGAGTTTGATCCAAGGTCCTCCCGGTACGGGCAAGACAGTCACATCAGCAACCATCATTTACCACCTTTCTAAGATAAATGGTGGTCAAGTTCTGGTTTGCGCACCGTCCAACGTGGCTGTCGACCAGCTCTGTGAGCGCATCCACCGCACTGGGCTCAAGGTCGTTCGTGTCACGGCCAAATCACGAGAAGATGTTGAGTCTCCAGTTCGTTTCCTGTCCTTGCACGAACAGGTCCGGATGAACGACAGCAACGTCGAACTCAGCAAGCTCAATCAGCTCAAGTCTGAATTGGGTGAATTGTCTAGTCAGGACGAGAAGAAGTACAAGTCGTTGACACGTTCAGCTGAACGAGAGATCTTGCAGAATGCCGATGTCGTTTGCTGTACCTGTGTGGGTGCTGGAGATCCCAGACTCGCCAAGTTCAAGTTCCGAACAGTCTTGATTGATGAGTCGACTCAATCGGCTGAGCCCGAATGCATGATTCCTTTGGTTCTTGGTTGCAAGCAAGTCGTCCTTGTTGGTGACCATCAGCAGCTTGGCCCTGTCATCATGAACAAGAAGGCGGCCAAAGCAGGTCTCAATCAGTCCTTGTTCGAACGCCTAGTCACCCTCGGGTGCGCACCTATTCGACTCAATGTCCAGTATCGTATGCATCCTTGTTTGTCGGACTTTCCTTCGAATATGTTTTATGAAGGAACTTTGCAGAACGGTGTCACCGCTGAACATCGCACGCGCCGCGAGATTGACTTCCCTTGGCCTGTGGTTCAAAGCCCGATGATGTTCTGGTCGAACCTTGGCAACGAAGAAATCTCGGCTTCTGGTACATCCTACCTTAACCGAACCGAGGCCGCAAATGTCGAGAAGATCGTCACGCGCTTCTTCAAGGCTGGGGTCAAGCCGGCCGATATTGGTGTCATTACTCCCTACGAAGGCCAACGCAGCTACATTGTTAGCTCGATGCAAGCCAATGGTACTTTCAAGAAGGAATTGTACAAGGAAATCGAGGTGGCTTCAGTCGATGCTTTCCAAGGACGAGAAAAGGACTACATCATCTTGTCATGCGTCAGGTCTAATGATCACCAAGGTATTGGTTTCTTGAGCGACCCTCGTCGTCTCAACGTCGCCATGACACGAGCGAAGTACGGCCTTGTCATTCTCGGAAACCCGAAAGTGCTGTCTAAACACCCTCTGTGGCACTACTTGTTGCTTCATTTCAAGGGAAGCAATTGCCTTGTCGAGGGCCCTTTGACCAATCTTCAGATCTCGCTACACCAGTTCAGTCGACCTAAGCAGTCGTATCGCGGCCCTCAACGTTACCAGATGGCATATAATCATGCTACCCACATGGCCAGCGGAATGATGAACGGACGTGGCGGTCCCCGCGACGGTGGCTCGGTTGTAGGCTATATTCCCGACGATGTCTCATCTATTCACTCATCGGCCATGGGCGGTGTTGGTGTCCCAGCTGGTTATCCGCCCATGTTTCAAAGCTTCACCGCAGACACTTGGCCTTCTCTCCAGAATGCCAATGGCCGACGATCGAATGGGGTCAAACCCAGAGGTGTCCCGGGTAGTGTTGCTGGTGAGTCGACTGTTGCCACGGAGTCGGATGTGACGGGAAGTGTTATTGGCCAAGGCGGCGTCAGTCTCGATCAGCTGTCTATTCACGACGTCACCAAGCACGCCAGTTACAACCAGGCGGATCGATTGAAGCGGTATGTCGAAGGCGGTGTTCCCAACGCCGGGTACATGGGCGGTAGCTCCAGATTCGGCAAGGGCATGCACCAGGATGAAGACGCCCAGAGTGTTTCGACGGCATTCGCAAGCCAAGTTGGAGGTGGCTACGATTGATTCAGCGGACGAGAGACAAACGATGATTAACTTCAGACTACTCTCGAGCTCTACAGAGCCATACTGTTTTTGATGCAGTCATTACACCGTACAGTGAATCTTCAATCGAGAAGACCCGTCATCGGTACCGATCTTGGCCGTCTACAGCGCCGTACCCAAGACATGCAGATCTGCCACCAACACTGGACAATGGTGAGCATGCAAGCATGTGTTCATTCAGGCCGGCTTGTGGTCTTGCACCTTCGGAAGAGGCTCGACCCTACTAGCATGGGATATCTCCTGCTAAGTGCTGAGTGCATGCTGGTCCGCCCGAGCGTACGGCATCTGCCGATAGCCACGGGTCCTGGAAAAGGGTAAACTCGACAGTCATTTATTGATACAGTTGGGGTCGAATTGTGGAAGGATGTGGAGTGTGTGGAGAGGCGAGAGGTGTGAACAGCAGGATAGGGAGGACGTCAGGAAGTCCTGCAAGGTTGAGGAGGGGATGTTGAATCAGACTGACATTGACGTTGCGGGATTGGTATCGTTGTTGCTGCTTGCTTTTCAGACTGACCCATATACATTCGCTTGAATTCAACAAAGTCATTCGTTCATTCGTTCATTTCGCTTGTACTCTGTACGGAGTACGTTCGTGTCTCAGCATTGTCGTGATCGGTTCGGAGACTCTGTGCAAGAGTTGGTCGTGTGTAGGTTTCGCTTCCTTTAGCGGCGTCGCGTATGGCAATATTGTACAGTACTGGACTAGGTAGACCCGTAGCAGGGAGTGCATCTCGTCTATCTGGCATGCCCCTTCAATCTGCAAAATGTCTCCATAGATGTTGCGGCAAAGCATACGGCGGAGTGCATACCGATACAATTGCCCGCTTGGCAGTCCCAATGCACGAATGAAGATGCGGCTTTCGTACGGAAATTCCGAAGAGGGAGTATTGAATTCCGCCGTAGTAGGGACGTATGGAGTAATATTGAGGGTCAATCAGCTGGGGAAAACGTCGCTTACGAGTGACTGGCCAGTGACGAGATGGACGTTGGACGCATTGCGTTTCAGGATTCTTCGCGTCCTCCACTGAGGTTCGAAGGAGTTTGAAACATTGTCCGCCCCTGAAACACCATGAGCGGCACCTTGAACCCCCAAACGCCAAGTTTTGGACAGCTGGCTTAGTTATGGCTCATGGGTTGATGAGCCTCGTTCGAACAGAGGGCTTCCTCGGGCCGATTCTGCAAGACTGCCCCCAAATGGACCTGTTTCCGTTCTAGACCTTGTTGGCTGGTCCACGTACGGATACTCCGTGTGGGATTGAGCTTTTTGCGTCCGATCAGGGTTCGTCTAGAGAGTTTCGAAGCATGGATGTCCAGACAGACGTGGTTCCATCAACTAACCCCTTCACACGAGCAGTTGACGCGATTGTCAACAATGCGGTGGTGAGTTATTACTCTGCTAGTTCGCTCTCGTGGAGAAACGCAGTGCACTCGTGCTGCTTTGTTGTGGTAGGGGGATTTTCTTTTCTTTCCTGATGAGTTTATGCCCTTTCGGTTTCGTTCTTGTCTTTCTTTAATATTTGCATCGGCTGGCCGAGAGTAAAGAGTGGCGTGTGTGCGGTTGAACCGTGTACTGTGTGCAAGGCACTCACTTTCCATCGCCCGGTTGTGTCGTTTGTTTCCGGGATATCGGGTGCCGATTTCATTTCAGCAGCAGTCGAGGTTCTTTAGGGCTGGAGAGTAAAGAGGAAGAGGAAAAGAGACTGCGTCAGGTAAAAAGGGAACACTATCGAAGCCGGACGGACGAGTGTCAATCAGTATGGCGATTGAAAATATCCCGACTTCACAAACCCTCAAACAGGCCTTTGAGTTGAACATCTATACTCCCGACGGAGTCCCTGTACCTTTTGGGTCTCTCTTCGAGCCTCACGGTGCCACCGCCGACGACCACGACAAAACAGCCTCAACCTCGTCCTTGTCTTCAGCCTCGCTCTCGCCCTCGACCTCGAATCATATCCTTGTGGTGTTCATCCGTCATTTCTTCTGCGGAAACTGCCAGGAATACATTCGTCGATTGTCCTCGCCGGCAAGTCCTTTCCACCCTACTCGACGACGAGCATATCTCAATTTCTCCAAACCAAACACCCACCCACCACCATCTGTAATCATAATAGGGCCTGGATCACCGAGTTTACTGTCCTCTTACGCTGCACTGACAAAATGTGCGTACCCCATCTATGCCGACCCGTCAACACAACTATACGATATGCTGGGCATGCACAAGACATTGTCTATGGGAGGCAAACACCCAGAGTATATCCAGCACAACCTCCTTAGCGGCGCGGTCAAGTCGGCATGGCAGATTGTCAAACGTGTGGGTAATGGGGATGCGTTGGACGGAGGAGACTGGCACGTCAACGGCGGTGAATTTCTCTTTGTCCAAAAGGACACCTTGGGCCAGTCGGTTTCAAGGAAGAAGTCCCATCCAACTTCGAGATCAAGATCAAAATCCAACTCGCCGCCTCCACAGCCAGGATCACGGACCCGTTCGTCATCGAGAGACCTTACACCCTCTGGATCAGCATCTTCGTCAGGGGCAAAACCAGGGTGGGAAGTGCACTGGTGTCACCGCATGGCGAACTCTCGTGATCACACGGAGATTCAGGACTTGTATCACAATACGTGTTCGTCGTCGGCATTTTCTCTGCCTCGCCCTGGTTCACGAACAGCCTCACCTACTCCGCTGCGCTCTATTCTGGTCAATGGAGGCGGTGGTCACGCCAGTCCCTTCGGGCTGCTCACCCAGTCCCGCCGTCCACGATCGCAGTCGGGGTCCAGGGCCAGATCACTGAGCCGGAGTTACTCGTCTGAATGTCTGGGGGCGTGTCCGGGCCCGGATATTCCGAAGACCCGCGAAGAAGCACTCCTCAGCCAAGCCTTGTATGCATCTGCATCTACCCGTCCAGGGTCGAAAGCAAGTCTTCGACCGAAATCAAGGAGTCTAAGTGGAATCTCGAGTAGTGATAAGCATCAATGGTCGAAATCCGTGACCTCCCTAACGAGAGCCGACTCTGGTCTGGCCGAGGGAGTTGGCGAAGATGTTGAGCCTCGGAAGAGCTTTAGCCAGAGTATAGCATCGAGGGTTGGAATTCTAGCAAGATCGAAGTCTTTCTCTGCGAAGGCGAACCCGCGGACGGAGGGCGTTGATGAGCATGCCGCGAATCAGACTGGTGAAGGAGAGAGTATGAGTGCAAGTGTGGACACAAGCACAATTACGGGCGCGAATGGAAGGAAACGATCACTTTCGAGTCTTGTCAGGTCGGTGTCGAAGAAGTACAAGACGAGACCGGGCGTTGTGACACAAGTACGTCCCCAGACGGCGACACCTACATCGTCGACTCAATCGCTGACTCAGACGTCGGCGCAGTCTCGTCCCGACTCGGCAGTCTCCCTATCAGCGCGCCACGCACATGACGAGGATGAGACTGATAGAGAGGAGGAGGAAGAAGAAGGAGGAGGAGTCTCATCTCAACCCACCACAGCGCATGCACCTGCTCGACGCACATCATTTTCCCTTTCACGCCGTTCCAACAGACCGTCGCAGAGTCCGAGCAAGATGTCACGGGGCGCCAGTACGATAGAGATGGGCGAGGATGGAATAATGCTCGTCGACGGTGTCGAGTTTGTCAATGTGATAAGTCTGAAGGCCAGGGTAGATGGTTCACGCCGGCAGAATCAGCATGAGCCTCGTCATCATCATCATCATCATCATCAAATGCAGCCTCAAAACCACACTGTCGGTCACACGCACGCTGAACTGGTCCCCCCTCAACCTCACACTCAAACTCACGCTTACGAGCACAATCAAACTCAACTTCACGTCCACGACCGCATGGCAGGATCAGTACGGCCCGTGGGTTCGACAATGGCGTTGGGAACGGCCGTTTTATCTGTCCACGGGTGACCGGACTAAAGTACACAAACACAACACCTGCACTTGCACGGAAAACGGTTCTCCAGCTGCCTCCTTCGTCTCCTCCAGAGCTGATCAGCGCTTTCATTCACACACAGCCCAGACGACGCATTCCCTGTTTTTTCCCCCCTTACTTTATGTTAAATGCCCTTGCTGCCGGAAACACTTTATGGTTGGACCTAGGTTTATCCAACAAGACTGACTCGCGGGGCGAGTATTGAGTTGCATGGGATGGCGACTTCACTCCCTATTCGGGGTGGGATGAAGGGCCACGAGAGTCATGAACATGGCAATATGAAATGGAATGGGTGAGCCAAGAGTCTTGGTGGTGGTGGTGGTGGCGGAAGGCACGAGGAGCGATGGGGGACAGGGACAATCAGCTTCGAAAGAGAAGTCGAACAACCTACAACAGGTCTGGAAAACCTCTGAAAAATAGCACCTAGAACACTAAAATACATATCAAAAGTACAGAGTAATGAGATATGTACTCTTTAATTTCATTCGTTCTTTGTATACCTCGCGTGGCGTGGGAGTAACCACCATGGCACGAAACACTACCTCTGCGTGAGTACATACCTAGGCAACTATGTATATTTTCCATCTCATGTACGGCTAGGAGGTGAGGATGGCCTCAAACAAACACTACCAATACCAGAGATAATGTCGAAACCACCGCAATATGTTTGGCCACTGTCACTCTGCAGAAAGTGGGCTCTTTTTCAATGTATAAAATCATACTCATGACGCCAGGGTTTGTGATCGCTAATGTCACGAAAAAATATCATAAGTCTCGTCCCTTTCCTCGTGTACTCCGTGGAAATGCACTCGTAATTCGTCAACGCCGCAAAAGCAAATCTCTTCTCATCTGTCGGAGCTTGGAGGATGCTATACTCGGCTCAAAAGTTGAGGTGAAGTTGCGATGGGTGCTGTTGTGAGGTTGCCGCTGGTCTGGTCCTCGTTAACTGGGTCGAAATGATCCCAAGATATTGGTATTGAATAGTGAGAACCAGCAAGTCCCGCAGAAGGCTGAGGCTGTGGTGCTCTGAGAGACTGGGTGGTCTGGGGTGTCGGGTTCATCGATTGGGTGCTAAAAAGACATGGTCCTGATTGTACTTGTGGTACGGCGCTAGGCGAACGTGCAAAACTCGCCTGGTGCGTTCGGCCATCCGCCAACGGGGAAGTGAAATCGATATAAGTGTTTTGCGCGTCGAAAGGTGTCGACGGGGATGGATATTGTTCGCTGGTAAGAGCAGGAAGACCATTCAGGTGTGTCGGGCTCAGCATTGCATCCATGTTGACGCTGACTTCAGGAAGTTGCTGGCCTGGTAAAGCCTGAGAAACCGAAAAGATGCCTCCATCCATTGCCGAAGCAACAGTAGCTTGGCCTATGTTATAGTCAGTGCCTCGGGAAGCATCAAAGTCCATCCAGCTAAACGAAGAACCGCCAAATTGGCCACCTGAAAAGTCCCAAGTCCCATTGGTATTGTTTGGAAGAAAGTCGTAGTCGAGCGACGGTTGCGACAAATCTGGCAATGGCTCAATGTAAGATTCGCTCGGATCGGGAGTCATAGCCATGACCGTTGTCGGAGATGGGACGTGAGAACAGTGGGAGCTGGCGGGTTGATTGGTCCAAGAGTGCTGCGAAATAGGATATCTGAGGTATATGGCGTTTGGATCAGAGCTCTGGGGAAAGTACTGTTCCAATTGTTGTTGAGAGACATTGGGAGTTCGTGAAAGGAAGAAAGTCGGCCGACCACCCATACAAGACGTCGAATCATTTCCTTGCATGAATGAGACTGGCATCAAGCCGTCGAATTCCGAGTACGCTTGTTCCGCCAGATTCTTCACTTGTTGTTGAGTATGGTTGATAGAGGTGGCGTTATTGGGGTGATCTGGACAGTACAAACAAGAGCAGGCCGAGCCACAAGAACAAGCCGCTTTCCATGATTGCTTCACAGACACGCTTGGGACAGCCGGAGTCGCCGCAAGGCTGGCTGAATCCGGTTGGTTCTCAATATTCTGTCGGTGTCTACAGCCGCCTGTTGAGAGTGGCTCAGGGGACTGTGGTTCTTCTTTCGGCTTTTTGGAGCCGCAGCAACTCGATTTAGAGGCCTCTGCCGTTTTCGAGGCGCCTCCTTCTCGCTCTCTCATCCTTCTCTTTCGTTCTTGGTACTCTTCATCATTGAGCTCCTTTCCATTTGCGTCGGCCCATACCTTCTTCAAGGTCATTTTATTCCCATTAGCATCCTCCCACACGGGCTTTGGGCTAGACGTTGCTTCGCGACTAATGAGTTGCGGCGCATCGACTCTGACAACCAGATACATTTCTTGGGTGCAGGCACAATCTCTTTGACATTTGCAGGTTTTGGTCGTGCAAGCGCAGTTCCTGGGACAGTGGCAGCCTCTCCTCTGACCAGCAGATGGTCGGCCTGGTTGATTGGTCTCAGAAATGGGCCTTGTCCTCCCATGATCACACTTGTTCACGCGATGTCCCCTCTTACACGATTCGCAAGCATATGTTTTTCCATTGAAGTGCTGAATCGGCGTGGTTTCGCTGCGGTGGGCAGTGCGAATTTTGCGGATTTTACCGTCCTCGACTCTCCCAGTCTTTGGCGGGCTAGACACTTTCTCGCCAGAGGATTCCTGCATTTTGTCGAATCATTCAGAGGTCCGTCCGAGAGAGAGTTTGCAAAGGCCGTTAGACTAGACGTGGAAAAGGACGCGTAGGAGTACAGGACGTGAAAAATGAGGAACGCTCTCAGGAGTCAAAAATGACAGCGGCGGTGGATGATTTGAGCACAACTACTCGTACTAGCGGAGGGGAACAAGCAGGAGATCTTCAGGTGTTCGGCCAGGGACTCGAGGGTGGCATGCGTGGGGGAGGATCGGTAAGGGCATTGGAGTAAGCCCCTAGACAGTACTCGTATTGTGTGAGTGCGGCTGCCAGATATATTTAGCGTCTCTGCTTACAGCCACCAAGGGAAATGTGACACCTGCAACCGCGAACGAGGGTCGGGATGGTGTCGACGGGAGAGATCGGTGTCGAGCCCATCGGGCCACTTTCCTGGTTTGTGCGTAGCGCACCTTTCCTGTTGAGGGATAGCATAGTTCAAGGTACTTAGATCTCCTTCTGCGTCGCCTGACTTAACATATTTACAACACTTTACGCAAGACAATACAACGCTTGACAAGACCTCGTCTTTTCATCCTGACCCTATAGGCCTCTCATCGCGATAGATTGAGGCTTCGGGTGTGATGATTTTGCGCACCAAGACATGCATAGAGGAGTACCAAGGGGTCATGCCTCGAGGCGCTAGTACCCATTACAGTATTGGTTCAAGGGGCCCTGTACAAGCCTATACACCCTTTACCTATAACCAGATCTGAAGCCAAAGAGTAATTGATTCTATGCGATTGAACATTGAAGACTTCAAAGTCAAAGGTGGAAGACAAGTTGATTGGTGATTTCGAGGTAAAAAGTGCCCGGAGGTAATGATTATCCCGCATACTCCGTGCCGCGACGTCGAAGGTGTATTTGTTGCTAACTTCGTCCATTTATGTCAACGTTTTGTTGAAAACTTGAGGCGAACTAATCCTGCTGAGCTGTTATATTTGAGTAATGGACTCCCTTGTCCTAGGGCATCCTCGTTCACATTCTCTTCCTCCTCATTGACGTCCACTTATCACTGAATCCAGCGGGAGACCACAACAGCAAGTCCATTTTGCAAGACGTTCAACATGCTATTGCACTACCTTGAACCTCTTATCGTTCTCTTGATAGCGTCTATTACTCTTACTGAGGGTAGATGCGTCGAGGTTCCAGTTCAAGAGATATACGATATTTCAGACACGGCTCATACCAACGTCATTGTGTCGAATGATGGGTTTAGAGCATACAAAGACGGCCAGTGCTTCGAAGCAAAATATGCCGATATGCCCACTGCGCAGCAACTCATCTACGACGATATTTTTCTTCGTACACGTGACGATCGGGATTTGCAGGAGCGAGATTCTCAAGAGTCGAATTCTCAGGACTAGATAAAGATGGCGGTTCAGGCTATAGCACTATTCCACTATATGACTACCCAAAGCGACCAAACTAAACGATGTTAATCACCTTTCCGTATCGAGATGGCTGCGAGTCAGATCAACAATAAGAAAACTTGCCTCGAAGGGAAACGGACGACGAGAGTAATTATGTATTGGTCTGAGTATACATAGTGCGGAAGTCTCTCGACAGACGTACAGTACATGGAGGATTTTGGGAGTCGCATAAAGATGCTTTGAGGACCTTGAATTGTGGGCCTTGTTCAAGCTGTATTTGTAAAAGAAATTCCGAAATGGCTAGCGAAGAAAAGAAGGGAGAGGGAGGGAAGGGCGGATATTTACGAGAAGTTGTGTACCCCTTTACGTACTTAGTCAGTCTTCCCAAGGAGTAATCATGGCAATGTGCTTTTACTAAATACCTATTACCATCCTCGTCTCGAAGTAGCTAAATCCTGTCGCAAAGAGGAGCGAACACCAGTACCGACCGCAAAATATAACAGTACAAGAACAGCATAAAGCCCGCGAATCGTCTATCGGATAAGGAAGCTGTCATTCTATATTTCATCGTCTTTAGGTTCTAAAAGATTGCTACCGCCGTTCTGCAGACCTCTTTGTTCCCATGGCTAGACGAAGACTTTCTTCTGAAGCCATCGAGCAAGCCGCACAGATCTCCTGTCCACCCTCTCAAAATAGTCCGCGGCAATAAAGACCGCAAGCATCACCAGAATGAAACCTGGGATATGGGCCAGAAATGTGTCGTTCAGGAATTTCTGCCTCAATGGTTCCGTCAAGAGGCGGGTGAGAGTATGGCCGACAGGTGGGTGTATTGCGTATAGACCGAAAGATAAGTCGCCCACGTACTGAGAGATGCGCCAGTGGAAAGGCGTCTGCAAGGTAGGGTATGATTCGATCGCTAACACCACTGCAAAAGCGCCGGGAGAAATCCAGAAAGCATATCGAGTACTTGCCCCGTACCATGAAGGCACAAGGGAATCGAGGAACTCCCAAGGGACCGACTTCATAAACCCGAGCTGATTACCAACTTTCGGTCGTGCCACCAGGAACAGCCCCACGACCAGCACAAGGGACCACCCAACCTTTCCAGCGATTGACCGCCCCCGGGAAAATGATGGTCGCCGGTCCATACGCTCAGGTCGCCGACTCATGGAGAGATCGGCAATGAAGAAACCGGACAAAAACTCTGCCTGGAAACGCACCTCCCAGACATAGCAGGCGAGTATTATGAGCCATGTGGCGATCATGCGATCCCTTGTGCTCAACTTGCACGTAATAAGGATGACCAAGAAAAGGACCATACTGCCTCGGTATTCCACAGGAATGGTCCAGAGCTGGTACAGGTAGGGATTAGACTTCTGCGCTCCGAAGGGATTGAGGAACGCGCCCGTCTTGATGCAGAAGTCGATTATGTTGTCGATGAGACTCGGCTTGTACAGCCCCTTGTGAGTGTTATACCACTGCATGCGAACAAAGGGAAAAGAAAAAGCGCATGCCGCCGCGCTGCTGAGATAAAGCCTGAAGTATCTCCGGAAGGTGGATGAAGACAGTGCATTCAGCAGACTCTCCGCATCTCCTTGCCTGGTCAGAATGAGAAGTCGATATCCAAGGGCGTAACCCGAGATGACGAAGAATAGGATCACCATGGCTTTGCCCGAGTCGAGCAGGTTGAGGAATGGCTGACGGCGCCAACCGCTGGATTCGGCTTCAGGTGTGGGAAATATGTGAAAGAAGACGACAATAAGGGCTGCATAGCCTCTGAGGGCATCCAAGTATGATGTCGGCCCTATCTTTTTGGACGGGAGGCCTCCCGGCTGCATGAAACGAGGTAGGGCGGCCACGAGCAGCTGCTTCCAGGTGGTATGTGTCTTCTCTTTCTCGGATAACAGAGCCCACGCCGGTGTTCTGGACGGCGCTTCCGCAGGTATTATGTCCATGGCTCGGAGCTTTGAGTGCAACTGGTTGCTGTACTGAGGCAGGATGGGATGGGCCAAAAGGAACGAGGAGAATTTGATGGTTGAAGGCCCTTCGGATGAGAAAGCAACCTACTACAATCCCTTTCTGTCGGAACCTACCTAGATAATTGGCCAACCGCCCCCTGTCCCAGGACATTATTGATCTGCGGCTCTTCAGTGCTTTAGCAGGCGACCCCTTGAAATTGACGCATGCAGTCTCCCAACAGGAAAGGGACATCTTGATATTCGCGGGAGCACGTGCTGCGATGCCCAGAAGACTGACAGCAATGTGGATAGAAAACACGAGATGCCATCGAACAAGATGCCGTTCGACTCATAGACATGTTCGCCAAACGCCATACCGCCCATTACTGTCAAATTCGTCTCCGAGGCAGGATCATGAAGGAGTGCATTGACAGGCTTCTGTGGGCAGCATTTAGTTACCTGGCTGGGCAGACATTCAGAGATGTCTCTAGGTGCGAGACTTCATTATTGATTAGGCCTTGCTGGGAACTCCTAATGACACCAGACGTGTGCTGCATGTCTAGAGATGAAGCGTGTTTCGCATACAAAAGCACCATGCTCATTTGTGATCGAGAGTGGCAGTCTGGTAGATTCCCCCTTAGTGGATACATTTGAGCGGCAGAAAAGCATGGCGTTTGAGTGGAGAACTTTCGTAATTTCGATCTCTACGGCTAAACACGACTCCGTGTACCATTAACCACTTGACGTCCTGTCATTCCTCTTCACCTTTCCGAGTCCTCGTACATGTCCATTCCGTTCCAACCTGGTCGACTTTGAGGAGGTGGGAAGGCCGGAGCATGGGGTTGGAGATGAACGAGGAAAAAAAGATCGCAACCAACACCTCGTCGCGGGCGGCCAGGAATGCCTCGAAGTCAAAGGCACAAGATCCCTCTGCGTTCTCATGGTTCTCGCTTCCGCAGCCCATCAAACGCATATTCGATCGCTTTCCCCTGATCGTCTATCCTCCAAATGTTCTCCCCCAGAGGGCCCCAGGACGCCGAAGTGAGAACATCCTCTATATTTTCCAATCCGACGTACCACCGAGTCGAGATGCTCCGTCTTTCAACCCGTCCTGTCTTAAATGGCAAGCGTATCTCAAATTCCACGGCATCCCTCTACGCACGAGACCGTCGAACAATCACGCCTCACCCACCGGCTCTCTGCCTTTCCTCCTCCCTGCGTCTCAAGAAGACCAGCGGCCACCGTCTCCGGTTCCTGCCAACCGACTAGCAAGATGGGTCGTATCACAAGGAGGCAAAGAGGAGGCAGTACATGTGCGGCAAGATGTCTACACAGCGCTCATCGATCACAACATTCGAAGCGCGTGGCTCTACTACTTGTATCTTGATGAGCATAACTTCCAGGCCGTGGCATGGCCTATGTACGTGGCATCAGCATCTTCCACATGGGCCGTTCGGACGGAGCTTGCCCGTCAACTTCGCAATGCCGCACGAGACGAACTGCTAAAGACGAGCGCTATGATCGACCAGCAAGAACTGTACAGTAAAGCGGATGAAGCGTTCCAAGCACTGTCTACTCTCCTGGGAGAACAGAAATTTTTCTTTGGACAGACAACCCCTGGACTCTTTGACGCGAGTTTATTTGCATATACCCAAATCATTCTAGATGACGATCTCGATTGGCGAACGCTTGTGTTGAAGACGGCGTTGCAAAAGTATGAGAATCTTGTACACCACCGAGCACGCTTGGTTCGGGGCTTCTTTTCCGGCCGGACCCCAAGCGTTCACTCCATGGACGAGTGAAAAGTTTCACATCAGTTCTTTTTCTGGAAGATTCCTCCGAACCAGACCGTCACTCCGACCCATTTCGCCGACCTTGCACCAAGAAGAGAGACCAGAGACTCGTCTACGGCTCTCTGCTCGATCTGGTTCCCGATGAGTTCGAACCCTTTCTTCGCTGCCTCGGCCTCGACTTCGGCGATGGTGTGAGCATAACTTGTTGGGCGGATCTTTTCTCCAGTGTCGGGATCTACGAATCCAGCTTGACTGATGCCACCCATCTCCGAGTGCATGTTGGTCAACAACAGATAGCCACCTGGTCTGAGGATCTTTGCGACGTGGTTGAAGAAGACGTCGACGGGAACATGCTCAAGGACTAGCGTCGAGACCACCGCATCAGCGTTCAAGGCCGAATCAGATGCCGAATCCTGCTCAATCATATCAAACACCTCGAGGCTCAATCTGCCTTTGGCCCCACCATTCTCTAGCCGCCGCCTAGCAACCTCGAGCATACCAGGGCTCACATCAAGTCCGAAAACATTGGCGTCCTTGACCTCTAGCAACGCAGCTGTATTTCGACCAGTCCCGCATCCCAAGTCGACCAATTTCCACGGACGAGATAAGGCTGATGCTTCAAGGAGACCAAGCAAGCGCGGCATGAAGATTTTCATTTCAATCGTGTCTAGAGCTTGCAGGAAGTTGCCGTCTGTATCATAGACTGCCGACCAGAGATCGTAAGCTTGAGATGTCGAGAGGTAGCGGACCGTTGGGTCGGCGGATTGAGGTATTGCTTTGGCCATGTTGAGGGTTGTGTACGGACAATGGTGCGGTATGCTTTAGGAGTGAGAAAAAACGCCTCTCGTGAATGTGTGTGTGTATATATATATATATATATATAAAAGTATTCTGTAGATAATTATGGATCCGAATTCGAAAAGATGGGTTCGAAATTGACGACTTGATGCGGAGGAGTGTGAAGAGTGACCGACACACTGACATGAACCAACTACGGTGCTTGATCGGTGGCGTTCGATGTGGGCAAGCGGGTTTTCACCAAAGGGTTGTTGTTCCTTACAAAGGAGACGGCGTAGGTCGTACGTAAGGCGGAGTAAACAAGGGGCCAAATGATGAACGGATACCTACTTCTTCCATCTCATCCGTCTTCTCAACCTTTTTATAATAAACTCTTCGAGTTGCTCCCGCTCGGCTAATTTTTTTCTCTCGAGGAACCCGGGGAAATGAGTCACCCAGTTCAACCATCTTCCTTGGCCCATTTTGAACCCACTTTGTGTCATATGGGAAGTACCAGGAATAGAGGTGTGTAGGTAGGTCCCGAGTACAGTGTGTTTCGTGTGTCAAATTGAAATTGACAATGCAGAGCAAGCAAGCAGGCAGGCAGGCAGGCAGGCAAGATCAAAGACCAAACAATAGTCGCAATGTTTTCCATGTTTCTTTCTCCAAACTCCTCCCGTGCGTTCAGTGACATATTATGCTATTTGGGTATCGTTCGTTGCCTTTAATCTCATCTCGCGAGAAAAGAAAAAGCCGTACTGTACAATAATGTACATCACATATTCTACATGGGCACCTTGCCTTTTGTGCGACAAGGCACCTTGGTTCCAAGTCAGGGTGAGTGACGGTCTCCTCTCCCACGCACCCTCGCCCTCGCTTCGATGCATGCGCCATTGGCCATTCGCCTCGGTCAATAAAAGTCGTGTCAGTGGCAATGATGATGATGATTGTGCTGTTGTTGGTACACGCTGAGACTCTCCTCCCCCCTCTCCGGTTAAATGGCACCAACCCCAAACACACCGCCACCCTCTCTCAAGTCTTCAACGAGATCTTGTACGTTGCTCAAATGCTTGCCTAGTAGGTTCTGCTTCTCTTCTGTCGTCCTGACGTTATTCGCGGGCGAGCTGCTCTTGGCCGCGGCCTCGGGACCGTTGACCGTCTCTCTTCGTCGGTCGAACGCTGCCATGAGTTCTTTGCCTCGGCCGCCCAGGATTGCCGTGTTGGTCGCAGACGCCGAGGTGGATAATTTGGTCGCCGGCGTCTCCGGCATGAGGTAAAAGTACAGGAACTCGACGAGTTTGAGCTTGACTTCCCGCGACGTGCTCCGGGATTTGAAAAGCGACGTCACCACGAGCAGACCGTCGATGGCTTCGAATGTCCGCGCATTTTGGGGCTGGTCGAGTAACGATGTGACGAGCGCCATGATAGTGGATGATTGGATTGCCGGGCAGTTGGACGGGTCGAGAAGATCAAGGAAGAGCTAAGGAGGACCAACTGCTTAGTCCAGACCAAGTCAAAGAAGAGAGCGAGTGCTAAGGGTTGTTATAGGAAGAAGAACGTACATTCATGTATATTTCCTGTGAGAAGAGGGCTCGCGATGGAGGATGGAGAAGTAACACGCCCTGGATCAGGTCCAGTGTTTGGATTATGAGGATGTCATTTGTGCCGTTGCTTTCCTTGCCGAGGAGTCGCTCGAGGCACGATACCAGCCGCATTGCTATGTTCCATTGAAACGACTGTTGGAGTTTGAAGAATTCTCGGAACGCTGGGTCTTCGGATAGTTCGCTGAGTTTCTTCCCCGTCGGCGGATTAGAGCCGAGTAGCAACATCGATTGGCGTTTGTTGGTTATTGACGTCTTGGAGAGGCATAGCTGGGCGAGGAGGCCTTCGACCTGCCGCAGCCCTTTTCGGATCTTCTGAGGGGACGGCGACGAGAGGTAGTCGAACGAGTGGGAGAGAAGGGTTTCCATATTGACGACGGCGACCAGTAAGCGATTTATGAAGTCGGGAGTTCTGGCTGTGAAGGTGTTCTCCTGGGAATGTCTAGGTGAAGGCGTGAAGCGCAGTCTCTAACAATATGTATAGGATGAGTTGAAGCCCGTTGTCATGGCCGGATGTAGTTAGATCCAAACAAGCGGGGGGATGTGACTTTCTGTTGGTGCTATGCTGTACTGTACGGCCAAAGTACCAGGTGCCTCCGCTCCGGGCTCACTAAGTTACAATACAATAGGCCTCTGGTCAACCCGGCATCCGATGATCCCGGGGCCCGCGGAACCCCCGCAGACCTGCCAGGCTTCTTTGTTGGCGCCTACAATACCAGTGCAATACTACCCTTTTGTTGGGTGCCTTGGGCAACCCTGATGGCCCACAATGACCCCTAAGGGTGCCTCGCAGGATACCTTAGGGCCCTGTTAGCCCCTGGCAGGCGTCTTTTCGTGCCAAGTGAGCCGAGCCCGAGTCCAGCAACGGCCCCAGTCAAGCCTCGCCATGTGTTTCGTCATGCGCGTCGACGGATATCATGATGCCTGCGTACACCATCAGTCCATGACCACCACATCTTCGTCCCTCTTGTGATCGAGTTCCAATAACCCTCGCATACTCACACACACCTTGACCTTGACCCTTATTCGCTCTCATGCATCTCGTTGCCAGCACGTCCACCCACCCTCGTGCCTGACATCTCTCCGCTGTCCTGAGTAAAGGACTTCATCCGCAGTACAACTGTCACCTCTCTTCTCGCCTTCACATGCCCCTCCTCCACTGCACCCGACCCAGGCATCATGTCGACCGTCCCAGAGAACCCGACCTCTCCCAATGCCATCCCCGTCCGTTATAGCTCGGCAGGTGTCCGTGACGGCGTCCAGCATCAACCCTCCAAATCCGTCCTCAAACCTCTCCCAGAAGACACCTGGATATCTAATAAACACTACTCTACACCCCCGTTGAGTCCTCCCTTACCTCTCATCGACCAGACCAACAAGATGAGACACTCAAAGAAAAAGTCCACCTCAGAGACCATTGCCCCCAGGCGGCTGAGCGAATGGACACCACAGAAAGAGAAGATCATCATGGGTCCCTACGACTACCTCTTTGCCCACCCGGGCAAAGACATACGTTCCGCCCTGATCAAAGCCTTCAACGCCTTCCTCAGCGTCCCGCCACGTTCACTCGAGATCATAACGAAAGTCGTGGGCATGCTGCACACTTCATCTCTGCTGATCGACGACGTCCAAGACGGCAGCCAACTCCGACGAGGGATCCCGGTCGCACACAACATCTTTGGCGTCGCCCAAACGATCAACAGCGCAAACTATGTCTACTTCCTGGCGCTCCAGGAACTCCAAAAGCTCGACAACAAGGACGAAGCCATGGAAATCTTCACCACAGAACTCCTCAACCTGCACCGCGGCCAGGGGATGGATCTGTACTGGCGAGACACCCTCACCTGTCCGACGGAGGACGATTACCTCGAGATGGTGCAGAACAAGACGGGGGGCTTGTTTCGCTTAGCAGTCCAGTTGATGCAAGCTGAGTCTCCCGAGAGAGGTCGCATCGACTGCGTGCCGCTGGTCAACCTGATGGGCCTAGTATTCCAAGTCTGTGATGACTATCTAAACCTCTCTTCGGGCACGTATACAAAAAACAAAGGTCTCTGTGAGGACTTGACGGAGGGGAAATTCTCGTTTCCGGTCATCCATTCGATACGAAGTAATCCTGCAAACTTGCAGCTGATCAACATCCTCAAGCAAAAGACTACAGACGAGGGCGTCAAGATGTACGCGGTAAGCTACATGGAAAGCACCGGAAGTTTCGAGTACACGCGGAAAGTGGTCAAGGAACTGAAGACGAAAGCCGCGGAATTGATTACTGAGTTGGACGCGGGCTCGGGTAAGGGCGCTGGAGTGAAGGCCATCCTGGATAGAATCGATGTGGATATCTGAGGCTGCACCCAAACCTCCGACCATGTGCGGATCAGGCCAAGGTCAAGGATGTACAATCACGGCGTCGACGGGCGTATTTGAGTCTCAACGGTCTTCAACAGATCACTACGAGAGAGGCATCAGTTCACATGTCCATCAGCCAGCGACTTGGAGGTCGAGCTTGTTATTATTATAGACGTAGGAATTCCCCCGGATGGAACGAGAATGAACGGGTGGAAGATCACAGAATGGGTTTTTTGATGGGGGGAGGAATAATAATGATACCAATGTCCATATAATAATGTCCAGTTCGTTTTATTTCCGTAAATCCTTGAATCTGTCGTTCTAGATCTATCTATCCTTTTCGCCTATGAGTAATAAGCATTTGTCTAACTTTTAAGTTCGTCGTCAGTCTCGTAGATACGTCGCAGCGCAAATACAGGGGGGTTTCAAGATGCTGGTATCCACAGAAATCGTCGTCACAGGCTCGCTACGTGAGAATCATTGATCTTCGTCATCGTCTTCTTCTTCTTCTTCGTCGTCTTCGTCTTGCTCAATCGAATCAATCGGCACGCTTCCTTCAAGGGGGAATCGTGCGAACAAGAGCACAACGAAGCCGACTATCGCGACGGCCTAGATTTCAGAAAAGACACATTAGCTACGGGCTTGAGTTGAGCAAATGTAAGGCGAGCCAGACGTACCGCGTTCACAGTAAAGACCAACTCTGTCCGTCCTATGCTCGTGAAGCCGGCGAAAATCAGACCAAACACGAATGCTGTTTTTTTCTCGGTTAGTGTATTAGTCTCGACCAGCCGCTGTCGATGTTCGGGGACGGAATTAGGATAAAGAGGGAAAGCGCGTAGTGCAACGTAACGCATGACAGACAGACGTACTCGTGGAAAGCCTCGCCATGTTCTCCACCAGGCTGACGCCGGCGAGCGCGTCGGTGCGCTCAGCACTGCTCGCGCCGCTTCCGACCATTTGCAAAATCGTCCCTTTCGACGCGGACCCCGTGCCGGCCGCGAACGGGAGGACGGCCGCGACGAGGTACATTTGCCATCCTTCCCGGACGAAGGAGCAGAGGAGCGTGAGCAGACCGTCGGCGATGAGGGAGCTGGTATTCATTTAGCCGCCGGGCCCGGTGCAAGATATTGCCTATCAATAGAAAGGGAGAAAGGCCGAGACCAAGAGCACGTGGCAAGCACATGGCGACCTAGGGAGGGAGGTGATCAATCATAATACGTACCCTCGTGTATATGTCAGGTCGAAAGTGAACGTTTCCTGCCTCTTGCTCTGCGTGGTGTCTTTTATATGGCCGTTGCCTTTGACATCTTCGTCTTGATCGTGGTCGGTGCGGTCGGTATCTACTTGTTTGGTCGTGTCACTGTCGTCGTCGTCGTTGCGCGGGCGACTTAGCAGGGGATCCCGCTCCGTTGCTGCGTGGCCGTTGAGTTCGGCATGTCCAGCTGTGTTGTTCCGCTTACGAATCCGCGCCTCACGGGCGATCGTGAACGCCCGGCCTAGGGAGATGGCCTTCGGGAAAGCAAACGTCAAAAACACCCCGCGGAGCATCGAGTACATGAAGATCAGCCAGCCGTTCTGCTGGGTGCCGAATGCAAATACATCGGTGGCATATAGCTGAAGAAGGGTGGGGAGATAGCCTGGGAAATTTGTTAGCTGGAGAATATCTACGTGGGCAAGATTCACGCCTCTTCGACAGGGCAGGAAGTCAGCGCCGTGGTTTTAACTTACCCGTTGCTAAGATGCCCAGAAACACTCCCCATGCCAACAAGAATGCACCGTATTCCGTGCGCACGACGCCGTCCAGGCCAACGAACTTGCGAGGTGCAAACACACCCAGCGGTCCAAAGAACCGCTTCAAGCCCGTGTTTGCGCTCTCTTTGCCCTTCTTAGATTGAGGTTGTGACGATTCACGGGCATCAGGATGAAGGTGAGGAAGGAAAACCACGACATAGGCGCATGCGCTCATGAACAGTAAGAACGTCAGTCGGAAGGGCGCTTTCACCCCGAAGGTCTCGGCGACAACACCCCCAACAAGAAATCCAGTAGCGGAGCCAAACATCATAGCCCCTGTCAGTCGTCCGAGCGCAGCAGTCCGGCCTTCATACTCGACCACCTCGGTGATGAAGGTGTTTAGCGCCAGTAGATAGCCGCTGGGCCCTCCTAAGATGCTGACAATCTGGCTGCACTGGATGATGATGATGCCCGTACTACCCCAGACTTCGACGCCGATGGTCTGAACCAGTAGTCTGAGGGCAGGAAAGAAGACCTGGATGACGAGAGTTGGCTTGACGCCGATCCGCTTGATCAGACTGCCCGTCACAAAGAGGTTGAGCAAGCCGAATATGGTGGTGCTTGCGCCGAGAAGAGCCACGGACAGCGCAGTTGAACTTTCAATCGCGGGGACTGAACATCTATCGGGTGTCTCCTTGCCAGGGTTGTCAAAAGTGTAAGCCAGTATGGAAATGATATGAGAGTGTGACGCTGAAGGCGAGACGGAAGATGAAGGAGGAGGAGCAGAATGATCCGTGTAGTAAGCGTCGCAAGTCATTAGTCTGAAGACGTACAGCAGCGGAACTTGAGTTACACCAAAGCTCAGGCTCGTTATGAACGCGCACAGGAGGACGAGGTATCTGACCGAGTGCGGCCAGACGTGTTCGCTGTCTTCAGCGCCATCCTGGGTGTGTTTAGGTCGTTCGGGAGGCAGAGTCTCCTGAATCGCTATGCTCTCCGTCATGCTGAATTCTTGGGACCTTGTACGGGTGAGCATGAGAGACGGCCTCGCATCGAAATCCTCATGGCGGGCCGTGTCGTCGTGGTGACGCCGTCTTTCGGACGATGCCCGACGGCGGTCGTTTCTAGTGCTAACATTGTTCATATTGAGCCTCAACATCCGGTGTTCGGGAGTGTTATTGCGCTTTCAATTGACATTTGAGAACACCGTGCATTTATAGAGCGACCTGAGCTATTCCAACTCATGTACAATGCTGATCCGTCTCTCGATTTCTGTGAGAGGTTGGTGTGAGTGATTTTGATAGGGGCGCAATAACGCAATACTATAGATCGATCATTGGGCGGCGTCGGATATCGGCACCAAACCCCGGTCTCAAGCAGGCTAACTGTTCTTGGTTTAGTTAGAATCACCACGCCGGCGCTGGCACCGACGACATCTCGTATTCATTCCTTACCGCATCCTCACTTAGGAGTTGCCCAAGTCCACACGGCCGGGCCATGTATTGCGAACCAACCTTCACGCGACTGCGCGACCTCCGAAATGGCAACGATGACGAACTAATTCCGGCCTCGCTGACAATGCCAGAGATCCGGCAGTCCGGATCTTGTGAGCCCGAGGTGGCTCTGCGAGGCTCCGGGGACCACGTTCACAGACGCCACTGAGTTAGGCGTTGTTTAGAGGGATCTGCGAGTTCTGGTCTCGGAGTGACGCAGAGCCACTGAAGCACCCGTTGCATATACACAGGGTTTGACGCCCATTTCTATAGCACTTCTTGGTCAACTTCGTTATCGATCCTGCTCGAGCAGTAGCATCACTTGATACAATTCCTCTCTAATATACTGAAAGCGGTACTCCTAGTATACTCCCAGCAATTTCCTTCAATTGACTCCCTTACCACCACTTCTCAAAGTCTGACGCACTTGCCGTGTGCTAGACCTTCAAACCAATGCGAAGATGACTGTTCCCGTCCCTTCCCACATCAGCTCTCAAATAACCCCTTGTCGCCAGACATCGTTTTCTACCATTGATTAATCACCGGCATCCGTATCTGAACTGCCAAACAGCATTCCATATGGATGAAACAAATCCGTAATCTCGATGGGTAAGTCCGAAGGAGTATCGAGACCGAACTCATCTAAAGAATGTGAAGGCTCGGGCACCTGCTGGATCATCCAACCCGGTTGAAGCACAGCGTATGAGCTCGGCTGCCCGGTTTGCGGCACCTGAAAAGGATGGTCTGATACTGCCTGGGCAACGACAGTTCGGCCGTCATGCTCCAGGGTTAACGAAGAGGCCAGTTGACGATCCTGTAATTGTTGCCTCGATGGTTCGGCCATGGTGATCTGCTCGTACTGGACTCGCCTATTTCCCTCCAGCTGCTCCAAATGGTCGGGCATCGCAATCTCGAATGCCTCATCGACGATAGCTTGGGTTGATATGTCAAGTTGAACCGATCCTGGACCACATGCTCGGCTGTCCTGTATTTTTTGGAAGGTTTCTTGTGGACCAATCACTTGGAATAGGCTGACAAAGTGCTTCACCATGCCTTGATCGCAAGTCAAAACATAGGGAGATATCGGCCGCTGAGAATTTGGGAACAAGAGTTGAAAGATCTTGTACCAAGCTTCGTATTGACTGTTTCCCCGATTTCGTCGTTTGAGCTCCTTGAACTGATCGTCTGTCATCATTTCCTCGTATCGGATTGCGCTCCGATCACAACGAGGGCGTGCCATAATGTGCTCATTGAAATGTTCTCGCAAACCAAAGCTTTTGTAGCAGTTAGGACAGTACCATTGTGGGCGCATGTGAGTTCGGCAGAGGTGTTGCTTCACGCGGCCAATATCTCTGAGGTATTTACTGGAGCATTTTCGATAGTTCTTTTCATCATTGTTCCGCTCCGAGTATCGTTCAGGGTCAAATTTCGCGTAAGGGCAAGCAAAGAGTCTTATCGGCGCATCCAGACTTCCTCGCTTCCGCTTAGCACAAGGTACTCTGTCCTCATCCTCGTCCTCGTCCTCATTGGCATGATCATCTTCGTTGAAGTCCTGCAGAGAACGTTTTGTGGATTTAGAGCGCCGAGTAGTTGGTACGTCTCTGGAGCGGGAATCCGAAGCAGATCCACTAGTCTCACGTGGTGATGAAGCGAGTGTCTTTAGTCTTTGGCTGTTGGAGAAGGCTACGGTTCGTAGGACAATTTTGGAGGCAAGATCTTCGATAAATCTTAGAGTATCGTTGGAGAGCTCATCCATCGAAAAACAAGATCGGCTGAGACATCATACTGGTCTGGACAGAAGATGATTCGCTGTCCGATTGGCTGCCGTGCCGCACCAGACTGGTTGAAGTTGTTGAACATGATATTTCTTCATCTCGTCTTGATGAAGAAATTGATCTCTCGATAGATAGAGGGCGCGAGAAAGCTTTCTGGATTCTCATAGATGATTCATTGAGGGCATCAGACTCGATATTCCTCTCCGCTCCGTCGTCGTCGTTACTTTGGTTTTTCCCCATTGGAAATGCCAGTCTGTTCTCAACTGGCTCCAGTCCAGTCTTATGGTTGTTTGTCTCATGGGTCTCTTCGGTGTACCCTTTTTCCCTTGTGATCTCCAGCTTCTGGGCAGGCATCCACAAGTCGCCGCTGAAGTGATATGTCGCGTAGATCTCACAGGATTTTTCGGGGATGCCTGCTCGCTGTCCAATTACCTTCCATTTATCCTTTCGTACATTGTCCTCGTATTCTCTGATAGCTTCACGGAGGGTACCGGACTATATAAGAGGTCAGTTCAGATCAAAATTACATTTAGCAAGAACCTAATCACATGAGCTTCTGCAATTTGGGCCCACAACCTGTTCTTCGGTCGTTGTCAGCATTCATCAAGGAAGGCACACAATCCTCCTTACCTTGGTCCAGCGCGTCCTAATGCCCGCTGCTGATCGCGCAGGAAATGCCTGCCAAACATGAGTATTACAACTTCTTAGCTACATGCTCCGAATCGCACCTTTGCAATCTCACTCCAGCTGTAGCCGGCATCCCGCATCTGCTTCAGTGTCTGATCCTCTTCGCGAGTCCATTGAATGCTGGGAGCACGGGTCTTTTGATCCGAACTTTTCGTAACCGAAGCGGACATTATAACGCTCGTTTGCAGCAATGTGGCTTCGAATGGAAATATAGTCGAAAGGGGAGTGAGATACTCGTCGCTTACGGGAATTGGCAGTAGAGTTTTGGGCAATGGGCATTAAGAGGGTCAAGGTGATGCTGAGCGGCGGTAGTCAAGTTTGTGCGGTTGGTGTGGTGATGCTTGTTACCCTGGTGTTTATGAGCCGCATAGATTCAAAATTCGTCCGTTCGATCAGCACCGACTATCGGCAGGAGGATTCGAGTAACTGGTAGCTCCCTTGCGTACCTTCGTGACCTCTAGTACAGAGCCTTAGATGTCGAGGAGGATTGTGAGGGATAGATAGAGAGGGGAAGTGACTTGGATGAAGGGACTAGAATTAGCTCACCGCCTACCTGTGGATAGAATCGCTGCACAAAGAGCCATTTTGGAGTTTTTTTGGTAGTTCGCAATAACATTACACAAATGTGTGAAACCCATTCGGACATGCATTTGAGAGCGGCCCCCGATTCGCTATTCACAAGTGCGGGAGAAGGAAGGCTGAACAGGGCAGCCTGGTGGATTGAGGCTGGGAAGTGCACAGTCACCTTATCAATATGCACCTACCACATGTTTGCCGTGTACCTCGTAGGGACTTGGAAAAAAGCACATTCTACTGGACCAGCGAAGCAGGAATATTATTGAAAGACCGGAGTAAAAGTCGACCAACCAGCCGAGGGATGTTGTACTGTAGATCATGTACAGCTACCTCTGTTGAAGCCGGGGATACGACGGCAACATCGGAACTTCTGTCCTTGGAGAAAGAAGACATCTATAAATACCCCACGCAAGGGGAGTCGATTTTACCCCGGATGGAGTGGAGTGCTCAAGTAATCTTTGTACAGCGCCAGGCAAGAGTCCCAAGACAAGATATACCATATATGCGTCACCAACAACACTCTCATCCATGCCATCTTCTCGCGGAGCCAGGCCAGCTCATTACCCGAAGTGAATGATTCGCTTGGGTGTGGTTTACAGCCGACAGGGTCCAAGCCAGTCAGGAGTCTTACACTGCGATGTCGCTCAAGACTTATTTCGACTATCCCTACTCATACATATCCGCGGCACTCTTTCTTTTCACCATAACATGTCTTTTATTACTCAACACTCGACGTAAACGAGGCCTCAGAGACATCCCGGGCCCCTTTGCCGCTAGCATTCTCCCCCTCGACCGAATACTGACCACGTACTCTGGTCACCAATTCGCGAAGCATCTGGCATACCACGAGCAATACGGACCCATCGTCCGGGTAGGACCTAACCATGTCTCTGTTTCCGACGCTGATCAGATCTCCGTCATATATAATATTACATCCAAGTTCTACAAGGCGAGTTGAAACCTCCTACTATAGCCAACAGCTTCGCCGCCCTAGAATTTCCCCTCCGGCATTACTCAAAGGCTGACTTTTCCTGGTCGTCCAGAGCAACTTCTACACCCTCTTCCACGCCAAATCACCGGTCGGAAGCATCCCAACAGTGTTCTCCATCACTGACCCGCAAGGACACCGGGATCTCAAACGGCCCGTCGGGGCAGCATTCGCACTAAGCGCTCTCCTCGATCTTGAGACTCTTGCGGACGAATGTACCGCAATTCTCCAGCGCAAACTCGACGGATTGGAAGGCCAAAACATCGACCTGGGCACGTGGCTCCACTGGTACGCGTTCGACGTCATCATGTACATTACCTTTTCGAACTCGATAGGGTTTCTGGAGCGGGAAGAGGATGTCCAGGGCATCATCGCGGCCATTGAAGGACGCCTGTTCTATAACTCGATCGTCGGGCAGGTCCCGTACATGCACAGGCTCCTCTTGGGGAACAGTGTTGTGTCCAGGCTCGCAGATCTGGTACCCTCGCTTGCCAGGCTGAATTCGGCACGGTCCATTGTCAATTTCGCGGCGGCCCAGCTGTCTCGACGACAGACTGCGGCGGCGGAGCATGGGAAAAAGGACATTGTCGCGCGCTTCAAGAGAACCAAAGAAGGAGAACAGGTCATGACGGACAAGGAATTGTTGGGTCATGCTTCGTCAAATGTGTAAGTCTCCCACGTTCGATTCCCTTTACAGCGAATATTATGGCGAAATCGCGACTCTAGGAGCCAGGGGAATAAAACTGACGGCAGTATTCTTTTAATTAGATTCGCTGGTAGTGACACCACTGCCATCTCGTTACGGGCATTGTTCTACTACCTTTGCAAGAACACGAGAGCATACAACAACCTCGTGGACGAGATACTGGCCTTCGATGACAGGGGTGAGCTGTCAGAGTTCGTCACATACGCGGAAGCTCAACGGATGCCATATTTCCAAGCATGCATGAGAGAGGCGCTTCGTATGCATCCCGCTGTCGGACAATTGTTGGAGAGAATAGTGCCGGCCGAAGGTGCTACCGTCTCGGGCCATTTTTTACCTGGTGGGACCATCGTGGGCATGAATCCCTGGGTGGCAGCTAGAGACAAGAGTGTCTATGGTGTAGACGCTGATATTTTCCGGCCCGAAAGATGGCTTGAGGCCAGTGAAGCTACGCTGAAGCTGATGGACCGGAACTGGCTTGCGGTAGGTCATTGAACAGCATGTTCTCGGTGGGTGATCTTCCGACACGTAGATGATGCTGACATTGCGTTTCTTCAGTTCGGAGCCGGTGCGAGGACATGTCTGGGCAAGAACATCTCGTTGATGGAGATGTCCAAGCTCGTACCTCAACTCTTGCGACGATATCATGTTCAGCTTGCTGATCCGGCGGCGGAGTGGACGTTGCATGATTACTGGTTCGTGAAGCAGGAGGGTCTGAGGTGTGTGTTGACAAGGCGAACAAGGAAAGACAGGAGGAAGACGACACTATAGGTGCTGTACGTGATGATGTAGCCTATAGGCTGCATCGAAGGGAACAAAATGCAGACAGAGCACCTACTCGTACGCATAAAATACCTTTCTAGACGGCAAAGTGCCCAATATTTGATGTAGATCAAACATCAGAGTGCCGGGGACGGTCCGAGTTCAGGTCTTCTATTTCATTCAGCAACTGCGCCCTTGAATCTCTCTTGCGTGCGACTCCAAGAATAACGATTGAACTTGTTTCGTCCATCGATTGGTGCTGAAAAAGTAGAGAAGTGGTTTTGTGATGCTGGCTGACCCAAACAGCTCTCCATAAATGCCAAGCCAGGCGATTCTCCACCAGTTCACTTCACGCATCAAATCCTCATAGACTCGAAATCGGCCAGACTCTGAGAGCACAGGATGACTTCGTAATGAGGCGCACAGGAGATGAGCACGAGTCGCGAGCAGGGGATCTTATCTCGATGCCAAGATCAGGTAGGTTGATCACAGCCTTGGCCATCCTCAGCCTCACCAGCCTCATGGCCACCAACATCCCTTGCACACAACCACACTCTCGAGATCTCTACGCTTGTACGATGGACTCGCAATGAAACTAATCAACACCAAAACATTCGCTCTCGAGGATTTCTTCGCCGAAACAGCACCACCGTATGCCATTCTCTCGCATACCTGGACCTCTGAAGAGCTCACCTATCAGGATATAACGTGTGACGGTGGCCTCTCACGTAACACGAAGAAAGGCTACGCCAAATTGACGCAGACCTGCCGTCTCGCAAGTCAAGATGGCCTTGAATACGCATGGATCGATACATGCTGCATAGATAAATCGAGTTCGGCGGAATTAAGCGAGAGTATCAATTCCATGTATGCATGGTACGGAAACTCGACGACATGCTACGTGTACCTTGAGGACTTGCACCCTTGCGACATCACGTCTGGAACCGCTACAGACTATGGTCCCGGCAGAGACGTAGAGGGTGATAGCGACAGCGACAGCGACAGCGACTCTCATTCGAACATACACCATGCAGCCAACTCCCTGCAGTTCTGCCGCTGGTTCAGACGAGGCTGGACACTCCAAGAACTCCTGGCTCCGGCCCAGCTCACCTTCTACGACTCGTCATGGACGCTGATCGGCACACGCGACACTTTCAGCGGCGTCATCTCTCGAATCACAAGCATCCCCAGGAGCGTATTATCGCAGACGTTTCCCGTCTCAGAATGCTCAATCGCGATACGTATGTCGTGGGCAGCTCACCGCACCACCACACGCACGGAGGACATAGCATATTGCCTGTTGGGTCTGTTCGACGTGAACATGCCCCTGCTGTACGGCGAAGGAATGAAAGCGTTTCGTCGTCTTCAAGAAGAGATTGTCAGGCGGAGCAACGATTTCACCATTTTCGCATGGGAGAAGCCGGCATCTCTGCTTGCACTCCGGTACAGTGGTGCTACTTTCACACATGGGCCCGAGGGGCTCATCGACAGAAGCACCACCACCGGTCTAAGTATCTTCGCACCCAGACCGTCATGTTTCGCCAACACGACAATCATAGACTGGCTGTCGAAAGAAGAAGTCAGTTTCTCGGTGACCAATGCGGGTCTCCTGTTTTCCGGCACGGTCGACGTCCGAGTCCTCAATTCGGCGCATTACATCCTGCTGGTCGGTCTGCAGACGACTTCGTGGAGATCCCGCCTCGCGACGGGTATCTACCTCCGCAAACAGACGCCAACCATCTACCACCGCGACCCCTCGGTGCCTCTGGCCCAGCTGTCGCCGTTAGAATGTGCGTCCCTCCCGACAGTTTCGATCCGCAACCTCGTCGTCTCCACGGCTCCAAAGCAAATCGACAGTCCTACGTTTCACGCCTTTCGCCAAAGCACTGTCCACGTGTCCAGGAACCCCACAAGCCCCAAGAGTCCGGGACACAGATTTCGTCTCGTAACGGCGATTCCCGAGACGCTCTGGTCGTACAATGAGCACATCTTTCTCAAACCTGAAATCTACTCGAGTGAGAACGGCCGAGAAAGTGCAATGTATCCCATGGTCCTGGGCGTGCGTGTTTTATGGTGGCCTCGCGCCATCGACAGCATCAAGATCAATGAAAGCGATGATGACGAAATTGACGCGGAAGACCACGAAGATGACAGAGATTCTATCTCGCTCTGCATATTGTGCGACTACCGCACGACACCACCTCGATGCAAGATCTTTCTGTACGGAGCACAGGGCGCGTTGGGCCCGATGCTGTTCGACGGACGACATAAATCCGACTCCGTCGACTGGGCCGATGTGGAGCTCCAGGTGCCCTCGATACACGATCTCAGCGATGAAGTGGATATCCCGCTTGACAACGACCAGTTTACGACTGTCTCAGCTTCCTTGCCGCCCGATCGTGTCACGATTTCCGGGGAAGAAGTACACGTGTATAGTTTGCGACTGGAGGCCAAAAGCAGACACGAAAAGTCAGTATGAGAGACTAATACCGTGGGTATAACTTGCTCCTAAACTATGAAGACAGCTACAATCGACTGAATAGTCAAGACCGTATCCACTGAAACGTCAACATCAGGAAGAATATCACCACCACCGCCGCCGACGACAACAACGACACCACCACCACCACCACCACCACCACTATCACGAAGAATGGCGAGATTTTGTAGGATTACACTTGTCGCAGTTACATTCAGTGGCCACACACCCAATCCGGAACTCTCCGCTGGCAAGATTGAATCTCTTTTGCACGTCGAATGCTTCGCCGTCCATCATACCGTGGATATAGCATTCGCCAATAAACGAGTACTCGACCTCCTCTCGCCGAGGCTCGGACGATTCACTTCCATGGGCGCCTTCTGGACTTGTCAAACTGGCCGAGGTATTTTGCATGTTGGGCTTGACACCAGCGGCCCGGGGGTAGCCTCTCGTCCGCCCTCCACGCTTGAAGATTTTGGGCAGCGGCGGATGCAGAGTCCGTGTCTTGCGTCGCAGGACAACCGGCACACTGCAGCCTTCGAGTATACACACGATGTCGCCAGCTTCGGAATCTGGAGGTGCGAGTCCCAAGAATCCAAGAGATTCTTGATCCAGCCCTTTAGTCTTGATGAGCGACCGATCCCAGATCACAGCGCGCAGACGATGCAAGAACGGAACGATGGGGGTCGCGACGTTGCCAGAAATGTCTCTCAGCAAAGCACCCGTGTCTAGGTTGCCGTCCTTTGGTCTTCGAGTGAAGATCCACCGTGTCGCGAAGCGCCAGTGGCCTTCTGGAGGCTTCGGGCTGTCTGACGAGGCTCGGTTGGCCACCAGGGTCCGCCAGAAAGCCTCTGGTGGAGCACTCATCTCAGGGAACGGTCGCCTCGCATCCTTCCAGTCCACCATCTCAAGCCACTTGGATGGGATCACGGCGTTGTGCGCGGGCGACCCATGTTTGTCAATGGTATCGAGCACAAACCCATGCGCTTTCAGTATCCTCCCGTCAATGAGCTTGCTAGGCCCAGCAGACGGGAGATATTCGACGGGGACGGGTACAATTCCAGAGGCACTGTACGGCTTCATTCCGTTCAATTGAGTGCCTACAAGTGGATCCGCGGCGATTCTGCTGTAGCTGTACCCGTTGTCCGTGGGGTTCCAGGAAAAGGCTCTTTTGTCGAGGGAAGAAATCCACGAGGGCATCGTGACCGTGTCGTGCTCATGGATCGGCGAGAAGCTGCTTTGATCACCGCTTAAGTTCGGCACCCATGGTTTGCAAATCATGTCGATCGACTTTGTCCTCGACACGATAAAGTTCATCACCTCGACGCAAAGGCTGAAGAGACTTCGCTCGTAGTTGACGACGAAATTCCTTGGAGGGATTCGAAATCCTCTTTCGGCATCCTTCCTGGCTGCGGCTCGTGAAGGCTCGCGCGAACGCGACCGGGTTTTACGATGCGGCTCCACTCCTAGGAGCTTTGCGTTTGGGGGAGTCCGACTCCTGGGCCTCCCACGAGAGTGTTCAGCACGTACGTTATCCCAGTTGGGCTCCATGTCTGTTGTAGGGGGTATGTTGAAAGTTGGAACAGCATGAGATTGATTGATGCGCTCTGGAGAATGATGTATATGCCCGTCAGAGCTGACAGGGGTTTTGAACAGTTGACCGGACTGCTTTCGTAAATGTCGTGCAACTCCCTCCGTGGGGAGTTTTGGGGAGCAGACGGGAGACCGGGCACTGAGCTCTGATACGGGAATCGCATCATTTGACAAACGCATGACAGCGTAGATATAGTCATGAGGTCGTTGTGCATCAAAAGCGGCCAAGTTTGTAAGAACCGCCTCAAGCGAGAGCAGATTCTCCATGACGTGGCCGTCCTCGGACTTTCGGAACATGGATTCGATCGTGTCGACCAGGGTCTTCGCACCATACGCATCGATCTCACCCAGATGATCCGCATTGTAACTGTACGTCGCCGACTTTTGAAAGATCTTGCTCAGGTCATGTCCTTTCGTAGCAAACAACGACATGGCACTCGCAAGTTCCTCCCAGGATAGCTTGTCTCGACCGCAGTATACTTCTGCTTTCTGCGCGAAAGCCACCTCCTGGACTATCCACCGACGTTTGAACCAAGGTCTTTGCATAAGGTTCCTGAACGCATTCCACTTTGTGGCAAACTGGGCCGACTCACATAGCTCATTAAACTTCTTGAAACTCAAAATTTCTTTGACGAAATTGCAAGCTATGTGGCTATCCTCGTCTTCTTCACCGAGCCAGACACGAACCTTTGTTGCTTCGTGGTAAATGTCTGCCATTTTTTGGATCTGCCCACTCTTTTCAGTATTGTGGCGAGGACTGTTCTGTGTTATGCATATTGAATCGATCCACAGTAGTAAGGGATATTCCGAATCGATCTCTTTGCGGAACCTCTTAAGCGCACGTTCAAGGTTGGGACTGATAACAATAGTGCCTTTGGAAAGACGATCCTCGAAGATGGTGATGACCTCCGTAGGCTTCGCCTTCGCAGTCTGTAGAGCGTTATCTATGTCGTCTGCGCTCATGTGGGTGATGTTTTCCCAGGTGTAAGAAAGAGCGTCGTACTCTGGTGCTTCCTCAATGGCTTTGGCACCATCAGAGCCTGATCCAATCTCGGCATCGTTCTCCTGCTTGGCCGCCTCGATGACAGGTATCGTCAATCGGTAAGTTTGTAACTCGCCTTGAAGTGGTGAGCTCGAGCCGCGATTGCTATCCTCGGGAAATAACTTCAAAAGACGGATTTGGTCTTCTTCAAGCATGTCATATTCATATGTACCTATGACAGCATCGTTCTCGCCGACCTTAAAAATTGGAGTCATTTTTGAAGACTGATAGTATGCGCAAAGAATAGGGCTAGGACAGCTTCCTTACAGCAAGGAGGTTACTTATGGATAGAGGCCCAGTTGAAATATTTTCTTCGCCAACCTCACAATAAGGCGAACGTTGTTGCAGTCCGCCTAGCAGATGGGCATGTAGCCTCAGTTGCTGGGCTGCGCCTCCACCATGGGGGCATTGTCGTTTAGAAGGTATGCTGAAGGGAATACGCCAATCGAGCTGAAGGGCTGGGAATTGCAGGGAGCCTTTTCGTAGGCAGTGAAAGAAATCATACCAAAGGACCACCCTAGCACAAAAGTAAACGTGGGCGTCCAGGGTACTGCGGATGCTGTTTCGCGGCCGACAAGTGCAACCGACCAGGGTATCGATGATGGTGGTGTGGTGTGTCTCATGGACAGAAAAGGCACGTCAGGCTGAGGCTGAATGTAGTTGCGAGGCAATGAAGTGCATTGCCGTGGTAGAGTACCTCCTTACAGTCAGCTCTGCAGTCAAATGTCGCGATGCAGTCCATCAGAATACGGTTACCAACATATTGATCGCGAGGCAACGCCATTGTGGACGACTGTACAAAAATTCGGGTATCTTGACTGTAGTAAATCTGGTCGGAGCATGAGGAGCAGCAAGCCGACTGGCTTTCGTAGGAGTCAGCCGTGAAGACAACTGCGCAGACTCGGCTAGACAGCTAAGAGGAGCGTAGGGGCAGTGTTCGGGTCAAGGCTAGCTTCTAGTCCAAATGCAAGAGGTGGGAGTCTGCCCTGAACACAAGATTCCGGGAATTTGGAGAGACCAATTATCCCTGCGTGTCCTGTGGCAAACAGAAACGAGCAAGGCAGCATAGTTCGGGCCGGGCTGCGGAATAGCCACTTCTCTTGGTGAAGCGCGACGTTAGAAGACGAGAAAGGTAGCTCATTGCATGTCAGCTTTGACACAATTCTAACCGAACGGTACCAGGCTTGCTGAGAGAATGAGCTTCGGTCCGTACGGTCGATTGAAGACTGCCTCATCCTCGAGCGGTCGACCAAAGCGCTGTTCCACAGATCACGACTTACAGAGTGTTTCTCGCACACCAGCCTGCCAGGTGGAGCAGTGCATACGACGTACGCCCAGAGGCTCAACAGAAGCGAGGGCCTCATGGCGTTGGGCGAATGCGAGGAGGCTTAAGGAGCGGGCAACTGAACGCGATAAAAACCCATCATAACGTCAAAGTGGCGCCAAAGGGAAAAAGCAACAGCGATTCGGCAGCCAGTAATATCAACTCTGAGAGTCTCAGATGATCGGCCTAGCGAGCGTGATTGCTGCAGCTCTGATGTCCTGGTAAGGCTGAGAATGGACCTGAGTGGACAATTCAAGTAATGGCAGTGTGAGCCGCAAGACAACCCTGTCGAAAACACGGTGCAACAGAAATGACATGCTCACAACACGATGCACATCTGGCCGCCTGGCCCGTTCTTCAAGCCTTACAGCTCGTAGCTCATGTTGCTTATGGGAGCGGGCATTGGGCGAAGCTTCCTCGGGGCATGGATCAGTCGTGCTATCGGATGGCGAGCAATGTACAAATCTGTGTCGTAGACTCGGGGGGAGTAGTATGCTCCGAGCTGTCCTATCCATCACCGTAAGATCCACGAGAAGTTGTTGCGAATGAAGGTCGTGATCAAACGCACTCGCTGTAGCGGGAGACGGACAGCAACATCGTCAGTCGACACAGCCAGAAGCCACTCGTGCCAAGTCTTTCCGCGGCCAATCAGCAGCCGCAGAGATTAGTTTACGAGCCATGATCCGAATGTCTGTGAAGCTGCGCTCTTCGGTTCGAAGCTCCTCGTCGACGCCAACTCCTTCCTCAACGACAGTCCATATCTGTAGCTGAGACCAGCTTCGCACGTCAATATGCGGTCTCAGCTTCTTTGCGCCGCTGCGCGCTCCCGGAAGCTCCTGTCGTCCTCTGCAACACGATCATTTGCCTCATCAGCAAGACGACCGGCCGAAGTTGAACTCACAATAGATGGAAAGAAAGTGTCAATAGAAGCTGGGTCGGCCTTGATCCAAGCTTGTGAAAAGGCCGGTGTTACGATCCCCAGATTCTGCTATCACGAGTATGATTCAATTGATTACCGAGCTGTCCCTCCATGTTGACTTTTGGTTGCAGAAAACTCCTCATTGCCGGTAATTGTCGTATGTGCCTTGTCGAAGTTGAACGAGTTCCCAAACCGGTGGCATCCTGCGCGTGGCCCGTCCAACCCGGTATGGTTGTCAAAACAAATTCACCCATGACACACAAAGCAAGAGAAGGTATCATGGAATTCCTCCTCGCCAACCACCCTCTAGATTGCCCCATCTGCGACCAAGGTGGCCAGTGTGATTTACAGGATCAATCAATGAGATATGGTGCAGACAGAGGTCGCTTCCACGAAATTACTGGCAAGCGTGCGGTGGAGGATAAAAACATCGGCCCCTTGATCAAGACTTCGATGAACAGATGTATTCACTGTACAAGATGTGTCCGATTTGCCAACGAAATTGCTGGAGCCCCGGAATTGGGATCTACAGGAAGAGGCAATGGTCTGGAGATTGGTACATACCTCGAAAGAAATCTGGATACAGAGTTGTCAGGCAACGTGGCCGACTTGTGTCCAGTTGGTGCGCTGCTGCCCAAGCCTGGCGCTTTCAGCTTCAGACCTTGGGAGCTCACCAAATTTGAATCCATTGACGTTCTGAACGCGATGGGTTCGAATATCAGAGTCGATGCAAGAGGTCTGGAGGTAAAGAGAATTCTACCCAGGCTGAACGACGACATCAACGAAGAATGGATTGATGATAAGCAGCGATTCGCCCTGGATGGATTGAAGACACAGAGATTGACAACACCACTCATCCGAAAAGACGGCCAATTTCAGCCCGCCACATGGGAACAGGCTTTGACTGAAATCGGCAATGCTTACCACAAGCTTAAGCCTGCGGAGAACGAATTTAAAGCGATTGCTGGACACCTCATGGAGGTCGAATCGCTAGTCGCTATGAAGGATCTTGCCAACAAATTGAACTCGGAGAACCTTGCTCTTGATCAACCCCGTGGAAACGAGCCAATTGCTCATGGGGTTGATGTCCGCGCAAACTACCTCTTCAACTCGAAGATCTTCGGTGTTGAAGACGCAGATTGCATGCTCATCATCGGCAGCAACCCGAGATGGGAGGCAGCTGTATTAAACGCCAGAATCCGAAAGCAGTGGATGCGCTCACCGATTGACATCGGCTTCATTGGCGAAGACTTCAAGAGTACCTTCCAGTACAACAATCTTGGCCAGGACGCCGCCGCCGTGAAGAAGGCTTTGTCGGGAGAATTTGGCAAGAAGTTGGCTTCTGCGAAGAAGCCCATGATCATCCTCGGTAGCGCCGTTGCTGAACATCCTGATGCTGCATCCATCTTCGAGACCGTGGGAGCCTTTGTTGAAAAGCACCAAGCCAACTTTAACACCTCCGAGTGGCAAGGCTACAACGTCCTCCAGCGTGCGGCGTCGAGAGCTGGTGCATACGAAGTTGGCTTCGTCACGCCATCAAAGAAAGTTGCTGATACTAAAGCTAAGATTGTCTGGCTGCTGGGTGCAGATGAGATTTCCGAGTCAGACATTCCCAAGGACGCATTTGTTGTTTACCAAGGTCACCACGGCGAGACTGGCGCTCAGCTGGCTGATGTCATTCTACCTGCAGCTGCCTATACCGAGAAATCGGGTACATATGTCAACACGGAAGGTCGGGTACAAATTACTCGCACCGCTGTCTCACTACCTGGCGCCGCCAGAACTGACTGGAAGATTATTCGTGCCGCTTCAGAATTCCTCGGGGTACCTTTACCCTACGACGACCTGGAAGTATTGAGAGACCGCATGGAGGAGATCAGCCCAACGCTCAGACGATATGATCACGTTGAACAGAGCGCTCTCTCGAGTTTGAGCAAGGTTCAACTTGTCGATGCACACAAGGGAGCCAAGGCGACCAATGAGCCATTGAAGAACCCCATCAAGGACTTTTACCAGACCGATGTCATTTCAAGAAGGTAAAATCAGCCCTATCCTTTGACGTAGTAATGTCTTTGCTAACATGAGATGCTTGCAGTTCGCCTACCATGGCCCGTTGCTCTGCAGCCAAGGAGAGCGGCGACCCTAACACAAACTACCTTGCACCCGGCGAGCCCGAGGCTCGAGTTTCCTACGGATGAGTGTGAAGCAGTCCAAAGACACCGAGAGCCTTGAAGTATGTTGATCTGACGACGGCTAACCGGCCTCTTGAGAGTGGTTGCCCAAGTCGGAGGGCTGTGGAGAGCGATGGAGAGGGACAAGGTAGCTCTTTCAGGTTCAAACGGTGAACGCGAGCTTTATGAATTGCTCGACGTCCCATGTGTATAGCGATTCGGGAAAGATTTCAGGCGTCTAAGAAGTCATTGACAGTTCCATAGTGGTGGGAATGATCCGCCATGAGTCCAAACAAAAAATGTACAGTCAGCCAATATGGCCAATATGCAAGTACTTCAACTCAAGAAAGCTGTCGATCTGCTGGTAGATCTATGTTGTGGAAGAGGTTACTCTGGTGACACTCTTGGGGCACGGTAAAGTAATCTGCCAGATGTTTCTTTGATCTTACACTACCACCTCTACATCTAGAGGCTAACCCCCCAAACTCGGCTATAGATTTATATATATATATGTATATAGGTATACTCGGCATAAAATCTAAAGCTTACTCTGAGGCTGATATGCCTTTTGAATCCTCTCAGCGGCGTCGATGGCCTCCTTTTCGATTCTCCTCAGAAGCTGCTCGCAAGTGGGGATATCGTGGATCAGACCGATGACCTGGCCGGCGGTCCAGACTCCAAAGTCCTTGTCTCCATTGATGAAGACCTCACGGCCTCTCTTTCCCGACACGTAGGGTGCGACCTCTTCGAATTTCCCTGTGGGGCTAGTCTTTTCGATCCTCACGGCCTCGGAGGCGACCTTGTTCTTGAAGAGTCTGGAGGTGTTGGTCCACCGGCGCAGCACGAGCTCCGTGTCGTGTTCCGAGGCATCGACGATGGCCTGCTTGATGTTGTTGTGAATCGGGGATTCGACAGTGCACATGAACCGTGTGCCCATGTTGATGCCCTCGGCGCCGAGCGCGAGAGCGGCAGCCAGACCCTGGCCGTCCGCGAAGCCGCCGGACGCGATGAAGGGGACCTTGAGAGATTGCCGGGCCCTGGAGAGGAGGATGAAGTTGGTGATGTCCGACTCGCCAACGTGACCGGCGCACTCGAAGCCGTCAATGGACAGGAAGTCAACGCCGAGCTTGATGGCAGACTGCGCGTGGCGGATCGTTGTGCACTTGTGTAGGATGATGATACCGGCTGACTTGAGCAGTTTGATGACGGGGCCCGGCGAGTTCCCTGCTGTTTCGACAACCTTGATGCCCTCGTCTATGCAGACCTGTGCGTATTCGCCATAGGGAGGCGCGTTCATGGTAGGGAGCAGCGTGATGTTGACCCCGAATGGGTTCTTGGTCATGGCTCTGCATCGGCGGATCTCTTTGCGAAGGTCTTCGGGTGTGGGTTGGGTCAGGGCAGTGAGCTACAGTCAAGCAATAGCCAGTCGGTCAGTCTGAGGAGTCAAGATTCTTGCCATTACAGGCGTCCATGGGCCTTGTAGGAGGCAGGTGATGCTTACAATTCCTAGTCCGCCAGCGTTGGACACGGCCGCAGCCATCTCGGCGTATCCGACCCACTGCATGCCACCTTGCACCACGGGCACTGTAGGAACATGTTAGAAAGAGTGGGCGCGACAAGATCCAGGACACTCGTCATATCATACCTTTGATGCCGAGGCGGCGGGTGAGTTCAGTGTTAAAGGGCATGGCTGATCTTGACTTTGGCTGCGCAGTCTGTATGTTCGGTCGGTCTTGTAGTCCTTGTATTGAGTGAGAAAGGATGACCGCGGCTGTGACCAGTGGAACAAGAGAGAATCACAGAAGATATTATGTATGCTCGGCTTCTAGACACACAAAACAACCAAAGTCAAGCGAAGGAAGGAAATAGTCCAGGTGAGATGCATTGACCCGAGGTGTTTCTGCCCACCACGAGCGCAGAGTCGGTTCGTCCATTGCCAGGAATGAACCGAGGTCCAGCGCAGCAATTAATTGGGCAGTAACTCGGTGATGGCGTTTCCCCTTCCAGTCTCCCCAGAATCCGCTTACTCCAAGGGTTCTCGTCACATTCGATTTGTTGATTAGTTATAAAAGCATCACACAGCACCTACGGCGTGCCTAGGTAGCAAACCCTCCACTGTGGTGGCGCTGAGAATCGCGTCGGAGCCGCTTCTACTCCAAATTACAAGACAACATCTGCAGGTGTCCTCCTTCCGATTCTTGCGCGACGACTTAATCAGGTCAGTGGCATCTTGCGGCCGTATGGCTCGCGCAGCCCTCCTATTGGGATTAGCGGAATCTGCTTTGCCCCGGCTTCTCGAGGCTTTGGCCTTCGACGATGCCCATACCATATCGGAGCTCCCTCCATCGAGCTTCGTATGCAGCCGCCTAAGCATTGACACCATCTCCTCTCCGTTCGCCCTTGGTGGCACCGAACGCGACTCTCCAGCCTCTAAAGTGAAAGTGGTCTGAGTTCGACGATGCTCAACTATGGCTTGCGAGCATGTCTAGTCATGACGTTGACTTAGAGAAGCATCTCTTGCTGTGCATTTCCCCTTCCATTCCCAGAGGGTCGTTTTGCGCGTCCTGCCAAAATCGAATGTTGCTCCGGATCGATCTCTTCCAGGATCTCAATGTCACGATATCTCTCTTCTCATGCTTGGCCACGAGGGCGTCCATGCGTTCACATGAGTTTCTGAGACAGGTGGTTTTTCCAGGGGTACGAGCAGTGTCTTCTATATGTATCTTCTGCTTCACCTCTTGGCCACTGCGTGTTTTCTACATGATCTAGTTCAACCCCACCGACAGGTCGAATGGAGTCTGAGGCGCTCAACACGTCTACATCATCCCCAACACTCCTAATCTTGCCCGACAGACATTCAACCTCGACATGGCTGTCACCCTAGACCACGTGAATCCTCTCGAGTGTGACTCGGTACCAGAAGCATGTCCATTCGAAACTTCGATTTACGGCTACTATCCCATACTCGCCCAGCAATGCTTTCTTCGCCGCACCCTTCGGCATTTGCTTCGTCATCAACGTTGCCTTTGGCTGGCGGTATCGCACCTGGAGCTACATGCTTGCAATATGGGCCTGGCGTGTCTGTCCTCGCGCATTGGCTACATAGGATGTCCGTTCAGCATGATCGGATTCTAGATACAGATCCGCCTGACTTCCTCGGCCTGCACTAGATGTAGTGGCACCTCCCTGTTGACTTGTGGCTTCGTGTAGCCTTACATCAGAATACTGAAATCTCTCTCATGTTGTTGTAGTTGGCGGCCTAGGTTCTTCGGAGTCGGGGATTCTGCATATGGTCAAAATATACCTGTAACTGCCAACATTTGGCAAATGACAAACATCTTAAGTAAGCAACGGGGAAAATGTATCTCCGTCACCCGTCGCCACAGCCTCATCTTTCTAGGCGCTGCCTCGAAGGACGGATACAACCGAGAGCGTTCAAACAACTCACATTCGTTCACCAACTTCAAGCACCGCAAGGCTACTGGTCTTTGTGGCTGCTAATATTCTTTAGCGCTGCGTGCAATGCTCGGTTTCCAGCATGGGTGCTTCAGAGTCCAAGCTCGTGTTCAAGCAGGGGATCTTCAAACTCTCGGAAGAGAGGAACATCCCCGCCAGTGATCCATACTGGACAGGAGTAGGTTGCCTGGGTGGTGCAATAGAAACAAGGCTGACGTATCTAGTTCTGGGAATTACCAGAGTCGGTTGAAGATGTCTTCAGTCTTTTCTCCCATAGCGACATTCGCAGAGCCCGAGACTCAGCCCTCGAGAACCTCGAGACCCTGATTCTAGCGGTGACATCCCGCCTCATTGTGCTAAAGAACCATCCCTCCTTCCCAGATCCAGACCTCGCACCCGAGAGAGATGCCTTGAATTGTATACGAGTTCTGACCAGACTGCTACCCTACGTATACGAGGCGGAACAACTCGCAGAATGGGAGGAGAAGTTCTTTTGGGGCTTGCGCCGCCGTCGAACGCGGAGGGCTCAAGTGGCCGGCGAGATCCTATTCGATGACAGCCAGCGTCTTGAAACCGAAAGAGTGGACGGCGAAGATCAGGATTTCGAGGAAGCCAAGCCGCTTGCTGAAGAGTTGATTGATACCTTGATTGATCTCCTCTTCTATGCGGGTTTCACGATACCTTACCTACCTCAGGCTAAGAGTAAAGTCACATATGCCATATGGCAGAGCGGTGTCGGTTGCAAAGCTTCGATTCCGACAAACAAAGAGCTAGAAACCAACAGATGCGAAGTTCTACGTCTTCTATTGACGCTCACCAGCAAAGCCATGTATATGCCATCCGGTACGCTTCCAGTTCAAGGTGTCAAAGCCATCACCTACATCGCAACTTGTCCAGACAAACAGATCGTCCTGTCGGTTCTGTGTTCCCTAATCAACACTACGATTAAATCAAGTACCAGTTCCTGGCGACTGCCGTACGACCATGTGGTCCGCCGAGATTCAAAACAGACCCTTGTCATCTATAGTCTACAGTTTCTTCTTGTTCTGCTCCTCTACCCTGTCCCGGAGGGCGGAAATCAAGCAACACCGAAGAACTTCTACCGCCATTACTTGGGTCGTCTGCATAGACCAGAGGATTTTCAGTTCTTGGCTGATGGGATGACGCGAGTCTTGAGCCAGCCAATGGAAGCGACCACATCCTATTTGCCTGGCAGCCAGAAATCAGTCAAGTGGGCTCCAGAAATGATAATGCTGTTCTGGGAAGCTCTTCAATGCAACAAAAGATTCCGCGCCTTCATCATCGAGTCGAATCGCGCCCATGACTTCATCATTCTGATGCTATTCTACGCCATCGAGTACAAGACAGACGCTTCGAGACAGGGCATTGTACGGATGTGTGTGTTTGTGCTCCAAACCATGAGTGTGGAGTCACCATTTGGCAACAATCTCAACAAGAAGTTCGAAGGACAAGACTCATTGCCTCCGTCGATACGACTCTCCAATTTCCGGGGCACCTATGCCGACTTCTTGATCATTTCCATACACACCTTGATCACCACTAGCAAAGGGAAATTGGAAGCCATCTATCCAGCACTGTTGGCCATCATTAACAACATGGCCGCCTACGTCCAGAATTTGTCACTGGCTGCAAGCAGTAGACTTCTGCAGTTGCTCTCATCAATGTCCACGCCGAGCTTTGTTTTAGCTAATGAGAGCAACCATACATTACTCCAGGCTCTACTTGAAGCCATCTCAACAATGATCGAGCATCAGTACACGTCCAATTCAAATTTGATATATGCTGTATGGCGCTCAAGAAAGAGGATCGAAGGTCTGCGTGCATTCACTCTGGATGGAGGTCAAGCAGAGATCGAACGGGTGGCCCAGAGACGAAAAGAAAGTTCGCTCACGGATGTCACGAACAACCTATCGAGGTCTTCGACCCTGACAGACATGCATACTCCCACTCATAACGGCCCCGTATCCCCACATACGGACAACGGAGTGGACGGGACTTTTGCTATCGGAGATTCTGATGAGTCTGACAACGAAGACGCTCCAACACCTTCGCAATCCACACAATCGATGCGCACCTCTCGCACACCTTCCATAGCATCCTCGTCCGCGGTTGATGACCATGTCCCGATCCAACTATCAGGCATGTCCGAAAAAGCCCGGGGGAAGATGCCTGCAGGAGCGTTGGCATTTTCCCGACAAAATAGTACGACCAGTCTTTCTGGCTCTTCGAATTATGGCGGTGGTCGTGGCTCGTTCACACCAACTGCCGAGTGGCTCGAGAGTTGGCTTGTTGATTTGCCACTGCATACTTTGTTGACAGTCATCAAAGTCCTTTCGGCACATCCTCCGGTCTCGTCGGATCGAACCCGAGCCAATTTTGATGGGTCCAGCGATCAGCCACGCAGAAGCTCAAACTCGAACCCATCCTCACGTCGACAAAGCTTTACCAACGACGAGCCATCTATCACTGAGTTTCGAGCTCAAATTCCGAACACTGCCAATCACCCAGCAATCTCTGCGATCCTGGCTTCCCCGAGCCCGATCCGGGTGCATCTATTCGAGTGGTCGCCGCTGTCCTTGGGCTGGTATATGAGCGTTTTGTGGAGCTTGATATTCACAGCAGAGATGATGATTACGCCAGCATCTTCGACGGCCGCCACACTGACCGGGGCAGGAGCTGTCGCTGCGCCAGTGGGCGTGTGGAACGGCACAAACGTCAAGCTCTTTCAGGTCGCGACGGAGGGACGCCGGGAAGGGCCAAGTCTCTCACAGCCCAGAGGTGCCGTTGACGCTGTAGGATCACGGCTTGTCCAGGGTGTTCAGGGGTTGAATCTTGGCGGGCTTGTCGGACGCGTCGGCGCCGCCGGGAGGAGCGTGAGTTTCCAGGGCTCCAACGGAAACAATAATGGACGGCAGGGCCTGCGGACTAGAGAGGTCTGATTAGGGCCACAATGTTGTTGTCGGTATCCCTGGGTGTTTCGACGAGTATGATTTTGTTTACCCAGAGCTGTCCCTCCCGAAAGACTTGTCTCCCCTTGTGCAGGCAGAATGGCGCTTTTTCAGGTCCTGATTCTTGATTGCGTTCGTGAGTCTGCATTGATGGATTCCCGGCGGGCTGGGCGAAGCGCACCGAGTCTGATATCTTATTATTTGGTGATTTTGTTCTCCTGAGCGGGATTGCATCAGATTACGACTGGATTCTACCTAATATGATACGAGTAGATGGATTACCCTTTATGTCCATCACGCCATCGCCATCGGCGGCGTCATTGACCTGTGAGTTCCGGTGCCACTTGGTTCCAATCAGCAGCCAATGTAGCGTTGGTATACCCGGCGAGGGAAGAAGGTCCAGACTACAACGAATAGCATGAAGCTAGAATGGATCTCAGGTGGTAGTGACACAGTTTGAGGTCTTTTTTTATAATTCAGGGAGGGTATCTGTTGTTTCTTCTTCCAGCTATCATTTTGTTGTCGTCGAGAGCAGGCAGGCACACACGCGCGCACAGACACATGATTAGCAATGCTCGCCTGTGACGCAAACAGCCAAATGTTGATAGGGAAAAAAAAGAAAGAAAGAAAACCGTGCTATGCAAGAAGTGAAACCCACAACAGCAATCAAATCAAAATCCGTAAGACTCGCTTTTCGGTAGAGCTCTGCCCTTGTCGTAGAGCCACTTGTAGTTCACCCCCGGCACGATCTGCGGGCTCTTAGTCCGAGATGCGGGAGATGCGGGCTCAAGGCTCTCTCTCCTGGGTCGTTCGCGCAGGCTCTGGGAGCGAGCTAGCCCTGAACCCGTGCTCGCGCCGAACGAAGATCTCCCCGTGATGCCGCCGAAGTCGATGTCGGGGATTTGCGAGGACTGGTTGTTGAGTGATTTGTGGAATAGCGGGCTCGCGGCTGGAGAGGGAGAGAAGCCCGAGCCCGTTTCGGCGGTGCGGCGGATCGGGGTCCCAGAAGAGAAGCCAATTGCGTTCCTGGAGGTCGAGAGAGGCGAGGAAGCGTAGTTTGCAGAGATACTTCGACGGCCTGTGGAGGACAGGCCGCCGCCGTTGGCGCTCTGGGAACTGCCGGAGAAGGAACCAGACGATCGTCGATATCGCGGAGGGGTGATGTAGCTCAGGCTCGAACCTGCCGGGCTGGGGGTAGGCTGCACGGACGGGTCGAGGCCCAGCAAGGAGCGCTGGGATGGCGTCAAGGGGATGTCCGTGATTTGGTCCTTCTTGGAGATGTACGGTATGACTGGCTGCAGACAAAGGACGATGTTGGCGCAGCTGACCAGTCGAGCGATGACGATCGTCGTGGAAAGGGCCTGGGAGGCATCAAACCCGCTCCATGACAATAGCCAGGTCACACTGCGTCCCGACGTTAGAACAGAAAGGACACGTGGGAATTCATAGCGAGTGTATGGGAAGGGTGTACTACTTACACGGAGCAGAAGGCGTCGTGGAAGATGAACGTGAAGAGCAAAACGGCTGCGTTGACGGCAGCACCTTTGACCCTCCTCTCTGATATGGACGTCGCTGATTCTCGAGCAAGGATCTCTGTAATCCGCGGGTGTCGGAAATTTCCTGGCGAGGGGGGAGGTGTCGAGAAATTCGTCGAGTTGAGCGGTGACTTTGCGGGTGTCTTCCCTGCCTCCTGCACCCTTCTCTTGAGATAGTTTGTCCCGCTGGCAACCTCACTGCTGACGATGTTCTGGGTCGTCCGCAGAGCCGACGCAACACTTTGAGAGCCCTGGAGAGCTGTCTCGGCGGTCGACTTCACCGACAAAGGCACAAGAGAGGTTGCTGTAGTCGACATTTCGAAAGGAGGGAGGATAAACAAAGGCTCTGTGGATGCTCTTCAGCACAAGTACTCTCAACGAAGCTGTCGAAGACTTACCAGAACTGATGCGAAGATTTGACTTACCTCAGGAAACCTAGAACTACGTTAGTCTGTCATTATGGCGACATGGTTGTGGTTGTGGTTGTGGCCGTCTTTGCCTCGTAAATCGCGTTGTACGGAGATGTGGTGGACGTGAACGCAAGAAACCTTGTTGTGATTCAAATGACTATGACATGTGTGGATTTATATACTAAAGACGTTATCATCCTAAAAGATATTTCCGTCTGACATACTCAATTCTCGCAGTAGTATCCGTCTCTAATCAAAGACGCCTCCAGAATTTGCGCATCAATCCTCATCAACACCCTCAGTGATGTTTCCGAACGACTCCTTCTCGTAGGACGGTCTCGCGGATCAAGAAGAGAAGCTGGTTATTCCTTTGACTTTGACTGAAAATTGCAGAAAGGCAGCCGCAGCGAGGTAGAACCCTCTTCATAAACCTTGGCCACTTTCACCTTTCTTCAATACTCCAATTGCCTGTGAGTAAGGCCTACCTGCTGCTGCTGAACTATATCTTTTGCGAAGAGGACAGAAGGTATGAAGGTTTGTAAAAGCTGGAAAGTTTGAGGTGGGTGGGAAAAGCTGGACTATCTGGTTTCAGGCATCAGAGCGCGTTGGAGGTTGAACGAGATACTGGGTGGGCTTTCACAACCACGCATTTGCCGCTTCAACTCCTGCTGTGACGCAGAACATTGGAAAACGAAAGTTTAGTCATTGACGAGGAATCCAAGTTACAGCTTCCGTGCAATTATGTGGCCGCTATCAGGACCCTCCCTTCCCATCCCATGTACTCTATCTGTGGATCTGTGCTGTCCAATTTGGGGCAGGTCCCCAATATCGATGTATCCACCGTTCTGCCAAATGCTTCGCATCGATCGGGTACGAGTCGGTCCTGTGCTTGTCAAATGCGATGGATCGAGACTGGTCGAGGATAGCCTCCCAGTATGGATCATCGTCTCTCTGTCCTGCATGCCTCGGGACCGGCTTGAAGGCGAACTTGGTGGCGTTCGACGTTCCAAACGAAGCATTCACATGGGGTCCTTTCTCCGGGTCATAGTCCCAGCGGATCATCCAATGTTCTCCCGCCTCAATCGTCCTGCTCGTGCCTTGTTGTGCGTTGATGACCAGGTGGAACTGCCTGGCGCATCGGCCTTGCAGTCCAGTGACATAACGCCCCTCCATGCTTTTTACAGTACGTTAGAAGGCTAAGTGGTGTTATGAAGCCGGAAAATGGTCCCACTCACGGCCCTCGAGGGAATCGCGTAGTGACGATCCTAAGATCCGACGATTCCAAGATGAACCCGGGCGTCGGCATCTTCTCGATCGCGCTCTTCAGCGGATGCGCGACGTTTGGAACGATGTACTCGGGCATCCTGGTGGTCTGCTGTCTTTCTGATAGTACTGCTACCACCGCGGAAAACGTATAGGCGGATTGAAGTGAGCGAAAGAAGCTCGGAATGGAGAATGACTGACGGTAAGCAGAGTGTAATATGTAAGGTTTCTCCTCTCAGGCCATCACAATGAATAGTACCTACAGTAAGTAGTATGAATGGATGAAGGGGTGTCAGCCCAAGGGTGAGGCTGAATGTCGCTTCTGATACGGCCCTCCAATACGTGGCTGTTCTCCATGTGCTTTTCGAAACCAGTATTTGTCAACCATCCCAGCTAGCGCAGCTAATTGTTGCCAATCGTTTCAACAAGAGGGGTGTCGGGGGGCCTTGGAGAGTGGGAAGTATCGAATACGATCAGCGAGAGTACAAAGAACAGAGCTAGCAACGCGCCAGAGCGAAGCTGACCAGTACTCTCTTGATCGTATCGTGGTGGTCAACAACGAAGGTGACTTCCTACGTAGTGATGCTATGTTCTGTGTGCTCGTGTGTAGGGACACAGGCCACAGTGCCCTGTGTGGTTTCATTACTGTGTATCTCTATCGCAGAGTACCTCATTCCAGGATCAACACAATTTTTTCAAAGGTCTATCAGGCACTTCCACTTGATCGCAAACCAAGATGCCACAGCCCAACTTCCTCCTTCCCAAGGATTGCCACAGTGTCCTGCACTCTCATCGGGCAATAGGTACTCGTCACTTCGCAGGTCCCCTGTCCCGCGAAACCTGACGCCCTGACAAACGTAGACATCCTTTTTCAACTCCTGGACTTCGTCATTGGCGGAGGATCCCACGCACTTGCCTTCCTGCTGAGCGCGGACCACCAACATTACAGCCGCCTCCCTCAGCTTCGGCAAGGGCAACAAATCTAGACAGGCGTGGTGGGGGAATATAACTTGGGCGAAACACGGTCGTAGAGACCGGGGTTCAGGGAGTTGCAACGTTGAGGTTGGGGTTGAGCTTTCGTCGGTGGTCGTTGGCTGTACTACCAACGACGATGAAGGCGTTGCTGAGAACGAAGGCCGGTAGAAGGGAGACATGTACTTCGGATCTCCGACCCTGTCGATATCGATACCCAGAGCGGCCGCGTTGAATAGACACGCTGCTAGCGTGGCAGGAACTCCTTGTGGCCAGAGGGTATGTCCGGGGCGGTTCGTGGCTCTGAAATAGGCCTGTAGCTCTGACGTGGGCGTGCGTCGTTGTGGGATGAGCGACTCATGGGCCGGGAGTAGCGTCTGTGGAGACGAGAAGGTGAAGGTCATCTGAGGCGTTGGATCTGACCGTGGGTGTCTCTGATCTCGAAGATTCAACGTATCTGAGAATACATGACTAGAGGCGCTCGGTGGGGCGGTCTCTGTGCTGGACGCACTCGTGTGCCCGGCCCAGTTTGGGACATTTACAGCCTCGGAATACTTCACGGCACCGGACACCACGGCGGCGTCGTCAGGTACGCGCGGCGCAAGGTATCGTGGTGTTTGTGGTTTCGACTTTAAGAATTGCTTCTTCGCTCTTCGTCGTTCGCCTGGTGGCCGGTCAATCACAGGTCAGAGGTGGTGGTCCCCCGACAGTACCAACAGGGACAGGGGAGACTCACGGAATGCCCTCTGTGCTCGCCTGTTCTGTTCCCGTCGATGTTCTGTGATGGTACGAATGTGCTTGCGAGTCTCCCTGTCACCCGGTGGATACGCGCCGATATCTCGCACCACGTCGTGATTACTGCGGCTCATTTTCTCTGCCGGGTCGAGACGACTTTCCTCCAGCCAAACCAATGCTTACACGCAGTGGGCGGATGCAAAAATCCGCGAGGCAGGACTCGGGTAGGGGTCATTAGTGCTGTGATTTGAAGGACGACTGTAAGCCAGTCATGTGCGGTTCAACACAACCATCCGACCACGGTCTCGGGCATCGGGGATCGAACGAAAACTGATAGAGTTGTAACAAGTCTTCATTAGAGGAACGATTGCCTGGTTTCAACGGCAGGAGAACCGACTGATCGCCACAGTGCAATGACCACCATCCTACCTCGCTATCATGCTTTGCTGATTCGAGAGGGTTGAACGATTAAGTAAGACTCGGGATGTAGTTGTATCAACATCCACTATTTTTATTTTGCTTACGGGTTTGAACCAATGGGAGCAAACCGCGACGGGAGAGTTGGCCGTCGACTCGGGACAATTTTCTGGGTATTCGTCCTTGCGATCCTCCCTCCGTCCGTACTACGTATCCATCTAACACTCGTCTAACTTGTCTGCGAGACCAAGCATGGAGAATACTACTCTTCAAAGCGTAAGCAAACTGCCAGCAGGTAGGAGGTCTCCTGGCCATGGCGATGCCCCCCATATTTAAGAACAAATCTCTGGGAGACGGCGAACACGTCGACCACCCCATGGGCCTTGAAACATCACCATTCTCCCTATCTACCTAACGTACCTAGGTACACCCTCATCTCCTGCTTCACCCTCCACATACGTAAGAACGACAAGAAAAAACCACAATGTCGTCTACTGACAAGAAGAAAACCATCGTCGTCGTAGGCGCAACAGGACGACAAGGTGGTAGCGTCGCCCGGACGTTCCTCTCATCTCCTGTGTCATCTCGCTGGCGAGTCCGGTGTATTACTCGCAACCCATCATCCGAAGCTGCACGGTACGTACCTACCTGAGGCATCCATGTGTCTTGACCAGGAAAAGAAGACCGAAGACCACCACCCCCAAATACCACAAGCCCGCATAAACACCATATCAAATAATCCAAGGACCGACGAACGATCCCCCTCTGAGCAGACACTAACTGACTATTCTGACTCTTCAAGAGGCCTCGCAGCTCTAGGTGCCGACATTGTCCAAGCTGATCTCTCATCCCTGCCGAGCCTGGTGTCTGCGTTTTCCGGCGCTCACGCCATCTACGTCAACACCGACTTCTGGGAAGTGTACCGCGGCGCCTTATCGTCAGGCAAGGCCACCGACGCCGAAGTGTCCCAACTCGCATACGACACTGAGGTTGCGCGTGGCAAGAACGCAGCTCTGGCGGCGTCCCAGACCGCGGGGCTCGAGAGGTACATCTACTCGGCCTTTGGATCCATGAAGGTCGCGTCGGGCGGGAAATACGCCCGGTGCTACCACATCGAAGCCAAGGCCGCGGTGGTGTCGTACATCGTTTCTGAGCTGCCCGACCTGGACTCGAGGACGAGTTACATCTATGCCTCGGGCTACTGTGACAATGCGCTCTTGTATCCCCACAAGGTGCCGCTGGGCACGCTGTGGGTGTTGTGGGTCGTCGCGAAACTTCCGTTCTTGGTCCATTTGTTGCCTCGGCCGGGGGTGAAGAAGTCGGAACAGACGGAGAAAAAGAACGCGAACAAGAACGAAAATAATAGGAACCAAGTGAGTGGCGGTGACGACGGCGGCGGGAACCGATGGTATCATCTTCACCACCGCCATCAATATCTAATGATGCTTCCAGGACGCATAAGCACGTCCTTGCCGACTTTCATCCCTCACGTTTCCACAGGCGGATACGTGCGATGTCTCGTCGAGGACGAAGAAGCCGGCACCAAGCTGCTGGCCGTCGACTGGTGGCTGAGCATGGAGCAAGGGCTCAGCGCGTGGGAGAAGGTCACGAACCGAAAGGCGCGTTTCCTGCAAATGCCCGTGTGGCTCTTGTGTCGCATCACGGGCGTAAGGGAGGAAGTCATGGAAGGGGGCGCCTTTCTCACGGAGTTTCCATACATGTGCGACGTGACGGATTGGATTGAACCCAAGCACCTCAAGAATCCGCCCCCCGTCGCCATGACGTGGGAGGAGTATTTGAGGTCAAGGGATATAAAAGAGTTACTTGAGTAGATAGAATTCATCAATAACAACAACCGCCAACAACCATCAATCCACGAAGCTCAGGGAATACTATTACCGTGTATAGGTATTTGTACCTTGGTAACGAGGTCGCTGGGTCATTCTTGCTTGTTGCTCACTCACTTTGTGCCTGATCACGCCGCATTGGGCGTCCATAAGTCCCTAGAGACGAGGGACGAGTGACGAGGTACATGGGTACATTATCCCTTTCCTTCCCGTGCATTGCTCCCTTGTTACCTAGGCTGGGTAAGTCCCCAGGGAGGATCCTAAGTAGGTACGGACGAGGATTCGTATCATCATGGTCCTGAACTATGACTCCTCCACGCACTCTCAAACAGACCCCTTAACCTCACCGCGTCGCTCTGATTGCGTATCCTCTGTTCCAAGAACCCTTGTAGATCATCCCAGAACCCACTGGTCTGCAACACGCTCTCGCCACTGGGCTCGCCAGGCTGCACGGGCTCAGACACTTCTGGTTCTGTGCTCTGGGTTGCCTTCGCCTGTGCCGTCGCGTCCACACCTTCCATGGGCGTGCCCGTAGACTTCTCGCTCCCAGACGTGCCTGTGGTCGTCGTTGTAGCCGCCGCCGCCGCCGCCGCCGCCAAAGGCGCCGTGTCCTCCTGAGGTTTTGGATCGGGAGCACCACCCATAACCATTACGCCCAACTCCACCGCGTGGCCTTTGAGATCCTTGTCGTCCACGGCATCCGTCAACGTCTTTTTGGAGGGCGGGATCGGCTTCTTGTTCTGTAACAACTTGATCTTGTCCAGTTGCACGACCCCGGGCCCGCCCAGGTGCGCTTGGACCTGTTCCTTCAGGCTGTGGATCGTGGTCGTGCTCGGATCTATCGTTGGCAGCGTGAGTGTCATGTTGGGGTTCCGCGCCGATTTCAGCGTCACCGAGACAGTCGGTTTTGCGGACTCGGAGCCAGGTGCGGGCGGCGGCGCAGGTTTCGTCTTGGGCGGGAGAGGGTGCGGTGGGTTGGAGAGTTTGGGCAAGGTGTACTATCATCTATTGTATCAACGCATGTACGATCAAAGATTCCACGGGACGGTTCAGGGCACACGAGAAGATGAGACGAAAAAGAACAAACGTACAGGTACTCTCATTTGATAAGTTCGAGGATCGAAGACATGGTCCGCTTGGTACTTTGTAGGCTTGCTGTCTATGGACGTGAGGAACTGTTTGGCAAACTGTAGGTCCCCCATGTTGGCCAGGGATCGTGCTTGATGCTCTGCCTCGAGCCTTTGGAGAGCGTGTTGCAGTGCGAAGGATGCCAGGGTGATGCTGAAAACGTCGAGCTGGGATTGGCGAGTGCCTTTGAAGTTCCCGACAAGTCAAGCAATGGTGAACGTGGTGCTTGTATGGATGGGCCTTGTCTGAGGATGTTGAGTGTACGAGTACAGTTAACTAGTAGGCATGCTGTGTGTAGTGTCTGTCTGTCGCCGCTACAACTGACATCACCTTCGTTGGTGGAGCCGGAATGGAACCAGTAGCTTCACACGTCCTCCGTAACACTACGATGTCGATGTCGCGGCGAGGCTGAGGCATCAATCAGTCCAGGTACATACTGCTACATGAGCTATATCTACCCATACAGTGTAGTCTGCATAGCGCCTTGAATTACGTTAGACCTACTCTGCATGCGTGGGTTGGGAGATACTAAAAGCAACAAGGAAACGAAACGTATCAATTCAAACTCAAACTAATAAAATCATATCGTAAACTAATCATGATTCGTTCTTCCATTTTCATCCTGCGCTACATAGCTAGGTACCGCGTACTCCTTACATACTGCAAGGTATTAAACATTAGATCTAGGGACAATCAAAATCAAAAAGCAGGAACCGCATGTTCGTTACCCATAGCGCCTTCAATAGCCATATCATCTCTGTACCATGCATGATGAGCCGTCTTCAAACTGCCCAATCTCTTCAAACTTGTCGACCGGCTGATATTGCTGTTCATTCTTGAAACACCACTCCTGAGACTCTTGAACCTCGTGATTTGAGGTCTCTCGGCTTCAGGGACGGCCAAGTGCTGACTGAATGGCTCGGCCGACTTTGGTCTGGGGATGACATCGATCGTGTCTTGTGGAATGACACCGCTGTCTGGTCTTGTGATTGTGATCTGTTCATTCGCCCCTTCTTTCCAACTATCACTGTCAGAAAGAGACTCTCGATCCCGAACGTGGACCATCTCAAAAACCTCTTCCTCATCTTTGCCCCCGACGAAGGAGAAGGGGGTAGTCGGGCGATCGGGCTGTTCATCTGGCGTGAGTCGCGAGTATTGTGTGTCGCGTTCCGTCCCAGCCAAGGGCCCTTGCATCGCAGCACTAATCATGTTGATCAATCGTCCCGCGCTCTGCTCGCCCGACTGGGTTTCACCAGCGGCGACTTGCTGACTCGGTAATGGTGACCCTGGAGGAGTAGCCTTCTCTTTCTTCTTGTCCCTTCTGCTTAGTCTGCGAGACAATGATCGAATGAGAGAGGAATGGCGAGATGGCTTGGCCTCGGGCGGCACATCTCTTCCGACGAGAGGCGACTCATCTCCATAGATGGAGGGTGGGAATTGTGTTGTTGGTTTGTAGCTTGTCGTAGAAGGCGGGATCACATCGATTTGGGGGTAGACTGAACTCCGAAGACCGCTCATCCCGGGCTGGACGGACAAACCTGCCTGGTGAACGCGCAGGGCTGGATGGCTGGCCATGGGCATCGGTTCGGTGGCAGCGTGTGCATGACTCGGGTTGCTGGCATCAATTGAACCGGGGCGTTTGTAGCGACCGCATTTGTTGCAGCAACTTTTGCGACCTGGAGACGAGCCAGGCGAACTGGACGGTCCTGCGGTTGTGGTTTCTGAGATTCGCGATCGGTGGGAGTTCACGCCTTCCGAAGTCGTGCGCGTGTGCTGGCTCACAGGAGGCGTTGTGGAATTTGCCTTGGGAAGACTGGCCTTTCGCTTCCCACAATGGGAGCATTCCTGTCCCTCAGCACATTTCTTCCCGCAATGTCTGCACGCCGATCCCTGGGCCCCTTCGGCGGGTTTTACCAGATCAGAATCCCGTCGTTTGTACACTGGAGGTAGTGCACCATCGTGCATGTCCCTGGCCACCCTGACCGGTTTCGCATGCCTCTCTACCGGGGTCGAGCCGGAGTAGGGCTTGCCATCGAGGCGCCGCAGGTCTACAGACCTTCGTTGGTTCGCGTCTGGTCTCTGCGGCGTGGGAGCAACGATTGATGCTTCTGATCGCCGTTGAACAGACGGCGTCTCGATCAATGGCGAGACCGGTGAAAACGGGGATTGCTGGTCCGCATTGAGCGCGGCCGAGGGAGGGGTGAAGTTGGGAGAGAAAGGGTTTGTCGAAGGCAGGTCATTGTAAGAACTAGGCGTCACGGCAGTCATGACGGGCACGGGTTGTTGCGTCGATTGAGGCAAGTTCTCATATGGTACGGCTCCCTGCAAAGGCGCGGTAGACGTGGTGGTCGTGGATGTAGAGCGGCCAGAGCCAGGGTATGCTGGTGGAGGCTGCTTCTGCAGCTTTGTCATGGTAACAGTCGACTACTATGGTAGAGGGCGACGGAAAGGTGCTAGTACTACCGTACTCGTACTCCGTCCTCGGCTCGCTATCTCATGCAGGAGGAAATTTGTTGACCCAGAAAGGGGGGTCGGCACGACGAAAGGAGGTGTAGCGGTTGTTGTGGTGGTTCGCGTGGTGGAACAGACCGTGTCCGCGTGTGGATTTGCGCAAAGCCAAATGCTGGATCTTTGTTCAGGGTGGGAAGATGGACACCGACGACGAAGAAAAGGAGCGAGATGACCGGACTGATATTGCCCAGTTGGTGGGAGGAGGCATTGTTTGTGTCATGCAGGCCAAGCGTCTTTCATCTCTCTCCGCCATCACTAAAAACAGGCTTGACTGAGTCTGAAGCAAAGCAGGATTTGGTTGGCCCAAATCTCGTCACAGTGTGGTCGGTGAGGCAGTCCGAGTACGAGGACTAATAAGTTAGTTTGGCCATTCTTCGGTCCTCGCAGGCCTAAATCAAGCCTGGCTTAACTGGCCGCGGCACCTATTGGAGGGGGGGTTGATGGGCGGCCCGGGGGGCTTTGGGGGCTTGTGCAGCCCAAGCCTCCTCGCTTACATTATTCTCGTTCAGTCCTTTTCCCACCCACCGGGAGAGTTCACACCATCCCTCGGTAGGTAACTTAGAGGCCTAAGGCCTGTACCTATAGGCTAAGGTAAAGCATTTCCTCGCTTGCACCCTGCGCCTCAACTTGGCCACCAGCCCGGTCAATGGCGAAGAAATCCACAAATCGGACTCTGCCACAAGGCTGGTCTTATTTTGCTCTGGACTTATACCATGTGGCACTATTCTGTGGCTGATCTACTTCTATCTTAAGCACCGCTTGCCATGCTTCTTGTCCAATTCCCTTCGGCTTCTCGTACGATGGTTTCAGTCTTCCAGAAACGAATGTTGTCGAGTCTATTTACAAGGTATCTCGAGTACATGGACTTTTCTGAGCTTTGCAGTGCACCACGACTCGTTCAGATCATCAGCAGGGTCCGATCATCTGGCACTTGTACGAGTACTCTACGTCAACCATGACACCAAAAGAAACCTGATTCATCTCACCATCTCTGTCGTGTATTCCGTATAGCCCCTGTCGAGGGTCTGCTAACTGCATTTCCGGAGTCTGGGCATTGATGTTCCTGTGTCAAATACTAAATATACTCTCTGTGAGATGTCGCCATCAGGCCTGGTCGCCCGTAGTAATGTATTGGGTGTGTTACTGGAAATCGCACACTTGATTCGCAATGCCTTGTATCGTGTACTGTGTCCATCCTGAGTGTTGTACCAAGATGCTTCCGGGGTCAACCTATCGATGGAGGGATAGGTGTCAAAGGGCTTCTATGGCACTTCCGTGCCGCGCTTCGTAACTGCAAGTCTTGGACAAAGTACCGTCGCCATGATGATCGATTGGTACATTTCCAACCCCGAGCCGCCGGTAAATGCCCCTGGCATCATTGTGTCAACGAGTTGCACAGGAAGTCGCCCGGTTATGCTGCCGTCATATTTAGAATTGAGCCACTGTCCGATGCTCTCGCCATCGGAACGACCAGCCTTGTCCTTGCATTGTCCTTCACGAACAAGACATGGGCATCATTGGCGTGAGCCGTAAGCCTCGGGCAGCACAGCAGACGACTTCCTTGTGGCGATTCACACCTGCACTACGCCCTTGGCTCGGCAAACCTCGTTTCTGCAAAGGCAAAAGATGGCCGCGTGCAGACGATTTGATCCGGTCTGGCCGTCGTACCTGACATGAGGCCAGGATCCCCGGGCGAATTGGGATCCCGATTGATAGAATGCCGGATCGAGGATGAACATGATCAAATGGTCTTGAGTGATTCAGCAAGTTGATTTGTGGTCAACACTGAACAATAGACTCAAGCATCGGCAGACAGAGCGAACAACACTGGTCGACGTCCCAACATGGCTTGTTCCTCATGGGAGACTACCGCCGTCAACATCGAGGTGGTGATCAAGCGGTAACAAGCCAATTCTGTGATTCCATCTAAGGTTGAGCTACAAACCATCATCCCTGACTTGATCGAACTCCGAACATTTCCTCAGCAAGATGATGGACTTGCCGAGAATAATCCTCATACAACCATGTTGCTCCGGGTTTCCTCACCTACGAGAGCATTGCCAGCCCTGAGAGGGACCTAGCATAACGTTATAAAACTTGTGCCTGTTGACAATATGCGAATCACAGTGCTCTTCTGCGTGGTGATGTTTCTAAAAAGGTACTCAAGATCTAGACTGCTGTCCCTGGCAGTGTGACCGCCTCTTGCTCAAGGACAGGCTAACTTATTGCTTGCTAGTGAAACCCTACTCCGTACGTATGAATGATTAGAACTGAGTCCTTAGAGGGTGGTCCGATCGTAATGTTACAGTACAGAGCCACAGCCTACGAGGCCGCAAGGTCGCACTCTTAGTGCTGACCTGTTTCAAGAGGGGCGTCATATACAACGTCGGAAGAACAGACGAAGCGTGTCAAGGAGCGCCGCACTGTATAAGGATGATCTTCGTCCGTCCAAAAGTAGCAACCCTTTGATGGCGGAGAGGATCCGAGGCTGACAGCAGAGAATGGCACCTTACTGTACGTACTCGTAACCGAAGGTGATGCGAACCGCCAATGGGGGAGACCTGGGAGACAAGCGCGCCGGCGAAAGCACCCAACGGAGGAGGCTGAGCATAAATGCACATCAAAAGTCCGTAGCTTCTCGTCAAATAGCAAGGCATGCGTTCCCGATAGAGACATCCATGTCTGAAGGAGGCTTGACAAATCCATCGACTCAGTGCCGTCCATGTGTTCTCCGCATGGTACGGCAGATATCTTGATAAGTTGTTGGCTGCCAAGGCCCCATGCCATCCTGTTCACGTTGAAAAAAGGAGAAGCGAGACTCGGGCGAAAACAAAATCACAGGGTCTTTGCGTTATCAGGTGCAAGGGATCCCCACTGTGCAACGGAGTTCACTGGAAGCTATCGTCGCCGTCGGGTAAGGCGTACAAGGATGTGCTTCGGCGATGACTAGTCGTGGTGCTCTTGGCTTCGTCTGGCATCCAACTCCACCAGGTCTTTAAGTTGAAGAAAGTACTTCGACCTGGACCAGGAAACAAACGTGCAGAAACGTCGTGATCCGCTGTTGGAGCTTGTCTCATCGTATTCAGAAGTTCATCGCCATTGGAGCCTTGCTCACCGGCTAAGACTAGCCGAAGGGGCAGAGACAAATGTCCATATGTGGATGTCTTAAGGAAAATCCTTTGTGTGGATGTCTTAAGGGAAATCCTTTGTGTGGATAGAGATGAAGTGCTATGATGGCACATGAGGAGACTACTCCGTAGAAGGGAAAGTATCCTCCAATCTTGGAATCGTGGGCGAAGTTCGTCCGCATGCAATCACGTAGCCACATCGTCGAGACCCCTTATCATGCGCTTGATGTAGACATACTGCTAACGGAGGACCTGGTATCAAGATAAAACTCGAGAACAAAATTGCATCCTGGAACTCTCTTTGCCCGATCCAAGGAAGAATGCTTCGCTCAAGAGTGGCTCGTGCGCACAATGAATACCACCGTTTAGGTCAACCTCGACCAGCAATGGCCAGTCCACTGTTACGGAACCTCAATGATATAGTTTGTGACGACAACTGGGGAGCCCTAAGCCACAGTTGCAGTGATACCGAACAATGATGTGAATGCTCGGAGTTGTAGATAGATGAAAGCTGGATGGAATGCGGTAGGGAACTCCCTCGCCGGTGTAACTTTGCTGCGGGATGAGTGGGGAGGAAAGCTGAAGGCTTGCAGCAGCTCCGGTGCCAGAAGCGGCATCAAGCCAGGGCATGAACCCAAATATAGGACACACGCCTAGGCCCCCCTGGTCGCTGGAGCAAGTAGTGCCACGCTAAACGGAAGTTAGATGGGACAGACCTGAAGCATGTTTGACCCATCCTGGTGTTGCTGGTCAATGCGAAAGTTCCCCTTTCCCCCTTTGCCCTGCACCAGGGAGAATTTGTTGGCGGCTGATTGGTCCCAAAGTCCGCATAGCATGGGTACCGCTGGTAAATTGGCGGGCAAGGTTTAGGATTCGCTTTCACGACCTCTTTAGGGAGCACATCGACAAATGATGACCAAGCTCATACAGTTGCCACACCCCAAGGCAGTTTGTCTGTCTGGCAGCTGTGGTCCTCTTCTCGTACTCCGAAGCCTGAGATATTCGTGATATGGGCGTTGTCGAGGTATGGGATGGAGACTGGCGGGGCTGGCTGCGGACATGCTGGTGGCCTATGACATCGTGACCATGATGGACGTTCCCAAGCCCACCGTGATTGTTCTTGCGGACGGTTCATCGACTGGAAATATCAGGTGTCAACCAGATAAACAACCCGCGCAAGAAGCAAAGTACCTGTAATGTTCAATGCCATGCAGTCATCATTTGGTGGGAGCGTTGTGTGTTATCCTCGAAGCCCCCTCTTCCATGCACAGCCAATCTCCCTGGCGCCACGGAAGGCATATCTTTATTCAGCCTCAGCCGCCTGATTGGAGCGAGGGATTGGGTTCTGCGATGTATTGAAAGCATGAAACCCTTTGTCATTACAATCTCGCAGGACTGTGTCTTGGAGGCAATTAGATACTCCCGGCAACGTCCTGCGGGCTCGCACAATGGTCTGTGATAGTGCGAGTACTCGTGCGGACAAGAAGCTCGTAAATCATGTTGCAAGGAGGGTCGCCAGGAAATGTGAGGTTTTCGGAGGATGTCAACGCAAGGGACGTGTGTATCCGCACTCAGGGAGAGATGCTGTGTGATCGTCCTGCCTGTCTGGGTGTCTAAGGCAGACCGCATTGGTGACCGCCTCTTGTCGACGGCCGTATCTGAATCTCTGGTACGGTGCATCCAACAACAGGTATGGACGTAGCGCCAACCGTGCGGCTGAGAGTTTTGGGGCGTGGTAACAAGTGGCAACCCTGCGACATCCGTGGGCGCGGAAATGGGAGGCCTCGACGGCTGGGAAAATGTGTGGCAAGATTACCACACAATGGCGGTAATGGGCTGTACAGCGAGATACCGCCCGTGCAGGGTCTGGCGGTGTCTCATCTGGCCACCCCCTGTCCATACCACATTCGGGCGCCGAAGCTGTAGTCTGTGAGAGCCTGAGTGGGAGGAAACAATCGCGCATTGGCGAGGTGGAGCATGTAAGAGTCCCCAGCGTCAATGACCGCAAGACTCGTACTGGTAGCTCTCCCCGTTTGGCCTCGCCATGCTCTTGATTTCCAGCGACGCAGATCTCAGGTGCATGTACTGCGGTCGCCGGCCGGTGGAGTCGACCAGGGGGCGCTGTCAATTCCTACTGCATCCAGTCAACTCTCCAGCTCATCGATCTATTTTCAAACCGGCCCCCCGTCAACTCCTATATGATAACTAGCTGACCATTTCCTACCCGTTCCTTTTCTCTCCCGTGTCCAAACAAACGCTCGTTCGAAGTCACGTCGTATCCTTTTCCTCATCATCATGGAGGAGGTCTACGTCTTCGGCGACCAAACGGCCGACTGCAGGTCGTTCTTCACCAAGGTCTTCACCCGGAAGGACGATGTTATTCTACAGGCCTTCCTGGAAAGAGCTGGCGAAGCCCTCAGAGTCGAAAACAAGAGCCGATCCCATCCTTCAAAAGCAGTTCCTAATTTCTCAACCATCCAAGAATTAGTCGATCGTTATTATAGAGGCGAAGCCAAAGACGCTGCCATTGAGAGCGCTCTCGTTTGTATTTCACAGTTCACACATTTTATTGGGTATGCAGCTCCGGGCACCCCCTGAAACTCCCCTTATTTTGCTCTCGAGGCTGACAGACTTCACTTCAAAGCGCCTTTGAAGAGCGAACACCTTCCTATATCCCTCATAATGCGGACGCACGCCTCGTCGGTCTATGTACTGGCTTAATCGCAGCATCAGCCGTGGCCTCGGCAGATTCTCTAACCGCGCTGCTTCCACTGGCCGTCGAGTCCGTCCGAATCGCCTTCCGAGCTGGAGCCCATGTTGGGAAAGTGGCAGAGCAGATTGAAGGCGACTCAAAGACGGGATCATGGTCCACCATTGTTGCGGCGGATGAGAAGTCTGCTCAAGCCGCTTTGGACGCGTTCCACAAAGAGAAGGGCACCTCACCAACGAGCAGATTATGGATTAGCGCGTCTTCTGCAACTTCGGTCACAGTCAGCGGACCTCCTTCCACCAAGGCCAGCCTGTTCGAGGATTCTGAATTCTTCAGAACCCACAAAAACGCGTCTGTTTCAATATTTGCTCCCTATCACGCCTCTCACCTTCACTCACAGTCGGACCTTGAAAAGATCCTGCGCCCTCAGACCAAGGCGATCTTCGGCAACACTACGGTCAGATATCCAGTCTGCTCCAGCGTGACAGGAAAGCCAGTGGAAGCTCAGAATGGATATGAACTACTGAAGAATGCTCTGAAAGAGATTGTAATTGAGCCCCTGAAATGGGACAAGGTCTTGAAATACTGCGTTTCCGGCAAGCCTTCGGAGGCAAAGGTGTTTGCTGTAGGCCCTACGAACCTTGCCAGCAGTGTGGTGTCGGCTCTCAAGGCCACCACCCCCAAGGTGACCCTTGAGGACCAGTCCCACTGGAGCACAGTGGCTCCAGCTGGTACCCAACATTCGAAGCGTGAAGCTGACATCGCCATTGTCGGCTACTCGGGTCGTTTCCCGGATGCTGCCGACAACGAACTCTTCTGGCAGCTTATGGAGAAAGGGTTGGACGTTCACCGACCTGTTCCTCCAGATCGGTTCCCAGTGGACTCGCACACGGATCCCACTTCCAAGAAGAAGAACACATCTCATACACCATTTGGCAACTTCATCGAGAAACCAGGTCTTTTCGATGCTCGGTTCTTCAACATGTCGCCCCGAGAGGCGGCTCAAACCGATCCCATGCAAAGGTTGATGCTGGCCACGGGGTACGAAGCCATGGAAATGGCTGGTATTGTTCCTGGCCGTACCCCGTCCACCAAGCATGACAGAATTGGCACCTTTTACGGTCAGACCTCGGACGATTGGCGTGAGGTTAACGCAGCGCAGGATATTGACACATATTTCATTTCCGGTGGTGTGCGTGCCTTTGGCCCTGGGCGTATCAACTACTTTTTCAAATTTTCTGGCCCCAGTTTCTCCGTTGACACTGCATGCTCCTCCAGTTTCGCCGCTATCAACGTTGCAATTACCTCTCTGAGAGCAAACGAGTGTGACACTGCTTTTACCGGCGGTGCTAACGTCCTTACAAACTCGGACATTTTCTCGGGTCTGAGCAGAGGTCATTTCTTGTCAAGAACAGGCTCTTGCAAAACCTGGGACAACGACGCAGATGGCTACTGCAGAGGTGACGGTGTTGCAACCGTCATCATGAAGCGTCTGGATGATGCTCTGGCTGATCGGGATCCGATCTTGGGCGTCATTCGTGGCATTGGCACCAACCACTCTGCTGAGGCTGTGTCCATCACACATCCTTGTGCCGAAAACCAGGCCTTTTTATTCGACAAGGTCTTGAAAGAATGCAATGTTCCATGCAACGACGTGAACTACGTGGAAATGCACGGCACGGGTACTCAAGCCGGAGACGGCATTGAGATGGAGTCAGTCACATCCGTCTTTGCTCCTCGCACCAACCGCAGACGCCCTGATCAGCCTCTGTACGTCGGTGCGGTCAAGTCCAACATCGGTCACGGTGAGGCCGTCTCGGGCGTTTCTGCACTGATCAAGGTGATCATGATGCTCCAGAAGAGCAAGATCCCGCCGCACACGGGTATCAAAAAGCAAATCAACAAGAACTTTGCGCCTGATTTGAAGGAGCGTAATGTGAACATCGCTTTTCAGACGACTCCATTCCTTCGACCTGCTGGGGGAAAGCGGACTGTGTTCATCAACAACTTTAGTGCTGCTGGTGGTAACACAGCAATGCTCATGCAAGATGGCCCTGAAGTTCCAAAGGAGCCCACAAGCGACCCACGCTCGACCCATGTTGTCACAGTCTCTGCTAAGTCGCTTGCTGCCTTCAAGAAGACGCTTGCAAGATATGATGCTTATCTTGCCAGCAATCCCAATATTGGTCTTGCTGATTTGGCATACACTCTGACTGCTCGAAGAGCACACTACAACTATCGTGCTGCCTTCCCAGTGCAATCAATTGGTCAGCTACACCAATCTCTCAAGGCCATTGCTGATCAAACTCACAACCCGATTCCCCTTGCTTCCCCACAGATTGCTATGGCTTTCACTGGCCAAGGGTCACAATATTCAGGAATGGGCCAGAAACTGTTTGAGACTTCCAAGCAATTCCGCTCAGACATTGAGGAATTCAACGAGATTGCCCTGCGACAGGGCCTGCCATCCATCATGCCCCTGATCGATGGATCTACCGAAGTACAACACCTTCCTCCCACCGTTGTCCAGCTTGGCATGTGCTGTGTTCAAATGGCACTTACTCGTCTCTGGGCCACCTGGGGGGTCACCCCTAGCGTTGTCATCGGCCATTCACTGGGTGAATATGCTGCGCTCCAAGCCGCAGGTGTTCTGTCTGTCGCCGATACCATTTATTTGGTCGGAAAGCGTGCTCAGTTGCTTGAGCAGAAGTGCACTGCCGGTACACACGCCATGTTGGCAGTCAGATCTCCAGTCGCTGGCCTGCAGGATGTTGTTGCCAACAGCCAGGGCAAGATCGAAATTGCTTGCATTAACGGTGTTTCAGACACTGTCCTCTCTGGCACCATGGCAGACATTGACGCTGTTGCTCAGAAGTTGGCTGACGCTGGTCAGAAGTGCACTAAACTAAAGTTGCCATTTGCTTTCCACTCTTCACAAGTGGACCCGATTCTGGCAGACTTTGAGAGGTTGGCTTCTTCCGTCACGTACCATGCACCTCGTGTGCCAGTGATCTCGCCTCTCCTCAGTGACGTGGTCAGCGTTGGAGGCGTCTTTGATGCTTTCTACCTCAGCAGACATTGTCGTAAGACGGTTGACTTTGTTGGAGGTCTTTCTTCGGGCATGTCCACTGCTACTATCAGTGACACCACCCTCTGGCTCGAGGTAGGCGGCCATCCTCTTTGCGCAAGTATGATAAAATCATGCTTGTCTGTGCCAACTTTGGCGACCATGCGCCGTGATGAGGATCCATGGAAGATCATCTCTACCTCCATGGCCGGTCTTTACACCGCCGGTAAGGCTCTCAACTGGGATGGATTCCACAAGGAGAACGACTCTCTCCGTGTCTTGAGCGACGTTCCTTTCTACGGGTACGATGAGAAGAACTACTGGCTGCAATATACCGGCGACTGGCTCATCTACAAAGGCGACTACCCGAAGTCCATTGCCCCTGCACCTGCCGCTACCGCTTCTGCAGCTCCCGCGAAAGCACGAAAGTATCTCTCTACATCTGTGCAAGGTATCGTCTCCGAAGATGTTCAAGGCAAGACTGCCACCATCATCGCCGAGTCAGATTTTGCTCACCCCAAGTTGTTCCCTGTCATTGCTGGCCACTTGGTCAACGGAAGTGGCCTTTGCCCATCTACGCTCTACGCCGATATGGCTTACACACTGATCAACTATGGAGTTGGGCTCTTGTCGCCTGGTGAGAAGGTCGATATCAACATTGGCACAATGGACAATCCCGCCCCGCTTCTCCTCAAGAACATCAGTCAACCAGAGTCCCAAATCGTGCGTATGACCATGTCCATTGACATGAAAGCACGCAAAGCCGACTTCACTGTCACTACCAACAACGGTAAGAAGGATGTTGTCCATGCCAAGTGTGTCATCCGTTTTGAAGATGCAGCTGTCTGGAAGGAGGAGTGGAACAAGACCTCCTACCTGATCCAGTCCCGCATCGACCTCTTGAAGCACAAGATGGAGAATGGTGAGGCGGACAAAGTCAGCCGACCCATGGCTTACAAGCTATTCGGTGCTTTGGTTGACTATTCTGATGTCTTCCAAGGCATGCAGAGTGTCATCTTCGACGGCCAGGAGTTTGAAGCCACTAGCAACATCAAGTTACGAGCTGGACCTAACGAGGGCGATTTCTACTTCAGTCCTTACCACATCGACAGCGCCTGCCATCTTTCTGGATTTACTGTCAACGCCACTGTGAACCGCATGGAAGAATGCTATATCTCGCACGGGTGGTCCAGCCTTCGCTTCATCGAGCCTCTCAAACACGACAAGCAGTACTTTGCTTATGTAAAGATGCAGCCTGTTGCCGGAAGCAAGATGAGGGCTGGTGATGTCTATGTCTTCAATGAGAACAAAGAAGTCATTGGTGTTGCTGGTGCTGTTCGCTTCCAGTGCATCCCTCGCAAGTTGATGGACGTGATGATGCCTAAGCCAAAGGCTGTTGCCGGTGGCAAGGCTGCTTCCCCGGCCCCTGCAGCCAAGGCTGCGTCTCCAGTCGCTGCAGCACCTGCCCCTGTTGCAGCTCCAGCTCCCAAGGCCACCAAGGCTCCGAAGACCAAGACACCCAAGGTCAAGGCACCAAAGATCAAGACTCCTGCACCTCCCAAGGCTTCCTCTGGTAGCCTTGTGGTTCGCGCTTTCGACATCATTGCCAAGGAAATCGACGTCGACCAGTCCGAACTCAACGACGACATTCAATGGGCCGATATGGGTGTGGATAGTTTGATGTCTTTGACCATCTCTGGTAAATTCCGTGAAGATCTCGACCTCGAGGTTGAAAGCACTCTGTTTACGGACTATTCCTCTGTTGGTGCCCTTCGCAAGCATCTCGGCGGTATGTCGGGGCCTGAACCAGCCACCGGTGGCGATGCAAGCTCTGTGGAGTCGACCGACTCGGGCTCCGAGAGTGATGACGATACCGTCGAATCTGGTATCACTACTCCTGACACTGAAGACTTCCCCAGCAAGGCAGGCGAACCAGGCAAATCTGCCGCTGTTGAGGCTGTTGCTCAGGCACCTACCGCTTCCTCCAACGGGGGTGACATGATTGAAACCATCCGCGTTGTCATCGCTCAAGAAATGGAGATGGACTTGGCTGAGATCACCGAGACTACTGATCTCAGTAACCTTGGCATGGACTCTCTAATGGCCTTGACTGTGTTGGGCAAGCTCCGTGAGGATCATGAAATTGATCTCGACCCAACCATTCTGGCTGACAATCCTTCTTTGGGCCACCTGCGAAAAGCACTTGGTCTCGAGAAACAGAAGGCTCCGGCTCCTCCGGCCCCAAAGCCTGAGGTAAAGCAAAACATCATTGTGGCACCAGCAGCTCCTCCTGTTGAGGTAGTCGTGCAAATGCCTCCTGCCACTTCCGTGTTGCTTCAGGGCAACCCAAAGACTGCCACCAAGAATCTTTTCTTGTTCCCTGATGGATCCGGCTCTGCGACTTCCTATGTCTCCATTCCGGCCATCGACAGCAAGAACTTGGCCGTCTATGGTCTCAACTGTCCTTTCATGAAAGACCCCACAAGCTATACATGTGGCATTGAAGGTGTCTCCAAGCTCTACATGGAGGAAGTGATGCGCCGACAGCCTGTTGGACCATACATCCTGGGCGGTTGGTCTGCCGGTGGCGTCGTCGCGTACGAAGTCACTCGACAATTTGCCGACCTCCAGAAGGCCCACCCAGACAAGAACTACCAGGTCGCGAAGCTGATTCTGATTGATTCGCCATGCCCAATCAGACTCGAGCCCCTTCCTGCCCGTCTTCACCACTTCTTCGACGAGATTGGTCTCTTGGGAACTGGAACTGGCAAGACGCCCAACTGGTTGCTGCCTCACTTCGAGTACAGCATCAAGGCCTTGACAGCCTACCGCCCAGAGCTGAAGTCAACCCATGACTTCAAGGCACCCCCAACCCTGCTCATCTGGGCAACTGACGGTGTCTGTGGCAAGCCTGGTGACCCCAGACCGCCACCACAAGCCGATGATCCGAAGAGCATGAAATGGCTCTTGGAGAATCGAACCGACTTCGGACCCAATGGATGGGACAAACTCCTGGGTGCCGAGGTGTGCAAGATGGTGACGGTCAATGGCAACCATTTCACAATGATGAAACCACCAGTGGTAAGTTGACGATTGTATGTGTCGCCTTTTTTGATCCTATACTGACATGTTTCTCAGGCCAAGGGTGTCGGTCAATTCATCCGTGAATCTCTCATGTAAAGAGATACGGATTGTGTATACACCACGCAACAACCAATAGAAGGGACGAGAGACAGGAGGAATTGTGTACGGATATAGACTCTTTGGCTTTTTACGACTTGGATTTTTACTTGACCGCTTGGAACAACCAAAAACACACCTGGTATATATTCAAGGGACAAGTTTGTTAGCGTTCTCCGCCATTGTTTGTCTTGCATGGCATTTTCAGAAGCGTTTTGGGTGAATGCTTTTCTCCAGATTGTCAATTGGAAAGCCTTGATTTTGAAGGCAGGCGTTTGCATGGGAATGAAGCTATCATTAGTACTTGGATTTGAATTTGGACAGGCGAGCGTGGGGGTTGCAGTGATATCTCTTTGTTCTTTTTGCAAGGATGACTTGAGTTTTTTTTGATTGCGAGTGCTCTTGTTTTTCCTTGGGTCTCCAACGCCCTGGACAACCACGGTCTATTACTATCCACTTTTGTTTGCTGAGTGTGGTATTCATAGCTCTTGAGATTCCTAATATGCACATTTACTTTTTTGACAGACATTGATCCTCCTGTGCCCTGTAGAAGAGGAGATGAAAACGAAAACGTGCCTGCTGTAGATAAACGAGCGAGGTCGACGGGAGGGTGGGTTGACTCGAGGAGTTTTCCCAGAGGGCCGGCGGCGGTCAAGTCTCAAAGGTGGTCGATCGAACTCCCCCCTCCGTATTGAGTTCGACACTCTCGTCGTCGCAGGTCGTATTTGGAGTTCAACAAAGTTGGGAGGTTTTTTCTCCGTATCTAGGTTTCAAAAGTTGTTCAATAGCGCGGTACGATACTTTTGGCCCGCCGATACGGGGGGTAGTAGCAGTAAACCCGTAGAGGGAGGGAATGGCCTCGAGGACTCGTTCAAAATTCAAAATTCGTCGAGGAGACCTGTTCTAGAGATCCTCCCTCCTTCCCAGATATACAGATATACACGTACTGCACCGAAGTGAACTGCTGGAGGGTACATACATGACAATATTCTAGCTAGATAAGGCGTGATCCTCCGCTCAAAAGATTTCTCTACCCGATATCGATCATACATACGGTCATACCTGATGAGAGAAGAGAGAAAGAAAAAAATCTTCAACCAAACAAAAACCCATATTCAACTCCTCTTGGGTATATCTCTGTCCAAGGCACAGCCATACCCGCTGACGTGTTTCGGTTTCTATTTCGCACGTGATAGTCGTCGTCGTCGTTGTCGTCGTCATCATGATCGTTGTCGTTGTCGTTGTCGTCCTCACCCGGGCCAGAGTTTAGAGCCTCCCTCCTCGTTTGGAATATCTGTACCTCCTGGACCTCGGAATCGTTCCTCGACCACACTCCACTCATAAACTCCAAGGCCGAGTCGAAGATCCAGATTCCCGTCCTCTCCTTCCACCGCACACAGTAGTCGATGGCGACTTTTCGATACCGTAGATCTCGGCTGGGTACTTCGACGGCAGCTAGTATGATGGGGAGTAAACATTGTTTCTGAAAGTTGCTGTCTGGAGGTAATTCGGCGACGATGCTGAGAATCTCGATGGCGAGGTGTCTTGGGCCTCCATCATCTGAGGAAGCCGTGACACGAAACGGCGATGACGATGACGATGACGATGACGACGATGACGAGTCTGGGTCGATTGTAGTAAAAGCAGACTTTGTCGTGGATGAATCGAAATCGAAACCGAAGTTGACATCGTAATTGTCATGGACAAAAGGGACCAAGACGCGTTGACAATACAGCAACAGTCCCAATTTCCAGACCTGTGACATGGCATTGAGCAGACTGTTTTCCTCGTCGCCAACCAGAGCTCCTGTGATCCTCGCTTCAAAGGCCGTGATAACTTCAGCCGAGATGGCATCGGGGTGTGCGGCCGTCATGGCCAGATCGTACATGTCGAGGAACATCCCGTCTGGAAGCCCGTTGAGCCCGATCATGCTCCACTCCGTCTCGCGCTGCCACAGCATCAACGACTCGAGGTATCGTCGAGGAAAGATTGGCGAACAGCGTGACAGCATCGCCGCCGCGACGTCGTACCAGAGTAACATGGCGATCTGACTTCGCAGGTTCTGCCGTGACTCCGCCACTCGTATGCCTCCGCTTGACTCGAGAACGTTGAGAGCTCCTCGGAGATGAATGGCCCAGTTAGACACCCCGGACTCGGCGTAGTCCAATGCTATCAGCAACAAGGTCGTGGATATGGCTGATTCAAAGGAGAGGTCGTTGAAGTGAGTCGCAAAAATCGAGAGGGCTTTCGCCTTGAGACTGAGTACACCCAGGCCCTCGGCCTGGTGAGAGAGATGCGCCTGTTGACGTTGAGCAAGGGCAATTGCCGCGTAGAGCACGCAGGGCACCTCATCGTGGATTTGAGGGAGGGCTGCTTGCCACGGGTTGACCGGCACGTCCCAGGTGAGGGTGGTTTTGGAAAACCGGGCGTGGTAGAAGGCTAACGCATCTTCTACTGGTGGTCGCGACAGTCTAGGAGACAGAGGCAACAAAACCTCGTGCGACTCGTATGTTGCAGAAAGTGGCGTCGTGCTCTTCGTCAGTGACCAAGAGGTCGAAGGAGATGTCGGGTTGACAGAGCTCCAGTTTGATGAGATGGATGAGCGCGCGGATCGGTCAGGCGGGGTCGGAATCGATATGCGTGACTTGGAATTCTTCCGTGGCTTCTTCCTCGGTTTCTCTGATGAGTGCGTCTGATCTACGAATACAAAGGCCGATGGTTGAGGTAGCTTTGGTTGAGGCTGGGACTGGGATTGTGGCGAGGAAGTCTCCTCGGAGGGAGCCCTCCGAGTCACTGAGGCGGCTGCCTTGAATTTCGATTTGCCCAGTCGAACAGTTCCTCGCTCCCAATTCAGCGCTTGGATATAGCCGCCGCATGTCCCGCCATCGTCAAGACAAGCGCTGCACTTTGGGCGACGACGGTCGCATGTCCGGCCCTTTTCGGCACAAGTGTGGCAGTCAGCCTTGGCCCAGCCTAGTGAATTTGTTCGTTTGCCAGCCAGGTTTCTTCGCTGGGTCGCCAGACCTGGTGCCGAGGAGGTGCAGACTGTCACCGACATTTGCGCTGGATCTGAGGCATGCCGTTTGCGAGAAGAAGTGAGATGTAGACGGTAGAGGAGGAACCAAGTGTTGGGGACCGTTTTTTGATAACCGGAAAAACAGATAAGGGTCCTGATCACGTGATGCGGGGTCTTATCGGGCGCTGGAACTCGGCAGGAGCCCGATTGGAGCCGACGAGACGCTGATAACAATAGCGAGAGGGAGAGGGAGATATTGATTCTGAGAACTTGTATAACACTGCGCAAAAAGCATAACTCATACACTATTACCCATATCAGCGCCGTCCTCTAAAACTTCGCAATACCAACACTATCCTACTTGCGGCCCATTGCCTTCTCAACCGCCTCCAGCGCTGCCATGACCTTTTCGTCCATCTGTCTTCTTCCAACGATGCACAAGCTGACCGGAGCTCCAACCCACTTCTCTGGATCGTACAGCTCGTAGTTGTACTTGTCCTGCTCGTTCATGGGCGTGTAACCTTCTTCCTTCTTGTCCTTGTCGACATCGACACTAGTCACCGGAAAGACGACGGCAGGATAGTCAAGCAGGTTCCATTGGCTCGTGTATGGCCAGTATCGTGCCGTGTCATGAAGAGGAGCGGCTCCAGGGGTTACAGGGGCTAGAATGACGTCGACTTCTTGACCAGGCTCTGCCGTCTTGTTCCAGTGTTCGGCGTATTCCTTACGATAGGCATCTCGCTCGGAACAGAGATGCCAGTACTCGTGAATATCAAGTTTCTTCACCCCAGCCTGCTCATGGATGATAAATTTGGTGAGGGGGAGAATCGGCTCTCCGGATTCCTTGATCGGAGCCAAGGTGTCCTCGCCGCCGTCTGGGAAGTACAGCCGGGATACAATATCCCAAGCCCTTTCGTGATGATACGGCTCCCAGTCCACTACCTCCATCCCCGCTGTCTTGCAGGCATCAGCGACCATCTTCATTGCTCTCATTGTCGGGGGATGTGGCTTGACAACGCCGTCAGACCATTCGATGGCTATCTTGAGCGGTTTTGTCAACGTGACAGGCGTCCATGGCTTGACTGTCAGCCAAGGATCATGGCGCCAGGGTTCATTATCCAGGATGACTTTCATGAACAGGTTAATGGTTTCTCGAGATTGAGCGAGAGGACCTGGGGTGGCTATGACAGACTCCCTGCCGTTATTGGCGGCTTTCATACCCTGCAATGAGAGTCGCCTAGACGTTGGTTTAAACCCATATATGCCGTTATCGCTTGCTGGCGCACGAACTGATCCTCCAATGTCTCCGCCAAGGCCCTGTCGTGAAGTTAGCCCTTCGGTGGCTTAGCTGTGCCATGAGGACTCACCCAGATGCTTCCTCGAAAGCCTACGAGCGCGCCTTCACCGCCACTGCTCCCACCGCAAGTCAGGTTTCGGTTCCAAGGGTTGACCGTCCGACCGTATATGTTATTGTTGCATTCGAGCGACATCAGCGTCTGTGGCCCCGTTGTTCGAACATACCAAACACAACCAGCGTTGTATAAATAGTCGTTTAGCGAATTAGGGAGCGAATCGCCGCCAACCCAAGCGACGTACGAGGCGTGACAGGTTTTCCCCCTGAGCCCGTGGTGTTCTTTAATCTGAAAAAGTCATCAAAAGTCATCAGTGGAGGTCCCTGAGCATGGACCCTGAAAACGACTCGTACTGACTGAAATTGGAAGCCCATGAAGCGGACCAATGGGTTCAGGAAGCGAGTCAAGATATTTGGCACGCTCAATTGCCTCATCCCACATTAGCTCCGTAACACAATTGACCTGGAAAGTATCTCAGCACATATGCATACCAAAATTGGAAGTCTCTTGGATCTCGTACGGCATATTGTGCAAGTGCTGCTCGGCGTAGAAACGCTCGAGTCAATTCCTCAGAAGTGACTCTCTTAGCACGCAGCATCTCGAGGAGTTCAATAGCATCATAGTCCTGAGTAAGCTCATATTCTCTCGGAGTCAGGTACTTCTTGGGCAATTCTTGAGACGACAATGGCAGAGGATCTGGGAGAGGATCGAATGGTGGATCGACCTTGCTCAGGGTCTCGTCTCGAAAATCTCTTGCAGATTTTGCAAGCTCTTCCCAACGTGCGAGAACCATTGTGGTTGGGCTTCAAAGATACCACCGTCGACAAGACAAGTACTGGCTGGAACGACCTTGTCAATGCAACGAGGTATTGGCTCGATCTCCTAGGGATTCGTAATTGCTCGCGAGCTGAGTAAACTTGTTGCGACTGCTACCGTGGTAGTTTTCGCTTAACCCAGGTAGTGACACAATAAGTACTCTCATCAATTGATGCCGATGCATATGGCTGGAACGGGCCTGGTGGCTGAACACGAGCAAACAGCATCTCAACGTGAAGCATGTAGTTACGGAGTATAGCGTCGCCGCCCAATCCCGAGGACAGCTTTTGATACCTTATCATCGCCCGCCCGTGGCATGCATATGCCAGGAATCGAGATAAGAATACTGGAGTACCCTGCTAGGAAAGCGGCCTGGCAGATCCGTCGTTGAAGTGGACCACTATTGCCGCAGAAGCTCACGGCTTGATTAGGCAAGAGAGATGTATTATTGCCTTCTGGATGCATTCAGTTATGTTGGTGTGTCGCTGTCCTCGCATGCATAGAAATATGTAGGGATAGGCACTGGCCCCTGCTGTTTTCGGGACTCACTATCGCAGACCATGGATTCATGCAGATGAGCGTCGCTAAACAACGATTTGATACGCGGTCATCCCTTCAGCCTGGCTAGACGTCCTCTCCGCACGACGGAACTCGGAACTCAGGGTATCATCATATCCCGGAGTACTTGGCAAGACTGAGTCTGAGAGGCGTGTCCACGACGTTCTATGTTGGAAGCTGAGACGTAGAGACGTCGACCGCAATGCCGTGGGGTAATTGCGGCAGACATCCTGATGCTTGCGTCTCCCACATCCAAAAAATGGGAGGGCAGGAGGGTACTCTGTCGATGGACAGATGCTCGGAACTCCTGCTCAAACGTGTGTTGATCTTTTGTATCCCAACTTATCTACGGGATACTAGACGGCCAACGATCGTCTCTCGGACCCGCAGAAAAGCCATGATAACAGCGCGCATCAGCTATTCGGATTGGCCCTGCAGGGATGACTGCCTTCAGAACCTGGTCGAGATGATTAGCCTGCGACTTGCGCAGTGGTAGTGAGCGGAGTCTCGGTGAGATCGTATGTATCTCTGGAGACCCTCTGTCAACTGGATCACATATAAAGCCGGTCTAGATCAATCTCTTCCCACGTTGGTAACCAAATCACTCTCTACCTGCCAACACAGGCGTCGAAGCACTTCAGACTAAACTTTTGCAAACAAGTCCGTCACCGCCGCTATGAAGTTCATGGAGCCTTCATTGGGAACGGGCCGGTTCCGGCTCAATCGACCCATCAATCAGAACTTTGTCGTTGGAGCGTGAGTTTCATCCTCATCACCATGTTGTTTTGGAACGATACTGACTGCGGGATTAGCATTCTTTTCTGTTTGCCGGGCATCTATCTTGCTCTTACCGGCCTCGGTGCTGGTGGAGGTCGTCCGAGTTCCCAAACGGTTGCGTCAACCACCAATGCAGTACTTTACGGTCTTTTCTGTCTTTTTGGCTGGATTGGCGGGGCCATTCTGAATATCTGTGGCCCCAAAATTACCATGATGTTTGGCGCAATTGGATATCCGCTGTATGTCGGGGGCCTTTGGTACTTCGATCGTCAAGGCCATAATTGGTTCCCCTATTTAGGAGGCGCCATTTTAGGTGTGACTGCGGGTTGCCTGTGGACTGCGTGCGGTTTTATTCAATTTGCGTATGCCCAGGAGGATGAGAAAGCACTGTTCATCACCTGGCAATGGGTCTTTACAAGCTTCGGAGGTACAGTCGGTAGTTTGATCGCCTTTGGAGTCAACTTCCACCAGACTGAATCGACCGGAGTCTCGAATGCGGTGTATTCTGTCTTGTAAGAAATATTCGTGCTTGCATGGTAGCTGGTTACTGATTCTCAATGTCCAGCATCGTCATCATGTGCATGGCTATTTTGATCGCCTTCTTTTTCATCATCGATCCAAAGAAAGTGGTGCGAGATGACGGAACACATATTGCCATCTTCAAAGATCCCAATGTCATGGAAGAAATCCGGGGTCTCATCGATCTATTCACAGACTGGCGGATATTGATGCTGATCCCTGCCATCTTTGTGGCAGAAATGAACTTGGTGAGTAAAAGTACTTACCTTCACCGGCACAACATTTAACAAGCCACAGGCCCTTCTTTCCAGCATCAACGCTTACTACTTCAACCTGAGAACACGGTCGCTCAATAATGTTCTCTTCCAGTTTATCATGATGCCATGTCCTCTTATGCTGGCTTTTGTCATGGACACTAACCGTATCAAATCTCGGCGTGTTCGTGGTATGGTCGGAACCTGTATTATGGGCGCTCTGTGTCTTGCCACGAATGCCGGCCTGGCCGCCTGGATCGTCAAGAACGATGTCAACAGACAGAAGAATACACCGCCAGGTGTTGACTGGTCCGATAGTGCCTTTGGGGCTGGCTTTGTTCTTTATCTGCTAGAAGGTATGGTCACATCCCGGTTTGCTGACGCCTCCTGACGACTGAGCTAGGCATCATCTATGCTACTTATCAGATCTGCGTCCAGTGGACAATTGGGGCACTTTCAAATGACCCACAGATCTGCTCAAGACTTAGCGGGTAAGTAACACATTATCCTCAAGTTCACACCAACGTGGTGGACCTGTGCTGACGCAAACCGTACAGACTTTTTAAGGGAACGACAGCACTGGGAATGTGCATTTCCTTTGTGCTAGACTCCAAGAATGTTTCTTACCTCGACCAATTGATCGTGCAATTTACATTGTACGCCATCGGTCTGGGTTTCCTCCTGATCATCATCTGGACTCAGGTGAAGCCAACCAACTATTTCTTGGAAGACAATGTGATTGTTCCTCACAAATGGGAAGACCGAGCACGACTCGAGGGGTTCGTTGGCGAGGAGCAGATCGAACGGGAACATGAGAAGGAACTGATGGCAGAGAAAGCCGTATCTGTCGGGGCCAAGGGATCGATGGAAGTGAATGAAGTTGGTCGTCGCACTTCGCATGGTTCGAAGGTTTGAGTGCAGGAGATCGTTGAGCAAGAGAGGAACTTTCATCAAGAATTAGACTGCGCAAACTGGTCCCTGTGTTCTTTTTGGGCAGAGAAGACATGAACAGTCCGTAGATAGGGAGAAGCCCCTGAAATGAAATGCATTCCGAGAAAACTTCGCTGTCAGGCCAAAATGGCTATATCGCCCGGTATGTCCGAATCACGATGCTTGAGGTTCCGGAAGACGAACTGATGTGGTCAGGCGGAGAAGTCGTTGACGTGTTGCAAGGTCCCAGGTCTCTCATTCCAGTTTCGACAAAGTCCGACCAGTCCCTATTCACCAAGAAATGTAGTAGCGGGTTGTCCTCTCGCATCACCTTGGCCTACTGAGTCCCTGGTTGATTAACCCGCTCTTCCCCACACCCGACAGGAATTAATACGCCTGCATTTTCTCTTGCCATAATAGTCCCGTTGCTCCGCTCGTTGATTTTATTCATTGTTGCGTTGATAAGTACCTGGTAATTGGAGTGTTTCCGTTGTGGTGGCGGGGTCACCCACGTACTTTATCAGTCTGGGAACGAGGCATCTCCAAATCGGGCAGGAGAGATTCCCCTGTCCGTCATTTGGAACATCTATCGTGCCTTTGGGGTCGGAGAAGTATATAATGAAAAGGACAAAGTCATCCAGTTGACACCACATTCTGAACAGTCGTTGCTGCAATTCCACGATTTTTTGTGCCCAAAGAGTATATCGTTGTTCATTTGCTTGTTCCACTTCAGAATGGCACCCTCGGCCGTCGAAATCGCCGTTCCTGTAGCGAAGACGATTGACAGCACAGATAGTCGTAAGGAGGCTGATGAGCTCAAATCTCCGGCCTCGCCACTGCCCGAGGTCAAGATCTTTGATGCTGCGAGTGCTACAGTGGAAGACTTGGTAGACGCCATCACAGTTGCTGGTGGGGTGGTCATCCGCAATGTCCTGAGCCAAGACGAGTTGGCAAACTTGGAAAGGGATATTCGGCCGGAGCTGGAAAAGGACACAGCTTGGGGCGACGGTATGTTCGGTATCTCTGGATGTCTCATCACAAGCAGCTTCGGTTGCCTGACACGAATGTACCTGTAGGAGATTTCTTCCCAGCAGAAACTCGAAGGGCATTTGGGCTCGTCACGAAATCGAAAACCTTTGCCGACCGCATCTTTGGTCATCCGCTCTGGACGGGAGTAACAGATGCATTGCTAACAAGCACGCTGAAGCATAATTGGGTGAGCTGTGTGGATTCCAAAGGCGGATCTTTGATACTGACCGCAACAGATTGGCGACAAGAACGAACTGTCGGTCTCTCGACCACAACTAAACAACACCATCGTATTCAGTATCAACCCGGGGGCCCGGGATCAAGCACTGCACCGTGACGACGCGATCCATCACATCTATCACCCTGCAGCGGCAAAACACGAGATAGGTCGCGATGCAGGCGTCGGGTTCTTCGTAGCAGGTAAAAGGACTACCAAGCGGAATGGCGCCACGAGGTTCATTCCAGGCTCGCATCTGTGGGACTATGCCGCGGGGCCTCCAGAAGAAACTCAAACCTTCTATGCCGAACTCGAACCTGGTGATGGCTTCATGGTCTTGAGTGGGTGCTTCCACGGCGGAAGTGCTAACAAGACAGATCAGCCCGACGAGAACGGCGAGATCCATCCAGAAGAGCGACTCGTGTACAGCACGTTCATGACGAGAGGCTGGCTGAGACAGGAAGAAAACCAGTACTTGATCAATCCGGTTGAGAAGGTCCGCGAGTTGCCCGAATGGATGCAGGAGAAGGTGGGATATGGACTCTCAAGACCATTTCTGGGCTGGGTCAACCTCAAGAGTGCTATGGAATGGCTTCATCCAAATCGAGGAAGGAGGACTGGTGACCTTTGGTGATGGGTTTCCCAGCTTCTGACTCGGTTCTGTGGTGGTGATATCTCGACTTTGCAAGCCTGTAGCCATGCGACGATCATCTTCATCCGTGTGATCAAAGGCTCGACGATGTTGTGTAGTAGCAAGTGCAAGGATCAGGATGAGGATTGAGAGCCAGGTGGAACGAAACTGCACAAATCCTTTCATTATCCCTCGAGGCTGTTACTCTGGTGTAGTGTAGCCATACAATCTTCATGACTTGGATTCCGATCACCTGACCGGCGTAATGACTCGTATTTTCCTACGCGCATGTCGAGGAACACTGTGTGGAACATCATCTCAATTATTGACATGCGATCGACACCCCTGATACCTCTGACCTTTTTCCAAGTGACTGACGACCAGGAATCCAAGTTGCGGCCACGACGACGTCCTCAAACAGTCGACCGACACCCAAACGATGTGGTAAGGCCACTCTTTTTCTACCAGACAGCCACAACCCCCTGACAAGAAGCCTCGTTTTGTCTTCTTTTGTCACAACGCGCTCGCTCGCCAGCCATGTCTACGCTACGCACCCATTACATTACAAAAGAAAGACCCAGAACCACTGACTAACGTCCACATTCTCGACCAGCAAACACGTCCTAAACGCCCAAGTCTCGATAAGGAGTCCATGCTGTAAGTTTACATTTGCTGAACCCTTTTTACTCATGTCTGTCTTGCCTCCCGCCTCCCCTCCCCCTCGGGGGGAGCAACGGCAGCACAGTGGACTTTTGGAAATCTTCAAGGAAAGAAAAAAAAATACAAACCTACCTACCTGTACCTTGCTGTTACTTTGTTGTTCAGTGCACCACCGTTTTTCCCTTCACTAACGACGCCACCCGCCAAAACCATCAACAGGTAAAAAGTGGTTTGACTGTGCAGAATGCCACGCCGAGCAAGAATCTCATCCACTCTTGCAAACCTTTGACATGGTACTGTATACATACCGCTATGAGCACCGTCCAACTTCAATTCTTCATCTCCGTCTCCATCTCGCCTCATCCCGCGGCCTGTCTGATGTCGTCTCTGGGGCCAAAAAGGGGGTCAAGTCAGAACTGCTGGACTAACAGCCTAAATTCGCATCGTCACCACACAGACATTCATATGCAAAAAGTGCCGTAAAGCGTTTCGAAAAAACACCCAAGATTGGGATGAGAGGTATGTACACACACACACACACACACACACACGAAGATATGAGTCATGCTATCCCTCGAGTCGGAAGCATGAACCAGTATCTATCCGTCTGTATCCTCGATTCATATGTACATGTGCTAATTTCTCACTAGTGACGAATACTGTCCGAATTGCGACAATCATTTCGTGATAGACGCCGTGACGCCAAAGGCAGCACTCAAGGTCGAGAGCGAGGATACGAGGATGGATGCAAGGTACGTTGCCCATGGTGTATTTTCATAGAAGGAGTGTTTTTTTCCCCTTTCGCTCCGGACTGGGCCCTCCCCCTGACCCAAGGATCACAGAATGCTCAAGGATGAACGGGTCCGACAACCAGAGCAAAGGACCATTTTCGACGTCAGAGAAGCCGCGGAGAAGCTGGGTTGATGTTTGAACGTGGATGTGGACGAGGCTCGTCGCAGACGGGAAATGTAGAATTCGACGGATTCCGCCTCATCCTCACGAGGCACGACACTGCACGGCACATCGAGGACGAACAATCCTTCCGCCGTTCTAAAATGCAAAAGGTAACAGGCAGGGAGAGCGCACGGCAACAAATAGAGAGACAACATTCGCCTTCGGTCAAAGGTTTCTTTATTGGTTCTCAATTTTTTAATCACCAGAACTCCAGGCGCTCATGCAAAGGGACAATTACAAAGTGACCTGGATGATCAGGTGTCCCCTGAGCCTTCGCCCTCGCCGACGGGCCTTGTAGGTAGAGTCGAAGTGCCAGGACCTGAAGCTGCCGCTCTTCCTCCTGGCTTCTTCTTTGCCTGCTCTTCCTGCTTTTCAGCCTCGATCGTCTTGACGTATTGTTCAATCTGCTCCGAGGGCAACATCTCAATGGTCTTTCCAGGAGCCATGATGGCAATTTCGATGTTCTTTGCGCCGGTCTGGACAACTTCAAGTAGAGACTTGACCGTCAACGAAATGGTAGCTTCCCGGTCCATGTCGTCCTTGTGATTTCGTTCGAGGAACTCTCGTACCGTCTTGCTCGATCGTCCGATGGCATTTGCTTTCCTGCTCACAGATTAGCACACTAGCACATACACACAAACACAGACAGACAGCCCACAGAGGGCCATCCGATCCCATATATACACACGGGATCACCACTTACCAAGCAGAGTAAATGCCAGAAGGCTCGGTCTGGTACAGTTTGGGTTCTTTGCTACCCTTGTCGAAGCCGATGATCAACGTGCTGATCCCGAAAGGTCTAACACCGCCGCTCTGGGTGTATCTTTGCTGCACGCCCGCCACGTACTTTGTGATGTACTCGATCGTGACGGGATCCTCGACCGTCAGTCTGTGGGATTGAGCCTCTAGTCGTGCCTTGTCGATCAATATCCGGGCGTCGGCATTGAGACCGGCGAAAGCCAGACAGACGTGGGTATCGACGAGGCCGATCTTCGAAGGCGTGATTCTGGTATCTTGAAGCTTCATCGCTGATCTCTTCTCGCATCCCAGCACCACAATGTCCTTGCCCTTGACGCCCACTGCGCATGTTCCTCGCTTGACTGCCTCCAGAGCATATTCGACCTGAAACACGTGGCCGTCCGGACTGTATCGGTCAGTTGAAGCAGGGGGGAAGGAAGCGGACGGATTACCTGAAGACTACGGAAAGTTAGCCTGTGTCTTCAATACGAGGACCTCAACAACCTACCTGAAAGCGCACGATCGTAGCCGGAAGCCATATTGGAACGAAGCTTTACGTTAGGAGTAGTCGATGGGGGAAGGGTTGGGTTGCGCTCAAAGACACCTAGCTTGCTGGGTTGCTGTTCAAGAATGGACCGAAGGTCTTCCAGGTGTTCTTTGTAAATGATCGCAGGAAAGCAAGCACTACAGGTACTTTACATGACACCGTCTCTACGCGAATGAGCCGCGTCTCCAGCCGTTGCCTTGGACCTGCCAAGCTTGGGTTTTTCGGGTCAAGCTCGAATGGTCTGCCGGAGTCAGTACGGTCGACCAAAGACGCCGATATCTAGCATTTCCTGAGCTTCGATATCAGTCCCATCCGACGATAATGGTTACATGCTACGATTGAAATCCACAACAAGAAAGGAGCTATTGTAGCAGGTACAAAGCATGCGTCATCATCATTATTGACTGGGTAAGTCATGTTGACGTGGTAAGCTACTTTTTGATCTCCTCTAATCGCTAGGTATCATCGCACATCTCTCGGTTGCATATCCATCCCTGAGAACGCAACCGCTCACTTCTTTGGCTCATTGGTTTCGATGCCATCATACACCGTCGACTTTGGCAATTTGCTCCACGGCGCGAACGGGTTCTTGCTGCTCTTCAAGACGTCCCTCAACTCCGGAAAGTGTCTTGACAATACGTCTTTCATCCCGTTGTTCTGAACCCAGTCCAGACCTTCCTTTGTATACGTCTTTGCATTCCACTGTCCGGCGATGAATCGATCGCTCTTTAGGCGTCGGCTTGCCATGAGAATGAAGACACGGAAGGCAGTGTCACTGAACCCAAACCCTGCTGGTATAGGCTCACTATGAGACCCGACGAGTGCGTCAACGAGCTCGATGTCTCCGTTGTACGCATCTGAGAGATCCTGCGCAAGAACCTTGTTGCCACCAGTAAGTTCTTCGAATGTCTTGGGAGCCGGCATGCGCAACAGACGACGGAACTGGTTGTACCGAGGCACACCTCGCTCACGGTCGCGCAGAATGTCCACAGTGCCCATGTCGCGATGTACGCCGTCTGGTGTGGTCAGATTGCGCAGGAAATCCGGATAATTCGAGTTCGTAATGGCGCCGGGGTAGTTGATGCCGAAGGAATAAAACGCATCAGCGAAAGATAAACCGTTGTCCAGGGGTGTCTGGGCGTCTTTGAAAAGCATATTCTCCACAGGAACAGTCGAAGTGTGTCCGCCATCTTTGGCGTTGAAGAAGGCGATTGTATCCGGGATGAGGGAGTGCATTCTGTACACAGAGACAAATTCCTCTGTCAGAGAGTACGGCACTCCGAACTGATCTACTCCCGAGCCTGGGATGCCACTGATGACCTCGCTAGTCTTCGAGATGCGACCTAGCATTTTGGTCAAGGACTCGCCAACGAGACCCCACCAGTTGGCATTCATGGCAATCTTCAAGGTGGGATGGGCGAGGATAGCAGGCGTCCACTCCACGGTATGGATCTTGGCCATGAGGGCACAGTTGACAAGTCGGGCTTTGTCGAAGATCTGGTCTCCTGTCCAGGAGGGATATGCCCGGCGCAGCATGTCACAAATGGTGTTGTGCTCGAGGGCGAACAGGGTGTGCAGCATCTCCATCCCTATCCACCAGTTGTTGTTGAATCCGGTCAAGGGGTTGCCGTCGGCGTCACGGGGGATAAATTCCACGCGACCTTCCTTGGTCAGGGTCAACTTGCCATCACTGTTTAGGTTTCTGAGTGACTTTGTCGCGGCTTCACTGGACCCGTAGATTTGAGAACTGTCCCACCACGCGGTGTTCTCGTTTCTGTAGCCAGGACACTCGATGTCTGTTTGACTGAGAACCTCATCTGGCTTTGTTTTTGGGAATTGCAATTTGCCATGTGGCCAACTGTCTCCCGTGGGCAGAGGGACGTCGAAGTTTTCGTCGCTCTGTCATGAATTAGCCAGCAGAAACATACTTGACGTGTGCCGACGAGGACCAACATACGCTCTCATGAAAGAACCAGTCATGGGTTTGAAATTGGATCCAAGCTGCCGCCAGCAAGTTCAACGTTGTTGCCGGGATGAAAGTCTTACGTGCCATGAAACGATCACTCAGCTGGGTCAAGTGTCAGTTTGTACGGCCGAGGGAAACGAATCAAAACCTCAAGTCAAACTCACCATCCTCGGGTTTGGAGTCCACAGTTCATCCTCTGTTGGCTTGATGGTCAATCCTCGAGGGAAATTCCGCCCAAATCTTTGGAACGCACATCCCATGCGTGGCATCTCCGTCGAATTGAACTTTCCATCTGAATTGCGAGCATATTCGAAGCGCTCATCGGTCATGGGATCGGTGGTCTGGGTACCTTGGTAGACGCCGGACGGGTATCCATCATGCAAGTTGTACTCGCGGAGCTCGACACGCAAAGCTTCGAGGTTCAGCGCGCCAACGATCGCGGGCAGCTTGTGCCAGGGTATGAGCTTGTTGATCAAGTGAAATATGCCCACCAGCAACCGATCAGTAAGGCCTGGCTTGTAGCTAGGTCTGATGTGTGTGTCCATGACGGATGATGTTTGGTGCAGGGAATGAATATGTGAGTATCTTCGTCTGTATCTTCGACGCCCTTAGTCGTTGTGCGGGAAGAAAGAAGTACAGCAATGCGTTACGGACCTTCTTTCTAATGGGCAATACTGACGATGACAAGAGGATCAACAGGAGCACATGTTCCGTATGTTCAAACTCCTGGCATTGCTACGGAGTATGTGTCAAGTCAACCAAACTTCCACGCCGGTCCTGATCGTGGCCGGGCAATCAGAGTCATCAGCCCCTCTGCACCTCCCTTGCTGGTTACACAATGAGAGGAAACCTCCAGACCCCCTTGCACCTGCACGCTGCACCCTGCATCACCCCGGGCTTACATGAAGCAGACAAGGTACAGTTTTATGATCGGCTGCGAATGAATCATGCGCCAAGATGTGATGAGGAGATTGACTGGTTCGCTTACTGCAGGATTATAGTACGCTTTGCCAGAGACGGCGGATATTTAGTTCTGGCAAAATTGCCAACGAGGCAGTCAGAGTCAGCCTGACCTGCACGCGTCCATCAGCTCGTTTTCAGCTCGCTCGCTCGCTTCCTTTTGAATCCAATCGCTCGTACGCAGTACGGAGTATGCCCTGGCCAGAACATTTCCTTTGCAGTTCTCCGTACGGAGCTGTGCATGGCTTGCATTTCGCGGGGTCCAACATTGCCCATTTCCAGCCTGTGCTACGTGAAACACAGTGCGCCCTGTATCGAGTAAATGCTGACCATCAGCTGGAAGCGGTGTGGCTGGCTGCACAGACAGATGGCCTGCTGATGTTTCGAAAAACATGCAAGCACAGCACAGAGTGAGTACCATGTGCACAGAAGTTCGGGTTCGCCTCTTGCTTTCCTGCTTCTTGCCGCAGCCTCCTGCCCTTCCGCGCGCTTTCTGTATGCTGGACCCAGGAATCTTCTCACCCTCACCAACTCAGCTTGACGAGAACGAAGTCAGTCTTTTCGTCTTGCCCATCTCTGTCGATTCTTCCCATGAGCTCGTCCTTGTGACCTTGGGGCCTTGACTGCGTCTCCTTAGAAAAAAGGGGGCTTCATTCTTCGAGTTTCGTTCAGTTCCTGGCGCCCCTTCTACGTAGACACCACCCTCGCTCACAATGTATCTCTCCTTGACCAACATTATCAAAACATTGTTCACCGGCGGCTATGCCGACAAGAAATCCAGATCCCAAGCATCATCTGCACCTGCAAATGACGACCACAGCTACCAAAAGGGGGACATTGAACATCGCAGTCCGTGTCCAGGGTTGAACGCCCTCGCCAACCAAGGATACCTGTACGTACCTGACCTTGCAAAATACCTAGTACTTTTTTCGCCTTTGGGTCCCGTTCCTTTGTTTGTGCCCTGCATTGCGCCGCGTCGGCAGCATCTCTTGAACCATTTTGAGGTATGAGCCCGTTCTGACCACATTCGCCAACAGCCCCCGCGACGGCAAAAACATCACGCTCGCCCAGGTCCAACACGCTCTCCAAACGGCGCTCCACATGGACTGGCTCGCGGCCGCGTCGCTGGTGTCGTCGCTCCCGCCTCTCCTGCGGCCCGACGGGACCTTCGACCTCGTCGACACGCGGCGGCATAACGTCATCGAGCACGACTCGTCCTTCACCCGCCTCGACTTCCACCAGGGCGACAACTACACGCTCCGGCCCGAGATGTTGCAGGCCATGATCGACGACGCCGGCGGGGGCGGCAAACCCGTGACGCTACGCTCGCTCGCCCGCACTTTCAAGCGCCGCGACAAGGAGAGCCGCGCCGCCGGAGCGCCCCGGCTGCCGCTGAACCTGTGGTTCGTGAGGGTCCTCCAGGCCGTGGGGGTGATGAACACGGCGCAGACCGGTGGCATCCTGACTCCTGAGCTCCTTCATGCCGTCTTCGTCGAGGAGAGGTTTCCCGACATTATCCTCGAGAACCCCACGCCACGGACCGTCTTTACCTTGCTGGGCAATGCCTTGGGCATGATGAAGTATGTGGTGTTTGGATCATGAGAGAAAGAAGCAGTAGCCGTGCCGTCGTGGTTTGTCACTCTGAACTCTTGGTAGAGCAGTGTCAATCGAGGAAGGAAAAAAGTGTCAATCGAGGAAGGTAAAAAGGTTCATACGGCATTGCTCAGAGGCATTTCAAACAAACCCAGAAAAAAATGTAATAAAGAAACGAGAAAAGAAAATCATTCTTCGTTCACATAAACAAACTTTCCAGCAACTACCTACCGATCATTCATTCTTAAGAGGCATACTAGGTTCAGCATGCATTGGCATCAGAACGGCATTGGCATTCACACAATCTCTCAGGGACTGCTGTACATTGTTTGTGTTTCGTAACTCTTCATTCATTCCCACCCCAGTGTCAGAGTCATTGTCAGACGGACAGCGCGCCTCGTCTTGACATACCTAAGCCGTAGTCAAACGTGAGATAGTCCAGAGAAACTTTCTCTCCAGCCCCATCCCATCGGCAGACGACAACCGAGACCACCACAAGGACCAGCCAGGCAGTCGCTGAAACCGCCGCTCAAGTGTCGACACCAAAATAAGACCCGATGGCCGCCCCGTCTCCCCACAAAGGTGCCTGGACATATTCGGCGGCTCGTTCGTGTAGATTGCCGACGGTCCAATCGCTCGACGAAGAAGTGCTGTCGGGGGTGATGGGTCCCACGGTCAGATTGGGGTTTCCCACGCCGACAATCCCACTGCTTGCCAGGGCGGGCGAATACGGCTCCTGCTTCAGACCCGACGTCACGCTCGGATACCGGGTGTTGTTGGGCTGTGGAGGGCTGTTGACGGCCGTGTTGCCCAGGTTCGTAGCGAAGAGGCTTCCCGATCCAGAAATTCCATTGGCGGTTGAAGCAACGACGGGGTATTTGACGGTCGCGGCTGGTCTAGGCCCGTTCAGAGCGGCGTTTAGCTTGCCAAGTGCATTCAAAGATTTGGCCATACTGCGGACCCAGTGCGGAGAGTCAGCAAGGGGCGGTTGTTCCGACCCCGACAGATCCTGAGGCTGTAGATCGAATGTCGATTCCTCCATGGTGCGTTGAGCAACAACTCGCTCAAGGTCACGCAACAGTGCCAACCGGTGACCATCCTGGCCTGTGTCTGGGAGCGTGCCCAGCAAGAACGCTGCCGATATGGCACGTTGAATACCGATCCAAGACCGAGATGCGAACTTGCACGTATTATGCAACTCCACATATGCAGCCACGGTTCCTTCCAGGGCCTGGACACATTCACGTCGGAACTGCGCTCGGTTGACTGAATCTGAACCCGGAGTGTTTGGTGCAGAATGGGATGTCTTACGACGTCCACCGGGAGATTGCGTTGGAGTGGACACGGCGGTGGGGTCCGTGGAAGCTGACTCCTTCAATGCCGGTCGACAGAGTTCACTGATAATATAGGAGCTGTGAAGTTTAAGAGCCAGGCGTTCCAGATGTTGTGTCACCGTATAGCATACATTCCGATCGCGAAGATGAGCCGCACCTTGTGCAACAATGTTTGCAATCTCTTCGGTATGTTTTCGGATCGTTTCCCAGGTCATCACGGCCCGTGGGTGAAGGAGACGCTCCCGAACAATCTGCTGCGTGAGCCTGATTATGGCAAACATGCTCTCGGCGTAGCTCCGATCTCCTGGTGAGCTGAACTTCCCATACGGTATGTCCGGAATGCACAAGACGCTCGAAGTCGGTCGGTCATAGCTCACAGCAAAATGTGAGTCCTGCCATGCAAGAGCCCACCAAATTCGTCGCCGAGTCCACTTCTCAGCCTCGGTAAAGTGATTGGAATTGATCTGTAGTCCGATGGAGAACGACATGCGCAGTGTCATTCCGAGGAAGATGTATGCCACACCGGGGTTCATGTTGTATGACAGAACATTCCCGATGATAAGTGACGCTTCGATCGTCTCGAGACAGGGGTGGGTGAGAAAGTTGGCCATGCGCAGAGCCTGATATGAGCAACAAACTAGCAGCAGTCAGTCAAGACCAGATCAAAGTATGCATTCGACGACGCACTGTAAACTTGTGAAGTCAATTCTCTCTCCTTGGCCGGTCTGTCTGAACATTGAGCACCCGAAGCGAACACCGCAAAGACGAGTGATAACCAAGCCAGCGAAACTCCGTACGGCTTGTTCGGATCAAGTTCTAGGTTATCACGGAGAGCGCGCGACCTGTTGGACAGCATAAACAATAGCGTGTCTTCAAAGCTGGCTGCATCAGGCACAACGGGATACAGAGTGCCCGATACATCTCGATAACCGACGAAGAATCTGGACAGTGTTAGCAGTGGTTATCGGCAACGTTGTTTGCTCGGACATGCTTACTCTCGACACAGTTCATCATCAGGAATCGCTTTACACAAACCGCTCACATCTTGCATGCTGGAAGCCGTACTCCATAGGTCGACAAAAGGGTAGGTGGCGCTCTCATTATCCAAACCTAGCTTGGGCAAGATATTTTCTTCCAGCAGCGACCGCGCAGTGTCTTGTGTCGTCTGACTCCTACCCAGAGCCATCATATATGCAAGTACTGATCTAGAGCCCACGTGCATGGTGCCCATCTGGTTACTTGGAGCGTGATAGCCTTCTCTTTCGGCTTCCTCAGAACGACTGTGGGAACCTGGTGCGCTGGGGTCATCCGCCTCGCCATGCAGTGCTTCGGGGGTCATAGACTCGCTCTTGACCTGAGTGCGTAACTTCTGGATCTCTCTGTTCATGCGTTCCCACTGCTCTCGCGGCACCGTGACGTTGGGCCCGGATTGGCGGGCCAGATCCTGGCCTTCGACCGGTGTCCCTTCGTTACGTCCCACACCCCCTGGCAACGCTATCCGTCTCTTCTTCGTCGGTCGCTCGTAGGAACATAGCTCGGGGTGGTCTCTTTTGATGCAAGAATCGCAAGGAAGGTTCCTATCACACTTGACCTTGCGCCGATGGCATGCATAACATGCCTTTGGGTCCCTGACCTTTCTCTTATTCCTGATGATGGCATCTATCTCTTCCTGGGACATCTCAATTCTGCCGTCTGCGTTAGTTTCGAAGCTGGGTTCTTCGGAGTAGTCGCCCGAGCCGTGACCGGTTGACGGCCGCCGGGTTGCCGTGGCCATGGTCCAGGCGAGCGACAAGTGGCGTCGAGGTCAGGATCGAGGTCAACGAGCCAAGGTCGCCGTAGGAAGTGCGAGAGTCAGGCAGGCTATTTGGCCATGGTGAAGACGAGTGGTCTATGGACGAGGCCAGGCGCCCGGTGTGAGGGCTCGGACAGATGATACAATACTCGGAACAGTGGACAAGAGATGACGGACAGTTTAGTAGTAATTTGCACGAAGTTTAGTGGGAGAAAAGACGCGCAGGGCCATCGCTAAGATGATAGTCTCCCGCCTTCGTTCGCCCAGCAGACTCTGCCCATTGGCCTTCGACAGGGCTAGAGCAGCGCTAGTGACCAACGGAGTTAGCGCCTTGGCAGCCTTACCTCGGAAGCTCTTCTCCTTGTCTTCTCCCTCGCCCGCAGGCGAGTGCAGGGAGTGCTGGGGTTCCCCCCGGCTGACACCAGGCTCTGCGGCAGACCGCGACACGCCGGAAGACCGGAACCAATCGAAGATGCTCCATCTTAGTCACAAGCCTAAGGAGTCTTTATAAAGGCCGGCGAGAACGCCATTTGATCCTATGGTAACTCGTACACTCCCTGGGATCGCGACAGCGCCGGATCAGGCTCCAGAAATGACATGCAGAAAAGGATGCTATTTCCGATGGAGCCGTATGTAGCCGTGTGTATGTGATCTCTTGTTTGATTCTTCGGAGAGCCGATAACTCGTACAGTCGCATCTACAAAGACGACTTGCAGTTGCTGCGCTGGTATGGATAGACGGCAGCTATTCGAAACTCGTCTTGCTCACGTCCTTACCCTTGACTTCTGCCTCCTTCGCCCGTGCCCGTTTCATCAACCCTCTCAGTTCCTCCGTGCCCTTACTATCTAAGAACTCAAACACTTTTGTGATCTTCTGGCCCGTCTCATCCATGTCCAGAACAAAGACGTACTCTCCATGATACAGCCACTCAGCATCGTCAGAGTCCTTGTATTCGTCCCGGAACCAAGTCTCGCTAGTGGCATGGAAAATGACCTGCCGCTGAGCTTCGTTGACCCAAGTCGACCGCGCACGGACGGGAAACCCCTTCATGATTCCCTGAAGGTCTCTGATGTGCTGAGCGAAGCGAGCGCCGTCTTGTGGCGGAGGGGGATTGACTGAAGCAGGACCAAAAGTGTGTTTGTACTCTTTTGGTGACTGTAAAGATGCGAAGAGATCTGCGTCCAGGGTCTTGAAGGCCGAGATGTATCGCTCTGCAGTGCTACGGAGGGTGGTTGCGAGGTCGGACATTGTGAAGTATCCGATGCAGGCGGGTCTTCTTCAGGCTTTCAGCGAGTAAAGTACCAGGAGGCACCTGGTGCACCTAGTTGCCGAGGTATGCAATGCTCTAGGAGGAGAGGCTTGCTGAGGATGAGAGATTTGCTCCAGAGTGCCAGGCCTTGAAAGATGGACTTACAGTTGCGTGTATGCTACTCGAATTGATTTTGGCTACGACCTTATATACTTGACACACGCGTTCGATAGTGCTGTATGCTAGTCACAACAGACCTATGGATAGTCTCCGAGATATGTCGGAGTTAGGAGGAATCTGGGTCCGTCGTCGATCGATACACGAAATGCTCTACACAGCGAAACCCACGCTACCAGTGCAGCTGGTTTTGGGGGTACCTCGGGTGAACCATTTCTTTTCAGGGTGTGGATCTTGATCTATCCATTACGTCTGGAGCTATCGAACAGCCTCATGCGTGAATAGGTCCGCATCCCCTGTTCAGTGTGCCAGAATTAAGAAACTTTTTACATGCCATTGCTCAAAGTCTTGTTTTACAAAAAAACCATAGCCTCATAACTCGAGTTACTATACCCATTTTTTAGGAAATGTTCTAGGCTGTTGCTCGGGCAGCCACATCCATCATATCACTTCGACTCTTGTCCCAATTCTTTTCGGGATTGTAACACGTCTCAGATGGCAAACATGCTCGCTTTCTTCTAAGCATCTGACATTCTCCATCTGGGGAACCATCTGAGGTATGCATAATTCTTGTTGGGCCCTTGCATGCCAAAGACGATGGGGCTGAACAAGACGAACAGGCCAATGGTTGCAGCGTAGAGGACAGAGTAGACGCCCCAGCGCACAGTCTTGTTGAGGGGTCGGGTCATCCAGTCAACACAGAAACCGAGCACAAGAATGGCGAAGTAGAGAGCCGGGTAGTAGTGATGGACATACGTGACTCGTCCCATTATGACAAAAGGTAGGTAATGGAAAAACCAGCCAATCAGAGGGTAAATTCCAGAGTAGTGGATGTGATCGATATCGGCCTGGCGAAGTTCGTCGTAACCTCGCTGCCAGCGAATCAGGTACCAGAGCACAATCAATCCTGCAACACCTAATGAGGCAGTCGAGCCCCAGTAGACGAGCGGGTTGCCGAGAAGGAAGTACTTCGTAACGCTATCATCCCACGAACACATGCGGAGACCGACGTGAAGGATAGGCCATTGCCAGAACTGCGAGGCCAAGTCATCTTGCTTGTCCGGGTCGGGCACCAAGGCGTTGTTGGAGGTCATCATGGCAACGTTCAAGTGAATGAAATCCTTGAAGAACGGAGAGCGATAGTTTTTGGCCTCACCAGGTGGCACTGCAGGATGTTAGTAGGGAGAACGGCTGAGCTTTTGCGGAACTTACGTCGCTCATTCACATGGGATTCCACGTTCCAGTGGGTGTACACATCTCTAGAACTGGGGTTCTTGACGCATGTTGTTTCAATTTGTTTGAAACCCCACTGCGGCAGGTTGACCGTTCCTGCACGGAGGTAGCAACCTAGCTCAGTATGGCGCAGTCGGAAGGCCGTGGTGAGGGTTCGAATGCGAGATCTATCAGAAGATGCCGCATCACTGACGACCTCGACCATCCAATGATCCTTCGCGTCACCAACGGTCAGGTTGCCATAACAGGAAACTTCGTAATCAGCCTTGGTGACAGGGGCGGCAACAGAATGTGAATGAAGGTTACGGCCTGTTTGTGCGTGGACGAGACGGACAACTTGCTTGTCGGCAACAAAACTCAATGGTCCTTCAAAATCGAAATCGGTCTGGCTTCGGTTGGGGTAGAAGAACCAGTCATTGTTGGCATCCTTGTGGTGGTAGCAAGTAATCTGTTGTTGACCACTTCCTTCAGGATATGTCTGCACGTGGGAATGCAGCAGGCCACCGCCATAACCCATATTCTTGATGGTGACCCTCGATCCCAATGCAATTTCCAGAGGCGAGTCCTTACCGACTTCGGTACCCTTCAGGTTGGCTTGGAAGAGAGACGACATCTGGGCGTCGCCGGGACCAGAGTTCTCCAGGATCAAGAAATGCAAATAGAACGAGAACATGTAGACCAGCATTGGAATGACGATGAGCCCGCCTACTCGAGCAACCACATGGGCGGCTAGCTCCGTCTTTGGCATCTTCAGGTCGCCAAACTTGTTCCACAGATCCTCGGCCGTGTACAGGCCGACCAAGGCCGTGGCAAACAACCCGACCCATTTGACACTGCACACGCAACCAATGCTGAGTCCGGTCAGGAACAGCCACGCAAACCATTCGAGTGAGAAGCTCTTGCGTTGAAGACGGTGGAATCTTGCCCAGCAGAGGACAGTGGTGAAAGTGAAGCACAACAGCATGGAGTCGAGGAGAATGAATCTGGAAATCGTGGCGTACGAGTTTTCGCAGAGGACCATGAGGGTCATCAGCCAGACAGCCGGACGCTTAAAATTGAGTTCCCGCGCCGTGTAGTATGTCAAAGGAATCGTAACTGCGCCAAAGAGGGCGTTGAATATCCGCATGAAGGTGTAGTTAACGTGTTCCGGATAGGTCTCGCCGGATTTGAACTCGAAGGAACCGTTATATCCAGCCAGGTAGCCAGATAGGCCAACCAGCATCTTCCCCAGGGGTGGATGGACGTCGAAGTAGAACTCTCGCTTGAGGTAGTGGGAGCCAAACTTGCCGAAACTGCAACGAATATTAGCGGCAGCATGGTTGCAAATAGTCATCCGACTTACTGGGCCTCGTCCCAGGTTACAATAGGAGACAACCCTATCTTCCATAGTCGTGTAAAGAGGGCAAACGCGGTGAAAACAACGGGGGCTATGATGAATTCCCACTCGTCGAGGATATCGAGGATGCCCGACTTCTGAAGTCCTTGTCAGCAACTGCATCTCGGACAGACCATCTTGCCCACCTTCTGTAGTTTCTTCACATCTTCAGCATCCACCTTGTAGACATGCTGCCCATTGGTATTTTCATAACTGGTCACATTTCTTCGACGCAGATCACCATCGTCTCGTCCTGCGCCAGTGGCATATCCACCGTCCGCAGCAGCCATGTTTTGGGAGGGGAGAAGGATCTAGAACGACCCTGTCAATGAATTCGGACAAGGAGGGGAGTCTCTTGGGCAGCCAGTCGTGTAACCGGACGACTTGCTACCGAGGGTAAGAACAATGAAGGGAGGTAGAGCCTTGCGCCGCGAGGTAGCGCGTTGGCAGTAGAAGCTGAAACGAGGGCTGGTGAAGACAAGGAAGAATTAAAGGATGAAGAAAAGGGCAGAAGAAGAAGAACAAGTCATTTCAAGCACACTTAGTCGGAAGGAGAAAAGGAGGATTGAAAGGAAGTGATTGTGCAAGCTGGCAGCAATGCGCGTCAACTTTTGAAGGGTTGGATATGGTGGCCTCTACTCGTATGCCGTACTATGTGAAGAACGGACTGACCCTTGGCGCAGCCCGGCAGCGCTCAGGGGCCGCGCATGACAATGAGTTCGGCCTGGCCTGACATATTGACTGGACTCCGCACCAGTGTTCACGCTCTAATAAAATCACAGGAAAAAGGGCCAAAAAAAGAATGGCTTGTATGTGAGAGATTCATGGCTCCATCTAAGGACAGAATGTGTGTTTCTGCTTTAAAGATACTCGATTCTAGCCCACCATCCTCCAACCGTTGGTGTCTCTTCCGGCCGTCAGCGCTGTCGCCGACAGATTCATATCCTCCTTATCCTCAGTCGCCTCCTACCTTGTCGCGGATGGATCACACATCCTCGACCAGCTTCAAGCTAGGCTGACTCGCCCGATTCTGTCCTCATCCTCGCCAAACAGATTGCCGGCTTCTCTGCAATATCTCACTTCGCCCGTCCCAGTACTACCTACTTCACTTCCCCAGCACACAACTACAGCATCCACAATGCATGCGAGCACGCCCTCCATTGCTCCTAGGATACCCCAACCGATGGCTCCGGCTACAAGACCGACCACATATGCATAGAGGCTTCCCTTGGCGCTAGATCCTTCGAGTCTCAGGGATCGAGCTGTTGACACCCATCCACCAAATCCCAAGGCCAGGGACATGATGAACCTCGTTGCATGTAGAATGAGTTTTGCTAGGCGGTATGGTAACAGTGGTGACGTATCGGCAGACCAGCCGTCCGTGCGGTGACGCCGATTGAAAGTGTTGGGATGCAAAGAAGTCGTAGCATCGTTTGGGGCAAGGAAATGCATCTGTGAAAGTCCTCTGGCGCTGACGCTGAGAGGCTGGGAATGGATGGCGGCATATGTGAGCGTCAGTGGATTAATCAACACCGCAATTGGACTCGGTATAAAGGAGTACAAGGCCACCCCTAGGAGCATTGTGATCCGGCGAGGTAAGAGAAGCAGCGGGAGTCTGACCAACAAACCCAAGCCTGTAAAGAGGGCAATCGTTCCAAACAGCGTGGTCGATGAATGAAATAGAGCCGCTTTGACGATAGCTTGGGATGTCGGTGCCGGAATCGCGAGACGGTGGAAGTACCACTGTGAAACGGTTGCAGAAGTGATGGTGCGCTGCATGCCGAAAGCAAATGCGATTGTCCAGAGATAGACTAGAACGAAATACAGTCCAACCCACCACGTGGAGGTGTCAATCACGAATCTGCTGATGGTAGAGCGCGACAGGGGGTGGCCACCGAGGAAGACCCTGGTGAACATGGAAAGCCACAGCCAGGTAAAGCTGATTATGAAGCCCAAAACTGAAAATCCGACCAAAACCAACGTTGAATTGGCGGCCAGGATTCGGGTGGCAAACTCCAAGATTGAGATGGCCTTTTGCATCGCCATCCTGCCTCGGATGACTGCTAAGACCCATAGCGTGGCCATGACCGCAGGGATGAGAGAAGTCCATCGCATGACAGTATCCTGAGCACTGGATCCGTGCCAGGACCCCCGGTAGCTGGAGATGAAAGGGTATAGCCAGAATGAATAGAGAATGACTGGCACGGCAATGACAATACCGTAGACAAGATATCGGACATATGACCTGAGTGCTGCAAGCCAAAACAGTGAAACGAAGGTCGCTAGAAGGGTATAAGTCGCTAAAAGATAGAAGGATCCGTGCAAGGTTGTGTATATGGTGTCACCAAGTGGTTGTCGCTTGCTGGGGGACTCGGTGTGAAGAAAAATGAGGAACCATGTGGTGAACATGGCTGCCAGATTCAGCAGATAGATCTGTCCCCAAAAAGCATCGTGCCTGGGCTGCCGATTCGGTGGTTGTTGAAGGTCGTCGGGCCGGCTATGCTCACCGACTACATGGCCTTGCTCGTCGGAGAGGAGGCGTTTCCGCGGCGCATCGTCACTATCGCCATCATCCGAGTACTCAGGCCCAGAGTCATCGTACATCGCCCCTTTGCGTGGCTGCAGTTGCTGGATGGAAGGAGGGTTCTCCATCAGATCCTCGGGAGGCTCATCGCCGTATTCACTTCTGAGCGTATCCTCCAGACCAATGTCAACCATACGAGTGCGTGAGGCCTGAGGACTTGAAATGTCCCGGTCCGATTCCACTGATTCTGCTAGATCTTCCAGGCCTGGCCCTCTCCGTCGCGACGAGCGGACTCCGCCATGCCATGAACTCCTAATGCCGCCTCCTCTTCTCGTGCTGTTTTCGTACACGTCGTTCCCGTGGCTGCTGTCCCCATTGACGCTATCTTCACTTCCTTCTCCGGCGTCGGACGAGGCCTTCAGATCACTGGCCCCGAGTTGCCTTCTCGATCTCTGCAGGGCGTAGAAATCTGCCATATCTCGTTCATGTTCTTCTTCGTCATTCTCTTCCCGGAACTCGTCGGTGGCACTGTAGAAGAGGGGCGCCTGTTGAGGGTTCAGGCGAGATGCGAAAGGGAATGCAGATAATTGCGAAGCGGTCGGCTGATACGGGTTAGGGACTCGCGTATTCGAGGTTCTCGATGCCGTCGACGCCCTCCATGTTTGATTTGAGCGTCGGGATCGACTATCTGGAGAAGGGCGCTCTTCGACGGGAGCAAAGCTGATGCGTGATTGAGACTGAGCAAGAAAGCGGGAAGCGTCTAGAAGCTCATCAGCATGTCTTATTCTTGAGGTATTCTTTTCGAGACATACATTCGGAGAACATCCTGCCCGCAGGCAGTAATCACGCGAGGTCACAATCGGCGTGCACTGGTTGCGATAAGATGGTCGAGGAGGTTGTGTACTGATCAAGCACAATGCGGATAGCAGGATTCTAAGACGTGCCTATCAGCGGAAGACAAGCTTGTCCGCGAATAAATCAATTGTGTTTATGGTAGAGATGGAAATGAGTAGTGGTCGCTGTCGATGCTCTGAGACTGGACTGGTAACGGCGAGTTGGGTCGGTGAGCATGCTGAGACAAAGGCGAAAGGCTGCCACGGATGATGGTCACGGTGCACGGAGTACGACGCATGGAGGTGTTGCGGGCACCAGCTGGACATGTGGCGGCAGTCCAGGCGATCAGGCAGGGTGCAGCATGAAGGGCGGTGGCCCGTGATGCCTGGACCAGCCACCAATAGTCCCAAGGCTGGCGTGGTGTTTAGGCATGCTACAGCCTGGTGCGGGTACCGTGCTTACCCATCCAGGCACTTCCCAGGGGTCGGATAAAGCCACAGAGACGCCAACAGGTCGCTAATCGCATGGACGTCATGGCTCCTCTCCTCTCATTTGTTTGTGTTCTCTTACTGGCCTACACTGCAATTCAGCCTGTCACCAAATTTGTTTGCCATATTACTCTGGACAACGCACCCTCCTCCAAGGATTTCCAAGTCACAGCTGGATTCTCTACCTATTGTGAAGCCGTCAAAATCCCCTTTCTCGTCGGACGTTAGCTTGGAATCACACAACACACGACTACAGCGCTCATGCCAAAGATCACAACCGATGCTCCTAAGTTGCCCTGGAATTACATCGCCAAACTTGTCTGCATAGGTGATTCTGGTAAGCTCTACTGTGCTAGTCCTTCGAATGTCTCTGTTGGAAGCTAATATGCCTACATAGCTACCGGCAAATCCAGCCTCACCATTCGACTTTGCGAAGGTCGGTTTTCTGCCTCACACGATGTCACCATCGGCGTCGAATTCGGATCACGAATAGTTCCTGTTGGCCCCCCCGCGAACACCTCGTTAGGAGTTGGTCAACCCAACGGACAACAGTGGCGCGATGGACTCCCGGAGCAGAAGAAGATGAAACTATCATTATGGGATACAGCAGGCCAAGAGACATACAAGAGCATAACGAGAAGCTACTTTCGGGGCGCATCTGGAGCTCTGCTAGTTTTTGACATTACACGACGCAGCAGCTTTGAATCCGTCACGGCATGGCTCAACGACCTCCGACAGATCGCTGAGGAAGGCATCGTTGTTATCCTGGTTGGGAACAAGCTGGACCTGGCTGAACAAAGCACAGATACTGCAGGTGGAAGCAAACGCGCAGTCAGCCGAGAGGAAGCCGAAGATTGGTGTCGGCGCGAAAATGTCGTCAAGTACGTCGAGACCAGCGCGAAAAGTGGTGAAGGCGTAGAAAAAGCGTTTCTCGAGGTGGCCGAGAGGATATACCAAAACATTGAAGCCGGGAAATATGACCTGAACGACCGACGGAGCGGAGTCAAAGGGTACGGGGCAGGGGGCGGTCGAGAAATGCAGGGAACGGCGCCCAAGACGGTCAACCTTACACTGAACGATGCAGTCAAGAGTGGCCAGGGCAGAAATTGCTGTTGAGCAGCGTCCAGCTGGTGGTTGTTGGGCTTGAGAAGGCAAGGCAGGCAGCAAGCAGAGCATCCTGCTGAGAAAAAGTCTCAGTCAAGGACTGTTTCTCTCTGCAAAGCCGACAGTAGAGAGGTTCTCTGCTGCATGTGCCGCACCTTCAGTACACAATTTGGCAGCCTTGCGAAACATGACGATGTTTGTACAGAAGTGGTACGGATGTACCTAAGAGGTTCTCCTGGAGCCTCTCAACGGCTGGATCAACAGAGCAACGACTCGAATCTCACTAAGAGTCTCGACTCGTGCGGGTCCAGCGAGATCGGATGGGTTGGAGAACACGCGAATGGGGAATCTCTATTATTCATACTAATCAAGTGCGAACTCCCCGCAGAAACTCCGTACTGCATCTTCCTTATGAAGTCTCGGTCCGCACCCGACTCTCTGCTTTTCCCAAGATACTGCAATCTGATCAGGCACTGAGCGTTGGCACTCGTACATGCTGCGCTGCCATCCATCGTTGCTCTCTGGTCACTCAGCTTTGCTGTGCATTCGCGCCTCGATTCGACCCCGACGTCACCTGTGTCATTCCATTTCCACGTTTTCCACCACCATGGCCAAGCTCGACCTTTCTGTGCCTGACCTAACCTTGCCCGATGGCAATAAAATCCCTATGGTGAGCAGTGATTATGCTTGATGGTTGTCCGAAGCAAGTTGATGAACTGATCCACGGGCTAGATTGGCTTTGGCTTGGGAACTGCATGGTTCAAGAAGCCAGGGGCCAAGGATGAGGCATGTATCCAAGCCACCCAGACTGCCATCAAGGTAGGCTACACTCATCTGGACGGAGCTGAAATCTACAACACCGAAGAGGAGCTCGGCGATGCCATTAGGGCCAGCAAGGTGCCTCGCGAAAAGCTGTTTGTTACCACGAAACTGAACGATTCCTCGGATTCGATCAACGATATTCCGGGGGCTCTCGACCGCAGTCTTAAGAAAATGGGCTTGGATTACGTAGATCTGTACCTCATCCACTCACCTTTCTTTGCCAAAGGGGACAAGCAGCGGTTGCAGGCGGCATGGGCTGAGATGGAGCAACTGGCCGCCGCGGGGAAGGCGAAGAGCATTGGAGTGAGCAATTTCCTCAAGGAACATCTGGATGCCATTCTCGAAACTTGCAAAGTCAGACCGGCCATCAATCAAATCGAGCTCCATCCCTATCTCCAGCACGGAGATCTGCTCGCATACCACCGGAGCAAGGACATCAAGGTGTCGGCGTATGGACCGCAGACGCCAGTGATACGGGCCAAGGGTGGGCCACTCGATGGTTATCTGGACTCACTGGCGAAGAAGTATGCCGTCAACCCAGGTGAGATCCTCCTTCGATGGTGCCTGGATCAAAATGTGGCGGTCATCACCACCAGCTCCAAGGAGCAGAGGATGAGTGACATGCTCCGGGTCTTCACCTTTAGCCTCACGCCCAAGGAAGTTGAGGAGATCTCCGACATCGGCAAACAGCATCACTTCCGAGCATTCTGGAACCATATTTTTGACGCCAACGACAAGTCCTGATGCGGGGATAGAAATGGAAGAGAGAACACCGCGAGATAAAGAGGACGATAAGAAAGGTGGCCACCCAAACAACTTGAACGTCCTACCAGACTAGCTAGTTGGATGCGTGTGAGTCTTGGGTTGCAAAGCTCAAGATAGCTCCGAATGCCTCAATGCTTCCATCCAAAAGTTAATTCTACTGACCATGAGCCTGTTTTATCGCGCTCTCCAGAAGAAGGGCCTAAACTAGGACAAGCCTTCAGAAAGCTGTCTGTCTGTGTCGAGGAAAGCTACTATTAGGTTCGAGGACGACGTCGTACTGTAAGTCGAGACTCCCAACGTTAGTTAACTAGTGTTCCCGCGGCGTGCACAGGCTCTGGCGGGTGCCGTGTAGCCTCGCTGTGGCTTCTTTCTCACCCGCAGAAGTACCCAGTCTCTGGCTCTCATGGGGCACCTAAAGAAAGCCTTGTCGGTGTGGCGAGCGTGGCGAGTCTGGTGAGGGCCCAGGAGCTCTAACTTAGTTAATCGTACCCGGATCTTGTGGAACTTGAGTTCGTCGTCGCCATCATCATGCGACTGTCACCTCCTCCGAGTAATCGTCCTGTGCTTTCGTCATCTCGCGCACAGGACCGACCTTCTGTCGATCATGATGTCGTCTCTCGTAAGGTAGACTGCATTGGTGCCAGTGCCTACTCCATCCCAACCTAGACCTCGAGGTAGTACGAGACAAGAATAGCATGCAAGTGGTAAGCTAAACCACTTGGCTGCGGGGTGAAGCACTTCTCTCTCTCTCTCTCTCCCTCTCTCTCTGTGTGTGTCTCTTTTTTCCGCTGCGACTGTGATGTTCCTGGTACTTGTAGACCTGGTGATTGATCTGTTAGTGGTCGCGGTTCCAATGTACCAGATACTCAGGGTAGTGTAGAGCTCACCCTCCATCATCGATTGGCATCCCCTCGTCATCCTTCCACCTTTGCTCTGTTCCGTAATCGCCGAGCCCGTCAATCGTTCTGCCACTTCTGCCGCGCATTTTATCCTTTTCTCTCTTTTTCTCGGTCTCGTCGCGAACGCGTACGGGGTACAAGATGCTGCCGTGGTGCATGCCACCCCCTCCCTAGGGAGAAAGCAGCTTAGGAATGTCTCGAAGGGACAGACGACAGCTGCAACCTTAGGCAGCTTGCCGGTCATGTGCTGGAGATCAATTGGCCTGTGCCTCGACTAGACGCGAAAAGCCCAAGACGCTCGACCTCATCGCCTCGTTCTAGTGACTTTTGCTCGCATGCGTCGGATATCCACAACCCACATCGCCTCCCAAGCTTCCCGCGTCGGTGTCACTCGTACTGTATGCGTCCAGCGCGGTGTACTCTTGTAGCTAGCTAGCCAGCTAGCTCTTCCCGTATTGTATCACCACCCGCCCCGATTAATGCCTCGTGAGATCCAAGTGCCAGAACACGAGCCTCGGAACAGAACCGAAAGGTATAAGAGAAAGCTCACCCTCCCATTCCATCGTCCATTGCATCCGGACTACCTGCCTACTCTTTTCTGAAGAACTCGCACTCATACATTCATCCTGTTCGACTCTATCTGCTACTTGGTGCACGGACACAGCCCTCATATTTGACTTGGTGCAAAATAGCTTGTCCCGCTTAGAATAGAACAGCTCTTGACGGAGTACAAGGCTACGAGCAAGGATACCTAGACACATCACCCATCTTTCACCATGCAACTCACCTTGACCACTCTTCTCGCCACGGCCCTTCTCTCACTATCCGGCCTGGCCACAGCCTCGCCGCTTCTCCAGACGCGGCAGACCACCGAGCCTCCCGCCCGCTACTATCTCAAGACCAAAGTAGACAACGGCAAGCACGTTGACACGGGCACCAACAAGACCGATCTCTGGGTCTTTTCCTATCACACCGGGGCCGGTCTGGGAGCTGCAGGTCTCTCGCCTAACAAGACCGATGCTTGGGAAGGCTATCTCAACGGCACCCAGCAACTCTTCACGTATCCCGAAAACGAAATCGGCCCCTGGCCTCTGTCGTTTAGTTCCCTCAACCTTTACGAACGTGAGTCTGGCGATCTATCCTCTTGCACCCGGCCGATGAACACTGTACTGACCCCGGGTTTGTTCTTTCGCCAAATGATTAGGCTGGCTAGAGGCAGACATTAGCATCGCCTCAATAAACGAGGCCCAGGGTTTCTTCTTCAACTCTTCCGGCCTGCAGTACAACCAGTCGTCTGGTGGATGGCTTGGTAAGTTCCGACTGCCGCTCCTTGCTTATTTGTTTTGTGCGTACAGGTTTGGGACGTGCCGAATCTGACTTTGGACTGTGTGCTATAGCTTGCGATTGGTCACTGCAGTCACCTCAGTTGTACAACGTCGTCTACGGCGGTGGACCGTACCCGAGTTCGTGCTCAAAGGTGCACTTGCTCCCGGTAGCCGTGTAAGGCCCTTGGATTGGTGATACGACAGACGCTCGTCCAGCAGAGATGAGACCCTGACACGATTGATGGGAACATGATCCACCTGGTTGAGACAAAGCTTCACTGGGTGAGGAAATGGAACTGCATCTACGGACCTGGAGGAAAAGGAGCATTCACTACAACAGCATCAGCGTTGCGTTTAGGGCATATGCATTAAAGCGATGTGCGATTGGGAGAGGTTGCTTTTGCTTCCTGAAAGTCGTTTGTCTTTTTCCATTGTTTGTGTAACACTACCAAAGTAATACTAATTTCATAATCCAAATCGAGCATCATCCAAACGATCCGATCGCTCACGAACGATGACCGACACGTACGTCTCTTCCTACCGGGCTCCTATCATCCAGACACCGATGGCTGTATGCGATGTATCTCGGCGTTGTTGTGTCCGCTAAGGAAAATCCCACCACTTCTCGTGCAGATCTTTCAGATTGATTTCCGCCGGCACTCTCAGATAGGACGTGATGTCGGATTCGGGATCGGCCTCGAGGCTTGTCCAGCCATTGCCGAAGTACGCAAACCTGTTCTTGGAGTTGTTGAGGTACGTGTACTCCCAGTCCTCCCATCTCGGCTCTCTCCTGACCGTCGTCACATGTGCCGCGCTGCCGGGCCATATGCCGTGGATCCTCCCGCCCGGTCGACCGCCGTTGGCCCACGAGCTGCAGTTGTCGGTGAGCACCGTCTTGCGGAAGAAGGCGTCCGAGTATTCGACAAAGTCGTCGGCCGCCTGCTGTGAAGGCACAATTGTCGCTATGCCCTGGCTGCTGACTTTGCGTAGCACCTTCGCATAGTACGTCAACTGCACCTCGACGCTGTGTGGCACGGTGCCCGACGGGCCCGTGCCGTGGGGTCCGGCGATGAACAAGAGGTTCGGAAATCCAGGCGTGGCCAGGCCCAGGTAAGTGTACGGGAACCCGTGCGGTCCTTCGGCGCTCCAGAAATCTCGAAGGTTGACGCCGTTGCTGACGACGTCGAATTGTGGCGCCAGACTAGCTCCCGTCGCGCAGAATATCGCATCTACCTCGCGGTGCTTGCCGTCCACGGTCTGGATCCCCGTCGCCGTGAATCTCTCGATCGGCGTCTGGATGAAGTCGACGTTGTCTTGCGTGATGGCCTCGAGGTACCCCGGCCCCGGCGTCAAGCGTCTGCAATTCGGGTTGAAGTCGGGAATCAGCCTCTCCAGCAGTTCGGGTTTCTTCGCGATGCGCCTCTTGACGATTTCAACGAATTGTTCGCGCATGCCTTCGTTTTCCTTCGACCCGCGGAACGTTGACGCGAACCGACGCCAGTACTTGGCCTCCAGTTCCTTCCTAAATGCCAGGTATACCTGGGGATCTTTGAACGAAGCCAACTGTTCAGCCGAGTACGGTTGTGGCTCAAACGTTCTCTCGTCGCCGGCCCACGATCCAGCAATCCAGGTCTTGTTCCGCGCGTAGTGATCCAGACGCTTGACTTTGGGTTGCAGGTTGGGCACTACTTGGATCCCGCTCGCGCCATTACCTATCACAGCCACGTTCTTTCCCGTGGGGTCAAAGGTAGGGTCCCAGTTGGAAGTGTGTCTCAATACACCTTTGTATTCGTCAATGCCTGGATAGTCGGGTAGTTTCCACGTGTTGAAGCGACCGGTTGCGGTGAGGACGAAATCGGCCTTGTCAACAAACACCTCTTTCGTCTTAGTATTTTGGATCGTTACCTGCCACTGTGAGGATGCGTCATCCCAGATGACAGTCTGGACCTCGGAATGAAGACGTATGTAGCGGTACGCATTGTACTCGCGAGCTCGACTTTGCCAATATTCGAGGATCTCGGATCCTTGAGCGAATTGCTCGGACCATTGGGTATTTGGCATGAATGTTGACTGGTATACGTTTGCCGGTATCTGATAAGGCGTTAGTGACCGATTCGAGAGTGTGGGAGCTTTGGCCGGAGTGTTGATTCACGTCAAAAGAAACACGACGGGTTTGGATCTGGCTAAGTATTCCGGTCAATACTTACATCGCAACGAACTCCAGGATAGATGTTTTCCAGCCAAGTTCCGCCCTATAACACGTACCGATCAGCCATTGAACTAGTAACTTGTCTGGGCGAACTCGGAGTGTTTCTCGGCCATACGTACCACATCTTCGTTCTTCTCGTACACAACGAGGTCGATTTTGGGCACCTTTACAGGCAAAAGTATGCTGGCAAGCACTCCTGACAGTCCAGCACCAATGACTACAATTCTCAAGCTTCTGATTTCATCGATTCCGTGGTCCTGAAGTTCAAAGTCGCTCTTTGGAACCCCGACAGGATAGCTAACCGGAGGATCTCGAACTCCAAGATTTTCGACGCGAGCCTCGTGGGTGCTTGTTGATGACTTGACGTTGTTCTCATGCCCAATTCCGTTTTCAATAGGGTGAGGATTAACGTCAACATCCGCTGTAGCAACCGCTGGCACTTTGTCGACCGCGGCCCCAGAGGCTATGTGCCCAGAGCCTCCGGCTTGGTCGTCAAAACTGTGCGTGTCGAGAATGGCCATGTCGGATGATCTAGGTAGTATATCTCAAGGTATAAGAGGACAGTTCGTGGCTGGGTTTACAATTCTGCAGTCACACTGATAGTGACACCCCTGTGCTGCCGGGAGTGTCGCACCGTGTTTTCAACCGAACAAACTGCCGACAACTACTGCGAAAACACGAAAAGTCACGGAAAGCTAAAGTGATAAGATTCTGAACAAAATCCTGTTGGCCCGGTGGAAATGTGAGGTGAGGTGTTATGTATGGGTATATCAGTATTGTGGGTCCTTTCACGAGCACGTCTTCGTTCTCCATGTTGACACCACTCCCCGGTCTCCAATCAAGCCTACGACGGTTTTTCCATACCGATTTCCTAGACAAGGAGTTGTCCGCTATCATTGACACCAATGCTAAATCTACCAGCTAAGTACTCATATGGAGAAATACTTGGCTAGTGGAGGCCCTTCCCAACCTTGGTCACTTAGTCCCGTGGAGGGAACAGTAAGCACCCTCCGATCGCTTTCCACCAACCTCAACACTGAGAGTGAGTGGCCTAGACCACTGCAGGCATGTGAACCTTGCAGAACCTTTCTGAAGACGCAATGACGAGGGTTACTGACGCCTTTATGGCCGGCCGACGCCCGACGACGAGATGGGGACTGAGCACAACATAAGATCTCGCCTTGGGGACCTACACTCAAGGTTGCTGCATGATTCAAGTTGCCGGATTTCTGGATACTGGAACGCGAAACCATGGGCACAGAATACCATACGGCTCGGAAGTGGTACCACATCCGCTGGTTCGCCCCGGACGACACAAAGGAGGAACGTCGGCTCATCTGGAAGCTCGATTTGCTCATTGTCCCCTATGTGTTCCTGGCATACTGGACCAAGTACATTGACCAGGCAAATATAAGTGAGCTACATATATCCGAGCCTTGCATACTTTTCCACTACTCCTACTGACTTGTCTCTTCTGTGTGGCATAGATAATGCGTACGTCGGAGGTCTCAAGGAAGACCTTGGCTTCTATGGTAATCAGCTGGTACATCTCCAGACCATCTATGTGGTCGGTGCCGTGCTGGGACAGCTGCCCTTTCTGTTCTTGTCGACACGTTTCCCGCTTCATTGGTTGATTCCGATTCTGGATATTGCTTGGGGAATCTTTACCTTGTTGCAATATCGTGCACATAGTTATGCCGAACTGATGGCATATCGGTTCATGGTGGGCTGGTTCGAAGTATGTCTTGAGACTTAAGAGTGTGAGATTCCTACAGGTTTGCTGACTCCAGACTTCTTTCTCAGGCTGCTTTCTTTCCCCTCGTCCATGTGATTTTCGGATCTTGGTACAAGGGCCACGAGATCGCTCGCCGTGGCGGCTTTTTCTATGTCGGCCTGACCCTCGGCACGTTGACTGCTGGGCTAATTCAAGCTGGAGCGTCTTCGAGATTAGACGGCGTTAGTGGCCTCGCCGGTAAGAATGCTGCGTCGCACAAAGAGAATTCATGCTAACCTAGTCTTGCAAAGGCTGGCGATGGATGTACATCATTTGTTCCATCATCACCATTCCGATCGGCATACTCGGATACTTCCTACTTCCCGGCACGCCTGCGAAACCTAATCGGTGGTTCTTGAAGCAGAGAGATATTGACCTCGCCGTGGAACGTCTGAAGCGTGACGGACACGACACGTCTGGTGAAAAGGCCGGATGGGGCACCGTCAAGCAAGCCCTGACCAACGGCCGCGTCTGGGCTTTGTTGCTTCTCGACATCTTCTTCTGGAATGGATGCCTCAACACTTCAAGTGGTGGTTTCCTCCTCTGGCTTAAGAGTCTCAAGCGCTACTCCAAGGCACGAGTCAATGAACTCGGATCAGTTTCTCCGGCCCTGGGCATATTTTACACTCTCTTCATCTGCTTCAGCTCAGATCTGCTCTGGGGCCCAGCCTGGGCTATCACGGTCTCTCACATCTGGAACATTATCGGCTTGATCATCCTGGTGGTATGGGAGGTTCCAGAATCAGCAAAATGGTTTGCTTTCCTGACGACGTACTCGGCCGTCGCCATGTCGAGTGTACTGTACGGCTGGGTGAATACTCAATTGCGATACTCACCAGCTCAGAGGGCTTTTGTCCTGGTCTTGATCAACGCAGTGTCACAATCCACCACGGCGTGGACGCCACTCTTGGTTTTCAAGACGGTTGAGGGACCGCGGTTCACCAAGGGCTACTCATATGTGCTAGCTAATTCGATCTGTCTGATTGCTACGGCCCATATCATCAAGGTCTACGTGGGAAGAAGAACCCGTACCGTTGAGGGCGCGACCAAGCTAAGTGACGGTGATTCTCAACATCAAGTTGTGGGCGGCGTTGAGGAAGAGACAATTGGCAACAAGGCAGGTGGAACTGGAACTGGAACCGGAGAACAGGACGGTCCGATCGTGGTGCAAGAGCGTGTTCTGCAGAAAAGTGTTGAAGTCTAGGACCAAAAGGATGGACGAGCCTTGACTGTGGTCGCGTTTGCCTGATGGGGGTTTCGGAACGACAATGATTGATCGATTCGGAGTATCCGTAATGATCGAGTCAGATGGTGGGATAAATGTTATCCCTCCTTACAGATACACCAGCCCCCCTTTGAACTCTCAGCCCCTCTTGTCTACTTGTCCGTAGCGAGCAGTAGCTTACACGATGTGCTGCACAGTCACTGAATTTTCGTATTTCTGATCAACGCGTTTCCACATATGAGTCGAAAGAGTATTAAATATCTCCAGGGGTGGGAGTACAATCACGCAAACCGGAAGGGACTCCATATATATGTGGACTTTTGTAAAGTTTGTTCGTAGGGGAGCCATCGTAACATGCAAGACGCAACGTGTGTGGTGATTTGATGTATTCGCCATCGTGTTGGATGATGGCGCAATAACCACCAAAACGGAGTCGCCGCCGACGACCACCGGTTTCACAATCTGTGCTGTCTGTACCTCGCACGCCAGGCCCGTCTTTGAATCGAATTGCGTGATTGATCCGAGTCGGAGAAGGGCGTGATCACCTTTTACCGTCGTCGGTCAAATCACGCCGAGAGTAGGAGATCGATTCAAAAAAGAAAAGATGATAAAGCTCCATGAGCAAAAAAGGTACAGTAACAGGTAGCAAAGGAGGCGACGACGCACGAGGACAGGAGTTTGTCCTATCCCATCCACCCCCCGGTTTGAGTTCTGGTATAGTACCTAGCGTTAGGTTCACTGAGCCGACTAAGGTAGGTCAACTACTCTCTTTCTCCCATCTGACAGGGACCAAAATCTCAGTGTCTGATTGAAGAAGAGAAATCTACTCGAGAAGGTGCCAGCAAGTTTCGATTATTTATCGATACCTGTCTGCGGATCTGGTTTGTCGATTCGTTTTCTGTGTCTTCCGGGTCCTCTACTTACGATACATGGATATAGGTCTTGATTCTTGGTTCCTGGATCTGGATCTGGATTAGGATCATTTTGCCCATTTGACATATCCCAAAACCCAAAACATGGGAGACAACGTCAATCCCAATGCCGGCGGGGGTGCGAGTGCGGGTGCGAATGCAAACGGTCAGGGTGGTACTACTACTACCACCACCACCACCACCACCACCACGGCACAATACCCGGATATAGCCAAATCTCGAATCCTACTGAATGCATTCGACATGAGCACCGTCGGCCACCTTTCCCCGGGACAGTGGAAGAACCCCAAGGACCGGTCGGCGACCAAGCGGGACCTGCAGTACTGGATCGACCTCGCCCTCCTGCTGGAGCGAGGCGGCATCAACGCCCTGTTCCTCGCCGACACGTACGGCGGCTACGACACGTACGAGGATTCCCTGGACAACTGCATCCGTCGAGCGGCGCAGTGGCCCATGACGGACCCGACCATCCCCATCTCCGCCATGGCGGCCGTGACCAAGAACCTCGCGTTCGGCATCACGGCGTCGACGTCGTTTGAGCCTCCGTTCTTGCTGGCGAAGCGGTTCTCGACCCTCGACCACCTCACCAGGGGAAGGATAGGGTGGAACATCGTCACGTCGTGGAAGAAGGCCGCCTTCAAGGCCATAGGCATCGATACGCCGATCGACCATGACGAGAGGTATTTGCAGGCCGACGAGTACCTTAGGGTTCTGTACAAGTAAGTATTTTACACACCACCGCGCGTACTAATACCCATACACCTCTCCTTAGCCTACTACCAAAACATCATTCATATTTTCTCAAACGGCCGCAACAATGATGATTCTGACGCACATCTAGACTCTGGGAAGGTTCGTGGGCAGACGACGCGCTAAACCCAGACCCGGAGAACGACACTTACGTCGACCCGGACAAGGTACGGACCATCCACCACCACGGCAAATACTTGAACCTCGACACGCGACACATCGTCGACCCGTCGCCTCAGCGCACACCATTCTTGTTCCAGGCCGGCACGTCGCCCGCGGGAAGTGAATTCGCCGCCACGCACGCCGAGGCCATCTTCGTGTCGTCGCACTCGCCCAAGGTGTTGCGCCCCAAGATCGACAAGATCAGACAGCTGGCGGCGAGCAAGGGCCGCGACCCACGCTCGCTCAAGTTCTTCGGCACGTTCACACCCATCGTGGGCAGGACGGACGAAGAAGCGCGCGAGAAGCACGAGGAGCTGAAGAAGTACGCCTCGGTCATCGGCGGCTTGGTCCTTTTCAGCGGCTGGACGGGCATCGACATCTCGAAAATCCCCATCGACCAAGACATCACGGCCGACGATTCCAAGGAGGCGCACAAGGTCACGAGCATGCTCGACGCCTTCACCACGACGAGCCCCGACGTGCCCAGGTGGACGCCCCGCGTCGTCGCGGAAAAGGCGGCGATCGGCGGCCTGGGCCCCGTGGGAATCGGCAGCCCGGCCAAGGTGGCCGACGAGATGGAGCGGTGGATCCGTGAGGCCGACCTCGACGGCTTCAATCTCGCCTACGTCACCACCCCGGGCACGTTCGAGGACGTGGTGGATCTGTTGATCCCGGAGTTGAGGAGGAGAGGACTGTATCCCGAAACGCCCGAGGACGGACTTACTGCGAGGGAAAAAATCTATGGGAAGGGCCAAAAGGGGATCAGGGACGATCATGCCGCTGCCGCGTACAAGTACGATGTGTACAAGGAGGATGAACCGTACGTTGAGCCTCGAAATGGGGCGGCCGCGGGGGATGATGGGAAACCTGAAGAGGTCAAGGCGGGATGAACTGGAGGAGTGTCCAAGTACCTAACTAGGGACCTAAGTACGGTGTGATGTTGGGTCGGTACATTGATCGTCCTTGGTGGAATCGAGAGAAAGCGAGAAGGGAGAGAGAGAGAGAGAGAGAGAGAGAGAGAGAGAGAGAGAGATCAATGAGAGATCTTATTAGAGGAGACGAATGCGAGTCATGTTCGAATGATCTGATAAGATAAGTGACCACGGGTTATGATTATGTCATCCCTCCCCTCAGTTCTCCATACATGTATCGTACCACCGAGTATCGTATCGTGTAGAGTAACCGAGGTAAGTGGATGATGTGCGGATATTCGAATACCTTCATCCTGCAAAGCTTGGGATTAGTAAATTCAGGATTGATTCGAAGAGAAACTACATGAGACAAACACTTCCCGTGGCCCAAAGGATGTGACCCCATCTTCCTTTCCACTCAGTCTCTGGTAAAACTTCGTCATCGTCCCCTGTCAAGATACACCTACACATACCGCATATTCTTCCGTCAGCCACCGCTTCACCATCGGAAATTCAACGCATACAGACGGTACTTGGTACGGCTCACCGTTGGTCGCGACTCGCTTCAAGCTTACCAGCTATATCAACATAAGCCTGGGTGTGGATCAGTCAGTCAATCAATCAATCGGCACATCAGTCCGAAGTTAAACCTTGCTTTTTTCCCCGAGAAAACAAGTACGTGAGCGAAGCAAAGCAATCATGGCGACGTCAACGTACACCTCTGTCGTTCTAGCGAAGCGCCCCAAAGACAACATCGTCGCCGGCGAAACGTTCAAAGTCGTCTCGGACAACCCTGTACCCGCGGCAGACAGTCTCAAGGATGGAGAGGTGCTTTTCGAGACCAATTACCTCAGCATCGACCCTGCCATGCGCGGCTGGCTCAACGACACGAGATCGTACGTCCCGCCGGTCGGCGTCGGGGAAGTCATGCGTGGGTTGGTCGTCGGCACGGTCAAGGCGAGCAAGGACCCGTCGTTCCCCGTGGGGAGTTACGCGACGGGGACCGTCGGCTGGAGGGAACTGAAGGTCTGCAAGGCGAAGAAGGAGTTGCAAAAGGTCCATTTACCCAGAGGGGCCCAGTTGACGGATCTGCTCAGCGTGCTTGGTATGTAGATGTCCGCGTCGTCGTTCCCGATCGCGATCCTTTCCGGGAAACCTCGTGGATCCATGGGATCCGTGGGGCCTGGGCTTGATTAGTCTCTCTCGCTCGGAGTTCTGACCTTTCTAGGAATGACTGGCCTGACGGCTTACTTTGGCATCTTGGACGTCGGAAAAGTCAAGGCCGGCGACTTCGTGGTCGTATCTGGAGCTGCAGGCGCCACGGGAAGCGTGGTCGGACAGATCGCCAAATTGAAGGGTGCCACCGTCTTGGGCATTGCTGGAAGCGATGACAAGTGTCGCTGGCTCGTCGAGGAGCTCGGGTTTGACGGAGCCTTGAATTACAAGGACAAGCAGTTTTTCAAAAAGTTCAGGGACGCCACCAAGGTGAGAGAACGATTCTCAACATCTGCATCTGCATGTCAGAGAGTGTAAGGACGCTGTGTTTTTGGCTGACCTGCAGTACGGTAGAACCTGATTGATGTGTACTTTGACAATGGTGAGCTTTCCACCACCGTCCTTTCAGGGGCCACGCGTTTGTGTTTGTTGTGTATCCTTCGCTAACGCTGTGTGAATCAGTTGGAGGAGAGGTTCTCGACATGGCTCTCGGAAGGGCCAAACCTCACGCGAGATTCGTCATGTGCGGTGGTACGTCGCAGGCCCCTTTTGGAAAACGATTCGAATTCTGTGAATTCGACGAGACTGATACGAGACTTCGGACCGATAGGAATATCACAGTACAACACGTCGAAGCCGCAAGGACCAAAGGTGTGTTGAATTGTCTTGATCTTGTTGTGGAGAATGGTTCACGTTTGCTGACCGACTTAACTCCCTTCTCAGAACTACTTGATGATCATCTCAATGAGAATCCGGTACGGAATATTCTGTCCCCGAGTATCTATCTGAAAATGAGTATGAGACAATGGTGCCTAACGGAACACACAAAAGAATGGAAGGATTCATCGTCTTCGATTACGAGAAGGAGTACCCCCGAGCTCTTCGAGATCTAGGCCAATGGCTATCAGAGGGCAAGATCAAACGAAAAGAGACCATCGTCAAGGGCGGCCTTGTGAAGGCAGAGGAAGCGTTGCGGGACTTGTACAATGGCATCAACACCGGTAAAGATGGGATTCCTCCTCCTCCCTGTCAAGGGGGAATGTGGCTGTTTTTGTCTTTTAGCTAATCTGCTTTTGACAGGGAAATTGATGGTCGAGGTCAAGCCTGTCGCCACAAAGGCTCATCCTTCGCTATAAGGAGTCGACGGTCGAGATGGAGAACCCCCCAAACTCAAGTTCCGTCGGTCGAGATGATCGAACCTAGTCTGCTCCGTCGGGATATGTGAGGGAAGTCTAGTCGGCCGGTCAGTCGGTCAGTATTAAGGAGATAGACCGACTCGTAAGATTGATTGTTAAAATGGAACATATTTGAGGATGAGTGTGTGTGTTGCACTGGTACTGAAGGGGTCACTCTTGATCCCTGCCAAAATGTACATCTATTAGGCATCAAAGTCGATTCCTTTATTCGAACCAAAATGTCTTAAATTGTTCAGTGAAACCCAAAACGTGACAAAGCATTCACTAAATCAAGATGAGAAACGATGTAGTCGGTTCCTGAGATGGGTTGCCACAGGGCCATTATCACTTGCCGGACTCGATAACCGCCGGCTATTGCTATTTCTCGCCAACCGGTGAACTGTAGAGTTCCTCAACTCCGAGTCAAGCGAGATAAGCAGGAGACGGGCTTCGAAATGCAACCCCCATGTTGGAGCTTTTGCCACGAGCAAGGATGTTCGGAACCGATAAACTCTGTCCACCGACCCACCCACTGGGATGTTGAACCACCTGCGGGGACCCCACACATCGCAAAGATAACGGCCAAAACCAGCGACTTGTTGCATTTCTCCAGAACCAGGGTCATAACCATGCTTGGGCCTGAGATCATACCTCCATGGGGACAATGCTGTCATAAAACGGGCAGCGAGTATGTTCAATCCAAGAAGATCTATAAATCACATCCTCACCCCCCTCAAATTGATTCACTTCGCAAGTCGACTCCAGTAGTACTCCTCCGGCTCTTGTTCTTCTCTTTCTCCCTCTTATCATTCATTCTTCTACCTTCTTCGACCGTCCAACACAAAAGGACCCCTTGTTGATGACGACCCCCTCGAGTCAATGGACAAGATGCATCACCACGACCAGGACGTGAAGTCTACCGTCAGCAATGATGAGAAGCTCGAGCACGTTATCGTACGTCACTCTCTCTTACCTATATCCTACTTCTCGATAGCTAGTTCTTCCCTTCTCGATATTACCAACGGCCCTTGAACCAACCCCAGACTAACTCACTTCCGCCCTGGCGCAACAGGCCGACGGCAAGCATCACGACCCAAACTGGACGGGTGAGGGGGTCGATATCACCGACGTCGATCCCCGCAGGACGCTCCGTAAGATGGACCTGCGCCTGATTCCCATGCTGGCACTGCTGTATCTTCTCTCCTTCCTCGACCGCGGGAACATCGGCAACGCCAAAATCGCCGGCATGGAAAAGGACCTCAACCTGTCCGGAACGCAGTACAGCTTGTGCGCGACAGTTTTCTTCTTCACTTACTGCGCATTTGAAATACCGAGCAACCTGTTGCTCAAGAAGTTTCGACCTTCTGTGTGGTTGCCTGCGATAATGGTGGCCTGGGGGTGAGTACATATATTCCCTTTTGTCTCGACGACTTCAACAGTGTATTCTTAGGGTTAGGACCCTAACCCTAACCCTAGCCCTAACCCTAGCCATGTGGTTTCCACTCATGCTAACTCTCACGATCGCAGTACCGTCATGACGCTCATGGGTCTCGTCCAGAACTACCATGGTCTCTTGATCGCTCGTATCTTTCTGGGCGTGGCAGAGGCCGGGCTTTATCCTGGTGTCGCATATTACCTTACCATGTGGTACTGCACGGATGAGCTTGCGTTCCGCCAAGGTCTATTCTTCAGCGCCGCGAGCGTAGCGGGAGCCTTTTCAGGGCTTCTCGCATACCTGATTGCGAAGATGGATGGAGTTGGAGGCTATGAAGGCTGGAGATGGATCTTCATCCTCGAAGGACTGGTGACTGTCGTGGTGGCGATTTTTGCTTTCTTCGCCCTGTACGACTTTCCGGACACAGCCTCCTTCTTGACCGTTGAAGAGAAGGCCTGGGTCGTGCATCGGTTAAAATACCAGGGGAGCAAAAAGAGTGGGAGAGCCGTTGCTGAGAGCGACCACTTCGAGTGGAAGTTCGTCACTCGGGGTAAGTCACCCCTGCCGTTGAAATATAACTGGTGTGATAAATACTGACATTTTGGACCACAACACAGCCCTTTGCGATTGGCAAATCTATGTCAGCCTTTTCATGTACTGGGGAGTCGTTTGTCCACTCTACGGAATTTCATTCTTCCTTCCGACAATTATCGCAGACTTGGGCTATAAGTCAACGACGGCTCAGCTTCTCACAATCCCGATATATATAACGGCAGCCATTCTCGCCGTGGTCCTTTGCTGGATGTCCGATCGAGCTGTGAAGCGCGGAGCTGCTCGTTGGGTGTACGTCTTTGTGCCCATGTGCACTATTCTGGTTGGCTTCATCATGACGATTGCTGCTTCTGCCGCTGGAGGTGTGCCCGGTGTGGTGTATGCAGGCATTTTCATCGCCGTTTGTGGTATCTATCCTGCTTTCCCGCAGAACGTCACGTGGATCGCGAACAACTTGGCTGGGAGCTACAAGAGAGCTGCCGGGATGGCCATGCAAATCGGACTGGGTAACCGTAAGTTGTCCCGGATGTTCCAACTCTTGTACATGACTGACGCATTTGCCTAGTTGGCGGCGCTATGGCAAGTAACTTCTACCGAGCAAAAGACAAGCCAAAGTTCATACTTGGTCATAGCCTGGAACTCGGCTTCGTAGTGATGGGATTGATTGCAGTCCTGGTCCTGCGGATCAGTTATGGGCGCATCAATGCAAAGAGAGAGAGGACGGGCGAAGCACATGGTCTAACAGACGCAGAGCTGGCTGATTTGGGCGACAAAAGTCCGTCGTTCAGATATACGCTTTGAGAACTGGACCAGACAGCAACAAGGTGCAAGGGTTGCAAGAAGGCGTGTTCCGAGGGTTAGGATGGCAGAAATTCGAAGGCCTTATCTGAGTGACTTATTATTGTATGATGAAAGGTCGCTACTTGGTTGACACAGAGTAACAATCATATCGCAAGCCGTTATTAGGTCGAACAAATTGATATCTCCAAGGACCCACTGCGCGGTACGTGCAATGCAATTGCAGGCTTTGGAATAATGTGTTTTTCTCGATAGCGTGTGCTTAATAGATCGGTATAACCACAGCGTCGCAACTCCATCATAGCATATCAGGGTTCCAACCCTAACAACCCTAACCCTAACCCTAACCCCTGAGTCAAGGTCGAGATAGCAGGGCTTGAACTATTGTTTAGACATGTGAACGCCATTCTATCAATTATTGATTTTCGAGAAGCTCTTCCGAAAAGACTAAGCATCGGGATAGTATGCTCGTTATCGGTTCCGAGCCAAGACTGTGTCGATGTTTGATGGATGTCATTGTCGGAAGCTGATTGGTGACAGAAACAGCAACCATTCTTCAAAGATGTCACCCAAGCCTTTTGACAGAAGCCACCGTCTCTTGTGAGTGGCTGATTCCCAAGCCTGTGAGGTGAGAGGCGCACATGCGGTCATGAAACCCCCCGGACACAGTGCGATTTGATGCCGGTAACCAGAACTTGTTGATTTGCCATGTTTGGGTAAAGAATCGCCAATTGCCGATCGCACGGTCACTCGTGCGGCTGGAAACGCGCATCGAACGTGGCGATGGATGTGCTCACGGAAGCGATTAAAGGCGCTTCAGCCCGTTGCTGTTCCGGTAGATGCCAACGAAGTGGTTTGGTGAGAGACGTTCGTAAGCCATGTACCCTCACGGATCCGCAGTGATCGCTTGTGGGCCACCACAGATGAGGAGAGTCGGTGAAATCTGGGGTTGACCCGGATCTCTGGCATCAAGCCCATTTCTGCACTCGTTTGGGGGGAAAATTGCAAGAAGGATAGCTGCCCAATCCACGGATGGGAGAAGGTCTCCAGCGACGGAGAACACGTGGCTGTTTCCTAGAATTCAAAAATCTGGGGGATGGTACTCATCCCTTAAGGCTCGGTTCCTTCCCTCGGTTCGGGTGCGAGACGAAGGTAATCAAAAGCATTCAGACGTTCAGGTTCCGTTAAGGGCATACAATGGCTGTGAGGCAACTTCGACTCTGGCAAGGTCGGCTCGAATAATTTGGACTGATTTTGAACCTTGGGGCAGCTGCTCAAGTGTCTGCGTAAGTGTGGAGAGCAAGCTTCGATACGCATCAGCACTGATCTTTCCAGAAGCAAAGTCCCTGTCTATTGCTTTCTGCATCAACTTCACCGCTGCAACAGCATGATGCGCATAGGGGTCTATGGCCACAAGCGACGCTGTAAATGTCGGGATTTGTGTATTGGAAAGTCTCGAGGTGACCGCGACGTCGTCGGATTGGATCTGCACCGTGTACCTATTGGTCAACCCAAACATTAGGCTGTTCAACACCGCGCTCTCTGCATCAATTCGCTTGGCAGAAAATCTGGTCAGGAGATCGTGACGGTCGGTTGCCGCAATCATATCAACTAGCATCAGGATGGACAGATTGTAGTGCAACATCAATTCATCTGATAAATTGTCAGTGATGGGGAGCCAGAGGTGACCATCTTCGACTACTTACACCAGCGAAGCTTCGTCTCCTGTCCGAAGAACTGGATTCGTCTCTGACAGGCCTCCAGAAGGCCACGGTACGTCAAGTTGAATTGATCGATGGCTTCTGAAACGAGACTGAATGCCTTGCTCACCTCTGCCTCATCGTGGCCATCTCGTAAAGACTCCTTAAGATTCGCTGTCAATTTCCAGACCAACAGTTTCCAGGCAGCACCAGAGGCGATGACTTGGTTAGCCTTTTCATCGGTCATCTCAAAGTCTGAGTCGTGCCATATTTTTGTCATATCTCGAAATATCTCTAGGCAGGCTCGGACTAAACGCCAGGACGTTTCAGATTCGCAGCCAAACAGACCTGACGAGAGTAAAGGCTTGCAACCCAACGTCAGGGACGCCGACGTGTCGAAGGTGAGAGCGACCCAATACGCAGTGCTCTCAGCATTGATGAAGTTTGCAGTTGCCATTGAATGGGGACTGGTCCCTGGAGGACGGGCGGGAATATCGAGGTTAATCCGATTGCCATTGAAGCGAAGGCTTCTTTGATTGGCACGGAGTTCTTGAATCTGTTGAAGAGCGGCATGAACACAAACTTGACCGGGCACCCGATCCAGCTCCTCCTCTTCCGATATGCCGGCCGGGATGGGTGTCAGAGCAAACAGGAGTAATGTGAGCATTGATCGGTACGCCGGCCGATTGATGACCCTGAGCATGTCTTTATGGGCCCGTCGCCAGAGAGACCTGATGATTTCCTCGGTTGGCACAAGTCGTTGTGCTTGAGATTGCGAGACCAATGGCAGCCAGCGAGCTGCAAAGGCTTCAATAGCGTGGTCCAGACACTGATCGATATGGAGATCTCGTTCACGCCGAGCGCTGTCTATGGAGCGACCGAGATCCAGCATAGCTGCAGGGCTCTCCCACTCTTCATCCATCCATTTATCAAGACGACGACATAGTTGGTGTACACTCACACACATGTCGGAGAGACTGTGCTCGCCGAACCTGAAACTTGTCAGGAAGCGTTGTCCGAGAGTAGCTAAGTTAGTAGCACACTTACGCGAATGGATTGCTATATTTGCCCAGCCACGAGCCGAAAACTGTTTCGAAGACACTCTCATAGATTGCGTGAAGCCAACTTGTATCCGTCACGGTATCGAGTTCGTCCGGGGCGAGGCTTGCCTGAGATTGCATAGAATCTCTCACTGGCCAGGTCCAGTCCACCCTGAACGTAGTGTTAGATCAGACATCAGTGCCGCGGCGAACTCAGGACAACCCTACCCAGGAGGCTCACTCAACTCCGACATAGAGCGGCCTAGGGTGGTCTCTCTAAGGTCAGAGGCGTGAATATCGTTCTCCGTGTTGCCAGCCCGGTCTCGGCCTTTCGTTCGAGATGGTATTGTGCCAGGGTTGGCCCTGCGCTTCAACCACTACAAACTCGGCACGTCAAAAAAGGCTCTCCTCTCCTGTAAGACAGAAGATGGTGCCTACCTCGAAAGTACATTCTCGCTGTCGATTGAGGCATCTTGTGCAGGACTTCTGAGTTGACGCCGCGTCCGTGTTTCGTCGCAACCTCCCAGCATCGCATCTGACCCGCGACCGCCGACACTCGTCGCAGCTAGAAAACTGGACTCGTTGAGGGCCGTCGTCGGCCTGTGCCATGGCGCATCCGACTTCAGTCGATGCGGATGATGTGTGAGCCCTTGTAGTCAGCGCATCGAGGGCCTCGGCTCGTTGGTTTGGGAGGACAAAGCGGAGGCGGGGATCAATCCCAGACAATGTGGGAGAAGATTGGCAAATGCTGGGATCTTCCGGAGATACGAATACGAGGGAACGAATACGAGGGACTTTTCTCGGGCTCTTTCGTCGGAGCGAAACGGGCGTGTCGACATTTGTGTAGATGATATGGACGGCGTTCTTTAGCTTTTTTTTATTGGCAGCACCGTTGCGTGATCAGTCTCACCCGGACTTCAAAGAAGACTCTCATTATACGCACGCTCACAGAGACCGTTGTATTCCCTTCGGTGCAAAGAGACCAGTGGTCTCAACATGACGGCACAAGACGGAGAATTCGAGCTGCACGATTTACTGGTCCAGGTGATATGCCCCCCCGGCGAGCCCATCTACTGCGGCGCCAAAGAAGGCGATCATTTCTTCTTGCGAGGGGAAATGCTGTATCTCCCTAAAGACCAGGGTTTCAGCATTTACAGCTTGGGTACGTCCGAGTGGTGATGACTCTGTCAGTGCTCGCCGCGTCGGCAGTTCTCACCGGTTCGCAGCAGCGATATTGCCCCTGTTGCCCGCGAAGCAACGTCCGACCCATCGCAACGACTGGATGTCGACGGACGCGATTGTGGCGTGTCCAGATCCGAACTGCAAATCTCAACTCAAAATTACGAGGATAGGGTCCAGGACGTTTAATCATGCGGAAACGACGGCTGTGCCGTTGAATTGACGAGGTTTGGATTATCAGCTCGAAGCAATCAGCACTGCCTCAACGAGTCACGATATTAGGGAGTGGTCTCAACAAGAGTATATGATGCGACCTCAGACCTTTTGTCTTATCTCAACGATACTCTCCACCACAATCACCCATGACACTGAACATGTCTTCTCTCCGACTCCTACTCAGCACCCCCTCGATCAGCCTTTGATCTTCGTCATCCAGGTGCCATCCGTAGCTATCGAGGTTTTGGTCCGAATGCTCACTGACTCCCATCCTTGTTCCAACAATGACAGCACCCACGTATGGGAAGTCTAGAACCCATCTCGTAGCCACGTTGGATATGCCGACCTCGTGTTTGTCCGCTAGGGCTTTCAGAACCGTGAGCAGATCTTGGAAAAGAGACCATCCGCCCCAAGCGACTATCATCTCGAAATACTGTGTTTTGATGGATGCGTCAGCCATGAAACAACGCTCCTACGGGTTATGATCGAGTCCCATGACGCTCACCTTCCGCTGGCTGGGCGTGATTTGATCAGAGAACAATTCGGGTTCGGGCTGTCCCAGCCATTTATCCGCCAGGAAACCGCCGCACTGTCCAGTACATGCCTTCGTTAGACCAGTCTTTTGCCGACATATGGAGAGGTCACACTACGACATGCAAATCTTCAACGTACCAGAGTCCCATATGTTAGTAACTTGACCTTGTGTTCTTCGCATACCTGTCCCATCTTGATCGTGGGACGCGAATCGATCAGTGAGAACTATTGCAGTCTCCCGGTAAGCTCGTGGTACCTCGGACAGTCCAACACGCACGCATACCTGAACCTGATTAGTTGCAATCTTGACCCCGGCTGCAAGGATCTCTGTCAGTCTGAAGGTGTCGAAGTTGCAGAGGCCCAGAAACCGGATCCGCTCGTCTGCCTGCAGAATACGTAGAGCCCTGATGTACTGCAGATCATCGTACTGCAAATAAAAGCCGCGTGCGTAAGCAGAGATGTTCGTCGCCAAGTGACTTAAATTAGAATACTGCTGCTTCACTCACAAATTGCCAGTGGAACTGCAAAAGGTCGATCGTGCTTGACCTCATCCGCCTACATCGCTCGGTGATGTTGTCGCGAAGGAGTGTCTCTGTTATAAATGTGGGTTGGAAGATGCAGAGCTTCGTCGCCCCGAATATCGCGCCGGCATGTCCTGTCGAGGCTCGAAATGATCCCTGTCACAGATTAATGGCACTGGTCACGCCGAGTGTTGAAGGACGAGGACGAGGAGTCCATCAACCTACAAAAAGAACCTCTGCGTCTCCATAGTGATCTGCCATGTCGTACGCTGCGAACCCTCTACTCACATAGCGTGAGAACTGCTGGAAAATTTGTGCTTTGGATGCAATTCCCCATGAAGGGCTTGACAATTGCCATAGCCCGCAGAAGAGCCTGGGTAGGGGCGTCCCTTGTAGATCGAAGGTCTCTGACGGTTGAGGTACGTTCACGAGTATAGGGTCGTGCTCTTGCGCACGATCAGGGTGACGGAGAGATGGAGATTGGCCGTGTTCGACATCAACACTCGTGGATGTGAGGTCGGCGACTGCTCCCAGACTCCGCTCAAAGACAAACTCGTATCCTTGGGCCGTCCATTCCTTGCGACACTCGAGCAGTGATTGCACAAGACGAGTCAGTACTCCTGATTCCTCGGGAGTCAGGTCTCGTCTTCCCGACGACTGGGTCAGCTTTTTCTCAACGGCTGTGAGTGCTTGCACTATGTCCCCGTCGACGGACACAAGAGCTCGCAGTTTACTCGTCTCTGGGATATTCGTACCGTGGCCGAAGCGGAGTACACGACACTGGTCAATGACATTAACCTGGAGTTTCAACCCCTCGAAACAGAGTCCACTGCCCAGCATGGCTCGAATGCGTTGCTGCGCAGCGGTGAAATCCGCTGTGGTACGGAATCCGCCCCTGGGCTCATCGCTGACGAAAAGCTCTCCGACCGAGAAAGAGGAAGTCTTCGACAGGTACTGGCGCGTATGATGCTCCAGAGCACCGGTGAAGTCGGGATGAGTTGTAAGGATGGATCGCATGACGGAACGCAACGCTTCGGGCGGCAAGTTGGCGATGATGGTGTCAGTCATGAGGTTGACGTGCGCCTTTGTGGCTTTGTGCTCAGAGATGTTGGCCATGTTGCTATACGCTTTAGGCGCTTTGTGTGTGAGGAACTTGTAACTGGTGAACAAGCTTGTATCGGTCTTAAGACGGGCATTTAGTTCGATATCAAAGGGCGTACGTGTGCCGTGCTTCACCTTCGAGCAACCTTCAACGCCTAGGGGCACCGGAGATACAGATACTACCTGTAAGCGTTAGATCACAAGAATATGACCTGGCTGGAAATTGAGGAAGTGAAGATTCGAGGAATGGCTTCGCAATGCTTAAATAGGAGAAGGGCGCCGTTTACCAGCAGCGTTGCAGACTAAAGTTCCGAGAAGTCAGGGAAGTCAAGTCACCATAATAACTTGGAGACGGTTAAGATCTCTGATACTGTATATCCATCATATCTTATCAATTACGTTGCAATCATGTTCTTATTGCTTTATACTTGGTACTCCATCGACTCAAATTGTTGCTAACTATCTTCCCAGACCGCCACTCCCGGCATATTGAATACAGTTCTCTAAACAAACCATTTGTTGCTGTGGCTTGCTTGTTCACAATCCTAGTCAACCTTGGGCGGCACAGCCACGTTTTCAGGTACCGGCTCATCACGGTACTTTTCATGTGTGGTCAAGTATATGTGGCGCTTGTTATTGGCGGCATATTTGATATCGCTCATGCCGTAGACGGCCAGCGAGGCAATGCCCAGTACTGCTGACAAGACGGCGAACGCCATGGCCACATAACCCTTGGTAGTGAAGCCCCCGTATTGAATGACTTCAGGTTGCTTAGGAGCGCCCTTCAGATCCAAGAAGTCCTCGGTGTTGCCCGCGGCATTTCCCGTGAAGGGGACATCTGCAGCTCGACAGGCAGCATAGTGGTCCTCGGGTACATGGACCCGCTCTTGGATCTGGAGGGGCGCTTCAATGAACACGGAAGCAAGACCCTGAGCCAAGTGCCAGTCGATATGGCAGTGGAAAAACCAGACGCCGGGATTGTTCGCAACGAAACGAAAGACAAGATGTCCCTGCGGTGGAAGAAGAATGACATCTCGGCGGACTGGATAGGTGGGGAAGGCAGAATGGTTGTTCTGATCAAACGGCACGGGGTCAGCAAGCGACGAATAGTTGTAAAAGGTGGCAAACGGAGGTTCTCGGTTGATTATCTGAAAGTTGTGGCCGTGGAGGTGGAAGGGATGGGATCCGGTATCGTTGTTGTTCAGCACCACCTCAATGACTTCGTTGTGACCGAGCACGAACGCGTTCGTGTTACCATAGACTTGGTTATCGAGGGCTTGTTCCCCAGCCGACAGCACAGTGTAGAGCACTGGTACTTTTGGTGGCGTGTACGTGACGTTGTTTAACAGCGCATACGGCAGGCCATTCTCCAGCTCGGCCATGACAACAGCTAATTCAATACGCTGATCAGGTTCGCCTAATAGCATTTCACGATCGTTTGGCACAAGGGTGAAATCATCAAAGGCCGGTATAGAGTCAACAACATCCAGAGTGACCACGGCCTCCTCGTGTGGGGCAGAGCTATTGTACTCCAGCCAGTTAGTATTGTTGAGTCTTAAATGCTCAGGAATCGTGTCGAGGAGAGTTTGATCCGCCACCGTCACAATGGCGTAGTTTTTGTCCGTTGTGGGTTTTGTCGTGACCAAAACAGAGTACCGCTGAGCCACAGCAATGTAAAGTCTGTCTGCCTCGGCAGCGTCGACGTAGACGCCGTCTACCTCGACGATTCGCAATGTGTGACCCTCGATATAAAAGTATTGTCCGACAAACGCTCCGATGTTTATGATCCGTAATAGATAGGTCGTATTGGGCTGAACAGCAAGGCTGGAATTGTGCGTGTCATTGAAGAGGAATGAATCTGGTATCGGCTCCGCCCCTGTCGGATTGAAGAGAGACTTGAAACGGATATCCTCGACAAGGTCATGGTACCAGTCACTAAGCGTCACAACAAACTCCTCCGCATAGTCATGATAGAAATAGGCGTCTTGGTCGTGTACAATCAGTGCTTGACGGTAGCCATCGGGATAGCAATAGTCGACGTGGCAATGATACCAATAGGTCCCATTCTGGTTGATAGTGAAGTTGTAGGTGAATGATGAGCCGGGGGGGATAGGGCATTGCGAGACCATGCTTGCCCCGTCCATGTCGGTGGTACCATTCTGAAACATACCATGGAAATGGATGCTGGTATCTTTGTCCCCAAGCCCATTATGCGTATGGACTACCAGCCGATCACCCTTGTCCACTTCAATTGGTGGGAGCGGCCATGTATTGTTGATGCCAACGACTTTGCGCTCGTACAAGCCGTCAGGGTTCGCCATTACCCAGGTCACATTGAACCAGTATTCAACCGTCTTGGATAGACATGGGGAGACCAGCAGCGTCAGAGCCAGCCAAGTGAACCAAATCATGATGAGGAATCACCTACAGGCGGTCAAAGCGAGTCAGAAGAACTGGAGGAGATGTGAGAGCAAGGACTGTAGGTGATGTGACAAGCGTGCTGCAATCCCTCGCCGAGGGAAGCAGAGCATTATCTGATTATCGGACTCTGATCACAAGGCCTTGAGAGACCAATTGAGTCGGGCATTTGGCTAAGGTGCGTAGCAGTCCCACCGAGAGCAACACTCACTCCGCGCCGATTGCAAAGTTATTGAAGCATCCGCCATCGCTAGTGGCTTCCTAGTGGCTGTGGTTAGTGTGCTGAGAGGTTTTTGGATCTGTAGGCCTCGAGAGAGCGAAGACCATCCGACGTCGGACGGAAACACCGGCATCATTGTTGTAAGGTCGCATTGAGTATCGAGAGAACCACGTGCGCGTTTACGAGAAGCTGCAGCTTGAAAACTCTGAAGCCTCGTTAATATTCCGCGCGTCGGCGTGGACAGGGCAGGTCGGCGGTTAGAGTTCGGGGTCAGACATGGATGCTTGACGAAAAAAATCATGGGCATACGTAAACCCCTGAAAAGTATCTGATAAGATTGATCCCAGGGAGATACGATTAGATAATGGTAATCGAGCAATCTCCTCCCGGTGTCCGTATTTTTCGAGCATCGCTTGCAGTTCCTCGCAGTCCCCTCGGTAGAACGTGGTCTGACTAGCAGGAAGTAACCCTGGTGGATGCCCAAGAAAAGCTTGTCAGAGCCAAGTGAGAAGGCTAAAGCTTGTTGTTTCCGCCATGCATTGACCACTCACCACTGACCACGGGCATCCTGCGACTAATAGTCGCGGTCTGTGTCCGCGGTGTGAGGTTCATCAGGAGCCCCACTTCCATATCAGTGCTGGTATTGTCCACACTCCCTCCATCGCACTATGCCGATTCCCGGAGTGACCAAAGACTAGGGGATTGTTTAGCTTGTAGGATCCGTGGCCGCAAGGAGCAAGCATGGCCTACCTGAGATGATAAAGTAGCCCAGTCAGTGCCTGAGCTTGACGCTTCCCATATGAACCTCAACCAAGGCCAACAACTTCTCCCCCGAAGCAGAGCGCCCTTCTCCTCACTGCTTTGACTCTTTTCACCATGGTCAACGTCTTCGCACCCCAGATCTTCTTTATCGTTTTCCGAGAATGCCTGGAAGCCGTCATTGTCGTTTCAGTCCTTCTCTCCTTCCTCAAACAAACTCTCGGCCAGCCAGATCAGGACCAGAAAATCTATAAACGCCTGGTCAAGCAAGTATGGTGGGGATCCATACTCGGAATCTTGATCTGCCTTATCATCGGCGGCATATTCATTGGAGTTTTCTACGGTTTAGGCCACAATATCTGGGCTCAATCCGAAGACCTCTGGGAGGGTATCTTCTACCTGGTCGCGTCTATCATTATTACGGCCATGGGACTCCCCTTGCTCCGGATCAACAAGACTCAGGAGAAGTGGAGGGTGAAGATAGCTCAGGCATTAGTCGAGCAAAAGAACAAGCATCACAGCGTCGGCTCCTATCTCAGCAGCTGGTCTAGACGTTATGTCATGTTCATTTTACCGCTGATCACAACTCTACGAGAAGGCGTCGAGGCTGTGGTATTTGTCGGCGGAGTTTCGCTGGGTCAGCCTGCCACCGCATTCCCCATCCCCGTGATCACAGGAATATTGGCTGGGCTGGCCGTTGGGTTGATTCTCTATAGGGGCGGTAACGTCCTGTCGATCCAGATCTTCCTCATAGCCGCCACCAGTGTTCTCTACCTCATCGCCGCAGGAATGTTCTCCAAATCCATCTGGAGCTTACAATACCATGTGTTTGCTCACAAAGTCGGTAGCGATGTTGCCGAAGCAGGAAACGGGCCAGGATCTTATGACATCCGAGAAACAATTTGGCACGTCAACTGTTGCAATCCGGAGACTGACAATGGCTGGGACGTCTTCAACGCGATTCTAGGTTGGCAGAATACCGCAACTTATGGATCCGTCATCTCCTACATCATGTACTGGGTCTTTATCGTTTTCTGCGTTCTCTGTCTTTTGTATGAGGAGAAGACTGGCTCCCTACCCCTCAAGAAGCAACTTGTCTCCTTTTCGCTCAAAGTCCCTGGTGTCAGGACTTACATCAAACGCAAACAGGCCTTGAGCAAAGACCAAGCGGAAGACGTCATCAGGCAGGGCCAGGAACATCTGCGAGCTCAAAATGCCCTCCAAGAGCCCGATATTCAGGTTGTCCCTTCCGAGCCACAGTCCGGGTTACACAAATGAGCTGCGCCGGTAGATGAACACGAAATCTGGGGTTATCAAGGCTAGTACCTTGTAACACGTGGTTGTTTGATGCTGCATTGCAGTTCAGGGTAGCATTTCAGACAGGACGGAGCTCCGATGTGCTCGCCTAGGATAGTAGATAATATGTTTCTCATGGCATGTTGAAATACAGAAATCCGGCCAAACTGCTCTAACTGCTCTATTGGGAAACGATGCAATTCTATAGACCGCCGCTGCATAAATCGTGAGAGCTTTCGCAATATTGCGTTACAGACACCAACCGCGCCGACCCCATCAATTACTGCTCGCTTCCGAAGAAACTTGAAAGAAAGGCTCTGCTATGCAAGTGCCGTTTGCCAGTCGTTGCGACACTCGATGAGTTATTCGGCTTGAGCGTGTAGACGGTAAGTCTGCTTGACCCGCCGCAGTACTCTGTTTGATTGCCCGCACAAATCATGGAACAGTCCGCGGGATTGGACGCAATGGCACCGCCATTCGTGATGCCAATGCTGTTGCAATAGCACTCTTTACTGTACTCGACGCCAGCATAGCTGTAGCCCTTGGATGAGCAAGTCGACACACACTTCTCGACGGTCATGCCGCTGTCCGAAGTCGAATAGCTCTGTGACCCGCCGAGTGCACGTCCCGAACTGCCCTCCATGTAGCAGCCCAGAAACGTGAAGTTGCTCACGGTAGGTTGGTTCCCAGGTTGCTGGAAATTCTTGTTCTGGAACAGGCTCAAGGCGTTGGGACCTCCACAGACCTCGGAGCTGTTGCCGGAACATTGCATACTGCACTTGCCCTCGGCGATTGGCGCGGCGGAGGACGCGAGCGTGTTGCCGACCCAGCATTCTGAGGCATATTCGATACCAAAGTACTTGTAATTACCGCTTTGAGCCGCTTGTGCGCAAAGCTCGAGAGTCATCTGGGAGCTGGTTGTGCGTGTTGCTAAGGTTCGCGGATTGCCGTTGTCGGAATAGCAGCTGATATAAGTTGCGCCGCTTACTGAGGGTCCCGGAGGCGGCGGCTGAGTAGAGTTGCCGGTAACGGTCCAGACGCTCAAACGGCTCGGGGCACCGCAGTATTCGGTCGAGTTGCCAGAGCAAACCATTGCGCAGTCCGTCTGGTTGGCTTTGGTGGCAGGAACTGAAGGTCCACAGTAGCATTCCTTGGAATATTCTGTGCCAAAGACGGAGTATCCCTGGTTTAGACAATACGTAGCGCAGGTAGATGTGCTCATTCCAGTTGCATTCGAGGTACTTGCGCCGGAAAGTGCTCTTCCCCCCGTCGAGTCGACATAGCACCCTTGGTAGTTGGCAGTCTGGCCATTGGAGAGGGTAAGTGTGGTGACATTGGCAACTGGTTGAACTCTTGTCTGTCCGTCGGTGTCGGTCAGATTGTTCAGGCTGGGCTGTGTGGGACATATTCCTTGGGGAGCGGAAGCAGGTCCATGCGTCACATTGTTGCAACCTGGAAGCTTGGGTAGCACTCCTATAACTTGCTCGTTGACAAGTGATGCACGCTCAGGGCAGTTTGTTCCGAAGTATTCGTCGTTGGAAGCAGCCAGAGGTGGACATTCCTCTATGACTCCATCCTCGTTTGCATTGATACACTGAGTAACAGCATCACTGAGGGTCTGGTTATCCCATCCATTCAGGAAGTCTGGTTAAGCATCATCAGTTTGGGCATGACGGGACGAGATATCTATAGGCAAGACTTACCGCCATGGAAACCATAGCCAGTGGCGTCACCGTTAGCAAATACAAACTGACCTCCATCCGACGTATCGAGGTCGTTAGGAAAGTAGTACATCTCGAAAAAGAGATGAGGCAACACTTTTGGATGAGTAGGTGGACAAATGCCATTGTCAATCTGTGACATATAGGCCACGTGGGACTGATCGGGCTTGTAAAGATTAACCCCGTCCCAGCAACTCTGGAATTGAATCTGAGCACGAAGACCATCGGGACAATTTGTGTTGTTCAACGCAGGAGTCTGTTGCTGGGGTTTATCGTAGTCGATGCACACAAAGCTGACTCTATCCGAAACAGGCCGTCCAGGGCTCTGCTTCGTCCCGTAGGTGAGAGTGTTGCTATCGTACGACCGAGCTGTGGTGTCACCAGAGACCATACGAAATCCTTCTGGAAAAGGAATGATGTTGGCGCGGTCGTCACCTCGACCCAGGTAGTAAACCACAGTGCCTCCATTTGGGACATTGATGAAAGAGCCATTCTTGTACTGATAGTAGAGAAGAGGTGTCCAGTAGGCACTCAGATCTTTCTGGACTGAACAAGTAGTGCAAGATGCCCGAGACAAAGAATCGAATGTTGATGTTGTGTCGATATCTTTATCCTGTCAGCGGGATGAGGCGTGCAAAAGAGTTGGCACAAGACTCACTGATGGCACCCGACAACACATGCGTATGGCCTGAAACCTTACCCGGGCTAATGATGGGATCGATCCGACCGAGTTGGGCAATACCACAATTCATACGCCAAAAAGCATCGACTGATGGATACCACGAGGCAAGGCTGATCGCCAACGACCACGAGGTGTTGATCTTCATGGTGGCTGAGAGATGAAATGAAATCTAGAATGAGGCAACGATCGCCATTCTGACTTCGCAATGAGGATGGCTGCATTATATACCGACTTCAACAGGTGCTCGTAGGCGAGATATAGGTGTTTGCGCGCTACCAGCCCGTTGAAGGGCTTGACAGGGGGGCTGACAGCACAGGCCAATTAAACTTGCCAGCAAACTGGTGGGACCATCAAAGCGTATTGTACGCTGTTGATGTAGAACACATACCTATTATTTGGAATATTGCCCCCGCGAGATGGGTTGCATTGGATGACGGCCCATTGTGTATACCTGCCGTGAACGAGCTGGAGGAATAGAGGATGGCAGAAATGTTTACCGATTCATGGAGACACTTGTTGACCAATGTATCAAGATGAGCGCGGACAAGCGCGATCCCAAGGATCGAGCCACGCCTGCTGAGCCAAGGGGTTGAAAGTCAGACGCACAGATGTATAGCCACGGTATTCCTGCGTGGGAAAAAAGTCCAAGCGGAAGCGTGGCACTTCCAGGCCCCTGCTCTATGGCGCGTGCCATTGACGGCGGTGGCTGTTCTTTGAAGAAACGGCACGATAGCGCAATAGTGAACAAAGTTCTCCACGTGCTTAGGTCCTGGATGCTTGAACATTCGAGGAGTTGAGCGCATGACCGTTGAGCGGTAGTGCCAGTCGACTGATATATGACATGAGGACGGAGATTGGGGACACGAGAAACGCCAAACACGCTATGATTTTCGCGGGTCAGGGTCGGAGATACTTCTTTCCGATTATAGCAGCCATCGCCTCCTTTACTTTTGGTTAGTCAGTTGAGCCTCCTCCCGCCGCTACAAGCACATACGGTCTTTCTCAACGCGCTTGGTTGAGATTCGCTATCTGAACAACAATATCTTATCCAGTGACTGCGACGACCTTGCAAATGGGCGGATCTTCGTGCTTTTCAGAATAAGCGCTAGATGAAATTGGCTGAGCACGGAATTGTGACCCGTGCAGCCTTGCTTGGACGATGCTCGCTACAAATGGAACCTGAGTGTCTGATCACATTAAAAGCAACGCACCGGTCTCACGCACTTCACCGTGTCTGACCATCCCCATGCCGGTATGGCCTCCTTGGGTCGGCGAAGTCACAATTCCAGGGAGGCAACGAGCTATGGTGTCCGACTTTGACGTTGCCGGCGCAGCCCTCTAAGACACCGGGGATGACACTTGTGGCTTCGTTGATTTCAAATACCTCCTGGTCACGATGGTGCAGGCCACATGCGACCAAGGCGAATCGTTCTCATGATCACGCTAAACCCCATTTGATCTCTACCTTCTCTCGCCTTCTGATGGATACACCCTCGAAGCGGAAGAGATTGAGATAGTTTCGACCTTGTTGTTGACGTCGTTAGGTGGATGATCCAGGGATATTCGATCGACTGGGCACAGAGTATCAATCAATGGAATTGAGAAATAATTCTACCACTTAGTGAACAGCCTTTCCTGAAGAGAACGCGCCAACCGAACCACGGCACGATCGATCCGGGTGAAGTAGTCCCCCGCCGTCACCACGATGAAAGTGAGAACCAACGCCTCAACTAAGTAACCCCAAATCGCTTCACCAGCCCATTCATTCCGCCAGGAATTCATGTATTGGTTCTGCAAGCCCATGCCGACTGGGACGTGCATAGCGTACAGGCCAAAACAGATTTCTCCAATGTACTGCGATACCCTCCATTCCAGCGGCCGCTGCAGCCTCGGGCAGAACTCCAACGCATACACGAGGCCCAGACTGCCCCAGCCGAGCCAGAAGATATAATGCGCCGTCTCGCTCCACCAGGGTGGGACCACTTTGTCGAGATATACCCAAGGGAAATCCCCCCAGAGGCGCATTTTCATTTGTCCGGCGTCGTTTTCTCCAAGGAGCAGGAAGGCGATGATGAAGAGGACGGTGTGGCTGATCTCAGAAAGGCGCGATTGTGGCGGTGTCGGTTCTGCGTCTGTGGTTTCGGTCATGGCTAATGGGGAGGGTTCCGAGATGCGCTCCGGGTGGCGAACTAGAGATAGCTGTGCGATGAGGAGGCCGCCAGTGAACTCGGCAATGTAGACGGCCTGCCAGCAATAAGCCATAAGAATGACGACCCCCATGACCACCATGCGTGCCTTGGCGGTCAATTTGCAAATGGCCGCGCAGAACGCGAACAAGAAAACACTGCCCCGGAACTCCACGGGGATAGTCCACATCTGCGGCAAATAGGCGCTGGCAAGAGGCTTGTCGTCCTTGATGTCCGTGATCCTCGGTGACAAAGGGTTGCAGAACTTGAAGAGGTCTACGAACCAATTTTTGAGCTGCTCATCGATGGATTCAAAGTAGATCTTGTTAAAATACACGCCGTTGTAGAGACGCAGGCGCAGCAGGATGAGCGTGATGATCAAGGCCACCACAACACTGCCGTAGAGCCGCATATACCGTCGAAACAAGGCGGAGGCGAGACCCTGCAGCATCCGCCCTTCTTCCTTCCTGTGCATGGTTAATAATAACCCATACCCCAGGACGTGGCCCGAGATAACGTAGAAGAGGTTGACCATGCCGGACCCGGCGAAGAAGGTGCTGACGAACGGGTAGCGGCGCCACGAGAGGTCACCGCGCTTATCGTACAAGTGGAAGATATAGACGATCACGGCGGCGTAGCCGCGCAGAGCGTCCAGGTAGGCTGTTGGGCCTGGGCGAGGGGGTGGTATGCGGCTGGGTACGCAGTACGTTGGCAGGGCGGATATGAACAGGCGGCCCGTCGCTTGAAGACAAGTATATAAATATAATGGCAGCTCTTTCAGGTAAGAGAGGTGCCATTGGAATTTGCGGTTCAGATATGCGGATTTCCTTTGCTCGGTCTCTAAGGGGTTCAGAAGGGGGATGTCGTCGATGTGTCCTTCGTCGGATTGAGTCAAGAGAGGCACATCTTCTGAATCGAGATCGTCGTCTTCTTTGACGTGGACAACAACAGCCTCGGTCTCTTCGTGCTTGACTTCTGAGTTCCACTCCGCCTTGATCGGAGAATGATTATTGCGGTCGCCGTCGACGTCGCCTTCAACGTCGCCTTCAACGTCGCCTCCAGTGCGAATAGGCAGGTCCTCTTCTGCCATTGCGAGAGGTGTTGAAGTTATTCATTAACAGCGTCAGGGGGTGGAAAGGAAGAAGACAGAAGATGCACCGGTCGCGCATACCGGTCGCACATGCCCCTAAGCCTGATCTGGTATAACAAATCCGCTAGATCCCAAAAGGCGCTCTAGGTTTAGCTAGAGGGCAGCCGACTCCATCCGAAAGTACCAGGTGAAAAGTCATGAAGACTGTAGAAAGGGCTTCTGAGAATATTCTTAACAGAAATTAAGTATCCCGTTCCAAGTGACTTTCGAGTTCGTTGATAGTCCCGCTTGATGTCGCTACGCTGGCGAGGCTGAAGTAATGTGGAGCCCAGCCTCGCCAAAAACGCCTCCCTCAGCCTCGCCATATATGATTGGTCGTCAGCTCAGGAGGCTGTCAGCCCCGATGCCGGCTACAACTGACTGATTAGAAAATTGAAATGCAGCCTTGCACATCAGAGACCTTCATCTCTCTACCACCTGCCTTGGCTGTATCGTCTCCATTATTCACAGACAGTTGCTTGTCCAGATAACGATCTTGATCTATTTCTCTATAACCACACCACACTAAGTCCGCGCCTAGAGGGTCTGGCCTAGTAAGCCCCGTTTCACAACTGCCATCGTCTGCCGCTTACTCGCTTCCGAACAACGTCTAACCACCTCTCCCCTCATCACCGTTGTTAACGGACACTGTCAGAATGGAGTGTATCTTGCACAAGTACTTTCCAAAGCGTTATCTATTGCTCCTGGAATACCTCTACCGCACTCCCTCCAACGCCGGCGTCACCAGAGAAGCTCAACCGCCCAATGTCCTTCTCTTCATAGGCGGCTTGTACGACAGCTTCCGCAGTCCAGGCTACGTCGATGACCTGGCTGCGTTGTTTCCGCGCAACGCACCGAATCAGAAATGGAGGGTTATGCACGTCCAGCTATCATCGGCCGGCAGGGCATTTGGCGTCTTTGATCTGAACCGCGATGTAAGTGAGAGGACAAAAATCTCAATCTTTCCTGCTTCGGCACGGAGCCGACGTTGGCCGACTTGGGTTCTCGCACGAGAAGAAAGTAGTGAACTACTGCACTCGGCCAGCCCTCTGACCCTGTCAACTTTCACCGCATCCAGCCTCATTATTGCAGATCTGATCTGACATTATTTGCTTTTTGCACTACCGCGTAGGTGGAGGAAATCAGCCACGCCATACGCTATATCCGCGAGAACGTCACACAGTCCTCATCCACGCCCGTGGTCATCATGGGCCACTCGACGGGATGTCAGGACGTGATGCACTATCTCACCAGCGCAACCTCGTCCTCGCCGTCGCAACCGAGATCAGTAATCTCGGGCGCGATCATGCAGGCCCCCGTCTCGGATCGTGAAGCCATCCTGGACGAAACCAACAAGAAGCCCGACGTCCGGGAATCGTACGAAAAGGCGCTGGCCACGTGCGCGTCGACCCCTGTGTCGAAGCACACCACCACGATCCTACCCACCGACATCACCAAGGACATAGTGGGATCGGCGCCAATCAGCATTTCCCGGTTCCTCAGTCTCGCCTCGCCCGACTCTCCCGCCCGCCCTTCCATCGACGACTACTTCTCCAGCGACCTGTCGGACGAACACCTCCTGACAACCTTCGGGCGCATCGGCTCGGTCGAATTCCTTCAGCCGGAGCCGACGGGCTCGATGCAGGAGAAGCAAAAAAGCATCCTGATTCTCGAATCGGGCAGCGACGGCGCCGTGCCGGCTTACATCGACAAACACCAGCTCATTGGACGGTGGAAGCACGCCATCGAGGCGGGAAGCGACGGCAAAGCCACTTCTTCGTCTCACTCGATGGTCGTTCCCAATGCCGTGCACGACATCGGAGGCACGACCATCGAGGCCCGGACCGCGCGTCTGATCGACATGCGTGGCGCAGTGCTGCGATATCTCCAAGATGTTGTTGGGGATATCGGCCACGAGACCGATTCCTCTGGACCCTGGCCGATCTGGCAGCACGACAAAAAGGCCATTGAGGCCGAGGCCGGAGTGACTGACGTCAAGCTATAGAAAGTTAAACCCCTTTTGCTTGGATAACGTTCTGCGAGAATCAAAGGCACGTGTATATTCACTCATGGATAAATAACACTTGCACCTCCCTCGCTTGTCACCTAACCTGATACCTATCGCCGGCTTATGCCTCATTCTAATGGCCCCCCGTATCCACTGTATTTGTTTATACCTGATTTTGCGACATATGACCCAAAACAAAATACGATCAATTTCCCATACCAGCGCTGTGCAATCTTGTCGGAGCAGTGCCAAGAGCTCGAGACCTCACGGGTTACTCATGCTCCTTTTCGTTCATTGTACCAATTTTCTGACCTGCCGCCTTGTCAGGGCTAATTTTGACTTCGTTCTGTGCAGACTTTTCTTCTTGTTTCTTTTCTCGCTGTTCCTCTTCCTGGATGGCCTTTTGCCTCGCCTTAATCTGAGACATGACCTCGTGGGCGTGTGCAGCATATTTGCATTTCATCCGAATCGACCTGCCGTATTTGTAGAAGATAAACGGGAACGGCGTGCACGCTGCGGCAAGGATGGCGGGTATGGTGCTTGCCACGTGAATCCCCAAGTTTTTAAACATATATGATGTGAAGAGAGGGAACACCGCTGCAAAGAGGGCTCGGAGAACTGCACTCGCTGCCAGAACGCTCGCGGCGTATATCGTGTACGAGTCGATGAGGTAGTTGATGCCGGCGAGGAAGGCAAGCACCGTGCCAAAACCGAAGGGGGCCGTGAAGATGATACACACTATCCAGTGGATGCGAGGATAGTTTGTCCACGCAAAGACGAACATTCCCACGGGGATAACAATAGCAGCAACTTGAGCCGGAGGCAGTCGGACTTCAGGCGGGGCGTCGCCGTTATGCTCCTTCTCTAAGCGCTTGTAACGGATGTTGTCGAGGATGCAGTACATTGTTCCAAGCATCTGGCCACATGTGATTCCGAGGAAGGCCAGTCCGCTGACGCCTTGTGACCATCCCCGTTGTTCTGCGAATACGATAGGGAATGCGCCGAAGAGCATAAACAGTGTCCCGTAGAGGATAGCCATCCACACTGAGATCATCAACACAATGGGCTCGAGGAACAAGAGGGCCCAAGGGCGAACCAGGGCCTTTTGGAACGCCGCAGCCGGCGTGATCTTGCCCTGGCGGTGTTCGATGGCAGACACATAGACCTTTCCCGTGCGTTTGCTGAGTTCCTGCGCTCGTCGTCCCAGGATCACGGGTGTGTACGTCTCGGGAATTATAAGCGTACCGATGATCCAGAAAGCACCACAATAGAGCGCCATGACACCTTCAACCCACCGCCAGCCAACAGTTTCGGCAATGAACCCCCCCACGATTGGGCCAAGTGATGGCCCTAGAAAGGGAGCGGCGGCGAAAACAGTCAATCCCAGGCCGCGTTGACTGGCAGGGAACATATCTGCTATCACGCCTCCGGCGTTGGTTAGTGGTGAGGAGCCGAACGTTCCTGCGATGAAGCGGAAGATGGTCAGCGTCGCGATGGAATGGGCTCCAACAGCAGCGCCGTTGAAGGCCGTGATGATGGCGAACGTTCCGAAGAAGAGGACCTGGCGTCCATATAGTTCCGAGAGAGGTCCCCATATTGTTGGACCAAAGCAGAAGCCCAGCACAAAGAAGGATGTGCCCAGAGTTGCAACTTCTTCACCACAGCCGAATTCTTCCCTGATCTGGGGTATCGCAGCAGAGTAGGCGGAGGCAACTAGAGAAACTGCGAGAGTCGCAAAGGCGGCAGTCAGAGTGATTAGCCATTTCTTCCAGTCAGGCCATTCCATGGGATTCCTCTGGTCGAAAGGAATATATTCGATCAGGAATGGGTCTTGGGTCGTGCCAGAGCCCTTGTATTGATAGTTGACGACATCATCGGTGATTCCTGCTGGACTGAGAACCATCCGCCAGTGAGAAAGCTTTTGGGGAGAAGGGGCCTTCTGACCCTCGACATCGTTGGGCCGGTTGGTATCGGTCGATAGTGTCGAGGACGATGAGTCCGCAGGCGAAATCGACATTATGGCGTCTTCGTTGACGGAGACGAGGCCAGCAAATTCAGTAGAGAGACAGAGAGAGTAGTCGAAGCATGCTTGGAACAGGACTAGGTGAGCGAGTGCGACCTACATGATACCATTTCACATCTTATAAGAGGAGTCACTGCATTTACGCGAGGTCTATCTCCGCGCAGGCACATGCAGACAGGGATCGCCGTGCGGTGTACAACTCGTGAGAACTTAACTCCGCCTCGTTCGGACGAGCGCACGAAGGACGGAAGACACTGTCTGACGAAACATGTCTAGACCTCGCACTGAGCGGCAAGTCGTCAAAATGTGCACGTCAGACGGAGCACAAAGAATTCGATATGCCAGGGCGATGTGTGGCATTGGTAGGAGGGAGGAGGAAGAGCCGCCGGACTGTCCAGGGGGCCGGCGTGGTGGTTCCAGGAGATGCGGAAAGTCCATGGAGACGGATTTCTCGTCCGACAGAGATGCCGATTCATCCGAAAACGGCTAGTGAGGCTGGTCTGACAGAGCAATGCAGGAGCCAATTTCTCTGGCCATTTGCTTCGTCAACTTGGGCGTGCGCCCATACACAGCGGGTTAAAACCATATTAGAATGTGCGCGGCGTCCGATGATCGATGTAGCATTGTAGCGAATGACGGTACATGTTGTGGTGTCGCGCAGGAAATCAGGTCTTGTTAGCTCAAGATACAAAACACCTATAGAGCCTAAGGTCGGTAGTTCCAGGTAGAGGTATAACAATAGCATAGGCACGTCCTTTGGGAGGTAACTCGTCCCGAGAAATAGCAGAGCCTGTTCTTGTATACATGTAGGACTCAATCCTGCCACTCGCGTTCCGAAGCTCGAATGCCATTCCTCACAATAGGAAAGAAGCCAGACCTTCCTGGATACATCAAGTCTCAGAAGCGGGAAGTCCTCAGCACATTTTGATACCGTCCGACAACAGCTTTCGATGGTGAATTACCCCCAGTGAGGAACTTGACAGTAGGGACCAGGCCCAGTCGCGTTTCAGGCCAGGATTCTTAGCCTCCCAAAGGTGCACATACAATTAAGGACCTTACCGTCGCCAATTTGCCTTTCCAGCAGAGTTGTGCGAGTCGGGCCTTCGGTACCCGTCTATATGTTCTTCATAACTTCAAAAGCCATAGCCGGTTGGTAGCAAGATGGGCCGATTCAGCGTTGCTCGTTTTAGTTGATGATATAGCCGCCGTCTACCACCAATGCATGCCCTTGAACAAAGCTAGCTCTGTTGGAGCATAGAAACAAAGCGGCATCTGCAATTTCTTGTGGCTTGCCCATTCGTCCCATCGGTGCAATATTAATTGCGGGCTTCAATCGGTCAATGGTGAATTGGTCGGACGTGGTCATGGGCGTCTCGATGATACCTGGACAGACACAATTGATCCGGATATGGTCTCTAGAGTAATCGATCGCGTCACACTGTGTCATTGAGATAACGGCGGCTTTACTTCCACAATAATGGGCTGTCGACGAAGGTAAGCGCCAAGTTTCGGCAATGAGAAGATAGGTATTCTGAGTGGACAACTTACGAGCTGTGGGCCGTCCGACAATTCCCAGCTGGCTGGCGATATTGACAATGGCACCTCGTTGCGGCGCTCTGCCACTTTCATCACCGGCCGGAAGGTCTTGTGTCACCATCTGCCTCAATTCTGCACGGGACGACAGCCAGCAACCACGGTAATTGATCGAGTTGATGCGGTCAAACTCGTCAGCGTCCATCTCGTGCGACCTCAAACTCTGTCCCAAGACACCGGCACAGTTGACTGCATAATCGATGGAGCCAAACGTATCGACAACATGCTTCATGAATCCATTGACAAAATCTTCCACGGAGATGTCCCCCGGCTCAGAGTAGACTTTGACGTCGGGCCAAGCAGAGGAGATGGCATGCTTTGTCTGTTCGAGTAGCTCTGCGTTACGGTCAGTGATGGCAATCCTCTTGCATCCAGCTTCAGCAAACGCTTTGGCCGTGGCGGCCCCGATTCCTGAGCGGGGCAGATGTTAATGTTGGATCTGAAAGACCAGAAGGAAGGACAGTGTACCTGTGCCTGCGGCACCAGTGATAACCGCCACTCCCGGATATAAAGCCATGTTGACCTGCTATACTCGTAGGCTCAATTTGGGAAATGCTTCTCCTCGTTCCCTGTGTAACGTTTATCGGCAGTGCTTAGGTCCTGTCCAGGGAGGAATCGTCCCGGAACTTTGTACTCGCACAGACCGGACGGATACAGAATTCCGCCAGTCCAGAGGGTACGACATTTTGCTGGGGATCTGGCTAAAGGCTAGCTCTCTCTTAGCACCTAGTAGAGGCATATTAGGGGCGCTCATCAGGGTCAGTCTTGTATTTATGCAGATAGGGCCAGTATGAACATCACCCCGCTCTCATGGCAGTCAGAACGTGCATCGGTGTCTCGTCACATGCTGTAGTCTGTAAGCAACAGAGTAGCTCGAGGCAAGACATCAGTAAAACTGCAAGCAAAGGCCAAGGGCTTTCAGAACCTTTGTGGTTCCTTCGAACCAGGATCTCAGCAATTCATCCTCTCACATGCTGCAACGAGGAGTTCGACAACAGGGCTCCATCCTCACACTGCATCAAAGCTCGTCGCTTCGCTGGCAGAAAGCTCTTCCAATCACGGGTGTCAGATGCTTGATCAGGCTCTGAAACTCCCACAGGCGAATATAGGGCCCCTCCGGGCTAAAAGTCGGCTGGATAGGGGAATCTCTAAGCAAAGCCTGATGGCCAAGCAGCCCGGGGCACCTACCAGTCAGCTGTTAGTTAAGAATGAGTCTCCCTAGGGACCCTTGCACTGCCCTAAGCGCCCCTAGCTCACGGAAGTTTGCGTCATGCACAACTGCCACCCTCTAACTGCCTTTTACCTTAATTGTCTAGCTTGAACTCACCCTGCTAAGTAATGCCTTGGAGCTTATGCCATGTTGTACATGGTTGTTCGCTGCGGTGGTTTTCTCAGCTTCCACAGTCTTCAAAGTCAATCATACGGAACTGCTCAAACAGTCATGCCATCCCTCCGCCAATATCTCTCAGGCATCTTGGCCACCGTCCCGTTCTTCGATACCTGACCATGACTTCGTAGGCCCACGTTTCGTAGGCTCTGGGTCCCTCCATTCGCCGCTCCCGGGATCTTCGCTTTGGCCCTCAGTACCGACGAAGACCTTATCCTGATCCCACTCCAGACCTCGTTGAATATCGGCGAAATGGCTCCTCAGCCTCCTCAATGGGTCATAGATGTCTGGGAATATTGCAAGAAGAACATCATCCCGGATGTCTTCATTAAGAGGAGGCTCAATTTTATTACAGTGCATTACCTATACCTGATAGGAATGTCACTCTTGTTGTCGGTTCTTATATATGTGCAAGGGGAAATGTCCTACATCGACGCTCTGTTCTTTGCATCTGGGTCTTGCACACAAAGTGGCCTCAACACCATCGACGTGAATTTGGTTCATACAGGCCAGCAATTCCTGTTTTACTTTGGAGCCATGGTCTGCAATCCCATTGTCATACATTCTGCAGTGGTCTTTGCACGCTTGTATTGGTTCGAGAAGAGATTCAAAGACATAGTGCAGGCATCCAAAACGTTGAGACGCACGAAATCCCGGTCAAGAACCAACACCTTTAACAAAGAGGAAGCTGAAGCAGCCCAGGAGCCCGTGGGTGTGAGAGGGCGGGCTATCAAAATCCTACGGAATACTGGTCACCATGAATCTTCTGTGCGCAAGAAAGGCGAAGGTGGAAATGAGGCCAACGGGAAAGCTCTCGAGTCCTCGAAAACCTCTCCTCGTGACAGCGACGACGGGGGACGAACGTCAATCCAAGCGGACGAATTGCGCCTTCGGCGGAGCCGGTCAACGGACGATGTCCGGCTACCGCAACAGTTGAGCCCAGAACAGCACATCCGGTTCCTGGAAAATCAGCGGAACCCATCAGACACCACCACATTAAGAATCCCCAGTCCCCGAGAATTCGAGCTTGGTAGTCGACCAGAGCACGTCAACGATGGCATCGATAACAAGTTACGTCGTCAGGTCACAAGTGATCCTGACCTCCCACGAACAAACAAGATAACCCAGAAGCGGAGTATAGAACTCGGGCAGGGTCCTGATGGTGCTGGACCAACCCACATCACTATTAATGAGCCCCATTTCATTCGCGAGCGTACTGACCGAGTCACAACCTTCCCACGGCTCAACACGAGACAGTCGACGCAACCGCCAGAGGCATACGATCCTGCCAGCGGACCTGGATCCAACCTCAGGAGGGGAAGGTCGATGACCTTCCGCTCGCTTCAGCGCAGCAACACCGCCCGTACCATGGAGCCAGCGCCCTACCTAACCTGGGAGCCCACCATCGGACGAAACTCGTTCTTCGTAGGACTGACAGAGGAACAAAGGGAAGAGCTCGGTGGTATCGAATATCGCGCCCTCAAAACACTCGCGTTGATCCTGGTTATATATTTCTTCTCCTTCCACGCACTCGGAATTGTTTGCCTGACCCCGTGGATCTTGCATACGCAGCCGTACGGGCATGTAGTCACCTCGCAAGGTCAAGGTCGTGTCTGGTGGGGGATTTTTACTGCCGGATCTGCCTTCAATGATTTGGGTTTCACCCTCACCAACGATTCCATGATATCGTTCGGCAGGGCCATTTTCCCGCTCCTTTTGATGACATTTCTCATCGTCATCGGCAACACTGGCTTCCCATGCATGTTGCGCTTCGTCATCTGGGTGGTCTCCAAGTGTGTACCTGTTGGACATCCTCTCTGGGAAGAGCTACGATTTCTCTTGGACCACCCCCGTCGGTGCTTCACACTCCTATTCCCACGGAACGCAACATGGTGGCTCTTTGCGATATTGGTCATCCTCAACGGGCTTGATCTCATCTTCTTCATAATTCTCGACCTGAACGACCCTGTCATTCAACAAATCCCGCCTGGCATTCGGTTTGTCGACGGGCTTTTTCAGGCTTCTTCCACAAGGACAGCCGGTTTCTCCGTCGTCAACCTGGCGGAACTTCACCCGGCGATCCAGGTTAGTTATCTTATCATGATGTACATTTCAGTCTTTCCAATCGCCATTTCGATGCGCCGAACAAACGTCTACGAGGAGAAGAGCTTAGGGATCTATGGTCCTAGTGACGAGGACGAGGATGGCAAAGAACCTAGTTACGTCGGCGCGCACTTGCGAAAGCAGCTTTCTTTCGACTTATGGTACATTTTCCTGGGTATGTTCATCATCGCCATTGTGGAAGGAGGTCGACTACAGAACACAAACGAATATGCCTTTACCCTGTTTTCGGTACTATTTGAGATCGTCTCGGCGTACGGAACAGTTGGCTTGTCTCTGGGTTACCCTACCAGTAATGCGTCTTTCTCCTCGCAATTCCACACGCTCTCCAAATTGGTGATCATTGCCATGCAAATTCGAGGACGACACCGTGGTCTACCATACGAATTAGACCGCGCAATTCTACTGCCCTCGGAAAGCCTCGAGGAGAAGGAAGCCAGAGAATCTGAGCGGGTGCTGCGACGAAGAAGGTCGTCCATCGGAGCCATGTCTACGATGTCGGCCGTGGATGGCAATATGGAAGGGCATCAGTTCCGTCCTGAAACCGGGCTTACCTCTGGTTACTATTCAGCGGACCGTGACGGTGCTGACACCCGAGCACGAGGCAACACAAATACCGCATCTGGCAGTAATGCCGCTGGACATGGGATCAGTGCTCGACGTGGTTTGGGGATGGGAATGTTCAAGCTGGCGAACGAGGTGGACGCTATCAAGGAAGAAACCCCGTTGCATCACCAAAAATGAGACGACAGTCTGGCGTCGGTTTTCTTTTATCTCCTCCACTACTTTGGTTTTCTTGGGATGCCTGCATACATTTGAGCGAAGGCGCAGGAGGAGCATTGCCGTACTACACACCAAGTACGTAACGAGCCACGAGCAGACGATGACCCGTGGATGAAGCATTATAGAATCCACTGGCTGTTCAATGCGGGTCGCCGTTAACTTAGATATAGAACGTGATTTCTCTGTACAAAGCAACAGAGTCTTCGTTTCCCGGTCCCTATGACTGTCCTCCGTACACGTCGTTTTGTGTGTTTTGTGTTGCGTGGGCAGGGAAATAGCAGAGTAAGCAGCAAGATTGCCATGTTGCTGCGCCTCATGGCGGACAACACGGGCCTTTTCTATGGGACACGGCAACGGGCCATGTTTCATACCAAGAAATGCCAAGACTTCGCCGCCGTCGATGGTGTCACGCTTGCGCCTTGGCTGGAGGGAAGGAGCCCCCGGCAAGAGTTCAGGTACAGAGGGAAGGCGCAAGGGGGGGTCGCCCGAGCCAGCCAGATTCTCCTCCTCGTCGTCCGCTTCGACTGCTCCTCGCCATGCGCATCCAGGCCGGCCTCAGTCCCTCAGACCAGCCTGTGTCCAGCCCGCTGGTCCTTATTCTCCAGCCTTGAGTGACCCAGCCAGTCCGAGCTCCGACCTCCGTCATTCACCTCACCACCACTATTATAGTGCACGAGTTCAATACCGAAACTCCGTCCCTGTGCACCCGCCCGCTTGTTTTTCTTGGGATTGGCCGCTGCAGAAGGCTTGTCACCTCTTGCGCACTTCTTCACCAAACCCTCCGCAATTCTCTTTTACCTCTCAGTATTCTCTCTTTGCGGACAGCATCAGCGGATCCTCCCAAACCCTCGCTTTTCGACCTGATAGCCACTGTCTGGAATCGTTGGTGGCGGCCTCTCTCTATCTTCTCTCCGCTCCCTCCCCTGTCACTCGCTTCGTAACCTCTGACGCGCCCTCGAAAACCCCAAACACGACTTCAGGCAGTCCGACTCTTGGCTCCGCTGGGCGTCTCTCCTATATACCTCGCCGTTGTGGTCTTGCGCGCAACTTGTGTTACTCACTGGGCGACCTATGCAAACGCCTGCGGTGTGAATCTCCTTTCCCTGCGATAAGTCGCCCCTGATCCCGGAATCATGAAGCCAGGCAGATCTTCCCTTCTCGCGCCGCTGGTCGGCCTCTTGTCTGTCGCCAATGGAATCAGTCTAGAAGTGAGCAGTTTGGACTCGATCAAGTCTGTTACGTCGACCCTTGCCTACGATATGATGACGTATTACTCTGGCAACCAGACAGGACAGACACCTGGAATTCTCCCAGGCCCATGTGAATCTACAGCATGTTATTACTGGTGGGAAGCCGGCGCCATGTTTGGATCGTTGATCAATTACTGGCAATACACGGGCGACGACAGCTACAATCCTGTGGTGTCCCAGGCGTTGGCCTTTCAGATAGGACCCGACGAAAACTACAATCCTCCCAATCAAAGCAAAAATATGGGTGTCGACGACCAAGCTTTTTGGGCCTTCTCTGCTCTGGATGCGGCCGAGGCTAACTTCCCCGAAGCCGGGGGTGATATTCCCTCCTGGATTGCCTTGGCTCAGGCCGTCTTCAACTTCCAACAGGACTTGTGGGATGATGCCACATGCGGTGGTGGTATGCGATGGCAGGTCTACTCGTTCAACGCTGGGTACAACTTGAAGAACACCATCTCGAACGGAGGAAACTTCCAAATCGCTGCTCGGTTGGCATATTACACAGGCAATCAATCCTATGCCGACTGGGCCATCAAGATGTGGGATTGGATGGAAGGCAGTCCATTGTTCCAGACGCAGGATGGTAATCTTTACATCTGGGACAATACCGATACCAACAACAATTGCACAGATGTCGCACACTACGCATGGACGTACAACTATGGCACCATGCTCATGGGCGCGGCGTACTTGTACAACTATACCGACGGCGATCCGCTATGGGAGCAACGAGTCATGAGTATTCTGAAAGGGGCAGAACTCTTGTTCTTCCCTCAAGAATATGGTGGCAACATCATGACGGAATTCCAGTGCGAGCCGGCGGCGAATTGTAACAACGATCAGAGCAGTTTCAAAGCATACCTCTCTCGATGGATGGCTGTGACAACACTCCTAGTACCTAGTACCTACGACATGATCATGCCGAGACTAACCGCTAGCGCTGCCGCCGCTGCGCAACAATGCACTGGAGGAAACAATGGGCGAATGTGTGGTCGCAGGTGGTACTCCAACTTTGACGGTTCAAGTGGTGTTGGCCAACAGGTATGCTATGCTTTCCTAACCGGTCCTTGGACTTTCTGTAGACGACAGGCTGACGGATCCTAGATGCAAGCTCTGAGCGTGATAGGGGCCACCACCATTCATGCGGGAATTGCTCCCAAATCGGTCAAGACCGGTGGTACTTCGAAGCAAGACCCCGACGCCGGCAACGACGCCGCATCCTCACCGGTCAAGCCACCATCAGCTATTACTACCGCCGACAAAGCTGGAGCAGGCATTTTGACGGTCTTGTGCATCTGCATCATCGTCGGTGGCAGCATGTGGATCATCCTGTGATTGTTTTGAATAAAGACTGTCTTGAAAATGATCCCGCGTGTATCTGTTACAACTATACCATACAAAGAGGGAAGCCATGGGATAAGAGGCGTCGTCGATTCTAGAAAGCATTTTCAGGGCATATACCCTCGTGGGTGATACCCTCAAACAAGAGTCCGAGCGAAAGATCTGAATAAACGGCTGATTGAATAGCATCTCGGAGGTCATGACTTGAACGAATAGTACATATTTTTTGGACACTGCATTGGGTGGTAAATTGGGCGCGAAGGACTTCGTTAACAAACAATTCATTCTCGATATTGTATACGGCGTACCACATAGGTACCCGAGATGTGTACAGCCCTAGATATATTTCTCTCACCGCTACAGTGGCACTTTCTTCTGTGATCTCTAGGCGGTTGATGTATGTACTTTGTACTCTGTGGGTATCCATCGACATGACGTCCCTTTCGTGTGGGCCTCAGGTTTGAATGATATTACTGATGGAGGTCAAGACAGGAGGAACTCTACGAGCCTAAGGATCGAGCGAGGAGCTCCGGGGGGGAGCTGATGATCATATACTTGTACGTTCTCCCCGGTACCCATGATGTGATCTCGCTGCGGACTCAGGCAATGCCATGCAGGCTGCGTTCCCCTGTCGGAGCTGCTGTGGCTTCGTTTCCGGACGTGCAGCGCGTGGTGTGGACGAGGCTTGTCACTTAAATTATGGCTGCATCTGTTTTTGGCACCTGTCAACATCTCTTCTCCAATTCCACTCTTCCTCCTCGTTCCCAGCCAAATTGCCTTCTCGCTTGTTCACGAACACTATGCCGTCTTCACAATTCATGGTCTTATGACTTGAAGGACGAGCCTCTGTACGAGTACTCTCTAGGTGCTGATTTCTGATCAGTCTTATGTGGTGGAAGTCGTCGAGCGCCAGGCCTGCGTTTGCCACGAACCCAACTAGTTGTCCCCACGGCCCATATCTCGATACCATCAAGCTCTGATCACCTGTCACTCTACGATCTAATCGCGAAGTCGCGGGCTGCATCCACATGGTCACCAAATCTCGACCGATGTCGACGCAGTCGCTCATGACTGTACCCGAGTCGCTGGTCGATACGGGTGTCGACACTGTCCTCGATGTATCCACGCCCTTGAGTCCAACACAAACGAGCGGAACCGTCGAGACTGCTTCCAAGAGACACGCCAAAGGTCTTTCACTGAACTTCCCCATTCTATTGCCTTTCAACGCACAAGTGTCGGCATCACCGACCGCAGGTTCGAGCATTCTTCAAAGCCCCGTCGACTCTGCTAGATCATCTCCTCGTCCTCGACCAACTCCACTCACGAGCCCGAGCCTACACGAGAATGAGCGAGAGGTCAACCAAATAGGAAGCACAGACTTTCTCACATTGCTCGCCGCGCAGGAACGGAGAGTGCTCGAGTTGAAAGAGGAGCTACAAAGGGCAGAAACAGACTTGCTGGGACTAAAGAAAAAATGGGCCGCGCATGAAGCGAATAAGAAGAGGAACGAGGTGAAACATGTGAAACAGCTGCAGCCGCTTGCTCGAAATGATGTAGGAACGCGAGAGCCGTCGGAAGACGAAGTCGATGAAGAACGCAGAAGGAAGCGCGCTATTGTGGAGAGGAGCCATTTGGCACTCGTCTCCCCGTCATATGGGAGCACTCCGTCCACTGGTCTGACGAGAAAGGGTTCCAAGAGAGTCTTTGAAGGCGGTCGGCATACTCGGACACTGAGTCTTCTCAGTCCAACATCCAGCAAGCCGAACCAGGCCAGCACCGAAACGTCGGTAGATGAATTGACCGGCTACGACAACGATACAGCCGCTATCAATACCGATCCCAATGTCATCCAGCCACCACTGTCTCTAATACCAACCCTGGATAGTTTGATCGCAGGTGAGCCTCTACAGCTGGGATTTGGCAAGACATATAAAGATCTAGCGGCCCATCGTCGCTCAGTGCCTTCTGCAGACGTCTTTGTCAAACAAGGCAAGCAGGTATATGACGGCGTGCGCGACGGGCTGTGGACATTCCTCGAGGACATCAGGCAAGCTACTGTGGGAGAGGAAGGCATCAGTGGAACGGTTGCACAACAGCGGCCTGTCAGGGCCCCCCAAAGGCGAGCTACTAAAGAATCCATGAACCATTCTGGTCACACGACTACCGAATCTCGAAAAACGCCGCCAAAAGAGTCATCATTCTGGAGGGAATTTGGCTTAGACAGCCCGCAAAGACCAGGGTCAAAGTCGACGGTCAAAGCAGACAAATCAAGCCGTCACATTCAGCAGAAGAGCAGTACAGATTCGTCCAATCCACCCAGTCTTCTTCCGGACTCCAATGATCACGAAGACGGGATGGACGATAGCTGGGACGCATGGGATTCACCAGCCAGCGTCCGGGACAAGGCTGACGTTTTGGATGGAAAGAGAGGCAACGGATTGCCATGGCCGGAAATTGAGAAAATAACTCCAAGCAAGTTGACCAAAACTGTCAGTGACTTGATGAGAGAATGGGACACGAGTCCCGACGATGCAGACACTGTCACTGACGGCTCCGATTCCCGGCTGCGCGGTGCAAGAGCTACTATACTGGACCACCCGCACATATAAATCTATCGTAGCCCATGTACATACAAGATGAGGACAAAGACGGTAATGAAATATAATGCGTTTATTCTGGAGGCCTCGACGACCGTCCCGGGTGACGATCAATACCATCGTTGCCGCTTCGACGATGTCACTCCCCGGATTTTCCAAAAGATACAATACGGGTACTAGTAAATTGCTTGCATGATCTGCTCATACGGAGCGAGCGTCTCCATTTGTGGCGAGGAGTGATATCACTTTCGGCGGGTGACAGATTTGACGCCGTGTTCGTGCCACTGTGAGGTCTGTGGCAAGGCTATCCTCTAGGAGATTTTGACGTTGATATTGATATGGTTTCGACCATGATGGCCCGGCTACGTATCATCTCAAGGTCATGTGCGCAGGCAAGTCGCAACAAGTGTGACCCTCAGACTCTTCTACACAGTACGAGTACATTGGCACAGTCTGTTTTGCCATGTCTTTAAGAGCGTCGGAGAGAGCCCAAGCGAGTCCGGACGTAAGAAGATCAGGGATCGGGGTCAAGGTCTCCACGACAACGAGATTTGGGATGTTTCTTCTAGAAAATCAACAATAAACCCCCTGAAAATCACGAAACCGGTGGCTTGGTTCCGCAAGCTGAGATCCAAGAGTTGACGGGAGAAGCTCCGGACAATATGGCTAGGCCTCGTAATCTGGACTACTCCATCGGCCACTCCTCGCTCTTTGACGATGATGTTTGTTCATGTTGTATTTGTAGCCTGGCGGTAATGAAGAGGTGGAGGGCGGAAAGGCGACGACGTGGCCCCTGCATTAGTGGCCTGGACTAGACTAGCGGGTTTAGTGCCCATAATTGTCGCTAGCCTCGGCTCGCCTGCCAGTTTTCGGGTGGCTTAGTGGCCACTAACCCCAAACAGGCCTTTTGTTGTCAGGTCGTCATTGGCAACACACCGACGCTGGACACTCTCACTCCGTCGTTTTTGCCGTCGAAAGTCCAATTTCTCGACTGGGCTGAGCCACACGACCAAAACCGGGTCATGAAGCATTGCTCTTTTGCCTCGTCTCCAGTCGTAACCTGCCGGGCTTCAGACGTCGTACATATCCTGCGCAAAGACCCTCGGTCTAAACGATTCTCCAACTCCAATGCTTGTATCACCACCGTGTGCTTTTTTGCATCTTTCTCCGGCGCATACGTTTGATTTTCCTGACTGTCTCTACTCGAAGACGAGGCCAACGCGGCCTCGAGGGTCAACTGCTTCTCCTGGTGTATGGACCATCCTCACATATTGAAGGCGACCTGAACCGCAGCCCGTGACATATTACCTCCGAGAAGCCTCAGCATCAAGTCACACGACCGACGGAATGACCATGATATCACTCTATTCCGAGGCCGCTCCCCACCGGTCTGCTGCCTCACAAGCACCGTTCGAGATACAAGATGACGATGCAGACGGTGAAACGCTGGCGGACAGATTTCAGATGCTGGAAGAACTAGGAAGTGGTTCATTTGGTGTGGTGTACAAGGCCATTGAAAAGGCCACGGGCGAGATCGTGGCTATCAAACATGTCGGTCTTGATGACACACACTTCCAAGATGAATGCTAACCACTTGCAGGTCGACCTCGAGTCTTCCGAAGAAGATCTCTCCGACATTCTCTCCGAACTCTCCGTCCTATCCTCTTGCTCGAGCTCACACGTCACAAAATACCGCCTGGCGTTTCTGCGTCGGCAAACCTTATGGATTGTGATGGAGTACCTCGGGGGCGGGTCCTGTGCGGATCTACTCAAACCACCTCCTCACCGTTTGTCAGAGAATCATATTGCCATAGTATGCCGCGAGCTCTTACTGGGGCTGGCCTATCTGCACAGCGAGGGCAAGTTGCATAGAGACATCAAAGCTGCGAACGTCCTGCTGGGCATGGACGGTCGCGTGAAGCTGGCCGACTTTGGAGTTGCTGCGCAACTAGTCGGTCTCAAGAGCGTCCGCAACACGTTCGTTGGTACACCTTTCTGGATGGCACCCGAGGTCATACAGCAAGAAGGCCATGATGCAAAGGCAGACGTGTGGAGTCTGGGCATCACCGCCATGGAATTGGCCAACGGAGAACCACCGCATGCCAATGTCCATCCCATGAAGGTCTTGTTCCTCATTCCGAAACAGCCCGCTCCCAGACTCGAAGGCGGATCGTGGTCGAGAGATTTCAGAGACTTTGTCGCTTGCTGTCTAACGAAAGACGTCGATCGGCGACCCACCGCCAAGGAATTGCTCAAGCATCGATTCATCCGAAGTGCTGGCAAGATCGAGGGCCTGCAAGAGTTGATAGTGCGCAAGCAGGACTGGGAATCACAGAAGGGTGGAGAGCGAAGCTTGAAGTACTACGCCGAAACTCTCAAAAACCTGAGCGGTGCGAAGGAAGATGACGACTGGGTATTCGAGACGGTCAAGGCTGTCCCGACGATGGACTCGAGGCGTCCGATGCCGTTTCAGACACAGAAACGTCGCAAAGTCTCAAGCACGGTGCCGGACGTCGTGGCAGAAGAGAACACGCCGAAGATGGTGGAGCAGATGACGCTTGATGAGCAGCAGAGTCCAACAAAGGTGACGATGCGCAGAATCCCGAGCACCCAACCAGAGAGACGCCCGTCAGCAGACTACACAGCTACGACGGCCCGTAGGACAACGAGGAAGAGACTTTCCAGCCACATCCAGGCCCGGCAACCACTGGGAGTGAATATGAACTTTGGCAATTCCCCAAGCACAGTACGACAATTCAAGAGGGTATCATCAAATCCAAGCTCTTTGAGCGATCTGCAGGACGGCACTGGAGAAGGGGATGAGAATGATGATCCCACCTCTAGTGTGGTTCGGACGCCATCGAAAAAGCCTGGGTTGGGGATGTTACTCGGTGTTGATGTGCAGAAGTCTTTGTTAGGAGAAGACGAGCGGATCGAAGAACCGATGCAAAGATTGAGAATCGGTTCAAATGCTAGCGTGATTGCCGCACAGAGCAAGGAGGCCCAACTTGGAAGGAAACTCTACGCTTATGCCATTGGTATCAGTTGCCAGGATGTACTGAACGAGACTGCAGACGAAGTCAAACGTGAGGGCATCGCCAGACTCGCTGAAGCATTCTCGGATTTAGAGAGTCTTGACCCGGATGGGATGTATCATATCATGAGGGGTGTGATGGACAGAATGGCAAGGGATGAAACACTCAAGAGCTTAATCCCTTCGGTACTCCCACAGCCACAGCCACAGCCAGTGCTTCGGCAAGAATCAGGAGGATCCCGCCGGCAGAAAGACGGCGACAAGGAGCATGTCAGCAAACAGATGCTGCAGACCTCACCTCGAAAAGCAAGCGATGCCATCCAGGCCAACGAAAGTCGCCAAGTGACTCCTTCGACCCCTCGAGCCCAAGCACAGAAATTGGTTCTCGCACAGAACAATCCTCATCTGAAAAGCCATCGTCGACGGCAGAGCGCGCAGGTTGCTGCTAGGAGTCGGGAAACAAGCCAAGGCTTGTTCGTTCCTCCCAGTCCGCTCAAGAACGCCGCAAGGCTAGAACGGGAGCAAGATGACGACAACGAGCGAGAGATGATGAATGGTCTAGTTGGTGGACTGGAACACACGAGGCAACTTGCTGATGTGTTGTTTGAGAGGTGGTGCGAAGGACTAAGGGTGAGATGGCCTGCGGTGTGAAACCTGATGCAGCCACCACAGGATTTGTTTCTCTTCTCTTCATTTTTCTTCTTCATTTGTTGCTTTCCTTTTTTTGGTTGTCATGGTTTCTCAAGGCAGTTGGCTGCTATTTCATCGAACATTTGCGGAGCTATGGGAAATACTGCATAGCGATACGGATGGGTTGCTTTTATTTCAGGGTGTGGATGATGGTTTGAGGCATGGGATGATGTGCCTTCTTTTCCCCAATTATGTCTTGTGTCCCTTTGAAAAAGTCTTTTCCGTTGACGGCCAATTCTACTGGTTTGGTGAAAGAGGGAGAAGATACAAGTGTAAGATATGTGCCTACCTACCCCGGTAGATAGGGTTGGTTGAGGATCTCTTGCTTTCTTCCTGTTGCTACTGAGAGCCCAAGTGAAGTGAAGAGTGAGAGAGATTGGCAGAATATACATATACCGACGATAACAGATTGTTCGTGGCTCGCTCAAGGTCTAATGTGAAATCACTGACTGTTAGTATCTTTGATTGTCAAGTAGTAGTATCATACATACTCTGGCTGCCGTGCTGTTTACGAGCATAAGGCGCCTCCTTTATACCCAGGTAGGTCCTCTCGTACCTGGAGGTCTGTCGTCTGTTCCGATTATATAAGCAGTCGCAGCTTCGGGCGCAGAAAAATAAAATGATGCCATCCATAAACCACCGACTGACTCTCCGCAGCTTGTACATTCGATCTGCCTCCGTCGCCTGCGCCTCTGTTGATCTCGCAAGACGAGGTGTTCTTTTGGTGCTGTCCGTTCCTTCTCCTCCCTTTCCCCTCGTCCTTGTACTTCTTCTGTATCGCACCATGGCGAGCGTCTTGAGAACGTCGGTACGGCGATTTGCTACATCTGCAGTCCGCGCCGCCGCCGGAACGTCTACACCTGCAGCTACTAATAATGCCTATGGGATCCGCGTGTCTCAAGCTCAGGGAGTAGTTGATCAATTGACTGGAGGTTAGTTACCGTGGTCCATTGTCTTGTACCCTACGTCCCCCCCGGTACCCCTGTGCGGGGGGATTCTTGTTGTTCTGTCTCGCGTGGTGTTATCTTTGTGAAGGAATCAAAGTGAATGACCCCGCATAGCTAATGTCATGTGTGTTACCGTTGGTACTGTGAACAGCAATCGGCAACACCCCCTTGATCCGGCTTCGACACCTCTCCGAACAAACGGGCTGCGACATCCTCGGTAAGGCCGAGTTCCAGAACCCCGGCGGCAGCGTCAAGGACCGGGCGGCGCTGTACGTGGTCAAGGACGCCGAGGAACGAGGGCTGCTGAAACCGGGCGGCACCGTGGTCGAGGGCACGGCGGGCAACACGGGCATCGGGCTCGCGCACGTGTGCCGGGCGCGCGGGTACAGGCTGGTCATATACATGCCTAACACGCAGTCGCAGGGCAAGATCGACCTGCTGCGGCTGCTGGGCGCCGAGGTGTACCCCGTCCCCGCGGTCGCGTGGGAGAACCCGGACAACTACAACTGGCAGGCCAAGCGGCACGCGGAGCGCGTGCAGGCCGAGGACCCGGGGCGGGGTGCCGTGTGGACGAACCAGTTCGACAACGTCGCGAACCGCCGCGCGCACATCGAGACCACGGGCCCGGAGATCTGGGCGCAGACCCAGGGGAAGATCGACGCCTTCACGTGCGCCACGGGCACCGGGGGCACGCTGGCCGGCACGACGCGGTACCTCAAGGACGTGAGCGGCGGGAAGGTCAAGTCGTTCCTGGCCGACCCGCCGGGCTCGGTGCTGTACTCGTACGTCAGCTCCGGAGGGCAGTTGAAGGAACGCCAGGGCGGGAGCATCACCGAGGGCATCGGCCAGGGCCGGGTGACGGACAACCTGAGGCAGGAGGTCGGGGAGCTCGACGGCGCCCTGTCCGTGTCGGACGAAAAGACGATAGAGATGGTGTACAGGTGTCTGGACGAGGAGGGCCTGTACCTCGGCGCGAGCAGCGCCTTGAACGTCGTCGCGGCCAAGGAGGTCGCAGAGAAACTGGGCCCCAACCACACCGTCGTCACCGTCCTGTGTGACGGCGCGTACAGGTATGCCGATCGGCTGTTCAGCGAGAAGTGGTTGGAGAGCAAGAAGTTGAAGGACGCCGTGCCCGATCGGTTGAGAAAGTATATCGTTTTGCCTTGAGCCTCGAGGTAGGTAGCTTGGAGGATCCAAAACAAGGGTAAAAACATACCGGTATCTTAATAAATGAAATCAGATCAAAATGAATGAAGGCAAAAGAAAAAGTTAAATGAAACAGCAATGAAATGGCGAAATGTATTGACTAAACTGATTTGATCCATTCTGTGCTGTCGAGGTACCTACTCTGTGCACTGAATTGCCCACTTGGATACCTGTTTGCTAAGTGGTCGGTACTAACTAACTACCGATTAAGGGACCAGGTATCTATCTATCCACGCGAGGCAACTTAGGTGTCGAAGTAAGTAGGTGCCACCACCCTGGGAAGAGCAGAGATCTCGGTCATCTGCATCATGAATTCTCAATAGGTGGTACTGGAGCACCGAGTAGGGCACTGAGTAGGTGCTTTTAGTAGGTAGTAGGTACTCGGCAGGACACGCTGGGGTTGAGAGAAGGGCCAGCGCACGGCGCCGTCTAGTTAATGTAGCAGTACCAAGTGTAAAAGTACCACCCCGTGCCTGTTCATTCATAGATCGACAACCACACCCTCCTCCCTTTCAGACGTTGAATTGAATGAAGGCCTTTTTGGTTTGGTTTGGTTTTGGTTTTGGTTTTGTCGGTTCCCGAGGTTTCCTAGGTTCCCCCCAAAAGGTTCCTAACGTATCTGACAATCAAAACTCCAAATCTCCCATCCCGGCACATGACACTTGGCCGCGGTGTTGTCGATCTGTAGGTTCCTGTCTCCGCTGCAGTCGGGGGTGTTGTAGAGTGTGCAACTCGCGAATGCGCCCGTGCATTCTGATATCCAGACGCGGTCGACCTGGATAAGTGAGGAAGGAATGGCGTCAGTTTTGTTGGGGGGGGGGGGGGGGCAAGAGAGAGATATGGACATGGACGTAGACACAGACAGACACAAGATAGAGAGGGGGAGACAGAGATAGAGGCAAGTGAATCGAGATAGGGGCAGGGAGATAGAGCGAGGACGTAAGTGTACGTGTACGTGTACTTGTGAGCATATGGGTGAGTGTGTAACGTAGAATCTTACAGCAGTGGCATTATCATCTTTCGAGTCAGCTCCCAACCCCAAAACTTGTTCTCTCGCCGAGATTGAATTGCACGCTGGATCTCGAACTATACCGTCCCATAGTGTGGAGGCGGTGCATGTGCCGTGACCGAATTGGAAGATGCAACATTCTGTGCACGTCGAACTGTAGTCGTGGTTGTGTTAGACCATCATGTGTGATGTCCTGGGACCAATGAAGATGCCGGTGATGACTGGTGGGTACTAGGTAGGTACCTAGGTCTGACTTACCATCCTGGTGCGTACGGCGATTGAGTAGATGGACACGTCGCGTCGGATAGATCGGCGAGGATGAGCAGCATCATCAGGACGAGTGTTGAGGAGAAGATCGACGATGACGACGACGACGACGACGACGACGAGGCGGAGGAACCATTGAATCTGTGGCGTCCGAGGAACAGAGACATCGTGTCGAGTAATGCAGAGCTGTGTTGCCGTGTGTGTGTGCTTGCGCGTATGGTATATTGAAAAGTGACGGTGGTTGTGATGGCGGCAGTGGTTGTCTCCTGGTTGTGGCTCGGTCTGTTTCAAAGCAGGACACAAGAAAAGCAACGTGCGGTTGGTTGTCAGAGATAGAGACGTCGATATGCACAGACTGATAATTGGTGTCGTCGCTGTTTTGTGCTGGTCTTGACATGAACAGTGAGTGCGACGGTGAGTAGGTGAATAGGTGAATAGGTGAATAGGTGAACAGGTGTGTGATGATGGGTGAGGTATATGTGACGACAAGCGAATGCACTACGGCAGCAAAGTCACTCAATCCTCCATGGCAAGACTGGGATGAGACCAGAACAACGTAGATAGAGTCAGAATGTCAGTATACAGTACGTAACGAGTGCGCAGACAATTGTCGAGGTGAAAGGGAGGGAAAGTAAGGCATCTTTATTTCGGTTTCATCAGAGCCTCTGTCGCCCTCTCTCACTCTCACTCTCTCACCCACACATACTCGTTACTTTCCTCGCTTTCATCAAGGTACGTGTGTCTCACCTTATCTATCCAAGTTGTGATTTGGCGCCGTCGAGGTAGCGAGTGCCGGTGCGTGTCTGATCAGAGTACAAAAGAGAAGCGGAGGACGGTGAGAGAGGTCTAGTCGACTCCATATCAATTATTTTTAGTATCCGAAACATCCCCCGTCTCTATGCAAAGTGACGAGGCACGGGTGGACTGAAACCACAAGTCTCCTATGGGTTTAGTCCTCATGCCTTCTGTTCAATCTTGTTTTCTCTGGTTGGCATGGTAAATTGAACAACTACACTCTGTTACAGAGAATGAACAGCGCTGCATGAGCCATATTTACTCGGACATCGGATCTAATTGTGTGGGAGCCTGAGAGGGGAAAGGAATTATTAGCACGCGAGGCTGTGAACTCCTTGCGGAGGTACCATGGTGAGTATACGAGATGCAGTATCGGGTACGGCGACGGCGACCTATTTCACAGCTGCTTGTGGTATCCAGCTTGGGCTCACTCCTCGTTCGTGACCTGTCAAAATCGATTGGAACGGGAGCAGCAGATAATCTGTGAAGGGTACGAACACGGCCATCATGTGGAACGCACACAGCACCCCGTCATGATAGCATCACTCCCTGCGTAATGGTATCCTTCTAGGCCATCCAACATCATATTATTGACGAATCTATAGCCCACCCATATCTATCTTTCCATCGGTAGTCCACTCTTAACTGCTAACCAGGTGGAAGCAGCCATACCGTTCCGCAAAAAAAAAACACATCATGGAACGTTCGAGATTTCGAATAAAACGCCCAATATACTTACTTGCTATTCCAGCACCAGCATCGATACCTGGTCGTATCGACAGCTCTCGGAAGACAAGCACACCCCCCCAAGACTTTGTCGTGCATCAATGCTTCAGTTAAATTGCGAAACGCCAAACCAAAACCAAAGTCGTCGTCTGTGTTCCCGCTTGTATCTCCTCCCGAAAGAAGGGAACGCCTTTAGTGCTTCGCAGTGACTTTGTCACCGGTCAACTTTTCAACAGCCTCCTTGGCCCTATTGTCGAAAATGTCAGTAATCGAAAGCCCCAAAAGCCGAAACAACACAGGACTCACATGTCACCCAAAGCAACCATGCAAACAGTTTGCCAAACGCCAAGTCCAATGCGAGGAGTAACGCCACGGTACAGTCCTTTGATACCGTTGGATTCGTAGATGTACTTGAATGTCTTTCCGACAGTCAGGTTCTTGGGTCGGTTGGGATCATTGGTCTTGCTCTGCATCTCCACTCGGATGACTTCAATGGGCTGGTTCCATGCCGACAGCCCACCACCGAGCGAGCTGGCAATGATCTTTTCAAACCCACTGAGCTTCTCTCCGTGTTCCTTGTTGGTCACTTTTCGGATGGCCGACTCCGCCAATCGAGACAGACCGAATCGCGATCCCCAGTTGGTGGTTTGGCGGATCGCGACTGCATTGACACCCTTGTTGATACCCCGGATACCTTCTTTTCGGTAGATGTCCGCAAACGTCTTGAAGGTGGACGGGGGTTTGACGCCCTGCGCAGCCAGCTTGTGTTGGGTAATTTCCACCGTCTTCATGCACGTGCAGAAACCCATCGTTGCGTATGCTTGGGCCACACCGCCAACCATGCCACCGGTGATGCCGGAGACAAAGTTGTTGGCTCCAAACGTCTTCGCGTAGTACTCTGCCTCGGAGGCGACGAAGAGAAGGACGGCACCCTTTGTCGAGGCTTCGATCCAGGCCCAGGGGATGAGACCTTGATAGTCTAGGTGGTTGACAAACGCGTAGAATGATTAGCTTGGGCTTCTGGTCGCTTCGTGCTTTGACGAAGCACCAGCAAAGCGTGGATGTTTCGGCACTTACATCCAAGAATACCACCTCGTCCCCATATTCTTGACATGGCACCGGCGAAGCTGTCCTTACGGTTGGCAGCCATGGTGGTCTTGATGACTTCCAACGGTTGTCCCAAGGTGGTCACTTCGAACAAGTTCAGTCCCGCGCCGAGCAGCAGATTGCTGAACTTGACCGGCTTCTTCTCGATCTTTGTGACCCCGGGGGCCGCCGATGTACCCAGGACTTGTTGTTGAGCGGACATCGCAAAGAGGTGATGGGGTATTGTCTGCCCTGACCAAGGGATGAGGTCGGCTTCGTCGCCTTGGAGGAGAGAGTGACTAGGGAAGGGATCGAGTCGAGGCTCGGACGGTGATGTCGCGAGGGAAATGTAGAGTCAAGAGGATAGCTAAGAACAAAAGACGGACAGGTCAGGTACGGAGATTAAATGCCAGAGAGACAACTATTCTCTGCTGACACGTAGGATCGGGGCCGGAGGGTGGAAACTGTTCAGCTTGGAGTTTCGGCGATAGAATGAGTCCACAAGACAAGGTACGGAGTAGCAATGGGACGAGAACAAAAGACACAGTTATCGTGCTGCATGCGCCCTCGACTGTCCCAAAGTCCCCCAGTCAGGCCCAATCAAGATTAGCCTCCGACCACCATCGGCGTTGTTGAACGGACCGCGACTCTCACCCTGAGGCTCGCAGCCACAGCTTGGTGCCCGTGAATGGGCCAGGCTGCTCGACGGCCCTGAATCGCCCATCAATTGCGGACTCAATCTCACTCCAAGCTAAACCCGGTGGAGCCATGGGGCGTTCAACAAGACACCTCAACGTCCCGAAATTTTTATTTTAGGCCTTGCCCTGTGCCAGACTCTCCTGGCCGCGGGTACGAGTACAACACGAGATACGAGCCTGGAGCTTCGGTGCCACGGATAGTAGAGTCGCTTCCGTCGACCACCACGACGAATGGCGGTAGACGACTGATACAAACACAATCACAAACCACGTATATTAGAAAGCACGCCATCAATAGATAGAATTGTTCCAAGAAACGCTCATCAATGAAAATGGCATACTACAAACCTCGGAACAACTGAGCCCTGCTCCCGATGATAGCCGAACTGCCCATCCATCTCCGTCCCGATATAGGCTACAAATTTTGGGTTGCAAAAGTACATCGCTCGCTGATGGTATCCGTGTCGCACTGGTCGCTTACAAAGAAGCGCCGACGAGTTTGGCATAGGCCTCAGTGCTGAAGGACTTTGGTCGTTCGATGGGAGCCCCCAAACCACGGTCGATGATCAGTTGAGGTAGAACACCAAGAGCGCGCGAAACACCGAAGAGGACGGTGTAGTAGTTGGCTTCAGTCAGGCCGTAGTATTGCAGGAGGACACCAGAGTGCTAAAAATGGAGTTAGCAACATTCATCATAGTTGGAAGAAGCCCAGGACTACTTACAGCATCAACGTTGGGGTAGGGGTTCTTGGTCTTGCCATGCTCGGTCAGAACGCCAGGGGCAATCTTGTAGACCTGGCTGACAAGCTTGAACATGGGGTCGTTGGGCAACTTGCGGAGAGCGAACTCGCGTTGCGAGACGTAACGAGGATCAGTCTTGCGGAGAACGGCGTGTCCGTAGCCAGGGACGACGCGGCCACTGTTGAGGGTATCCCAGAGATACTTGGTGATGCTGGCATCACTGAGATCATCGCCGATGGTCTCCTTCATCTTGGTGAGCCAGAGCAAGACTTCCTGGTTAGCCAAGCCGTGTAGAGGACCAGCCAGACCGTTCAGACCGGCAGCCAGTGACAACATGGGAGAGCTCAAAGCGCTACCGACCAGGTGAGTGGTGTGCGCGCTGACGTTACCACCTTCGTGGTCGGAGTGGATGGTCAAGTACAGACGCATCAGCTCAACGAAGTCGGCATTGTCACCATAGCCAAGCTGGTTGGCCAAGTTGAATCCGTAATCCTTATCTTTCTGGATAGGTGCAACCTTGCCATCTTTGTATGCGTTGCGGTAGATCTTGGCGGCGATCGTAGGGAGTTTGGCAATCAGGTTCATCGAGTCCTCGAAGGTGTAGGTCCAGTACTCCTTCTTGTTGATACCCTTGGCGTAGGCTTTGGCGAACTCGGAGGTGTGCTCGAGGGCGGCAACGGCGATGGAGAATTGAGCCATGGGGTGCATGTCGCTTGGGCAGCGGTCGAGGAGCTCCTCGACGAACTTGGGCAGATCGGAGCGAGCGGCCCAGTCTGCAGACAGGTCGCGGACCTGTTGTTCACTTGGAACCTCTCCGGTGAGGAGAAGCCAGAAAAGACCCTCCGGAAGAGGTTCCTCGCCGCCGGGAGCCTTGGGAAGGACTTCCTGGCATTCTGGAATCGTCTTTCCTCGGAATCTGATACCCTCTTCCGAGTCGAGAACGGATCCTTCCCAGACCAGGGACTTGATGCCTCGAGCACCACCGTAGACCTGGTCTAGGGTGACCTCGCCGACAACCTTGGAGCCATAGTCCTTTCTCAGCTTCTTGACCTTTTCGATCTCGCCTGGGAGCTTGTCTGCAAAGGTGTCCTTGAGGGTCTGTTTGAGGGGAAGGAGTCAACATATGTCCAGGCATAACGGATAGCTGGAAGCTTACCTTGGTGCTGGCGCAGCGAACACCGTTGAACGCAGCTTTCTGGACGAAAGGCTTGGAGGTGACTGAAGTCGAGCGAAGCAGAGAGCTTCCAACACGCAGGGAGGAGGCCATCACGAGAATCTAAGGGACTTGAAGAAGAAAAGAACACAGTGAGCAGCCGAAGAGAGGAATGGGAAGTTGAACAGGATGGGTAGTTGGGGGAAAAATTGTTTAGATAGGGAGGAGAAGCACGATGATGCTGAGCTGCAAGATTTGGATGGGGCTCCGGAAGAGCTTGGGACTGTTTAGGGCCTTTTTTCGGCCAAGGGCACTTTTTGCTGTACGGTAGAGATAATGACAGGTAATGCACGTCAGAGGGCCTGAGGCGCCGCCCAGCTCGATAATCACCGTCGATGAGCTTTTTAAAGACGCAATCCTCCGTACGCACTCCGAACGAAGATCCCTCCCGCTGGCTGGCACCCGTACCGCCGCGTCACGTGAATTGCGCTATCCGGGGCTATGCTTCGCCGCCGCTTCGGTGGATTTTTCTTGCCTGCACCCGTTGCTGCCTCCAAGTGGCAGTTATTGTCGCCGCTTAGAAGTGCCGATTCATCTTTGTCGCAGGCTGCCTCCTCCTCACTTCCTCCTCCTCTACTTCTACCCAACCTCTTCGTCACCTTCATCTCTCTCTCACTCTCCTTCATCGTCCGCCATCCCTTCTATCCTGCGCACGTAGCGCCATCAACCGTAATTCTTTTTTAGATCCGACAAACATTTATCTCGCCTTTGCACGATAGATTTCTCGCTCTTGCTGCTCCCAGGAAAAAATTGAGAGGCCTCTTGCCACTCAGACTGTAGAAGTCTGCTGCGCGTCACAGTGCTTTCAAAACGAGCAAGATAAGATACACACCCGAAGGTCCCGTCATCTTCACCTCATCTCCGCTTCATCTTCTCGTGGAGTTTGATAGATCTCTTGGAGACTTAGGCTGCTGCGCATCGGACTCGTTCACCTGGAGCTTCTACCCTCTCCGACTTGGTCACACCAGTCGACATAGCCAGATCCAGTCTGTTGCGATTTCCCTTGACTCGACGTCGTAGGACAGATCTATCCGTTCCTCCATCATGTCGTCTGCAGTAGCAGAGCTGGATTCTATCCTGCAGTCCATGCTTAGCCTCAAACCCCCAGGAGTGTCAGGTTCCAAGATCAGTGCAATAACATCTCTTTGCACGGCCAACATCCAAGTACGTCCACGACATCCACCTATTTGCTACGAGACTGCCGCTGACATGAGTTCGTCTAGTCCGAGTCGGTCCTCATCCAGAAGATCTACACCCACTTTAAAAAGACGCCGGGCACACACAAACTGGGGGTTCTGTATGTTGTAGACTCAGTAACGCGACAATGGGTAGACCAAGCTCGCAAGGCTGGTCAGCAAATTGGTAGCGGAGCAGCAGATGGAACATTCGCTGCCGGCGTGAATCGAGTAACTGAATTACTTCCCGTGCTCATGAACGACATCATCACCACGGCCCCCGAAGATCAAAAGGTATGGTAAATTCTGCTTTTGTGCTACTACATCCACCAGTATGGGCAGCGGCATCATGTCCGCAAACAACTGTAAAACCCAGCATGGCCTCGAGTTCATTGCCCTTGTTTTCACTCGTTGCGCTTGATCATTGCTCATATTTGCCTTGGCTTGATAGGTCAAAATCAACAAACTCCTAGAAATCTGGGATCGCTCACAAACATTTCCCGCGCCGCTACTTTCTTCACTCAAAGAGAAGCTTAATGCGCCTCGAGGTAGGATCTCTTTCGTCTCTTCACTGTAATATCCTGACTTTGTTCCAGTTTCCACCACTCCTGAAGGCTCCCCAGCCCCTGGTTTTGTCCCTCTTGGCCAGCAACAGGCAGCGACAGCAATGTCCGCCACACAACCTTCAACAGCGCCAGCTCAGCAAGACACTTCGGCCATCCTCGAGGCCCTCAAGAACATGGCAAAGCAAAATGCTGCCGCGCCGCAACCCTCTGCTGTACCCGCACCAGCTAGTTTGAGTAGTCTCTTAGGCGCGCAAACCGGGACTCCTCTACCGACCAGTACCGTAAATCAAAGCCCAGCTGCTGCTGGTGGCAGTGTGCCAGGTGTAAACCCTCTTGGAGCTTTGCTCGCTGGAATGAATAACGGGGTCCAAAGCCAGAGTCCTGCCAATGTGCCGCAGAATCCACTTGCTGCCTTTCTTCCTCAGCCACAAGCTCCTGTGCCGATACCGCAAAACCCTGTTTCTATAAACCCAGATATTCAGGCTCAGATGCAGCTTGTGCAGCTCCTGGCTGCTCAAGGGGTTCCCCCCGATCAGTGGGCGACAGCTCTTCAATTGTTGAACATGCAGAATGCCGGCGGCAGTGCTAATGCGATGCCATTCCAGCCGCCCATCCAAGCCAACAATTGGGCTGCTCCAAACGGCGGTCAGTCACGTGATGCACACACCCGGTCTCCTCCGGGCCAGTACCGGCGCCGCTCTCGCTCGCCTGGCTATGACAAAAGACGGGAACTGTCTCCCAGACGCCATCGGGATAGTCCAGGAGCGGATCAGTACCGTGACCGTGATGGCAGACGTGGTAACGATTATCGCCAACGAAGCCCCGGTAGAAGACGACGATCGCCGAGCCCTCAAGGTCATGATCCCAGTCTGCCACCACCTGGACCCAAGAATGTCACGTTCGACAGAAGCTTGCCCAAGGGCCACATCAAAGTCTACAGTCGAACGCTCTTTGTGGGAGGAGTCACTACGGGCGAGGCTTCTTTGAGACAAGTCTTTAGTCAATTTGGCATCGTCCAGACATGCATCGTCAACATCGACAAACGACATGCCTTCATCAAGATGATTAACCGACAGGATGCAGAAGCTGCCAGGCATGGCATGGAGGAATACAAGCTGGGCGACTCCCAGCTCCGAGTAAGTTGAGACCAGTCCCTTCGGTAGTCCTCACTAACTGACCAAGTTACAGACCAAATGGGGTGTCGGTTTTGGACCGCGTGACTGCAGCGATTATTCCACCGGTGTCAGTGTAATTCCTATCGAACGTCTGACTGAAGCCGATCGCAAGTGGATGGTCACAGCTGAGTATGGCGGCACTGGAGGCCAACCCATTCAAGAATTCATGGTGATTGAAGAGCCCGACATTGAAATTGGCGCCGGCGTGTCGTCTAAAGGTATGAGACAATCCCTACAATATTTCCTGCATTTACTAATCTTTGAACAGCTATGAGTCGACGGATTCCCACTGACTCTGGTGGTCGACGGGGACCTCAATCTTCTCGTCAACACGGTGGCCGTGATGAGAGACGCCGTGACGACGATCGAAGAGTCGACAGGGACGAACGGTCTGCTTCTAATGGCAACACTGGAGCGATGGCACCAATGGGTTTTCCTATGAATTTTGGAAATGGCATGCCTATGTTCCCGCCAGGCTTCCAATTCCCGGGTATTCAACAGAATCAACAGGAATAGAGTACACACGGGAAAAGAACCGGACGAGAGAACATGACCTGAGACACATTGAACTTCGATTGATACCCTGTACAGAATTGACACTTGCATGGGCGGCGTTCATCAATGGTGGAATGCGGCAATCTACGACGAATGGCCAGGGCCGAGTCGTGGATATTTTGCGGATGACATTCAGGATTTCTGACATTCGTGGGGAGTTGCTGTCTCGTTTGCCAACGAGCGCTACAGCGACCAGAGCTTGACCTTTTCGTGCACAAATTGGGCCCCAATCTGTATAAGCCATCACAGCACAGTTTCCAATTCCATAGCCTGAACATATGCTGCATTTCCCTTTGACTTATCCGTGCACTGCGCTGACCTGCACAGCCTCACTTGTACATCTTCATTTTTCAGTACTCAAGAGGGATCCACATAGCAAGCACGGTGCCTGTCAATCGACATGAATGGAGATGCCAGTGCATCAACTCGTGTAAATGTTCGCGTGGAATGCTCATCCGCGATGATATAGAAGAAGCTTAAGATTCCGACATGCTCAGCACTCTTCGTTACCAAGCTACCCATCTCGGCTTATGCACTCATGAGAGCGCAGACCGATAGTGGACTCGATATCATAGATTGTCCACACCGAGTATTTAGCTTTCGACTAGGCTTCCTCGGGCACCCGGTGCCCGTGTTGTGTAGGGTGAATCCACAGGCCGGTCGTGACTTTTGCGGGGAACGAATCTGGGCGCCAATGGATCAACCACCATCAAACCATCATCAATCATGCTACTCGTGATATTTCCTCCTGCGCTGCCGCTTGTATCTATGATCTCTTTCATATTCCTTCCAGATTATGCCCTTTGCACCTCCTTGACGTCTACATCCGGGAGCTTCCTCGTTGCTGCTTCTCCATCCGCTGACTGCCTGTTTATGCCATCTACAGCGCGCCTGCCCAACGTCGATGCTGCCTCCATGACCATCTACTCATCCTCTGCTCCCAATTCTATCGTGTTCCTCATGGACTTGACATAGCCACCGCCATATCTTCCCCCTCGTACCTCTTTGCTTTACCTACATATTCAGTATGACAGATATACCATCAGATGCGAGCTCCGCAGGCTCCGCTTCTCACAAACAGCCACCCAGAGTCACTATTAGTGCCACCGGAGTGCCTCGCAGAGATCATCATAATGGCCCTGCGTTTACGGAGAAGCGACAATCTCGAGTGGATGAGGACGATGAAGAGGAGGACCTGGATGCTCTCATCGAGGAGCTCGAGTCTCTGGACCCAGACGACGCTCTCGAGGCCGAAATCGAGACAATCGGAGCAGCTCGCCCTGTTCCGGAGGAAATGCTCCAGACGGATCCGCGCGTTGGACTAATCGAGCCAGAGGTGGTGGCCAGACGCAAAAAGTACGGCCTCAACCAGATGAAGGAAGAGAAGGAAAGCCTCTGGCTAAAGTTCCTTGGCTATTTTGTCGGTCCTATACAGTTTGTCATGGAGGTAAGACCACCATCAAGATCTTCATATGGCTACAGCCCTGACATGTTTATGGGCAGGCTGCTGCTATCCTTGCTGCTGGCCTGCAGGACTGGGTCGATTTCGGAGTCATCTGTGGAATGCTTCTCCTCAACGCATCCGTCGGCTTCGTCCAAGAGTTCCAGGCTGGATCCATTGTCGAAGAACTCAAAAAGACACTTGCGCTCAAAGCAGTGGTGCTCAGAGAAGGCCGGCTGATAGAGATCGAAGCCCCAATGGTCGTTCCAGGAGATATTCTGCAGCTCGAAGAAGGGACTATTATTCCTGCCGATGGCCGCATTGTCACGGAAGATGCCTATCTACAAGTCGATCAATCTTCCATCACTGGAGAATCCCTTGCAGCTGACAAGGGTATCGGTGATACCTGCTACGCCTCCTCTGCCGTGAAACGGGGGACCTGCTTCATGATTGTCACGGCCACGGGAGACAACTCCTTTGTCGGCCGAGCAGCCGCCTTGGTGAATGAAGCGTCTGGTTCCACGGGACATTTTACCGAAGTCCTCAATGGCATTGGTACCGTTTTGCTCGCCCTTGTTATCTTCACGTTACTTGTCGTCTGGATTTCGTCTTTCTACCGTTCCAATGACATTGTCACCATCCTCGAATTTACTTTATCCATTACCATCATTGGAGTGCCTGTCGGTCTCCCTGCTGTTGTCACAACCACCATGGCTGTTGGTGCCGCGTACCTTGCTAAGAAGAAGGCCATTGTACAGAAGTTATCGGCGATAGAGTCCCTCGCCGGAGTTCAAATACTCTGCTCCGACAAAACCGGGACTCTCACCAAGAACAAGCTCTCATTGCATGAGCCCTACACCGTGCAAGGGGTGGACCCAGAAGACCTTATGCTCACTGCGTGCCTGGCCGCCTCGAGGAAGAAGAAGGGAATGGACGCGATTGACAAAGCCTTCTTCAAGGCCTTACGATACTATCCACGCGCAAAGGGGGCATTGGGAAAGTATAAAGTTGTGCAATTTTCCCCCTTCGACCCCGTCTCGAAAAAAGTCAGCGCTATTGTTGAATCACCACAGGGAGAGCGCATCACCTGCGTCAAGGGTGCGCCGCTTTTTGTGTTACGTACGGTCGAAGATGACCATCCTATCCCCGAGGAAATCGACATTGCCTACAAGAACAAGGTGTCGGAGTTTGCAGCTAGAGGTTTCCGCTCTCTTGGGGTTGCTCGAAAGCGAGGCGAGGGCCAGTGGGAGATCTTGGGAATTATGCCATGTGCCGATCCGCCACGGTATGACACAGCCAAAACAATCAATGAAGCAAAGAGGCTAGGACTCTCCATCAAAATGCTAACAGGTGATGCCGTTGGCATTGCTCGCGAGACGTCCAGACAACTCGGCCTCGGCTCCAACGTCTTCAATGCCGAGCGCCTTGGTCTTGCTGGCGGCGGGACCATGCCAGGGTCCGAGGTTTATGACTTTGTCGAAGCCGCTGATGGGTTTGCCGAAGTCTTCCCTCAGCATAAATATAACGTCGTTGAGATATTGCAGCAACGCGGTTATCTTGTGGCTATGACGGGCGACGGCGTCAATGATGCGCCGTCACTGAAGAAGGCCGACACCGGCATTGCAGTCGAAGGCGCTTCAGACGCGGCCCGGTCGGCGGCCGACATCGTTTTCCTGGCTCCAGGTCTTTCTGCCATCATCGACGCACTAAAAACATCTCGACAGATCTTTCACCGCATGTATGCGTATATTGTCTATCGAATTGCTCTCTCGCTTCACCTGGAAATTTTCTTCGGCCTCTGGATTGCTATCCAGAACGAGTCACTGAACCTCAAGCTCGTCGTTTTCCTGGCAATCTTTGCTGACATTGCTACTTTAGCTATTGCTTACGATAACGCGCCATACTCAAAGACTCCCGTCAAGTGGAACTTGCCCAAACTCTGGGGGATGTCTATCCTCCTTGGGATGGTGTTGGCTGCTGGCACGTGGATCGCTTTGACCACAATGCTCATTTGGGGTGATAATAGAGGTATCGTGCAAAACAGTGGCCACAAAGACGCCGTTCTCTTTCTGCAAATCTCACTTTCCGAGAATTGGTTGATCTTCATCACCAGAGCGAATGGTCCCTTTTGGTCGAGTTTGCCCTCGTGGCAACTGACAGCAGCTATTCTTCTTGTCGACATTCTCGCCACGCTATTCTGTATTTTTGGCTGGTTCGTTGAAGGAGAAGGGACCAACATCGTCGGCGTAGTGCGCATCTGGTTGTATTCTTTTGGGGTATTTTGTGTCATGGCTGGATTGTATTACTTTTTGCAGGATAGTGTCACGTTTGACGATATCGTGCATGGAAGGCGGTCGCAAACCAAGAAGGTGCTCAAGAAGCGGGACATGGAAGATTTTCTGGTGGCTTTGAACCGCGTGTCCACCCAGCACGAGAAGGTCGCTTGAGTGCGACTATTCTGCTCACGGTTGCCCACACGCTATCGACGTCTACAGGCGAGTCTCTGAGATGGCCGCCTCCACCACTGGATCCCGAAGATATTATCCCGTCAGCAACGTTCAGCAAGGCCAAAATAGTCCAACTACGGCGTCGACCACGGCAGCTCACCCCCAAACTGTCAAGAACTTCGAGTGAAGGATTTCTTCCGAAGCTCAAGCCGGGTGATTCTCCACTTGCCGAAACGTCGAAGAAAAAGGAAGCTTGAGATGGAAGAGTGATGGCTGTAGCTTGTCATAACAGCTGCATGAATACAGATAGACTGGGAGGCTGAGTCCGTCACACAGCATGGTTGACCACGAGTATGGTCGAGGTCGACTTAGTTCAGTTCCATTACGACTTTAATGAAGAAGGATACCCTCATAGTAGTAGAATGAGCATTACATGTTATTGTCCGTTGTATGAACCCGCCCAATAGCAGACAGAAGATATACGACCCGACGGGGCCGACCATTGGCAGCAAATGTATTGTGTGCCTCGCTCCACCCAGATCATGCGTTGTCGTGGTCGGTAGAGGTGATGATGGGCTCCCACTCGTTGAGCAACTTTAGAGTGCTCTCACACTTTTGTCGGATGGTTTCGACACAATCCCTTCCCAGAACAAGTCTAATGGGGATCTCCCTTCCTGCGGCGGCGCCCGTCCGCGTCAGCACGTCGACGATGACTTTGGACCCCTTGACCACGTCGCCGGGCTGGTTGTTGTCGACGGAGTCGAGGGCGTTTCTGACCTGTCCGACGACGGTGTCGGTGTAGTCGTCGATGACCCTTGCGGACTTGACGCGCGCGCCGGGGTTGAGGAACCCCGTGCGAAAGTACCCCGGCTCGACGACGGTGCAGGTGATGCCCAGTGGCTTGAGCTCCTCGGCGAGCGACTCGGAGACTGCGGAACACGCCCACTTGGTGGCGGCGTAGTTGGAGTATGCGGCGCCGCCGATCCAGGAGCCCAGGGATCCAAAGTTGGCGACGACACCGGAGCGTTGGGCGCGCATGGTGGGCAGCACGGCGCGGGTGACGTTGATCATGCCGAAGACGTTTGTTGTGAACTCTGCAAGCGTTTCTTCCGGCCTACAGTTGAGAGAGGTTAGATTGCCAGTTTTCACATGACTGTTAGTGAGTGTGAGAGTGAGGGGGGAGGGGGGGGGAGAGAGTGAGAGTGAGAGTGAGAGTGAGAGTGAGAGTGAGAGAGAGAGAGAGAGAGAGAGAGAGAGAGAGAGAGAGAAGGGGGGGAGAGGTGTCTTCTTGCAAGAAGACGACTGATGAAGAACATACGAGACCTCTTCAAGGGCACCTTCGAGAATATAGCCTGCGGCGTTGACCAGGATGTCAATACGACCTACATCCTGGACCATTTGGTCGACGGCGGTCTGAAGACGGGTCGTATCCCATGTCACGTCGAGCGCGTAGGTCTTTGCCCCGGCCGACTTGAGGTCGTCGATCTTGGTTGCGTTTCTCGCCGTCGCCAGGACCATGTGTCCTCGAGACAGGGCTTCGAGGGCGATGAACTTGCCGAAACCGCTGCTCGCTGCGGTGATGAGCCAGACGGGGGACGACGACGACGATGATGACATTGTGTGAAGAAAAAGTATTAGTTAAAGACGGCGTTATGAAAGAAGATTGTCTCGAGGAGAATGGAGTGGATGGCTGGATGTATAGATAGATAGGTGAGTGTACATGTGAAAGATTTGCATTCAGCTCAGGGAAGGAGAGTGGTGGTATTTATATACAGGAGTTCTCACTGCCTTCCTGGGTACCTACCTACCTACCTACTCACGCCCGACCTCGTCGTTCTCGTGTTGGATATGCACGGGACGGGCGCCGGTCAAGGATGGCTCATGGAAACCCGGTACGGATCAGCGGACTTGGCTGTGGAGTCTTGGGTGCTGCAGTATCAGAAGCGTAGACTGACCATGTACGAGTAGATGTCACTGCTGAACTGGAGCATGCAATGTGCTTACATCCGTGAAGTCTTAGATAGAACCAGGTCAGAGCCTGGGCCGGTGTTGATCGTTCCACCGGAGGCTCAAGCGGCCGCATCGGCCGCCCCGTACTCGTATTCGAGCCGAGCGGCGACGCATGAGGACAGTGAGCAGAACTCTGCCTCAATCTGCCTTGCTCTGATCCTCCTCATTCTTTGGTCATTCTTCCGGCAATAAGACTCATACATCCTTCCACGTCTTCCTACCCTCAGCCTCAGCCTCAGCCGGGCCCTTTGATGCCGTTAAACGTCGAGGCGACGGCCATTTCGGGGGATTCCATCCCACGTGATCTGGTGATTTGACGTCTCCCGCACAAACGCGGTTCGTCGCGTTGGAACTTCCATTGTCAAACATCCCACTATGTGTCTCTTACATTCCTCTAAGCGTGCCATGACAACTTTGTCGGTCACGTATTTGTCCTGCACTTCCTTATAGCAGCTTCTATATACATACAGACATCACGGCAGACGCGCGGATGTCTTTCCCAACCCTCCTTCGAAGCTGCGAGATGATTGTTCAGAGAGGATTTGAGACTGCCAGCCACAAACTGCCAACCCACGATCGATTGAGTTCACTCCATCGTCTTCATAATCCAGACTGTCATGGGCCCTCAAGGGTTCAAATTTACTTGGCTGTGTGAACTTCTCGATACTCTCGATGCCGCTCGCAAAGAGAGATGTCTCACCTCGAATCGAAACGTCAACCTGGATGTCAAATATACTACAGAATGGTTCATCAAGTACAATGGAGTCATCCCTCGCCATGGACCTGCGGCCGCTGCGTTCTTGTCATGTCTTCTCCCCGAACGCCTTCCAAAACGGAGTTATAGTATGCAGGAGGCAGCCCTTGCCAATGTCTGGGCGAGGATCCGTCGATTGCCAGCTGCGTCTGTCAAGAAACTGAAAGCGTGGAAATCGGCAGAAACCGACTTGGCAACCACCGTCGAGCATGTCTTTGCAGACTTTGACGACAACGTCGACGTGTACAACGGTCCTGTCACTTTGGAGGAGATTGACCGCGCTCTCTTCCAGCTTGCCGCCAATTCAGCATTCTCATCGCCAGAGATCCGTAACTATAAAAATTCTCAAACACAAGGCGACATCCTCGCTCCCATAGTGCGACGTTTGAAAAGTTCCGAAGCAAAATGGCTCGTCCGCATGGTTCTCAAACGCTATACTCCTGTACAACTGCCGGAACGTACTGTCCTGCGCTCTTTCCACTTCCTCCTTCCACATATCATGGCTGTGCGAAATTCCATCGAGAGTGCGGTTGATGTTCTCACGCTCAAGGAACTGCAAGGTATCCCCGCAAACCCAAGTCCAGCTGATGAGTCTTGGATTCTTAGACTATGTGCACATTATATCATCCCAGGATTAGGTGCCATGATCACTCGGACATCTTTCGTGAAAGCGAGAACCATCAAGCACTGTTGCAACGAGGCTCGAAACCGAACTATGAGTGTTGAGCGCAAATACGATGGCGAATACTGTCAAGTCCACATTGATCTTACAAAGGAGGTGTCGTCACAAATCCAGATCTTTTCAAAAAGCGGCAAAGACTCCACGAGAGATCGAATACGCCTTCAGCCTGCTCTCAGGAAAGGTCTTAGAATTGGTGAGCAAGATTGTGCGTTTTCTCGAAATTGTATTGTGGAAGGCGAGCTTTTGATATATAATCGGTCAACGAGATCCGTGATGCCTTTCCACGCCATTCGAAAGCACATACTCCATGGCGGAAAGCCTCTCGGAACAGAGATGGACTCTCCTCGGAAACCTGATGAGCAAATCATGTTTGTGTTTTACGATATTATGTTCCTTGATGACATGATATTGAGTCAGAGACCTCATCATGAACGAAGAAAACGTCTTGAACAGATTGTCAGAACCGTGGAAGGAGAATCCGAAGTCGCGTACCGACGGGTCATCAATTTCAGTAACAGTGACGCAAGACGAGGACTGCTCGACATTTTTGCGAATGCTATTCAGCGTAGATGGGAAGGCCTCGTGCTCAAAGGTTGTGATGACCCATACTTTTCATTCCTCTACTCTCAAAGCGTCCTCAAGCTCAAGAAGGACTACATCAAAGGGTGTGGAGATGTGGTTGACCTTTGTGTCATTGGTGGTCGACGAGATCCCAGAATTATTGAACAACTTCAATTGGGGCCACTCTCATGGACGACATTCTACATCGCCTGCCTTGAGAACAAGGAGGAGGTACGCAGGTTTGATGCAAAACCAATCTTTCGCATATTGCAGACTGTGTCTTCCCCTGGTGTACCCAAGGAAGACATACTGCATTTCAATGCACAGGGCCAATTATTTAAAGTCCCATTTGCGAATTCGATCGATCAGTATGTGGTTTGGACTGACGCTAAGGAGATGACTGACATGGAAGCACCTTCTGAGTTGTTCAAAGTGCCGTTCATTGTCGAAATTATGGGTGCTGGCTTTGAACGTCCACAAAATGCCAGATATATGGTGCCACGGTTTCCTCGAGTGATGAAAGTGCATTCTGATAGGACATTCTTGGAAACCAGTTCCTTCGAGGAAGTGCAGAAGCAGGCAGAACAGAGTATGGAAGAGATATCCGTTCAGGAGAGCCAGGAAGAGGTCGATTGGATAGCGCGGTTGACTGCAGCTGATGGCAAACACGCTCGTTTTCACTCGGTATCCGAGAGAACAGCCAGCCCTTCTGTGAGCACCCTATCTAATTCTTTGAATAAGACGACTCAGACCAGCGACACACCCTGCAAGATACGACCTGTGTCTAACGAAGACGGCAATCTTCACAACACCGAAAACAATTCTTCACACTTTGGAAGTAACGCGATCTCGCCCAGTGCTGTCATGGCATCGGGACAATCTCAACGCCGCAGTAGCCCTCCTCATGTCAACGAGCTATCTGTTCGAGACTCAGCTGCGAACAATGCCAGCGGTCAGGCATATAAGACTTCATCTGGTTCTCCCGTGATTGCTTTACGGGCTGGGGACTCTTGCCATACATCGAAAAGAAAGTTGGCTGACATTGAGCGCCCGGATGAAGACGACCAAGACGCGAGACGTCGGAAGGTGTCCGCGGAAGTCACAAATATTTCGACCACTCGGTCCTTTGGGTCCAATGGACGTTTGAAAGCCGACAAAGTCTCTTCTTTGCGCCACCACCCTAGCAGAAATGTACACACAGGGCAATCAACTATGCTCATCTACACTGATGAAGTGAGGCCACACACCGGCCCTGTTATAGGAAGTCCAAGTCCTTCGATGTCCAACATTCATAGGTTTCCGAATCACAGGCAGCCCTTCGAGCCTCCAGCAGTTTTTCGGCCTCCGTCAAGAAGACATAGAGCACGGCATGAGCTCGTCAGCCAGTCAACAAACATAACACCGCCCAAGGGCCGACAACGCCGTCCTCTTTCTGACTTGTCAGCCGGATCAACTCAACGTGGACGTGACGAATTGCCCGACAGTCTGAGTCGGGATATGTCAGACAAGGAGAATCCTGGGAAATTGCCGTCCTCTGGCGAACACTCCACGAATGGGATGGCAGGTGATGGCCCGATGGAGAACGGCAGCAACGAAAATCACGACTGCGTTGCTGATGCTCTGCTAGATAAGGACGGCATTTTCAGCGAAGGCGAGAAGAGACAGAAGCTCCCAGATCACGCACCACGGAAGGAAACCGATGCAAGTACACTGAGCGAGACTAAAGCTCCTGTCCGGATCCCCCAGCTTCGCATTACTGATTTCGCCAGTTATATTCTATGTTCTCACTGGTCGCCTCTTCAAAAGGAGCTCGCTGTTCGAAATGGCTCTATTCCACGGTCTGTCAGAAAGAGCGAGTTTCTAGTAGGACGCCTACTGCTCGCCCGGTTGCTGGACTGCTCGGGACCGGAAGACATAGCGAAAGAGATCTACCAAGTTGTTAAGACAGTCTCCGTTCTTCGTTCCCGCCTGATGAGTCGCGGGCTGAGCAGCTCGAAAAGCCGTCCTGATAGCTCTCGTCCCAGGGAGAGGAGGCAACGGAGACTTGTCGTCTTCTACGACATGCAAGCCCTGGCTTTGATGCCTACTGAGACGGTTCCTTGTCAGTGCGGTGATTCGCAACTTTGTCAGTCTTGCTTGGCGTTGGTCAACTCATCGCTACGTTACCACTTCAAAGGAGCCGTTCTTTTTTCGACTGGCAGGAGGTTCTGTCCGCCCGAGATACCCCCTGAACGTGGAGTTGACTCTAGCAGCACGAGACCAGGTTTAGATGGCAATCTCAGAAAGGACAAACTCGTGGCAGATGTCATTACGGATTGGCGGCAGGTCATGGGTCTCTTGGAGAGTTTGTGTTGCGATGATGATGGCATCCTTGGAAGGGAAGATTCAGTGTGATTTCAGGACTGTCATTTTAGAGAGCATTTCAAAAGAAGTATTTTTGACATGGGCGAGTAAGGCAGGACTAACTAATATTGGTCGGGGAATAGGGTTTATCATTTGATAGCGTTCTCGAGCGCAACGCTCTTGTTTTTAGATACGACCATCACGCCAATGATAATGATGATGATTAATAAATGAATGCTTTGGATCATGGTTATTTTTGAATCATAGTGAATATTTATTTGTATACTTCTGGTTGAGAAACACCAGCAGAAAGGAACTAAGCTTGTCAAGGGGAAATCCCGTCTCCCTACTTAGTAACAGTCTCAGATACCACCAAGTCCACGAGTCTGTTTCATAACACGTTATAACGATGGAGCTAGGTCTTGAGTACGGAGTGCTACGTACGTGCAGGTTCTAAAATAGCCAAGATACAAATGTTCTGTAGAACCAGTTGCCCCCTCGCTTGCCTCCCTTTTCGGCCTCCCTGGCGTGCTTCGCCGCGAGGAATTCCTCCTCCTCGCGGTCGATCAGGTCCTTGCCCGTCCACAGGTCCGCCTCGTGGGGCTTGACGCCCTTGGACCTCGTCCACAGCTTGTAGCCGAAGATGAGGATCAGGTACAGGGGGATGCCCAAGTACCCCGTGACGAAGTTCTTGTAGTCGAAGTCGCCGTAGGAGTCGGAGTGGACGAAGACGCTGTAGTTCTTGGTGATGGCGATGAGGATGCACATGAACAGGGCGCCGTAGGACCCGGCCACGCCGAGCGGGGCCCTGTAGGCGAGGGCGGTGTCCGGGACGTTCTGGGCGCGGCGGTCCCGGACCCAGTAGATGTGGGTGACGAGGATGGAGATCCACGTGAGCAGGCCGAAGATGGTGACGAGGTTGACGAAGTAGCCGAAGACGGTCTTGGAGTCGTCCGACACGTTCATGAAGGCCAGCAGCGCGAACGCCGCCGAGAGGCCCAGCGCGTACAGGGGCACGCCGCGGTTGTCGGTCCGCCGGAAGATGGCGGGCGCGTTCCCCTCGCTGGCCAGGCCGTACAGCGTCCGGCTGGCGATGTAGAGGTCCGAGTTGGACGCCGAGAAGACGAACAGCAGGATGCACGCGTTGACGATGCCGGGGAGCGCCTTGATGCCCGCCAGTTTGATGGCGACCACGAACGGGGACGCAGACGCCGAGCTGGACGCCTTGGTCGCAAACGCCAGTTCCTCCGAGTTGTACGGGACGAGCATGCCCAGCAGGAGCACCGACAGGCAGTAGAAGAACACGATCCGGTAGAAGGTGAGCTTGATGGCCCGCGGGATCGTCTTCCTGGGGTTCTGCGCCTCGCCGGCGGTGACCCCCACAAGCTCAATGCCGAGATACGCGAACGTCGCCGTCACCATCGTCGACCAGAAACCCAGGAATCGGCCGGTGGCGCCCTCGTCGATGTATTCTGCGAACGCGCCGGGGTCGCTCCAATACCTGTGTAACGTCGTCAACTCTCATGCTCTGGCGTCTCGGGGTCGTCTGCGTAGGGTGTGCACACGTACCGGAATCCTTTGCGGTCGTGATCAGGTCCGCCTCCCAAGGCCAAGACCAGGGACAGGATGATCAATCCAACGATGACGACGACTTTGATGCTCGAAAGCCAGAATTCGAACTCCCCGAAAAAGCTGCAGAGAGAGAGAGAGTCAGACGAGGACAACAATGCGGGAACTGGCTTCTGAAAGAAGGGTGCATAGGCCGAGAAAGAAACAATTATTCGCGGGTGTTGTTGGTGGACTCACCGGATGCCGAAGTAGTTGATACAAACAATCGCTACCCAGAATATGGCGATGAACACTCCAGGATTGACCGTATCCCGGTCGACCCAGTACTGTATGACGAGCGAGCCAGCCGTAAGCTGATTTGGCGTGACGATGATGTATTTGAACCAGTAGGTATAGCTACACAATCAAAGCATCAGAATCCATGATATGACACACGGTCGGACATGAAAAACAAAAGAGAGGTGTAACATACCCGAGAGCGAAACCGAGAGCAGGATCACAAAAGCGACTTGCGTAGCCAGTGAAGCCGGAGGGCAATGGGAGCCAGGCGGCCATTTCGCCCAGGGCGCACATGACCAGGTAAACCACAAATCCAACAACCGTGTATGAAATGAAGATCGATCCAGGGCCTGCACGGGCGAGTGCCTGGCCCGTACCGATAATCAAGCCAGTGCCTGGAACGTAGCAGCATCAGAAGCAGTCCCCCTCGGACACGGTGCTGAACCTCGACTGACCTATCGCGCCTCCGATGGCGATCATAGTGATGTGACGAGCCTTGAGCCCCCGATGGAGTCGCGACCCATCTTCAAATTGGGTGCCTCCAACGTGTGTGGCTTCGACGGGCGAGAGAGCTCGCTGCTGGGCATGGTAATCTGGTTTTTCAGTCCCCTCGGAGGGTGACGGGCTGTCTGTGTGGTAGCCGGCCATGGTTGTTGACCGCACAAAAGACCGAGCACTGCAAGAGGACACACTGTGGGTTTAAACAGGAAGACAGGGAAAAGACCGCGACTGGCGAGGCGACACACGGGTGGTACTTATCCCTTCTCAAAGGCGGTTGCGGAATCCGCCTGACGATTGGGACACACATCATTCTGTACCCGGCGAACTCGACTCCCACCTGGGTTACACTGCATCACCGTCACGAGGGCAGATCGCTGTGGCACGTTGATTGTTATCGTCCCAGGGAGGACACCGCGACGTCAATGGCTCGTTTGGAGGAAGCGAAGCTTGGGCCAAGACGTGGAAGAGGCGTGAATGATGGTACCCAAGACTTTTCCAAGAATCCATCGACGTGTGGAACAAGATAAGGCAGAGACCAACAGTACAGGGGACGGTGGAAATGATGCAGTCCAAGGCGCCAACGGCGGAGATCCAAGACCATCAAAACGTTACATAAAGAAACGCCGCCAAGAAGGCGGAGCAGGGGATTCGGTATAGAAAGGCAGCGAGGCAGACTTTTTCGTCGGCTTATACAATATAAATGGAGGGATTGGGTCCGGGGCGACAAGCTCAGGTGCACACACAGTCCGGGTGCTTAGTAGGCTGTGGTCGTACAGTACGAGGGCGTCCGTAGCTACTCAGGGTCCTGAACTGATCGAGGGAGCCCCAGACTCTCTCGACCACAAAGACGCTCCATAAGAAGATTGGTGAAAATCGAAACTGGGTCCCAAGCCTCAGATCCCTGTCGTTGAAGTAGTAATGCCAAGTCGCCGATCAGCACAGAGCCCAGAACAGGTTCGACACTGCAGAGATAAGGCAGGGCGATGAGGAGCGATCGCAGTCGTTGATACTACTTGGGCAGTGTGTGCCGATAGTCTCTCCACGATGGCGCAATAAGGTACAGGGTGGATGGGTTGTTGATTTTAACGCTGAGGGCGATACAGCGAGGGGGCGAGAGAGACTGATTGATTGAACAACAGAAAAAATGCTCAACTATCCGGAAGTAACCGTGGGTGACCGTAGTTATCATTACTTCAGATTAAATAACAGTCATGGTCCGTCTGTGGAGCAGGCATCTAATGGAGTTGTACATGGAGTCGAAAGTCTAGACGTCGATATGGACCTCACGTAATTCAATCGCCAAAGAAGGAATCCCACAAGGACGAGAAGAAACCTCCCTCATTGCCTCCGGTCGCTGGTCCCTGCCCAGCTCCGTCACTCCAAGGATCTGAGCCCTGACCCCAGACGTCGTCTGCGTGGTTTTCATGACCAGGCTCGCCTTGATGAGATGGTGAATCGAAGGGCTGGCTGGATGCCTGGTGCTCAGCCTCAGGCTGGCTTTGTGGAGACTGGGAATTGTAAGGTCCGCCTTGAGGTTCCCCTGGAGGGCTTGCAGGGTCCGAATCAGGCTGTGAATCTCTTCCTAACCCCCTTTGCATGGCCTCGTATCCTGCCATCGTACCGGCACCGACTGCTGCACTTTCACCTATGCCGCCAGGGGCTGCGCCTACGCCAACCGCCCGCCCAGCTCCACCAACCACTGCGCCCCCAGCAGCTTCACCAGCGCCTGCAGCACCACCTGCAGCACCGCCAGCAGCTTCTCCGCCTCCCATCCATAAAGGAAGAAAGCCACCAGAACCCCCAAATGAACTGTGACGCGAGAAGTAGTCATAGTCCAGAGTCACGGCGGTAGCCAGGACACAGGCTCTTTCATCAAGACTCATACCAGCCATGCCGTTCTTGCTTCCCAATGCTTCAGAATACGCCTGGGGCTCGTTCCCGGACTGATCTCCCACATCGTCCTGCTGTGTATCCGTTTCTGACCCGGCAGCATCCATGCGGATTACATAACTCCCAGTGTCTGTAAAGATCTCTCGGCCAAGCCCGCGGAATGATCGGTTCACGGAGCCAATCAGGCGAGAATTTGGGTCGATAAGCGAAAAATCCCAGGATAGGAAGGGCTCGTTGACAGCAGCAAATTGACGAGGGGCTGCGGCTTCAGGACCAGCAGCATTCCTGGGATGCACGAATAGATTGTACTTACGACGTAAAGGGGCCCATTCCGACACAGCCTCTCCAATCACTCGCATGCTCTCGATGGGGACGTGCGAGATCTGTTGAAGACTGCTCATGGTATCTGGAACTGACGGATCTTGTGGCGCGGGCGACGACCGTTCGGAGGTAACCTGCGCCGTGAGAGGATCATATACGCGGATACGGCTGACAAACCAAGAGAATGGCCGGTGAAACCGCAATACCTCCCTTCCATGCTTGTCGAAGACATGTGTCGTGAAAGGACGATGTGTTCGCAGCCACTGTCTTGCCATAGCTTTTCCTAGCCCGCCATCATGTTCTGCCATGTAGCCAATATGAGCGCCGTTAGGATCTAGTATGACATATCGATTGGCTTGTTCGAAACCTAAGAATAGATTCATCATCTCAATCTGCCTCTGGACAACAATTCCCGGCTGGGCAAGGATATCTGCAGAAGGATGATCTGACTTCAACACGGCGTTTGGGTCTTCTGCAACATGGACCGGTGCGAGGAGGGAATTGTCTTCAGGACGGGTCTGGGACAGGATGGTTTCCATTAAGGGAGAACCTGGAACGGCGCCGTCCCTTCTTGCAGGATTCGAGCCATGTTGGACTTCCGGAGAGGGTCGCTCTTGACGCAGGTTGACGGAAGTTGAAAGAGGCTGGCGATTGCACCTGAAAACTCTCCTCGACCGGAGGTTGGTGAAGCATCGCGGGGAAGATTCGAGAGAGGCACAGGCCGGCTTGAACGTGGAAAGAATACTTTTCTGCATTTGCACACGTTACAGAGAGGTTTGTCTCGGGGATGGCTTCAAGCACTCTTATACGAGTATTCCTTTGTGTCGTTGACAAGGATGACGAGGTGAAGCACGCGCCTCGGAGCAAGGCTTCCGGAAAGCCAACACAAAACGAAACAGGCGTGATTACTCGTACTTGTCGTCACAAGGAAGAGCGTCCATTACATTTGATGACTTCATGCTGTTACTCGTAGAACGGCGCATCTGTTAACAAGCGGCGCAGGAGGTCTCGCTGCTCGGCCAACCTGCCGTTCCGAGTCTGTTAGAGTTAGGGGTTAGGATTAGTGAACCAAGGTACGACGTGCTAATGAAGTACCCCGTGCCTGACCTGACCTGTGTACCTTACAGGAAGGTATTACAGATTCCTCCTCTCAACAAGTGGCCAGAGAGCCTCGGAAATTTCTTGCTTCATTCTGCCTAGTCGGCGTGCTCTTCTACAATACACCAGCAACCCTGCGCTGCCGATGGTGCGTGCCGTCAGTCTTCCGTCTCATCACGCCAGCTGGGATTACGTGTCCTTACGGCTGCGTTCCGTCGATCATAACAGTATGTGGTATAGCTCGTGGCACTACTGAACCGGAATGTCCCTTCTTGTATCCATTATCATTTCACCAGTAAGTCGTCGGCGAGATTGCTTGACCTCGCCAACTCGAATCGAAGACGGAAGGCCAGAATACACGCGCGCTGCGGTCTCTAGACACCTTTCTGGGGTAAGCGCCTATCCATGGTTCCTTGCATAAAGATTTTGGCGATTCGGAACATGCGGGCGAAAGCACCCAACGTAGGGGGATCCATCGCTTCACTTACTGTGCAGATCGGGGTCGGACTAGCTCCAAGGATGCATGATATCCGGTATCCATAACCCAACGATATTGTGAAGAGACGGCCTACAGTAAGACGATTGCCTGAGCGGAATCAGTTCGGTCGCTCTCTTTTGACTTTCACCCTCACAGCTCAGATCGAATCGTCACGTCTAGGATATCGTCCCAGCGGAAAAACGCCAGCACAACTCGACAACTCAGTGCTCAGCAGTGTCTGATATTCTGCTTGAAATGGCAGCTTCCTTGTATTGCGTGCAATGCCTGAGCATGAATGATCACGATTGGTACTCCAAAAGCTAACCGGGTAAGTGTGTCAGCGCAAAAGAATATCAAAAAGCATGGTCAATTTCGATAGCTCCTCACGCTAGTACCCAGTCCGGACGGATTCCACCTACCTGTACGGAGTATCAGGTATGCAATGGCATGATTCCGTTCTCAAGCACAATCGAAGGCCGGATCCACTGGTCCACGTGGTAGGTGAGGAGGGACTGCCGACACCCTGCTACAGTACCATTCTGGGACTACCACAACACACATGCATACTTCATACTAATCTCTCCCAGGTTTGATCTGGTTCCCTTTCAACTTTTCTCGACTGACTGCACCTGACCTCTGGCTATTCGTTTCCGAACCCTGCACATCCGCTATGATGTCTTTCCTTGGGGGATGGCATGCGTCTGCCGTTTTGGCATTAGCACTGAGTGCAGTTTCAACTGCCATAGCCTTACCTGAAGGCTCAGGAAGCAATGACACACCCAGTACACTGAACTGCTCAGAACAACAATTCGACTATGTGATTGTTGGTGGAGGGTTGTCGGGTCTTGTCGTTGCCAATCGACTGTCCGAAAACAGCAAAGGTATCGTTCAGATGTTTGGTAGTCTGAATGAGTTTGCTGATTGTCATTAGTCTCGGTTCTTGTTCTTGAGTTTGGGCCCTTCGATAGAAGCAACACGACTCTCTGGCCGGTCAACGCACAGTCCCTCAATACGAAAGATATGTTCAATATAACCTCGGCGCCGGAGCCAGGCCTGGACGGTCAGAGGTACCCTGTCTTTGCAGGAGCAGTGCCTGGCGGCGGTTCGACAGTCAATGGAATGGAATTCGATCGCGCTTCTTCCAGTGACTATGATTTCGAAGCATTGGGAAATCCTGGCTGGAACTGGAATGGTCTCTTCCCCTATTTTAAAAAGGTAAGCAGGCTGAAATTAGTCGGAGGAAGCTTTGTTGATGACAGGACAAGAGTACCGACTTCACGCCACCTCCTCCAGCTATCGAAGCAATGTACAACTACACTTGGAATGAAGCTGCTTATGGGAAAGGTCCTTTGCAGGCCTCTTTCCCAGATTTCCAGTATCCTGACAATTTCCCGTTCTTTAGTGCGTTTAAAGAACAAGGCGTTCCCTTCATCAAGGAGCATGCACTCGGTAATGCTACTGGCGTTTTCTTCACGCCAGCATCCGAAGATCCTAAGAAGAAAACCAGGTCATCATCTCTCAACGCATACTACGACCCTGTCTCAAGCCGCAAGAACTTGAAAATGCTGGCCCAATATCAGGTCACCGAGGTCGTCTTTGATGGTAACCTTACCGCCCAAGGTGTCAAAGCAACAGATAGGACCAGCGGCAACCAGTATCAATTCACGGCCACAAAGGAAGTTATTCTGGCAGCAGGTGGCGTTCATACACCACATGTTCTTCAGCTTAGCGGTGTTGGTCCTAAGGATGTTCTGACGGCCGCCGGCGTTACCGTCAAGCTTGATTTCCCTGCCGTTGGAAGTAATTTCCAGGATCACCCTACCGCATATCTCAACTGGAATGGTAGGCCAAATGCTGTATCCCAGAAACAATGGACGCCTGTACTGACTATTTGTAGTAAGCAACCGCTTTCCATATCCGGGCATACTCCAGGAAAATGCTACATACAATGCAGAAGCACTTGCTTTGTACCTCAACAACCTGACTGGGCCTTATACCAAGGCTCAAGCAAACAGCGCTGCCTTCCCGACTCTCGACATGATCACCAAAGACGGTAGTTCGATCATTTCGTCGCTTTTGGCGCAAGAGCCTAGTCAATATCTGCCTCCGATCTACAACAACAGCCAGCAGCTATTGGCGGGCTTCCTTGCGCAGCGCAAACTCCTCGCCTCCCAGATCGCGACCGGCAGTGTGGCTGTCATGGAGCTGCCATTCGGGGGATCAGGTTCACTCCCAAACGCGATCGAGAAACCGCTGAGCAGAGGCACGGTGCATCTGAACGCTAGTGACCCGCAGGGGGAGCCAGTTGTCACATTTTACGCGTTCACTAACCCAGTCGACAAGGTAATACTCGGCAAAATGGTCAATTTCACTCGTGGGATCATGTCCAGCGATGCGCTTACTTATCTGGACCCTATCGAGACTGTGCCTGGACCGCAATTCCAAACTGAGGATGAAATCTTCAACCAGTTGTTGGCAGCCTCGGCGTTGAACCCTTCATTTGCGCACCCGAGTTGCTCGTGCCCGATGATGCCACAAGATCTTGGAGGTGTGGTCAGCTCGGATCTGCTCGTGTATGGCACGAATAAGCTCAGCATTGTGGACTGCTCGATCTTGCCCATCATTCCTGCGGCGCATTTGCAGGCGACCATGTATGCGGTAGCCGAAAAAGCAGCTGACATTATCAAAAGTCGTGATTGAGGCTTCGCAGACGTGACACAAGAAGTAAGGGGCAAGGGCCGAGATTCTATATACCTGACAGTACTCTCTATATATTTTAAATGTACAAATCTTCAGACATGAAGAGCATTGAAAAGTGGATCCGACCGTCAGGCTCGTTCGCCGCACGAGAGGTACAGCGCTTTAATGGGATCCAAGCCTCTCCAGAATGCGGAATCAGTTTCCCTGACAATGTGGTTCGAGGTGGCTCTAGGCTAAAGAGGCACAGCCTTGCGAGGTTTGCGAGCTACAATACGAATTTTACGAGTACGACGGATACGCGGCGTGGCAGGGCGGAGCGCCTAGACTCCAAGCACCTAGGGGCACCCGGTGGCCCCTGGGCCCTATATCAAGGACTTGTACGGAGTACTTGTGCCCAGCTCGGACAAGGAGAAACCCCCACTGGTTCTCCAGGCCTTGGTGGGCGACCCCCAAATGGCACCTCCAGTGACCTATCGATCTCAAGAGCCGAGAAGTTAGTCGTCATGAGCCGTAGACTACGCTGGGAATCAATTCTTGGATTCATCAACTCGACGTCCTTTGCGAGGCTAAACACTGCGAGATCAGTCTCCATTTTGCGACACAAGAGAGGCCAATGTTGCTATGACATGGAACCATGTCTCATACCTCCATCCTGAGTATATATCCATTGCTTCGCTGTTCTTGCTCCAGGGTAGCTTTTGCAACATATACCGCATCGGCATCTCCATGAAGCTGCTTCAGCAGCAGTCACTCTTTACCCCAGCCCGGGTTCATTGACTTCTCCGTGATCTCCATGGCTGCTCTCTTCGTCCGTCAGATCTGGACACTCACTTTGAAGAACCTGCTTGTTGCTTTCGTACGACGGTGGTTGACTACGACGATCAGGGCGTTTCTCTTGCCTTGTATATTTGTGGGCTTCCTGTGCGTGACTGACCGCACCCGCAGTCTTGAGATTCTAACCATTACAGATCATATGCACGGTTCCTCTTCATTCCGCCCTCCGTCTATGGAATCGGAGACCCAACTGCCGTCCGCAGCCTCCCGCAAGCTCTCGATCTTGTCTCTGGTGGGCGGGACAAGCTGGTCTTCGTCAACAATGGCTTCGCAGGGGGAGCTATCGAATCAGTCATCGACCGAGTAGTCAATGATGCCGGTTCGTTCGGTGGAAAGGTAGAGATTCTGTCGCAAGAGGAGGAACTTTTGACAACATGCAGAAACTCAATCAGAGGCACATCGACGTGCATAGCTGGAGCCGTCTTTTTCTCCTCCCCGACAGAAGGCGAAGCCGGGCGGTGGAATTACTCGATCCGAGCAGACGGTGGACTTCAGAACAAAATCGTCACCGATTCTTCCAAGAATGACGTCGAGATCTATCTTCTTCCGCTCCAACACGCAATTGATCGTGCCATATCTGATGTCGAAGGTGGAAGAAATGGCTCACGTACTTTACCAGACCAGGTGCAGGAGTACCCTTATACCTCCATGACGAAACAGCAACGCTTGCGACAGATCAGGACGAGGTACATGGGAGGCATCATCGACATCCTTGCTGTTGCCTTCTTTATCGGCGTAGTTGGTGTGACTTACCAACTCACAGGATTGATAGCCGCTGAGAGAGAGCAAGGTATGGCCCAATTGCTCGATTGTATGATGCCAAACGCTCAACGATGGCAACCACAAATGGCGAGAATTCTGGCGAACCACCTGGCCTTCGACCTTCTGTACGGCCCCGGCTGGATCATCATGGCCATCATCCTCTCAGTAGGTGTGTTCAGCAAGACCTCTGCGGCAATTGTGATCATTTTCAATCTTCTGTCAGGCCTCGCCATGTCTTCTCTGTCCATCTTTGGAGCTGCTTTCTTCAAAAAGGCCCAGCTCAGTGGAATCACTTCGGTCATTGTGAGCCTGTTATTGGCTATCATTGCACAGGTGGCGAGCAAAGCAGGTTCCGCATCTGTCGCCATCCTCTCGCTCATCTTTCCGCCTATGAACTATGTCTATTTCGTTATACTCATGGCTCGTTTCGAAAGACAGAATTTCGGGACTAGTCTGACGAAGCGAGCACCAGAGAACACTTCCGCAGTTCCAGGGATTGTTCTGTGGATATTCCTCATCATCCAGATCGTTGTGTTTCCCATCCTGGGGGCATATGTAGAGAGGCTGCTGTACGGGACTGCGTCTAAAAGCCGCCAGACTGAAGTTTCGGACGACACAACCGCAATTGCGCTGCTTAATTTCACAAAAGAGTACCGACCGTCCTTCTTGGCCAAGATACGCTCGGCTCTGACGCGGAGGAAATTGAAAACGGTTCTAGCTGTCGACAGGTTGACGTTGAGTGCCGTACGAGGTGAGATAATGGTTCTGCTGGGGGCAAATGGTAGTGGCAAAAGTACGACCCTCGACGCTATTGCTGGGCTGAATTCGATCACCTCCGGTACAATCTTGATCAACTACCCGTCTGCTAACACTGGACTGGGCCTGTGCCCTCAGAAGAATGTCCTGTGGGATGATTTGACGGTGGAAGAACATGTCCTTATCTTCAATCGAGTCAAAAGTGAAGTCCAGGCGACTAAAGATGAGAACATGTCCCTGCTCACTTCGTGCGACATTGTTGCTAAGACACAGGCACGTGCCAAAACCCTGTCTGGTGGGCAGAAACGAAAGCTGCAGCTGGCCATGATGTTTACAGGCGGCTCAAACGTGTGCTGCGTTGACGAAGTATCGTCCGGTCTAGATCCACTATCTCGACGCAAAATATGGGACATTCTACTCGCGGAGCGTGGCAAACGGTCAATAATTCTGACCACGCATTTTCTGGACGAAGCAGAGTTGCTAGCTGACCATATCGCCATTCTCTCGAAGGGAGCTTTGAAGGCGGCCGGGACTTCGGTTGAGCTCAAGAACAAACTGGGCTCTGGATACCGGGTCCATGTCTATCACAACCACGGTACGCAACAGATTCCTACCTTCCAAGATACGAACCACAAACAACAAAGCGACCAAACTGTCTACTTCTTGCAAGATTCTGCCTCGGCTGCGAACTTCCTCAGTCGTGTCGACAGCGCCGGACTGGCTGAGTATCAGGTTAACGGACCGACAATCGAAGACGTCTTCCTCAAGGTTGCTGAAGAAGTGCAAATACGGTCTGACATCTCGACTGAGGTCGACTCGAAGGATGTGCTCGAGGTAGTGGGCAGCCGCAGCAGCGAAGGAGCCGCTCCGAATGGGGCAGCCGAGGTTTCGTTCCGAGATGACCCGCCTACGAACGTTCCAAAGCTTCTGGATGGTCGTCGCATTAGCATGCCTCAACAAGCCAAAGTGCTCTTCTCGAAAAGACTTGTCGTTCTTCGCCGGAACAGCCTTCCGTACCTTGCAGCGCTTATGATTCCGATTATCGCCGCAGGATTGGTCACTCTCTTTCTCAAGCACTTCCAGAAAGCCGAATGCTCTCCCTCGTCGGCTATTTCAGTCTCTGATATCGTGTCCTTGTCAACACAGAACAATTACCAGCTTGTGGCGGGGCCTCGGGATCGACTGAATGAGGGCGCAATAGAATTACTAGCTGGCACCTTTGGTGGCAGCATTGGTGCCGGGGATGTAGGTGCTAATACCACCAGGTTGCTCCACTCGCTTCATCTTGTTGATACTCTGGAGGAGTTCGACGACTACATCCGAGACAGGTACGCCAATGTCACACCAGGAGGCTTCTTCCTCGGTGGCGACGGTGTTAGCCCTACGTTTGCCTGGAAAGGAAATGGTAACATTGCATTTCCAGTCATCATCCAGAATGCTCTTGACACACTCTCAACCAACATCTCGATCTCAAATCAATATCAAGCGTTTGACGTACCGTGGGGGGCCAGCGTTGGAGACGCTCTACAGCTCATCACTTACTTTGGCTTGGCCATGGCAGTATATCCCTCCTTTTTCGCCTTGTACCCAACGATTGAGCGACTTCACAAGGTTCGAGGCCTGCATTATAGCAATGGCGTTCGATCAGCGCCTCTCTGGCTTGCGTACACCCTGTTCGACTTTGGCATTGTGCTGGTCACCAGCGCCATTGCAATCATAATATTCCGCGCGGCTTCTGATGTCTGGTACCACATTGAATACCTCTTTGTGGTGTTCTTTCTGTATGGCCTTGCCTCGACATTACTGTCGTACCTGATTTCATTGTTCTCGAGGTCGCAGCTAGCAGCGTTTGCATTCGCCGCTGGGGGTCAAGCTGTCATGTTTCTCCTTTATTTCATTGCATACGTAAGTTATTTCTCTCTAACGCGCTCAGTGATGAGCTTGAGGCTTTCGTCATCGTCGTCGCCGTGCTGACAGATTTCAGATGAGCGTGTTAACGTACTCCCCCATTGACAAAATCGATGACTACGTCAACGTATGCCATTTTGCGATTGCAACAATATCTCCAGTTGCCAACCTCACCCGAGCACTTTTCATTACACTCAATGTATTCTCGATCACTTGCAGGGACCGACAATTTGCTTCATACCCGGGGTCCATGACTACATTCGGCGGGCCAATCTTGTACTTGATATTGCAGACCCTCGCATTGTTCGGCGTGCTCCTGTGGTGGGATTCTGGCCCTTCCTTTCAGCTTTGGCGCGGGAAAGCGAAGGAAGAAGAGGTCGAGTCAAAGCCAACGCTCGAGGCCGAAATCTCGAATGAGCTGACTCGGGTCAATTCGTCGCAAGACGGGCTTCGTGTGCTTCACTTGACCAAATACTTTGGCAAAAATCTCGCCGTCGACAACGTCACATTCGGGGTTCCACACAGCGAGGTGTTTGCGCTTCTCGGACCAAACGGAGCTGGCAAATCGACGACCATTTCACTCATCAGAGGCGACATCCAACCAAGTCGTCGTGGAGGTGATATTCTCGTGGACAATATATCAGTCATTCGTCACCGGACAAAAGCCCGGTATCGACTGGGAGTCTGCCCCCAATTCGACGCGATGGACACGATGACGGTAGCAGAACACCTGGACTTCTATGCCAAGGTCCGTGGAGTCGCTGACCCTCGTCACAACGTAGACGCGGTCATGCGCGCTGTCGGTCTCGAGCAGTACGCCGATCGCATGGCTGCAAAGCTGTCAGGCGGCAACAAGCGCAAGTTGTCCCTGGGCATTGCGCTCATGGGGAATCCAAGCGTGCTGTTGCTCGACGAGCCGTCTTCTGGAATGGACGCCGCGAGCAAACGCGTCATGTGGCAGACGCTCAAGTCGGTCGTGCCCGGACGGTCCTTGGTCCTGACGACGCACTCGATGGAGGAGGCGGATGCTCTTGCGATGCGGGCCGGGATCATGGCCGGGAAGATGCTCGCCCTGGGCAGTACCGAGTACCTCCGGCGCAAGCACGGAGACGCCTACTACGTCCACCTCGTGCACCGGCACGCGCCTCATACGTCCGAGCAGGAAATGGAACGCGTTCGTGTCTGGATCGTGTCCACCTTCCCGCAGGCCGAGGTCGAGAGCAAGATATACGCCGGACAGATCCGATTCTCCGTGCCCACGGCGGCGTTGCGCGAAAAGGACGCAGAGGTGATCAGTCGAGGAGGCTCGGGTATATCCAGATTGTTTGCCGCTCTCGAAAAGAACAAGGGTGACCTGGAGATCCAATTCTACAGCGTGAGCCGGGCGACGCTCGACCAGGTCTTTCTCAACATAGTGGGTAAGCACAACGTCGCGGAAGAAGGCACGGACGTTCCGACGATTTCGAATTCTCGTTCTGGGAAGTGGAGAACGCGTCTCTTGTCCACCGTGACCGGACGGAGACGGGGGTAGTAGGAGGCGGCAGAAAGGCGATCCCGATCACGACTATGGTTACGTGCATGCAGAATGTGCTGCGTTGAATAGAAGTCATGGTGGTGGAGACAATTGACAGTAAAGATGGAAGATAGAGTAGATCGGTGATGATTGATTTCTGACCCACTAACTTGAGTGTGCTGTGGATTATAGCAGTGGAAGCATGAATTAATTCTCTCTCATCTTCTACTTCCCTAGGAAACAGCAGTATATATACATCAAAGTAGCATACTGGAAGCCTCCTTACAATTTCCACGCATGCGGAATGATCTCACCAGACCTTTGTTAATGTCAGGATAAGTTGGTTGAGCCTCATATCACAACAAAAAGATGCCACTATTTGTATTGTACCAAGGTAAGCTAAACTTCTTTAAGCCACTGGTAATCAGTGTCTGATCTTGCCAATAGCCGTGAATTGGGGTTTCGAGGCGATCAAAATCTTTCGCGTTGTCTCCTGTGGTAATTTGGACTTGTGCTAAAACTAACATTCACTGATTTTACTATGTGTCAAGACCGGCTGGCTGGACTCAGCTTCACTGGCTCTGAGGGCCGGGCAATTTGCCTTGTGAGGGTTTCTTATGAACAGCTGACCCTCGTTCTCGATCGGTGATACCAGGGAATGCTCCCTGATATCCTACAGAATTAGGACCAAGATCAGAAACACGGCCGCGCTTAACACTGTAGCTCCGCTCAGGTTTCGTCTATCCGCACTGTTTCTGGTGGAAGTCGGAGCAGATGGACCGCCAGCCGACGAAGACCCTGGCAACGCCGGCGTCGTGATTGAGAAGGTACTCGACGCAGAGCTCGACAGGTGTGCTGTACTATGACTCGCACTACTAGTACCGGTGCTGTTGGCGGACACGGACGCGGGTACCTAGATCAAGGGTCATCCTCGTCAGTACAAAGGGATGTACACTAACAGGCCAAGCATGCGCCATGATCTCACGACAGACTTACACTTCCCGAGCTCCCTCCAAGAACCGACATGAAATTGGAGCAATAACTATAGCCTACAAGATTCGTCAGAGTCGCCGGGACTTGTTGACACGAGACGTTCCCCAGGAATCCGCAGGTGTATTGCGCCGAGAGGAATGACGGGGCACAGAAGCAAGACGAGAACTTCTGGTCGTCTTTGCCCAGGTAATTGACGGAGCAGCTCGACAGGGCCACCTCTTCCACCGCGCACGCGGACTGGGCGGTCGTGCAATAGCCAACATCGTACGTGGAGGTCAGCGTGGACAGGACGGGAGTCGTCGGCGAGAAGGTGATGGCGTCGTCACACGCGCTGTTCCAGAGTGAAATGAGGTTCTGTGCGTCCCCGTCGAAATAGTCGTTGAGGAGGCAGAGGCGATATTCGCTTTCGCAGCTGCGCATGATTGTCAGCCCGCGTTATGCTGTCCGATGGATCCGGGGCAACGCAAACTCGTAGAAGGCATTGAACACCTTTTGGTTGCAATAGCAAGATACGAATGGAGCTCCACTGGCGACTTGAGGGCCGGCGCAGTAGTTGAGCTGATCGTTCAGATAGTTACAGGCAGAAAACGTCGTCAAGGGACTGCCCACGTTGCATATGGACGTGTCGAGAGAAGTCAACGACTGTGTAGCTTGGGAACACGAGTAGGAGGCGAAGAGAAAGGCTGTCCACGCCAAGTTCCTCAGGTTCAACATTGTGATGCACAAGACTGGCACAGCGTCGCAGCTTTTTATTCTCAGTTGATCGGCTGATCGAACCGGAGATCCAAAATCAGGCCATCGTCCTTCACTTGGACAGCTATATATGTTTACAGCCTGATCCCGAATCGTGTTCCCATGGCGGACGATCCAGATACCAGCAACCATTATGGCGGGAGTTGGTCACACGGCCTTTCGACCTTATCTGCCACGGAGTCGATTTCTCCTGAACTTGTCACCCCTCGAGCCGGTCGAAGCCTGGCCAGCTGCTCGTACCAATTATGGGCAAGGTAACACCAAAAGGTCGACGGTAGCGCTCCGGTGGCTGTTGGTCCTACTCCACGTTGGGCCAATGTTCGGCTATATCAGCCTCAAAGGCCAAGCCATCGAAGTCTGGGCCATCGAAGTCTGGGCCATCGAAGAACTCAAGCCTTTTTCAAACCCCTGTTCGAAAATCGCTTAGCATGCCATCCCCGTCTATCCCAAACAATGGCTGGTCGACAGGATGATCGCAAGAGGGATTCAAGCTTCGATGTCTGTCAGCCGATCCTCTGTCTTGTTGATGTCAAATACGAGCAGAGGCATTTCGGATGAAGGTCTGAAGGGTTTGTTGTGGTAAGGCTAAGAAGCCTCGATCCCTTTCCCCCCTCCCATACCTCTCGCCGTTACGTCCCCAGAATGATGGTATCCTCGATGGTTTATCTCGGTGGTCTCCCGCCCAGGATTTTCATACCTTCAGACAGTCTCACGTCTCTATTTGGAGCCTTTCTCTTGTTTCCCCGGTAGGCGGCGCTGCTCGCTCCCTTAGGAGCCGTTCCTTCTTCCGTGATGGTGTCGCTCATCTCTGGAACAGCAGAGAGGGCTGGAGCAAAGCAATGGCGGCCTCTGACGCTGTCTTACTGGCTCAACACCATTCTTCTGGTCGTGGAAGTGGGCTTCATCGTCACCATCATTGTACTCGACAGAATCTCCGTATTCAGAACGGCATTGTCGATGTCCCGGATCCGACCCTCTCAGGCTTCGTCGGCAGCTATGTTGTTGGTAAGAACTACAGCCTCTTGTGGACATCTTTGCCGTCATTTCTCTTCTCCATATACGCACTGGTTTGGACGGCGCTCGTGGATGACAGCGCCAACCGACAACCTTACATTGAGCTCAGGCGAGGAGCAGGTGCACTCCAGACGATCATGCTGGACTATAGATCTATGCCTGGGTGGAAAAATTGGTACGTGGCCTTCCGCAATCGGCACGGACATCTGGCGACCGGGTTCCTCCTGGCTTTCTCTCTCTCAACCTTGTTCCAGTCTCTCGCGGCACATCTTCTCGTTGGGCGCACAGCACAATTCTCTACTCAAGTCCCCGTCACTTTCACATCAGAGTTCAATGCATCTGCGATCGATGCGAAGACGAACCTCCAACCATTCATCGACATCTCCACGGCGATACGGGCATATAACAGCACTCCTCCTACCTGGATGACTGACACGTATGCATTCGAGCGTTTCGCCGTGCCTGGAGGTCTAGATGGCGGTAACATCACCGTCAATGCCTCAGCTTATTCGGCCGTGCTGCAGTGCAACAGCATCGATGCGGTCGACTACACCGTCTCTGTGACTAATTCAGACTCGAGTGGAGACCAGACGCTGCAGATTGATTTTAGCGACCGCGGCTGTGCGGTGTCGCAGCGCTTCCTTGTCAACTCGGGGACACCGATCTACGCAAAAGCGTGGTACGACTTTTGCTCGAACTCAAACATTAGACGGTTTGGCATGTCTGCAGGCCAATATTCAGCCTCGGCCGACAGTCACCTCCGTGACTTCAGTGTCATTTCTTGCATTCCGACGTATTGGCTGATAAACGGGTCGCTGACCATGTCCTCCGCGGACGGCGCTTCCCTAACATCGATAGTTTCGTTTGTAGGCAGCAGCCAGCAGCAGATCGATCCCGGAGTGCAGATTACCTTTGAAAACAGCCTGCACATGTACACCTTCTTCAACCCGGCGGCGGCCACGAACGCAGACTCGGTGGGGTTTTCCATCTACTCGGCGGCTCAGGCACGATCGGGGCAAAGCTCGCCCAACGCATCCGTGGTCCAGCAAAGCACGCAGAACTTCTACGCAACCGCCTACGCAGCCCTCGTCAAAAATATCCTGTTGCAGACGAGCAGCTCGCCGCGGACCGGCGTCGGCAGCGTGACCAGGACGACGCCCAGGCTCTTCATCGTGGGCGAGGTGGCCTGGGTGATGGTAGCGGCGATGGTGGTGGTGCTCTTCTGCCACGCCAACCTGATCGTGTACGCAAAACGACACGATACCATGCTCGACGAAGACCCGGTTGGGCTACTGGGGGCCGCCAAGTTGCTGCGGAGAAGTGAAGTCCTCCAGATGGTGGATGATTTCGAGGAGCTGCATCCTGATGTTCCGGGAATGCAGGACTACATGAAGAAGCATTATGGGCTTGGCCGTGGAGATCATTGTTGGTGGGACGACGAAGAAAGAAGGATCAAAGCCGTGGGGATGATGGGAAATTGAAGATGTTATAAGCAGGTTGGTACCGCAGGATGGGAGTACTTCTCTGTACCGAGCATCGAAACATATTTCGTGCCCGGCCAACATTTACGTTTACATACACTCCGTGAACACAATGTCACACGGGGGAGTTAGCTGAAGATGATGAAAGCTGTGGGTTCACGTTCCAAATATCGCGCTCACTGTAACTCAGTGTCACAGTTGCGGCGCACCTAATGCCGCGTCCCAAGGCCTTGAGATCTTGGAGACTCGACCTCAACGAGCTCTTCAGGGCTTTGAAGATGCACCTGGAGCAAATCGCGCGTCGGCCATGACAGCTATGACCAACTTGCAGGCGTTGCAATCTCAGTTGGGTAGTGATACAATACCGCCGAGTACTTGGAATGCGGCGCCATCAAGCAGGAATGTCCATAAGCAGTGGTGGAAGTTCAGAAAGCGAAACTCCATAGTTGTTGTACGGTACAAATGTACAAATGTTCTCGAACCATGCCTAGCCCCTCGCGGACATATAGTAGACTTCTTCAACTCAACCCTCGCCCACTTGGAGTCCGCGCTCGTCCAGATCGGTAATACTCACAGACGGATTGATGAAGTTGCCGCTCTGCGAATCCAAGGGGAGTGTATGTACGGCGATACCATGGTTCTCGGGACGTGGAGAATTCAGAGGAGATAGAAAGAGAAGAGTCGTAGAGAGGTTTGGAATGAACCAGGAAGGGGGTCCAGCAGAGAAGCGATCATAAACTATTCCAGGGACGGAGGCTGTGGAGGAACAGGGTGCGTTCAAGTAGACCTGGCATGCGGGCCAGCTGAACACCGGCGGTTGTATGAGTTGCAATCGGCCACAGACGTTGTGAGTCAACTATGTGTATGATTTTGAGCATCGTGTTCGGATTAAATCAATGTGTTCAGATTCAAGCAATGTCCTCAGACTCAATCAACACACCCGAATTCAATCAACGTATGCGAATTCAAGGAACATCGTAAATCCAATCAACGTACTCATATAAAACGTAGGTATTCGGATTCAATCAACGTACAACGTACCCGGATTCAAGGAATATCGCAGATGCAATCAGCGTACCCACATGCAATGCAGGTATTCGGATTCAACCAACAGACCCCAGGTTCAGTCACATACTCAGATCCATTCAAAGCTTACGCCCTCATGACCAGGTAGTTCTTGTTGAGCGAAGGCAACAAGTTTGATGTTGAAAGTCGGAACGTAGCCGGTTCAGATTTGTGAAGCATTCAGCGTACTCGTTCCGCTCGTTGCCACATGCCTTGGCCACATAGACAGAGATCCGTCACGGAACGTGTCCGGACGAGTTGACAGTCTCCCCCCCCCTGCTATATGTAGGTCTCTAACTTAGTTGTGGTAATCCATCTTCCGCACCTCAGGCATCGGTTACGTACCTATATGAGATGTACTACGAGTATCGCCTCTTCTCCGACATGTGGGGCTCGGACTTACGGACATGGACATAAGACGACTCGTTCCGCTTAGTGGGCGGCATCTCGCTCACCCAATCGCTTCCGGCAAGGCAAAAGACACCAGGCCAGAAGGACCTTGGACGCTTCTGACAACACTGGAAAGGGATCGACGACTTTCTTTCTGGAGTTCCCTGGGCTTGAGAGCCTGGACACTGCTTGGATCTCTGCCAAACGCCACACCGCTGACGGTTCTCAACGACACCTGATAGCAACAACGAGCCTTGTCCCTCCCTCCCCAACAGACCGGTGAGGCTTCCGGCGACTCGTCCCACTAAGTTAGTTAGACCAAGATCAACAAGCCACTTGGACCGCTATTGCAAAAGGAAAAGGAAAAAGATGCCCTGCGCTGCAACAAGCGAAGAGCGACAATCTTCCAGGCCCACACAGTCTCTTGGCTGCAAGACTCATCAGTTGACTGTGAGGTGACTCCAAAGAGCACATTGTCCTGCCGCGCTCGCATGTGGAGTCTGTGTGAGTCAGTACGCCATGGTTGCATCTCTGCTACTTGACCACCTAGCTGGTTAAACGCTGCCCTCTGCAGGTCGATTTTGTCGTGTCAGCATCACAAGGTTGCGGAACAGTGGACCGTTCAAAGCGTATCGAGAGATTTCGGCCGAAGCGACTGTTGTACGAAAGAACTACTCCGTACCCCACTGCTCTGTCAAGATCCGACTCGTGTTTTCCCCATTTTGCCCAAGCCGCAATGATCTTAAGAGTCATCGCTGCGGCTAATGACCTTTCGTCGCATGGTCCAGCTCCAATCGCAAGGACAGGGCACCGTTCCTGATTAATCAGTGGACCCCTCCCACATCGGACGGTGTCCTGGCGCAAAATCCACTCTTTGCCTGAGGCGAAATGGAACTAAATAATTTCTTTCGTCTCTGCCGCAAAACAACAACTTGGGCAATGCTCGAGGCGTCTGGTATTCTTGGAATTTACACGCCAAACTTTCCTCCCAATTTTCCTTTGCTTTGTACGCCTTGTTATACTTGAGCAACTTGACATTCAGCCTTCCCGTCGGGCGACTGGTGCGCCGGAGGGCATTCTAGTTAGGAAGCTGTCGTGGAGTTGTCCGTACTAGAACCGCATTATTGGGTAAACAATGGCGGACGCGATTTCGAGAGTCCTGAGCCTCAACAAGCCAGCTCAACAGCATGGATTCTCCGCGAATGATCATGTCCAGGAGAACGGTCCAGCATCTGCTTGGACCTCCGACGCGCATATGGCTAGCGAGATGCGCCCAGTCGATCGTGAGAAGCGCCCGGAAAAGTCCCGGACATCGACGGACTCTTATGGCCTTCAAAGAACAGCGTCTGGCGTCGATGTGGAACGTGCACAGAAGGAATTTGCGGAGTTGAACAGGGAACTGAGCTCCATCAGTCGCCGCATGTCGCGTTCCCAATCGAGACCTTCGATGGCCAAGGGAAAGGATCTGGAGAAGGCAGTCAGCTCGTCCGATTACACATCCGACCAAGGGTTCGACCTCGAGGCAACTCTTCGAGGGAACCGCGAGGCTGAAGGTGCAGCAGGCATCAAGTCAAAGTACATCGGGGTTGTTTGGGACAATCTCAGTGTTCGTGGTATCGGCGGCGTAAAGACTTTTGTCAAGGTCTTTCCAGACGCCTTCGTTGATTTCTTCAATGTGCCCGGGACCATCATGTCGATTTTGGGCTATGGAAAGAAAGGCAGGGAGTTCAACATCTTGAAGGATTTCCGGGGAGTTGCGAAGCCTGGTGAGATGGTCCTTGTCCTAGGTCGTCCAGGAAGTGGATGTACAACATTCCTTAAAGTGATTGCGAATCAGCGATTCGGTTACACTGGTATCGACGGCGAGGTTCTCTATGGCCCCTTCAACTCGTCCACGTTTGCGAAATTGTACCGGGGCGAAGCAGTCTACAACCAAGAAGATGACATTCATCATCCTACTTTGACCGTGGGCCAGACGCTTGGCTTTGCGCTCGACACCAAAACCCCTGGAAAGAGACCACTGGGGATGAGCAAAGCTGAATTTAAAGATCGAGTCATCCATTTACTTCTCAAGATGTTCAACATTGAGCACACCATCAACACCATTGTGGGGAACCAGTTCATGCGCGGTGTATCTGGTGGTGAAAGAAAACGAGTGTCCATCGCCGAGATGATGGTCACCGGAGCCACGGTCTGTGCCTGGGACAACAGTACCCGGGGCCTGGACGCCTCCACCGCCTTGGACTACGCCAAGTCGCTCCGAATCATGACCAACATCTACAAGACGACGACGTTTGTTTCGTTGTACCAAGCCTCCGAGAACATCTACAAGCAATTCGACAAGGTAATGGTCATTGACCAAGGCCGTCAAGTGTTCTTTGGACCGGCCAATGAGGCAAGAGGGTATTTCGAAGGGCTCGGCTTTCTCGAAAAGCCACGGCAAACCACGCCCGACTATCTCACCGGGTGCACTGACGAGTTCGAGCGGGAATACAAGCCAGGCAGATCTTCCGAGGATGTGCCTTCCACTCCTGACGCCCTCGTGTCGGCCTTCAATGAATCGGTCTACGCGGAGAAGCTCTCCAAGGAGATGACGGCCTACCGGGAGTCGATTCGCGAGGAGAAGCAAATCTACGACGACTTTGAAGCGGCGCATCGAGAAGCCAAGCGAAAACACACCCCCAAGAACTCCGTCTACTCGGTCCCATTCTACATGCAGATCTGGGCATTGATGCAGAGACAGTTCCTGATAAAGTGGCAGGACAAGTTCTCCTTGGTCGTTTCGTGGATCACTTCGATCGTCATTGCCATCGTCGTCGGCACCGTCTGGTTGGACCAACCCAAGACCTCTGCCGGCGCTTTCACCCGTGGAGGCGTTTTGTTCATTGCATTGCTCTTCAACGCATTTCAAGCCTTTTCGGAACTCGCATCTACAATGCTTGGCCGGCCGATCGTCAACAAGCATCGAGCGTACACCTTTCACCGTCCTGGGGCGCTGTGGCTCGCGCAAATCCTGGTCGACTTGTGTTTCGCATCGGTTCAGATCTTCGTCTTCTCTGTCATTGTCTACTTCATGACCGGCCTCGTCAGAACGCCAGGTGCATTCTTCACCTTTGTGCTCATCATCCTTTCGGGCTATCTGTCCATGACGTTGCTCTTCCGTACCATCGGGTGCCTGTGCCCGGATTTTGACTACGCCATTAAATTTGCGGCCGTTACGATTACCCTGTTCGTGATCACTTCGGGCTATATCATCCAATACCAAAGTCAGCAAGTATGGCTACGCTGGATTTTCTACATCAATGCACTCGGTTTGGGGTTTGCAGCCATGATGATGAACGAGTTCGAAAGATTGACCATGCGCTGTACGGCGGAGTCGCTCATCCCCTCTGGCCCGGACTACAACAACATCGACCATCAAGTTTGTACTCTGCCGGGTTCTGTAGCGGGATCCAACGAGGTCTCTGGCACGGCGTATGTCAAGACCGGCTTTCAATACGACCCAAAAGACCTCTGGCGCAATTGGGGCATCATCGTCGTGCTATGTGCCTTCTTTCTATTCACCAACGTCGTCCTGGGCGAGACTGTCAAGTACGGTGCGGGCGGCCGGACGGTCACGTTCTTCACCAAGGAGAACAAGGAGAGGAAAGAACTTAACCAGAAGCTACAGGAGCGGAAAAAACGCAGACAAACCAAGCAAGATGCTAATGATAGCTCGGAACTCAACATCACATCCAAGGCAATCCTTACTTGGGAGAACCTGACTTACGACGTCCCTACACCGTCAGGTCAACTCCGTCTCCTGAGAGATGTTTTTGGATATGTTCGTCCGGGACAGCTGACTGCGCTTATGGGAGCCAGTGGAGCCGGTAAGACTACGCTTCTAGATGTGCTGGCAGCGCGTAAGAACATTGGCGTCATCGGCGGAGACATCCTCGTCGATGGACAGAAACCGGGTATCAGCTTCCAAAGAGGGACCTCATACGCCGAGCAATTGGACGTGCACGAATCGACCCAGACAGTGCGTGAGGCACTCCGATTCAGTGCTGACCTGCGGCAGCCGTACGAAGTGCCTCGCGAGCAAAAGTATGCGTACGTCGAAGAAATCCTCTGCCTCCTCGAACTCGAAAACCTCGCCGACGCGATCATCGGTAGTCCTGAGAGCGGTTTGTCCGTGGAAGAGCGCAAGCGTGTAACAATTGGCGTCGAGCTGGCAGCGAAACCTCAGCTGCTCCTCTTCCTTGACGAGCCCACATCCGGTCTCGACTCACAATCTGCCTTCAATATCGTTCGTTTCCTCCGCAAGCTTGCGGCTGCGGGGCAGGCCATCTTGTGTACGATCCATCAGCCCAACAGCGCACTGTTTGAGAACTTTGACAGACTCTTACTGCTCCAGCGAGGTGGCGAGACCGTGTACTTTGGCGACATTGGCAAAGACGCACACGTATTGCTGGAATACTTCCACAAATACGGTGCCGACTGTCCCCCTGATGCCAACCCGGCCGAATGGATGCTCGACGCCATCGGAGCCGGCATCGCGCCTCGCATCGGCGACAAGGACTGGGGCGAGATCTGGCGTGAGAGCGAGGAACTGGCGACGACGAAATCCGAGATCATCGAAATGAAGGCACGTCGTCAACGCGAGGCCGCCAGCGAGGACCGGCTCGACGAAAAGGAATACGCCAGTCCGCTCTGGCACCAGATCAAGGTGGTCAGCTGGCGCACGCACCTGGCCTTCTGGCGGGCACCCAACTACGGCTTCACGCGACTGTTCAACCACGTGGCGATCGCGATCCTGTCTGGCCTGGCATTCCTGCAGCTCGACGACAGCCGGTCGAGCCTGCAGTACCGCGTGTTCGTCATCTTCCAGGTCACGGTCATCCCGGCGTTGATCCTCGCGCAGGTCGAGCCCATGTACGATTTCTCGCGGCTGATCTTCTACCGCGAGTCGGCGGCCAAGGCATACAAGCAATTCCCCTTCGCGTTCGCCATGGTCTGCGCCGAAATGCCTTACAGCATCCTGTGCGCCGTCTTCTTCTTCATCCCGATCTACTACCTTCCCGGGTTCAACACGTCCTCGTCGCGCGCCGGGTACCAGTTCTTCATCGTGCTGGTCACCGAGCTCTTCTCCGTCACGGCCGGCCAGATGATTGCGGCCCTGACCCCGTCGAGCTTCATTTCGAGCTTGATCAACCCGTTCGTCGTCATCATCTTTGCCCTCTTCTGCGGCGTCACCATCCCCAAACCGCAGATCCCCGGCTTCTGGCGCGCCTGGCTGTACCAGCTCGACCCGTTCACCCGTCTCGTCTCGGGCATGGTCACCACCGAACTGCACGGGCTGCCCGTGGTGTGCAAACCGCACGAGCTGAACTCGTTCCCGGCCCCGCCGGGACAGGACTGCGGCTCGTACATGAAGGATTTCTTCGACGCCGGTGGCGCCGGCTACCTCGTCAGCAACGTCACCGACGTGTGTCAGTACTGCGCGTATAAAGTGGGAGATCAGTTTTATGAGCCATTGCAGCTCAATTTTGATCATAGATGGCGGGATTTTGGCATTTACGCCGCCTTTATTGGGAGTAACTTGATCCTACTGTTTCTTGGATCGAGGTACTTGAACTTTAATAGACGATGAACGACTGACTGACTGACTGACTGGCTGGACTCACAGTAGTCACAGTTGCAAGTTACAGTCGTATTGCATTTTCAAAAGGGGAAAAATGGTTGCAGACCCCAGCGAACAAGGAAGGCAAAAAAAAGGTACTGCGGATCAGTTATATAGATCAAACTACTGTCCGAGCTGGGCGGAGTAAATTAATGTACGTAGGTAGGGATATGCTACCTTATTCACACCACCATTGGACAAATTTGATATGATCTCGGTAAGACTGGTAGGTGGAGACTGTAGTCCCATCCAAAAAACAAGTACAGTAGTTCGCCCGTATCCGGCGGCTTGGAATATACTTCTTTGATCGAGACATCACTCCTTTTCATGTCATTCGTTACTTTTGTTTTTCTCAGGGGGGGGGGGGGGGGGAAACCTTGATCACGTCATCTGGAACTCCAATACATTGACCGACCACGGCGGGACTGCCCACGTGAACGTCGTCTCTCCTGCCGAAGCGGCAGGCAGATCGGTGATGGGTGCCAATGATACGGCGGTCGCGTTGCCGATGTAGTTAAAGGCTGCAATGTCAGGATGCGTCTAGAATGTGGATGGATGTCAGTCAGGATTTCTTCATTTAACTTACGTGGGCCGTATGTGTGTGGATGTCAAGTCAGGACTTCTTCACGTTTTCACGTGGGCGTACGTGTGTGGTGGGTGAGGTGATATAGGTCAGTATTTGGGAGGGAGGAGAAAGGGGAGCCAGTGAGAGTAGGGAGACAGATGTCCTGAAGAAAAAAAAACTTACCAGAATGGTTCCGTTGACAGCACTGAACCCCTCGTCAAAGTTCACGGTCAGGGGGACACTGCTGTTTCCCGAATTGATGACCTTGAAATACACCCGTTCGTCACCTTCCGTGGCCGTCGCGACCCACCACAGCGGATTGTAGTCTCCCTGGTTCGTGGTGACGGGGAGCGTCTGTGTTCCGCGGTACGACGCCAGCAGCTGCTGTGAGTAGTAACTTGCGCTCAGGACGGTTTCGTCGTGGTTGGCGGTGAAGGCGACCAGGTCGGGGGTCCAGTTCTGCCAGTTCAGATTGACGAGGCTCGGTGCGTACGAGGTCATCTTGACCACGTTGGGGTTCCGCTCCGCGCCCAGCAGGTACACGCCCTCGCCTATCGCGGCCATCAGTGTAGGGTAGAAGATGTGCTTGCCCAGTGGCATGGAGTAGTTGACCGCCCCGTCGGGTGTGTCGACTTGGAACACAGAGTACTCGCCTATGAACACGGTCACGTCGGTGTTGCCGGTCGACTCTTGCCAGTTGTCGAAGAAGTCAAAGTGCTCGATGAAGTAGCTCGGCTCTTCGTAGTGGTGCGTGTCCCACATGCCGCCGGCGGGAATCTGGGCGTGTACAAAAAAGAAGTAAGTACATGTTACGTGTATCTGTGCATACTGAGGAAAGGAAGGTTTATGCGAAAGTAGAGGAAAACGAGCGGCCTGCACTCACCGTGATGTTGTAGTCGTCGTTCTCGTCAAATGCCGTAGAGATCAGAGTAATCTCCGGGTAGGCTTGCTTGATGCCGTTGTAGAGTATCGGGAAACGGTACGGATACGTTGAGCTGAACCAGTCTTCATTTCCGATTTCGACATATTTGAGAGCGAAAGGTTCAGGATGACCATGAGAAGCGCGAAGAGCCCCGTAATGCGTACTCGTGTCGCCGGTAATGTATTCGAGCTCGTTGAGAATGTCTTGAAGAACATCGCCCATACGGTCTTCGGGGAACGAAACACCGTCTTGGCCCCAGATGTCGAGAGAGAATCCTGCATACACCGCAAGAACAGGTTCAATGCCTCCGTCCTCACAGAACTCGAGATATTCCATGAGCCCCAAGCCATTGGTGTTGGTGTAGCCCCAGTCTCCAACACGGCCTTTGCGGTCTTTGAGCGGACCAATGGTCTCGTGCCACTTCCATCGTTGATCAATACTGTACCCTTCAATGTTGTTGCCGCCAGGGAATCGTAGCACTTTGGAACCTAGATTGACGATGGCTTCACCGAGGTCTTTGCGAATCCCGTTTGGCCGGTTTTTGTATGTCTCAGGGAACAAACTGACAAGGGAAAAGTAGTATGTGTTTCCGGCGACTTCGCTTGCGTCGAATGTAATGGCAAAGGTGTTGTTCGAATTTGGTGCCTTGACGGTATTGCCGAGCTGGACTTCGTACTGCGTCCATTCAAAGCTGGAAATGTTCTGTCCTTCCCCGAATGAGATACTGGAAGAAGACCAAACGTCGTCGGTCAAGTTCGATCTCAATGACACGTCAATATGAGACAGGGTCCCGTTATTGCGTGGCTTGTTGGACAAGATATAGAACGAGGCATTATATGTTCCGGGGCGAACGTCTATCCCCCACCAGCCTTCGTTTAAAATTCCAACTTCGCCTGTAGCGTCCCAAGGGATATCCACCTGCAGGGCAATGGGTAAAGCATCGGATAAGGGATGAAGCAGCGTTAAACTGAGATTCACCCCTCCGATACCTCGCCAGCCAGTGATGACTGGACCCCACGGTAATATTGGGTTCTCAGAATATTGGACGCTACTGCCTGGAATACCCTGTACAGCGCCAATGATGGCCCCAGAGCCTTGAAAGGCACGGTTCACTAGAGCCTCACCATAGATGCCTCCGTCACCAGAGTGGGAGATGTCTTCGTGCATCCTACCTCTAATCAGCCACAGGATCACGTAAGGGGAGACATGGTAAAAGGCCACCCACCAACCATATAGCAAAGGGGCGGTCTGGTTTCTTCCTCCTGCATTGAGGGATACGCTGAGTTCAACGGGGCCCGGAGTACTGTTGTACTGAGTGATGTTGATGAAATCATACGACTGTCTTTTGACTGGTGCTTTGACGACACTTCGCCCCCATGCTGAAGTGCTGAGCTGTAGCAGCGCTACCAATACCGAGGACGAGAACATGTTTGGTGAGTGCCTTCAGGCCACACGATCGACACCTTGGTAACTGCCATCTTATACTGAACCTCAGAGGTCCTCATTGGCCTCCTTGAGGTAAGAACCCGGTGGACGTGGAGATCTGGTTCCCGCTGATCGACATAGACGTCGTCTGGGGCTGCGGAGGGCAAAGGCATCAAGCTGGAGAAGGATGATTGAAGCTTGAATATAGCCTAAGATCGAAGCACCACCCCGCATTCGTTGGTGTTTCTTACTGTAGAGAGTAAGCCGTTTCGGGAAGCTGGTAAACATATCACTTTGATGTTGTGGAGTGACCTACTTGTAAAGCAGTTCGATGATGCATTGAGCCGGTCGATCTTCGGGCTGCCTATGAGGTATAGGCAATTATCACCATCGTCAACTGGAGAATTGCCGACTGTAAACGTGGTGAATATAGCCTGCTGAGGCTGTCTAGTGTAAGCGCATTGGACGTCTGCAACAGCTATTGAATGACCAGTTACAAAGTGGATAAACCACGGATCATAACCGTGGCCTCTCCATTCCACGTGTTCTCACGGACAGGAAGGTTCGTCTTTCACTTGCACAAGATTCAACTGAATGGGAGTCGCAGCGTCCAAGTAGATCAGAAATGCACTGACAGAATATTTGCCTCGCGTTCATTTCGTCTCAGAGGGATTTGAAGCATCGTTGGCTCCTATCGCCAGAATAGGGATTTTCCAGTAGCTTCACTACGTTCACAACTGCACCTGATATCCAGCTCTCGAATCTCGTTCAGGCTTGCACAGCTGTGGGCAACGCAAACGATGACACTGTACAATGTCCCCGCTGTACTCCCCCGTAGAGGGATTGTACTATTGTCCTTGCGCTTCTCCGTAGAATTATTCTTTCGGCGGACGAAGTCAGCCACGTGACGGGGTCTCAAGCGTGCTCTCATCTTCGCCATCAGACTGAGAACTTTCAATTACAGCCTTGCAGCAGAGATCAACCTCAATACTCCTTCAACACCACCGTTGCGAGTATCAAACAGAGGTCCAACGAAATTTCAACATCCACCAACATGTACACAATATGCCTCAGAGTCATTGCAATGTAAGTCAAGCAGAGAGAGGGAGGCTTCGGTCGACTTTCGTCCGCAGCTAGATGGAATTCGGGATCGAGCGACAAAACTAGTGGGAATGGCTTGAAGCCCTCTGGTCACTTAAGAACGGGCACTGGCCCTCCTGCTGCCCTTCTCCCGTCTTTCTTCTTTTCTTCGTGACTTTGAACCTCCAGGCTTCATATGACCAATTTCATCCGACTGAACCTCTGGAACTTGTCGTTTCTCAGAATCTAATCTTCAAGACACCTGGAGAGTCCGCCTGCCCTCCATATCTTCTACACACTTCAGCAATCATGTCCTCCTCCAGTGCGACCAGCCAGGAGAATGGCCACTACCCCAAGATCAAGCTGTACACCAACTACGGTTGCGGCTGGTGTCATCGGGTGCAGTTTGTTCTGAAAGAACTCGGTCTAGCGTACGAACAAGTCCTCGTTGACCTCGACAACCCACGACCAGAGTGGTTTCTGAAGTTGAATCCGGTAAGCATCGACGCAGACCCTCGAAGTTGGTTGCTTCTTTTTCAGCAAGTCCGTCTGCTTCTGTCCCATGGCGGGGGGTTGTCTGGGCACCCACGTAGGACCCTGAAGCAAGCGATGTGCGTTTGTTCGATACAATCAATCCGAACACCATAAGTCGTCTTCGCCGGGGTCCATCGTTGTCCTCCTCCATGATCCATGTACACCAAGGACAAAGGTACTCGATGCTAACCACTATGTTCTCTCGGTTCCAGCGCGGCCTCGTCCCTGTCCTTCAATACACCGCTTCACCCACCTCCCCTCCCCTGACACTCACAGAGTCAGGAGCCATTGTCTCTTTTCTGACCGACCTGTACCCATCCCACCTGCTCCCGACCCTCTCTCCACACTCACCATCGGCGCCACCATCGGCCGACGACATCGAAAAGGCTCATTTGCGCTACCGCATGGTCTTCTTCGTGGACACGTACTTTTCCAAGATCCAACCTCTCTTCTTCAAGCTCGTGGGCGCTGACGATGCCACCGCCAAGGCGAAGCTGGTGGACGACATCGTCGCTCTTCTCGAAAAGGAGATCGAGCCTTTGCTGGCCGATGCTCAGCCCTATTTCGCAGGGAGTAAAGATGCCACCTTTGTCGAGGTATGGACCTCTTTCCTTTCCCCTCCTTATTGCTGCACCGTTTTGTTCTCCCCTTCTTTTCCCTTTCACTCTCTCTCGTATTGTACCCGCTGGTTGCTCGACCACCAATCTCTCCTAAAGCCTAACCACATTGTTATCTCCACACAGGCAATGACCGCCCCTCTCATGGCGCGGATGTACGATTTCACGAACGACGTGATCTTCCCCTCGGCTCTCGGCGAGCGTATGACGGGGCCCACAATGCCCAATTTCGCACGCTGGCTGGCCCTTTCCTCCTCTCATCCCTCGGTCCTCGCAACCTGGGACAAGGAATACTTTATCCCGCGCATCATCGAGAGACTGCCGAGGGCCAAGGCCAAATACGGCCCTGGAAACTAAGGAGGGGAATCACTGAAGCCAGGTCGTTGATGACTGAAGTCGATGACGATCCTCGGCCCAGTAAGGGGTGGCTGCTCAGAGTGCACGTTAAATGGATGATGGGATACGAAATTGACATGACTCCGTACTATGCTGCGGTAGTTATGCGCTCTTTACATGGTTCTGAGACCTAGTTGTTAGCTATCATACAAAGTCAAGCGCAATCTCCTACAAGCCTCTCCCCGGGTAATACGCACGGGCTGTACCAGTCGAGATGAATGCAAGCCATATTGATACGCTTTAATCACACGAGTGGCGTGAGGCCGGGACGTCAAAGAGTCAGTGGGTAGAGGCTCAAGGTTGGAACCTAGTCCGAAAAGCTGCAAGGTTGCACCGAAGCAGCTGACCTTGCTGATTGATGGGCTGAATCGTACATGTTGGTCATAATGCTACGATACAACAAGAAGCAGGTATGCATACATCAATATCTGCGATGCATTTTATCACCTCTTCCACCCTGGCTGCCCTCCTCTGGCATGTCATAGTTTTGGTCATCCCGCTTGACCTACGGTCTGAATCGTCTTAGCATTCACTTCTTCAAACCCGCTCAGCACCCGACCATGATCTTGATTCTTCCAATTGTTTGTTGCTTGGTTTCTTAGTGGCAAACCTATCTCCCAGGAAGACATGAGAGAATGCAAAGAAGGCCGTAACTGCGAAAAGGAGGCTATCACCCTTGTCAGTGGTTTCAAGTAATGGGGAAGAGCCGCCCAAAGCTCACAATTCGAAGACGCCAACTACTACACTTCCCCTTGTGGATGCGCAAGCCCCAACAGAACAGACGGCGGACCTCCTCAAAAAGTCGGCCATGGCGGCGAAGCCTGACAGCCAAAAGACCGAAGTGATTGCTTCTGCGGCAAGCATTGCATACGGATGTGCCAGAGTCGGGAAGTACCGTGGTGCGACAATGGTATAGGGGACTGTGATGAGCATGGTAAACACCGCCGTGAAGATGTAGAAGACGACGGTAGATGGAACGGAAACCTCAGGGTTGTGGGAGTTCAGGACGTTCGCAACTGTCTGGCCATCAGCATCACGGAACATAGAGAGAAGGCCAACGGACCGGTCGCTCCCACAGCCATGGCTATGAAAGCCAAGATGCCCTGCAGGCTGCGCACAAGAAGCATGGGGTCCAGATGCATCTTCATCATCGTAATGGCGGTCCCCAGCAAGGTCAGAGAGGTGAAGAGGCCACTTGGTAACCCTCCAGAAGGAAGCAGAAGACTTGTCAAGTTTTGTTGTGACCAAGAGAGTCAAACACGCAGAGAGGGTGATGCGAGGCCGCTGCTCATAAATACGACAGAATGTGCTTGATCAGGTAGTTTGTGCAGGGGAGAGCATGTTGCAGCAGTCAAACAGCGCGCAGGGAGATTCGTGTTTGAAACAGGCCCTCAAAGCATCCTGACTGCAGGCGGCCTTTGGCTGACTGCGATGCAGGGAAAGAAAACATGTTTGAAGATGATGACAATAAACAGAAATAGAATGAAACTGGGGAGGGAAAGTCCAATCAAACATTCACCGAAGTTGCGCAACTGCATGAATCTGTGTTTCACGATGATGGCTGGTTGTCCATTTGATTGGAGCAGCGGCAGCCGCCAGACAAGAGTGCCGTTATAGACTAGAGGACTCGGTACAAGAGCAGATACAATCAAGTGTTGGAGAAAGAAGCACAATCACATCAAAACAGCGCAATGAGGGAGAGAGATAGCAAGATGACATCTCAGAGCAGGTGGTTTGAGGTGGTGTGGTGTTGATCGAGCCACTGGCTACCAAGTCTCTACAAACCGCAACCAAGTTACCGCGGATTGTGCGACGTCCTCACGACTGTGTTGTTTACGTGCAATGTCAAATCCTTCAGTCTACTTACAGATTACAACTCCAGACTCTACTCTCTCTACGTACTCTCCTCGCTCAGAATACCACCGCCATTGCTTACTTTTTTCGCTTTTCTGATCCTTCCGCCCGACCATATGACGGTCGGCAAAACTCCAACGGCGCACCAGAGAGCCATGCTCCAGGTCATGGTCTTCCAGCCAGCGGATGATTTGATTGCACCCGCAATGAGAGGTCCAAGTAAACTGCCCGCTGCCCAAGCAACGTTGAAAATTGAATAACTCTGCCCGTAGGCCGACTTCCCTGCGAACAGGTCGGGATCTTGCCGCACCTTTGCATCGCACACTTTGCTAAACTCCGCCATCAAGGAAATCATCACCAGTGTTGTAGCAGCTCCCAAGAGCACCAGCAGCGCACAGAGAAGAACAGCTTGGTTGGTGTTGTCATGGTCGATGAGCCTCAGCAACACCCAAAAGGGTACGCAGAAGAGTAAGCCCGACGCCGCAAACCAGCGCGGGCCATATTTGTCTGTCCAATAGCCTATTAGAGGTCCAGCAAGGGTCGGAGCAATCAGGGCCAGAAAGACAAGTCCGGCTCCGAGAGAGTTCCATCCAAAGATTTGATTGACGAACAAGGGGAGGGTCGAATCAATAGCTGTCATAGTCATCGATACCACCATGCTACCCCAGAACGCAACCAGGATGCGGCGCGACTTGAGGAGCACGAACAGTGTCGGCAATTTCCGTTTGGGCGATGCGACAGCAGGAGAAGGAGTTGTGGTGGTGGCAGTGCCCACCGCCTCTTTTCCAGCGTCTGTCTGAGGTTCGGCACGATTCTGCAGTTCGATGTCGTTGTGAGACGGTGCTGAAGAAACCGGAGGTGTTTCCGACTGCAGCCATCTAGCAGCATGTCTCTTTTCGACCAAGGCGAGGCGGAGCAGTATGTCCAGCCCGATGACGGCAAAAGTCACGCCGAACACGGCATAGTATCCAGACCGTTCGTACACCACGCCGCCGATGAGAGGCGCGACCAAGACCCCTAAAGAGGTGGCCATTCCTACGTAACCCATCGCTTGTCCAGTCTCCTCCTCACTGACAGTATCTGCGAGCAAGGCGAGTGCAACAACCCAGACCACGGACGCAGAAGCACCCTGCAGCATTCGTCCAATCACAAGGACCGGGATTGTCTTTCCCAGGCAAAGCATCAGAGTTGAGCCGGCGAGAATAAAGAGTCCAGCAAGCAATGATGTCTTACGTGAGTCGGCCCAATCTGCAAGGTACCCAAAAATAGGCGAAAAGAATAGCAGGGCTGCAGCATACACGGCTAGCAGAACTGAAACCCAATGCTGCGTATCCTCAGCTGACACATGAAGACGATCCTGGAGGGCGAATGGTATGACAGGAACAATCACGCCGTACAAGAAGACATCCTGCTAATGGATCAATACGAGGCAAGGTACTTGTTCAGGCATGCTTACCGTGAAGACCGACCAGCACATTGCGAACAGGATGAAGGTCTTGGACGAGCGATACTCGAGCAAGGCTGGCTTTTTCCCCCGGCGCGGCATCAGCCACCCGAGGGAGGTGTTGTCCTTCTGCGCGCCCATGATCTCGTGCGTGGACGCACTCGACAGAACGAAAGGGCGTACTAAGCTTGTTGAAGGTGGTGTGCTTCTCGCAGCATGGGCGTCAATAAAGGGGACGATGCCAACTGCGAAAAAAGAAAGCCTCATCGAGTCATCATTTTAGTAATGGAGCTTCTTCTGGCCGCCCATGTCCGCCCATTTCCATCCTGGTCGCCCGATCGGGTGTTGCCTGGACCCCTCGGGCCCCGTGGATCACGATGAATCACCCCAGCCGCGAGTTGAGGAAAACAGAATGATTCAAGCGATCTCCAGGGTTACAACGAGGCTCGATGGATGCACGCATGGTCCTTCAGCTGAACGCCGTCAGCTTCATTAAGAATGTATATGCGCATCCTATTTCTGGCCCGCGGCACGTCGCCTGTCAGATATCGCGAACTCACGGCCTCGGTAACCAACTAGTGTCTGCAATTTCGTGTGGCCAAGGAGCGTCTATCGTATTCCTCTTCAACTTCCTTCCCTGCGCCAGTCATTTGGTCTACCATCAGCTCGTATTGCCCTGGTCCAAATCGCAAGGTTGTCTCTATGTCCGTGCAATCATGCTCACTTTGGTTCTAGTTAGTCCCGTTGGGCCGTGGACTGACTTGGAGCACTGCGTGGGTTTGGCTCTGATCACGCAATCCTGGCTCTCTTCGTCGAGTGCGGGGTGACACTCACACCAGTTCTCATGACTTTTCCCTGCAAAGGCGCAGTAGCTCAGAGCTTCCTCTATTCATACAAGTAAGTGATAACAAGCCCGCTCGAGAGAGACTACTCGAATCCTGTCTTCCTTCGCCGCGTTGGAAATAGTGAGGGCGTCTCCTTGTCTTCTCCACAGCCGCTTGAGCGACTGAGAGTACACTGCTTCGTATAGACATCACTCTACATTACCGAGAACAACCCCTTCTGTCCACCATGTCGGCCGGCGACCATGTCTCGAGGTTTGAGACCCTCCAAATCCATGCTGGCCAGGAGCCGGACCCTGCCACCAAAGCTCGCGCCGTTCCCGTCTACGCCACCACCTCATATACCTTCAATGACTCTGCCCACGGCGCCCGCCTGTTTGGCTTGAAAGAGTTTGGAAACATCTACAGCAGGATTATGAATCCCACGGTGGATGTTCTGGAGAAGAGAATCGCTGCTCTTGAAGGAGGCATAGCTGCGGTCGCGGCTTCTTCTGGTCAATCGGCGCAGTTCATGACCATCATCGCATTGGCCCATGCAGGAGACAACATTGTGTCCACGTCGAACCTGTATGGTGGTACCTACAACCAGTTCAAGGTCATGCTCCCTCGTCTGGGGATTGAGACCAAGTTCTTGACGTCTGAGAAGCCCGAGGACTTCGAAAACGCCATCGATGACAAGACCAAGGCCGTGTACGTGGAAACCATTGGTAACCCCAGATATAACGTGCCCGACTTTGAGGCCATTTCCAAAGTCTGCAAGGCCAAGGGTGTCCCCCTGGTCGTTGACAATACGTTTGGTGCTGGTGGCTATTTCTGCCAGCCACTCAAACACGGCGCAGACATCGTTGTGCACAGCACCACCAAGTGGATTGGAGGCCATGGCACTTCGATTGGCGGCATAGTTGTGGACTCGGGCAAGTTCGACTGGAAGGCCAACGCGAAGAGGTTCCCGCAGTTCAACGACCCTGCGCCTGGTTACCACGGACTGAAGTTTGTAGACACCTTCGGTCCTTTGGCCTTCATTATCCGTGTGCGAGTCGAAATCTTGCGAGATCTCGGTTCTTGCATGTCACCATTCAACGCCCAACAATTCATTCTGGGCGTCGAGACCCTGAGTTTGCGATGCGAGCGACACGCTGAAAACGCGCTGAAGCTGGCCAAATGGCTCGAGAAGCATCCCAATGTGTCCTGGGTCTCGTATCCCGGTCTCGAGAGTCACCCCTACCATGCGTTGGCAAAGAAATACCTCCCTCGAGGATTTGGAGGTGTCATGTCTGTGGGCATCAAGGGCGGCTCCGCGGCTGGCGCCCAAGTCGTGGATGGATTCAAGCTGATTTCCAACCTGGCCAAGTAAGTCGAGGAAAGGAATTTATTGTCCATTTTCCACCAGCTAACATATTCCAGTGTCGGTGATGCGAAGACGCTAGCCATTCACCCGTGGTCCACAACCCACGAGCAACTCAGCAAACAAGAGCGACTGGACTCGGGCGTGACCGAGGACATGATTAGAATCTCGGTCGGCATCGAACACATTGATGACATTATCCACGACTTTGAGCAGAGCTTCGCCGCCAGCAGCGCCGCGCAGCCTGATGCCGCAGCCAGTGCGGACAATGCCACGGCCGAGTCCAAACCAAGCACGGATGCTAAACTCAGTGGGGCAACCTGATTCCATTGCTTTTTGATCAATGCGATTTCACTCTGTTCGCGAGAGAGACAATGTCTGATAATAGATGGGACTCGAATAGGACCGAATCTTTGATAAGACACTCTTCCCTTTGCAGAGTCGGACTGTCAAGAGCGCGCCACAGCTAGAGCAGTAGAGCAAGGGTGTTGATGAGTTTCGTAGGGGGTTTAGGGGGAGAAATTCCGGGCGGCCAATCGGTGGTAGTTACAAAGTATTACGTGCTCGTTGTTTCAGAATCTCGGTTCTGGGGGCTCTCGAAGCCTAAACAGATCCTGATCCCGACTTTCCACCAAGTTAGTTAACTACGAGTAGAAGCGTCTCCCTGCTGCACCCCGGTAGGTGGCGCTTGGTGGTGCGGATGGAGCCCATGTCCATCGCTCTCTCGCATGTGGCCGCCACATCGTCCGAATCTTCACATGCCTCCAACACCACGCCCGATGTCTACAACACCAAGATGAGGGCACGATACCCCGTACACATTCTCTGGGGAGTTGGGACGGGTACACTGGGCGTTTCCCCCGTTCTCACTAATTGAGGATCCTCTTCTGTCGCCGTGCTGCCCCGTGGACTGCGCGGACATTTTCCCCAGCCGTGGACAAGGAGATATATCCTCTTCCGGAACAGCGTCACTGCCCAAAGCCGCGTTGCGACAAACTCTTCATGCGCTCGTGCCACAAATCCTGATGCCGAGGCTCCTCCACGGCTCCAACTCTCTCAGCTCCAGCAACAGTCGTTCGTGGAGCGTGTGGCATGGAGGATCCGGACTGGGTCAATCATGGGTCGTGGCAGTGGCATTTCGATCCTCGCAATGACGATCGCTATAACCGATTGTTTGCCAGTCTTTCCATCTTCCCTTTCCACTCTGCACCTTTATTGTTGTCACCCTGTTCGAATGGTCGGTACCATTTCACGTTGCTCGATGTCCTCTTCTTTCTCCCGTTCCTGACTCTTGTTCCTCCTGTCCCTGGTCTCTTGTTGATCTGTCCATCGGGCCGCCATCCTCGCCCGTTGACCTCATCCCTTCCTTGACTTCTCGACACGACCACCAAAGACATTGTTCCGACTTGGATTGGACACCGTCCGTCGTCATCATGCCGTCCTTCCTCTCTTCTACACCTCTCCACCTGCAAAAGGCGGCCGAGTACCGTAACCCGCCACCAAAAGGCCAGCCATATTCTCTCACGGTCCCAAACTCCAAAGTCGATGGCCGAACTTCCATCTATCGACATCACAAGTGTCCCGATGGCACCCTCCAGACCATCGATCCCTCTATCCTCACAGGGCATGACATGTTCGAATCTGCTGCGCAGCGATATCCTCATTCTCCCTGTCTTGGGTGGCGGCCGTGGGACGCTTCAAAGAATGCATATGGCAGTTACGAATGGATCGACTATGAGACGGTCGCACAACGCCGCAAGAACTTTGGCGTTGGCCTCGTAGAAATACACGCAAGAGAAGGAATCACTGGGGCCCAGTACGGGATCGGCTTATGGTGTCAAAACAGACCGGAATGGCAACTCACCGATCTCGCATGCATGTCTCAATCGCTCTTCTCGGTCTCATTGTACGATACCCTCGGTCCAGACACATCAGAGTACATTATCCGACACGCCGACCTGGCCTGCGTGGTGTGCTCTCTGTCCCACGTCCCGACGTTGTTGAAGATCAAGCCCAGGCTATCAAAGTTGAAGGTACTGGTCGTCATCGACCCTCTGGAATCCGGCAGCGAGAAGCCAGAACTCTCCAAACAGGCCCTCTTGGACAAGTTTGCGGCAGATGTAGGCTTGAAGATATACTCTCTTGATACCGTGGAGAAGTTGGGCGCATCGCTCGATCGACCGGTCAATCCGCCTCGGCCAGCCGACCCGATCACGATAAACTACACCTCTGGGACGACAGGTCCTCCCAAGGGCGTTGTGCTCACCCACGCCATGGCGGTTGCGGCGACCTCGTCCTCTCTCGTCAGTTCCAGCTCGGACAACAAGTCTAGTATTCTCTCGTACCTCCCCCTTGCGCACATCTACGGGCGTCTTATCGAACACTCGGCGCTGTGGTCGGGAAGTCGGATAGGTTACTTCCACGGCAATGCTCTCGAACTCGTCGAAGATCTCAAATGCATCCGGCCGACCACCTTTGCCTCGGTGCCGAGACTGTTCAACCGCTTTGGTGGCGCGATCAAAGCGGCCACCGTGGAACAGCCTGGTGTGAAAGGTTCGTTGTCGCGGTATATTGTGCGTACTAAGCTCGCGAACGCGAATCCAAACACCGCCCAGAACCCTACATACTCACACCCGGTCTACGATCGCGTGTGGGGAAAGAAGGTTGCATCAGCGCTGGGACTCGACCGGGCAAAGACCATGGTGTCTGGAAGTGCGCCGCTGGATCCGTCCCTGCAACAGTTCCTGCGCGTCGTTTTCTCGGCACGCGTCTTCCAAGGTTATGGGCTTACTGAAACATATGCGATTGCCTTAACGCAGCCGACCGACGACTTCAGCGTGGGCAACTGCGGCGCTGTGACGCCGTGCAACGAAGCCTGCCTCCTCTCGGTTCCGGACATGGAGTACACGGTTGAGGACAAGCCGTACCCGCGCGGCGAACTTCTCCTGCGCGGATCGAGCGTGTTCACGGGCTACTTCAAGAATGAAGAGGAGACGGCCAAGTCGTTCACCGAGGACGGCTGGTTCAAGACGGGTGACATCTGCAGCGTCGACGAGCTGGGCCGCTTCCGCATCATCGACCGCCGCAAGAACGTCCTCAAGCTCGCACAGGGCGAGTACATCTCCCCGGAGCGCATCGAGGGCGTGTACCTGTCCAGCTGCTCGTACCTGGCGCAGGCGTTCGTGCACGGGGACAGCGTGCAGACGTTCCTCGTGGCCATTCTGGCCGTGCAGCCCGATACCTTTTCGGTCTTCGCGTCCAAGCTGCTCGGCAAGGAAATCGCCCCGACAGACATGGCCGCGATCCAGGCCGCGTGCGACGACCCCAAGGTCAAGGCTGCCGTGCTCAGCGACCTCGACAAGGCCGGGCGCAGGAAGAAGTTCGCCGGCTACGAACGCGTGCGCAACGTCAAGCTGTACATCGACCCGTTTACCATCGACAACGAGTTACTCACGCCGACGCTGAAACTGAAGAGACCGGTGGCCGCCAAGAAGTTTAGAGACGTCTTGGATCAGTTGTACGCGGAGGGTTTGGAGATGGAGAAACAAGGTGCTGGTGCCGGGAAAGCCAGGGCCAAGCTGTGATTGTGCCCGCCGATCAAGGAAGCGAAGCGGGGAGGCAAGCAGGGAAGCAATCCTGGATGATGTGATCCAAAGACTGTGACCCTTTTGTTTTTGAAGTGGCCACCCATTATAGATCTGATCTGGTCTGGTCTGACACGAGAGCGATCCCGTCTCACTGGTCAATCATCATGGATCTGGTCTATCGCTGATAGAATGTAGACAAGACACAACTGATTACAATATATACAACACAACACACTACGCTACACGACACTACACTACACTACACGACACTACACTACACTACACTACACTACACTACACTACCTTTCTGTTCACTTGAAATGTGGTAGGGGTCGGAGAAGAAAAAGAATCTATGAGGCCTGTGTAGTGGTGTGTTGTGCGATGATGAACATGGTGATGATCTAGATTGCACTACGAGCTACACGGTCTCTATCTATACCTTGCCCACCCACCTGCCTATCTACATAGACAGAACAGTGAGCGTACCTGCCTGAGCACAAATGGCGATCCAAGGCAGAACTAACTCACTCGGTCCACGGACCCCTAGATACCTAGTACGAGATACACGTAGATAGGTAAACGAGTAGATGCTGGGAGATCTTGTCTACACCACGCACACAAACCCTCTCACGTACTTACCATCGCACCCGAACTGAGACCCTCGACCAATATCCATCATTCAACATCCATCCATCCATCCATCAGTCAGTCAGTCAGTCAGTCGTGCATCGTCGTCATCATATTTCGATACCATCATCATCAGCATCATCATCATCATCATCCGTTAGTGTGACTTCGTGGATGACCAACCATGCCACTGCCCTTGTTCATCCCACACGCCAACCTTGGAGTATGTGCCCGTGTCACTGCCCTTCATCCATGCGAACCTGAAAAACTCAGGCTCGGCGACGGGTTCTCCTGCAACACCACTACTACCACCAGAATCATCGGCACCACCGTCCCTCTTGAGTCGATCGAGCGTGACGTGCTCCTGGTCCCAGTAGAGTTCTGCGTCCGTGTATCCGCGCCAGCGCTCGACGTCGTTGATCAAGATACTCACGCCGTCGACGCCCGTGTCCGTAGGCAGCGGACCCCAGTTGAAGGTGATGTTGTTCGCGGCAGGGCCCACGACGGCCGTGACGTTGGGAGAGTGGGCTCCCCACCACGATCCGCCGCCGTGGCCACTCGAGCCGGACTCGCCCAGCGCCGCGGGCGTCTGGATTATGCTCGAGAAGCCCCAGCGCGCGATGCCGTTGATGAACAACCCGAGGAGCAGCCCTTGGTACGCGAGCCCAGGGCGGGTCTGGAAGCCCGTACCCGGCATGAAGAGCAGCGCCAGGATGTAGTGGTGGATGCGCAGCCTCTCACCCGGCAGGGCCAGCAGGATGATCAGCGCCAGGCCCATGGCCGCGTAAATGGCGAGGTACTTGGGCATGTTGCCTGAGATGCGAATGAAGTGGATCTGTGTGACGACAATTACGACGATGATGGTGACGATCATGGCCAGAGCGAACGGCGCACCGGGTTGGGCAAGGTCGTGAGGTGTGAGGCGCTCAATCGGGATCAGCGGAGCAAATGTATAGTTGTTCAGAGCCCCGATGAAGCACATGCCCAGGTACAGCACCGTCTTCTCGATCTGTGCCGTCAACCCTCGCAGAAGCGGCACGGCCGCGACCCGGTACAGAATGAACGAGATGAACGCTGCGGGCAGGAAGCGCCCGAGCAACGTACTGATGGCTTCGTAGATGTTGGCCGCGTTCGGCGGATCAGAGACCAGCCCGACATGCAGGAACATGATAACGAAAGTGCTGAAAAAGAACACGGCAGGGGACGCGGTGAAGATGGACAACACAACCAGAGTGACGGCCGTGACTGCGAACAGGGGCCATCGCGAGTCGGAGGGACATTTGGCTTGGGCGGGCGACAGTCTCTGAAAGGTGAATGATCGTGGAAATGTGCCGGGGAACGACACACTTTCAATCCCGTTCGACTTGGTCGCATGGAAGTTCGTGTGCGATCCGACCAGTGTAGCTACACCGCAGCCTCCGGTGGCGTCGGTCGTGATACCGGCGTGGATAGCAGCCTGGCAGATGAAACTGTCTCCTCGATACACTGGTACCGAGTCTGGCTCCAGCGGGTCCGGTCCGCCCACCACAAGGGTTTGGTATCGGAGTAACTGGTTGCCGACCATGTGTTCCTCGAGCATGTGCGTCCCTTTGCAATTGGCGGGACAGCGAAAGGTCATATGCGCCGAGGAAAAGGGTCGACAGTCGTTGCCATTCAGTCCGCAGCCGTTGCCTTCGTTCCAGAAACTGGCACCACACCATAGATTGCGAGGCCGTCCGTAGCCTTTGATGAACCCAGACGCGGAATGGTGTTTGAGCATCAGAGACCATGTCAAAAACCAGCAAGCGTACAGCCCGACCAGCAGGATCAGACGTTGCTTCTTCTTTGGCGCATATCTATCCAACAATCTCAGAGGCGCTTCTTGTATCTTTGGGTATACAGGGTTTATCTTGAGCACTCGTGGAGGAATAGGTCCCTTCACCCAAGTCACCACTGCTCTCGAGGCCTTGCGCAGCGGCAGGGGCACCCATTTGAACTTGAAGGTCGCGCCAGACTCTCGAAGCCATACGGGAAGCGGAAGCGCGGTCGCAGAGGATTCGGACGCAGACCGTACATGGAAATCTCGGCTCACAGCGTCATCGTCAGGCTCGTCGTCGGTCAGGATAGGGATATCTGCAGCTCGATTCTCTTCATCGTCGTCGTCGTCGTCGTCACGGTAGTTGTTGGAGGCGACCATGTCGAGCCTTCGGGGTAATGCGCAGTTGGATCCAAAAGACAGTAGGTACACGGAACTAAGACATGCTCGAGGAGGAGGGTAGCAGCATTAATGAACGGATAGTTGGGTAAACAGACGCTCTAACGATGACCAAAGGAGGATTGGTGAACAACAGTATGTGAGGAAGTGAAACACGAGTGACTAACCGGGCTGGCGTTCGGCCTCGTCGGAATGCAGGATGGAGCTTGGCCCGTCTTTCCTGGGCAAAGCCGCGTCAGGCCATGCGAAAAACGCCTGCACAGGTAGCCCGGCCCTGCCTAGGTGCCTATATGTTATTGTCGTTTGCTTCTTTTGATCATACCATACACCTGCGTGCCGAGAAAATAGAAGTAGGGGAGATACAGCTTCGCCCCTCGTTGTCCCGTGTCTGGCATCAGGGATGACGACGAGGCTTCTTATCGATAGATACAGAGTTTGTACGGAGTCTGGACCGCGGAAAGTCTCCTTTCTGGCCCACTGACACCTGTTCCGAGTACTGTCCCTCGACTACTAACTAGTTCGCTAGTAAGGATATCACACTCAACGCCCGTCATCCTCCCGTTGACTGTAAATACTGCGTCGGTGCCAAAGTCGACCAGGAAGCTGAATGACAGCTCCTACACTCGTGGTGGAGCGGAACTCGCTGAGCGGTGACGAACACATGAGTGTTCCCGATGAGAGCTTTGCAACAACACCAAGCTCTACAGCTTGGGATTTCTCTTCGTGACCCGTATCCACATATCATGCACAATGAAGACTCCGGCGTTGAAAGAACTCCATGGTCTCTCTGGATCCACGATGGCCATCTCAAAGTTCCGAAGAAGCTAGAACAAATCATGAGTCCTTGTCTCCCGTCAAGAGTGCACCGTCTGGACTTACCTGCACGAAGGCCTTGTTCAGCTCAACCTTTGCCACATCCTTCCCCAGACACTGCCAGCGCCCATGTCCAAACACGAGGTCCAGATCGTTCTCTTTCTGCCTGATTTCTTCTGCCGTCCCTTCAAGCCAGCGCTCGGGTCGGAATACTTTGGAGTCTTCCCCCCATATCTTGGGATCCGAAAAGAGTCCAAATGCGCAGTAACCTAGTTTTGTCCCTGGAGGAATATAGTATCCCAGCACAGTATCGCCACCGGGAGGGACATCTTTCAACATCAAACCGGTTACGGGAGGGTGGATGCGAAGGCCTTCTTTGATAACAGCTTGAAGATACGGCATCATTCGAGCTTCCGAGTCTTTGATGGGGTCGGAGAGCTTTGAGCTCTGGATCTCGGCCAGCAATTTGTTCAAAACAGGTGGGTTGGTCAAGAGATGAAGCATTGTGGCTCGGATTGCAGATGCGGTGGTGTCACTGCCTGCAAGGCTTGTCCCCTGTGAGTATGCTTGCGGGATCAAAAGTTGCTAGTTCAACCTACATCTGGATCATAGTCTCTGATTCTGCATCCTTTTGCGACAGTCCATGCCTGATGAAAGATCCCAACATATCCATGTGATCTGTCGCGTCAGTCATGAATCTTTCCTGGACAACTTGCTTAGCCACCCTACACAAAAACAGTTAGCTGTGGATGGTTCTTGGGTGTGATCAAGGGTTGTGGACTTGCCCCATGATCTTGCCCAAACCGTAAGCATCTGTGTCCTTCGGCATGAAGGCTTTCATCATGGACGACTGCGCAATTTTTGCGAGCCACGGGAATGCGCCGGTGAGGATGATCAGGGGAATAGTGCTCTCTGTCGTGCTTATGTAGGAGAACTTGTCTTCATCATCCTCAAGAAAGCCAAATGCCTTGCCAAAGGCAATCTCGCCGATGACATCCATGGTCAGGTATTGCGCCAACCTCCCAAAGTCCATCGGCCGATACTGACCTTTGGTCGACAAGTATTTCTTCTCGATGAGATTGACCAACTTGCCGATAACATCATCGATGGCGCCCTCGAGGTTGGGAATTTCCTTGCCAGCATACTATGATGGGGTCAGATACATTGGTGCTGACATTGCAGTGCCGTCGTGCCATACCCCGTTGGACATCTTGGATCGCAGCATTGCATGCCTCTCGTCGTCACGTTCGGACAAGACATTGTCGTGTTCAGGATCGACTCGAATAGCTTCGTACCAGTCTGATCTCCGATAAGGTGATCTCACATTCAGCATCCTCCTCAACAGCTCGGGGTCGCTAGTGATAAGTTCATCTGGGGCAACGCGAATCAGTGGCCCTAGCCTCGATCAGTCTCAGCCACGAGGTCGAGATAACATGGCAAACGTGCCATATTTGAAGCATGCCTCGGCGGATTCGAGGTAGAGGGTGCCGTTCCAGGTGTGCTTCAGCTGCCAGAACTTGGTCACGCCAGCCCAGAAAGGACCCGGGATGTGTTTTAGCCGATACCAGCCAAGGAAGTACTTGGTCAGGGTGTAGACCAATAGTAATAACGCTATGTTGCTGACCGAAATCATCTTGTGGGATGCTGACTGTCGATGACCAGAAGTGTGATGGATGGGAAGTTGTAGGAATTCTGTGGTGATTGCCATGAGCCAGCACATGCATCTTCACCGACAAGCCCCCAGATATGTGACCGGCATCTCACCTGCAGAGGAATGAGACAAGGCAGGGAGGTCGAGAAGAGGAGAATCAATCCTACCAGGCCGGATGTTACTCCCGTTCCAGACGATCCAATCCGCGGTGGCTGCATTGACCTGTCAACGCCCTTGTGCATTGCAGCGTGTCACCCGCCAATTGAATCTGGGCTCCTGGCGGTTGGCATTGTCCTATCACAATATGACTATTTCACTACTGCAGCCGTGTGCTCGTCGCCCTCTTGAGATTCGCCTACTTGCTCGAACCGACCTTGTTTTCGCGGGCAGATGAGGCCTTTCCCTGCCGTAGTCTCCGTGTAGGATTTCTATTCTCTGCGCTTGAAATCCACTCATGGTCAAGGACGGGACACCACCAGGACAACCCCCTTGCCACTGCTCAAGCAACAACGCCCTCTATGCTGGCTTCTTACCGTGGATCGCATACCTATCCGCCGTATCCCTTCATTAACAGTTCATATTCAAGTGATGACAGCGCACGTACATGGGCCAGAAGGCATGGATCGAAGTTTTCTGCATGTCTTTCCTGACATCCACAAGAAAGGCTTCCAATTCGGTGGCAGACCAGCCGAGGCCCCGGGTGAAGAGCGCCACGCTGATGCCAGTCAAGGAGGAGGTAAAGTCGTAGAATGTCCAGGTTCCTGCCAGAGGATAAGACGAGGACTCTCGACCGGCATATGAGGAAGTACTGACCAAGTCGTTTGAGGTGCGGAGCTTTGGGCCATGAGTTCATCGGCCAGACATATGCCTTCTGCTGGACATCCTCAAATCCTACGTCGATCATAATGTCTCTGACAGATTCGACACTGTCCAGAGGCGCTCCTAACACAATGCTGGCCTGTAACATGTAGCCTGCCCATTGAGCAAGAGCAGAGCCCTCGGGTAGAGATCCGTCATTCGAACGAAGATGAAATGATATGTCTTGGACTTCGAGACATCTGTACATGCATCAGTAAACGACAATCGATAGCAAAGGGTGCAATATACCCGCCCGGGTTCAGATTACTGGTAGCAGTTGTCAGCCAAAGAACCTCAACGTGACCGGGAAGAAAAGGGAGCAGTTAACTCAAAGCTTTGTTGCACGAACTTCCTCCAGTCTGATATGGCTCCAGTCATCATGCGGCTGAAGATAAGGTCGAATTTGTATGAGAAGGTCCATGGCTGCTCAACATCGCTTACTTCAAACCAGACGTTTGGCGGCACAAACACCGGCTGCACAGGACTCACGTCGATGCCCGTCACCTACTACCATGAAGCTCTCTCCGCCAGCATCAGGGAAGGATGACTCACTACAGCCTCAGGGTGTTCATCCGCTTGGAGAGCATTAGCGAAGTTGTCTAGTGTATCGGTCCTGGCCGATGCAAGGGGGCTTGCCAAATTCAATTGCCCAGCTACCCGTCCCAGTACCAACGTCGAGAACTCGCTGCACGACACCTTCTTTTTCAACTCCGCAGGCTGTCAAATTAGGTCCGAAAGTCATTAGCAGTAAGTGATGCTGATGCTCTAGTTGGGATCAGCCGACCAACCGACAAGAGCAACCTGTTATACTGACCAAGGCGATCTAGCTCTTGCTATAGCAAGCATATTAGTGACAAGTATTGGGATACCCAAGCACTGGAGACAGTTCACACCTCATCATTTGGCAGAACGTAGTCGGTGACATGGTCAGCGTCAGCCTGGCCGTGACTCCAGGAATACTTACCTCTCTCACCGTAGCTGCTATAAGTCCGTCCATGCTCCTGTCGATACTGGAATATACTAGACCTTAACGATGATGTCGACAACGCATCGTGCTGTTCCTAAAAGCGGTGTTTAAGCTTCTATCTTGTGTCACGGAGGGATCAATTACCTCTCCCAGGGCAGAGTCACGGTCAGCATCGAGAAATAGTTGAGCTTGGTCTTCGACGTGCGCGTGTTGTTCTGGAGGAGAAGCCATGCTTGACACTAGCAAGGTTTGATGGAGAGCGGAAGGTATCCCAGTGTCATAATCATCTTTTGTCACTTTCAGCAAAAGTAAGCATCTGGGGCCTTCACATCCCGCCCACCTGCAGATGGACGGTACCGCTCTTCATTGAGTGATGCAAGGGACGAGACAGGAAGCTCAACAGGACGTATTGACAGACCCAACTGCAGCATCTGGTCGGTCGCCGCCTATAGTCGGCAGTGGCCGCGTTTGGCGGACCCGCTGGAAAGTGAATTTCACATGGATCGTAGTCATAGACTCGGCATTCTGGCTTGCTTGTGATCTATCACCTGGTGTTGAAGCGCAGGGGCCCTTGTAGTCGTGGGGGGGACTGCGCTTAGCATAAACCGCTTGACTGGCTGAGAATATCCAGGGCCCAGTTGGCGAGGTAAAGGACGTTGGGGGGCGTCTGTACGAGTGCCTGGGCAACAACCTTTACCCTTGAATGCATTTGACATGAAGTACCGGCCACACCTGTGGAATTTGAAAGCGAGAAACAGTCTGGCCGGAAGCATCACTCACGACAAAGTCGCTTCTTTAGTAGTTTAGAACCTTACCGGCCAGCAGTATTGCGAAAGCCCCGATGTCGGTGTCAACTTGAAATGGCAACCAGCCGAGAATTTCGACAGATTTCGACTTGAGCTGCCATGGTGCAGGGGATGCCTCATCGTGTGGCACATCCTGCCTTGCCGGGGCCTCTCCCATGCAACCCCCTCCAAGCACGATGAGCGTAGCGCTAGCCATAACGGAAACAAGATCCAGCCGAATATGTCGAGGAGGATCCATGGCTGATCGAGGCGACTTGTGTAAAGAGGCGAATTACCTCTCATGCAACAGATTATACTTGTACGTACATTCTAGGTTTGCATACTTCCGTAGGGCCTGTGACGACGGCCTTGTCCGAGTCCATCAAACTCAATCCCGGTCATGGCGGGTAGAGGAGGACAAACTTTGGTTGCATGGGCGTTGATAAAGGAGGAGGGACGCAGAGGTGTGTTCGAAAGGCTCTCCAAAGCACGCAAGCCACGAGTACCTAGTCAAGCAACAAACGAAAGGTGGGCAACTCAGGCATTGTAGCTTGAAGGCGCAGGAATCATGTTGAGTTCCCCCGGGCTGAGGGTAGTGGGCTACAGGACTACAGGACTCGTACTACTCCGTCCATGGGGCCGTTATCGCATCTCTTATCGGCAACGGCGGACGGTGGAATTGTAATCATGCGCTCACGCGCCCTTCGTCCCCAGTCTACATTCCCTCGACACGGCTTCAAAGCACAAAGAATTGCTCCTACACTGATATTCCGTTGTCGAGCAGGTCCAGTCTTTACAATCCAACGGTCGACTTACTGCCAGCCATGCTCGCCACCATGGAGAAGCCAGCACCAAAGGACTTATCGTATCACTATTCCAGGGTGACAAAGCATCGCAATGCCAGTCTCGTGAAGAAGTTCTACCAGTACATGTTCATCCCTGGGATGGGCAATCTCGCGGGAGGTACGTCGGCCTCCATCTTTGCTCGATCCAGTGTGCTGATATCGGTATCATTCTAGGTTTGCCCAATGCTGGATATTTTCCATATGACACATTGGAGGCCGTCACTGCAACACCAGATCGGTTCAAGCCGACTCCCAATGTACCAGTCGATCCTCCCACAGCAGACATGGCAAAGACAAGTCTCTCCGACGCCCCAACCGCATCTCGGGTTCTTGTTCCACACGAGTCCGCCGAGCCTAACGTCCTGCGCAAGATCGATCTGACCACCGCTTTACAATACGGCACGGCGCAAGGTTACCCTCCCTTGTACGCCTTCATCAGGTCATTTGCGCAGAACAACTTGCATCCCAATGTGCCCTATCAGGGAGGGGTTGAGGTCATATTAACCTGCGGATCGACAGATGGTTTCTCCAAAGCCATCGAGTGCTTCAGCAATATCTGGGACGAGGAAAGAGACTGGATTCGAGAAAGAGAGGGTCTTTTGTGCGAAGAGTTTGCCTACATGAACGCCATCCAGACTGCTACACCTCGTGGTCTCAATGTCGTTCCCGTGGCCATTGATGACGAGGGAATGCTTGCATATGGCAAAGGCGGGCTTGAAGACATCATGGAAAACTGGGACAAGAACAGAGGGAAGCGGCCTCATTTGATGTATACCGTCACCATGGGCCAGAACCCCACCTCAGGCCTTCTCTCCGTCAAGAGACGGAAGGAGATCTACGGATTGTGTCAGAAGTACGACATTATAATCATTGAAGATGATCCGTACTGGTACCTACAATTCCCCTCTGCCAACGAACTCTCGATCAAAGCACGCGGTAAGGCTGTCTCCGAGAATTATCCTGCCACAGCAACACACAACTACAATACCTCGTTGGGCGGCAAATCAAGTGGCTTTCCGTTCTTGGACAGTCTCGTGCCCTCCTACTTGTCACTCGACGTGGACGGCAGAGTAGTGAGACTGGATACTTTCAGCAAGACTGTAGCCCCCGGCTGTCGCCTGGGCTGGATTACTGCGCAACCTGCCGTGTGTGAGCGCCTGCAACGGATCACCGAGACAAGCACCCAGCAGCCCTCTGGATTTGTCCAGAGCCTGATCGCTGAATTGATCATAGGTCCCTCTTCCAAGGGTGATCCTGGAAAGGGCGGCGGTAATGATGGCAGTGGTTGGAAGGTTGATGGCTGGATACGATGGCTTGAGGGTCTTCGAGGCAACTACGGACGCCGCATGCAAGCGATGAGTAATATTCTCGAAGAGGGGAAATTCCTTATTCATGACTCAAGCCGACCTTCCGCTGCGTTGGACGAAGAATCTGAGTACCAAATGTTGCACAAAACCCAGATGTATGACTTTGCTTATCCGATGGCGGGAATGTTTCTCTGGATGCGGGCACACTACGAGACACACCCTCTGTACGGCAAAGTCGACAGTCAGCGACTTGCCCAAGCTTTGTGGGTTTTCATGACGACGGATGACTATCTGGTCCTCTTGAGTCCTGGGACGCTCTTCTGTCCCACGGAAGAAATTGCTGAAAATAAAGGCTGGCAATACTTCCGACTTTGCTTTGCCGCAATCGACGAAGACGTTCTGAAGGAAAAGAGCAAAGCAGTGGTGGACTCATTCACCGACTTCTGGGCCATCGACGATGTCAAGACGATTGACAAATTGCTGGAGGATGATGAGGCAATCCAAGCCAGAATTGCCCAACTTTCGACGTCTAATCAGGTGAGTTTGACCATTCATGTGGAAGCGAACGGGATTGACTTGACTGCTCAGGGATTATACGCCATCAACCCTGCTATGTGTTAGAAGGGAATTCTATTATGACTGGATGCTTGAGTTTATGATGAAGACTGCTACGGTAGAAATTGGTAGATGGCACATATTTGCGGTAGGTCCTGGGTGGGAATGACATTTTGTGGATGAGTACCTTGAAGACCTTTTCCTACCTACGTAAGGTAGCCTCCGTATCGGATCTTGCCCTACGTTACCTACAGCAGATACCTACGTAGGTAAGCTTAAAGGCGCCTAACTAGTGTGCCTCCGGGCCGTGACAAGCTCTAGCCGCACTAGCCTAGTTAGTGACCTTCTGCCCCAATTGAAGACGCCCCATGCCTAAGGAGGCACCTATAATCGGATCTTGTAGGTGCTTCACGAGCGCCTCGGCGTCATCCGATCGGCCTAACTTGACGCGCCCAAACCTTCTGACGCCTCCAGTGAAGCCATGTTCACCGTTCCAACATCCACAGTGGTCAGTCGATCGTTTCCCTGCTTTGTTGCGTCTTTCCGTAGCGCTGTGATCTTCAACCATGATCAGAATTCAACTGTAACTCTCACTGGGCACTTTTGCCGCTTATCTGTATCCTCATTCGAAGCTACTGTGTCTAGCATGCTAGCATGGGAGCATGGTTGCAACGGTTACGACCACAACGTTCAACTCCGACATTATGTTTGCGCCAGCTTTGCCTATATCTGGCGACCAGCCCATGGAGAAGCTTCCTCTGCCCTCAGCGACTTGGTTCGTACACATGTAGGTTGGAGATACAAAAGATCCCCTAGTGAGTGGAAGAGGCTGTTCGACTTGGATTCGTCTGGTACTGCCAGCCATCCAACATGCTGCTCAGCTCGATATTCGTGCTCACCTCCTTGTTACGCCCGATTGCAGGCTGTGAGGACCATGACTGGACTTCTCCTGTTCTTGGAGGCTATGTGGATCATGGTTTGATGAGAAGACACGACCTGGCAAAACGAATCCAGCCAACGGCGCTGAAGACGCCGGTGCAGCAGATCAGAGACTTACACTGGGGTCAGCTCAACTTCCTCCACACCACCGATACTCACGGATGGCTGGCGGGCCATTTGCTGGATGAAAACTACAGTGCCGACTACGGCGACTTTGCCGACTTTGTTCAGAAGATGAAGGCCAAAGCAGATCGTCTTGGAGTTGACCTGCTTCTGATCGATTCAGGCGACTTGCACGATGGGACCGGGTTTAGTGATATCACGACCCCCGATGGGAAGCTGACTCTTCCTATCTTCAAGAGGCTGCCGTATGATCTTCTGTCGATAGGCAACCACGAGCTCTACACGACGTCTACCGCAAATGACACCTACCACAATTTCGCACAGTCCTGGGGAGGGCGGTATCTTACGTCGAACGTCGAATTCAACGACACGGGGGTGCTCAAGCCCTTTTCCCAGCGTTACGCATACTGGGAAACCAAGCAGGGGATCCGTATCATGGCATTCGCCTTCATCTTCAACTTTACTGGAAACAGCGATGCCACGGTTGTGACGCCGGTCGGCACCGCCGTCAAACAGTCCTGGTTCCAAGAACAAGTCAAACGCACCGACATTGACATGTTTCTCGTAGCCGGCCACATCACTCTCCGCGGGTCAACCGAATGGGACCTGATCTACTCGGCGATCCGCGCACATCATCCCACGATACCCATCTCCATCTTCGGGGGTCACAAGCATGTCCGGGACTCGGTCATATTCGACGCCAACGCAGTGGGAATCGCCTCAGGCCGCTACTGTGAGACGGTGGGTTGGCTCAGCATCGACGGCCTACCACCGTCGGTCACGAAGGCGAAATCGCCTAACCTGGGCGGCAATGCCACAAAAATCACGGCCAAACCCAGTTCGATCCCGGGCGTCACGCCGAACAACCACTCCGACCTGTCCTACACCAGGCAATACCTCGACTTCAACCGGTTCTCTTTTGAGCACCACACCGGCACGACGGAAGCGACGTTCAACAGCAGCCTCGGAGTCAACATCAGCGAAAAGATCACCGCCGACGTCGACAGTCTGCCCGCCCTGACGACCAAACTCGGCTGCGCCCCGGACAACTACTATCTATCTCGCTACCCGATCACGTCCAACCAGTCCCTGTTCCACTACTTGACGACGGTCGTGTTTCCCAAGGTGGTCGTGTCCGCGGAGCGAGCCAACGTGAGCCGCGTCATCCTCACCAACACGGGCGGGTTCCGCTACGACCTTCTCAAGGGCCCCTTCACCATCGACAACGCCTACCAGACGAACCCGTACGAGAACTACTGGCTGCGCATGACGGCCCCGTGGTCCGTCGCCAAGAACCTCCTGGTGAACATGCAAACCGACAAGGTGTACAAGCGTGACGTCGACAACGACGGGAATGGCACCGCGACAGTCAAGATCGCGGGCTACGTGACCCACGACGACTTTGGTTCTGACGGCGACAACATCGTGCACATCGACCAGGGCTCCGCAACTGTACCGCACTACGTCCAGGCCAACGTGTCCGTAGACGGCATCAGTGACGACACCCTGGTCGACGTGTACGGGACGAGTTTCTTCACCGCGGCAGCCGCCAAGTACCTCACTGGGAACACGACCGATTGGATAAGGGTGGATGGGAACTTCAGTAGTTTCGATACCTTGCCCAGGATGGCCAAGCAGTTTTGGTCAAAAGATTGCTGATGATCAATCAGCGTGTTCTTTCGAGGTTGTCGTACGCAAAAAGTTTCAAAGCAGAGTACGTATGAAATGGACATTTTAAATCTATACAAACACACACCTACACACAGACCACGTAGACAGTATATGGTATGATGTGACATATGAGATCCGAGAGGGAGGGTGAGTGCTTGCAAGTACTTGTGACAATATGACTATAAATACATGATGTACTTGGAAGGTCGTAGTAGCTGCCTACCGACGACCTGTTGTGTACTTCGTAAACACGGGGTGTTCCTTTATTACTGCAGAGGTAGTGAAGTTACTTTATACTAAGAGGGTTCTCTGTACGGAGAGCATCGAGGCAATGGACTGCACACGGCACAATGTCGTGAGAATGAATTTATATACGATACTTGTATCTAGGTATCTTTGTTCCAAGGTCGAGGTCGAAAGATGACGAAGACTGCACATGCTGATGAAAAGTATAATCTTACTTCAAGAATCACGGATATTCTTCGCGGTACATCAAGCATTCAGCCATTAAATACGGGCTAAATAAATCCAATACCCCTTTTCACGAAACACTCAGGACTCCGCACAGTAGAAAGATCTACACGACAATGTTAGGCTGATAATAGTTACTAGGTACTAGGTACTAGGTACTCGGTACATGAAAATAAATGAAAAACCCTTGCATAAAAGATATCCGTCACGCTCACTCACTCTCGCCGCTTCGAACTTCTGTTCCAGCACTGACATACCTTGACTATCTAGGTATTAGACACTATTAGACCAACCCACGTCACAACAAGCAAGGGGCATCAAGCAAGGGGCATCAAGCAAGCCGAATAATGACAGACTGACACGCATCGTTAGGCACGCAAGCATCGATCGTTTCGTTCATTCCTTTCTCCTAGCTCTCAGAACGACTGCTGCCGAATTCGGCAGGCGACGCTACAGCGGTAGTAGTATTCGACATTCTCTGCAAAGACTCAGTCTCCAATTAGCGAAGCCACTCTTATTCAGGCTGGGAATCGTCGTTTCAAACTCACGGATCCGTCCCTGTCCCTGCTCCCAGCACGTTGTGAACGTGCACTCTTCAACTCAGAGGCGTTGGTATCGGAGGGAGGTAATTCCTGAGCCACCAGTCCCCCGAGACTGGGGTGGTAGATTTGTTGAACCTGTCCAAATGAAGAAGGGTGGCCCGTCATAGTGTACCCGTAAGCAGGTGCTTGTGTTGGATAAAATACCGTGCCTTGGGGAGGATGAGACATGGTCAGGCGAGAATCGTAGCCTGCAGCTGCCGCTCCTGTCTGGACTGCAGCATATGTCATGGGCAGCGCCGGAACTCTACGGGTGCTTGTGCCACGGGTGCTGCTGCTTCGACGCCGACGAAGACGCCACAAGCAGAAGACACCCAGAACGAGTAGACTGAGACCAGCGACGCCCCCAACGACACCTCCTACAATTGCGCCGATATTAGTTCCTCCACCATCTCCCCCACCATCTCCCCCACCGCCAGGTCCTACCGGTGGGTCTGAGCACAATTTTCGGGGAAAGACACCGCCTTCTTTACCAAAGTCCTGACGTATGGCTTCCGACAAGCGGAATTGCTGCTGCTCGACGTCGAGGATGAGGTAGTTCATCGTGAGAAACGGCAGACCCCACGTGTAGGTGTAGTGCAGATCGCTTGTGTCCTGGTTGGTATACGAGTACACAAAGGCCTGCTGGTACGTGTCATTTGCAATGACCAGCTCTCCTTCACTGTTATATTCGCCATGGAATCGGAATAGCTCATTCGCAGGTATCGACGTCTTGTAGCCGCCCTTGATCGTGAAGCTCAGGTTACCGACGGGTGGGCTCAACCCGGCGTATGTATATGTCTCGAGCTGCTGGTCGTAGGTGCCATTTGTCGCGATGCCAAATGCCTTGAACAGCTCCTGCGGGATCTGAATCGAGTTGCTTATCGGGTTCAGCGAGACTTGAAAATTGTTTGTTGTTGCGTTCGTCAGGCCGATGGTGCCATTTTCCGTAGCCCATGACAAGTCTTGAATTTGCAGACACACAGGGCATTCGAGAGTGCTTACATCCGTGAAGAAGTCGCCGGCGACTCGGGCATTGTCGTACCCTCCGACCATGAGGAGCCCATCCTGAGGTTCATCGATGGAGCGGCTTCCGACCCACAAACCCCAGGACATTGAAGGTGCAGCATCGGCGTCGACTGCAGCTTGAAGAAAGGTCGAATTAGGGCCTATTCCAAGGCTACTTATACCTATCCAGATAAGTATTACGGTCGGCGACAGGAGCAGTTGAGTACGAACCCCATAAACTTGCGTCGTCAGTCACAAACGGGTATCCCCAAATTCTAGTATCGTTGAATTGTGGAATGTCAATGACATCGTTATAGAAAGTAAAGATTGAAGAATCTGTTCCGCTCACTGTGCCATTCCAAGTAGAAAATTCCGGATTGGCTGAGGTCAAAGACAACTTGGGATCATACAGTCCACCATTTGCGGCTAGACAGATAAGGTCATCCTTGGATGTACAGTGGCGGACGTTTGCGAGCACAGTAGTGTCCCAGATAGAAGGATACAGCGAAAATGTCTGGTTCGGCGTGCCAACGTCGAGTGCGATACCCCAAGCTCGAGCACCTTGACCGTCTGTGCTGAGATTGTTGTAAGTTATTGGCAAAAACAAAGGCTCGGCGTCGTTCTGGCAGGGAGGAGATGCCATCTTGCAGCAGATAGACACGCTTCTTTGACGATAGTAAAAGTGATTCGAGTATCAATGAACATCGACCTGGATACTGGGTCAAGGTATGGTTCTGGCTTGTTCAGGGCAGGCGGGATGGAAAATTCTGATGATGGAAGAGCCGCCTGCTTCAGCCTTGATCTGTATACCAAGAGTCAACGGACGAGAATGAGAATGAGACAAGAATCAGCCATGTACTTCTTTGGACACACAAAAGCAGATCTTGAGGCACCATTTAACTGGCCCCGACCCATGGCACAGCGCTGAGCACAGGTACATGGCGCCTTCTCAGACTAGGAGTCTGAATAGCTGAACCACATCCCTGCCGTGGACAAGGAATTCTCGCCCCAGCCAAGAGCTCGTCCAGCCTGGGGTCCGATTGCACTGTCCATCTCTTCGGCATCTTTAACCAGAAACCACAAACGAAACCTGCGGCTGATCGGAGACTTGAACGACTGCTTTATCGGGAAGGGTTACTCTGGTAGAGCCAGACGGACGCTTCGGTGATTTAGCCTGCAAGGTTCGTCCTTGCCTGGAGTGAAAGAAGCCCGGATCTCGAGACTAGCCGTTTGCCATGGTCAAAGTCCCGTCTGTTACGCACCCTTCCTGTGCTCATACGGGAGGAGAGCGAGTGGCCATTGGGCTTGGATCCTGACCCTGGTAAAGATGTTGAGACTTTGTCCTACCCATGGGCGACTCGTATAAAGAATAATGCGAGTCGCAACCCGTATACAGCGTCCAAGAGCTTGGGTGTCTTGGCCGTCTCCTCTTATCCAATCCATTCTGTGTTCTCTTCAGCCGCTTGTGGCCCATGCAATTTTGTACAAGTCAGCTGAACTGATTAATGTGTCAGTGGGCAATGTTGGATGGTTGCCTGCACACAGTACGAATCAATAGCGCTTCTCTGGTCATCGCCGAATCATATAACGCAAGTGACGGGACGGGAGAAAGGCGAATAAACCACTATAGACAAGAAATGATCGATAGAGACCGATGGATCGTTGCCGCTGCTGGCCCTGCTTGACAGTGGCTTCACTACATCAATTGCTCCACCCTACAATGATTCATACGGCGAAGTACTTTACATCCTCGCTCAGTTTGTACCGACTCTACCGAGGCACCCCTCCAGATGACTTCCCGAGGTAGACAACATAAGCCTTATAACGAGTACAATCTATTACCATGGCTACTTCTCTCCTCGATGCTGTAGACGTCGAGATAAGCAATCATGAACTTCGAACTTCCATCTGAGGTCCAGTCCTATCTCTCCCGCCTGGATGACTTCATCACCAGCAAGATCCTGCCCTTGCAGCATACAGGTACCAACAACCGGTTCTTCGATCATCGACGTGAAGCCTCGCGTACACAATGGGACAATGGGGGGCTCCCCACTGACGACTGGGAGGATCTCCTCCGCGAAGCCCGCAAGTTAGCAGATGAAGCAGGATTCTATCGCTTTGCCTTTCCCAAGGAGTATGGCGGAGTTGGGAGTACCTCCCAAAACTTGTATATGAGTGCCATCAGGTACCATCTGGCATCTCATCCTGTATTTGGTGGAGGTGTCAGTCTAGCCAATGACTTGCAAAATGAGCACAGCGTCGTAGGAAACAACCCCATCGTCATCATGCTCCACCATTACGGCACGCCGGAGCAGCAACAGACGTTCATACCAGCAAGCGTCCGTGGCGAGTTCAGAGCAACGTTCGGACTCACTGAGATCCACCATGGCTCTGATGCAACGCATATGGATACCACCGCCACGCCTATCACACTGCCGTCGGGAGAGGCGGGGTACTCGATTAATGGCAACAAAAAATGGCAAACCGGAATGCATAACGCAACCCACTGCCTGATCTTTGCAAGGACATCTGGAAAAGCAGGGTCGCCGAAAGGGATCACCGCTTTCATAGTCCCCAGAGACACGCCCGGTGTGACAGTGGCTTCGTATGAATGGACGCTCAACATGCCAACAGACCATGCGACAGTTTTGCTTGAAGATGTCAAAGTTCCAGCCTCTGCGATCTTGGGCCCCGTTGATAACGGCCTGGCTATTGCGCAGACTTTCACACACGAGAACCGGATACGCCAGGCCAGCTCAAGTTGTGGTGCAGCGAGGTATTGCATCGACAGGAGTGTTGAGTATGCCAATAGCCGCAAAGTGTTTGGGAAGCCGTTATCGTCGCATCAAGCCATTCAATGGCCACTGGTAGAATTGGCGACCCAGGCTGAGATGTTGAGGCTGCTAATCCTCCGGACAGCTGTGGAAATGGACCAAGTGACAGCAGCATGCAAAGCCAGTGGGAAAGCCCCTTGGGTGGCGATCGAGAAACAGTTGGGTCACAAAATTGGAATGTGCAATTACTACGCCAACCGTCTAGCGACAGAGGCTGCCGATCGAGCCATCCAGGTTCATGGTGGAGTGGGATATTCGAGGCATTATCCTTTTGAACATATCTGGAGACACTTCAGGAGGTACAGAATAACAGAGGGAAGCGAAGAGGTGCAAATCAGAAAGGTGGCAGCATACTTATTTGGGTACAAATCAACAGGGGAGTCTCCTCCGGATTTGAAAAAGCCAGAGACAAAGTTGTAACTGTCCTGTTCTTCGAGATTGCGAGAATAGGATTTGAATATGTACCTCAATACGGGGTCCCAAGGCAGAAACAATCTAGGCTTAGCACACGTCTTCCACAACCAATTTCTCTCCGCTTGGTGCGCCGAGGTCAATCTTCAGTCTCCTGTTGAAGAGCTCCATGAGCATCTCGAAACAGACCTTGGTGACCGCAGGGTCGTAACGCCCTTTGCTCAACTCGTCACGGATGAAGGCATGTTGAGCCGCGAAGACTTCGTAGAAGGAAAATTCAACTCCTGCTTCGTGAAGAGTCTTGCGAATCAGGTCTCGACCTTCCGCTGGGACATGAGGGTCACTCTTGCCAAAGACCATGACAAGCTCTCCTTTGATATCCCCTGCTCTCTTCAGGCTGTCATCCTTCTTTCCTTCACCCAAAGAAGAACTGTGAATGTCCGTGGCAAACAAGCACAGCGCCGCGCTGACTCTTGGGTCCAGGGCACACCGGTAGGCAAGATGGCCTCCGAGACACATCCCTGTAGCTCCCACTCTGCCATTGCACGTTTTCAACCCCAAGAGGAACGACACCGTGAGTTGTGCGTCCTCGTCGTACGCCGCAACCTTCTTGGTGATTTTCCACTCGTTACCAGCATCCGTGCCAGGGCCGTCATATGCAAGAGGTTCGGGGCCAGTGAACTCATGGTAGGACGACGGACACGCGACAATGAAGCCTTGTCCAGCAATCTGACGAGCAAACCGAGCAACCGGGCCAGTAACTGCGGAATTTCACTTAGTTCATAGCCACAACATCAGTGGCACAGAGCCGACCTTGATAAATTTCCGAGAACACCACTACACCGGGAAACTTCGCATGAGGGTATCCCGGGATTGTGGGATGGAAGAGAAAGATGCCTTTGAAGGTGCTCAGCTCATGTCTTGATTGTAAACCTGGACCAGGTGGTTCAAGGAGTCGTACGCATTGTGCCATTGCCGGCTGCCGTCGTGGGCACATCCTTGTAGGATTCTTCGAACAGCATGACGTCGTCTTGATGGACTTGTGCCTGGTATTTTCTCAAGAGGGTATCCTGCGAACTTCCACAAAATAGAATCCAAGAGAAGGAGAAGTACTTCTGCACAGATATATATGCCACTGGGACGAGTTCACAGAGGGCGGAACGAGGGATATGAGGGACACGAGGGACGGGGATGTCGGGAGCTATCAACAGTCGCTAGTCCCGAATTGGTCTAGTGCATGTTTGTCGCTGACTAACTTCGCCATTGTCCGTCCAAGTTCATCCCCTTTTCTCACAGCCGCGCGCTCTACATGATCCTTCCAGCCTTGCGCGCACCGGGGCTACCTTCGTCCTCTCTACTTTGTTCCTCCTTCCATGCCTAACCTCTAGTCTCGTATCTTTCAGCAAGATAGAGATGGCTTCCATTTCTCGACCAGGAAATCTGCAGAGCGGCTGCAGGCAGCTGACAGTTGTGAGGACACCACCGATATCCTTAGATATCCGTATCCGATTTCAGCATGCAATACCTGACCCGGTGTCCTATGTCCCATGCTGTTCATTTTTAAGCTTTGGACTTTCTTTACTCCTTTCTTTCCCACTCAGCCACCTGCACGATACCAACATACCTCCATCCAGGTCACAAAACGAGAAGGCAATATCGCTAAGCCTCAGCGGGCTACAGCTTCAAGGCAACGAGGCTTGTTTAGCCACTTGCTTTGTTTGGCAGGTCAAATCACCTTTTTCCTCATCAGAGATCTTGACTAGATCGTGGCCATAGCGTAATGATTCTTGTATGTGGTATCCGCGCACAAGGTCACACCCAGAATGACCAGTTCCATCCGATGCTGTGAAGAGCCTATGTCGGTTTGTTGCCAGCAGTTGCGGCTCGACAGATGATTCTGGTCACAACGATTACGCACATCCATTGCTCTCGTGGTGCTGGCTCCCCACTGCATACCAAACCGCAAACACCGCCATTCGCAGCCCACGCAACAAGGCTGTCACACAAAACGGGGGCGGAGACGGGGTTGTCAAAGTCGGCATATGATTGTCTCCACCAAGTGTGTCCCTGGCTCTCTCCAAGTTGTCATGCTTCCTCACAATGCAACAGCTCAATCGTGACAGGTTTTTGATTTGTCTGGCATGTCTCCAAGATAACTCGGGGTACGTGGGCCACTGCAATTGTCACCAAGAACTTTGGCGTTGCTGGTCGGCTGCTTCGTTGGTCATGACAGTCTGCACAACATGTCTTTCCTCCGAATACTTGTATGACAATATTCACATATGGACCGCCTGACCCAGTGGCGAGAGACACTCAACACTCTCCCCTGCTGCTCCCTCTCCCGTCAGAATATGCCAGCCACCAAAGTGTTCCTGCAATCTCCAGCTTTTTCTTACGGCATCTCGCTGCCGAATAGTACGACCACTTTGCAACGCCATCGATGGTGTACTTTAATGATACTTTGATGACGCTCGACTTGTTCGGCGCGGTGGAGGATGGTTGTAGGCGGATACCTAATCAATCTCCACTTAGCCGGCAGGACGATCGGGCAACAAGACAAGGGGAAGCCCATCTTCAGATCCCACCTAGTGGCTTTGCGACCATGCCTCTCGAGTCTGGAGCATCTACGAGAGCTACCCTCGTTGTTGGTCAGACGTTTCAAAAGGATAGACTTGTCAAGCGTATGAACCTCGTCAATCTCCTTACTCAGAAATGGCGGCATCAGTACCCAAAGACGACCAAATGGCATCCTTTGTCGACAAAGAAGTACTCGAAGGCTTTGGCTCTTCATGCTGTGGACAATGTCAGGTTCTGATTACAATGTATGTTTCTTCCTCCATCTGAGGCATCTGCAAGAAGCTTGAAAGACTTCGTCGACAAAGCTCCTGAGTGATTCCCAGAATGCTTGGCGAACGAAGGTCACGAAGATACAGGTCGACCGCACCGCCCTCGTTGTGAAGAAGGACTCCTGGTAAGGCGATGGTGTTGCAGAGCGCGTTGAGCGTCGCGTCTACCAAGTGATCGCACAATGAAGTTCATCTCCCATCCAAATTCATGGTCTCATCGCCAGACAGCAGCAACACTTCATCAACACCACGCTTTGTTATCAACTATCTGGTTGAAGATCGTTGTGGATAGAACAAGATGGAGTCCAACCATGAATTCAACGAGTTGGGTCAAGATCAAGGTTAGTGTTGGGGTGGTTTTCTTCCGTACTACGTTGATGCTGAAGGTATCAGGTGTCGGTGATCAGAATACCCATCAATCATCTCCCCTTTTCTTCCCAGAGAACCCCAATCTCCTCAATGTTCTCGGCGGAGACCTGCCCAATTTCAACGATGACGGCGGGATGGGCATAGGACAGTCACTTTCTGGCGACCAACCTGGCACATCAAGTAATGAGAATACCTCATTCCAGGAACTGTCATTCGATGACATTTTTGATTTTGCCGCTTTTGAAAACGGCGTCCAAGGTCAGGACAATGACGGTGACGATGGCGAGGAGGACAGGGAGTCGGAGTCGGAGGAGGATGACGACGACGACGACGAAGATGAAGGCAACCATAAGGACAAGGACGAGGAGGATAGTCCCGCTGATGATCCATCCAACACAATGGCCTTGATGAGGTACGCCCTCACAAGAGCAGCCAACGACAACGTCCGCCCTGTCTTTCCCGACATCAGGGCCATCTTCGACAGTGTGGCCAGCGTCGCCAGGTCTCGAGGCGCCTGGGCAGGGACCCTTCGTGGTCGCGTCTCGATGGCGTCCGTTCGGCACTATGGCCGAGACCTCGTCGTTCTGGAGGGCGAGCTCGAGACGCTCAAGGTCCGCATGGAAAGGGCACTTGCCCTCATCAACGCCGACAACTTCGCCCGCCACAACCAGGCCGAGGGCATCAATGCCATTTTGTTCATGGTCAATCGGTGTCTGGAGGACATCGACCTCCAAAAACGCCTCTGCGACGAGGTGTTCCGTCAGGCTGGACGTCTCTCGTGCCTCTCCGCCGACCCTGTGGGGTTGGCGGACGCCGAGAGACGCCTGCGTGCCGCCCTGGCTGCCTCGTTGAGGCGTTTAGAGAGGGTTCAAGAAATCGAACCAATGTTGGAGGCCTTTGAGGCCGAGTTTCAACTTGTGTTGAGCTCTGGCGATGTTTGAGAGCCTGGCGCCGAGCACAGGCCAGAGGAGGGTGGGTTGTGGGTGTGGGTTCTTTTTCTTCTTTTGTCCTCTGTTTTTCTCTTTCGTTTGTTGTGGGTTTGGGCGCAGGAAGGGGATGGGACGGACTCGGGGGGTTTTTTTCTCTTCTTTTTTTTTGTATAAGTACCTATTGAAATGTGAATTGGGCTTGTCGCAAGAGTGCAGTGTCATTTCCATTTTACTCGATCATGCAGTCTTGACGACGTGCGCTTAGAGTTCATCGTAGTGTGTTAACATGCTGTGTGCTATACACCTGTATACATGTATTTCTCGGTGCGATCAACCTCTATCAACAAGTAAGATATGTCAGGGGAGAGCATCACTTCTATCGATAATCGTTGCTGTTTGATATTAGATGTTCACCTTGGACTGAAAATATCCAGTTAATTGTTTATGATATCAAGAGCGTGAGCAGTCTCATAGACTCTTAGCATTTGCGAGTCATGTACATATGATGCCGTTGGACCCGAAGAACATGCTGTTGAAGAAGCCCACTGCGGATCTACACTCTTCATGGCATTGCATCCCGCCTGATGGTCGAGATGGCACTTAGGACCTTGTCAGTGCTCCAGCCTTGCTCCAACGCTTTACGAAGAACATCGACTTCGCTTTCAGGTGCCATTCCTCCTGGCGCTGGTGGGCGGCGGTCAAGGTTAGTCGGGAAGGGATACCCCTCACCGATGGCCGCCAAGATGGCATCTATCTCGTCTGGCATGGTGGTAGGCTCTTCGCTCAGTTTCCGCACCTCATCCCAGCATTGGGCGATCATGGTCGCCGTGTCGACGGTCTCCATGGTCCTACCGAAGGCGCTGCTGACCTGCAAGAGGTTGGCGCTCCTCTCAACATCAGCCGTCCGGTTTTCTCCCGCGGCGTGGAAAAGCGCCGGGTTGAAGAAGACGGCGTCACCCATCTTCAGGTCCACGCTGACCCAGCTCTCCTCGAAATAGTCTCTGAACTCTCGGAGGCGGTAGGCCATGAAGCCTTCGTCAAACTGCTGCGAGAACGGCAGGAAGCGCGTCGGCCCACTCTCGAGAGGCATGTCCGAGTGTGCGACGGCGCCTTGCAACGTGAGGTATTGGCTCGCCACCTGCGTGGCTTTGGGGAATCGCGAGCACGACTCGGCCGTCTGAAAGCCCAGGTGATAATCCCTGTGGCTGACCTGAGGTTTTCCGCCTGGCCTGACGAGGTTGACCTGGGCCGTGACCTGGTACGAGGGGCCGAGCCAACTTTCGCAGACACGCGACAACCAAGGGTTCGAGTAATAGCGCACGAAGCTCGCCGGGTGGTGCTGGGCGTGCTTCTGGAAGGAGTTCCAGATCCGGGCATTGTTGCCGGAAGCGGCAAAATGGTCGCCTTTCGACGTGGACTGAGATTCGACCTCTATGATTTCTGTGAAGACCGTGTTGATACGCTGTAACAAGGCGGCGTCGGAGAGGAAGTTGCGGAGCACAAGCACCCCGGGGCCTGATAGAAAAATATGATGCCACTCGTCTTGGATGCTATCGACGTCTGCGTCAGGAGGTAAGGAAGCGATGTCGTAGATTGGGATGTTTGATACTACGGACATGGCGTGCGGATACAAGGACGTGTCGGTGCTTTGAGCACATAGTTGCTTGAAATGTTCGAGTGAAGGCGGTTTCTTGAGGTCGTAAAGTCTTTTTGGAATGCGTCGCGTGCCGTTGGTATCTTGGTTAGAAAATGCTGCAGTGTCTACCATTTTCGCGCTCTCCTTGTTCCGGGAATATAAGTAACACGAATGGATCACAGGGAAATACACACCATAGTCCCGTTCAAGCCCGGAACTGATGTTTAAGGGGAAAATTAAAAGTGTACACTTGTTCACCCGTACAGAACAGCGAGCCCGGCGATCAGAGGTTCGAAGTGTGTATTATGGACAGTTGTGGGATCCGGGAGGGGACAGGCCCGGTGTTGAGCCCGACGCCGGCCGATTATGGTACCCCAGGGCGATATCCATCGATTTTCTGGGGCCTACTTATCTAATGCATCATGTACTGATGATATATGCTCGTTGGCATCTAACAATCATCGTCTCACGACTATGTAGTCGTATTTTGGTCCGTCTCTGTGACCACCTCCAGTGAAGAAGTGAGAGTTTTCATGCCGAGGCTGGGAGCTTGTCCGCCGCACACGAGTACGAATGCGAATACGAGGTCATTTGTAACCAGGATCCCTTGCCCACTTCGTTCGTCATTGCAGGAGAGGAAAGGAGGATTCTTGCACAGTAACACGAAGCGCTGTCATTTGCTAGGAGATGGCATGTCGGGTACGGCTCTTTTTTCTGACATTCAGTATAAGCGGGGGAACAGTCGACAGGTCTGGAAGAAATGCTGGACGGGACGATACTCCGTATGGAGACCCCTCTTTCTGCGGCTAGATATCATTACCATGAACCGAATACCTCGGGGATGGGACGATTTGATCCTAGTTTTCAATTAACTTCTTGTTTCGCGTGTCGACGCTCGTCTCTCGATCGTCGTCACCGTCAAGCTCTTGTCGCTCCTCATTCGAGTCTATCAGTGTAGCCCTACGTAGCACCCAACTCCTGACGAACCTCACACACACACACACACACACACACACACACACACACACACACACACACACACACACACACACACACACACACACAATGGTAGATTCGCTGTCCCAAGCTGGCCGACGACTAGGCCAGATCAAAGACTCGCTCCTCGGCAAGACAGCGACCACAATCCCCTTCGACCCGGACTCAACGTCATTCCCGACGCGTAAAAATCTTCCCAAGATAGTCGGCGCTCCAGACGAAGCAGCATGGGTATGGGGCAAGGACGACTACATAGGCCGCTTGAATCTCTTGACGCCGACTCGAGTGAGAGCCGCCGCCTCTGAGATACGTACAGGTGAAATGGCCCGGCTCGACCTTCCGTTGAACGTTCCCGAACAGCCAGCCTTCGACCGGCAAAAGTTCGAGCACAAGATCCTCACCATCGCGGACGGCGTGGCCTACGACGACGTGTACCATTGCAACACGCAGTCGGGCACGCAGTGGGACGGATTTCGACACTTTGCTCACATACCGTATGAACCGACACCTTTCCTACACCAAAACCGCCCCGCTCAGTTTTCTTCTTCTAACGGTGACACAGAACAAACACATTCTACAACGACACGCACGCGTCCGACATCGTAGGCGAGACGGCAAACCACAAATGCAGCGTCCACCACTGGAGCACGCACGGCTTTTCCGGCCGCGGCATCCTGCTCGACTACCGCTCATACGCCGACGCGCATGGGATCAAGTATGACACTGCCACGAGCCACGCGATATCGTACGACGAGCTCGCGGCGTGCGGCAAGTGGCAAGGCATCGACATCCGTCCCGCGTCTCAGGGCGGCGATGTCAAAATCGGCGACATCATCCTCATCCGCTCTGGCTGGGTTCAGGACTACTACAACCGGAGCCCGGAGGAACGCAATGCTCTGGCCCTGCGCGGTCACGGTACGCACGGCGGCGAACAGGCCTGGGCGGGCATCAAGCAGGAAGAGGCCATGAAGGACTGGCTCCACGACTGCTACTTTGCCGCCGTCGGTGGCGACGCCCCCAGCTTTGAGCGCTGGCCGACTCCGGAAACGTACTACTTGCACGAGTACATTCTCGCGCTCTGGGGAATGCCACTGGGCGAGATGCTCGATCTGGAGAAGCTGAGTGACTTGGCCAAGAAGAACAAGCGCTGGACCTTCTTCTTTTCCAGTGCACCTGCGAACATGCCGGGAGGAGTCAGTAGCCACGTCAATGCCACCGCCATCTTCTGATCAAAAGTGGCCCTCTCTGTATGGGCCCTCTCTGTATGGGCCCTCTCTGTATGGGCCCTCTCTGCATCGACATCCTGTAACACGATCATAGACGTAGTCAAAGTGGCGTGCGTTAGATGCTGAACGGCAAAGAAGAGGATTGATGAACATTGTAGACCTTTGATGGTGAAGGATTGGACATCTGAATGAACCAACCTCGGGATGATCGCAAATGGCATCGTCAGCGTAGCCATCTTTGTGTATTATTCACAGAAACACGGTTATCTAGAAGCCGACTCCTCTTGAACTCGCCAGGTCCATGCGGGTCAAGACGATCTACGTCTCCTCCTTTTCTACATTGTCTTTGGCTTCCATGGACGCCTTTTTCTCCTGAGGTGCTTCGACCTTGTCGCCTTGCTTCGCGGCTGGCCCTGTAGGGGTCGTAGAGATATTGTTAGCTAGCTCTTTTGCTCTCACCACCTTGACAATGTGCTCGCCCAAATCGCCTGATCCGTCAATTTTGCTTAGTCGTGAGTGGAAGAATTCCGCGTCCGCAACTAATCTACAAGCCGATCATGTTAGCTCGAGCCTTCAATTTTCGTAGAAGTGTGTCTTGTCTTACCTCTCTTTTGCGGCCACAGATTTGAGTACTACCTCTTGATACGCATTTGTCCATTGCTCCCGATAGCTGGCAAAGACGGGAACCATAATGGCCGCAACGACAGGCTCAGGTAGATGCTTCGCCAGGACTTTTTGTAAGGTACCGGTCTCTTTCGCCAGAGTCTCCATATATGGAGAGACAGGTGTGGCCTTGTTTTTCGCTGCTTCCTCCCAGTCGATGGTCTTCATTGACTTGACATGCATCGCTGCCCGCCCCGACATGATATCGACCAATTTTTCATGGATACCACTCTGGTGCTCCTGGAAAAGCCGCTTGACCTTGTCAAATTCGGTCATGATTTGTCCCGTCGTCGAAGAAGGAACATGACGTCGGAAGAACTCTCTCACATAAGGTATTAAAGCGACAATGAAACTGAGTGCTTGTGAGGAGAGTGCCAAATGCTTCGTTGTGATATTCTTGAGCCCTGCGCTCCGAGTTGCCCCAGCTCCAAGGATCAGTTGCGAGCTACGAGAGTTGAAAAACTTGAGAGTGTCGAGCAGTGACGTCGCCACTTCTTGACTCATGCTCGGGATGCTAGCAGCCAAGTGTTGAAACGATTCCATGGATTGGAGCATGGCCAGTGCCGATTCAGGGAGGATATACTTCTGCTCGTCCACAACAGCACTTCGTACCTTTGCCGTTGCACCTGTAGATCCATTAGTGGCACTTCCGTTGCTGTCTTTCATCCCGTTTGCAGCAGGTTGCCAGATCATGGTGCTCTCGACCCATGATACGGCATCGCTCGTACTGGCTTCAAGTATGTGACTGAGTATTTCGTTCTCCCGATCGCCAAAATCTTTGGCATCCCATTTGTCGCTGTCCATGACCTTGATAACATCATGTTTCTGTGACTCACCAAATCGATTCACAAAGTCTTTGATTTGGGAATCGATGACGGTCTTCAGCGCGGTACCAGTGCGGCCTGAGATAGCTTCACATTCGTCGGCAAACAGTCGATTTAGAGTGAAATATCTCAAGAAATCGTTCAGAGGCAATTCGGCATTTTGCTGAGCTCGTACCTTAATGACTTTGGTGATTTGCGTCTGAACGAGGTCCACCCCCTCGCCTAGTAAGCTCGACAAGTCAAGGACTTGCTGCATCTCTGCCTGGACAGAACTTGTTGCCCTTGGCCGGCCGGGGCTCCGTACTCGGTCGACAGTCGCGGGATCAGGGCTCGTAGGAGGAGACTTGAGCATATGCTCAGGTAAGTTGCTGGTTATGTCCAGCAGAATTTTCACCTGTACACTGAGCCTGCGAAGGCCCTCGCTGATGTTTGTATAGATGCTAGCCAACATTTTATACCAATCTTCAGCATCGAGGGCTCGCAAGTTACGAGCCAGGATTGAAGACTTCTCTTGCTGACTCCTCGTCCTCCCTCCCATAGTTGATGCTGACACCGTCGAAACATTATCATCATCGCTAGAGCTTGGCATTTGCTTTCTGATCATACTCTTCATCTCTCTGAGAACGATAGCTCGGAATGTAGTAGCTGCTTGCGTCGTGTACCTAGCTCTAGACAATCCTCTCATTTCGGCTTCGAGTTCGGATCGCAATTCCGATCCGATATTCATGTATCCTGGGAATGAAGAAGGCACTCTTTTCTGCCCAGGCTTTGGCCTTGTGTATGCTGAACCCCATCGCTGAAGTGTAGCGAGTGTTTCGGTGTTGTCGACATGCCGCCTGATGTCGCCCAGGAGTCTACCATGGAATCTCGTCTCGTAACCACGTCCAGCACGAAGTCTCAGCTGAGTTAGATCATCCGAAGCGCCTTCTAAAGCTCTAATTCGCCGTAGATCACGGGGCTTATATCGCAAGGTTTCTTCCGTTGTTGACACAGTGGCTTCCTTCCCAGCCATAAGCAACTCGGTGTTATCAAGCTCATCCAAAGCCTCATCAATTTCACCTTTTTCTACCTTGTCTTCCGCGTTTTGAACTGACACGACGATGTCTTCCAGCTGCATGATCGTCTGTGCGAGCTGACGAACATTATCCCGGCGCTGCTTGAGGTTGACCACCTTGAGACCATCTAGTGCCATCTCCTTATCGAGCTTTGCCAGCTCCTTTCTCAGCTTCTGTATCCGCCCTACTGAATCTGCAGCAACATTGTGTAGTTCTCTTAGAGATCCTAGAGCCGAAAAGAAAGACTTCGAGGCCGTGGATATCGAATTGACCAGGTGGACTTCTACGGTGTCCATATACCAGGATAACTTCTCCTGAAGTATCGCATTCGTAGCTAAGGATTTCCTCCCACTCGGCGCTTCGTTGGGATCTCGGACGATTTCAGAGTGTTCTGACACAATGTCGAACGTTCTTGGGTTTTCCAGGTGAAAGTCCTCCTCGGAATATACTGTCGGAATAGTTGACAGTGGTGTCACCGCCTGCCGCCGCTGTCCACTATGTCGCCGCTTTGGCTGTGGCACTTCAAGGGGTGTCGACGTTGTAGAACTCATAGATCCTGCACGAGAGTGACCAGACTTTTGTAACCGCTTGGCCAGAATTGCCTCCCACTCCTCGTTTCTGTTCTCCTTCTTATCTCGCTGAAACAGCGAGGCCTCATTTTCGCCCTCAATTTTTGCTCGCTGGAAAGCCTCGTATATCGATCCCACTTGCGATAAGTATGGATGAAATACTTTGGCCTCAACATGAGGGATGTTCGTTAACGTAACAGGAGGAATGTCTCGAGGCGTCGGGGCTTTGTATCCGTTCGAAGGTACAGCAGTGCTTGCAGATAGGCCAGTGCGCGTGATAGGATGTTGAAGAAGTGTTGAGATGGCATTCTGGCTCGTTTCAGCGATAGTAGGGTGGTTGATCGACCCCGTGTCCAAGGCTCCTCCTATACTTGTGATTGAGCTTGTTGTTGAACCCCGACGCAACATTCCCCCGGCCAAATGCTGCCTCTGCGATACGTCAGGGAAGGGATAGCCTATCGAAGCGGAATTCGCGGTTGGGGATGTGAAGGCAGCCTCTGCACGAGGCCTGACTGGCGAGGCCATCTCGAGGATTCCGCAGGAAGCTGCTTTGGCGGCATTAGCGGTCAAGTCATACGGATTGTGACGCTTGGTTTGTCCTTATAGAGGTAGTTATTCTTATGATCAGTAAGCACATGTTTTGTATAGAGTAGCATGTGGACTGCGCGAGTTGTTTGCTGATACTCTCTGTACACTGCGCTGAAGGATAGGCAACGGTAATCGAGTCCGCCGTGAGCGGAGTCCGGAGATTCTGTTTCGCCGGCTGCATCTACTTTACGCGCAACGCGGTAACGCGTGTCGCGACCGCCATTTTCACTCCATGTGTCCCCTTTACCCTCATGCCGCACGACAGCACCTCCTACAGTCAACACACACAGCAACAACATCAACATGGCTTTAGATACTCGATCTGCTTACTCGCTTAGTGTTCTGCCTGCTCATCCTGATGAAGCCTCCGAACCGCGTACGGAGTTGCAAGGGAAACTCAGGGAGTTCATCCTCGCCTTCCAGATTGACGGCACATACATCTACCGCGATCAGATTCGGGAGAACGTCCTGGTCAAGCAATACTTCTGTGACGTGGACTTGGGCCATTTAATATCTTACAATGAAGAGCTTGCGCATCGACTGACCAACGATCCATCGGAAACCATTCCACTGTTCGAAGCCGCGTTGAAACAATGCTCACAAAGAATCGTCTTCCCACATACTACCGATGTCGATCTTCCACAACACCAACTCCTTCTTCACTCCTCTGTTGACCATATCTCCATCCGCGACCTCAATGCGACGAACGTTTCGCATTTAGTCCGCATACCAGGCATCGTCATCGGGGCATCAACGCTCTCGTCAAAAGCCACATTGCTCCACATCCAATGTCGCAACTGCGAACATGTTCAGAAGATTTCTGTGGAGGGCGGCTTTACAGGTATAACACTACCAAGGACATGTGGAAGAATCAAGAACCCCGGCACAGAGTCTGGCGATCCATGCCCAATGGACCCTTACTTTGTTGTCCATGAGGATTCCCAATTCATAGACCAGCAGATTCTGAAGCTGCAGGAGGCTCCAGACCAGGTTCCAGTCGGTGAACTCCCAAGGCACATCCTTGTCTCAGCGGATCGCTATTTGACGAATCGCGTGGTTCCGGGTTCGAGGTGTACAATAATGGGTGTCTTCTCGATTTATCAACAAAACAAAGGCTCCAAGAAAGATGCTATTGCCATCCGGAATCCATATCTTCGTGCCGTTGGCTTATCAACGGACGTCGATCACTCTGCAAGTGGTGCTAGCTTTTCAGATGAAGAAATCCAGGAATTTGAGGAAATGGCTCGGTCACCAGACTTGTACGATCGCTTCGCCCGTTGCATTGCCCCATCAATTTATGGGAATGCGGATATCAAGAAAGCCATCGCATGCCTTTTGATGGGAGGCTCCAAGAAGATACTCCCTGACGGTATGAAACTTCGAGGGGATATCAACGTGCTCCTGCTTGGTGATCCCGGTACGGCGAAGTCCCAACTTCTTAAGTTCGTCGAGAAAGTCTCTCCTATTGCAATCTACACTTCTGGCAAAGGTTCATCAGCTGCAGGTCTAACGGCGTCTGTGCAACGCGATACACAGACAAGGGAATTCTATCTGGAAGGCGGTGCCATGGTTCTTGCGGATGGCGGTGTCGTCTGTATAGATGAATTCGACAAGATGCGGGACGAAGATCGTGTAGCAATCCATGAAGCCATGGAACAGCAAACGATTTCGATCGCCAAAGCTGGCATCACCACCATCCTCAACGCACGAACATCGGTTCTTGCGGCTGCAAATCCTATTTTCGGTCGGTATGATGACCTCAAATCTCCTGGCGAGAACATCGACTTCCAGACCACCATTCTCTCTCGTTTTGACATGATATTCATTGTTCGAGATGATCACGATCGAAATCGTGACGAAACCATCGCCAAACACGTTATGGGCATTCACATGGGTAACCAAGGCGTCGAAGAGCAACCGGAGGCTGAGATTTCTGTTGAGAAGATGAAGAGATACATTAGCTTCTGCAAGTCGTAAGTCCAGCACCTATCCAAGAATCTAGTGGTGAGACAACTGACACGGTAGATAGACGATGTGCACCTCGCCTCTCTGCTGCTGCGGCAGAAAAATTATCGTCACACTTTGTCTCCATTCGTGACCGTGTCGCCCGTGCTGAACGGAACAGCAATGTTCGGTCCTCGATTCCCATTACCGTTCGTCAGCTTGAGGCCATCATTCGTATCACAGAGTCACTTGCAAAGTTGACACTTTCGCCGGTGGCCGAGGAACACCATGTGGACGAGGCGATTCGTCTCTTCCTCGCAAGTACTATGGATGCTGTCTCGCAGGGTGAAGGCGCAGGTGGGATGAGCGCGAATCGAGAACTCATGGACGAAGTAGGCAAGGTAGAAGAAGAGCTCCGACGGCGCCTCCCCATCGGCTGGAGCACAAGCCTGGCCACGCTACGGCGCGAATTCGTCCAGGGACGAGGGTACAGCGAGGCAGCATTGGCAAGAGCACTACATGTTCTACAGCGCAGAGAAACCGTGAGACTAAGAAGTGGCGGTAGCCAAGTGTACAGGAGTGGTGTGTAATTGGAGCCTGGCCATCACCGATGTGGCTTTTCGGCGTTATATGATGAACAGTTTATGGATGAGGGTTTCACTTGATGGGAGCCATCACGTTTTGGGACCTGTTACAGGATTGCAGGAATGATGTATTACGACAAGCAGTTCAAGTGTACAACCAAATGATAATTGCAAATGAACAGCATAGATGCAGTTGTGTCCGACCTCCACCATGTCCGACATTTTGGGTGCAAGACTCGACGAGGGCGTTCGTAGACCAAGATATGATGCTATTAAGGTGTTTTACCTTGTGTTCATTCGTAATGTGGTGTGGCACAATATCCCATTCAGACGAGGCAACCTGCGTATGCGGTCTGGATTGGCCGTCCTGCATAGGTGTAAGATATAAACAGGACTCAAGAAAGAATTGGCATGTGCTATTGACGACTGTGCATCTCAACAGTTCAGTATCCATAGTGAATGTGCATTCACGACTATTTGTTCTGATATCTACATCGTGGCACACGCCCTGCAACCAAAGGCTCCACCTGTGAAAGTCGGTCGGATCTGCCCATTTCTGCGCATCTGTACTGCTGGAAAACCGATGCTTTATTTTACATCGACGTTAAGGAGTGGGGGTCGATGGAAATTGTGTATCGCTTCGCCAAAAAAGAAGTATATAGGACAATCGTAAGCGGCAGATCAAGCCAAGTCGTTTCCGTTCGTGGGTCTCTCCTTTCTTCTAACAGTGGGAGGAAGTCGATAGCTTGAAGATGGTGAATATGGTGAATATGGTGACATAACACGAGTGGTGCTGGGCCATCAAGTACTCCTTGTTGTTGAAGTGCTGGCGGAGAAAGCCCCTGTCGAGAAAGCTGCCGCAGACGTCACGGTTGAGAAGTTTCCATTTGAAAGAGTACCGGCTGAGAAGGAACCGCCTTGGGGACTGCGTCTTCTGGTGTCACCCGCGAAGATTCCACTCGTGAAAGGAGCACTGCTACTGTTCACGTAGACAGACTCTCCAGTTGGGTTGCGGGCCGCAGCGGTCAGGGAAGAGTATGTCCCTGCGGTCGGTGTGCCGGTGAAGTCAGAGAGAAGTGGCCCTACTGGTGAGGCCAAAGCCAAGGAGGAGTATGCAAGGATGGCGAGAATCGATGTCTTCATTTTGGTGGAGACTCTTGTTGCTTTGTATTTGTTGTCTGTAGATTGAGAAGGGTTGTTTCGATGGTGCTGTCTTGATGACTGATCTTGAAGTCAGTGTCGAGGGTGGTTCGGTCACCTACTTATACCTTTCATTTCTTGGTGAGATCTCAACAAGGCCAGCTGCAGCCTCACTTTGCTGACGACTCCCAATCATCATCGCAGCATCCGCCGCATTATCAAACTGCTTAAGAACCGGTTGTTGGGAGTCTCTGCGGAACCAACCTGCAACGCCGCCGGGCCGCGTTGACGCCTCATGACCAAGACAATGGACAGGGCCGAATGACGGCTCAGACACGTATATGCTGCTCCAGCATTGCTGATCGGTCTTCGCATCCGCAGACGCATCTCATCTAAAGTGAGAAGACGGATGGTTGGCGAGCCAAGAAAACGAGGACAACGAAGATTGAAGCCAGTGTTGCGCGTCGAATTGCGAATACCGATGGCAGTGCGTCGGTGTCGGCGAGTGAACCACCGACCATCCACGAGGTAGGGGTTTACTTCTATCCATTAACTTGGCCCTGAAGAGCCTTCGAGCCTTGTCAGCCTCAGTGTCCTATATTTGTAGTCGCGATACCCCTCCAGAATTGGTAACACATGTGTAGAAGCTGAGCTGAGTAGGTTTGACGACGTCTCATTCCTTGGAAGCAGTTCTTTGGTGGCTGGAGCGACCATATTCATGAATTCTCCTGGTAACATCTCTGGCATCCACAGACTGACATGCTGGACCGCGAATAGGAGAAAAGAAAGGTCTGCAAGTCGGATTCACAGCATTGTGATGGACGATGCTTCTGTGTCATAAGCGGTAACTTACTGTACAATCCAAGTACTAGCATCACTAGCCTGGTGAGCCTTTGTCTAGCGCGATGAATTAGCCCTTAGTCAGTACTGCGTAGAGCTCGGTTTAATGTTACTTGAGGACTAGTTAGTGCATTAACTAGGTACTTGTATTGTAGCTAACTAGTTAGTTAAACGCTACCCCACATCATTATCTACACTTCGCAGTCCCTTAAGGCGCGTCTAAAGTGGCACGCGCCCACGCCCACACCCGCGCCGACGATCTTTGTTTGGTCCTCGATCAATTACTATGGTTTCTCATATTGTGTGACATGATTTCCTCCGCATGGATAGGGGGCATTAAAAGACTATCATGGAGGCGGCGATCCCTCTCGAGTCTGAGAGTGAAAGTCTAGACGTCTCAAGCATCAAGTTCGCGGTCCTCCACGACCCGGAGGTGAGTGGCCCCAAGTCCAAGCCTAGTGAGCCTGGTTATTTGGCCTGGGCCTGTGTCTAACTGCGCAATCCCAGTTGATCCAAGATCAGCCAGGATCGCGGCGCAGCCTCATTGCTCAACAACAACTTGCCGCCATCAGCAACGCTCTCAACAAGCTGTCTCCCCTTAGAGCATCCACTGTCTCGACCGCCCCGACCACAAATACGATCCCTGAACTTGCCAGCACCGTTCCCGAGTCCGAATCGCTCCCAAATGTCGAAAGTCCGTTCGAATTCCTTCGGCCAGCGATCACTCATGGCAGACAAGCCACCCTTGCTCAGAAGATGACCAGCCAAGGTAGTGATGCTCCTACCCAAGAGCTGTCGCAGTCACATTACACTGCTCTTTTGCAAAGTCGAAGTGCAGCTCAACTGCTAAGGGAGCATCAAGATGAAGACGATGAAGGATCACCCCAATTCTCTCTTCGGGAGGGGGATGAAGGACATATCGACTTGTTGTCCAGTCTGGTGTCACCAAAGGACGGTCCAAGCGAACTAGACTCCGAGCCCGTCGAGTTTTCCCCTACCCAGAGCCAACCTGCGCTTTCCCAGTTTCCTGAATCGCAGCGCTTCAAGACGCCCGCGACTGCAGGGAAGAAGAGGAGCTACGATGGAGACATCGTTGAAACTCCGGTGCTGCCTCGCAATCCGTTTCTGGGAAATGGGTCGCGCAAAGAAGAAAATATCATGGGACTCAGCCAAGCATTTGCCGCCACTCAAGCAGACACTTCGCCATTCGTCCATGATGGTAATGGTGATATACTCTCGGACAGGCCCTCTCCGAATATAGAGCTGCGGCCTCGCCCTGTGACTGCTACCAGCTCGCCGATGAGACCAATCTCTGCCTTCAAAAGAGCATCTACGGAACCTGCTTCACGGTATATATCTGTCAGGGAAGAGTTGGCTTTACGTGAACAAGGCGAACCCGAACCGCAACGGCCATCCGATGAGGAAGATGATGTTTTTGCCCACCTGCAAGAGCCAGATTCTATGACCAGATACCGTCGACGACTGGCAATCGAGAAGCAGGTGAAGGTATCACTCCAGCGACTGTCGTCGCCTTCGACCCGTCCATTGCGGAGGACATCTATGTCGCGCTCTTCCCCCGTTCGCCAAAATCATCGCAGCTCTCCCATTGAGCCACTCTCCTCACGCACAACCAGGTTTACAGATAGGTCAAGCCCAACAAAGGCAGATTCACCCCGCCCACTTCAAGAAAGCGAAGAGGAAACCGACTTGGAAGACAGCCCGCAGATAGCTGTGGCGCGTTCAAGTCAAGCCATGGTTGCGTTGAATGATGCCGATGATGACAAGGAAAACTATCTGGGCAATGATAGTCAAGTTCCTGAGACTGCTGCACGGCTGATTCGTGTGGCCAACGGGCATCCTTTCGAGGTCGAGGACAGTCCGTCTTTGAGACACTACCGGCGTGTCAGTGCTGAAAAACATGTACTCAACAGCTCACAACCTTTTGCAATTGCCGACTCTCAGCCTTCGCAATCTCGACGACGCCCGCAGAGACTCAGTCAAACACTGAAGTCTACCCCGGCCACTGGTAGTGTTGATTTTGTTCCACAATCACCTAGTGCGGGTATAGAACCTGGAGACGGCGCTGGAATAGAAAGGCCTGGTGTGAAGGGACTCTCAAACGGTCTGGCGGAAAACACTCCCGGTGCGATGCCTGAAAAGGCTGCACCAGATTCTTCTGTTCCTCGAAGAAGCACCATACCTGAGACTAGCTCGAATAAGCCACGAACAGAACGTTCCAGGGCAGATTTAGCCAGAAGACGAGATGATCCGGACAGCACGAGCCGAGGAGAATTCGAAACAGCGCAATCGCAAATTCCTGACTCTACAGAGCCGTCCAAGCAGCAACAGGACAACCAAGAGGGAGTCAGCGGTGGGCCTGGTAGAGATTCGACACCCAGTCGCAAGCGCAGACGGATGACCGAGATTGCTGCCGAACCTTCTCCTCTAAAATCGCAGCTAAGCTTCAATGTAACTGATGCACTTCACCTTGATCCTGCCTTCCAGAGTCCGTCCAGGCGACCTCCACTCGATGAACTCTCCATTTCCAAATCCACCTCACATCTACCTGCCCAAGCCGAGAAGGCGGAGGAAAGAGAGCATGTTGAAGGGTCGGAGAATGCTTCTAAACATGAGCATCCGGCCAATAAAGATGATGAGATACGCGACTTTCGTAACCAGAATCTGCGTGACAACAGCCCGGAGCGAGCCACCACACCACAACAGACAAGCACATGTTCTTCTCGTCGGTTGCGTAAGCCAACTGCAAAGGTGCTGGAAAATTCCATGGCACATCCCGCTTCCGCAGATACCCAATCCCGACCATCACAGTGGGATCTCGACGCGTCTCCGCCTCAGAAAGCTCCTCTGGCCAGACCGAATTCGTCTTTAAAGCGAAAGAAGAGGGATGAACTGCCACCTACCGACGCACAAAAAACATCCAGCAAGAGGCAGAAAGGCGCCGACAAGATAACTACCACAGTGACAGCACATGTAAGGCCTCAAGCCGTTACAGACGAGTCCGACGGTACATCGACGGATCATCTTGAGAACGTGGGTACAGAAGAGATTAGAGATGTCGATCAATTGTCAGGAAACCCCTTGGTACCTAATGTTGTTTTCGCATTCTTCAACGGCAAAACACGCGCATACTATCCCGCAGTATGTCTCGGGCTATCCGACGTCGATTCCAATCGATATCGCATCCAGTGGGAAGGATACGATCCAGAAGAAATCGATCGACATGGAGTACGGAGTCTGGATCTACGCGTAGGAGACCAAATCAAGGTAAATCTTCAAGGCTTCCCGAAAGTACCATACGTGATCAGGGGTTTTAAGGATAGGATTTCTACCGGTGATGCAAAGAGCGATGATCAGATCTTGAGCGACATACAAGGCTACAAGACCCTTGTTGTTTCTACAAAACAGCGGAAGAGTCTACCAGCAGAGGTATCTACCGAAACCCTCAAGGAAGTTCCTATCTCTTCGATATATCTTGATAGCAACATGTGGGGACAGGTGAGGGACCGACTTTACGAGCACAAGTCGACAGAGCCTCGGGTAAGGGTACCAGGGATATCGACGCCTGCCCAGTGTAATTCGACTCCGTGTTCACCGCAGTCGCGCAATCGCCGAGGTGCTACTGTGACGACAACCGCGCTATCGTTATCAACGGGCGTGAAGGAAGGGTTGTTTACCAACATGGCATTCGCGATATCCTACGACGATGAGGGGCGCCGTGACAAGCTGGAACGCCAAATCCAACGACACGGGGGATCAATACTGAAAGACTCGTTTCTCGACCTCTTGGAATCAGATTCGTTGCGGGTCAAGGCGCAGTATTCAGATTTGTCGTTTACGGCGCTTCTCACCGACAGACACTCTCGTAAGGAGAAGTACATGCAAGCCCTTGCCTTGGGTGTGCCGTGCCTCAGTGGACGATGGGTCGAGGCTTGCATGCATGCCGACGAACTGGTGACCTGGAGCACATACCTCCTGCCATCCGGCGAATGTGTAGAGTTGGACGGCGCCACGAGATCACGAGTCTTGTCTTTCGATCCGGACTCCAAGCTTAAGGTCAGTGATATGATTGAGTCACGAGAACGTATTCTCTATGGCGCCCGAGCAGTTGTGGCAATGAAGAGCGGAGGTGAAAAGATCGAAAAGCGACGAAGAGCATTCATGTTCCTGATTCGAGCCCTTGGTGCCAAAGAGATTGTGAGTGTATCGGATTTGGCCGGCGCCAAAAAGGAGGGTGCTGGACCGGAGGAATTTTGTGATGCGGGGAGTACTTTTATATTCGTCGATGATCGCGACATGATCAGTGCAAAGGCCTTGTTTGAAAATGGAGCCACAGTGTCCAGCTCGCGCAAATCACGGAAGCATACTCCGAGTCATCAAGCGAATAAGGTCGGGCCCGGGTCAGATGGAGGAGTAGAAGGCACAGGGCACCGGGAGGGTCTCAGAAACAAGGGTGGTTCCCGTGTCAAGGTCATGTGCAATGAAGATATCGTTCAGAGCTTGATCCTGGGGAGGCTGTGGACAGGCTGAGTATCCCTTTTGCAGTCAGTGGCATGTTCTGGATGAGCTACTCTTGGCTTGGCTTTTGGTTGGACTGCGCTGGATACGACGATACCTGAGAGACCTGCATTAGAACATGGGGCCAGATGTTGAAAGAGCCGAACGAGATACCTGGGTACACAGGGGGATGATATTAAGCACCTAGATACCTAGATACCTCGATACCTACTCTGAGTGTACGAATCAATCAATACAAGGCTCCTAGCTGCCTCGCCAAAATACACGTGCCTGATAGAATGATGTTGTAATTATGACCTTGTTTGAAGTGAAAGCGACACACAAGAGCATACAATACTAGATAGACAACGTTTGCTCAAGTCATGACTTTGTGATATCGGCAATTAAAGACAGGGTCTTGTTCCTGTTCTTACGCTCTCGTTTCTTGCCTATGCTGTCGTTCTTGATCTGATGCCCCTTCTCATTCTTGCTGTCATTTCTCGTTCTTGCCCTTGACTTGCTCTCCCTCACTCTATCGATGGATACTCCCGCATCACCCGGTTTGATGACACCCGTTTAGCCCGTTGAGTTGGACGATTGCTCGTCAAAGCCAGCTTTACCCCCATGCACCCACACCCCCCATCCCCATGCTCTGCAGTTCCCCTGATCCACTGATCCACAGGTACATTGATACCACCAATATTGATTGATATACGCGGTCTTGTGCGTTCTGACTTGACTGGACTGTACACCGATTGCTGGGGTGACCTGGGGGAGGTGGGTTCTTTTCGATGATACACCCCGGCTCAAGTGGGCCATGTAAAAAGCCTTGTTCTGCTTCCCCTTGTCGAAAACAAAAAAACAATCCGGGTTGTGGGGATGTTTCGATTGATGGACCGAGTTCCAAGTCAAGTGAGTCGGTGTTGTCGAATAGGGGCCTGGAAAACAAGAAAAAAAAAATGAAGTAAGAGATGATGATTCATGAATGTTCATTGCTCGTATTCATGCATTGCTTTGCCTTTGCTCTTGACGTGAAAACCCCCATGTTATAACTCAAATGGTTGATAAGTCGTGCAAAAAGGAAAATGTGAAAATGTCGCCAGTCCTGGCGTGGGATGAAGAATCAATTCGGGGGCAAGAAAAAGTAAATAGACAGGGTTGGTTGATGGATCGTTAATGCATAAGGGGGGGGGGGGGGGGAAATCGAGTCGATAACTCCGGAACAATTCATTCTGATTCAATTCGTACTGGTTGTCGTCGTCAAAACATAGGAAATGAGACCCTGCACAGTAGTTCGTGTTGGAATTTGGACTTGTACTTGAGGGTCGTGTGAGCGATATGGGACATGATTCGTGACATGAACATCAGGAGTGCTCGAGCTTAAGTTGAAGGAAATTCATGTTCCTGGATATCGTTTATTGTGTGCCATTAACCGATCTCTCGGGGAGTCTTTTGGGCACGGACGTGGGAGAGGCTGCTTCATCGTCGTCATCGACATCCAATTCCTCTGGGTGACTATAGCCTTGTCAGTCGTGGTTGCAATACAGACTAAAACACACTTACCCCAGGAGACCTTTAATGTCCTTCATCTCGTAATGCTTCTTTCTTCGTTGTTCAAACTGACGATGCTTTTCTGCTTCCTCTCTGGTGGGCATCCCCACCTGCTCAGTGAAACCGTTATTTTCACCCCCCTCGCTGACACTGACATGCTTTTCCTTGCTGTTTTCCCGCGAAAGGCTGCTCGCTCGTATGATGCGATCATCTTCCGTTCCCGGTGCGGCAGCGAAATCGTCTTCTGGCTCCCCCAGTTCCAGGCCTGGGATTTCGCTTTCACGGTGGTGCTTCTTTTCGGGCTTGTTCTTGGCCATTTCGACCTCGTCGACGTTAACAAAACGGGGGTCAATAGCCACATCTTCTTCCTCGTCTTCTTCCATGGCATCGCCGTATTGGTAAGGCGTCTTGGGCTCTGTGATCTTCATACGGCCGCCCGACTCTTGCTCGGCCAGGTAGAGATTGGCTTCGTCCCACTTCAATCGCATCTTGTCTGGATCGTCCTGGTGGTCGTTGGAGACGGCCGAGGAGTGACGTCGAGATGCGGACGTGCGTCTAGCGGCAGACGAGGAACGGCGATGTCCCGCATTTTGGAGGGTGTTTTGCAAGGTCAATTCTCTTTCTTCCTGAGGGTCGAGGGGTGTGGTGGGAGGGAATTGGAAGGTCTCTTTTGACGGAGATTCTGGTCGGCCACTCGCAGAGGAGAATGAGGGGTTCTTGAGTATGCCTTTGAAGTAGTCAGTAAGAAACCGGAGTTTGATGGGTAGTTGTGTTGACCAACCTTTCGGTCGAATGTTACCCGAACTCGGGTGGTGCAAAGGTGGAGGTGAATGGCGGACTTCGACAGGCATTCTGACGGGTGCGTTTGAGAGCGGTGCGAGGGAAAGAGTAGTAGTGTTGTTGGCCTTGTAGGTATGGGATGCGAGGAGGTGGCAGGGAGTGAGAGATGGAGGCGAAGCTCGACGTAATGTTGGAGGTCTACTGCCAACGGAGATGAAGGCAAGTAGGCCGAGTTGAAGACAAGAACAGAGTTTGTGCGGTGGGCAGACGGCAGTAGTGGCTTCAAGTCACGGATGGAAGGATGAGGAGGAGGACGACGAGAGGGAGGAGGATGAGGATGGGATGATGATGGACGATGGAATTCAGATCCGAAAAGGAGGCCGAAGAAGAATGACTGATCAGTGATGTGCTACCCAGACGACCAAAGGCAGATCAGAAGACGATGAGCCGATGACAGGCGTGTGAAGTGGTTGATCTGTTTGTTTTCACCGAGCATGAGGAAGAGGAGGAGCAGGAGGAGGAGCACAGGGTTCTAGTCTAGTTAGTCAATGTAGTGAGTGGGTGGGTTGTATCCGTCGACGACCTACAGCCTACGAGTACAGGGCACCACCTACTGTACCTATGTATACTGTATGGACAGCGAGCGTACTGGTATTGTCCGCTGGTACTCCAACTTAGGTACTGCCCTACCGAGCCTGCTGCGGCCCATCCGAGGGGTTCGTCGCCACAAAGCACCGCAGCGACACATGCCACCTCTACTGACTGTATGTGATTTGCCCATCTGCCCATTTACCCTGTAGGTACTAGTTCGCAGATGCTCCAGAGGGTGTAGCTGATTGAAGTTGATGGTCCGGTGAGCCTATTGCACGATGTACCTGTGCAGCATGTGCAGATGCCCGAGTCTCCAAGAGGTGGCCGCCATTGACCACAGCCAAGTACTGTACAGTATGTACAGTAGGTATTTGTGCGCTGGTGGCCGGCTAACTAACTGCAATCCAACTAGTGCCTGTCCCTTAGTACGGTACCGTACGGAGCTAACATCCCTAGACGCCACGAACACACTAATGCTTCCCTCTACGTCACACGCACCCCAGCTACACATGTGCAAACCCATCACGACTCGCTATCACCCCCCCCCCCAGTTCCTGTCTCTGTCTTATCCAGGGGCACGTCTGTCGCCAGAGTCGTCCTGCCCACTCGTGTAGTGGCCTTGACTTGTGCCAATCACTTGTGGCCTGTCATCTGCGTGGTTGACGTCGTGTTGTCCCTGCCTGCACAGAGCTAAACCCGTTCCCCGCCCACTGACCACGGTCCCCCGTACCTGGGCAGGTCGTGTCACCACCAGGCGACTGAACCAACCCGTGCCAACGCACGCTGGGGGCTGGTAGGACAAGAGCATCAGGTACGAAGTGAGTTGACACAGTGCAGATGCTCGCGTCCATGTCAGACAGGGATGGATGGATGGCTATTCGTCTTGGTCTATCAGTTCCTCCAAGCTGAAAAGAATTCCTTCCAAACCTGGCGGTGGACTTGCAACTTCATCCCCTCTCCTATTGAATGCTATCTGCTGGATTTACCTCATACCGTCCACCGCGTTCGGCTCCTGAAAAGGAAAAACATATCAAGTGGCCGCCCGGTCAAAGTACACGTGTATCAAACATATGTCTGGTCCCATCCGATCACCTGTCGGCGGTTGATACCCAACACGCACAAACAAAAGACTCCAAAACCCCTGCATCCATCCACATGGTGGCTGCACAAGCCCAAACAAAAAATCAGACTTGCCAACCGCCCAAGAAAGCTGAACAGAGGCACGAATGCCCGAAACTCCCATGGAAAACAAGAATAGATGTCTGGCTAATAAAAACACTCTGTTTCATCGAATCGAAAGACCCGTAAGACGCTCCCTCAGTTTCAATTGTGCTACTTCGTCTCCGTTTTCCGCGGCTTGCTGCATCCAATGCAAGGCCAAACACATTGCCAGGCTGCTGCGGCCCGATCCCTCTTGTTCCTCCCACATCATGTCGATTTTGAAGATTTCGCTCGATAGAGACAGCGGCGCGCTGATGACAGGCGGTACCTCCGGGTGGGTGAGGTAGAGACCCGCCAATTCCCGTTGGGCAATGGCGTTGCCCTCTCTCGCAGCAATCACCCAATACTCTGCAGCTTTCAGGATCGAAGGTTCATTGCGCTCGCCACGCTGGACTCTGCGTTTGATCGAGTCCTTGGCCACAATCCGATCGGCAACATCGACCATCGCCCGACAGACCTCATCTTTCCACGCCAAAGCCGCCAGGCCAACCTGCAAGAACCCACGACCAATCTCCGTGTCGTTAAGTGTGTCAGAGGATACAAACGCAGCTACGTACTGCAAGTCTCGAAACATGGTCTTTGGTTGGAACAAAAATAGCAGCCTCTTCAGGAATTGGACCACTTCACTCTCACCGCTAGTGTTGGTGCCGCTCATGCTGGCCGCTTTGTCTGTGGCGTGACTCCGTCGCTCGAGATTTGCAGAGAGAACGCTTGGATTAAGACTCTGACGGCGAGCTGCTGCCGGAGAATTTGCTGGGTCGGTGCCTGGATTGGGACATCGTTGTTGGCACGCTTGGGAAAGCATTAATAGGTCATGAATAGCCTCAAGCTTCAGACTTGGGTCGACATGCTCACTGATCCGCGTAAATACGTCGTCAAAACCTTGACGGTACGAGAATCCATCAGAACCAGGATCCAAATTCGTCATGTCCAGAATATCTTCGAGTGGATCCTTTGGCAATAGCCGCGATCCATGAGGATTGGATGTACTTGGCGTGGTACTTTGGCTGCGCCGGTGTCGACCGTTTTTCTTCCTTCCAGTAGCATGTACCAGCCGGCTGAGAGGGTGTTTCCTCGACAGCAGACGTGCCATCACAGACCGTTGAGCCAGTCGCTCTCTGATGCTCGGGGTCTGCAATACTGTGTTAATCCAAGCATCGGTCTCGCTACCACAGCTCCACACTGGACAAGCGAGATCGGACAACAGAAGACACGTGAGATCGTGGGAAAGGTTTTCCAGAAAGGTCGCCTTCTCCAGACTGTGATCTACCAGTCGGTGCAGGCTAGAGTCCTCAAATGTCGATGCAGGCCTTGATTGCGATGAGACTGAGGTAACGGATCTTGGATTCGACACTGGGGGCGACCAGATGCTGCTGTTGGAGTCGACGGTTGTCACTGTGTTTGCTCGTCCAGGTGAACTGATCACAGAGGCCAGATCGAGACCAAGCTTGCCAGATGTTGGACTATATAATGAGGCTCGCCCGCCTCCAAATGCTGATCGAGAAGGATATGAGGTAGAGGATAGAGGTTCGCTCCATACACTTGGGGCCCGGCTGCTGGGTTGAGCGCTAAAAGACCCTGCGGAGTGCACATCATATCGTTCCCTCTCTCGTCCGAAGAGTTCACTTGACCAGAGTACCGGGCTGTCTCCCAGTGTCTCACCTACTAGCTTCTTCGTGGCCATGCTGACTTCCATACAGAATCGATGTATACGTTCTTCGCCCCTGCAGAAATTGTCCAAGTGGTTTCGCTCAAGCCACTTCTTAGTTCTTTCGATTTGCGAATCTGCCAGCTTTTTAGGCCCACCGTGTTCCGCTGGTGCCTTCAGAATGCTCATCGTATCGACTTTTGTCTGCTCGAACAAAGACGACGTTGACGTAACTGATGTACCTGGCCGACTAGTTCCCGGCGATCGCGCAACACCTCTGCCGGCAGAGCTTCCATGCAACGCTGGTAATGCCATATTGTTCAATGCCGTGGAAACGTTCTTTGCGTCTTCGTATGCGTCAGAACTCACAACGTACATTCTATACCATAGTTTGATTCGGAGTTTCTCCAGCCAGGTAGACAGTTGTGACATTTTGGACTTTGCCAACTCATACGACCTATCGAGTCTGGCAACCTCTTGCTCAAGCCTGAGACATTCTTCACCAAGCCGCAAATGGCCCACCCTTAGCTTCTCAGACATTGGTGCGAGAATCTTGGTATCATCTTCGGTCAATACCGTGAGAGGGTACGATTGGCGGAGGAAGGACATGGCATCGTGCCAAAACATCGAAGTCACGCTATCATGGCCGACAAGAGCCAGTCTCGCTTCCTCGGCGAACAATCTCGACAGGCTTGACCCTCTCATTCTCTCAGCAGAGATGCTGACGGTGCTTGCACGATCAGATGAAGATGGGGAGCCTTCGATAAGTCGGATGGCCGCTTTCTCGGCTATATCAAGCTCACCCAACCCATCAGACATTGGGGCCATTTCGATAGAGCGCGTTGGTATCGGCATGCCATCCTCTGAGATGACAATCAAAGCCCAGTTCTCTTGACAAGGATGAATGTTCCTGGACGACTGGCCAGGCTCAATTGCTTCCAATATACGCCGTCGCAACGTGTCAAACCTACCACTAGCATGGGCGTACTGCCTGCTAAAGGTCGAATGAGATGAACTCAGAAACGGATCCCAAGGGCTCGAAGTGTGTATGTATTGTGGGTTCAATGCTTCGAGTGTGTGGACGACATCTGCAGCAGATATGCTGATGAAAGCCTCGGAGAACGGAGTGGAAGCAGGATTGCTGGCGCAATATGGGTCGAAGCAGTTCATCTCGGCGTCCAGCTGGTTAATCATGTTCGACACACAAGTGTTTACGCCCACGTCCTCTGGGTCGGCAGGTCTAGGCAATGGTCAGTCAGTCCTCGAGACGCGAAAAGGCATCAGTACATTGGATTAAACGCATCGCGTGCCCGAGTATAAGCCCGATCCCAGATTGTATGTAGTAGATATGACCTTGCCCTGTCGCTGACATGAAATTGGTGAAGCAACTTTTCGTCCTTCGCCAGTTAGCATCTGCGGAAAAAAGGAATTGTATCAAAGTGCAGAGCAAATACCTCAGGAAAAGCAATAGCCACGCGCAGGAAATCTCGGAGAAACCATTCGAAGAAGAAAAGGCCACGGAATTGACTCTGAAGTTCCTCTGTTGGCAACTTCCCAATAATGGCACGGCCCAGACTGAGTGCACCGATAGGTAGACCCTCGTCACAAGCAAGAATATCAAAAAGTTCCTGCACCGCCTCTTGGAAAAACTTCCGGGCTTCCTGGGTATTAAACGGATCGAATAGAGCGAACTCAGATTGGGAGATCGGGAATGGATGTTCAACCATGTCAAGCAGAAACGCACCTCTCTGCAAAACGCTCATCAAATATAATTCAAGACGGGGCTTGATCTGCCACGCATACATATTTGCAAACGCACTGAGTAGCTGACCAATCAAGGCATGAAAAGCTTGCTGAGATTCTACCATAAGAGTTGCACAGACAGAGGACCAGGTCGAGAATCGCAGTCGGCTTTCTTTGCTGTCGATGTTCGGGAAAGGCCCATAGATGTTGTGAATTATGAAGGACAAAGGATTCGTTCGCTCGAAAGAAGAGGAGTAGTCTTCCAACTCTTTTGAATAGGCATTGATCCGACGTCTCTGAGAGCCTCTCCCGCTGTTTTGGGACAGAGACGTCAATACGGACTCTGAAAGTTCGCGGTATTTAGGGGCAGTGGACAGAGCAACTATTTGTGCCGGAGACATGGCTTTAAAGCGCTCTACGAGAAATCGAGGCTTGCTTCGTAGCGTGTGGATGAGCTCGAGGCAGTCATCTTGGGAGTAGGCAGGTAATCGCGAAAGGAATGAATCCTTCATTGGCGTCTTCATATCAGGAGATATCTCGTACGCATAGATTTCGTGCCTCCAGGAAGAAAAGCAGGAGTCGGCCAGGTCTTGCATGCGGTGGTGCACTCTTGAAAACCCACTTGCCTCTGATTGACGAGAGATCGCAACGAGCCCATCGTGAAGCCATGATCCCACTCGGTGTAAGCGTGACGCCAACGCTACTGCAGTGCGAAGCTTGTCCCGCCGATGGAACAGGATGCGTTTTCGATGTTCCTGATGCCTGTGCAGGCGCAGCTCATTTGCAAAGTCTTCAAAATGTACACGCATATGCGCAAATGGAATTTCGCGGTTGGACATTTGAGTTCCTTCCCCGTAGACGCTCATGGTGCTCGGGGCTTTTTGGCCAGCCTTCATCCGCAAGCTTGGAGGGGCCATCTCTTCAGGGCGCGATCTCGTTCGGGCATGGTTGATAGTGGTCTCATGGGAGGAGCTTCCAACCTGCGGAATATCCTGCAAGGTGCTCTTTGTATGTCCAGGCCCAGACATAGATTTGGCATCGTCATCCGCATCGTGGGAGGAATGGGATCGGAGAGGGAAAGTTGCTCGGTCTGCATCGACGAAAGGGTCAGCAAGATCCCTGTAGCAGCAGGGCGAGACAGGGCACAAAGGAGTGACAGACCTCGGCCTTCTCGAACACTGGCAGAGCCAGATGGAGGTGTCATACGATGGCGACTTCCATCCCAGCTTTCGCCGTTGCCCGACACATAAGCTGCCAGAATTAATCAAAAGGAGAAAATAAGGCGTAGCAGACGCTTCACATTGGCAGCGTGGAGATGCGGTTGAGAGTGAGGCGTCGGAGGAGACCAGGCGAGACGGATCCTCACGGTCGATCAAGCGGGACGTTGCCTGTAGGCTGTACCGGCACTGGAATTGGTGGACACTGCCTGTGACTCGGGAGAGGTTGGATGTGACTGTCACGATTGCCCTCGATGGTCCAGCCTCTCTCTCGTTTTCGGTCACTTCCTTCTCACCGGGGGCGAGCAATCGACAGAGGTTGCTCAGGAGAGGCGTGAAGCGTGAAGCGTGATGCGTGAAGCGTGATGCGGGGGAGGAAGATGGTCTCGCTTGAAGCTCGTTACCTAAAGCCCATTCAAGATTTGTGGCCTCTTGCCAACCCACGATTTGAATTAAGGGTTTTCACACAGAAAACTGCCAGACCCGGCGACAACATGGATTTTCTTGATGGGCGCGTAGAGGTGAGCGAGATCGTCTCCTCTGGGGCCACAATACCACCAGTACAGCGCAACATCACGCATACAGAGTTGAACAAAGCACAGCGCATCGAGCGGATGACTTGCAGGCCCTGACGACGGCTTGCCAACGAATGCATATGCAGGCTGCATTAGTCGACGTCTCTAACTCGTCCCTTGGCCCAACCTCAGCAGGCCTCCAACCACTCACTGCCGTGGTCGAAATGTGCTCTAACACACCTACACGCCCCGGCCCGGCCTTCCCAAAGTCAAGCTTGAGAGACTGGCGGTGCGCGAGAGGCCACAGCTGGATCCCCAGATTCTCAGGTTGGGTGGCGAGGATGAGTCTACGACGCTTGACTGGCACAGTACAATATACCAGCAACAAATGAGAAAATGCGTTCGCCCGTGCTGCGCCTGTAGGCAACAGTAAGCTCTGATTCTGACCGACTGGGTGGCCCGGTATCGTACGGTGAACGATCAAGGTTCAACAACAGGATTCCTGGGTACGAGTGGTTCCGTGTTATATCGGTTTACGGCATATGTACGGGCCTCTCTCTGTGGCTACTAGAAGTACCTAGGTTAGGGAGATACTTTGATATAGAGTTCGAGGACGGATACGGGCCCAGAAGTAGGAAGTACCTCCCTTCGCTTAGTCTCGCCGCCGCTCCGTCGATTCTGCAGAATTGCGCTTCCCTGGTGGAATCTGCCACGTCAATGAGAGCAGAGAGTCTGGGTGGGAGGAGGGTCAGCTCTCTTCTCAAGAATCGGAAAGAGGGAGTAGACGATCTTGAAATCAGTTCCGAAGAGCTTTAGCCATGTGTCGCTCGCAAGGTCACCGGCTCACCGACAACTCCACGTCTTTGCCGCCGTGCTTTAGACCCACGACAGCCCGCATGATGCGCTGGCAACTGCAGTGACCTTCCCAGATCTACGAGTACTTCTCGGTTGACGACGACCTCTGCCCAGAAAACCACTTCTGCGCAACCTGTGCGCAGGTACCGACATCTGACGACACCACCGCGGTGTGTTTAACAACCAGGTGGTACCAACGACCATCCATATCATGACACAACGAAGGGTCAGCTCGTGTTTCTGCTTTGCCAGATCGACTTTGCTTCAAACCAGCCGAGGTGACACGGTGCCTGCCACTGAGCTGTATCGTCAAGAAAGTTTCGGATCAGTATCTGGGTCCACGATCTGGCTTTGTCACTTTGCCGAGAGCAGAGTTTGTTAGTTATGACATAAGGTGCACCTAGCCAGTGACCCTTGACAAAACCCCTGCGTCCTCTATGGTGCTTGTACCATCGATTATTCAGAACAGCGAACGAACTTGGGGGGAGATAAGAGCAGAAATGCGAGTGGTGATTGTTTGCTACATGGAGTCGGAAATGCGACGAGAAAAGCTCCTTCATTGCCGACGATGCGCTCGGGGTCTTCGACTTAATCCCCGAGTTACTTCCCAGTACACAGATGGTCGCAACGCCTTAGAACCATATTTGGACTTGAAAGGTAGTCAGCACACGCCGTCCAAGCGTGGTGATGGAAGGAGGAGGAGGAGGAGGAGGAGGAGGAGGAGGATAAGACTTCCAGCGGCAAGTTCTTCCCTAGGCATTTGCATTGCAGGCGAGGCGCATATGAAGACTAGAGCGTCTTTCTATAGCAGCTTACTCTGTAGGTGAATCCGGAGATGGAATATTCCACTCATTCCTGGAGGTACCTTGAGGTGCACATGAGGAGCTCTTTGGTATTCCAACTTCACGCAAGTCTAAGTAAAAGCTGCCAAGTTGTCATGATCTGTTCAATGATGCGTCGTAATCTTTGAGGGTAGATTGGCATCAAAATCGCCAGACGATCAAGCACCACCTCACTAGCCTCACGAACAAGGAGTGCTTGCTTCCCTTGGTCCTTCCTGAAAACATCTTGTTCCAGGCCCGGGGAGCTGGGAACCGGGTACGAAAGATCCGTAGGGTAGGTAAGTGGGAAAAGCGGCTCAATGGTACGAGTACCAGAATGGAGTTCAGAATGGTGAAACCGTCGTGACGTAGAGACACTTGCAGCGCCACTTTTGTGCTCCAGAAATATTCATCGATCCAACTGATCTCGATCTCTCTCTCTCTCTTTCTCGACAGACAGGCTTGCATCAAGTTCCTCGACGTGCCGGCTTCGCGTGGCAGTGGCCATTACCTACCTGACAACAACGTGGAGAAGCGAGCAGCTCTAGCTGAAGTGCGGTGTGTTGGGTTGACTTGTACTCGTAGTCGTCCTCGTACGAGTAATTGGGCAAGCACCACATCAGGAGATCCGTGCATGTTGCTCAACCGCTGGTTGGGGGCTCATTGCATGCAGCAGTGTTGTCCGTCTGACAAGCCACGGGGTTCCATGAAGGGGATCCGTGAGGAGGATAGTAAAGATATATATGGTAGCGACGAGCGAACAGAAGACACCGCGTACGATATAATGGGCCGCCTGGAGCTGTGGGCATTGGCCTGAGGCTGGTCGTAATCGCTTAAATCGGACTCGGTGGCCCTGGCCATGGACGCTATAGGCAGGTGGTGGAGGGACTGTGGGTTACGAGTGACGCCCAGGTGGAGGGGAGGAGAGGAAGGCCGTTGGTCGCCGGCGTCTTTCAGCTCGCCTGAATTCGGTGGCAGAGGCAGCTGAATGCCGGAAGCCAGACACTGGTCGTGGAGTACGACTACTCACGGGCCTCAGAGGCAGGACCTTTCAAACCTTCTGGCGCCAAGAACACCACGGTAACATTTTGGTGGTGCCGGCGGTGATGAAGACGATGAGGAGGAACCGTCAAATGAAACCAAAAATAAGACAATGAAACATGCGTGAGCATCCGTACAGTCCTCGCACTGAGTAGCGGAGTGAGATGGTGATGCCCCCTCCACAGCAACTGTGTAGCATGGAATCCGTCACCGGTTTAAGACACCACGATTGCTGTGTTATCCCACTCCTGCTTGTCACTGGAGCTACTTAAGGCCACACAGGAGTCGACGGCATCATCAGCATCACCGTCATCGCCGTCTTCTCCATCTTGTCCGTCGGGTATTGAATCCTTGACCCTTGTGTCTGATCCATTCGAATCCTTGCTTGTATCCCACAACCCTTGTCTCCTGGTAACCACAAGACGACTAGACGCTACGCCCTTGGGCCTTTATCTCGTTCTATTCTCCCAGTCTTCACCACCGTTGCTGTGCTCTTCTCACGCCCCGACTCTGCGCTCTGCGACGTTAGAGGGGCTGGCAAAAGAACACGAGACAGGGCGAGACGAAATACATCATCTCGCTACCTCCTGCGGCGCATCTTGCTTCACCTCTGATCCTCCTCTTCCTCTCCTCCACTGCCAGCCTGGCCCTCGTCTGTAACTACACCGCTTCTGCCGCCCGTTGTCGACGGTCTCGTCGACCTCGTCCCCTGACCAGGACGAGTGTTGTTCCGCAAGATACATCCAGGATCGACGGCAGGTGGCAGGACTCGACATTGTCCATGCTCCGGATCGACCGTCCATAGCCAATAATAGCGGCTGGACGGCACGGGCGACCTGTAACTTGCAGCTGAAATCCGAATCCCCACCATTGCTGGCATTTGGTGGAACTCTACACCACAGACGAGCCTTTCCTTCCATTCCTCCTCCTACGCTTCCCGGCTTCAACCTTCTCAGCTACGAGCAGTTCTCTCTACATACACACGAACGGCACCTCGATGAGCGTACTGACAGTTGTTGGGTCTAATATCCCAGATCCAACACTCCCCTACGACTATTCACGTACTCACGCCCCCAATCCTGCCACATTACCAATCCGACCCGCCCAATCCACGCCTCCAGGCGCTTACACCCGCAGCGAACGCAGGGCTGACAATCCGACGACAAATTCTCAATCAACACCTTCACCCCGGCTGGGCAGCCACCAGCACTCTCGGACCATCTCTTCCAGCTCAAGCGCCGCCGTTCCCTACCGACTTCCTTCCTCTTTTCCCACGCAACCCCCTTCCGCTCACGCTCGAGTCACTTCATCCTCACATTCCCGCCAATCTTCCGCCTCTTACACCATGAACATGCAGCGACAAGGCACCACGGCGTCGGCCAACAGCCTCCCACGACGCTCTACATCTGGTCGATCAACCTTGACCAACAGCCCCACCTCATATGTCGCACTGATGCGGAAACAAAAGGCCACAGTATGGTGCGATCGAGCGCAAAGTACGGATCCGCGGTTAGCAGCTGCACAAAAGGCAGCCAAACAGAGAGCCGCGCTTGAGGTGCAAAGTGTCAACAATTCCGGGCGGACAAGCACTCTAAGTTCAGGCGGGGTTGTCGGCAAAATCAGGCACGGCGGCGTGCCAAAAGCGCCAGGGTATGTCCCGGCTAATTTGAATGGGACGTCGGTACCTCTTCGACTTAGTGCGAACGAAATGCTGGGTGACGACGAAGAAGCTCAGAGTTTGGGTGACAACAGTATGAGACACGCCCGGACAGGGAGTGGCCGAAGCAGTACAAACAGCGCCAAATACCGCAGCGGATATCCCAGACCAGATCCAGCCCGGTTCAGCAGTACGAGCACACCTCCGAGTGGCGAAGGCTCACCCAGTCGAGGTATTCCAGAACATTCAGAAACGCCCGCCAGCCAGCAAGAAGACCGAGATGACGAAGATTCCTTTGGCGAACTGAAGGACCTTTCTGGACCCAGTTCTGTTCAGAGAGCCATGGAGCAGGCTAAAGTGGCCGAAGACCTGCGGCGGCGAGGCAGCGTGGACGAACGGACCATGAGCATGGGAGCAGGCGTTCGATTATTCGTGGCAAACCCTGATATTGAGGATTAATGATGATGTGTGGGCTGTTTCGCTTTTTTTCTTTTCAAGATTTAATTCAATCCTGCTTGTTTACAGCTACGGAGTACGGACTATTTCTCTTTCTGGGCACCTGGGTACACGATGGGAAGCTCTTTATGGTTTCAGCATGCAGCAACAAGGCAAATATGATATCACTACGAGAGTAGTAATTGTGATTGATGAGGTTTCAATGGCACGCGATGAATACGGTCGACTGTGACCGGGGGGTGGCCACGACATTGGATCGATCATGGATTTGATAACGATGACGAGTGAAAATGGTCTGGACCAGTACCACAATGGGAGAGAGTAACGAGTAACGAGGCCTCTTTTAACTGGGCTAAGATGGATCACCTACAATCTATTTTCGTGTAGGGAATTCACAAATGATTCTGAGCCTCAACAATCTGTTCCGTACCAGATGATGACTTGGGGTACAGAACATGAAGAAAAAACAAGGAATCAACATTGTGCCCTGTCAGAGTGTGATTGATTTTATTTATTTTTCTTTGTCTCTTGAAAGCGTGGTAGTATCAGTAGTAGGAGTAGGAGTTTGCACGCTGCGATACTTGCCAGCAAAGCAGCAAAAATCATGGGACAAATCACCCTCCTCCTCCTCGTATGATGATGATGATGATGATGATGGATGATGATGATGATGTTGTTGTTGTTGTTGTTGTTGTTGTTGTTGTTGTTGTTGTTGTTGTTGTTGTTGTTGTCGGCCACCTCGTCGTCGTCGTCGTCGTCCAGTGCGCAGTAAGAGCACTCTACTCGGACCAAGTTAAAAGTTCTATAAACCCACCTAGGCGTGCAGGTGAGGTAGGTAGGTAGGTACTTGGAAAACCACAGGAAACTCTGTCTTGCACCACAATGTACCTAAAAATAACCGGGTGTAGGATGTTTCGACGGTCTTTTTGCTTCGCCGTCGACGGTCTTACAACGCCCGGTGATGCTGCTCCTCCAGCCCACCAACTGGTGAGACAAAAAACATTCCCGACGCACGTCGGAGAAAATACACATCCAGGCCCATGCAACAGAGCTTTACCAACGAATCGAGAGCCAGTACGGATATACATTGTAGTAATACAGTATTAAGAGTTTAAATCCCTCGCGCGCACAAACACACACAGACACCCACCTCATGTGTCGCACCGTACCCGTACCGTCTCAAAATTGTTTGAACGAATCGATCAACAGGCACTCGCATCAGGTGATGAGAGGCGGTCACCGGCTCAAAAACTAAATAATCCACTCCTTCGCTTTCCAATAGGATAGACGACCAATGCACTCAAGTACAGGCCCACGCTTATCCCAATGGCGATCTGGATCATGCCATAGCCGACGTTAAATATCGTCCCGGAGTACAATCCACCGGATGAGTCATCCTGAGCCGCTTGGAACCCGGCGGTCCCGTTGTTTATCACGCTGTACCCCGTCGCGTTGTGCGTGATTTGGTTCGCGCTCGTGATGCCGGCGACGAGACTACCGCTGGCCGCGAGACCCGACGGCACCTGCACGAATATCGCAGGGAGCATGGCGGCGGCGGCCAGGCCGTGGAAGAACCGACTGTACAGATTCGCCAGGCATCCGATGACGAACGCGCCGATGGCATTGGCAACTTGGATGTTGTTTGCCAGGTAGACGGATACCCAAAAGTTCGCCTGGTATCCCGCCATGGCGATCAGGGTCATGACCGGCACTTGGCGCCATTTGGCTTGGTTGATGACCGCAAGACATATGGCAAACTGTGAAAACAAACCATGCATCAGTATGATAATCCCATCCGAAAGGTTGGTACCAACAAGTGTTGGCCGATGACCAGGTAAGGCAGAGAGAGGGAAGTGGCTCTAGCAGGCAAACGGCCGGAGAAAAAAAACCCACTCACAATCGGGACCCATATGAACTTGACATAGATCAATCGGTAGTCTGGCTGGGGAACGTTCCACCACGGCGGCATATCACACGTCACGGAGTTCTGTGCATCACGATATATGACACCTGCAAGTGGCTAGCGTCAGCATTTCCTGGGATCAAAGCCAAGGGTCAGAGGCAAAGGCAAACAAAAATAAAACGTACCCATCAAGACCGATCCAATGAGGATGCCAAAACCAAGGAACAGCGAGTAGATAATGGCGTACACCATCCTGACCGATCCCGCGACGAGGCTCTTGCTCTGCAGTTCCAGAGCCGCACAGAGGACAGTGTACCCCGGCAATATCAGGGCGATACTGCTCTGTGCTATGGCGGAGAAGCAGAAGACGGGGTGTTTGTTGTGGTAGATGGAACCGAGACCTCGAGCAACGAACGCTATGATGACGGTGGCGAGGACCTCGAAGACGTGCGAGAATTGCGTGGAGCGAGTCACCACGACAAGCTGTAGGAAGCCCAAAACGCAACCTAGGAGAAAACTCGGACCAAAATCGACGGGCCTCGCAGAAAAAGCGAACGGTCCGACAGCGACGGCCGCGATACCGTAGACCAGAATCTGTATGACCGTACTGTGCCGCTTGGGAGCCTTGAGAATATCGTCGAGTTCATCGAGACCTTCTTGAGCCGTCAGTTTCCCGTGGATGACGCACTTGTACGTGGAAAAGACGTCCTTGAATTTCCCGAGATCGACGTTTTGAGTTTCCCGCACAAGCGTCACTTCCGTGCTCATGGTGACTTTGTCGTTGATCGAAACCAACATGGACCCGGGCAGGTAAAGAAAGTCGCCGTCAATGCCGAGAGCACGGGCCGACGTCTTCATGTACTCTTCAAGTCGATGTGACGGAGCACCCACCGCCATTAGCGCCCGGGCGAGTTTCTTCAGGTATTTCCGACAGGCGAGGATTTCGGCAACATCGTTTATCACACGCTCTTCCTCGGCTCGTAGGATCTGCTCCGACTTGTGGTGAAAATGCTAGGTTGAATGTCAGTTATGACGTCGACGTTGAGATATGAACCACACACTCGCAAACACGCAAAGGTGGTGAAAAGACTTACATTTCCAGGATGTTTGATCATATCCACCGCCGTGGCAATCATGCTGGATGATGACTTGGATCGGGGAAGATGCGGCCGCTGTGGCCGTGGGACTTGTGCCGTGGTACCTGGAGCGGCCGGCGCTGCCGAAGTCGCGGACGCAGACGCTACTAACGTCGCCATAGACCCCATTGAGTGGTTTGGCTTCTCGTACCATTTCGGTCTCTTGGATGGCGTCAGTCTCCCTGAGGGCGTTGACATGCCCGACGGCGTATAAGAAGGGGAATAAGTGTCCGAATGCGCTCGGTGGTGGCCGCGGGACCGACCATCTTTCGGCTCGGCCCTGGCACCAGGATGGTTTTGAGGACTGTCATCCGTGTACCTGGGGTATGTGTAATCTTGGTGCTGGAGATCAGCGAGCTTGGATGAAAGAATCGCCCCAAAAACACCGGGACGATAATCCTCTGGGGGTGGGACATATTCCAAGTCGTGTAGATGCTTATCAGCGGCCGGAGTCTCAGTGCCGGACCTGGGTTGAGGCTGCCATGCAGATCCACGGTGACCGTTGGTGAGTGTTCTCAAAAGGTGTCTCGCTTCGGCTATATTTTCGTCATGTCGTTTGAGGGATTTGGACTTCTTACTCTCTTCGTCGTCGTCGTCGTCGTCGTCGTCGTCATCATCATCGGTCGTGTCGTCGTGAATAGTGTATGGTCTTCGATCCTTACCGAGGGAAGCCAGAGGAATGTCGTCAACGTTGACAAGCCAGTCACTCAATGGTTTTGTGGGCGGAGACGAGTCCGGTGAAGCATAACCTGGTTTATCACACTATCAGGAAAAGTATTCCAAAGGATCCAGTCCTGCCAAGTTGTGATATGAGTTGCCACGTACCTTTTTGGTTTGAAATGAGAGGGGTGTTTGACCCAGAACTTGTCTTTTCGCGTCCAGCATGTGAGTTACTTAGTCTAAAGGCTAAGCGACTGGCTCGACTTTGTGCTTGGGCAGCTGCAACATTGACCCGTCCTACATACGAGTCCGTTGGCGTCATCGGAGAGTCGGCGACATCTTCAGATTCCGCAAGTCGAATCTCAGGTATGCTCCTGCCTCGAGAGGAATCCCCCTGTTCTGGCCCATCCTCGTCACCCATAAATTTCACCTTGTGTAGTCCTTTTTGACCGGTCTTTCCATGGGCACTCTGACTTCTGCTATGAGTTGTGCTGGAGGTGTTACTGTTGTTTTGGCTCTCGTGTTGCGGTGAAGGGTGATGTTCGTCGGCCATATGAGTGTGGGCCGAGTCGACGGTCAGCCGGACACCGCCAACTCGTGTTGATGAGTTGGTACAATCAGGCGATGACGTTGTCTGATCGTGGCGGGGGGATCGATATAAAGAAAAACTCAAGGATTCACGTATTTTACAGTGGAAGAGACTTTGGGAAGAGGTCAAAAGAAGGTTCGGAGAATGTTCAGGTGGTGACTAGGAAAATTGGAGGCGAGCAAAGAGACAAAGAGACAGGGGAACTTGGTGGACGCGACACCCAACGATCGATAAGAAAAGCAAGGCCAGGTGTTGCACGCAACATGATTGCACGTAGTGGAGGCAAGCCATGTCATGGCTCGCCAGATAGATTAGCACAGACACCAAAGGAAAGCCAAAATTCGAGGATCTGATAAATTAAAAATGCCATCCTTGGGCATGTGCATGGACGGCGAAAAAGTGGACCGATCGAGATAGCGAGCGAGAAAAAGCCTCGATCCTGCCGATGGCGAAAGGCTGCCGGATGATAAATGCTGACGATTATGCACGCAACGACACCTACCTGGGTAATCACCCATATGAAAAACTGGGTGGTTGTATTTGCCCTCTGGCACGAAGTAAGATGCAGAAATTTCCGTTGAGCGGTGGCGTGCTCGGTGCTCGGGAACCGTGACGAGAGGGAGAGTAAGACATCTGCATGCGAACGTCAGGGCTGCGGCATGTTGATGCCAGCCTTTTGGCGTAATGGATCCCGGCGAAGCCGTCGAGATGGATCCTCCATATCTCCAATCCGTAATCGGTGCTCGAGCCTCGAGGAGATGGCCGTGCGGACAATGGGAGACGTTTGCAATCAGTGGAAGAATCGCGAAGAATTCAACGAGTGGGAAACGCCAAGGCTCATGGTGCGCTATACCCGGTTTGGTATCCCGGCCTCGCTGCGTTATCCACCCTCACGACGCCCGCCGTCAAACAAGCATTGTGGCTCATCAACAGGGTGACACACGGCCCGGCTTTCTGATCCACCACTGTGCGCGTCCGTCGATGATCATTGACGGACGCGTGGGCATCTGATAAGGATAAAAGGAGAATGGAGAAAGCAGAATCCAGGAGATCTCGGTTTCTATTTTTTGCGCTTTCATGCTTTCGGAGTGTTGGGGACACGGTCGAGACCCCGATGCGTCAAACATCTTCCCTGGCAGAACGCCGACAATTGTTTGGATTTTTCTTCTTCAACCCCTCCAGGTCTGTAGGTGCCTCTGTAACTCACAGAATCACATCACAGATACGTACGAAACTGGTCCATCTTCAAGCCAGGCCGTTGTCAAAACTACTGGAATATTTGTCCTTCACAATAGGATTCGTGAGTGTCCCGAGACCACCGCTAATCCACAATCTCAAGTCGTCGCCCTCCTGCAGATACTGTGGCGGGGTCCGTGAGTGACCAATTCCTCCAGGAGTGCCGGTCATGATGATCGTCCCAGCTGGAAGGGTCGTGGCCTGCCGCAAGTCATTTTCCACCCTTTTATGCCTTGTTCGACGGGTAAAGCTCACCTGAGACAAATGCGAGACTATCCTCGCGACGGGAAAGATCATGGTGTCGAGGGTCGCGTGCTGCATTTCTTTCCCGTTCAAAGTGGTCCTCATTTCCAAGAGCTGCGGGTTTGAAATGGACTTTGCATGAACCAAAGTCGGTCCAATGGGGGCAAAGGTGTCAAATCCCTTGCCATGGCAGAATTGGGTGGTTATTGTCTGTGCCCGTCGCGCAGCCACGTCGTTCGAAGTGCAATATCCAAGGACATAGTCCAGGGCCTCGTCGTCGGTCAAGTTTCTTGCTTCTTTACCAATTACCACGCACAGTTCCACCTCGAAATCCGCGTCGGCTACAAAATGGGGGATGACAATGGGTGCGCTGGGGTCGTTCAATGCCGAGCTTGGCTTGATGAACACAATTGGTACTGGTGGAACAGCATAGCCGAGCTCTGCCTACGAGTAGGTGCAACACCCTGTCAGCAGTCTCGCTCGTTCTCTCTCCCACTCTCACAAAACCCCATACTCATGCACAGGGGTTGAATGCCACCATTAGTTAGATGGTACTTACGCCATGGTCATTATAGTTCACACCGATGCATCGAATGCTTCCAACTTGCGCGGCTGTCAATGGTGCCAATATCTGTTCAGATGATGTGTTAAACCTGGCCCTGCTTGGCTCGAGGGTAGAGAGTTACCTGTTTCACTGGGAGCTCCTGTCCCGTGAATTTTGCTCCCTCGTCAAGGGCCGAGCTGGAACTGAGCACTCGTGCCTTGACTAACTCACCCTCCTTTACAGCGAGTCCGACTATGATGGGGGTCGATCAGCTTGTTGCAAGACATAGTTTATCGAGCTTCTATTGGTGAAACTTACCATCGATTTCCGCATCAACAGGCTCACCACCATATGTCTTGCCATCGTCGCTGACGAACCTGACAAAGCGTGTCCAGACCTAGATCGCAATCAAGCCAACTGTGAGTATGTGTACCCCTAGATGCCTCCGCCGAACCAGCCAGCACTCACTCGTTCGTTGGTAGCCATTTTTGGGTTCTTCTCTCCTTCCTGAGTGAATACAGAACTGTGCTTTTTTCTTAAATTAAAGTGAGAAGGCTTCAGAAGTTGGCGCTATGAAGACAACAGAGGCAGATCTTTCTTTACCTGCTTACCGATCTCCAAAGACGATGTCTAGAATCACCGCTGCACTCTTCTGAAAAGCCGATGGGCAACGAAGGATCCCACGGATACCGTCAATCAAGTCAGGCCGAGAAGACTGGGGGCCTGTCGGAGTGCCTGGGCGCAGACCACACGACATCGGGAAAGTCTGGTATTAGCCAGAGATCCGCAGTAACACGGGGTATCGGCCATCGGAATATTAGATATCTCTGAGCTGATATGCTAGAGATTCTCCGAATCACACCAGTCGCCCTGACAAGGAGCGATTAATTGTGCCGTGAGACCTCTGCAAGCTTGTCCTATTGTGAGATCGATATATGCTTTGTCCGTAATTAGTGCTTTAACATGGCTCTTAGAGGTACAACATAGAGTTACAGCGTACTATGATGGTGTCTACAGCAGCGCATTCATCAAACCATGACAACGTGTCCAAGGCGTCATGCGGTGCCGCTTGCAGAGAACATCTTTTGGGTTATCACAGGCCCTGTTGCTCGGGTATTGGACTCATCAGCCGCCCCTTCTCAAGAGCCTCTCGGATATTCTGAATTGTCCACTCCTCCATCTTCCGCTTTGTCTCCGTAGTGTGCGTTCCCATATGTGGCAGGAGAACCACGTTCACACTTCGAAGCAAGCCTGGGTGTATCTTTGGTTCCTCCTCGAACACATCCAAGCCTGCACCAGCAATCGTCCCATGCTCCAAGGCCTCCACAAGAGCTTCTTCGTCGAGCACTGCACCCCTGGCCGTGTTGATGATGATCGAGGTTGCCTTCATCATTTGGAGCTGAGGTGTAGAAATTATGTGTCGGGTATCAGGGTTGAGTGGCAGATTTATACTGAGCACATCGCTTCTCTTCAGCAGATCCTCGAATGTAACGTACTCCGCGGTTTCGCCGTCGATTTTCCGTCGATTATGATAGATGGTCGACATTCCAAACGCGGCGGCTTTTGCACCGATATTTTTGCCGATGCCACCCATACCGAGTATCCCAAGGACTTTCCCTTGCGGATCATGACCAAGGGCGACGGGTGGCTCGCCTTTCCAGTCCCCTTGCCTCAGGGTGTGCATGGACGCGTTAAAGTTCCTGAGCGCTCCCAGCATTAAGAATATAGCGGTATCGGCCGTGGCATCGTTTACGGCTATGGGCACGTTCGAGACACGGAGTGGTGGCTCCCTCTGAGAACAAGCCGTCACATCAATGGGGTCATAGCCAGCTCCTTTCAGACTGTCAGTACCAACATTGATATCTTCTTACTCTCGGACCGTGCTCACCACAGCTAGCCAGGAAGACCCAGCTCTTGGGAAGAACACTCAGGAGTTCTTTGTCAAACCGTCCAGTGATCTCGATGGACTCGGCTGTCCGGTAAGCAGCCACCACGCCGTTGAATCGGCCTTCGTTACATTCTGTAATAAAGTCGTCTCGGGATTTCGCCTTCGTCTGGATCAAGTCTCCCAAATCATTCAGAGACTCCCACTGTGTTTGTGCACTCATTCATGTTAGCTATCCTTCTCGGCGACGGGCACCAAAATTGCATTTACTGGCAAATTTCCCCCAGAAGCAATATTCTACCTCTTCTGGGCATTTTCACTTCCATTTCCTATGTACCAGTAAGTGCATCTGCTTTCACTGGGTAGTCGGCTGCGAGTAAGGCTGATATCTACTAGGTCGGGTAAAAGACTCCTGGGTATACCCAAGTTAATGGCTGGTGAGAGGGCCTAAGAAGGGTCTGATACAAGTGGATTGAATATCAATCATTCAAATGCCGGATATTACCCTGCTACATTTCCCGATCGACTTTTCGACGTCGTAGCTGCTTGTCTGTCCCTACCGATTTCCCGACCTGTTCAAATTTAGCAGATGGCGGCTCCATTCAAGGCTGGATGACGCTACGAACCCTATCGGAAGGTAGTAGGATTTATATAGAGACAGTCAGTCGAAAGATGCTGGACTCATGAGTGCGAAGGAAGAATTTGGAACTGAGTTGCGAGAAATCTGGCATTCTATCAGAATCTTTGTCCTGGGCCGGGGTCTGTTGGTTAACAGACCAGTAGAGACCTTCAGATAGCACTGCTCGATTAAACACCAATGATCATACCATGTCCATTTGCGCCTTTCGCCCTCTCCTGGTTTGGCTATATATGTTCAGGGCACATATGATAATTGGTCGCATCATTGAACTCTCCAATCATAGCGATCTTCCCAAGATGCAGCAACTTTCAGTAGAAGAGTATCCTCAAACTTTCTTCCAACAAGTTGTAAGCCTACCGGCAGGAGAACCGTAGGGTCCTCTGAAGCTGGCGAGAAGCCAACAGGAATGCTGATAGCCGGGTGACCAGAAGCTGTGCTATTCGTCAGCTCACCCTTGGACCTAGCCAAATTTCTTACCATTGAAGGGCGCTGTGTTCGCCGTGATACCTGTTGTACGCTTAAGTCTTTCATAGATGCTTCCTTCACTTCTCGATCCGAATATTCTGCACGGCGGCAGAGGGGTCGTAGGCATTACCAGCACGTCGAATCGTCTGAATGCTGTGTCATAGTCGTCCTATGTGGGAGTTAGTGATGAGTCCACGTCAGTAGGCATCTTTGAATCTGTACGCTCAACTTTCTCAACAGGTTTGTGCACCTGGAAACTAGAGCAGGGCCATATTTTTGTTGAAGGAAAAGTCCTCTCAGGTAGAGATTTTGCCCTGCTGTATTGAGGACGTCAAAAGATGACTGGCTCATCTCACCGTTGGTCAGAGCTGCTGGCCCGGTCATGGCAAACTGCTTACGACCGCTTGAATTGAGAACCAGGCCATGAGTGAACGCGAAAGCGGGCAGCGCGCACATCCATGCGAGCTCTGTGTCACGGTGCTCTGGTATATGGCAGGACTCCACCTTAGCACCGAGTTCCTCAAGCTTATCGATACTTTGACGGACCTTTCGTGCCACATGGTCGTCTTGTCGAGGGTGCTGGAACCCCTCTTCTAGAACACCAATCTTGAGCCCGTCTAGAGGCTTTGGGCCGGCGGCTTCCAGGTGTTGACGAACCTCCTGAGCGTACGGAACGGACTGAAACCACTTGACAGGAGGTTGGCGATCGTCGATGCCATCGGGCCCTGCAATGGCTTCCAGGAGTAGGGCACAGTCGGAAACTGTCCTGGCCATGGGACCAACATGGTCAATGACCGGCGATACCCCGAGAATGCCTGTATAAGGAACAAGACCCCAGGTTGGCTTCAGTCCGACGATTCCGCACGCCGAGGCTGGAACACGAATCGAGCCTCCTTGATCTCCACCCTGTCCGACGATGTCAGCCAAAACCGTAGTACGCAATCTATGCTAACGACCTACCAAGGCGATATCGACACTTCCGTCGGCGACCAGCCTCGCGCTGCCGCTGCTCGAACCGCCGCAACTGTATCCGTCGTGATAAGGGTTTCTGACTGGACCTGTGATGGAAGTGTCACTGACGGTGCTCCAACAGCCACTCTCGCAGGCTAGATCTCCTTTAGTCTTCGATCTCGAGAACGCATTTTCATTTTCATCCCACCTGCTTTTCCGAGTACTGTGCCACCGCAGTCCAATATTCGTTTCACGACGGTTGCGTCAAAGTCAGGGATCCAGCCAGTGAGATCGGTTCCATTTGTGCACCTAACGCCGGCCAGTGCGATGTTGTCCTTCAACGCGAGTGTCCGGCCTTGCAGCAAGTCACTCCCCGGCTGGGTCGATTTCACAGTCACCTAAAGACATGTTAGCATGCACGGATGATCAGCACCGATAGCGTTCCTAGTGATTCTCTCGCCTTTGCCGCCCATCCGCCTCCATTGAGGCTGGTATCAATGGCTGTTTGGATGCCCTTGCGTGGATACCTAGTTTCATCTGGCCCCGGGAAATGGTCTATCAAGATAGTCAACACACTGAGATTCCTCGGGATATCAGCCCTAACCGTCTCGCTCCATGATGCTTTTGGCACATCGATCAAGTGCTGCGATCACCGGAAGACATGCTTCAGCGAATTCTTCCGACACCTCCAGGGAAGCCCTCTTGCACAATGCATAAATCTCGCCTGTGGACACATCGGTCGTCCTAGAACTCGCTATCAGGGCCACCCGCGCACGACTTGACGCCTTGTCCACCTACAATGACTCGTCGAGTAGAGGAACCGACATGGCGAGACGTCGCTATCCAAATGTATTATCTTCTTCAACGGTGACTGGGATAGAAATCCCGAGTACACTTGCGTTGGTCAAGATGATGCGGCTCATTATGTGCTCTGCCGTTCAATCTGTGCTTTCGACAATCCATGGACCAACCTTTCATATTGCCGAGTTGGCACTGCTCTCATTTTCGGCCTTCTGGTTAGTCCCAGTAGCCTTGTCGGAAAACGGCGCAAAGAGATGGCACACCTCGCTTGGTCACGAGTGCTTTGTGTCGGCCGGACGTCAAATGCCCTCTGGGGTCAGGTAGAGAGGAGGGCTAACATGTCGGAGGATTACTTTAGTTTAAGATAAGCGTATAGCGGCAAATTGCGTACGTTCCTATATCCGATTCCCGATCGGCATGAAGACGAAGGGGAAGATCGAAAAGGCCGCTAGTTGACACTTTTAATTGTGTAAAGGTCGCTCTGCCGCCCGATATCCCACTACCCGTCTTCGATATCCCGTCAACCATCTCAACCATTGTACACTCGCGACTGTGGCCCAACGCTCCAAGATGCCGTCGCTCGCCAAACCCGAGATCGAGTTCACGCCCGTTACCGACAGCAAGGGTGTTTTCTCCTCCAGCGTCACTTCACATTCCAATGGCGATGGTACTTTCACCAACTATCGGACTTACCTGCTCTCCCACGACCCGACTACGGGCGACAGAACGATTTTGAAGGAACACTCTCCCGGCAGTGTCTGGGGAGGCAACCCGAGCGACAACTTCGACAAAGACACCGTCTGCTCGCATGATTACTGGGAGGAATGCTACATCATCGAAGGCCGGTTCTACGACGTGGGCAAGGAGCAGTGGTTTGCTGCTGGCAGTTACTGCTGCAGGCCACCGGGGATGCTGCACGGGCCTTGTAGGGCAGACGAGAAGGTCGGATGTAGAGAAATATGTATGGCTAGATATGAGCAGAAGTAGTCGCCCAATATTATTATTGTCTGGCTGAAGCCCGACGAAAATGAAGACCTGATATCACTTTGACCCCTGCGAGACAGACAGCTAGAAAGCGTATACAGCGATTTCAGAGGCAAAATATGCGCCAGAGCAGACTCAGTGACTTAGTCGATGCCAGCGAACCTGTCCCTTTCTCACTGCTCAATATCCCAGGACAAGTCTCACTGATCTCCTGCCGGGCCCCGCAGGTTCGCAATAACACCATCCAAGTTCCGCATGTCCAACAGATATGCATCATTCTCCCGCTTCACCACTTCTTGATCTTCTCTGATGTCGTCCGTCCATCTGTAAACATAGACCGTTTTCATCCCCACGGCCTTCGCACCCCTCAGATCGCTCGCATGAGCGGCGACCATGACGCATTCATCCGGCTTGAGTTTCAAGAGTTTCATCGCGGCTCGATAGCTTTCTGGCGCGGGCTTGTAGAGTCCCAGCAGCTCACTGGAGAAGAGCATGTCGTAATGTAGCCCGGCGGACTTGACGAGATCCAACTGTAGTCGTGTACTGCCGTTGGCATGGACGTACACTTCCAGTTTGCTGCGACTCTTCAACTTGCTCAAAGCTTCAGCAACATCCGGCCACGCATCTTGATGATGCCAGGCGGACACTAAGTGCTCTTTGACTTGGGTCGAGAAAAACTTCTTGAAGTTCAGATTCGACGTCCTGTCCAGGAAAGCATCGAGCAACCATCGTTGGCTGTCGTCGAAATCTTCTACCGGCTCTCCTTCAGCTAGGCGTTTGGTGTTGTAGTCAAAGTAGGCCTGCCTCCATTCCAACGCGAAAGTCGATTTCTCGGTCTCGGAGAGTTCGGACGGCAAGGCTTTCACGATGCTCGAATGCCAATCCAGACAGGTTCCAATGAAATCGAACAGAATAGCTTTGATTGGGGCCGCCATTGGGAACGGTGGTCAAAGTAGTCAAACACACTCAGGTTGAAACCTACCTACCCTTTGCCGTTTGGGCAGTTTCGGATATCCTACATAAATACCAGCCCATGTCGCCCCCTCTGTTGCAGCTGTGCAAGCAGCGAAGGATTTGTCAGGATTTGGGGTTTGGATGTTGTCAAATACGCGGGATAATCATACCATGACCTCTTCACCATCGACGGCCGTTGGATTCTAAGTTAGTTTGGTCTGATTGTGGCCGACGCCGTCCATGTGGGTCACTGTCCTCAGGTCAGCGCTACGGAATCCAGTTCAGGACAGTGTCTTATCGTCGGTATAAAGATAAAGCCGATCTCGAAATTCATTTCTCCGACACGGCAATATGTCATTAAATGCTCCCCTGTCCTTCTTCGGTCCCGTCATCGATGCCATCTTCTAGATCTTTGAGTCGGACAATGCATCAGCTCTTCGGCGCAAGTATATCGCATTATCTCCTTCAAACACCAACTGTCCCTTGCGGGTGACGGGATGGAAAACAGCGCATCTTCCGCCACTGGGTTGCAACTTGGTCCATCGTCGGCAAATGACAAGCCGCCGCCTGGAGCTCGCAAAAGAGGACGCAATGCATCTGCGTGTACACAGTGTCACACTAGAAAGCAAAAGGTGAGAGATCATGATCAGTATCATACCATGAAGGACATCGACCCGAATTTGAGACGATGGCTGGAGAATCACCATTCCCTTCGTGACTGAAGCCATGAGCCCGAAAGTATGTTTCCTATCCAAGACTGACAAAGCCTGGTATGATAGTGTAATGGCCATCTGCCCTGCTTGAACTGCATTCGACGAGGGGTCGGTCATCTCTGCTCAGGTCCCCCGGCGCAAAATCAACAGCAGCCGGGAAGCCGGGAAAGGCGCCCCCAGAACCCAACGCCTCGTACCCAAGAGCTGCGAGCACGTTCTCCAGCGTCGGATGAAGTGGTAAGAGCGAGAGCGAGCAATGGACGGGCGAGCATCCCGGCTATACCTTCAGAGTCACAGCCGCGTATCGGGCAGCTTTGGAGTTCCAGAGGCGCTCCGGCATTCTATGGCACTTCTTACTTCGGGCCTCAGGTGGCGGCGATCATGATCGACTCTTCCGCGCCTGTTATTCCAGCGGGAACCGGATCGCGCAGGGCGCTAGACGCACGCCCGTTTCGTGACGAATCTGGACCGTTCTCGCAGATATGGGATCTGTTGGGTCTCCTCCCGAGGCAGAAGACCACCGTAGATCACTTGGTGGATCGCTTCTTCAACGATGTGAACCAAGACATTGATGCTGTACATCCCACGTCTTTTCGACAAAGTTACGTCCAGTTCTGGGAGCGCAAGTCGGGCTTCGACGATGTTACGACGGTAGATTTGCGGTGGCTTGCACTTCTGTTTGTAATTCTTGCGATCGGCGCCTACCTGGACTGTCCGTTGGAGAGCACGCCTGACACCAAGCGAGACTACGAAGAGGCGTCCTTGAGGTTCTACTGGGCATCAAGGAGAGCTATTGTGCTGGCTCCGTCGTTCTACGGCGAAAGTACAGACCTCGTCCGTGCCGGCGTTCTGATCACTCGATACCTGATCCAGACGCAACGACTGGCCGAAAGTTGGTTGACGGTTGGGTTCGCGGCGAGAATCGGCATTGCACAAGGTCTTCACGTGGATGGAGATAAATGGGGGCTCCCCAGACGGTCCACAGAGACACGTCGGCGAGTATGGTGTCATCTGTACACGCTCGATCGAATGATCTCCCTCGCTCTCGGGAGACCGTCTGTCATCTCAGATGCCCAGAGTATCATGGAAGAGCCCCAAAACATTTTTGTGGACGATCTCACAGATGACGAGGCACGCTCCGCACAACCACAGCCAATCACCGACCCTACCATCAGTGCCATGGCTTCATTCGAATATCGGCTGGCCAAGGTCATTGGGCAAATCCAGGAAGCGTGTTTCCAATTTCATACGGCCTCGTATCGAGAGGTCCTTGCACTTGATGAGAAACTGCTGCGGTGGAGGGACACACTGCCCCCATACTTCGCACTGGAAACTCCTGACTTGTCCCTCGACGAGACTCACCGCTTCTTGAAATGGCAACGATTGTACCTGCACACCAGCTTCCACTTTGCGCGCATCACCTTGCACCGGCCTTACCTGCTCCGTTACTCGATGACTCACCGCTATGAGTACAGTAGGCAGGCTTGCCTCTCGTCTGCAAGAGCCGACTTAGGGACTCGGCTCAACAACCACACATCGGTTGCTGCCGAGCGCTACGCATTGAGTCTGGCTGCCCACCAACTCTTTAACAGCGCCATCATTCTGGGGATCATCGCCGTCCGGGAGGTCAAGTCGCCGCAGACTCCTGGAGTGGTCGAAGACCTCGAAGCCTACTGTGAGATGCAGAGATCGGAGATGTGGCTGAGTGAGTTTGGCCTGGCCGAAATCAAGGTGGTGGAAATGTGCATCGCCAAACTGAAGCAGCAACTACAGAGTGGCGCCAACCGCAGCACCGTCGTCCAGCATCAGAGCCCGGAAGCAGCGCAAGTGCCCCCCATAGCGGAATTGAGCAATGCTGCTCCGCTGGATGTTGGCCTGACTTTCACAGCCGAGCAGCAGAATCATGCGCTGACGAACGACGGGGGACCGGAAATGGCAACACCGTCCACTTTAGATACGGGGAAAACACCGGCCTGGCAAGATCAACTATTTCCAGGCTCCTTCCCGGGACTCACGGACCTGCAGACGTGGCAAGAGGTTATTGATAATATTGACGTCGACTTTTGTTATGATGGATAATGATAGCTTCCATGACACTTGAAGATGTAAGACCGCCTCAGGACCAGATCGCTTCTCCCATAGCCTTTCCCTGATGCCAGTACTGAAACGATAAGCGTAGATCCGATAACTATCTCGAAATTTAGGAGGCCGGCAATAACTTGACAAACTGCAGACAGCCTTGAGGAGAAGCTTTATAAGGACCATGCTTCATCCCCGGTAATCTGTACGCGTATGCTCCCTGGCCCCAGGCCTGTCCCAACGTGACGTCTTCGAGCCCCCCTTCAAGGAAACAGACCTCTTCGATGTATGTGTGGGTGATGATTTCGTTAGTGACCGATACGGCACCTGGTTCGTACCACTGCAGGACGGATTTCTGGTCTGAGTTTGTCTCGCCGTTTAGGAGCAGCTCCCATATCTTGGGGCCGATCGAGTACCACTGACCCTCGCACGGCGGTGAGATGGGAGCTGTGCCGATCGCAGGATGGGTGGGTAGAGTGCTGAATTCTTTTTGGACGAGCGACATGATGGCGATGTTGTGGCTGTCGGTGACCGATAAACGACTCTGGGGGAACCAGGAGAAGACTCGATGTCTTAAAAGACAAACACCCGTAGATTGACGAAGAACCACGAGATGAGTTTTGGGCCACGAGCTACGCCGTATTTGGCCGCAGAGCCTTGTGGGGATGTGGGTATCCCATAGCCATATCGAACTTCGGGAAATTCTGCGTTCAAGCAATTCCCGATGGGCTTATCTGCTTGGTCCCTTCGCAATGCTGAAGCTATCGTCAATCTACTGACTATCTTGTGAGGCTTCGTCCGCTCGCTATCGCCGGCCAAGGGTCGATGTCTAAATTCCTCCCGTACGATCGGTGAAATCATCATGCCACAATCATTGTCTGACGCTTTTTACTCACAACAATATATGAGTCGCCTGCGATCATGGAGAATGAGGCAGCGTTCTCCTCGTCATCGGAGTGAATCGTAGCCCACGCAAATAAAATTGCAATGGATTCGAAAACGGCAACAGAGAAGGACCTTGAAGCAACGGTCAGCAGCGACCAGGTCGGCGAAAGCCATATCTCTGACCAGAATGGCCAGCTTCAACGGTCTCTCAAAGAACGCCATATCCAGTTCATAGCGCTGGGCGGCACCATCGGGACCGGTCTCTTCTTGGGAATTGGGAGTGCCTTGGCCACATCTGGACCGTTGTCTCTCTGGTTGGGATACTGCTTCACCTCAGTGGCCATCTGGTGCATGGTCAGTGTTAACCTCAGCATGGCCCTCTCAATCAAAGGTGGCTTTGACTTACACTCTCTTCTTCACAGATGCAATGCCTGGGCGAAATGGCCTCCTTGCTCCCTCTGCCTGGTATGGTTGCACAGCTGGGGTCTCGATTCGTCGACCCTGCTTTTGGATTTGCCATTGGGTGGAATCAGTGGTACAACTCTGCCATCGCCATCAGCGCCGAGACTTCTGCTGCCGTGGTACTCATTCAATTCTGGACGGATATCAATGTGAGTTTGTGTGGGTCATAGTCCTAAAGGATAATGGCTAACTGGCCCACAGCCTGCTGCTTGGATCACGGTCATTCTGGTCATTCTCATCATTCTCAATGTCATCACCGTCGGCGTGTATGGCGAGGCGGAGTTCCTTTTTGCCATGATTAAGATTCTCACCATCATTGGCCTCTTGATCATGGCACTCTGCATCGACTTGGGCGGCGGGCCGTCTCACGACCGACTGGGCTTTCGATACTGGAAGACACCGGGACCCATGAACGAGTACATTGCCGATGGCTCGACCGGCCGCTTTCTTGGACTTTTCAACACTCTGATCAATGCTGCCTTCGCATTCGGCGGCGTCGAGCAGGTCGCCGTCGCCGCGGGCGAGACGAAAAGCCCGGCGCGTAACATTCCCAAGGCCATTCGCCGTGTTTTCTGGCGTCTTCTGATTTTCTACTGTCTGGGGTCGTTCGCAGTCGGGCTACTTGTCCCGTCCGACAACACTAACCTTCTCAACGGGAGCGGTATTGCACAGTCGCCGTGGGTCATCGCCATTCGAACCGCCGGCATTCCCGTCCTGCCGCACATCATCAACGCCGTCCTCGTCACTTCCGCTTCGTCCGCGGCAAACGCCAACCTCTACACCGGTTCTCGATATCTCTATGCACTGGCTGTCCAGGGTCAAGCTCCCAGGTTCCTCCTCCAGTGTACAAAGCGAGGCGTTCCCATCTACTGTGAGTGTCTGGTGTGAAATACGTTTGTGAGTAGAAACGAGAGACTGACCACTGGAGCTTCACAGGTGTGGGCGTCACCGCGTCCATTGGTCTTCTGGCATACATGAGCGTCTCATCGGGCAGTGCGAACGTGTTCAAATGGTTTTCGAGCCTGGTCTCGATCGCGTATTTGCTGACCTGGTTCTCCATCTGCTTCGCCTACACCCGCTTCCGCCGAGCGTTGCTGCTACAGAATATCGATCGCGACACTCTCCCATTCAAGTCTCCCTTCCAACCCTACTTGGCTTGGGGCGGGGTGGCGTTCTTCGCCATGGTTCTAATCTTCAATGGCTTTGCCGTCTTCACCCACGGAAACTGGGACACCCGCAACTTCGTCTCGGCATACATTGGGATTCCGTACGTGTTCATGGTTCCGCCCATTGCCTTGGAGTTAGACATTGTACTGACGAGCGCACCAGACTATTCGTTTCTCTCTATCTTGGCTGGAAGCTGGCGAACAAGACAAAAACAGTGTCCATCGAGGATATTGATCTCTGGACTGGACGCGTGGAGGTGATCGAGCAGGATCACACCGCGGAGAGAGGCATTCTTCAGAAAGTGGCCAGCAAGCTATTTTGAGCTCCGTGTTGGGGTGACTTCTACCGCGGGCTTGTGGGTTAATTAACTTAGTGATGGGCGTCTATCGAAGGGCAAGTCCTGTGATAAGGTTTCTGCCATCAGGATACTTTTGTTCTCTGGGTGACAGAATCCTTTTCACAGGACAACAAAATGACTCATTCTTGTGCAATACATCACTTGATTCTATTCCATTCCCTCAAGTCATTAGGACAGAAATAAAAGAGATGAGAAGGGCCGTTCAAAAAAGTGATCAGACATTGTTACAAAGTGTAGATCAGTGAGAGAATGGTAGGCAGATACGTCAAGAGAGAATGTGTGAAAATGTTACGTTGTCTTATGGGTGAAGTCTTCGAAGGGGGTAAACAAGGCCTAAATTTTAGGGATTAAGAGCCCATAGAGGCACCTAAACTTTAGGCGGCATTAGGGAGGCTCGTAGGGCTGGGCACCCCTATTTCACTACATAAGGCGTGAAAAGCCTAAAAAGCCCCCATTGAAATAAATCCCAAATTTGGCAGGTTATCCCGTGTTGGGCTTTTGAAGCTTCGCCGAGTCGATTCTGTGCGATTTTCAATGAATACCTGTATGATCCTCTCCACCTTCAAAGGACATACATTCATCGTCCATACAACACCCTACAGGGATTTGACTGTCTAACAAGTTGCGACAAAAGATGCGTCATATTGTTGGACTTGATCAACGCCTTGCTGGGCTTCAAACCTTCTCACAGCTGCATTATGAGTGCTCTGATCGGAATCGGCGATTGACCTCGGGCTTCTTTTCTATCTTTCGGTTATTTAATTGATTGACAAATGCAGAATCCCACAAGCTTCGATACGCGGCCTTCATCAAGTGCTTGTCAGATCTTTCAGGCGAACCAACAAGAAATGTCAAGAGGATGGGGAAGCTTTCGGCCAAGGCGTACCTTTTCCTGACAGGGCTTATCTACGCGAAAATCCCATGCAAGCTTCAACCTTTGAGCACTTATATTGCTATCCCAGCCGACCCTGTAATGCTGTGTGGCTTCCAGCCAAGATCTCCAGCGCATTTGGCATGCCGATCTGGACTAGTCTTGCAAATCGGTGAGGTCATTGTCAATGCTCTCACAGCAAAAGGAGAGTGCAGCCTCGTATAGCAGCCAATAAGTGGCTGTTAACCGCTCAATGGCGTCGGCTTCGTGTTACCGTGGTAGGTTGAGCTGTCAGTCGGGCTTGATACGAGTTTTGTGAACCTTGTTCCAGGCCAAGTGATAAAAGGATTGTCGAAGGCGTCCCCTCTACTCTCGCCGTCTTCCCACTCGCGTCAACGCTTTCAACATCATCGGCGCGGACGGAGCATCACCCGAGAATGGCGGCGCCTGGGAGCATTGGTCCGCACGATGATATCGAGAAGAATGTCGATGGTCGATCAGAACAGACAGCAGTGGCTGAGGGGGGCGATGAGAAACGCCGGCCATCTGTTTTTGCTCCCGACCGGGAGACACAGATGCGACAAGGCAGCTTGACCGTCTATCATGAAAGTTTCTTCTCTGCCTTCAAGCCGGCCAGTTTCAAGAAGAACCCAAATGCTCGAGTCGTGACCGAAGCCACTGACAATGAAGGCCGACCGCTGAAAGACCAACCGCCCGCGGAGCCTGCATTGGCCCTCAAGCTGAAGCAGAGGCACCTGCAGATGATTGCTATTGGAGGATCCATCGGTGAATCGACATACATCTCTTAATCGATATCAAGTGGCTGACCTTTTCCTAGGCACTGGGCTCTTTGTCGGCTCTGGCTCAGCTTTGGCTACAGGAGGGCCCGCGTCGCTTGTCCTGGCGTACGGTTTGATCGGTATCATGTTATACTGCACTGTCCACGCTTTGGGAGAACTTGCCGTGCTCTTTCCTATTGCTGGCGCTTTCTCGGTGTACTCGAGTAGGTTTGTTGATCCGGCCTGGTAAGTCGTTCCTCGAGATTCCAACACTTTGCCCATTTGCGATCTTTGCATCTTGTTCTTCTTCCAGCGTAACTTGCTCCCAGACCTTTACACTCGTTGACGGATTTGCAGGGGTTTCGCCATGGGATGGAACTATGCTCTCAATTGGCTCGTCACATTACCACTCGAATTAACAGCGGCCTCGATCACTCTCTCCTTTTGGCCTGGTGCCGAAGATGTCAATCCTGCAGCTTGGGTTGTGATATTCTGGTTCGCTGTGGTCATTATCAACCTGTTCGGCGTCCGTGGCTACGGTGAGGCAGAGTTTGTATTCTCAATTATCAAGGTGGTCGCGGTATGTTCCAATCATGCTTCTGGTCTCCGGGTAGTACTGATTAGACTATTCGCAGGTAATCGGCTTTTGTATTCTCGGCATAATCATCGCCGCTGGAGGTGTCCCAGGGAGCCCACAAGGGTACCTTGGCGCCCACTATGTAAGTCCGTCCGGAAGTGTTGACAGCGCTGTGAAGGCTCTTCGAAAACAGTTTTCGCTGGCCTCATAGAGTCTGGGCTAACATAGCGATAGTGGTACGATCCAGGCGCGTTTCACAATGGCTTCAAGGGCCTGTGTAGCACTTTTGTCACCGCAGCGTTCTCTTTCGGAGGGACCGAACTTGTCGGTTTGACAGCCGCGGAAACCGAGAATCCAAGAAAATCTCTTCCCACGGCGGTAAAGCAAGTGTTTTGGCGAATTGCCTTGGTATGTGACGCTCCATGGCAAGCAAGATTGTCACTGACTCTTGCAGTTCTACATGGTCAGCCTGACGATCGTTGGCTGCATTGTACCTTATACCGATCCCGAGTTACTGAACGGTTCCAGCAGCACCGATGCCAATGCATCTCCTTTCGTCATCGCTGTCAAGAATGCTGGAATCACTGCCGTCCCTTCGATCATGAACGCCGTCATCCTGATCGCGGTGCTGAGCGTCGGAAACTCGTCCATCTACGGTTCTTCTCGGACACTGGCGGCGCTAGCTGATCGAGGGCAAGCGCCAAAGATCTTGGGGTACATCGACCAAGCTGGAAGACCTCTCTGCTCGATCATCCTCGCCTCTGCCATTGGTCTGCTTTGCTTCATCTGCGCAGCTGGCTCAGATACCAGGACTCAAGCCTTCAACTGGATGCTGGCCATCTCGGGTCTCTCGTCCATCATCACGTGGGCGAGTATTTGTGTATGCCATATCCGGTTCCGAGCTGCGTGGAAGTACAACGGTCACACTCTCGACGAACTGGCCTTCACGTCCCAGCCTGGCGTTATCGGTTCATGGATCGGCCTAGCCCTCAACATTCTGATTCTCATCGCACAGTTCTGGACCGGCTTCGCTCCTGTCGGATATGGTTCCATGTCTGCCGGTGACCGGGTGGAAAACTTCTTCATGGCGTACCTTTCTGCGCCAATCATCATCCTCTTTTATGTAGTATTCAAAATCTGGAAGCGGACATCGTTCAAGAGGATTCAAGACATCGACATCACCAGTGGCAGACGGGAACTGGACCTCACCGAGATTCTCGCTGAGGAAAGAGCTGAACGTGCGACCTGGCCATGGTGGAAGAGGGCGTGGAAAGTTGCGTGCTAGTTGAGTACAATCTGAGACAACCACCTCGTCCGAATTCACGATGAGGTGTATCGACGAGTTGGTGTCGAACTTTCCAGCGAGACGATGTTGTTTCGTTCACCCACGTCGAGAGTGGGAATACAGACTGAAGGATGAAGATTCAATGGTCGAAGCACCTTATGCAAACTTTCATACACCTACCATCCTCATAAACTCGTACAAATACGTACCCAGTGCTCCGTATCTGAGTGTGTCGCGGAAAAGCATCTCCTAGCTCCGTTGATTAGGCCCCGTCGTAGGGCTGAATTCTCCCCGCGGTTCTTAAGCCGACAAGAAGAAGCCGATGATGAACCTCGGCCACTTCGGCTGGCGTTTGGAGAAAGCATCAATCCGATCAACACCAACAAGACATGTAGAAATGACCACGGCTCTTGACGCCCGCTGGTGTCTTTGTACCTCTGTCTCAGTGAGTGTTACGAGGCTTATGCATAGCAGAGTCTGGCTTGTTGTCTCACCCAGCACAAGCAAGACAAGGCCATGTCCTCATCTCAACACCCTCTCTCGGGGCTTCGTGTCCTGGAACTCGCCGGTCTGGCACCAGGTGCGTCCTCTGTGATCTCCCAGATCCGTCTACCCAGTGACATGACACCGCTGTACGGACTACTGAAAGATGACTGACTAACGCTCTTCATATGCGTTCTTTGACCAGGTCCCTTTTGCGGTCTCCTGCTGGCTGACTGGGGCGCATCCGTCCTGCGCATCGACCGACCTGGACCAACGACGACGGACCTGCTCACGTCCAACAAAGCCTCGATCGCCCTCGACCTCAAGGACGCTTCCTCGCGCGCCATCTTCCTCTCCCTCATCCCAACGACCGATGTGCTCATCGACCCCTTCCGGCCGGGCGTGCTCGAGAAACTCGGCCTCGACCCGAATAGCGTGCTCCTGCGCGCCAACCCACGGCTCATCGTCGTGCGCCTGACGGGCTTCCGCCGCGACGGCAAGTACTCGGCCATGGCGGGCCACGACATCAACTACATCGCTGCGTCGGGCATGCTGAGTATGCTGGGCGCCAAGGGACAACCGCCGTCGCCGCCGGGCAACATCCTCGCCGACTTCGCTGGCGGGGGCCACGCGGCGTTCACGGGCGTGCTGCTCGCGCTGATCCGTCGGTCGACGAGCGGGCGCGGGCAGGTTGTCGAGGCCAACATGGTCGACGGCGTCAGCTACCTCGGCACGTTCCCCCGGCTACTGACGAAGGAGCCCATGTGGAGCGGCGAGCGCGGCACCAACACGCTCGACGGGGGCGCGCCGTACTACGGATGCTACGAATGCAAGGACGCCGGCAAGTACATGTCGGTCGGGGCGCTGGAGCCGCAGTTCTTCGATGCGCTGCTGAAGGGCCTCGGCTTCTCGCACGACGACGTGGTGCCGGGAAAAGGCCTGGACAGGACCGACAGCCGCGCGTGGCCTTATATGCGCGAACTGTTCGCGCGGCGCTTCAGGCAGAAGACTCGAAAAGAGTGGGAGGCCATCTTCGATGGGACTGATGCATGCGCCGTGCCCGTCTTGGAACACGTGGAGATGGAGGCCGCAGGCTACGACCATAGACCTATTGTCGGCTTGACCGAGAGCCCTGGGAGGGCGCCGGCGCTGCCGTGGAAGGGGAAACCTTTGAAACCTGGAGAGGGCGGCGAGAGGGCGCTCGCGGACTGGGTGGGCTGGAGAAGGGGGAGGGATTACGATGTTAGTGCACAAGGTGCCTTTGTCAAAAAGGATAAGAGTAAGCTGTAAATATGATACGTGACAAGTTATAGTTGTCGTAAGAAAGATTTCCACGTTTCGGCAGCCTTCTGTACGCGGTAGGTGCATGCTGTGAGAGATGGACGGGGACGAGGTAGTCATCAGCCCTAGTGTCAGCATCAGCATCAGCATCAGTATTAGTATCACTATATGTAAAGCCAGAATCCCATTACTTCTTTTGTTCAATTGCTAAAAATAGAAAAAAGGACTATTTCCAGCAACTACTCGCTTGCTTTTTGCAATTCATGACCTGTTGATAGGTATGTTCTGCATGTATGTTTATACAGTCGTGCGTGGACCGGATCGATGCGTGCGACACATTTCAGAATCACCAATATCCATTGACGCCGCCGAACCCGGCGGCCTCGGCCAAATCGTCGGCATTCAACAGACCAACGCCGGCTTCGATCAGCGTCTCCCACACGGCGTTCCTCGTCTTGACGGGCCAGGCCGGCGTGTCCCAGTACCGAGCCAGGATGCCCTTCTCCTGGGCGACGGCGATGTGTTCGCCGAGCGTGGCGAGCTGGGTGCCGTTGAACGTCGTCCCGTTGATGGTGCCAAAGTACTTGCTGAACTGGGTGGAGGCGACGGGGCTCACGTCGCGCGTGATGTTGGACTGCGTCGTGCTCAGCAGCGCGAGGTTGGCGTCGAAGAAGTAGTCCCGGTCGTCGACGCCCTGCACCTGGTCCAGCGGCGTGTTGCCCGTGCCTATCACCGTCACGGGGCCCGGCGTGATGCCCGTGCCATTGAACGTCGTCAGGTACCCTGCCTCGCGGAGGGGTTGGAGCTGTCGGACCACGACGGGCCACGTGGACGGGCCGTCGGTCTTGAGGTCCACGAAGAGGTAGAGCGTCTGGCCCGACGACGCGTCGAAGACGCCGTTCTTTGTCGGGCTGCTCACGAACTGCGTCGTCGGGTTCTCGCGCCGCAGAGTGTCCAGGATGGGTTGGACGTAGAGACTGTCGAACGTCCGGGACGTCGTGAGCGCCGACCGCTCGTGGCCCACGTACAGCGTGTCGTTGTAGAGCCAGACGTCGGCCTCGGTCGAGATGCAGCCAAACGACAGACCCGTGTAGAAGGGAATGTCTCGCCAGTAGTCATTGTGTGAGTGGATTGGTTTCTGGGGGCAGGGCATCGGCGGTTAGTTGAGATGGAAGGACGAGGACTAGGGACGACATGGGCCACCACTGCTCGTGGCTGGGTGCGGAACTTACCGGCACAATTCCTCTCGTCAGGTCCGTCGGATACGTATACGCGTCACTGTTGTGCGTGTTGGACAGGATGTTCTGCAGCGTGGTCGAGATGTCCAGGCCTTCCGCCGCGTCCGGTGACGGGACGGGGGCAGCGGATGTACCCAGGGCGAGCGAGGCGACGACGGCAGCCAAGGTCGAGAGCATCATGGCTGAAGCTCGATCAAGGAGCTGGAGTATGATTTGATTTGAGGAGAGTACTCAAGCTCCCCTGTATATAAATACCCGTACGACCAAGATTTACAGAGTTCGAGGTGAACAACGCGCGGTGGCTTGACTTGGAGAAAATCCGAGATTCCGACGATCGCTTGACTTTAGTTTCGGCGGATCTTCGACTATACACTGTATGGATCTACCAGGTGTTTCACTTCCCAATTATATTCACCACAGACACGCACGTGCCCAGTGTAGTCAAAGATACCTACAGGGGTCGAGTCCACGGTATAGACCTTGTCCTCACCCGGCTGTACCGACCTCAGCCTATCCAACTCCCACGTTGACATTGGCCAAGAGACGTGGTCTGCTCTGGGAGTAACATTCACCTTATATTCCTATGTAGTTATGTACGCCAACATCTACTATACGCAGCGTGTCCCGCCCGGCAAATATCCACGGTAGGGACCATGGCTCATTCCTCGGCCAACTTGAGCAAAGATCACGTACGGCAACTCGCTTAGCATACAAATCACTACCAGCTCGCTTTCAGTTGATTTCGACCAGGGCCATCCTGGCTCTACCAAGTCGCCTGAGATTGCTCCCAGTGACTTCCAGCTACTGCACGTGTATAAGAGTCCAGAATCTGGTACTCCCTGAAGGACGCCATAGGCGTCCCCTGATTGAGTTGGATGCCGGAATTCCACTCGAACATTCCTCATCCCAGTTGCTGAGGACGTCCAGCGCTAAACATGGGAATAAGACGTCCGTGATCATCATTATTGGCGTTGCCGAGTATCGCCTCTCCTCCGACATGTGTTGGCGTTGCCTTAAAACCCCTGTGTCGTTGGGAGATGAGTTTTACATAGAATTCGACATCTCAAGCCGCGACATTGTCGGATCAGCACATGTTTGGAGCTCACGCTGGAGGCCAGGCTGACGGAGGGAGACCTTCGTGCAGCAAGATATTAGCCCTTTTGCCGGCAGGTCTCTAGCACATCCAACATCTCAATCATCGTCACATCCTGACTGGGTATGTAGACCCGCTGGACTAGTCCGTTGTTGGGCTCGTAGATTTCCATATCAACACGGCTCGGATATTGACTCGGAGACTCTGATCCAGCATACAGATTGGCCAGAAAAATTTGCAGGGGCGTCTCCATGCCAAAAGATCTGCTACTAATCACTAAAACTTACCAGAAGCTACCTCACCCAGTCAGGGGACTCATCCTTGTTCTGTTGTATAAGTGAGGCTGTGGTTTTAGCGACTTTGAATACGGGTACTCGTACGAGTAGGTTGATTGTGTTTGGCGGAATGTGACCTCACGTGGAGGTGATTTGTGCAAGCAAGAGAGTCTCATGCTTTTCGGGAGCTCTAGAGGTCCTGAGCCTCAATGGACGAGTCGTAGACATTGGTCGTGTATCCTGACTGCAGCTCATGACATAAGGCATGAGGGCATTCACGCTGTCGTGGGAACCCGATCTGAGATTCCCATTTGCTCCTTGCTTCTTTACGAAAGAGGTTTCAGTGCATCGGAGGGTATTGCCCGTTGTTTGACCTCAAGCCGCAGCTGTCAGAACCCACAAAGCTTTGGCCCACCGAGGAAGAAGCCAGAAGGGTGTATTTGTCCATGATTATATCGTCACTATGCCGGCTACTGCGGAGCGAGGTCGACAAGGTGAAATGTTCCGGAGACTGGCAGATGGCAGCAGCAGGACTGATACGAATACGACGTGTGGCGGCGGCTGTGGCTGAAGCAGCCTAAAGAAGACTAGCGCCTCTTGGCGCTCTCGTGTCTGGTTAGTGACTTTCTGACCATGACGTTCTGTTTTCATCATTCACCTGCCTGGTATTGCATGAACTGACTCTTGTCAAGCCTGTCACGGCCAACATCTACCACAAAGGGGTCGAATGGCTTCCTCATTTCCGTTGATCTCCCCCGTTGTCGCTCGATCCAGACCTGCTCCAGGCTCTTGAAATCATGGAAATCGTGGAGCTTGAGACCCAGACTTGCCTAGTTCCCCGGAGCACCGAGCCTTGTACTCCGTATGCCTCATCAGTACAGGGAGATGGTGACGTATTCCTGACACCCAATGTTCCACAAAGGTGGTTTGCTTGAAGTCTGCTATATATGCTCTCATTGCTCTTCATCCTCCTCCCAAGCTAAGCATCTCCTGCCACCCAATCCGTTGCTAGACAATACCTAGGTACTCGTCTTCCGTCAATCCAGAAAACCCCTTCATTCTCCGTCAAAGACAACTCGTCTGCCTCAAGGACTATCACCATGCAGCTCACCGGTCTCGTCATCCTCTTCGCAGCTGTGCCGGCTCTTGCCCAGAGCAGCAGTGGTGTATCTGGTGCTATATCTGGTGTCTCCTCCGTCGTTGCCTCCGCCACCAACAGCGTCGCCTCCGCCTCGGGATCCGGGGCCGCATCTTCTGCCGCAAGCTCTATTGCGTCCGTTTCCTCTGCTGCCGTTAGCTCTGCGGCAGCTGCCTCATCCTCTGCTGCGTCCGCACAAGCGTCCGTTGCCAGCAGCGCCAGCTCCGTGGAATCTGCCCTCTCATCCAGCCTCTCCAGCCTTAGCTCTGCAGCCGCCAACAATGCCACCGGGGCTTCTTCATCCTACGCCTCATTGACCTCCGCCGCAAGTTCGATCTTGTCTAGCGTCTCAAGCGAGGTTGGTAGCGTTGCCAGCAGTGCCACAAGCAAAGCTGGGGGGGCTGCTTCTTCTGCATCTTCCGCTGTCAGCTCAGCAGCAAGCGGTGCCACTGGAAATGTGGCTGCTGCTCTACCTACTGGCTTGACCGGCGCTGCTGGTGCTGCCTTGTTGGGCCTCGCGGCTTTATTGTAAGAGATGGATATCTCACAGCTATAGTACAGATCGAGTCTGTATACCAGAGCTATTCATGAACAATCGACCTTGTAATAGCATAATGCACGAAGGAGCATCGTCAGGGCACGAGAGAGAATCACCTTTCGGTGCGAAAATAATCATCAAGTGAACGAGAGATGTCCATAGAAGAGAGTTAATAGCACAGTCAATGATGGCCTGATCATATCGTTCAACGCTTTTTATCGTCTTCGTTGCATTTACGCCAGTAGCAGAAACACTAGGTGGAAAAGATCAAAGGTTTATCACCAGGTGGAACACATCTTCTCTACTTGAGGTTATTGTCGCTTGGTTCCCTAATGTGATAACTGTAATCAAAAAGTACTCGATGTAACCCCGCCGTAAGCATGCTGCAGACTATCGACTGATCCTAATCAGCCACTTCACACTGCTTGACTTTCTCACTCTGGTCTTCTTGAACATCAGTAAAGAGTCAATCGACAACATGTCTCTACCAACGACCAGAAGAATAGTGACGGGTACGTACTCTTGTGGACTGTATGCCTTCGGCACGATGAATTGACGGACCGTCACTCAGGCCATGACAACAACGGCAAGGCAATCATAACGTCCGATGCTGTGCTGACTCCTGCAAACCCTCTCGACCCCGAGGGCAATCCGCCCACAGGAATCATCCCCGGGTTCACCAACCTTTACAAAACTGATGGCATCCCGGCGAAAGCGCAGACGCCATTTGTCGACGTTCACGGCAAGAAGATTGGCCTGGTCGACCAATCCGGAGTCTACTGCCGCATAGTGGAGTTCCCCGCCACAGGCGACGCACCGGACAGTGTCAACATCATGCACCGTACTCAGAGTGTGGACTTTGGCGTTGTCCTGAAAGGGAGCATCAAGCTCATTCTGGAGGATGGAGTCGAGACAAATATGAATGAAGGAGATGTGTGTGTGCAGAGGGCAACCATCCATGTAAGCTTCCACGTCACTTTGGCTACGACTATCCCACCAAGAGTGCAAAAGTTGCCAGCTCGTTAATGATCAACGGTCTTGATTCTAGGCTTGGAAGAATACGACGAACGAGAATTGCCGGATGCTATTCGTGCTTGTCCCCTCGGAGCCTGTTATCAATGAGACCACGGGAGAGGTACTGGAGAATTCCTCCACCAAGATGTTGGAGGAGTAACAAGGGCGTAGAGGTTTCCAGTGTATATGTCAAGATCGCGAGAACTGAGGCCATCTCACAGCGATATGTAAAGCTCCATCGAGACACGCATACTCTTGTCTTCGTTAGTCTGGACCTGATGAAAAGGTGGCTTTCTAGCTATAACGTTAAAGCTGCGAGCCTTGTCATCCACAGTCGATATTTCCTTCCACATCAATGGCATAATTTAGCCAGAGATAAGATCCATTGATGCATGGCCAAAAGACATGTCGGGAGGAGGGATTCGCGAAATCTCTCTTCTCGCAGGCCAATATCACGCCACCAAACTGCTCATGCGCTTATGTTACAAGCGGCAAAAGTAATCATAGTCGTCTAGTTTGTACGGAGTCCTCCTAGTACTTACGAGTAGTACTTACATACTGTACTCCGTACCTGGGATTAAAGTAGCTGCACGTGATCATTGCCAAGGCTGCGCGGGACCAAAATTTTGCACTTGCTTACAATCTCCCTTCGGACCTCAACCCACCTTCGTACTGTGAACTGCGTACAACCACCTCACCGATTGCGTACATCGGTCGACCGACCACTTGTGGCCCAAAGCGTAGTACGACAGACTATGTGACAATCTCGCCATAATGCCGAAAGAACGCCAAACGTGTACGGAATGTTCTATGCGGCGACAGAAATGTGATCGCAACATCCCCTGCAGTCGCTGTGTCAAGCGCGGCGACGGACACAAATGTACTCGAGAGTGGCCAGACGGGGGCTATGACCCGAGGATTCATCGTATCTACCCTCGGACATCGACAGGTCAAGGGGATGACTCCCCTGGCACCACCGACAACACTTCCCCAGCGACGACTGCTCAACATGTCCCAGACATGCCTCATCAGCCATCCAGGAGGAAATCCGCCTCGGTAAAATCAGCAAATAGCCCCAACCCTCGCCGCCAACCCAATCCTCTTGCACTTGGCCCGCAGACCGGGAATGGTCCCCTCTCAGATCCCGATGCCGCAGCCAGCACATTGGAGTTTCTTACCTGGGGTCGATCGAAATTCTCCGACTACGACCTGAAAGCGCTGGAGCTCCTGAAGGAGCCTCACAATGCTGGGTCCGCCTCTGCACCCAAAGACACCGGACCAGACTGGGATGTTTCCAATGGGTTTGGGGGTACAGGTGCAGCCCAGGTATCGTTCTTGCAGCTATTGCTTCCGAATCGTCGACAGGTCTTTCAACTTGTGGAATACCACATCAACTCCATATTATGGTATCATGCTTGCCTTCATGGGCCCACCTTCTATGGCGAGCTCAAGGATGTCTATCAAGGCCCCAGTGGTTTACAGGTCAGGAACATGGACCTGAGATGGACTGCTATATTGTTTTCAATTATGGCAGCCAGCATGACCTGTGCGAGCGACCAGTTGGCGACTTCATGGGGATTCAAAAAGAGTGAACGGGCCAAATTGACCAGGCAATGGTATAAGGCCACTGTCACATGTCTCAACCTCGCTGATTACATGTGGCGACATCACATCTACTCTGTGCAAGCCATCACCATATTGACCATGTCAGCGCATGTCCTTGGCTTCAGTAATACTCAGAGCACGCTGCTTGGGGTAGCCCTGAAGATCGCTCAAGGTCTAGGTCTCCAAAGACTTGGCCCCGAGGACGAGAGCAGTAATCCTACTGGACTCTCCCTCATGAGTGCTGCAGCGCTCCGAGACAAAGCCATTAAACGGGAGACCGGCAGGAGACTATGGTCTCAACTCTGCATGCAAGATTGGTTTTCCATTCCGTTCTCTGAGATGTACTCGATCCAGAGACATCATTTTACGACGATTAAACCGCTGCACGTGGACGACAACACGATGGAACCTATACCTGAAGATATGCCTTCTATGACTAGCTTCCAAAACTTTCTCACGGAGATGGCCTCCTTGATGCCGCAAATTCACGACGCCATCATAGCATCAAACACTCTTTACACTAAATACGAACAGGTCATTGAGTACGACACCAGAATGCGGACTTTGGCTACTGAGAATATGCCGTCTTTCCTCTCGATGACGGAACCAATTAGGCCAGAATGGCCAGCTTTCATCCCGTGGGCCAGACGAAGCTTGACAATATGTTTTGCTCATAAGATTATCATGATCCATCGAGCATTCCTTGGACGCAGCTTCACCGAGCCAGCATTCGACTTCACCCGGCGTACATGCATGGCAGCAGCAAAGAGTATTTTGAAAGAGGCCAGGCAAGCCTATGATGAAGAGGGGCCCATGCTATGGATAGATCAAGCTTTCATGGTGGCGGCTGGGATCACACTCGCGCTGGATATCTTCCACCGGAAAGCCAATGAGCCTGAATATGAGGAACACCGAAAGTTGGTTGAGAACACCATCAGCATGCTAGGAAAATTCGAGAACAGCATGATTGCCCTCAGAGGGATTCGTCTCCTGTCGTCTCTTCTTGCAGAACAGGCTCGACTCACTGCAGACCAGACCCTGGAGAACTACCGAAAACGTACAAATGACGTGCTGGGCGCGAGCGATCTATCACAGCCTAAGAGGCAGAAATTCAACGTGCCCAAGTTTGTTGAGTCGTTTGTGGGTAACGATTCCTTTACGCATTCTTTGCGGACGGCGAACAGGGGCGTGGAACCGTCACTCGACCTTTTCGAACCCGAAGCACGAACACCATCGCGTACACCGATCCCGCCAGATCAGCCTATCACGTCTGATTTCGGGTACGAGACATTCGAACAACTATTCCCGCCTCATACCGGCATCAGCAACAACTTTTTATTTGAGGATCTTTTGAACTTTGATATATGAACCGCGAGTAGATCAAGCATTCGTATGTGCGAGATGTGTTTACGATATGCGCGAGGCTGTTCCTTCGGATAGTGCCGTACGACAAAGCGAGTATTTTTATTGGGCGATAACCCTGCGGGGTACGATGTCCAGCCTTATCAGTATCGGGTTGTACGGGCCAAGTGCGACTCCATTATCGAGGAGGGCAACGGCAACAAGTCTCTGGGAATATAAAAAGGTCTCGCTTTCAGTACATACGAGTAGAAATTTGAGAACGACCAAAGCTCGCTCCTGGTAGAGAGTTAGCAGATATTCTTAATTAAGTACTTGGCCATCACAATTTCGACCCTTGCTAGTACTATCCCTCGCTCACTTTCACATTCATCATGTCGTCCAACAAGACAAAATACGTTGACCGGGCCATTCCGACCATCTCAATTGCAGATTTCGAAAACCGCATCGATGAGATCACGGCGTCACTCGTCGATGCGGCCGAGAAGGTCGGGTTCTTCTGCGTCGTCGACCACGGCATCAGTAGACAAGAAGTTGACGACATGTTCGCCCAGTCGGCACGGTTCTTCACGTTACCCGACGAGGTCAAGGCCAAGGTGCCATTCTCTTCGGCTCACAACGCTGGCTGGGAGAAGAACGCGCAAGTCCGGCCCTCGACGGGCGCCGCCGACAAGAAAGAGTCGTACCAGATGCAATTCGGACGCAACATGGACGGCAAGTGGCTCGACGAGAGCGACATCCCGGGCTTCAAGGAAGCCAGTCTGAAGTTCATGTGGCACGTCCAGGACGTGTCGGAGAAGCTCATGCTCTGCCTGGCGCGCGGGCTGGGGTTTCCCGACGACTACTTCATCCGCGCGCACGACGTCAAGCGACCCGAAAGCCAGACTGTCGCCCGACTCCTGCACTACTTTGAGACGCCGTCCAACACGAACGGGGAGGTGTGGCACCGTGCCGGCGCACATACAGACTGGGACCTGCTCACTCTACTTTTCCAGAAGGCAGGGCAATCAGGACTGGAGGTATGCCTGCCCTTGATCTTCCTCTTGGCGTTTGAGAGAGCGTGGTTACCATTCTCTTCGGCACCTGAGGGCGTCGTCCCGTGTTTTCTCTTTTTTCATTCATTCATGTTTTTACTGACTCTTTGTGGCGTGGGGTTTGTGGGGCAGATCTGTCCGGGTCGCGAAGTGAGCACGTCCTTCGGCCACGGCGACACGTGGACGAAGGTCGAACCGGACCCCGACTCGAACGCCATCATCTGCAACATCGGCGACCTCCTCATGTCCTGGTCCGACGACCGGTTCAAGTCGACGTTCCACCGCGTCAAAGCCCCCAGCGAGCCCGACGACTACTACGGCGAACGCTACAGCATTGCCTTTTTCAACCAACCGTGCCGCGACACCCTCATCCAGGGCCCCTTGAAGAAGTACCCCCTCATCACCGGCGAGGAATTCACACGGAATGCGATGATGCGCAATTTCAACGCTCTCGAAGCAAAGAGGCTTGCCCAATCCAAGGCCGAAGCTGAAGCGGCCAAGAATCTGTCTCCTTCTACCGTCAGCGGTGTGGTCGCCGAGGTGGGCGCTTGAGGAGGGAAGAGAAGAATTCTTGGGTCGCTCTGAGGTAGTTAGTTAGTGGCTGGTGTACCTTTTTTTGTTTTCTTTTTGCAACGCATTAAAAGCAAATGAAAGAGTTCGATTGATCAAATCAGGCCAAAATTTTCGTACCACTGCCGACGGAAAACGGTTCAGTCGAGACAAAAGTAGTTGCATTGCTTGTAATGATGAAAGCATGAATTTACCTACGTAGGTAAACAAATAGGTACGAGATGACTGTTGTAGAGGTAGCTGCCCCTGTCTCTAAGAGTACAGGGGAGACGAAAGTGAGGAAAGGTCTTTGATTTTGTGACTTTATGATTGATTTAGTAGCATTTTTAGCCACTTTCCTTCTTTCTGTCTCATGAGTACGGTTCGACAACCTTTACTTCCTTCATTTGTACATTGTACGTATACAACCGGGTCGCTATCAGCGTCCTCGATATCTTGACACGATATGATGCCAGTGTGTTGCATCGCCAATACTCAAAATACAAGTATATCAATTGCTCGTCCAGACACTGACCGCTGCGCCCCCTTTTTGACCTAGGCTCAACTTTCACACATCGTAGGGAGGGATGGAGGTAGGTAGGTATGGAGTGTGCGTGTGTGGAGGAGGCTGTTCCGCTTGCTGTCTAAAAGGTTGCGGGGGACTCTTAGAGAAGGTAGGTAGTCGACTAAGTAGGTAAGGAAGCTCCTCATTTCAGGCGTTCCCGAGATACTCCCCGTCGTATCATCTAACATCTCATACGGCCTTGGTGATGATTCTGATAAAACGTTGGTGATAGATCAAGGGTGGGAGTCGTATGTTCAAGGCTGGGCCTCTAGATGCTGACATCTGAAATACATCTCGCTGTATGTATCTGGTGCATAAAGGTAGTGGTAGACTGAGTGCTGTGATGACATCGAAGCGGGAAGATCATTTGCTTTTATTCCTCCCGTTCTTAATCATAGCCCACAGTTGTGATCCTCGGTAAACTGTTTTCACTGTGCCAAATACTGCAAGATTGTGAGGTCAATCTAAGTAGCACAAGACATGTCGCAGACGATTATTTCTGTGTGCTCTTTTCCTTCAAGGATTATCTCTTCGTCGGAACGGAGGTGTTGTGGCCACGACTTTCTCCTCAAATGAAAGAAAGGGTCGAAGCAGATTCCAAACCAGCCTCCGGTACATCCTCTTCAAAACTGGTGGCATCCTAGCGAAAGCGCTTGTTCTGCTCACCCTTCAACTCCGGTCTTTTTCCTGAAAACGTCTCTTGCCATCATGGTATTAAGCACGGCACAATTGAACGCCGCTTCTCCGGGTGGGATGACGACGTATATGTAGGTGTTCTCGGTAAAGCGTGCGAGGAAGCAATTGAACCGGGGTGTCTGGACTTTGAACAAGAGAAAGCCAGCGCTCGCGGCGGTGGTCCTCGTGTTCCTGGCGACGGTGTGCTTGTAGCTCTTCATGATGTTCGAGATGCGTTCGTGTCTGTCGTGGTTCGGGTTGTCGTCGCCGTACCGCGTGACGACGTTGGTGACGGTGAGGAACGTCGACCGCTCGAACAGCACAATCTCCTCGGCCTGGAGCTGCTTCGCAAACGCCTCGAGGAACTTCTCGATGATGACCAGGTTGGGGATCATCTTGTGCACGATGCCCGCCCACGCCTTGTACAGCGTTTGGTCCCAGATGCTGCTCGCGAACGTCTCGAGACTCAGGCCCTCGGACCGCGCCGTGATCAGCCGGCATCTCTCCTCGTAGATGCGCTCCCGCAGCTCGTGCTGGACAAGGTCCATCTTGTGGATCAGGCAAAAGACGTGTGCGCTCGGACTGAACTCTTTCAAGGCCTTGATGACCTGGCTGTAAGTCTCGAGGTCCTGTTCGACCGCCCGCGACTCGATGTCGAATACGTAGATGAGCACTTCGGCGTCCGAAAAGACATTCTCGCGCTGCGCGTTGAGGTAGGAGTCCATGAAAGCATCTTGCCTGCGTCGGGTGAGGGATGTTAGCAGGTTGTTTTTTCCTTCTCACGGAGCAACTGGCAAAATCTCCTCGGAGGGAAATCTCTGGCACACTGAACTGACCCTCCACAATCCCATAGGTTCAACGTCAGGTTGCCCATAAACTTGGCATGGCTATGCTCGACGTCGATGGTCGCCCCGAGTCTCCGAACGTCCTTTGCGACATAGTTGCTGAAGATGATGGAGCGCATGGACGACTTTCCCGAGCCGCTTTTGCCCATCAAGAGGACCTTTTTCTTCCGTTTGCGAGTATCCATCTTGACGGACTCTGCTGCAGCACCCACGCTTTGCGGGACGGTTCGAGGACTTGTGTAGGTAGTACTCGAGTCGCAAGCGGGGTATGAAGCCGTTCGAAGTCAATGCTGGGGAATCTGAGAGGTGTTTAGATTACACAGAGTTCCACCGGAGTCCATAGGTTGGAACATATATGCCAGAGGCGCAATGCGCACATACGCCCCGTTGAGACATTCCCTCGGCCCATCACTTTCGCCTTGTTCATCACCAACGTCAGACGGATGCCACGAAAGATACGATTGCTGGACTCTTTGTTGGGTTTCTAGATTCAGCAATAATTGACTGCGTCTATCACACAAATTCCATGTATGCTAAATGGAAACGGATGTTGACCCAAGGTTTTCCCAGGCTCATAGCTAAGTATTCCACATGCTTGATATCAGTGTCGTATGTATCCTATCAAGTCAAACTCCTGTTTACGCACCACATACCATGTGTACGTTTGATGTTTGCCAATCCTGTAATCAAGTCAAACCAAGGGCGATTCCATCGATCAAGCCGAACGACTGGTCAATAAACCGAGTAGGAACCCACCACAATGTGTCAACACTCCCAAGTTCTTCCGACTCTGCTCATCCCAGCATCACACTTCTGAGTATACAGGTGGCACATCGTCGCTATCATACCCTGGTGCCACATAAATCAAAGCAATAGGTAGCTCAAACTCGAGATTGCCGCGAATGTTCAGCGCATGCCCCTTCGCTCGACAGCAAACGGCCAAATGCAAGGTATACGTATGCGCCATGGAGCCTAAGAAGAATGTCGGTGCCAGAAATTGCTGTACTGGGAGTGACAAGGATGTACTGTGTTCTGCTTCCAAGCTCCCCTCAACACCTTGCAGCCACACACTCACAGTCTCAGGCTTTCCAGACATGGAGGTCCAGCCATCGAGGTTGCCGCTGTGATTGATCCTGATTGGGCTTTCTTCCGATGCCGAAATCGGCCATTCAGTCGATGACCGGAGTCTCCAGCGTGCGGACATTGTCACTTTTGGTATCGAAGAAGTCGAATCCTGCTGGCCGTCAGCCAACCTCAGGCGCCAGCGAATCTTCGTCGACGCTGCATTCTCCTCATGTCTAAGCACAATCGGATCATATCCCATCACTTCGACCGTCAACTGTTGGCACGGCCTTGAGGTCGGCCGGAAGTGTCTCAACGGGCCCAGTCGCGCCCAGTTCCACATCGACGACCCTTGTGAGACATGTCGCTTATATCCTCCTTGCGGTCGGAGAAGCTTCGCTTCAGCGCGTCCTTCCGTCTCGCTGAGGCTGTGACCCAACATGTGGATTCCCTGATGTACCGTTCTGCCCTTGCAGTCCGAGACTGAGAGCACATATCTGACGACAAGCTGCATCAACGGTGATGTGTCTGAAGCGTCTCCGCCCATGACCTCGATCGACGACGGCAGCTGCGACACGTCAATCCCCGACGAGATTAGGTCGATTGTGATACTCCCTCGAGGTCCTCGCAGGTGTGCCGTCTGGTGGATGTCCAGGACATCTTCCGTCCGGACTGGGCGAGCCTTGAAGCTAACAAGACTACCAGCATCTGCGTAGGTGTCGTATCGAAGCAATTCAATCGATCCGATCAGCTGGACCTTGACATTTGTGCCGACCAAATCGAGCTCATCTTCGCCGACCTGGACTTGGAGATTAATTGGTTCGAGCAGCGAGAGTGTAGGAACAATAGGCTTGACCGGGTGAGGACGAGCTTGGTCTATGGGATTGAGTAGGATGAGTTTCATGATTGTGGTGAATATCTCTTGCTCTTTCTTGCTTCGTTGGTTGCTTGATCAAGGATGTGAGAGACGACAGTGGATGGTAAAGGACTTGTACTGAGCCTCGGCTGAACAACCAAGTTTCAGGGAAACACGACAAGGCAATCGTCTTATTTCATTCCATATCTTCTCTCGCTCCTTCCTCTACATCAATTGAGTGTATTTATCTCCTCCGTTCTCGCACGCGTACTAGTTAGTTCCCCTGCCCGTGTAGGTAACCGGATCCTATACCCCTTCGGTGCGAGGCCGCCCCCTCACGACAGGTAGTCTCTGATAACGTCCGATTGGTCATTCTGACAACTTCACATCTTTTGGGGGGAAGACGATACGTCTAAGAAATCCACGTCATAAAGCGTGCCGAGCTGCCTTGTTGCCCAAAGCCGGCGTCCGGTGAGCATTCGTCGGCCCCGATCGCCGGTGGAACACCGTCGAGTGACTCACTCTTGGGGAAGGGAGATTGGGACACAGGTCCAGAATGTGTGCAGCAGTCGCTTGGACCCTGACTCAGCAAATAGCGTATATCGGCTCGAATGCGTTGGAAAAGCGATGGATGTCGCGACGAGTTCTACATCGAGCCCCCATGTTTGCCCAATACGTAGGTCGGATAGATGGCCCGATTCGGCAAGACCAGGCAGACAGGTCCCAGTTCCCTGTCGGCGCGATCTCCCCGTTTGGGAACGATACCAGTGTCCGCGCTTTATCAGATTCTACAACAGCAACAGCGTACCTACTCATCCTGGAGGGAATCCGTATTCCTAGGCAGGGCCATAGGCAGTGCTTCACACATGGCTAGTGGCGTCGCGTTGTGGCACTGTATGAGGGATATATCTGTGAGCCCAGGGTTCAGCGTTCGAGGCACAAGAAGCGACATCTTCCATATGACCGTTACTTCGCAGTACACGACCACTACGACTTCATATTCACAAGATCCCACAAACCCATGTGAATCAGAAAGTATTGGATCAATCTCGGAAAGTTCCATGCGTTTTGAACATGGCACAAAACTTTCACCCAACGTGAAAAATGCGGGCCGACGAATCAGCCAGACTACCTCATCATAGGGGCCGATCCTCTCTCCCAGGAATCTCAAAAGCACCCTTCATCATATCATTCGTCAACATCATTAATCCTAGTCCCGGCTCCGATTTGGAGTCCAACGCCTTACATTGATATCCCGAATCCTGTACTGTGAAAGAAGCAACCCAATATCCACGTCCCGGCCCTTGCTGTCACCGTCCCCAACGACAAACGGAGGTGGTATATCGACATAACATAAAACTAACTGTTTGTGCACATTCGCCTGGACCCTATTGACGCCGTGAAGCCACCACCAAGACTTCTTGGTCTTGTGCTCAATCATCTTCGTAAATTCCGGTGAATCCCTCCACTGAGGGTGACTGTATGATGGGACAATAACGACAGCAAATTCGGCGTGCGAAAAGGCAGGGCCTCGATTGTACAATAGATAATCCGTTGAAAACTTGACCCCTGACCTAACCACCCAGCCCAGGGATCGATAATGATGGTATACAACGTACGATAACATGAAAGGGTCGTCGGGCCCCGCAGGTACCGAAAGACTCCGTGGCGGAGAGTAAGAATGGCGGCGAAAGAGAGATAGCAGGGAAGAAGGAGGTAGGACGGCGTCGCTGTCGTCGCAGTAAACGTCAAGCACCCCTAAACCGTAAGATAGGAAGAAAGCCTCTTCAAGAGATAGGTTCAAGTGTTCTTGGTTTTCGTGGATCGGCTCTGTCTGGGGATGAGGCTGGGGCTGAGCATCTTCCAGAGGCGCCGATCCTGGATTCTTGATCGGCGAAATTACAGGAGAGCTCAAGTCGAATTCCCGGGCCTCGATGGTGGGTGAGAAACGAACGGTCTTGGTCCGCTGCAGTCGTTTTATAGGTCGAGCATCTGTGTGGCTGGCTTCTGACGACGCTGACGTGGGCGGAGGTGTTGGAATACCGTTGGCCTCTATAGCATTCTTCCATTCGTGAAATCCATGTATTGAACTGCCCTCTTTATCTTCTTCATTTTCGGGCGTTGGTGTACTGTTGGCCGAATCTAACACACTCCCAATATCGCTCAAATCACGAGCGTTCGTCTTGAGGACATTCTCTGAATGGATTTGGTCAGATTTGTCGTTTCCTTGGGACTCTTCGGCCAGTTTTTGCTCTATCTCTTCTTGTTCCTTCCGAGCACGTTCCTGCTTCAGTTGTCTTCTCTGCTGTCGGCGTTGAGCTGTGTTTTCTTCTGCCGTGACACCTTGCTTCTTGCGATTGTCCAACCACGTTGGCTCACTTCGACTCAAGCTTCCTCGACCAAAAAAGCCCATCTCCCACAACTTCCTGATGGTCTCGGCATCTGTAACATGGATCGATGAAGTTGCCGATGAGAAATATCCTTTATACGTCGGCCTTCGCGGGGGAGCTAGAATCTGCGTGAGGTATGACAAGGCAATAGCCACAAGAGATAGCGGGTTGTGCGGAATGAGCACAGGCAGAGGGTGGACTTCAATCGGGAGAAGATTTCGGTGTATGTAGTTGTAATTGGGCCTGCGAGGTCGTTTCTGTGGCTTTGCAGGAGGTGCTTTCGGGGTCGTCACCGTACTTGGCTTGCTCACTGTTGATACCGTCGAGGAGGAAGCCATGTCGGCCTCATGGTACTAAACTCTAGGTGGTTTCAAGGTCAGCCTTGCACTGGGAGCTATGGCAGGACGCAGAAATTCTGCATTAACGTTTGAACAATCAGATACCGTTGTAGTCTAATACAGTGCGCACATTGGAGGCAGCTGAAATCAAAATGCCACCTCCTCGGCAAAAGAAAAGAGTCATCATGTAGCGACAGAGCAAGCTGTACAGGTGGAGTGATGAGTAAGGGTTGGGTAGACTTACTTTTCTTCCGTTGTGCCGCAGAGCGACAGCAGATGCGAGGATACGGATCTGATGCGCGGCAGGGCATTAATGCAGGACGAAAGGACTCGCTTGTCGATGGCACGAGAATGAGACAGAAGAAGTGTGTGTTGGAAGTGTTGCTGTTGGTCCAAAATCTTGTCGGCTTCAGAATTTCGGCTGCGCGGGGAAATTATTGCTTTTCTAGTTGCGGCTTTTGGCCAAATTTTTTAACGGCCGCAGTTTTGCACTCTCAGTAGCATCTGCCGGTCGTCCTCCTCCAACCACAACGCACGAATTTGTGTCGTTTGTTTCCCTCTTGACGCAGAAATCGCTTTCCCGTCGACGCCTCAGAGTTCTCCTGTAGGACAGTGAGAAGAACGCACAGCGCCTCGAAAAGATGCATTTGATGTACACCGAGGACCCGGCCACGGGCAAGAGGATATACACTCTGAAAAAGGTCCTCGACGGCGTGGTCACAAAGTCGGCGCATCCCGCGAGATTTTCACCCGACGACAAATATTCGAGGTGCGGAAGAGTTCGCTCCATGCTTGGTCCCTTTCTGACCCGGTTGCAGGCATCGAGTTACACTAAAGAAGCGATACGGCCTCCTGCTCACCCAACAAAGTGCGTCTCTTCCTAATTCCTCCGTGTGCGTGTTCGAAGGGCTAACCAGCGACCAGAAGAGGAGAAAAAATGAGACGATGCATTAGCAATGAATAACAGGATGTAACTCGGTGGTCGTCTGAGGATGGGAGGTTCCACGCCTCAAAATGGCCGCGAACGATTCGCATGGCTGGGTTTGGGTCTCCTCGAGAAGCGACACGAGGAGCTTCAATGCTATCGCCCTTGGGGACTCTTTGTCTAAGAGACGTACCTGAGTTACAATCGAATGGCGTACGGCGTCGGGGATACGAAAGGGCAGGATACCCGAAAGCCGTGACCTACTGGAGAGTCATAGGTTCACAAGATACTTTGGTATTCATGGCTTCATTAAATTCGGACACTTTTTAAACGGCTATCTCTTTCGCGAATTGATGGTCCTACCACCTCCAACTCGGATCTTTCCAGTATTTTGACCTCGATCTCCCGTCAGAATGCTAGGCAGCGTGTCTTGGTCCATCAGATCTTTCTCCTTCGTTCTCTTCATCGTTGTCATCGCTCTGATGTATTCCTTCTGATCTTCCGCGAGGATGAGATCACTACCCCATCCGCCTTGTCCACCGCCTTGCCGGGGTCCTTTCCATTTCTGATTCGCACTGCCAGCGGTCGGTTTGGGTATCGAGAAGACGTTGCCCCTGTTATTCCACTGCATGTTGGCTTTAAGGTGCAACTTGACCTCGCCCTTGTCGTTAGTCGTGCAGCTGACCCTGGTCAGCGTGGGCTTGCCGCATCGCGGGCAAAATTGCTTGTTCATATCTTTCGTGGTCGCAAAGCACCCATGACATCTGAGTATGAACTGCTTGATCTGGGAGATTCGTTGGCAGTTCTTGGTGGACAAGAGGTTCAAGTTCATCTGAAGCAGGACGTTCTGCATTGCAAAATCGCCTGTCATGGTGGCGACCTGTAAATGTTTCGTTTCGGGCTTAGGTTTGAATTTGCTATTTGCAGCCTCGTCTTTAGCTTGTCGTTTCTTGATGTTAGAAGGCGTAATCCAGCCGTCGTCTGAGTCTGATCCTGCATCGTTCGTCGGTAAATCGACGTCTTGTTCTGCAGCTTCTGGGAGTGGCGATTCCTCCTCCTCCTGGTGCTGCTCTACCTCCACCGGTTCAAATTCTTCCTGTGGTTGAGCCACTTCGATCTCACCGTCCCGCAAGGTCATTGAGTCAACCTGGGTTTCAATGCAAACTTGGTGGTCGTCGTCTTGATCTGCCTCTGCGTTTTCGCTCTGAGACGCCTCAACAGGTGATGCATCCGGCTTTGCAGTCTCGTCCGTTTCTTTCTGGGGTGGAGCTCCATTCACTCTCTTCTGTCCCGGGGTTGCTCGTAACCGCCAGTCGCCTCCGTTGCGCTCACACTCCAGATCGTAAGCCAGTGCGAGCACTTCGAAGTCAGTCTGGCTGAGCACCCCACCGTCTCCAGTCTTTCTAGCGAATTCCTTGACATGTTTGACGCTTTCCGGTTTTGGTGTCCGGATTTCAAGAAAAGGCTTGTAAAGTGTTTCTATCCTCGTCCTTGCTTCCTCGCCTCGAATTTCAGCGATCACAGAGGGTGTGGTTACTAGGACGTGGCCATTCGCCAGGAGTGTAGATATGCCAGGTGTGTTAAGCAGAAGAGGCGAGGAGTCTAGGAGGATGGTGTGTATCGGCTTCTGCTCTGCAGACGTTTCAGAATGATCTTGAGACATTATTGACGTGAGAATATGATAACAGAGAAAAATTAAACGTTCTGCGAAAGATTCAGATTCACCACGGCCAGTGCATTTTATCGAAAAAGTATTTTGTGAAATCCTGAAGCATCTTATCTTATCTTGATCTACCCAATTTGGGTTTAGTGTAGTATCCAAGGCCTGAAATCCACACTAGATGCCGGGCCGAGAATACGAGTTGAAACGCAGGGCTAGATCACAGCGGCTCCAGGCGTTGAATCTGGGAAGGTCGTCAAGCACTATCCCTCATCATGGCGGCCCAACTGAGGCATTCTACAGAGGCTTTATGGATCGCTGCTCAGCCTTCTATTGTAGCCCTCTACCTAGCATCATTTCCGCCACAAATATCAGTCAGTGCATCTACAGTGCAAAGAAAGACGATGTAGCGATGAATGGTGCAGCCCATCGTCTCATTGAAACTCGAAGTCCTCGATACCCCAACTGAGAACATCAAAATGGAGATCGAAGCCGAAAGACGTTGCGAAGTCTGCATCGAACGAATTCGAATCGTTGGTCATATAAGTCGGCTCGGTTGCAGTGATTACACCTGCTTTGGATGTTGTTTTGGACTGGAGATTCAGCGGCGAGTATGACCCACTCATACTGCTTTCTCGGTTCACAATGTGTGAGACAGCACATCGGTCGAGATATGTTTTCGTCTTCGCCTGGCCGCCCATATGAGCGTAGATTTCTGGGATAAGAGTATGCCAGTTGGAGTTTGATACTGTCTCTTCATGGTTTAAGCCCTGTTGCTGCCGGCTGCTAAGATTATAAGCGTCCAGGATCTTCGTTAGGACAACCCGGCCAGCCACGGCCATGGGAATGGAGCTGTGGTTTTGCACGATACGCTGCAAGTCTTGTATTACAACTTCGATATCAGACTGCATTCGGCTAGGGAGTGCTGGGCGCTCCACGAGCAAGAATACGGCTATCGAGACTGCTGAACAAAATATTTGGTAGCTCTGCGCAACCATCTTCTGTGAGCGCTGAAAGCGGACTGGATTTGCATTGCGAATCGCATGGTATACGGCAAAGGCCCCTTCGACAGCCTCGATACACTTCGACCAACAATCATTGTGGAAGGGAGAACGGAGAAAAGGTCGGTACATCCGGATCCGTTGGACACAGATTGAATTGTGAATGAGATGGTGCTGCCACTGTATATGGTCATACACCGGAGGCAGGGTAGGACTGATGACTGTAAACCGGCCTTGGTCTCTATGTGTCTTCAAATACCATGGGAATTGATCCACAATCGTAAGGATCTCCTGATCAATTGCACATACCTCTTCATAGGACGTCGATGCGGATGCATTGTTCGCGTAGAGTTTGCTTAAGACTTTGAACAAACCGGCGCGGAGAACATGCACCGTCATCACAGTTGGCTCTTCAAGGGGGCGGCAATTGATCATGGTACTCGTGATATCACAATCTTCACAATTCTGTGGCAAAGGGACGTCGGAGAGGTGCGCTTGGATCAATGGCTGTCGATCGAGGCAGAGAGATTGGTAGGTGTCTGAACAACACAGGTCCCACCATAAACGATGCCGGAGCTCAGAAGTCAGATTCGTTGCAGGATCTCGGTCTTTATCAAGGTGGATAGCTTGAGCGCAGCGTACAGCCTGACCCATTGCACTGGAAGTAGTCAGCATAGTTGCAGAGCTTAATAGAGGTACATACCTGTTCAAAGCTTCAACGGCCTTTGTTGCATACCAATAAGACTGCGATTGAATAAAGACTTGAATTTGTGTCAAGCATGGCCTGGAGTCATACTCACCGGCATGCAGAGCCTGACGAGATAGTCGAAACCACAGATGCCCATTGTTCCGGATGTCTGAAGCATCGTATCCGACACTCTCGCATGCCTTAGGGTCGATGTAGAGTGCAGTGAGCGATATCAGAACATACAGGAGGGCAATCCAGACCAGATCGACATCCTTCACAGGATATTCCCAAAGCGACTCATACTTTTGACGAAACGACGGAGCATGAATCGCCTGGTATATCCAATTAATACTTTCGAAAAAGTAGGCAATGAACAAATCACAGTGTGACCGCGGAGGCAAAGCACTGGCAAGGTGAATCTGCCACGCTATTTTCTCCGAGGTAGACAAGCTGATTCCAGTGCCAGCGAAGGGTGGAGGTGAAGTGGCCAAGTCGTGATCTTTCTCAAGGGACAAAAGATTGTTGTAGGTATGAAGCTCTTCAACAGTGAGCTCTGCTAGCCCGGCTGTGTTAATGGTCGAGGGACGTTTGGCGCTCGCGTCGTGGACCTGATAGCCGATGTTGCTTTGTGACACTCTTAATCCGGATTCCAGTCGACCACCAACTTCATTGCCAACGCTACTGCCAGGCGTCAGATTATGAGTATGGACGGGTGACTGGATAGCAGGGGCAGCGCCATGTGATCGTCGGATCGGCCTAATGGTCCTTGGTATAGGCACCTTCGCTTGCTGGATGCTGTTGGGCTGGTAGGGTTGGCAGCTAGCTTCACATTTATGTCTGACACAGCTCAGGCACGGAATGCTCCGATTGCAGCGCACCTGGACGAAGCAGATCAGTTGGATGCCGATGATGGACACCTTTCGCGGAGCATACCTTGCGTTCTCGGCAAGGGCGACAGCTGACGACTTTGTTATTTGCTCCCATTTATGCCAGATTGAAGGCGATTTGGCCAGACAAGACGAGGAAAGACACCTTATCTAGACAGGCTTGACTGCGGCCAGGCATTTTACCTCCACGCGGGCCGGCACTCGAGCAATCCGTATTTCCATGTCAGCTTCATCGTTATCGAAGATGAGAAGAGATAAGAAATGCTTCGGCTATTCGCGGGCATCTGTACGAGGTTCCCACGGTGCAGCATGAAATGTAGAGAAGCTGAAGAGTCGAGACGAGGTGGGTGAAGGCTAAAGTTCTCGGCTTCTGCCATCGCTGATTGATGCATTTTAATCTTCTTGGTTCCTCCGACTGGCGGGTTCATCCGTCCGCCTCGTATAGATATGCCAACCGCCCTCGGCAGAAGGAGTGAGGAAAGGCTCGGAAATGTTGATAAGCTGCGAAGGGACATGTACGTTTCGGGTGTTAATTCATTGATATGCTAAATGAGTCTGTTTAATGTCTACACCTATTTTCTTGCTATGCTACATGCATATTCTACTTTCAGTGAGCACTTTTATGAAAGTTAATCTTTGCAACATGGCGTCGTTCATGTCATAAAGAAGTCATGATTGCGACTCGAAGCGCACAATGCGAACTCCCACAGATGTAGCGAGAGTACAATATTCCCATACATAATTATCACGCCAGGGACTATGAAATTCAACCAGAAGCCTTATCTGAAACGCTGAAACGCTTTGCGACCCGAGATTGCAAATTGCACGTCTATCTATCTAACGATACCAGATCCCATCCTTGGAGGCATGCTCGGCCTAGCGAAACTAGCCTGACTTTGCCTACGGGAGTTGATTGCTCGGGAGGCTTCGAGGCTTACTCGGGAAGCTCGCCTGGAGCCTGAGGTACCAGAGTAGGATCGCAAGTAAGACAGACGGCGACCATCGTTGTCAACGCGAGCTTCGGCAAGTGACTGAGCGAACGGCGATCTCTTCCGCAATTCTGGGCCCCACCAGTAGATGGCGTAGACTGCTACGACGAGGAGGGTAGCGATACAAGCGAGAATAGTGGCCGCGTAGTTCAGGTGATAACGACCACCAATATCTGACATGTGTTAGCCAGGAAGAGTCAGAGACTTCTGGGGAGAGGTACTCACTTTCAAAGAAAGGCGTTGCCGGAATGGTAAGAACACCAGCAAGGAAATCTCTGGCCCAGCCGTTGCCACCCGTAGCAGAAGCCGAATATGGGCCGTAAGCACAGATCATGTAATCGATTGTTGCCATGTAGATGGCATAGTTAGCAATACCAACGATTGCAGAGAAAATCATCGAACCGATCCAATGGATCGGAGGGCCCTGGATGGTCCAGGCAAAGCCGAAAAGACCAATCGGAAGGCAGGGGGCAGTCCACAGAAGCCACCACAGTCGTGACTCGTACTGTGCCTTTTCATTGCCGGGGTTTCGCTCTCGTTCCTTGATGTTCCTTTTGATGGCAGGGATGAATGAGATCCAAGCCAGAAGATAACCGATGCCCAGCGGTAAGAAAGCGAGACCCGTCTGCCAGGCCGAAAAGTGCCACTGTCCGTACACCAAGGCGAATGACTGAATGAACATGAAGATCAGAGCATCAGAGAAACCACTGAGGAGTGAGAGCGTCAGAACGATGGGCTCGGTCAAAAACATCTTAAATGGGCGCATCCAAGTAATGAGCACTTCTCGGACGGAGAAACGGTCTCTGAAAGGTTCCAACTCGTTAGGCCCCCAGATGTTTTCACCAGTAGCCTTGCGTCTCTTCTTTGCAATACGGTCCATGAGGATTGTCGTGCGGGTCTCTGGGACCAGAAAGAAATGTGCGGCCTGTACGAAACCGCCAAAAATCAACTGAATCCAAATAGCCCATCTCCATGCGAGATACTGTTCCACAAATCCACCAATGATGGGACCCAGAACTGAGCCGAAGACTGATGAGAAGACCACATAAGCGACAGCATACTGCTGGTTATCCGCGTCCCATAGATCAGCTACAGCCTGTTAGCAGACATCCGAGGACCTAATAGTATTGAACTCACCAATCATTCCAAGAGTGACAGAACCTCCCGCAGAGCTGAGGCCACCAAGAGCTCTTCCGACCATGAGAGAGCCGAAATTGGGTGCAAGAGCGACAGGAAGTTGCCAGATGTTGACAAGAGTAAGGGAAAGCTGAAGGATGGGCCAGCGGCCAAATTCCTCACTCCACGGGGCCCATAGTTCACATCCAAAAGCATACATGACCAAGAAAATCATAGCACCGCAGCGGGCGGCCTGGGCACTGACACCGTACTCTTCGGAGATGCCCCCTAGACCGTTCGAATATAGAGAGGTATTGAAGTTCATCGAAAGCTGGACAAGGAAGATGACTGTCAAGACAGTCCATTTCTTCCATTCGGGCCACGAGTAGCCGAGCTCGCTCATGCAGTCGTCTTCCGTTATCTCAATCTTGTCGAAAGTTTCGGGCTCAGACCCGGCACTTCGTTCCTCCTTTTCTCTGAGAGTAGTCCCAACGTGCGCTGCCTCTGGGACATTCTCTTCGGGCTTGTTGGTAGTCGCATCATTGTCACCGTCGATTGTCGACGCTCTTTCCCATTCACCGTTCTCGCCTCTCGAGCTTCCTGTAGACTCACGGTTTGAATCAAAGCTTGGGGTGTGGAAGGTGGGGTGGCGATCCTGATGATTCGAAGCCATGATGGTCTACCCTCAACAGAACAATCAGTAGGGGTGGTGCAGGTAAAGCCAGCGATAAAGATCATCCGCAAAACAAACAAAGCAGGAGAGGACGGGTCACAGCAGAGTATATACTATCGGAATACGGTTGCAAGGCCCCGTGCCTGTGTCGTGCGGGTAGCGTTCCATCAACCACAATAAGGGTGTTCTGGAATAAAATGTGCAATGATATCAATGGTGGAGTATGGGCACAAGGCCGTGTCCTGTATGAAAGCGACACTGTAGCCACTAGCCTGCGCTATGACGAAGTGGCCATTATTAAAACACATTTCCGCCGTGTCAATATGGAGAACATCGACTTTGTACTGGTCAGCGACTATCAACATGGAGGGTCCGGGTGGATGCTCGTGCTGTTCCTTAGTGAGCTTCCCAGCCAACGATGGTCAGCCGCATCATTATTGTGGTCCGCTTGGGTATATTGCGAGTGCCGTCAATCAGCGGAGGAATTTTCTGCTCCAGCACCGCTCAAGTCGGGACACGCCCTGTTTGCAATGCGATACGAGGACAGGGCCTCATTCATACTCAGAGAAACACTCATTGTGCCCGTGGAAATTGTATCGGAGGAAGAAGCTTGTTTTCGCTCCTGGATGCCGATCTGATGCCGAGGAAGCCACCGATGCTTGGCACAGCCTTATGATGACGTCGTGGTCCGCGGGCCTTTTGCACCTGGATCGAGCGAGCGAAATTTTCCAGGGCGCGACAGAGTCAGAGATGGAGACGAAGTCACTGATGGCGATTCATGCTAATTGCTCGTGCTGCAAACGGCATGGGATCACCACCTCTGGCTTTCCGCATGACCGTCGCAGTCACAGCTGAGTTGCGTTTTGCCGCCCTCAGTAATCCATGACCCAATTCCCCCAGTCCAATCCCCACCATGTAAGGCCTCGAGACAGAAGAAGGTCGGGCCAAAATCGCCCATGAAGGAACATGAGCAATTTATGCATTATCTAGAATCCCCGATCTGCGACCACCGCATCGATCATACGGGTCAGCTCGGCCTGCATGACGTGAACTCTAACCAAAAAAGATACACAAGCTTCGCGGACCTCGTCCAAGTGTTCTCGTTTAAGCTTTGAGAACCAAAATGCCAATGGCCTTTCTGGAACGAGAGCACGGCCACAAACTCGTAATGCTTCGCTTACCCCAACGCCTTGCTTTCTATTAACAGGAAACTGATGGTCCACTGCGTCACAGATATATCGGTAACACCCGACGACCTGAATTCGCTGTCGAGGGAGCCACGGGAGACCGCTTGGACTTGTTGCGCGTGCTGCTGGGGTTGAATGGAGGGTTGAATGTTCCCCTACCGGGACCGGAATTTGCTGCTGGTTCACTGTCGTCCTGGAACACCTGCAGTGTGTTGATTGCCCAGTAGGCATCGATAAAATGCTTCGGGTTATTGGATACGTAGTCCTCACACGTTGGTGCTAGCGACGCACAAGAAGTCGTATTCCACACTTGGCCTGCCCACTGGACACAGAAGTCAGCTATATGAAGAATGAAACATCAAACAACATTGAAGTGTTGGTGCTCACCTGTCCACAGAATGTGGTATCGAAGACGATCTGCAAATTCTTGAAATGATCGTCGATGTTGAACGATCCTTGGAACACAGAGTTCGGGGTACCCCAGTTCTCCCCGGGGTTCGGGTTACTGCTGACGATGTCGTCAGGGAAGCTGCCGCGAGGGAAGAACCAGATCTTGATGAATTGTGATGTCCACTCCGTTGCGAAGACGCCACCTCCTGCCGAATTGAAGTCGGATCCAAATGTCAGGTTGGAACTGTCACCGATGGAGCAACCGGCATTCTTTGGCTGATCGGGTGCGTTGACGTCGCAGTCAGCCGTGACCAGTTCTCCTGAGAAATGTGCCCCATCCGTGATGATAGGGCCTGAATTTGTGTGCAATGTCATGCTGTTGGCAGTCTGGTCGTTGACTCCTTCGACGATATCAATCTCGCCATTGTTGGGCCAGTCTGATCCAAGCATCCAGAACGCAGGCCATACTCCGCAGATACCCCCTGGCATGTGTGAGATGTCGGCAATAACCAGCGCGTGTTGGAAGGTCTCATTCGATGATACCCGAACGCTGGCTCGACCCTGGGGCGCAACCTGTGCCGTGTCGACCCCCATGAACACTGCCTTTGATGGGGTTCCAGTCTCTATGAAACCTGCCAGACCTGTTGCATTTGCTACTTCCATTGACTGAAATTGAACAAGCCCGTCTGTCGGATCATGGTCGGTGAAGAAGTCAAAGCCAGTCCAGAAAGCATCACCTGAGTAGTCATGCACCAATTGATAGGTAGCAAGGGCCGGTTTGAGGAAGACGCTGACCAGCAGCACGGAGGAAAGAATGCACAGCATTATTGCGTGGTATTGTTGTCGGCCCAGGACAACTCTTGACGAAATGAATGAATGCCGCCTGCGGACTTGCGGTCAAGGTGTTGCAATCACTCGAACGCGCGAAAGGTTGTCCCGCCGCAGTTGACGAAGAGACACGACGTGAGATTAGAGGAGAAGGGAGGAGACGGACGTGGACAAGGACTTTGAAAGAGCGAACTGAATGAGACGCAGCAAAGGAACGAGAGCGGGTTTGAGAGATGAAAAGACACGAGGAAGTCTGAATAGGAACCGAAAGTGAATTCTTGAGTACAAGGAATCTATTGTCGCCATGGCAAGGAGGTACAATTGAGATGGACATGGCTGGCGCCCCCCAGTGATATCCATTCACTGGAATGTGGTCTCTTCTTTTCATCTGGTCAAGGCTGGAAGCATTTGTGGCCTCGATGTACTCAGCCACGAAAGCAGTCTAAGCAGGTCAGCATTCATAGCGGTAGACTAAACCATATGACGGGGAGACGTGTAGAGCCAGTCGAGGACAGCGTGAAGCAAGAATCGTGAAACAGAGAGGCTGTGACGCTGCAAGGCTGCTGGCTTGAGTGGCGTGTCCAGATTCAACGCTTGTGAAACGCGTTTCGGCAATTTCTTGGTGTTTCTTCTCCCCGCAACAGTTCGCGTTGACTGGGCCTCAAACATTCCCTCACTTGTCCGTTACAGCACCCTTCGAGCATTCCATTTCACACTCCAGCGCGTAATCCCCAGGGGACCCCCGAACGCCCAAGCGATCCAGATATGGCCGGCGCTCCCGGTGCTCTCTTTTGGCCGCCTTCAACATGACCACGGTGGTGGCGCTAGATCTTTCCAGCCGGCCTGCCTTTGAGCCCACCGACCAAATCTCAGTTGCTGACCTCAGTCCCAACGTGACCGGTGCTTCCTCCTATATCCTCGCCAGTGTCGCTCTTGTCTGGCCATACTCTAGTTCTACAAGGACACTCGCGTTGCTGCTGGCAGATTCGGACATTCGCGCGCGGAAACCTCGAGGGCAGGTAAAAGTGGTTTTCCACAATGGCAGTGCTCGAGAAGTCGCAAAGACGAAAGTTGGCATCGGTGACATCCTGCGACTTAGTCTCGTTGGTTGCAAGTGGCAAGAAACCGCAGACACTATATCCACGCCAGGAAAGAAAATAAATTGGGACTTGGAATTCCAGACCCAAGTTACCGCTGAGATCCTGCGCGACAATGCTGTAGCGACTACCATAAACTACACTGCACCTGACGACCGCGGGTCACCAGACAATGGTGTTCTGGAAGCCCTCAACAGTCTTCCCACTGCAACTCCTAGGCAAAACGGTGTATCGTTCCATGAACTAAGCAAGATACATGTTCCTCTCATAACGCCCTCAAGGTCAGGGAGGAGATATTCCGGAAAGACATTCTTCGAAACCTCTTTGGACTCCCTTGCCGATGACGATGGCTACGTGGCGGGTCTTGGGCGAAAACGTACGAAGTTTGCAAGAGACAGCGGCGGATGGAACCTCGTGGACACGGATGAGGGCTCAGAATCCGTCCCACAAACACCACAGCCTACAACAACGATGCTGGAGATACCAAGTACAACAACTCCAGATGTCGCTTCGCCCCGTGAAACGCAGGACTCTACATCAGAGGGCGTCGTTGCCCACGACGAGCCATTAGCGAGACAGCTTGTTTATGCGACACAAGATCAAACTCAACAACATCTTCTTGATAATGATGTCCACAGTCGTAAAAGTAGTGGAGGCAGCGACAGCACTGCGCCTCAACCAGATGTTCAATTCCGGTCTCCGAGTCAAGAGCCCAAGCCGGCCTCCATGGGTCCTCCACAGACGCCTTTGAGAATTCCAGATCTTCCCAAGTCAGGGAATGCCGATACTATTACGCCCACTGAAACATCTTCTGGTGCTACGTCGACACCTCGACTTCTTCCTCTTGCGTCGCCTGGCCTTCCTCTGGTATCGCCATTGATACAAAGACGTGGTGTCGAAATTGGATATTTTCCGCCTTTCCAGGATGGATTATCTCAATTAGACGCCTCCGGCACAAGTACGGCCGAGAGCGCTATTATTCGAGCCGATTCGTTTCAGATTGTTCATGAAGGGCTTTCTGCTCACGTTGTGACTCACGAAGAACACGACGCGGGCGACGAAATTCCACTAGAAGCTGGAGCGGGCGAGGAGGGTTCCGACGAGTCACTTGTAGTTCCGGAAGCGCCTCCCCATCGTCAAACTACTTCAACAAAACAAGTCTTGCAGCCGCCGATGAATGAGCAGTCTACGTCGATACCAGAAGACCACGATCTGGACCCGTCCATAAATGTCCCTCAGGCTGCAGACAACGGCTATGATCCCGCCAAGCCTGCCAGCACTGCCACTGAACTATGGCTGTCAAATACAGAGCTGGCTATCGAGGAACATTACCAGCAGCAGAATGAGCTGACCAATGATCTCCCTAATTCAAAAATCCAGCAGCTCATCGAGATAGAAGATGATGATCTTTACGGGCCACCGCGCGATCTCATGCCGAGATCTCCTCGTATCACTACCGAAGATATCTCTACAGGCCAGCAGACGAATCCCCTAGGTGCTTTCCAGGGATTCCTCGAGATATCCCCGGTTCAACCATCTGCCACCGCTGATGCTTCGGATGACAAGGCCACTCTCTCGGAGACACCTCCCCTAAGAGCAAGTTCTGAAGCATACATTGAGCTCGAGAGCACGTACACTACTGTTGAACACAATTCACTTCCTGTTTCCATAATAGATGGCCCAGCTGCCCAACAGCCGGAGTCACGTTCTGCTGTCTCCCATTCGTCCCCTCATAGTTCTCCAGCACTGCATATGCACAAACATTCAATGGATGGTAATGTCGACGAAGCCTTCGCCTTGACACACGAGCCACCTTCGGATTACGCAACTTCCTATGGCGAGCCACACAGAAGACAGACACCGATTCCGGCTAGCAACGATGATGTAGCCGAAGAACCCATGACTCCTGCCGAAGGAGCCAAGGATGTTGCTTTCGAAGAGGCAGTAGAGACTGTTTTTGAACAGGTCGAAGACTCTCTTCCATCTTTCCAGCCATCCCATGTGCTTCCAATCTCGGAGATCGAAATCGCCTCTGAAAGGGCCTTGAGCTACTCGAAAGATGACAATACCACACACAGTCATCCATCGAAGAGTCCTGAGCATCTTCAGAAACAGCTAGTAGCTAACATCGAGGGCACAGTTACCGGAGAGTGGCCCGTCTCTCCACATCGCAGGGGTGTTCACCCACGCGATGTAGAGGATGTCTCTGACAATGAAGTGGGTCAGGGTGTTGCTTCAGAACTTGTTGCTCAAGATTCTTTCGATACGGCGAAGACGGCTGAAATACCTGCACAACTGCCGACTCCAGATCATACTCAAGGGGACAACCTTTCTGGTAACGCTGACCGGACAGCATCAACTCCTGAGGTGCGAGCGACGACTACTGCTCAAGGTCAAATCCCGGACGACTCGATGATACCTCCCACTGAGGGACTTGTTCAATCTGCTCAAGAAGGAAAAGACCATGGACCGGCGGTCTCACCAATTCAGGGAGAAATTGAAACTCCTACACCCCGCCGCCTCTCTCGACGAATATCAGCCAGAAGATCTGCGCTGCCTGGCAATATCTCCAGCCCATACTTCACATCTCGCCGATCAGCTCGAGCAACGTCGCCGGCATCCTCACGAAAGGAAAATGCAAACCCTATTGCGACACATGCCGTCGAACTACCGTCCTCGCCTACTCAACATGCACCAGAAGAGACCATCGACACATTGGTGCTTGCGAAAGGAGATGCCATGAGTGCCATTGCTCAGCGAGAGACACACTCCCCAACCCCCCTGGCAACAGGAGTAACGACGCAACATGCATACTACCCTTCTCTTGCTTCCCTGGAAGAGCACTTTAATCATCTTGTTGATGTCATTGGAGTTTGTGTGGACGACTCCTTCCAACCCGAGCGTGCAAAATCTGGTCCCAAGGAATATTACACTACGCTGCGCCTAGCAGACTCATCATGCAAGCAGGACGCGGTCAATGTGCGCGTATTCAGGCCTGTCAAAACTGCACTCCCAAGTACGCGGCGTGGAGATGTCGTTCTGCTCCGCGACTTCAAAACACAGACCTCAGATCGGAAGTTCATGCTGTTGAGCACCGACACCTCATCGTGGGCGGTCTTCGCCTCGACTGAAGGCAAAACATCTGGTCGATTCGATGTTGTCATCACTGGTCCTCCCGTTGAGTATGGATCCACAGAGGAGGATTACGTGGCTCTACTACGTTCATGGTGGAAAGATAATGGAAGCATCTTGCTCCCTGCTTCGACTACCAGTGCTGACATTAAGTCCTCCGGATCCCCACATTTAAAGCCTCGCCCTACAAATCGACGAAGAAGCAACAGAACGGACAACATGGGCAACGGCAGTGAGCAAATTGAGACCTCCAGAGAAGTAGAGCGTGCTGCTCCGTTGGGAGACAAGGACAAGAGCGATCGCAAACATATTGAATCGGGCGTTCGAGGCTCGCCCTCCGGTTCCAAGACACAGCCAGAGCAAGCTTCGCGGCGCAGGGTCGGTCTGCGGCGATCAGCCACCCCGGTGGACGAAGTTGGAGACGCTCTCCAAAGTCCGCGCGTTGAACAGGAGGCACCTGTAGAAACGAGAACAGATGCCAATGGTCGCCGCAGATCAATAGTCTCGTCTGCATCACTCAGTCCCAATGTCTCCATGCGCGAAGTTACCCCGCGTAGGAGTGCAAGACATAAGAGGTCGGTTACCCCGGCGACTGAGGGACAGGGATACGAACACGGATCCGAAGGAGCCAACTCTGGAATCATGGAAATTCACGAGGGCGGCGCCTCGGTAGGACGGAGGGGGTCGACTGTATCCATCGCCTCTACAACGCCGAAGCAGGCGAGCAAAGAATTCGCACCCAGACGAAGTGCGAGACACACTAAGAGCCCCAGCCTGGTGCACGAGCTGCGAGACGGCACGAAGTACATTGATGACGACCGGCAGCAGCCAGGTAACAGTGTCTTGCACGAGCTGCGAGACGGTTCGACATATGTCGATGAATGAAGAATTGAATAGAGACGGGGAATTGAGTCACGATCCCAGACGTGGCTGCGAGTGTATCCGTACGGACCTACCTTGCATGGGTACCTACCTCTAGTTAGACACGGTAATAATTATTATGCTTCGGCGTGTACAGTTTGCCGTTAGATGCCAACTTGTATACCAGTCTGAGTAACTAATGGTAAATTTTACATGGTACGTGCAGTCTACCAGTCAGGGATGAGGAGGACATGTACAAGTACAACTAACTGCATGACCCGGCACTCCTCGACCCGACCGTGAGCGCCGCACCTAGTAGTGCTCTACCAATTCCAGAGCCATAGTAAGTCGTCGCCGAGGAAAGGATGAAGGCACGGAGATAACGAAGGCGTGGATCGCAAGCAGGGGTTGAGGATTTGAACAGAAAGCGGTGTGGAAAATCCATGTCATCGCTATTGCTATTGCTGTCTGTAACCTTGACACTACCTACCTAACGTGCCTTAGGGTAGGTATTCAGGTATTCAAAGGAAACACCCGGAGCCTTTGGTGGGGTCAGGGTTTACATTTACTCGTATACAACAATTTCTGTGCCTTGTCGGGTCTCTTACTCGTGGCCTTGTGCTCGTGCAGGATCCATGGGTCCATACTTCAAACAAGTCCCCGAGGTAGGTTTTCCTTTCCCATTTCGTCTGCCCACTCACATAAAGACCAAAGCCAAAGCGCTGACGGTAGCCAGACCCACGGTCGTCCATCCGGTCACGATGACCTGCTTGTTCGTCATGGCGGCACCGGTGTCCCACACGAGATGTCGGATGCCGTTCCAGCAGTGGTAGGTGAAAGGGTAGGCGGCGAGAGTCTTGAGCGAGATCTTGGCGAGGATGGGCAGGCTGGCGAAACTGGCAGCCAGGGTCGCGCTCTCCAGGTGCCAGCCGAGCATTGGGGCGATCAGGTACGCGGCGCCAAAGGCGTAGACGCCCACCGACAGCGTCGCGCCCGTGATTCGGTGGAACATGGACATGTACCACGTTATCTGGGGCCGGTAGATGGAGAGGTGAGGAGACACGGGTCGGTTGCGGCGCTGGGCGGCGAGGATCTCTTCACCGGCTGACGGGGTGATGTTGGTGGTCGTTGCCGCTGGTCTGGAGGAAACGTTGTAGGTTAGCATTGGCCGCCGACACAAATGGGTGGGAGGTTCGGAGATCGTGCAGCGGAAGACGGGTAGAATAGGATGCAGAGAGGTGGGAGAAGTCGAACGACGACTGATCGTCCATGCGGAGGTTCGTGACTCCTGGGTTGCTTCGGTCGTAGTGCTGAGTGTGTAAAAACCTTGTGTGCGACCGTCTCGTTCCTTTCTTTTTCATCGTGCGGACAAATATGTGCTGCCGGAGGTGTGACATGTCGACAACATTTTGTTGATGCATTGGAAGCATGGGTCCTCGTTCGATCGACGGAGCGCGAATGGCAGAGAAAAGTGGTAGGAGAGCTGTCTCACCTGTACTGCACGTTCTGGCCAACTGCGATAGCTGCCGGAGCTGACCATCGCGACAAGGGAGTCTTGGTGAAGGCGGAGGGGTTGGCTACTGCCACTGCTTCGACGTCAGTTCCATTGGAGTCCGCGACACATGGAGGTCTGATGGTTCCAACTTACACCGCCTCGTGGTGGCCTGCAGTGCCCGTCGGGAGAATAAGCTGGCGGACATGGTGTGCAGAGGGGGGAAAGACAAAGACGGGCTTTCTTATGTCGAGCGACGGCAACGTGAAGCTTTCATGATGCTGCTCGAGGAGCCGAGCACTTGAAGTGCTCGGAACGGGATCGGCTGTTTTCGCTTGGCCGGCGTGCACGTGATCAGGATTATTATGGGACACATGTGATTGGCGCGTGGGATTCTCGCCTCCAACCTGGGGAGGTTTCCACTTGGGAGCATGTTTGTGTTGATGTGTCCAGTGACTCTAGAGACTCTGGTATAGTGACAGGAATGTCTGTTGGACACGGCGTGATTGCCAGCTGTGGAAAGGATTGTTTTCTTCACGATATTGACTTGTCTGTGGAGATATCAAGACCACAGTGGTGTTGGCACAGGCAATGGCGAACTGACAGACACAATGAGGTTTCTGGATTCAACAGATGATTAAAGACATCAGAGTGAACAAGGAAAGATCAAGCCAGAAGTCTCTAGGCTATTCTTTAGGACATGTCCTGTAATAGTGAGTTCTGGCTATTGCCGCGATAGAAGAAGTATACAATACGGCGGTATGTTCCATGCGCCAGCACATTTCACACATACCTACAGATATTGAATCGAATGGACTGTTCAGTAAATCATTTCTCTGTGGGCTTTGGGAGTCCCTAGGTACGTGTGTGTGTGTGTGTGTATTGAAACACCATCAAGCACTTGTTTCTGCACCGACAGTGCGCTACCATCGACGAGCGAACTCGACAAAGGCTGATAACCACCACGACACAAACAGTGCCCAGCCCATGCACCAAGATCTCCTCTGATGGTCGCTGAAATGCAAGTCATCACATTCAGAAATTCCGAGGCCAGATGCTCGGTCGTTGTATCCTGGCACATGCAATGCTTTAGCGATGAGGGCCGCCAACGCCTCATCGGGACCTTGCGACGTGGTCTTGTGCTGTTGTCTGTCTTCACTGGCACTTCACCACCCGCGACGCAGTCACTCACCAGAACGCAGTCAGCGCCGTCGCGCCTTCTTCCCTACCTCCTCAGCATGGATTCAGCGACATCCTTTTAGTACTCATGACGTTCATTACACTGAAGTATTCCAGGCCTGGGGCCTGTATTTGTCCATCTGGCTCCATCCATCCCTTCTGCCCCTCTCACGGTGTGCCAGAGCCTAGCAACAAGAAGAGAAAGACTGAGGCCAAACAAGAGGAGGCTGACCCAGACTACACCCCATTTGGCAAACGTCGCAAGTCAGGGCGCAGAGAAACCAGTGGACCTGGGCGTGACACGCCAACGCCGAAAATACCACGCTCACGCTCACGCCATGGGAACGACCAAGTGGACCAAGGCCTCACAATAACGCCTTCGAACGTGGCAAGACACCAGAGCACAAGACGTAGATGGACCATTGGCGACTTCGTTGCAAATCGGACCCCTCGCTTCGCATTACCCCTTGAGCGTTCCATACCTCCAAATGCACCTTCTGTGCTTCTCCCAGGCTATACATTCGAAGAGGCCAGGAATTTCCTCGCTGGCTCCTCCAATATTGGGAAAGAAAACACCAAGAAAAGCTGGACCCCTACCTCTCGTTTCATCTTCCTGCGCAAAAAGGTCGAGCAGGCAGGTTGGATGCGCTTTGACTTTCTGGGTAACAACTGGAAAGATTTCCGCTTCAAGGTATATTGCGAGCTCTTGGTGGCAAAAAATGGGTCCGTCAGTTTCGCCGATCCAGCATTGACGTATCCCGAGGCCGAAGGGCATGGCATCGATGCTTCGATCCTGCGGACCAACAGACAGATCTATCGGGAAGCCAGCACAGTCCTTTATGGCAAGAACAAGTTTGTCGCCACTGACGTTGCTCGTCTCTTCCGACCAAATGGGCTAACGAGCCTCCGACGCCGAACCACAACGCTCATCGAGCACATTTCGTTTGAAAAGAGTGGGAATGCGGCCGAGTTGTGTCAGGAGTCTCCTGAAAGCATATTACAACCGATATGGAACATGATAGTTCAATACCCTGCGTTCTTGAAACTTAGGAAACTCAGCTTGCGTCGTGAAGTCGTTCGACCCGGCGATTGCAACCTTCTCGACATGCAGACCTACTTTGACAAGACAACGGATGTGACAGTCAGTGCTCGACGGATATTCAACAAGAAAGACATCATCGTACACACCGCAGCGAAGCTTGCCGCGTCGGCTGCGTTGAGGGACTCAGGGTTTGATGCGTTGCATATCGTTCAAGATTCCTCCCCAGATATGCCCGGACTGCCGGGAATGCTCAAGTGCGTGATCGAGATTTGCCTTTCTAGAGGACAGGAGGAAGCCCAGAACAAGAATTCGGTGAAGCTCGATCTACACAGCACCATCATGACGGCCCTGGAGGTTGAAAGGGATGGAGGATTTCCAGGCGCGGATAGGCTTCACGACAAGTATGTCGACAAATTTGAACCTCGCTCCATGGCGTGGTGATCGCCGGTGCCGAGAGGGCTGAGGTCGGAGAAATCGGACATGGCCTTCGCACGCTAGACATGTTTGTACGGGGAACGTCAAAAAGCTCGATCGGGTGTTTTGAGCTTTAACCTAAGAGTGGGGAGCATTGCAAGAGGTACTAGGCAAGAGAGCACAAACGTACGACCTAGATGGCCAGCGGCCACAAAGCAATAGGATAAGAAAATCACGCTGAGGCAACTACAAAAGTGAGTCAAAAAGGTCCAAGCAGTTTGTAGAGGCTCCTGAATTACCGCCTACCCAAGGGGCATCCAGGGGGCGTCCAAGGGGCGGCTACTCACGGTGTTGATTTCCCATTTTGAAGCAGTGCAAAGAGTGCTGTCCGTTGACTGAGAACGGAGCATCGTGGTTGTAGTCGCCGTCGTAGCGGAAATGTGCATTTGACCCTTGGCGGGTGGCGCCAAAAGGCGTGGACTTGTCATGCAGAATAAGAACTTATCTGTGCCCGCTGTTACAGGGCGTGGCCAGGCGAGGCTCGTGTGGAGGGCGTTTTTGCACTTTTCGTACAGGGAACTCTGCCTCTGCGGCGATCTCCCTCAGATCTCAGCATCGGTCGCTTCATTGACAGGGCGTACGGAGTGCGAAGTACAGAGTGCGTCCTTCTGCAATTCTCTAAGGCGCGCGCACACTCCTCCCGCCGAATTTTCGCCATCCGGATTCCCCATAAGAATACTACCTCCACCTCTCTACCTAGATGTACAGGTTATGTGTGTTTGATGCTGGGCAAATATATCAGACGTCTTCTTTGATACCTTTGACCTCGAAGAAATCGCGATAGCAATAGCAAGTCAGCCCTAGGTTCACGAAAAGACTTTTGGCGCACCAGAACATTTTACTCGGTACACTTAGTTCGTATTGTCTATCGGGCTATCTCGCTATCTCGCTGTCTATACATACATACTCGCTCACTGCACACACTGTATATACACACACAAAAAAACACACGACATCAACGGAATATCGGGGCGATACGAAAGAATCATAATGCTCACGGCTCAGCTCGTCACTACACAGCCACCACCCCCGCCGCCGCCACAACCACCGACGGCAGAGTACTCTTTCAACCCGCACATCTCGTCTCCAACAGCGGTCCAGTTACGGCCTAGATCTTCAGATGTCGCAAACGCCGTCGTCAAGAGGACAAAGCAGCCACCGTTCAAGATCCGACAAGCGACCCTCGCCGACGCCCCGGCCATCGCCAAGCTGGGCGCGACCGTCTTCTCGACGACGTTTGGCTTTTCAATTCCCACGGCGGATCTGAATGCGTATCTGCACGAGGCGTACAGCGTGGGTGCCATCGAAGACGACATCCGCAGCTCGCAGACTCACATCATCGTCGCTTGCGCCGAGGACGAGGACGACAACGTCAACAACAACGACAACGACAGTGGTCGCGTCATCGGGTTCGCACAGCTGACTGAAGGCACCACGGAGCCGTGCATCGAGGACCTGGAGAATATCGTCGAGTTGCAGAGGTTGTACGTCGACGCGGACCATCATGGACTCGGCGTTGGGCGGGCCCTGGAGCGCGAGATGGAGCACATGGCGAGGCTGATGGCGTACAGGATCGTCTGGCTCGGTGTGTGGGAAGGGAACTTCAAGGCGCAGAAGGTGTACGAGACGCTCGGGTTCACGAGGGTCGGCGAGCACGAGTTCAAGATGGGGAAATGTATCCAAACGGATTGGATAATGATCAAGGACTTGTAGAGCGTCGATACGGGTTCTACAAGTATCATCATGCCTGTCTTTCTTTCTCTGATGGCGTTTTTTTGGCGACGAGATAAGATTTTGTCCACTTAGGAATTTTTGGCTTGGGAGAGCGTTGGGTTGGTTCTGAATAGGTTTCTGGAGCTATAAGAATGGGTAAAACTGCTTCTTTCAGCGTGGTACGGTATGTCGCGAGACAAACAAACAATACAAAGCTAGATTGCTCGGTGCTCAGTGTTCAGCGTTCAATGTTCAGTGCCCGGATATAGAATGCACACTACCCAGTGACCAGCAGCGTCAACAAGAATGAGAATTTCTCAAGCACGAGTATGAGAATGTATGGAGCATAAAAATACATGCATAGATAGTAAAAATGTGACCTTGGATATGAAACCCTTGCAATTCATTGAGAGAAGGACATGGGCGATTAACGACAGGTCTGGTGAATGTCCCTCTTGGACTCCGTTGTGAAGGAAAACCCAAAATACAATTCTCAGAATGAGAACTGCTAGGCCTTGTAAGTTAACCACTTCGCGAGTAATTGAGTTGTGCTGCGACTGTGAGCTGCCAGGCCGAAGTCCATGGGAAGAAAAAAGAGAGAAACAGAGACTGTGATGAAAGAAAACAGAGAGACCGGGAACCACGCGCGAGTCATGGCTTGGCGGATCAGTGACTCTGCACGACACGGTCCTCTACTCTCCATGTACTACTGCATTTACTCCGTACCCCAAACGTGTTCACTTCACATTGCGGACAGCAGTACATAAGGTACCTTTGTTGTGACTGCTGCCTCGCTTAGACTCTGACCTGAGCGAGAGACCCGATCCTGACATTATGATCTGATCAGAAAAGGGCTCAGTGACATTGTCTCTCGCGCGGCAAGGTCCTCTTTCTTCACCATTCAGTCCGACACGACACGACGTGAGACTCAAATATTTCAGTCCCCCGGCGCGACCTTTAGCCACCGTTGACCATGCACAACTCCCTCACCAGACTCCAGACGACCTTCGGGTTCTTCACGTCGTGCGCATTCACACTCGCGGCCATCGTTGCACTTCTGTCCGTCATCCCCGTCCCTGCGCCGACGGGCTCTCCTCGGGCCTCCGTCGCCGTTCGAAACGTGCAGGTCGTCAAAGGCCGTCCTCACTACTACACCACCAAACGGGAAGAGTACGCACAGATCCGATTCGACCTCGATGCCGACCTTTCGAGCCTGTTCACCTGGAACACGAAGCAGGTGTTCGTCTACGTGACTGCGAACTACCCCAGCAGCAGCACCAGCAATGGCGAGGGCGGAATGTCCGAGGCCGTGATCTGGGACACCATCATCCCCGCGACGGCGACGCCGTTCTCGTGGCAGAATCTACTGAATCTACGGGAAAAGTACGTGTACAAGTACCTGCCGTTCCTGGACAAGAATTCCCAGAAGAAGACGAAGAAGAACCGCAGGGAGCATTTCAGCAAACAGTCAAAGGACCTCGTCAAGCCCGGTTTCATCTCGTTGAAGAACCAGAAGCCAAAATACCAGATCACCGACCCGAGTGGCGTCATCGGCGAGAGAGGCAATGCCACCCTGCAGGTGAGCTGGAACGTGCAGCCACGGGTGGGCGCGTTGATCTGGGACAAGGGATACCTGGGAGAGCGGGTGGGTAAATGGAGAGCCGGCAAGGTTGGAAAGAGCAAGGTGTTTGAGTTCCCTCCTCGAAAGGGAAAGCCAGCCGTAGCCAGGGATCAGGAACCAAAGACACCGGAAGCAGGGTCTGCGTCGCCGATTGTCGACGTGTGAGGTACAACTGCACTTGCGGTCAGGTGTCGGTGTACGCAACAAAGATGATTAAAAATGATGCCGTCGAGTGCGTCGACAATGCGTGGGCTGCTGAGATCACGCCCCAATACTTCTTGAACGGCCATACCCGGGAGCTGGAGCAATAGATGCGCCATCCATGCACTCGACTGTGTTGTCGATTCACTCGCTCTGACGCTACGACTCGGGGCAGGAAATTCAGTGCAGGAGGACGAGCACTTGTCCCATCGACCTGTCGGGGTACCTAGGATTTACGAGGCAATTAGGCTGGGACACTGTCTCAGCCGAATAGGCAGGCTATCTTGGGGATATTCCCAACACTCTGGAGCCATAACAAAGCCCAACTGCTCGATTGGCATGTTACTGGCCTTGCTGAGTGTGAAACTGTCCCAGACGCCTACAACCACGGATGGGAAGTTGTCATAGTCTTGCTAGCCATGCTCTTCATAACGAGCCCCGAATACCTATGAAAAAGTTCAGTGTACTCAGACGTGTCCAACTGTTGCAACATATCTTGTGCTCATTTCAGTCTTGTCAGAATGTGTTGACTTTGCTGAACATTTAGGCTTATCGAGGGTTGATCCCGACCAATCTCTCATAGACATACCCGGGACTCGTTCTCGTTGTTACTCACTTCGTCTGCGGGTGATGTTTGTGGGTAATTGTCCTGCTGTCAAAAGCGATAATCTGACAGATGAGGTACTCAACATCGCATGAGCCCCTGTTGCAATCATTCATTGAGTATCAATGAGTAAACTTCACGCAGTGCCTGGGAAAAGTCTGCCTTCCCCCATCAGTCGTCGCCAGAATAGCCGTCAGGATAAAAACGGGCTAGATGATAATATTGGAGAGCCTCTGGAACACGTAGTCTGTCCAAATGAACCTTACTGCAACCAAATGGACAATCGCGCGTCGCAGTATGGCCCACAAGGCCAACTCCTTTGCGAAGCTCCCTGCAATCTTGACAGTCACGGATCTCGGCCAGAAAGCTATAATCTGCCCAGCTAAGCAACTGTTGCATTGATGACTCGTAGCCCCAACACAATCCTTGCATGCACTTCCGTAAATCTTTGATCGCCCATTGATGATTGTCACTAAGAATCTCCAAGTCGTAAGATTCGCCGCCAAACTTCCATCGCGAGTCGAAAAGACAGAAATGAACGCCTCCCAACCATGGCCGGGCGTCTTCAGCCCGATGCACTGCATGGTATGCAACTTCTCTTCTCCGTGAGAGGGGAGGTTGGCTCCGTGCTCTCGACGGTGCACTCGAATCTCGGGCTCGGCAGCGGCCTGCACGATACTGCATCAAGGTAATCGTCCCATGATCATCTTGAGTACCGCTGAGAAGGCTGGGAAAGGGTTCCTCAGATCGGAGGCCTACATCTCGTAAGTCCGCAGCAGGCGAAAGCAAGACTTTTGTTGATACAACATCCCAGGGACCAAGATCTTCCTCTTCTTCACTTGGACTCCAGAATATGCTATCAGGAATGCAAGTTTGGCCTGGATATGCTCCAGGCAGAGAACGCAGCCTTCTCACCGAAATGACTGCAGAACCGCCATACTCCAAACTCCAGTCTTCTGGATTGGGGCCAAAGATCAGTCGGTTGATGTAGATCCCTGAATTACCACTCCGCAGAAGAGATTGTACACCAAGTGATTCCCAAACCTGGGATTCCTGTGCACCGTAGCACGTAAGATTCAGTCCAGCTTCACAGACCATAGTAGCCCAATAACGAATGAGACGCAGCAGCGACACCGGCGTTACGAGACGCCCATCCCACCATGGGGAAAAAGTGGGAGAGATGTAGCATAAAAGGAGCTGAATCAGAGGTGTGCGTGCAGGGTCATCCCGAAACTCCCATCTACGGGATATTGCATGAGGGTCTGCACCATTGCGAAGCATATCTACCCCTAATCGGAACCATTCATAACTCCATTTATAACTCGAGTATTCGTCGGACCAGATAGTAAAGGTGAGATCGTGGCTGAGATGAAATGCGACCAGATGCAAGACTGATTCACCATCGTTACCTCTAGGGTGCACTAACCGATTGTCCCATCGCTGTACGCCGATCAATTTGAGAAATCCTTCAGGCTCAAGCGAAAACATTTGGACCGCTAGGTCGAATTTCGTACTTGCCGAGCGGCCAAGGAACTCAGGTCCTTGATGGCGCAGAACAATGTCGAGACAGCTTGTGCTGCAGTAAGAAGTCAGCCATCCACGCTGTTCACTAGGAGCAGCAACACTGATATCAGCACAGAATTCAGGATCTTCAAAGACCAATGTGTACATCTCGTCGAGACTTTGGGTGAAATGTAGCAGGACAGCGCGATCTAGAGCACGGCTCAGTATAGTGATGTGATCTGGTAAAACAGCCAATGACAAGAGAAAACGGCAAATTTCTACTTGTGCCTCGGAAAACGCAACCTGGAACATTAGCAGAGTTACAGATATGGAAGACCACCTCACCTCGAGTAAGGTTTCGCGACGACTTGGGAACTCAATAATGTCCAGAGGTGAAGCTTCTTTATTCGCCATGAGACGCCGTAGTCCAGCAAGATTCCCCGTTCTGCAATATCGAAACACAAGAGAGTCACGCGGAACAGCGTTCCACGTCGTGAGCTCAAAAGTCCAGCCGCCTTGCGCACAAACCATAGCCATGTTCCAGATGCGGCTTGAGAACCAAGAGGGAAATCGAAAAGAAGTCCGGAAGTAGGGTGTCTTCTTCCTGTGCCTGATAAGCCTCACACTAGAGGTTGCTCGTTCGTCGGCGCGGCTACGATCATGGACGGGAACTAGAGTCTCAACTGCGCCTGTTGCGCTGACAGCCTGCTCGAGCTGCACCAATCGTACAGAAGGTTCAGTGAGAATAGACATCTCCTGTGAAATGGTTGCACTTCTTTCAAACAGCTGTTCTTGAAGGCCGGTCAGGATAGCGTGGTGCTCGCGGTCTCGCCTCTGCTGTTCTGCGTGCATATACATGGAGTATGCAATGTGAAGGGAAGTTTTGGCCCGCTCGAGATCGTCAAGGAGATCTTTCACATCTCGTTCTTTAAATGCGCTGTACAACCTCCCCCGGATCCGCGAATGCTTCGTCAGGGAGCGCTCAAGTCTGTCAACTACCTGCTGCACAACTTGGGTACTTTGTTGACATCGTGCAATACAGCGGATCATCAACTCCTCATGATGACTATCATGCCGTCGATGGTGCTCAAGTTGCTCTAAGGCGAGTGCCATGGTTTCCAGGTCAAGTAGTAGCGTTTGCAGGTTTGCTGGAGCATCTTTCGCTGCATTATAAATTCGCTTCAGCTTCATAGCCGACTCTCCAAGCTGGATACTCAATGAAAGAAGCCCTGCTCCCGCGCTTACGACACCGAGGATAGCTTCGAAGCCAGACATCTGAAAAGGTTCGCTGGCTTACTGTGAAGTGTGATGACAATGGACGAGCATCCGTGGAGTGATGAGACGTTTAACTGTTTTTCAGCCTGATGGAATGAAGACTGTTGCGGCGAAGTGCCATGTCTTGACCTAGTTCAATGCACTGCCACTTGTTGTGTTCGCGTGGCGGCCTTTCGGCGAATCAACTGCCAATACACCTCAGCAGGATGAGGCTTAGACTCGCTTACTGGCAATGAGCAGGAGGACAGAGGCGCCTCCACCATGTTCATGTAATGAATGGACACTAGGATATCCTTCGAGATGTGAAGCGAGTCGATCATAGTATGTATTCATCCTCCTGCACATGGAGGAACTGGTTGGGAGATCAACGTGACAGAGCAGCGTGTTGAGTACGATCCAGTACATCTCTCTGCGTCTATTTCCCGTCACCCACCTATTTTGCACTGGGCAAGATGGCACTGAATATCACATAGGTAACGATATTTAGTCGTAGTTGAATGCTCGAGGTCGATGTGGAGAATGCAAGAGACAAGCCGTTGCGCTGGTCTCCATGCCCTGCCCAAGTCAGTGCCAAGATCTGGAGAATAATTAATCCGAGTTGCCGACTGCGCCCAAAGGCCAAAGTCAATCACGGTCGCCCCTTTACTGCGCAGGTAAACCGTGCCAACTCGCGTGTCTCTGGAAATCAGGACACATTGTTGTCGACGATTCTTCTGTGTCTGCGAATACTGGCAACATGCGGACATTGTCTCTCTTCGTCGGCCTGTTGGCTCTGGCCGTGTCTGGCGTCTATAGCACCGCCCTGACCTACAAACTCGGTGCCAGTGAGAAAGCCTGCTTCTTCACAAACGTCGAGCGACAAAATGCCAAAGTTGCCTTTTACTTCGCGGTATAACCTTGCTGCACCGCGTGTCGACGAATTCTCTACTGACACACTCACAAGGTACAATCTGGCGGATCCTTCGATGTCGATTACTCCGTAGTTGGACCCAACGACAAGAAGATCATGGAGGGAGAAAAGGAGCGACAGGGAGATTTTGTCTTCACGGCACAAAACACTGGAGATTATCGCTTCTGCTTCAGCAACGAGATGTCGACGTTTGCGGACAAGATGGTGGACTTTGAAGTGGCGGTACGTTACGATGCTACTGGTCTCAGTGTTTCACCGCTGTGGAAAACACAAGATTCATATGACTGACGACTATCGATCTAATCGCAGGTCGAAGATGAAAACAAATCCGCCCTCCTCCCTCAAAAGGCCGGCTCGTCGCCCGAACAGCACTCGGCACTCGAAGATGTGATTTACAAGATCAGCGGCCAGTTGAGCACGGTCAGCAGGATGCAAAAGTACTTCAGGACCCGCGAGAACCGCAACTTCAGCACGGTGAGGAGTACGGAGCAGAGAATCTTCAACTTTAGTTTGATCGAGGTGTGCATGATGGTCGGCATGGCAGGTCTTCAAGTCGTGGTCGTCAGATTCTTCTTCCAGAGTAACCGAAAAGGTGTGTTCAGGCTCGCGCTCTTCTTCGACTTCCTTGATGATAGACACTGACTTTTTCCTTCCAGGCTTCGTATAGATTGTTCTCTAATGAGTCCCTAAAATATGTAATTCTATGTCTAGATGAGTGCATGATGGCCACCCCCCAAAAAGACACATTCAAGAGAATCGATTCTTTATAACATGAAAAAGAGAGGAGCCTGCAAGCACTCGAGAGGGTCGACTTTTCAAAAGCATCCGAAAAGGTCAAGGTTTATTTGTGCTCCATATAGGTAAATGCTACGCGATAAGGGTAGATATTAACCGTCCCCGAGACAGTTCATCACCCGACAAGATCAATCCCCATGCTTCCCGCCATGGTCATATGCTAGTCCGGATCATGCAACGCAAAGCAAAGCAAAGCAAAGCAAAGCAAAGCAGGCCGTTTGATTTCTCCTATTCCAGGTATCACCTCTCGTCTCTCGTCTCTGTTCCTAACAACCATCCCACCCCTTCCACAGCATCTTTCATTCTCTCACGGCTCATCTCCAAGTCCGGGTAGACCGTCCACCAACAATGCGCAAAGCCAGGATACAAGTCCAGCCTCGTCGGAACCTCGCACTCCAGTCTCAGAACACGCTCATATATCAGACTGTCATCCCGCAACGGGTCGAGACCACACACTTGGAAATACACTGGCGGCAAACCCATGTGTCCATGCCTGACTGAACCCGTCCCTGCGTCGTATGGATGGTGCTGGTCGAAACTCATGTAAAGCTTGCTGTCAAAGTCAGGCTTGCACGCGTCCTGGAGGAGTCGAATCATTGCCTTACTCAGGATCGGTGCGTCCTGGTTCTGCGTCCAGCTGAGATATCGCTCCTGGTACTTTGCCGGGACATGCTGGTCCGAGATATAGGTGCCCGCGAAGAGGAAGTGGCCCGTCAATTTGGGACGGAGGCTGTGATCGCGTGCCAAATGGGCCAGTGACGCCGCGAGGCTGGCGCCGGCCGACGATCCGCCTACGAGGAACCCGACGCGGGGATCCGTGCAGCGCGGGAACACGGCTGAATTGGCTTTGCGTGCCTCACTGGCGACGAATTCCAGTGTCTCCCAAGCGTCGCAGATCGAGAAGGGGAACGGGAACTCGGGTGCAAGACGGTACGATGCGCTGACGACGATGGCGGAGTGTGTCTGGGCGAGCTGTCGGGCGAGAGGGAGTTCCAGTTCAGGGTACCCTACGCAGTGGCCGCCGCCGTGGAACAAGAGGATCAGCGGGCGAGGAGTTGTGTCTGTGATTGCGGATGTCAGGTGGCATAGAATGATACGGGCAGGGAAGTCGTCGCGGAGTTTGATAAAGTGGGTTGTCTCTGAGACGTCGACGGGCCGTGTGTCGACAAGAGACTGTTGGATGGAGGGTAGTCGGGCTATGCTGCTTTGTTTGAGTGAGGTGATCGTGCAATCTAGGGCGGGCGACTGTGGAGATGTCTCGAGTGCTTTGGCGAAGGACGGGTCGATCTCGGATGTAGCCAGGATCTCAGGGACGGTGGTGGGTGGTGGAGTTCGTGGCATTGCGAATCCACAACTTGGATGATCCTTTGATGTATCCCAAGTGCTACTCTTAAGTGTCGTCCGACGGCTGTACGAACAACTTTGTTCGTCTTCAAAGATCGTCTTTGTTTTCTTTGGTCCGTATCCTCTCGATCTTATGCTGTTTAGTGAAGAGCTGTGTCGAGATGGCGCAAGATTGCCCTCGACGGGGCAATGATCTGTGTCAGCAAAGTCAGGCTGAGAGCCGCAACGGAAAAGCTGACTACGGGTCGATTCGCGGGGGCTGATCTCGTCAGCCTGATGACAGTACGGGGTAGCCGTACTATCGTGTGCATTCGTATCTTGATTGTGTCAACGACAGCTCACCACAGCCCACACCAAGCACCGTGTGGGAATGATGGACGGACTTCGGTGACCTTATAAGCATAACACAGCCTCGTGGTTGGCGTCGGACTTTGCATGCAAGGCACCCGCCGCCTAGCGTGGTTTCAGAGACGACGCCGGCGACGGCTACCGATCTGAGCAACACAGCAAGGGGCCTGAAACAATCTTGGCCGCCACCGAGAGACCACGACGCCTGTGATTCGGAGGGAGGAGGAGCAGAAGCAGGAGTCGTCCTCGCACAAACGAGGAGAGGCGTGTCCATGGGTTTACTGACAGGACGGATGTATCGTTAGTTGACTCCCTCCATCTGGGACGGTCTGAAATCTTAAAGCTGCCATGCATAGCCCTGTGCGCCCCAGTCGGGCGATGTGCGGATGAAGGGTGAGACATCCGGCGACGGGTTCCCTCGTGACAGAACACAGAAGATTGTACGAGGAGTCCACTGGACTTCCGATAGTAGCTCACACTCGACAGACATCAGGCTGGATGAAGATCTGCTGACGGCAAACCAGATCCAGGAGGAACCAAAGTCTTCCGAAGCCCTGGACAACACAAGACGCCCTCTATCCTTCGCCTTTGCAAGACCGACAGGTTGAACGCATTGGTACAAATATAGCAGCAATTCGACAGAACACCATTGATTAGAATCTTAAACCTTCGGGACGTTCAGGATAAGATTGAGCTAAACTCCATAATTATCGTGTGAAATTAAAACTTTATATTTCTACTATAATTCATAATATTAGCTACACTAACACCAGAACTAGAATCTATTTTTCAAGATAGTCACAGAATGATCTCCAATGTAACCGACATGCGAGCGGGGCTGGGAAGCAGCGTACAGCCCATACACCAAAAATTTCCAGTTTTGCACGAGTATTTTCTTAGTAGATTTCGACAACACACCTCAAGTAATTACCTGAGTTGGAAAACTGGGAACTAACGTCTATTGCATCTAGGGTCTTGTCTCTCTATAGCGTCCACGTGGCATTTGAGCTGATGCATCGCCAATATATCATGACTATGCTTGATGATGGGTATACCGAGGTTTGAAGGGGAGAGGCTCAGGTATCGCCAATTCATAGTTCTCTGGTGACGGCAGCCAAGGGGGAAGGCCTTGGATTGCACCCTCGCCGGAGAGGTTCGGTTGATCTCGTTCTCTCCAGTGCTTCAAATTCGATGCTGAGCGTTTCGAGCTGGTCCTCAAGACTGGCAATACGGCTAGCCACCTGGCTTCGGTGTTTATTTGCACGCATTGTGTCAAGGAAGCGTTTCCTATCGAGCTAAGTGCTCGTTAGCTTATCCCCAGAAGTCCATTGCCCTGCTGTTTAAGATGAGCAAGGTTTAACTTATTAATGTTCTATCGTTCCCCAACAAAACTTTAAGGCTGATATGACATTATAGGTAGATAATAACCTCGTTTGCTTGTTGGAATACTGGGTAGTTGATTAGCTTCGAGATAAGAAAGGGGAGAGAAAGATAAAACGGCGTGACTGCTGGCAAGGTGAGGTTGGGAATGGATTTTGGCAGATCTCTTGACGGGATCTCCCTACGGTTAGACCAAGCACTCCGCGGGGAAAAGCTTCGTAAACAGGGCTCAAGGAGTGCGATTCGCAAGGGAACAGGATCTAATCTTCACGCGAAAACTAGCAGAATGCCATGAACATGGATCACCACCAATCCCTATTTGTGGTGGTCTAGGCAAGCAAAGACTCGCGTGGACTCGCCGAGTCAACAGTAGTTTGTTTTAGGAAATCTATCAGCCCCACTTACTCTAGCTCGAGTTATAGTCCAGCCGATCTTTAAAAATAGGAAGAACGCCCCGCAACTTGCTTATGTTCTGATGTACACTGTAGCCCCTGCTACAAGTACCTTGATTGGAGACAGGTGCGAGGTATAGTCCCCGAGGGCCAATGACAAACTCGTCGGTCAACCCGTCCTCACAGTCGGCGACTTTAAAGTAGAGGTCACCGTCAATAGCAGCATGTCGTTTTCTAGAATCTGAACCATGGAACGATACCACTTTGTGGTAAAGGACGCCAAGTCAGCCTCGCTGTCCAGGGGCGATGATGAAGAGACCTACAGAATTCGAAGCCACGCCCAAACGAGACGGCGACAAGGTGAAAAATCCCTTCCACAATCGGTGGCATCAATCCCGAAGGAAAGGTCTCGGGGTAGACGGCCGAACTCTGACAACCAGGAGACCACCACCTCGCGAGAACACTCAGAATGTCGTGAGGTCAACTCCACCACCATTGATTCCCCGTTTTTTTCTGACGGTACCACCGTTGTCCAGTCCCATTGGACCCATTACTTCCGGCGTGCGGCCAGAGGCGAAGAGTTGGATCACCCGAGTGTCGTATCCATTTCCGTCCAGCCTTCTGGCAACTCGATCGATCCTTTCAACAGCACCAACATGATTCATCACCCCTCGGCTTACCAACTTATGAGATTCTTGCAGTCTGATTTCAACTCTTCCAACTTTCACGCCGAGGCTTTAGGCCGTCCTTTGGAAGCAATCTCGCGGACCGGGCCCTGCTTTCGTCACGAGGCTGCATATTCGGAGCGAATGCGTGATGCCCTGCAGGACGATATGTTGATGCTGTCGATGCTGGCGTACGCCTCAGGGGCCATCAGTTGGCGTTACGGTGTTCGTTTTGAAGATTTGCCACCAGAGTATTTCATCCAACAGACTTATCGAAACATCCGAGAACGCCTGCGGCGGTCGGAGGCGGTAGAAGAGGCTCTCCTCTGGTCAATATATGGGCTAGCCGCCGCAGAAATGTGGCTGTTCAACTTTGACGCTGCCGCCACACACATGAGAGCTGTTCAAGTCCTCATATCACAGATCGGCGGAATGACAAAGGTATCGCCCCTGATCATGGAAAGCATAATTCTGGGAGGGAAGTGAGTGTGCTTTGTTCCTCGTTCTCAGTTCGCAGCTGTTTGATTGAGCCTAATCACCACCACCACCACAGATTTCTCGCATTCTTCACCATGTCTGCACCAGTACTGACGATAGCATTTGAGCCTGACGACTGGCCTGAAGGTTGGCCACGTCAATCCATGTCCTCCACGGTGCTGACCCCAGAATTGCGGAACCTTGGCACCGGATTTTTCACCGCCGAAAATGTGTCAATCATAGACGACTGGCACCAAAAGGTCCTCGTCGATCTGGTAAGGTGTGTGCAGATGAGCCAACACGCTTACTCGGCACAACCGAACCGGATTCCGGACCCTGAATGCGAACGATGGCTGTACCTCAAAGTTCAAGCGTTGAATTACCGCCTCCTGGCTCGGACCGAACTGGATGGCATCCAAGAGGCTCTGAGAATCGCCACATTGTTGTGGATCTTGAGCGTCACAGAATATGTTGGGGCCGAACTCACCGCAATCATAATGCTGCCAAAACTCCAAGCGGCCTTAGAAATGGCGAAGTCTTCACTCGAGGCATCGTCCTCGCAGTTATTCCCCGAGTTGCACTTCTGGATGAGTGGTCTCGGTGCCCTCGTTTCACTGCCTGCGACCAAGAGAATCTCGACCTGCTCAACCACCCTTGAAGGCATTCCCTACGACCAGCAATTCAATTTCTTTAGCCTTCATATGGCTCAAAACGCGCGTCGTCTGAGACTCGAGACAACATTCGACGCCTATCACAGTTTCCTCCAGAAATACTTATACATGAATGTCAATGGTGGAGCGCAAGGGGCGGACTTGAAGTTCCTTGTTGAGGCCGTCTCAGGTATCGATCAAGATTCTTCTTGAGGGTTCCGTGCAGGATTTCCCCTTGTAGCAGAATTTGCATATAATATAGAATTAGTATTCTCTGTATAGACTATAATTATAATAGAATATTAAACACCCTTCATTCAGTTCCTCACTGGATCTTCTCTTCCACCACCACCACCACCACCACCACAACTGAACCTTGTCGTGTTTATTGAGTGGAAGACCTTCATCATCATCACACCAGCTCTCTAACAGGCTTCTGGGATGCAACTTACCAATCGCCCCATCCCTGTCCACCACCGCGTTTCGTGGCAAGCTTGGCGATCTTGCCAGCAGTCCTCAACACTCTGCCCGTGGCTGGATCTACCAGCACGCCATCCGTTGATATGTACAATACGCCGTTCGCACGGTCCTCGGAGGTCCGTCCAAAGGCCGCGGCCACCGGTCCCAGGAGGTCCGTGGAGTTCACGCCTCCGGCCACGAACGTCACGGTCCCATCCGACGACACAAGCGACAAGGTCTGACGGACGTTCTGCGTCACCCAGAACGATCCGTCCGAGTCGATCGCAAAATCATCTGCCGCCGGGACCTTGTCGGTTATCAGCCACGGCTTGCCTCGGGGCGTCCCATCATTCTTGCCAATGGTCACGGCACCGAGGTAGCCAAAGTTTGTGTTCGTGAAGTACAACGTCGAGGTGTCGGCTTTGGCATCACCCGGAACGACGTGGACGCCGTTGACCCCGAAAGCCGGGCGTGCCGTGGCGTTTGGCTTCAGTAGCGGGTCGTCGAAAACGACATGATAACTTTTATGGACCACGTCGATGAGGTAGACCACTCCGCCGGCCGAATCTGCGCTGAGGAGTAGGTTCGATTCGCCCTTCCCCTTTCTCCCGGTCGGCAGCACCCCCAGGCCATTCGGGACCTTGTTCTCGGGCATATCCAGAACCTTGGTCACAACCGCGCCACGGGCTTGATCGCGTAGATCGACCTCCCATAGCTTCGCGGTGCCTGGCGTGAAGGTGAAATTGTACACAAAGCCATCGACGGACTGGACGTAGAAAAGATCGGGACTGAGCTCCGCGATGCCGGTTAGGCTGGTGCCAGGAGGAAATTGAGCGATGACTGAGGCAGGAGCAGGATTCTCCTTTGGGTCGATGAGGTAGATGACGGCGTTGGAAATATCAGTCGCCACAATCTCACCGGTAGCACGGATTGCCTGGATGGTTGGGTCTCAATTAGAATCATGTATTCTTCTTCTGGGTTAAGACGAGTGATCCGAGGCACTTACAAGATTCTCAAGCCATGTGAAATTGGGGAACTGGTGGACCGTTCCGAGTGTGTACGAGGCAGGTTCAGTGCCGGGGCGGCGGCCCACGATTGGGTTCGCGGAAGAAACACCGAAAAGTGACGAGGCGGCGCATAGAAGGGGGAGGAGCGCAGAAGTCTTGAAAATTGGCATTGTGCTTGAAACTTTGGTCGAGTTGGCCAGCAGTATTCCGGTTGATGAGGGTATTGACAAGAGTGGGACGGGGCCAGCAACGGACCACAGTACTGTCGATGTCGGGAAGTATTGGTGATTTTTATGAATAGAGAAAGCAATCTCATCATTATGAATAGAGAAAGCAATCTCATCAGGCTGGAGTTCTCTCTTAAATATTGAATCAATCTGCCTTTACTCATATTGAAGCTGCCATGCGGCACTTCCTTCGCACATTGGCCTCTTTCGTAAAAGTAGTTTAAGGCTTCCCGCCTGCCAAACTCACTACCGTGAGATTACGGGGACACAGAACTAACTCGGGGTAAGACAATATGGGACCACACGGGCAGTGGTGTTATTAATATGTATAGCCAAGTTCGACGATGCGAAGGTTAGGAAGTGGTCCAGGTACCATCTAATGGTTGTATAGGCTTGGCCATTCACCGCAGGGAGGATATCTAACACGTAGAAGAGGCTAGCGTGCTAGAAGTCTGCATGAAAGTGGAGACTCCTCTCAAGGTGGCGGTGCCCCAGATTAGTCGTGAAATTTGCCCTGAAGATTGTTGATGACAACATATAGTACTGCTTTGGGACTAATGCTTCTTCTCCTCAGCCTCGGCCAAGGCCCCTGAGGTATATTGGCTGCTGCATGAAATCGCAACGCTCTCGCATATCTATCCGAGGGGGACAGCTGGGTGCAACTACAAGAGAATCGGCTGCACCTCGTGGGCCGCCCCAGGACGCATCTCTAGGATTGCCTGCAGGGCGATCTCAGTCCCACGTTTTTCAAAAGTAGTGAACCGGTAGTAATGGCCTGGAAGAACAGGCTGTGGGACTTGGCGTAGAAGTGCATAAGTTGCCATACCCCCGTGTCAACGAACAGGGCAGCGCAACATGGAGAGTCAGGAGCACACATCTCAGAGCGTCAAGAGAATCACACTCAACTCTATTAGCTCGCGGCCAAGACTCAGGAGCGTCGCATATTTAACGAAGGCTTCTCGCATAAGGAGAGCCTTAAAGTCTTATATTGGGCTCTGTGATTCATTGGTCAGACGACCAAGCCACTATTCCGCGTCTGGTGGCATGTGCCGCTGTAGTTATATCAAGCTATAATAGGCTTAGTACTGTTAAGAGTACTCCGTAGTGTGTTACGAATTAGGTCTCTTATGAGGCCGCACACAAAAAAGCCGTGATGACAGCTACTTGGCAGCGCAAGCAGTGATCGAACTGCTCCGAACTCTCGGCACGCTCACGCAGACGGTGCCGCTTTTAAGACCCAGATGCTCACGACTCATTATCTTCTCACTTTCAACTTTCTTCTAAGTTCTGACCCTTTGTTAGGAACGGCCTGTGGAACAGGCAGAGTGATAACAAAATGAGAATAGGTCTTCCTATCTAGCTGCTCTAGTTACAGAACCCCAAGCGTAAGGAAAGGAAGTTCCTTCTGCGGGAAGCCCGCGGTAAATGTGCGGTTTCTCTGAGTTCTCTGGGCAGTGCGTGCTTGGTAAGTTACGCTTGGCGTGAGGTTTGGGGAGGCGTCTGCTCTCTGTTCCGTCTGCTCGTGACATTAATAATTGATGTATTTCATAACTGATTGCAGTTTGGAGAAATTTTTGAGACACGATGTCGCTTGAGATGCTCAATCGATACCCCGATCTCTTCGCATGGGCCGAGCATCCTTGGCGGGCATCGCTTTAAGGGTCAGGGGCCGGAAGCTGAAAACCAATCGGCAAAGTTCCATCAGCCTCACTCGAAGAATCCGGAGCCGAACATCATCAGCTCGTTTCGAGCACGAAAAGTGCCCCGGGCCCCCGGGCGCGGGGGATAGTACGGGGGACATTCACCAACTTTCCGGGGTTAGTGTGCACGTGGATGAAGTCCACAAGAACCTGGAACCTTTCAAAAGGGCGACATGTTCCTGGAAGAGTTCGTATGATTTGGTCCTCCCACCTGTTCCGACCATCATCACTTGAGACACACACAAGCAACGTTTCAATACCCCTTTAGGATCCTTCAGACACCACCAGGAAAGATGGAGGACGACAAGCATCATGATGTGGAAGAACACAGCATAGCTCCGCCAGTAGAGCAGGAGTCTCCCGAAGCCCACGTACATGCCAAAACTTATCTCATCATATTGGTAAGCGGCCTGCTCCTCTAGCCAGGCATGATATGTCGTTCTCAAAGGACTCACACCTCTCAGGCCATGTTTATCGTAAACCTCACTTCAGTCACATGCTTGGTCACAGCTGGAGCGGTGAGTCCTGCTCCCCGAGCTACTTCCCGGGACATGCGCCGGACAGAAGAACTCGCCGCTGACTTCTCGCCAAGTTTGGTCAAGTTCTCACAGCGGTGGTAGGGGGTGCCGACAAGAGTAATTGGATCGTCGGTGCCATTTCTCTACCCATGGCTGTCCTCAGTGCCCCGGTTGCTCAGGCAGCCGACTACTGGGGAAGACGTTGGCTACTTATCGTGTTGACCTCGATGGGATTCGTCGGTAGTTTGATCACGTCTCGATGCGAGTCGGTGAGTCCTCAGCCAAGGTCACCAATCGTTGGTTTTCTTTCTGTTCATTCAAAGGCTGACTGTTTGTCTCTGTAGATTGGTGTGGCTATCGTGGGACAATCGTTTATTGGCTTGTCCTTCAGCTGCATCGTTAGTGCCTCAGCCTAGGCCGATACTTTCAGTTTGTCTGACACTCTGTAGTCCCTTACTTTTGCTATCGTATCAGAAGTTTTACCCCATCGTCAACGGATGACCGGTCAGGCTGTGGTGAACTCGGTATGTTTGGCTCGGCTCCGAGTCTGGACGCCTCTGCGAAGTGTCACCATGAAGCTGATCCTCATATCTGCTAGGCCAGTGCGTTGGGAGGAATTGTTGGGATCTATGCGGCCGCATCGTTGGTCACCAATCATGGTCCGAGCGGCTTCAGAATTGTAAGTGTCGACGACCGACCGGAAATGGCCTGCTCAATGACCCCACGATGTGTCCGACAACCTCTTGCTGACATGATTTCTAGCTTTGGTATCTCGATGTACGTGACTGTGTCGAGCTGAGTACGGTGTGGAACTCGGAGAGAGATGTAACTAACGAAAGCGCGTCAGGCAGCATTGTACGCCGTTGCGGTGGTCATTACGCTCTTCTGCTACCGACCTCCGCCTCGTGAGTTGCAGAAAAGTCTCACGTCGAGGCAGAAACTTGAGAAGGTGAGTAGAAAGTTTTCGAACGATTCTCTGACGGCTCTGAACTTTGACACGATACGATGTGTTGATATTAGTTGGACTGGATTGGGGGCCTTCTTCTGACCGCCGGCTTGATTCTTTTCTGCCTCGGTCTGTCCCAGGCACGAAATCCTTGTAAGTCGTTTGCAGGGATGAGAGGAATTTTCGACAACGAAACCTGACTAATGGCGGTTGACGATGTTTAGATACTTGGGATAGCGCCCAGGTCCTCGTTCCAATATGTGTCTCGGTGCCGCTGCTCGGGGCTTTCGCCTTGTATGAGTGGAAGGGCACTGGCGAGGGTATCGCTAATCATCAACTCTTCTCGTCAGTTCGCCTCTCGATATTCTTGACTGCAGATGAGTCATGACCAGGCAAATCCGTACTGACAGTGGACAGACGTGGCCGGAACTTTGGTCTTGCACTCGCGTGCATTTTCTTGGAAGGATTCAGTGAGTACAATATCTAAGACAGACCCGCGTCTGGTTTCCAACACTAATGCTCACAGTCTTCACCGTAAGGTCTCTTCTGCGTGAAAGCATTGCTTCCAGGAAAGCTAAACTTGTCTCCCTTGTACAGCCTACCAACATCTATTTGCCCTTCATGCTCGAGTCAGTTTACGGAAGAACTCCGCTTCTCATGGCGACCAAGTGAGTTGCTCACTTTTCTCATTGACGCCAGTCGCACGGGCTGACGCATTTCTGTTCAGTGTTACAGTCCTGCAGATCATCTACGGGGTGGCCTCATTTGCCGCCGCCCTGTATTGTTACCGATACAGACGGCTGCGTATAGTCATTGTGGCGGCGTACCTCTTCCTCACCGCATACAACGCAGGCATGGCGGCTTTGGACGAGGACGACTCCAACGCAGCCTGGGGTGTCCCTTTCCTGGCCGGTGTACCAATCGGGCTCGCACTTTGTGCACTTGTTGCTGTGGCCCAATTCAGCACTCCTCCTGACCTCATGTAAGTTCTGTTCTGTCGGGAACTCTGCAAACCTGGTAGAGTATTCCGAGGTCAGCCAGCATCAGCAACAACATTGACTGACTGACCCTACGATACTGATAGCTCGGTCACGAGTGGTTTGCTGGTAGCGGCGCGAGCCGTGGGAGTCACCACCGGGACGGCCGCCTGTGAGTGAGGACGTTTTTGAATTTTCCAGTCGTCAAAATCGATGTGCTTTGCTGACACACGTTTCCCATGGCCCAGTCGGCGCCACCTTCAGCTCTAAATTGCAGTCCAATCTCGCTCCCAAGGTTGCCGAGGCCACTCTCCCCCTAGGGCTACCCTTGACATCGCTGCCACTCCTGCTCCAAGCCTTGGCAGCCCACGACGAGGAAGCATTGATGGGCATCCCCGGAGTAACGCCTGCGATACTAGCTGCAGGCGTCAAAGGCGTGAAACAAGGCTACGTTGTTGCCTTTCGAACCGTCTGGATCGTTGCGGCAGCCGTTGCTGCTGGAGGTCTCGTCTGTACGTGCTGGTCCCCCAAACATTGGTTGGTTTATGGTTTTCGAAAGATCTGCGGCACTGACACGTCTTTCCACGACACCACAAGTATCGTTCTTTTTCCAAGATAGAAAAGAGGACTTCAACAACAGAATCGACGCACCGGCCGAAAGTGAGGATGCTCTGTACGGCGAGGCCCTCCATAAAGGGACCACAGCATGAGACCCGGGGGCTCAGGACTTGTGGTGGTGGCTTGTCTGTGGAGGCTGGTGCCTACGGCCCTGAGGTCTCAAGGCGATGCCCGGGCCTAAGGTGCTGCTGTAGAAGGCTCGGGCACTCGGGTCTATAGCCATGAAACTGTGAGATGTTGGGGTATGGGACTACATACATTGAGAAGTGAAAGCGGTGGCGGATACGGAGCACAAGCATACTTCGCACTCCATGCTGAATCCTGAATCCTGAATCCTGAAACTAGAAACACCAAGTCACAGTGCGTTCGCGTACGACGACGGACAGCTACGAGGCCATGGCACATTGGTGCATGGACCTGTTGAGCGCTTCACCACGCCGGCGGGGTGTTTAAAAACTTTTTGAATTTGAGTTTGGATTGGACGGAAACCACCTTTCCTACCACCCTTAATCCCTTACAACGCGAAACAAAGAGAGTCGGCACCAGTCACAGAGAGACAGAGATAGAGCTTAGCGTAAAGAAAAGCCCCATCTACCGATGTCGATATTTGGGTCTAAAACGGCCATTCGGAGTAGATTCTAGAGAATCCATGCGGTGAGGATCAATCATTGTTTTCATGCATCACTGGTTACTCGACGCACAGCGGCCAGGCTCAGGTCGTAATATTGTCGTACATACTTACTTATACGCTGCCGGTCCCCGGACGCCAGAGATCAGAGTCACTTATACAAAGTCGCCCTGGGCCCGAATTCTTCGATCCTCACAATGCCGTCATTCCCGACTGCACGACGCGACAACGTCCTTGACAATGTTTTGGGATTCTCATTATGCTTTTTTAGGCAGATGTTGCGCCAAACCTGTGACATGGGAGGGAACAGGCCATCTGTCTCTCGCCCGCGGCGCATCACGACGCTTGAAAGTTTGCTTCCAAGTAACATCCTATCAGGTCGCAAAGATGTCCATGTCCAGTTCCTCTGAAGATACAACAGGTACCAACGTGCTCCATAGGTCCATGTCGCCTTCGAATGAAGGGTCAAATAACTGTAGATAAGAGACAGAGTCAGCCATCCGCAATCACCATTTCTCCCCCTCAAGTACGTGCGCGTAGGCGAAGTTCAAGAAGTTTGAAAACTGTAGAGGTGGGAACACACCTCTTGGAAGTATTGGTTTTCACCCGAGTTGGGAGTGTTGGATTCAGCTTCATTTTGAGCACCGACACCAGCATCTGATGAGTCCATCATCGCAGTGTTGGGTTCGCGAACTTGAGCTGCGAAACCTGCACCGGAGGGTCTGGCTGAGTGAACGGCCGCGGAAGCCGCTGCAGCCCACTCACCAATGTATGGCCAATTGAAAGCACCGCCCGTCTCAAAATTGAGACGATGAGCGTATCCCGAGGCGACACCCATCAGAACCAGATCAGACTGGGCGGTGGCCGCACCTGGATTGGACAGGATATGGATGAAAAGCATGATGGATGCCCGGAATGGTCCATACAGTGCAAGCCTGTCGTTTGATCAGATCGGTGTCAAATCTCGTACACAGGACAACAGACTGCTCCATCAGCTAGGACAGACACTCACAGTACCGGTGTATTGGGCTTCAGACGGATCAAGCCAGTGCACAGGATGATGCGGCGCGCAGTCTCGGCAACGGTACGACAAGAGCTTTCCACCTGGGCTCGAAACGCGTCGAATTGGCCTGAGTCGGTGAAATGGAACCAAGGGACAAGCAAAGAGCTGTGGATGTCGATCAAAACGCTGTAGTAGAGAAAGTATGCCACCATGAGCTGACATCTGGTCATGTTTTGTGGCAATTGGGTATCCTCGACAGCGTCATCGAACGGTATGAAGTGCTTGACGGTATGTTTTAAGGAATCTACCTTGGCGTTCAGCTCGGTCACTGCGCGTATCATTTTTTCTGTAGGTTGTCGCCGGGCTCGGGCACTTGACAAGCGCCTATATGCTTGCGATTGAATTTGTCCAAGCAGGACACAGATCGTGGTGAATGTGGCGCTTGTATCACTGACGCTAGTAGATATCTCGGGAGTCTCGCAGCTAATCTCATCGTCGTCTATGGCCTGTGATGATAGTCAGTGAACATCAAGCATCTCTCTCATCCAGGATGACGATCCTACTGGTGGAAGTCCCGAGCGGGAAGAAATCTGCCTATCCAGTACGTATATATTCCAAAACAGCTGGTTGCGTTGCAAAATTTCCCGCCGTGAAAGTCTCCACGTAGGCGGTGCCTGGCAGTGGAGCCCTTTTGCAATGGCCAGGCGCATTGCATTCGAGATCAGGGTATATGTCATGTGGGGGCTACCGATGCCCTCGCTGAAGTATGCCTGTTCTCTTGTCAGGCACTCGTTCGTGTAGGTTGCCAGATTCCGAGACTCACCATGAGCGATAAGGCTCTGACGCCGTTGATGGTAGCGTGACGATGCATGATGTCTGACTGTACCGACAAAGCGTTTCTGAAAAGAGCCATGGACGCCTCGGCCGCACGTGCATATGGCTCAGTCTGACTCAGAGCGATTCGACATCCGAACGCATATACCGTGAAGCGGAGGGCAAACCACGATAGATCTTCATCATCTGGACTCGGTCTTCGAAAATGTTCAAGCAGAGTAGTGCAGAACCAGTATTGGTCAACAATACCGAAGGCGGCATCGAGCGATTTTGTAAAGAATGCTACAAGTGTATCGAGTTAGCCATCGCGTTCGGAGACCTTGCCAGAGCCAGACTCGCCATTGACGTACGACCAAGCAACTTCCTCAGCAGGCTCGGAAGCCGGGAAATTTGCTGGGGTCGGGCCCGCATTCTGCTTGAAGAGCATGGTGACAGTCCTTGCGAAACTGTGTAAAGATTCTCTCATGCCAGGGTACTGCACCTTGCTCTCAAGCCATTCAATACCTGGCTGAGATGCAATAGATAAGAAGGCTCTCGGTCCTTTCGCGGATTCCCATATCAGCTTGGCAGAACTGAACATGTTACGCCTTCTTACCAAAGTATTCCCTGTTAGACTTGAAGGTGAATGTCAGTCCCCGTTCGTGTATTGAATCATCGACCATAACTCACCATCTCGGCTAAGAGTTGCTTTGGGCTTTCTGCTAGAGCTTGGGCGCTTCCAGTCTTTGCGACGCTCGGCGATTTGAGACCTGTTGTGGCAGTCGTAGCGGTTTGGCTCTGCTGACTCTGGAAGTACGCTGCATCGATGATGACGCGTGGCATCTGATCGTGATCAGATCCAGTACTGTTCCCTTGGCCGTCAAAATTTGCGCCTGCTACGGATCTAGGCTGACGACGGTCCAGGGTCGAGTCGAGATTAGATGGCACCCAGGTCGATTCAGACCTGGTGGCATTGTCCAATCTTTCAACCTCGTGTATTGTAATCGCTGATCGGTCGTCCTTGGGGAGTGCCGCCACACGGAAGTTGGTTCGAACGATCGAGGTATCCTCTGTAGGGGCTGCTCTCCCATGTCCACCATGGGCATCGGCTCGATGAGTCTTTGATGACGAATTGATCAAAGCTTCCAATCGAACGAGCCGGGTCGACATCTTCTCACTACGAATTCGACGAGGCTTTTGACGGTTTCGAGTAGGGAAAAGGCATTCTGTATGGTGGTTGGTACACTGCCTACACGGATGCCCTCCTTCGCCTGGACCCAATTTAGCCGGACCGATAGAGCCTAGGAGATTTCAATCACTTACACTTGACTTTCTTTATGCGGCAGAAACTGCAGGCTTTGGCGTATTTCGTCGCCGGTGCAGGCTCAGGCTCAGGCTCGTTAGATACCGGGGTTGCCACAAATTCACCGTCCATTTTGTCGGACTCGGAAGAAAGAGTGCACGCGTCAGTCACTCGCTTCGGGATTCGACAAGTTTCACGGGTGTTATAGGTGGCTCGCGGTAAGGCTCATTCGAAGCATCATGGGCAGACGTTGACCGAGGAGCGCGCGTGGCCATAGGATCACAGGCGAGGGCTTTTGGAAAGATCAAGTCGTAGTGCAAAGGACCACAACTTTGACAAAGACCAAGGGTGCCAGTTGTTACCTGATGGACACACCGCGAGGAACGATTTACGTGCCTTGGGCAATTGACCTTTCCGTTGATCACGTGGCGTCGCAGTCCTGTCGGGAAGGCAGGCGTGACCGTGTAGCACACAGCTCCAACTTCCAAGGAATCTCCCCAGCATTCTACGCATCGACGCCCCGCGACAGCGGAGGAGGTCTAGTAGATGTTGGCATTCAAACAACCTCCAATCAAAAAGTACGGGGCTGTAACACTCCGGGGTACGGAGTACGCCGTGGTTGAGCGAAGTCTCCGGTCCCACATCTTCGGCATTCGGGTAAAATGGGAAGTCCGAAACACAAAGGCGCGACAATCACTGACTTGGCTAGGTCCCAACTACCTAGTAACGGAGTACGACATGCCGGAGGCTCTCATGTGCCCGAGTCGCAGTATGGAGGTCCTCGAACTTCATGATCCCAGGGAGATGTATCCCGGGCATCCACGAGACCGACAAGAGCCTGAGCAGGCCGTCACAGACACGGCATTTGAAATTCAGTGCCTGACACGGTAGTGTCCTCTTCAAGCTCGGCGTCCCAGGCTTTGGTCGTTATTCTGTCGCGTTCAAGTTACAAACAGGCCGTTAGAACATAAAGTTCGACCCCCTTAACGATTCAATACCAGTTGTTTCCGCAGAAATCGTCACTGCCATCACTATGCGGTCCATGGGAGAGGTAAAATTCACAAGAGTGCTCGTCGTTGGCGCAGGTCCCGTTGGCCTACTCACAGCTTTGATGCTCGCCCAAGGCGGAATCGACGTCGATGTCATAGATTCCGCCACGCAGATCGACCCACGTCCACGGGGTATTGCTTATGGACCTCCCGCAGTCAGGTATGCCTTTTGATCAGTTCCTTGTCCCGGGGAGGTGAAGAGGCGTTGTGCTGAATTTGCAGCGCACTAGAGTCTTGCGCCGTGCCGGAGTCCTGGATAAAGCTTTCAAGAGAGGGTTGGAAGGCAAAAAAATGATCTGGAGGGAGCTCAATGGAAACAAGGTACGAGACTACGAGTGTATACTGTCCACCAACGGCATCGGTGGATTGTCCTGATCAGAGACTTCGTGTCAGATCACCGAAGTCGATTTTACCAAGGATCCGACGTTCACTGACCGATCCCTCATCCTGCCCGTCCACATCCTAGCCGGCTTGTTGTACGAAGAACTTGGCAAACTGGACAACGCCAAAGTCCACTGGGGCTGTAAATACGTTGGCCACGGTCAAGATGACAGTCATGTCCTGGTTGAAGCTGAACGCGATGGTCAGACCGAGACGTTCGATGTGGACTTCATGGTTGGGTGTGACGGTGGTCAGAGCGCCGTAAGGAGAGCGCTGTTCAAGGACTCGTTCCCCGGCAAGACGTGGGATGTGCAAATTGTGGCAATGAATGTAGGTGGGCTCTCTTTCGTGGTCTTGGGGACAACCGCCGACATTTGATGGCAGATCCGTTACGATGGTTTCGAAAAGGCCGGATGGTCCGATACGCAATGGATTGTCGATCGCGAGCACTGGGGTATGGCCTGCAAGATTGACAATACGGGCTTGTGGCGTTTCGGCTACGGTGAACGTCGTGCACTCGGCGAAAATGATCTCATGGAGGGCCGCGCTGCGAAAATGGAACGGCTCTTGCCGGGGTCACCAAAAGAAGGCGAGTATGAGGTGCTCAGGTGGAGTCCCTTCGTGATGAATAATCGATGCGTGGAGAAAATGCACGTTGGGCGCGTCCTCCTTGCTGGAGACGCGGCCCATTTGTGCAACCCAATGTGAGTCGACGACGCATTCTCTGATATACACACGCATTGGAACGGAACTAATCCACATCGACCAGGGGTGGCCTTGGTCTGACTGGAGGCATTTCGGACGTTGGGAGCCTCGTAGATGCTCTGCGGGGCATTCACGAAGAAAAGGCTAGTTTGAAAATCCTGGAGATCTACGATCAGACGAGGAGAGAAATATTCAACAAGTTCATCGATCCTATCTCCTCAGCCAACCTGGAGCGGATATGGATTGATGGATCAACAGCTTTGGAGAAAGACCCTACGCTACAATACATGCACGCGGCTGCTCAAGATCCGGCCAGGCTGGGTCATCTCCTCCGTGTAAGTTTTCAGGTCGATCCGCTACGGAGACGGTCGATGTTCTGACCAAAAGTCACAGACGCAGGATGTACTGACTGCGGATTTGACAAAACATTATGACCTGGTCAGTTGAGCTTCTGGCAGCGTCGAAAGCAATGGACAGTTCGAAATGAACCGGAAATGCTCTCATGCAATGATAGAGAAGAATTGATATGCAACGTTCAACAATAGGCGATGCCCAGGAGTTGAATGGGATGTATTGACGAGTCTGACCTCTGGCACTAGGAGGCCAGGTCCCATAGAATATACATAGCTAAAGGGGTGAAAATTCTTCCTTTTAGTTGCAGGTCTTCTCTCCGACGCATCGGGGAGTTCCATTAGGTCATCGGTGGCCGCCGGCGCAATTAATCGGCCGTCGACGAGAACCTGCTCAACATGAGGTCAATATAGCCCAAATGGGGTTAAAGGATTGAATTTATGGTGTTGCAAAAGTTGCAAAAAAAGCGTTCTAAGCGAACATTATTTCCGTCATCAAATGATTTCGGAGCTATGATCAACGGAAAGCCGTTTTGCGAGCTCGAAACCCCATGCCTCAGCAGCCTTGTCACCTGTGCCCAGGGCAAGTGGTGGACTGAGGTGATTATGGCCCGGAAGCTCCCAATATTCCGCTTGTCCGCCGACGTCCTTCCACTCTGTCGTCAATTGCTTCATCGTGTCTATGAGCAAGACAGGATCATACTCGGTGGCGATGAGCAATAGCTTTGGACGGCGCAGGATTGCCCCGTTGTCATCTTTGGCGTGACTGCTGTACTTCCTTCGCATCAAATTGATCGGTGCATTGTGGACGATAAGTTCGCGGGTCGTGTAATATTTCAATAGATGAGGCACCATGTGCGTCACGAATGAGTTGTCCGGATCTGCCAGCAGCGTAGAACTAAGAATAATCGCCCTGCTGAGAAAGAGCTTTGCTGAAGGCTCCGTGACTCGTTGCGTCGATCCTGTGAACTGCTTATCGAAGAGCCACCCAGCTAGATGTACACCACCGGCCGAGTTGCCCATGAGGAACAAGGTCCTCGGTTTGTCTCTTCTCGTGCAAAGATTCTCCTCAATCCATCTGATGACGAGGTCGAGATCTTGTCCGCCGCTGTTGAACACGGCACCGTGCTGTAGCAGGCGATAGTTCATCACAACGGCGTCGTAACCCATGTCTTGTGTCAGAAAAAAGGCTAGACCTTTGTACACCACTTCGCCTGGGATCTCGGGCGCAATGCTCCCCCCGCTGACATTGGCGCCACCGTGGACAAAAACAAAGATCGGTCTATCTTGGCCCGAGCTTGAAGAAGGGCGATATAGATCGAGGGTTTGACGCTCATGGTCGCCATAGCGGTGGACCTCTCTTGGAGTGCTGTTGAGCAATGCCAAACGTTCCGGTCGGCGTAAAAGATCGCCAAATGCCTGGAAGGTAACTGGTGCTGAACCGACCACATCACGGCCCAACGCTGGTAATTTGTCCATGTTGCTTGCAAGTTCAAAAGTTTTTCTGCCAACGATATGTCTATTGCCAGAGCAGGAAGAAGAGGTTCACGACAGCAAGACGATCCCAGCCATGGACCGGGCTGGGGGTTCAAAAGGAGCATCTTCCCGGGGAGTTGTTGACGAAAATGGTGGATCCTCAGCTCCACTTGGACCTGTCCAGGAAGAGTTAGGAAGAAGTTGGGAGGATCGACATGCTCGCTAATCCGGGGTTGAAGTGACTGAAACCTCTTCGGAAAGTGACAGATTTTCTCACAATACCGAAACTAGTTCTCCGACTTCAAGTTTGCCGAAACGTGCTCACCCCAGAAGCGGCCCAGTCAAGTTCGGCCTGAAGGCTATTGGACGATGATAACGACCTGCGGGATCGAGTCCATGATGGAGTGAAGTGATGCAGTGTCTGTTGGGTCGGGTGCTCGAGGTGCTTTGACGGGATCTGGTCGTGTTTTGGGGCCAGTGGTTTTGAAGGACACGTCTCTTGGGCGTGCGACACTGCCGCGGAAAGAAAGGTTACGGAACAGCTTTGAACGACGCTGATTCCCGGGTCCGTCATCGACACAGTCTGTCTTCGGCGGTGAGAGGTCTCCCCCCCCCAAATGTCAGTCTGTGACATCGTATGATGAAGTCCGACGTGAGAAGAGTCCCGCTTGCGGTTGAATACCACGCTGCTTTTAAGAAATGGTTCTCCACGAACGTGACAACGACCAATAAGACGACGTCTCTAGGTCCCCACGTCAGACACTCACTCATCCTCTTTCAGACCGCAGACATCTCGGGCGGCTTCTACGCTCGTAGCGAAGGGAAGAGCAATGCGGAACCTAAAGGCCTGGACCAAACAATCTCTTGCATTCTCGTTCAAGGAGTGCTCGTGGTCCTGTCTGCGCTTCACCCGCCGTGATACGTTGCTTTCCTCGCAGCAAAAACCAGATGCGCCGATCTTTTGACAGTCATCAATCGAGATTGGGAGCGGGCGACTCAGCATCCCACTTCTTCAGTGGCGGCGCCCCGTGGGGTGGAACACCAGATCTGATGACCTAGAATGCCCAGAGTGCCCTACGGAGTGCTAGGTCTGGGACACTGATGCCGAGGCACGGAGAATGTTGAGATCCAGAAATTCGCATCCGCAGGAACAAGACGACAACCGAGTCCGACGGCTCACTAATCAAGTTACTCGACAATCTATACTCCCCTCCCGTCTATCCTCCAGCCGCTAGCATACCAAAATCTCAAGCCACCTTTTCTGACAAAGTCACTTGCGGGAATGCGGCGTATCGTCGAAGCTCGCATCTCCGTGACAGTGTAAGGGTGCCGTAGTGACAATCTGACTACACCACCGGTAGGCGACTAAACCTTGATTGACGTCGTATATCAACGGAATTGGACAAGCGATGGTTTACGGGTCGCCTGATAGCTTTTGAATTGTCTGCAACCTTTACCTCCTCTTTTCTCGCATTGCTCAATGCTCGCCCATTTCCCGCGGAATTCTGATCTTGGTCAGCATGAGACAGATCAGATCGCTACCCGGCATGGCCCTACGAGTGCCACCACCGCCACTGCCCATGCACTCCTTTCAACAGTACGCCTCATGTGACTGATATTGAGACCCACCAATGCCCGGACCGGTACTTTACTCTCTTTGCTGCATTTTGACGTTAGCATACTTTCACAGTCCCCACCTACCAGAGAGGCCATTGAATTTTCCGCAATGGGATTATATTCTTACCTCACATTGGGATGTAGGGTGGATCCAGGCTTCGACCACTTTCTAGACTAGTGACAACTCCGTCCCTGTTGACGTCGACCGGAACAGCATGCAAGCGGAAACCGCTTCAGAGGTGTGAATTCGACTCTCCACGTGGGATTTTGTCGCTCTCTTGACTGGAGGATATAAAGGCTGCTCTTCTCTCCCGAGTCGCTCAATTTCGGCGCCAAATGCTTCCAATTCCATATAGCCAAAATGGTCCCGATCCTTACGTGGGCCTATGTAAGCTTTCTGCTCCTCTCGGTTTCGTGGGCCTCCAAATGTCCAACTAAGAAGAAACCGAACATCATCTTCATCCTGACGGATGACCAAGATCTACGGCTACATTCTCTCGAGTATCAGACACAGACCATGAAGCATTTGCGTGATGGAGGGACTAGTTTCGAAAAGCATTTCAGCACGACTGCGGTGTGTTGCCCGGCACGCGTTAGCATATTAACTGGGAAAATGGCTCACAACACAAATGTCACTGATGTCTATCCTCCATGGGGTACGTCGGGATCACAGCTGCAGCTTTGAGACTTGGCTGATATCTTCTTCTAGGCGGGTACCCAAAGTTCGTCCAAGAAGGCTACAACGACAAGTATCTGCCGGTCTGGCTCCAGAATGCTGGCTACGACACGTACTATACTGGCAAACTATTCAACGCCCACAATCTCGCCAACTGGAACAAGCCACTCCCTGCAGGTTGGAATCAGACCGGCTGTAATGACCCCAAAGGTCTCATTGTGTTTGACCTGCTGCTAATATCGTGGCGTAGTTCTCCTTGACCCGGGCACATACACATACTATAACACTTGCATACAGATGAATGATCAACCTCCAGCCTTCCGTCCGGGAGAGTACTCGACAGACATCATCGCGAATCTCTCACTCTCATGGCTTGACATGGCAGCGAAGAGCAGCCGACCTTTCTTCTTGGGGCTTGCCCCAATCGCGCCGCATACGGAATCCATCATCGGGCGCGGCAATTCGGTTTGGTTCGACGTTCCCAGACCGGCAAAACGACACGAGAACCTATTTCTAGATTCCAAGGTCCCTCGTGGGCCTAGCTTCAATCCTGAGGAGGCATGTTCATCTTGTTCTGAGGGAGACAGAAGGGACACTAACTCCGGGTCGACATAGGCTCAAGGTGTCAGCTGGGTGAAAGAGTTGCATCGTCAGAACCAGAGTGTGGTCGATTATAATGATTCATTCTACGTGAAGCGGTTGCAATCGCTGCAGGCTGTTGATGAAATGGTGGGTGCTCTGTTTGAAAAGCTCAAAGCACTCGGCATGGACCAGAACACCTACGTTATCTACACCAGCGACAACGGCTTCCATATTGGTCAGCACCGCCTGAATCCAGGCAAGCAATGTGCCTTTGAGGAAGATGTCAATGTGCCGTTCCTGATTGCCGGACCCGGCGTGCCAAAGAATCATTCCGTTAGCTTCACCACGACCCATCACGACGTAAGCCTAATCCAATTTGCGTAATATACCGTGTACTCATTGTTCACAAACTGGAGTCACCGTGGTCGCGTCCTTAGCTTTTGAGGCAGTCCAGCTGACCATCGGGCAGTTTGCAGCTACAATTTTCGATCTCGCACAAATTCCTCTTCGTCAAGACTTCGACGGCACACCCATGCCATTGACATTACACGCCATGGATAAGGTGGCAGTGTCAACCATTCGTGAGCACGTTGCAGTCGAATACTGGGGAGTCGCAGGCGAAGAAGGAGCATTGTACAGATCGGGCGTCAATGGTAGCTTCAGTAAGTCTCACTTGGGTCGTCGGCAACCAGGACTGGGCACTAACGATTTGATCAGCACCTCATGCAAATAACACCTACAAGGGTATACGTATCGTCAGTCCACAATATGACCTAATGTACACTGTGTGGTGCAACCACGAGCACGAGCTATATGACATGAAGGTACGGATGAATTGACAGCTATCGCTATTGGGACCTGACTCTTTGGACTGACAACTCTTGGGTTGATCCAGACCGATCCGTACCAGACCTACAATCTGTTCCAAACGTTCGTCCAAATCAATGGCCAGCCCGTCAATAACGTGGTGTCGAGGTTGGACGCACTGTTGATGGTGATGAAGTCGTGTAAAGCGAGCCAATGCGTTGAGCCATGGTTGACTCTTCACCCAGATGGGAAGGTCACCCATCTCATCGACGCTCTAGATCCTAGCTTGGACAGCTTCTATGCCAGCCAGCCCAAGGTCGCCTTCACCGAGTGTGCTCTAGGCTACATCATCGCTGCTGAGGGGGCCATGAATGTGGATCCATACCATGTACCTGACTGAGCGATGAGAGTATCATGACGACTGTTCAAAGGTCAGTCGGAAAAATCACGTCCGACGAGGGGAAGCTCTAATCGCTCCAGGGCCACTCTATCTGCAACTCGAGGTAGAATTATGTACAAATTCTGTAGACTGATTGAACTAGAGACCAAATCTCAATCAGTGCCACATAAGAATGGGTATATACAGCCTACAGGTAGTGAAAAGTGCGTTCGCCATCAGCATCATGCATTGTTGAGTCCTGACTAGGTGAATTCTACGGGCCATCAACTTCGCTCATCGATGTCCGCGCATCATGGTGAGCCAACAAAAAGGCATGTATTCCATCTGCGCAATCAATAGAAGCCTAGCAGGTCATGCGGCCTGTTGCGCCTCTGATTTTCAAGAGCTACCCAGCGCTTCTTGAATTGCCTTGAGGACACCACCGAAATCCTACATGCAATTCGTGTCAGTCGGCTGTCTGATTCCACAAGACCTGTTAGAGATAGGGCGACTGCGCGACTGCGCCAGTCACTCACCGCCCAAACTTGATGTGATTTGATCTTGACACTGTCTTCGGCACCCTGGTCGAGACAGATCCTGGCGGCCCATTCACCTGACACCGATTTTCCGTTCGCAAGGCCCTGAACGGCCGACCCGATGATGAGCAAGTCTGTCGCGCTGGAATCGAATGCGTAGACTCGAATCAACTTGTGACACCGCGTTTTGATCACGCTCCATCCATTGTCGCGAGACTTTTGGATTTCTGGGAAGCAAAAATGTTTAGTCCATTGGGGAGCGACACACTTCCCCCACGGGGGCCAACAAGGTCTCTGCCACTTTGTTTTGGAGGGTGTAGCGGTGTGGAATCGACAGGTCACATATGTCGCCACCGTCACCATCATCGGAGAGTTACTCGTACGTACCTGCGTGGCCGCGGACAGGCCCGGCGTGGCCCATGATGTACCCGTCATCGGTATAGAGGTCCGCAACTTCGGCACCCGCTGTCGGTGTGTTGGTGTCCAAGAGGTTAAAATACTTGTCGAGGAAGTCCTTTTTGGCTTCGGACAGCTCGATGGACGAGGGCCATTCTGTTTCGGCGGTGTTGTATCCCATGGCTGAGTCTGATTTTGAGGGTTCTCCTCGCTCGTGGTTTTGTCGGACTGGACTGTGGATAGGTCGGGAGACCGCTTGATGTACAGTACGGTTTACCTTGGGAATCAGCCTCAGATAATCCGCCACGGGGTAATATCACTTATAGAGTATATTTCCTGCTCCGTCACGCACATCGGGATCATAGCTCCCAACAGCCCGTACGGGTAGCAAATGGGAGCTCATCTCGAAAAGCCGGACGCTACATGCCTCGCAGTCGACATTCTGAGTCACCGAAGTTGTGGAACCATGAGGCCGAGAACGGTCACTGTAAGGAGTACTCCGTACCATATCATCACTCCACTTCTCACTGTCCAAAGGAGGTAACTGGGTATCCGTAGATCTCAAGTGGTCACTGGTCAGCATTCCGCGGAGCCGAGGCTTGAGGTTTTGTCCACGGAGAGCACTACTCCGCGAGATCGCTTTTAACCGCGAGCCTGAAGCCAACATTCCTGTATTCCGGAGTCCGTACTGTCCTATGATTGTTCAGTAAGCTTCGCAGGAAATTCTACGTAGCCGGACATATATTCGGCAGGGTATTCCGGGCACGGTTCAGGGCACTAACTTAGAGGTCTCCTCGATATCTCGTGGCTTATTTAGGTACCTACATGTAGCTTAGGTACATAGCAATGGTTCACGGGCTAATGGTGGCCTGGGCAACCTAGAGAGGCGAATGCCACTAATAGACGCGGGCAAGGGGGTTAGCCCCGGGGAAACTGCATGGTGCGAAGACCGGGCACCCAGACAGCTTGTTAGGCCCGGTGAGAAACCCCCGCGACCCCGAAAGGCCAGGCAAGGGTCAGGCGACGGAGTTTGACTCCAGTCGCAAACCGGCCACAATCCCCCGTCTTTCTCTTCAGACCTAGTCGTCTATCTTCCTTCTGCCTCCATGATAACCTCACGCCGAAAGGACATCGACACACCAGATGGTAAGGAGAGGTCCTGTAGCCACGGCAGCCAGCGGTGGTCGGAAACCTACTCGACGCAGGCCGGCGTTGCTCGCCTGTGATAACTGTCGAACCAGAAGAGTACGTGACCTCTGCCCAAGCCAAATTCCCGGACGTTGGACTTATCGCAACAGCTCAAATGCACCTACAATGAAAGGCCTTGCATGAACTGTAGACTCTACCAGAAGGCCTGCACGCAATCAATCAACCCAAAAGCCAAGAGCGCCTTGATGCGATCCTCAGAAGTCCCCTCCTCCAACACCCTTGATCATGGCATTTCAGACCAGGGAGTCGCATCGAGGACTTCGACATTGGTCGGGCCTGCTCCGGACTTGCTCAGACCTCTGGGTGCAACTCTCGCCCTGCAAGAGCATAGCGAGGGGCAAATGGACTGTGCTTTCACCCGCAGCGTCCCCAGCAGCCTATTCAGCTGGACAAGCTCTTCGAAGATGAGATCCGGAGATCAAACGTCCCATTCCATGACTTCTCCTTCCTCGGCGACCTAGTGGACGGCGATTCTGAGTCTTTGGACGACCCACAAGCTCCATGCCTGCCCGAAACAGCTATCGCGCCACCGGTAGCTGGCCTTGACGACCACGTTCAAACTCTCCGGTACACGCCCACATCCATCCCTCGCTTCTCTCAGGAGGATGATAAGCTTTCAGGTGTGGAATCTCTCCAGCCATCTTCCGGGAGCGCCAGATCGGAGAGTCATATTCCAGAGGGGCTTTTCATCAGCATCGCCAATGCCAAAGGCGGCTATCTAGGCAGGGTCAATGCCCTGTATTCGCAGTCTTTTCGCTGACTCGGGATTCAGGATCTGATTCTAGCGGTGCCACACTCGCAAGTGCCATCCATACTTCCAAAACCAAACACCCTCAGCTCTCGAGTGACCTCAACTTCGAATGGCTTGTCCAGGCCGCAAAACATATCGCCAAATTCGATTCAGACGCTACAATGGAGCTCTCATCAGGACAATTACCTCCAAAATCTCTTGCGGCGATTTGCGTGAACGGTAAGGGTCGTCCATTTCGCCGAAGCAATCATGGTTCATGGTCGCTTACTCTTGCCGACAGCCTACTTCGATAATGTCCAAGCGTATTACCCGATCTTGCGCGAACATCAGTTCCAAGCCAGCTGGGAGTCATTGTATGATCGAAACCAGAAGACTCATCGGGTGGCACAATACATACTTTTCTGTCTGGTCCTCACGATTGGCGCTGCCAGCGATGGGATGAAATCTGCGTTTTCATCGCCATTGGATCAATTCTCCTGTCATCTGTTTCAAAAGGCCTGCGCACTGGTCTACGTTCCCATGACCGAAAGTTCCCTGGTGGCATTGCAGGTGATGCTGCTTCTGGTGCGTGCTTCTTGACGACATGAGACATACATGATCTAACCTCTCCCCTGACCATGTTCTTGGAACTCCACGGTCAATACAGTCTGGCATCTGTTCTCTGCGGATTGAGTATCCGCATGTGTCAGCAACTCGGCCTACACAGGAGAAGTCCTCTGGACCTCAACCTTGATCCAGATGAGATCAAATTTCGATCTCAACTGTGGTGGATTGCCTTTAAATTCGAAACGTGAGTTGTGAGCAACGTCGACATGCCGGTTAGAGTTCATAACATTGTCTGCTTGTCACAGATCTTCCCCTATGTGTGAGGGAAGACCAACTGCAGTCCGCGAGCTGACATACGATGTCGACATCTTGCCGCTGTGCTCTGACCAAACCAAAGCGTCAGACACTGCTGGATTGGTGTCTGCGATCCACTGTTGGTATGCCAGACTGACCGAACTCTCGAACCGATTCGCGACCATCAACAGTCTTTGCATCACCCCAAATACCAGGTTAGAGGCCTTGAAGGATCTTAACGATACCCTGACGCGGTGGAGGGATCAGTTGCCTGTTACACTTCAACCGGGACCAGACGTGGTTGCCGACTGGAACTCGTATATGCTGGTGGCGCCATTTCATCTCGATTACTTCAATCTCTTGCGCTCGATTCACTGGGCTTGTATCACGGCGATCACCACAAATTGGGAGGCCATCCATGATTGACATAGATCCTCACTCCAAGCCATTGAGACGAGGGTGGTGTCTGTAGCACGTTCATACGTCCAAATCTTAAACAGGCAAGTTACCGTGGTTGTTGTCCCCACCGCGAGGCACTCTTGAAGTCTCCTAATGTTTGTCTCTTCCAGCATTGCTGATGGCAACACTGGTGGAAGTTTATTTCCCCTCTCGTAAGTATTTACCTTCGTCGACTGTTCAGTATTCAAATCTGAAACTTGCTGCAGCATCCGCACAAGTCAATACTTATCCACCTCGGCGATTCTGCACAGGAACATCTGCGACAAGCCCAGCCGCTTCGCCGCCAAAACTGACTCGGAATATCTCCGCGCAGTCAAATTACACCTTCAGCGCGACTCGTTATCATGCGTGTGGAGTTCGGCGCTGCAGAGCGCTTTGGATACAATGCTCCAAATATTGGAGCATTTGGTTCGCGGTGAATCAGTCAACATTGACGCTTCGACAGTGTGAACACTTTTGAGAGCTTGCAAGACCACTCAGATCAGATCGGAAACATTCATTCGACTTTGGATACTGGAAGTCTGGAGAAGCACCTGACGTCTTGAAATCCCATTTTGATCCTAATAGCAGAGACATTGTCTTGGAGGTTGAGGGATCTGGGGCAGTCTCAACGAGCCAGGTCATGTTTTTGACAGGGCCAATCGTCGCCTCGGAAGGATCAAAGTCACACAAAACCCATGGAGAGGGAGCCCCCAGACACTTCAGAGTGCCCGTATGATGGTGGCACGGCATGCCGTTGGGCCACGATTCACGAAACTACCAATGACAGCAGTTCTGCGCTCACTCGGACTCATCAATCAGGGACATGGGCTTGCAGTAAGTCGTGAGATTGTCACTGGACAGAAGCGGGCCTGGGAAACAGGGAGAATCGCTTTCACTCACTATGATACTGTGGTGGCTCTGCTGATTCATGGATCTCTTGGGTGTTAGTGTCGTGGTCTCGTGGTTTTCCTATCTTCAAGCCTCGAACGAGGCGGCCCGGAACCCAGTCTTGACGACTATCGCTCCCTCAATGAATCGGAAAAAACTACTCGAAGACCATCTTGTTGGAAATCGTGCCAATTTCGTCGATGGTGATCTCGACAACATCCCCGTCCTTCAACCACGCCGGTGGCTTCATAAATGCCGCAACTCCACTGGGCGTGCCCGTCATGATGACTGTGCCCGGTTCCAGCGTGTGCCCCCTGGCCGTGAACCTGACGATGTCTTGCACGGTGAAGATCAGGTCCTCGATACTGCTTCTCTGACGCTCAAGCCCATTGACCTTCGTGACCAAAGTCAAAGTTCCTGGGGACGGAATCTCTGCAGTCGAGCAGATGACGGGTCCGAGGGGCGCAAACTTGTCGAAACTCTTCGAGTAACCTGCTTGTTGACCGGATCTGTCAGGCATCTGCCAATATCGAGAAGAGACGTCGTTGCCAACGGTATACCCGAGCACGTAGTCTAGCGCGTCGTCGGTCTCTGAGAGGTCCTTGCATGTTTGTCCAATGACGATACACAATTCGCCCTAGACAGACAGGTTCCCCATGTCAGCCAGAGGTTTGAGCGTCGCAGTAGCTAAGGCGCACGTCTTGAAAACCAGGTAAAACGTGCCTGTGGCTTGTGGAGTTGCCATACCTCGTAGTCGAGAAATTGAGCATCTTTGTGGATTGGGATATCATCGGCTGGACCGGCGAGACAAGCTGAAAGATCAACCCGTTAGCATGAGCACATCCACTGCACCCTCCTGAGTCACCTACAAGAAGGCTTGTTGAACAGGATCGGGTATGCCGGTGGGTTTGTCTTTATCGAAAACACCTGGTCAGCTCTGAGTGTTGAAACCAACGCTGCTTTGAGACTGATATATCTATGACACCGGACCAGAATCGACTAGCATCTCTGTTCCGCCGTACCTTTGTCTCGGCCGCATGTGCCTTGTAGTTGAGCCCGACACAACTGAAAATCGGCACACGAGGCAGAGGTGCGAGAACCTGTCGAGTAGAGTGTCCTGGTCAGATCAGCGTCGGATAGATATCTCATCATGAGGGGGTGGGGGGAAGAGAGAGATGCTCTGTTCCGTTCACTCTCCCTCCATACCTTGTGAATAACATCCTTCTGGCCACTCTTTTGGAAATCGGGATCCCATGGAACTTGTCCAGTATAGACTTCAACCGTCGAACCGACCAGAGTCTTCAGATCTCCTGACGCCACTTCGCCGTACTTGACCTCGCCTGACTCGTTCTCGAAGCGCACAAGGCGACGGAATGGGAATGAGGAGACCATTGTTAAAAATGTAAAATTTGACTCGATGGAGAAGCACGTGGTGTCAGTGGAAGTGAAAATGTCAGTTCATGAGTCTCTCGACTTGGAGGCGATACAGTGATGAGTGAATGGAGGATGTGTCTCCGTGACGAAGGCCACAAGTCCAACTAAACGAAGTACCCTAGCGGAGAGTCGCGACAAGACACTGCAGCAAAGCTCGGCAGGGAGTACTTGTACTGAGTCTTCGCACCTGGTCTTCGGCACTGCTGGGGACCTGGGCCAATGGGCGGACTCTGGGCGTTCAGGCAGCGGAGTACACAGAGCATGTCGAGCTTCCGAAGTCCGTGGCATATGTTGCGGACAATCTGGAGATAAGACTCTGGTCAAACCATCCTGGGACCACCGAACCATCATCGTTGAACGTAACCTATTGACGTAGTTAGGAAGTACTGGACCCGGTAAAACTTTTCGAAGCCGACATACGCGGCACGAGCCCGGCTCCGGACCTGTCCCAATCACAAGGGTGAGGATTCATTCATTCCGTCCTCCATGCCTCTGTGGTCGATCGGCAAACTTGATTGGCCGGCCTTGTCAATCCCCGGAGGAAATGGGAATCGAATCCACCTGCAACAGCCGAGCCACCCCGGAGTTTTTGGAATTCGGACTTTGGAGTATTCGCATGGACCAGGCATTGCTGGTGGGTGCCGCAGATATGGTGTCTGACCATTATCACCTGTCACGTATCTCATCTACCCAAAGTTGTTGTCATGGTCGAGGCTCAAGACCGCATAAAGATCCTCAGACCTTTCTACCAGTTTGTGCTGCTTCCACCGCTCACTATACTTGCAAGGTTTTACCGTCTTCGCATCAACATACAAACACACACACACACACACACTCTCTCTCTCTCTCTCTCTCTCTGAGTTCTCGCGCCATGGCAGTAGACTACGACAACGTAGGTACTCAAGTGGTCAAGCCCAACCACCTGGCTCACGTTGTCCTGCGCACGAACAACCTCAAGCCCATGGTGGATTTCTACAAAACATTTCTCGGGGCCCATGCATCATTCGAGAACGACATGATTTCGTTTCTGACGTACGACCACGAGCACCATCGTGTCGCCATCGCACAAATTCCAGGAACAGGCCCCAAGAACCAACAGACGTGCGGTCTCGAGCACATCGCCTTCGCGTACGACAAGATGGAAGACCTGGTCCTGTCCTACCTCCAGCGCAGGGCCAACGGGATCCTGCCGGTGTGGTGCGTCAACCACGGCCCAACCACTTCCATCTACTACGCGGACCCGGATGGGAACCAGGTCGAGACGCAGGTCGACAACTTCGACACCAACGAGCAGGTCGAGAAGTTCTTGGCTTCTCCCGAGTTTGCGCAGAACCCCATGGGAACGGACTTCGACCCGGAAGATCTGGTCAAGAGGCTGCAGTCAGGCGAGGACATGGCTTCCATCAAGAAAAGAATCGAGATTGGTCAACGATTCATGCGGTGAACATTCTCGTGGGTCGACACCCTTCGGCAGAAGATGCGCGGGTGATGACCTGGTGTTCAAGGAGTATGCACCCCAAGGGTCCCACTGCCAAGGACATCGACTTGTGAGCCGTCATGCCATACATAGAGAGTTCTCAGAAGAAGTGCTACCAGCCCTTGGCTTCGCCTGCTAGTTGATTCCTGGTAAAGATACCCCTTGGGCGTAAGTCATTCAGTTCCTCAAGTAAGTTCGGTTTAAAAGGGTTAATAAGTGAGAGGTAAAAAGCGGCAACTAGCACACTATGAGATCACACTTCTGAAAAGAACGTAAATGCAGAGAGAGCTTAGCGAAACCCTACCACATCTTCCATCTGACTATAGTGGACATGCCGGGGGCCTGCTCCGGCGGCGTGGTTAGCCGGCATGGCTACCTGTTCACCTATGCTAGACGCTTCCAGTGGTGAAACGTAACATCTATGAGCTTATGAATAGACAGAAATTTTGGAGGAAGTTTGACGAGATTAGAGGCTTTTATATAATAATACTCATCCTTATAATGATGATATCATATTTTGGAGTTCGACTTAAGAATGGCCTCCCAATCGGCCGTGAAATGGCTTTTCCAGACGTCCTCTCCCTTCTGTGGCGTCCATCCGAGCGCTCGCGCTTTGTGGCCTCTCGTACGGGAGCTGTTCGCCGATCGTTAGTTATCATATCTCAGCCAGGCTCAAGGACTTCACATACTTGGATGCCCATCCAATTTCAGCAATCAATCCCCAGCCTCGTCCCAGGATATCTTTTGCCTCAGCCAGGTCCAATGATCGAAGCTCGTTTGTTTCTAGGGCGCCGATCGCGACACCAGCATCAGCAACTCTTTGGCCAATCTCCTGCCACGTATGTTCGCCGTTCTCGACAAAATATATGCCATCCTTGCCACTTGGGACGTCTTGCTGTGTAAGGATTCTGTGCAAGATGAGCTCATAACAACTCGCCATGTCCTCAACATGGACATGATCCCATATCGCCGAGCCATCGCCGACGACAGGAACCTTTCCCAGTTTCAGGCCGGAGCGGATCAAAATTGGAACGTGGCAGAATTCATGCAGGGGGTGTGCACCGATGCCGTATATACATGGCATCATCATGATGTATGTCTTGACGCCGTATTCGAGCCCAACCTCGGTCACAACCACATCCGACGTTCGTTGAGCGTATGGGACGTCTTCGTCTCTTTTCTTCAAGTAAGAGAAGATATCTTCCTTATCAGACAGCGGGTAGCCAGATTCGAGGTATTGTTTTGTGACTGGGCGATCAGCCACATTAGAAGTTCCCGACGTCTATTCAGGTGAGTGATGGGATGGAACGCTAATTCACCACATACTTACATGAATGTAATGGACATCTCTGCCCGTATTCTTCTTCCGTTTTGCCAACCCTAGGACAAGTGCACGTGCAGAGAGAGTATGGAACCCAGATGCAGCGTGGATGACGACTGTTGATCTCAATAAGCAATCTGTCCATGCGGTCGATGGGAGCATTATACTTGCCATCATGCTCAGCAGCCGCGTCTGCTAATATCTCGGTTTCGTCGAGGGTATTGAATTGGATGATTTTGACGCCTAGGTCTTTCAACGCTTCGGCCTTGTCCCCTCTCACCACGCAAGTGATGGCAGATGCTTTCAAAGAGTCGTATTTCGATTTCAGGAGATTCGCCAAAATCTCGCCGCCACTGGGGTTTCGATTTCAGCTGCTTATCCATCAAAGGGCCATGTTCATCGACTCACATATAGCCCGTGGCTCCGGTCAAAAGGATCTTGGTGGTGGTAGACATCGCGGATCGTAAACGAGTTCTGTATGACGTTCTGCACCTTTTTGCATGAGCACTGATGCTAGGTTTGGGTCTCTGGCCGATGTGTGGTCGCTTATTATATACCTCTGCCCATGCTGTATCCGAAGAGAATTCTTTCTCCCTTACCCATGTTCTCAACTGGATTTTGGTATGTGGACTAAACTGTCATTTGTCAGCTTGGTGCTCAGCGGCCATAAATGCATTCCGATGATTGCCCAAGATCCTCCGCTGCGGCAAGTCAAGGACGTTTCGAATGTCCTTTGCACCGAGTCAAGTTCTCGTGTTTACGAGAATTTGCCTCGCTGACAAAGGGTGTATCCTCGCGTCACGCCGTCGGTACGATGAGTCTCTCGACAAACATATCGCAAAAACGAAGCGATCGCTGCTTGCCATTACGAATACTTGATTGGTGCGTGGAAAACACCTGCTTACACGAACTAGCTCCAAATAGCCAATGACATCCCAAAACGCACAAGAGCGCGGATCTGAAGACTTCAGCCCTGGCTGCATTTCTTTATGGGCTGGCACGAGATTGCTTCTGGGAACTAACTTCAAATGGCCAATGATATCCCAAAACGGACAAAAGAGCGGAAACGACGGCTCCCTCGCTATCTTTGTTTCTTCGTTGCCTATCACTTGGCATCGGCGGCGCTACGGACACAAAATACCGCCGGCTGATGTAAGAAAAGCCTTGGAAAGTCATGGCATCCTGGACAGTTAACTCGTCGGATATGAATGGCAAGCGAGATGCCTTCTCGACGCACGAAGACGAGCGACGACAATAGCCGGCATTTCTTGAAAGTGTAAACTGTAAAGGATCAACACTCCTCATGGCATTTCGATTTGTTCATATTTCTGGGCCAACGGGCCGAAATGAAAATCATGACTCAGTAATCCGATCGCACGTGCGGCAACATATGCTCAGGAAACAGAGAGGGAAGGCTGTAGCAACGTGGACGGCTACTTATGCTGGCCATCAAAGGATCCTCACCGGGGATAAGGATGACATAGTATACGAGTACGACAGCAAGGAACCGGAAAACATTTCCAATCTCGATGAGGCTTGCTCGGAATGCGCCGGACATGTCTTACAGAAGGGGAGATTACTCGTAGCTGAGCATACTTCAACTCCGCATGCATCTCGAGCCCATCTAGGCCACATGGGAGACAGGCTAAGTTCAATATCGGCAACAACCCAATCCAGCAGTTCATTTGACCCCTTCGCATCGATAGCTGTACCAGTGAACGGGGATGGGGAGATCCTCCTGTACCACTGTAAGTTTGACATTATCCTATGGTGGGGATCAAGACCGGGCACCTCGAGGGTTTTCATCTTTCGTTGTCAAAAGCATCCGAGGAATGACGAGTATATTCTATAGATGTCCACGTGCTGGGGCCTAGAGCGGCTTACAAGAGCCTCCTCTTGTTTAAACGAGGACACGACGAGTATGATCCCACAAAGCGATTCCTCCTACCAATGATAGTCTCCGACAAAGCATTTTGTCATTCGATGCTCACTGCGGCTGCAGCTCATCGCCTGCAGCTCATTCAAACCCAGGGCAGACCGCCTAACGTTGTGACGGCTTTCAGATGGTCTTATTCGTTCCATAAGAGCAAGACCTATCAGCTAGTCAACCAGCTTCTCACCGAGGATGAAGTAGCCCTCGCAGATACAACTGTTGGCACAATCCTCTATCTCGCCGCGGCCGACCTGATTTCAGGCGACATTTCTTCGGCACTAATTCATCTGGCGGGACTGTCACAAGTAGTGAAGCTGCGAGGCGGCATTCAAACTCTACCACGACTCCTGGCCTTCTTCTTAAATTTGTACGGCCCCACCCCCTTTCTCTCCCGATCCTCTTCGTTGGTCCAGCTTGTTGACTAGACCACGAGAACAGTACCGATTGTATGCTTGCCATGACTATTCTCGAAAGACCTCGTTTGCCGCTGTATTCCGCCAGAATTGCTGGATTCAACCATGTTTCTGCCACCGCAGCACAACCACCACCACCGCCGATCGAACAACCCGCGTTTCATGGCTCGGAACTGTCACAAATTCTCGACCGTGAATCACTAGGCATACTCTCCGAGATTCAAACCTTGGATGAAGGCTTTGAACATTTCACCACCCGAGTCGCAACCGTCTCCGATTTGGACGACATCGAATACCGATGCGTAGCAACTCAACACCGCCTCTTGAGCTTCGACTACAAGAGTTTGATGTTCACCGACGCTGTATCCCCCACGGTTCACACCGAGTCTCAAATACTTCAAGGCTGCTGTCGCCTCACAATGCTGATCTACTTTGGTGAGTACCTACTTGCATAGCCTTCCACTGGAGATCCCAGCCCCGTGCGTTGAAAATGTCCTTAAAATCTCTAACATGGGTCCTTTTTAAACTCCTCAGCAACGGGCGTATGGCGTTTCCCGGACGTCCTCCCGGAGAGTGCTCAGCTCATGAGCATAATCTCCGTCCTCGAGAACCTCCTTGCCTCCCTCTCTCCCTCTCCGACATGCGCGTCTCAAGGTTCGTCCTCCCTCGACTGGCAGCCGGCCCACCCTGAAGCCTTGTTGTGGATATGCTTCTACACCGCCTTCTCAGCCACTGGTTCCCAACGAACACGTTTTGTCGAGCTCATTCGGCGAACCTGCAACGTGCTCCGAGTGAGAAGGTTCAGGGATGCTGAAGCTGTTCTGGACAAGTTTTTGTATAAGCGCGCCGTGTTTTGTCGCCCGTTTCTGGAGGTTTGGGAAGAAGTGGTCTACCTGAATACAACATTAGGATTGCCAGATCCGAGCTAGCGGCAGTAAGAGTACGAATGAATTTCCTAATGGCGGCGAAGAGTAGTAATTCGATTCGACAAAGAGGTTTTTCAGATGAGACTTGAAATAGAATTTCTAGAGAACCCTCAGGGGCAGTACTACGTATTTCTCGGCCCAGAGTTATCTACCCATCCACTCCACGGATATCCATCTAGCATTGAAACATTTTGGTCGTACTGACGTTGATCCGGCTCCATTTCGAGCCAGTCCAGATACAAGACCAGAATTTCGTCGGCCAATAAACATGATACAGCCACCACCAGGGCAAGGGGTCCCAGACCTCGTACGTCCCATCTTTCCAGGTCAGAAGATGGGTGAAGAAGTCGATGTAGTTCCGCATAAGATCTCGCACCGTACTTTGAAGCGACAGAAATTCGAGAGTTGGAACGAACACTCGCGTCACCAAGTCATGACCGATCCAATAATATTTGTCGTTACAAAGTGGTCGGACGACGTTTGAGCTTCGTGTAGTGGGACCCTTGTCCAAGACAGAGAGGTAGCTGTCGGCCATGGTGGTCGTACCATTAAACAGCGCCACAGCGGTGTGGGCTCGTGGATTGCATTCGATCGGATAGAGCGTTACGTCTGCGGCTTTCAGAACTCGGTCGTCGTCCTCCACCATAAAGTCGAAAGACAGGTGTCCTGTGAAAGCCGGCCCGCCAACGGCAGCATATTTCCTGGTGAACGCCAACATTGCTTCGCTGAGTGCAGAAGTAGGGTCGAGTGCCTCGTAGTGCATCAGGAGCTCTGCGGACGGACAGGCCACAAACGCCTTCACTTGCCCGTTGACCACGAGCGAATGCGTGCAGTACTCTCTGCCCTTCACGAACTGCTGCAGGATCCAGGGCGACTCAGCCGAGATCCTCAGCTTCGCAAGGTGCTTGGACGTTTCCATCGGCGTGCTCTTGGGGAGCAGCGTCATGTCCCCACGGGCAGCGTCGTCTACTCCTACCGTCTTCATGATGTACCGACGTCCAGGAGGGGCGTTGCGCAAGACGCTTTCAACCTCGGCGCGGCTGCGGATCTCGTGCGTCTCCGGGACATTGAGGCCGATGTCCCTTGTGTGAGCGATGAAGGTGTGCTTTTCATGCAGCGTCTGCGTGGTCTCGACGTCGAACTGGATAGCTTTACAGCCCGTTCGACCTTCAACGATCTCCTTCGCCATGCCATCCTCAACCGCAGACGACACACCCGAGCAACTGACCCAGAGATCAATCTTTTCATTCGTGATTATGTCCAGTAAGCTCTGAATGTAGGGAGCGGAGCCGGACTTCGTCGTTGGGCTTCGGAGAGTGTAGAACCTGCGCAGTGACTTGGACATCCGCCCACAGACAAGAGCCCCATTTGGCTCAAAATCGGCCCCGACAACAACATGTCCAGCTTCGTAAAATGATCTAGCCAGCACGAGACCTTTGGTCATACCCACCCCGGTGACAAGAATCTTTCGAGAATTGCGACCAGTGGCGCTCTCAAATTGTCGAGGAGTGCCGCCTGCGTGGCTTGGGAAGATGAAGGCAACCAAAAAAGAAGATATGAGAACGAACGTGTCTAAGGGGAGGAAGACGAGGCTGAGGAGCAACAGGCTGGCATTCTGCAATCTGTGAGCTAGCACGGACGAAGTTCCGTCGAGCATTGCCACCACGTTCAGGTAGATACCGGTGCTCAGCGATGCGTTGAAAAGCTTCCCGTCCGGAAAGCTTCAGACACGTACGCGCACAGGAAATGCAAAAAAAAAAATGTTCAACGGGGTCTTTTTCAAATGCTGGAAGAAAAAAGGGAAAAGGCCCGACCTGGCATTGTTAGCTGGTCCAAATCGAAAATGTCAACGTCACGACATTCGGGGGTGGACTATGAGGCTGCTCGTTGGAGAGACGACACGGAACACATGCAGTACTCTGAGGACAGTCCACAGCCAGACCTCTATTCGAACTCCAGATTGCAGAGTTTTGCAAATCACGAACCTCCAAGACCCTCATGGACGGAGATTCGTGATATTCATGTGTTGAACTCGGTGCAAATGAGTTTGGTCGTCGCTGATTTTCACTCCGTAGTACTGCAGTCGACCGTACTTCTACAGTGAAGTACGGCGTAAGTAGGTGAACATCGGTATCAAGCCCTCAGCTTCTCCATCCAACGATCAGTCAATCACGTCAAGGCAACCAGGTGTTCGACAGAGGTTCCCAGATTATCCAATATTACGGAGCACTGTCAGCAGTCGTTTGGGTTCGTGCATCTCTTGAGAACGAAGCAATGGAGTGAGTACTCGAGAGTGACAACCATCGCCCGGTTGACACGGGTTGACACGGGTTGACAAATACTTATTCACTGCCTCCCATTGACTGAGATATTCTAGCATGCCTGTCTGTGATCCTTACAGCTACCCACGTAACGTGAGCTATCAGTTGGCGAGACGAGCGATCCCTGTCTTCTGCCCCAACCAGCTTCACCACGTGGACGCTGACGTTGATGCTCTCCTGCTCATCGGGCATATTCAGCGGCGAACGCTACCTCTCGTCAACCGACAAGCAGCATCTGTTTGTCTCCGCAGCTGACCAAGTCGACCGCATTGCCCTAGGGGTCTTGAAAATATACTGCCTTCTTCGGCAGAGCTCAGGACTCGGTATCTGTTGATTGAATAGTATCGTCGCATCCTAGTGAATCGCGTATGTGAGTGAGCATTCACTCTTGTGTGCACTACCGTCCATTGTTGCACTACATGCTATGGTTTCCCGAGCTTCTCCCTGGGCTCTATGGATAGGTACGTAGACTAGTTGCGTACTCGCCAGGCTTTAAAAGTTTGACAGTATCACCATTGAAAGTCATCCACAATTCCCCCTTGCCATCCAGGGTGAGCTTGGGCACGGGTGGACGGTACAGAAACAAGGATACCCATCCTGAGTGACCCACCGCCTGAGGATGGGAAAATTTTCAAATCTTATCAGGTAAAAGGGCCCATTTTTGCTCCAGAAATCGCACACAAAAATGGTCGGTTAGATCAGTTGGTTAGATCGTTGTGCTAATACCCCGTGGTAACACGTTTGGAACACACAAAGGTCATGAGTTCAAGCCTCATACTGACCATGATTTCCTTTTTCTCTTTTTGCACATTGTGGTTTTTCGTTTATTTTTGCATCAGTTTGTTGTGATAGAAAATTTTTGCGGGGTGTGTGCGGGTGAATTTTATCACGAGACCCACTATTTGAGTTCAACATCGAGCGGAAGCCTTTCAGGGCGACTGCCTGTCAGCAAAGAGTAACGACGCAAAAAATGGCATTTAGGAAAGAAACGATACTGCTCGTTGAAAGGAAGAAACCAAAGGTGTTGCAGCATTATCTGCATTTTGGGTCCAGCTCGACGGGGCGGCACGTAGGGTGGCTTCAAGACCGCCGAAGCTCCTCGGAACCGCAATGCTATTCTGGACGACTTCATGTCCAATGCTATCGTTGACGCCGTTGCAGCGGTGTGTCTGCTTTAGCTTAAGAGGCCTCAACTCCCACACACCTTGTGATCTCAATACCGTCCTGGCAATGTGTTAGTCAAAGGGGGATTCAAGAAAATTGAAAACAGATGGTCTTCCTACAGGAATGCCGGATGGTTCGAAGCTGTTGATGAGCTTGCTTTCATAGATGAGAAGCGGATTACCAACCCGAGTCTCATCCAGTTGAGCTTGACCTTCGCGCTTCAGATATTGGTTGGTCGTTTTATCCGCGAATCTGCTGTCCACTCCATTGACCGTGTCGGCAAGCTTGGTGGCTCGCTTTTTTTGTTCCACGCTGCTTCTGACATATTCAAGATATGGAGGATTTCCAGGCTTGATAACGTTGTCGGCGGCGAGGACGGAGCTGGGAGTGATCAAATCCAATTCCTCGCAAAGCTTCAAGTCTTTCGTATAAGCAGGCTTGTAGTGATCGAGGAACATCAGGTCGATATGCCTGAGGTCTCCAGAGGCATGCAGTCTCTTGATGGAAACATCACTTGACCCGACGATGACTTTGACAATGTCGCTCAGGCCAGCGAGGTCAACCAACGATGCAATAACTGCAGCAAACTCCGGGTTTCGCTCCAGGCTGAAATATCTCTTGCCCCCAGCCTTGCGGACAGCGTCGCCAAAGAGAATACAGGAATAACCAACGTAACCGCCCAACTCGACCATGACCTCGGGTTTGACCTCGGCAATCAGATCAGCTACAATCCGCCCTTTATCTTCACCAACATTCATGAGGTACTTCTTCGTCCGTGCGAAGACGTCAATAGCAGCCAAGACCTTGGATGGCGAGTTCCTGATGTTTTCAAGGTCAGGATTACCGTAGATGAAATGCAGGAGCTCGATTTCTCTGCCATCGTCAAACTGAATGAAATCAGCAGGGAAATCAGGTGAGGGTTTGGCGGTAAATACAAATGTCTCTTCTTGCTTTTGATACTTCTTCTCCGGGTCGAAATCCGCCATCTTCTGTTCTAGAATTGCCTTGGTAGTAGAGCGAGGTTTTGCTCAAAATAGGCTTTGGTCAGCGACTGAATGTTGGGGAGAAAGCTGTACTGGCATGCACAACAGCGGTCAAGGCTTGCCAATTTTTCGAATCTCACTAGGCAGAGAGAGACGTGATACCAACGTGCAGAAACACTCCATCATGTTGCCCTGGTATCCTAGCCAGAGTCCACGCAGATCAGATCTCCGGATGCAGATCCGACCTGTAGAGATCAGTAACTCGACGCACGCTCAGGGCGTCACCTGTTCCAAGACCAGACTCTGGTCTCACAGTGGGTCGTATAGGTGCTGCTAGCCGTGAGTCGACTCGTACTCGTGGAAGCAGAGAAGTTCATACCTCCGCAGCACGCGTTGAGAGGTTGATGATTCGGTGATGTTGCAAAGAGCCAACCAGCGTGAGACCGCCAGTCCTACTCTGGTATAGCGTGTTATCCCTCTCCTGCATCTCCCCTGCTCCTCAACCGTCTCCAGTTTATTGTCACTCTTCCCTCTTGACTCCATACTTTCTGTCCCACCGTCATGACTGCTGTATCCATCACTGCGAAACCACCGTCACCATCTACCCCTTCTGGAGAACACCTTGCATTACTTCAGGTTGTCACCGGTCTATGACTGCTTCATGCCTGGCCGCCCACCATTGCGACTTCTTCTTGATCTTCAGTGGATTTTCTCCACGCTGTCGGACTGGCTGCAACTTGATTCCGTGGCAACTCAATCTACCCGAAGATGGCGCTAGCATCTAGAAATGCCTGTCACCTCCGCATGCCGTGCCTGCAAATCTTGGTGGAGGCAAGTCATTTTCTGGACCTTTTTGAAGTACCAAGGATGATGTCGTTTCTCGAAGACGACAATCGACTACATCATGACTATGCCTGCCTGAACTCCTACATGGGATGCTAGCTCTATTTTGGGAGCCTCGCATACGAAGGATACACCAACCGATTCATGAATCTCGCTTTGCTCGGGGCTCCACCAAGCATTTGGGTGGAACATTGTTTCCAGAGCTCCAAGGGTGTCCAACAATTGCATTTGCCGTGGAAATGCCCTGTGCATTTACAACCATCTATATGGAAGACGTCTTTGAGGCATTCGGCGAGCAGGATCGGTTCCACCAACTAGCCATCGAATCGTTGCACAATGTGATTGTAGGTGCTTGGGTATATTAAGCCGACTCTTCTCTGATTTCCCCCAGCCGATCTTCATTGGCGCTTTTACTTGTCTAATATCTTTCCCCCCTGTTATTGTTACTTTCATTCGCAATGTCTGATCTCAAAGCATCTGTCGCTGAGACCCCGGCCGGTTTCCATATTGAGGGTTACGAGAAGATCGAGTACGACTTTACGTTCATCGATGGAGTTTTCGATGCCCGGAACCGAGATCTTGCTGATTGTTACCAACGATGGGGACGCTGCCTGGCCGTCATGGATTCCAACATCTTCGATGTCTATGGCGAGCAGATGCAAAGATACTTCGATCATTACAAGATCGATCTCGACATCCATAAGACCATGATTGGTGAGAAGGCCAAATCCATCGACACTTTCCTCAGCATTGTCGATTCCATGAACAAATTCGGTGTCTTCAGAAAGGTGAGTGTTTCTCCGCATGGCTCCCACGGAACCTTGACTCATAATTCATAGGAACCTGTACTCGTCATCGGCGGTGGATTAGTTACTGATGTTGCTGGGTAAAGGATACCACCTGCCAAAGATGACTCCAAGGCACTCTGGCCCATATATATTCTTGGCTTTTGTACCGTCCGACGTTGTCACTAACTGTTAGTTCGCAGTTTTGCCTGTGCGGCATACCGCAGAAACACGAATTACATTCGTATTCCGACCACCGTCATTGGTCTGATCGACGCATCGGTCTCAATCAAGGTTGCTGTCAATTACGGAAACTACAAGAATAGGCTGGGAGCCTATCATGCTCCTATGCACACGTTCCTCGATTTTGGCTTCCTGCGCACCTTGCCAGAAGCGCAAATCCGGAATGGGTTCGCCGAACTGATCAAGATTTCCACATGCGCTCATCTTCCGACCTTTGACTTACTCGACAAATACTGTGAGCAACTCATCAAGACTGGCTTCGGACGCACTGATGGCGCTCCTGAAGAAGTACGAAAAGCTGCCGATACAATCAATCGTGCTGGTATCCATGAGATGCTGAAGCTCGAAACGCCGAACCTCCATGAAATTGGACTCGATCGTGTCATCGCCTATGGGCATACGTAAGTTCACGGGATAACGAGTTGAAATTTGTTGACGTTTTCTAGATGGTCACCCCTCCACGAGCTGGTACCAGACGTACCTCTTCGGCATGGCCATGCAATTTCCATTGACATGGCATATTCTGCAACTTTGGCAAATCTGCGCGGGCTGTTGAGTGACGAGGATCATAGTCGACTTCTGTCTCTATTCTCTAGGGCAGGTCTATCTATGGACCACCACCAATTCGACGAGGAGATTCTCGACAAGGGTACCAAGGCCATCCTGAAGACACGTGATGGTCTGCTCCGTGCGGCGGTGCCTAGCCCCCTTGGAAAATGTGTTTTCCTAAATGACGTCTCCATGGACGAGATGTATGCTGCCCTGAAAAAGCACAAGTCTCTAATGAAGAACTTCCCAAGGAACGGCGAAGGTCTCGAGGCTTTCGTTGACGCCAGTGACACCGGCTATACAGTCAACAACCAACCTGCTGAAAGCAGTACAATGTCAAACGGACAGAAGAAGCTAAACGTTCTGAACGATGATTCTCATGTTAACGGACATCAGAATGCAGATGGCAAGATGACCAATGGTGTCTTTAAGGCTAGTAAGCACGCAACTACTGACGAAAAGCCTACTGGGTTTCTCCATGGGGCTAAGGACGTTGCTACAAATGGCCTGGCAAGCGGAAGGCCAAATGGTTTGAATGGTCATACCAACGGTATGCACTTGAACGGCAACCACATCAATGCTTCTCGCGTCAACGGGGTCCATTAATTAATTCTCTTAGTCTGGCTCGAAAATACTTTACCTTCACGGCTCTACATATGATAGCCGGAGTAGAGTAGAAAACTCAAGAAAACAATTTATTGGATTAAGATAGTTTTTCCTCTTTCAGGCACAATACCATGGCTCGAAGACCAGTATCCATATTAGCACTAACGTCAGCCATATGGTACAAATTGCTTGTAACACCCTAAAAGACAAAACACTGGATCAATATATTTTTAGTTCGGCGCATATTCTTGTTGGCCTGAAACACAGCACCGGTGGATTTGGGAAACGAAGTCAACCTAACCTCAAGCATGTCATGATGTCAACACCGCGATCGTACCGTGCCATTTGTCGTTCTCGGTCATACATAGGATATTTCCTGCTCATATCTAAGTTGACAGGTCTCGTCAAGTCATCCCGTCACGGTAGAGCCTCATGGTTACACGTGGCAACCGCAGTGCCAGTGATTAATGCTGGGAGTTGGCTGTGGCAAGCATTGCTGTTCCGTCGCTCCAACAAGACGCCTTTGTTAGTTTTGGGAGCTCACAGCAGCAGAAACTATACCAGCTAGTGGGAGCAAACCCCCAGTTGAAAAATGGAGCCCACATACTTCACTTGTGATCTTGGACAGGCTGTCCTGCACCAGCATGGAAAGGAATACGAGACTGTCACAGAACTTGTCGATTACAAGGCTCGAAAGGAACAAAAACTCCCGGCCGTCGGCTTTTTCTCCTCTTCGCACAAATCTGAGCGATGGGCACCTCATATTCTATCATTCGAGGAGGTGCAGCGAGGTTCCGTGGTCGTTGCGGACGCGCTATCAACGAAATTAAGGAGCGGATCGAAGCAGACTATTGCCCTCTTGTGTCCAAGTTCACCTGAGTTCCTTTTCACCTGGCTCGCCATAATTCGGTGGGGACATGCTGCACTTTTGATCGCACCACAGTGTTCTCCTTCTGCAATTGCTCACCTATGCAGATCGTGCGAGGTGAAATGTCTAATCTATGATGAGGTTTACAAGGATCTAGCAGAAAAAGCATCTGCAGAATCTGCCAAATCAGAGGGACTGCCGATTGATGCCACTGCCCTTCCTTTCGCAGAGGAAGACGTCTTGGATATCATAGCACGCACACCGTCGCGTCCACCAAAACCAGCCGAAGGGATCCAGCGATCTGATATCGCATATCTCCATCACACGTCTGGCACATCAACTGGGATCCCCGAGCCAATACCCCAGAGCCATCAGGGAGCGGTAGGCGTGCTGCCTAGCCTTGATGGGACAGAGCATGCATCCTTCTCCACGACGCCGCTCTATCACGGCGGAGTTGCAGACCTGTTTCGAGCATGGACAAGCAACGCTCTCATATGGCTCTTCCCTGGTAAAGACCTGCCCATCACGGCGGCGAATGTTTGCAGGTGCTTGGACACAGCACTGTGTGCAGCCAGTAAAGGTGTTCCACCAGTCAAATACTTCTCATCAGTGCCGTACATCTTGCAGATGATGTCTGAAGACGAGGCTGGCTTGAAATATCTACAAAGAATGGACATCGTAGGTGTTGGCGGAGCAGCTCTTCCCCCCGAAGTAGGTGACAAGCTGGTTGGTGCGAATGTCAACCTAATATCACGGTTTGGGAGTGCTGAATGTGGATTTCTCATGTCATCGTATCGGGAATTTCAAAAGGACAAAGAATGGCAGTATCTGAGGGTGAGACCTGGACAAGGATACTTGAAGTTCGAACCACAAGAAGACGGCCTATCGGAGTTGGTAATCCAAGCTGGATGGCCTCACATGGTAAGTCTTTATCCGCCTTGGGACCACCTCTGCTGAAACACCCCCGTTGCCAGGCAAAACACAATCGTGAAGACGGATCGTATGCCACAGCAGACCTATTCGCCGCGCACCCGACAATCCCTGATGCGTGGCGGTACCATTCTCGCGCCGATTCGCAACTTACACTCGTCACTGGCAAGAAATTCGACCCTGCACCGTTGGAAGATGCCATCCGAGCTTCGTTGCCTCTTGTTGACAATGTGCTGATATTTGGAAACGGGCAACCCCATCCAGGAGCTCTCATTTTCCGTTCGGAAGATGCAGCTTTACTTACAGACGATGATTTCATTCGAACGATAGCTCCCGTTGTTGAGAAGCTGAACAGAGTCGGCCAAAGTCACGCAAGATTGCCCCGGAACATGCTAGTTCCCATGCTTTATGACCAGAAAGGACTCGAGAAAAGCAGCAAGGGCACCATTCTTCGAAGCAGGGCCGAAGAACGCTACGCCAGCAATATTTCCAAGGCATACTCGGCCGCTCCAGCAGATAAAACTTCGAACGTGTCAGACGACGACATCCCCAGGACTGTGCGCAAGATAGTGACAGACATCGCCAGTGACAGAACAGTCATTGATCCTGAATTTCTCAATGACCGCACCGACCTCTTCGCTTATGGAATTGACTCGATCGGTTGCATCCAGATCCGCCATGGCCTCTCGCGTCTCATCCCTGACGGCTCAGCCTTGCCACTCACTGTCGTTGAAGACCAAGGAACGATATCCCGACTGAGTGCCCTCATTCTACGCATACGACGCGGAGGCGAAGCTTACGACAAAATTGACAAGGCAGACACAGCCTCGGAGGAACACGCCCTGATGCTCGATCTCGCTAAAAGATACAGCACCTTTGAAGACAATGCCACTTCGCCAATCTCTTCGCCGTCGTCCTTCGGTTCAACCACAACAACAGCCACAACCTCGGAACAAAAGGGATTACAGATCCTCCTCACAGGTCCCACAGGTTCTCTCGGCTCACATATACTTCACCAACTCCTCTCCAACCATCGCGTATCCCACATCCACCTCCTCGTCCGCGGTTCAACGGCCCAAGCCTCACGCGAACGTGTCCTCAAAGCTTTCTCCTCCCGTCTCCTCCCAATCCCGGCAGACTTCACCGCCCGCACGACAATCTGGCAATGCGCCCTGTCCGACAACCTTCTCGGCCTCTCGCAATCCGACTACACGACCCTCGCATCTCAGGTCGACGTGATACTCCACCTTGCATGGTCCGTCAACTTCCTGCTTCCCCTCCGCTCTTTCGCCGCGACCCATCTCGCCGGTCTCCGGAATTTGATCAACTTTTCACTCTCATCGCCTCGCCTATATCCACCCAGGTTGATCTTCTGCTCGAGCGTGGCGAGTGTATCAGCGTATCATCAGAATCAGTCATGCAGCAGTTGTCCTGACAGCACCGATCAAGACCATACCGACAAAGTCCATATGGACATCCGTACGAACATAAACACTCACATTGACACCAACACCAATACGAATACCAACACCACCACGGACGCCGACACTTTTCATTCTCGCAGCACGAGACCGAAGAGTGCCATCAATGTTCCGGAGCTCCCTGTCTCCAACACGCCCAGTGCCTCTGGACCAACAGGCTACGCGCGGTCAAAATGGGTCGCCGAAGCAATCTGCGCCGCCGCGCACACTCACACCCGCCTGAACTCGCGCATCAGCATATCCCGCGTCGGCCAGCTGTCGGGCGCAACCGACACGGGCGTCTGGAGCAAGACGGAAGCGTACCCCTTGATGCTGAGCAGCTCGAAAGTCACGGGCGTGCTACCGGATCTGGGTGATTGGGAGGTCCTGAATTGGCTCCCTGTCGACCTGGCGGCCCGCGCCTTTGTAGAGGATGCACTGTCGACGTTGACAGTAGGGGAGACTGATACCAACCTGATCACCACCACCACCACCACCACCACTTCCAGTACTACTGCTCCTACAAGTACCAGTACCACTACTCCACCTCCTCCTCCTCCTCCTACTGGTCCTCATTCCCAGCCAAACGAAAAGGGAGACGAAGACGGCGGGAAAATCACTCACGAGAGTCTCCAGCCCCCAAGACTCCCCGTCTCCGTGCCCATACCCGTACATCACGTCCTCAATCCGTACACCGACACCGGCATGCACAATTGGTCGAACCTGCTGGCTTGCCTGTCGCGCCACGACAACTTCAAGGTCGTCTCGGTCGGTGAGTGGCTCGACGCTCTGTCCTCGTTGCACGAGCGACCAGGAGAAACGAGTCTGCACCCGGCGTTGAAACTACTCGGCTTCTGGAAAGGCGTCTATGGCAGCCGCCACCAACATTCGCCGGCGCAGATGGTGGATAATAGCGAAACGGCACTGCGATTCGATATGGACAAGACGTATGTGCGGATGCCCTGTCTCCGTGAGCAGCAACCGGGACTCGATGACGAGTACATGGTCAAGACGTGGCGGTGGATCAAGGCGAATGTCTAGGCCTACTCACTACACAAGTAATTGTACAATGCGGTGCCTCGCTATTAGTGAGAGATGTGCCGAATTCTCACTTCACGCATTCATTCGTTTATCTATGTAATTCGTTCCGCTATCCATGATGCTAGTTACTTCCCATCGCGTGAGCCCCTTTGGATGTATACAACCTCCAGGATCATCGAGCCTTCATCGTAAATCGTCTCTGCTGCAGCTCGAGACATCCCTCCTGACCGCATCATCAGCCCGTTTGTCGCACCAACAAGGTGAACCTTCCAACGTGGTCCCAATTGAAAGCGCCCCAAGCTCGTGGTAGACTTCTACAGACTTTTAGCATGATGCGCTGAAGAATACCACCAGGCCTGTTTGGTGAACCTCCCGGAGGGTGCATAGCCCGGCGTCCCCTAAAAGACTTTTGTCCTTTTAACACTGGTGCAACACTGAATAGTGAAGCAATTCCTGTGCAGGAAAAGCCTTCCATTGAGATGGATATACCTGCCTCTCCGATGCGGAGCTTTTCGTGTTCTCGACTAGACTTGACCGTAACCTCACCGGATGAACATTCCTTCAGCTCTACCCCAGAAATTTCTGGCCTTGTTCACGTGGTCCAGCCCGAGCATCTCATCGCCATCTTGGAGAAGGTCCAGGATGACATCCTCATCTTCGAGATACCGTGGCTTAGCATAGATGGCCCTTGAGACCAGAGCAAATTTGATTTGCTGCAAGAGCTTTCCTTTGATCCCGGTTCTCTTACTGATGCGCTCCTTGGTATCTTTCAATGTTTCTCCGGGTTTGAGCATGAACTTGAAGGGAATACCGTGAGGCTTGCTTGCTTCTTTGTCAAAGTGGAAACAATAGATGAATCGGTCGTCGTCGGAAGCATTGATTTCTTCGTCAGGGATCTTCTCGGCATAAAGTGTTGTGAACTCATTGACCCCAACAACATTGAAGTCTTCAATTAGTTCTTTGTGGATTTTGCCACCATGGACCTCAAGTATGCGAACGTTCCTCGCCGTCTGTTCATCAAGGTTGATCTTTTTCGCAATACCATTTACAAGATCCCCAATAATGCCGTTCTTTGAGACAAGAATTTCAAGTGGTTCCTACGTATTGTTAACAAAGTGCCTCACTTTGGAAGGTGAAGGCTTACCTCTTTACTGATGCCATCACTAAGCCATATCACTTTCATGATCTTCTTGGTTTCGAAGTCGGCAAGACTGGTCTCAAGGACTTCATAGTAGAGAGCATCACCGCGGTGAGCAGCATAACTACTATAAGAGGAAAATTGCGATTGGAGAATTTGTTGAAGAGTGTGATTCATGCCGCGCTTGAGCCACATTTTGATTTTATTGTTAGTAGAACTGATTGTGGCAAATCGAATGTGAGTCGGATCAACCTTGAGATATTCCCCAACTTTACCAGAGAGTTGCTCATAGGACATTTTCTTGCTGAGGCTCAAGGAGAAAGCTTCCCCTTCGGTGCCGGGTTTGGGGTAGAAGCTGACTGGTATCTTATTCAAGAGATAGTCGTAGTATTGACGGGCATCGCTGTAGGGGACTGTTGAAGGGTCAAGATCGGGAAGGTTTTGTTGGAAACAGATGATATCGCCATCCTGGATTTCCGACTGTTGGAATGTTTGTTTCGGTTTCATCACCTCTATCATGGAGTGCTTGATCTCCTCGAACAGAAGAATCGGCGTACTAGAGTCCCATTGCATAATCTTGTTGATCTGAGGCGCAATCTCCGACACTTTGTCCAATTTCTTCACATAAACATGGCCGACGCCGGTCAGAATTTGAGCTTTGACGTCGAAATATTTGAGAAAGACGAGGATAGGCGCGTTCGCGTTCGCATTTGGTCCTGTATCGGGGAAAGTAGCTTTGCCATCATCGGATTTTGTTGCGCTTTCGGCCCAAAGATAGAATGGACGTCCTCTAGACCCATACTTGTTCAGTGCCTCTTCGACAGACATGTCAATTTCTCGGATTGGCTGATCCGGTCGATTTGTTTTGTTCTGCCTGCCCACCATAACCCAAAACCTGACCTGATCTGGCTCTAGTCCGAGGTCATCGGCGACTATCGCGGCGAATTCGCCGATCTTGGTTGTCCGTAAGATCCGATAGATCTGTGCAGCTGCAGGGTCGTCCTGTTCCAGTTCATAACTGGTCAGATCAAATCCGTGATGTGCTTGAAATGTCTTTTCCGTTATGACGCCGACACTCATGTACAAATGGGCCTCTTCACGTTCTTTCTTCTTCCTGGCAAGTTCGGCCTGCTCTTCTGCAATCTTCCTTTCGATATGTGAAGGTATATCAGATTCGTTCACACCATGAAGAACCTGATCAAGTCTGCTCTTTCGAATATAGACCAACATATACGCGTTCATGGAGCGTTTGGTGGAGTATCCCCTCATGTAAGGTTGGCGTTGACCAGGGCCACCATTTGCGACGTTCGCATATTCTCCGCCAAAATTTTCTTCCAGGACTTCCTTCATCGTCGACCGAGTTACCCTGTCGTCGTCAAATTTGTAAAAGTAGCCGTCCTTTGTGGGTTTGAGAAATGCATAGTAATGACCTGCATTAAAATCACCACTGTGTACCAGAACTCCGTGCAGTTGGTAATTCCAAGGTTCCGAAGACGCGGCTCTCGCCTCTTCGGACAGGTAGAGGGAGGCGTCAAACTCTTCTGGGAATTCGTGCCTATCGTTGACTTTCATCATTGCATCTCGGTTGATGTCATACTCAAATCTCTTGAGCTGTAAATGCAAAACTGGCGGAAAGCTCTCGAATATGACACCTTTTTTGGCGTCTTGTAGTTTATATGGCTCGCCGGCATCGTACTTGTTCTCACCTTCCAGAGTTTCGACCTGGATGTAATCCATGAAGCTCTCGTGGAGATTCTTGTTGCCCCGAACATTCAGTTGAAGATCCCAGAATTCTTCAATCCTGGAGGACTCGTAGTCGACATTGATGCATGAGATGTAGGTCTTGGTCTTTCCAACGAAAAGTTCCGGCAAGGTTCTCTCTGCTGGTGTGCCTTTCATCTTCTTCTCCAAAACCTCCATTAGAATTCGAGACAGTTCCTGGACGTCCTGCTGTTCAAATATTTGACGAGTGTCCCAGCCGAAGGAGGCGGTGAGCTCATTTGTGGACACGGCAAACTTGTCTTTCTGCAATTTGAAGAAGAGTCTCTGCAAAGTCCAGGCACTGTTACTTCTGTTGGCATCCTGCTCGGTGGGAATTTGGTAGACGGCTTTTCGGAAGGCATCAGTGAAGTAGAGCGATTGGAGAAGGGAATTGAGATAGCAAGTGGCACCCTGGTTCTTAAGCCCGACCATGCCCGTCTCTTTTTTGGAATCGTAACCTTCAAAGTTGTGCCATAACACGCCAGTGGGATCCTTGATGATACGGACATAAGCCGTGAGTTTGGCTTCCTCGTTCTCAACCAGATGTCTTGATCCGTCTTCCCATGGTTGATGGAAGGCTTTGCGTAGTTCCACGAATCTTGTGAAGCCCCAGTCTCCCTCTTTCGCGTTGAACCGATGGGTTGCGGAATGCATTTTGAACAAGGTAGGATCATTCGGGTTCCAGAGGACCAGGGCAAACTGTACACAGGCATACCAGTCCGGCGGAGGTTCGGTTTCGAAGCCATGTTCCAGGTAGAAGGAGGCACAGTCAACCTGGTTTCCGTATGGGAAGAAGAGCACCCGCCATGGATGACCTCCAACTTCGAAGACCGGCCCATGTTCCCGGCGAGATAGAGACCGCCACTTCTCGATATGCCAAGTGTGATATGCTTCTGCCTCTACTTCGGTATCAGGAAGATCGACAAGGACATGTCGTTTCATTGATTCAACTGGGGGATCGTCAATGATGAAGGCAGATAGGGTGGGGAGGTACATACAATCATCAGCCCGTGGTAGAGCGTCCGCAGGCTCCTCCGAGGCATCATCGGGGGAGATGTTGACCACCTCATTGTCCTGCTGGTTGTACTGGTCGTAGCCATCGATGAGCATGTCAGGACTTCCCAACTGCAAACGACCAAAGACGAACTCGAAGTCAGCATTCATGTTCGCGGGCGGAGAGGCGGCAGTGTGGCAAGGTGGCGGCAGAAGCAAAGGCAGAAGCAGAAGCAGAGGATCTCACGTACATTGTCCATGTTGGATAATTGCGTGCGACTTGGGACGGGGAAGGAACCGAAAAGCCCCTTCCTCGACTTGCCGCAGAAACCGGCCTTATAAGAAGTTCACCGCGGAGTGAGGGCACCTAGAACCGCAGTTCGCAAGAGCGCAGGCAGGTCGAAAATCTGAGGCAAGGCTCGTCGTACGGTGAGAAGTCGAGGGAATCGTCCCCAAACCCGACCTCAAGAGAACGGATCTGACAACAAAGCACGGAAGGCCAGGTACACGGTAAGTATAAATATGAATTTGGGACAACAGGCGTCCAGGATCTTGGGCGGGCGCAGATGAGAACGAATTGGAACATGAATCTCGTCACCCTCGAGAGCCGTGATCAAATGACGACTGGCGCAGTATGCAATGTGGCCGAGAAAAGCCGCACAGACTTGACTGTTGGTGCGTCTCCAACTTCAATCAAATCACCCATACCGAGTATCACTGAACGTTGCTGCTCGACTCTCCCTGCCACGATTGCCGAACCCGTCACGCATGACTACGGCGTTACGGGCCTCAACGTGGGACGGTATACGTGTGCAATTCTCTCTCAGACGACGTTGACCATGACATATCGCACGCCCACGATTGATATGAGATGCTGCAGGTCCCCCGCTTCCTGAGGCCGCGAGCCTCGCCAGTAAAGGGCCACACAACACCGACGGCGTGTAGTTATTCTTCTACTACTCGACCTAGAAGTGCGCCGCCACCATGGAGACCGGCTTCGGCATTGGACGAGTGAGATATCTCTGGAGTTTGCGAGGAATTCACATTGCTGACTGCCTGGGCAGCTGGGTCGACCGCCCAATTCGTCCTATTAGTTTGCGCCAACTCTTCTTCTTCGGCCGCACCCTGACTGAGAGCCGCCTGCTCAGCTCCGCTAACTATGTCCGCATGGAGCTACCAACGAGAATTGCGCATCGGCTACGGGAGATGCAAAGGCTACCCTACGTAGTGGTCACCAACCCACATCTCTCCTTGGTGTATGAATTGTACTACAAGTCGTTTGAGAATTTTCGTCGCATTCCCGTTATCAGGAGTGTTGAAGAGAACGAACAGTTCTGCAAGGTCATAGGCGAGAGCTTGAAGGAACATCTGGCTGTGATCCCCAACCTGGTCATGGGCGTCCTCGAGTGCCAGGACCTTGTGTCGGCCGACACCATGGACAAGTTCGTGCAGGCCATGCTGCGGGCTCGCATCTCCAGGCGTGTCATTGCCGAACAACACCTCGCATTGACCGACACGTTCAATTCTCCCTGGCACGTGGCCCAGCCGAGCGCGGAAAACGAGTTTGTGGGTGAAGTTCTACTCAAATGCAACGCGAAGGACGTCATTGAAAGAGTTGGGAAGTTCACCCAGGACATCTGCAAGTCATCAGCAGGCGCCGACCCGTTAGTTCCGGAGATCAAGATTCAAGGCCATGTCAATGCTACATTTCCCTACGTTTTGAGCCACCTGGAATACATCATTGGTGAACTGCTCCGGAATTCGGTTCAGGCAGTCATGTCGCGGTACCAAACTCCCAACAACCCGCCTCCCCCGATCGAAGTACTGGTCTGCGAGGCTCCCCAGCAGGTGGTGATCCGCATTTCTGACCAAGGTGGAGGTATTCCCCGAGAGATCACCCCTTTCCTTTGGTCTTTTAATAAAGGACCAAGAAGTGCATCTCGTCTGGAGAACTTCCGAGATGTTCCAACCCTGGCTGCCACCATGCAAGAAGTCCGACAGTTCGCGGCAGCTGAAGAGAGGCCAAGTGGGAAGATGAGAGATTCATCCCTGAGCACCCTCGCGTCAAGAGCGCCAGATCTGAGGCTTGGAATGGGATTGCCCATGAGCCGGGTGTATGCCGAGTACTGGGCTGGAGGCCTAGAACTGCATAGCTTGGAGGGTTACGGCGTAGATGCATTCCTCCAAATATCGAAGTTGGGAAACCAGAATGAGCAACTCACATCACGAGCGAGTATAGACGCCGTCTGAAAACACACCTAGTCATGTTGCCTTAGCAGCCTACCTAGGTGTGCAAATCATGATCAACTTTAAACGAGATGACCTGCCGACGAGGTGTAGTCCTCTCTCCCTGAGACCACCCTAGTATAGTGTCAGCAATGTAATTGCCAGCGGTGTCCCAGAAGTCTGCGGTATATCAAGATAAGTTCAGTTATTGCCATAAACGTCATGCTCGACCAGCATGAATACACGCAAGTTACATCCAGCGGCTGAGCCTATCGGCTTACCAGAGTTGTATCATTTATCTCTTCATTTGAAGCTCGCACAAGGAGTAAGAATTGTTCTACCTACGTTGAAACGTCCCAATTGATTCACGATTGCATGTTCCGACATTCAGGTCATCACCGCATCATGGGAAGCCAGATTGGCCCTCGTGATGATGGTTTTAGATGCGGACTTGATGAGGTTCAATCTCGACACTCTCATCGGAATCACCAGCTCCACGGTGACGAGAGTCTTCAGCTGACGATGATTTGAGTTGGGTGTCTTGATAATAAAAAGAAGAGGGAGAAACGTGAGGTCGAAAACGCCGAAGTTTTCATTGTTCCTGGATCGTGGGCCTAGTGCCAACGCGGTCTAGCTCGCTGTTAAAGCAGCAAGCCGGGGAGTGCGTCGAGGGTCGTCATTGGTTCCTGGGCATTTTCCCGCTGCAAGGGCTCCTCGCATTCGACCCCCAAACACTTTGGCTTGACACCAATCTGCGTCTGCTCTACTGTTTCGTTCATTTGTACTCTCTACTACACTCTACCTGTTCCGATATTGAAGACTCAAACCCACCCAAGGACGGCTTTACAATTTGTATCAACATATCTCCTTCGTGTAACACATCCGTTAATGCTGGTTATTGTTCTTTGACGCATCGCTCAACTTCCGCATCCGCCGTTTGAATCCTTCCCATCGAATCCTTCCACGGCCCTCGGACGCAGTCACTGTCGCAACGTTGAAATACTTGACGCCGCTGTTGGTCGCTGCTGGTCGCATACGAAGACTCTCTGTCACTCTTTTCTTGATTCGCCCATGGAAAACGCAAATTTGTGGACTCGGCGCTCAAAGTCTGTTGCACCCTGTCTTCCGCTATGTACGCTGACCGTCGTTTCAGTTCCGGAAAGCTTTCCTTGTCTATGAGAGATCACGAGGGTAAGGATGGTAGCAGAGTAGACTCGCCGCGGTCCTATACAAACCGGCGTTTTGGCGACACTTCTTCGCACGGTAAATCCAACCCGTTCAACGCTCTGTCACCCTCCGCCACGAAGTCTCCTTCGGCGAGCGCCTCATCAGCCTTTGGTTTGGGAAGTGGTGCGTTTGCCTCGTTCGGCTCCGCGAAAACTCCCAAAACTCCAGGGACAGGATCTGGGACCGGGTTTGACTTTACGTCACGAGACAAAAAAGAGAAAGAGACAGATACACCCGCAGAAGCTTCCCTGGCTGAGAAATTTACGGACGGTTCGGCAGAATCGGACGCTCAGCCTGGGCACCAATTAAGAAACGCCTGGAATCTGTTCTATCGACCTCCCGCGAACAAATTTTCCGACTATGAAAAGTCCACTCAGAAGCTTGCCACTATCAGCACGGTAGAAAGCTTCTGGACGATATATTCACACCTTAAGCGACCCTCCTTGCTGCCTACTGTGTCTGATTATCATATTTTCAAGGATGGCATTCGTCCCGTTTGGGAAGACGAGGCCAACAAGAGAGGCGGGAAATGGATTGTCAGGCTCAAAAAAGGCGTGGCTGATAGATATTGGGAGGAATTACTCCTTGCAATTGTTGGCGATCAATTCATGGAGGCTGGAGAGGAAGTATGCGGTGCTGTGCTCAGTGTGCGAAGTGGCGAAGACGTCCTCAGTGTTTGGACTAAGAACGATGGCGGGAGGAACATCAAGATCCGGTATGTCACTGAAGCTAACGCCCCGAGATTGCCGTGTTCTAATACTGTACAGCGAAACTATCAAGCGAATACTGGGGTTTCCCGCCGATACCAACATAGTATGGAAGAGCCACGACGACAGTATTGCCCAGCGCTCTGCGCTGGATGAGGCGAGGCAGCAGAAAGCAAACGCTCCGCAAAGCCATTCCGGAGTCGAGAGACGAAGACCTACGTTACACGACGATTCCGACAAGAGTGGAGGGAAGGCGGTTGCGTCTTAGTACGATACGATCGGGGCTTGGTCCCGTCTGTAGAACATTGCAAGTGATTCCTGGATACAGCTCCAATAGGGAGACTTGCCACATCAAATGAACCATGTCCTATGACTGCGCAACGACGAGTTCTCCTTCCTACACGGCCAAGTGAAGATCTGGCAAGCTGCACTCCGTACGTAATATGAGCATGTGAATCTATGTTCCCTAGTCATGTACAGTGATAGATGCTCTGAGATATCTTGCCCGTCATGCGGCTTTCATGTGCGGGGATTCACGACTGCAATAATGCTCCATATGCTCACTGCGGAATAATTGCACCCTTCCAAAACGCACACCAGACAGATCCTGTACAATCCATAGACTTGATATGTTCCGCTAACAATGATTCAGTCTCAGACCAATGCGCTCAAACTGGACCGAGAATGTCCGAAATGCGGTACGGAGCAGTTTTGACAATTTCCTCCCCCGCTTCAGTGAGCCTGTTGTTGAAGACAATAGCCTGATAGCCCGCAATTCCAACTCTTCCTGTGCCTCTCATTCAAGCCAGAAGAGGGTCCCAATACCCCAGCAAGGTTCAAGGGAGTATCTCACCAAGCGCCTGAACAACTATATTAGAGACAACGATCCGGCGCAGAATGATCCAATACCAGTATGTCGCTCCTCTCCGCATCCGTACTCATTCACTGGAGGTTGATCACCGCCTTTACTGACGCGACCACGATTGACGCAGATTGAAGACGACGATCAGGAAGACACATCAGAAAACAATCCCAGCATCCGGCTGCGAACCTCAAAGCCTCTCTTGCAGACACGCTCTCCGCAAAATCATGAAGCTTCGTCTGTTAAGCACGCACCCCCCAGACATATGCCTACCAGATATCCTGCTGAGAGGGAGCGTGGTACGACTGAGCGAAGGAGCATAGATAATTCACAATCTGCACACGAAAATTGGCTTCTGGGTGTAGCAAGGTACAACTCGTGTCCTACGGACATTGACAGAGGGGCTGAATGGTGCTCTAGCAAGCCTGAACCTGGTTTTGTGACCATACAAGATCCCATGAAGCAGCCATCCAGTGTATGTCTCTTACATCGTATGCTTATATAGAGCTAACACTGTTGCAGCTTGCGCCTGGCTATAGACCGGTGAACACATTGAACGGGGCTCGCCCTCCAGCACGACCCGGACATATTCACTCAACCGCGCATCCAAGCCGGGGACCTCAGTCACATGCCTTCCAGTACGGTGATCAGACCAAGGGAGATGCTCTCAACCATCGACACAAGCGACGCAAATTGGAACAACCCCGAACAGCAAGACAGAGCAACCAAGATCCGATTGATATCGGGGAGAGTCAGCAAGCGGAAGACTCACTCGATGAGCTAGGGATGAGTCCTGCCTTTGGAAAGGGACATACCCACCAACGTGATGTTGGAGCTTTTGAGGACAAACGGAAGGCGATACCTGCTCAAAATCTGAGGCGTGCGGAGATGTCTGCTTCGTCCGAGGATGAAAGTACCTTCACCAAGGCTTCGGCACAGCAGAGAAGAGCCGGACAAGATGAATCCTTGAAGACTTCTTCTGTAATTCAGCGGTCCCATGCGACGCAAGCAAAGGTTGCTTCTCCCTACTTTGGCAAGTCCGAGCCTCCAGGGAGAACAAGCAAAGGTGTACGGAAGACCCGGCAACCGAAGTCCCTAGGACAAGAAAGCCCAGATGCTTTACAGGAATCCTTCTGCATATCTCATCCTCGACCGGCCAAGCAGAATCCAACATCTCTTGATAGTGTGCCTGCCACTACGTTTACTCGGAATCTTTTAGGAAACGACAAGAACAGTGCTATAACGAATGCGACCAAGAAGCCTATTACAAAAACACAAACTCTATCGCCGAGAACTTTCAAACTCCTGGAATTTGTGTCAGTCCCAGACTCTTTCGCAGATGCATCCTTGATCCTGGAGGTGGATGAACGGACCAAGCGTCTCGAGATCAGTACGGACATGAAGGAACTCGACACAGCTCCCTTGCAGATATGCTTAATGGAGAAGATCAATGTCCTTATGCATGAAAACCAATCTAATTTGGTGCGCCTTGACTGTCCACGTCGTGGCAATACTTCAACGCAAACGTATCTTCGCTTAGAGTCCGTGAAGGCAGCAAATGACTTCGTCACGCTGCTGCAGAAGCTGGGCTGCCCTCATCATACCAAAACGAAGGACAAGTACGTTTTCAAGCCTGACCTTTTGATATCATTACTGATGAATGTAGTGGTTGGATAGAGACCGCGCTGGAGAGGGCCAAGGACGAAATGGCTGGTCGGCATCAAAAGCAAGCGACCGAAGAAGGTTCTATCATCTGGCAAAGCTCCGAGCAGACAAAGTCAAGCAGAAAGTATCCGCACGTAATCCAACAAGACACAGCACGAAAACAAACCCGTCTCATCGATCGGTTGGATCTGCCTGCTGTTGCTTCCGAACAACCTACCGTCATCACTGGCGCCGAGCGACCAGGGAACGACGATTCGAGGCCAATCCAACATAGCCGCAACGTCCAGTCGAGTTTCATGAACCTTGACCGGCCAGACAGGTCACACGAAGACGCAAACCCCTTAAGACGGGTCACTAGATCTCGAGAACCTGCGAAAAAGGACCAGCGCGATCAAATCCCAGATAGTTTTCGACAACCAGCTAAGGTATCAGACCTCGAGATTCTGGGAAATCCATGGAAAAGTGACTTGAAATATCCGATTACTGAGAAACGCTCTGGTACCGTACCTTACGAGGACCTCGCCCGACTAGGCCACGATGAATTCCTAAACGACAACTTGATCTCTTTTTTTGTTCACTACCTGGAGAATAAGATCAAGTCTACGAAACCTGAATTGTCCCCGAGAATTCATATCTTCAACACATACTTTTTTGAGACTCTAACGAAGACGCCGAAGGGCCAGAAAGGAAGAGGAATTAATTATGAAGCCGTCAGCAAGTGGACCAAGGCTGTGGATCTCTTCAAGCGTGATTTCGTGGTGGTTCCAGTGAATGAAAACTTCCACTGGTATCTTGCCATCATTTGCAACCTCCCATACTTTCTTCCGGAGTCGGAGCAAGGAGCCAGGGAGGAAATACAGCCCTTAATTCTCGAAGATCCTTCTGCGCCAGTTGAAACAACCGATGGAGACGCATCTGAGGAGCAGACACAGAAATCATTAGCAGAGCTTTCCATTAGCGATTACGACACTTCGCATCAGACTGCCTCCAAGGCCAAGGCAAAAAAGGGACCTGGGAAGCGCAGGGTCAGTCGACTACCAAAATATGACACTGACAAGCCTGTTATCATCACTTTGGATTCACTCGGTACTCCACGTTCTGCGACAAGCTCCATTCTCAGGCAGTATGTGGCGGCGGAGGCTAAGAATAAAAAGGGTCTTGACCTTGAGCCTAGTGACCTTCGGGGAATGACAGCTAAAAAGATTCCCACACAAAGCAATTTCAGTGACTGCGGTTTGTATTTGTGTATGTATCTGGAGCAGTTTGTTGCAAATCCAGACACATTCGTCTACAACATTTTACAGCGGGAAGAGAATACCCATCAATGGCCGGAGACTATCCGAGGTCAAGATCTGAGAGGAAGATTAAGAGATCTACTTCTTGAACTACACAGAAAGCAAGAAGGCCAGCCTTCGAAGATGGAGATTCCTGAGGTTGGAAGGATCATGATTGGCAAAATTAGATCACCACCCTCAAGATCTCAACATTTATCTTCTCCAACCGATGAGGAGGTTGATGATCAAAAGCCAGGCTTACGACGTACGCATTATGATGGCGAAGAGCTATCTTCGCATTCGAAAAGCACACCCGCGTCATTGGATACTGATTTTAGTAAGGATGCCCAATCTGGAAGAACGGTCAACGGGCCTAGTGTTCCAGGCGGGACTACGTCCGCAGCTGATCAAGGCAGATCGCGTGATGGTTCAAGCTTGGGGAAAAGCTCTGGAGAAGTAGTGCAAGTTGCAGCATCGCCTCCAGCTAGTCACAATCGCCACCGAGAAAACCACAAGGACTCTTCCGAACTAGCCGCACATCTTCGCACCTCAAGGAAAAGACAGCGGCCGGCTCGTGATGACGATGATGTGCATCAACAAATTAGACCGAAAAGCCCATCAACTGAATTTTTATCAGGGGTCGAAAGCTATGTTGGCATGCAAGGAAGTTCTTCGGCGGGGGAAAATCCGAGCCTTACGAACGAAAGCATACTGGATGATGAAGTTTCAAGCAGGCGGCGCAAAAGAACGCGGCATTTGGACAAGTTCGCGGGCCACTCCCAAGAATCAGCCATGGATGCCCAGGCACACAGCGAGGCTCCACTAAGCCTCAAGCATAACGAAAAGACATCAATGCAGCAGCTTATTCCGACGAAGAAACGTCAAATTGACATGGGTGAGGTTGAGATCTATGAAGACACGGATGAGGAACAGATTGGAGGTTCTGGCACGGCATAGTGCGCCACTGATGATGATGATGAGATGCTCATACGATGAGGATTGCTGGAAGGGGCTTATTGTTGAGCGTACGGAGTGGTCTGACCTGGTATGGCATTGCAAAGCATAGCGAAGGAGTTTTGAAGGAGTAAGATAAAGGGTTTCTGCATCTGCCACGACGTCATGAGATGAACTTGGAAGCAAGGATATGATTATTTTAGAAGGAGTGTAACATTCGATAGCCGCCACAATAGCTGATTGGGACGCTGCCTACTGTGATATCCCTTCCCATGGCTCATCTCCGTATATTCCCCCGTAGCTCACCTGATTCTTGGATTAACTTTTTACATTCAATGTTGACTTCCAAGATTAGATCTTGCCAATTGAGTGAATAATCGTGGATCCCATCCACAGGCAGCAGTGTCATTGTAACAGTCGCAAAGCATCTGTCGGCGTTTCGTGATGGTGAAGCAGACAGCATGAAGGAGTTGGAGTCCAGCTGACCGGAACGGAATAACCATGTTGCGGGGACAGGAACATCATTCTTCCTCCACCAACAATATCAATGGACACGGACAAGTGAATGAATGACTCGATCAATCACCCAGAAAGAATCTCAAAGTCAAACCAAGAGTACAACGAGGACGGGAGATAGATTCCGCGTTTCATAATAAACGATTCTTCTTTCCTTTGTACATACTTTGTACATACATTCAGCCTTCTTCCATCTGGGGTCCCATAAGCTGGTTGATATTTCACTGTACGCCTTGTCTTGCTTCACCTGTAAAAATTCTGCTATACTCTTTCCTTCAGTTCACGGCGCAGAGCACTTGCCACTTTCTCGACGACACATAGAGACTAAGGCCGCAGGAACGACTGTGAAGTAATTTCTACAACACCACAGCACCGTTGCAACTACTTTTCTTCCCGCAAAATTTGACTTCGATTCCTTTTCCTCCGATCGCGCGGGCTTCCCACAGGATCATGCAGCCAGCGTTTCTCAACCGTGCCAATGATGGAGGAACCAGCGGCCTTTCTTGAGCCCCTCAAGACTCTCCACGAGACACGATCCGAGGTTGAGTTCGGTATGTTTGCTGTCACCCTAACCAAGCACAACACAGGCAGACTGACATTTGTCCCAGTGCGAGCATTCGTGGTGGAGATTCCAGCCAAATTGACCAGCAAAGCACTGAGGCAAGTCTCCTGTCAGCGCCACCAGCATACGACTAATGCAATCTGTAGCTTAGTCAAGCCTATCATTCCAAGCGGTGGCAAGCATCCCTCCTTCAGTCACTTCCGACGAGTGTGCACACTTTCCCACCTACCAGAAGATCTGACATGGCGTCGTGACTACGACTCAAGAGGGCTACAAACCTGTTTCCTCCTTGTTCCGAACACCATAGTTCCATGGGAGAAGATCCGTGACCATTTCTTACCTCATATCGAAGAAGAAGGTCTCCCTCGCTGTTTCGACGCCGTGGTGCCACGATACGGACCGCTCAATGTTGAACAAGCCGCCTTGTGGTCTGAACGATACTGGCCGACAATCTATAATCCTGCCGCACAAGTTCTCCAGGATGCTCCGCCGCTGCAGCACCTCAAGCGTGTGAGGACCCAACTTGAAGTACCAGCGGCAGACAAATACATGAAACTAGCCATGATGGCAGCGGTGGAAGCTCGCGAGATGGGCCATGGACGCGCTGTAGGCGCTGTGGTTGTGGATCCCGAAACTGGTGCTGTAATTGCAGTCGCCGGCGATGCTCGTTGGTATTCCCCTAATCCTGCTCCCAAGCCCAAGAAAGGTCGTCGAGGCACACGTGGTGAAGGCCGCCCTGAATACCATGCTGTCATGCGTGCCATTGCGATGGTGGCAAACAAGGAATTACGCAGACGCATTGCAGCTGGTGGTCACAAGAAGTTTCTCAGCACTTACCGCGAAACACCTTCTGGTCAGGCTCTCACCGCCATCGAGGCTCGCTACGAGGATGACGGCAAAGTTCTCGAGGATCTCACCAACAAAGTTGGCAATATTGCCATAGGAGAAACCCATGATAATGTGCTTCCAGAAAAGCAATCGGGACCGCAAAAAGAAGGCTATCTCTGCAGTGGACTGGACATATATCTGACACATGAGCCCTGCGTCTGCTGTGGGATGGGCATGATCCACTCACGATTCCGGGCATGTGTTTTGGGTCGACAAATGCCTGGCAGCGGTGGCCTGTCTGCGGAAAGAGGTGGCATTCATTTGAGCTATGGTCTGTTCTGGCGTCGCGAACTCAACTGGCGAGTCATGACATTCCGACACACCGAGGCGGCGTCGTGGGATGGTGAAGGTCGAACGGATAAAGAAATATTCCATGCTTAGGAAGTCGATTATTCGGAATATCGGACGACAGTATCATCAGGTGAAGTCGGCTATTGCAGACCAGTTGCCACCGTCCACTCTACGGAATTCAACACCCTCACCAAAATATCCAGCATCACTCCATTGTCGCATGGTATCGCCAGCATATGGTCCGTTGATGGTACCCCCATCTCTTGCATCGGTCCACCGATACTCCCACATATGTTCTGTAGAGTCAGAGCTAGTATTACCAGCTTCAACGTCTTTCGACTGAGGATCAACCCATTCTTCACCAGTTTCTCTCCTGTACTGCCTGATGAGCAACTCTCTTTCAGCATCGTACACCTCTGGTTGACCACGTGTTAGTAGTATATCAGCAGCCCCTGTGATAGCTTCGACCTTTTCCTTGCGAGCCCTTTCAACCGTATCGTCTTCGGCCTTTTCGTCCACATTCTGTTTCTTGTTCTTCTTGGTCTGCCACTTGGCCTTTTTGTCTTTACTTTTACCAAGGCGGGCGAGAGCTTCCAACACCGTTTCACCACGTTCCAGTAATGGTATTAGGCGAGCTAGGACTTCCCCTGTCGACAGGGCATCATCCTCGATGTCTCGCTTCCTGCGCTCCTCCTCGCGCTTCTCAGCAGCCTCTCTGGCTTTCCGCATTTGCTTTTTCGAGACTCCTTCTAGCCAGACGTCGTGGATGGCGTCAGGGTCTGCTGCTTTGCGGACATAATTCTGTTGGTCGTCAAACCGGCCCTCCTCCATTTCTGCCCTCATGTTGAAAGCATCCAACTTGGGCGCATGGGCTTTCTTGCCTCCGGCGCCAAGTTCCGGATCGAGTTCGCCTGTGCTTGCGCGCACTTCGTCATCGACCTCACTTTCACTGCTGCTTTCCACCTCATCATCGAGATCTCTGTCCTTTCCCTTGCCTTTTGCGTTCAGACTGAAGTCGGCCGAAACATGGCCGCCGCTTCTTGAGTTCTGCACTTGCCCTTGGATCTCATCTGTGTCCAGAAACCGTACGGCCTTCTTCTTCCCGCCTCTCCGACCCGCGTCGCCTTCTGAATCATCACCATCACGGAAATCCTCCTCCAAGTCAGCAAACATATCATCTTGTTCCTCTTGCTTGGACTTTTGAGCCGCAGCTTTCTCCGCACGAGATTTTGCATCGGCCCGAGCGTTGAAGTTGTCATTGTCGCTGTCGGAGTCGTAACCATCAATGTTCACGGCTCCACGGCGAACTTGCTGGCCTCGTGAGCCGATGACATCGGCGTCCAGAATTGCATCATCCTCGGGGGCATCAGGGGCCAGTGCGGAGGGATTGCGCACGTCGAAGCGAGGCTTTTTGCTAAATTGGCCATGGTCGTGCGTCCGAACAAAGTCTTCGGCGCGTCTTTTGGAGCCGGTGGTGTTGAAAGAGGACATTCTAGGTAGTGGGAGCACCCATAAAACGGTACAATGGAGTACACGGCCCCGGCAGAGACAAGCAGAGGGCGTGCCTGAAGAACTGAATGGGCTGCAGGTGTAGTAAACCCAGAGAGAGAACAGTCTGGGGAAGTTGAAGAACATCGGATAAACTGCGGTGCCGGTCGCTCTTCTCCAAATCACGTCACAATCTGGTCGCCTGCAATGCGGTTCATCTGCAGTTGTGACAAAGAGACCATCAACTCCCTCCGTTCATTTCTCTACGCACGTGGTGGTTCGTGGCTCGTTTGAATCATTCTCTTGATTCACATGAGAAATCGTTTCTAACACTGCCTCACCTTCCTGAGCCGGTGCCTTTGTCGTCGCGTTTGCCTGAACACCCGTACACCTCATATCTCAGCCGGCCCCCTCTGGTTCAAGCCGTGTCATCTTCGCATTCCGCGACAACCATGGTAGGTCGTTCCCTGTATAAGCTTCGTGACTCTCTGACCATATTAGTCGTATTATCAAGGCGAGATGATGGGCTTTCCATCCTTCATGCGCGGCGGACCTCCCCTCGGCATGCCCGCGAGACGATTCGATGAATACTATCGTTGTTACCCCGTTATAATGATGAATGGACCCGACAGAAAGAACGTCAACTATGGTGGCAAAGTCTTCTTACCGCCATCGGCACTTGACAAGCTCACAAGATTGCACATTGCCTATCCCATGCTTTTCGAGTTGATCAACGGCAACGCTGGCAAGACCACTCACGCCGGTGTTCTGGAATTTATCGCTGAAGAAGGAAGAATCTATCTACCACAATGGGTGCGCTCTGTTACTGGCTTTTGGTGGATCTTTGGCACATTGCTAACATGACTTGCAGCTTATGCAGACTCTCGACCTCGACCCGGGCGACCTCCTCCAGATCAGGTCAACCGACCTGCCCCCTGGCAAATTCATCAAACTCCAACCTCAATCACCTGCTTTCCTTGACATCTCCGATCCTCGAGCAGTCCTTGAGAATGCCTTTCGAAACTTCGCTTGCTTGACCAAGGGAGACATATTCACCTTTGAATACAATGATCAAACGTACGATATCGCCGTGCTGGAGATCAAGCCGGACACAGATGCCCACGCGATTGTGACCATGGAGACCGACCTGGAAGTTGACTTTGCGACACCGGTCGGATACGTTCCACCGGAACGAACCAGCGGAGCGAGCACACCTAGAAGTGGCATCGGCAAACCTCGAGGCGGACCAGTCCACTTCCAGGGTACAATGGCACAGTCGATCAACTATGAAAGCATTGCGCCGGCCTCAACCACTGCGGCTGCGGGTGCCAAGGCCGTCTCATCTCACTTCCTCTCGACCGGCCACAAGTTGAGTTCGAAGAAGGGTTCAAAGGCACCAACGCCTAATCCATCCACTCCGGTGGCAGGTGCATCCACAAACTGGCCGAAACAACCAGTTCTACGTAAGACCAACGGACCTCAACCACTCAGACTACCTCCAGGGAAATTGTTCTTTGGATACCAATTCAAACCTCTGCAGAAAAGAGACGAAAATGGCGAGCCAGTAGCCGGCGATGAAGTCAAGCCACACTTTCAAGGTCAGGGACAAACACTTCGAGCCAAGAAGAAGGCCGCAGGGACCGATAGCGGGGCAGGCAGCGGTGTCAACAGCGATGCTGAAGCCAAGCCTAAGGGGTCTGGCAGGGGACCTCGCTGATGCGAGTTACGGCGTGAGCCTCTATGGACAATGGACTACTAGTGATGATTGGAATGCATTGCATAGCGACGGCGTTTGGAATGCATGGACGGATGGACCCAATGAATCGGCGAAATAGACTGCAGATGATGGTCGATTAAAGTTCGGAATGATGAGCAAGGTCAATACGGGAGGCCAGAAGGTTAATTCTTATTAAACTTGCCCGTGCTGGATCATCTCAAACTTTCAGAAATGCCAACCGTACTGATGAGAATCCGTGCGTCAAAAGAATGCGAATCGCGAATGGAATGAGCACCACTGTACAGAGTAGAGTACAGTACTTCATACCGTCGTAACCGTACTCGTACTCGTGCCTCCGTTACCGGTGGTCATGGTCGGCAAACAATAAGCCGAGCCTGGTTTGCATTGCGTCATGCCTTGAGAACAACATCTGATGGTTGCATAGGTAGGGATGAGTAGGGATACTCGTATGTACCGGATGAATCGATGTGATTTGGTTTGATTACTCCGTGATTCTGCAGCCTCTGTTCTTTTGTTGTTTGGGTCTGGTATGAGTGAGGTGTCTCCCTCCCTCCCTCCCTCCCTCTCTCTCTCTCTCTCTCTCTCTCTGTGTGTGTGTGTGTGTGTGTGCAGGTGTGTCTCTATCTCTCCAAGCGACAAACGATGCCATCATCCTCAACGACAGTCGACCCGGCCATCATCCGCGCCTTGTCCCTGGAAGGGACTTCCTCCAAGATCACCACTCATGGGGGCTCGGGATTCTCGTCAACGTTCCGGATTACCACTTCTACTAGGAAGAGCAGTACCACGACAGCGGAGTCGCCCTCGACGTCGATATTCGTCAAGACCAGTTCCGCCCCGGGGGCGGAAGTAATGTTCCAAGGCGAACATGCGTCCTTGAACGCCATCCACGACGCGGTGCCAAGTTTGTGTCCCGAGGCTTTCGCATGGGGTCGACTCGACCTTGAACCTGGCGGGTATTTCCTGGCAACCGAGTTTTTGGATCTCGGTGGTGGTGGTGGTGGTGGAAGGAGATCGGGGAAAGGGAAGGGGACCGGCAGGAGTGGAACGGGGAGCGGGATGAGTCTCGCCGAGAAACTGGCAAAGTTACATTCGACGCCCGCCCCTGTCCCGGACGGCCACGACGAGCCGCAGTTCGGGTTCCCCGTGCCGACGTGCTGCGGAGACACGGAGCAGGACAACTCGTTCACCTCGTCGTGGGCGGATTTCTTCGCCCGGAGACGCCTGCTGGCCGTCTTGGACCGAGGGGAGAAGAACAACGGGTCACCGGAAGCTCAGTTGCGGAGGACCGTCGAGAGAGTCGCGGGCGAAGTCGTGCCGAAGTTACTTGGCGACGGCCATCTCGGTGTCAGTGGTGGCCGTGGCGACGGTAACAACAGTAAGAGGGGGATCGTCCCGGTCGTCGTGCATGGGGATTTGTGGAGTGGGAATCAATCTCGTGGACGGTTCGTTGGGAGGAGAAGAAGCAGAAGAAGACTACGGAAACAAAATCAAGGACATGCGCCACGAGGACATGACCAGGAAAAAGAAACAGACAAATATGCAAGTGACGGCGACGCGGACCCTGACCTCCAGGCGGTGGAGGAGGACGAATACGACGAAGAAGAACACGAATATGAAGATGAAGATGATTACGAAGAAGTCATATACGATCCGGCTTCGTGCTACGCCCACAACGAGTACGACTTTGGAATCATGCACATGTTTGGAGGATTCGGGAGCGCATTTTGGAACGAGTACCACGCCCTTGTCCCCAAGACGGAACCGGTGGGCGAGTACGACGACCGCGTCAGGCTGTACGAGAGTTACCATCACCTGAATCACTGGGCCATCTTCGGCGGTGGAGGGTACAAGGGCGGCGCGATGCGGTTGTTGAAGGGGTTGTTGGCCAAGTACGGTGGTGGTGGTGGTGGTGAGTGAGTGGGTGGGTGATTGAGGAGAGTCGGAAAGTCGGAAAGTCTGAAAGGCTGAGAGATGCCAGGGGACGCCCGCATCCAACTGACCGGTCTGTACATACACTGTACACTGCAGACATATCGACAGATGGGCATATCAAAATGTGAACTATTACATGTGTGGTGTACTTTAGCTACAACGATTCAACTTGTACGCCGTTGGAAAGAAAGTCTTCGAACTACTACATCATTATCATTATTACCTACTACCTACTTACCTCCCTACCCACAGGTAGTTATTACTACTTGGAACCCACCCAGATTATTTCGTTTCAGTCCGTATACTCGGGCGAAATGCTCCGTGCTGTCATGACCCCGTCTGACTACCTATGCCTGGCCTTTGGTACACATGTGACACCATGTCGGAAGATATCAAATCGTCCTGTCTTCATTGTAGAATGTTGTACCCTCCCAACCATGCAAATAACAAGGTAGCCACGAGATGCGACATCTCGGATCCCCGCTTCCCCTTGCGACGACACAGTATGGTATCTCCGGCCATGCTGACGAGGTTACAGAGCAGGAGTATGCCTGTGGCGTGGGCTTCGTTGAGACCGGCGAACACGAGTATCGATAGACCCAGGGCGATGTTGCGGACCCCGACGACTGGGATGAACGGGTCCGTGTCGTGTGAAGTCGCCGTGGTTGTCGTCTCACAGTACGCAGGTTCGTGGCTGGGTTGTTGGTCCAGGTAGACGTTGCCCTTTTCTTCCGACGGCTCCAGCGTCTCGATTGATGTGTGGCTCCAGCCGGACGAACGTGACGGCGGGAATCCGAACGATGTCGCAAAGTCGACTGGTTTCAAGATGGAGCGAACTCCTGCGGCTATGGAAACAAGGGCGACCAGGAAGGTTGCGAGGCGAGTGATGTGGCGAAGTGCGATGAGTGGATTCATCTTCGTGCTGTCCTTCTAACCTCAGACGTTCGGAGCTGGCGGGGGCGTGGTTTCTTTCTGGCTGGTGGGAGAGGAGAGAAGAGTGTCGTCTTCAGAAGCATTCAAAATATGGTAGACTGGATAGGGAGGCGATAACGAGGACCAGCAGGGGAGGTCATATATAGTTCACTCTCCGTCACCGACCAGACGAAGGACGAGCAGCCTTATACCGGTATGGAAAACTCCACACGTGTACCTGGTGCTGGTGGATGGTTACTCAGCGCGCGATTGACGACTGACAATCCCAGACGAGGGCTCTGCGCTGTCCGTACATGTGACGCCGGAGTGGTTTGGCGGTGTGTGTGTCTGTTGGTAAGGATGGAGTATGGAGTATGGAGCAAGAACAACTCAGCAGCACGCCAGGTGTAACTTCATTCGCATCGGAGTGTTTAGTTTTGTGAGATCGTCGTTCCGATGTGTGATGTTCTGCCCTGAGGCATGAGGAGCTTGAGCATCCGAGTTTGCTGTTTCTTTGGTAAGGTCTCCAGACATCCATGCACGCATGCAGGCACAGCGTGCAGAGGGCAGAGATATTTTGGGTATGTTCGTCATACATATTCTATCCGTCCTTCTGCAAGGTGATGATCGGGGCCGGGAACATGTACTGTATATTCGTCAAGCAACAGGAATCCTCTCTCTCTCTCTCTCTCTCTCTCTCGCTCTCTCTCAATCAAGGTTGACTGTACAACTCACCCCTACCTGAGCAGAGTCATGATTTCGTCCAGACAAAAAGCCCGTGGTACTGAGCCGCACGGTGTACTCACTCGTACGGCAGTTGTCCGTCCGATACTCCGTGCGTGGATTTAATCCATGGTGGGAAGGGGAGGATCCTCGGACGATGATCAACAGCTTTTGTCACCCATGACAAGGCTGCTGGGATAGATCGTCAACTACATCTCCATATTCTGCCTGTCCTTTGATGTCAAACAGTAAAGGAAATGCGGTCCTCACGTACAGAGTACAGTCAGTAGTCGTCTCACTCTTTCTAGCTCAGGATTATTTTAAGCACCGTCCCGGAGTCTTCCACATCCGATGCAGATCAGGCCAAGCATCACCACAACACAACGAGATCTAGACATATGTTTAGACCAAAGCGGGAGGAAGTCGTTGTACATACACAGACTCTATTAATGGAGAATTCCTCAGAGTCAGACTTGTCCAGGTCGTCAAGTATCTCTGTCTGTTCCACGGTCGTAATGATACCGCTGAGTTTGAACCACAACGCCGTTGCTCTTCAATCCAAGAAAAGACACAAATTCCCGCAGTGTGACGGATACTCGTACCGAACTCCAGATTGCAATACACCACGCCTTTAATGCCATGATCATTAAATCTTCATCTCAAGGTCTTCATTCTCACTCCTCCTCCATCCCCATCAGCCTGCGTTCGGCATAATCACGAATCTTATCCTCCAGGACTGTCCTGTTCCATCGGCCAGCCACCTTCGCAGCAGCCTCCAACATCTTCCCACTCCTATCCCTCAACAATCCGACAATGTCAAGTGCCTTCATCCCTCTTTCCTCTCCCTCGCGACATTCGACGGCCAACAACTGCAGGAGGAGCTTGTCAACGTCAATTTCCCTCTTCATCACCTCCGTCTTTTGAGCGTGACCAGCCCTCTCGCCTAGGCTCTGGACGAGATCATCCATCAGACCAAGCATAACTGAAGTACGGACATATGCCTCTTCCAGACGCACTGCCGCCGCAGCGTTTGTCTCTTCCTGCTCCTCATCGTCTTCGTTTCTCTCCACGGGCCTCGACGCGGGAACGCGGAACTCAAATTCCGTAAGCAGTGGCCGGGGAAAATAAGGACTCTTGTCGCCTCCCTTGAGGATGATGCAGTGAAACTTCTCTCCCGCCACCGCGACAGGCCAGTACGTTTCCTCCTTCTTCCCATCCTTCAGACGATCCAGCAACCGTGTATCCAAAAGGGGTACCCATTTCGCCTGTCCCGGAGTGCGCCAGTGGACCAACGTCAACAGAACCCCATTACTGTCGTAAATGCACGGGTCTCCCAAATCGCTCCAGAAAACGGTCTTCAAACTCACATCGTCCTCTTCCGAGTCCGGCGGCAATGTCCCCAGGGCCAAGACGTCCTCGTTCTGACAATTCTCGTCCCGTCGCACATCGTCGATACTGTACATCAACTGTGTACAGCCATCAGAGCCCACAGGCCCATTGCCCACCGTCATGACATAATCTCCCCACGCCGAACAGGTGACTGCTGGGGAACTCTTCATACGCCACATGCGAACTGGGGTCCCGAACAGCGTCCAGATACGCACGTAGTTCTTGTTCGTCACCGCCACGATGTACCGACTGCTCAACGCTATGCACGTGGCCTCCTCGCCATCCGGGAGACTGATGCGCGAATCAGAACGTGCCGTCCACGTCTCGTGGGGACGGTAGAATATCACAGCAGGCTGCCCATCCTTCGGAGGTGACGCGAACAGCGTGCCGTTCTCGTTCAGGCATGCCTTGTCGTATAGAAAGGGGTCGGTGAAGTGAAAATCGCGGTACATTTCGCGGTCATAGAACTCGACAGTCACCGTGTTGTGCGTGTCTTGGTCGACCGTCCAAACAAAACCGATTAGGTTGAGACAAAGGTATTTTCGATTGCCACGCCAGGGGGTCGCTCCAGGCTGGAATGCTTCGTGGATCTGTGGTTGCCAGAGATCCTGCTTGTTGCGCTTAGCCGAATGTCCGTTGACACCTCCGAGGTGGCCGTTTGTCCGCTTGCCGTTTTCATTTATGTAGCCAGCACCGTCGTCGTCCTCGATCCAGTCGTATTCATCCTCGGGACCGAGCATCTCGTCCAGACTATCCGGTGTCCCTGCGCGCTTCCCTTGGCCGTTCACCAACGGTTTCCGACCATTCACAGCTGCCGTCTTCTCATGTAAAGGATCATGGAAGAATGGAGCCGTGACCTTTGGTCCTTTGAGGAGGCGGACGTGCGCTTCATCTTTCAAGAAGTCAGGAATGATGTAGAGTTCTCCTTGGGATGTGGTCCAGTTGAAGATGTTCTCGCCGGTGCTTTGCCAGGCAAGGTTGATGATCTTTTCGTAGTTGAATCTCCTGAGAACGGTTTGTGTCTTGGTCTCCCATATGACCAGCTGATCATCTGCACTAGAACTTGCAAGCAGCGCTCCATTCGGTGACCAGGCCAGTGACGTGATATCCCCATTGTGGGCTCCTGCGAAGGCTCGCTGGTGAGCTCCATCCTCGACCGAGATGACTTGGATATCTCGTGTCTGAGTGGCACAGGCAAATGCTCTTCCATCAGGGTGCCATACACACTTTGACGACGTAGATTCTGCCGTCTCCAGGCGATTGATGACTCCGTCTATCGTCCGGAGCAGACTAGGCTCGGGGCCTGCCATGGTGTAAATGTAGATAACGCCATTTGTGCAAGACGCAGCAAGGTATTTCCCACTGGGGTCGTACGAGAGGTGCTTGATCGGCTTTGGGTGTTCACGAAGAGTCCTTATTTGCTCGATATCATGTCGATTGACAATCTTGACCTCGAGTTCACTGTCAGAGCAACTCCAGTCAGCCATGCAACGGTATGGGAGGCTTGCGTATCACCCACTCGCTTGAAACTGCAATCCATTTCTCGTCAGGAGAAAGTGCTATGTCCCGCACAGGCAGTGTTGTTCGGACGAGTATCTGCTTCAGATCTCCCGATGGGACTGCATACTCGCATACTGTGCCATCCTCGCAACCCAAGATCACGTACTCATTCTGGCTTTCGTGTCAGCTATGCAATCTATTGTACCTCTTTGCTCGGATGATAATACCCCTGATGCAACAGCGTAGGTCTCCTCGTGCGTCTCCGGGAGCAGGTCTGGCTCTCCATTGTCACCGGTCCTGAACGAGCGTGCAAAGTTGCCCACGCCGGCGACGATCAATCTTTGCCCGTCAGGGGAGTACTGGAGATAGGTAGGGCCAGGAGGTTGAGCAGGACGAGGATGGAAAGGAGGTCGTTCCGGCATCTTGACTCAGTGTGCTCAGAAAATACAATCATCAAGGACCGAATACGTTGCATGCGTCTTGATATCGAAGGTGCGCTTGACGTGAGCGCAGGGAGATGGATAAATTGAACGACGCGTCTGGCGCGTCGCGTTGCGTTGCGGAGAAATTTCACGACCCCGCACGAGGCCGAAGAATGAGGGAGGCTTCGCTACGACTGCGACAACGACAAGCCTCACCAGCTGCTCCTTGTGAAGAACAACCGCAACGAATGTCCAGACGTTCATTCAGAATGGAACCGTTGCCTCAGGAACAGGCTCATCAAACTCATAGTGGAGAAAGTTCTTGTTAAGACAGCCTGGGAACTGAAGTCTAAATACTGCTAACAAATGGGTGAACATGGTCTCATGGAAGTATCCAGCGCTCTCTTGTTGAAGACCTCTGCTGTACTGCTTGTCCTGGCCGGCGGGTTGCGACATTTCGGCTGGACCCCGTCGCTAACGATCCTTGCCCTGGGACTCGCTCAAGCGTGAGTTTGGCCACCAAGGACTGCGAAAATTTGTCCCCTGAATTGTACGAATCTAGTTGGAAATCTCCATAAAGATATCACATCTGTAGGCGCATTTTCGGAAGTTGAAATCAGATTGTCTCAGCTGAGGGCTGTTCGGGAATGGCCGAGGACGGGTTGTAGCTCAGAATGTACCGTGTAGATGGTGAGAGCAAGCTTAACGAGTGTCGCTTCGACGGGAAGTGTGTAACACAGGACGTCGTTTGGTGAGTCGCCGATTGCTCAGCATTGCTGTCTAGCTGCTCACAACTGCTCGATACCTCGACGCAACTAATCCGTCGGCCTCTCTAGAGTAAATAGTTGTCATAAATGCTTCATTACCGCGAGCTAGCAAGGTGGTCTGGACGTGTCTCGCATCCCGTAAGATTGTAAGTCGGTTCTAATAAAGAACAATTCTTCAGGTTTTCGGAGGAGTCGAGGGTTTTGGCGGGGGTTGAGGTGGGCGTGGGTATAGGCACTGGCGTATATGCTGAATAACGTCTTGGACGTAATCGTGGCCTTGAGTGAGTAGGCGATCCATGTGCATAAAGTGATGAGGTACTCCCTTGAATCTCTTCATGACGACCGTGTTCCCAGCTTCTTCGACCCTCTTCGCATATGCTTCAGCCTCGTCCCGTAAGGGGTCGACTTCGGCCGTTGCAAGATAGGTCAAAGGTGCCAGGCTCTGGAAATCTGGTGCCTTCATAGCATCAGCAAACCATGATATGTCTCGTTTCTGCTCTTTTGGCTTTGTCGAGTTTTGGCTTGCTAGAGACATCCACTTGAAAGTGTCGAACCATTTCAATTTCTCCCAGTTCAATAGTGGCGCGATTTCAGCCTCTCGCATGCTAGGCCAGGGACTCATGTCGGGTGTCGCATACTTCTTGACGTCGCTGATGGTTGGCGTCCCAGCCACGACGCCCTTCAACTTGTGACCCATGCCATGATCTCGGAGCAGGTGATTGAGGATCAAAGCAATCGTGGCTCCAGATGATTCTCCTCCCAGGGTGAATCTGTCAGGGTCAATTGAGAATGTGTTGTGATTGTGCAGGATATGTAACACGGCCGAGAAGCCATCCATAATGCCAACTGGGAACGGATACTCTGGGATCAGCCGATACTCTACGTCGATGACGCAGCACGGCACCGAGGCGCAAATGTGATGGCAGAGATGTGCGTCGGTCTCCAAGTCACCCACGGCCCAGCCTGTGTATGTTAGCATTGTCCAGCACCGTCTTGACAAGCGTTCTCCTACCTCCGCCATGAAAATTGAAGTGTACAGGCCACACGTTGCGCCTACCCAGCTCTTCACCTGGCGGTACATAGACACGTATGTTGATGTCGCCCGGGTATTTGTTCCATCCTGGCACCCTGGTCTCCCCAATTCCACCTACGCCTGTTGCAGGCGCACTTGCATACGCATAGAGGGAGGAGTAATTCTGTCGCAAAATGTTGAGGTCGGTGGACCAACCAGGACCATTGGCAATATGTGTGTTGTACAACTTGATGAACGCTGGATCGAGGCGATCAAGGACAGAAGGCTGGAGGGGAATGTGTGGAGGAGGAGCAGGCGTATGAGAGCCGCCGTGAACTACATCGTGCATGCGATCGTCATGGGAGGTCATTTTGATCGCAATGCTCGCATGACCAGACGATGCGCCACTCTGGGTCAAAGGGCGTCAAGACCGAGATTCTGGAATGATCAATGATCAGGGAGGCAGCAGACGAAGAGTCTTCATGGCGATGGCGAGGGCGAAGGCATTCAGTAAAGGGAGACGGGGGTGGGATGTAGAGAAAATGTCCAGGCTCTGGTCGGGCTGGTGCAGTTGGCCGGATGAGAGACACATCGATGGCTCAGGCGTAAGATGGCCAGACATTTCCAGACCGGCTGGTGCACTTGATTGGCGACGCCGAGCCCCGCGATTGTGAGGCTTGGGCCTAAAGTCCGATGAGATAGGAAGATGGATGGACGTGGTGATGGAGACCGAGAATTGAGTTTGCATGGATCACCTCGCATGCTGCCTCTGCGAGTACATGCCTCTACGCGCCTCTACGTACCTCTACGTACCTCTCGTACCTCATGAATATCCCTTCTGCGACTCTCCTCGTTGTCTCTCCTCCTCCGCTTATGCCTCGTATCTCAGTTGCAAGCACTATCCAGACCTCAGACGCAGGCGAATGGCATCCTGCTTCAACGGGGAACTTCCCCCCCTCTCCCCCCGGGGCGTCGCTTGGCTCTCTTCTCCTCGAGAATTTGGCACGCCTGAAGGAGGTCTGTCGTTGAAGGTATGATTGATGCCCGCATGAAGGTTCGAGCGATGGGTGAAACTGACGTTGACAGCCTCGTATCGGGGATCTGATCGCTGACGTTAGCGAGACCATTGAGCGTTGGAGCGGCTTGTGATGGGTGTTCTGGTGAGAGACCAGCCATGGTGTCAGCGAGTCGATATGCACCATCACGACGGACTGTCCATACGTCAAACCGATCCGGTCCATCCTCCAGCGACTGACGAAGATGCTCATTGCTCGCTCGAAATTGACTCCCAACCACTCATGCTGACAGCGTTGGCGTTGGTCGTAAAAGTCTCTCTGATTTCCGGCCCGGTATCTTCTGCATCCAAGTTGTACTCTTTTGCCTCGAGTGGGTATTACGTACAGCTTGTCATGTTCGTCTTTTCTTTTCGGGACCGATCGACCTGTCTCCAAAACGAACCCAGTCGCGATGCTCTTGCTTCTGTCTGTCCTTCCACCAGCCCTCGTTGCAAGCATAACCGCAAATCTCCTCAGACACTGGCTTTTGGCGCCTGAGCGCTTTGCAGTAGGCCTCTTCCATGAACCACCATCCTTCGATAGGCTCATTCTCCCAATCGGCTGTCGCGAGAGGCGAGGACCCATTCAGCTGCAACGCTTCGCAAGTCTGAACAAGCTGCGCGATTTCCCTGGCAGAATAGTACTCGGTCCTTGTCTTTCTTCCTATCTTTCGTGATATCTCGGCAGATGATGCACCTTCTTCGACCAGTGTCATCACAAGTTGGCAGGTACTGCCCTTGACTAGCAATTCTTGCTCATTGTGGATCCTGAGATAAGAAGGGTAAGCCTGAACTTTGCTATCCTTCAACTTGCATTCTCGTGTCTCGTCTTCGAAAATTCTCTGTGTTGTGCTAATTTCAGAGTCGGTTCTACGTTCCTCGTTTCGTGTGGTACCATGTGCCGCCGGCTGACCCTCCTTGGGCATCGCTGACTTCCAGGTCCATGGTGTTTGTGTTCCTCCGGGGTGTTCCATACGTTGCAGTCGCCTTCCGCGCCTCCCCCGGACGCACCACTCCATGTTGGGAAGCCAGATGAGATCTACACCTAACGGACAAAACGATGTAAAATTGTGTTCTGGACGTCAATGCTGAGCTTCAATGTCAATTGTGAAAAGCGCAGCAGTCTTATGTGCAAGTCTGCGCGCGTGAAAGTGATAAAAGAGACAAAAGGACAGGATCGCCAGAGAGCGCGCATTATGTGATCTGGAACGAGACATTGGCCAGGATGTCTCACTGTAAGAATGGCATCGCGTTCGAAGAGATGGAATTCTGGAAACAACTGATCTTGATGCGATGAATTCATTACAAAACGCCACGCGACTAAGAGGATCTCTGGGTCATAGAGGGAACTACTTTCGTCCTTCAGTCTACCCAAGGTTTGAATCCAAGCACCAATCATCCAGGAAAGAGAATACTAAATAAAGCAGCATCGTCCTAATCCATAATACTTTGTATGGGACATCTACTTCCTGTCGAAATTCGAAGGTCAGATATCGATCTTCTCGACTGACATTTCCCGGGTGCGTAGTTCCAAGAAGTCTTTCCACACCTGCTCAATATCATTCTTGTGGATCCAGTCCAGTTGGCCTGCCATATCAGGCATGAAGTGACGGAGTCTGTCACTCAGAATGTCGTCTAGTGGTCGATTCTCGTTTTCGGCAAGGGCCTTTTTCGCTGCCGACATACTGGGCTGGCTTTCACGCCATTGGTAACTAAACAAACATCGCCTTAGCTCATACTGCACTGAGTGTGGGTGCTCAAGCTCACATCCGTCTATAGTAGGGCGATCTGATTCCATCAAAGATCTTAAGCGCATCCTTGACAGGCTCCGGCGAGTCGCAGGCGTATTCGAGAGCCTGTGCAAGGATCCAGGCATCCTCCATTGCAAATGCTGATCCTGTGCCGAATCCACCTGGTTGTTTGATCAGTATTTTCAGCCCGCTGTAAGCCGGTGAACGAACTTACCTGAGAGTGGGTGACTGGCATCTCCAACCAGAGCAACTTTATTCCATGCTGTAATGGCTTCAAGACAGGGCCCAGTGAACAAGGCGAACTCTCTCCACTGACCTTCCTGGACCGATGCGATTGCCGCCTGCACTCTTGGGTCAAAGTTCTGTCAGAGATTCAGCGCTCAAGAACTGCTGTCCAGGCCCGCCACACCTTACTGTGAACTTGGATGCGACCTTCTCGTTTGTGACAGGAACTCCCCAGCTCACCGCTGGATCCAGAGAGCCGTGCCGGTCAGATGATCTGAGCGAAATTTCAAACAGCTCCTCTTCCGACTCATGGTCAACCCCAGAGAAGAATGCCTGGGCAGTCTTTCCGTGCCACGAACCCGACGTTGCGATGTCCCCTAAATGTGCAACCGACGAGAGAGGGGCGAGTGTACGCCAGGTCCTGCTACCTATAGCTCGCGAAGAGATTCCTTTAGTCAACCGCAGCTGAGTCCCAACGGAGATCTCAAACGTACCAAGGAAGTGTATTTGATGATCTGGAAACAGGGTTCGCCGTACAATCTATAGCCAGTTAGGAGCTTTCGGTGCGAATGCTGAATATCTATGGGACCGACCGAACGGAAACCGTCCGCACCGACAACAAGGTCTGCTACAGCCACGGTCCCGTCATCAAACGATATTTGGACAGCCTTCTCGCCCAGGTCTTGTATCGAAGTGACCTTCTTATTGTATTGAATGACACCCAAGGGGACCCTGGAAAGCAGGGCAGATTGAAGTCGAGCCCTGCGAACTCTTGTTCTTGGGCGACCTCCAGGCTCGCGTCGTGTGAGATCTCGTTCCAGCGCAGGGAGAAAAACTTCACCGGTGTAGCCATTCCTGGGCTCAGTCAATGTCAGAACTATCGCCGATCACAAGGTTTCCGTGCTGGTGCGACTAACCTGTGAGTGGCAGAAGTCTTCACACATCCTTGAACATCATCTGCTGCTCCGAGCAAATCGAGGACCTTCCAGCCATTGGAGCCAACGCTTAATCCGGCGCCGACTTCTCGCGGCTCTGGATTCTGTTCGTAAAGAGCGACGGAGACGTTGGCAAGCCCCGACAAAGCTATAGCCGTTGCGAGGCCTCCAGGTCCTCCACCCACGATGGCCACCGTGATCGAGCTCCCGTACGATCCCATGACTGCCAGCCGGTCGAGATGCCAAATGTGCAGAACGTACACTTTTACGGGTTACAATGCTCTTTAAGTCTGACCGCCAGTAATTGATGCTAAACTTATAGCACTTTGGCACAAGAGAGAAGAACTGGCTCGTCTGCTTTTGTGAAAAGCACCCTACGAGTGGCTGCAAAGCCCGAGGACATTGTGCCGTCGTGTTGTGAGGTTCCTGTAGAGAAGGCCAGCTGCAAGTGAGGTGGGTACCAAAGTCCCTACACCCCTCGCAATTGGACGCACACGGAGGCTCCGAAGCCCCTTTCCTGCGGTTAGTCTCTTCCTGGCCAATAATAGGAGGTTCTCATGGGTGATATCCACATGTGGCCCTCTGCAATGATATGCTGGCCGTATCGCGCATCTCGTCCCCTCGCAAAGTATGTGCTGTTTGGGAGAGATGGCAAAAGGTTCTCAGAGCTGCGACCCTCCAACAAGTCTCGACCCTTGCATCAAGAACAAAAGGGATCTTTGCCATGGGTTCTCGCTACCGAATTTGGTAAGAGTCTTGCACCGTGAGTGGGTGATGCATCTGGAAGAGCACCGGTGCAAAACCATCTCATCCAGGATAGACAGTTCTGCCTAACAACTCCCCTCTAAGCATCATGTTCGAGATGAGCACGTCGTTGAGGGGCAAATCACACAATTCGTGCGCCCGAACGAACTCTCGACGATCGGTTGGCAGTATCGTGGATGTCCGGTGTCATATATAAGACTCAATCTTCTCATCAGCTAACGCCTCACCTTATGAATCAGGCCATCTTGATTGTAGCCGGCCAAACCATATCTTGATTGCCCTTCCTGAGAGAGAGGAGAGAGACAACGATAATTCTGAAATCAACATGTCCAAGACTCCCGACACAAGCGTCGAAAGCGACGACAGCACCAACTACGAACTTCGTGCCGCTCGTGTGGTGGCCCAGAACCCTGTACAGACGCGCCGGAGCTATTTCTGGGATACACTGAACAAGTCGCCCGAGGAGCGAAGGTTTCTGTTCAAGCTTGACGCCGGGATTTTGACCATCACCTGCTTGGGTATGTTGCTTACGCCGTTGTCCTTGACTTTGATCCTTTTGGTTGGTGTATCATGTGTAGCTCAGATCCCCTTGACAGGATTTTTCATCAAGTACCTCGATCAAGCCAATCTGGTCAATGCATTCGTGTCTGGCATGTGAGTCGACTCGCCCACCTTCCATACCACGTCTCATATGAAGAAGAGTGAAGTTCTCTACCTAAGCCCGCATGAACTAATTTCAATTCACACTTGGAATAAACAGGAAAGAAGACTTGAACATGTTTGGCAACCAACTAAACTACGTGACGACGATATTTACCGTGGGCTCTATCGTGGGGAACATCCCGAGTAACCTTCTCATAACAAGGATCCGGCCATCAATCTATCTTTCGACGTTGATGGTGTTCTGGTCGGTGTTGACGATGTGTTTGTCTCGCATCACTAACTATCAACAACTGTATGCCCTGCGCTTCTTCATTGGTATGTTGGTTGCTCAGTGACCATGTCCGGCCCTTGATGTTTTGCCCTTTTTCCTTACCCCAGCTGAGTGGCTCACTGATCCTCTTCCAGGCCTGACAGAGAGCGGATTCTACCCCGGCATCGAGTATATGCTCGGCTCGTGGTGTGCGTGAGAGTTCCATGCTCCGAACCCTCCACAAGATATGACTGACTCCAAGTTCATCCATGGTTGTGCAGACCGAAGAGATGAACTAGCGAAACGAGCAGGCATTTTCAACATTACTGGATCAATCGCCACGATGTTTTCCGGCTACTTGATGAGCGCAGTGATCGGTCTCGACGGGAGAGGTGGTCTTCGCGGCTGGCAATGGTATGTCACGCCATGAAGCCACATGATTCGCTAGCTTTTCATTCTCTTCTTTTCATGAACAACACCTCAGATATGCTGGACCTGACCTTGCCATGAACTTTGTCTTCTAGGTTATACATCATGGACGGAGTCATTTCATTGCCCATCGCCGCGGCGTCTTTCTTTGTTCTCCCTGACTACCCTGAAACGTCTCGGGTCTGGTATTTAAATGAAGGCGTGAGCCGCGGGTCACCACCTACGTTTAGGACACGGGCGATTCTTCTAACACGGTTCATAGGACAAGGCAATCGCCAAAAGACGCATGGAACTCGAAGGCCGACGGAAGAGACAGCCATTCACAAAAAAGAAAGTTTTGAAAATCTTGAGTTCATGGCACCTGTGGCTCCTGCCCCTTCCAATTTTGTGAGTTCAGTAGCTCTGAAATCCCCATCATCTGGCCTGTCCATAGGTTTGCCTGTCGATAAGTACTCACACTTTGGACCCTTCCAGTTTTTGTGTCGGCGCCGGCGGTGCAGGCCAGCCCGTGTTTGCACTTTACTTGAAAGCATCCAAGCACCCCAAGTACACTCTCCGCCAGATTAACAATTACCCTACCACGGTGCCGGCCATGCAGGCTGCATCCACTCTCGCCTACACCTGGATATCGGACTCGGTACTGCGTGGTCGAAGGTGGCCTATAATTCTTTGGGCAACGGTACGTTGTTGATGATGACGAGTGTGGGATTCTGCCACAGTGGCTAATTGCATACGTTGTTTTGTTTTGGACAGAGCATAAATCTCGTGGTCTTTACTTCTCTCGCGGCTTGGACTATTCCAGTTGGATGGCACTGGGCCTGCTACATTTTGATGGGTCAAGGTGTAGCAATCAGTCCTATGATGATGTCGTGAGTCAACCCTCACCCTACCTCCTGGCGGTCAAACATGACACCCGCACCACGCCTCGCATTTGTCTCGGTCTCAGACGATGATGTTTGTTTTTTTGATGATGATGATCAAGAGACACAAGCGCCGAAGTCGAAGCCGAAGCGTGGTAATTAATGATGCTAATGATGGCAATTATGCTGACATGATGTTGTTTGTGTATCTCCCAAAAAAAGATGGACGAATGAACTCTGCTCCGCTGATACCGAGGAGCGCGCCCTCGTTCTCGCCGTGGTCAACGACTTCCTTCCACTAATGAACATCTGGCTCCCACTCATCATCTGGCAGCAGGTGGACGCCCCGAGATACCACACCGGGTTCGTCACCGCGTCGTGCTTGATTGTCGTCGGTTTCTTCCTCGTTCTTGGGATAGTATATCTCTCCCGCAGAGATCAGAAGAGGTATCTGACTCCTATCTGGGAAATTTGTCATCGAAGAAATGCCCAGGACTGATAGGGTTTTCCAAATTAGGAATCACCGACAAGAAGAAGGAAACGTACAGGCAACAGAAACCGCTCATACTTCGGCTCAGGACACTGTGATTCAGGACAAGGGCGTATAAATCAGGCTGCAGCTGCAGCTGCACAGAGGTCCTTGAACGTAAATGCTACATCATGTCATTTATGAACGAGCCTTGTGTTGAACAAGGCTGAGTTGTGACGGGGTCATTACAACCTCCATACTTGCGCCGAACGCCTCCGCGGGACTTCGCCGCCTAGAACGCTCCTTTTGCAAACCTTGCAACACCATGAATTCACTCACTTTAGTCACATTTTCGCTATATCATAGTCCTCAGGTTGGAGGAACAGGACCTCCCCGACACAAGGACGCCGGCCCCCGACGAGGACCTCATCGGTCGCCGCCGATGCCCGGGAGAAAAACCTCTCCACCAAGACGAGAAAACTTTCACTCCTTTAACATACAAATAGATAGAACAGCGACCTCCTAGTCCTGGAGGGCAGACTCGTCAATACATCCCATTTAGCCCCCGACATCGCCTAGAACTGAGTGTTGCACAACACCTTGGCCCTCTTCGGATCGACACTCCTTTCGGGGCTTTATGGATTTTGTCTCCGATCATACTATAGCGTAGATACTACACCTTGTTAACGGGAGTGATATACAGACGTCGTGGGGCCAGTTGACAAGTGTGCGGTGAGCTGCAGCCCCAGAGTGTGTCCGTGTCCATCCTGAGGGCGAGTTAAGCAAGATACACAAAGTTTTAAACATAAGTTTGGATTCCTCCCCCCCCCCCCCGGTCGGATATTGTAGAGGCTCTACCCAGTAGACTTTCCAACATAGGAATCCCCTGAAACGCAAGGACGGGAGTAGGACACAATACAATAAACGCAGCAAACGCAAGGCTGCGGCAACACGGATGAAAGATCTGATAAAAGTCGTCAAAGACGAATTTTGAGACAAGAATGTTTGGACAGCTGACTGACTCGGTATGAATCCTACTAGTAGCATACATTGAGTACCTGTATACTCTTGCTTCTGGGTCATGGCTATGAGCTGTTAACCAAGTCCATTCGATACATTTTACAAAGAAGCCACTCGCTCCGGTCAGCAAACTTGGACCGCAGCGAATCGATGCCTTGTTGAAGGATCTGGTCTGGATTCAGCGCAAACATTGCGAGAAGGGAATGGGTCCAAGTCATTGTCTTGACCGCATATATCGCTGACAGAATTCTGCGGCAGTGGATCAGTACAGGTGCTCCACGCACAAGCCCCCTTTTTGCTCTTACAAAACAAAAAAATAGGAAAGGAGAAAACGCGCCAGGTGCCAGGACTTACTTATTTCCCTCAAATATATCAACGTCAGGGTCTTCAGTCACAAAAGCCCTCACCAAGGTCAGTGCGGAAAGGAGGCCCTCGTGCAGTATAGACCATTCGAGATTCTGCAGACGAAGCGTCGGATGCTGTTGTGCGACGAGGATGAGCGGTCGGTACAGGGCGAATCTGGCAAACCAGTAGAGCAACTTCAGACGTCTCGCCAAAGGCGACGAAACGCCTTTCCCTGGCTCTGGCGACCAACCGAGGCAGTCTGGCAAACGTGCGGCCCATCCGTCCAGCTGGCTCCGAAGTTCCCTGGTGAGCGGCGAGACCTCTGCGGCGACTCCCAGGTTATGATCGAACGATGCGCCCGGGGTGTCGATGTTGCTCTCGACGGACGGAAGCGCGATTATCCTCGCGAGGGTCGTGCGAAGCGACATCTCTGCGAGGAAGAACATGAAGGCGTCGCGAATTTGAACTTGCATGCTGGACCTTGGGGACGCGTCGCAGCCAAGGGGCAGAGCGAGACTCTCCTCTAGAAGATACAGAGAACTCTGAGGAAGAGAGCTGTCAACCTCGTTCAGCACCTCGCTTTTGGAACTCATCAGCTCAGTTGTCCACCATTTATAGATTGAATACTGACACGCACTGCTCAAAATTGTAGCAAATCCAGTACATGCGCCTAATACTGTTTTGGTCCAACTGGTTACGTATCGTCTTCGTGGAACGGTCTCTGGATGTACGGAAGAAGAAAACCAGAGAATATTAGACGGCAGCTTGCTTCCCAGAACAAAAGTCTCTCCTGGCCTTGACTTACCGTCTGATCAGAGTAGAGAGTGCATCACACGCTGTGTGGACTGTGATGCAAAAGTTCACAAGCCGTCCCATCTTCAGTTGAAACAGAGCCGACATGACTTGGACGATGACATATTCGAGGCTTGACTGACTACTGAGTCGGCTGAGGATTTGGCTGGCTCGCTGGAAGTCGGCCAGACCGGCGTGCACAGGTGCGTTGCTTCTGTACGCCTTTGAAAGGGCGACGATGAGCAGGACAAAGCAGGAGCTGATGTCGTCCCGAAACCCGTCTGTTTTGACTATTTCCACCATCCTTTGGACGGTATCGCTACACGTGATGGGATACAGGTCAAAAAGATGGTCGAGGAAGTCCTCGACGAACGGCACCACGTCGCTAACTTTGGTAGGCTCGGTTTCGGACAAGATGTCAAGGATAGGACTTCTCAATTCTTCACACTCCAGAGGTGTCTTTTCAACGTATCGTGCTCTCTTTGGATCGTCATCAAACACCGTCAAAATGTCACCTTCAGCTTTGTCGCCAAAGTGGGAGACGCGCTTGCTGTAATGAGCCGTGGCGTTATGAGACCGGCTGATAGTCATGCCTTGCTGCAGGTCATCGGCTTCCAGCTGATACGGAGGGATTTGAGTCAGCACGTTCTGAGTCTCTGGTGAAATTCGTCCTGCTCCTGGAGGGTCTGGATATCTCCAGGATCCTGCGGTCTGGCCATCTGTATTGCTACTCCAAGTTTCGAGGAGAGTTATCCTCTCTTCAAATCGGGAAAGGCGCTCCAGCAGGAGGTCGAGCTTCTGATCATTACTACTGACAATTGTTATTTTTAGCCTTTACCTTGCACTCGAACGAAAGGATGGCACAAGCCTTTGTCTAGTGTGGTCGCGGTAATCACATCTGAAGCCGTGGCGATGGCAGTAGCTACACGCTGGTCGGCCTTCATCGCATTTCACCTTCTTCGTGCGACATGTCTCACAGGCAACCAAGGCCTTTTGCGCGCAGGTAAATCATCAGATGAAACAGATCCTCGCAATTCTGAACGGAGAACCCACAGCGCTTGCCCTCTGGGGCCCATATCCAAGATACTGCAGATTCTGGTTCTGCTTGTAAAGATCTGGATGTGAAACAAAATGTGTGTGAGGACTTTGCTGTACTTGTGGAATGAAGCTCCACGGTGGCCTACGCGAGGCATGGTCGTTGTTGTCCATCACCGGCAGGAATGGCGAGTAAGGACAACTGTAGTTGTGAAGTCCAACATCCGACAGTATGACCCTGCAACAATCCATACTGGCTTGAATTAGAAGCAGCCGTGATTGTGTCAAGGTCCGCGGGTATCTGGATGGCGTCAATTCTCCACGAAAAGTCGTCACCTTATAGGACTTCGCATCCTGCCCGACTCTGCCTGTAACGGGGGATGCTGTATGATTATGATTGGCCAGATGCGGAGCCTCCGAGAGTTCGGAGCCTCCGGTGGATAATACACAAGTGGACTTCGTATAGTCCTACTAGGGTGGTACTCAGCACCCAGGAGGACCAGGGCATCAATAGCATCAGGATTCAGCAGACGCGGTCGACACGAAAGTATGAGTTCCAGGCTCACCGAAATGCGGAATGCGGTCAGCATCCACAGCAAGATAGACACAGAAGCTGGCTCGTCTTCGAGGCGGAGCTCGATGCGCTACGTATAAGATGCAATGCGACGTTTGCCTGTGCTGCGTAAGAAAGATGCCATATCACAATGGGAGGCACCATTACTTGCCCTCGCGTGGCTGTCATTGGCGCTGGTGCTTCGGGAGTGGCTGCTGCGGCTCATCTTCTGGTTGAAGGCATTGATGTGGTGGTGTTCGAGAAGGCCCGCGTCACAGGAGGCGTATGGTGAGCATTCCAGCACAGGGCAAATCCAAGGAGCAAGGCTTTTCATCTGACAAGACTTTTAGGGTGTTTGATCCGCGCCGTCCGCCAGATCCTCCATATCCCAATCTCAAAGCATCGTGGGCAGGGTCAAGATTTCATGGCGACACTGAACACGGCAGCCGATATATGCAGCATCATGCACCAGGGCAAGGGCGACGCTGTAGGTCTGACAGGTGAAGGGCAGCATACTAACAACGCTGAACAGGGCTTGCTACGAAAGCCTCAGGACGAACGCCCCTACGCCCTTGATAGAGATGAGCCTGAATTCCTGGAGCCCAGACACAGAGTTGTATGCAAGACATTCCGTTGTGGTAGACTACATTCGACAAACCGCTGCGAAGACCGGTGTCGACAAGACTATACTTCATAACACAAAAGTCGACTCTGTCACCAAAGACCAAGAGACATGGAGGGTCCGTACGTCGACGTGGGATACCACCGCAGAAGTAGTGTCACAAGAGTGGGTATGTTCAGAATAAGAACCCCCTTGCTACCCAGCTCGTCCGAGGGCTAATGCGCCTCAGGGATTCGATGCAGTCGTTGTAGCCACGGGACATTACCATGCCCCATATATCCCTGATATACCTGGTTTGGCGCAGTGGAAGGAGGCATGGCCAGATAGGGTTCAACACTCGAAAGGGTATCGATCCAACAAGGAGTTTCAAGACCAGGTACCCGTCGTCTGGATTGCCCAGTGGCCGAAGAATGACACTGAACACTGTCTCCAGGTTGTCCTTCTGGTGGGAGCTGGGGCTTCTGCTGTTGACATTGCCAGCGAGTTAGGCCCTTGCGCAAAGAAAATCTGGCAGTCGACAAGAGGCAGCACTACTGACCATCCACTGGAGATGCTACCCGTGAACGCTACACGCGTTGCTGAGATCGCTTCCTTTGGGCCCCTGCACAGTGAAGCCGCCTCGTCGGCCGGCCCGATTCCAGGCAAGATCACATTGGTGGACGGCCAGATCCTTGAAGGCATAGACAAAGTTGTCATGTGCACGGGATATCTCTTTTCGCTCCCTTTCCTGGCCAGACACCACAACGACAATCTGTCGGCAGGAGAAGCGGGCCCGGATGTCCTGGTCACTGATGGTTCACAAATTCACAACCTACACGAGGACATCTTCTACGTGCCTGACCCTACACTTGCGTTCGTGGGCGTCCCTACTGATGTGGCCAGCTTTTCTCTGTTTGAATTCCAAGCCATTGCCATTGCGGCCGTCTTCTCGGGCCAAACGATGCTTCCCTCTGAAGAAGACATGAGGACACAGTACGACGAGCGGGTCAAAGACAGGGGCACCGGGAAGAGATTTCACAGCCTTTTGAAGAAGGATGTGGCATACGCCGCAGAACTAATGGAATGGGTGAATCGAGGAAGGCCGCCAACCAAGAGGAAGAGCAACGGCTATTCGAAGGAATGGCTGGATCGTCGTGCAACCTTCATTCAGAGGTACAAAGGAAAAGGGGGCCATTTGAAGGCGGATAGTACCCGCCTCAGGATAAAAGATACCTGGATGGAGGAGACAGGGGGCAAATCACCTTAACTGGGGTTACGATCGAGGAAGATATTGTCGTTCTCACGGGGCAGCTCTTGAGCAAGATCAGCACCCATGCAGTCTCAACCTGGTGCCACTCGGGAAGAGCAGCCAATACGTCGAGGCGCGCCCTAATAGAATTTCAGTACTAAGAACTTTGGGGGGACAGCGAGAGTGAGCAGTATGGTGAAGGATCATATAACAATCTTCCCATAGCCTTGTGACTCGACCCATCCCGTCCTCGTAGGGAGAATCCACTGGCGGGCCCTAATTCCCCTTGGACGGCACTCCCAGACAGCCCATTTCTCAATGCTATTAAAACAGAATACATCATTAGTGACTATGTAATTGGGTCCGTTCAACGGAGTAAGGTCAAATACGGAAAAGAGCACCAACTGGCCAGTTTCCCTGGTTGTTCCTCCATATACCGACACGATTGAAAAGCGTCCAGACCCCATTCGGCTCTGAGACGCCAACTCCTTCGTCGGGTCACTCAGAGGTGAAGTGAAAGAGTCGACTTAACATCGTGGCAGTGGGATAGCGAGCGAGTGCTGCAAATCTCGCCGTGCCTGTCGGCGCATAGGTTCAGTCATCCCCAACGCCATGCCAAATTTCAATGTTCCACGCGTCGTATATATGACAGTCGGCCCATCCGCACCTCCCCATTTGCTCATCAACTTCCACCCGGCGTTCGCATCGAGACACGTGACCTCAACGCCGCAGCAGTACCGTTCATGCCCTTTTCTTCTTAGCAATTCCGGCCTTTCTTCTGGCTGCAATGTCGCCTTCACCCAACCACTTGCTTGCCTTGACCAGTTGGATCACGTTGATAATCTGCTTGCCAGCCATGACGGGAAAACTGGCCCCTGCCAGGATCCATGGCACTGTACTGTCCATCTTGTTCGCGCGAGCCAGTTCCAGTGCACCTGCACTCCAGGGATTGGCGAACAGTGTACTAGGTTTGGGATGGACAGGAGAGCCCGGTTGGGTCGAAGAGACTCCGGTGCCGTTGCTATTCGTGATCAGCAGACTCGGCGAGAGGTACGGAGATGAGAAGGACAAGAGGTAGAGAGCGATGAAGAAGAGCTCGTTCAGCGCGCAGAAAGCGAATAGAACAGCCTGTTGATTAACGGGTTAGCTTAGCTGATCCGAAGATATTGGTCCCTGAACTGGAAGTCTGCATACTCGGTTCGTGTAGTATAAATGCAGAATCCAGCTGCGGCTGCTATCCACCTTCTTATGACTTTGACCGCTCCCTGCCATGGTCAAGGTTGCATACATGTGGATGTAATGGCTGGCCAGATCCAGGCTGATCAGACCCTGGAAAATTATTGACCATCTCGGGAAGGCCGATGCCAGGAAGACGAGGAGACAGCTCGTGGTGCAGCGATCCGTCACCATGTCCAAAACGGCGCCAAAGGTGGTTCCCTGGTTATATCTTCTCGCTGCCATGCCGTCTGCGGCATCCAGGATGCAAGAGAAGCTGTAGAGGAAGGAGCATGTCCGCGGGTGCAGAGGCATGTAATACAATGAAGCCACGGCTAAGATGATGCGAGCATAGCCTGGATAGGTATACAATCGTCAGCATCTCGACGTATGAAAAGCATTCACAGAGGGTGGCCCAGTTAGTTCTAGGTAGCTCGAGAGAAATGTACCGTACCGATAATGTTTGGAATAAACAGAAAGATGTTCTCCTCCTCATATATGTCTGACTCAAGCCTCTCAAGCACGCCATTCACTTTTGCCTCTTCTCCTTTATGGAGAACGTGGCCGTTTGGACTGGACTGTCTCTTCTCGGCTTTCCTCGCCATAGTCCTAGGTTCTTCCGGCTGAGCCGAATCCGCGAGTTTGGTGTTCCCAGGTAGTACTCGGGCGAGGGATGAACGAAGCGCAGGAGTGGGAGGTCTCGTGCAGAGTTCCTATATCAGGAACGGAGGTGAGAGCAATGAAGGAATAGGTCGGGAGCGAGGCCGGACGGTTTGGCCAAGTCGCGCAGGTAGAACTGATAAGGAACCCGTTGATAACACGGCTCAAGCGTGCTAATCAGTCGTACAGAGGCGCGTTTGCTCTCGACAGACTCATACAAAAGCTAATCCTGGTCGTCAGGCGCAAGTCTCGAATAGGCCAGCGGTTGGAAAGAAAATGAGACGTGGAAGAGGCTATAGCGTTTGCATCCGGACCGAGTAAGTCCACGCTTCAATAAATTGTGCTGCAGGCGGATGCATATCCAGGGTTTCGGCCCACCTGCCTTTCAAATCGGCTAGACGAGTTTAGACTTTAAAAGTATCCACTAATTACTATCCGGGGTTAGTGCGACTTTGCCGACATCTGCCAGATCGCAGTTCTAGAAGAGAAGCTGGTCTGAGCCTGGCCGCTGGAATCAAGCAATCAAGCCTAGGTGCTGATGCATTTCTTCGTTCTACTGGTTAGCATGGAGGCTACTTCTGCTGGGGCACATCGCTAGCAACCAATATTATCGACCCATGTCGAGCCCTACCACCAAGACACTCTGTCCTTGGGCACGGCTCTGATGGCATGGATCATCTGCTTATTGGCGTCGACTTCGCGGGTCTGAAGCACTCTGTCGCTTCCAATCCCGACTTTCCTTGGTTCCTAGGCTGCCATAACCGCCCTCTTGTCGTCGTTCCCAACCCCCCATCCTGACAACCAAACAAGTAGCATTGTCGCCTTCTGTAGAGACCTCAGTAGCAAAGTTGACGACGTCTCTCGCAGCCTGCTCAGGCGTCCTAGCCTCTTTTATAATGTCAACCACTTCCTGGTCTTCCAAGGTCCCGGAGACGCCATCAGACATCAAGACCATGAAGGAGTATTCGGCGGGTCCTAAATCAACTCTCTTGATCTCTGGTTCTGCACTGACTCCAATACGTTTTGATTCTATGTCGCCGAATGCGCGCGTGTTGGCAAGACCCGATATCCGCTCTTCTCCAAAGGAGTCCGTCACGAATGTAGCAGCATATCTCCTAAGCCTGTTGCTTTCAATAGGTGACGAAGGATGGTGATTTGTCGTCAGCGGTACAGCGGCGCCAGTATCGGTAGAACAGAGTAGGATTCTCGTGTCTCCGACGTGGGCCACAAGCAATGACGAAGTTGTAGAGGCATTCCAGAAGGGCGTAGGGGATGGTGTAGATACCAATGCAATGCTGCAAGTACTTCCACCCTTGAATCTTTTCGGGCCTCCTATATGCGCAGCCAACCTAAAAGGTTCACCCAGGATATCACCCTCATTCAGGGGTCGATCGGCTCGGGTATTGTCGCGACTCTCGGAGTGCTTTGCAGCTTGTGCGGACACAAAATCATAGTCCGCTTTCAAGAAGGCATAGCTGATGACTTCCTCGATGGCGGCCCCGGTATCGACGCCCTGGCCGACCATTTGGAGAGATTGGGACTCCTCGCCCAGCTTCTGGTAACCGCTGAATATCGAAAAGTAGGCTGGTTTGAAACGTCGAAAGTACCCGCCAACTAGCTCTTTCCAGTTCTTCGTCAGCTCTGTTTCTAGGGTCTTGATCTGCTGTCTATTGGCACTTTGGATCAAGGGTGCGTCTCCAGGATATGGACGTTGCTGATCTTTGCTTGGACTTTTGGGACTCCCCGCTGCCGACTGTCCCTCGCCCTGCTTAGGAGCTTGACCTTCGGTTGTTGGGGAAGGACCACGACCTCCCTTGCTCTGCTCCTCCTTCTCGGCAGTGAGAACAGATCTTGCTGGAGCAGCGACGGGCTTGGACTTTCGTTCGCCTGGCTTTTGCAAGCTCGACTGCAGTTCAAAGGACTCGGCCGATTTTTCGATGTACTCGTGCAGTCTTTCCCGCAGAAAGTCGCTGCACTCTGCTCCGCCATGCCCATCGAAAACACCGAAATAAAAAACCTGAGGATCCCCAGATGCGCCTTCTGCAGATGTCCCCTCTCCAGGTCTTGATCTTGCCGTAATGGACCTCGGGGGCCTTTTGGCAAAGGCGGGAAGTTCTATAACGCCGGCCTGGTGGGAGTCTTCATTGTATGGTCTACTTCCTCGAGAGACGGACGCCCCATAATGATGTTTGGCACTTTTGAGTGGTATACGGACAACCGTAGTGTCCCTTAAAACAGATGGGTGTGCAGCTGGCGCAATCCTTCCTCCATCTGGGGTATGAGGGGTCGACTCTTGCCTGGGGAACTTGTGTGCCAACCCTGTCAAGGAGCGAGAGTCTGGATGCAATGAGGAGGAAGGCAAATGAGTGACGAAGTAGTCATGAAATTCTCTTTGTTGAGAAGAATCCCGCAGTCGAGTCCGTGTATGTGGGCGTGTCTGCCGTATGAAGGCCGATAGGAGATCTATTAGACATCAGAAGCTGTTCTCATCTATGAAGAGATCGGGTAAGCACACCATGATAGCACTCCGAAGAAGAATGCAGAGCTCTGCTGCCGTAAGACATGGTGGGAGAGGCAGCTGTTCACACTCGCCATCGTCGGGGGTCAGAACACTGCGGTTCTGGAATCAGAAACTGACATTGTGAAGGAGAGGATAAAGATGCAAAAGAAAAGTGAAGTGAGTAGGACACTCGCAAGAAGTCAAAGAACGACGTGGGCCGTGTGGTTGTGTAGGTGGTCGACTTGAAGACGCCATCACCATCCGAAGTTGGAGGCTTCGGCTGCGTTTCTCCTGGTGTGGGGAGTGTGCAGCCGAGTCGACCTTCGACAGATCTACACGTCTTCACTGTCTACTCAATATGCACTCGTAAATAACAATGCATTGGCGGTAGCAACGTCCTGAACAAGCCTCTAAGGGATCTATCTATTCGGTGTTTCTACGCCGCCTACAGTTTGGACGGCCCAACACTCCCGTCCGAGGTCCTGACCCCCAGCGCAGCAGCAGCCTCGTATGAATCAAAACTCTCATCGCCATGGAAGTGCCAACCTCTTTCTTCGCCCTGCTTGAGGTGACTGCAGTCACTGTTCAAAATGCAGTCGAACCCGCCAGCTACACCTCCACTGTTTCTCCAGTCGTCATCATAGTATACTTCTCCTTCAGCAGGGACCCGTCTGCGCGCAAACTTGCTAATCCCACAGGTGAAGCATTTAAAGTCGTCTTCGTCGTGATCATCAGGCATTTGGCCCGTCAACGCTCTGCCACTGGCAATGATCTGAGCTGCATGGCCACAGAGAAGCAGGGTGACTTCCTCGTCGCCTCGTCCAGCTTGTTGATATTCCTTGTCCACATCTTCGACGATAGTCGCCAGGGCTCGCGCAACGCGATCATGTAGTGGATCTATCCTTTCTCCGTGCTCTGGGGGAACGACCCTGGATTCGTAGGTGTCGTCGAGCCAGGGGAAGAAGTCTCTTCGTAACCGTGCAGACTCTGCGGGCTTTGGCTGCACAAACCATGCCCTTCCGAACCACTCGCCAATACCTCTTTCTCCTCGAACACGCACGCTTTTGTTCACATTCCCCGTAGTTGAGAAGGATGTGGCCTCAATCAGCGCTTCGACTGTCGGTCGGAGCGTCTCAAGACATCGGTAGAATAAGCTAGAGTAGATGCGCAGGCGATCCTGCTTCGCAAGGTCACTCAAGATTTTGCCCAGGTGTGCTCCTGTCTCTTGCGCCTGTCGTACACCGAACGAGGCCAAAGGAGGGTCCGCTGGGAGACGCGTAGGATAGGGGTGGCTCGATGAGTATTCGCCGGTAACAGGATTTAATGTCCACTGGAGGCGATTCCCATGCCGCAGCAGGAGGATTTCAGACACAGGCATAACTTTCTATGTTGGCATGATTGATACTTTGGAAAGGTCAATTGAGAAAGCGAATGTCTATGTAGGTTTATCTCTTCTGCCATTGAACCGCGAGAGTTGGCGAATGTAAATTTTGGAGGTGCCGAGGTTAGCCACAACCACCGGCGATTGAACCTCGCCTCTCCAAGGGTACAGCATCTAGCTTACTGGCACCGAACACACCTCCTAGTCTAAATCTACAGCTCGACGACCGCGTTGTTTCATTGTTCGTCTGCCATATGCTGTCTCGATCTGCCCGGATATGAACGTTATGCTGAGTTCTTCTGGACTCTGCTCCCAAAGCGGTCTACGACTCTTCTTCAAACATGGCTGTACACGCCTCGCTTCGTTCCCACCACATACACCACCAACAGAACAATATGGCAAGGGGGCCAGTCTCTTCTCCGCCTACCCATCCAAGAGGCAGATCAAACCGTTCTCATTAAAGAGAGGGCCCATGCTCTACAGACAGTCCCTCTCTCGACCATCACAATCTTCCAACAAAAGCCCATCCTCCCCGACCGAGAAGGCCGTGGATGCTGCTGCTGCTGCTGGAGCTAAGAAGCCAACGTCGCCCGAGAAGGACGATGGCTCGAACCCTTCTGAACGCACAGAATACTCCATCAACACGATGGACGATCTAGCGACTGAAGTCCACAAAATTTCTCAAGAGATCCGGCTCAGGTCCGTCAACGAGCTCCGCGAAGTCCTATCAGACCGAGAAAACACAGCAACCATCTCCGAGGTGCTCACGGCCGCACAGCTGCAGGCCAGAATCGACATCAAAGATGAACTGACCAAGCTCAAGGATCGCACCTCCCCTGACCTTCACTGGCGTCTGGATCAAGTCATGAGGACCGCAGACAACGTGCACATTTCCCACATCCGTCGCATCCCCAACCTGCCATTACTTGTTCTGTGGCATGGTGCAAAGTTCGTCCTCAGACGCCCAATACTCGCCGCATTGATATTGTTGGTCTTATTGACCAGCTCTATGTTTGGGGCCCCAATCAACTGAATCTGGCCTGTACGAGAAATTTTAAAACTACTACGACCTCTACGACGACGCCATACCTCGGGCCACGCGATCAATGGGACCAAGTTTTACGTCCACAGCTTCGAAACCTGCTCCAGCCGCACCTTTTCGACAGTCGCATCACCCCTCATCTGCATAGTACTGTCGACACCAGTCTCGGCCAATATGCAGCGCGCGATATTCCTCGTGGCCAATACGGGTTTCCTCTGTCCCGTAAACCACCACACCATCCAGGGAAACATGATTCCAAAATCACAATGGGTAACATGCGTGGTGTCATGCAACACGTACATCGACACGTGCTCTTCCGAATCCTGACTGCTATTCCTCCTCGCCTTGTCTGACTCCTTCTCCGATTCCGCCCTGGCCAGGTAATTCGCTCTCTGCTCTTTACTTTTATTCATATAATCTCTCGGGCCCTTGTACCTTGCGAACTCTTCCCGATATTCCTCTATCGTCTGCACCTTGACACCCGAAGGATTCGGTCCTGCTACAACGGGCATATGCGCGTGGCATTCGGGCCAATGATACGCAAACTCCGAGCACATGAGCACCACGGTCCTCGCGGCGTTCTTACCATTTTCTGCACTCGCATCATGACATGGCAATGGCTTTCTCAGCAACATCTCCGTCATGGGCGACCTGAGCGGCAGGAACCACGGATCAAGAAGCACAACCGGCGAATGTGGCGTGACCTGTGCTTTTAGAGTTGACGAAGGGTCTTGCCACAGTAAAGGACTTCTTGCATCGTCACCATTCCGGCCGAAATAATAGACAGACTTGACGAACTGCACGGTCGAAGTGCCGCCGAACGAATGGCCCGCCCATATTACGTTGCCAGGCGCCATGTCTAGAGCCCCCTTTGGGAGTGTCAAACCACTCTTCCCCGGATGTCCGCCTTCGGCTGCCAGATTCTGAAAGCTGTGACCGTCGTTCATCATCTCCAATGCCTGATACGCGGCACTCAGTTCGAAGAGGCGAATGCTCAGCTGCTCGTCTCGGGCCTCGTGCATGCCCGGCTTGATCTTTAGGGTAATGGGCTTGTAGTAGACATTCGGCGGGTTCGCCAAACCTACTTCCGATGGCACCGTTGCCGCATCGCCGCCACTTGCCTCGGATGCCGTCTTGCGCAGCGTCGTGAGCGGCCCGCTGCCGTCTCGGTGATCCAGGGCTAGGCACACCACACCATAGCTTGCCAGCTCGCCAAGAAGCGCGCTGTGGGTGTTCATGTTACCGACGAGACCGTGTGAGAAAATGAGAGTGGGAATCTTTGCGCCGTCACAGAGCAGCGGTGCATTATGGTATGCCGGAATCTGTGTCGTGCTGAGATAGTACCTGAACGGAGACGACAGAATGAAGTCGCTAAGCCATGGCTTCATACCGGACAGCCGAAGGTATGCGTTCAGATGGGCTCTCTGAGGTTCTTGGAGCCAGGGGATGCCATAGCCTTGAGAGCTCGAGTCGGATGCGGTTTTTGGTGAGGTTGGATAGAACAGACGAAATTTTAGTGTTCTTAGCTTCGAGGCTTGAGCTTCAGGAAGAGCCGGAAGAGAGAGTGACGATATGGGAATTTCATATTCTGTTGATCCAACGGCGTGAGGGCCGGTGTATGCTGGGAGAGATGGGAGCGGGTTGAGATAAGACAGCATGGTCGTGGTCGTGGTCGTGGTGGCCAACACGGGGGTTCAAACAACGCTCTCTCATACGGCAATCCGGCCTTTTTCGAGAAGTGAAGTAGTGCCCTTCAAGTACGGAGTGTATCAGCGTCCGTTAGAAACCCGGTGCGCCATGATTCTTTTTGTGTAGAGAATGCCCAAGAACTTGGATGGAGCAAGAGGTGGAGTTGGGCGTGTCGTATCTCGTATGGTGGACGGAGATATTGTCTCAAGGGCGTTAGCTCCCCCGGCGTGGTGACCCTTTCTGCCTCGACTCTGGCTTGCCTTACGGACGTTAGCTGACTTTGTGACACTGCGGAACCATACACACCTCACAACAAATAGTACAGGCCTTGTAAGAACTGCTTACTGTGCCAGCTATGATAAGATAGATCTCGGCTGTCGGATCAGTCGAAGAGAGACCCCAAAAAGAAATTGTTTAGTCATCATCGCGGCATCACCTGTGTTTCTCTCTTGCCCAGCCCCATTTCCGTCGGCGCAATTCGAACATGAAGAGACTGGAGATCAGGAAGGTCAAACTAGCGTAGATCTGTGGCCACAGGTACGGCCGATTCGAATGTGGCAGCCGAATCTCGAGTGCGATGGCTTCAGAAACTGCATAGTGTGGTAGAGTATCCGTCAGCTAACCCCTGCTTCAGAGTGTACTTGTAGAAACCATAACACACGCATCGACAACCCTCCTTCTCCGAACACCTGTCGCACTTCGAGGAGAACAGACAATCTGACAGACACACAAAAGAAATGACTCACACAATGAAGGCAGTGACACCGTCAACCACATCAGACTGAGAGCCGAAGGCAACTCTTGAAGGTCGACGACCTCTGCGCAGAGAGGGGCGATAGTCTATTGAACGTCATCGTCAGCAAAGGGGTCTCTCTTTTTTTTTCAGTTCGGGGAAAACGGGTGCATCCGTACACTCCAATAAAGTCCTGCGGTGGCCCCTATAAGTAGGCCAAAGAAGATCAACAGGCCATAGGAATGCAGCGGGATCCAGATTGCGAAGATGATGACCATGTTGAACGCAGTCAGCAGTGTAATGACCGTCATGCGGCCGCACCTGTCGCTCACGACGCCGACGAACGGCCTCCCCAGCGCGGTGCCGAGGTTCATGACGGTGGTGACCGTGCCGCCTTGGTGCTGCGTCAGTCCGATCGAGACCGCGAACGCCGACAGCGAGTAGATGGTCACAATGTAGCCGAGGATGTTGAAGAACGAGTACCCGACCAAGAGCCAGACGCGCGGGCGTCGCCTGAGCAAGCCGGCGTCGAAGATCTTGATCTCGGGCCGCACCGTCGCGTTCCGATCGCGCATCAGGATGGACGCGACCAGCAGCACCCCAAACGAAACGATGCCCGTGATCCGCAGCGCCCATGCGAGCGAGAGGTTGTCGATCATCGGTGTCGTGGCCGCCGAGAAGATGACCCCTCCCACGCCAGCTCCGCTGGCGGCGATGCCCTGCGCGAGGCTTCTGTTCTTGTTGAACCACTGGGGCAACACCGGTGTCGCGGGCTGCCACACGAACCCGGTGCCCAGACCAACGAGGATGCCCTGGCTGAGAACCAGGTGCCAGAACGACGTGGCGAACGACGCTGCAACGAACCCGCCTGCAAACATGAAGCAGCCGCAGTACATCGGGACGTTGGTGCCAAACTTTCGGGTGCACAGGTTGACCAAGGGAGCAGAGAGCAGCGCCGTGGAGAAGTTGACGCCCCCAACGAATGTGTAATCCAGGTCCGACGTTCCAGGAAACGTCGCATTGTTGATGTAGTAGGACAGGTAGACACCAAAGCTCTACGATCGGATCAGCTCAATCATTCGCTACAATCGCAGCAGCAACAGCAGCAGCAGCAGGTCACGTATTTACCGCAAGAATACCCCATGTGAAGCCATTGATCGCAGACAAAGCACCACAAACTACCCACCCGTATCGAGGTTCCTCGTTGACGTCGTAATGGACAAGAGGCGCCGCGGGTGCAATGGGTATGACAACCTCGCCCGTTTCTTTTGAGGCTTCGTCTGTCATTGTGTGTTACTTTCAGGAATCATTTGGCTCCAAAGGCAAACTAAGTGGTCTTAAAGAGAGCGCAAGTCACCAGTACGTCAGATGCAGCATCTTTGAGGTCTGGGATTTGGTAGAAAAACGGAACAAAGGTATGACCCGAATACGCTGCGTATATGTGGAGAAACGTAAAAGTCCACATTATGAATCCCGAGGAAGTGAGCTTTTCATGATTGGAATTTTGAGGAACTATTCGCGAACCAGAGTTCCAAGAATGGGCAGAGTTCAGTGTTCTTCTTAAACGTAGCATCACCACCCACTACACCCTGACGGTAATCCATCTAAGCTGATACAAGAGTTTTGGTGCAAGATGGTCCCTCACGTTGCTTGAAAGCAGTCGGTGATGCTCGGCGTACGCCGTAAAGCGTCCTTCTCCGTGCTGAGGTCACTCCAAACCTTCTCCTCAATATCGATGGTGCGGAGTTGTTGTGGACCTGGACGACATTGGAACATGCCGCTTAGCCGTGCAGAGTTCTCGCAGCTTCCTTCTCGATAGAGATTTCCACCTCCAGTTGACATCGCATTCTTCTACCAGGGTTCATATTGTCATTCCAGGAAATACGAAGCAACGTTGAGAACCCACAGGGCGATCAGGACTGCGAAGACCCTTGCTCGCAAGCCAGACTTGTTTGACTTCTTCGCGAGCGTGGTTGAGAGTGACTCGTTTCCCGGGCGTGGACCGATACCGGCAGCTTCAATGTCATCTCGAAGAAAGATTCGCGTGAGACTCGACACTGCTCTAGCTGTTGAATTACTCACCGAGAGGAACGCTGCCGTTAGTATCGAAAAGTCAACCAGATCGAGCCAGAAACTCCATTTGACATGGTAAGTGTGAAGCAGTTTATTCGCAAGTCCAAGGCGTAGGAGACCTCGAGAATCTGCCGCCAGCCAAATGTGGTACTGGAGCACGAATGTCTCCAGCGAGCAACGACCGAACCACGCGAACAGACGACTGTGGCAGGCCCTCATGCGGCCTGTCGAATTCCGAAGTATCGCGTATGCCATTACCGGCCACGGCGAAAGGAATGGATGCCACCGATTATAGCTGTACTTGTCTGTGAACTTCGAGCAGAAGACTCCGTACAGGACAATTACAGAGACAGAGACCGAAAGAAGAAGCCTCATCATGACAAGATTTCGGAATAGCGATATAGCATGGCCTCGAGTGCCGTCGTATCGATAACTTGAGCAAACCAATGCGGCGAGCATCCCAGCAAAGACGACATACGCATCGAGTCGAAACCGAAAGAGAAACTCTGGAGGATCAATTTTGACCATGTGTAAGCCGAGACTATCTATCCTAGCTAGCCAACCTTGCACAACGTGACTGTGTGCAATGATTATGCTGACAGTAGCTGCCGATGCGAGGATATGCGCCGTGCCTCGCAAAATCCCCAGGTCAGCAGAGGTGACCCTTGGAATCGTGATCCATATGATCAGGAACCAGACAGTGGACAAGGCTGGGAAATAGTAGAGATCGTACTGGGTGCCCATGACGAAGGCCAGTAAAACGTTGAGTAGGTTGGTCCGCAGCGTGACGTTGATTACTCTTCGAAGAGAGAAATCATTCAAGGTCAGAAAATACATGGTATGTCCGTAACCTGTCATAAATAGGTACGATGCGACCAATAGGCGTACGAATTGGTATACCCATAACAACTTCGACATACCAAAGTGATGGTATAAAAGGATAACAATTTGCATCCAACCTTTCCATTCTTCGGTCTGTGGTCTCGACAGAAACATGGCGAGCGGCACATTGATTGCCGCGTTGGGTTCTCGACATGCCGTCTCTTGCGGGTGAGCTGATTTCAACGTAAATAGACCCGCAACGAGTGCGGTGGCGATCAAGACGAGAAACATCCCCATGTCGACTACCTTGGGGTTCTTTTCGAAGTACACTGTCCTGTCTGCAACATAACAATAGATTGCGGCAAACCATAGGGTAGCGAGAGGGGCAAATATCCGCAAGCAGGCAGAAGGCGAGAGGAAACCAAGAGAATGTGAGCGACTGAGATTCGTCCATAACGAGACTGGCAACAGTGCGAGGCACATGGCCGCGCAGGATCCAGCCCAAATTAAGATCTTCAGAAACAGGGTCGGCTGCTCTTGAGTTGTGCAGCAGTACGCCCGAGACTCATTTGATGCTCGATCCACGGCGTTACCGCATAAAATATTGAACAAGACCTCGGCTTGTGTAGACAGGATTTCATGGACAATGCTCATATTATCGTGTCGCCACGCCGAGGGCCAGTCGTCGATCATGATGGAATAGACCTCTAAGGATTTGACGCCATTGAACGGAGGAATGCGACGGTCGATTTCATAGTCGGTCACGTAGTCTAGACGCGGCCGATTTGAGCGTTCAAGAGCCACGAGACCAGCCGAGTTCATTGACACCTCAACGTGGTCACGATACACCTCGAGTGCGGGAGAGTGCGTGTGGGCACGGACAGAGTCAGGCGGTTTCATGTCAAGGTTTTGTTTAGAGTTCAAGAACTCGTCCCAAACAGAGGACATTCTCGATCCATTTGTCAAGAGTGTGATATTTTCCCCAGGGCTATCCCACTGTGAATCAACTTCGCTGACATCGACACTTGTGAGAAGAGCCTGAAAAAGTTGATGTGCAGTATCATCACCGCGGATGCTCACACTCCGGTTCCAGAGGCAGCTACGGATATGGGAAGGTTTGTATTGATAAAGCATGCATCCTGGAGGAGCCCAGACGCGGCCGTGATTCCTTCCGATGACAGGTTCCACCCAGCGACCATGATGAAGCATATTGCGACACCGATCACTGGCCAGGGAATCTGACTAAAATTAGCAATGATTACATTTGATCTGGCTCACTGCGCAAACCTTGAGACGATGTTCCCCTCAAGAGCGATATGGACAGGCCAACGAGAAGTGCCAGAAGGATAGTGGGACAGAGTCGAGACATAGTCGTGGTGATGTCTGGAGGAGTCTCCGTTGGGGTCGAGCAGAATTCGAGAATGGAGCGCGAGGAGGTTGAAGAATGAAGAAGGCGATGAAGGTAGGACAGTCGTGTGTGTTTCCTTCACCTGTGCTGCCACTGCCTGCGCCTGTTTGCCGTTGACATCGTTTCAAAGAACTACGCATGCCCACTTTCTCATCAACATGGCTGGGAATCAAAGGTCTAGAAGTATTCACTTACTGCTGGGAACACGCGTTTTCTTTCACCTCCAGTCCGTGACATCCGTTCCTAAGGGTAACTTCAAGCTCAATGCAACCGACCCAGGCCTGTTCATGCGGCACTTCTAGTATCATTCACACCTGTCCTCGCACAAATTGATCGTCTATCGTATCTCAGGGTCACCCATCCAGTCAGCCAGCTTTAAGCCGACAACGTGCTCGGGTTCCTCGTCATCTTCAGCTGCACTACTGCGGTACCTGCTCCTCATCTTCGTCTTCACCTCCGTTGGAGTGGCATGGTCCCTAGCAAAGACCTGAAAGCCCCGAACATGAGTGTCCTTACCATTTTGGTGGTTCTCGCAAATCCTGACTTGAACAACCATAGCCTTCAGGACGTCTCCTCCAAATACATCGACTGAGGTTGTCTGAGATGGGGACGAGCTCGAGCCAGCGATACCAAGGATAGGTTCGTCGTCGTGATATCGTACTTCTCGTCCGCCAACGCCTTTTAAAGGCACATCAATCCATCCTCTGACCCCCTCTATGCTGCTTTGCGGTTCGCCCGTGTCTGGATCCATTGTCTCTTCAACCTCCCAGGAACCAAATTCGACCAAGCCCCCTTCTGACATCCCAGCGTAGAACTTTATCTTTGTTGGCGTATATGATTCGTCCAGCTCAAAATCCAGGTAAATCCTCATCTTAACAATAGCCACCAGTTTGAAGAAATGCAGTGTCAAAGTATGCGGTTGTGGTCCGTCGCTCTGCCAGAAGAGAGCTGGATTGGGGTTTCGTAGCTGAGCCAGACCGCAGCCAGGTTTGGAGGAAGACAAAGTCCATGTGGCAAGCGATGAAATGTCTCTTAGCCCATGAAGCTGCTTCGCATCCTCCACATCATGTTGCACTGAATCCAAAAAGGACTGTTCTTCTGCATGTCCCGCATCTGACGCGGCTGATCCCAGGGCATGGTGTGATACTTGGGAGTGATCTAGCGCTTCGCTGTTTATGTTCCCGTTGTCCGCGGGCGTTTGTTGGTGCCTCCCCGGTGGACGGCGTGGTGCATTAGCTTCTGGCACGATGGAATTCCCAGGGTTGTTCGACGGAGGAAGGGGAGTCGTCAGGAAAGGAGCATGTGGAGGGGTGTCGAGCATAAAAGGAGGGATCGTTGCTGTGATTGCATTGGTGGTCGCAGGACGAGTTGGAGTCGTTGTCACAGCTTCGTGGGTTTGCTGCGCAGCTCGCCGTGGTGCTCGAGGCATACTCGCTGCGCAATTTGCAAATTCCGCTCAACCTTGATCAGTGAAATGGAAGCGCTCGGCCATGCTTCCCTACAGCTGCCGGAAACACTGGCCTCAAAAAGATATGGTGGTGGATGAACGAGAAGCAGTGTTGACACTGGATCGTTTAAAAACACGCGTCGTGGCTGGCGATTTGCTGCCCCCGCGTTGAAATGTAATAAGTATTTCTCGCCCACTTGGACGCCCACGCGAGGCTGAAACCTCCTTTTACCCAGCCTACAACGAAGAACTGTTTTTGAGCTTGTGCATGGAAGCCTGTCGAAGAAGTGCACCCAGTTGTATTAAAAACTATCTGCACGGCTGAGATCTATGATCCTGACAACTCCACCGCACCGAAGTGCTGGAAAAAGTTGTGGACGCTGATAGCTTATGGCACACCCTTCCCTTCTCGTGTGGCCTTCGCCATCTCCGATTGAGCTCGATCCTCCGCATATCGTTGATAGATGGGCAGATAATGCTCACGGTCGCTAAGAGTTTCCGTTACCGACTTCCTTGATTGGATCGCGGCAACCCATTTATGCCAACGATCCCATGCCGACTGGTCCTCACTGGCCTGGCCGACCTCAGGAATACCGGATCCCCCTTTGAAATGGTCAAACACCCACAAGCGCAGAGCCCATGGCGCTAGAGCGACATCGGCATAACTGATGTCCTTGCCCAGAAAGTAGGGTCCCTCAGGATCCGCCTGCTGAATCCAGGTCTTCAAGGATCCCAAGAACTCAGTCTTTGCCTTTTCGAGGCTGTAAGGACTTTTCTCGGTCCATTGCAGAAATCTGTGGTAGGCTGGAAGAATTCTGGTGGTGACATGGTCAACCCAGATCTTCATATGCGCATTTTCGAAAGGGTCTTCCGGGAACAGCTTTGGTCCTGACTTCGGGTATGCCCAGTCGAGATATTCCGAGATGATGTTAGACTCTATGAGGGGCTTTACCGAGCCGTCCTTGGTAGGGGCCCCCAGAGTCGGAACCAACCCTCGTGGATTGAGTTTGAGGAAGCTATGTACGTCAGCAAATATTGTCTGGATGTGATGATTGGGTTTCTATACCTTGGCTCCTTGTTGTATGGGTTGATCTCTACGTACTTGTACGGAATCTTTTTCTCCTCGAGTGTTATCCATGTTCTTTGGACAAATGGACAGAACCAGCCGGAGTAAAGAGTTATCGGGGCATCTTTCTGGTGTTCGGCGACGATGTGTGCAGCGGAGCCAGTGGCCTCTGGGTAGATGTCAGCGTCGGGATGAGATGAGCCCATCGTGCAGGCGTTGTGAATGCTTGCAATGGGTAGTGGTATATCTATGTGATCCGTTCGCAATGGAATCGGTTCTATACGAGAATCGAGAGTTGGAAGAACGCAATCTCAAATGTACCGTCGACGATAGATCATCCCCCACTCCTTGTCATGCCGGTACTCATACTTGTATGACGTGCTGTGTATTAGTCAGCAAAAGAGGGTATGGAAGCGAACATCGTCGTCACAATTCTGGAGAAGTGGTGACAGCCGAATCTGACGCATTTAAGGCGAAATGGAAGAACGCTATACGGCTTTGAGAGCGGAACAAAATGATTGATATCAAGACAGACAATATGCTAGGTAGGTACTTTTCGTGTTCTGGCGTGCTCGATGCATTCACGCGGCCCTTGCATGGATCCTGGCCAAATCTTCCCCTTCCAAGCCATTGTGCCCTGACTTTACCAAGTTATCAATCGCCTCGTCGATCGGGTCACTCCCTTCGAGCAGGTCAAACCATCCTCGCGTGTCGTCGCGGGACAAAAGAGCTGCTGCAACGGCTGCAACGTCTTCTCGAGGCACGCTTCCACGAGAAGAAGTCTTGCCCAATTTTACCTTGCCAGTCCCTGGCGAGTCAGACAGGGTTCCTGGCCTCAGATTGATAGCTTGGAAGGCTTTGTCGCCACTGTCCAGACGTCTCTTTGCCAAAGCTTCAAGATGCTCGTCGGCCTCTACCTTTGCGAGGTAGTAGTTATGCAACACATTGTTGTTGACATGGTCAGCTGCTTTCTTGTCCTCTTCCGACCACCAGGGTGGGTAGCCTCTCCGAGAAGCGATGTAAGACACCATGAGGAATTTGGTGACGCTTGGCGTAGCGACCGAGGCCGATATATAAGCCTTTGCGGCGACCTCGTCAACCGCCTTAGTTCGGGAAGGGCCGCCCTTACCACCAGCACCTTGTGACTTGTGAGACGGGTTACGATTGTTGCTATCATCCAGAAACTCACCTGCAGACCAGACTACATAGTCCGGCTTGACCTTGTCGAGAACTCGTTGGGCCTGGGATGCTTCTTTGACTTCATCCAGACTGTCCACCAGCACCTCAATTGTGCCGGGCTTGTCCTTACCAAGGGCTAGTATTTCCGCTTCATGCTCAGGATTGCGAACAACACTGGTGACATTCCATTTCTTGGCCAGCAACAGAGGCTGGAGGAACAGGGAAACCTTCCCATGGCCTCCGAGGACCAAAACACGCGGGGTTGCTGTGGCCATGATATTTCTTTGCCCGTCTTTCTTTACGGGGTTTGTGTACGTCCACTGAGTGGACTTGCAGCTGAGGACTTGATGTAATTCAGCTTGACTTCAAAATGTCAAAGACGACATTGAGGGATGGCAAGGTACAGGCCCTCTCTTCATGAATGAGAGTGATGCAAAACTCCCAGGTAATCACGTCGTCATTGCTGACAAAGCCTCCGGCCCGGGAACTTCGCCTAGGGCACGTGACTGCAGCATGACTTCCGCAGCTCCTGTAGACTGCCTTCAGTATTGACGTCTAGGGACGAGCATCTTTCGATCCTTGCTTCGACATTCAGAAATTCCACTTGCACCGATGTCCTTGAGAGCGCCAACATCTCTCTCGCGTCAAAACATGATTCGGAACTAGTCTCCCGCCCGCAATTCAAGCTGAACGGAGATGGGCGCTCCAGGTTGTGGACTTATAAACACCCTCAACCAGCGTCAGGGTGTGATCGACCCCAAAACAGCCAAATGCGGGACGGCCCTGACAGCTTCACGACTGGTGGCGTTGAGCCAATTTATCAAGCATTTGTGGCTTTCTCCGCCGATGCCGAAACACATGGGCAGCGGCATGAAAAGCGAAACCCTAGGAAAGGACCTCTTGTACACGGCAAAGGACCGGAAGTCCAGAGACCGTCGAATTACGTGCAATCAGATACATTTCCGCCCGGTCAAGATCCTATCATTATTGGGGTAACCCGTCAATCGTCACCCTATGATCCACTTCCAGTGGATCTTGCTGTCTTTCCCAAACGATAGAGGGCCAATCTTGATAACAAGTTGGACGCATACCGCCACTATCTTGTCTTGTGCTACTGATACTTAAACATCACCATTCCTGTCACACGTACCGCTCGTCACCTGCTTGCTGTTCTGATTCTGTCATCAGTTTACTTGTACTTTATCTGGACCGTCGAGATCCCAAGCATGGCCAGGGACAAAACCATGGAGAGCGGCCGGGAAGACAAGCCCTTCGTGCCGGGGACAGTACACCTTGTTGATTTGGAAGGGACAATGCATGCGAAGCACGCGTCCAAAGGCTCAAAAGACATTGTGCTTGTTCCTGCACCGAGCAGCGACCCCGATGATCCACTGAATTGGAGCCCACGGAGGAAGCTGTTGTCAACGTCCTGCATGTGCATGTACACGCTTATGGTATGTTCTCCCTCCGAGTCACTTGCTTCATACTTGGTTACTGACTGGCCTTCCCCAGGTCGGCATCGCCAGCGCTGCAATCTACTCTGTCCTCGTACCCATAAGTGAAGATACTGGTCTCACACTGGGAGATCTAAATGCTGGAACCGGTTACATGTGTACGCTCTTTCTTCTTCCTCTCTACCGCCCCACCAAGATCTTACTGATGACCTTTCAGTCCTGTTCTTTGGATGGGGTTGCCTTGTTTTCCAGCCTCTCGCTCTGCAGTATGGCAAGCGACCTATCTATCTCCTCTCGTTGCTTGCTACTCTGGCCATCCAAGTTTGGGCGCCATACACCAAAACGAACGGACAATGGATCGCGAACAAAATCCTCCAGGGCTTCTTCGGCGCCCCGATCGAATCCTTGTGCGAAATCTCCGTGACAGACATCTACTTTGCCCACGAGCGTGGATACTACATGGCCATCTACGGGCTCTTTCTTGCAGGCTCCAACTTTTTCGCACCCATCATAGCTGGGTTCATCGCCAACGCTCAAGGGTGGGCTTGGGTCCTCTATTGGGCGGCCATCTTCAACGGAATCGGCTTCGTATACTGCTTTTTCCTAATGGAGGAAACCAACTACTCCCGAAAGACTCTCGCTGGTCAAGAGTCAAGAGAACAAAGTGGAACCCAAACTCCAGTCAATGATGAGGCAGTCCAGAACACAGTTCCAGATGAGAAGACTGTCTACCAGACTCCTGCCGAAGCAACCGAAGAGGGGATAGGTGCGACAATTCTGCCGAAGAAGACCTATATGCAGAAGCTCAGACTGTTCCAACCTGGGGCTTTTTCCAAAAAGAATGAAATTCCAGGCATGATGCTTCGACCGCTTCTCTATGCCGTCAGTTTTCCTGTGGTCGCGTATTCTGGCTTCTCTTATGGAAGCAACTTGGTGGGTTTGACTTCATTTCCATCCGTAGTCTCCGTGCACTTACTGATCCGTGGGCGACAGGTATGGTTTAACGTGCTCAACGGTACTGCGTCTCTAATCCTCTCGGGAGCACCGTACAATTTCTCTAGCAGTATGGTTGGAGTGAGTTACGTCAGTCCCCTGATTGGAGTCTTCCTCGGTGCCGCCTACACCGGCAAGTTCGGCGACTGGTTCGTTGTCAAGTACGCCCGGCGCAAGGGTGGCATCATGGAATCTGAATATCGACTGTGGCTGTTTACTGCCTCGCTGGCACTGATCCCCTTTGGACTCTTGCTTTGGGGAATCGGCGCGTACCACCACGTCCACTGGTTCGGCTTGGTCTTTGCAATGTGCATTATCGCCCTGACTAACACTATCGGCCTGCAACTAAGCGTGAGCTATTGTATCGACAGCTACCGCGACCTGGCTGGTGAGACTATCATTACAGTCATCCTCATACGAAATACCATGTCATTCGCAATCGGGTACGGGTTGACACCTTGGGTTACCAACATGGGGTACCAGAATGCCTTTATCACGGCTGCCTTTGCAGGGTTGGCCCAGGCGCTTACCTTCTTGATCTTTGTCAAGTATGGAAAATATTTCCGCGTCCGCTCGACGAATCTGTACCTCAAGTTTGCGAAGGAAATCACGGATGCTGGATTGACGCATTAAGATTATAAATCTGGCTACTGTTTCGGCACAGCTGTTAGCAAGGGTCAGTGGCGTTCTCGAATATAGTGTGTGCATTTGAAAGGTGCAAATCTTGTTTATGGAGGTTGAGCTGCATGTAGCAAGACTTGGAATCCGGAAATGCGTCAATTGCTCTTTGGTCCGTCTATGTCCTGGGTGTCACTCCGGTGGGAATGAGTGCTTTCGCTTACGCAAGACATAGGTGCCGTAGAACAATGTATCTACGGATAAACTGGAGAAGCAAGAGCAAGCCTCGGGAAATTTTCCTGAACTGAGAATACAAGAAAAGAAGCCGTGTGCGTGGACGTTCAAGCATGTCTCAAGTTAATGCCTCACCTACAACACTGGGGCTGCATCCTGAGGCATCAATATGCGGAGTGGCCTCAAATAACCGATGCCGGTCGGATGACGCCGACGTCTAGACAACACTCGGTCAGTGCAAAGAATTAGGCTGGGAAGTTGGAAGAGTCAGGTTCGGAAGCCACACAGAAGCTCTTATTAATATGTCAAGAAAAGAGCATCCTTCCGAAACTGGGGTTTCATCTTCATCTCCATGCAGTTCGAATGATCACATGTGAGATTTGTCGCCCCCTCATCTGTATCTTAATAGAAGTGATTAGAAAACCAAAAAAAGGCAAAAAAAAAAAACAATCAACAATTAGGATTCGCTGCTCGTCACCGACGCAACTACTAACTAATCGGCTTGTGGCTTAAGTATGGCTGAGCGGACGGGAAGCCCTGCTTTAACACAACCTGTGGTCGATTGCGGAGTATGAACTTGTCACTTTAACATATAACCGCAACCTCATGATGACTGAATATTAGGCCGCTAATAGATTTGTCACTCCACAGTGGTGCCCCGTTTTCCAGAAGAAGACCGACGACGGTATCTTCACGATTTACCCGAGCGGCATAGTGTAGAGGCTGACTCATGTCCGTTGAGGCTCCATGGTCGAGGAGCAATTGCTGCTTGAGCCACCTTCTATCCGACTGCTATGGTGTAAATACACGTGGCGGCCATCCATATGTACCTTGACTATCTGACTGGAGTGGTTAATTATGTCTCTTCCCGCCGCTATAACCGCAACACCTGCGGTATACTGTACTGTACCTATGTTATGGGAATAGTGACGGGTTAACCAATAGGCTGGCAGATGATGCCAAGAACAGTATCTATGCCGAGAGATAGCATACTAACGGCGCTCGCCGCTGATAGACAATCATGACACTTTGATTGGCCACTGGACAGGACTCTTTAGTGGACTTCGTGGACCTCACTCCTCTGCCATGGCCCGCTACCCATGTTTGAGTAATACTGTAGCAGTTAGTAGATCTTGGATGTTCCTGGCAAGCATCCCTCTCGCGTGGACTTGGCCGCATACCAGTATTGCAGACGAATAGATAAGGAGCGACTTTGCGGCGCAAGACCCTCGTCTTCGTCTCGTCTCGTCCCCCTATTCAGTTGAGAAACTATCAGAGCCTCAACCATCAAAGTCTCAAAATGGCCATTTTGAGGCTGCGCAGGCCCGGCATGGCAGGCTGGTCAGCCTCCGTCAAGGACGGCTTGAAATCTCGGACACATGTCTCGGGCTGGACTCTGCCCAAACAGCCCAGCTCCGTCGCTCCTCCAAACGTCTGGAGTAACGCTGATCAGGACCCTGTGCCTCCAGAAAGACGAACCTGGACAGCACGAACATTCGTCGCATACTGGTTCAGCGACCTGGTCACGGTTTCCACCTGGTCTCAAGGCAGCTCGGTGGTTGCAGCCGGCCTTTCTGCGTCAGATGCCATGCTCATTTGTTTCGTTGCCAGCATGTGCAACGCTGTGCCCATCGTCCTCAATGGAGCCATCGGCAGTGCTTTGCATATTCCATTTCCGATTGCCGCTCGGGCGTCGTACGGGTACTGGCTGTCTTTCTTTGCCGTCGGCTCCAGAGCGATCCTTGCGCTTTTCTGGTTCGGCGTGAACAGCGCTGGTGAGTGTCTGATCGATCCAACCACGTGGCCGGCAGTGCTGACTGCTTCTTCTAGCTGGTGGTCTCGCGGTAACTCAAATGATCAAGGCAATCTGGCCGTCATACGCAAACTTGCCTAACCACCTACCAGCCTCGGCAGGCATAACGACGCAGGGAATGGTCTCGTATGTGCTGTTTCATCTGTTGCAGCTCCCGTTCCTATTCATACCCATGCATCGGCTCCAGCCACTCTTTCTGGCTAAAGTAATTGTCATGCCCCCCGTTGCCATCGGCATGGTGTCTTGGATCGCTACTCAAGCTGGTGGTAACGACTTCTTCGACGCCCCGGCGACTGTTTCCGGCAATACCAGAGTCTGGCTTTGGCTTGCCAGCATGACTTCGGTCACCGCATCTTATTCTACACTTGCTGTCAACATTCCCGACTTCAGCAGATTTGCCAAAAGTCTACGGGCTCAAATATGGCAACTTCCTTTCATCCCGATCTTCAAGGTGGTCATTGCCGCTTGCGGTATCATTTCGGCGTCCGCATCCAAAAAGATCTACGGAGAGGCTTTGTGGAATCCACTCCTGATCATCGACAATTGGCACGGCTCGTCAGGTGGCCGCGCTGCCGCATTCTTCTGCTCCATCTGCTGGTGTCTTGCTCAGATCTGTTTGAATATTTCGGCAAACTCGCTCTCTTTCTCCAACGATATCACATCACTGCTACCAAGATTCATCAACATCCGGAGAGGCTCGGTCATATGCTTTCTGATCGGGGGGTGGGCACTGTGCCCGTGGCTGATTCTGAAATCCGGCCAGACGTTTCTCAACTTCATGTCAGCATATGCCATCTTCATGGCGCCCTTAGCCGGGTTTCTCATGTGTGACTATTGGATCGTCAAACGCCGGAGATACGATGTCCCGGCACTGTACGACCCCAACGGCATTTATGGAAAGTGCAACTGGCGATCATTGATCATTCTGATTATAACCATCGTCCCGATGTTGCCCGGATTGGCAAACAAAGTCTCACCGGACACAGTACATATACCTACCGGGCTTCAACATCTTTTTGCAATCAACTGGCTTTACGGATTTTGCCTCACGGTTGTGCTCTACGCGGTGTTGAACTTCGTGTTCCCTGATAAAAAGACACTGATCCCTCGTGTCATTGAGGGTATTTCTTCACCGGAAGTTGTGGATGTGGAGGACCCTAGCTCTGACTCCAAAAGTCAACATGTGAGCGCAGAACAAGTAAATAGCGATTGAGATGATCTTGCCGAAGTGAGGATGCACTGTGCAGTGGTTTTCCAGCTGAATAGAATAAGAACAATGAAAATCTATGAATTCCTTATGATGATCCACTTAGTACATATCAAACCAGCAGCCATCTATGACGAGACCTAAGGCCGACTACATGTCTACAACTTGATCTCGTACAAGAAATGCGGATACCCTATAGATCAAACAAACTACTTCTATTCCGTGCTCAGTTCTTCCTGTCGATTTCCATCGCAGTGTTAGATTTTCATCTCGGAGCTTTTGACATCGTAGATTCCACCTTCTCGAGGGACGAACCTCTTGCAGCAGCCTTCCAATCATCGTCAAAGTAATAATCGTCAAAGTAATCCGCGTCGTCACTGTTGGTCCACGGCTCTTATGGAATTGTGCTTGAACGACAATGACGAAACAGTTCAAAGTACCAGTCCAACAAAAACGACCATTGATGCCGCACCGATAATAGCCCCCTCATGTACTGATTTGCGCCATGAGCGTCTGCGGTGACGATTTTTATCTCTGCGCCTCCTAATCGAACTTCTTCCTCGGGCATCTTCCCTCTTAGTTCAGACTTTGGTTGATCAGCGGCGCTCCTCGTCAGTTAAACGCGGCTGTAGTCGGAGAAATATCAGTCCCGGCTGATTGATGAGAGTGATCCTGACGATAATATCGGCGACCACCTCATTCAATTTAATAAACTGTTTCCAGAGGACGCGGTGATCGACACCAAGGATGGAACCTCTAACGTTGACGGACGAGTTGGCTATTAAGGGCTCAGGTGGCCTAGAAAGGCGAGCCATTTTTAGGAGCAACGGGGTTGGGCGGCTCGCGCTCTTTTCGTTATTGCCCGTTTTCAGTGGTCAGTAGGGGGAAGAGTCCTAAGTCGACAATGTCAGATCATCCGCTCCCGCGAATTCAAGGGTGCCTACAACTGGCAGCAAACACTTGCTGGTCATACGGAAAGGTTATTTCAAGTCGTTCGGAATGAAACTCTAGAAGCAATGTCACCAGGGTTGCATAACGCTCGACCTGTACAACACCGCTCCGACGATGGCCTGGGAGATGCAACATGCTCAGCCTGATCAAAGAAGCTTGGCCAACGAAGCCCATCCGTGCTGCGCTTGCAGAATTGGTCGCCAAGCATTCGGCCCCCGGGTCTTAGCATCAAGTGTTGTTCTTGTTGACAGTCTGTTCTCGTCAAAGTGGTACACAGGAGGAATTCGGAGAGTTTCACGGTTCACTGGTGAGAGACGACCTTCTGAGCGCTTGCTTCCTGTAAAGTCACCCCAGGTCCAAATTTCACTACAACATTACCAGTGAGCTTTATCACTTCCTGACCAAGAGATACATTGCTGAGGATAGGTGCCTGATAACTTATAACGTCTTCGTCGAGAAAGTTGGAAAAATCCATGGAGTGTTTCAATATGACGCTTTAGGGCTTAACTCACTGTATAAAAACTTCTTGAGCTAGTGCGGTGAAGTGTGAAGCAAATGTAAGTTAGTGTAACCAGTCCCTTAGTTAGCTCTTAACAAAGCCTGGGATGACTAGAGGCTAACTAACTAGTCCCTTTTGGATCGAAATACCTTCGCCAACTGTTCCTTCAAGCAGTGTTGGACTCTAATATGACCGTTACTCTGCAGTATTCAGCGCCATTGACATACATAGTGCGATATATGTTCCTCTGCCAGAAGAGAGGAATTCAGCCAGTTGCCACAGTTCGATCTAGTACAAGGAATCCGAGTCCACATCAAGCTGAGGTTTGGGTCAAAAGTTTGTGTGCCAAAGACGAGACCTACCGCTGGTAGGGGTACATACTCGGCGACGGAAGGCTTTCGCATGCGCTGACTCGATGCAGTTTCCTCAGCGACACAACGGTTAGATCCCTCCGAAGAGGGGTCTCAGATATGGGTGGCGATGCTGCCTTCCTCTTTTGGAGTTTGGGACAGCATCCCGAACTTTCCAACTGTATGAGTACCATCACGCACACACTGGTCCCAACAAAGTCACCAAAGCTTTAGCACATCCTTATGCGCATAAGATTGGTTATAGACGAGCCGGAAGTGACTTGTTGCGTCCGAGGAGATGTTCCTCGGCAGGAGTAGTCTCTCAATGAGCATACGGCCGAAGCTCTCGGTTCAGAGAGGGACGACGGAAGCATCCGTGCCGCATTATACAACTTCAATCACCATATCCCCGACCCAATGCTTTTGATGGTAGGGCTAGGCCGTGGCTGACCAATCCGCCTGAAGCGTTAGTTCACACATTATCCGAGGGCAAGTTCCTGGTAGATCAGGCAACCTGAGTCTGATACAGTCATCTCGGCTTAGCAGGGTAACGATATATTCTTCTACACATTCTTACCTTTCTAACCGTTGCATCGTCTTCATAATTGTGAATCTGTCGTATTTGCACCGTTGATATTGCAAACACTGTTAAAATGTCTGGATTCCCATCCCTCAAGCCGGCAATAACCCTCCGCGTGAGTGCTCACCAACGCGGACCCCGAGTCCCGACTGACTACTGTCCAGGTAAAGGTTGGTGATACGCTGCCTGTTGGTAGCTTTGCCAGAGGAACGCCTTTGGCTGTTGTGGTAAAGAACATGGTCCTTTTCAAATTGGACGAGATACTAATGATACTGAAGCCAATGGTGGAAGGGACATTGATATCAGAGCCAGGTTTTGAGCCTTCTCTGGATGCGAAGCTGTAGGTTTGCTGAAAGGATAAATATCTGTGTGTTGACGCGGGGATTCAACAAGGGCCGGTGGCGCGTATGATTTTATTCGCGCTGATCCAGACGGTGGGCATATGCGGTTGGATGTACGGTCTCAGTTCAAGTTGGTATACTCTTCTGAATAATGGATGGAGCGAGCTGACCTTCGACCAGAATGAAGGATGGTGAAGTATGAGATAGAGACCATGACATCCATGCAGACTGCTAACAACTCTAGCTTGTCGCAATGTATTATAAAGGAGTCGCTGCAGTAACTCCTGACGTGCAAAAAGTTCTCTCAGGAGCTGCTGATGCAAAAACCACCGACTACGGCCATTCATGTGAGTTCGATCCTATTCCTTGCGAAGCGCACGACTGATGCCTTCTCACAGTTATAACTGTGGAATTTGAGGTGAGAGAGCCAGCTTTAAGAGGGAGATCATTAGAACTATATTAATTGCACCTAGACTGGATCGGAAAAGTACAAGGCTCTGGAAACCGCTGTTTTTGCTGCGGCAGGGCATTTTGTTCTAGAAGATGGAGCAGTTTCGGTAGAATACAAGCTCAGCCAGGTTGTCTAATAATGAATTGAAGCTGTCAGGGAAAAGGTTTTTGTACTTTGCCTCTACTCCAACGTGTAAAATTTGAAATCTATGATTGTTGTCTAATAATTTAACGAATTAACATCGTAAACTGAAGCCGATTGAACCTGCGGCTCTCCAGTAGAAGTACTATCCAGGCACTTCAATCCCCTAACCCGGCTGTCCGTCCCTCTCAGCAAGTATTCTCGTCGATTCTAGGCTGGTATTGCCGTCCAGGCGCCCTGCACCTCTGTCTAACTGCCGTTCACTCTTCCCGGGTCAATGCCGTTTTTGAGGCGAAGTAGCGTCTCCCTCGGATGCTTGTGTTTATGACAAATTAAGAACAGTGATCACCGGAGGGATTACAGTTGCTGACAATGCATGATATAGAGAGTCTATAAGGTGACAAATTACAGCAAAGCATGGACAATGAGAAGCCATGTGCGTAATTTTCCAGAGACATTTAAGAGGCTGAATTTCGGGCACGTTTTGCGTAATGCAATATCCCTATAACATTCTTAGTTCTCATCCACTTAGATTCTGTCATTGAATTAACACTTGGTACCAGAACTTTCTGAGATCCCTAGACTTATATTTGCCTCCATTCCAAGCCATGCCTTCGTACTTGGTCACCGGCTCGAGCCGTGGTCTTGGACTAGGATTCGTCACTCAGCTGGTGAGTTCGCAGCTCATGATGATCTTTGGGTTTAGAAGTCATAGACTGACGATAAACAATCCAGCTTCGGAACAAGGACAACATTGTCGTGGCAACAGCAAGGGATACTGCAGGATCGTCTGGTCTACAAGAGCTCAACGCTCGCAACAATGAAGGACGCCTCATACTGATCGACCTTGATGTTACGAAAGCAGAGAGCATTAAATCAGCTGCTGAACAGACGGCCAAGGTCTTGCCAGAAGGATTGGACCATCTCATAAGCAATGCTGGAGTTAGCGGAAGTGGTCCGCTAAAAACATTCGATGAACTGTATGTTTCAATCTTCCACATTTAATGGGAAGAGTGAACCATCTTTGAGATCTAATGCGTCATGTCAGGGATGTCGATGAGCTCGTCGAAGAAGTCAAGTTTCCTCTCGTTTCATTGCTCCTCCTGGTTCGAGGGTTTCTTCCCCTCATCCAAAAGGGTCAAGCAAAGAAGATCTTGGTCATCACCTCTGTTGTCGGCTCGTTAACCATTGCTCCACTTACAGAAAATCTGGGGTATGGTTATGGGATTGCTAGAGCAGCTCTTAACATGTATGTGCTGCTCCAATTGGGCTGAAAAATGCCTCAAACAATACTGACGAAAACTGCTACCAGGATGGCCCGGAAATGGAGCACGCCCCTAAAAGCAAAGGGAGTTACTATCGCTCTCATCCATCCCGGTATGTTGTCCAGAGCATCAACTTGTATTTACAGTTCTCAAGTTAGCTAACATTGAACCTGGTGCAGGGTGGGTTGATTCCACCGATATGGGTAGTTCGATAGTTCCTTGGGCTGAGAAGAACCCCTCAGCCTTGTCCAGCATCACTGTAGAACAGTCGGCTGCTGGTGTCACGAAGGTTCTGCACGATCTTAAAATCGAGGACACTGGATCGTTCTACAATTACGACGGCACGACACTTCCTTGGTAGGTAGATGGGTATTGAAGTCCTCGTAGCAAAATCAAAATTCATTGAGGCCCAGATTTTCATCGATTCAAGTCATCAAGTAAAAGAATAGCATATAGTCATACCCAGGCATGGTATATTGAGCTTGGTATAACATCTAGGACGTGAAGATGGAGGGTTTGGATCAGCCCGACATCCAACTTACAGTCCCTATCCGATCTCTGCAACGTCGATCGGTGAGGAAAGTTTCATGGCATATCGCCAAAATATCGCCCCAACTCGATTAAAGCTGGAAGAAGGCTCAGTGGTAGGGACGAAGTGCTTTAGACGGGTAGTAAGTCTAGAGGGACTGAAATCTTCAGTCCCACATATGCATGCAGCCGACAGCAGTTCATGAATCTGTGAGCGCGTGACAGCTGCAAGGGGGCTTGTAAGAGACCAATTGCTCCCTGCAGTAATTCCTTTTCCGGGCCGTAAATCCATCAGAACAAGATGATTACCAAGCTAAGTGATTAAATATGCATCAGGAATTGCGAACAATAATGCCCATTCTCTCCTTATGCTCACTACAACGGGTATTCCGTCTGGCTGCGGAGTATCCGTCTTTCCCGGAAGTCCGCAAACCTGTTAACTCCGCAGAGCGGAGCTGATGCTGACACTTTCCACAGACACCTGAGAAAGTGCACAGTCTCCTGACCGAGGACGACAACGACGACAGACTACCACAACAAGGGTGTGAGACTTAGAGAGGGATAGGCTCGAAAAAAGATGTGCTTCTCCCAAGCTGGTCCTGGAGAACACAGCCATGGTAAATGATGAGGAGGCTGGAATACGTCGGATTCGTGAGCCGCGATGGCAGTTTGCAAGACAAAAGAATTCTGGTATATTCACAGAACCTTATAATACTAGACCTCAAGTTGGCGTTACAAAAGGATATATATTTACAATGACGCGAGTTAAGAGTACATTGATCCTAGTTATTTGTTAAGAAAATCTTGAACGTAATTATCTAAGACACAGGGAGGAGGCACATTCTCTTGGTACTGAATGGGAAGTTCATTTTCCGCTGGCAGCCGAAATCGCCGTATGCCATGTGATGGGTTTCAATAAACGATAGAGGCAAGGCATATCACCGATAGACCTATCTTGGACAAGACCGGTATTCACGTATATAACACGCCAAAGCTTCGCAAAATATATTAGAGCCTCGTTGTGTGCAGAAGAAACGACATGATCATCAAACCTGAAACTGATTAATCTGAATCCATCACCAGTTCAAATGTCCCTTGAGGCAGTAGTTTCAAGTCCAGCGTGAGCTTGTGGGGGGACAAAGTTGTTCTAGATTAACCATCTGACCTTTCGCCGCGCTAAATGAATTGTGAAAATACCACAAGAAGAGGAGGCGCTAGCCGCCTATGTTTGACCATGTGTCATACTCTCATTACAAATGGGAGCGGTTATCGTATTCAACAACAAAGCTATACTGAGGGTTGTAGTGCATCTCCCAGTATTCCTCCCAGATAATCCTGGTGATGGGGCCGATCTGACCGTCTTTCACCGGTCGCTCGTCAAGACTGGTGATTGGCATAACACCACCGGCTGTTGTACAGGTGAAGATTTCGTCGGCTTGATACGCCAGCTCCACCGGCACAACTTGTTTTCGAACCTCAATTCCGTTTGCCCTGGCAATCTCCATCACACTTTTCCTGGTGACTCCCTCGAGCACCCCTCGATCTGGAGTGTACAGAACGCCATCTTTGATGAGGATGATATTATACCCTGGCCCTTCTGTCAAGTTTGCATCTCCGTCTGTCAGGAAAGGATGAAGGGCCCCCCGGTCATGGCTCTCCAGTAACGCTCTCGTCAGGTCACCCCACTGCAGATTTTTGATGGTCGGATCCATTGATCCTGGAGGAGTCCTGCGCACAGTTCTTGCAACAATTGCACTACCGCCAGTGCGTTGTATCTCGGGCGGCATTGCCCAGATGTATGGCATGATGAGGATGTAGAGATTGTGGATGTGAGACTCTAACGGGGTCCCGCGGACGAATTGGAGACCTCTCGTGACGATAATTTCAACAAATACATCCCGGATCCCGCTCCGAGCGACCATATCGACCATTATCGCCCTGACCTCAGCCCGTGGTAGTGGTAGCGTCAGGCGCATTTTGACGAGGCTTGCTTCAAAGCGTGTGAGATGGTCATCAAGGCGGAAATAACGACCATCCCATACCGCCGGTACATCGTAAGTCAAATCACTGTGCAGAAAACCCTGATCCAGGAGCGGAATGCGTGCCTCATGAAGAGGCACCACAACTCCCTCCACCCAAGCAGCTCCTTTGGCAAAGGGGTTGTCCGTTTTCGTCAAGGTTGCCGTGCGCCGATCATAGGCGCCAAAGACTTTGTCCATGAACGCCATAGTGTCAGTCAAGTTTGAAATGATTCTCTTGTCATATAAAACGTTCGCTGTTCAGCGGCATTACAGGGCCACATGCATTTTTATATGCTTTGCCTCTCAGGCTAGCGTGGGTCGGCATTGGTTGTCGTAGAAGACCCGCAGAGCTGTCGAGCAACCACGTCCAAAATCCTGTAGCTCTCATCAGGGGAACACAATCTGTGCAAGAGCAAGATCTAGGCGCGCTACGGCTCCCCCGAATCGGCGCATACGAATGGCGATTGTTTACCTGTGTGAAGTGAGCACTCTAGCCAAGGCTAGATGAGCGTGGCAAGATAAGATAAGATTCTTTGCTGACAATCTCCACCGAGAGCTGATTGGTATGATTGAATTAGGGTGTTTATCTCTGATCAGAAATCCCCTCTTTCAGCCGATACCCCGACAATCTTCTCTTGATAGCCGAGTTTTTGTCGGAATATTGCCAACTCATACCCACACGAAGGGCTCTCCCTACCTTTGTCATCCCAGCACTATCTACGCGCGATAACGCGGCTATTGTCCTGAGGTCCAGACGTTAAAACAACCAATACCCGTGGCTGGAAGACAAGCAAGACTGGACTAGTATAAGAGACAAGATGGAGCAGATAAGGCCACTTGCTAATCGCCAGTCGTATGGCAAAATGCGGGAAAGGCACGTCCCAGATCTGCACTTCTGCCATGGTACAGCTATTTATAAGATAATCCCCTTGCCTGGGAACAAGACTGTTCCTCAGTCTCAACACGTACACACAGCTGCAGTGCCAGTTCCAGATTCAGAGGTTATCACTGCCCGGCATGGAAATCCCTACGAAGTCCCCTGTTTCTGCTGCAGGAATTCAGCCACACAAGTCCGGTGTCAATTACCAGCACGGTCAGTCTTCCCGCCGGAACAACGAGGGGATCGTATGCTCAGCAATCTATAGGCCCGGCTGCGGAACAATCTGACGGCCGTGATATCGACGGCATTGTGCCAGTCCTGAGTATGGGTGAGGGAAAGTTTGTTGTTACTGCCACTGGTAACACCATGAAAAAAAACATGGGAAGCCTCACAATGTTTGCCGTGTGCTTCAATGTTTGCAATTGTTGGGCCGGTACAGCTTCAAGTTTACAAATTGCTCTTCTGCAGGGTGGCCCTGCCTCTCTACTTTACGGCATGATAGTCAGCTCTACAGTCTATCTTGCTGTTGCTTGGAGTATGGCGGAGCTGGCAAGCGTGTGAGTAGCTCCTGAAACTTGACTTGTTGATTTCAGGTCTTTTTGGCTTCAGTTCGTGGGCACTGATGCAGAACAGCTATCCCACTGCTGGCGGACAATATCACTTTGCATCGATCCTCGCACCACGGAGGCTAAATGCAGTTATATCGTACACGTGTGGCCTACTGACTGTTTTCTCCTGGATCGCGATCGCTGCGGCAGTTACCATGATTCCCGCCACGCAGATCCTCGCCCTCGCGTCGTTCTATCACCCACACTTCCTCCCAAAGCCATGGCATTACTTTGTCCTCTTTGAGGCCATCGTAATTATCATTCTAGCCTATAACACTTTCCTTCTGAAGAATCTTCCCCGAACACACGATGTCGGATGTAAGTCTGTCTAGTCTGTGAGTGGTGGGTGCTGACGTTACCATAGTTGCCTGGTCAATCTCCATGTTCATCGCTCTCACAATAGTGATTTTTGCAAGATCATCACCAAAGGCCGATAGCTCGTTCGTATGGGCTTCATTTATCAATGCAAGTGGATGGCCTGATGGTCTCTGCTTTCTTGGAAGTTTGTTGACTACCTGCTTCATCTATGGGGGTCTAGATGCCGCCTTGCATCTCGCCGAAGAAACACCCAATCCTAGAACGGCTGTACCTAAAGCTGCAGTTAACGCCGTTCTAATCGGCTTCGCCACGGCGTTCATCTTCACCATTACGCTCCTTTACAGCATATCAGATTTTGATGCCGTGATCAGTATCCAAGGCTATTTACCATTCGAGCTCTACCGTCAAGGAATGAGGTCTGACAGTGGGGCCGTGGCCACCATGGTATTCTCCATGGGCCTTGTCTTCTTCGTCCTGAACGCTGTCATGCAGACATCATCGCGTCTGACGTGGGCATTTGCGAAAGATAACGCACTTGTCTTCTCAGGAGCCCTTGGCAAGATTCACCCTGGCCTCGATATCCCTCTGAACAGCCTCCTGCTTAACACTGCACTGGTTGCAGTCTGTGGGTGTATATTTCTGGCATCGTCTACAGGTAAGCTACCGGGCATGACTTTCTCGTAGTGCTCCCTTGACTAAAATGCGTTTAATTAGCTTTCAACGCTTTCCTCGGCTCTCTTGTGGTTCTCCAGCAGTTCTCCTTCATGATCCCGACAGCACTCTTACTCTTCCGCCGACGCTCATCAAAATTTCTACCAGCGGATCGCAAGTATGCTCTACCTGACCGGCTAGGCTGGTGTGCCAATATTTGGCTCGTAGGAATGAGTATACTGTTAGCTGTTGTCTTCATGCTGCCACCTTTTAGGCCAGTGACCACCACGAATATGAGTAAGATTTGCCCTGTGAGACACCCTGTCTCTCTGATTGTGGCTAATTATTGGTGTAGACTATACTGTAGTGATCCTGGGTATTGCGGCAGTCTTAGGAGTTGCGAACTGGTTCTTGCATGCGCGGAAACAGTATCAAGGACCACGAATTGTGCTGGAAAATTGATGACCTGTACTGGCATAGCAAGAGGATAAATTATACGTTTGAGCAGTGCACCCAGCTTGGTGACTTAGGGATCGAGCACAACTTCGGTAGGATGCAAGTGATACTCATAACACCTCTATCAGAGTCAAAAAGACTATCATTACCAATGACGACGACCGTCGTTCTGTGTTCAGCAATTTTTGGGCTCAAGCTTCTCTGTGAAGCTGCGAGTATCGCTCGCTGGAGACTCTATATCTTTCCTTGCTTTCGTCTCTCTTTGTTTGAGTTTGAACGAAGCTGCGCCCCAAGGCCTCGGCAGCAAAGATTCCTCCCACCCACTTCCCCGGGCCCCAGTGCGCTCGATTTTCCCCTCCTGGAAGTGCCTCGACCCACACTGTAGCGCCCCTTCCGATAAGCCTTAACAGTGTTCTTTATCTTTCTACTCCTTCACCCCAACTTTTCGGCAGTAATCGTACTCTATACTTCTTTATCATGCCCGCTACTCCTTCAGGATGGTGCCTGAATCTAGATCAGTCTCCATGACAATCGCAGCACCATTTCGAGGCACCTACAAGCTTCGGCCGAATTACCCCAGGACAAAGACAGGTTGCCTGACTTGTCGGCACCGCCGCAAGAAATGCGACGAAAGAAGACCGATATGTAGAGGTTGCACTCGGAATGAGCTCAGGTGCCTGTGGAAAGATCCATCCCATTCCCGTCCTCCCGGTCCCTACATAGATCAGGCACATGGGCGGAAACAATGCGTCCTCGTGGTTGCAGATGACCCCAATCAAGCCATCTCATCGGCACCAGCGTTGCAACCCCCAGACTTGGTGCTGCGATTGCCTCCTAACCAACTTCACTACGCTTCTGACCGAGCCTGTGCCTTGACCAGTGTATCACTCGGTCTCCTAAGCCACTACATCATTCACACCGGAGCGCTTCTTGCCGCAGCCCCATTGGAACATAGTCCCTTCATCACTCAACTGCTACCACTTGCGTGTCTAGACGACACCCTTATGCACGCTATCCTGGCAACGAGCGCAGCTCACCTCAGTTTTAAGAACAATGGCGAAGTTGAAATCGACATGGCAGCATGGAAGCATTATTCAAGCGCCATACAGTCCTTGCAAAGACAATGCGCGAATCTATGCGCGATGGATCCTGAAAAGACATTGAGACTATTAGTGGTACTAATTGTGATCTCACATTTCGAGGTACGTTCTCAAACCTGTTCTCCCAGTCTGCTATGCAGTCATTGTTAACAACATATCTGGTATCAGGCTCTTTCTGGCAATTGCAATGGAACCATTTTCATGCACCTCCGTGCATGTAGAGTGCTGATACATGGTTTCTTGAATGGACATATCGCGCCTCTGACAGGAGACTGTAAGAGCCTCTTTGGCTTTTCTATTGAAATATATGCGTATCTGCTCTTTTCAAACACACTTACACCATATGGTATGTTGCAAGAGCGCACCTTGCCATACGACTCCTTCCTCATGTCACTCGATGTCCTGACTCAGTATCAAACCTTTGGAACAATGTTTGCTGGAGCACATGGCTTGTTCCAGCTGATTCCGCTCTTGTCGTTGTTACACAGCAATCGGCTCAACGAGCAGGAAGTTGGTGAAGTGTCGGAATCGTCTATTCTCATTTCGAATCAACTATATGACCTGATACTGCATTGGGATCTGTCAGAGTGCGAAGATGACTGTGATGGTCATGAGGCATCCAGACGCCAATTGGCTGCCGAATGTTACAGATACGCCCTGGAAATATGCCTCCTGACCGCCATGGCTGGAACTGAGGTGACAGACATTACCACCATTTACCGCATCGAGACACTGACCAGGGCTATAATGGTTACAGTGGAACAGCTGTCCGGCTCAAGCTATTGTGCGAGCATGCTCTGGCCACTGATGATTGCTGGCTCGTGTATGATTAACTATCGGCATCAGAACAAGCTTGAAGAAATGCTACGCAATTCACGCTATCAAATGCGTCACACCGTCTCTGCGGCCGAGCTGTTGTGCTTGTTATGGAAAGAAGATAGCCAACATGTCTATGGGCCATATGGGCTGTCAGTCGTGATGAAAAAGTATAACATGAACTGTTGCTTATTTTGAGAGTCTTGTCTATTTCAATAGCACAGGATAAACCGTGTATGGAAGCCTGAAGTTGGCAACGCTTGGAAAGCTTCGATTTCATGTACCACGACGCCGATATACCACCATGCTGGTTATGAGCATACCCATCCAACCACGAAGAAGTGACTGCTTATCACCCATATCTCAAACCAATATCTCATGCGATTGCCGAAAGATTCATTCCAAGGCATTATTTACACCAGGAAAGCCAATAGACGTGGCTTTAAGGTAGAATGGACCCTCCTTTACTTGCGGCATGACGATGGCCTTGTCCACCCGTTCCACAACCCCATTCGCAAACGGCAAAAAGGTCAGACCCCACCCATTCAGAAGGGGGGACAAGCGCTCGAGGTACTGCGCTTGCAATTTGACACACAACTGTCGACGCGTCCTTAAGAGACTGCAAATCCATGTTGTTGGAGTCGAAGCCTAGCTGAGGGATAGGGTTTGCACAGTATGGATGTCAAATTTTATATTGGTCGGCACAATGAAACTCAAGTGTAACTTTGTCTCCAGTGGAAGCGTACCAGGAATGCCGCTAATTTCGGATACTTCGTGGCAGCACAACCTCGACGGCATAAGTGAAAGGCAGGTGGACCTGCGATTGTGGCATTTGCACGTTCCTCGGAGGGAGATCCCGCTTCATTCCGGGAGGTTGATATTGATATCGATGGCGGAGGGTGTTATTTCGACCCTAGTGGGCATTAACCTTATTTGTTTTAAAAGAATTCGGCTCGATACCCGCTGTTGAACCAACGTTTTCAGAAGAGGAGCCTTTGGCGGTTTATTAGCGACCTGACCGTCTGGCTGATGCTGGATCACGGAAACAGATAAAGTAAAGTGTAACCCCTCCCTGCCGAGCTCAATCGACAACGCTGGTTGGATTTAGAGTCAGGCGGCGCTGTAACACTAAGGCTAACGGGGTCTCGACGCCTGACAGGTAACTATCGAGAACGACCAGGCCACTGATACTGACCATCCAGGCCGCCGGGAGCCTGGCCGCTATTGTCGGCACAGTCATATGTGTCATATAAATCAGGCACTCGTCCTCGTCGAAGTCGTCGAGATGAGTCGCCAAGGCGTTGAGCAGCACTGCGTCCGACGGGCGATTTCTCAGTGATAGCTGACCAACTAGGACGGATAAGGGCTTGCCACATCGACAATGGAGCTTCGCAGAAGTCTGTCCTTTTCCGAACGCCGGTAACCCGCATATACCACACCAATACCATCAATGAAATTGATCAAGGCAAAGGCTCGGCAGCTGTTGGTATGGTGGCACCCAGCCGTATCGAGGGGCCGCGCGAGTGCCTCGATACGTAGGAATGTATGTTAATCGCCAAACTCCCGATCAGCAGTCTCGATCAACCGAATAGCAGTTTCGTAGGGCGGAAATTTGACCACACGATGTGTAGCTTACGACTCTGCGATTAGTTACGTTGGATCGAGGGAGATCACGAGATTTGTAATAACGTACAGGTAGTTCTTAGAACCTCTTGGACGAGGCCTCGAGGCGAGGACTCGGGAATGTGCCCTTGGTGGGGGGGGGGGGGGGGGGGGGGGGGGGGGGGGGGGGGGGGGGGGGGGGGGGGGGGGGGGGGGGCTTGCCCAATGAATTGACTCTGCGCCGGACGAAGCGGAAAGGGTGCTACTAATCTTGTTCGGGTCGCCATCTTTACATGGCAGGGCCTTCAGTTTGCGAATGAACGACTCTGCTGTCGAAGCCTCGACCAGGGGGTCGGTGGCGCCCACGTCCGCCGAGGAACTGGGAAGGGCCGCTATCAATCTCTGACTTCTGGGCCTGAGATGAGTATGTGCAGGCCCATATCCTTGCTGACGGACTATCGCGCCCAAGTCGTTCAAGGTGCGGTTCAGATGCCTCAGATAACTCCCTGGGACCGTGACAACGGGACCTTGGGCGGAATACAGACAGTCTTGTTGCCTTGCCCGACATCTTTCACAAGGCTGCCCTGCAGAACCGGCCTTAGAACTACCGCTGGTGGAAGGGTAGTCCTGCGTCCTTACCTCCGCTGCATTTCACCTTCTGGCGGTGGCAGTAACGGCATGCGACAATGCCGCGCCGTTTGGGCGGATTTGGCATATTTGGCATATTCGTAAGCTGGAAATTTGCAGGGTTAGCCAGTCGTTGATCAATTCAACCTGGCGTTCGTTGGGCTGAGGTTCAAGACTTCAGGAGACAGTCAAGACTATCGAGATATTACGAGAGGCTAGGCCTCGCCAAGATACGCGTTATCTCTAGCGCTTCAATTAGCAAACGACGAGATAAGGAAGCGTACCACCTAGCATAGCTAGAAGTACACTTCCGAGATAGTGAGAGAGTACAAGAGGCTCTCTCCTCTCGATTTTTATCGAGTCGACTTCTTCACTTTTCAAGCAATAAGTCGTTTTTATGGAGAACTATTCAATAGACTACATTGCATCAACTATCTCATTATAGGTGAAGGTCCTGACTCGAGACCTTTCGCTCTAAAAGCCACGCAGCGGGGCCGCTCTTCTGCGATTCTTCTTTCAGGGCTTCGAACTCTGGTTCACATAGGAAACCCAAAACGCTTTATAACCCGTACGCATGGGCACTGGCACGATGAACCCCAAAACATCCCATAAGATCAGCCATTTCACTCGTTACTCCAGTGCCGGAGGGATTAAGACTGGACAACAAACCATTACAAGCACCTAGGAAGACGATTTCATCTCATCATCATTAAAGCCTATGGAGAAGAATGGATGTGATGCTACTTTAACTCCAGAAGAGGTCATCCAGCCTCGTCAGCTCAAGTAACCCAGAAGGATAATTTCTTACTTTTAGCATTCACCCACAGAAATTCGAATATATCAATCCTGGGGCGACGAAGATGTTTATAAGCTGGCTCGTCAGGTCACCAAAAGCTTCGGGTGGGGACAGGATTGACATGGCCCTTTTCAATATAATCATGAGTCTTAACGTGAACTTGCTTATTTCGTCGCACAATAGGGAACTCTGAAACTTGCAGGAGAAGAAGCGAAACTGGGAGCTGACTCTTATAGGCTCCCTACCTAATGTCACGAGTGTGCGGGGTTCTTTTCGTACTCGTGTTCGTGACATAAATAGAGAGCAGAAAACTGGTTTCGGTGTGAATCAGTCGTCCCAGCTACTCACCTTGTAGCAGCTGCTCAGGCTGCTCGCAGAGAGCGACAAGGACTCTCAGCAGTGGTGGCATAGACTCTATCTCCAAGGCTGATATTTGATCCTAGGGGCATCATTGGTCAAAGAGAGTTTCAGCTTGTATGACAACATCAGGCTGAGAGAATCTTGTCTTATTATTCCATCAGGCACCACTCCTGTTGCGTTTGAACGCTGAGTATCGTCGCCAAACTCCTTTCCCGGCTAGGTCGACCCAGGACTTCACAGTATCATGACCGAAAGCTCTGTTTCAGCAGACTTCGAGCCTGCACTGCTCTCATATGATGCTCTATCAGCCTCCCCGTCCGAGATCTCCGGCGCCTTTGCCCTTCCGTTGCTGGAACGACCAGCAGACTCAGGCCAGCCTCTCTGCATCAATGCTCCTTCCCAGACACTATCACATCTATGCCTCTCATTTCTCGCATTGATCCAGCACCTCGATGTTGACTTCCTCCCCATAGCCTGGCACTCGGCCCTGGCAGGCGCCCGGCGGGGAGGCACTGCACAGCTACACCAGATGGCTATCGATTGCCAGAGTGCATTCGCGTTCAAGAGGCTCCTGCCGCTGCGCGGCGAGCAAGGCGAAAAGGACTGGCTGATGCTTCAAACGGAGGTTTCCGTGCTTGGACAGCCCGCTGTTCTAGGGTGCAAGAACATCGTCGCCATAGAAGGACTCACGTGGCATATCTCCAGGGAGACAACACAACCGTGGCCTGTGTTGGTATTTGAGAAAGCAGGGTGGGGAGACCTAATGTCATTTGTGGAAAGAGGTCCTGGTGGCGAGATGGACCTAAGTGCCAGATTGGATCTGTGTGCGCATGTGTTGGCTGCCGTTACGGTGTTGCACGAAACACGTAAGTTAATAGCATTCTGGTACCAAAGTAACCGTGGTGCTGATTTGAAGCAGATATTATACATGGGGATATCAAACCCCAGAACGTTCTTGTCTTTGATGGAGATGGAGAGAGCGGCAAATACCTCGCTAAAGTCGCGGATTTTGGTTATTCAGGCGTTTTGCGGAACCCGACGGCGAAGATTGTCATACGCGGAACGGAGCTATGGGCAGCACCAGAGTATGCGCAAGCCATGACTGTTGATTTTGAAACGGCTCGCCGGATGGATATCTTCTCGCTTGGATGGTTATGTTTGTGGCTGCTATTCTATAACAGACCAGAGACTGGAGGAGGGAGAGGACAAAATACGTCCGACTTCTTGGCTCATCGTCAAACCAAGAAAAGCTTGGTCCGTGTCGCCCTGGACCATATCAAAACGTCTCGGGGGATGGACGAGGAATTGCAAAGGGATCTAGCTTCTTTTTTTGAGCAGAGTCTCCAGCTTGATCCTGCCGAAAGGACTGTGGGCTGTCGGACTCTGCATGGATTGATAACTCGAAAAGGGTGCGTGCCTTTGAAGGAATTTGGAAACAGCATACTGACAACCCGGCAGGACAGACGATGTTCCGATCCCGCCACCGGAAATTCACGACCTGGAAATCAATGAACCTACCTTCAAGGTAATCTAATGACTCTCCCTTGGCAATGAGCTGATTAATTGATGGAAAGCATTCCTAAGATTGGTAAATCATTGCCACAATTGCTACTGGCCGATTACAGAATCCATCAATATATCACCAAGTGCCTCAAAGACGTCGTTGACTCGGCAGACTGGACGCATCATGCAGACAGCACTCTTACTGCTTACGCCGTCGAGCTGGCATTGTGTTACAAAATCGGATTTGGCACAGACAGAGACGAGGCAGCGCTAGAAAATCTGGCAAGGCGAGCACGAGTCGGAGATAAAGTGCTGGAAGACGCGCTTGCAGAAATCAAGGCGTCTTCGGATGGACCACATTTCAACAATCGTGCGTATCGAGGCATGATCGAGAACGGACTGGATTTTCGCGTGGATCACGATCAGAATTACCTGTCGGAAGGCGTTCTGGACAGTGCAATTGAGCGTTATTGCAAGGACGTGGCGAATATGTCGGCCGTGTTCGGGCCAACTCACCGCCTTACATTGATTGTATCAGTCGTATTATGCTATGCATTGAGAACAGCAGGACAGTGGGAAAAAGCCATCTTACAACGAATCGAGCTGACCTCGTTCATCGGCAAGATCAAAGGCGAGCGTGATCGAGACACCTTGGCCAGCAAGTCGCAACTCGCCGCCATATACCTCGACCTTGACGAACTGGACCAGGCCGAGAATCTTCTCCTGCAGGTGAGGGATGGTCTGATGGATTTAGCGTCAGGCAAAGATAATGAGGTACAAGAAAATTCACAAGCATTGGCAGAGGTATTTCGCCGAAAAGGTAAATGGCAAGACGCTCAAGACCTTCTTCTCCCTGCACTGGAAGAGAGAGAGCGGTCACTGGGACTAAATCACCCAGATACATTGAGACTAGTCTCTAAGCTCGCGGCCTTATACCTGTCGCAGAATGAATTCGACTCGGCCCAAAAATTGTTGGAAAGACTTGTTGAACATGAGAAATGGCGTCTGGGAAGCAGTCACAGTAGAACGCTTACAAGCATGTCCCAGCTGGCCACAGTGTATTATCACCAGGAGAAGCTAGAAGAAGCGGAGAAGCTGTACAAGCATGTGGAAATCAAGAGGACCGAGCTCCGTGGTGAAGAGCACAAAGAAACTCTCATTGTCCGTTCGAATCTGGCCAGCTTGTATAAAAAGCTCAACAAGTATGACGAGGCAGAGCAACTCGAAGAGCACATTTTAAAGACCAAGGTCAGAAAGTTTGGTAAGGACAATGCGTCGACTCTAACCACAAGAGGCAACCTGGCTCTCACATACGCCTTTCAAAAAAGGTGGGAGGAGGCTCGTTCACTGGGGTCTGAGGTGGTTGAGGCGAAGCGCCGGGTACTTGGTCCAGACCATCCAAGTACCCTGCGGAGTATATGTAACTTGGCAGAAGCTCACGTGGAATTGAAAGAGACAGGAGAAGCAAGAGCACTTTTGCTACAAGGACTTCAAGATGCTCTTGATGCTGGCAGGGCTGGAGAATTCGAGATGGAGCTGCTAGAGGCAGCTCTGGCGGACCTTGCTCCAGCGGTTGCGCAATAGAGCTTGGGGATCTTCTGTGAGGATTATACCTTGCCTTCGACTGAATATAATAAGGACAGCACCCGAGCTGCACCAGTCGAGAGCATCAAAGTCTGCGGAGATATGACTTGATCCTAAATATTTAGATTTCACTACGTTATCATGTCCAACCAGGTTGATTGCTGTTACATGCTTGTCCACACCACAGATTTTATCATGCGTCACACGCTTATCGTCGTCGTGTCTTCATTTAGATCACCTATACCTTTCACCGACTGAACTCATTATCCCGAGTGATAGTGAAACGAGATGTTACGTGTGGCCTCTGGAGAACTCAATCTTGATGTCGAGATTGAAACCTGACTAACCTCCTACTGATGTCCTGCTCTCATACAGCATAATTTTATCTCAGGTATTTGCGTCGTCACATATGAAATGTATCACGCTCTACACAGAGCGAGTTCTCCGACAACAAGCTCGCTAAATCGAAGACATTCTGCAGATGGTATTCCTTTCTCTTGCCCTTCAAACTCTGGCTGCCACCGCAGACAGTTCCCAACCACTCTCTCATAGATGGAGCCCATCATCTGGTCAAGTTTGGGTACAGCCACATTCAATAGCCACGCCCGGAGCTCCTCTGGCGATTTTCCCAAGTCCCCAACGATGTTGTCCAAAGTTCTCCAGTGGCCCACCTCCAAGAGCACTAAGCCAAGGCTATAATAATCGAAGTGGTGTTTATAGCGTTGGTTGTGAAGGTATTCGGGAGAGAGATAGCGTCTGAGACGCTCATCATCGGTCGGTCCTTCAGTAAACACGCCCTTGCCGTCTTCGCGGCTGTTCAGGTACCCGAGGAAGTAAGGCTCGGTCATGTGCCGTTTCCATGATGCGTCTGATGGTTTGAAGAATATGATATTGAGGGCAGAAACTGCTTTTTGTACCCAGCCAACTTTGTGAAATTCCAGGACTGATGAGGCCAAGCTACATGCCAGCTGGAAGCGATGTCCAAGGGATGGACGCTTTGAACCCCTCTTCTCAACTGCCTTCTCAAGAATGGCGTGAAGGGTATTCACAGTCGACTTTCCCGTCTCATGAGCGATAGGACATTTGTAAACTAGGCCCAGAGAATAGCTCGATGGATCGTGGTAGTAGCCCAAGCAAGGAAGAACGCGGAGATACTGGGCAGCATTGAGCAAACTGACTACCGCTTCAAGTCTTGCGAATAGCTGCGACGCGATTTCTGCGATCGAGTAGTGATCATCATAGTTCTTCAGCTCAATGATGACGCTCTGCTTTATTGGATTGCCTTTGGCCTGTTTCACCCAGCCCAGGTAATTTTGCTCCAGCCACCCCTTCTTTTCGATGTCATCAAAATCCAGTCGGTTAATACAGGAATTAGAGTTTTGCTTGTGCATATCGACCAACAGATTAAGACGTTTCACAGCTGCGAGTTGTGAGATGCGACCAACAGCTTGGATTGAATTCCGAGCCAGAGCTTCAGAAAGCTCAAAAAGGTGGGCAGTATCTTCCGACTGAAGCATCAGACATTCAAAGCGGGTTTTGCCAGATTCAACCCACTCCTCTGGTAGTGCGTCGTAAAGGACGTCGTTGATCTTGCGCAGAAGCAAGTATGTTTGGCTTTGTCGCGGCTTTGGTTCGATGATTATGACATTCAGAGTCTGCCTCAATTCCTTTAATGACTCCATAACATTCGCGAAGGCCTCGTGGGTTTTGGCAGACAAGAACGAAGATGCACTCGCATGGTTGGTATCTCGAACCTCCATATGCCAGCTTCGAAATCTTTGCATTTCAACGAGTGCTGGTATCAAGCTCTTCTCTTCGCAAAGTTGACCATACATATCTGTAATCTGCTCTGACAAGGTTTCAATGCAAAATCGCCGTAAGTATGCGTCGACTACACTGATTCTCGGTCGCTCCTCCGGGTTCAACACTAGTAACTTCTCAACAACTGACAAGACGGAACGAGCATGTTCAGTCCCACTGCTTTGGAAGGCTTTTAGGTGATCCCATACTCCTGGATTCAAGGTATCGCGGCCTTGATGGAAGCGATAATATACGCAACCATCCCTTTTGAATTCCCGCGACGATCTGAACATCTCTATTCCCGATGTCCCGGCCAACATGAAGACTAACAGTTCGGATAGGATGCATCCTAAAGACCATATATCACTCGACCGATGGATGACGTGTTTTTTGAAAAGTCCGTCCAAGTCCTCGCACTCTGGGGCCAGGTAGTCTCCACGGCCAGCTCTGAAGTATGACGCAGACCCTTCCTCGGGCTGCTTGAACCTGGAAAGGCCGAAGTCTGCTAAAAGCATGGTCTTCCCATTCAACAGGATATTTGATGGTTTGAGATCCCGATGGCAACCGATCACCTCAACGCCGTCTGCAAAGCCATCATGGACAGCACGAACAGCCGAAACGATACCGCTAAATGCAAGGAAGGTTTCCTCAAAAGCTTCAAAGGGCGAGGGCCGCCGCCCCAAAAACATGTCAGCGAGGGACCCTCCTATTGCTAAAGGGAAGATAAAATTGTATCTATCGCGATAGGTGAAGCAGGCCAGGAGGTCAACCAGGTACGGGTGCTTCATGAGCCTCAGTGTCGATAGGTTGCGAAGCTCTAGCTCGTAGTCATGCTGAGTGGCTACGTCCGCCTTTAACTCTTTGCGGATGAACTGTCAGACGATATTAGAAACATCAGAGTCTCACAGATCCATGTAAGAAACCCACCCAATGACGGCTAGAGTGAGCAAACGTATGGTGACTTGGATCAATCAAGATCCGATGTACTTCTCCAAATCCGCCTTCTCCTTCCGACTTTGAATCTATGAAGGGCATTACTGTCTTCTTCTCGAGCACCCTAGGAAGCGAGCTTCGACTGAATACTGGGGCCGTAAATGCCCACTGCTGTTTGTAGAATTGAGCGGCTGCAACTTCATCGTCCAGATGTGAGAGCACTTTTTCCAAGGGAAGAGGTAATTTCTGATCAAGCGTACTGGGCTGCAATTGATCATCCTCAATGAAGTATAGGATCCGCTCCAGCCTTCCAATCAGCAAGAGTATTGTAAACACCTTGACTGCGCCGGGAAGAATCGATTGACTCAATTCATTGACCTGGCTCCTTTCAAGCTCTGTCTCTAGCAGAATATTTTTGATGGTTTCCTGGCTCAGCACACCTGAGAGCATACCCGCAGGTAAGTAAGTCTCCCCAATCAAGTTCTTTCGTATATGCTCTTTGAAGGTCTCTTTGAATCTCTCCGAGTATGAGGGTCTTTCTCCCGAGGAAGGTGGGTCGGTGTGGAGTATGTCTCCGCTGGAGGTCATGTTTGCATGATGGATTCAATTTCTTGCTACAGAGATATTAGTTCCAGAGATCATGGAGAACGAGGGAAATGACTACCTCTGTCAACTTCCGCGGCACCGAAATCACATAATCGTCAGCGTTATCCTGGCCTTCGGATCAGAGAGAACCAAGAAGAACGAATAGCGCTGAAAGACCGGGACGGCTTCATACCTGTATCTCGTAATTCCCCCTACCAAAGAGCGTTCTGAGCAATTGCACGAGATCGCGTTTCTCAATGTAGCGGTTGCGTAGTCGCTGAGTGATCATTGGAGTCACGGCCGAAAGGTCCCTCGGCGGATTCAGATCAATCTTGGATCAAGGTGTCCGCAGCAAGGCGGATTTTATTCAAGCTGGCAGTTATTGACTTCGATCATCAGCTGCTTCCGAATCAATTATCTGCATTCATGGTGAGGTCTCTCATCCTCGACATACAGTAGCTGCGGGGCTACCCCTCCGGTGAGTCAGCCTGACTGATCCCACTGCGGTCCTGTGGCGCACAAGATCTGGCACGCCTCAGCCTGATCACTCACTTCGAGGCTCTCTCATTGCAATGAGGCACTTTTAGAATAAATCCAAGTTTACACAAGACTACTAAGCAATTTGATTTAGCCAGCAATGGCTTCCACCCTGATACAATATCCGTTGGATACGGACTGCTTCATGCCATCCTACCAAACCCGTGCGAGCTGCAGGATACAACTCACACGCATGTCAAGTCGACTATTTCTCACAGGGCCACCTGTACTAGAAATTCTCTCTCTCCCAAACGACAAGAGTGAGTAACCGGTACATACCTTGGCAATCCTAACCTATGCTGGGTAGACTTTCGTCTCGATACGGTTGACACAGTCGAAAAGCTTTTGGACCGGATTTCTGTGAGTCCACCTCCCCCCTTGCACCAATCCAGCCTGTCTACTACCGCTGACTTACCACCCCATGCTTACAGTCTCAAGATACGCATAAATTCTAGTATGTTAAGCGGGCGTCATACTTGCAGACTAGTATTTAATCCGTGCATAGTCTGCTCTCTCAACAACATTCTTGGGGCCGCTTCTTCATTTCACAGGAGGACACAGAGAGGATTCTGTGTGCTCACAAAGTGTTTACCCCCTTTTTGAATGTCATCGAGGGGTTTGGATTTAGAGTGTGTGATCCCGAGCACATTGGTTCGACTTTCCATCACAATTACGTCGCAGATTCAGGTGCAATGCCACCGCGCGGGTTTCATGGTCGAGAGCTCCGACAAGATGTTTGTTGAAACATTTACTGACTATGACGATATAGAACTTTGTTACAGGGTCTCTTTCTTCGAAGAGAATCATCGCAACCGTGGGGATTCCTGGTCCCTACGACAAACAGGAGTCTATCAGAGATTCTCCGGTTCCCCTGGTCAGTCGGCAGGGATCATTTTACAACCGTCTCAAAGGATTCGGCCATGGATAGAGGAGTATCTGAGAAGTGCGAAATTCCGGTCTGACTACCCGATGATGCTGCACGTCTTAATGTTGGCTGCTCTGGCGGCAACATGGACAAGCTATGTGCAGCACCTCTCAACTCAACTCAGAGAACTGGTGGGTCAACCTTGTGAGAACAGCAAATATGTCATTGACCTAGCTTCTGACAGGACGAGAAAGTTAGCTTTTCTAGTGAGCCAAAATGTCGTCGATACGACTATGAAGTTTGCTTTGCGGACTGTCAGACGCTTCATCTCTTCCGGTCCAAACTTTTGCGAGCGTCACTGGTCATAGATGACAACCTGCAATTAGCAAGCAACTTTGCGAGTCTTACTAGCGAGTGTGGGTCTGGGATGACCGACACACAGGAGAGAGAACTCAGCAACAACATCCGCGCTTACACGAGCGAAATGGCAATCCACAAGCGCAACATCGCTTTCCTCTTGGACGAGTCGACAAACACCGCATCATTAGTGAGTCTATATCTCCGTCATATTCTTCGCCTGTGATTTTCCAACTCTTGCCGTCCAAGTCTGACTGAATACCAGCTTTCGAAACTTCTCGAAGCACGGATGTCGACATCGCTCCGTGTCATCAACCAAACAATGGAGTCCAATCTCTCCCTGATCCGGAACACCTCTACCAACACTTTGCAGGAAAACTTAACGATAGCAACTATTGCAAAACAAGGCACCAAAGGCTCTCGAAAAATCCATGCACTCACACTCATCGCCACTTTGTACCTCCCTGCCACACTAGTTGCAACAGTGTTTAGTTCGAATTTGATCCAGTGGAAGGACGAGGGCGATGATCCTACCACGGGCAGCCATTTTAAAGCGCATTATACCGTCGTCTCGGAATTTTGGATATACGTCGTGAGTACTCTAGTGCTAATGGTTACGACGCTCGTGATAGCAAGAGTCCTTGAGAGGGTGGACTGAGAGGAATTTGCTTGCTTTTTAACCTCTTCGTAGGGTATCTCGGAGAAATTTTGTATTGTCATGAATAAATAATGATGGACCGTAGAGAATCCCATTTTAGTACCCATGTTGCCGTAATTGGCATCCGATCATATAGGGCATCCAAACGCAATTAGGAAACCGGCCAGAGCGCGTTGATTTTGAAGGAAGCAGTCGACAACGATGTCGACGACTCTGATCTCGATGACACAAATGGTACGCAGTCGGCATTGGAAGAAGTATTGATGATGAAGATGAGTGAACCCAGCGGCGCCATTAGGAGCCTGGTGAATAGTGTCAGGGCTAGGGGAGTCCCCCAGGTAACGTTTTGCAGCAATACACCCATGAATCAACACAGCACCTACCGTTTTCAGCCGACTTATTGAGACTACAGGAGAGCAAGCTCGGAGAGGGTTGTCCTAACACGCGGAGCTCGGCGGACAACCTCGCGATTCGGTAGAGCGAGGCCGGATTGGCATGCTGTAGCGGTCGGATAGCAAGGGTGTTGGTCTTATTCAGCTGGTACTGGTCGAGAACCACGGTCACCAGTTTTCTCTGTCGTGACTGGTTGCACACCACCATGTCCGGTGTGATATGCTTGATGGTTTCGACGCTGGGTGAATAACCGTGGTCCTGGGCTGCGTCACGCCTGACCTTTTACGTCGGTGGCATTACCTTTGACCGCCACGTCACACACTCGACCACCGGTGACCGACTGTCGTTTCATTCCTCAAAGGCCATACGGATACAGTGCTTTACACTCAGATCTTTTAAACCCTGCTTCTGTGGTCTATCCATAGCGATATGTCACCATGGGCAAACTAGACCTGAATCGGCGAGAAATGCACAAGGCAAGAAAGGAAGCTGGGAACTTTCTTGGTAGTGAGCCTCTAGCTGGAATGATCTGGGCTGCGACGAGCAAGAGCGACAAGTTGACAATTACATTCGACACCTTCGGCAAAACGAAAACAATATCATCGCAGATAAGCTGGAAAGAGACAGAGAGGCCATATTCGAGCTTCTTCGAATGCGAATCAAGACCATTCGCAGCAAGTCTATAACCGTGTATGAGGCACTCAGACACAAGAATCTGATTTGAAACTCGGTATTAGACAAAGCGAAGAGGAGAATAAATCATCCTAATTAGTGAAGACTTATACGTCTCATCATGTCTTCTGTACTACGTTGTTAGGTTGCTCCGCTTTGCTTTAATGGATCCCCAATTATCGCAGGCCAGTAGTACCTCAAGGGCAAAATCAGGCTAAGTAAAGCTTGAGATGCGTTGAGGGAAGATTCAGACTAGCCTATGTTGTTATCATTCTGAGAGACCCGTCTCCCATGGCAAAGTAGAAATTTAGCGATGCATAGTGCTGCAAGTAGATTAGCAATATTTGATCGAATTATCTTCGTTATGTCGTTCTACAGATGACTACATTTTGCGACATTGTCCACGGTCTCGGAGAACCACATTTCCCCAATCGGGCTCGACGATCAAGTCGGCGGACAAGCCTATTTCTGTTTTGTGCTAGTCGCCCAGACAGCAAGATTCAAGGGACTGCAGAGCATCCAGCATCTTCAAATACAAACATGTCGCTCAAATCGACTCCGGGAGTGAACTGGAAGAGATCAAAATCATACCATGTCGGGGCTGAGAGTGGGTCCATTCCTCCTGTGTTGCTATACTCTGCAGCAGCATTTAAGGTTGTGCCCGGGACGGCCGCTAATGCGTCAGTCCTAGCCTGGTTGCCCTCAAAAGCCGCTGCCTCCGTGCTCTCTGGGCGATTGCTATTCCGAATACTCATCAGGCAGTCGTACAACAAACTCGCGCCCATTCGCGACTTCACGCGAAGTCTCAGGTCACGCTGCCGCATATTTGGACTTCTTTCTGCTGCGCTCCAGAACCGTCGCAGCAAGTCCGAGGCGCGTGCTGCTTGGTCCTTCGGCTTCTGGTGGCTCGACAGCTGAGACAAAGAGAACGCCGCTGCGTTTGAGAGGATGCGGCCTCTCTCGTAATCAAGACCTATACTGGCTGTTGAATGGAGAACTCTGATGATTACCAAGCCGGCGCTGAATATGTGTCGAGCAAGGATCGAAGGTGCGTACTGCAGGTGTTGTGGGCCATCGACTTCCGACAAAACAGTGTTGATGAGCTCCGTAGCAGTATTGTACGCACGGAGAATGCCAGAATTTTGAACGTCACTTCCGGTGTTGTACAGCATAAACAGACACTGAAGTCTCAGCTGAGAGACCTGCAGATGCAATCGATTCGCGAACGACATGTAATTCCAAAACTGCTGCGAAATGGCAAGAAAGCGTTGCTCTGCCTTGTGTATGAGATCCCACCCGACCGCTTCGCCAGGATTGCCGTACGGTTCTTCTGCAGCTTCTTGCCAAGATCTCAGTGCCTCGTTTGTGACCTTCTGTATGATGAGACTGTGGTGGAGCTCAAGTGGTATGGCTTCTGCGTTTAAACAAGCTTTCCGGATACTAACATCGCTAAAGCATGGGTTGGGCCCGGTTCCGATGTCCGTCGACAGACTTGGGAGGTCAGCACGTGGTGACTAGAATTGGTCTGCAACTCACCTTTGACACAGTGCCACGGACGCTAGCCAGGTACGACTTCGTTCAGCTATATCTAGGCTTGTGAAATTTGTCGACTGCTTCGAGTATTCACCTTCACATCCAGGTCGGTTCATACCCATCATCTCGGCCGAGGTCATGGCGAGCCGGGCAAGGACCAACGACTTGTCTGTCCACAAGTGCATATCTGGCGGCGTCCAGGACGCAAGCAAGAGCAAGGCCTGCACATTCGGTAGGCTGAAGAGGCCTCCCCCAATGACTGTCCAAAGCAGTCTGGTAAGTTCTGGCGTCAGACTACTCAGTAAGTCGTCGCCAATTCGCCTGCTTGATACTGCAATTATTGCCCAGAAGAGGAGTGGCGAATTGTCGTGGCATTTGGGGCTGGTTCGACTGGCATCAAATATGGGAAGGAAAGCATGGCACGTCTCGAAGAAGCTGAGGCTCACGTCAGTCAGCACCCCTCACGCACTCTAGAACAGCACACTTACGTGGCGAAGAGAGTTTGCGCTCTCTCCAAGGTGATTGTTACATTTCCGAGAGTATACTCGACCCCTTGGCCAACTGACTGAAGGGAGGAAGGTCGAAAGGGGGGCGTGTCAGAGCGGTTCTCATTGTGAGGAGTGTGACCCGAACCCCCTTCCTCTCCAAGCCCGTCCAGGGTGGACTGAGATGTGTCTAGATGCGGTCGTGAAGGCGTGCTACGAGCAGGAAGATGTCGGTCAATCACCCCTTGCAAGCTTGAAAGTCGCTGTTGGAGTTCTTCTACTTGATCCTGCTTATTGGTGCGCTTATAAGACGGCTCAATCGAGCATGTAAGGCCCAGTCTTTGGCAGCGTGCACACGGAATCCTGTTCAGTGCACATCGTATCTTGGCTTGCCGGCAATTCCGACATGCCACTCGCGTTCTCCTGCCACGGGAAGGATCTTCAGGCGGCATTACCCTCACGTGGTGATTATGAGAATGACCGGTCAGCCTTGGTTTCAAGAGTTCCTAGCATGGAAAAGACCGGCAGATACCAAGCGAGCAGCAGCATGCCAACTGAAGATTAGTGCGAGCTGGAGGCCCGCGGTCTGGAGTTGACTGAATGATTACTTCGCCTGATAGAGGTCGGTTCTAGGTCGGAATAAGCACTTATAGCCGAAGCCGAAACCGGGCCGGTATGGGCGTAGTACAGTCACGTGACTCGAGTTAGCGCCAAGAACCCCAGACATTCAATCCCGGACTTTACACTTCTGAACACTCTTGAGCATGCTTGCAAGATACGACGCCACGGACGCAAAGGTCTCCACACTGCTGTCTATCTCTGACCTACATTTGCACGAACCTTAACCAAGCTATCCCCGCAATCTGGACGCTGTTATCTTCCACTCGATTGCTCGCTGCCTCCAGAAGAATCACCCCGAGCTCCAGTCTCGCGCACTGAGAGTGCTGGGCATAGAGCGGCATTACCACAGCCCACAACGATAACGTCGAGGGTCGAAGGAGAGAGTGCCAGCGCAGTATTTGTCATGTCTAGTCACAGAAAATCCGCTAGCTGATTAACCCGGATATTGGACTCTGTGCAGGCCGAGAACGAGAGAACATAGGTATACTATAGCACTTCCCCCAGTCAAGTTAAATGACATCCATACAATCCGCTGGCTGTGCGCATTTTCGCCTCGATTCTTACATGAGCTGTGAATGGACTGGGGCTGCGGAGGCTCTTTGCCTAAGCCCCCTGTTGGGGTCCGTCTTCGGTATTTCTTACAGCTCCGGACGAGTTTCCTTCCAGGCTGTGGTCGGCACCTTGGTGACGACCTTGCAGTATTCCCGGTCCGTCAACGACTGAGAAGAGATATCGTTGAAATACCTGCCGTGAGCGGCGCGTATTTGACAAAATAAATGCTAGCTGCTCTTGCAGCTCATTGGATAAACCATGTGAGAGCCAAGCCCTCCGTGGAGTTAGCAAGCGAAGCATGTCAATCGAAGGGGGTCAGCTCCGTCTTGACGGGCCGCGTACGGCTTCTCGAAGACCCATCGCAATATCCAGTTCTTGATTACCCCCGCAGGCTGGGGTTTACGGGGCTCCGCTCCTCCTTGGTCTGTGTCTGGGTCACTCGAGTATGGCTCCTCACAATAAAACCTCTCTTCCTCCTCCTATGGGTGTCGAGAGCAGCAAGCTTCATTCGAAATTTCACAGACATCCTCAAAATCTGCACCATCATGTCTTCAGAGGATAAAAGCTCCCCGACGGTTGTCGAACAAGCCGAACACATAGGGGCCTTTTTGCTAGACACCCCAGAAGAAGTCGCTGCGCAGAAATCCCTAGTGAGGAAGCTCGACTTCATCATTCTGCCACTCCTGTCTCTCTCTTACTTGATGGCATACATTGTGAGTCAACGTTACGTTGTGCATGTTGTGCTGTTGAACGAAACAAATACTGAATCGACTTCAGGATCGAAACAACATCGGATACGCAAGACTTATGGGCTTGCAGGATGGTCTCAAGCTTTCGGGTTCTCAGTTCTACAACGCGGTGATGGTCTTTTGTAAGAGCATGCTGAACCCTTGATGTTATCACAGCAGGATGCTTACCTGGACCCAGATGCCGGCTACATCGGTCTAATCTTCCCCGCGAGCTTTCTCTTGAGAAAGCTGGGCCCGAAGGTTCAGCTCGGGTTTGCTGTGATGACCTTCGGTGTCTTTGTCACTTGCTATTGTGCGGCTCGCGGTTACGCAGACCTGATTGGGCTTCGGTTTGCTGTTGGTGGTGCAGAAGCCTTGCTGCAGTCAGCGCCCTTGTACATGGTCATCTGGTACGGTCGGCACGAACTGGGCAAAAGAATCGGTAGGGCCAGGCTGCAAAAGTAAAACGGAATTGGAGCCTGCTGCTGACAAGTCATAGCGTTCTTCTACTCGGCGACCACAATCTCGGGCGTCTTCAGCGGCCTTATAGCATACGGTATACAGACGACCATGGAAGGCACCGGGGGAAGAGCCTCGTGGCAATGGCTCTTTCTTATCGAGGGGGTCATAGCCATTACATTTGGCTGTCTCAATGCCATTGCTCTTCCCAGTCTCCCCGAAAAGATCAAGATTTCACGCATCTTCACCCCCACAGAGCTCCTTGTTGCACGCAAAAGAAGCAGCGAGCATAACGTCAAGAACCCCAAGTTTCGCGCCGACCAAGTCTTGGCCAGTCTAAAGGACCCAAAGACATGGCTCCTCGCTCTTCTTACAGGCTGTAACTCGGCGATTCTAGCCTCCACTGGCGCCTTCCTGCCGACCATCGTCAAAGAATTCAGATTCAGCGCAGTACGAGCCCAACTCTTTACGGTGATCCCATATTCAGTGTCTTTTATCTCGATGATCACCATTGGATACTTCTCTGACCGCATGAGGAGAAAGTCTTACTTTATCATAGGATCTCTCACGTCCTGTTTGACGGGCCTCATCATTCTCGTCAGCACCACCAGCAAAGCAGCAGGAATGTTTGCGACTAGTCTCCTTGTCGGGGGTGCGTACCCGGCGTCTGTGCTGCAGATGGCCTGGATCCAGATTAACTTCTGCGGCAACACCAAGCGCGCTACGTCTTGGGGCGTTGCCATGGTCTTCGGTCAAGGCTTGAGCATGTCTGGTGCTCAGATATACAAGGACCCGCCTCGCTTCTTCATGGGACACGGCGTGTTGATTGGCTATGTGGCCATGGGGTTGGTCTGTACAATCCTGGCCAGGGTTCTGATGGTTCGTGATAATCGTAAAAGGGATGAAATCCTTCAGGACTATCAAACAAGAGGCGAACGACATCCGGACCTTGACAAAGATTTCGAGGAAACTTGCGATAAGCACATCAGCTTCAGATACATTCTTTAAGTGGGAAGAGAATGACAAGTTCACTTTCACAATCACAATTGGCCGGAGCCTCTTTTGCGAAAGCCAAACGTGCCACCAGGTCGATAAGTTATCGTAGTAGTGGACTCTGCGCAAATCTTGGTTGTTCTTGCGACGAGAGCCATCATGCTCTGATCCTTGTCCGTGGTGATCTTGCTATCCTCTGCCACGAGTCACGCTTTATTTCGTACCTGCTCGGTCCTGAGCAATAACGTTCGACGTACCCAAACAACCCCATGGCCACCATTCTGCAACATGGTATGGAAGCACAGAACCTCTACAAATGATTTTCTGACCCTTCTGCTAGTTTCGTTGCAAGACTGGACGGCAGTTGCAAGTCCTGGCTTCTTTATCAATAATGTCGGCTACTTGTGCCAGGCTGCCGCAGCCAGTCACTGACCCATTAAGTAGATGCAAGATCGGTCCAACAACTGTAACATGTATGGTCGTCGCTGGAGTCGATGCATCCAGTCCTACTCGCACCAAAATAGCTTTCTGACTAAGGAGGCGCGTTATGGGCTAGGACACGGGTTCGAAAGTCGACTGGCGCGCTTTGGTGTGCCGAAGCTCCTGGCGAAGAGATGCTGTACCGAATCGGATGGCTATTTCGGGTCGAAAACTGTCGACGATTCAGCAGGGAAATTGCAAAGCAGCTGTGAGTATCAATTGGTCTCATCTTCAGAATCCTCCTGTTGCGCACGCTCTCGCAGGCCCGTGGTTCCGTTGTGAACCTGGCAGCAGGCGCCGTCAGCCAATGGTAAAACTTTGACGCTGTTGAGGGCAATATTCTAGTTAGCGCAGAAGCGAATTACGGAGCTAGAGAAGCTTATATAAGTAAGGAAGAAAAAGAAGATGACGAGCAAGAAGTATATCAAGAATGATAAGCTACTTGGTGCGAGTGACGTGCGTCAAAAGCACGTGGATGATTCTAGCGAGGAGGACGAGGAAACCGTTGTCATTCGCGTTGTGGGTGCTCAGCGACGTCGCGGGCGGTGTGGTACGATAGGGCATAACTCCAGGACGTGTCAAGCATTAAATGCAACAGCTAAATGGCGAATTGGAGGCGATTTAACGTCGTTGTAGCTGAGAGAGAGCAAGTAGGAAGAGGAGTGGTGGTGGATTAGTGTATCACCGGCTTCTGTGTACCACTAGCTTGTGGATTACGTTAAAAATAAAACCTAATATCTATAACTATACCTCTATATTTATACATTGCAATATTTTCATTTCGGTATGTCATCAGCTATTAAGCGATCAAAATCCATCAACTCCTTCATCCCACAAGCATCGAACATCGTGTGAGGGGTCCACTGCCCGCCGTATTCCTCGCAGTCGCCTGTCTCCTTTAGCGTTTTCAAGGCTTGAGATACGGCTACAAAGGTCGGCATCAGACACACGGCGGCATACACAATAATGTTGACCCCTATCGCCTTGGCTTCCTCTATTGTCACCTTGTACGCACTTGACCCTTGTACCATGCCGTACATGATTGGTGCCCTTCCCTTAAACCTGGAACAAACTGCGACCAGCTCTTCGCGCTTGGTGATTGCTTCGAGAAAGGCGACATCGGCGCCCGCATCAATCGCCGCATCCAATCTGCTCAGAGATTCCCCCAAGCCCAGCGACTGTAGAGCATCCGTGCGGGCGATAATGACAATGTCGGATCCCAGTCGTTTTCTTGTTTCGACGGCGGCGCGTATCCGAGTCAGGTACTCCTCCTTTGACACCAGCTGTTTGCCCGCAAGGTGCCCGCATTTCTTGTTCACGACTTGATCCTCGAGATGGAGTGCTGCAATGCCGGCAGATATATATGAGGCGGTTGTCCTTGCAACGCTGAGCGCGCTACCGTACCCGGTGTCCGCATCCGCTATGACGGGCACGGAGCGGTCGATGCTTGCGATCATCTCAGCGTTCTGTCTCATCTCGGTCATCGTGGCAAGGCCGAGATCAGCAGTGCCAAGGGCAGACATGCTAGTCCCTGCACCAGTCATGTAGAGAGTTTTGAAGCCGGCGTTCAGGGCAAGCCGCGCAGTGATGCCATCGTAGACGCCAGGACCAACAATAATTTGGGAAGGATCATTCAAAAGGGCCCGGAGGCGCGTGGATGCTTGGACTGACATTATTCTGGTGACTTGAATGGATAGAAGTGATGGGATTTGGGAGGTTCCTGTGTGTCTTATCTCTTGGAGTCATGAACAAGTCCTAGATGTCCTCTGGCTGTTATAGTCTTGTCTTAGTCCCACAGGCTTGACCAGAAAAAATAATGGGAACGAGGAAACGGATGACCAGTAGAGTGGGCCAGATTCTCGACCCTTGCCTCAGCGATGCCGCACGCGGCCCGACATGACCATTCTTCTGTGCCGGTCCGCTCCGGGCGGGCAAAGACTATCAAGCAGCCATCCGATACATCAGACGGACTTTCACAAGCCCGCTGACAGAGTATATGACATGATAATTATGTTGTTCACACGAGCTGAATGACAATAACTTACTGGATCTTCCCAAAGCAACATTAAAAGTTGGCTTGACTCGCTATTCCGGGTTTGAAAGGACATTTTCATAGACATGTCGACAACTACTGCAGAAGCGAACATCATTCCTGTTGCGTTGCCAGATAGGCCTTTGACGGCAGCGGAATCCAGGTGCATTGAACTGGTAAATGGATTTTCTGCAGACATTCAACTGCAGGCGCATCGAGACGGGCACGCACCACAGTCGGGGGGTCTTGTCGCCTTCTTGCAGAAACTAGCATTGACTCTGCAAGAATCGGGTATTGTGCACCTCTCTGAAGCGCTCTATGAGACCGTCAACAGATGTACCACTGATGAAGACTTTGGCGGTTATGGGCTCGACACCGAAACCCAGCTTACACCTTCGCAAGAAGACGATGTTGTGTTCTTATGCTCGGCGTTCATCGAGGCAGTGAAGAGTGCAAAACGAGTTCAATCTAAGCCTCAGCCACTGCGACACAGACCGAACGACAGGCGCCCAATGACCATGGCAGAGAAAGTTTTCGCTGCGCATGAAGTCTCCCAGCGTGGGTATGTGAAGCCCGGAGACGTCATTCAGGTCGATGTTGACTGGATTTTGGCGTCAGAACTGTCATGGCAGGTGAGTACGAGATGAGCTCCTGATTGTCCTAGTGTCTCACCATCACAGGGCATAGAGACCGTTTACTCTTCTGTAGGACGACCAGGCATTTTCCGCAATGACCGCTTCTGGCTTGCCGGCGATCACCGTGTAGAGCCAGAACTATATGATCAACCAAAAGTCAAAAAGTTGATGGAGTTGAGTGTGCGAGCTCAAAAGGACTTCAAAATGACCGACTTCCAAGGATTTAACGTACGTATCAGACTGGCCGTCCACATGGAAGTAGCAACTGATCGAGTAGTACACCATTCTTCATACCGAGTTTGTCCGGGAAAGGGCACAGCCCGGCATGCTCTGCATAGGTGCCGATTCGCATTCGTGTTCAGCAGGCGCCGTCAGTTGTCTGTCTATCGGCATGGGTGCCACGGATGTTTGTATACCGTTGTTGACTGGGCAAACCTGGTTTACCGTGCCCAAGACGGTGAATATTCGCTTCACTGGCAAGCCTCCTCGGGGGATTGGTGGGAAGGACACGATTCTCTATATCTTGAAGGAGTTCAAGAGGAACACAATTGCAGCGGATCGAGTAGTCGAGTTTACCGGCCCTGGGATCAAGTATCTATCCTGCGACGCTCGTTTCGCTATTGCCAACATGTGCACGGTAAATTCTTCTGCTTCAGCCACAGGCCTGGCGCAAACTGATGGTTGCAGGAATTTGGAGCCATTACAGGCATTTTCGATTCTGACGAGCGGACAGTTGACTTCATCGAGCGGCGGCGCGTAAAGAAGCACCGAAGTAGTGCTGTCTACTATAAAGCTGACGAGGACGCCGAGTATGAAGCTTCTTACGAGATCGATCTCTCCAAAGTTGAGTCCTTAATTGCCGTCTATCCCGCACCCGATAATGTGGTTCCAATCAGCGAGAAGTCAGGTACTCACCTGGATGGCACCTTCATCGGAGCATGCACGACTGCCGAGGAGGACTTGATCATCGCTGCGTTTGTGTTAAAGGCCGGTCTAGACAGTGGTATGGTGCCGGTGGATTTAGGCAGGCGGGTCGTGGTACCGGGCTCTAAGCCCATCCGGCACAAGCTACAGAAGCTGGGACTTCTGGATATATACACGCGAGCCGGCTTTAAGGTCCGTGCCCCGGGCTGTAGTATGTGTGTTGGGCAGGGAATCGATCAGGCTGCACCGGGCGAGGTGTGGCTGACGTCTCAGAACCGAAACTTTAAGAACCGCATGGGTCCAGGTAAGCATTCTCTGGGCCAGTTGAAGAGACCGCTAACATTATAGGATCGATCGCAAATCTTAGTTCCGCCGCGACCGTGGCGGCATCGTCGTTCGGGATGGTGATCACCGATCCAAGACCCCTTGTAGATTCTATTGACATGAGTGAGCTAGAACGGTGCCTAGGATACTTACCTTTTCCAAGCGAGAAGGAGCATTCGAATGCGACCACCGTGTATTCTGAGCCCTATGGCGCATCGGATTTGATCAGTCCTTCATTGGACACCTCTAAGGCCGAGGAAGCTAAGCCTTCGTCACCTTCTGTCTTAGGAGAGTCTCCAACCACCGTCAATATCATTCAAGGGAAGCCTCTAATTTTGGGAGACTTTATTGACACCGATGCAGTATGTGTTAGTCATTCCAGTCTTGTGACGCCGCTAATATGGTGGCCAGATAATTCCCTCCGCCTTCATCGCCGGCAACACTACCGACGAGAGTCTCGGTGCGCACTGCATGGAGTATTTCATGCCAGACTTTCGGTCCCGCGTTCAGTCTGGACAGAACATCGTTGTTGCTGGCAATAGCTTTGGATGTGGTTCGTCCCGTGACGTTGCTGTCAACGCTCTGCTGGGTGCTGGTGTGAAGTGCGTGATCGCAAAGTCCTTTGCATTCATCTATGGCAGAAATCAGCCTAACATCGGGCTCATGGGTTTTGTTATTGCTGATGACAAGTTTCACCAGCTAGTGAAGATGCATGAGGAGGCCGACATCACGATTGATGTCGGCCGGAGTGTGGTATGCATCGCTGGAGAGGAATTTGCATTCCAGCTGAGCGAGATGGAAAAGTCGCTGATCGCAGCCGGAGGCCTGGCGGAGGCTTTCAAGAAGTTTGGCAAGGAGGTTTTCGACACTCTATGCCGGCGGAGAGTACCGACAAAAACGCCAGTAATAGATATTGAATTGGTGGGTAGTTAGTCGTATTCGTGGCAACTTGTTCTGAGGGCATGAACAGTTTACGATCTTTACTAGGATATGAATGAAGTGGGGTGATCATTGGGGAATTCTGGTTGTTGATTGATTTTGCTCCCAAGTGGTCCATAAATTCATAGGTACATATATTTTCGTGCGCCATGTGCTTTCGCAATCGACCATAGGTTGTGGAATACAGGGCTTCCCGTCCGCTCAGCCGTACTTAAGCCACAAGCCGATCAGTTAGTACTACCGTGGGTGACCAGGTGGGAATCCTGATTGTTGATTGTTTTTGCCCTTTTTATTTTTTGGCTCCATGATATTCTAGGTGAGACGAAATTTTTCTGGAGATGAGAAGGACAGGGCAGAATTTTATACAATCCCAAGCAGCTAGCGGAGACAGCGATAGTCATGGGGCCATCTGCGGCCTGGTGGTCGCAGTCGCCTCGTCATAAGATGCACATCCGCCATTGGTGCATCCACCAAGCCATTCGACGTGTTAGTAAGGACTTCGGAGCAGCTCCTGCCGAAACACAAATAAGTTGGACTGTGGGATCATCATGTGAACAGTTTGCATTGAGACTCGAGAGTAGTCAGGACTATCTAGCAACTGTTTCACCTCAGTGCGAGTGATACGACTCGAACCAAGTAGAAGAATTGATTTTTGCTTTTCAGATCAGGTTCGCATGATAACCAAGTCCCGGGCCATTCAGCTTCGGAGCCGAAGACCCGTTTCAACCATCTGCCGTATGTGCAGCAGCCCAACGACGATATCCTTGAACCTCGATACGAAATTTGATCGCTCGGGTTTAGTTGCGCGCACTTTTTAATCTTCCACCACGCTGCCTCGCATGGATCTATGCTTCACATTTGTTCGTAGCCATTCGACTCCAAATGAAGAGACCTTCTCCGAAGATGGAAACTTAGAAGACTGAAGGGTTCAAGGATTCTCGAGATGGGTTTCTCGGTGAATGATCGAACGTAGGTCATCGTGAGAACAAATCGAGTTCATCGCATGTCGATAAGATCATGTATGGCATGAAAGGGAGAGAGAAAGAACATGAATTCGTGCAGCCCGATCGATTCAGCATCTAAGCTGGGCAGGCAGATTGGAGATGGCCGGGTTGCTTGCCTAGAGACTCGTCAATTCCGAATCCCACAAACAACGAACCAACTTACACTTGTAGCAGAGGCGCTCGGAGCTGGGCTCAGATGGACAATCGCGAGACAAATGGCCTTGTTCACCACAGTTCTGGACCAAGTTAGTAAAGCTGACAAACGCTGGCAGGGTCGGAATAGCCTTACGTAGCATTTTTGAGTTCGACCCTGGGTGCAGTCACTGTTTCAATTAGTCGCAAAGATACTTAGATGACCGTTGGCCACGTACCGAGACATATGACCTATGCCACCGCATGACTTTGAGACGTCAGTATATTCATTGGTCCCGCAGGATGTTGCAAACTCACATAGCAGGTCTGGCCACCACCACCGCCGCCGCCGCGGCTGAAGCCACCATACCCGCCTTGTGGACCACCAGATGTGCAGTCGCTAATTATGTCAATATTTGAGGTATCCCGCTTCTTGAAAGACTCTCACCGAGCAATGTGACCCTGGCCACCGCAGCGATAGCATTCCCGACCACCACCGCCGCCGCCGCCGTAGGCATTCCCGCCGGCACTTCCCCAGCCAGCACCACCACCACCGGCGGCACCAGCTTCAGGGCAGTCCCTAGCAATGTGGTCGAGGCTGTTGCCTATCCATCATCGTCAGTTGTGTTCCATACAATTCTCAAAGTTCAAACCGACATTTGTAGCAAGGTTTCGGGGCTCTGGGCTTGGCTGGCGCAGTGCATTCACGGCTGAGATGTCCTTCGCCTGGGGACGAGTGTCAGTGAAGATTGCTGAGAGAGATTCAAGGACAAACGTACCGCCGCAGTTGTAGCTGTTTGAGAAAGGTAGTGAGCAACGTATATCGACAAGGCTTAGACCTTTTCTTACCAGGTTGGGTTTCCTTTCTTGGGGCAATCACGAGCCTGAATTAAAGTAAGAGGGATGTAAGATGAGGCATAGTGATTGTAAGCACCTGGTGAGAAGAGTCACCGCAGTTGTAGCAGCCGCGATCCATTGTGGCGAGTTCTGAACGAGTTTGCTATCGCGCAGTCAGCACGGACTGTGTGCGAGAACACGAAGGCTGCAGAATATTACCTGGTGTGGAAATTGATCTGGTGTCGCGACAAAAACGTCGGATGTTGAGGCGATTGTGGAAGAGGGTGAACAGTGGTAGTGAGATAAACAACAAGAGTTAAGTGAGGGCTGAAAAATTGAAGTGAATTGTACGCTTGCAAGGAATAAGGTCTTTGACCGTGTGGAGGCGGACGTCACTTTTTGGTTTCTTCTCCAGGCCAGACCCAAGAAGCGCAGCGTTGTCCACCAGCACGAGTCGCGCGGACCCTTGTTCTTCTTGGGCTCCTTGTCGCCCAGCCAGGGACCTGATAGGCCTAGCGAGACGCCTAAAGCAGCCAAGGGACGCATCCGCCTGCTGGATGTGCGGATGGCAACATGCCAATGGCCACCGATCATCTATGACGAGTCGGCTCATCTGGTCTACTAGTTAACACGCCCACTCTCATGCCTAGATCATCTGCATTGTCCCTCTACGACTTGATCCACCGCTGCGGGCGATGCTGGGTCTGGACGCTCTCTTCCCTGATCACAGCCGCTATTCACATGGTCAAACCTTCAATTGGTCGTATCTTCGTAGCTCGAATTTTCCAAGCGGATGTACTATATGGTTCTATGTAAAGTCGTATAGTGCCATTATCTGTTTTTGATCTCTCTCGCCCAGAACCACAACCTGCTCGTCGTCGAAACCGACCCAGCTTCTTGTCAGGCCGAGCTCTCGCTTCATTTCATGCAGTGCAAGACCCAAGCCAGTGCCCCTTCGAGTCAGTGCCGCAGTCACTCCAGAGAAGCTGTCTACCGCCTTTATCCGGGTGCTTGTCTTGGATTGAGCGTTACTTGTCATCACCGGTTCCAATTCCCATACTCTAATCTCATCCCCACGGCTGCTGATCGACACAGCTTTGCCGCGATTGTTGACTTCTGCTCCAGAGACGGCCGACGTGTGTCCCCAGAGCCGTCTACCTGCGCTGATTTCCAGTTTACTCTCGTTTGACGTCACTAAAAATGACATAATGGTGTTGTCCGCAAGCGAGCAGACGAGAAAGGGATGTTCGTAAGACAAGGAGGTGGGTGGGCTCATCAGCTGAGGATGCAGTGGAAATGGTACCGAACTTGTGGACCGCGTCGACATTTTCCAAGTGTCTCGGCCTTGATATTGTGCATCGAATGGCGTCTCGATGGTGGACGTCAGTCGGCTGTCCATCACCGTACCATTAGTAGACATGGCGATCTCTTGTAATCCCATACACCAACCGGAATTCAGACGATGGAAGGCGTAGGTAACAGTGGCGATGATTCGCGTAGGTGTCCGTCGGAGAGCCAACGACACTGGGGAGAACGACGCATCAGACTGGAGTCTCGCGACTGGCTCGAGGTTGGCTTTCGACCTGTCCACCTCCGAATTCTCAGTCAAATCGTACAAAGACAGAAACTTCGTCTTGGAGACGGTCATCGCATATGGCATTGCGAGGGCCACAGCGACAAGAGGCCCGTCTGTAGTTTGGTGACCTGTGCCGTGTTCAAAACCACTCTCGTTCGTGAACGTATACGTCGAAAATGATCCATCTTCAAACCCCAAAAGTACATGGGTCACCCCATCAAAACTGTCGACGGCCATCGCCGTCGCAACTCGAGAGGCTTCGAAGGGCAAGCATGCCTTCAGTGTCCGTGTGCCTGCTGAAGAGACCCATGCTCGCAGTCCAGACCGCCGGTCGAAAGTGAATACTACACCCTTGAGGACTCTCGCGATTACAGGCGGGGCGGGAGGATTGGCGACCTCGACCTCATGGACTTTCGCTGCACCGGCAGCCCAATTACTCTTGATCTTGAACTGACGCTTCCAATCGATTGTTGCACCGTCTCGTAACTTTTGTCCGTGTTCCAGCCACCTCAGGATCTTGACTCTCTGCCGCGACCCCTCCTGCGTCTTATCCGGCGGCAGTCGACGTGCTCGATGGTCGATCCAAGTGTCATAATATTTCGCCTTCCATATCCCCCCATCGCCGGCAAGGGTACGAAAACGCTGCGAGACACTAAGAAGTCGTGTCAGTCAGGCTCGGGGGCAGAACAGTCAAGACTTACCGTTCGATGCGTAACAAGTCTTTGATCGGAAGAAACGACAAGACTCGGAGGAGGATCTCATCGCTTATATCGAGTAGGTTGCGCTTCGAGCCTGTCCGGCATCTCTTGACAGTAGGCCGTATATCATTACTGTCATCGCTTCTCCTCCGCTTGCCCATCTTGTGGTTTGCGACTCTATTCGCCAGGCTGCAGAAGAACGGCAGCGTAAGAGGCGAACATTCCGAAAGCGATAATAAATGATACAACTCTCGCAGTGAGACCGAAGTTCTACCGATCGTTGGTCATTACGGCATCGACACCACTCACAATTGTTCCCTCATACACGCGACTTGCACAGACTCTCAACGGAATGGACGCGTCACCGCAGACTCTCACGAGCACGTTGATACTTGCCCTACACCAGAGCGAGTTGCTTTTGCGTCAGCTGGACGAGAGCAACAAGACTATAGAGAGACTCGGATCGGAGAATGAGAGAATCAAGCTCGAACTGGACCAGCTCCGGAGCCAGAAGAGCGGCAGTTCCAACAATTCACCAGACCAGCAGCTGATGGACGAAAATGAGCAACTCAAAAAAGACCTTTCTGATCTCCGAAACGCACAGCACAATGTTCCCGTGCCGTGTACTCGCCTTGACGAGGCCCTGGCTCAAGAAACCGAGCAACTCAAGGAGGAAGTGCAAGAGTCACGACGAAAACTGGAACAGTTCTCCGACATGACGGCCCAATTCGAACAGTTGTTCCGCAAGGACGTCGAAAGGCAAGCCGAGATAGATCAACTAAAATCCAAACTCCGTGTCCTCCAAGCGAAGGAACGTAAATGGCGCCTCTCCAACACCAGCGTTTCTTCCCCGATCATCTCGTCCGACGAGGCCGACGCCAATGCCAATACGACGAGTCCCGGCACCACGAAACGAAAACGGCCGCGCAGTCGAAGTCCAGAAGTCCTCAAAGAGATCACAGGCAACGTCCCAACCGGGAGCTCGGCCAAGATCTCCACGTCCACTACGAGGCCCAAGTTCAAAAGGCACAGCGACCAAGGAGTGGACGCGATTCCCGCCGTGGCCGAGGATGGCGAGGACTACCGCAACAAGCAACAGTCCGATGGTGGCCAAGGCCAAAGGGAGAAGCCCAAGGAAAGTACCGAAGGCATACCCTCCAAACACCGACTGAAAGCACTCCTCACGACTCCGGCCGCGAACCCATCGCTGCTCCTATTGCGGCCCGAGGGAGCAAGTACAAGTGCATCCAACAAATCACGAGGGACGCCATCTGCAGAGCATCACCAACAGCAACCCAAGTCCCACGGATCTACGCCGTTCGAAGAAGCCACCGCGACCGCCACCACACCCACGCCGACGACGCCGACGCTGACACCCTCCAAACCCGCTGCCACTACAACAACAACAACAGCAGCAGCAGCAGCAGCAACGATGGCGACGACGACGCTAGCCAACGCGAGCAAACCCACCGCCAGCACCAGCAGCAGTAGTAGTACCGCGACCACCACGTCGGTCCGCAAACCACCGTTCCTCCCGCCGAAATCGTCGCGGCACGTTCTGGGGCCCGAAGACGACGAACCCTTCCGCTCGCGGCCCCTCGGCCGCCTCAACCTAACGCACTTCAAGATCAACACGGCGTACACGGGCGGCGTGGACTACGCGTACGACGAGGTCGTGCGCGGCCACGCCCGCAGGTGCCTCCCGGGCTGCACGCGCCCGGAGTGCTGCGGCCACAAGTTCCGGGTGCTGGCCGACACGCTGCCCGCGGCGGCCGACGAGCTCTCGGACGACGCGCTGCTTCTGGACTTCCTCGGCCCGGGCTCCGAGGCGAGGATCGCGGACCTGACGGCCATCGCGCGCGCGAATCTCCTCCACGAGGCCCGCGCCAAGAGACTCGCGAACCTGTACGGCCGCGCCCACCGCGAGACCTTTGAGCGCGCCCGGTCCCCGCCGGGCTTCTGGAACACCGAGTTCCCTTCGACCCAGGAGGACAAGGAGAACCGCGAACAGTCCAGGCAGCGGGAACGCGAAGAGGTCGAGAGGCGGTACCACGACGCCAAAAGGGGCGGCGGCCGCTGGCTGTTCGCCGATGAATAGCTCCGGGTACAGGTGTTGTCGACCCCAGCTAGCCCGCCTCGGGTTAGAAGATGACTGTCAGTCAGCTTGGGTGGTCGACATTACCGATGGCACAATCAAATCCTAGTTACCTAGCAAATGAAGCCGAGTAGATTATATGCCCACGGTAGTTAGGGAGATATAGGTTATAGGTACCTAAATCTGGTCTGGAACACATACGGTCAATCGTTAGTGCCAGTTCACGTAAATGTGCATAGGTGCTTCAACAGCCATCCTAGAGAGTCGGGAAGCCAGAGCACAACGGCGGACACTTAAGTCATCTGCTTTGGTTCACCGCTTCAGCCTGTGCGTGCATGGGGCTTGTAAAGTCTGTGAACATTGTTTCCACTAACCCTCAGTCTTGTTGTGAGTTATTCAGCTACATCGTACACCATACGGCTGTCTTTCAAAGGATATCTTCTTGAACCCATACTGTGACCTCATCTACCTCTTGCTTGTGGGCCCTGATCCTCGTACGATACAACAGATAACATGATCTTGGGAGAAATGTGCCCCGACGAATGCTGTATTTTTGATAATGCACAGCCCAAATCAATAAGAACAATTGCGTGAATCCCGGAATATGAACACTTGCGAAGTCGTTGTGGATAGACAGAAGCTGCATTCTTGGCCAACCCAGTCGCAACCATATGTGCCAGTACCTCTGTACCTTTTTCTTCGCATAATTTTGCTTTCAAGAGTCAAGAGTCGAAAATTGGAGCAAATATTGGCACACCCCGAGACTCCAAAGCGTACACCACGCGTCTTGTCACTCTTGGGTTGGAGATGATGAAGCAAGCCTCAGCACTAGATGACTTGTACAAGTCGTAGGTGTATCGAGCCAGATCAGGACGACCAGCAACCGTAGTGTTGATAATGAGGGCTTCAGGATCAGCTCTTTGAACAGCTTCGATGACGCCGGTTTTGTAGGTACGCTCAGGATGGGGAGTTGACCATAGTATCCGACAGGAAATATCCCGCTTGTTTAATAATGATAGAACAGGTCCGATGCCGGAACCTGTGGCAACGAGAACCGTTCTTTTGAAGATTGGAGCGATGTGTAGTACTCCCATCGTTGGGATACCACGGACCCAGAGTTTGGTGGGCGGCGATCTGATCAGACGTGATGTCCAGTCACCGGCTTTCGACACAAGGACAGAAAACCCCTGGCCATCTTCAGCGGGTATTCCTGCAAATGCATGCCATTCCAGAAGCGGGCTGTCCGAGAGTCGAGGTGCAGCACACAGTGGGAGGTTGGTGTATGTGAAGTGCAAACGAATCGCATGGTCAGAAAGCGGCTCTGCGTGAACGGAGACCTTTCGTAGCCAGATCCATGGGAGTACAATGGAAATTGTAATAATGATGAGAGCCCAAAAGGCTGGACTGTAGATCATGGCCTCCAATACTGTGACATTTTTGCTGTGAGCTTCTGCATCTGAGAGCAACCCGAAGAGCGTCCATATCAAGATCACTGCGGACCACCCTGCAAAGCGATGAATGAGCTCAAACAAATTGTGGAGGCGTGAGCGTATTGCTGGGTGTGCTGTGCATAGAATTGACATAAAGAGGACGTCAAGCAATACCGTGAGAGCAGATACTGCTGCTTGGTGAAGGTACAGCCGCTTGTGTTTGTACGCCCGAACAATGGCAGCGTTGAAGAAAGCGAACCAGAGTGCGGCTGACATTCCTGCTCCACTATGTACGCCGCCCAGATGGTATATTTTTGCAGCCAGGCGGCGAACCCGAAGCGGAAACCACTTAGGACATTTCCCAAATGTCCAGAAGAGAGCGTTAACGACGAGTTCTTGTCGGATCAAAACACCCAACAGGATGTTGACCGACACAGCTGTCGCCGCTGTGGCGGGTGACATGGTCAGGAGCTTATGTTGTGTAGCCAGCGCTATGATAATCGATATGTTTATAGTGAGGACCAGGATGTTGAGTCGCCGATAGACCGACATGACAGTCCACCGTATGTTACGCAAAATGCGGTGGTACTTCTTGTCCGGCATTGTGGTTGTGGGCGTAGGATGGGTTTCGTGGACCATGGTCGAGATGGATTTGGAAGACGTTCGGTCGTGAACAGCGCAGTATTTCTGGAACACGACTTGGGAGCTGATAGGAGAGCACGCAGTGGCTTCTGAAGACTCTGTTTGGGATCTTGGATAAGGGGAATCGAGAGCGAAATTCTCTTCTTGACCATGGCTTGGTGCAGGAATGGCTATATTTGATTCTATAAAGCCATAGTTGTCTTCCGGAGTGGAGGCGGGTGAGTTTGGGTGAGATGTTGAAGCCATTCCAAACTGACTGCAGATTGAACAAGAAGTCAGCACGTCGGTCCGTCGCAAAGTATCACAACTCAGCTGAACGAACAACGCTGACGGCCTCAGTCGGCCATTGTCTTCACCAACAGCGTACAAATGGCAGTTACAAGGGCGTGATTGTTTCAACTCAAGTCAGAAATTCACGCCAACCATAAGTCAACGAGGCTGCTCAAGTGAAGTCAAAGGTCGACAAGGATGGAGAGGGTGCAAGGTTCCAGCGCAGTGAATGCATGCGCTGTCGGCGCCGCGTCGCAGTGTAAGGGATGAAAGTACAGGAGATACTCACAATGGAACGAATTGGCTCGGCACCTGGTGGTGGTTTGCTTGGCTGATAGTCATGTCAATCTCTGTTGAGGCTGATCCAGCGCGTCGTTATCAATCTGATATGGTCAGTTTTCGGAGGCTTTATACGACTTCGATCCGCATGGAGAGCAGCGGCAAAGGGCGTACAAGGTTACTCGGCCCGAGAGAGGTGAACCCGGCACAGAGATAGTGGCGCAAGAGTCATAGGACAACGTGTCGCAGATCCTACTACACGGTTCCAGACGAGCATCTGCAGATCCGGCGAGTGCCTTCAAGTGGGTGGCAGCCAAACGGCTGAGTCAAGACAAAGAACAGCGTGAAGGGGGTGAAACTGAGGCGAAAGAAGGATCCGAGGTGACTCGAGAACGTGGATAATGAGTAATCCTACACGAGAAGCCGAGGAATGACAGAAATCAAAATAAAGGCTCGGGGTCCAGATGCGAGCGAGAGAGAGATGCAGAGCCTTGGACTGTTGTTGGAGCTGAAGTCGATATAGAGCGGTTGGACGCTGGGATGCTCTTGCCAGTCCACAACGTCCAAGGCCAGCAGCGGCAGGACGTTCAGATGAAGCAGAGAAGGCAGATACCAAGGCACCTGGGGCATCCAACACCGCCAGGAAGCCACCTACAGAGGTACCTTATGTATGGTATTCACCAGGATTCCAAGAACACTCGTAGAGTCCATGGCCGTGGGATCGAATCTGAGCCCACAGGGCAGCTGTATTTGGGTTCTGGTAACCAATGAGCCCCGGCATCGGTCTAAGCAGTGAGCGACAGCATGACAGGAACAATGCTGGCTGAGATACACGGTCTCAGGAAGCAGCCTCGTCAGGATGGGGTGACCATCTTGACTAATGATGCCGCTGTCAAAATGCAGACGCAACAACAAACAGCGGTCCTGGTGGTCGGTCTGGAGATGCTGTGGCCAGGTGCGAAACCGGCCAAGCTGTGATAGAGCGCATTTAATGTGTTGACCAGTGACCTGTGCCTCGTCTCAGTCACAGCCTGGTAGAGACAGTAGCAAGTAGACGACTGCGTTCGACGAGATCAGCTTCTGTTCAAGGGAATTCTTACCTCTTCACTGCCATTGAGTGCATGTATCACTCTTTGCACCTCTCTGTCCTGTCCTTTTGTGCATTTCCTTGCCTCATCCGTCGTCCGTGGATGTGTATCATCTTACAGACTCCATCCACCTTATCCGCCCTCTACATCCCGCCACCTTTGTTCAAGGGATAGCCTCCCTTGTATTTTTCGTACAACCTGACCTGCCACTGTCCGCGCCTTCTAGACACAACGAGGGACACCTGTCTCTTTCTGCAAGCCATTGTTACACGATGTCTTTGCCTAATGCTTCCAACACAGATCACATCTGGACCTCGCCTCAATCTCTCAAAGAACCTTCTGCGGCTGATATCGTGACCTTTACGTTCGCTAACCTTGGTCAATATGAGAAGAACAAGCCGGTAAGCTGCTTCCACTTCAGGACTGTTGCGGCTAGGAGTCAAGCTGATGCAGACATCGATATAGATCTTTATCGATGCAAAAGATCCGACCCAGTCTGTTTCCGCCTCCCAAGCGATCTCAACTATGCGCCAACTTGTCAACGGCCTCAAGGACCTTGGTGTGAAGGAGGGAGACTGTGTGTGCCTACACGCCTTTAACAACGTGCGTTTCTTCTGTTGCTCAGAAAACGGCCGCTTCCGCCCCCCGCTTCGTCCTATTCTGTCGTGTAACTCTGCTAACGGAACGATCTGGGCCACAATAGATCTGGTATCCTTTGATATGGCTTGCCATTATCGGGTCTGGGGCAATTGTATCTCCCATCAATCCTGCATATACCTCTCTCGAGCTCGAAAGACATCTTCGCCTTACACACCCTAGACTCATCTTCACTCAGCGAGATTGCTTTGAGTCGATCGAAGAAGCTGCCTCGAGATGTGGCATTCCGAATTCTCATATCTTCCTCATTGAAAACAACCAAGAGCAAAACAGTCAGGGATGTCCTAGTTGGAAGACACTGTTGGCCGAAAACGAAGAACATGATCCGGTGCCTCTTTTCGAACCTGGTAGATCCCTGCAAGGTCGGCTGGCGGTGTACGCTTTGACCAGTGGCACAACTGGACTGCCAAAGGCGGCTATGATTCCACATCAATACGTTGTCGCACAAGCGGCAGCGCTGGAGAGCGAGTTTATCGACAGGGATTACCAGGTATTGTCATCTCTTGACGTCTGTACCCCCACGATCTGTCCCAGGCTGACATTCCTCCTAGCCATCACAGCTCATCTGTCTGCCTGTATTTCACGCATTTGCATCCCCTCTCGCCCTTGTACTCCCGCTCCGTCTGGGCATGCCGACGTATTTTCTGCCAAAATTCAACCTGTCAGACTTCCTGCTGGCAGTATCCAAGTTCGGCATCACCGATACGCCCATTGTCCCTCCCATTCTTGGTACACTGGCTCATTTGTCAGAGGTAGAAATTCAACACCTCCAGAGCCTGCGCTACGTCATATGTGCCGGGGCTTCTTTGAACCCAAGGGTGCAAGAGAAGCTAGCTTCAAGGTTGCATAAGGACGCAAATGTTGCTCAGTGCTGGGGCACCACCGAAGCTGGCTGGCATGCTCTGCTCGCCTGGAAAGAGAAAGATACTTCCGGAAGCGTAGGAAGATTGTTGCCAGGTGTCGAGCTGAAGCTGCTGGATGACCACGGTCACAGCATTGGGGATGAAGAACAGGAAGGAGACGCTCTTATCAGAGCACCGGCATTGTTCTCCGGCTATATTGGTGACGTATCTGCCAGTTTTGAGGCCTTCAATCGTGAGGGATTCTATCGAACTGGGGATCGGGCATTCATTCGAGGTGGCAAGTTGTATTACACCGGAAGACGAAAAGAGATTATGAAGGTCAATGGTTGGCAAGTCTCGCCTACGGAGGTAGAAAACGTTCTTGCAGAGCATCCACTCATCGACGACGCAGCCGTTTATGGCGAGCAGTCTGAGAACGTCCAAGGCATTTGCCAAACGCTGCTCTGTGCCTATGTTGTGCGGAGATCTCTGGAAACTGTCAGCACTGGAGTCAGTGGTTTGTTGGAAACACCTAAAGACGAGCGAGCCGGCCACATGTTGAACGAGCAGGACGTCATGGATTTGGTTGCATCGAGACTGATTTCATACAAGCACTTGAAACGAGTGTCGTTTGTCAAGAAGATACCCCGATCACCAACCGGTAAGATTTTGAGGTGGCAGCTGGATGATGTCGAGGTGGAGGAATGAAGGAGACTCCTGGACTCGACATGTACCTCAATATCCATGATAGCAGCAGAGTAGCTAGAGACCGACAGAAGGCATCTGAAAGGCTAGACAGTTCAGGTTTGGATGGTGGGGGAAGACTAGTTCCATCTATTGACTGACTCTGTGGGAGCCACAAAACCAGTTAAAGTATTGATGAATCGATTCGATATCGGTGCAGTTCGGCGATACCAATGGATTTTAAAATGTAAGGAAACGAGGTAACATGGTGAGGTGTATCGATTAACGATTATAACTTTGTCGCTGTAGACGTATTTAATATTATTGTTATTATTCGTCCCGACGATACCTCGGCATACTTTCTGTCGTTACAAACTACTAACTAACTAGTTAGTTACCCCTGAACTTTTTTATCACCCGCAGTAGCCCTGCCAACGACTGCTGCTGATTGTTAGATCCATCGTCCGAAGCAACCATTATTTCATGTCCATGACCTCGACCATCTGCTTATGACAACTGAGACATTTTTCGGCCTTGCAACTCAAAAAAGCAACCGGGTTCATCATGACAACGCCAGCGGACATCTCGGTTCAGGTCATTGTGCCCAACGACGCCAACCCGTCCGGCGCACCGCTCGTCTCAGCCGAACGGCGCATCACGCCATCATGGACGGTTTCGCAACTCAAGACCAAACTTGAGCCGGTGACGGGCATCCCGGCGTCATCCCAGACGCTCCGCACGCGCGGCGGGAGAGGCGGCGAGGGCGGCTGGGTGTACCTGTCCTCCGACACGAGCCTCGTGGGCGACCCGGCGTACGGTCTCGGCCGCGGAAGCGAGATCGAGATCCTCGACGGCCGGCCCGCGGGGGCGCGCCAGCAGTTCAACTTCGCCGACCTCAGCGGCGTCGAGAAGTACCAGATGCCCGAGTCCGAGTACGAGAAGCTCGAGGACAGCGTGCTCGCGTGGAAGCGGCGCGCCAAGCTCGGCCGCTTCGACCCGGACCAGAAGACGCCCGCGCAGCTGGCCGAGGAGCGGAGGAAGGTCGACGCCGAGGCCATCGCCGCCCGGGGGATCCGCGTGGGCCAGAGGTGCAGGGTCGGCAACGACGACACAAGACGCGGCACGATCAGGTTCGTCGGCGAGATCCAAGGCCTGGGAGGCGCCAGGGAGGCCGGGTGCGTGTGGGTGGGCGTCGAGCTGGACGAGCCCGTCGGCCGGAACGACGGGAGTGTACTTGTCGAGGTGGACCTTTCAAACGACGACGACGACGACGACGGCGACGACCACCAAAAAGAACCATCATCGCTACCACCAGCAGGGAAGAAAAGGGACAAGACGACCAAGAAAGTAAGGGTCTTCGAGTGTGGTGAGAAATTCGGCGTGTTTGCGAGGCCCGAAAAGGTCGAGGTCGGAGAACGGTTTGCTCCCCTGGGGTTGGATGAGTTGCTGGACGAGGATATGGAGGAGGTTTGAGCCGGTCGCCTTCTCTCCTCCGATCTCGGCCTGACCTTTTTGGTCTTCGTTGACATCACCCTCACCTGTCGCGCTGAGGGGAGATGAGACGCCATCAAGAACTTCGTGCTCGCCCGCTTTTAAAACGGCCCTATGTTGCTTGGCTGGCGGTGATGCGGGAGATCAGGACAAGTATTACCCAAGTCATGGGGTCTTGAGAAGCACATCCTAACGATGGCTCGAGCAGGTACCCCAATTAGGGAGCCATAGACTAAGGTGGGGGCTGGGAATAGCCGAAGCTATATGGGAGAGCCTCAAGGATGCTGGTAGGCGTAATGGCTACATGCCTGCCTGAGATATGAATCTGAGATCGAGGCAATACGAGAATGGTAGCCTCTGGCGTGGCAGGATTCCTGTTGGTACTATCAATGCTCAACGACAACCTGAGATTTCCCCGGCTGCAGGAGTAGATATTTAGAATTCTCAGGCCGTACGTAGTCGAGGAACGGCCACAGACCAAAAGGGGTGTTACAACTACGATACATGACAGTCAAGTGCAATAAGGCATTTTCAGCATGAAAACGAATTTCATTATAGGTTATTGTATCCGTATTCGTATCAGTCACAAGATCGTCACGCCCAAGACCGTACAAGCACTGGGGAGGCGCCGCATGGCAGCAGGCCGGGTATTCAAGGTCGTGCCAGAGTGGAACGGTGTCCCAAAACCCATTGACCCAAGTGCAATGTGGCGCGATTATTCGCCATCTTCGTTGACAGGAACAACCTCGCATCCTTGGCTGAAGAATATGCGAGCTGGCTTTTCCAGTTCGTTTTCTATCGAGTATTGATTTCCTATGAGGACGGCGAAAGTGTCAGTTGTCAACCACCCCATAGAGCAGGATCGGACTCGTCAGGAACACAGCAGACTTACCTCTCGGGACCTGCCAAAAGCCACCCTTTCCGATGCTAAATCGATTCATACTCCCGGTTTCCTCACCGTCAATGGGGCCGACACTGACAGTTACACGACCCTTGATGACGTAGAAGCTCATATGCATCTTCCGGCTATTTTTAGGTCTCTTGATCCCGCGAGGTGGCAAATCGACTAGGCCTGATCCAAAGAAATTCGTGCTCAGTAGTTTGGCGTAACGGAAAGTTGGACCTTCGTTGAGACTTGAGGCCTTTACTTCTCGTGTCTTGATAGCTGCGGGAGCGTGGGCAATCTCAATCTCCTCCTCCTCCTCCATCGGCGCCTCTTCTTGATTGTCCCACAACGAAACATTCCCGCGTAGGGTACCGGACTCTGTCTCCCACGGCTCCGCATAGGGGTCATCTTTCGGCCCCTCGTCGAGATCCATGGCCTCGTCAGAATCTGAAGAGTCTGAAGCATCGGCTGAGGCTGTTCGTGCTTTGATTTTGCTTGTACCCTTTGCTCTCCTGCCCTTCTTCGATTTCTTTGTCGCGATCTCACTCTCGACAATCTCCGTTCGCACGATTTCTTTGATACTGTTCAAGGGAAAGCGAGCACCATCTGCGAGACCACTTTTAGGGCTACCTCCATAGACACACCTCTCATTGCGCCAATATGCCAAAGGCTTGATACTGACACGCCCGCTTCTTGTGTGGGTGATGCCGTCATCCGCCGGTGTTTCGCGACGCAATATGTATAATGATCTTGGTGGGCCAGGCCTTGCTTTCACTTTTTCGATAATGTCGTCAAGTTCCTGCTCTTGTCGAGACGACATTGGGATATTGGCGTCCTTCTTTCTCAAAGGCTGTTTACCTTTGGATTTTGAGGATTGTATTGGCTTGGCTGTCGGCTCTTGGGAGACTTCTGTGACTGAAGTTGGCTGCTTGTCCTTCGTCTTTCGAACCTTTCGAGCTACAGGCGAGACCGCAGCTTCCTCGTCGTGTTCAGTTGCGTCCGACTTTCGCTTTCTTCGTGAATTGGCTTGGTTATGCACCAGTGGCGGGGCCAAGACCTCAGATTCCGCCGTTCTGTCGGCCACTTCAACACCTAGATCTTGTACCGGGCTCCCAGGATCTTCTATCGCTTCCCTCTCATCCTCCCAAGATGCCACTTCCTGCTCGTTAGCAGGAGCCGGCTCGTAGTGCTCGACTGCTGGTGTTGTCTCTTCGTCATGTTGTGGATATATGACTGACGGTTCATCCTCGATCGACGGCACACTCTCATGAGCCTCGCTCGATTCCCTCTCTATCTGGACCATGCTAAGCCTAGACCTTCCATTTGAGTGTGCGCTGTGCATCGTAATATCTCGTAATGGCGACTTTTCTGGGCTGGGGGTGACGCTTAGTCGTTGCAGCTGTCGAATATTGGCAATATTGGGTGTGTTCTCCAGGTCTTCCCCGTGGTCAAACCGTTGGCTATTCCTCGAGGAGAAAATGTCCACTCCATTGCTTCTTCGAGCAGTACCACTGATCCCCGATTTCCGTGGCGAAGACGACGCAGGCGGTCGTAGCGGTGTATTTCGAGTTGATCTTCGCGACACCGACAGCGTTTGTCTGGGAGTCAGGCTGGATCCTGGTGGCATTTAGCATTGATACTTGAGGGTAGGAATCGGCTGTGGCAAGATTTTATATGGTGTACACACGACACCAACTACGACCGCGACATACCTGCTTCATCCACACTTTCCATGACCACCATGTTCTTCAGCGGAGAGGGCTTGCGTGGGGATGAGAAAATGCCCGTTATTTCCTCCATTCCGTTCTCGTCGATGGGTCTTTGCTCCAACGTGACACCGGTTCGCCTGCTTTCAGTCAGCTTCGACCTGTGACGCTCAATCGCCTGCGATGTCCCACCTTCCCAACTTGCCCACCGCAGAGTAATCAACATCATCGCGCGTGCGACGGACTGGTGCTCGCGGAGCCATGGTGCGCGCAGGGACTGGACAGGGAAACAGGCAAGGTAACTATGTCGGCTACCCGTTGTTGGCAAGGGGTGTCGTTCTTCTATGCAAAACGACCGTCAAATGCCCACGGTACCCAAGTGATGTTCGCGCAAACCCGCACCGTTGTTTACGACAGAATGCCCATTTCAGTTTAGTGCACAGAACTAGGCGGTGACAGAATTCTGCCGCTTTCAATTCCGACGTAAAGCCGGACGCGTTTTGGGCCGCGACTCGGTACGCGTCTACGCCCACACCGTTCCCAGAGGTCGATGAGCAAGAGTTCTAATATTGCGAAGCCATTTTGTTGCACCGCTTCAGCCATGGAAGAAGAAACTAAAGTCTCCGAAGTCCCCGCATCAACAGTGTTTGTTCCCCCATCCGTTCAAGACCATGGCGATGCATTGTTATCTGGGAGAAGTTATGTGCACTACAGCTCCGTGCCAGAAGCAATAACGACCAACAGCGAGTCTGGGTTGGGAACGCCTTGCGTCCTGGGTGTCGACGAAGCCGGCCGTGGGCCTGTGATCGGTCCTATGATCTACGGAGTATACTATCTTCCCATCGAACTGGAGCAGTCATTATTAGCGACAACATATCATTTCGACGATTCCAAAGTGCTCACTCCAGCCGTTCGAGCCAATCTCATGAAGGCGGTCTGTCAATCAGACACAGACCTGTACAGGACGTCTGGTTGGGCTATAAAGTCACTCAGCGCCCAGGACATTGGCGCCGGAATGATGAAAAACGGAGGCTCCTACAACCTCAACGCGCAAGCCATGGATGCGACGATCGACCTGATCAGGGGTGTGATTGATCGAGGCGTCAATGTCAGCGAGATCTACGTCGACACCATTGGCAAACCCGCGATATACCAGAAGAAGCTCCAGTTGATTTTCCCAACCATCAAGATAACAGTCGAGAAAAAGGCCGACAGCCTCTTCCCTTGCGTGAGCGCGGCGAGTGTCGTAGCTAAGGTGACCAGAGACGTCAGCTGCGAGACCCTTCTCGAGGCGTATATTCGCTCTGTTGGGCCCTCTTCGGACGGCGAGGAAATCACATGGGGGTCCGGTTATCCTTCGGACGCAAGGTGTGTGAGCTGGATGAAAGCCGCAATCGACCCTGTGTGGGGGTTCGGGAACGAATGCAGGTTCAGCTGGGGTACAGTCAAGGATATGCTCGAGCAGAAGGGTGGAGTAGCGAAAAGGACAGACTGGCCGGAGGACGACGATGGTGACAACATGCGGCTTTCACACTACTTTGGTGCCGAAGAGGGGTCTGGCCCCCAGACGGAGGCAGATGAATTGCGGACATGGTTTGGCACTGGCGTCGGACAGAAAGCGTTTTGATTGTCACAGTCACGCATTGCTGTCAAACTCGAAGGAAATTCTGCAAACGCCCCGCCAAAATGCGCACCATGAAGAATTATGCCGAGTACTCGAATGCACCGCGCTCAGAGCTTTGGCTTGGACCAAAGCCCCTTCATTGCGCCCTGGAAGCCAGGGAGATTTGCCGGGCCGTCATAGATGTCTCTCTCAACAGCCCTGGTGTTGATATGTACTGGACCGAGCTCCGACAGTTTCTCAACACCCAGCAGTCGTGCGGCTGTGGCAGTTTCGTCGCGCAGAATCTCAAGGACACGCTCGACACCGGCAATTCCACCAGCTGCTAAGCCGAACAGCGCGCCACGTCCACACCCAACAGCCTTTGCTCCGAGGGCCAAAGCCTTGGCCACGTCGGTACCGCGCTTGATTCCTCCGTCGACAACCACGTCTATCTTTGTGAGGACCTCCGGGCAGTATTTGTGGATCTCCAGCAGGGTGTGGATGGCCGGGGGCGCCGTGTCCAAGGCCCGGCCGCCATGGTTTGACAAGATGATGCCCTTGATCTGGTCCGGGTACTGAGCGGCGCGGTAGGCATCCTCGTGTGTCTGCAAGCCCTTGAGGATTATGGGCTTGTCGGTGTGCTTCTTCAGCCACGGCAAGGTTTTTGACCAGGTCAGGGTCGGATCGGTGCCGAAGAACAGTGACTGCCCGATGCCGCCGCCTCCTTTGAGCTCGGTACCTCCGGCATCTTTGATGAGTTCGCTCTGATCCTCGACGATGAACTTGCCACGTTCGTCGTCCTCTCTCTTGCCCGGCACGGGCGCGTCGAGCGTCAGGCAGATGAATTTGATCGCGTCCAACCTGTTTATCCGTGCCAACATGTCCTCCGACTTCTTCCGTTCTCGCTGCACGTAGAGCTGCCACCCAAAAACCTGGCCCGGCCCGGCGTCTTTGACTATCTGCTCCGGCGTCTGACTTGCATTGTTGGAGATGATCTGAATCGTGCCGAACTTCTTGCAGGCCTGTGCTATGCCCCATTCTCCATCTGGGTGGGCCAGTCGCGCCATGGCCGCAGGTGAAACGAAGATTGGAAGGTCCATCTTGTGGCCCAGGAAGCTTGTGCTGAGATCGCACTTTTCGCAGTCGACGAACACGCGCGGGCGCAAGAGGATCTGTCTGTAGACCGTGTTGTTGAAGTGTTTGCTCGCCAGGTCGTCGGCGGCCGAAAAGTAGTAAGCCCATCCTTTCTTCGACATCTTTCTCTTCGCCGCGGCCTCTATCTCGTCCAGGTTCAGCAGCGCCGCGAGTGGCAGTTCGACCCCCTCGGGGCTTGTTGGTCCGGGCCCAACGTTCGTCGCCGCCTTCACTGGTTCGGGGAGGGTCTTGGGGTCGATAGGGCCGATCTTTGCGGACTCAGGCAGGTTCTCTTCGAGGGTGCCCGGGGGATGGATCGGGTCGTATTCTTCCGTCGCGTCCTTCCCAGCAAGCTTGAGGATGATGTTGGCGCCGCCCGGGTGGCTGGGCAGGAAGTCGGTGACATCGTATACTGTCCCGTACAATATCACCCAGCAAGAGGTCTTGGACTTGTGCTTCTGCACTGTAGATTCCGTCGCACACGGTCAGATCAGCAACAGGGCGATCAAGAGTGTGTAGGCGGGTGGGGGAGAGAGAGCGTGAGTGTGTGTATGTGTGTCTCAGTCAATGCTGTACGTACCTTCAGCGAAGTCGATAAGCTTCGACATATCGGCGGCTCGAATAACACGGGAGTCTGGGATATACCGAGGACGAGTATCCGTACACCGAAACTAGACGTTTAGGTGGAAGGTCATTGATCTAGTCTGTATCTGCCTCTATTTCGTACTGTACAGTGTACAAGGTATGTATATACATGCAGGTGTGTTGCAAAGTGCGCCACAGTTGAGTCGGATGATGCACGAGCACGAGTTTGGGTCCTTATAGTCGCAGGTAAATAAAGAGCCCCCCACGCCGAGTCCTTTTGCTCCCTGTCGCTCTCCAAATCTCGGGATTCTTTCGTCCTCGACAGTCGTCGGCATTTGATACACCGAGTCGAAGATTGGACAGACTCGTGTTGTGGCCTCGGGGGGAAATGCGACGCGGCACAAATTCACAGACCTGGCTTTCATCTGTGTCTCTTCCTCCGTCTAGTTATCATTGAACCTGGCAATGAACGTGCCGGTGTGAAGTACTTGGTACCTAGCACACTGTAACACGTGCACGGAATGACCAAAATCAACACCGCTTGGGCCCGGCGCGGCTCGTTTAGTCGTCGTCAACCCTCTTCAGCAACACCCGGAGGTGTCCCTTGGTGGTCACGACGAAATTATCCTTCCACTCCATATCTTCCTCGGTGGTCTTGTACGGCTTCACGTCGAATCTACGGAAGACATAAGCGAAACTGAGATAAAGCTCCGCATACGCGAGGTTGATGCCAATACACGATCTCGGTCCGCGTGAGAATGCGATCATTTTGGTTTCGAGCTGATTTGCATCGGGTCCCAACCACCGTTCAGGTAGGAAAGAATCTGGATTTGGAAACACCTCGGGGTCGAAGTGGTAGCAGTAATGGGCAGCATGGAGTATTGTCTGCGACTCTGCCATTAGATCACCGCCCGAAAGTCGACAAAGCCTCTTTTGGGTACAGAATACTTACTCCAGCTGGAATATGCCGTCCACACAAATTCACCCCTCCGGCCGGCACCACTCGGCCTAGCCTGCGACCGATGTGAGTACCGTTGCTGCTCTTTCGTATCTGACCACGTCGACAGGGACAAGGGGAAGCTCACCTTCCAGGAACACCCATGCCCATGCGCAAACTCTCCTTGACGACTGCTCTCTGTGGGAAAGAATCAGTGGACGGCTCCTACAACAAGCGTGTTCTCCGCGACTGTGTGCACGTAGCACCCACCAAGTACGGTAAGTTCTCCAGAGCCGAAGGACTAACGAGCTTGTGGCCATTGGAAGCCGGAAATGCATCGTTCAGTTCCTTTCTCAGCTTTGCGAGAGCATCTCTGTGGTGAATCAGCCCCCATGTGCCCACCGTTAGGGTATAAGCAGTCGTGTCGGTTCCGGCGCCGTAAAACAGAAACGCATCGGCCGTCAATTGATCAAGATTCGGAGTGAAGGTCCTCTTCGCATTGGGCGCGGCCCAGCAGTCAAAGACGGTCGGAAATCCAGACCCGGACCCTCCCTTTGTCATGATCTCCTCAAGCTTCTTCCTGAGTTGCTACGGGCAAAAAGACTTTCAGTATCAATTCAATCAATCTCTTTCGCGGCCTTTCCAGGGCGGCTGGGCTCCATTTTCCTCTAACTCACCTCCAAAAGCCAATTCGTTTGGGCAATCGGTGCGAAGAACTTTTCCGTCTGCTCTTTTGTCAACTTCCGCAGCTGTCCAGCGAACCAGTAGAAGAAATTGTTCCAGTACATGGTGTACTGCAGAAAGTCCATGTTCTTCTCGAGGGCGACGAGCATGGGCGACTGGAAGTCCTCAACCTCGAGAGTCTCGACGCCTTTGTTCGCAAACATGTAGCTCGAAACAACATCGCCCGTCAGACTTCTATACCCCATGCTGAGATCGACCGGCTTCTCATCACTGGCAGCTGCATCCAACCTTTGCAGAAACGTGTCCATCCGATCCTGGATCAACGGTTCTAGACGTGTTATGGCGCCCTTGGAAAAGTAAGGCATGTATGAATCGCGCCAGGGTTTTGCCACTTTCGGGTCCAGAATGTTGAAGAATCCAACCCCGGCAGGCTGATGGTACTGGTCTTTGAACCGAGTGAAGCCCGAGCCTGTCTTGAAGATCCTTATGCCGGACTCGTGTCAATATTCGCCGTGTGACCGGATCGCATAAGAATTCTTTTAGGAGCACTCACTCATAGTAAGCGTTTATGTCGTGGACATGAAGCTGATTTGGGAGTATTCGCACAATAGGGCCTGCCAATGGAAGCACGGTTAAGTTGGGTTTCAAATCGACTGCGAGAGGAAGAAAAAGCCACCGACCATATTGCCTATGCAGCGCTGGGAAGGTCTTGACATAAGAGCTCGATGGCCTAAGGTCATACCACGCTTGGAAAAGAGACGTTGCTCCCGCAAGCTTTGGGCCCGGGAACGATGCAAGCGGGTGCAGGGTAAGGCGGTACGCTATTCGTAGCACAAAGAACAAGGCAGAGGCAGCGACAACGGCTCCAAAGTATGAGAGGAAGCCTGCCATGTTTGAAGGCAAACGTTGATACCAAATGTGGCGATCAACCATCCAGCAGGTGTCTTACTGCGTGAAAATACGGCGGACAGTAAACAACAGAAGACTTATATACCGCAACTGGCCCCAGGATGCTGGGCTGGCCCTCCTGTACGAACATAAAGTCCAAGCCCTCAAGCATTACGAGTACCGGCTTCGGATTCATCAGCCTACCTTATCTACGGTCAGAAACATGCGTAAGGCATCCAGTTTGGGCTTGTTAGAGGGAGTGAGATCCTTCCGGTACCCGCGAACTGGAGACTTGCGACGCTGATGCATTGCGCCGAGTCATGAAACTCGGTTCGCATACCTTGAAAACAAACTTCCCTCCATCTGAAGGGTCCCAAGTCTTCAGCTCCCAGGTGCCGGAAGTTGCTCACATCTCCTATTTTCGAACGCGATTCATCATCCATAACCCCAAGCCCGAAACTTGAGTGCTCACAAATACCCGTTTTCGTGAGGCATCCAGTCATCTGTCAGTCCTGTGTTAGACGAGCCAATGCTTCCAGCATTTCCCTGTGGGTCCCAATGGTATTGCTTTTACTCGTACAGAATAATATCCAGTCGCAGGATGAACATTCATCCACATTGCGGGACGCAACGGCCTGATGCCGCTCATCATGAATGAGTCACAAACGAGAAATATGTTCGGATTAAGGATGACGCCCTTTACTGGCGAATGTGTGAAATCAAGCTCAACGAAGAAATTCTACTGAGTACTGAAATCGCGACTGCGTATGTTCCGAGTTTCCACAGCCCCTACTTATCCAGATGAACCAGCACTTCCTCCATTCCTCCTCGAGTTGAGACGTGGCGTAGAACTGCCGGACTGTATGCCTGACATCGTCCCAGGTGCTCGGCTGTGCCTTGGTTCTGAGGATGCGGTCAAGTAACCCCCATCTGGCAATCTGCGTAATATCAAAAGACGCAGGCATCGCTGCAATGGCAAATGCCACCCATAACGTACAGTCTTCTCGCAAAATGGCATCGCTCAGCTCTCCGAGTCTCGAGATGTACTTGCTCAATGTCCGTTGGTATTGCTCTGGCATACTGGCTGGGAAAGTCCCCAATACGAGCGCCAACAATCCTACACAGACTAGCCGCTCTCGGTCACTGATGGCACCCTTCTGCAGAAGCCTGTGCAGCCCGTCAGCAAGCTCGTGGTGCGGGTTGACTTTTTGAGCTTGGTGCTTGCCAGTCGCTGTGTCAATGAACCATTCCAGGCTTCGATCAATGACTGTCATCGTCTCGCAGTGGAAAGGGTGGCTCTCAATCATGGTCAGGAATCCTGGGGAACAGCGACGCACAAAGGGAAACAGATCTTCAAAAGGCGCGTTGAACGTTGCGGACATGGATCGTGAAGCAGATGATACTACTGGCGGCGTCGCGAGTAGGCCAGTCTCGTTGACGATGTTGTTCCGGTTTGAGAAACATGCTTCAGCCCACAGGTAGAACCTGTAGGAGCGACTGCACGACGCCTTTAGAGAACTCATACCGCCTCGCATATGGACTATCCTGCGAATTCCGTCCAGGTTGACGCAGTAGCTGTTCCAGTCTTCACGCTCCTGATCACTGACAAGAAGGGCAATGACGGCCCAGAAGATGCTGTCGTCAAAGGCTGCGGAGGCCTCGCCTACACGTTGTTGCAGCAGTGAGATGGCTCGGTTGTAGTGTTGCATGGAACCAGTGAGGGTGTCAGGTTCGGAGGTTGAGTCGATCGCCATCTGCCGCCGAGCCGCCGCGAAGACGGCCTCTGTAAGAGCAGGCTCGCTAAGTAGCCATTGCACGATGTTGTTTGAGAATGTGTTTTGCTCAGCAATGTCGAGGTCTCGTCGCCAGATGTAGGTCGGACCATAGTAGAGCATTGCTAAGTTGAATGGGTGAGTCTTCCTCGCATACAACAACAGGTAGAAGAATAGAACTGTGTATAAGAAAGATTGCACTTACTGAACTCAGAAAGCGTACAAATGTAGCTATCCTTACCACCATGGTATGTCTGTGTCAGATGCGAGACGTAATCCGGCGGGGTGAAGGACAAATTTGATAGAAACGGAGAGTTTGAGGCTGATAGTGGAAAGGTTGTGCACAAGCGAGACGAGTCTTTTTCTAATGTATCTCTAGCTGGCGATGACTGTACAAGTTGTCGAGATTCGTCGTTGCGAAACTCGTTTTCCGGCCGGAAAAGCCATGCTTTTGGGGGCTTGAAACCGCAGATCCTTTCAGACCTCAAACACCGTATGCAGATTGGTCGCGTTTCATCGCTGTCGATTGTCAAGATACGGTTGTGGAAGTTTGGTAAACTTCCAAAGAGACGATCCTCAAATTCGCACTTGAACTGGACAGGCTTACCATTTGATCCGCCTGGCCTTGCACGTTACACAACCCGTGCGAACTTTGACATGATGAACTTTCCGATGCACTATTGGTCTTGAACGTACTCGGCACTGAGAGCTCTCGAATTCAGTTGAGCTAATCCCACCGATCATGACGAAAAGGGTGAAATGTGTGATATAGTCGAGAAGTAGAGTCGCTGGTGATTGCTTACCAAGAAACTCGGATCCGTAAGGCGTAAGTTAGTGAACTGGGTACTTCGTACTCCGTACACCGTATGGAGTACGGATATGATCCTTGCTAGTTAGGGCGCCTGAGGAGAATGTAGTATGATGCCGGTGAGCGGTACCTGGAAACAAATCTCCAGCGACTGCACTAGATACAAGAACCAACTGCACGTTGCCCACATTCGAAGTCGATAACACCACCTTCTATACGTTTGTCGTCTGTGCCCATTCTTTTCAACTTGGTTGCGATCTTCTGCTTGTCGTCTAATCATGCTCCACAACCTGAATGAGATACTCGCCCAGTCAGTACTTGGAGCTCCGGTCTGCGCAAGATTTGAACATCGGTAGTCTTGCTCAGCCTCACCCGTGAGTGAAAACGAGGTTAGAGAGGGACGTTCGCTGAACAACTGTTCCTGTCTTGCGCATAGCGGGACCAGAACGCCAATGATATGAGCTTCGATGTTCAAGCCAGCTCGTCAGCTCGTCTTGTCTTTAACTGCCATGTCTGCATCCGCTGGCTTGATGATGACTGCTAGGTTAGGGAGAGAGTGTATGGTGTCCAGTGAATCTTTGTGTGCCTCTTCTTCCTCAATCAATGAATTGGGACTTTTTATTATAAGTTCGACTCCACATGATGGAGCGAGCGCTTTCGTTCCCCGCAGCGAACTGTCTGGCGTCACCAAAGTCACTTGGCAGCTTCACTGTAATTCCACCTGCTCGACGATCGTCCCGAGTGCTGTTATCTCAGAATATGATCCAGTATGCGTTCTGGTGACAACGTGTGTGGAAGTGTTTTTTCCTTGCCTCTGTAATTCTACCATGTTCACTGTGAGTATCATACATCAACGGCTAAAGCTTTCCTGTGAGAAATCCGTGCGCGACTAACTCATACCTTCCTCTCGCTACAGTCCAGGCACCCCGAGGATCAGTTCCGCCTGCGCATGCACCGCGCACGGAGCGTGGAGCTCAGCAACGACGAACTCGTCGAGATTCGTGCTGCCCAGAGGACATTCGAGGGCGCATACATCCGAACGTCTCTATCCCAGTTCTCCTTCGCGCTTGTCGTCCTCAAGATCTTCACCTCCGAGTTCTATAGCATAGGAGCATTGTTCGCGGTCTACGGTGCAGGAGTGCTCTTGGTCAGTGCGTATCGCAGACAGCAGGGGAACAAACAATTCTTCGACGAGGTCGGCGACGATGGACTGGGCAGAAAGAGATTCAGAACTAGTGGGAACGTGGTGGTCGTATTGACGGCCTTGAGCGTGGCGGCGTATATCACGTTGTTGGTCCTGACATTGAAGCTGGGAGATTGAGAGCAGTGTACCCAGATGGACACACATTAGGAACAATACGGAGTACCTCCATCACGCTTGCTTCGCGCGTCGAAGAAGGATTACTTGGTCTAGCAAGCCGGACACCTAACATCAAGCGCACGACATATCTTAACGACTTCAACAGCAGCATCACTCGATAGAGGACCACAGGGCCACCACTGGCGTTTATACCAGAGGAATTTGTGGGCGTCGCCACACCGCCTGCTCTCATGGACGAGCGGCTTTACCGCTCCATTCACGCGAATTTACAGAACCTTTAACCTACCTAAAAAGGTAACGGACGATCGTTTGCGTTGGCCGCATGAGAGACCTACCTCCCTCGAGTTCATCGAGAGTAGGGAATACGTCGAAAGGCAATATCTTATTAGGCGAGAACATCTTGTGCGACAATCAAGAACACCCTATCAGACCTAGCAGCCATGGATTCCGCTAAAGTGATGGCCAGATTCAGGTCAAGGTGACAGCTCCGTACTCTAATCACCTCGACATCAGCAAGCAAGCACACATTTGTGACCGGAGAGTCATTTAAGGCACTATGAAGTAGGTAGTACAAGGCAACATCAGAGGCTCAATATTAAGCCTTGCTCGTATGCACACTACCAACGAACGAAGCCAAATTGCTTTGATTTTCAGTCCTATTTTGTTGAGCCCACTCTCTGTGAGATAGCACGCTTTCAGACCAACCGAGTCGCCTCCTATTGATCATACTCAACGTATCCCAATTCCTGAAAATACGTCCCTCGCCATCACCCGCTTTTGCCAGACTTCCGGACCAGCAGTCTTGATCACCTGAACCCGATTATATGCTTGATTCGGCAGAACTATTGCATCGTCAAAGCCATTGAGGATTAGCGTTGGTGCTTTGATTCTTAAAGCATGATTGACGGGACTTCGCTCTCTCCATATACGTTGGTGATCCTCCATGGAAGTGCCGGGTTGAAAGCACAGCGGTCCAAAAGTGACTCGAACTGCCATGTATCTTCGACAAGCAGTGCCATATCGGGAGCACACACCCACCCGCCCAGGCATCAGGGTACAGGGAGCTAATACAGGAGGGAAGAGGTGGCGCCCACAACGATGAAGGATGTAGGAGGGGGGTTTCAGAGTTTCTACGCCTGCAATATCGATGAAGGGCAGCCAAGGTTGGGCCACCGCAGAGATTTGGCATCGATTGAGATAAGTTATGAGCAGTTATTCTTCTTGTAGGATGCCACTGTGGCCCGACGAATGCATATCTCGAGCCTCATAGAGACCAGACTTGCATTCCAAAACCAGCATTTTCCAGCCCTGAAAAGCTGATGTGACGTGGTAGCGGTGTCACAAACATAGTACCAGGGCGCAAGACCATCTAGGTTGAGAGCACTTTGTCCAGGTGTTGCCAGGCGCATCGAGCTGTTGTCCTTCTCAGGGCTGCGACTTACCCGCTGGCTCCCAAGAAGCAGCTGACCATTGTTTGGCCCCCGTATATACGTCTTCTGGAATCATTCTCGCGCATCGAGTGCGAAGAGTGCGCTCCTTCCTTTTCAGGCATAGATTCGGGGTCTCTCCGGCGAACGCGAGCCTGGACCTCTCTGCATGCGACGCATTCAATATACGAGCGGTGATAATTCGTGAGATTCTAACATCCCTCACTCCTCAGCTGTTGTATGAGCTCATGACATGGCGATGGTCTTGGTCATGGGTGCCTTGTAGCTGGCACTAAGAGACGACAAACAACCGTCTGCTCAGCAGGCTCGCCTTCCCTACAAGCAGAACGCGGCCATCACTGGAAACTTGTTTGATCTTTATTCAGTCCACAGTGCGAAGAACAATGGCTCTTTCGGGGCACACAACCACACATACGTCCAGATCCAATGTCCGACCTCCTCGAAGTCCTTCCTAATTTCGACCCGAAGTCTCACAGGCACCTTTTGCACTCGCTCGAAAAGAACGATATAACTGTGGCTGACTTGATCAGTCTTGACCCGATTGACATTGCTCGAAAATGCCCTCTGCCTACGACTGACGTACAACTTTTAGTATCAGATGTGGTCAAGGCTCTCCAGGAAGATGTTCATGAAGCAGTGAACGAACGGTGGGAGATTGGGCCACCTGAGCAACGGAAGGAGACGAGCGCCGGGCAAGAGGAAGTGGGCGGTGACATCCACAGCAATGAAGTAAGAGTTAAGACACTGGATATTGACATCGATGGTGCATTAGGCGGGGGTCTTGTACCAGGGCACATCATAGAAGTCGTTGGCGAGAGTGCGGTTGGCAAGACTCAATTTGTCCTCGGACTCCTGCTTTCCGCCCAACTTCCCCCACCGCGAGGGCTTGGGAAGGGTTCAATCTATGTTTCTACAGAGGCACCACTCAATACTGCTCGTCTGAGCCAGATCCTGACTTCTCACCCTGAATACGAGAGTCTCCAACCAGGTGACCGCCCATCTCTCGATTATGTGCATGCCATTGCAACCAACGATTTGGAAGCACAAGAGCATATATTGCGATATCAGCTGCCGGTTGCAGTCCGTCGGTTCAATATAGGATTGATTGTCCTGGACTCGGTAGCTGCAAATTTCCGGGCCGAACACGAGAGTCGCACTGCAGCTGGCCTTGCAGAAAGAGCCATCGAGCTGAGCAAGCTGGGCAATACTCTCCGCCGCGTCGCCATCGAGAACAATGCTGTTGTGGTGGTCACAAATCAGGTTGCGGATCGGTTCGACGACATCAGACCCTCTCTTCAGTCTTCGTCACCCGCAAGCTCTTCACCATCGGTGTCTACACCCAATCTGTCTTCTTCGGTAGTGGATTTCCGGCGAGAAATTCAAAGCCTTGATCACCAACAGCGGTTTTTTACAGGTTGGGGCGATGAGCCCGGGGAGAAACGTAGTCAGTTGAAGAATCCCGCTCTTGGCCTAGCATGGACCAACCAAATTTCTGCTCGCATTGTCCTTAAGATGGAAAGTGAGAGACAGGAATACATGGGAGGAAATATTTGGAGGGATCGGAAGAAGAGCCGTACACTGCGCGTTGTCTTCGCCCCGTGGGCCAGTCCGACGAATGTTCCCATTCCCTATACGATTGGCATGCAAGGTATTTCCTCGATCAGCGAGGATGAGTTGGAAAGAGAAGCACATCTTCAGGCTATTGGAGAGAATGGGGAATTGTTGAAGGAGGAATTATGGGTTACGGATGATGATGAGGAGTTTCCATGACACAAAGATTCCCCGTTTGGATACGCTCTCTAGTCAGCTAGTTGCAGTGTCCCTTTAGGGAGCCGTTATATTATGCCTTTTCAGAGCAAATATGTGGCATCAGACTCGACGATCCATGATCTGCTTTCCTTGCGATACTCTTTGTTTGTTCCAGCGTGGCCTGCGGAGGGAGTATCGGTCGCTTGGGAGGTGGTGAATGCTGAAGCCAGGCTCGCCGTGTTAGGAATGTCCATGCGAACGTCGGTAAGATGAAGTCAATTTCAGCCAGTGAGGGCCGATTTCGATGAACCAACTCGCCTGTTCTTCGTCGGTGGTCATCCGAACAACGCGCAATGTGTAAAGAGTGGTTATCTCGCAGAGTTAGCGTCGCTAATAAACGTCGAAGAACTGACCATGGTTGGTTTTGTCCATCGAAGAGTAAGGGAGGTTGCCTCCGCTCGGCCCATACCGAGTGATCGACATCAGTGTCAGATAGTATTCATCAAACCTCAACCTCCTCCCGTCCCCTCCCTTCCTCAACCTCTCCATTTCCTTCTGTCCCATTTCTCGTGCCCCCGCCATCTCATCTATCTCCTTGAATCTCTCCTGCGGTGCGCGCCCTCTATCCAGCATGGCTGGGACACGGGTGAACAGCGATTCCAAGGGGGTATATCCTCATCCTTTGGACCAATTGAGTGGCGATGAGATCAAAGTCGCTCGGCAAGCAGTCCTCGACGCAAGGAAGAAAGCGATACTATTTCGCAACATCTACGCTGTGGAGCCCCCGAAGGCGGAACTGGTCGACTTTCTCAACGCTGAGCACGCCGGTAGGTTGACGGCGAATACACCTCGTCCAGCTCGGCAAGCGCGCGCCCAGTATGACGTTATATACGAGAAGGGGCATCACGAGTATATGGAGTCCATCGTCGATATCGCTTCGGGCAAGGAAGTTGATCTCAGGAAGCCGGAGAAAGGGTCCCAGCAATCTCTGACCGTGGACGAATTCAAGGAATTCACCATGGTGTGCATGGAATCGGACAAATTCAAAGATGCCGTCAAGGAACTCCAGTTGGATGCCGAGAGGTTCGAAGTTGCCATTGACCCATGGCCATATGGAGGGCCCGATCCTGGCGAGGTTACGCCTCGCTACACCCAAGGGCTCTGCTTCGCCAAGCTCCGCAATGGAAACCCCGACACCAACCATTACGGCTTTCCTCTGCCGATCATCCCTGTGATGGACACCTACAAAAAGGAGATCATCCGCATTGACAGACTGGCAACCGGAGGCACAGAAGACGGGCTAGACTACGGTACGGCCAAAGGTAACGTCCTCGAACATTGTCTCCCAGCGGAGTACGTGCCGGAGCTGTTGGACGTTCCTCTACGGAAAGATGTCAAACCTTTGAATGTCTTGCAGCCAGAAGGCCCGAGCTTCTCGGTCAGCGATGACTCCCTCGTTAAATGGCAGAAATGGAGATTCCGGGTCGGGTACTTGACTCTTCCCTTTGAAGTTGTGTGATTGATGCTGACCGTGACTCTGTCAGATTTACGCCCCGAGAGTGCGCCGTGCTACACGACGTTCATTATGATGGCCGAAGTGTCTTGTATAGGTTGAGTCTGTCAGAGATGACGGTCCCCTACGGCGACCCCAGACCGCCTTTCCACCGCAAACAGGCTTTCGACTTTGGTGACGCTGGTGCGGGCCGTGCTGCAAACAATCTTGCACTTGGCTGTGACTGCCTTGGAGTGATCAAATACCTTGATGCCATGCTCGTCAACTCTGACGGGGAACCATCGTTGTCTCGAAGGTGCTTACGTTCATGCTTCTGACAGGACAATCTTGAACTGACCTTTTTTGGGAATGACTAGATGCGTATGTATCCACGAGCAGGACAACGGTATTGGCTTCAAACACACCAATTTTAGAACCAACCGCGCAGTGGTAACGAGAAACCGTGAGCTGGTTGTTCAATTCATCATTACTCTGGCCAACTACGAGTACATCTTCGCCTACAAGTTCGACCAAGCAGGAGGGTAGGTTGCATGAGTGTCCTGCGTCTCCTGTCAACAATTAACGTTGGAAAATAGCATCACTATTGAGACCCGTGCCACTGGCATTGTGTCTGTCGTCAACATCGACCCCGGGAAGACGAGCCCATACGGAAATGTTGTGTCACCTGGAGCCCTGGCGCAGAATCACCAGCACATCTTTGCGGTTCGAATTGACCCAGCCATCGACGGACAAATGAACACCATCTACACTGAGGAATCACTGCCTATTCCCATGAACCCTAAAACGAATCCGTTCGGCAATGGATACGAGGTTGTACGCAAGCCTGTCACCAAGTCATCGTGGATTCACGCTTCGCCGTTCACCAATCTTACCGTCAAGATGGCGAATGCAAATAAAATCAATCCCATCTCACAGCGGCCTGTCGCTTACAAATTCATTCCCTCCCCCAGTCAATTGATATTGGCAGATCCGGAGTCCGTAGTAGCCAAAAGAGCAGCATTTGCGCTCCATCACGTTTGGGTGACCAAATACAAAGATGAAGAACTCTTTGCGGCTGGAGAATTTACCAATCAATCTCAAGTGGAGAAAGGGGGTGTTGCCGATGCCGTCGCTCGTGACGAGGATGTTGAGAACGCAGACGTGGTTGTATGGAATGTTTTCGGCCTCACCCACAATCCTCGTGTCGAGGACTGGCCTGTCATGCCAGTCGAAACACACCAGATACATCTGAGGCCGGCCGACTTTTTCGAAAGAAATCCGGCCCTGGACGTTCCCGGAATCGAGAATGCTAGCTCTGTGGAGGTGGGAAGCGTTGCAAATGGATCATGCTGCCATGGCTCCGAGACTGTCAATGACGGCAGCTCTGTCCAAGCTGCGCCAACCTCTCACCTTCAAGGAACAGAGAGTGTCCCTGTTTCACAGATCAGTGGTCATTGAGGGGCGTTGAGGCGTTGACAGACAATAGCAGTGTACGGATAAAGGCTGCGTCCTGTGTGGAAGAGTGAACCGCGAGTTGTCTGATAGGGACGACTAAGATAACCGAGCACCTCTATGCAGTAAAAAGGGTAACAGCCGTCTCGGTTTGATAATAGCCCGTGTATTAAATCAGCTCCAGGGCTTTTGTTTAAGCATTGGCTGATAGTTGCCGGATCCGCCGGCGGCTCTTTGAGTTGCCTCCTATTGTATTAGTAGTAACTGTTTCGATTTCTTTTGAAGCAACATGCCCAATTCTTAGTGCACACTGACGCGTCATGCCAGCGATAAGGAAGGACATGGTCCGATTTGGTTCTGGTTTTGGTTGAAATTCAGCAGCACCGGGCTGTTCGGCGTGTCTCTCAGTGCCCATGGAGACTGTTTCCAGTTGCGATGGAATGATCTGTGAAATACGGAGATGGGAAGCCTGAACCCTGAAACTTCTGGCTGGACTTGGTGATTGGATCGAGCAAATGGCCAAGCGGCTGCTGACATGTTGATGTCCTCTTAACCGGCGGCGGCAACTTTGCGGTTGGTGCGTTTTGCTTTATCGGCAACCAAGGGGCCGGACGGTGCATTACAGCCTTAGCCCGCTCCGTACTGTGCCCGCCGATACAGGCAAAGTGTCGCGTGTGGCTTTTTGACCTCCCGTTGCATCCAGCAGAAGGACCACGTCATGTCCCTCGTTCCCGCCGCTGACAGCCCATTGAAATTGATGATACGAGTCTCCGTACGGGCGGCTCAACTTAGTTATCGTCGGGCGCACTTTCGCTTGTGTTCCACAATCTGTAGGTCCCCCGAGCCGGCATTTCCGATGAAGCAGTTGGGCATGCGACAGTTGCCCGTGACCTATGCGTTACCCTCTACGAGGTTGTGTTGCGATACGATGCTGTAATCCTTCCTCCGTCCTCCTCCCTCATTCCCTCACACCCGCAATGATCGCTCCTCAACCGTCGTCTCCCGCTGCGCTGGCGGTGTGCTTGTGCTGCGCTGCAATAATGACCATGAACTGATCACTGGACTGCTGTCTTAACCAATGTGTTGCTCTCGCCACCTTGGGTTCCAGGTCACACGAGCAGCAGTCAGCACCACTTGAACTGCGAACACGCCATGATAGGACATGCTTTGCTGAGGTGGAAGGCTGCAGGTCCTGTCCTCTTACTGATCTTCGTGTTCTCTGTCCTCCTCCTACTTCGCGATGTTGGTCCACTCCCCTCGATCGCAGTCGACTTCGACAGTGGACCGCAAGACCAGCCCGAGCCCGTTGCAACAACTGGCTCAGGCCCAACACCTTCTCCAACCTCGCCTCCCGATCCAGACCGTAACAAATACTTCCACGAGCCTGGTATGAGCGATCTCACACGACACTACGACTCCCGCTATTTTAAAGAGGTCGTAACAGAGGAGGAACGTCAAGAAACCTTGACGCATCTCATTCAATCGTACTTTGATACTTTTCAGAAACTTGGTGTTGAGACATGGATTGCGCATGGAACACTGCTGGGCTGGTATTGGAATGGCAAGGTATGTTGCTGGGAAATTTGCATTGCAAGGCCGAGTCTGATAGCTTCAAGATATTGCCGTGGGATTGGGATTTAGACACGCAGGTTTCAGACCACGGCTTGAGAACGCTGGCGGAAACTCACAATGGCACTACGCACCGTTACCCTCCGAGCAATGGACGCCCCGAACGACGCTACCTGCTCGATGTTAACTCATGGTCGTGGCAGCGGGAACATGGGGATGGTGCCAATGTAAGAGACCTGGCTGGCGCGGCGGAAATCGTTTTGAATGATGCTAACGATTCCCGTGTAGATCATCGATGCACGCTACATCAGCATGGACACTGGGCTTTTCGTTGACATAACAGGCCTGACGGAGCTCGAACCAGATACCAAGCCAGGGATAGTTATGTGCAAGAACAATCATGAATACAAGATGGAAGACATTTGGCCGCTCCGAGTGAGTGTTTTTGAAGATGTTCGGGTCAAGATTCCGAGGCACTACGAGGCCATCCTGGCGGACGAGTACTCTCAGGAGGCGCTGGTACGGACTGAGTTCAACGGGCATGTCTTTGACCCAAAGGTCAAAGAATGGGTCAGGGTTGACGATAATAGCACAGTACATGACTGAACAATTATATCATGACCATATCAATAGGTGTCGACTGGTATACTCGTAGACGACTCATGTTGGAGAATGTGAGTAACGATGCTGAACCTCGAACCGGCTGCGTTGTGGTTTTGGGCGAGGTAAGGATACGTGGCCATGTCAACCGGGAGAGTGTAAGGCTTGTGGCCTTCCAAGCACGAGCGTACGGATGCTTCTGCTGAGCCGTGAGGCCATGATTGCATCAACCTTACCTCAAGTACCATACGTAGACTGCGTGGCCATTGTCCTGGGACTAGTGAGGGCCAGACTGTGGATGATGGCCAATTGGTTGATCGGATAGCGCAGGGGCTAGCGAGGCTCGTCATTGTCAATGGCGCCTACTCCGAACTCATGCTGTCATATGGCGAGGCTGATTAATCCGAATCACCTCGAACCACAGCGAACTCCCATCCATCCCATAGTATTAATCCGACCCTCACTTGTAATTCTATCGCTCGTGCTAATGAATTCTACTGATCCGCGTCCTGTTGTTCTCAAGATGAAAGTCCAGTATCGCAATGAAACCCTCGAATTCGAGGAGGTCGCAGACGAGACGGTGACAGAACTGGCCACCAGATGCGCCGAACGTATTGGTGCCGACGTCGAGCGAGTAACCCTCTTCTTCCTCCCCAAGCCCGGATTCATGAAGCATCCATTCCCCGAACGAAAGCTAAGCGATTTCTTGACTCCTGCGACGCGCATAAAACTCGTAGGCACCCCCAATGCAGAGATCAAGAAGATGGACGGCCAGAAGCCGGCCCAGCGAAGGATTCCCCCGGCATTCAGCAAGCCGGTCAAGGCGAACAAAGTGCGGGACTGGAAGAAGCTCTCAGAAGAGCGCGCGTACACTTTCCACGCCATCGAACCCCTGCATTACCTCCCAAATCCAGAGAAGAGCAGGAGGTATCTTGAACGACTTGCCAACGACCCAGGAATCAAGGCCACGATGCGCAAACACAAGTTCAGTGTGGGACTGTTGACGGAGATGAATCCAGCGGAGCACACGACGCACGAGTCCAAGACGTTGGGTCTGAATCGAAACCGAGGCGAGGTGATTGAACTCAGGCTGCGGACAGACGCATACGACGGTTATCGAGACTACAAGGTAATTCGGAAGACGCTGTGCCATGAGCTCTCGCACAACGTCTGGGGGGAACATGACCGCAACTTCTGGGATCTGACCAAACAGATTGAGCAAGAGGTGGAGCGCAATGATACCCTGCACGGTGGACATCGGTTGTCAAACGAGGAGTTCTACAATCCAGGGGACTCGTATGATGATGCCGAGCACGCTGATTCTGGAGGCTGGACCGGTGGTGATTTCGTGCTTGGAAAGTCGGAAGATGCGCCCAGTGAGGCTGGACTTACTCGGCGCGAGATCATAGAACGGGCAGCTCTCACCAGGCTACGGAAGCAGCAAGACGTGATGGACCAACTTCAGAAGGAGTCAGAGGAGCTGAGCCAACTCCAGAAGAGGGGGCAAGAGATAACGGATCAGCTTCAGAAGCAGACAGACCAAGTCCAAAAGCCAAAGCCGCCGCCATCATGAGGAGACTGCGGGATCATGATATGATGTTTGTGAGGGATTTTCATTGTATGGCGTTGGAGGGGATTGATTCGACGATACACCTTTGAAGTCTTTAGCGATGGCGTTGGCGAGGTACCGTGCCTCTACAGGTATATCTAGGAAACTTGGACAATGATTAGTGGTCAAAAATCACCCAGAACCATAGGTAATCTCGCGCTACCATCCTGGCACGTGTACTCTATAGTTGTGTATACAAACTACTCATTTTCACATGCCAGTTCAGGAAGAAAGTCGACATCATGACGACGCTCATCCATACGTTGGGGCGTTGACGATATGAATGTCTGAAGACTCCAGAGATGTCACGGAATAAGGGGGATGAATCACCTGTGGGATATTGGCCCCCGTGGCGAGGAGCGACAGGACTATTGGCGAGCTTCGGGCACCGAAGGACTTATAAGCGACGGGGGCTACTTGGACTGGGGCGTCGTTAGGCTGTTGGCATTGCTTGGGCCTCAACCATTAGCCGCTGGGGGGTTAAGGTGAGGCTTATTAGGGCTGGTGAGGCGACACGGATATGCGGCGCTCGATCCCCGGACGGCCTAAAGCCAGCAATGAGACACTCTTGGAACGGGGCGGGCGCCACTTACAATATATGAATAGGCTTAACCTTGAAGTCAGGGCTGTGTTCAGCTCCTTTGAACTAGCGATCCTATCGCAAGTGACAGGCTTCAAGAATGCGAAAGCAGGTGATCAGTATTGCTGGCAGGATGCCTGAGCTGTATTGGATGTACCTCCATCGCGATGTCGTATAAATTAATTCGGATTGGAACTGTTCGGCTCCCTCGTACTTCTCTGTCCCTTGCATTTGAGCCGTGCGCTAACAAGAACACCAGATATTGGCCACCCAACATACTCACATCCGCGGGTACGGCATCCGTGTTGACTGGCGCTACGGATTACTGTAAACTACGAGTACCTCGTACATACTCCGTACTGTACAGCACAATTGCCGACCCTTAAGAACTGGCGCAGAGCCAAATCGACAATCGGACTGACTTGTCCCGTACCGAGTACTTAGCGACACCATCTGCAAGGTTATCTCGCCCTCTCTTCATCAATTCTTCAGGGAGCCAGTGACAAACCCTCAAGGCTCTTTTCACCGGTCCACAGAGCCAGCCAACGACGTCAGACACGAAGCAGGCTTTCAAAGACCGACGACAGTGTCGATTCTTCACTACGACGCGCGCTACGCACCGCATGCTCCCACTTCCCACGCCTTGCTACTGCCCGTGCGTAACAGGCTTGCGGTGACTTGCCGCTCGATTCCACTTTGGCAAAAAAACCCATCGTGACAATATTCCGGAGTTACGTTGTCCTCGTGGGACGGAGCACTCCCTCCCTGCTTTACTTGATCTGAAAAAGAGTCCGTGGCAGCGGCGCTGAAGATTACCTACCTACCTATTTGATAGTGAGTCACAAAAATTATACTTCACTTTTTGCCTTTCAGACAATACTCGTATCTACCTCTTCGTTTTTGTTTTCTTAATCAGCATTCGCATTCGCATATTGCCTCCTCCTCCTCCCACCACACGACTGCAGCCCTCCTCGCTAAAAACGCGCATACTGAATGTCTGTGCTCGAAGGGGCTCGGCATTCGTCGCCGTCCCCCGAAAGTCCAGGTACCCCAAGCCAAACACCGCCTCCCTACAACGGTCGCAACAGCAAAACAAAATACTCCAACCTCGCTCGCGCTGCCATAATGACGAGCGCTTCCTCGACTCCTCGACTCGAAGGCGAACATCTTCCCAACCATGCCGGTCACCAACACCATTCCTCGCTCATGCCTCCGCCAACGTCCGCATTTGGACGCATATCTCCAAAATCACAGCCACATGGCGCCAACTCGATGGGAAGGGCTTTGACGGACACACCACTGCCGAGTGCGCCTGGCAGTCCGCAGATGTGAGCTACCAAAGTCGTCGTTGGGCATGTCGTTGCAGAGTCGCTGATAAGACCACTTCCAGATCTGCTCGTGGTAGCGCAGCCACCTCGGGGTCTGCCACGCCTAAACTCAGGGCCACCACCCTCGATATCCCAGGCCTGACTCGGTCCAAGGTGTCACCCAATGGTCAAATTGCCGAGCGAGATGTGGGAGCCAAGCTGATCATCATCATGGTCGGCCTGCCCGCCAGAGGGAAGAGTTACATTGTGAAGAAGATTGCAAGATATTTAAACTGGTTACAACATCCCACAAGGATCTTCAATGTGGGTGATCGCCGAAGAGTTGCTGCTGGGAGAGGCAAGCCGATCCCAGATCGGACGACGGAGGCGCTACGAGAGTCTGTACGAAGGATGAGTTCTAATACAGGCGGCTCGTCAGAAAATAATGCGGACCCCCACTTGCTCCCGCCTCCTGTGATCAAGACTGATGATATTCTTGTCAATGGCGAGGCTGCGAAGCTAGATGTATTGTCACCTACCAGTCCGCCGCCCACGGGCAGCCCCGAGTCGACCGAAAACAACCATGAGCCCATTCAGCTCCCTGCGCCTGAGCCCATGGACCAGTCTGCTTCCTTTTTCGACCCTCAGAATACACGAGGCAAGCAACTACGAGAACAGGTCGCGCATGAAACGTTAGACGAGTTGTTGAAGTATGTCTTGGAGGATGGTGGATCAGTCGGCATCTTGGACGCAACAAACCACACCCAAGAACGCCGACTGTCGCTGATCAGGCACATTCGAGAGCGGGACGAAAACATCAACGTGCTCTTTCTCGAGTCTCGTTGTCAGGACAAGAATCTGCTCGAGGCCAACATGCGGCTAAAGTTGTCAGGCCCTGACTACAGGGGCAAGGACCCGATTGCCGCTTTGAGGGACTTCCAAGAACGTGTTGAACAATATGAAAAATCATATCAGAAGCTCGACGATTTCGAAGAAGACCACAACATGGCATATTGCTCAATGATCGACGTCGGCCGGAAAATGATCAGTTTTCAGGTCCAGGGCTTTCTGAGTATTCAGACCGTGACATATCTGATGAATTTCAACTTGGCTCCGCGACAAATCTGGATCACTCGACATGGTGAATCGACGGACAACGTGGCTGGCAAGATTGGTGGTGATAGTTCGCTGAGTCCGAACGGGGTGAGATACGCGAAAGCGTTGGAGAGATTCATTGGTGAACAATGGAAATTATGGGAGGAGAACCAGGCCCAGAAACAGGCCAACACCCACTTCCCTCCTCTGCCCGGCGACACAACACCACCCAACCCGGAGTACACGGCGCAAACATTGCAACAACGCAACTTTTGTGTTTGGACCAGCATGTTGAAGAGGAGTATTGAGACCAGCCAGTTTTTCAACGAGGACGAGTACGACATCAAACAGATGAAGATGTTGGATGAGTTGAATGCGGGTTACATGGAGGGAATGACTTACACAGAGATTCGACACAAATTCCACCATGAATACGAGCTCCGCAAACGGGACAAGATGGCATACAGATATCCTGGCCCGGGTGGTGAAGGGTACTTTGATGTTATCAATCGTCTGGGCAAAGTGATTCTTGAGATTGAAAGAATGACCGACCATGCGTTGATTATCGGACACCGAAGCATTTCTCGGGTCTTGTTGGCATATTTCATGGGCCTCAAGCAAGAGGACATCAGTGACCTGGATGTTCCCCTTGGTGTCTTGTACATGTTGGAGCCGGTAAGCTTGAGATTTGGTTTCGTGTTGATCATACGCTGACACTTGTTTTACAGAGACCTTATGGCGTCGAGTTCAAGGCCTTTCGATGGGATCCTGTGACGGATGAGTTTCGCTATGAGCCAGACTACCGCATGAGACGAGCCACTGATCCGCAGGCTTGAGTTTCTTTTTTTTTCTTCTTTTCGGACTAGCACGATACCCATTTGCTTTTCCTTGTATATACGCTGTTGTTTGAATGTATACACATAGTCGGGGGATTTGTTATATGTCGGGCAGGCTACTTCGCATTGATTCTGGCGTTGTTGTGACCAGACAAGGTCAGACAAGGTATGGGCTGGGTCTTTGGCGGACAACTGGGATGAAGGCTTGAATGATGATGATGTTGTTGCTGTTGTGCAGTGATGCAATCGGAACAACGTTTGTAAAGGAGTTTCCTTTCTTGTCCTTTTTCTTTGCGAGTGCTATTAGCGTTGGCGTTGGAAGAGGTTTTATTTTATCCAAAACTTGTACAGTATTTTCGAGGCATGGACGGGGAACATTGCTAGCAAGCGTTGGGAGAAAGTGATGGTAGTTAGTAGAGTCCAGTGGCGACTTAGAACGTCCCGTTAATACCTAAGGTAAGGTAGTTGGTTGCTTGAAGCTTTTTGTTTCGGAGTAAAAGCTCTACTCAAATGAAAACGAGGTGTTGCTGGTCCTAACCTAGGAGGGAGGGAGGGAGGGAGGGAGGAAGGAAGACAGCCTCTTGTTAGAGAAGGCAAAGAATTAACAAATGATGAGTTTGTACGGAGGACTAATGTTAAGTCGAGTGAGCAAAACGGCAGCATTGTCTGACATCTTGAAGAATGTCTTCAGAAGATAAAACGAAATAGATCGGTCTACTTCTATTGTACCTAGAGAGCGATATCCCTAATATCCGTACTCCTCCTGCGGAGTACAAGTAGTGAAGTAAACTGTATTTTTTGGCCTAGGTATCCCCTAGAAAACATCTTTGTCCCGTCTTGCCGAGAGGCGAGCTTCGTTTACGGAGTAGACTTTTTCGAACGGGTGAGACTGTTGAGAGGGTCATTGGTTGGCCGTGGCCGGTGGTGTTTTACACTTTTTCCTCACACGCAAACACGCACACATGTGATAGACCTCGTCTGTGAACGAGGGGGTTTTTACAAGTAGGCGAAAGGGGTTGTCCCGACCAGAGGGATACAATACGCCACGCTGTACGGAGCACGATGTTACGAGTAGTTACCTGGCAGTACGGAGGATGTAAGGAGATGTTGGTTTTGGTTTGAGCGTGAAACTTCTTCAAAAGGCAGTACAAGTTCAGAGTAACAAATGATGGGTTGTGACTTTGACTCTGACTCTGACTCCGACGAACCGAGAGATCAAGAGGGTGAGCGAAGCTCGAGCACCCTACAGCAACTTGTACAGTGTGCTGCCGCTGTTCCGTCTTGCCGTACTCGTGTGGCCCCCCTTCGACGCCCGAAGCGGGTCCCGGTTGGGAAACTCTCATCGGGGCTCGACTCGACCGCAGAACGGAAGCGTCTGTACTACTTTTACGAGCACCGACTGACTCCTACTAATAAATCAGGGTTGACAGGTCTGAGGTGACAGGTCCACAGGGTTGGGTTGGCTCGGATTTCTGGATTGATTGGATTCTCACAGTCTAAAAAGAGAAAATCAAGACTTCTTTTCCAGAAGGCTTGGTTTGATATCCCTTTCCAAGACATCTTTATTCAAGGCTTGATACATTGTTTTTTCTTCTCCAAGACCATTTTCGAAAAGCTTGAGATCTCTTTTCTCAAGACCATTTTTTACGAGGCTTGATATCTCTCTTTCAGAACCATTTCTACGAGGCTTGATATACCATACATCTTTCTCTCTCCGAAACTATCTTATCTTCACATTTTACAACGCTTGGTCCTCTGACAAAGATTACTTATTATGCCCCAACATCTAGGGCTATGAATACTTCACATCACACCAACCACGAAATAGAAAAACATTCTAGCTTCTTCCGACGAACCAGCGCACGACTGACACACATGCAACAATGCCTACCCTGGTCATTACCAATTTCAACATTGTGTGTTCCGTCTTGGGCGGGTTCATCACCGTCTTCGGGCTGGTGAGTTATCTCTTAAAGGAACGATTCTATCTCTCAGAGGCTCTTATCTCGCTCGTGGCCGGCATCATCTTCTCACCCCACGCCACGAACTGGATCAGGCCGCTGGACTACGCGGACGGGGTGGTTGAGAACCTCGACACCATCACCCTCTACTTCACGCGGCTGGTCCTGGGCGTGCAGCTGGTCCTGGCCGGCGTGCAGCTGCCCAGTCGATACCTCTACACGGAGTGGAGGTCCCTTTTCCTCCTTCTGGGACCGGGAATGACGCTGATGTGGCTCAGCGGGAGCCTCTTGATCTGGGCCATGGTGCCTCACTTGTCGTTCCTGCACGCGCTGGCCGTTGCTGCCTGCGTCACGCCGACCGATCCCGTCCTGTCAAACTCGATCGTCAAGGGCAAGTTTGCGGACAAGAACATCCCGAAGCCGCTGCAGAAAATCATCATCGCCGAGTCCGGAGCCAACGACGGCCTGGGATATCCGTTCTTGTTCCTGGCGCTGTACCTGATCAAGTACACGCAGATGGGCGGTGCTGGGCACCCCAACCCCGGAGGCGCTGCGAAGGCCATGGGGTACTGGTTCGGTGAGACGTGGGGGTACACCATCCTGCTGAGCGTCGTTTATGGCATCGCCGTCGGCTGGTTGGCCAAGGAGTTGTTGCATTATGCTGAGGAGAAGAAGTTTGTGGATCGCGAGAGTTTTCTCGTCTTTGCAATCACCCTCGCCTTGTTCATCACAGGTACTTGTGGGTTGATCGGCTCGGATGATGTCCTGGCTTGTTTCGTTGCTGGGAACGTCTTTACATGGGACGATTGGTGTGGCTCTCTCCTTCTTGGTTGCATTGTTTGTGTTTGTTTTACTGACGGACGTTTTTTTTTCAGGTTCCGCCTTGAAACTGCCGACGATTCTCTTCAACCTACCATTGATATGCTGCTCAACATAAGTGTCTTTATCTGGTTCGGCGCCGTGTGTCCATGGGCTGAATTTCGGACGAACGATGTCATTCCGCTTTACCGGCTGGTCTTCTTGGGGATCCTGATTCTTTTGTTTCGGCGCGTACCCATGGTGTTTGCGATGCACAAGAAGATACGCGAGATCGAAGAGGTCCAACAAGCTGCGTTTGTGGGCTTCTTCGGCCCCATCGGCGTGTCGGCAATCTTTTACCTTTATATCAGCCTGGAATTCCTGAACACGGTGACTGTTGACGGCGAGGTTCGCGAAGATGCGGCGCGACTGCAAGAGGTGATGCGCGTGGTGATCTGGTTCCTAGCCATTTGCAGTATTGTCGTCCACGGCCTCAGCGTGCCGCTCGGGAAGCTGGGATATCACTTTCCCAGGACCATTTCTCAGGCTCTGAGTAGCGACAGGGAAGACGACGATTACGATCTGCGATTTCGCCGGGCGCAACAGTTCAACCAGACCTTGAATATTCGACGCCGGAAGAAGAACACGACGGGTGACAGTGCCTCGAAGCAGCAGCAGCCGCAGCAGCCACCATCCCCGGCTGTATTCAGCCTCTCAAGGCCTCAGAAAGGATCGTCTGAGCTAGGGGACAGCGAGGCCAGATCAAATAACCCTCCAGAGCCACATCGCCCGATCCATTTCCCTGACGAACCGTCGGAGAGGCAGCAGTCGCCCGCGACGTCCGATCGGCGGATTCAGTTTTCCAGAAACACGCCATCCGATGGGATGAGTACGCCGAGTAGTTTGAGACGGGACGTGGGTGAAAGAGGTCAGGACATTAGAGATGGGCACGACAGATCTGCTGGCTAATTCTAGCGACGACCTCGGAGCAGCTTGGGGAGACAAGGGGATCTCGTAATGATACTTGGTGGCATCGAACCCAGGATATTATGTGTTATGACCACAGACATGACTGAACGAAGCGATCATGAAGATAGATGTAAATACATACTGGAGCATAGAGGATATGCCGCCTCACGTGGGAAAAGAATGGAATCATTCACAGAGAGAGGAACAAGAGGTTCAACGATTATGGACCTAGGGATGTGCTGATACTCTCAATCATATGAGCTACTCGCGTTTCATGTGTGTTGAGCCATACCTGTACAGGAAAGTCGACGACCCCCTTCGAGGACGATTTGCTGGAGTTTTTATACCCCGCGCCGCGGACGGGGCGTGATGTGCCTGCGACACGACACGGTTCCGTGCTGTGCTCCGCTCCGCAATAACTACAGTACCACCAAACAATCACCGCCTTCCACCCTTTGACCCCGGTGCTCCCCCCCCCCCCCCCCCTTGCCTGCTTGCTTCAAAGGAGACGACCTTGTGTTCCATTTTTCCTTCTTCTGGTCATTCTTCCCCTGGTGTAACAAGATGGTAGACTGGCTACTAATTCCCTTCCTTTGACCTCTCGTTGCCCCATCACACTCCTAAAGGAGAACTGCGTTGCGACCCTCACATTCACAGCACTCCAGGAATTCTGACTGCTGCTCAACCAACAACTTGTACCTGAATACCCTTCCTCACGCTCCCGACACCTTTTCCGTTTCTTTCGCCAACCTGCCTCGCCTCCGAAGATTCGGTGTCGTCCTCCGGCCTCTCTACTCTCGCTTCAACATGGCACAGCCTTCACCTCTCGCCCAGCCAGGCGAGTCTGGACGTTCTTCAAGTCCCAGTCTCAGTCTCACTCCCACAAACGCCGCGGCGGGCCAGAAGAGGAAAAGAGCCGCGGAACGGAAATTCTACGCAGTCAAGGAGGGCAACAAGCCTGGAATCTACGAAACATGGCCAGAATGCTTGAGCCAAGTCAAGGGATACAAGGGGGCAGTCTGTACGTGATCTCACGCCTACCAAGGCACTTGTATGTCGACCACTGACGATCTCTACAGTCAAAACATTCCCAAGTCTTCATGAAGCTCAAGCATGGATCGATGGCAAGCCTTTGGCAGAGTCCAGGGTCAACCCGGCGGATCAGAAATTCTACGCAGTTCAGTGCGGGAAAGTCCCGGGAGTTTATACGGATTGGACACAAGCTCAGGCTCAGATTCGCGGCTTCAGTAAACCCAAACACAAGAAGTTCAACACAAGAGTGGAAGCAGAGGCGTTTGTGGCGGCCGGGAAAAAGCCAAGCGGTCCTGATCAAGCACAAAACCTCACGCCCGAAGAGGAAATCCGACGGTTGATTGTACGCAACTCTGCTCCGGGGCTGCAAATCGACGGAACGTATGCCCCGACGGATAAAGATGGAAATCCCTACGAGGTGTCACGCCGACCGTTGCCGCCTGGTGCAGAAGACGGCTATGATCCAAATGTCAAGTTGGCGCCTGACGGTAGGATCGTAGACCGGACTGAAGACGAAAAGAAACAGACGAAGATGATGACAAGGGAGAAGAACCCTCCGGGTATGCTTCGAATATACACCGATGGATCGAGCTTAAAGAATGGTCAAGCCGGAGCCAGAGCAGGAGTAGGGGTGTTTTTCGGACCTCAAGATCCCAAGTATGATACTTCCAAATCCAAATCCAAAGCCAAGCGTCCCAAGACTCAGCGCGTCTATACAATGGACTGGACCGCGCGACGGCAAGGTCCAGACTCTCCTGATGCGAACCAGCAACAAAAAGAAGACGAGTCGGGAGAAGAAGAAAACAAGCTAACGAACTGGCGTTACAGAAATGTTTCCGAGGCACTCAAGGGCAGCAAGCAGACCAACCAACGAGCGGAATTGACGGCTATCCTACGTGCATTGAACATTGCTCCGTTGCACCGAGAAGTCACCATCTACACGGATAGCAAGTACTCGATTGAATGCGTGACGAATTGGTACAAGAACTGGAGGAAGAATAATTGGACCAACGCCAAGGGGAAGCCGGTTGAGAATAAAGACTTGGTCGTGGAAATCCGAGACAAGATTGAAGAAAGAGAACAGTTTAGTAAGGGCACGTATTTCGTTTGGGTCAAAGGCCATACCGACAATCCAGGCAATATCGCTGCTGATCGACTGGCTGTGGCCGGGGCGATGAACGGGCGCGGAATCGAGAATGAGGGTGAGGACGACAACGACGACGACGACGACGGTGGTGGTGACAATGATAAGATGGACAAGAGGGTTCCAAATTCTGATGGCGGCAAACTGAAAAATGGCACCCAGTATGATGACGAAGACGACGAGACGAAAGCAGCATTTGGTGCGATGGATGAAGCCATGGGATGACAGGGTACTGGTATTGAACTGAACGGTTGCTCAAGTTGGCGATTGATGCTTGTGTACTGGGTAGAATGAGGTCCCCGTAAATATGGTATATCATTGAGCTAGCTGGGGGTTGAAGAGCTCAGCCACAAATCGGACCTGGGATACATAGGTATCTGGAGCTGCCTAGTACCCAGTAAGTGGGTTGATATGACGAATTCAGGCTGCATCTACCCTTTCAAGGGTAGTGTCTGTATTATATTGTGGTGTAGTAGTGTCATGCCTTTGCCCTTGAGAAATTCAAGTCGTGTACGTGACAAAAGTACTCTCTGTTCTAGTTTTCTTTGCCCGTTTCACCGCCCTTGTCTCATGACGACACGGGACAGAGCGAGAGCTCAACGTCCTACTTCTTGCCTTTCCCCTTGCCTGCCTTACCGGGGTGCCTGTCGGACTCCGTCTCGCCTTTGGCGTCGAAGCCTCCCTTGACGAGCACCTCGCGGGCGACCGAGTTGATCAGGCGGAACCTGTCGGGGCCGAGTTTGACGCCGCCGTACCACCGCGTCACGACGACCACGACGTCCCACACGTCCATCAGCTGCATGAGGTGGAGCAGCCGGCCGCCCGCGGCGGTCTCGCCGTCGTCGTCGCAGTCCTGGACCGCGGTGGCGGCGCCGGTCTGGGCGTTCCTGGCGCCCCGGATCCTCCACGCCGTGATGTTGTGCGTGGCGCCCGCGACCTTCTTGTTCGTCGCGAGCAGGTGCGAGATCGAGTCCGTGGCGGCCGAGAGCGCGGTCGCGCGGCACGCCCGCGCCACGAACGTCGACCTGTTGACGGTCAACGGCTCCGACACGACCCACGCGGGCGCGGGCACGCCCGACGAGGCTGCTGCTGCTGCTGCTGTGTCTCGAGTCAGGTCGTCACGTTCGTAAGAGTGGTAATGATCACGTCCAGCGGCCGTCGCGGACACGGCCGTGGGCGGAGGAGGAGGAGGAGCGGCAGAGGCAGAGGCAGCAGCAGACCTTTTCGCAACATCTGCGGTGTGATCTTCAGCCGCGCCATGATGATGATGATGATGATGATTATTGTGGTTGTGGTGTTGTTCTTGTTGGAGCAGCGGCCCGGCTTCTTCCAGAAGATCAAACAGGCACACTTGGTCCGGCACCCACACTCTTCCGAGAACGTCGCGGAGAATCGTCACCGCCGCTTCCCCCTCGCCTCGTCCGCTGCCGCCGGTTGACTGCGTGCCCACGATCGTGGGAGGCGCATTGGCGGGGTAGTCGGTCGGGAATGAAACGAGGAACGAGAATGGTAGATCCGGGAGTTGGAGGACCGCGGTGGTGGTGTCGAGTGTCGAGGTGGTAGAGGCGGAGGAGGAGGAGTCGCCACGGACGACGAGCGTGTTGGGACCGTAGATCGAGTTCAGAGCCTCGACCTCGTCAGCAAGAGCTGCATTCGACACTGCCTTTTCAGGCTCAGACATCAAGAGTGTGTCCTCTCCGTGGCCGTCAGCGAGACATCTCCAGGGACCAGGCCTCGTCGACGTCGTGATAAAATTCGGTAGAGTTGCCCTTTTTCACAGTGCGGGAGACGTAACTCCACGACCTAGCTCTAGCTCCAGCCAAGCGACCTACCTACCTAGATTAATAAGACAGTCCTCTGATGTCTTCGTCCTCTGCTATTCAGTGTCCTACACCTATCACTCCCTAACTAGACTGGCAGAGTTGTTATAGGAGGTACACCGTGGCTCTGCCTTGGAAACGTGAATTTCCTCAACCCCTCAAGGCCCGGGGCTTTCTCATGAGTCCACACCCCAATTGAGCGATGGCCGACCGAAAACTTGCCAAAGCCCGTCCTATCAATCACAACATCTAGTTCCCATCCGAGAATGTCCCTCCACGTCTCTCCGGCGTGTTTTTGTCCAACAAACATCCGCTTGGACTTTCGATCCCAGGAGTTCGTCATGAGCACAGCCAAGCCCGCACCGTTCGACTTGGTTTTGTGGCCGGACCTGGTCCATCCAATGCAGTCGTCCGAGTCCAAGTAGTCTCTTTCTTGACCGTATGCGTAGAGTTTCCTCGCTACGACCAGTCTTGTCAGTTTGCCGCCACACGCCGGTAACCTCGGTCGAGGGCCGTGGATGCCAAAAACGTCTCCCCAAAACACGCAAGGCGTTCCTCCCTGTCGGAGCAGAATGATGGCGTACGCCATCGGGATGAACCACTCTTCCACGGGCGCAGCTAACGATTGCAACTCTTGAGTGTCGTGGTTCTGTACAAAAGTCTACCGGGGCCGATAAATTAGCCCCCCTGGCCACATGTGGTAGGCGAGGGTCATTTTGTCACTTGGATATCCAAGACTTACCACTGCATGTCGAGGGGTCCTTTCGACTAACGAGCCATCGAGCACGGTTCTCAGATCCAAATTCCTCCCTTTCGATATATCGCTGAAGTTGTACACAAGTTGAACATCAAAAAGATTTAACCTCCCTTGGAATTTCTCAACGATCTTCTGCAACGCCTCCGAGTTCGCGTCCCAGTATTCCCCGACAAAGAACAGATCTGTGCCTCGGGGGGTGGTGGTGTCGAGATGCTGAAGTAACTCATGTAGGAAGGATAGAGAGTAATGCTTGATCGCATCCAATCTCATGCCACCTAGTTGCAGCGTCGACGAGATCCAGGTAGCCCAGTTCTTTATATCCGAACGTACAGCGGGGTGCGAATGGTCGATATCAGCAAACATTCTGTCCTCGTCGGGTAAGCAAGTTCCTGTATCTCCGTCGCGTTGGATGGCTGAAGGAAACTTACAAATAATCATAGTTTCCTAATTCTTTGCTCACATCAGTCGCCCACTCTCCCTTCTTGCCTTCTCCGACAAACATGAACACCCCATGATCTTTCTTCCGCGAATCGTAGTCCACTGCTGTAAAATGCTTCCAGTTCCATTTCATGTCCGAGTACTTGGAACCCCTGGCGGGGAAAGTGAACACTGTCCAACTTTCGATTTCAAATGGCCGGGTTGTGGTCTTGGTGCGGTCTGCTGAGTGGTCAGCATGATGAAACGCGGGCAAATCCCAAAGAGACGGTGGTTAGAGGCCGGGGAATATGTGCTGTACCCTTTGGATCAACTTTGACGGCGTGACTGACTTCCTTGTCGTCAGCGGCAGCTTTGTGGTTCAATACCGCGTCCCACAGCACACTAATCCGGTGATCTTTGGCGGCCTGGCAGAAGACTTGCAGCTCGTCCTTGCTTCCCCATTTCGTTCTTGAAGGTTGGCCGTTACGTTTGGCGTCAAATTCGCCCAAATCATACAGATCGTAGATGCCGTATCCGTTGTCGTGGACAGACGTAGCTTTGCAGCCCGGTGGGAGCCAAAGATGAGTGATTCCAAGTGTAGCCAGGTGAGGCAAGAGAGATGTTAGGAGCGTATAGTGGCTGGGGTTGTTGTCGGAGTCGTCTTGAGGCCCAGGTAGGTACCATTCGAAGGCTTGGAAGATGGTCTTGTTCTCTGCAAGGGGGAAAGAGTCTTACGAGGATTAGCTCGCACTGGATCACTTCAGACTTTGGGTCGAAACAGCTGTATTTCAAAGAGTCTGAACAGGGTTGGCAAGTAGAGGCGTTGACAAAAGTTCTTCCATATAGATAGCGTGCATGCTCGCTGAGTCTGGTGGCTCACCTTCAGGTGTATCATGCCGTACCAATCCTCCGCTCAGTGACCTTGCAAGATGGTTCAGGCGTTGCATTTCAACCTCTGGAAGACTGAGAATGATACTCCCTGGCACTGAATCTCATGAGACCATGATCCATCTGAAGCAAGATCGTCTAGAGCCTTGGCCACAATGACGTCGTACCTGGACGAAGACGACGTTTCAATAGTATTTGCCGCAATCATCTGTACAAGATATTTGTCGACTTTGACAGGCCGGTATGAATACTTTGCCATCAAGCATCGGGTGCAAGAGTCTCGCCTGAGAAGGATCGAAACGTTGAATCAAGGGTTACGGCGTGAGATATTAATAGATCAATGTGATCGCTGACGACGACTGATCGGCATCAGGCTACGAGCGACGAGGCTACGAGGCTACGAGGCTGACCCATGCATCCTACGGCCCGACGTCCCGGGTTCTCGCTCAGCACAGCTTCAACGTTGTTCAGTCTGCAACATTTACATTCGTTCAGACTGCGCTTCGCATCAAACCGAAAACTAAGAGCAACGGGGCCGAGGTTCCTGAAATGAAAGACATAATACTTCCTGCATCACAGATTCATAGATAGACATGCGGAGTCTAGTTTATGACATTCATTCTGACTTTGACTGCTACCCATCGTCTCCACAACGTTCTCTATTTGAAATGGGCTGACAAATGTACAAATGAGATATGCTATATTAAAGCCTTGCTGGTGAACCCTCAGAGTCTCTGTTGGTGGCCATCTTGAACCTGCACCGCGAACAGATTTACATATATACCTGGTGTCAGGACGCAGAACCATCAACAAAGACTGTCGCAGCTGCCATACAGGAAATCGCACCGTCTCGAATCTCGCTCAACACGGGACAATCATGACCGAAAACGCCTCGACCAAAGCATCACGCCCAAGCATTGTACTCGTTCCGGGTGCGGCATGCCGGCTCATCTTCTACACTGCATTGGTTGAACAACTGTCCAAGCACTTTGAAACATATGCCTACGACTTGCCGACCGCTAGTCGTGAGCCGCCTCAACAAGCAGCGACCTTGGCCGACGATGCAGCCTTCTTCCACGACAAAATACAAGACCTCGTGAATGCTGGGAAGGATGTGGTCGTTCTGGCACATTCATATGGCGGTATGCCTGCAACAGACAGTGTCCAGGGTCTGGCCAAGTCAGACCGCGCCTCCCAGGGTCTTCCAGGAGGAGTTGTGAGACTCGTCTACCTTTCATGCATTGTGGCAGACGTGGGTCAGACGGCAAGCGAGGTGACCAGCAGCCTCAACTTCAGTTTCTTGGTCCCTGTGGGAGAGGTAAGCAGCACGCTATCATTCATCGAGCCCCTGGGATGTTCCAAAACGCTGACCAAGCGATATGATAGAATGGAGAATTCTTGGCTCAAGACCTTGGACCGGAAGGCGCAACGACCATCTTCTCGGATCTTCCGCTGGAAGAGGCGCTGACATGGCAGACTCGGCAATCGCTGCAGTCCGCAATCTGCTACACAGGAAAGGCCGTGTACCCTGCCTACAGATATGTGCCGGTTTCGTACATCTTCTGCTCGGGTGACAAAGTGTTGACACCGGAGTTTCAGCAAGGGCGGATTGATTTTCTCAAGAAGGAAGCCAAGGAGTTTGATCTGCTCCGACTCGAGACCGGTCATTGTCCCAACGTCAGTGAGCCCGAAGCAACGGCCAAGGTCATCTGTGAAGCGATCAACAAGAAGGAATCGAGAGTGTAGGGAAATAAGAGTCACAGTTTACTCGCGAATGTCAGAGTCGGCCAAACAGATGAGCAACTCAGGATTCCACGTTGGGATCTGCTTTCTGCAGACGTCTGAAAATCAAAGAATTCTTGTTTTCTATGTCTCTCCTCTTCTCGGCAGCAATGCGAGTCGTGTCTCGTTGCGCATGGTGGTATCATCTCGCGTCCGTATGATGATTGTGATTCTTCCAGAGACGCTTGGCGCTTGAAGCCTACTGTCTGCTCGTGGAGCAGCTCACCGGCGGCTCTCATGACATTCAGAATCAACCAGAGATTCCGACATATCGAGTGTTGGAAACTTCTGGGAGGACAATAATTGGGAATTCATGATTTCGCGGCCCTAGTGTTTCGTTGTCCTTCGCACTTCCATTAGCCCGGTGAGAGAAAGGCCCCCTTAGCGCCAGCCTTTGTCACCAGCCTCGGCACTCGCAGGCCCACCAATCCAATTGATGCCGGTATCACCGGAGGGCCACTGGGCATCTGTGACTCCTTGGAATGTTGATGCTTAATAGTATGGACGCAAGGTACCCCCATACGGACCTTACCCTTGAGTCTTCATTAAGCAGAGAACTGCCTCCCCGCCAGGGTCTAACGGTACGTCCGTCTACCTGACCTTCCTCTTCTGTTCACGCACTGTCATTCGAATTACCTCTGGAGGGCCTTGGATGTGACTCACAAGAATGACGCTTGACCGATCAACTTTCACCGCGCTTGATACAGTGAGGCACCTATGGAGGCATCTCGGACTTCCAGCACATGCCTTGACGAGCCTGTCTCTCACTGGGGAAGGGCATGGACTACCCTCGTCGTTCCAGGTCGGACATCTGGCTCAAGCATCCATCGGGCTTTCTGGCCTGACCGCGGCTCTGATTCAAGCGCAAAGAAAAGGTTGCCCGGTCCCTCGAGTGACAGTTCCACTCCAGCACGCGGTGATAGAGTTCAGATCCGAACGTTTTTGCTTGCTGGACAAGAAATCATCCTCGGCATGGGGCCCGATCGGAGGTCTGCATGCTTGTTCAGACGGCCACGTCCGGGTTCACGACAACTTCCCGCACCACAGAGACGGTATAGTCAGACTCCTGGGATGCGAACAGCCGACTACCAGGTCGCAGGTCGGCGATGCGATATCTTCCTGGAGAGCGGTTGATCTCGAGACCGCGGCCGCCGACAATGGACTCGTCGTTGCTGCTCTGCGGTCGTACAAGCAATGGGATGTTACTCCACAAGCGCAGGCGATTGCGGATCTCCCCATCTCGATCGCAAAGGTGGGTGAGGCAGCTCCTGGAATCCCTCGACACATCGGGCCCGGCAAAGACAAGTGCCTACGCGGCGTCAGAGTTGTCGACATGACGCGTGTCGTCGCTGGGCCTGTCGCCGGGAAGACGCTTGCGGCACATGGCGCAGAAGTCCTCTGGGTGACCGGCCCGCACTTGCCAGACTTGCCGGAGCTCGACCGGGACTTGGCCAGGGGAAAGCGAACGGTGCAGCTCGACATCCGCAAGCCAGAAGATCTCGAGACTCTAATGCACCTTCTTGAGAGTGCTGACGTGTTCCTCCAGAGCTACCGCCCTGGAAGTCTGAGCGCTCTCGGTCTCACCGAGGAGGCCATCGTCCGTCGGCGGAAAGGGCGCCACCCAATCGTGATGGCCAACCTCTCCTGCTACGGCACAGCCGGGCCCTGGAAGCACAGGCGAGGCTTCGATTCCATCGTGCAGACGTGCTCCGGGATGAACGTCTCCGAGGCCGAGCATTACGGGAAAGGAGACGCCGCGAGGCCCCTGCCATGTCAAGCCCTCGACCACGCCAGCGGTTATTTCCTGGCCGCTGGGATCATGGCTGGCCTTTACCGCGCATGGACCGACGGTGGTTCGTACAGGGTGGATGTCAGCTTGGCCGGGACGATGAAATACCTCCGCAGCCTCGGCCAGCTTCCAGGAGATTCCGGCTTCGAGGCAACTGAGTACGATTACCACAAGCCGGAGGATGTCCCTGCAGAATACTTCGAAACACGCTCTTCAGGTTTCGGCGAGCTCCAGGCTATCAAGCACTCGGTCAGTGTCGACGGTGCGCAGGTCGGTTGGGACATCATGCCGCAGCCGCTGGGCAGCCATGAGCCAAAGTGGTAAATGATCCTTCCCACGACATGCACACCTCTCTACTCGGTTACTTCGCTTTTCTACTCGTATAGATAGCAAGCCTAGTGATTTTGTACTGTAAATCGTGCCAATACACTACCTAGCTTATATTCAAACTATTACAACTTGTAACCCCCTTTATCTGCTTAACTTTAATATCCGTTGCGCTATTGCCATACATACCGTTCTCGAGCCGTCCAGCTATAAATGGTGTAGCTGCCCCTCTTATGAATGGACGTGGTCCGAAGATTCTCCTCTATAGACAAAACTCGAACAACTGGTGCAGTGTTATGAAAAAGCGAAGTGCAAATTAAAGGCTTTGTTGAACTCGGCCTGGTCGCGCTGCTGGCTGACGAGGCTGAGCGCCCCTTGAGATCGTACACGGTTTTCAGGCTCCGTACTTAGTACCAAGTAAACGCCTCAACAACACCTAATGTACTTCAGGGTCTAGAACCTCACAGGACTGACAATTTGATAAAACATTATTTGTTCGAAGTTTAGTCAGGGGTAGCTCCGAAGTGACATTCGAGAGGATCGAATCAGCCAAGTACGCGTCATGGAAGAGGCTCTTCTCCACTCACAAAATTGCTCGCTTGGAGACCGTCTACATGACTTAACTAGTGCTTTTCGGCCGTTACAGGAATGATACATTCAGGTACATCCTTTTACCCAGCTATACACAGCTTCCCATCGTTAGATCCTCCGTTGAGGACTGTGTTCTCAACAGCTTGCACATCTGTCCTTCGAAATCGTGCATTCCCTTAAAGTTGATATTTGAACTCAGGCGAACGATCGGTGAGCTCTCCAGCTGGAGTAACATAACCTTGCTGGCGAAGCTTCTCTTTCTCAGTCTCTCTTCTCTCGTAGAGGATGCGAATGATAATGAAGACAATGAACGCAAAGGCGAGGGAGCCCAGAGACCATGAGTGACCCAGGACATAACCTGGAGCATCCGTAGACGCGTAGATCTGGCCCGAGATGATACCACCGAGGTTTGTAAGAGTGAGCTGGGTGCCTAAGGTGAGAAAAAGTCATGTTAATCTTCTTGTTCTTTTTCCACAGATGGGAGGGACTTTTCAAAAAGGTGAAATGTCCCAGCATATAGTCGTTTATCTTACCGAGGCTCGCCGCTCTCTTTCCATCGGGGGCAACGTTTCCTGACATCCAAGCGATGTTGCCACCGGTACACAGGAAGCAAGCGGTCGCGATCAAGAACGTGGCAAAGTATCGCACACCAACGGCCACGTCATCCTGCCTGAGGAGAATGGCGTAGCCCGCGATGCCGATCGGGGCACAGACAATCATGATCCAGAAACGCTTGTGGTATTTGTCCGAGATCCAGGCACCGACGGCATAGACAATGGCTCCCCAAACGTTGGGGGGGATGACGAGGTACTGGGCTTGCTTGGTCGAATAGTGGAAGCCGTTCTTGATGATCAGAGGCAAGAACGTGCCGAACCCGTAGAGGATGGTGACGACGGCGATCTGACTGACGCCGTGGAGCCACGTCTTGATGTCCTTGAAAGCGAGCTTGACGTCCTTCATTCCGTAATGACCATCACCGCCGCTGTAGGATTCCGAGAGTTCGGCGCGGACAGCCATGATTTTCTTCTCCTCGTCGTTGAGAAAGTAGGCCGTTTGGTAGTTTGCGGGGATCAACCACACACAACAAGCGGCCCAGACGAGAGTGATGAGACCCTCGATGATGTACAGCCATCTCCACCCGGGATACCCAGCGACATTGTCCATGTAAAGGATTCCAAAAGCGATCAGTCCACCGAATGCGCCGGACAATGCTGAGGCAACTGCGAAACGTTAGATGAGGGGGATTCCTGTATCTGTGGACACGCCATAACATGGGACAAGGGTTTGATTTGGCATGACACAGCAACATCACCATTACAGACACATGTAAACACTGCCCCGTACTGTCTTAGCACCGTCTCCTCTATGGAGTTGTAGGAAGAGAAAGTCATGCATCATGACTTTTAATGCCAGGAGACGAGGCCGCGCTCACGTGACTGCAAGGCTGCTGTATAGGGGCAATGAAGAGGATGTATGGGCGGAACAATCGTATGCCATATGTACTAATGTCGTCCGAGTCCGTTCCAACTTACTGAAAAGATAGGATATTCTTTGGGCCAACTCCTCACGGCGATACCAATTCGCAAGAAGCAATGTCATTGAAGGGAACAGACAGCTTTTGAAAGTCAGCACAGAACTTCACCTGGTTTTTCATTCGGACTCACCCTTCAAACCAGCCTAATAGAAGTCTAATAACAACTAGACCGGCAAAATTCTGGACAAAACCACAGCACATACAGACTAGTCCCCAGCAGAGAACGAGAATCGGTATGACTCGGTTGAATTGTAATCTCTTGACGTATATGGAAGTAGGAAACTCTGCAAGGACATAGGTGGCATAGAAGATTGAGACAGCGGTCTGTAAAAAGGTTTATTAGTACTTGAAGCTTTCTTTTCCGAAGGATACACTTCGTATGGTGAGTGACGAATGGAATAGGTTCCTTTAACGGACTTGCATTCAGCTGGTTGCCTGTCAGGCCAATTTCTGTAGTCATTCCTTGGGAAGCTGCGAAACCAATATTCCCTCTGTCGAGATAGGATATCAACATGCACATCATCATTACGGGAGCGATGTACCAGTCGAGTTTGCGTCGAAGGGCTGCCTCTTTCTTGTTGAAGTCGGCGATGGTGTGGGAGTGACCATCCTCGACGAATTCCGCGACTTCAGCCGTGGACTTTAGCTCGTCAACGGCACTGTCGCGGATGTTATCGTTGGGCTGACGCTTGTCTTCCATATCTTCGAATCTGTTTGATTAGAATCGACCCGAGGTGTGTCTTCTGGGTGCGAAAGGCCAAGGAGCTGATCTCCCTGAATTTGTATGTACGGTATTGGGGTACCGATGTAGGGGCCCCGACCACGAGGGGGATATCTGGAGAAACGGCCGTCTGTTCCACACAACCTTGCAAAGAGATGGTCGAGATTAGGACGGCAACATTAGCAGACAACCGGTGGGAACAGGTGGACATCAGCGTAGACAAGTCCGATGACAGCGTGATATGCGCACCGGTGAGTGTCCGCTCTATCGGGGGTTATGAGGCATCCCATGGGTCACCATGGCCTTTCATCATCTCGACGGGCAACATACCACCTTGGTCAGTCGCTAGAGCCATCCGCACAAGTTCATTGGCTCAGATTCCCAGGCGGACTGCATCTGGGTGAATGATCCGCGGCCGAAAAGGCTTGGGATGCGCACATGGTTGCCTTTCTCGATGTTCGGCACTTCCACAGGGAACAAGATCAAGGTTGGTTGTTGCTTGGACGGCGAAACACACGTCAAGGGTTGCGTGCCTGGTGAGCCAGGGTCCAGCATGCAACGCCTGGAGACGGCGATAGGCCCGAGCAGAAGCGGATATTGGGGTTTCTCCAATCAAACATGCGTAGCGACCCGCCGTATTGGGGAAGCATCTGCTTAGCTAAGGTAAGTTAGTTCGAGACTATTGTCAGCGGCATGATAGCAATCTTGGAAGTTGGAACTGGTATTGTGGATGGATCGGGAGCAGACATCAGGACGATGTCTTCCTATGCCGATAATGGTGATGATATTGAGAACGTATCGGGCAAATGTATCCGTGATTGCATTGCCTCCCCGTCTTGATCTCCTCGACCTTCCGCATTGTACGCACCAGAGGCTCGTCACTGCGACGGATATCCCCAAATCAAACAACCTCTTCCCACTCTTCGACCGTCACCCAACAGTTGTAGGAGTACGTCTGACGTGGAGTTTGTGTTATTCTCAAGCTGTACGTTCACTAGTTGGCGACTGGACACCGCTGAAGGGAAGAGTAAGTTACTTCCCCAGCTCTTTGGCCAGTATTGGTGCCGCGACATTAGAGGTGTGTAGGCTGAGCTGGGTCGCAATCTCAAGCACTTCCATGATTTCTTCGGGAGTTCCTCCGTATCCTAGGACATTCTTCATGTGAAGCTTGAGTCCGGGAACATACAGGTGGGTACTTGCGGCGTCGAAAGCACAATAAACCAATTCTTTAACCTTTGGCTCCAACACTCCGCCCCCTTTACCTGAGCCATCGACATCCTTCAGCCAAGGCACGGATGAGAAGTCCAGGTAAGCCTTGAAGAACTCTGGGTCCAGCGCGAGGAAGTCCTCCCAGAAGGTGTGCCAGTAGCCTCTGTTCTTCGTGAATTCGGCTTTCAACTTCTCGCGTTCAGCATCATAGGGTTTTGCCACGGTTGGATGTGAGTCGTAGATTCCTTCCTCCTTCATGACCTCCACCAGTAAAGGTACACCTATATTGCAGGCGTGGATCCCAAGTGTACCGGTCAGCTCGATCACTTCAATGATTTCAGCAGCCGATGCTCCTTCAGCCAAAGCAGCCTTGATGTGCTGCTGGATTCCAGGCAGATATAAATGGGTTGACGAAGCATCCACTGCTATTGAAATGAGTTGTTGAATCTTTGGGGACAGATGTCGCTTCTTTCGAGGAACAGCAATGAGGTTCACGCTGGCATCGAACAGCTCTGGGCTCAACTTTGCAATGCTCTCCCAGGTCTCATCCCAAGGACCTTCACCAAGCTCTTTCACGAATTTGCTCCTCATTTGGGCAACGTCGTTCGAGGATGACATGCTGAGCAGTTTGATTTATCAGAAGCGTGGTGCTCGTCATATATATCTTTTGCAGTTAATCTAAGGGCAGACGTAAGCCTTAAACCGACCGCATGCGCTCTATAAAACGACAGAATGTGAGGCCGACGAAAGACACTTTTAACACTCGTAGCGTTTTCCGGAACAATCTGGAGGGTGTAAATACCTTCTGGTGCCACAATCGACCAACCGGGCACGAACAACACCCGATGCCGGGAAGACACTTTACCAGCAATACAGTGCGGGGGATTTGTAGAGCTCTGAACATCGACACCTCCACATCGCTCGTATTGTGTTTCCACAGATGGGGTAAATTTCAGGTGAGAATCAACAATATCTGGATTCTTGCTACTTTAAAGTTCAGGGTATTGGATAATCTCTGCATCTAAGCAGGTGACCATGGTCACATATGTGGCTGATTGCTAAGACGGATGAATGTGCTGAATCAAATTCACCAACACCTCTTCCCAGATGTATGCGAGCCAAAGTGAATTCTTCATGCGTTATGCGGCCCAAAGAATCTAGACTGGTTTTGTGGGTTCTCCTCCCATTCGAAATCATGGGCGAATACACATTCCACGCCTTTCGACTCGAGTTCTTGGATTCTCTCAATCGTTTGTTCGGCCAATTTCCTGTCGGCGTGTATGCAACATATCTGCCCATGGTCGTCCAGCCACTCTCCAATTGCACGTTCTTTCCTCATGATTCTGCGATCGTGACAGGCATCTCCTGCCAGGTAAATGCTGCTCATGGGGCCGGTTCTGGCGAGAAGATTAATATGACCCGGCAAATGGCCGGGGGCATCAACGATGTAGAGACTGCCATCGTGGAACAGGTCGAGCACGCGAGGTAGATTGCCATAGGGTTTCCATTCCTGATCAAAATCTGGACCACTCGTAGGCTCTTGTCTCTTCTTTGTCTGTTCCTCAGCATCTTCGTAAGGGTTCGACAGCTCGATTGTTCTTCCCTCGGGTAGTAGATCTGACTCGAAGAATGAATGGCTGCCTCGTAGAGACCCTCCGCCCTGAAGAAGAGCTTGTGCCCCGTTTCCAATCACAAACGTGCTCCGTGGGAAGTCGCGGGGCTCTCCGACATGGTCCCAGTGAACCTAGGAATATCAATCAGTGCCTGAGTGCATGTTATGATGGCATAGACGAAACCCACATGAGAGTATATCACGTAGTCAATATCCTCTGGGCTTAGACCACCAACCGCCAGGCTCGCGGTGACATCTGGTAGAGTATCCAAGGGCTGTCTGGTTTCGATATGCCGTTGAATGGGCTCAATATAACGTTTGGGATCTCGCCGGATGCCCAGGTCGAAGACTATCCGAGTCTTCTGGTTTGTCTCTGCATCCTGATGCACCACTAGGAAGGAAAGAGACGGTACGGTCTTGCGCTCGGTTTCTGAAGCTGGATCAACGAAAAAGCGCTCGGGTAGGGTTAAGTGGCCGGCCTTGAGAGCGTATACCTCGACGGTAGTCTCTGATGCGCTTTCAGGAGGTGAGGGAGGCGCCCGCTTCAGATAGGCGGAAGACATCCCGTCGAAAATGCCCTCTGAGGTCTTTGAGATGACATGAACGCAGCATGTCTCTGAAGATGTTCTTAGACATTCGTCAAACAACCCAACAGGTCCCTTCCAAAGACGGTCCCACTCTGCCGCAAATCGACAGCTGGGAAGATTGGGGTAAAAAGGATATCCCAAAACGGGACTCTTGGGTGGCCCTTTCGCCTAGTGCGCTAGTAGTTTGGCTGGACCTGGCTTTCTCCAAGGAGGCGTTGTCGAGCCTGAGAGGGTTCTTCGAGGCGAATGGTCGCGGTGATCCTTGGGCTCTCTGGGGTTGGTGAGTTTGTTGTCACATGGGACGAATGCAGGGTGTAGAGTGCCCGCTATCGACACACGCTGTTTCTGCAGGGCAAGCTGTTCTGGTTGTTGTCTGATCTAACTTAGAGAGCCAGGGCCTAATAAATCCTGAGCTGATTACACTGTATCCTAAACATGTCGATATTAGGGACACCAGAGGCCTTACTAGGTCCTTGTGCTCTGTTCTGGGTGCTGGGCATACAATATATGTACATGGCATTAGACAGTGGCCTCCACTCAGAAGTCCTTCATTTGGCCCCCCACAGGCATAGCCAGGGCTTGTTGCCCCTCACGAAGGCCTGGAGAGCGCCACAGGCTCTTGCCCCTGGGTGGTGCCTGCAGCGCCTATCGAGCCCCGCCACTGGGGCCAAGCCATTGAAGCCAGTGCCTGCGCGAAAGGTCCAATGCCCTGTCGCCGCCTATCAATCAATCACTCACGCCCATGCTGCAGTCGCTCCGCACCGAAATCGATTGCCCTCTCATCCCTCATTTCTTTCAAAGCATCCCCAGAAAATTTCCCCAGACATTCCTCCTCCATCTTGATCGAGCTCAAGCTCATCGCAGAACTCTCCCAAAGGGCCACCATTCCTATACTCCACATTGAAGCTCATTTTCCAAAACCAGCACCCTTTCCTGCTCCCACATGATTGAGGAACAGGCCAGCACGAAGCTCGATAACAATGACCAGGCTGAGCACCAAGATCAGGACACGGCGGAACCACCCCCCAAGAAGGCCAAAAGATTCCAGTGTCAGCACTGTCAGAGATTCTTTGCTCGCTTAGAGCACCTTCAACGACATGAGAGAACCCGTATGATGGTCTGAGGTGTCATGGAATCGCTTGCTCATGATGTGATTAGATACCCGGGAGAAGCCCTTCGCCTGTACGCAATGCGACAGCAAATTTACCCGAAGGTATGCAGAACGCCCAAAAGACCATCGAGCGTACCTGACTCGGATCCAGTGACCTTCTCGTCCGTCACGAGAGACTGAGCCATGATGCAGAACGCTGGGGAAGAAACGGGAGAGCAGAACATCGCAATAGTGTTTCGCAATCGACGTCCTCGCAACGACCGCTAGATGCAAATGTGAGCGCGAACCTCGATATGACAGATGCCGCCAGCTTGACTTCGCCCGCCTTCTCTACCTCTCAAAACATGGTGGGTGCCGCTTTCATGACACCCAATCCGAACCCGCCGACAGCAGCAACGCCAAATAACCACGACTTGTCTTTCGCGACCTTGCTCATGGCAGCGGAACATGCCCAACCCCAGAACAATCAACGCCATGCTGCGATGCCACAGTCAAATCAACTTTCCAACTCAATCTTTTCTGTTCCAGACCAATTCATGGCCGATTCGGATGCGCAAGCATCAATGCAAGCGCCGTCAAATCACCTGAGCAATATGGGCGGGATGGGTCTCGGCGGGTTTGATTTTGACGACTCACTTCAGGATCTTGCAAATTTCATGGATAACGGGGCACTGTCCTCCTATCATTTCTCTTCTATGATCAGTGCCGAGCAACCTATTCCATTTTTCTCTCCCGAGTCCTTGACACAACCGATGGACATCGCTCCGTCTGCGGGACAACAGCCTGTGTCACGGCCAGTTCAGAACACCGATCGGCAAGAAGACTCGAGCTCATTTTCTCGGTATGGATCACGCTTGCCATCGCTACAACCAGAAGAAAGCCCTACCGCTCATCAGAACGAACAAGACACCCCTCTGAGGCCTCTGCATGATCTCAACATGGACGACAGGCAGAATGTTGCCGTCAAACTTGCCGAGTTCGCGCATGCAGTCCCTAGTAACTTCCAGCTACCTTCTCGACTAGCGCTATCGCGATACCTCGCGGGATACGTCAACGGTTTTCACGAGCATCTTCCCTTCCTTCACATCCACAGTCTTTCAGTCAACAACTGTTCCATAGAACTCATACTCGCCATGGCTGCTGTCGGAGCTCAGTATTGCTTCGAGGGTCAAAAAGGCGTGGAGCTCTTCAATGTAAGCCAGTCGATCGCAATACAGCGCATTCGACAGCGGGATGCCAAACTTGCTGCGTCGCATCGTTCGGCAGATACTCCCTCGACGTATTCTAGCCAACAGAAGTATAGCGAGGCTTTCCATGTCGAAGGGACGCCTCGAAGTGGCTCGTTGTCTGGCTGCCTCGGGTTGCCATCTCAACCTGAAGATCCGGCCGCTGACAAGGAAGAGCTGATGCAAACAGCGCAGGCATTACTCCTGCTGATGGCTATGGCTACATGGGCGAAACATCGTGAAATTCTACGTGAAGCTCTTGCCATTCAGAGCGTCCTGGCAACCCTAGTGCGAGATGATGGGTTCAAAAGCCCACCCTTGACGGACAATATTACTTGGTCAGAATGGATTCGGCGCGAAACAACCAAGCGGACCAAGTTCATAGTTTTCTGTTTCTTTAATTTCCACACCATCGTCTACAACATCCCGTCTCTCATCCTCGCTTCAGAGCTCGATCTGCCACTCCCTTGCAACGCTGCTGAATTCAAAGCACCTACGGGCGCCAAATGGAAGGAAATTCATTCCCGCACACCGCCAGAGGTTGGGTTTCAGACGGCTCTACATCGCCTATTCTCCCGCACCAACACTGAAGTCAACACCTACAATTCCTCGCTTGGAAACTACGTTCTCGTTCACGCCATCCTCCAACACATTTTCTTCGTCCGCCATACCTCACGCTACTGTCTTGATCACGATGGCGAACTACGCAACGACGACGTCGCCGCTATTGAGCAAGCTCTTCGAAATTGGCAGATGGCATGGAAACGGAACCCGGAGTCCTCCCTCGATCCAATGAATCCAAATGGCCCCGTGACGTTCAATTCCACGGCGCTGCTACGACTAGCATATATCAGACTGAACGTCGACCTAGGTCCTGGTCGCGCGCTGGACACTCGTGACCCCACACAGATCGCCAATGCCTTTCGCGACAGCCCATCAGTCAAACGCACCCCGAAACTCGTGCGCGCCGTGCTACACTCGGCCCACGCACTGAGCATCCCCGTCAAGATCGGCATCCACCTGGTTGCGCAAACACAAACGTTCATGTGGTCCATTCAACACTCGCTATGTACGCTGGAATGTGCGTTTTTGCTGAGCAAGTGGTTAGAAGCGTTGAGCCTACCAGACGCGGGGCCATCAATCACCAATGACGAACAGAAAATCGTGACGCTGGTCAAGACTATGCTGGACGAGACAGAGTTCGCCATGCCCGTAGACGTGCCGATGGGTACTCCTGCAGCCATGAAATACCTCAGCGCTGGCGTGTTGAGGGTGTGGGCACAGGTCTTTCGAGGCTCACAGACATGGGCAATTGTAGATGTCATTGGATCGAGTTTGAACATTTACGCCGACATGCTGGAAGCGGGTTGACCATGGCCTGGACATCGTGGGAAATGCGTTGCTTACTAGGTTGATTATGCGTCATCTTCGGTTGAAAATCAGAGGCCACCTTGTTATGAAAAGATACCCATGAGAGTGAGTAATGCTACTGGAGAGGCGACAGAGATGCGTTTACTTGGCTTTCGACGTTTGCCTTGGCTGTAAATGTTTCGATCGTGTTCGGTATGCACATGTATGTATATATTTAGGTATTTGATAGACCCCGAACCACTAATACATGCATACCTGGCCCCCCCCCGCACTCTATCTAGGTACCGAATCCTCGTAGCCCTTACACTACATTCTGACGAAAGAGGAAAGAGAATTGAGAAGATAGATGTATTCCCATTCCATTGGACTTGGCGAAGCCTAAATAGAGGCCCGTGTTGTCTGCAGGGAGGACGGTATATTGAGGAGATCAGGATGGACCGGGGTCACTGGTCTCCGGGTGGGCGCCAAGACTAGGCTGGTGCAGTCTAGAACGTCTATCGCCTTTGAAGGGCCATGTCTGAAAGGACTATATGAGTACAGAGACAGTGGTTGGGATGATGTTGGCGTAGAGAAGAATGAATCCTTCCCAAGGCGGCGGCACCGGGCGGCCGAATCCGGCGGGAAGGTCTGTGTTCATGCTCGTATTTTACTCAATCTGTTATTATTTGTTACTAACTTCGTCTTCTTTCTTCACCGTGCACGGTGCTCGATTTCTAAGCCGGCTGATGAATAGGAGATGAAATATCAGTCGCTACAGTCAAGCCACCTACCTAGGCAAAGCGTTTTCGAATTCATCGAGTGGCTCTATCCATTCAATAGAGCTGTCATCAATATCCCCGCCAATGTGAACCTACAAGTCTTTTTGTTTTCAAGTCAGAGCGCCACGTTTCCGCTTGTGGCACTGCCATGCGAAAGGATGCTGAAGAGTTGAGCCGCATTCTTCAAGGGGTCCCACCCAACGTAAGCTTGATGTTGAGAGTGTGTGAGTGTGCCAGTCGTGTAACTACACACAGACGGCCAAGAGAAAGCCACCTCGTTCCTCGCCAGAAAGCGATGAGATGGCGCTTCCATCGGAGGCAATTACTTTCCCCAGGTGCGCCTTGAACGAGAACTAGTTCGAGGGTCTATTGCCTGTTCACAGAAGCTAGGATACCCACGAGACTGAAAGTTTGCGCGAATTAACTTTTCAGATTTTGGATGCAAGCCGGAAGGTCAAGTTCGGATGCACCGCCAGAAGGGTGATCGGGTTTACACCAATTGTCTATGTATAGAGCGGGAGCCCCCGGGGGAAAGGTAGGCAAAAGGTAACATCCTGAACGCGGCAGAATTGTGTTGCATTGTGAATTCCATTTCCTTCCTGCGGGCAGAAACGTCAAAGAGACAGACACAAAAACCATGTACACCCACAATTCTCTATTTCTTCTCACACTCGCGAGCATCCAGGGCCTGTCTTCCGCCTGCTCCAGGGCGACCTACAATGCCAGAGTCGATGGTCGATATACAATCGGTCGTACGGTGGACTTCGTCACCGACACAAACACCACCTTCTGGGCTTTTCCTGCCGGGCTGGAAAGAACCGGGGGAGTGCCCGAGAACGCGCTGAACTGGACGACCAAATATGGCTCCATCATAGCGTTGATGTACAACTCGGCCTTTACCGAGGGCATGAACTCGGAAGGTCTCACCGGCAGCACACTGTACCTGGGGGACAGCGTGTATCCGACGCGCAACACTTCGATTCCGGGCGTCTACAACACACTCTGGATGGGATACGTCCTGGACAACTACGCCACCGTCGCCGAAGCCGCTGAGGACATATGCGGCGGTGCGGAAAAGTTCCAGGTCGTGTCCAAGCCCGTTGTTCCCGGAGTCAGCACCAACTTGCACGTCGCATTCACCGACACAACGGGCGACAATCTCATCATGGAGTACACCGAGGGCGAGCTGAGCTGCTACCATTCACCCAATTACACCGTCATGACGAACGAGCCGGCGTACAACAAACAACTGGCCATCAACGCGTACTGGGAGGAGATTGCCAACTACTCTCTCCCCGGCACGGCGCGTCCTGCAGGTGAGTATGATGGAATTTTTCTTTTTGCTCTCTCTCTCTCTGTCTCTCTCACGCGCGCGCACGCGCTCGCCATCATAAGCAGGGGGAAAGTTCAGTGAAACGAAAAAGGCATGAATTTGGCTGACACATTTCGTTCTTCACCTTAGATCGTTTCGCGCGACTTTCGTTCTACAACCGCTACATCCCCCCTGCGAATGACTCGGCAACCGCGGTGTCGTACACGGCGGGCATGATGAGAGCCGTCAGCGACCCGATGATCCCGCTTGTCTCGACGAACCAGGCCGGAACCCAAGACATTTGGCCCACGCTGTGGAGGACGTACATTGACATCCGCGACAGGGTCCTGTATTTCGAGAGCGCCACCAGTCCCATGCTGTTCTGGTTTGATTTCCACGACTTCGACCTCTCCACTTCGGGCGAGACCAAGGTCCTCTCCTTGATTGGAACCCCGTGGGAGTCGCGGGTTGGTAACGTGACGGAGGATTTTGTGACCGTCACCGACTCGGCAGCTTGTGCCCACATCTATACCACTTGCTAGACTGTTGTTTGCTGGTGGTTTTATGTCAATGTGGCACCGTACTGCTCGTAGTTAGATTTTTAAGCCAGATCTTCGAGTGTGACTATAATACCATCACAAGATCTGTGTAATTAGCTCTATATGATTACCTTCCTCTTTCCGCGTCCTATTGGCCAATACCCTGCTTGGGGTTCATTGGTTGTCACTTGTTTTTTTTAGTACAGCCAAATCCATTATGCTCTTTCTTTCTTTCTTTCTTTCTTTCTTTCCTTCCTTCTCTTTTTGGTTTATTTCGGCCATTAAACCATCTCCAATCTACTAGTCCAGAGTACAGAGGTTGACGCTTGTGTGTGTGTGTGTGTGTGTGTGTGTGTGTTGAAACCGGAAAGCAAAACATATGGCCATCTACGGGTAGGATATTGATAACCGTGAAGAAGGACACGTCGGTTGAATTTCTTGTCATCATTGTAGTATTCACATAGTAGTCCATTCGACCCTGCTTTGATTCTATCTCCCCTGTTCATTCAACCACTTGTACACGACCCTCGCGTCTTTGCCCTTGTACCTCTCGTCGGCCATGGCCTCGGTGAAGGCGGCCAGGGTGGGCTTGTCGAGGATGGTTCTGGCGCCGACCATGTCGGCGAGGCTGCTGCCCATCTCGAGGACGTGCTTGCACAGCTCGATGCGGAAGCCGCCCTCGTAGCCCCGGGACGCGGGGGCGTTGGGCTGGATGCCGGGGACCGGGTTGCTCTGGCTGGTGACCCAGCACTGGCCGCCGGACACGTTGATGACGTCGGTGAGCAGCTTGAGGTCGAGGTTCATCTTGGCGCCGATGTTGAGGGCCTCGCTGGCCGCCAGCGACGTGATGGCCGACAGGTAGTTGTTGATGACCTTGAACGCCGTGCCCGCGCCCACCTCGCCGCAGTGGAACACGCTGTCCCGCCTGCCCATGTACTGCAGGTACGACCTGGCCCGCTCGAACGCCGCCGCGGTGCCGGCCCCGACCATGAAGGTGAGCGTGCCGGCCTCGGCGCCCATGGGCCCGCCGGACACGGGCGCGTCGACAAAGTCCAGCGTCGCCCCCGCCTCCCTCGCCGCGCTGCCGCCGACCTTGAGGATCGTCGCCGTCTCGATCGTGCCGCACTCCATGATCAGCTTCTTCTCGCCGCTGGTGGACCGGGACACGTCGACCGCTGCCGGGATGATCCCCGTCGTCGCGTCGAGGTACACCTTTTCCACCGCCCCCGCCGTCGGGAGCATCGTGATGACCGTGTTGGCGCGCGTGATGGCCTCCCGCCCGCTCGAGATGACCTCTACGGGTCCCTGCCCGGCCATCTGATGCAGGAATTTCTGGATCAGCGTCTCCGACACGTCGCAGATCAGGAGCGTGTATGAGTCGTCGAGTTTCGTCCGGAGGTTGACTGCCATCGAGTATCCCATGACTCCGATGCCTGTGTCCAGTGGTCAGTCGTCCGTGCGTGGGCGTGAGGTTGCATGTATATGATGCACACACACCAGTACCTTGGGGAGACATGAATGAGAAACGTACCAATGAAGGCTATCGTCTTGTCTGCTGAAGACATCTTTGGACGTGCTACAGTATACCTGTTACTGTTCTGTGTGCGGTGACGTTGTTGTTGTCGTTGCTGCTACCGTTGCTGTACTTGGAGAGATGTGTGTATGAGATGATGTCAACTCTAGTCAGCGGTCTAGTCTAGGCGAGGTGGTTAAACGACCTTTGCACGTGGTACAGATTCAGTCTGAAACCAAATATACCAGTAGAACTGACAAGTGACAAGTAAACAATGTAGACGTTTCTCGCTCTTTGGAGAATGACCGGAACAAAAAAAAGGCGTCAATTGAACACAAAACCTGACGATCACATCAATCATTTCGGCTCTTCACCATACCAAAAACAGATCAGTCGGTCCCCTCGAACCCAGAAACCCGTTCGAAACTTCTCCGCAGCAAAAGGCAAGCGAAGCGGCAAAGTTCGGCATCACCCCAATGCGGTCTGAAAGAGTAATTAGATTTGTAGCAGACCCATCGTAGAAGAGTCCCGTCAGTATTTTCCAGAACCCCGCTCCGTACGAGTGCGTGCGAGGGGTCTAAATTCTAGCCGTAAGGGACTAGAGAGGTTACTCGCGATACGGATCATGAGTAGCGAAGCACCTGACACGCCAGATTGACAATCCGAGGGTTTGGCGTAGATGGAGCAAAGCATCGATGTTGTTGGGTTACCCCAATTCAATGGGGACCTGGAGCTCTTGGAGAAGGAGAAGGAGGAGGAGGAGGAGGAGGAATAAAGGGGGGACGTGGGTCGGGGTAACGGGCAACGGCGGCGGGGCAGCGACAGAAAGGTCTAGCCTCATTCCCACACACAAGGCTGAGGCCACCAGGCTCTACTATTGTCATTATTGTACGAGTAATTGTTGGCTGGTTGGACCTGAGCGACCAGGACAGAAGGCCCTGGAGCCCCCAAACGCTTGACAATGCATATTGTACCCTAGAAACAGCTTTGTGGAGATCATATACGTAATCTTGGACACGAGGGCCCTCGCCATGCAGACAATCTTGATGCAGCAGCATGAACTACTAGTACACGTTCCAAGCGTTCAGCGGGAGCAGAAGCAGTGGGTACGTAGGACATGGTCGATGGAAAGCAATCTCTGTGGTGCTTCAGAAGCAGAGCAAGACCATGAACCAGGATGCATGAAGGTGACAACCAGAGACAAGGTGGCACTCTTCTCATAAGTATCTGACACTATATCGTGCCGGGGAAGAACTTGTGAGGGTTGTTCTTCCTCCAAATCCCGTCGTGAGCCACAATCACTTCCACAGTGCTGCCTCCCTCCAGGCTAGGCGTCGGAGTCTTCAACAAGGGACCAATCCGTTTCAGCGTCTCTTTGGCCTGCTCCGTGTTCACATGAACCGACCGAAGGTTTCCATGTCCGTCGTCGTACAGTGCCACGCCCTTCTCGCCCGTTAGAATGCGAGGGTCGTGGCAGCAGTCGCCCCCAAGGTACACCCATTTTTGTGGCCCGGTCTTTGCAAGCAAGTTCACGTGCCCATACAGGTGGCCGGGGCTGTCGACAATGAACACACTACCGTCGCCAAAGAAGTCCACCGTGGCGGGAAACCCTGCGAAAGGCTTCCACGAGTGATTTGTCTGCTTGGCCGCCGCTGTTGGGCCGTCCTTCGACACCGGCGGTAACTCCAAAGTTCTGTCCCGCGGCAGTAGATCCGGATTGAAGATTTCTTTTGGGTAGTGAGGAGGTGCGCCATGCTCCAGCAGGTGGAATGTCCCTGACCCGACAACAAACTGCGAGTTGGGAAAGTCGTCGGGAGTGCCCTCGTGGTCCCAATGGAGGTGACTGGGTATCACAATATCGATATCTTTGGCAGGGTCGACGCCGCCTGCTTTTAAGCTGTCGCCAACATCAGGACGGAGAATAGTTGGCTGGCGGTTGGCGATGTGGGCTTGCTGTGCAGGAGGGTACTTGGTCAGATCGCGTTTCAGACCAAGGTCGAAAACAAGTCTGGTGCGTTTCCCATTCTGAGACGGATGTTGAATCAAGAACGCCAGCGAGGGCACAGTTGCCTTCTTCTCTGGATCTGCGTCCGTGATGAACAACCTTTCGGGCAGGGTGAGCTGCCCTCCTTCGAGCGCCGAAATGGTCACATAGACCTCGCCAGCCGAGCCCATTTTGTCAGCTGTAGTCGCTTAAAGAAGATCAGAAGGTGCAGGAGAGGATTTACAGCTGTGTTCGTACGAATAGGACCTGAATACACCATGGGAAGATGTCGATAGTAGCTAGATCTGATGGTGATATGCGGGTTGCATGAGTTGTTCCCCGCAAGATGGAGGAGTCGGGTGCAACAGTGGAACGAGCCTTAACTGAGCTAGCGCCTAAAGCTCTCAGCATCAGGCACCCCTAGCCCCCCGACGGGTACCTGATTGCGGGCAGCCAGACTCCCGAGAACGCCTTCTTTTGGAGACGATTGGGGCCTAGTGGCCTGCCACGAAGAACTCCACACTCGCACTCGCACTCGCATCCGCACACCACGCCGCATTGTTCGCATGCTTCCAAATGGACTCATACGAACCGAGCACAGTACTCGCAAAGGCATCTGATAAAGCACACATTCCTGGCTCAAGCAAAACTGTCATCTCTCATTTCGTTTCCACGGTTTGCGGGTGTTTTGAGCCAGCCGTCTTCCTTGAGCGCGATTCTTATAGATCCATGCTCGACCGCCAATATGGACAGCAGATAGCGGCCACAGTAAGAATGCCTCTGTCAAGAAGCCTTCTAGGCGTCAATATGAACTTCGTGACACATCTCCTGAGAGCCAGAGAGTTCTCTTCGTAGCATCATACTGCAATGCGCCTTCCATCAAGACCGTCCGGTCCAAATGTTCAAGTTTGTAGGCTAAATGAATGCCCTTAAATCCGCACATACTTTGAAAGACTCGGTGGTCGTGTCCAAAATGCGAGGGAAGGCTAGGACCATATGAATGTGATCATGGCCTTGTGGTCCGAGTCTCTACTTGTTTTCAACAACAAGCGGCAAATACCCTTGCTCGTCATCGACCGAATGCGACAGCATCGACTTTGCGCCTCTGTCGACCCAGAAACCCTCTAGGCTCATTTCCACCACCAAAAACTCGACTTCGCCCCGACGCAGCCGAGCTCATGCTAGCCAGCCGAACGTTTTGCTCATGCCAAGCTGAAGCCACGAGTCTGAGTTCACGCTGAAGAATCGTATTATGATTCGTGAGACGCTCAATTTCTGTTTCTTCGTCCCCTGGCTCGACTCGACGGTTAGGTGCAGGGGAAGCATCGTCCTTTGGTGGTGGAGTGGGAGGTACGTCTTCCTTTCGTTTTTGATCGCTCTGCTCCTCGGCGATTTGCTTCTGCATGTCCTTGATCATCTGGTCCTGTTTCTGTACATGCTCGAGTAGAGTTTTGTTTCTATTCCTCTGACGCTCAACAGTGACGATGAGTTTTTTCTGTGCACGAAGAGACGACTCTCTCTCTGTTGCCGTGCCTGCCTGTGCCTGGGCTCGCATCGCAGCCATGATGGCCTTGAGTTCGTCCTCAGTGACACCTTCTACGTCGTTGGTAAGGTCGATGTCGAGTCCAGAAGCAGAACTTGTCTCAAGCGGAAGCGGAAGCGTAAGGCTGGAATCCTCAGGAGGCGCAGGAGAAGCGTCACCATTAAGCAGGACAGCTGCAAGTCGAGCTTCAGTCTCTTGAAACTCCGCCTCTTCCTTTTCAATGTCTGTGTCGATTGGGTTCATCGAAAACCGGTCTTTTGCGCTAGGAGCAATGCCATCGTCGTAATCCTGAAGCCGACTCTGCAATTCCTCGACTTCCCTTTGCCGTCGAGATAACTGTTCCGCAGTGTCGTGATAGCGTGCCTCCAGAGTGTGGTAGTCGAACTCTAGGCGTTTCTTCATCTCATTTAATTCGTACCGTTCCTGCTCAATGCTTGGTAGCAGTCGCCTGTATTCATCAACCTCCCTTGCGAGGTCACCTGAACTTGCACGAGCAAAATCTGACTGCTTAAGCTGACTTTGCAGTTCTGTGACTTTTGTCCGGAGGGATGCATTTTCCTTTTCGAGATCTTGACTGGCCTCTAGTTTTTGTCGATACTTTTCTGCCGTATTAGCTTTGCGGGCTAGTTTATCTCGGTCAATCTTCATTTCATCATAGTCGTCCTGTAGTTTCTGCGCCTTTTCAGACTTGATCTTCAGCACTTCATTAGACTTGCGAAGGTCCTCTGCTTCCGCTTCCGCTTCTAGTACTCGATTCTCGAGGGTAGCAATGAGAGTGTCGTGCTTCGAATCTAGTGGCCTCGTCGAGGAGTCCGATCGACCCGCAAGAACCGCCGTAAGCCGGTCACCGGTCTCTTTCAACTCGTCCTGGACCTGATCAAAACGTTCCTGTAACTTCTCATACCGCATATGATGCTCATCTAGTTGTCTCTGTAGCTCCCTCTTTTCGTGTGCTATCCTTTGATTATCAGCAATCACTTTACCCAGGCGTTCTTCTGATTCCAACACAGATTCCATCTCTCCAGACCGACGTGGCGACGTGGGTATCTCATCATGGTTTGCTGCTATGCCTACATCTGCGAGATCGGCTTCATCTGTCCCGCTTTCATCCTCACCCGCTTCTTGAACAGTCTGCATGAGAACCTCTTGGGTATTTTCGGTCAACTCTTGCATCTGCTTCAAGTATTCAATGCGGTCTGCGCAGTTGATGGCCGCAACAACGAGCAATTTCAACAGGGCGATCGTATCGGTAAGAGAGGACGACTGGGCGATAGCTTTGAGATCAGGTCGGCCATTCGGGAAGGGGAGTCTCTGACCGCATTCTTCGGTGAGAAAGATAGAAAGCGCATCGTAAATATGTTTGAGGTTTGTCCATTTGTGTATCCATTGCTCTGTGTCGGGGCTTTCTGGTAACTTGCCAGGAAAGCTGAACCGATCAATCTGTTCTGCGAGTCATCAGTCCATGAGGTCGCCCAGGTATTCTATCAGCACACACGAAGAACTTTCCAGACTATATCCCCATTGCTCAAGTCATCCACCGTATAGACGGGTTCCGCAACAGAGAGACTATTGACCCAGTCGATGAGACCGGCTGCGATTGCTTCGTCGGTTGCCATGAGAGTCGTCGGGATTTGACCTGTGGAAATCTCATCATTCAGATGTATGCATTGAGTCTTGAGAAGCCGGCGAAGAATATGTTGTTAATCTGGCATGGGGTTCGAATGGTTTCAACTTGCGACCCGGCCATGGAGCACGCGTGTTAGCTGGGCGAATCTCAATATGGCGCCTTAGCGCGTATGGCTAACATGACGTCGCTTCGACCGTACTTCGGAGGGAACAGATGTACATGGAACAAATGCCCCAAGAGAAAGAGAGTTCTCTGGAATAATTGAATAAGGCATAGAATTTCAACATGAGAACATGCACACCACTGGGAAAGAGGAATCGAGACGTGGGCACGTTGTAGAAGGCGAACATGCAAATCCCAAGGCACTTGTGAATGCTTCCTCATTTACACTACAAAAACAAGCCCTATCTTCCAACGCCTATTCCCAGGACCTAACATGCCTTAAAGCCCCTCGAAGGAAATTGTATGTGAAGTCGCGCCATCAAGTCATCAATACCGAAACGTCGAGTTCTTCGGTTGCTCTTTCCCAGCAAGTAGCTCACTCATTCTTTGAATCAGTAGAACCGTCAATTCGGACGATAATATCCTCTTCAATATAGGGTTTGAAGTCTTCGGCAAGCGCAGAGATCTTATCAAGAGTGGCTGAAGCCACTTTGGCTGCGAATCCTTTAATCAGTGCTACGGACAGTCAGTAAGGCGACAATTGCTCTTAATCCGAAATATGTGCCTTACAGTATTCATGTGTAATGATGCCGCCATCTTTCTCAACCTCTTCCATTGCTTTCTCGATCACCGAAGGAGGAGTATCCGCAGGATATGAGATCACGACAGGCTTCTGATGCGCCGACAGTGCAAAGACGTAAGCCACGAAGGCGAGGAGAAGCAGGATTGAGAAACGCATCTCCTTGGAGTAGAGAAGGTGACTGGATTCGAAAGTAGTAAATAGGCGGTTCTATGTTCAGACAATTGAAGAGGATGGTCTTGGTCTTGGTGTCTTAAGACGCTGGTGGTAGGGCCCAGGTTCGATACGTTGAGGAGGGTCAGGATAGGATTGAAACAATTGCGAGAGTAGCAATGTGCGAAATACCTTTTCTCTGAGAATGATTCTTGTCAGCGTACTATGTGCATCAGGTGAAGGAGATGAGAGTCGGCTCAGTGACGCCGTCTGCGGCATATATCAGGTGGCTGCCGAGTATCCATCCCCTTCCGGATATCACGTGCAGGGTCAATGACGGCATTTCATCACTAAACTGTTACCCATCAGAGAAATGACAGTGTCGATGTCATTTCAATCTGCACCGACAAGAACATCGACATGTTGCGTGCAGGGGATTGATATGTTCGTGGTATTCAGTCTTCTTATCTTATCTCAGCTATATGGACCATCTTCCCATTCGTAGTCGTAACAGAATGGGCCAGCGGTAGTGCTCATTAAGTCCTTCATTTGCATAGACGGAGCAAAATACCCCCAATCTGGAGTCCAAGTATCAAGGGTGACATTGGAGCTGGGAGGGACGTTGTTTGCTGTTTCCGTACCCCATGTTTGATTTTGGACATCGGGATGTCTCTTCTGCCACTGGACATAGAGGTTGTCCAGCATTGTATGCAGTGGCCACCATATGGGATCTTGTACAGACACGAAGATGTTGCTCTCGGGTGGGCCTACACTGAAGTGAGCGCCTCCATGCAATCCAAAATCATTTCCACCAAACGCGCCATTCAACTCCCTTGCAAGACACGCTTGATCGGGACACTTCAGGGCATCTTCAACTCTGGTCCAATTGTCGAACTTAGTCGCTACCCAAGAATTGAGGTCACGAGTCATACATGATTCGTTCTTCTGGAAAACAGTCTGGGGAAGGGGGTCGCCTGTGAGCAAGAATAGAGGGTCGATACTTGGCTGCATAGTGATTGTGTGATTTGCAAATGGGCCTGTGGTCACACATCCACCTCCCGACCCATGAGGCACAATGAAGTTCGGCCCGACTTGGTAAGGGCCAGGGTTGAAATACTCCCCGTTGCCCGACATCGAGTATCTATCGCCATTGAAAATCGGAGTTGTGTCAATGTCGAATGCGGTGGAGGGCCAATTCCAATACAGCATCGGTCCTCGAAAACCACAATTTTCTCGCATGTCTTTCTCAAACAAATGGACAAACATCCTGTGCCAAACAAGGAAGAAACCATCCAAATGGATGGTTTGAGTCAAATTGATGTGGACGGTTGCATAATCAAAATACCGGTTGATTGCGCCGCTGTATTGTGTTTGACTATGATGGATTAGCCGCCGGTATCTGCTGGAAGCGCTGTACGTACTCCAAATTCGAGGGAAAAGTCATGACACAGCTGATGGCATCGGTGTATTGCTTTCTTTCTTGTGGTGTGGCCTTGTTGAAGTCTTTTCGGATTTGCATCGTTCTGCTGTTACAGCCCCATGGAGGCGGCTCTGCACCACCAGAACGATGCTCTTGAAATGGCCACGTTGGTCCACCAAGGACCATCACAAAAATTGCGGACGACGTTAACAATACTACAGGCCAAGCCATCTCGCTGACTTCTAAGAGCAACACTAGGAACAACGACGGCAAAGCTTCGAAAGAACCTGGTAAACGAGGGACTGGAATTGTTAAGGACTCACAATACTCTTTATTTCATCCTTCTCATCAGTACCTGTAGTGGAGAACAGGGCCCCACAAGATCATATTGCTGTCATAGACTCATCGCTAAACTCTCAGTATGAGGAAGGTTGTCACCTCCGGAGGCTCTAAGACATGTCCCCTGCGTAGGTTAGAAGGATGCGTCTGAAAACGGTTGCCTTTGGCCGGCACTCCAGAAGCATTGTAGTAAATAAACTTGCCAAGCTCGGCATTGAAGCAACTGAGCAGACAACCGCAAGGCCAAACACCGACAGACTACGGACCAGGTGTAACCTCTGTCAGTCGTTGGCATCGCGTCCGACTACCAGGGCACCCGTGCCTGGCAGGCGGCAGGGACAGGATCCTGGTGAGCCTCTTATGCTCGTGTTTTACACCATCATGAGCTGTTTTACCGCAATTGGGAACCGACAGAAAGGTGCAGCCTCTTCAGGCACACAGTTTCTCTGACACATGCAGACATGCGATCGACACAACCCGGCCACCAACTTTTGCACTTCTGGACATTTGGCGAATGATAACTGAGAAAGGGAGGATTGATTGAGGTCATGATATGCGTTTAAGGTTGTGTTCCATCTTCGTACAGGCTGATCGCTAGTGCCGGGGAAAATTGTCCTGTAGTAGCTCGCGATGCAGTGAGTGAGTGGTCCATACTCGAAGTTGCTGCCCGTATGCAACGGATTGTAGCCAACTGCTCCACCAGTAAGCAGGGTAATACCTCTCGTCTTACCAGCTGATTGATCACATCGTTCATGACGAAATCATTGCAGTGTTGCATAGTCAGACCAAATGCCGCCAGACGTTGAAGAGAACACCCGAGCGCCCAAGAGGCCAAACAAATGTAATCATCACGTGATGTCTTGGCATAGTGCTCGCCGCTTTTGTCATTCGCCGCTCCTGGACTTTGCGGCCTGCGAACTTGTTAACCTTTTCCTTCAAGTCCCTCGCTTTACCTTGAATTCACAACCCTTCACTCTTCTGCCTCACCTTTACCCTTCGAAGCAGCCACACCGGATTAAATTAGACACTCTCTTCTTGTTGATTGTTTTGGCTCCGGTTACTATTGTGCCATCTTGATAAAGACTTATTTCAACCCCCGCATCCTCACTGCGGCGTTTCGACTGGGTCTCCAGACATGAGATGAACCTACTGTCCTACGTGACTGCTGCCATCCAATGACTCGGAACAAGTGAAAAGAAACAGTGATCGGTGGATCAGAACACGGGGGCATTGGCATTGCTAGGGATTTGGTTGGAGTATTCGAAACAAACGAGGAATTCTGCTACACGCGAAGGGTTTAGATAGCCAAAAGATACCAGGACATTCCTCTTTTTGTCGTCTACAGGCACTTCTGTCCGACCTCGAGTTTGAAGAGCTCTCACAGGCTCATTGACGTGACACTGAGCTTTCTCAGACCGTCTACGTGCCAATAGCCCGTTTGACTGATTCGAACCCTGACCAGGCTCTGATCATCCCAATCTTTCTCATTTTCCGTTTGCGGCCTCATCTCCTTATTCCATCATCATGTCTGGACTGCCCTCTGACGAGGTCGCTGAAGACTACAAAGGTTCTTTGGAAGATCTTGTGACCAACGACAGATACCAAATCTCGAACCTGACCTTGATCGCGAAAGAGAATATTGAACACGCTGAAGCAATCTCGCGAGTTCTTCAAAACCATATCAATCGAGTATGTCCCAACATTTCGTTGTATTGCCATGATGTTTGCCGAAGATCCCCAAGCTGAAGTTGGAGCATTGTGAGGCTGGTAACTAATGACTCGATAGGCTCCTCCTGCTCGAAAGCTGCCGGCGTTATATGTATTGGACTCGATTGCCAAAAATGTGGGATCACCGTATACGGTGTACTTCGGGCGGAATCTCCATCAAATCTTTATGCTTGCTTATTCCCAAGTCGACGGAAATGTTCGGCGGAAGCTGGAGGAGATGCTCAAGACATGGCGAGAACCAGTTCCGGGGTCCTTGTCAACCACCCCGGTCTTCCCTCATTCAAGCACCCAGACCATTGTCGACAGTCTCAACAAGTTTCGCAGCGCTACACCTGCAGCGAACCGCTATCAATCCACGCCCACACCCGTTCACGGTGCGCCAGTCAGGGTAGCGTCAACTCAGCCTTACCGCAGTACGCCCACGCCTCCTCAGAGTTTGCCGCCCTTCAACCCTTCCATCCCATCGCATACTAGAAGTCCACGGCCGCAGCAAGCCATCCCACAGCAATCATTTCAGCCAGCTCCGCCCGTGTCTTACGCCCAAGCCTTTCCCCTCCAAGCACCACCATTTTATCCTCAATCTTCGCAACCGCCACAGTTTCCACCGCCTACGCCACTCCCTCGTCCTGTGTCTTCTGCCGGAGGCGTAGACCTCAAGAAGCTGCATACCGACATCGATGATCTTACGACCGATGCGAAGATTGTGTGCGCTACGCATCCGATGGATCAAGCTGCTCAAAGAAAGTTGACCAGCCTTCAGACGCTAAAGGAGATCTTGGATAGTGGAAGTGCATCAGAGGGTGACTTGGTGGAAATTCGAAACACCATTACACAAAAGATGGCTGAGAAGTCGATCGCTGCTCGTCAGCAGCAAGCCCAGACTACGGTTCCCGTACTGCCACCGAATCCTCTCCTCAACCCTTACATGCCGCCACAGCCACCAGTTCAGCATGCTGCTGTATCGGCGACTCCTACAAGTACCCTCTTCAACAGTAAAAACTTAGCCGAATTACTGCGCGCGACTGTTAGCCAGCAGCAACAAAGCGCGCCGCCGCCGAATTATTACGCTCCACCTCACTCCGGCATGAACACTCCACAGTCATTACCGCAGATTCTACCTTCGGCGCCAGAAAATCCACTACTAGCACAGCTCCGTGCCTCGGGTCTTTTGTCTGCAGCCACAACGCCACCACAGGGTGCTACACCCCCTGTAGCCTCATTCGCTTTTGGCAACGATGTGATGACAGAGGTGACCTTGACTTCGGCTTCTATTAGAATCCCACGTCCGCACCTGATCTCCAGTTTCCTCAACGCTCGGCCAAATCAGTGCAGCACTTGCGGGAAACGTTTCACGGCTGACGATTCTGGAAAAGAAAAGAAAGCGCGTCACTTGGACTGGCATTTCAAAACAAAGGCGCGAATGTTGGAGGCTGAGAAGCGGGGACAGAATAGAAGTTGGTATGTCGATGAACGAGAATGGATCGCAAGTAAAGAATATGAAGACGAGGCTGGTCCTGAAGAAGGCGCCTCCAATGGTGCCTCTGTAGCAGCGAAAAAGCAGCCACAAAATTTTGTACGAGTGCCTGCAGATCCTGTGCTGCGATCCTTGGCTTGTCCGATCGACCAGGAGCCATTCAAAAGTGAGTGGAGTGAGGAAGTCCAAGACTTCATCTGGAAGGATGCTGTCAACGTTGGTGGTCGCTATTATCATGCAAGTTGCTATGCCGAAATCACAAAAGGTCGGGAGAAGGACGGAGTGTCGACACCGATAGGAGGAGTCAGGAGAACCGCGACCCCTGATTCGGTGCTTGGAAAGCGGAAGGCAGAAGTATGAGCACCCCTTGATGAACACTCTGAACTTCTACTAACAGCATACAGGAGGATCCGAGCGGGATCAAATCCAGAATAAAGCTGGAAAGTGCTCAGCTTATATAGAGCCTAATTCCCTTTTACGACTATATCCTAGAGTCTTCGAATTGGCATAGACCTATCTTGGGATATTGTGCATTCACAGCATTGCATTGACAGCGACGGATGGGTTTACTATGGATCAGCGGGAATTCAAGCAATCATTGCATGACAAGAGATGTGACACGGGAGGTTTTTTGGTCATCATGATCTGCGAACAAGTCACGAACGATGTATCATAAGACTAGGGCTCGACAACTACTTAAACTATGTACCTATCTGCCACGCCCTCTTCACTTCGCTCCACGTCAGTTCCCTTCAATCTTCTCCTAGATTTCAAGATCATGTGAAACTAAGCATCTAACCATCTAAAAAGCAAATCAGCAGGGGCAGACTCGATGAGAGTCGAACCTCACCTCGCTGCTGTTTACCTGAGGCACCTAGGGATCAGGACCTCGATGATCGGTAGCTTATAGATCCCTCTGTACTAAAAACGATTAGAAGTTCTTTCTGCGGATGCGGAGTAATTTGCTGTCTTTAGTCTTTTTGTGCACAATCGTCTCCACCAAACTTTTTTCGCTTCCACGAGCAACTTTCCTCCGAAGTTCCTGCAGGTCTCGCAGATTCGCACTTCATCCTCTCGACGCCCTCTCATCCACGCCTACCGTTGTCACTGACAACTCGCATCTATTCTAATACTTGCCGCTACCCTCGTCATACATCTGCCAGACAATCTGAGGTTTGACGTTGCAACTCCCCGGCGCAGGCATCGCAGCTTTCCACGTGCCCTCCCGGAGTCTCACCGCGGTCCTTTTTCTCATCTGCACATTCAGAGATATATAGCTACGCATTAGCTGCTCCTAGACATGTCCCCTCCTGCTCTAGCGCCAGCCGCTCTAGGCTCGGCTGGAAAAGAATACAAAAGGGAGTCTGGTACTGCTAGATTGCTCGGATCAGGTGAGCTGCGCCATGCTCTTTGCGTTTTAGACGAACAGAGACTGATGCGATCGGTCGACAGGTTCTGCTGGTGTGGCCGAGCTTCTTGTTTTTCACCCTGTCGATACGATTGCGAAACGGTTAATGAGTAACTCGACCAAAGTAAGGGGTTCCAATCTGTTGAAGTCTTCGTGGTTGCGTTGCTGACCCAGGCCTAGGTATCGAATGTATCTGCCTTAAACACTGTCATTTTCAGGGACTATGCCTCAGCTCCGGTCTTCTCGAAATTCACCTCCCTCTTCCCTGGTCTCGGTTACGCCGCTGGTTACAAAGTCCTGCAGAGAATATACAAATACGGAGGACAGCCTTTCGTGCGAGACTACCTAACACAGCACCACGCATCCGACTTTGACAAGGCCTTCGGCAAGGGAACAGGCAAAGCAATCCTCAACGCGACCGCAGGTTCGCTGATTGGTATCGGTGAAATTGTGCTCCTCCCCCTCGACGTGCTCAAGATCAAGCGGCAAACCAACCCCGAGGCGTTCCGCTCGCGAGGATTCCTCCGCATCGTTGCAGACGAGGGTATGGGCTTATACCGTGGAGCGGGCTGGACTGCAGCACGAAATGCTCCCGGATCATTTGCCCTGTTCGGTGGCTCGGCCTGGGCAAAGGAAAAACTGTTCAAGCTTGAGGACTACAACAAGGCTACATGGGGTCAGAACTTTGTCGCCTCCGTAGCAGGCGCGTCGGCCAGTTTGATTGTTTCGGCACCCCTCGATGTGATCAAGACTCGTATCCAAAACCGAAACTTCGACAACCCCGAATCTGGATTCCGAATCGTCGCCAGCATGATGAAGAACGAAGGTCCAACTAGTTTCTTCAAGGGATTGGTGCCCAAGATGCTCATGACCGGACCTAAGTTGGTCTTCAGTTTCTGGCTGGCACAGACATTGATCCCGGCCTTCGGCAAGGTCGTCTAGATGCCTTTGGTCACGCTCGTGGATATTACAGTAATTGGTCTGTGATACATATAGAAAACGAAGAGGGAAGCCCGAAAGCGAGAACGAGATTTCGACTTCGAGACTTGTGATTTATTGTCTTAATAATGGCAGCTTGTGTTCGTCGGAAAGTGTGTATGATAGGTACACATCCTACCGACCTTTGGAACGGATCCATGTGTCTTGGGGATCTACGTGTTGATGGCTGATGGATATGTTGAAAAAGAAAATCTCCGATACAAGGCCATCAATCGCCTTCACGGACTTCTGTCTAAGGTTTGTGGTATTTTAATTTGCAGGTTTCAGCGTGATAGAACAGTGACAGGGCTAGAAGGGCCACCTCTGGCGGGCATGTCTCTATGTGTATAGGTGGTGTTCTTGTGTCCTTGGAAATTTGGCCAAGGGCAAAAGGCAGGGAAGTTCTGCGGTCGTTACATGGTTGACAGGACGACGGGAACAGAAAAGAAAATCAATCTTCACTTCTCCTTCATCTGTTTTTCGAAGGGGTTGCCCTCTTCGCTCTTGCAGGTATATACATTCTCCCGCGAGCCCTCCTGGTATGGTCCCTATCCCCGATTGCAATAGGACGAGAGTATCGTGTGAATAAGACCCGCTCTGCCATCACACGATCACCAGACCCTGCCTGACCCCAATTCTAAGAAGAGCTGAGCAGGAAATCGGCAATGACCTGGCAGTATTTCTCTGGGATCTCGAGGTTCGTACAATGGCTCGTATCGGAGAACTTGTACCATTTGACTTTTGGAATGCCGTTGAAGAAAGGGTACAAGCAGCTTTTTTTCGCCGTCCCAGGAACAACAATGTCAGCGCCTGTTCGTGTTTTTGGGTTTGAGATGATACTGGAGCGTCACGTCACGACTTTTCTCCCCCTTATAATACTCCCCCTATCATCATGTAGGTAGGTAGGTAGGTAGGTCGGGGAAGAAGAATGCTCTGGAATGGGGGGAGAAAGTCGACGTGCGCAACCTGCGAGGGAAAGAGTAGTGTATAGAATGTGGATTTACACCCGGGGAGGGGGGGATGAGAAAGTGTGACATCTTTGTTTGACCCTGGGAAAACAAACATACCTATCATTCACCTCGTCGTAGTCGGCATTCAAAAGAAGAGTCGGCACGGTGATCTTGTGCACTTGGTCCTCCACGCTCCAGGTCCTGAGGTTGCCGGTGACGGTGAACTCGCTCGGTCCGTTCATGGTCCTGTAGACGGTGTCGTCCTTCTCCGCCCAGGCGATCGAGTCCTGGAAGTCCCCGGGGAAAGGGAACACCCTGCACACGAAGCGCTTGTAGAACTCGGTCACGGCGGCCTGGTACTCTGGGTCCTCGTAGGTGCCGTCGCGCTCGTGGCGGGAGATGGCGTCGTCGACGTCGGCCGGCAGCTGCTTGCGCCACGACCCGCAGCTCGCGACGAACAGGGGCATGCTCGCCGGCGCGTTGCCGAGGACCAGCTTCCTGAGCCCGGCGTGGCCGCGCGCCGCGAACTGCGAGCCCAGCATGCCCCCCCACGAGTGGCCGAAGAGGTCGAACGAGGACGAGATGCCCAGGTGGTCGAGCAGGTTGTCGAGCTCGGCCATGAAGAGCTCCACCGTCCAGAAGGACTCGTCGAGCCGCTTCTCGCGGAGGTGCGTGCTTTGACCGCTGCCGACCTGGTCGTAGAAGACCAGCGCCGTCGCCGTGTCGCCCGCCAGCCGCGACAGGTTGAGGAGGTAATTGTGAGACAACCCTGGTCCTCCGTGGAGGATGACGAGTGGCCGGCGAGCTGAAGGCGACGACGACGCCGACGCCGACGACAGGTCTCCGTAGACTTTGTACCATGTTTCGCATGGCTTGGGGAGTGTAGGGTAGTTAAAGGCCACGGTGCCTTCGGTGACTTTCGGTGCCGTCATGTTGTCACGTCGTTCACGAGATCGGGGGTAATCGACTCTGGATGCCGGGATCCCAACACACCGGCGCAATGTATCATACACACGTATCTGACCAACCGAAGCAGGACGGGCCGCGGGCCTTTAGGAGTGTGTGAAGTGAGGAGGAAAATGGGAAGACACTTTTGAGTTCCTGGTTACCGTTGTTCATGACCAAACATGGATAACTATCCATCAATGACGGAAAGAGGTGGTCTCTTTCGACTACAAGGAGACGTCTCACCATCCCCAGACCTGCCGTGTCATCTTCATTGCCCGTCAGATACCGAGCTTCCACTTCTGGGACCACAGAAGCTTTCCTAGACTGGTTGTGGGTAGTTCGTGCGAGTAGCTGGGATGCCTGAGCCAGACCACCAGCAGGTCTTACTCACCTGCCCAAAGGGGATCGGTCAGCCGGCGCGGCGTCAAAGCTACTTGGTATAAAGTAAGAGCCCGACGTAATCATCGAGTATGTAGACGAAGGTCGTGTGTTGGGTACCTACCTAGGCACATGTACTCCGTACACACCGAAAGGAACATTTTCTTGGACTGGACACACTAGACAGCCCACGAGGACCATCCGCACTTCGCTGTGTTTATATACCTTAATGGCAAGCTATTATCTGGCGTTAACGATCAATACTATCATTACTGTCGTGGGACGCGACGCAGTAGATCGATTACTTGAGATTGCTGAATGGCGGCTGGGCAAACACCAAAAGCGTAACATGATACGAGCTGCTTCCATAGTCATTTCTCAAACGTTCTAATTGAGATCGCGCTGTCTGTAATTCCTTTCGCCGCCTTGGTCTTCTCGCAGAATGATACCAACCTGTGTTCTTCAAAGCATTGTGCATGCATTGGCAGGGTGGTCCTCAGCAGAATTAGCAAATGGCATCGGACCATGACCCAGACCTCCACCTGCGAAGGACAGTTATTGGACTTTCCCGGGGCATCTGACAAGTGATCAAATTCTCAGAACATTCAATGATATAAGGCCATTGCATTCGCAGCCTTAAGCCACTCACGCATCCATTTGCCCTCTGCTCTCTAAAAACACTGAAGACACAACCCAAACCCTCCAACACAGAGAGGAACCATGGCAACCACAGGAGCTTGTCTTTGCGGCGAAGTCAAGTACCAATACACCGGTACTGCGATCCTTTCATCCAGGCAGAGGAACTTCTAATTAACAAGTTGAACAGGCGACATCACGGCCAAAATCTTCTGCAACTGCAAGGACTGCCAACGTTGGAGCGGAGGAACAGGCTTGCCGAATGTTGTTGTCGACCGTGCGAAGTTCCAGATAACCGCTGGTAAGTCTTCAAGCTTGAATTGGTCCGGGCGCACGGCGTAATGCAGTACCAGGTACGCCAAAGACATTCGATATCGTAGGAGACAGTGGCAAGATTAACAAGCACTTCTTCTGCGGAGCATGTGGCTCGTCCATGTACTGTGAGCCTGAGGTCATGGAAGACAAGACCTGCATCAAGTGAGTTGTGCTCCTTGCCTGAACCTGCTCAGTTACTGACTCCATGGCCAGATGTGGAAGTCTCGACGAGCCCGACGTAGCCCAGATGCAACTCGAAATCTACGTCAAAGACCGGGTGAGCTTCCAGAAACCAATGGATGGTGCCCAGCAAGTCGCGGGGGGTGTATGAGACGGAGACACAATTCAGTGCTCGTGAAGAATAGTTGTTTAGAAACGGACCACTCAAGTCGACTCCGATAGGATGATATGGTCGCAGTCGTAGGATGTGGTTGATCGTCAACCCATGTCCCTCCAGAAGCCTCATATGTGTATATTGGCAAGCTCTGGGATCTTTTACTCGTCTCTAGTCGACTTCGGAATTCCTTCATATTCCGAGTTACTTCTCCTCTTCGCGTCCAAAATATGTCTTCGTCATCCTGACACCCTTTTGCCAAAGTGCAGCAGCACTCGCAGCTTGTTCGGGGTATTTCTCTCGCTCTTCACGCTGGATCCGCACGTAGGCAGCAGACAAGCCGACGCCGACGGCAAAGATGGGATCGATGAATCTGAAGATAGCCATCAAGTATGTTAGCTGACCTGTACTTGAAATCGTGCAATGAAGTGCGGTGTAATGCACGTACTTCGATATCAACCATGGTTGGGCTATTGACGCCATGACCCGTCTCTGTATTCGAATGCTTCAGAAGGAACAAAACGCAATGTGCGATGGAGCAGGGTCCCGGAGCCAAATAGCTAGGTAGGCCCTCTTATACGGAGTACTCGATAATGGAGTTAGAAGAATAAGTAATGGGCTAATCGAGTCCGAAATTGCGGCGAGAGAACAACGAGAGCGAGAAACCTCGAGCGCTGTTAGAGAAGCTTCTGGAGGCTGGCATGCACGTGAGTCAAGTCAAGTACTAAATAATAATCGGGAGGGTTTGTTCTAAGCATTTGGGGATTATTTCTAGGCATCACGCCGCCTATGGCCCCGATAATTTAAGCATCCTTTGGAGATGCTCCTCCCCATTATGTGGGCGTGTTAGGGGCCACTGTACAACCATGCAAAGTGTAAAATGCCTAACGGCGTCTGTCCCTCAAAAAAGGGGGTGTTCACACATGACCGTAATAAGGCAACTCGCATGACAGGGCAGGTTGTCAGCGTGGTCAAAATGCCGTATCAGCAGTCTTTTTCCCGCAGAAACTCGGGGCTGGTATATCATGGTAGCCATGGTCTCACAAGATGGGAGTCAAGACCTGTTGGGTTTATTCGTTGGGATCAAATTGATTCCGCCTCGGTGCCTCTGAGAATCCCTTCAGCAATGTCTACTGCTCGCTGCACCTCAGCCTGCAGGTCTAGATCCCAGATCCAGTCCATTCTCTTGTCTAGATTAGACTTCATCTTTGTCAGATCTCTTCCAATCCCAGGCAAAGTGAACTCGATCATCTCCCCCATCTCTCTGCTCGTCCTGCACACTTCTTGTGTGCGAGGCCGACGCACTGTATCGTAAGCGCGGAAGCACGCTTCGATTTTCGCATCAATGGAAGAGTCCGACGCTCTCGTCTCCGTGGGGATTTCTGGATCAGGCCCGAGGACCTTCGACAGTACGCCACTCAAGATCAGACTGTCTTCGAAGGCCATCCCGGCACCTTGACCTTGATGCGGCGTCGAGGCGTGGGCAGCGTCACCCAGGATCACGACCTTGCCTTTTACATACGTCGGTGCTGGCAGGTGGTCAAACAGTGCCCAGCGTTCCGGGCGCTGGATCTGAGAGAGCAATGCCTGGATGGACTCTCCCCAGTCTGCAAAGTCTCCGAGCATGGTAGCTTTGTCAACCGGCTGGACCCAATTCGTGTCACCCGCCTTTGGGGCCATGAAAGGTTGTCCTCCAACTCCAGAGCTCGGAGATACTCGTTTCACGGCCACCATGTTCATAAACCGGCCCTTTTCGACCGGATACATGACGATGTATCCGTCGTTGCCACAAAATAATGTCCCTTTTCCGGGTGTGAGCTGCCCCTGTGTTAGAGACACGAACTGTTCCCTTGTATACAAACCCCGATATGCATACTCGTTGGCGAACTGTGGATGGGCGGCAGGCTGGTCGGGGTCATCAGCTAAGATATACGACTGTCGTACCCTCGATTTAATGCCATCACAGGCAATGACGGCTGATGCCGACGTGGTCGTACCATCGGCGAAATGAAGAATCAGGTTTCCCTCGCGGCCTTCGTCCCCTTTTATGGCCGTCAAGCTCTTGCCAAATTGAGCCGTGTCCGCTGGGATCAGTTTGATCAATTCGTCGAGGAATTTTGCGCGATGAAAACATGCTCGGCCTGGGGCTTTCGAACCTTTATGCGAAACTGTGGTAATCAAGGTGTTGAAACTGGACCACCTGGTCAAACGGGCCCCAACAACGCGACGAAGTGTGCACTTCACCTACCTGTCTTTCATCCCGATCCGAATATCCATCCATTCGCTGCTTCTGGGGCCGGTGCCATTCCCATTGTCGTCGGCATCGACGCCTTCATTGTACGTCACGCATTTCTTGAATCCTTCGCCAATGGCCGAGTCTATCAGTTCCAAGGCCTTCACACTGTTCGGCCCAAGGGCGATACCCGCTCCGATTTCTGAAAAAGCCAAAGCAGATTCATAGATCTTGTGTGGGATGTTGTTGTGAGAAAGCCCGATGGACAAGGTTAAACCAGCCAAGCCACCGCCAACAATGGCAATAGGAGACTCTTTCAGCATGCTGCTGCGCCCGGACACCGCTGGTCCCATGGTTCTCACAGCTGAGGGTTAGGCGGTGCGAAGTCGAACGGTCATCTTGAAGTCGAGCGTACAGACGGTCTCGGTGGGTTGATGTTGTGCTTATGTCAGGCTGGCGTTTCTCGCATTAAGCGGGGCCTAACGGTTTCTTCTTGTTTGGGCTTCGCTGTTTCTGTCTGGTCGCACGGAGATGGAGCTGTTATGTGCGGAATTGTCCGACCAACTGATACGCGGAGTCGACGCGAGGATCTTTTCCCGACAAGAGAGTCTACCACGATGTGCATTAGCCGCAGCAGCTCTTCCAGCTTCTCTCACATGGGAAAAGTGGAGCCCTTAATCGCTTCGAGACAGAACTGACTCTTCTCTTTCGATCTTCAGCAGGAGTTTTCCCTCAACTTCTTGTGTTGGTGAGAGTGAGTCCATCACCTTTCTTCTGCCCTTGAGTCCCGACATCGCAGCAATGTTCGCATTCCTTCGCGGTTCGTTTCCACCGCGCACCAACAATGCGGCCAACAATCCCATCATCTATGAAAACGGGAAGTCCTCAGTCAAGTTCCACGCTCCAGAGTCTCAGTTCATCATGACACATACCATTCCTCCAAGCGGAGGTGAGAACGGCGTGTCCATCATCACGCCTCCATTTCACTATCACATCTACCAAGACGAGTACTTTGGACTACAAAAGGGCACAGCCGTCCTCTTCAAGGGCATCGACCCCAAGCCTTTCGCGACACTCACCGAGGATGGTCAGAGAAAGGCCACCGTCCCCGCCGGCAACTACCATCGATTTGAGAACGGCTCCGAGACGGAAGACCTAGTCATTGACATCCATCTGACACCGGAATCGTACGAGAACGAGCAGAAGTTCTTCCGCAACTTCTTCGGCTACCTGGACGACTGCAAGTCTACAAAGGCGAGCCCCAGCTTTTTCCAGCTCATGGTCTTCCTACACAGTGCCGATACGCCGTTGGCACTACCCCTTCCCAATGAGTGGCTTGGACGTGTTGTCAGCCGGGCGTTCTTGATTGTGGTGGCCGCCTGGGGAAGGTGGATCTTGGGTTACAAGCAGACTTACCCCGAGTATTATGAAGAGGGCAAATCCAAGTAGCCCCTTTGAGAACATGCGCGTGATTTTCTAGTGTAAATGTTGTATTCATTCAATACTTGTCTCCCACCGGTTCTAGAATCGACAGTCTACCTGCATATCTAGTCAATGTTCAATGATATTCTAGGGTCGACCCCTACTTTCAGAGATTGGGCCACCATTGCGTTTTCTCTGACTAGTGCGAAAATGGCCGGTTGTGATACTTTGGGTCCTTCTCTGGCGTGCCCGCGGGAGGGAGATCGACCTCTTCAGCGTTCAGATACCAGGATGGATCGCCCTGGCCGGGTAAGAGGTTGGTACTCCAGCCGTTTCCCAGCCAGCGGAGCCTGTTGTCCTCGCGGGTCTCGTAGTCAAAGTCCTCCCATCGCGGTGCCCGAAGGACCTCCATGGCGTGGAGGATGCTGCCGGGCCACAGCGCAGTGATGCGGTCGCCATATCCTCCGCCGGACTTGTACCAACTCTTGCACTCATCCATGTAAATTGTCTTCTTGAAGTACTCACCGACATACTCGGAGAAATCTTCAACTCGAGCCCGTTTGGGCGTGATGGTTAGGTAGTCTTCCTTCTGGATCTTTCTGATGCATTTGATAATATAGTCACCTTCGGCCTCGAGGAGGATGGTCAAGGTCCCGGCTCCGATGCCGGAGTTGGGACCGAGCATGATAAAGTAGTTGGGAAAATCGTCGACGCCCATAGACAGGTAGGTCTTGGGATAAGGGGTGAATTTCTCCTTGAGGGTCACGCCATTCTTGCCGGCCAGGGCAAACGGAGGAATCGACGACGTGTTGAACCCCGTGGCGCACACCAGTACGTCAAGGTCAACGTGCTTCCCGTTCGCCAATTGTATCCCGGTTTCTGTGATGGATCCGATCTTTTCCGAAATGAAATCGACATTGTCCTGGACCAACGCCTCCAGATATCCCGGTCCAGGTGTCAGACGCCGGCAACCCACGCCAAAGGTGGGATGAAAGTACTCGAGCAGCTCAGGTTTCTTCGACAGTGATTCCTTCGCAGATTTGCCAAACATGTCGACGAACATGTTCTGCATCTCTGAGCCCCTCAATGACGAGGAGTGGACCATGTTCCCGTCCTCTTCGATTGCTTTTCGGAACTTGAGGTATTTCTCTGGGTTGTTAGCAAACTCGTCACGTTCTTCCTGGGTGACTTGAAGGGCATCACAGTTAGTACCTGCAATATCTTATTCGCTGGGACGGCGATTGTCAAACTCACAATCCAGTCGACTGGGGTCCAGCCCAAGGGTGTGCATGACATGGTCGCCGAAACGGTTGGAAATCCAGACTTTACTTCGCACAAAACAGCTCAGATGAGCCCCTTCCTTCTTCTGTAGAATGGGCACTATCTGAATCGAAGATGATCCACCTCCAATGACACCAATCTTTTTGTTGCGGAAATCGTAACTGGTCCCATGATCAGCACAAGCCGAGTGCGTAAGGTGGGTGCTCACCTCTCGTTCCAAGCCGCTGAATGCATCTTCTCGCCTTTGAAGGACTCCAGCGCAGCGATGTCCGGCCATGCGAAGTCATTCAGGTTCCCACGGCACGAAACAACAAAGTCGGCCTCTTCCGCGAAGGCCTCCCCCGTAACCAAGTTTTGGACGGATATTCTCCTGTTAGTCGCCAAAGTCAGCGGTGATCGTCCGTATGTCACCAAAGAGTGAACCTGCCATTTCGAGATCAAGTCGTCCCAGATACAACTTGTAACTTTATGGCTAAACTTGACAAATCGAGGTACGCCGTACTTGTCTGCCACATTTTGAAGATATTGGCAGATCTCCTGGGACGGCGCGTAAAACCCCGACCATTGCGGGTTGGGCTCGAAAGTGTACTGATATGAATGGGCTGGATTTTCGACCTGTCAGCAGGCCGCGGCAATGAGAGATGATTTTGCTGGTCCTTGTCGAGCTATCTTACCGGGAATGTCACAGGCAGCACCAGGGTACCGATTTTCCCACCAAGTGCCTCCGACACCTTCGTTCTTCTCGTAGATCTGAAAATCGACATTCCTTAGTCGCTGGGGAATTCTGATGCCCATGTAAATTCCAGAGTAGCCGGCACCGATGACCCTGACTTTCAGTGGACGAAAGTTCTCTACGGGGTCATCTTTAAGCGCGAATGGCTGCTTCTCTTGAGCCATGGACCCCATTCTGCGCTAAGGTTGACGAGGCTGAACAAGGCTGGACTCTGGGCAAGGGATAACTCGTGGAAGTGTCAAGGGTTGCGTTCTACTGTACACGTCTTAACTCCTAGTGAAGACCGGGCACTGCATTGACACTTTGAGCTGTATCGTAACGAAAGGCCCTAGTGGATATAGTCGACTCAATTCAAGTTGTTTCACTGATAGCTCAGTAGAACCTTATCTTATCTCACGACTGCACCCGACCACAGTCTAAAATATCTCCTGACTCGCAGATGTCCGTTCCCGATGGACGAAAAGCCTAAAATTCTCAGTAATCAGGGGAAACACGACTCATGCTATCTTTTGGAAGGGAACATGTGGAGAAATTTCCCCTTTCGGAAACCGGACAGCCGGGGGAGATTTGGCGAGAAGAGGGTACAATACAATATCTGAGGCTCTAATTTCTTCACAAGTTTGCGGAAAAGAAATTCGAACATTCGGTGGGGTAAAGGTACTTTCGCCAATGAACACAGTATAGTCTTAAGCAGTGTACCCACTTGACTATGGGTCGACTGGCCGAGTTGACGAACCGTGGCCTCGATTCAATGCTAGTAGCTCGACCAAGAATTCATCCAACAGATAAGCCCTTCTGCTACCGTATTTGAAATATTATAGAATCATTGAGACTAGTCATCCCCTAAATTAGGTCTATCTCCTATCAACGGTCGGGTAATGAACCAAGATGGGCGCGTTTGCATCCGACTCTGGGTTGAACAGCGATGGACTCTTGTTGCCCAGAACAGCTCAGCGGCCGCGCTTCAACACCCAGATTGCGGCTAAGTCTTCATAAACTGTCCCCTGACCGTACCCTTCAGTCTGGCCACTTTCGAAGATTTCAAGACAAGATCCGTGGCTACGATCACGATGAAAGGAAACAATCACGCCGTCGTGGTGTCAGAGGCAACCGGTGCACATGTCCATGTTCCCGGTACTGAAATTCTTCTCGACTTGGAAGGTCACAGCAACCTCCAGCATGCCAGAGTTGGTGATGGCCACGTCTTGCTGGTACCCCAACCGTCCTTGAACGACCCTAATGACCCTCTCGCCTGGCCCAGATGGAAGAAATGGATGGTTTGTTTGAGCCTGATGTTCAATGCTTATCTTCTCAACATGCATCTGACCAAAATCGTAAACAGGTGTTTGCAAATGCTCTGACATACAGCTTTCTCGGTTCCAATCTTGGTCCGCTTATGTCAGGAGGTAGGGGGCCCCCAGTTGCTGAGTCTTCTCTCTTTGGAACTTGATAAACCCCATGATACGTCGGCGCTGACTGGATCCCGTTCACAGGCATGGTGGAACAGTCCGCATACTTTGGTATCCCCATCAGTCACTTGTCTTGGGCGGCCGGTATCTCCCTGTTGGCCTCTGGAGTTGGTACGATGTTCTGGGTTGTAAGTCGGGAATAACCAGGTGCACGATGACGCATTGCTGATAAAATCTAAGCCTCTGTTTGTAAAGTATGGCCGAAGGCCTGTCTTTCTCGCCTCGACTATCACGTCCGGAGCTCTGTGCATGTGGTGTGGATAGTAAGTAAAGGGAAGCTCTGATAGAGGGCAACTTGACACGGGTCTGGCTTCAGGACATTGGCTGACACTCTCGATTGCAATCTACAGCGCCACCAAAACTACATTTGCTTCCTTCTTTGCCGCACGAGCATTTGCCGGCTGGTTTATTGGTCCTATTGAATCGATCACTGCCAGCACTATCACCGACATCTTCTTCCTACACGATCGGGGTGAGAAAATCTCTTACTTCGGCTTGTCAGTCCTCGGCGGTAACGAGATCGGTCCTATCATCTCAGCGTACATCATTCAAGGAATTGGAATGCGATGGTACGTATCCGAAATAACCACATGAGGTACAAGTCATGAGCTCACAAAATTAATCAGGGCTTTCTACATCCTCGGGATTGCCTTGTTTGTGAATTTTATCACTATCTTCTTCACCATGCCCGAAACTTCATATTGGGGAACCCGTCCCGAGATTCCTCTCAGTGTTGTCAAGAACGGCGACGCTTCCGCTATCCAGCCTTCACGCACTGACGCAGCCCCTATCGACGAGTCCACAAGCGAAGGGGAAATTGAGAAGGAAATAAGGAACACGCCTGAGGTACAACAGCCCAGTGCCGAAGTAGAAGTGGGATCCATCCAGGAAACGATCGCCAAGCGCTCCTACATCCACGAACTGCATCCGTACCCTGTGATCAACAGGACACTTTCGCTGAAGAGGTTGTTCTTGAGACCGATAGTCCTGGCAACTTAGTGAGCCCTTCCGGCGATATCTCACCGCCCTGCTACTTGGCCGATTGCTAACTCCTGCCCAACAGTCCCACAGTCCTATGGGCAAGTGCTGTCTACGGAATGGCCCTAGGTAAGCCTTGGTGAGGTGATCCCAGGGAAGATTCTTCAGCTCACCGTCTTTTACTAGCTTGGAATGTTGTTCTCGCATTAACGATCGCTCAATTGTTTGCACCTCCGTAAGCCGGTGCCCATCCCCAGTGCCTCGAAGCACAAGGCTCGTATGGGAAGAGTTGACTTGGCTGATGACATGCAACAGACCATATCTATTCAACAGTGGCGCTCAGGGCTTGATCTTTCTTTCACCAGCCATCGGAAGGTGAGAGCTGATACCCCGGACATATTCTTACAAGAAGTATTGGACTGACACGCAAACCCATCAATAGTCTCGTGGCGACGTATCTCTGTGGTCCGTTGGCTGATCAAATCGCAACTTACTATACACGCCGCAACAACGGTGTTCGAGAGCCCGAGATGCGGCTCCCCGTGGCTTACATGGCTGCGTTCTTTACCTTTGCTGGTGTAGCCATTGCGGGCCCTTGCTATCACTACCAAACACATTGGATTGGGCCTATATTTGGCTTCGGTGTGCTCAGTGTCGGTGCTCAGATGGCAGCGAACTTGGCCATGACCTATTGTTTGGACAGCCACAAGGAGCTGTCCGGGGAGGTCATGACAACCATCTCCGTCATCAAGTCGACTCTAGCTTGGACTTGGTCCTGGTTCATTAACGACTGGATTGTGCTGAACGGCATGATGACAGTGTATTTCATCAGTAAGAGTTCTTCCTCCCTGAGTCCCTGACCATGACAGTGAGATGACAGCGTTCTGATTCTCTCGCGTGTAGCCGCGGCAATCAATATCGTCGTCTTGTCGTCGACCTTCTTGCTCTACTACTATGGCAAAGATGTCCGAATTCGACTGCAACGACAGAACATTCTTGGTCGTCTGAACTTGCTTTGATTGACCCAGTCCGGTGCGTCGGAAGACGCATTGATCTTAGTGGCGAGAAGCTAGTCAAAGGGTGCTAACTATTCACATCCGCTCAGCTTTCGATAGACGCCTGGCCTATGCTGTCTGGTCTGTGGGAAACTTTCAGTAGATCAACACCTAGAGTAGGAAAGGCTTACTCTTCGGTAAAGCATTGGATTTATGTGCAGGACTCATACTATCGTGGTAATGGCTTGGATAATGTTATTCTCTTAGTTAGTTCTAAAACTCGTGCTTTTTACTATTTTACTGAGCTCGAGAGAGAGCGGGAAGATACGAGCGAAACTTGAAATCTCGCATTTCTGCGCGGGCCGCACACCCATCGCAGAAGCCCGATCATTTGAACTAACATATTCCATCAGCTGCTAAATCATGTAGCTTCATTCAACCATTTTCGCGAATATCAAATGTGATTATGCTTCCGTCCCCAGAAGAAAATGGATTAAAGCCAATCACTCACGCTGTTCAAGTTCCCTAACGCAGTTCATCCCGTCGCCCTAGTCAACTCAACTTGGACACCCTCGACCCTCGTCGCCTCGCTCAGAGATGTCATCATCATCATCATCGTTACCATCCTCAGGTCAATGGATCACCAAGGCCCCGTATGCCAGCAATAACTACCTGCAAACGTACGATGTCTACCTCGCTGACGAAACTCGTTCAGCAGACGGATGCTGGCTGATCTACATCCACGGCGGCTTCTTCCGAGATGCGCTCGTTGACTCGATATCGTTCCACCCGACAGTGTCGCTGCTCACACAGAATTCGTCCAAGCTCATCGCGGGCTACGCCTCACTAAACTACCGTCTCTCACCCTCAAGTAAAAACCCTCAAGACCCTTCGTCCACTCCTCCTTTTGAGCTTCGTGCTGCCGTTTGGCCGGACCACTTGGACGACGTATGCGCAGGCCTCCGCCACCTTCAGACGACATATTCTTTTGGATCGAACTACGTGCTCGCAGGACACAGTGTGGGAGCGACCTTGGCCCTGCTCGCGGCGATCAAGGGCCCCCAGAGCCACGACGTGGTCCCGCCCAAGGCGGTGCTCGGCTTGAGCGGCATCTACGACTTTCCGCTCCTCCACGAATCACACCCAGAGTATGAGGCGCTGACGTTCAATGCCATGAAGCGCGGCGAGGAAGTCGACGCCAGCCCAGCCGTCTATGATGCACAGACGTACCGAGCGGCGGGCGTGGCGAAGGTCCTCCTCGCGCATTCCAAGGACGACGGCCTCGTCCCCTGGAACCAGGTTGATCGGATGAAGGAAATTCTCGTGAAAGGCGAAGAGGACTATGTAAATGTGCTCGAGCTATTCGGCAAACACAATGACATCTGGGCAGATGGGAAAGAGGTTGCTAGGGCTTTCGACGCGATATTGAAGACGCTATAGTCTTCAAGAAGGTGCCTGAGGCAGGCTGCACCCTTCGCGGTTCGTGAATTATTACGGTTATCACAAGCAAAGAGGAATCGGTACCATAGATTATAGAGTTCCAAAGCAATGGACCATGGCTAGGAGGTATTCGTTGGAGGGGAAGATGAGTGGCCTCTAGCGGCCTTCTTAAAAGCGGCGTGGGACAACTATGTACGAGTAGATACGGCACTCTGAAACGACTGCGCTTGCGCTGCTAAAGAGGAAGTTTTCAATAGTTGCAAGTGTCGGCAAAAGTCCAGCAATAGCGCAGAAGCCGCATCGAGCTTCACTTCGCTCTCTTTCACCTCACAGTGGCCACAGAGGACCAGGCACATCTCGACCTTTCCATGGCAGTCGAATCCTGTTCTGACCATTGTCCACCGCCACTTCTCGGCCAAGTTGTTACTGCGTCCTCGACCTTCAAAGCTGTATTTCCCGGTCGATTACGCCCGATTGGCACACAGCGGTTATCTGCAAGGAAAGAAGGAGGACGCTGCCGCTAAAGGAGACGATCCGAAATCGATACGCGATGCCGCATGATGATGAGCAGCGTGGGGACTTCGGGATGCGCCACGAAACCGGTTTTTCTCGCATGGTGCATTTGGTGCTCGTACCACCCGCTCCGCTTCGCATGATCCTCTACCTCAGCATTGGCCCATGGCATCTATATATCCTTGCTCGACGACCCTACTGCTCCCCGCAACGATGGCGTCGCTGTCTCCAGGCAGTCGCCATTGGCCAACATTGAGCTCCCGAATGTGGCTTGAACGTGTGACGTTTGTGCTCTTGGTGAGTCTTCTTCACAGTGACGGTGACAAGGTACAAGGGTCGACGAGCAGGTTCGTCTTGACCAGCCATTCCACCTGGTGCTTTTTGTAGTATCTTTCGTATGTACGTCCGTCCCTCTGCGATGCCTTTCTTCTGTCTCCGTCCTTGCCGTGTATCTGAATAGGCCTTTCCCTATAACAATATCAAGCTTGCGCACGCCGAGTCTTCTGAAATAGAAGCGCAACTACACCGAGAATCTTGTCGGAAATTCCTCTCTACCATGGAGGACGCGACCGCCCAGAACCCGGAGCAGAAGAAGGAGAAGCCGCTCCACGAGTACGCCATGCAGTACCGATGATTTACGGGAGCGTTCGCTAAACAGGCACAGACTCCTAACATCCTCGCTGGTCGACGTCTACGTCGGCGCATCATCAACACATTGGACTCTACATGAGCAACTCCTCTGCCACTATTCACCATTCTTCGCAACCAAGCTCCATGCCGATGATAAAGAGGAGGAAAGGAAACAACGCGGGAACAAAAGTTATAGCCTTCCAGACGAAGATGATGAACCTTTCGAGCTGCTTGTGGCCTGGCTATACTCACAATCCATCCGCCCGCCAAAGGTCGAGAATGACATCGGTCCACTTCTCGAGCTTTACCTACTCGCAGTGAAACTCGAGGTGGAAAAGCTACAATCTGATGTGGTCGAAACTGTCAGAGACTACTACCACAGCACATCCACCTACCCTGGTCTGCGCCGAGTGCAGTACATCTATTCGGAAACCGACGAGGACAATGAGATGCGCGAGATGATGGTGTCAGCCGTGGCTCGTCAATTGACCACGAGCGACAAGATCGCGGCACATTGGGCTACTGCTCTCCAACGCAATGGGCAGTTGGCCGTCGACATCATCCGGGCAATCCAGCAATGGCATATCGAAGAACGCAGTATTCCAGACGCCAGAGATGTTAGCTCCCACCGAGGCAGACGAGCGAGTGAATTTGGCTTCAGCTCGATCGAGCGTGTGGGCAATTCGACCGATACTGTAGACACAAACATGGGTGTGGAGAGTGTGAACAGTGGAGCCAGCGATGCCCCGAACATCAAGAGCGATGCTGAAGAGTAAGTCTGTTCGTTGTGTACTGTACCTCATTTGGAGTGATGGCTGCAGTCGTCACCTCCACGACGTTCAAACGGCCGTTGCATGGAAGCTGAACGCAACTTTCGGCATGAAGAATCTTGTCACAGACTTTGAACTCAAGACCGCCAGAAGCGCGAATCGACCCACCGGACAAAGCCGAACGCATGAGCTCTTCGGAGCCAGAGGAAGGCAGGCCTCTTTCCGAAGCAAAAGGGGAAAGGAGGGCGACGAAGGAAAACCAGACCCGATGGAAGGCATTTCAGGATGGATTAAAGTTCATTTGTGTAAGCAGGACGGAAAGCATCTTCTTGCTGTCTGCGTGGTTCGTGTACCTCATATACCACATTGGCGCTTTTGGGAAGGGCGGCACATGGAGCTAAAAGCACGAGTGGTGTGTTTTGCAAATGAATTTGTGTAACCACACGCTGAGGTACTCGTACAGTAAGCTGCTTATCATCGCATCCAGGCCATCAAGGGAACTATTGTGTTTTAACCCCTCGGCATGCGTGACCCTGTGGCTCGTATTCGCAAAGCGGACGGTGACGTACTTACTGTGCGAGTTACATGAATTGGGCGTCTTAACAAGCCTGACGTGGGCCAAGCCTTCTCCGCCGCCTGCCGAGATCGGTGTCTGGAGCTTATCAGAGCTTGTTCATTAGATTCACTGGGTTTGATGCTCGAGCTATCGAGTTTTTCCTTTGATCACAACACGCACCATCGACTTGACAAAGTCTCGCTAGAGGCCGCCAGCCCGACAGCCAGGTCTCCGCCTCCATCCGACTCGGCCTATCGCATGCTGGTGCGCAGGCTAGAAACGCAGAGAGAAGCATGGACAAGCCTTTTTTGGCATGGACTTGGCCCTGGCCGAAGATAACAGCGTGGGATTCCGAATGCTTGTGCAACTACTGCAAGGTCCGCCTCCACACTACCAGCTTTGTCTACGAACATAGCTTCCGCGTCTATGGATCGTCCGCGGCGCGAAGATAACGACAGTCGACAGCTGTCAAAAGCGCCAATGACGGTCGTTGAATTTTCTTTGCGGCTCATCTAGCCAGCTCTAACGGCAAGGTACCATCAACCGACGCCTTGGATATCGAATCAACTCGTGAACAGCTCTTGGATTGTGGCCCTTCGGATCCCGCCGACGGCCTTACTCACAACGTGGCAGCGAGGACCTGCAGATGAACTGGGAAGGAGCACCGGAGCTCTGCGAACTAAGTAGCTCAAAAAATCGTCCTGGGAGTTTCCTGGAGCTTGGACTGCAGGCAGCTTAAAAAGGCGAGCTCTTCCCACTCTTGTCCTTCCTGCTCGCGTGCCTCTTTATAGCAAGGAACAGTTCAAAGGGCCCCTCTCATCGCGTCACCATCACCATGTGGTCACTCAAGCTGTCGAGTCTGCTCGCAGCAGCAGCAACGATCCCCTTGTTGAGCACAGCAACGCCTCTTGCACCGAAACACGCGGTCGCTCGAAGAGATGGAGTTATCGCTCCTAAATTCGTCATCGTTAGCATGTTCGCACCAGAAGCAGAAGTGTGGTGGGGCATTGACGAGTTCGACCTCCTTGCACAAAACATCACTGTGCCTGGTCTGTCACCATTGTTTCCAGAGGTTCACTGCACAGCCGACGGCGAAATCTGCCAGGTCATCACTGGTGAAAGCGAGATCAACGCTGCATCTACAATCTCGGCGTTCGTTTTGAGCCCAAAGTTTGACCTGACCAAGTCCTACTTTATGGTGGCAGGAATTGGTAAGTAAATCAATCCCCTTGAGAGTGTTGATATCTCGGTGGCTGTCGATAGAAGTGTTGCTGACACATGTATTCACAGCGGGTGTTAACCCCGAGGTTGCCACAACGGGCTCTGTGACTTTTGCCCGATACGCTGTCCAAGTCGCATTGCAGTACGAATTCGATTATCGTGACCTGCCCGACAATTTTACCACCGGCTACATTCCATTCAACACGGACAACCCTGCTGATTATCCCGGGGAAGCGTATGGCACTGAAGTCTTCGAGGTCAACCAGGCGCTGCGAGACATTGCATTTGACTTCGCCTCGACGGCCGTCCTCAACGACTCGGAAACCGCCCAGATTTACCGAGCCAAATATGCGTCGGATGCACTATATACGGCAGGATCACAGGGACCTAGCGTGGTGGCCTGTGATGTAGCCACCTCAGACGTCTACTACTCTGGCACGCTCCTGTCTGAAGCGTTCGAGAACACCACACGTATCTGGACCAATGGAACCGGAGTCTACTGCACGACAGCGCAAGAGGACAACGCCTCGCTCGAAGCCATTCTCCGCGCGGACAAGGCAAACTTGACCGATTACAGCCGGGTCATCGTCATGCGTACTGCGTCCGACTTTGACCGCCCACCACCTGGAGTCAGCCAGATCCAGAACCTGTTGTATGCCCACCAAGGCGGTTTCTCGCCCGCGATCGCGAACATCTACCTGGCCGGAGTCAAGGTCGTCCAGGGTATCCTCGACGGCTGGGACACGCTTTTCGAGCAGGGCATCACACCGAACAACTACGTGGGTGATATCTTCGCCACGCTGGGCGGGACTCCAGACTTTGGAAAGGAGGACTTCTTGATCACCAAGAAGAGAGACCTCGCAGCAGCCGAGGAGCAGCAAGGAAATCTGAGGATGCGTAGGGCTCTGCAAAGCGCCAAAAGACAAGCCGCCGCGGCCGAAGCTTTAGGTCTTGAGTATTAAGGTGTAAGGAGGCAGCCAATGGTGGCAACACATGGTCAGAGTCCAAAAGCTTTAATGAGGACCCCCGTCTTCAGTAGTGGAGGAGAGGAAAAAATTACTACTACATTAATGTCCGCGTACAAAGACGAATCAAAAATGAAATTAATGCGCAATATCTATATCGATGTCTATGTCTATGTCTATTTATATTTCTACCTGATGAAGCTAGTTCTAGTTTCTAATTCTCGCTCTGATTCTAGTTATTAGTGGTTGTCAAAACAAAAATATACCAGATCCCACCCCTTCATTGGTTGACGGTCATGGACAATATTGAACTTCGACAAAAGGTTCCTGTGACGCCGATACGTGATTCGCCCAGTAGTATATCCTCATGCACCGTGCTTTGACATCGACCAGTAAGATTGGGGGGGAGAGGGGGGGGGGGGGGGGGGCAGGCGACTCCGTCTATCAAATCGAGACTGATTTGCGGCGTGCATACATGCACCACCGACAAGTGAGAGAGAGAGAGAGAGTGTGTGTGTGTGTGCGTCGAAGTTGTAGCTAGCCAGCCACAAGGAACGGGGGTGGGTCGACGTAGAGTAGTTAGTGGTTGAGGAGTGAAGGGTCGGTTGAAGGGTCCGGGCCCCTTTTTTTCTCCGGCGCTTCTGCCGGTGCTGAAATTCAATCTTGTCTGGGGCAGATGGAGGGGGCGGGTCACCTGTGGCTTCTCAACTCAGTTCGAGGCAATGTCTGACTGAGGTGGTGTGGTCCGTGTCGAAATCGTCGTCTCATCGTCTTTCGCCTCCGTCTGTCTCTTCTTCGTCTTCGTCATCAGACAGTCGGTGTGTTACGGTCGGTGTATCGAGTGACGAAGACGATGGCGCGGACCGACCAAAAACGGCCGTCCCGAACGAACAAAACGTAACGCCACTACCGACCGACGCAACCATTTCTGAGATCATGGCACGCACGACTTTTCTTTTCTTTTTTTTTTTTTGGTTTTTGGCTTTTTCTTTCTCCGTGAACCCCGAACGTTCAAGAAGAAGAAGAAGAATCGGAAGGAACGGGCCACCTCATCCCAGCAAGCAAGACACGCTCGTCGATGTTGCGGTGAGCGTAGCTCAGGCCGCACACACTCCCCGGTTCGAACTGGAACTCCAACCTGACGGGATCGTCGATGGCGAAGCCCAACCACCTCTTGGCGAAGGCGCGGAGGATGTGGCCGTGGGCGACGATGACGACGTCGCACGGCCTCCGTCCGTCGAGGGCGTCTCTCTGCATCGTCGTGACGCGCGAGATGACCCTGTCGACGCGCCGCGTCACGTCGGCGGGCAGCTCACCACCGGGGCCCTCGCACCCGTCGAGCATGGCGTTCCACGGGCGGCCGCCGCCCTCGCACCCGTCGAGGCCGCGCGACCGCCGCAGTTCGCGGATCTGGTGCGTCAGGAGGCCCTCGTAGTCGCCGTACCCCCACTCGGCGATGTCTTCGGTCGTCGTGGTCTTGGACTCGAGGCTCGCCCGGACCGCCGGTTCCGGAATCCGATCCAGGAACAGGCCCAGGGTCTGCCGCGCGCGTCTGCGAGGGCTGCAGACCACCAGCCCGATCTTGGACGGGTCGACCAGTCGCCCGGCCCCGAACGCCACGCTGGCCGTCTGCTGCACCTTTTCCACCCCCTCGGGGAGCAATGGCAGGTCCGTGATTCCTGTGTATCGTCCGTTCTTGGACCATTCTGTTTCACCTGTGCAGAAACCGAGAGAGAGAAGGGAATGTGACGTTAGAAACTGAGCTGGGTCCCCCGCGCGCGCACGTGTGTGTGTGTGTACGTAGTGTGTTTATGTGTGGTGGCGGTGGCGGGTGTGGTGGGTGTGGTGGGTGTTATTGTTCAACCGACTTACCATGACGAATGAGGAACACTCGTGGTGTACCCTCGTTTTCTGCCGACATTTTCTTTTTATCAAGGGGGGGAAATGTTCTCGGATGTACAGTATATGTGTGTTCTTGTCGAGGATCGTCGCCGCCCGTAGAGATCTTTAACGAGTGTCAAGTAGCAGTTGGAGCGACCGGGTATGGAAAATTGCAGTGAACACGTGGTTGAGATTCTCAGCAGATTCATCAACTCACATGCTTTTTTCCTTCCCGGTCTCTGGCCAGTATCAAGCAGCCTTGGCGGCCTCCACCAAGATTTTGATGAGATCAGATACTGTACATTAATCAAACAGTCACGCATTGCTTTGCGAGCATATCATAGAGATGGCAATTTGTGGCGATCCACCGGCACGTCTGATCAGTATCGTGTGGTCTAAACTAAAATCGTTCACCATCAGAAAAGGAACCGTCGCAGACGGACTCACTCTGAGGACATGTCTACATTCATTGAGAGATACAACGGGGGGTAAATTTTCCGTTTCGTCTTGTACGGTACGTTGTCGAGTACCTACCTACTCGTACTAGGTACCTGCCTACCTACCTGACCCAGTAAGTCAGCAGCCGGTGTTTCCTCCCTGCAAAGTACAGTACAGCACTCGGTGCGCTGAGAAGATGACCTGACCGGGAAGGGGAACCTCTACCAATCATTATTGTACCCAGTTGTCGCCTCGTACCCTATGAAAATGTACAAGGACCCCCGGATCAACGGTCCGCCAACTGAAGCCTACGAGTGTACGAGCCACTAACTTAGCGATGACTTCGGATACAGCATCCGGCGTCGGTGAATGATCACGTCTTCATAATACTCGGGCTGTATGGAGGCTTCGAGGAGCGTCGGACTGAGGGGGCTCGTACAATGAGACAGCGGTGAGTTTAGAAAGATGTTTCCATCGTCTCGGTTAGTCAGTTGGGAATCCGACGGTTGAAGAATTTTTTCTTGTTGGGTGCGAGGACGGAGAGAGGCGGGTTTGCGAGAACAGCGTCAACAGTTCGTTATTCCCGTCTCCGGTCCGGATCGGTTGTTGCCTCGTTCGTGAACCAGTGTTCCGTACCCAGGCCGGTTAGCAGTAGCTACAACACAAATGGCTATTGTAGCCACATGCTGACTGATGTTCTCTGGGTTTAGCGATCCCCCGGAATTCGGTATCACTTAACAACTGCCTCATCGTCCCAGGTACAACACAACCCTACAAGGACCCCCGTACTCGTCATACCCACACCGTGCAGAATTCAACCCATCGACACGAGAAATGTACGCGGAGCCTGTGGTTGGTCGTGGAGTTTTTTCCCCTTCCCCTCCCCCCGCCCCCCAAATGTCTTACATACTCCATACCTACTACTCGTACTGTGCTCCGTGAAATGAATGGAAGTGGAAAAGATACCCCCCCTGGGGTCCACGATGCCGACGATGCCCACTTCCGGCAAGTAGTTCGATCAACCTGTGATCCGATGACTCCCCTTTCTTTAGTCTTTGATTTCCTCGTCCAGGCAGGTCGAGAAGCTGTCAAAAGGGGGAACGGTCAGGACTTTTCTGTCCTGTCAGCCTGTCACTTTTCCCCAGTTGTGACTTTGTCACTTGTCAGTTTTTCCCGAGGAAAAGATAAACGCAGTAGTTACAGAAACCCCGTACAAGCCTAGGGTAAGTCGACGATAAAAGTCAACGATAACTCTCGGCGCAGGCCGGGGGTAGTGCCACCCCCTACACTTGGCTGGGTTAGGTAGGTACAATCGTTCATTCTACTCCGTAAATAACCCTCCCCTCCCCGGTTTTGCGGGGAAAACGGATGATCGGACTGGGTTGTTATCGCACACCGTACGACTGACCACGAGAGTTCCGAGTACAGTACTCGTAATTGTCTTACCTCAAAAGTCATGCCTGGTTCTCTGTCAAGGTCTCTCAAAAGCTTATTACACTTTCTCCGCCCTTCCGTTATCAATGATCCCCTTCGAAGGTGACGTAGCAATCTGGCGGCTACAACATAAAACTATCATCAATTACTTTCTCCAGATAACTGGGTATTACTATCATGATTCTGACGTCTCTCCTCTCACCCATTAAAACGTCCTTATCTCATGGTCTGAGCTTGCCTGCGTGCCTGACCCGTATCAGGTAGAGGCAGCTGACACTGTATGCTTCGGTCCTATCTGTCCCCATAAAGCGAAACAGTCTCTGAGACAGAGAAGCTCCCAGGGCTCGTCAGGTTGATGTATCAAATGATGATGCTTCTCTTTCCCAATAATTCAGAATATCTCCCACAGCGAAATGAATGCCACTCCGCGCAATGCATTGTCCTTGGAAATGAATGCCTAGCACCTTTGTTGCTCCCAATGAATGTACATGCCAATGTCAATCCGAATCGCGTCGCTCGTATGTGTCTGTGTTTCTCTCTCTTTCTGTGCGTGTGTGTGTGTGGATCGTAGACTGCCCAACCGCTCATGTCCATGCTATGCTAGTCCCCAAAAGAATACCAAGCGAGGTCAACATGACGCCACCCAAGAATCGCCCCATTGTCCGTCATGCAAGATAAGAGAAACAGAAAAGAAATCGTAACGTCGTAGCTTTGATCTTGGACACGACCACAAGTACCGTCATGTGCTCTGTGTCTTGTCCACCATCCATGTTTTCCCATTCGCCTCCTCCTCAACCAGAAAAGCTGTAGCGAAATACTCGGATAATGATCGCCACCCGGGCCACAGGGTCCGCGCCAAATCTGTCAGTTTCCCAGGCTTGCCTCGTAGGGACTCGCTACTGTTGCGTCCCGTGATGGTGTCGTTGCTATCTTTCCGTCGGCCACTGTATTGAAAATCTGGTCCGGGGAAGTAAGGTGCGTTGTACTGTCCAAAAAGTACTTCGAGACCGAGCAGTTGTTGCCGATAGCCGCTTGGTATTCCAACCTTGACTTCGATGTGTGGGTCAAAGACGTAGTGACACGGCAGGTGCAGCGCCCGAGTGAATGCATCGCATACTTGCCGTGGTGTGAGGTTTTCAAAGGCAAGCGCAACCCTAGCAGATCCAGAGGTGTCAGTACAGAACAGAAAAGTTTTGGCACAAGGGGTACACTGCTTACCTCTGTCCTTTCCCCCAACGGTTAGGTCCATCCTTGATGATCTGTAACACTGCCGGACCAAAGTCATGTTCAGCATCCAGCCAGGGTAGTTTGGTGTCCGGGTGAAAAGGCGCGCGCCACTCGACGGTTCCGTCGGCTTTGAATTCGGTACAGAACAAGGGATATGGAAGACTGGTAAAATTGTTGTAGTAAATGCCAGCATACACAAAGGTCGACGGCATGCCAAGCTGTCGGATATAGTTCTCGACCGTAAACTTGCAGGCCCATAAAGGAAGGGACGGCCATTTCGGATTGTGTATCGAATGATCAGGCATGCTGCTGTAGATAAAGTGCTGGATATTCCTCTTCTTGGCCGCATTGGCGAGCACTTTGCCTATCTTGATCTCATCGCCAGCAAGAGGATTGGTGTTTATGAAGGCGATCTGAGCGCCTTCGAAGAGGGTGTCCACCAGAACCGGATTGTCCAGCAGAGGTCCTTCAAGCAGAGTGACATTTGGTAATTCGGCCAGCTCCTCTGCCACCAGGCCCTCGGTGGAATATACTTGCGCCCGAACAGAATAACCCACTGCAGTGACGGAGCGGATGAGCGACGCGGCCTGACGGCCAGTACCATTGACAATGGCAATGGTCTTTTTCGTAGCAGTCATATGGCGTAGCCCTTTAAGAACGGCTCCAAAAGTCGATATATAGTACACCCCAGCACTGGCGCAAGGGTTGGTTTTAGGGATAGATGTCGGTTCCAGAGTTTACCAGCTTCGCTCCAATCCGCCACGGTCAGAGGATAAAAGTGTGCGACGATCAAAAGAAGAAGCAAGGCAGAGCGCTCAAAAAGGCTGTCAAGAGCGGTCAACAAAGGTGCAAGAACACCAAAGAACGAAAGCAAAGGCCGAAGGAAATAGGGAAACAGTCACCCAACGAGGCTTCTTCTCGAACCATCGCGGCGAACGGCCACGAGCTGAGATAGGAACAGGATCCGTCTCATACCGTAACCACAGAGGGCAAACGTGACAGGGCCGGCTGAGAGATCGCAGTGGGCAAACCATTGCGCCCGCGTAAAACATGGGCAACAGTGGGCAACGAGAGCATTCCGTGCCGTAATTCGGGTCCATTATTTGAGGACCCCGTGAGTGTTTCGTTGGTTTCCATCCGTGTCAAAAGGGCGCAATAACGGGTGTGCGATGCCTGTGGTGCTCCGGGGACGGCGCCACTTCTGCCCTGAGATTTTTTTTCACCTCACCCATCACCGCCAAACCTGATGCAGCTTATTCTTTACGTAACCAACACCGTTGCTGGATGGAGACTCTTCCATCAATTACCTACCGTAGACCTGTATTCCATCACAATTGCCCTCGCTCGCGCAATAGGGCCACCTGGCAACCATGCGTCGTTCCCCTGAAAACATGACAATTCGCATGGTGGAGTTGTGCGACCCCGATTGCTCACTCACCACCACAATTGCATGTGTATGACGGGATACGACTACCGAATGCCGCCATGCCTCGTACTTCTACAGACCCTGGTATCCTTGAACTCGCTCAGACACATGATACGAAACCCTTTGGCGGATGCGGGGGGTTGATCACAAAGGCGGGGAGAGAGTGAGCGTCCAGGGGGGTTCACATAGCCAAATTAGGCGGCGTACGGACAACCCTTACGAGACGACTAACTAATGCTTCTGTCCTGTCATCCAGTTCCCCAGAGTCTTGTCGTCAGTGGCGCCTCGAATGCTGAGAGTGATGATGCCGAGGACAGCAGATGTTATGACTTGTCCGAGAGGTGCAGCTCGATTGGTCTGTTACAGTGCTTCTGCTTACTTGGATACTACTGAACAGGGCAGATCCTGGCGACCTTGTGAGTCGGTAAGCCAAAGCATCATTCACAGTCACAAGGCGGCTCTAGTATAGCCTAGCCCTACAGGCCTCACTAGCCCACCTCAAATCCTAACTCCGCGGCCCCATCGCACAATCGTCGGGTGCTGTCATAGGCGCATTCTTCCGGCCCATGGGTTTTGCTTAGGCTAGTGAGCCTGAAGCTTACCAAGTAGGCAGGTAAGGTACTTGTACCTGCACGGTACTCAGTTCTGGTCTGGTACTCGTACAGTACAGTACTTGTACTAACGGCTATCGTTGCTGGCCACGAAGCACATTAACCTGATCGTTGTGGCTCCACCCACCTCTCTTCGACTATCGACACCACGAGGCACCTCGTCTCTGGTTTGGAACACTGTACGGTCGCTTAGACGGACCTTGGCGTGAGAGTTTCCCTCCCAAGGTGCATCAAATCGCGTGAACGCGGTATTTCAGGATGCTAAGTCGTGTAACCATGTGCGGCATATTATGGTCTTCTGTCGAGGGGTGAACAAGTCTTGCAGGTTGGCAGACTCCATGTCATCACCGGACCATCCGGCGTACTAAGGAACCTCCAGGCCAGCTGCTTTCCACACATCTGGCCGCTGACTTGCATGTAGTCTTGCTGTTGGAAGTTCTTCGTGATGGAGATGTCCACCTGCCTGACGCAGCAACATCACATGAGGCACCAGTCCGGCATTGGCTGCGAGGAATAGCGGTGTTCGGCTTGTGTTATTTCGGATATGCACAGATGCGCCTAATCCCAGCAGATATCGCAGAATTGCCAGGCTGGGGCCAGTGGCAGCCAGGTGAAGAGGGGTATTTCCCGAATAATCTGGACGATTCATAAGCTGCCCATCATTCTGAAGCACATCCTTGACCTTGTCGATGTCTCCGCTGGCAATGGCATAGGCAATGGTTGTTAGCTGAGTAACTGGAGAAGACAGTTCCCCTGTTGGATGACTGAAGATGGTGCGAGAATTCTCGGTCAGCTCACCGCGAATCGAGAGGGCCATGTCTTTGGAGACTGATTCTGGTGTGGCGCCTGGTAATGCCAGCAGGTACGACAATTTTGTCAAGGCAGCTTCACTGGTCATATCCCCTCCTGCGACCACCCCCGCTCGCCCAAGCACCATGCCAGGTGCATACAAGGGATTCACACTGCCGGTTAGACATTGGGTGATGTTAACAATGACAACACCTCTCTGAACAGCCTCGGCTATGACCTTGAAAAGTTTATTGTCATGTCCACTGGGAGCGTTGCCAGCGCCAAAAGTCTCAAGGACGAGGCCACGGAGATTTTCTGTCCGCAGTACTGCGTCTACCATCTTGGCTGTGATACCTGGGAATATGCGCAAACACGCGACGTGATGAATTTCAAGGTCAGTCTGGATGCTGAATGCTTGAAGCGAGGTCGGCCGGGTCACCATGTCCCACGCTACACTGGTATCGACAGCTGTGATTCTCGCCAGGGGCGGGAGATTGGGTGAAGCAAACGCGTCGAAGGAGCTTGCCGATATCTTTGTCGTCCGGTTGCCACGAAACAACGTAGAGTTGAAGCATAAGCACACCTCCGGAATCATGAAATGAGCTGCAACATCCAGCGCATCGAGTAAATTGTCCAAGGCGTCATTCTTACGTTCCGCGAAAGGAACTTGGGACCCAGTGAGTATCACAGGCTTTCCCAAATGCTGCAACATGAAGCTGAGTGCAGAACAAGTATACGCTAAGCTGTCCGTCCCGTGGAGGACAACGAACCCATCGAATAGCTTGTAATTGCGATAAATGGTTTGCGCAATTTGAGACCAACCTCTGCTATCAATCGAAGAGGAATCAAGGAGCTCTTCAAACTCCAACACCGCGTACCTGGCAATTTAGGTGAGCATGTCTGTACATATCGTGGGTCTTCGCGGAAGATGTATGAGCATGGTAGGAAGCGTACCTCACTCGTTTTCCGTAGACGCTCGTTGGTGTCCGCAGACTTTGCGACAATTGTACCCCATTGGGACCATCGTGGAACGCAACCTCGATGGGCTCGTGCGTGTCTCCGTCATTGAATTCTGGCCGGGGAGCCATGCATCGTTCCAGGAAATTCCGAGCTGGTATCAGGCCGTCTGGAGACTTCTGCATACAGATTGTTCCGCCCGTCATGACGATCAAAACCCGAGCTTCGGGTACATGAGTCTCGTCCATGCTGTTTGTAGCTGGCGGCCCGGTCAGTTGATGATTCAAGGGGCTGACGGACGAACGAAGAATACCTCTCCTCACTGGACTCAAAGGTGCTTCGGCATCCGTGGGTAACACCTTTGTGTATTTCATAGAACTTTTCTCTTGCTATATTTTGCTTTGTAGCCGTGGAGGTGTGACCTACCCGCACCACCGTTCAACGCAAATCCAGCAAACCTAGCAATAAAACTTGTATATGTCTATGCAGAAACTTTGTTATCGGAAAAAAATTGTAGGCTATCGTCGCCCTTTTCCGAGCTTGCATCAAAGGCGACGCCTAGTGGCGCCCTGCTGGGCGTTCGTTTGTAATGGCCGGGGGTGCAAACTCCACCCGTAACTTTGTCTTTGAGTAAGAATTGTCGAACCGCAATAATCGTGGATAGAGATATATATTTCCTTGAGAACAGTAGGTGGGCTTTTTCACCCGCAGGAGAATCACCGGAACCCAGAATCCCTCACTGTTCGACAAGTTCTGAATTATGGCCGGAAGAAGATGCTATGTCCTCCGCACTTGATGTTCAATTCCCTGGCGGATCCTGTACATGGCCCCTGTCAACCGCTAGTCGATTGCGAACTAGGCCACTCGCCAAGGGGTGAGCTATTACCGCAAAGAAGAAGCTCTCATTCCAGACAACGTTGCATTGCGCATTGCGAAGGGTGAGCAAAGAGGACACTCACCCTTGCCAGAATCTTGGATATGCCAGCTTCCCTTCATCAAGATTTGCAAGGCTGGATCAGAACTTGGGACTCAACATGTCCGATTGGCGAGGGATAAATGCAGAATGTGGAACAAGGACGCTTTCTCATTTCTGCTCCAGGTCTTTCACCCTGTTTCTCTGGTCGCCTCTAGAGATGAGCACGCAAGGAGTTTGACCTTCTTGTGAGAGTGCAGCCCCAAAGTGCGCGCCAATAGACTGCGCTGTCCGTCTCTAACAACGAGACTGGACCTCTGTCGGAAATTAGTACACGGCAAGTTGCAGCAACGATGACAAAGACAGACCATACCACACGTGCAACGACAAAGGAATATTTGAAGATGTTCAAACAGGCTGGTTTCTGCAATCTTGGTTGTGGAAAAGCACAGAAGGTCACCGACAGGGATTGAGATTCCCCCTGGTCGCTCAACCATGGTTCATCAGCAGCTGCAGACTGTGAACATGGAGAGGTTCCATGCATGGAACAGAGTCAAACGACTGACCACAAGTGTAAAATGAACCAAGGAAATTGGTGCCTGTTTGTGCATTGAGTTTGGTTCCTGATTGTCTGCATCCGATGTCTTCATGTTTCGGCGGGCTCATTAAGAGTTCTGGTTGCTGTCTTTCGCTGGTCGAATGAACAATCGGATGCTTCTGCACCTGGCTCTACGTTGATTGTCTCCTCTTGTCTTGACTTCTCTTCTGCAACAAATGGTCTGTTACAGTAGCGATGCTGAGATTCTGACATGATCAGCGTTGGATTGTCGTCCGGACCTGCTAACCCTGGGCAATCTTCCATTGACACCGGTGTTTAGGTGGTTCCAAGGACATCAAGATCGGTGAACGCTTTTTGGAGTGTTTGCAACCAAACCCCAGTATCACCCAAGGGATGCATGCGCACACTCAACAATACACACCGTGGCACAAGATATCTGGGAAAGGGTTGTGGACTTGGGCTTATTGCAGAGGGCGCATTCTGTCGACCAGAGCGGTATCCTCTTTGGATTCATAACAACAGACATTCAATGCGCGGCAGGCGGTGAGCTGGAGACCGACCGCCAGAAAGACACCAAACGCCTGAGGAAACAAAGAGTGAAGCGGTGGATGAGCGGCAAGTGACGAGAAAACGGTTGCCCTGGATCAGCCTGAGCATCTGGGATGCATCAGTGACTCAAGTTACGACTTCCACCTTTCGCGGTGAATTGGCGCAGTTTCAGCAGCGCAAACTCACCCGCCATATTCACGGCTGTTCTTCAGCTACATCCTTTTGCATCCGACCAGCCTCATCTCTGTCGCATCTTTTCCTCCCTACCATCTCCGTCCGCTCCTTTCTATCCGCATACAGCAACCAACTTCACGTCCACTCTTTCGCCGACCTCCCGACTTTCTTTCTCTTGCTTCCATCCTTCAACCTCGTCAGTCCTTTCAAACCCCCATCGAGACACCACAAACCCCCTATCGCCGGTCGAGTACAACAGTAAAGCAAGCACAAAGGCCTACAGTATACTGGGTCGCGTGCGAAGATGCATTCCTCAGGCAAATCCAAGCAGTTCGCGGCGATGATCATGACTGTTGTCGCGATCCTCTCGTTTGTCGTTCCCGCCAATGCGTTCTTCCGTCACCTCTGCTTTGGCGAATTGGGAAATGGTCGCATCGATCCGATCATGTCCCCAGGTCGTCCTTCCCAGCATCTTCATGTCACTTTCGGCGCGTCTAGTAAGTGTGCGACTGAGTGAGAAAACAAACAACCATTCTGACATTTGAATTGAGACCTTGGATTCGACCCTACCATCGACGAGCTTCTGGCTTCCAACTGCACCAGTTGTTCCATCGTCGAAGACCATTCTGCATACTGGACCCCCCGCATGTACTTTCAGCACTCTAACGGCACTCTTGAGATGGTCCCGACTTCTGGCGGACTGACTGTGTAAGTACCTCAAATCTGCTCCGTCTATCTCACCATCTGACACTCACAGCTACTACTTCACTGAAGGTCCAGGTGCCGGCTTCGGCGCAGAGGTCACTGCATTCCCCCAGAACTTTCGCATGGTCGCTGGCATGTCTCCAAAGCGTACCTTTTACGGACCAATCCCAGATCGTAACACGTCTTCCTGGCTCCCCTCAGACTATACCCAACAATCATTGATGGAAAAGGCTCTCGGATTCAACTGTCTACACTATGGTCATCCTCCAAACGAAGGCGCATTGGAAGTCCATTACTTACGAAACAAGACCTTCCTCGACGAGTTTTGCCACGAGGGCATTCGTGCTGAAGTGATGTTCCCATCTTGCTGGAATGGTAAAGATTTGGACAGTGAGAACCACACCACACATGTCGCATACCCTTCTACAGTCAAATACGGAGCGTGCCCAGACGGCTACCCTGTTCGCCTTCCTGTCCTTTTTTATGAGACAATCTACCAGACCAATCTGTTCAAAGGTGTTGATGGACGGTTCGTTTTCTCCAATGGCGACCCGACAGGATTCGGTTATCATGGAGATTTCATCTGCGGATGGGAAACCGGTCTTCTTCAAGAAGCAATTAACCATGCGGCATGCACCAATCCTAACAGCAGCGGCCTTCAAGAAGATTGTCCACTTTTCACCATACAAAACCAAGCTAATGCTACACAATGCAAACTTGAGATGCCAGAAGCACTGCAACATGAGCGCATCAACTACGTCCAAGAACTACCTGGTGGCATGAAAATCACTGGACCAGATGAGGCTGTAGTTCCCGGCTCTGCACTGCCGCCTGCACCACCGACTGCCAACGCCACTGTCTCTTCAACCTCTGCGGAACCTTTGCCAGGACCAATCGCGCCTACCACCCAATCTTCTGACAGTGCCGTCACTTCAATGGCAAGTCCCATAGTGGAAGCTCACACCACCATCACCACCACCTACATGAGTGGTGGTGTCGAAGTCCACATGGTGATGGTTGAAGAGGTTGTCACTGTTACTGTGACTGAGGCTGCAAGCCCTCCTGGCCGATACAGTAGGAGGCAACATGTTCACAAGCACCGCGTGAACATGAAAAATGGACACGGCATGCACTGAAGGATGAATGATATGTGGGTATACCAACAGGGGGTGGTCGGTCGCCTTGGCTATCCTGATAATATTGACATTAAATGTCTTGGAAACCAACCCTGCATATCTACTGACTTCTCTCACTGTGCCAGGAGCACTGTGATGCAAATATGAAGGACCACATGGGCAATTGTTTTTTTGTGCTAGTTCCAGACAAGAATAAGACAATTTCAAATGCAAGTTACAGTCCGTTCTCCGTCGTGTACTTATGAATGTTTGTTTCCCGTCTATCAAAATTCAAGGACGGGGATTTTGCGACTCACGGCCTCCTCCCAGTCAATGATAGGATCTGTTATGACTTGGCATGTGGTCTTATACTCATGCCAGTGCAGTAGCCGAAGTTGTTGAGCTAGATAAGGTTGTAGATGATAAAAGAGGTGATGAGGAGATGAGCTAGCAGCTGACGCCTTCTCGGTCTACTCGTCGTCAAGGACAGCATAACTGGCCTGGATGTGGCACCGTATATCAGCTACGGCGGCGCAAATGAAGGCGATAAGAAATACCTCAAAAGATTTGCCGCGTATGTCATGGATGAACTCCGACGTCTTCCGTTCATCGTACAATTACCAGGCCCAGCATTGTATCACCAACAATACCTTCTTCCTTGCCTTCCGGGGACGACTTCACCATCGAAATATCTGCCAACTTCCTCTCTATTTTTCTAGCTCGGCTCCTGAAGAGCTTGTTGCTTCGGTATCAGCCAATGTCAAATTGACACCTTGAGCTCTTTTCTCCGATATCTGAAAGGGGTTTCCTCGTTTCGTCCATCCAAAACGCCGGGTCCTCATTTTGGTTCGAGACCTTTCCCCCAACCTAGACTTTCCACAGTTTACCGGGTTTCGATAAGGGTTGATTTGTCTCAAAAATCAAGAGACTGATATTCGAGCGCGAGAATCGAAGCCAAGCGAAATCGAGTTGAATTGACTTTGGATCTGGTTTAGTTTGATTTTGACTTCCTCGTCGAGTTTGTTGAAATTCCGTACTGTGCGTGTGTCTGTGGCACAACATACGAGTACTTCTTACAGTGACGAGATCAAGTGCCTGTGTCGACAGCAGCGATCACCACCACCACCATCACTCTCACCATCATCACCGAATCTTTGCGTGAGTGTGTGTTCGCGTCATGTCTTCGTCATCAGGCAAGAGAGACGCGGCATCCATCATCGCCTCTGCATCGCGGCCGGCCAAAGCGTTCTCGACGACGTCAAAGTCGTACCGACACGACGAGCGGCGCGGCCTGTGGTGCGAAACGCTATGGACGAATCTAAGCCACCAGGCCAAGACGCTGGGGTTGCCCGTCCTCCCGTATTTCGACGCCGAGACGATGTTGTTGAGTAAGGAGGTCAATCACAAGTTGTGGATTCAATTGGTACGTACTTGCCTCTCTCTCTCTCTCTCTCTCTCTCTCTCTCTCTCTCTCTCTCTCTCTCTCTCTCTCACACACACACACACACACACACGCTTGTACCCACGACGCGCGATCTCGATATATCATCATATGAGTGCGCCCACACTCTCGTAAAGGGACGGTGTTGTATCAAACCCTTACCAGATCTATCTGCCTACTTCGCGTTCTCTTCCCCCGGCCCCCTTCCCCCGACAACAAGACCCGCCCTTCTTCTTTGATTTGCGCTAATCTCCGCATCTTGGGTTCTCGTTAGGAACGATTATGGGACTACTTGGGCCCTGAGAAGGCACCGTACGCTTCACCCACCATGATCGAGGGCGGCGAGGTCAAGTGGTACTCGTTCCTGCCGGGCGACAAGGGCACCGAGGTCGAGGTGTACTCCAACGTCGTGGACAAGTTCATGAGCGGCGCCCCCAGGCCAGGACATTACGACGAGTGATCTGATGCGATGCGGGCGAGAGACGAGACGGGACGTGTCATGTGCCTACAGGAGGCCTGGGCCACCGCTGATTGCTGCGCGCCCGGTCCCCTCCTCGGAATGAATGAGATGCGGCGGACCGGGTCGGTGCGAGGCTGTACCCTCACAGTATCTGTCCCATGTCCTCTGCAGTGGAGCGGCAGATCGCATTACTGTGTCGTGCCAACTTCCCACGTATGAATGAGTGCACAAGGAGGAAAGACATGCGTACTACTGCTTGACACGATAAACAGACTTGTCCATGTTCGTTTCCTGATCTGCGTCCTTTTGTCCTCGATGTCCTACTACTTTCCACTCGGACCATTACTTAGACCGTCAACGCGTCGCGTGGACGCGTTTAACGTTTGAGGCGCAGGATATCTCCCTGATTCTGTGGTCGCGAATCACAAGGTGTACATATCAGCGGCAGGAGAGATGAGTCCCTTGCTCCCGTGCTGAATTCAATTTTCTCTCTCTCTACATATATATGTTCTTTTATTATCCTGTCCGGGTCGCATTGCTTGTCCTTCCGGTACGGACACATTGCCACCGCCCCTCCATCCGCCCACCCAATGAATTGAATTTATTCATCGGGTTATTAGTTTCCCAAACCTTCGCGGCATCCACGTCCTTGTCAATCAATCACGTTGTGTCCCTTGAATTTCGACCCGATAAAACATTCCGTGAAAATTCAATGAGATCCAGACCCGGGAATACCATCAGGAAATAATTTCTGACGATCTGCCGGTGCGAGCTACCGATCTACCCGTTGTTGGCGCATGTAAAGACACCTTTGACGTTTCCTGCATCGTAATCGAGGATGATACTCTCAACCGACGTCTGGATATGGCGAGTCAGCTTACTCCCGTTGTAGTGAGATTGAACCCAAAAGTCCAAAACAGTCCATCACTTACATAGGTCCCCGCGCCGAGGAAATAGAGTCCCACGATGATGATAAAGATGTTCACCAAGAAACCGATCCATCCTCGAATTCCTCTCTTCTTGTAGAACCCAGGGCCCAGGTCGGCGTAGCGCATACGCAGATACGCGACGCCCCAGAAAATCCAGCCGAAGAAGCTGTCGAACAAACTACTCATCAGGGAGAGAAGGTCGGAGAAGAAGGGAATGACTTCGGCGATGATGAATGCGAGGATCCACGTGATGGCGAGGATGCCGGCCCAAGACGCCCAGCCGACAACGGTATGCGAGGATTTGTGGCGAGTGCCGTCAAACAGGCGGAAGAAGATGAAGCGTGCAGAGACCGAGGCGTAAAGAACACCAAGGAAGATCAAGGTCGGGACCATGAACGAGAAGCTGACTTTTTTGTAGACATCGTTACCCAGGGAGTAGAAGGCAGGAGCAGTGTTGTATTGAGTGCCGGTGTATCCATACACTTTTGGATTTGTCAGTACATTTTGGCTCACGGCAAGCAAGCCTCGAACAACAGGGACTGAGCGAGAAGACAAGCACTCACCGATACCACCGACCAAGCTGAACACGATGATCTCGCAGATAGTCACGACCCAGATGGCCTTTCGGAAATCGTAGGGGTTCTTCATCTCGGCGATAAAGCTAGGGAGGGTAATCTGACCGATAAACGTGTAGGCGATGTTCAAGAAGGCGTTCATGCCAGACACGAAAGTCGTGCCGGCGAGAGGAACAGCGAGAACCAACGGCTCACCACCAACCTTCTGCCCGTTCGCATTGATGTGGTTGGGGTCCGGATTGTAGCCGGCAGTGCCATGTTTGCCCTCTGCGCCAGCAAAGGCGGCGGCGAGAATGACACTAATGAACGTGAAGAAGGCAGACGCGGCACCGAGCTTGGACAGGGCACTAAACGTTCGCGGCATCGAGCAAACCCACGATATGACAGCCCCAATGGCGGCAAAGCCGACTGTACAGATGCTGTGGTCTGGATTGACAGGAGTCAGCGACCAAATGTAAAATACCAGGCAGGATACACACCGCTCATCGTATTCAGATATCGCGAAATGGTCAAGACGTGCAGTCCCTGAATGAAGGTATTGTTCAGAAGGAACATGACCGCCGTGAAATACCAAGCCCATTTGGATCCCCAGAAGAGCATCTGTCCGATGTCACAAACATCTCGAGTTTCAGGATGACGAAGACAGAATTCCCTGGATTGCATTAGCCAGCTGTCCAAGCGAGACATGCTGTCGACAGAGCTCACCAAACAACGAGCGAAGTGTAAAGGACGAATGCGGCTTGCACGACTGTCAAGATTAGCCCTGGGACAAGACCAAGGATCGAGTATGAGTATGGGAAAGACATGATTGCCAAGCAGATGTACTCGGAGAAGAGTAGAGCAGCAGTCTGGGAGAAACCTATCAGTATGATTGCAGTTCGGTCACAGTATATAGGGCTGAATTCACCTTTTGCCATGAACAGGTTCGATACTTGATCGCGTCGTTCGCCTCCATCTGTACAAGCTTGCCGTACTCGTCTTTGACACCATCGTCGTCTCCTTCTGGAGTCGACACGATCGAGCTGTTTCGTGGAGGAGGAGCGATCCTACTCATCTTCCGACCTTGAACCGTCGTAGTTGAAGCTCGGCGCTCCAAGTCCACGTTGTCTCCAGGCCCAAAAGAGCCACCGGCTCCAAACGGCTCGTCTTTGTCCTGGAAGGTGGCCATGATGAATTCGAACAGTCAAGATATGGATTATATCTTTTCAGCTGGGTTGAACAGCGCCGGAGATATGGGTGTTTCAACGCCACTTGACTGCACGGATGGCCCGTACAAAACAAGTATAAAACAAAGAACCGTGATCCGAGACGTAAATCGGCAGCATATGGCTTTTGTAGTCCTCTAATGATCTATTACAGACACGCCCGGTGGCTTTTCCTGGGGTACGCAGCGCCGTTCGAGAAAGAAACAAGAGGAAAAGGCAGCAAACAACCAGAGAACAAGGGTGGTTATAACAGACAAGGGGCCAGGCTTGAGAATTTCCCGTGCTATACGGCGATGATCCTCTGTCTGGGATTGGACTATCCAGACGAGATCCAAATCGGCCGGATTGCGCGCGTGTTGTTGGAGTCTGCGAAAAGGTAACATCATCCACAGGGGTGGCCATGACGGGAACTGACTTATTGTGTGACTGCATACGTACAGTGTGGAGGCGAGATGGTAAGTGACGACATTGAGCAAGGGAGCTGCAACAATTCGGAATCGCACCAACCGCACAGACTTGAGGCTGTCGATCTCGATGGAGCCGTTCAAGTAAAGAATGGATGGAGAGAGCGGATCAGTTCGAAGGCGTCGTGACCTTGGGTGGACACACGGCACAAATGGACCGGCGGATAAGCATCCTCAAGCAAATGAAAGCGCTTGGACAAGAAGATAGTGTCACCACCTCTGGACAGGGTCATGGCGCATCCGCAACTAACATAGCATCTTGCCATCGTTGGTCTTTGAGCTGTTGCAACGGGTACAATACAAAGGCCCTTGTTGGAGAGGGATCCGCCCAACTCGAGACCGAGGAAGAGAATTCGGACCCGATGTAAAATTTAGACATCAAGGCGTCGACATGGTGGTGGATCAGAAATTGCAAGTTGTTATTCAGCGAGGGTTGAATTTTTCTCGCACCGCTATGCTTGGTGTTTTGTGCACTTTTGACTAGAAAGAGACATGACGAAGGAGCAGAACATGTACGGAGTGGCTTGTCCGAGAACGAGATACGAGTACAAGTATATCATGCACTTACAGGTACTTGTCCTTACGTGTGCCCAGACTCGGGATTCGGCCAAAGGCGACACTATTATTACATATACTGTACCAATGCCCATACCCGCCTGTCTCATACCCATACGGCTCACTAGTTAGGCGTCTTCTCCGGGCAGGACATGCCCATACCTAAGGTAGGCTTAGCCACGCTCAGCCCACACTCTCCATCAATTGTCGCCCGTACGAGTACCGACCACTCCTCCGGAACAAGGAATTACACAAAAGGTATCATCCGGACGGTGGTCGTGCATATTCCCAAGCTATTGAAATGCACCCCAGCAGGATGCTACTATCGTCGACCTGTAAGGCCTATCACTCTACATAGGTGTTAGGGGCGCAGGTCATGGCCAAGCTCATGGACAAGATGCCCAGGAATTGCTTGGGGTCGATCTTCGGCTGCTTGGATTGCTTGGATTCCATGAGCTTTTAAGAGTGGCTTCTGTTCGCGGTCCTCTTGGTCTTACACCCCCATATCCTCGTCCTCGTCGTTGTCCAGCATCTTAGCATAATCTTCTGCTGATGCAAACGTCGGCAGGTTCTTCGCCTTCTTAGACTTCTTCGCTTTCTCCTTGTCCTCCTTACGCCGGTCCTTGCTCCTTGTGACATCCTCGCCGAATCCTTCAAAGTCGGATTCCCCTTCATCGGCTGATCCAGCCTCTTCCTCCCCTGGCATTTGCATGAGATCGTCGTCGTCTTCATCGAAGAGTGCCGGATCGAGGTCGACGTCCTCGTCGTCATCTTCGTCCACATCATCCTCTGACGACGCCATTAGGTCGGAGTCGACGTCGGACATGTCAAGATCATCATCACTATCTTCGGCACCTTCAAGATCAGGCGCACTCTCCATCATGGCCTTCCAGACCTCGTCTTCATTCACAGATTCATCGTCCTCGTCACGACTCTTCTTCTGTGCTTTGGCTTTGCTTCTTCCAGCTGAACTCAGACTAGAGAAGTATTGATGGAAGAAGATGTCTTCTGCCGCCACATCCTCTTGCTTCTTGGACTTGAATTCCACACTATTCACAGGCAACTTCCGCGACGCACCCAAAGTGCTTCCAATAAGCACATCTGAAGTGTCGTTTGCCATCGGCTGCATGATCGATGATCCCCGTAACCCGGCAGAGGACAACTTCGGATTGCGATACACAAACCGATCCAGAAAGTGACTCAATGTGTGCAAATTGAGGTCTGGCTTGCCTGGCAGTTTGGTATGTTGCAACAAATGATCAGCGCTGACCGACACAGATGGGTGAAAGTGGGCAAGAAAAGGCAAAACCTCCCAGAGGCAACTGTTGTCTGCATTGGCATGCTCGGGAGGACGCTTATGCCCGTCGTAGAGAGTGCCTTGAGGCTTGTCAGGTAGTGCAACTTCAGCCCGGTCGCCGTCTTCATCCACGTCTCGGAAGACCTCTTCCTCGTCATCATGGTCCTCGGGCTGGTCAATCAATCCAGCGAGTGAGTGGAAAGTGGTCTCCAGATCCTGGATAAGGAAAAAAGAACCACAAATGAAGGATGGTTCGTGGAGTGATAGAATCTGCACTAATCTTTTCACAAATGCTTTCACACGCTTGACATTCAGGTCAGCCTTAAGCGAACGGTGTAGGAGATTCAGATATAATTGTTGTTTTGAAGAGGCGGTTAATCGGGGATCGAGCAATGATTCGTAGAGGATCCGGTAGAAGCGATCGTTGGACGCTTTATGTGTCGTAGACAGTTGCTGAATAAGCATCATCGCCTGAATGCTTGTGTTGAAGTTGGATGAATGGGTGATCTTGAACAAGGTTTCCATGTGTTCGGTGAAGCTCGTCCCATCAGCACCCACATAAGGGTACGCCCGATTGACTCCCGTCAAAATCGCCGATATTAGCTTCTCTCTGAGCTCCTCCGTCTGTGGTTGACCCGATACTTGAGGCTTCTTCTGCTTCTTTCCACGGCCTCGAGGTTGATCATCCTCTTCCGCTTTGCTCTTGGTTTCTGCCTTCGCCGACTTCAACAGTGCCGCAAACAGTCCAAAGTAGATGTCCAGAAGCTTCTTGGCCACATCCTCTTCCTTGGTGCTTAGTGCTGTTTGGTTGAGCGTCACCACCGCATAGTATTTTCCGTGCATGCTCTGTCCTGGACGGAATATGAAGTCACCTTCGACGGCCGAAATGGCCACTTCTTTCATTGCAGGATGGGCAATGAGCAGTTGCATCAGTAAATAGGACGCCTGTGAAGCGATTTTCTTGATAGGATCTCCCAACTTGTTGATAAGCAGTCTCAGCAGGTTAGATTCCTGCTCCGGTCTCTCTTTCAGAAGCTCGAACACATAGCTGACGGCTCGAGCTTTGGAGAACTCGATCTCATCATTACACCAGACCTCAAGGATCTTCAGGACCTCAAAATACTGCTCCTTGAGCCAACTCTCAAAAGCCCAGATGATAAGAGTTGGTTCGTCGAGGCCGCGAGGCAACCTGTTACCTCTCCTCCACGACTTCAACTGGCTGAACAAATATGGTAGTGTAGGTTGGGAATGAAATGCGTATAGCTTTCTTGATTCCGGTAACAGAGAACCCTGCGCGAACAAATCCTTCAACGCTCTAAGTACTTCAACAGCTTGAGAGCGACTTCTCTTGCCAGCCAGGCCAATCAGTATCTCTAGGGATCGCATATTGTGAACGGGAGACTCTTGTACGGCGAGGGTTAGCGCCGAAATTTTGTCCGACAAGGTCCCCGATGCAATGACAGTGTTGTAAAAAGACTGAGCAGACGATGATTGTTGTGAATCCTTGTATTTCTGATTCTCTTCCTCGAGTAGAGATTTTGCGTAGTCGTGGAGCTCATTGATGGTGTCCTGGGACAATGTATACTTGAGCGACGCTTCAGTGTCAACGACTGGCTCCGGGACATTGTACCAGTCCGGTATCGGTGCGCAAAGATATTGGGGTTGCTTCCCTTTCGCGTGTTTTACTGTCTTCTCATCGTTCGTGGGCACAGCTTCGCTGTTCGCTTGTAGTCTTGGTTTGGCTATCTCGATATGCTCCTCCTCTTCAACGTCATCTTCAGAGCCATCGTTGTCATGTTGGCCTTGCGCCAGTGCAATCTCTTTCAAGATATTCTTGATGCCCTTTTCCAAGCCCTCGGCTGCTGCACTGGCGGCCGAAGGTTTTTGTCGTTTATCGATTGCGGTCTCCTCCAGCTCCGAGTCAGAGTCTGCGCCCTCGAGCAACTCCATATCTTCAGCAGTTCCTCCAAGCTCTCGAATCTCTTTTAACAAGATGTCCTTGTTATCGTGAGCGCCGTTGATCTTTTGCGAGTCTTTGGACGGTCCGTCATGGTCCAGCACTTTCCCGTTGCGATCCCGCTTTTTCCCTCGCTCAGGCGAAGTCAGGTCTGTCCTCTTGTTTCCGATTGCATGTCCGGATGAGGCAGTCTTCTTCTTAGACTTGTCTTTCCCCTTCTTTGACTCGGTAGCTTGCAGGCGAGATTCAATTTTGCCTCGCAGTTGCTCGAAAGCGCCGTTCGGGATCTCGGTCATCGAGTTGGAATTGGAGGTTTCTGTTGTAGAACCGGCCATCACTCCCCCATCCACGACTCGGGAGCTCTTCGCCATTTCTTCCTGTGATCGGGGCCCGACGATGGGGCGTTCGTGGCCGTCAAGTATTACGGTCTTGTGCAAGGCATTGGCAATGTTCGGCGTTCTGAAAAGTCTCAGAAAATTATTTCTTTGCGGGGAATCTCGCCTGCGGTCAAGGCCGCGCTACCACTCTGGGCATAGTCGAAAGTCACTATAAGGGGTCTAGTGTAATAAGTTAAGGCCCTCAGAAAGTACCTGGAAGTCCTAAGGGCATCGCCGCTTTTGACAACTATGTATCGCTCATCCTTCAGTCATTTATAGCTAAGGCCTTCACTGGAGCACACATAACAGCCGAACACAAAGCCTGCGGCGGCGATCCAGCTTAGTAGTAGCTTGATATCTAAACGTTCAGGTATGTACATTCTGCAAATCGACATCCTCATCGTCCTCGACCTCGTCCTGCTTCGGCCGCCTCTGATGTACTACTTCCAACTTTACCCCCGTCAAGATACACATATAACCGCAGCATTACGCGCAACCAGGTGCTGTTCGATCTTGATTTATCCCATCGTAACCATACTCCTAGAATGGCAAGATAGCCATACCAGCTCCTAGTACAGATGCAACATACCCCAATGTCTTCAGTGTCGACCAGCCACCATAGCTATGGCTGGCAGCTCCGGTGCTAGAGGCAGCGGGCGGAGATGAGCTGGCAGTAGAAGAGGACTCGGCAGAGACCGACGACGAAGGGGCGGAACTTGCAGATGTGGAGCTAGGGGACTCGGTGGCAGGAGCTGCTGTGCCGTTGACCTTGGCTGCTGGTCCGACAAGGGTGGCATTCGCAATAGCCGGAGGCGAGACGTTGCCGTCATTTGGATAGGCTGAGCAGTTGGCTTGGGGATCGAGCGGACAGTCCGCAGCCACACAGATCGACTGTAGCTGTGGGCCTGCAGAGGCTGGGATGACCACGGCAGGTGGAATGCATCGTGCTGTGAAGGTCTTCGCAAGCCCTTCGCGAGTGAAGGTAACATCTGGGTCCTCGAAACCCACGGATTGTGCAGCAAGGACGATTTGCTCATTGAAATACTCGGACTCGAAAATATCCGGATCCATGAACCTGGCATATGTTAGCCAAGTAGCACATCGGAAGACTCTTCCTTCATGAAAGATAATTGACGGATAGGCACTGGTTCCGCTACGTACTTGTGCACCTCGTACATGCTAGCCACGCCTTGATATTTTGGAAATGCTTCGCTCCCCTGGAAGCTGCAGCCATAAAATTCGCCAAAATACTGATAGACGTGGTTCAGAAGCTTGCTGGGAGATATGTTTAGTAACCAGTACGGGATCAGTAGATTCATCATGCTCACTATTGGTTAGATTTGGTACCATTTGCGGGCTTGTTGGCGAGCAAAGCAGTAGCACCACCGTCATCGAGGAAGTTCACAGCTTCAGGCTCGGGCCCTCCAGTGTTCGTGGATTTATAGCCGCCGATAAAATATGGCAGAAGATTGACGTCGTGACCTTTGTAAGGAAAGACCGCAGCAATACCCTGCACCTTGACTCCAACGTTGGGCGTAGTGTAGTTCCCGAGGATGAATGTGTGCGTGATTAACTGCATCAAGTCATATTGAGACTCCGCGGAATTGTCTTTGCCAGTCACAATAGGCGTGTAGTAGTCACATATCGTGATGTTCTCCGGGCGTAAGGCAACGGTAGCGCTGGCGGCCGCGACGAGAAGAAGGGTCTGGGAGCGCATGATGGGCTTGAAAGGAAGCAGCAGCAAACGATTGTACCACCAGTGCAAGACCTTGGGCCGAGAGAAGAAGAGAAGAGAGGTTGTGCACTGTGGCAATGTGGAAGAAGCATGGCTGCAGCGGCGGATTTAAATATAAGAGGGGAATGCAAGGACACACCAGACCAGCACCTCGAGAGGAAAGTCTCCTCGAGTTGCGACCCCTGATGGCGCAGTAGATTCAATCACGACAGTCTCATTGGAAGCATACATTGAGCAGCGTTGTATGGATTACTCGTGCCAGACCCAAAGAACTTTTGAAACCCATCTCAATCTGAGCTCGTGGAACGCTTCCAGAAAGGGACAAGTGGCCAAAGGGCTAACAGCGCCCCCGTCGATCATAAATGGATGATTAAGGAGCCAAGGCTCATTGTGTACGGTAGGCCCGCAAACCCATAGAGTTGGAATCGCGGGATTGGTGAGGTTGTTGAAGGCGTTGAAGCACCTCGCGAAATGTATCTGGAAGAGAAAGCTCTCGTAAGGAGGTACTTCTCGGTCCAATCGGACGGCTCACGTAAGTGGCTGACTGTTGCAGCGGCAGGCCAATGCGAGACAGTCCAAATCATAATCACCGTGCTGGATCGAGGAAAAGGGTTCAGGGATCGAATATATCGGCCATCAAAAAGAACCTCGAAGAGAAAAACCACGAACATTGGAGAGAAAGCAATAAGTCCACGCGAAACGCTATCTAGGTCAGGTCGGCCACAAGAGTCACTAGCCTCACTAGCCTGACCTGAGGTCCGGACTACATGTACACAGGCTTTTCCTATATTGACCACACAACTCCAGCGCCAAGCCGCTTGATTGTTGGGATCTACAGCATTGTCCCGGGGGGCGACGTTGTCCACGAGCACACGTCAAGGGAAGAACGATACGCGATGGCGCATCGGTGCCCAAGAACTACGTTCGAACGAATACTTGTCCTTGTCCAAGCTCTAAGGCGAGCCGCGAGGCAGTCTGGAGCAGGAAGTCGACCAGATCGGCCGCTTGGGCAGCTCCGGCACGAATCGTCCTGATCACCGAAAACACCAAAAGCTACTTGCCAGGATATGAGGAGGGCGATGGTGCCGTCATCTACTCCGGATCCGTCGATCGCGGAGGGACAATACTTTGCGAGAACTTTCTTCACGCTAACACGGAGTGCTATGCAAAATGTCGGGTTTGACGGGTGATATGTAATCGTGACCGTGCTTCTTGGTTCGAGGAGGCAGGGCGAGGCACCTGCAGATTCGAAGGACGCATCTCGTCAGCAAGCACTAGGACGATGGAACCATTCCCGGAGATATACCCAGGAAGGTTCTTGACCAGATTCGGAGCGAATTACTGGTCGAAGCGAGGTCGAAGAGATAAGGATTGTGAGGGCTCTTTCCAACCCAAATTCGTGCTTAGAGGCTAAAGAAGACCGTTCAAATGTAAGAGGTTGAAGAAGCAGTCCCTTTTCCTGCAGGCCCTGGGATATTCCGTATCTCGTGCCTCTTCTCAACAGACTTCAAAGCAATCGCACAACTCCACTATCTCGACGCCCGACACATGTCCCGGCTCAGGATCCAACCGATCGACGCTCCACGGGGTTCTCCAAGTCTCCGTACTTCTTCTGGGTCGCCGAATATCCGAATGCGGCGGGCAGGCAGAGAGCCAGGCCCTCAGGCGATAGATGTCCATCGGGAAGTGAGCTACTATTGCATTCCTCCTCGTGTGAGGTTTCCTCACCCAGTTGCAAGGCTTGCTTTTTGATCGGCCTCCTGAGCCATTCTCTCAATCCCCTGCTCAACTGCGGTATCTTGGTCACCCTCTTTCAAACTATACGAGGGCTTGTCGGTATTTCGACTCGACATAGGTGGTCCGGAGCATTTAGTGTCTTTGTATCAGAAAGCTCTTTTACACGACTGATTTTCTGCCCATCGAGAGAGAGGCAGACCATTGAAGGCAATCACCATCATCATGTCATCCGCTGCATTGTCCTTCCTGTCATAACCGCTTCTTTGGCCTTGATCCTCAGTCCTACCGTCGGCAATCTGCTCACAGGGAAAGTCTCTTCGGGGTAATATACTGTACGGGCTAGGGACGAGCGGTGAGGAAACCTAATTCAAGACGGCCATCATAAGAGAGATGATGCTGAAGAACCCTGCTAAAATAGAAAAGTCATCTATGTCATTGTGTCGATCTATCATGAACCATTTGGTCCTGGATTATCGACGCTAGGTAAGTTCTTAAAACCGAAAAAGAGGTGAGGCGAGGATTCAAGTCGAACTCGCACAGAAAGGTGGCGCGGTTCGCATTCCCTCCCGAATGTGAGTTTTACATGTAATCCACGCTGTGTAATGTCCTTCAGCGCTAGCACCCCTTCACGTAGTAGATCCATATCGAGCCGGCCGCTATCTGAAGCTGCGACGAACTCCTTCCAACTAAGACATACATCATCCTTGATGTCACCTAGGATCTTGAACGGTGCACCGCCTCCCAAAATTTCACCGAAGGTATGGGAACAGACAGATTTTCTGTAGAAGACACAAACAGGGTTGAGGTCGAAGTCGAAGCCGTACACCATCCATAAGCAAGCCCTATTAAGATTCCAGTGTGCAACCAAATTAGAACCAAATGCAGCTTCCGATTCGTGTTTAAGGGCATCCATTAAGTCGATCTCATACCTGCTCGGATACCAGACGGTATTCAGAAGAATCTTTTCTGAGCAGTGAGAGGAGAGTGTATACATCCATGTAGATGCCTCTCGAGACGCTGGAATTTCTTTGGCCACAAAAATATGACGTTTGTCGGAAAAAGACGTGCTTATCGAGCCCCCTTCAATGCAAGTGCTGCTTCCGTGAGGATATGCCCTAGCAAACCGGTCGCCTTTCGCAAGTCTGCGTAAGAATATTCCTATTGCAGCAGAAGCCGTTCCGCACTGAAGCCAGGCGACGTAGATGTCATCGTTGTACGGGGAGAGTCTCGTTGTCAATGAGAGGCCTTTGTTGGTCATCTGAAACGGCTCCGTCTTATAGTTGATGATATCGAAGGCGAATGTCCTCCCAAAACAGGAAGGTTCTGGTGCCAGTATCCCAGATATCCTCGTCCTGTCTGGTGGTAAAGGGTCCCATAGAAGAATTGTCTGGTCATCGGCGTTTTTGATAATTTCTTCCTGTAGTCTGATAAACGCTTTCCTGCCTTCACCATACAACAAAGGCATATTTACATCAAATAGACCCATCAGGCAGTAAGCAACATCTTCCTCCCGTGTCGTCTGACGTCCATAGGCCCAGGACATCTTAACAGCAACGCTGTAATCATCGATGCTTTCAAAGCCGCCTAGCAGGCCCATACTGATATGTGTAGCTAGGGAAATCTCACTGAATCGATCGGAGCGGCAGTCGAAGTAGTGCCAGTCGCGGTCGTAAAAGAAAACATCCTGGGGCGCAATCAACTCCTGAAGCGTCCAACCCCTCGAAAACCAACGACTTTTTAGCATTTTATCGATGCCTTCCGGGGCTGCAAAGTCGTAGAGAAAGGCATAGCACACGACTGAATTTTTATACCATCTGTACATGGAATTGATGGCCTCCGTCAATTTGGCACTGCTTTCCTTATTGATGCAGCAGGTATCAATCCAGACATATTCTAGTCCGTCCTTTAATGCCTGTTCACAACAGCCCTGCAACTTTCTCCAGCCAGCTTTGCGGCGTACGCGAGCTTGACTTTCCTCCCGTGTCCTCCGAATGTCTGCGAAGGATATCTCGTCTTCCTCATCACCCCATTGGTGCGACAAGATGGCATAAGGCGGGGGGATCGTGAAATGCTTTATTCTATATGTTCGAGCGTTGAGAAGCCACATGGCTGCTGTTATTGTGCGGACCGGGTCGATATTCTTGCAGAGATAGGTAGTTGAGAGGACTATTAAGAGAAAGAAAAGCAGGTTTTGAATCGGGCTGAGAAGGTCTGACGTGGCAGTGTTTCAGTCTCGCTTAGAGCCTGGATGAAGCACGTGGGCTGAGGTGGCTGAGGCTGTCGGCCCTCGCACTGAACTAATGCGAAGGAATTCTGAAGTCCTCATCAACGATTGGTGAAATGGAGAATTACATGGCTGGATGCAATATGCGTGCGAGACTGCCTTGGGTCGGCGGCCAGCGAAACTACAGATTCCGGCCCCTGTATGCTGCATAATACTGAACGATGTATGTCAGTGTTGCTCTTGTATCCAAAGGTTCATAACTAACGTTTGGATGCTCTGTGCGGAGCACGGTGTGCAAGCATTAACAACGAGCTGGCTTGTCCGAGAAATTTGGCGAGATAAGAGCAGAAGTCGAAGGCGACTGCTGTGCATGGAGGCATGCTTTACATAACTTCTGTAATGGTGGAAAGTCGCTTCTCTTCACGTTCTTCGTGTCTTCTTTGAAACCTCATCAGAGCAGCCAATGCCCATACCATTGCATTATACTGACTTTGTCTCACCAGAGCGCCAAATCGAACCACCTGAAAACTCAGTAAACTTGCCGAGAATTTCGGGGGAAGACAATGAAGTTCTTGATCGGGAATGAGACCATTAGGCATCGAAAGGCTGATCGGGACGTGTATCTTGCACATCAGGATGCTAAGAGGGATTGCATCCTCTTTCGTGCTGGAAGCAATACCTGTAGACGTCAAGCATCATCCATTGCGCTCTCAAGAATTTCCCACATAACGTCAGCTTTAACCTTGCAACCTCCATTTTTCTTATCCCGGACGCACCCTTGTTTCAATTTCATCGAAATGGTATCGACTTTGTCTGTGCTTGTGGCGAATGGCATGACCATTTGGTATGCCCTGGTGCATTCGACATCGCCGCTTGCAATTTCGCCGTCAGCTGGGTTCTCTGATTGAATATTCGGCAGGCCCAGGACGTGCGAAATGGTCATGCAGCGCGGGCTCTGCTCAGACACGTTCATTCTGGATGGGTCCGACTTGTTCAGTGGGCTGCTGACATGGCATGTTGAAGCACTATCCTCGCCTACCCGCAAGGTTGTGACGGGCTTCTGAGCGTCGTTCCTACAGGCCTGAGGCGGTGATGGGGTAGATCGTAGTGTAGAACAAGTTTGAGTGCTCTTGGAGGAAGTTTGCTGCCGCTCTGAGCAGGGGCCCTTGATCAAATCACAGCTCTTCGCACTTACAGGAGCTAAAAGCATGGGTGTCGAGATTGACGAAGGAAGAGACAATGCGTTGTCCATATACCGTGCCCTCGCGCACGTCTCATCTCCATGTAGCCACGACTCGATAACCTTGTCCTCTACCCCAGAGACTTGAAGAAGCGCGCGGAGGCGTGCATTTTCGTTGACCACTTTCTGCGCAGCCACTTGCACTTCCCTCATGGCAGCAACGTCTTGTTGTCGCCCGTCGGCGAGCCGTCGCTCTAGGTCTGCAACATACTCTTGTCGCCGTGCACGATATCTACGCTTGTTTTCTCTGTGGCGTACAGTGCGCTGTTTTTCTGCCTGAGAAAATTGGGGGAACGCCGTTAGCTGCGCAGAGAGCAGATTGAAGAGGGTCAACACGGCGGGACGCACCAAGTCTCTCTCCATCTGGGACTAATTTGGGTACGTGGCTGGTCTCCACTCTCTGAATTGCAGCGGATGCGCGGGCAGTGGTTGAGTCAAGGCAATCAGACGTCGTAACTTGGTGTTATAGTTGTTTAAGAGGGCGAGGACGATGGTCAAGCTGGGATGACATGTGTATCAAAGTAGCTGTAGTTGGCGGCGCCATCAGCCAAGTAGTACCCCTCGCGTAGCGTCCAATCAGAGGGCGGCAGTCCGTCCATTCATGCATTGAATGCCGCCCGACCTTCTTCGTTGGGGTTTTAGCTTCTACAACCGGGTTGGCTAGTGAGGCGGACCGTCGACGCCGGCCAATCATGTCTCGGCTGTCCGTCCATTGCAGTGTACTGCACGGATTCGCACGACGTGCCCTTGACTGTTGTCATACACCTATAAGTACACGAAGGACGATGCAGATATCAAAGGGCATCATGCTTCTGCTCTCGTATTTCCCGTCCAGCGTACGCAAATGGCCGCCCCCCAAGAAGGAGAAGCTTCATTTTCGCGCTCCGACAAAGGTGTCGCTCCTTCAACCAAGGTGCAATCACAAGTCATCGACGAGGAATCCCAGCTTCCGAACGGGGGCCAACAGCCTTTACAGTCCCCAGCCTCGGATCGGGATGAGCTTGGCTACCACGACAACTCCAGGGTACCTAAGCTTTCTTACCTGAAGCTCTTCTGGTTCTTCTTTTACAACTTCGGCCTTTTCGCATGGGGAGGGCCCGTCGCCCAGATTGCTCTCATCAAGGAGAGGCTTGTGATAGAGGACAAATGGATTACGTTGGCTCGCTTCCAACGCGTCTTCTCCGTCTACCAGATATTACCAGGGCCGGAGGCAGCAGAGCTATGCATGTTTTTCGGCTGTCTGTCAGCCGGAAGGATTGGAGGCATCATCGCGGGCATCGCGTTTATGCTCCCAGGCTTCGTCCTGATGCTTTTAGCAAGCTACTTATACACGCTCGCCGGTTTCGAGAATATCTACTTCAACGCGTCTTTCAAGGCTTTACAGCCAATTGTGGCGGCAATGGTACGTACAGGATACATCTCGCCCGCTGAAGAGGTGCCTTAGACTGACGTCCGTTGAAAATAGATCTTACGTGCCACCCACAAGATCGCCGAACATTCTGTGATTAAGCATACAACAAACAAAGTCGATCCGTTGCTCATCCTTGCAGCAATCCTGACATTCTTGAACTGCGCTCTTCGAATCAACATGTAAGTTCAAGATACCTAAATGACGGTTAGAGTATCTTCCTGACAAGAACACTCAGTTTCATATCTCTGGGGTTGTATGGAGTGTTGTACACGCTTATCACTTGGCGGCTCCGGATCGTGGCCGGCGTACTGTTCGTGCTTCAATATGTCGGCTATGCAATCTACGTCGTGTTTCGTGGTGTCCCGTCGCCGGTGTCGCTAGCTCTCGGTATCTGTCCATCCCCCTCACTGATCAATCTCTTCCTTCTGGGTCTGGTTGCAGGCAGTTTGTCCTTTGGAGGCGCATATACTGCAATTCCCTTCATCCAAGTTGAGGCCGTTCTGAAAGGTGGCTGGCTCGCACAAAATGTCTTCTTGGATTGCATTGCTATTGGAAACATACTGCCTGCGCCGTTGGTCATCTTCGCAACTTTCGTAGGGTTTCAAGGTGGCCTTGTCGACTCGCTCGGTAACGCGTTCGCCGGGGGGATCATTATCACGCTGGGAATGTTTCTTCCTTGCTTTATCTTCACCATTGCCGGGCATGAACTTCTCGAGAAGTTGGTCAGGAACAAGGTAAGGAGAATTCTGGATGGCCTTCACTCAGCCAATTAGGTGCGGCGTTGCTGACGGAATCCAGATCCTCTCGTCATTCTTTGACGGTCTTTGTGGCTCCGTCCTTGGTGTGATTGCTGTCATCGCTGCACAAATACTTAAATCAAGTATAGCAGGAAACACGCGTCCCGAGGATCGAGAAAACACCGCTAAGCTCATTCAACAAGCACTTCAGGGTGGACCAGCAGCTGCTATTTGCTTGCTTGCTCTCGCAGCGATCTACAAATTCGCTCACAAGTACACGCCCCTGGTGCTGGTTGTCATTGGTGCTATCGCTGGCCAATTCATCTTCGTAGATGTCATAGCCTAGATTAGCTTTTGGGCCAGGACCTTGATAATACCAACAACTACTGATAATACGGATCGAAGTCTGTCGATAGTGCTACCTAAAAAATCTATAAGATGTAGTTAGCAGCAGTCATGTTAAGCCGAGAGAAAGGTCAAGGTATATAGATAGTAATCCATTTCATGTCTCTCCCCAACTATTAGTACACCTTTTTCTCGTACTTCGTAACATAACAATACATCAATTTCCAAGACCTGGGTTGTGTCTGATAAACCTACTCACGACTAGAGATCGTCGAGCGCATTTTTCACAACCATTAGACGAACATCCAAGTTCCAAGTCCGACCACGGCCAGCAGCCAGAGACTTCCCACTCTCCTATCCTGTGCTCCATTGTCCTTGCCATCATTGCTACCGGTTCCAGCACCACTCCCGCTTCCGCTACTTACGGTGCCTCCCAGGAAAGGCTGGTTCGCCGGCGGACTGATACTCACATCCTGTAGTCCTTGGCCCTGAATGACATTCCCTCTCAGACTACACATGGGCCGGCCACCACTCCCACTCAGTTGGGATTCTGCCGATATACTGTTCTTAACATCGATGGGTAAGTTGAAGATTGTGTAAAAGTCAGTGTCGTTTGCACGAAATGACTCATGAATCGAAATCTGTGGCCGCCACGTCTAAAGTCAGCACGCGCACCAGTCTGCCATGTGTTCATATGCGAAGAAGAAACGAGAAGCGAGAAACAGAAAGAAGAGAGTGGACAAGACCGACGTTGTAAACTCCTCTGAACGCGCCTCCATCTCCATTCCCGACCAAACAATCCGGCCACGCCCAATTGACGTGCTTCACGGTACTGCTCGGTTCCTGGCTCATGATGGGCTCGCATCCCGCATTCGCCCAGCCTCGTTTCGTCACTCGTCCACAGTCAAACTCCTCCGGCTCGACCGTGCTGGCATTGTTCCAGCCCACACTCGTGCCGTTTGAGATTGTCAGGTTCAACCCGGTATCGTAACTGAACAGGAAGATCGTGATGTTGTGGATCCCCGAATCGAAGTTTCGCGGGTACGGAAACGTCAAACGACCTGATCCCGACACGTCGATTGCAACCTGGAGAGAATCTGTGCGGTCATTTGGTAAGTCAGGGATACGCGCAATAACACACCCGCGCGCAAACGTATCGAAGGCGAGAGGATAAAGATAAATCAGGTAGCCACCTCTTGGGTGCTCTCCCACCCACACACATATGGCTCACAAACATGAGAGCATCGAAACACATAATGCCCATTGTCACGTCGGCTGACGCACTACAAAAATCACTTTGTGACAGTCTCGATATGATGGTCCGTTTGATGCACTCCCTCGTCCAGGGATGGCAAACAATCAGGTGGCGAAAGGAGAAAGAACCGTGAAGGAGGAAGGAAAAATAAACCAGACGTACCACCACCCTCTGGCGTCCCCGGCTGCGGCGCATCAACAATAGCCAACCCGGGCGTGAAGATCTGGCCGTTTATGATAGTGAAACTCTGATCCGAGTCGTCCTGACTCTGCGCCTCGACAAGCCCATCCCAAGCGCATCGAAGCGACAACAGTGTCAAAAGCGACGCGAGCCAATTCATCGATCGGATTGTCGCCATGTTCAGCCTGCGGTTGATCCGTCGATTCTGGTGTAGTGCGTTGTATTGCTTTTCCGTCCTTGTCCGACCAGCGGCATCGTACGGTGTCCGGGCGTCAGGGGTGGTAGATCAGGTTCAAGGTACTACCTAGGTGATCATTCCGCTGTTTGCACCCGAGACAAAAGATTTGAAAAACTGAGAAGGAACCCAGCGGACAACGACACAAAAACAAAGGTACAGGTGGTACCTATCCAACCAACCGGACAAAAGGTATTTGACGCGGGATTGAGAAAAGGTCCAAGGGGGGAGAAACCTGCACACTCTGGCTTTTCTTGCATGATTCCAACAAGAGGTGGGCAGTACGTGGAAGAACCTAAGGACTGAGGTTCGTAGATAGACCAACGCTGCTGAAACACCGGGTAAATAAAACCCCTGTCCAATTTCCTCTGATACCGCTTTGAGACGCGCATAAATATGCGATTAGCAACTTGGCTCACACACGCAAAGCTTCAGGAGGAGGCAGTCCCTAAAAGAGAGCGTAGTCTACTGTAAACAACTGCAGACATCATTACAAGTGTATCATTTTGAATAACATCTTGTCAAAGGAGCCGGCTGCAAGCGAACCAAGCCAGAAAGAAGTAAGACCAGTCCAAGCACGACGTTTCCCACAGCGGATCGATTAACTACCGATTTGAGGCAGATAGTCTTCCCAAGTTGAGGTTCAAGCCAAACCCTCATTCGCAATACTCGGTATGTCCGGCACTTTCACCTTACATACGGTATCGTGCCGTTCTCCAGTAATCTCGTGCCTTTACAACCGCCTCCCATGTAGAAGAAAAAGAGTGCTTGCGCCGTACAAGATCTAGAAATTGCCCAGGGCGAGAAGCGATGGAAGTGCTCATACATAAGAGAGATGGCGCGCCCGAGAATTGATCGAATCAATCGTCGACAAGATGAGTAAATTGTTGGAAGAGTAAGTCGAGTAGACGTAAAATGTCCGACGGTTTAATTAGGCCAATGTTACTTTCCACCAGCTTCCACGAAGGAGTTCCATTGAAAAGAGCCAAACCACCCTTTTCTGATCTCATGATGAGTGGCTCAACGACTGGCGTTATTGTTTCGATGAGTCCAGTGAGATTTGAGAAGCCAAAAAGCGGAAACCCACATACCAAGAGACAAAGCCGTGCTGAACTTGCGATAGTGTCGTTTTCAAGTATCCGCCGGGCAGTTATTGAGCCCTTTGGCACTAGGGTAGAACCATGCTGCCACTGCAATGATAACGTACAAAATCATCAAAAGAACACCCTCCAGCCAGTGCGATTTACCATCGGCAATAAGATAGTTCACAAGCAAAACTGCCACAAACAACACTGCGATCTGGAAGCCGTCGAAAAACAGCGTCATATCGTCCTTGCCGATAATCCAGCCGAGGACCACCACAAAAGGTAACACCAGCAGAGCGATCTGCAGACTTGATCCAACAGCGACACCAATGGCCAGGTCCATCTTGTCTTTGACAGCTACTGTGACGGCAGTAGCGTGTTCGGCGGCATTGCCGACGATGGGCAGAAGGATCAAACCAACGAAGTTTTTGTTGACGCCGCCTCCACATGTGATGTCGTTGATTGAGTCAACCAAGTATTCAGCATTCAGTGCAACCAGAACGGTGGACGCAGCGAGAGTGGCAATTGCCACCCATACGGAAAGGTTAGGCTCTTCAGGCTCCTCGCTCTCTTCCTCCACAACAACGGCGTTTCTCTCCTCAAGCGTTCTCTTTCGCAGTCGCTCCGGAAGAACAGCATTCTTGAATTTCTTGCCCACCGAGCGCTTGCGGTTCTTCTCACCCGGGGTGTTGTAGATGGCTGTATGGCTTTTGAGTTGAAAGAAGAGATAACAGCCATAGACGATCAGCAGAAGGATGGCGGTGCCTCTGCTAACAGCAGCAACGCCAGGCTTAGGTTTGTCCGTGGTCGCATCCTCATTACTGGTGCTGCCGTCCGAGGTTCTCGCCCATTCCTCGAAGGCCGTGGGAATGATCAGACTGCTTACTGCCAAGAACAACAAACTAGAAGCAGTCTGAGCCACTGTCAGATTGAATGCTTGCTCCATACGATTGAATCCACCAAAAAAGAAACACATCCCCATCACCAGCAGCAGATTGGAGAGCATACTGCCAATAAGCGAAGTCTGGACAATCAAAACTTGATCTTTTGCCAACGCGATGATGGAAACGATCAGTTCGACAGCATTACCGAAAGATGCGTTGAGCAGACCACCCATGACTTCACCAACTCGAAGTGCAATCTCTTCCGTGGCGTAGCTTAGCATCGCTGCCAGAGGGATGATCGCAATGAAGTTGATGACGAACACTGCAACGGGATCGATGTGCGCGTAGTAGACTGCAATGCCTACCGGCGACGCGATCAAGAGTATGTTGATCCACGAGTTGAACAGGGTTGCGTGGATTTGACTCCAGGCGGTGAATTTCTTCTTGTTCTTCCCATTGTCGTCATCGCTGTCTGCTGATGATTCTTTAGTAAAGAACCTTCTAATACCATGTGGCTCCGTTTTGGAATTGGTAGTGCGGTTGCGGAGAGGATTTGAATTTCCAGAATCAGCAGCATTCCCGTTTATGTATGTGTCGCTGCTTGATTCTGCACGTTGAGGATCATCATGTGCTCTGATTTCCTTTTCTGATAAGTCGGGACTCATCGAGCGGGGAATTCTGATTTCGTCACCAGGAGGATAGGGTTTGGCAGCTGAAGTTGCACCTGGTTCAGTCTCGGCATGGCGGTGGTGTTGGCCCTTTCTATCAACAGGCGTTCCAAGCCTGTAGTCGTTTGGATCGTCTGTCAGAGTAGATTTGAGAGGAGAACCATTGCCTTTGTCTCCATCTGTGACTTCTGAGTCTTGTACCAGCTGTTGTCCTCTTCTACGATCTCGCGCCTCGCCATCTTCCATTGTTCGCATGGAGTTCTGCCTTGTGTCTGGCCTCCATTTGGAGAAGGGATTCTTGATCTTGAAATTTGAAGTGTCGTTTGGGTCATCGTACCAGGCGGCGTACTTCGCCTCGCGGCGGTACTTGTCTGCAAATGGGAATTAGATGAGACATGTCACAGCTGCAGGTGCTGTGAGATACATACGCATGGTGGTTGGGGTACTTTTTGTCACGCAATACTGTTGGAATTCAGTTCGCTTTTCGCGCGTATCGGAGTGTCTTGTTCAGGAAGCAAATGCAAGGTAGACTTAAGATGCAGCAGGAGAGAAAGAATGCTTGTTCGCTGAGCCAGGCGACCTAATAAGGAACAAGGAATGCGGTGTGGTGTGCTTCACCTGGTAGGCAGCCACTTAGGTTCAGTTGGGTTGCACAGCCAGCGAAGGGCTCAGTTGCGAATGACAGAACAGAAGATCTCCTGATGGCAAATCAAGGCATGAAGACCAAAGTCAAATACTGTAAAGAGTGAATGAGCCAACGCAGGAAGGGAAGGTCGACGTGCAGGGCACTGCAGGGCGTTACCACATCGTGACGAGTTGGATTGACACTCAGCAGCGGCAGTGAATGACGGAACCAACCAACAAACAACCGACACCACAAAAGGAGGGAGCAATTCAGAGTTCTCCGTAACAACCAAGCCACAGCCAGCAGGGGCCCGTGTTGTGGGAGCGTGTTTCAGCAGACACGGTATGCGCCATGACTGTTGGAAAGACAGGATGGGATTTTCACGCCTGCACAATGATGCAAATTGCCCGATCTCCAGCTGCCGACGGACCAGGGCCCAACGGGTCTAACTAGTTAAGTGGCGGCTCTGCAGAGCGCCGTCCTATGGTAAAGAGCACCAGGGTCTCTGCGCTGGCTCAGTTATGGCTGTGCAAGCCATAGACCCGCCCCAGTAGTTAGTTAGTGTTGCAGGAGTTGACTCGTTACAGCCTATTCCACTCATATCAATTTCCTCCTTTGGCATTCAGCGCGAGTGCAGGACAAGGTGTATCACGGCTGAAGAGTAAGCGCTATGCTGAGGATTTGGGTACCTATGCTCAGGAGTATAAGATAAACACATCGGTCTTCGGACACCGCTGGAGCTGAAGAAAGGAGGCTTCAACGCCCAAATGTAGAGCGTGAAGTCCCCCTAACTTAGGTAGGTTAATGTGCTCCGCAAATTGAGAGGGATTCACAAGATGAGGTACTCGTAGTCAAACATTTAGGCATTCTCGGCGATCAGCTTGGCATGCAATAGGCATGTCTTAGGCGCCTCGGGGTACGGTACGCTTGAATTGCTTGACACTTCTTGGGCATGCCAATCTCTTCTGCGGTGGGCATCGGGCCTGCAGCCCTGCATTCCAAGGCCAATTAAAGCATTCAAGCACTCTGGCCAAGAACGTCCGTGCTGTCCACTGTCCTGGAATCTTGAAACCCGTTTCCAACTTCAAGTTCACTTTCGACAGAGACGCGAACTACATCATCGCATCATCGCCTTGACGGACTCACACATTCATCTTTGAAAGGCAAACATGTGGGGATGCTTTTGAATCTCATCTTTCGCGATGTATATGTCATTCCGTGCAAGTACTTGTACCATAGACGCGCCCCAGCAACAAGTCATAATAATCATGTCATCATCTAGAACTACACTTGCGCCACATTCTTGCACATCCATCTACAATAGGTGCCCTGACCAATCGTCTAGCGATGACTTTGGCGAAGGACCGCTTTTTTGTGGACGATGAATGATGGTCGGTAGGTAATGGACCACGATACATCTATTGCAGGCTTACAACTAAAGGTACGCAGCACAATCTTGTATGTGAGGGACTACTGTGTACCGTAAAGCAATATCCCTGTCCACCGCAGATGAAGCCGAAGTGAATATCTAAAGTTTCAGACAACTTGCCCTATATTGTTCACAGAAGCTGCAGTCTTGGGAGGTTGTGGCTTGGAAATGTAGTCGTCGGGGACAATTCCGTCTGCAAATTCCAGGATGCCTTGATGGTTGACAGACCGGATGATAACTACTAAAGGCAGCAAGGAGTAGACTCATACTCTATCGGTCATCAGCAAATGTGTTTTAAAAGCAGGTTTCAAGACATACCAACAGTTCTGGTCTGCTGCGCGTTTCAACATATCTTGGATGACTAAGCATTGTACGGCGCTCCTGAAGTACATCAAGTGTAAAATTTCCAACTCCCCATTCGCATCGGAAAACCATCGCTACTTCACAATTACACATTCTTTCGACCGACATACTCGGTGCAATAATACAGACTATGCAGACGGGTTTTATACTCAGGCGCTGTTGACACAACGCCGTTAGTCCACCATGAGTCTCGGAGAGCCCAATGCACAGAAACAAGGAGTGGTCGAAACTTTGTCAAGTTGCATGCCATAACCTGGCGACTTCAGGCTCGGGCAGTGGAAAGGGCTCCCCATGAGTCATGGCAAAACTGGAAAAGTTGCTCCGCATACCCCTCTCTACGAAGAAAATATCGCAATTGACCGGACGTCCATCTCCAGTGACGCTTGAAGAATTCCTACCCTGTCTAGGTGGGCTCAGGACCAACGACATTTCAGGTCATGGCACACAGAAGCCTTCCTTCGTCGGTATTCATTATTCTCCATCTTTCAACAATTCAGTTCTTCCACTTACATTTGCAGGAGTTTGTGTCAGTGGGGGTCCCGATTCTATGGCACTGGCGTGGTTGCTGAGACAGATATCCATGTTCGATAAACACCTGCCGATTGAGCCTGTTGCATTCATTGTGGATCATAGAGCAAGAGAAGGGAGTCGGGAAGAGGCCGAATTTGTAGCCGGTGAGCTGGACAAACTTGGTAGGTCAGGATGAAGTTTCAAAAGTATTGTTATTGATGGTTGCCAGGCATCGCAAACCTCATCCTTACCATGACCTGGCCTGGAATCGCGAGGCCTTCTCAACTGTCCGACTTCGAGAATCGTGCTCGAGAGTCTCGATATCGGCTGATTGCGAAAGCAGCGATCGAAAGAAACATAAGACATCTTTTTGTTGGTCATCACCAGGACGACCAGGTCGAAACCGTCCTAATGAGATTACTGCGGAATGCGCCAAGCAATTTTCTTGGATTGCAAGGCATGGCGGCTACGACAGCAATTCCCTGCTGTGAGAGTGTTCGGGGTGCGCACGAATGGCCTGGCTATGAGAGCTTCCCGGAGTGGATTCGACGACGTGATGCGCCCACCTACAAGCGGCAAGTCGAAGCTGAAGCCGACTTACGAATAGCGTCAAGTGCCAATTTTGAAAAGCTCGTCACTATGCCGCGCTCAGAAGGTCTTCTCATCCATCGTCCTCTATTAATTTTTCCCAAGTCAAGACTTGTGGAGGTCTGTGACGTACATAAGATTAATTATGTAAGAGACAAGACCAACAACGATCCGACTTTGACGATGCGCAATTCTCTACGATACCTCAGATCAACTCATGTACTTCCACGCGCTTTGCAAGCAGAATCGATTCTGGGACTGGCCCAATGGGCACAAAACAAGACACAAGCTCTGGTGAAGAGGGGTACAAATCTCCTGAATACTCTTCAAGATTTAACTTTCGATCTCCGTTCCGGTGTATTGACTGTACGTGTTCCCAAGGACTTTGTTCTGGCCTGCAAGTCCGATCCCGACGCTGCAGCTAATGCCTTGGCTCGACTCACCAGTGTAGTGAGCTTCCAGCCCAGGGATTCTGTACCATCGGTTATATCGTGGCAAAATATACAAGATTTTCGGCAGCAGAATCTCTCTCCGAGATCACAATGCTTGACGATTCAACGGGCTTTCCTCCGAAAACTTACAGATCGTACCCGAGGGGAGGAGGGGAGCGTCGTGTGGAGGCTCTCAAGGCCCCCAATGCGCGCAGCAGAGGTTGAGCGAGCTACGATGAAATTCACTCCTCGTGAAGAACATGAAACGGCGTCCGCCGTGCAACAGGGAAATCCTGGGGTTGCTTCCAATCAAGGCATCTGGTCAGCCTGGCTCTTCTGGGATCATCGTTACTGGATCCGCATTAGGGCTAAGGACGCCGATACCCTGGACCAAATTGAAGTACGACCTTTTCAGAACGCGGACGAGTCTTACTTGCGGCATAATCATGAGGGAGAACGAGACGTCCTGCAGAAAATGTTCGCTAAAGTAGCACCGGGCAAGCTGAGATATACCCTTCCGGTCCTAACCTGGCAGGGGAACGTTTGTGTCTTCCCAACTCTGAACTTCTTGGTCCAAAAGAAGCACCCGAGCTCTGTATCCCTTCCTGTGCAGCATCCAGCCTTGGAATGGGAAATTTGTTATAAGAGCATCGACGAGTATTTCCTAACGGAACGGAAAATATCGATAGATTGGAGGAGCGTCGAAACGTAAAGTCGCAAGCAACACCTGCTTCGGATGCCTTTTCGTCTCCCTTGAACATCTGACATCCATGCTGGTCATACAAGGGCTTTTTTCGGGTGCGCGACGAGATGGAGAACGCTCCTCTGTACTCATAAAGTACATTTCTCAATAGTGTACAAATGGCAGGGAGATTGCGTTGTCAATCGGTTTCAGAGGCTGAATAGAGGGTACAGACTGTGCGTAGAGGGCTGAATGCATCCTGAAGTCTATAGGTTTGACCGTAGAATGCGCCGAGAAAGATACTGTCGAGCACAGAAACAATATCTTCACATCTTTTAATGCGATCAACCTCAAAAATCCGCATAAGCAGTTACAGAAAATGTTACTCTTAATGGTATTATGTCTTTCAAATTTTGGTCAACAATGGGGCAAGTGTCCCATCCGTGTTGCTCCTTGAAAAATCAGGTCTCCTGGTTTTTTAATCCCATAATCCCTGGGGGATTATGGGATGAGTTTTTGTTCACCAAATCGTGTTTATACCACTTCAAGGGCATCTGGACGCTGACATCATCGCTGCACTCGGTATGAGGGCTTCTTCGGCTATAACCTAGAGAATGCCGATCCGCGTTATGTGTCGCCGACGCAATACACCGATCGAGCATGTGGATTCGTAGGGTGCGCTCATGTAACTACGCTGCCGGGCATTGACTGAAGGTGTACTCCGTACTAGTCTTTCGTACAAAACGGGAAGCCTCGCGAGGTTCTCCGCATACACAAAAGGCTTCGTCATTCTCCGTACCCAACTGCGGTGCTACGAGCGAGGGGAAGGGGTGGAGATTGTGCGGCAAAAACGGACATTGGAGCCTCGGTCTAGGTCCTCATGCTGTCTCCTATATATTGGATCGATGGTCTCGACTATCAACTCATTCTGCTAGCAACAGTCTAGATATTCTGGCTGCAGCTCAACACGTCAATATGGCGACCGAATCCATACCAGAAGCATTGAGTGCTCCCACTCAGACCTTCCATGATGCTCCACTGTTTCCGAACGACGTGCCGACTGCACCTCTTCTTCGTTTGTCACTTGCTAAACTGATCGAGCGTGATCCTGATGAGATAAACCGATTCGCAAGGGCCTGCGAAGACTTGGGGTTTTTCTATTTGGACCTCTCTGGCCCTGGGGACTCCCTCCTTGCCGAGGCAGATCTACTTTTCGAGGTTGGCGAGCAACTATTTGATCTCCCACTTGATGAAAAGAAGAAGTACGATTTTATGCATAAGAATAGCTACTTTGGCTATAAAGGCTTCGGTGCGAATGTGGTGGATAGGAAGGGCAATCTAGACCGCAATGAGTTCTACAATGTAAGGATGCCGGTGTGCGCCTTCTGACATGAACTAAAGTTCCTTAGGTATCCAAAGATGACATGCTCGGCCTTTCTGACCCTTGGCCTGCTCCTGAAGTTCTGAACTCGAAGCGTCACTTGATGCAATCATTCATCACATCGGCTCATGGTATCGTAACGTTGGTGCTGACCCTGCTCAACGATCACCTGCGCTTGCCACCGGGTACTTTGCAAGATATGCATCGCCTTGAAGGCCATTCAGGAGATCAAATTCGATTCATCAAAGCACCCCCGCAACCGATGGATGACAAAAGGACAGCATTGGGGGAACACACTGACTTTGGTAGTGTGACGGTGCTTTTCAACCGACTTGGAGGTCTCCAAGTCCTGCCGCCAGGTCGAGATGCCCAGTGGTGCTATGTAAAACCTCTACCCAACCACGCGATCATCAATCTAGGGGATGCGATGGTGAAATTCACGAACGGTCTCCTGAGATCAAATATACACCGTGTCGTCTCGCCTCCGGGTGACCAAGCAAACTACACGAGATACTCACTCGTATACTTTAACCGGCCAGAGGATGACGTTATGTTGAAGAGACTCGACACCAGCGAATTGATCCCGCCGCTCGACAAAGACGAAGTCGAGGAGGAGATTAACAGTAAAGACTGGATCATTAGACGGGCACTTGGGCATCGGATCGCCGTCCATGGAGACAAGGCCTTTGATTTTGACAGGATTAAAGGCACTGAAGAGAAGAGCCAGAGGGCTTACCTTTGAGAGAGAAGCATCTATGTAGCTGCAGGTACTTTTCTGCGCTTCATGTGGCTATTATAGTTCAGGATTGTTCTTCCCATTCATGAATGGCTCTGAACAAACACAAGAGCAGATACCGAATTTATACCATGGAACAATAGCATTGTCTGACGCTCTGAATTAACTCCCGCCTCCGCTGCCATTGTCACGCTTGTCGTGGTGGATTGCTTGTCAATAGGTGAAATGACAGTCTCTGCACTAAGTCTAATGTGGTATAGCGTTTCTGCCCACAGTGGAGTGCCCGAAACATTTTTGCAAATATTATTTTGCAGCGTGGACAGTGGTGGCAGCGACAATACCTCAGTTTTACCAGAGGCTTTTGTTTTGTCGCCTTCTCCCTCATGCTTGACAAGCGAGTTTGCTGTCTTTTCTCGTTTCTTGAACGTATCGACATCATCTCCATTATCCCATGAGCCAGAGAGCCTCTCTACGGCTGCGGTCATGTTAGCCCCGCCGTCTCGTCGGCCTGTCCTGCCGACTAGTATCGCAACTCCTACTCTTCCATCATCCAAACCCCTCAGATCACAGCCTCAAACCATACAGCGAAGACCGAACTTGAAGCGCTCCATCGACGAGACCAGTTTCATGGACCGGCCCTCCAGCCCCTCCAAGCGCTCCAAAGTCACCTTTGATTCTGATGTCGAAATCGTGTCTGCGGATGACGAAGAAGATCTCGATCCTGCCCTGGTGAAAGAGACAGTACGAGCGGCCATCGAGAGGCATCGTATCGGTCACAACGAGGAATACGATCGCCTGCAGACCCTCTTCAGCACCAGCATTGAGAAGCCAAATGCACCATCAACAAAAGTCCTCCGAATCCACCTCCAAGCGACTCTTGCCAATGTGACAGGACTCACAAAGGACTGCAATCAATTGGTCAACGCCATCCTGTACAGTGAATGGATTGGTAGAGAGGATTCCTACTATGCTCTGTTTGTCAGGTTCCTGAATAATCTGGCTGCGGCGCAGCGAGGATACCAGCACAAAATCATGTCCGTTCTTGTGGATCTGCTGGGGCCTCAAAAGACAAGAAGAATTGGGTCAGCGAAGCCTGTGAGACAGCCTACCATCCACCGGAGAGTGTTGCAAGCCCTTCAACACATCACGCGCAACGTACCCACCGCGCCTGCAGCGTTGGCTGATCGAGTCTCCTCCAGGCTCGAGTTTGACTTTCAGAAGGCGGAGGAACGAATGACTTACATTAGAAACTTCATGGCGATGATCCACTACGTGCCAGAGCTGACCTCCGATATTCTGACTAGCGTCATGAGGGAGCTTATCAAGCTTGATGTTGCGGTCCAAGTTGACCTTGATGAAGAGGAGGATGATGATGCAGAAGACGAGCTCCTCAGTCACATGTCCTCATCCCAGGTACTTGTGCCTGGTGCAACTCAAGACATGCTCAAAGGCGGTCTTGACGACGAAAACGACGATGTCAGTACTACCGATGACGAATCGGACATGGATGAAGATGAAGGTGTGGACTCGGCTACTGCTCGCAGGCAGAAGCTGAAGGAGGACATCAAACAGGTCGATCTGATCATGGACATCTTGTTCCAGTATTACGCCAAACTAACGACCTCCACTACTCTCCAGACGCGCGACACAGCCTTGGAGCAGCTCATCTCGCAATTCCACACCCATATCCTACCGACCTACCGCGCCCGTCATCCCCAATTCCTCATTTTCCACTTTGCTCAATCTGATCCGATTGTGGTTGACCGATTCGTCACTTCATGTGTTGCTATACTTGTCGATAAGAAGCAACCTCATCTCCTTCGACATAGTGCGGCGGCTTACTTCTCTGGCTTCGTCGGGCGCGGCAGACATGTGTCTCCTCAAGTAGTTCAGGACTGTCTAGAATTGTTGTGTGACCACTTGACTGTCTTACGCAGAGCCTACGAGCCCACTTGCCGCGGACCCGATCTTAAGCGGTTTGGCGACTTTTACGCAGCCTTCCAAGCAATCTTATACATCTTTTGCTTCAGATGGCGCGACGTTGCTTCATCTAGCTCTGATTACGATTCGGACTATGATAACGACGAGGATGAAGTCGAGACATATCAGTTTCCCGAGTCTCTGCGGGAAGCTCTCCGAGCAGCCATGGATTCACCTTTGAACCCTTTGCGGGTATGCACACCGGTCATCGTTGAGCAATTCGCGAAGCTCACTACTGCTCTGCGATTGTTCTACCTTTACCCGAAGCTTGAAGAAAACAAGCAAGTCCGTGTCACAGGGTATTGGCGCGGCATCTCAGATTTGAGTATCAGTAATCCGGACCGTGATTTGAGTTGGGTTGGAGATAATGGCATGCTTGAGGGATATTTCCCCTACGACCCCTACCACCTGCCCATCAGCAAACATTGGATCGAAGGTGACTACGTTGAATGGGAGGGTATTCCAGGCGAAGAGGCTGAGGATACGGACTCGGAGTCTGATGCAGGAATGGACGTGGAATCCACGGATGAAGACGCGAACGAGGAAGAGGACGACGATGATATGGAGTCTGACGATGAATGAGTGCCATGTCTTGATATCGAATCACCTCGACCCTTGGTGGAAGAGGAGACGTTTACGACCATGATGAGACTTTTCTTACACGGCAATCTCTGTTGCGTTCAAGCGAAAATGTGTTTCTCAAAAGTTGGTGAATGATATGACGGCGGGAGAACATCTAGAATAGAAAGGACGAAATCTGCAAACACCGCAAAGGCACACAAGATTCTAGGATGAACGTTCTCAGAATGAATATTATCCCGCCATAGCTGTTCTCCTTGAACTGGCTGCTCTGCTACGAACACGGTCCCGACTTCGAGTACTAGAGTAATTTTGCGCACCTTGCATATACCTAAGTAGCTACTTACAGATCTCTCCGTAAATTGGTAGGCACATCTTGCGTGGCCCACGAAGCTCGCCAGGCTGAAGATCCCCGCATCAAAAGAATTGGAGTAAGAAATCTGAACCATTTTTTCCCGACAACGAGACGAACCCTCAACAGCCGTCCTGAACAGCACAAACAACGCAGCCTCGATTCTTGTTTTCTTTTTGATTTTGCTACTGGAGACTTCATCAGAGAATTCCTCGATCCTGTCTTCCTTAAAGGGTCGCACATCCGCCACTCATCTCTGAGGCGCAGTTTCATCGTCGAACTCTCCGCCGTCGTTCTTCCGACGGCACCTAAATTTCTACGAGACACCTGAAAATCCTTAAGGCAGAATACACAGGTAGACTTTTCTCGAACACCTCCTCGAAACAGCAGCCAAGATGCGTGCCAAACGGAGCAAGAAATATCGCAAGATAATGTCCAACTACGCCATGACATTTTCGTTCCGCGAGCCCTACCAGGTCCTCCTCGACTCGAACTTCCTTCGCACATGCCACACTTTCCACATGCCTCTACAAAAGTACCTGAACAACACCCTCCACGGCGAGAGCAAACTCTTCATTACACGCTGTACGCTCGCGAAGATCATGGCCGACTTTGAACGCACCCGACCCGAAGGCTCCCGGCAAAAGAGACCCGATTTCCTCCCTCCGCCTACCGAGGTCCCCTTGCGGTACTGCAAACACAAGAACAACGAGGGCGAAGACCTCGGGGAGGTCGACGAGGCACGGTGTCTGCTAGACTTACTCGCGGGGCAGCCGCACGGCAATGAGCAACCCAAGAACAAGCAGCATTACATCCTTGCGACCGCGGACGTGGACGACAAGGACCGGCGAAGAAAGGGCTTCATAGACGTCCGGGAGCGCGCGCGCATGATCCCCGGCGTGCCCATCGTGTACGTGAAGCGGAGCGTGATGATCCTCGAAGAGCTGAGCGGGACGAGCGAGGGGGTGAAACGACGAGGGGAGAAAGAGAAGTTTGCAGAGGGCCTTGTTGGTCTAGACAGGAAGAGAAAGCGCGGTGGCGGGGAGGACAGCGAGGATGAGTTGGATGAGCTCGCGCAGCAGCTGGAGAATGAAAGTGCGGGCGTGAAGTCTCGAGGCGCGAAGAGAGCCAAGGGTCCAAACCCACTGAGTGTGAAAAAGAAGAAAACCAAGACAACATTGGAGCGGTCAGGAAACGATGGCCATGAAGAAGGAGGAGGCCAGACTAAGAGGCGGAGGAGGAAGCATGGCGGGAAAAAGGACCAGGAAGGACATGAAGAACCCGACGGGAAGACCGTTGAGACGTCGGAGGCATGAGTGACATGTATGTCCATATTGGCGAAAGAGATCCTTTGGGTTGTACACTGCGATGTGCATACTTGGCGTTGCGGATGCGAAAGCGAAAGCGATTGTGAGTTGGGCCTTAAAGGTTTCTTTTCACGGGAATGAAGAAAATCAAGTATGACAAGATACCCTTCAAGTTTGTGCGAAATGAGAAATGAATTGAGATTCAATGGTAACTTTACATTCCTTTTCTTTTGCTTTTTTGTATCCGGGGTCGATCCAAGCTCTTATTTGCCCAGGAAGGCCTTGCCGTAGATGAAGAGGCCGGTGGCAGCAAGCACACTCAGACCCGCGGGGAGAGGTTTACCCGTCTTGATCGCGCGAGGGATACTACTGCCAGCCAGGATGACGGATGCGAGAAGTGCCAGTTCGACGCCGTATGGTTGGCGTTTCGAGATGCGGTAGCCTCCAAGGCCGTACTGTTGTGAACGTGTAACGCGTTAGAAGAGATGCTGGTGAACGAGTACTAGGTAGGGAAGCAGGAGGAGATCACACATACCAAAGCTCCTACAGTAAGTCCGGCTGCGATGCTAGGTACTGATCCTGTGCGGACGTAGCCTGTCACTCCACCGATCGAGGTGAGTGCGGAGATGATATACGCTGGTGTTTCCGAGGCCTACAATAGAACGTAGTGAGTGACTAAGGGACAATTGTGCGGGAACAGACGGCTGAGATGGCATATACGGACCATTGTGACTATATATCCTGACTGTGGTAGAGTCGTGGTGTTATTGTAGTCAGTAGGACGGTTGTGGGCTTCGATGGTCGCAGAAGGTACCAGTACTGTAAGAGAGTCGGCCGCAGACGTACGAGGACCCCCCCTAGTGTCAAGGCGATCACCGATGATGCAATCCGAGCCCCGGCTACGAGGCTTCGACCACGGAGTGCAAGGCTCTGACATGCGACCTTCGGGAGAGCACAGGGCGGCGTCAGCTACTTTCCCAAATAGGACTGACCCTGGCAACACGTTGCTTCATGCGCAATTGACAGTAGAGTCCGTAACTCCGTAAAACTGGTACGTGCAACCTCCGAGCATACATTCTACGAGACCTCACAGCAACGTAGACCTCTTTGGTACCGCCGAAGAAACACCTCACAATGGCGAAGAAACCTGCTGCTCATTCAGCGGCCTCCAAAACCAGCACACCCGTCGGTGCAGCCAAACCCCTTCCTGCAGCCCGAACCGCATCTGGTTCCATTTCAACACCTTCAGTGACCCCGTCCAAACCTCTGACTGCGACCTCACTCTCACCCCGATCTTCTCCGCAAGAGATCATTGTACATGTATGGAACCGGTATCTTCAGGACACCCCTTCGCGGACGATGCTACTCGATGCTTTTATGGCATGGCTCGTGGTGGTCGGGGGTATACAGTTCGTCTACTGCGTCTTGGCTGGCAACTATGTAAGAGTGTTCCATGGCCGCCAGTTGGACCAATGCTAATTCTATCCTTAGCCCTTTAATGCCTTCCTCTCCGGGTTTTGCGCTGCAGTTGGTCAGTTTGTCCTGACAGCTTCTCTGCGAATGCAAACATCCGAACGACCACCCGCCGGCGCATCCACAACCGCCAAAAGGACCACATCCAAGACGGTAGACGCACTCAGTGGAGAGTCGGTCGAAGATGGGAAGGTCAGCACCGAGAGAGCCTTTGCAGATTTTGTGTTCGGCAGCTTGATCCTACATGCCTTCTGTGTCAACTTCATCAACTAAAAGTTATGACATGAAAATGGGGCGAGACTCGAGGACTATGTACACCATTTACCAGAAGAAGCTGAGAAGTGTACATGTGTTTCGGGTACACGTGGATTCTCCCGAGTGTGGGCTTCAGTGGCTCAACGAGCTTGCTGAATCGTGAAGCTCACCCGCCGACGGTTGGTCCGCCATCTACTCAGTAACAGCAGGACAGCTCTGGTGCAGAGTTGAAGACGAAAGATGTGCAAATCGTGATATGACCGAGGAATCTGTCCCATCCGTCCTCCTCATGACGACTTGGGGAGCTGGCTAAGGTTTCCACGGATACATTTCGTGTGATTGGTTTTCCATGAATAAAAGTCCACGAGCTGCACCATAAACCAGTTTGTCTCATGAAGTCATAAGGGCCGCATTAGGAGGGAACCGGCGAATTCGGACGCCTCTTTATCCTGCACACTGAATGGGGCACACTTATTGGTCAATGCTGGACTCGAAGTCCGCCGTGACCACAATGAGTGCACAACTACACAATGTATCATATCCATTGAGAAAAGTTACAATTCCGCATGCCGCAGTAGGATTCTGGGATTCTCGACGAAAGTCTCATGGTGCTACGCGGCTGACACTGAGGTCGAAAGGGGCTAAGGTTTCTGAAACGCCCAACCCCAGATAGTGTTTCAAAAAGCATACTTCGCATAGACTTCATGAGCAAACACCATTTCCCATGGCTTCGTCCTTTGTTGTCCGTCTTGCCTTCCGAGGTGTCTGATTTTCTTTTGCAGTTTCGTTCTATTGTCGCTGTTCTGATGCTGCCTTTTTAATTGAGTATTTCGTCTTCGCTGGTCGCCATAATGACACCCGAGCTGGTCTTGTCGATATTACCCCTGTTCTATCTTCTTTCTTCCTCTTTTGCGCAAGAGCAGAACGAAAGTATCACTACATCAGCGACAACAGAATCGTTCCACCCGTGGTCGTACGCTCCGATATGCACCGAGCATTTCGAAGCGCTAGGCGGCCCGCTGTGCGTGTACACAAACGCCACGTTCGCCAACGGTCGAGGCATCTCCATTTTCACCACGCCGAGCATCTCTGAGTCCTTTGCTGCTCAGCTGCCCTTCCACGACGACAACGTCCTGGCTGAGCACGGAATCAACGACCCCCGTGGAGAGGAGGCTCGACCGTGGTACGTCACAGACCTACCGGGCAAAGGCAAAGGTGTGCTGGCCAAGCACGAACTTCACCGTGGTGACCGCATCAAGGCTTACACGCCGTACATCCTCGTGTACATGGAGGGCGAACTTACGGTCGACGAGCGCGAAAAGTGGGTGAAGATCGGCATCAGTCAACTGCCTGAGGCCAGCCGGGAGCATTTCTTCAGCCTGGCCACCATCTGGAACGAGGAAGGGTACGAAGTGCAGGATGTGATCAAGGCGAATGGTTTCGAGATGCAGGTCGGCGGAGTGATGCATATCGCAGTCTTCCCGGAAACGAGCAGGTTGAATCATGCTTGTGGTCCGAAGTACGTTTTTCTCCCTTGTTTCGGCGGGGGGAGTTTGGTACCCCATTGGTGTTGCTTCACAATGAGTGCTAATGCGTTTGCATCGTAGCGCCCAATACTTCCTCGAGCCCGGTTTGTTGACGCACTTCGTCCATGCGTCAAGAGACATCGCGCCGGACGAGGAGATCACCGTGTCGTATGCCCCGCCATTGCGGTTCCACGAGACACGCCAGAGGTACTTGAAAGACCACTTCCATTTTACGTGCGACTGTTCGCGATGCCAGAGTGGCGAGGCATCCGATCACGCACTGCACCAGATCGACGCGCTGCAGTCGAGTCTGGGCAACTGGACACCCGAGTCGACGGCCAGCGTGAAGAAGGCAGAAGAATTGATCCGCCTGTACAAGCAGCAGGGCCTCGAGGGGTTTCTGGACACGGCGTACGGATACGCCGCCCTCACTTACAATGCCGTCGGCAGTGTCAGGGGCGCGAAGAAGTATGCCAAATTGGCGGCCCAGTCGGCTGCGTTGAAGTTTGGCCCTTCGCACAAGGACGTCGCTGTGTGGAAGGAACTGGAAAAGAATCCGCAGGGCCATGTCAGTTGGATGAGGAGGAAGGCGAATCGACTTTGACGAGCGAGTACAAACTGTATCGCCATGATTTAACTTTCAGCGGCTTCGGTATAGAACAATGCCCTGGTAGGTATGTATCTGTCCCGCGGGCCGAGTGTTGAATGACTGCCTCGACATGGCATCACCTGGAAGGGTTTGGCTTCGGGGAAGGGTTGTGCGCGTATTTGCTCTCGCCCTCTCCTTGTCTGTAATGGGGGTGATATGAGGCGTCTAATTCCTGTAGCACAAGCGCAATGAGTTCAATGCAATGAATGCCTAGTTGAGTATAAATCCCTGGGTAGTCTCGCTAATAATATATCTTCCAGTGTGGCTGAGCGCTGGCCGCTTTGCTCAGGCCAACGCACTCTTTTGACAATAATGCCTCCTAACGAGTGGCATAAGAACATGATGGGCCTGTCAATTGCACCTTCAAGCTGCGACACAATGGTAAGTAATTGGTATGTGCACAGCGAGCAAACTGTAAAACAATGACATGCTTACCTCTCGATCTTCGTACAGTTGCTGTACTAGTGGTTGGGCATACTGGAGGTTGCGATCTGAACCTGTCTTGCCTTTCAAGGATAAGATGTTCGCATTCTATCCCCATGTCAAGACTCTTGCGCGCTTGACATATCTTTGAAGAAGATCCTGGTGATCTAGCCAGCAGACTCTCTCGCTTCCTTTCGTGGAAGGCTCGCAGGTCCACGTCTTGATTGCGTCGCTGTTGAGGCCATGCACGGCGACGATGCTATTAAGGTACTAAATGTCAGCCGGGAAGGGTCAAATGTGAAATTGCAAATGGCCTATTTGGGAGCTGACGTACTCTATCTCTGGTGTTTCATTTTGCGGTCGATTCAGTTCTTGGATCCCGAAGATTTGATGCGTAGATAAGGCTGTTGCCATTGCCAACCTAATCAATATTCATACACAATGTTCGACCGTCGTTTTTTGATTCAACTGGCGTCGCACCAACTGGACCCTGCAGCCGTCGGCACTCGACAGCACCAGAGTAAGTGTCTGTCTCTCAGTCCCCGGAGGTTCGTTGACCTCGTTATCAGGTAGGGCAATTTCCGAACATGCCTGAAGAAGCCTCACGACTGTGTAGGAAACTTCCATGAGGGCAAAATCTTCACCAAGGCACTGCCGCGGCCCACCATTGAACGGGAAATAAGCCCATCCAATGTTCGCAAGCTCCTTCCCTTCCCATCTCTCTGGCCGAAACCTCTCTGCATCTTGGCCATAGATGCTATTTACCCGTGAATTGACATATTGGGAAAATACAACCAGCTCTCCCTTTCTGACCAAGATTGGATGTTGGCCATCTGATCCGCCTCCTGTGGGTAGAAAGGTGGTTTTAGTGGCCTCTCGATTGTTTAGAGGGACTGGTGGGTAAATTCGTAAGCCTGGAGACTCCCGTATAAGCAAAATCCTGATGTCAATTGGTTTCAGAGCACCGACTTTCTTTTATGACGCAGCCAAGGTAAGGCATCCTTCGGATCTGCTTCCGTGTCGGATGGATCGATTCCCCCAGAATCGAAGTGACTTCGCGCCGAAGTCGGTCCATAACTGAAGGATGCCGGACAAGGAGACGGCTAGAAGAGGAGACGAAGTTAATTACAGTGTGCGCAGCAAAATAATTTAGGTAAACTTACAATGTCCACGAAAGACAGCAAGCTGTAGTGTCTCTCCCAGCTAAGAGAACGTTAAGTAGTTGATCCCGAAGCGCGTTCATATTTTCAGACTCCTTTGATACTTGATCAATAAAGCCGTAAGAATCATCTTCCAAGGTCGCCTTGCCGTTCAATAGCTTTCTTTCCTCGATATATCGTTCGACATAACGATGGACATTCCTGCAGGCACGTCGAAAGCGAGGGGGATTGTATAGAAAGTGCCAGGGCGCAATTCGAAATCTCTTTGCCAACCCTTCTTGGGCAATATTGAAGCTCTCTGAGAACTCTTTGTTTTCTGCGTCCTGGTCAATGCTTGCTCTTAAGCTGTAAACTGATCGTCCTAGCAATAACGCAGTTGTGGTATCCAGAGTTAGGCTGAAGAAGAGAGGTTGTAGGTCCACGACTCCAGACTCAGGCACATGGGCCAAAAGATTGTCGACATGCTCGCAAAACTGATGGAGGTTTTGATACTGCGCACGGATAAATTGTTTTCGCAAAAGCTCTCTAGAATGCTTCCAGGCTGCGCCTTCTTGGGTGAAGATACCCCGGCCGAGAAGCGGAGCGAAGATCGCTGGACGAACACCGAACCCATAATCTTTGCAAGTGTTAGTTAAGGGCTAGTAGTGGTGTACTCATCGACAATTTAATGGGACAGTTTACCAGAGAAGTTAATTGAAAGAACGACTTCGAGATTTTTGGGATTCAGAATATGGAAGGCCCGTGGTCCAAAGAGCAGATACTGCGAAAGCATATTATGAGGTTCATAATTCTTTGCAATTGAGCACAGAAATGCCAGGAGGCGGCCTTCAGCATTAGAATCCCAAAGTTCCTTGATCCGATCAATTCCGAGAGGCCATCTCGTTGGCAATTCGGGGGGGCGCTGACAGTTGTAACGCTGCCCAACAGCGATGTCCGCCTGCTCGTTCATCAGCGCATGTGGTATACTCGGCATTCATCAAGATTTTTGGTCTCACACGATATTCCACAATTTTGCCGAGATTGGAGTAAACAATGTGAGTGACCACGGACAATACCAGAAGTGAGGTGACTATTCGTGGGGATGTCCATCCACTTACTTTCTCGACAGCGGCAGAAAGAGCATTGAAGCTGTCGTCCATCTCGTTTTCTGAGCTGGAACGTCTGAGCATCATCACTGCTAGGGATAGACATATACCTCGTTTGAAACAGATGCCTAGTCGAGAGGCAGGTTTAGCCGATTGTAGGGGCCCTGATTGGGCACCCGGTACGGAGTATATTGCGCGAGTGTTCTCAGGAAGCGCTCAGTGATGCTCAGCCAAAGGCTCAGTTAAAGCTCAGGTTAAAGTGGCTTTCGCTCACCCTCTGGCATCAGACCGTAATTGGCAATTAGGTATTTCTTTCTCGAGTATGCTAGTTAGGTAGTCAGTGAGGCGTAGTGAGCCTTAGGCTTACCACCTACGGGGGATCTAACTACCTCTGGGCTCTAGGTAGTGGAACACAATAGGCACCTAGCGAGCCGTGGAGCCTGCGGCTGTAGTACACTTTTTGTAGGGACGATAATAATCCTCTTCCGTTCCCAATAAACCTAAGATACGAAAGTACCTCCTTACCGAGCATATACCGTCGTATCTCATGCTCCGCTTTCCGATCCAAATACCTAATCAGCCTTTAAGTGCCGTACCTTGTTGGTTTGTCACCAACCGACCTACACCTCCTTCGACCTCTATCCTCTAAACTTCCTTCGAGGCCACCACCAAGGGCAAGGCGCATCTCATTATGAGAGCGTACTGGCCTCCAGCCATTCCATGCTCACCCAAACCGCCAGATCGACCCGGCATGCTCTGACACGCACATGTCCTCCTCGCCTCCTCCGCCTCCTCCGCCTCCCGGAATGCTCAACAGCACCGAGATCACGATACCGTCTCCTCCTCGCCGAACAGCATGCCCCGGATCGGGCCTTTAGTACTTCGCGGATTCATCCTGGCCGGTTCCTGATTTCTGAAGGCAGGACGACATCCCCCCCAGACGAGCATGCCCAGACGCAGCCCTCGACTTCCCCCTTCTACCTCGAAACGGGCTATTCGATATTTGCCAAACGACCGTCTCGCCCGTTCCCACCCCCATTCGTTTCGGCGCCGTCAGGCTCCTTCTCTGATCCCCTGACCACGCACAACTCACCTCGCGGTCGTCGCCCCTACGTCAACGGCCAACTTGTCCGCGGCATCACCAATGGCGACGACGCCATCATCATAGGCGACGCCAACTTCATCGCCGTAGACGACGGCGTGGGCGCGTGGGCGGTGAAAGATCGGGGTCATGCCGCCTTGTGGTCTCGGCTGATCGCACACTTCTGGGCCGTCGAGGTGGAAAAGTCGTTCGCTGCAAAGAACGGCCAAGTCACATTGGACGATTTGAATCCGATCCAGAATCTGCAGGATGCGTACGAACAGACCAAGGCAGCCACAAAGGGCACGTTGAAGGACGAAGAAGACGATCCCTCATCTTCATCTTCCTCATCCCCCGAGGCCAAACAGAAAGCCATAAAAGCGAAAGACGGCGATGCGGACAACGACAAGGACAAAGACAAAGGTAAAGACAAACCAGGCGAGAACGACATCCTCGGCACGACCACGGCGTCCTCTGCCCTCTTACACCACACGTCGGCCACGCCTCCCGTGCCCGTGATCCTCGCCACGACATTGGGAGACTGTAAAGTTCTCATCCTGCGTCCGCCGCCGCCACAATCATCATCATCTTCTTCTTCAACAGGTACTCCCGACTCTTCCTCTCCCGGTGGTGGCAACGGCACAACCGCCAAGTCCAAATCTAGCTCTGGCGCCTCTGCTGCCGAAGAAGTCGACTTTTCCAAGACCATCGTCTACCGCTCCACCGAGCAATGGCACTGGTTCGACTGCCCCCGCCAACTGGGCACAAACTCGCCCGACACCCCGCTGGCCAACGGCGTATGTGACACGGTCGAGGTGTCACCCGGGGACGTCGTCGCCGTGCTCTCGGACGGTGTGACGGACAACCTGTGGGAACACGAGATCGCCGAGACCATCTGCACGTGCGTCCAAAAATGGGAATCCGGCGTCGACGAGGCCAAGGACGGCATCGTCTATGTGGCGCGGACGCTCATGAACGCCGCGCTCGACGTCGCCCAGGACCCCAACGCAGAGTCGCCGTACATGGAACGCGCCTTTGACGAAGGCATCGCTGCCGAGGGAGGGAAACTAGACGACATCAGCGTCGTGCTGGGCCTGTGTCGGAAACGAGAGAGCAAATGAACCACTCTCTGCGTTTAGAATGATGAATGCTTCACACCATGGAGAAAGAAGGCTACAGCCCACCAAAAGAGTATTTGTGTCTATAAAATCTCGTATTCTGAACATCCAGGCAGGATGCATTTGTTGTGGTTGTTGATGATGATGATCGTAACGATGTTATTGTTGTCATGGAGTTTCGAAATATCTAGTTAGAAAAGAAACGGGCGAGAAGAAACCCAGCGCCGTTTCGATACATGTGAATATTCACTCAGTGTTTTGAACAGAAGAGCCTCCTGCGATCTTTCTACCTGGCTCTGCAGAGTTGTGTAAATGCATGTGGTCATGCCGGACTCTATGGGTAAAAATAATGGAATTGCCCTTCAAAATCTTCCTCTAAAAACCCAAGAAGCGCATAACCGTCGTCTCTTCATCATCTACAGTAGCACGTGGATTGAGATGAGGTCCTCCTCCTCTCCCGTTTCTGTCATTGCTCGTCGCCATACTGATATATTATGGTCGCTAAATGTTCCGGTCGTACAGACCTTGCACTGTCGCGCGGACAAAGACTTCGGCCGGGCGCCTCGAACTCCAAGTTCCTGCGCCGAGTAGGTGAGTAGGTAGGTAGGGGTGCATATCTGTATCAGTGCAAAGCGGGCGAGGACGGGCAATGGTAAAGTAAATGGCCATGGTTGAACCCGGCGCACGGGATACAGTCCGTTATCTTTCCCAAGAATCGCTGCCATTGGCGAAATATTTGGTGTACTTGGCTAGAAATCTCGATGCTGGCTACGGAGTGTTGTGTGGCTGCTGAATCGCAGCTGCTGAATCGGAGGAGGAACTCAGTTGCAAAGGCGTAAATGTCAGATGATCAGGTCCGTAAGCTCTGAAACATAAATTGCCGTATTTGCTTGACTGCATGAAGTCTCCAGAGGTCACATTTGCAGGGCAATCAAAGCGGTTAGACGGGTGAAGGAGCTGAAGCCATGGTCCCGATGCAGCTCTTAACGCCCGATGCCATCTTCACGTTCAGCCGCTAAATCTAAATCTTGTCGCCTCCAGCCTTCCAAGCCCTTCTCGTGGGGCCACGTTCCTCCGACGGTATGAATTGGTGAAGTCCTGCAATAGTATGCGAACTTTCCTCGGCTCGTTCTGCAGGAGCTTGTCACTGATGCCCTTCATGAGCTTATTGGCTTCGGCGGGCTTCAGCGTTCCCGCCGGTAGGAGCTGCAATGTTCCCTGGACCCATTGAGCTGCACTTTCTGGTGCCAGGTTAAATAAAGATAGTAATACACCCGAAGCATCGGGGAAGCAATCCTCGGGAAAGCTGAACATCATGCCTGTCAAAACTCGATGGACTAGCTGCTGACCAGTAGCGTTGAGCACCTCTTTCACCGCTGCCCGCACCTCCGGAGGCGTACCAGCTGTCGGTTCGCCATCAGGGCCGTTGAAATTTGAGATAGGCGGTTTGTCGAATCCAAAATCCAGGAAATCCCTTAGGAAATGTAGTGCCGCTTGGATAGGCTGCATCGACTGCAATGTCAGAGCCGTAAGAGAGGCCTGAACCATGGGAAGTGACAAATTTGAGGTGATAGTCTTGTTTGGATAGAATCTGACGGCGTCCGATGCAAGACGGAAGAAGTCCTCGATGACATCGGGCAATTCCACGGGTTGTAACTCGGTCAGGATTTTGAAGAAGACCGTTGCTTGTTGTGCGAAAAATCTGAAAACATTGTCACTGGTTGCCTCGTCGACAAACTCGGCGCCGTAAGAAAATTCTCGAATAACCGCATCAGTAGCCCATAAGAAGCACCCTTGTCGGGATGCCTCAAATCCTTCAGCAATGCTGCTAGCAAGTGCAGGGAGAAGAGGAGCCGTCGCAGTCCGGTAAGATATCACCATTACCCGCCAACATTTACATACCCGTTCCAAAATCGGTATTGATCGTGTGAAGTGCTTAGCAATGCCTGACAAAGCTGGCAAAATTTCTTGACAATATTTGACTGCCGGGTTGGGCTCATTGGGCGAGACATATGGCTGGACCCAGTCGAAGAAAATCGTCATAAGTCCTAGGTAGTCAGCAACTGTCTTCTCACCATTCTCATCCTGAGCCTGTTGTGCTAGTGAGACAACTCTGCTCATCACTGGGTCACAGAACATCTTCAGAGTCTCGTAGACCTTATTGACAGGTTGAACAGCCACCACTGCCGCGACTCCTTCGGTGACCTCTTCTTGACTTGATGGTTTGAGCTTGTCGATGACACTTTCATAAAAGTGGTGCAGCTGTGGGATATGGTCACCGAGCAATTTCTGGCAATCTGTACCGAGAAATCTGAAAGCAAGAGCTGCAGCTTGCACAACTTCGATTGAAGTGTGGTTGAATCCAGATATAACATAGTTCAACTGTGCCTCAAGCGTTTCTGGATGCTGTGATGTCCATTCTGTATAGCGAGCCAGGGCCATGATGGCCTGGAACTTCAATTTCTCATGGTCGGGCACAGTCGTCAGGAGTGGAATGACGTTAGGAAGGACAGTCTCTTCTTCGGGACTGACCATACGGCCCATGGCTCGAAGACTGAAAAGAGGTGCTTCTAGCTCTTGCCAATGAGGGACATTGGTTCCCGAAACCTGGGAGCCATATTGTTGACCCCATGCCTGTATCAAGGCGAATGCCTTGCCAAGACACTGCGTAACGCCGATCACCTCGCAACAATCTTTTAGGACGTCGCCCATGCTATGTCTGAAACCCCGGAATTTATCTTCTTGCTCTCGGTCTCCGTCGAAAAGGTCTTTCTCGTCACCGCCTTCTGGAGTCGGGAATTCGAGGTGCTTGATCATGACATCCACCAGCTTGGAATACAGGTCTGCAAGAGAAGCTCTAGCAGAGATGTACTTCTCGAGAGTCAAGCATTGTTTCAATTCGTACCAAAACACGAATGTGACGGAGATGGCTTCGCGATCTTTGTCGCGCATGCAGCACTCTAGGACGCACTCGACGAGGTCCCGGAACTCTGTTGGCATGCGTGCGATGAGGACAACCCACGCTTCTCCAGCCTCTGCAAAGATTCGTGTGACTCCCTTCATCAGATCGTTATCTTCGGTAGCAGCACTTTGCTGTATCATTGGCCGTAGCTGGATTACTCGCGGATAGAGAATCTTTATAACACTCAGTGACTCATCGACGTCCCTTGTATCTCTGAACATCGTGCACAGACAATCAACTGCTGCGTCAAAGGAGTCATTGTCGTTTATGGCGTCAATTATCTCATTTAGTAACGGGGAGTTTACCACATCGATCGTAGGGATTTCCCGCAGCCAGGAGGCGATACAAGAATACAGTCGCGGATTGTGCGCCGCCTGACCTGCGCAGAAGTTAGCAGCCTCGAAGCAGCCTCGAAGCATATACGCTCAATGTCCACGTACTTGATGACTGGGCGTAGGAAACCAAGAGATTCAAGACCTGGGCGGAGTTGTCCTCAAGGAGTTCCTTTGTTCTCTCGGCGAGTTCCTCTTCCTATATTGCAATGCTGGATTAGACTGTGATCGGAGGCCAGGATGATGTTGCTGCAAAGCCGAACAAATGTTGCTTGGTCGAACATACTGAAAGGTTGATTTTGCGGCCTTCTGTGACCTCTTCAGGTAGGATTCGCAAGAAGTCGAGTAGACAATCTCCGCCATCACTACTATTGCCCACCGCCGACCCCACCGTACTCAAAACGTCTTTCCACGTAGTCAGCTGGATTGCTAAACTCGCAAGACATATGCACAGCTGCGTCCGAATCGGTCTCGGTCCAGCGAGATAGTGTTGGAGGAGGGACAAGAGCGAGTCTCGAAGTGGAATAAGTGCCTCTGCGGGTAGCTGATGAAGATCGTAAATGATCTGGAACCGTTAGTGAATTGACCTTGTCCCGCTGTGCATCTATTACCTTGCCCTTCAGGGTTGTCGCAGCAAAAAGTCTGGCCTCTACAGGTATCGACGAATCCTGGAGGATTGCATGCGTGGTATTCCAGGCTTCCGACTAAAGCCCGCTTAGTATGTGTTTAGAGTGAATTTCTTCCTATACTCACCGATTTCTGGAACTTTTCGAGGAACTCATGTGCCTCTGTCTTTTCTTTTCCTGAAACATTGCTCTGCATAGTCGTCAAGGCGGATAGGACCGGAGCGAAACCACTCGCACTGGCTGACTTTGACGCCATTGTGACTGAGTGGGATGAGAGGGGTGCGGTAATGGCCGAGCAGTCTGCTAGAGGTGGCGGTCCGGGGAGATTATAGCATAAGTCGGCAGGACGGATTGAAGGAAAGACTTGACAAAGACACAGAAGGAGCGAGGAGAGTGGGAAAACAAAATAAATTGTGTGCGCAGGATAGAGGACTTGATGTGAAATGAATTGTTTGCTGTAGATGCAGATACAGATGACTTCAGTGGGCTCGATGTTGTCTTTGCTGTGCAGTAGCGCCAAAACTTTCCCACGCTGCCTTTGCACTGGTGTTCCTCCGCATTTCTGAAAAGTCCGCCGCATTCTGCCACTAAGTGAACAATCCGCGTTCTGCGACCTGAGACTTTCCTACCTGACCGAAAGCCTCCATACTGGCGACAACTCCTCAGTCTTCTTGAGTCTAGATCCCTCAACTCCTCCAAATCGCTAGCTACAATGACAGGTCGCGGCGGCGGCGGGCGCAAAACACTCCTTGCACCGATTCATTTCATTTTCAGTCTGCTACAAAAGCGCTCTACTGTCTCAATATGGCTCTATGAAAACTTGCGCACGCGCATCGAAGGAAAAATCCGAGTCAGTGGCCTTTTGATTGTTTGGGAAGTCTAGCTAATGAACGCGCAGGGCTTCGATGAGTTCATGAACCTTGTAGTTGACGATGCTGTCGAGGTACAATTGGCCACAAAAGATACCCCCGAGAAGAGGAGGCAGCTTGGTATGAGAAAGTTGACTATTGTTGAGATGCCTTGCTAAAGGTTGCCTAGGCCAAATTCTACTGAAAGGAGACAACGTCTCCCTTATACAATCACTGGACTGAGAAGAGGTCTTGTTTTGTGCCATGAAATCCTACGCCTTCCTGGACATTTAGAGTCTTGGGACCTTCAGGAGATATTACAGAGGGTTTGCAGCAGTGGGCAATTGTGGTTATGCCACCTTTATTTTCTCAGCTGTGATAACCTCGTCAACCAACCAGTCGCTTTGATCTACGGGGATTACCTCTTGCGCCGGCAGATTCTGCTGAGCAAGGGCAAGACCAACTAAGCATGGACCTCAGCTTGCAGTCGTTGATGACATGAGAGGATCTTACCAAGGTACGGCATTCGTTGTGCAGCTTGGCTTGAATCGAGCGCGGTCTTATACTTTTCGAGATAGCGGTCATAGAAACCTTTGCCATGGCCCAGACGTCGATGAGACAGATCGAAGGCCACACCCGGCACGAATATGAGATCAAGCACTGGAAACACTTTCTGATCGTGTTTGTTCGAGATTCCAAGTCCGCCTAAGGCATTCCTACGCAGACCCTCGGAGTCTCTTGAGAGAGACGGAATCCCCCAGTTGTCTGGCTTTAAATTCTCAAAATCATGCTTGTCTTGCAACTGCAGCATGTCCATGACCCTGGACTTTGGTTCTTTTCCTGGGTGCAGATACGGCACGAAAACAGCCTTGCCACAATCCAGTGAATGCAAGACGATATCTCGCGTGGAAATCTCTTTTCCGGGCATGGATAGAAATATCGCTACAGCTTTTGCATTGCGATAAGCTGGTGTCTGCAAAACATGATTGGTGACCGCAGTCGCTACATCCATTCAGCTCAGAGCACTGGAATCGAGGAAGAAGCCTACATTGTCGTTCTATCTCGTGTGGACTGAGCTTCTTGAGCTCATCCCCAATTCGCTTCCGGAGCGCAGCCTTCTGCTCATGCAGCGTGATCGTAGACATTGGCCGTTCTCGTAGACTCCATCCGGGTAGCCTGGCTCTCATGGATGCTCGCTTTTCTATTGCATTGCTAGACGAATGTGTGTGCTGGTAACGAGCCGCTCAGACAGAGATCTTTGTGTGAACCATCTCCAGGGACGAATCAGAAACGTCGCGTGCGTCGGACCCAGACCTTGAAAATCGGACCCTGTCTAAAAGTTACAATATTAGTTAGCGAGCCTGCGCCTCCACTTGCAGGTGCAGACGCCTCAGCCTCCGCGTCAACTTCTCCCTGTAGTCTTTGATCAGGGTGAGCAACAACTCCAGACTGCGTTTTCTGCCACTTCCTACCTCATCCTTCTCTTGTCACTCGTTCACTCCACAAATCAGAAATGCAACAATGATTCCATCGATTAAGACTGCCGTTCTCTTCTCCGTTGCTCTCGCCGCATCGCTGAGCAGCGCCCAGGGAGATGCTGCGCTTGTTGGAACCTGGTCGACGAAATCCAGGAAAGTCATTACTGGGCCGGTTTGTCTCATGGTCTCGAACGCATTGCTGAGTCTATATTGATCTTTCCGTATAGGGCTTTTACGATCCTGTAAACGACAAATTCATCGAACCTGACCTAGCGGGAATATCGTACTCCTTCACCAGCGATGGCTATTACGAATCGGCCTACTACCGCGCCATTTCAAATCGTACGTCTTGTGTAATATGAATACATCTCCGCTGCATTTTTCTGCTGGCTCGCGGCAATCTCAAATGGAGGAACTAAGCTGATGTTAACTACTTCGAAGCCACCACACCACACTGTCCTTCGGCCATCATGCAATGGCAACACGGAACCTACACACTTCCAGGCAACGGCAGTCTTGTGCTGACACCAATCGGAGTCGACGGCCGACAGCTTACGTCCTCACCCTGCTCCAGCGACACTGGAGTTTATGTTCGCTATGAACAGGCCGAATTGATGAAGAGCTACGAAGTCGTCACAGACGGTTTCCACAATGTGAAACGCCTGAATTTGTTCAAGTTTGACGGCTCTCCGATGCAACCGATGTATCTCGTCGCCACGCCGCCACAGATGCTACCTACGCAAACACTTAATCCGACCAGTGCAGCGAGCCCGACTGGCAAGCGTCGTGTAAAACGTACGGATGGTGGTGACGGCGATCATGAACAAGAACCACTCCAACCACTCAAACAAAATGCTTTCACCACAAGGTTAGCGAACAAAGATTCATTCAACCCTGATCATTGGTGGTGGGCCGGTGTTGGATTGACAGCGCTGGGCACTGTCATGTATATGATGCCCACATCGGTATAGGGGGGCGAAGAATCTCGCGGTGATTAGCATGCGAACAGCAGCTCAAAAATTTACCAAGACTCGGCGAGCGTTCTTGTGATTTATTTGGCAGGAGTCCTGTTTCAGTTATCTTGATGATGTTTAGCACGAGTGCCCCAGATGTCCAAGGGCCGACGAACAGCGGGCATTCGTCATGGTGTTAGGTTATCTCTGGGACGACATTGCACTGGGCGGAGTAATCGGTTACGAGATACCTTTTGGAATAGACGCTGATTTTAGGAGGGCATCATTAATGGCGCACTTGGTTCTACGAACACCTTATATCCAATAGCCATGCCAGTATTCATTCAGCATACAGTATCACCTCTATGTCCCACGGGTGCATCGCGTATATCATTCATGACAAAAACAGCTTTCCTCTGAAAGTTTGTCTCTTGCGTTCAAGTGTCAACTGAAGTAGATTAATTATTAATCCACTGCGGTTACCTCACATAGAAGGTTGGTCGCTCTCATCAAGGACATGGTCTCTTGACTGATGTTCTTCCAAGCCATGACCTGACGAAAGTCTTGAAAGGGTCCACTGTTTCCCAGTAATCCGTTCTGATCCTCGATCAAGCCTCTCCTGTGAATGGGTGAAAGTTCCTCGTCACCATGATTCCCCCTTTACGGTCCTGTAAAGTGGCTCATCCGTCACAGTGAACCTAAACACGGCTTCCAGTTTGCAGTTTCCCGATCTTGTCAAGCTCATGCCGCACGACCATTGACCTTCCTTATCTTCAGCTCGTCAATTGGCACGTCGAGATTCTTGAGAGTACGGATCTACAACCAGTGTCAGCAGCCAGAGTTCTCTCTTCACTAGCCCTCCCGAAGCAGTGGATTATGGGACATACATTGACAGCCCGATTATCGGCGAAGAAGTTCGGATCAGTCGACTTCCCTCCAACGCTGGTACCGCATCGCGAACAAAAATTGTGGGCAATGCGTTCTGGTCCAAAACTGTAGCTCGTCATGTCGTTTTTGCCGGAAATCCAGGTGATGTTTGTCTCCAAGGGGTACACCATTAAATAGCCATTCGTGTGGCATATTGAGCCTTGTGGATGGAACTTAGCCAAATTGGACTGCTCATCTCGTCACTACAAAACGTACAGTTGCAGCTAGTCACCGGTCCGTCTTCAATTGGAGGGGAATGCTTCATGGTAAATCTGGCCGACCATTAGTCGTCACCACTCCCGTAGTTAGGGATGTCCAATTTCTTACTGCACTCTACCACAGTGACATTGCCCATCATAGATCTTTGATCGTGGTTTGCCCGTTGTTGGGCTTATTGGAGTATCCGACATGGTGAGTATCGAAGGTGGTTGTGTTCAAAATAGCTCAGGGGCTATGCTATGCCTCAGGTAATGATACTGAAGCTCGACACTTGGTTATCGCGGGCGGTCTTCTTCAGAAGAATATATAGGCTTTGTAGACGACACGCTGTCCTGATGGCCTGTTGAGAACTAACCTTCTTATTAGGTATTCTGTGATTGCCGTCGCCAAATGTCTTGGAGGTCCAGTCTCCTATGTGTCGTCCCTGATGTGGTCGGTGCCTTGTAGACGAGGCGCGTTTAGCCAATAACGAGGAACCTGGGCCAAATTCTGTTCCCCAGCGAAAAGCACCCGAATACGCCGACCGACTCTCACGTGCTCCTGACTCACCTGCAAGCTTGCAGTACTCGAAGTGCGCCTGGAGTTTTGCTGAACCACAGAACGTCTGCCCCTGATTCGCCCTACCAAAGGCCAGGCAGCAGAATCCCCGGCTAAAGGAGAGGAGGGCGTTTGTCTCGACCGCTCATTAGTAATTACGAGGGCGCCGAAACCCCATGCATTAGCTCCATGTTGTTCCCCAACATGGGCCTGTTCAAGGGGCTGCCATCTACGAAGCAGTGAGCATTCTGAATAATGTGGTAGACGACCAAGATCCTACTGGCCAGCAGACCTGACTCATTGGAATCTCAGCCGTCCTCCCTAGTGAGCCTGAATAGGCAATGCTGTCAAGCCCCCCTGCGCGGCCTCTTTTTATCTCGACCTTTCAGGTTGTCATGCGTCTGCATGTCTGTGGAATCGGGACGACCACTGCTGCATAATGATGCAGCGGAGTGGCCTCCAATCAAGAGCGTCGACATGCAGAATTTGGAAGAGTAAGGTCTGGAGGTATGCGCATCTTGGAGGAAAAGACCAAGGTCGAGAGGAGGGTGAACTGGTGACGATGAGTTCCGATACCAGCCGTGTTGCGAAATGATCGTTTGATCAGAGCACTATAGCCTGAGATACCACTGACCATTGGTTCCAAGGATGACGACGCCTATCACGACTCGCCTACTGGCTCGATTAGGGGGAAAAGCACTTCGCTGAGCAATTCAATTGTGTGAATGAATCAACCCCAAAGCCGCGGTTAAGCGAAGCCTCGTGGCTCGTCAGGCCATCCGAGGAGTTCGACTCGAAAGGATCATGGCTGCTTCAGGGCATCACGTCGGATCCTGCCGATGTGTGGGTGACACGAAAGACGGGGCGTGGTTGTACAACGCGATGCATAATGATGCGATTAGTGAGGCGAGCGAATACGGGTCCAAACTCTGGAGATGGACCAAAAAGCGAGTCTGGTTGGTTCTTTTGAGACCATGGAAGATCAATCTGTCAATCACAACCTTGATACTCCGTTACAAGGGTAATGGAGGGTCAGAAAGCGTGGGGAAACGACGGGCAAGCAGACGTGTTTCGACCCTGGTATGGGCGAAACTGATTCCCTGCTTGGACTCTCTCCTTATTTGGGCAGACGCAGTTCATCGACACGGTGATGATGCTCTCAGAATGGAGACTCGTGACTTGCGATGACCACGACGATGCCCAAGCCGGTTTATTCGCGGTGAGATTCTGCTCTACCCAGGGCAGATGATCAGATCTCGGGTGCTCTGGGGAGCAAAGCAATTAGCAGATGCTATTGCTGATGGCTTTAGCAGATGTGATTGAGGACACTAGCCGGCATTAGAGGCCCTGATGGAGCAGGCGGCTGCCCTATCAGGCTTCATAGCAGACACACCTGTGCCCTGGCGAGTACCTGTTTGAGCAGGCTGAGCCAGGTGTTTTAGGCTACTTTAAGCAGCCCGTCTGGGTGCGCCCGTCTGCCCGTCCTCCGCCCATCAGCGGGAAAAAGGCCTGCACCTGCCTCCGACGGCACGCCGATGAACCAGGTGCTTTGACAGCTGAAGTTGGCGAACCGTAATCACCCCCTCCTTCCACCATGCTCGACTCCTCCAAAAAAAGGCCTCTTTTCTCAACTGCGCTGCTGCCTCGTACTTATCCTCCCACCGCAGCACATCCCGCGTTATTCGTGTCGAGTCGCCGTCGACAACTGCGATACCTAGTCACTTTCCGATAGATGCCCCACGGAACCCTGGAGGCTTTCCTGTGTCGCTCAATGCCAGGTTCACTTAGTCTCGACTGATCGCTCTGTCCTCTTCAGACCCCGTCGGCCTGACTGTAACCTCGTACCTCGTTTCGCCGCTCTCCGTCCAAAAAGAAAGAGAAGGGGTCCTCGTCATCTCTCCACTTCGATCTTCAGGAAAACGACGTGTCCTACCAGCATCAGACCGTGCGGGTCTTGTCACTGTAGGCCATGAGCAGCAACAAAAGCAATACGACCTCGACTCGTCTTGCAGGAGCCTTGCCGCTCGAAGTCACCTGAACCGTCAAAGTTCTGTACCACTGGGTACCTTGCATTAAGGAGACTCGTGGGAGTTCGCCATCCCACCGTTGTATTGTTCGCTCGAGGCCCTCCCGCACTTTCCTCCTGGTCTTCCGCAGCTACCCCGGAATCGCTGTCCAACTGTCGAACCGCTTCACTGGGCCCGGCATAGAGACTCAACTGCTTAAACGACATCGCATTGTCAAGAAGTGCATTTCGGCTTGTTCCTTACAGAAGCTCCCTCCTCCAGATCGCAGCTTGGTTCAGAACGGAGGCTACCAGCGGTGAGAGTCTGCGGTCGAATCACCGGTCGCTTCATCTCTTGCCTCGAAATACCGTGACGCTCACGACAAGTCGTTACAAATGAACTGAAAGCCCCATGACAGGTTGGGAAAGACGCTGCCAGGCTCCATCAAGCAAGCGCTGTAGGGCCTTTGGCAAGAGACTGTCCACGACATGGCCAGCACGGAGACCGACTACAAAAGAGAACAAGATATGGGTGCACAAAATGGCCCGTCAGAAGATGCACCCATTGCGCACGAGCGTGCTGGGCCTTCCCCCACAGGTCCGCCCAAGAAGAAGAGGAAGGTCGTGAAGCCAAACCCGGACAAGAAATTCGAATGCAAGCACGAAGGTTGTGGCAAGGCTTATTCGCGTGCAGAGCATCTCTACCGACATCAATTGAACCGTGAGCAGTTTCTACTATCGCAGGAAGGCTTTCAGTTTTAACATATCATAGATACCCCCAAAACTATCTATCGCTGCGACTTCCCTGACTGCACTCGGTATTTCGTTCGCCAGGACCTGTGCATTCGTCATCGCGAACGGCATACCACCCACGGGTCTCAACTGCACAAGCGAGACTCGTTCGCTCAGTCCGCTGCTGCTCCAGATAGTACAGTACTATCACCGCAGCAGCAACTCGCCCAGGCCCAAAGTCAGTCGATGCCCGCCCCTGCCCATAAGAGTCCTCGGCAGGAAGTAAGACCGGCTTCTGCATTCCTCTCTGGCGATTCCGGCACTTTTAAGCAACATACTCGAATGTCCAGCAGCACGGTTCCAATCTCCAATGCAACAGCCGACGCAACAATGCAGTCATCTACGCCCCAGGTCGGTATGACGAGAACCGAGGCCCCGTTGCATCGCACAAGCAGCACTGGCAGCAACCCTCTTAGTCCCACACAAAGGCAGGGGAGCGTGTCATGGTCTCTCCAGTCTCGTCGTCAGAGTTTCAGCCCAGGAGATGTTAGGACACAGAGTACCTATCCCCAAATGCAGTCCTCGCACAGAGCCTCCATTACTGCTCTCCCACAATCGCCTGTTGGGCAATATTCCTCTACATCTGCAACCAACTATCACCCTGTGAGGTCAAATTCCGATACTATTCTTGAACGACCGAATGGCTATGTGCAACAGGTGGAGATGCCCCAAGCTGTTGCTTATACTTCGGCGAGTTATCCTTCCGCCGAAGTCTCTCGATCTGCAGACGCTGCATTCGTGGCTGCGGTGTCTCATGGTCTAACAAGAGGTGACACCTATGCCTATCCACTCATGACGGGCGGCATGTCCAATGGAGACTTAGGTCCAGCCTATGGATTTCCTGTCTTTGGATCGGATGAATATACTCAGACCCCGTTTGCTGTGGACGACTTCACCCAATGGCTGTTCAATGACACGCATTCTGGTTCGAACGACTTTTCCCCACCCAATTATGTTCCAGGCTTTAGTGGACACGATCACTCAAACATGCAGGCAACATACTTCTCTCACAGCCCTTCTTCCAGCAACACATATCCCGGCGCTGCCCTGCAGCATCCGATGCGTGTAACAAGTGTACTTGACCAGACAGCTACCAGCCAATACATCATGTCAGAATCGAAACGACAGGAGCTCCTCGACATCATGCAGACTCAGTTTATCGAACGCCCGCATGATGCGGTCAAGAAGCGCAAAGACTCGGTATTCGAGGGTGATGTTGATAGTGACGGCCATATTCTCAGCTTGAGGATGATGCACACCTACATTGGTTCTTACTGGTACCATCAGCATGCACAGTTGCCAATCTTACACAAGCCTACCTTTTCTGCCGACCGGACACCTAATCTCCTGTTGCTTGCTGTCATCGCAATCGGCGCCGCAACCCTGGATAAGGCATATGGTACATCTCTAACTGACTCTGCGGCTGAGTTTGCCAACTTTGTCGCATGGCACATCCGTTGGGAGATTTTAAGAGATGCTGATTTCAGACCACCAGCAAAACTATGGGTGTTTCAAACCTTGCTCCTCATCGAAGTTTACGAGAAAATGTATGCGACGAGGGCGCTTCACGAAAGAGCTCATATTCACCATGACTCGACACTCACTTTGATGAGGCGTGGCAGTTCTCTCCTTGGTCGTTCTGCATCCGACTCGCCACCAAGCCTTCGCGGAGAGCAGGACAACGGCAAGACTTCAGTCCTATTCTCGTCAAGCGAATCATCTAAATCCGAAGAATCCTGGCATCGCTGGGTCACCACGGAGGCAACTCGCCGCGCCGCATTCGGTGCCTTTGTCATTGACTCAATTCATGCAACAATGTTTGGCCATGCTGCTAAAATGGTCGCCCACGAGATGCGACTTCCTCTGCCATGCGACGAAGGTCTCTGGTCAGCCATTTCAGCCGCTGAAGCCGGACGGGTGCAGTCATCATTGCAGACAAACGGTGTAAAGCCAATCATGTTTTTGGATGGTCTCAAAAAGACTCTCAACGGCCAAAGAGTGAGAACCAACTCTTTCGGCCGGACCATCATTATGGCTGGTCTTTTGTCAGTGTCGTGGCACATGACTCAAAGGGATCTCCAGATCTCGTCCTTGGGGCCTCGCACCGCTAATTCATTTGGAGGGCCTGACAAGTGGAAAGCAACTTTGTTGCGCGCTTTCGATAATTGGAAACGGGATTTTGACGAGGCACTAGCCGAGGCGGCACCTGCACCTCCTTCACCGCTTCGTACCTCTGCGACCCCCTTTCAGGGCTTACTGCCACCAGTCGATGACGAGAACATTTTTGAGTCGCGCACTGTTTTGCATCACCTTGCACACATCGCAGCTCATGTCGATGTTGTCGACTGTCAAGTATTTGCAGGAGCAAATCGTCTCCTTGGGAGGTCAATCACCCCTAAAGATTACAGTGTGATCCGCGAAAAGATCGAGCGGTGGGCAACAAAGGCTTCGGCGCGTGATGCAGCATTCTATGCTCTGAAGTTTATTGCCCAGGTGCTTATTCCACCAGATGAACCTATCGACGGAATCAATAGTCGGACGTATGGTCATGCAAGCCCCATCCTACCTCAAGCTTTCGAGCACAACCAATATATTGCTCGAGATGACTTCTTGTTGAACCGACCATGGGTTTTGTACATTTCTGCTCTAGTTGTCTGGTGCTATGGCTTTGCACTAGAAGGCCCAATCAAGCCGCAGCCAGCCGAGGAAGATTTCATGACCTATCGTCAGAAAGAGCATGACATGCGCGAGTACCTTGAAAGAGTCGGGGGTGTGCGTGCCCCCGACGATCTCGAGTTTGTCAAGGGCAAAAACCGTTGCTTGGGCCTTCTGATGATCTTAAAGGAATCCTTTGAAAGTACAAGGTGGGAACTTACTCATGAGGCTGCTGGACTATTGGGTAATGCATGCCTAAAACTGCGAGGTGTCGAGCCTCATGATATTGTTGGACCAGGAAACAGCGGATTCAACAACTCCGATCACCACAGCACAAGCTCAAACGGCTACACGAACGGTAACGGGTATCGTTCGGGACACTATCGCGAGGATCGAGATCACTTCACCGTTGCAAGTGCCGCAAAGGTTTAGGCTGCGTCTCTTGGACCAGCCTCAAGACATTCCTTGAGTGTACTTTCGCCAACGCTTTGGATCACTACGACACAAAGATGATCTCTTAGATAAGTCGGGAGTCTTCGGAAGAACCTGGGTCGTCAGTGCCGTTATACACAAACGATTGGAGGGCGGCGCACAACGCTTCTGTATCTCGCCCTGAAGGTTCACTGCTTCGAACGCGTTTAGAACTGCCAACTGGCCATAATGGGGAATACACATCTATCTCGATTCCCCGCAGAGCTTGAGGCTGTCGGGTTACGCGGACTACATCAACTGGAGCCGCCATGATCGAGCGCCACGAAATTGTCGCATACACCGGGACAGGGAGTGTCCCTTCTGGTGAGGAAGAGTTCCTGACGACGAAACGATTTGTTTTTTGATTCCTTTTGTCGTTCTGCTTATCGCGTGGTTGGCAACGCTTTGGTAACCCTTCAACAACTATTTGCACAGTCACCACTGGGATATGTCCTGAGTTGATTTTTTGACTTTTTTTGACTTTTGTTCGTTCCGAGTTTTAGCAGGCGGCCATCTGATACCCCTTTGATGTTTTGTTGGTTGTGGTTTGATTTTTGGGTCTGGAATTGCTGCGATTCATCCATGTGGCTTTTTCCTTGTATGTGAATCGAAAACTGCATGACTGGTTGGTCGATGTCGATCTTTATGGTTCCTACGGCGACGCAGGATGTCCTCCTGGCTATGGAAATGGTATATAGGGAGGTACGGAGGTAGGTAGGTATAGCATATGGCGCGATGAATGCTGGTTAGGTCGGTAGGTAATTAGGTATTGGGGGAACTTGTATGGATTCACAGCATGGACACATCACGCATGATCATAACACGGCACAGGCACAGGCACAGGCACAGGCACAGGCACAGGTACAGGCACAGCACACGGTACGAGTACGTGAATTATTTTGCTTACCGATCTGGATCTGGATCTGTGGTTTCTCACATATGTGGTATAGGCACGGAGTATACCTAGGTAGTTTGTTGTTTTCAAAGGGGGTGTATATTCCGTACACACAATTACAAGAACTAATCGCTCCACATCAATGCGTTCGACTTCGTGTAGTAGGTATGTCTAGAACGATGGGTCCTCACGTAGGAATGAATATACCTAGGTATACACGGTGTGGTTTCTCTGGTGTTGAGAAAGAAAATTGCATGAAGAAAATGAACACCACGGAGGTATCGTGCGAATAGACCGACCGCTACCCACCATACTTCGGTACTCGTCCCTACTAGTCGGACCGAGGTAGGTAGGAACCCAAGATAGGTATCTATCTACGTCGGGCGGGTAACTTGAAGGTTGATAGTGCATGTGGGCCAAGGACCAATGTGGAGGTGGGACAAAGTGGAGGGTACCCCCGACGGGGTATGTATGTATACCTAGATGAGGGAGATAGGTAGGTCGGTAGAAGGACAGGTAAGTACATGGAGCTACACGAGGTTATCCAATGTGGCTGTCGTCGGTTGTAGTGTGGTAGTAGTGGGTGGTGGGCATTACACACACATAAGGTACATAGATACGGCAGGTAGGAAGGTAAGTGGTGATTTGGATTCTTTTTCTCTCCAACCTGGTTCTCACTATGGTTTTTGTTCATTATATGTACAGGCTCCGAGGGGGGAGGGGAGGTTGATAGGTTGGTTGGTTGGTTGATGGGTCCGTCGACAGGACTTTTATATAACTTTTTCGAAACTTTGCATGTTCTCATTCGCGTGGAGATGGGGTGGTTGGTATGTAGACAGGTAGGTAGGACGTAGTATTACAGTACGGTATCGTTGGACCTCGAACAAACAAGATCGGCATTCTCCATCGCAAGGGGGATGGAATCGAGAGGTAGGGTACCTTACCTAGGTAAGGTACGGGCAGAAGGTGCCTTGGGTATTATTGATCCTTGGACAATCCAAAGATGAGTGCCCTTCCTGTATATCCAGCGGCCATGACGACGGACACGGGGCCGTTTTCCCCGTGGTACCTAGAAGAATGATGCTTCTCGCGCTGATGTTGTCCTTTTTGTGATTCTGGGGCGGAAAAGGTCGAAATCTCGTTTCAGTCATAACGTAAACTTGGTGAGGTGAGTTAATTTCGTTCAGTATTTGCTGTTCCTTCTCCCTGTGGTTTCTTACATCTTGTGTCGATTCCCCCGGTCAGAGCCCGTCGTAGTGTCGGTGATGATGATCTAGTTCTTGAGCAAGGGTGACTGGCCGTTTTCACACAATAACCTTGTCACCGTCCCTCCGCTCGACGAAGCGTTCGGCTCTACCGATCAGTTCCTCGTACACGGTCCAGGCCAGGGCGGAGCTGAGTGCCTTTCTCCCCATCCTCAAGGCTAAGCCGTCGAAGAAGCTCTTGACGCCGTCCTCTTTCAGCATGGTCCTCACGGCGTGCGCCATGTTGCGGTATTTGCCCGGCATGAGCTGCAACCTGGTCTTGACGGCGTCAAAGGGGTTTGTGAAGCTCGTCGCGAGGCCCGCTGCCAACACGCCACTGCTCGCATTGATGGTCGCGGAGGACGCGAAACTCGCATGTCGCCCTCTGCCGTCCGAAACATCCACCGCCGCCCCGCTGCCAGGCGAAGACGAAGATAGTAGCTTGTTCAACCTCGTCTTGCACGCTTCGTAAAAGACCACGTAGAGTCCCGCGTAGGGCGCATCGCGCACCGCCGTCGCCCCGAAGCCTGAGAAGAAGCCCTTGAGGCCCTCGGAGGCGTAGATGGAGCGCGAGGCCGAGGCGATGGATTTGTAGGCGTACAGATCCGACTCGTAGCGGACCTTGATCACGGTGACGGGCATGAGCACGAAGCCCGCAAATACCCTCGCGCTGGCCCCGGTGATGAGGTTTTGCGCGTTCGACAGCTTCGGGAGCACCGAGCTGCTTTTCCTCACGGGTATCGACGAAGTACTGTTTCCGCTGTGTCCATCATTTCCGGCCGCGGCGGGTGTGGCATTCGCTAGAACCTGCCGCAGCGAGCTCAGAGACGTAAAGTACAGCGCTGAGCCGAAGCCGGTACGCAGTGCCGAGGGGAGGGTGCCGCGCCAGAGAGCCGCGACGGGGTGAGGACCCGAGAGAATGGATTTGAGAACGGGCACGAGCGACGACGATCGGGACTGTTGAACGCGTGTCTTGAGGAGATCGGCCGGTTGGAGGAGGACGGCGCTCGAGACGCCAGAGGTCAGGCCCGCGAGGAAGTGGAAGTATGGGTGCGCCCTTTTGCCGCTGCTGCTGCTGTTGCTGCTGCTGCGGTTGCTCGAGGCTGCACTGGTCGTACCATGGGACATGGCTCTCCGCTGCAGCAGGACGGGTCCGTGAGTTTCACCTAAGGGAACTCAGGGCGTGCAACTCATTCCAGGTTGGAGACGATGAAGAATAAAGCCTCCGGCTGATTGTGCACCGTCTCCATACCCGACGGATGACAAGTCTGAAGGACTGGGTGAACAAAAACGAGACTAGAGGTAACGATTAGTTTGGTGGTGGAGGTGGTGTAGCAAGCAAGACTTTTATTAGAGACGGATGGAATTTTGTTCCTGTCCAGTAATGAAGTCATTGCTCAAAATACGGAGAAGTACGAAAGTTCGCTGAACGTGCCTACGGCAAAAGCCGGCGAAGGAGTTTCTGAGTCATTCAATAGCCATATATGTCTCAATATCACACACGCCCAACAGTGATTTCTGTGACCTTCTCACGGTCGAGTTTGGTTCGTCTATTCGCCCTCTTCCCATCTATTCATACCCGTCATCTGAGTGCGAGACGTCGTGGTGGCTCTGTTCCCAAGACGACTGGCTCCTTGCTTCACGCTGAGGATTCGCTTCTTTGCGCAAGTAACCAGCCGTGCATTCTTTTCACCATGACACATCCAGGGGCTGGTGGGTGATGTACCGACAGAAGCGATATCACGGCCGCAGTGCACCAATCTGCGGCCTCTAGAAACTTGTCGTCTCATATGCCCTCCGGCTTCATCTATCAAAGCCAGTGGTTGAAGGCCAGGAGTTCCACGGTTCTCTAGCACAGAGACAATCCTTCTCGTGCAGTTCATCTCTTCAAAGAGGCATTTCAGCTGGACTACTCGGCCAGACGGAGCTGACGAGCGAACGACGCAGCGTCACAGTTAACCCCAATCGATTCAACCGGCTCTCTTGCTCCTGGAAGGTGTGCCATAGCTATCGCCGAAAGATCGGAGGAATGCCGATGCTTTGTTCACTTTGTCTGGTTGTCCAGGGTACTGTCGGTCTTCTTGTGACGGCACCCGTTGTCCACCGTGTTGGTTGCGGCTATGCTTGAATTTGTCAATCATGACATAGATTGGAACTACGATGATACTCGCAATCGTAGTAAAGAGAAGATAGAAGATAGGTGCCACTATGAAATTTATCAACCTATTGAGTGGGTTCGTGGGAGGAAGAGGTTCGAACTTGGGTAGTTTTGGCCTTTCGTGACGCCTTGGTTCAGACATATTGTATTGGAGCCAAGTTGATGATTTACAATCACTGTTACTCTGCTCGGAAAGGAATGGAAAATTGGAAGATAGCCTGTCTGCAGCTGTGAATCGCCTGATACATCGAGAGAAACTGTAACCACAGCGAGTTCAAGGTCTAATATATCGAAAGGTGAACCTGTGACGTCGTCATAGAATCACTGTGACGGTGGCGACGCGTGTGCTGAGTCATCTGCTTCCTCTAACATATCATATCCCTCAGGCTTCAACTCAACACGATGAGGACTGTCAGGCGGTGGTTCACTCTCCGACGTCTCCTTCTCAACGATTGTTCGGTCTGCGCGGGCTCTGTACAGTAATCTGCGCAGATACATCGGCATGGCGCGTAGCACTCGCCGGTCCTCAGCAACGGTCCGGAACCCTTTGGTGGCCGAGCAAGGTCAGTAGAAGCGCGGCTTGTCCCAGTCGTTAGCAGTGTGATATCGATATCTCTCCTGGATTCAAAAATGCCGTCTAACAGTTCTAGAATCCGGCATCGTGTTTACGGGACGCTGAAAGCCTGCGACAGATCATTGGAGAAACACAACACCGTGAATTATGTCATCCAATCCACGCGTAATTTATGCAGAGCTGTCTTCCTCATAGCCTTCAGTCTTCATATCGTTGAGACCGAGATCTTCCATTTCCTCTTCTGTTCTCTCGTACTCCTCGCTTTTGATTTGGGGATCTTCCCCGGAGTCCACATTCTTCTGCACGAAAGAATTGGCAAGCGGGTCTTCCAAAGTGATAGAATAGGGAAACTCTGCTTTGATAGCCTTGTCCAGCTTGCTGAAGAAGGCGTCCCACCTCGATTTCGTCTCCGAAGACATGGAGTCACCCGGCGCCAGGCCCTCGTCTTCGACATCGAAGATTTGTCCGTGTAGCTGGTCCCTGACTTGCGTCAGGAGACCTTCGACCGTAGTAAACCGCCCGCCAAGCGTTCCTGGTTGCACCTCGAGACCCAGGTCGTGACTTTTGAGCACACAAGACTCTGACTTGAGGATATCCCGGGACATGTCTTCCACCGTCCGAATTTCCAACGTGATGCGTTTGCCCTTTTCCGGAATCGCACCACCTGTCTTTACATCGCTTGTTCGGTAGCCACAATGGTCGCAGACTGTGGCCATGATGATGACTTCTTTGAAATGTGGAATGTTGGTCTTTTTCATGTTGACTGTACATGGCTTGGAGCAAGCAGGGCACTCAGCATGCAATTCGTACACCTGGTCATCGACAATGTCAACGCCTTCCATACCACCCCCCGCAGAGTCTTCAACATCCTCATCAGCGAGTAAACCCAGTTGCGCATTCTGAGCATTTGTGCGGAGATAGTCGTGTCGGATGTACTTGGAGCCTTTGTCCTCTGGTGAGGGCTCGATAAACGAGTTTCCAGATATGTCGTCTAATGACACAGTGAACGGAAATGCCTTGCCCTCTAGCATGTTTCTAATCTTTTCAAGAATCGCTTCCAGTGCATGATACAAATCTGGGGACGCCTCTTTTCGGGCTGGTTGATCGTACTCTAGGTCTGTCTTTATTTTCGAGATTAGACCTTCAATGTTGGTGAATTGGCCGGGTGCAGGTGGCATCTCGAGATCGATGTCTTCAAGCCTGAATACGCCGTTGTCACTCCGAACAACCTGCCGCTGGAAATCGGCTTCTTTGTCCAACTTGAAGGTATATTTGGTGCCTTTTTCTTGAATCTGACCCGCACTCTTTACAGTGTTGTTTTTCCAGCCGCAATGATCGCAAGAGAAGGACTCCAACAGGATTTCTCTGAAGAAAGGAATTTTGATAGGGAGAATTCGAGTGACGCCCTAAGGAGTTTGTCAGTGGTCGTTAATTGAGAGAAGAATGTAACATACATTGTCGCGACAGTTCATGCATAGACTTTCAATTTCGTAGAGTCCGGTCTCATTCGGCTCGGCATGAACCACTTCTGGTGCTGAGGTCTCGGCCATGATGAGAACTCGTAATGTGTATTGGACTGCCAGTAATCTGACGAGAAGGGAGAAGAAAGAATCGCTTGATTGCCTTTCGCCTGAAGCAATGTGTAAACGGCTTCGGCGAGACCAGAAAAATTTCGCTGCGGGCAGAATGACGCAGAAGTTGAAAGACATGCGACCCGCCAAGGGGCCTAATCAGCTTATCGCGGGGGGTCGTACTTCGGCACTGCGGGCACTAATGCAACCTAGAATTTGGGCTGAGCAAACCTGTGAGCTGGTCCGTCGCCACCACAATGATCGCTGGAAGGATGGTCGATCGCGCCGAGTGTGGTCTGCTCTGGTGGATTAGGTTCATCGCTTCATCAAGTCCATGAGACTGAGACTGGGCGCGGGCTTGTTCTGTGCACTCTTGTTGAGAAGAGCCTGCAAACCTTCGTGATCTTTCCTGGCCTTTGCTCTTTTTTTGCTACTGCTTTTGGCTGGTTGTTCGACTACTGGTTCAACGGGGGCACTCTTCTCTGTAGACACCGTGGAGGCGACGGCAGCCGTCCCAGGAGTCTTGCTCTGCTTCTTTCTGGTGTCGACTTTGAACACTCCGACCTCCCTTGTCGTTCGATGGCAGACGAGGCATAAGTTAGAGACTATTTTGCTTCGGACAATGGCGGTCTTGGGTGAAGGCTTCTGAACACGCCTACCCGTCCGCGTAGTAATTGTGGTTTTTGTCGTCCATCCGGGGATGAACAAGTTTCCACATGCAGCGCAAGCATCGCGTGCCATATTTGGCGTCTTCGGAGGTGGTTGTGAATGTGCCAGCTCGATGCTTTGAGATTGCAGATGGCGCGAGGTTGATGGGCTGGACAAGAACAGCATGCGGCTTGACGCCTGGAGGAACTCTTCCCGCAGCGTTTGGCTGCCCATCTCTCTCAATGCTGCTCTCCTCTGCTGCTCCTAACACTTGGATGTTTGACCTGAGAAATCCGTGTCCCTTGATGTGATATGCGTTCGACCATGTCAAGGGGCTCAAAATTCTACAAATGTCCCTTAGTGGCGTTGAGTCTACACGCCAAGAACATGGCTGCCCACCACACCGGTGCCGAATGGTGACTGGTTACGGGGTAGTAAGCCCACAGTAAGCTAGCGGGAGAGAGAAGCGTTCGGCCCTGAGAGGACACTTAAGTGCGAGACAGTGTACCCGTTTCAGACTCCTATGGGTGTTCGGGTGCATGGGCCCGTGTAGGTGATACTGCAAAAGGCATGTCCTTGCTGCTGTAAGTGACTTCGGGCGTGGAAGAAGCAATCATTTCCTCCACGTTGAGGAGAAACCACGTGTAGTCACCGCAGTATTCGCACGAGCACTCCGTAGTCGCACTCGTAACTCGTAATCGCAGGCACGATCCAGGTGAAGGAAGAAAGTGGGCGGTGCCAGGATTACAGTACTACCCCTAGAACATGCGTCCTCCATCTTGTTCTCGATGGAGGCTGTATCGATCGTCGTTCAGGCTCAGACTGGCAGCTCACTAGGCCTTGTTAAATCTAGCCAAGTGGTATTTGCTCGGTCTCTCTTGGTCCTACTTGTCTTCCAGGACGAACGGGCACGAATAGCATCACGACCGAGGCCGGGACCTGCAGATCAACCAATTGGTGTCGGGTGCCAGCGCGTTGACTGGTGAGGAGGTCGGCCACCCCCAATAGTTATACCTAAGGTAGACAGTTAACTGGTTGTACCGCACTCTGGTGGGCGTAAGCGAGTAAGGAAGTGCGGGGCAAGGAAGGCGAGATCTGGGGTTTGGCTGTCTGCCGGTCGTTCGGGTTCGGAGGGGGATCGCTCCTGGTCTTTCTCTTCTCACGATCTGCCTGGCCTCAACAATATCCATCCACCCTTCTTCCTTTTCCATCTCATCTCAACGCCATCTCATCGCAGCGGATGAGGATATCGACATCCTAGACCGTCCTTCTTCATCATCATGGCGACTGTGACCTGTGCGCCCAAAACAATGTTGAATTCCAACGCCAAACCGCGCCGTCGCCAGAATCATTGCTGTGACCAGTGTCGTCGTGGCAAGAGAGCGTGCGACGCCACCGGACGCGACAGCAATGAGGTCTGCTCAAATTGCATCAGGACAGGCAAAGTCTGTACCTTCGAAAAGGTCCTTCGAACCGTCAAAGAAAAGTCGCATCGGCCAGGAGAAAAGAGTGCATCAGCTCCCTCTGTCTCGCAAGCTGACACGAGGAAAAGTGTTTCAGCAGCTCCCGACGCTTCACTAAGTGATACTTTCCAGAATTCAGTCCACACTCTCAGTTATCGATCAATTTCACCCCCTAGCCTCGATGCCGTTGATTTTTCAGGTTTCGATGCGCCGCCACAAGAACGCGCAAACTCACAGGACTCAACCGCCTTCCCTGATTTCAACGAGCTATGCCCCTCATTGACCTCCGAGGATTTCGAACTTATCACTCAAGATGACATGAATGGGTCGAGCGCCATTTTGGGATGGGACTCGTCTCATACTTACCACCAGCGAGATGTTGGTTCAGATAATCAAACAACGCCGAGCAGCATCTTTTCGTTTGGTGAAGACTTGTACAGTAACAGCTCCAGCACCAACTCGCGCAAGCGGAAAACACCTCCTCAAGGGCAGCGATCTCCAAAACTCAAGTCTCGAAATTACACAAACCCTTTCTCCGATGTCACGATTGCTACTCTCGCAGAGAGAACAAACAAGGCCATAATTTCCGAAAGCCTGACTCGTATCTACCAGGATACAATGGAGAATGCCATGTCTTGCTGGATCACCGAAAGAACCTGCCCATATATTTACGAAGGCCTGGAACTTTCCAAAACACGGACTCTCGAGTATTTGACCGGAGAAAGCTTCCTGAAATCTGGTAACCGAATGATTGCACGTATATGTCAACTGGACCGTCCGACCTCCACTTTGAGAGAGCGCCCTCTGACACCGCATGAGAACAATCTATCGTCGCGTGCCTTGAAGGCCACCATCATGGCATTCGCTAGCCAGTGGGCACAATCCGCAAGTGCTGTGAAACAGAGCACCGGACACACACCTCGATTTGAGGCATTGCACGATATAATTGACGGCCGCCCAAACAGTTCGTTAGATGGCCGAGACTCATCCAATTTCGATCGCTCATTGCAAGAATCGTTATGGTACGATGCCCGCAAGGCGCTGCATGAAGCTGCCGAGATCGACTCATTTCGGGTAATGTTCGCGCAGCTGATATTCTCTTTCATTCAAAAGCCTCTACCTCGACACCAGTACGCCATGATCATGAAGCACAAAGCGAAGAGAGGTCTTAAACGCGAGCCCTCAGTGATATCAAACGCAGATATAATGTCGATCAACTCCCAGGACAGCGGCATTAAGTCATCAGAAATTCGACCGGATCACGCAGTCTCTGATATATCCCGTGAGTCCCAAGAGCTTCAAGACCTGCTCGATCTTCAGGGACGTCCAGTGCATATTGAAGCTGCTTTGTTACGATTGTCGACGAAACGAGTTCACCTCGAAGGATCGAGCAGGAACCTCCGACAAGACCTGACGGACAAGATGGCCATAACAGATCGAAAGTCTTTCAACATGCTTTTCTGGGTCACGATGATGTGCGATACTATTATGGCTGTATTTTATAATCGGCCACCTGTAGTATCTGACGAAGACTCTCTCATTCTTCAAGTCGACCCTTCAACGGACCCACAATCTTCGATCACTTTGGGCGATCCTTCCACTGATAATGACATTGAGTCTTCGCCTTGGGGTACTTTGCTCATGAAGAAGGCTGAGTGCACTGTTCATACAACAAGGTCGGCTTGGCCATTTTCCGAGGAGCATGCACTAGCACTCCTGGCAGATGCTGCGCAGGTCAAAGTCCTGCTGTACCGCAAGATCAAGAGACTCAGCAACTGTATATTCAGACGCAATTCCACCAAGACTATCGAGGCGGCCATTGTCGATGCTCTCAATGTATACGAATATTGGAACAAAGCTTACGGCAATTTCATAATTGATTGCGTAAGGCATCATGATGAACTGCACCCTCGCGTCCAATCGTGGTATTCGGTCTTGATCGGCCACTGGCATCTCGGAGTTCTATGGCTCGCAGACTGTCTTGACGATGTTGATCAACACGAGAGAGGAGACCACCTTTACGGAGCCCTTCGAAAATCTTGTCGCCTCACCTTCGAGATGCGGAGAACCAGTGCATTCCAAATGGCCGATGTCTGCAGAGTTGCAAGACCTCGAAATGGCTCGTCCTTCCACCAGATCAGCGATTTCCACACGACAGTCAGCCAAGGCGCGCTTCTCACCGAGCCCTGGACGGAAATTTTGATTCGATGTTTTGCAAGGTCTGCGGACTGGTTCATGGTGTGGCTTTCCGAGCTGCAATCAAATTCCTTACCTTTGGCTTCGTTTGGTTTTGACACATTATATGAGAATTGCGCGCAGTGCATTGGAGGTCTTTTTGATATAGGTCGCAAGTCGGACATGTCGTACTTGGCAGCTCTGTCGCTTTCACATCGGCTCCAGAATGCATTTCCAAACGCCCCTAGGGTTGACGATTTACTTTCGACTTAAAGGATGGTTGGTGAACTGTGAGAGTTGGACAAGCACTCAGATCCTTAATATATAGTTTGGCAAGGGTGGAAAAAAATCTCATATATGCCATCTACTTGGTCCTCGTTGCATTGTTTTTGGGTAGATATGAGACCGTTTGCAGCTGATGAAGTTCACGGCTGTGGAATAAACTCGTTAGAGCAGCATGTTGATGTGCCAAGCCAACCGGCACGACTTCCCACCTGGGTGTGTAGTGTCGGTTAAGTTAAAGCATTTACGGAGCGTCTTCACATCCAATGTCAATCTTTTACTGGTAACTCACAACCTGCAATGTCATGAGCAATATGTCCTGAACTCGAATTCCAGTCGGAATATTGGAAGGATTTATTTCACTAATGCGATCGTACACATATTCAAATGACTGCCTGAACAAGAGTTCTCAGCCTCAGTTGACTCCGCTTTGATTTGGGCGAAGCCTTCACCAAGTATTCACTGGCCTCTTTGGGTGGCGACTGACGACACGATGGCGGAGACAGATGTCAGAGTCGCTATAGAGGGCTGCGTAAGTCTCCTGTATCTTCAGCAGAGGACAATTTCAGCTGACTGGCTGGCGAAACAGGGACACGGGACGCTTCATGCAATCTATGCTTCGATACAAGAAGCTTGCCGTGTGAAAGGGTGGGATGGTGTTGATTTACTCATCATAGGTGGAGACTTCCAAGTTTGTATGCCACCTTCTGGATCGAAATCAGTGGCTCATATCTTCTAGGCTGTCAGAAATCAGCATGATCTGAATGTCACCTCGATGCCTCAAAAATACCGCAAGATGGCCGACTTTCACGAGTATTATAGTGGAGCTAGAACCGCACCATACTTGACTATCTTCATTGGCGGCAATCACGAAGCAAGCAATCATCTGTTCGAGCTCTACTATGGAGGATGGGTGGCCCCCAACATTTACTATCTTGGAGCTGCCAATGTTATTCGCCTGGGTCCATTGCGTATTGCCGGCCTCACCGGAATTTGGAAAGGATACGACTACCGCAAGCCTCACTTCGAAAGACTTCCTTACAATCGAGAGGAGACTGGAAGCATATACCATGTGCGAGAAATTGACGTCAGAAAGCTGTTGGCTCTTCGATCCCAGGTCGATATAGGCCTATCGCATGACTGGCCCCAAGGCATTGAGATGCACGGTGATTACCAGTGGCTTTTCAGAAATAAGAAGGGCTTCGGTGAAGACTCGAGAAATGGCAGACTGGGCAGCGTTGCAGCCAGACAGTGCTTGGACCGGTTGCGACCACCACATTGGTTCTCGGCGCATCTTCACACTAAATTCGCGGCTATCCTCAATCATGAAGAAGACTCGATTAGCAGGGTGACAGACACTAACGGAAGTGCCCATCGAGGACCTCTCGCGCAGGATCGTACGCAGGTGTCCGCCTGGCAAGGCTTTCATGCTGCCGCCGAGACCGCTGCCGCCAAGGAGAAGGAAGATCTTCTGCAACAGATCGACAACCGAAAACTCTCAATGGAGAAGCACAGCGCTGCTAGTGCTCCTCAGTACACTTTTGAGGAGACGTTCAATGAAGTCGCCGAGGACGGCCTCGATCGCAAGATTATCTCGACTACACACCATCAACACAGCCCCGACCTTGATGAAACGAGCAGGCCAATCTTCAATCTTGACGGATGTGGATTTTCAAGGCCGACCAAGCGCCAAAGACTTGAAAACGCTTCCGACGAAGAGATTATGCATCCACAAGGCTCTACTTCTACAAGCATACAAACTCCAGGTGACCAAGATAGCAGAAGCAGAGACACCACAATGGGCAATTCGAGTACTGTCATCGGCAACCCTGACGCTATCGACATCGACATGAGCGACGATGATGAGTCCGTAGCTGGCGGCGTGAGGCTAAATCAGCAAGCATCCTTCACATCAAGCGCGAGACAGGATAACGATGCACTTCAAGCCCCTACTGACCCACCAACTACCGCTAAAGACCCACAACAAGCAGCCTCTTATGCAGTGGACGAGAAACCCGTGTCACCTTCGGCCCCTACAACTTCTGATAGTGTTCATACAATATCCACACAATCAGCGACAGTGGTGCCGTCAGAAAATGAGGTGTCGGAGGAGATGCGAGCTCAGCTTGCCGCGCTATCTAGCAACTTCACACAAGAAGAAAAGGTCGAAGTTTCTCCACGACTGCCATTCCCAGAAGACATCTTCAACAAAAAGACCGAGTTCCTTGCCTTGGGCAAATGTGAACCGTTCCAGGAATTTCTCCAGCTCATGGAGATCAAGTCCACGACCGCGCCTGGCGAAGCTATCACAAGACCCCTGAAATTGTCCTACGACCCGGAATGGCTCGCAATCCTGCGCGTTTTTGCTCCAGAGCTCCAGCTCGGCGTTAACCCAAGTGACAGGGTGCCTGTTCACCGTGGAGATACGTACTATCGTGACAGGATCGTCGAAGAAGCAAAGTGGATCCAAAAGCAGGTTGTCGACGCAGGCAAGTTGGAGGTCCCTGAGAACTTCAGTATTACCGCACCGGTCTACGACCCAGGTCTCGAAGTCGGGCCCAATGAAATGCCCCGCGAATTGACAAATCCTCAAACCAGTTCGTTCTGTCAGCTGATTGGCATTGAGAACAAATTCGACATAAGTGAAGAAGAGAGAGAGTTCAGAATGCAACAAGGTCCCAGGGCCGAGAGCGCACAATCCGTTGCGTATCACGGTCGAGGTCGCGGCGGCGGCGGGGGTCGCGGTCGTGGCGGCTCGCGCGGTGGCGGCGGCGCCGGTGGTCGGGGACGTGGTGGCTTCCGCGGCGGTAGAGGAAGAGGCCGGGGCGGTTGGTAAACGATGAACACAGGCAAGATTCAAGTTGTATGTACTTGTGAGCTTGTGATGGACGGGTCGGAGGTGTCCTCGCTGCTTGGTCGATACCAGGAGAGAGCGGGTGCCAGATCCCTGCGGCAACGCGGTGGTGAGATTCGCCGACGCTGGGTGAGGTTTGGTTCATCAGTGTAATTGTTTATTCGGAGAGTGATACCCCTTTTACGATTTAGAGAGAACAGAGGCTGCTGCTGCCCTGGAAAGATTACAGGCACTTAGAACAGTACCCTGCGGAATGCTGCCAACGGCAAATCACACAGGCTGTCAGATACCAGATGGACGAATCTGACCTGAATATCGTGATGCACAGGTAGTAGAGTGTACAGGAAATAGAGGAATCTCCAATTTAGGTTGAATTTGTCTCATTATCAATCGTGGCAGTCGTGAGTACCCCGGTACATAAGGTAGGTGTCGGGGCAATTCATTGTACAGCAAGCGCCTTCGCTCCTCCTGCTCCTCCTCCGGCGGGAACCCTGTCCAATCTATCTAGTTTTCTCAGCAATGCCTTTTTCCAAGCCGTATACTCTCTGGTCCGCTCTTCGCTGAGGAAGTCCACTGCGTCCTGCATCATCGTGTGCAGGCCGGGAAGAAGTACGCCTTTGGGATCTTCTTCCTCGTCGTCTTCAGCGGCTGCTGCAGATTTCCCTGGGCCTGGTCGCGGTCGCAGTCGACTGCTTCTGGACACCAGGACGTCCTCTTCGTCTTCAGCTTGAGCTTCAGCTTCAACGGTATCACCTTGGTCATCGTCCCTGTCCGCCGCAGATTTGGTCGGGTCAAAGGAAAACACGCCCTCGGGAACGCTGACCCACCAGTCCTGCTGGCCACAGTATCCTTCACGGTTGATGCGGCGGATCCAGGCTTCGACCCCTTCCGTGCCGGCGGCGTATTCGATCTCAGCCACCGCTCGCGAACACGTGGACTTGTACACACTCGTGGTCATTTTGCCGGTCTTCATGCGCGTCAGGGTCATGAGGTACAATGCTACCATCAGCCCAGTGGCATCTTGTTTGAACTCCCCATCCTCATCTTCCGGGGCGGTATCCGTGTCTTCGGGCCGTGGCCACATGCCTGTTCGACGGAGGATGACGCAGGTCCCTGTGTAGACGTGCGGAGCGAGTAGCGGTGTCGAGAACAGACGGCACAGTTTGCGGATCGAGGGCATCAGCCATGATGGCGCTTCCTTGTTTGAGGACCCGGGTTTGTTGGGTCTTGCTTTGATCTTGCCTATGAAGCCGGAGTTTGGATTGCGTCTTGTCTTGGACGGTGTGCTTGGTTCGGAGGACAGAGCAGGGCTGTCCTTGACTTGTCCATTTGCCGTCCTCTTTCTACCACCCGGTGTGGATTTCGGTGTTTGCGCCGAATCTTCGTCAAGTACTCGTTCGAGAAATGTGAGGAGTTTCTTGTAGACCGTTGGTTTGCACGGGGCACTGGAGCTTTTGGGTGCTGGGAGACGGCATTGCGCGCGGAGCCGTTTGCAGGCGATTTCGCTGCATGCGTACGCGCGGGCTATTTCTTCTTCGGGTTTGAGGTGCGAGGCGCGCTGGTGCGATTGAGCGAGGAGTGATTCGGCGAGGTGGGTTAGTTGAGGAGGGAGTTTACTTGCGTATGTAGGGAGGAGAGTGGCGAGTGATTGCGTAATGGCTGAAGGGGCCATTATTGACGGAGGATGAGGTGGTGATGATGATGATGAAGGTTATCGTCTCTGATACATGCCGCTTGTCGTGGTGGCATGATATTTACCCTAACGTGAGCGTGGGTGTTTGAGGAAGATGTAAATACGGAGAATATCTTCGTTGCTTCCTCCGCGACTCCGCTCTCCAACGCGTCTTAACCTGTCTAAATCTTTACCTCAACCACTACTCCAAAGATCAGGAATGACACATCTGAAAATGTGAGGTTTTCAAGGTCTACGCATCTATTTGCGATATTCATGAACCAGCAAGTCTATTTGTATCGACGTTACAGGATGAAGAGGAACGCCCAATATCTTCACCATGGAGCACTTGTGTCGAGTGAGACGATAGACCGTCTTGTCGCCCGTTCAGTATACGGCGTTCGAAGGTGAGTAAATGAGGGGATCAATCATGTCCTCGGTATGTCTGTGTCCATTCCCAGGCTCCCGTTACTGTCCTCGTTTCCATTCTGGGTGAGAAAAGGTGATTGAGGCGCATTGTCTACGCGCTCGTGTCGGTTGACACTAAGAACCCAGTGAATGGTTCTTTGTCCACGGCGCCATACGATAACAAGGACCCTCTGCAACTGCCTGCCTAACTGTATTGTTTGGACTGAAAGCTTTGTTGCTAGCCCTTTGTCTCCGAATCACTTGTCTGATAACTCAACCCAACACCGCCAGCTCCAGTGATGTTGCTATGTCCGTTGGACCAGCCATATATCTCTGTGTATAAGATGCTGTCTTCGAACACTTCTCGATGCCCTTGGAAGAGCACCATTGGTATTGTTAACATCTTACTATCCTAGATTACATACAGCTCTTCAAACCAACAAACTTCATCCATTATGATTTCTCACATGAGTACCGCAGGGGTATTTGCCCTTGTCTTTTGCGACATCTCACAGGCTATCGATCTAGTCGTGCCTACATATTCTATGGTCAGAAATTACACAGGCCCAAGCATCTATCAGAACTTTGACTTCTTCTCTGACCATGACCCTTCCAATAGTTTCGCCACATACGTCGATCTAACTGACGCAAACAGCTCTGGTTTAGCTGGATATCAGAGCTCCAAAGACGAGCCTGGCCCCGTTTACCTTGGTGTTGACCATCAAACTATCACACCAAACGGGCGACCAAGTGTACGACTCGAAGGACAGGACACATTTAACCATTCCCTCATCGTGGCAGACATCCATCATATGCCATGGGGTTGCGGCACATGGCCAGCTTTTTGGCTTCTTGGACAGGGTACCGACTGGCCCAAGGCCGGCGAGATAGATATAATTGAGGGTATAAATAACCAGAGTGTCAGCATCATGGCTCTCCACACAAAGAAAGGGGTTTTTGTCGGCAACTTGACTAGCGCGTATGCGGGCAACACACAGATGGCCGGGACCTTCACCAACCTGGACTGCAACCTTGACAGTGGTGGAACGACCGGCTGCGCAGCCAAGGCATCCTGGAAGAACTATGGTGCTGAATACAATGCCCAGGGTGGTGGCGTGGTGGTCACGGAAATCACGAGCGATGCAATCAGCATCTGGTCATTTCCTCGAGACAGAATACCACAAGATGTTCTATCGGGCAGACCAAACCCGCATCCGCTTTACAACGGCAGTCAATGGGGTCCTCCAGAAGCAAAATTCGTTCCAGCCTTCAACAGCTCGTTCGACGACCACTTTTTCAACCTCAAGCCGATCTTCAACACGGCTTTCTGTGGTCCATGGATCGACGGATTGTGGAACGCGAGCGAGTGTGCTTCTTTGGCCCCGACGTGCTCCGAATATGTGTCAAACAACCCAGCCGCTTTCTCCGATGCGTATTGGGCTATTGGAGGGATTCAGGTGTACGAACCCATTATGAATACCACCTCTGGTCCTCAAGCATTCAACTCCTCTACGTCACAGCCTAACTCGACTTATGACAGGAAGTGCCGTGGTCATTCAGAAGACTTCAAATCATACTGAACTGGTTCATATACATACACAGTTACTCTCGAGATAGCGAAAGCTTAGGCATCCGAGGGTGCTACGAAAAGTTACACGTACGATACCTGAATCTGATGTATGGCTTGTCGTCCGCATACTTCAGATGTCTACCTTCTTTCCATACGCTCGGAACCGGTATAGACATATTTTTTTAGGGTTAAATAGGGTTAGAGTCATCACAATGTAGATCCTACTTACCGAATTTTATCTCTATGCAGCGATTCTTTTCAAGCAAGGAAAGGTACTCAGTACTCGACCTGGCATACGTGATGTTGGAACACCGAGATACCGCACGTGATGGCGCGTAAAAAGCACTTTACGCGTAGCAGCCAGACCCTGCGTCACTCGCGTAGGGCGGCGTCACTTCGGACGTCGAACTGCAGGGTGAAGACCAACTTAAGCCGTTATCTGGGCAGATACAACTCCCTTGCCTTTCTGCTCATGTAGAATGCCTAAATTGCAGGCGGCGACTGTGTCGCGCCAGCCTGTCAATCGCAAGCGAAAGCGCAGGACCCAAGAAGACGAGTCGCATGCGACCCTGTCCGACACCACTGCGAACACCTCGAGCGCCACCAGACAGACCACGACTGCAGAGACAACAACAACGGTGCCTACAAAAACTCATGATGGCGGGCCCAAACCACGAAGGACGAAAGCTACTACCAAGCCATCCCTGCCTCGAAAGGGTTCCTCTTCTAATCTTGTCGAGTCAGACATACCCTGGCCTGAACACTTCAAGTATTTGAATCTGCTACACAAAGCCTTGAATGTTGTCTACACGTTCTGCTGTACTCGCAAACACTTTGCCACAACATGGGATAACATAAAATCTGCAGTGGAAGGACACATAAAACGACCGCTGAAAGAAGAAGATGTGGCGCAGGTCAAAGCCATAGTACCCCGGGCCATCAACTTCTCCTATGTTGACGAAGAACATTTGATGGTTACAATCATGGGCGAGGACGACGGCATCAGGGGCGGAAGAGCCGATCATTTCAGATCCTTGGCAGAAGACGAAAGGGGTTGTAACGAACAGCCAGGGACACCCAAAGAGTTACTCTTCTTCGAGTTTGTTGATGGAGACCTCAAGCGACAAGTAATCGATCCGAAGACAGGACAGCCGACTAGAGCGTCCCAAAAGTTACGGAACGAAGACCTGAAGATGCCGGTATTCAGCCAAAAGTCGATGTTGAAGCTGATCGAAAAGCGGAATCAGAAATTTACCTCTGCCGTAAATGCTTTCCTCAATCAATGCGCTGAAGACCACACCGATGCTGTGGAGAAAATCATGGAACTGAAGCAACAGTACATACCTGTGCCTTCGTCCAGTAGAACCAGTACCCCTGCCCCAGAGACGCACAGCTTGCCAAAGACCATCCCTAAGGACCGGAAATCCATCTCAGAGATCGTACAAGAGCTCACCGAACTCGAATGGTACACTCAACAGATTGTCCCAGATGGTCATCGCGTATTTGATCCGCAGCCCGCTATTTACGGAGACCTGAATTTTCAGTTGTCTCAGAATCTAGTCAATGCTCTTTACAACAACAAGGGTATAACTCAACTTTACTCGCATCAGGCTGAGGCTATCAACAACTTGCATGACGGACATCATGTCATTGTTTCTACCTCTACAAGCTCTGGCAAGTCCTTGATCTACCAAATTCCCATGCTCCATGAGCTCGAACGAGATCCGGAAAGCCGTGGGATGTATATATTCCCAACCAAGGCTCTCGCGCAAGATCAGCGAAGAAGCATGAAGGAGCTGCTGGGGTATATACCGGGCCTCGAACATACTATCGTAGAGACTTTTGATGGAGACACGCCAATGAATGCAAGAAACGCCATACGCGACCAAGGCCGAATTATCTTTACCAATCCAGATATGTTGCATATCACCATCCTACCACAAGAAAGCGGTTGGCGTACGTTCCTCCAGAACCTGAAATACGTCGTCGTGGATGAACTGCACGTTTACAATGGTCTGTTTGGGGCCCATGTGGCTTTCATTATGCGCCGATTACGAAGAATATGTGCCGCGGTGGGGAATCGAAAGGTCAAATTTATATCTTGTTCAGCTACTGTGGCGAACCCAGAAGAGCATATGAAGACTATTTTCGGTGTAGACAAGGTGAAGCTGACTGATTTTGACGGGTCTCCCTCCGGACGGAAAGAGTTCATCTGTTGGAACACGCCGTACAAGGACCCGGGTGATCCTTCGTCTGGTCGAGGGGACACATTTGCAGAGACAGCTCGATTAATCTGTCAACTTATCCTGCGAGGTGTTCGAACCATTGCGTTTTGCCGTGTACGCAAGCAGTGTGAGGTGCTCCTGGCAGCAGTGAAAGCTGAATTCACCAACCTCGAAAGGCCCGAATGTGCGGCCCTCGTCATGGGTTACCGTGGCGGTTATTCGGCTCAAGATCGTCGTCGGATCGAATCTGAAATGTTCGGTGGCAAGCTAATGGGCATAATCGCAACGACCGCCCTAGAACTCGGTGTCGACATCGGCTCCCTTGACGCAGTCGTCACAATGGGATTTCCTTACACCATTGCTAACCTGCGGCAACAGAGCGGTCGAGCCGGGCGACGTAACCGAGACTCCCTTTCTGTTCTTGTGGGAGATTGTTTCCCCGTCGACCAGTACTACATGCAGAACCCAGACGAGATCTTCACGAAGCCTAATTGTGAACTGCAGGTCGATCTGCAGAACGAGCTCGTAGTCGAAGGACACATGCAGTGTGCTGCGTACGAGATGCCAATCAAGCCAGATGAGGACGTCAAATTCCTTGGAAAAATGCTGCCGGAAATATGCACGGAGCGCCTCAGTTATGATCCCATGGGATTCTATCACTGTAACGAGCGGTTTCGACCGTTACCTTCGAAATGTGTGGCTATCCGCGATACCGAAGACGAACACTTCGCCGTCATCGACATCACGCATGGACGCAATATTGTGCTCGAGGAAGTCGAGGCCTCTCGCGCATTTTTCACTCTCTACGACGGCGGCATCTTTTTGCACCAGGGAAGGACCTACATGGTCAAAGAGTTCTCGCCTGAGAGGAAGATCGCCCGTGTCCAACTTGTCAAGGTAGACTGGACAACGCAGCAGCGAGACTATACGGACGTCGACCCCATCGAGACAGAGCAGGTCCGCCGCGTCAGCGAAAGGTCGCTGACAAAGGCGTTCTTCGGCAAAATAAAGGTCAAGGCCGTCGTGTTTGGGTTCTTCAAGGTCGATCAGAAGGGACGCATCCTCGACGCCGTTGCGGTGGATAACCCCCCTGTCGTCATCTTCTCGCGTGGCCTGTGGTTGGATATCCCGAAATACGCCCTGCAGATCCTCAAAGACAAACGGCTCAATCTCGCGGCTGGCATCCACGCAGCGGAACATGCGCTCATGAGCCTCATGCCGCAGTTCGTGGTGAGTATGCCTGGCGATGTGCGGACCGAATGCAAGAACGCGCTCAAGGAGTTTGCGAAGAAGGAAACGCAGCGGAAACGGCCGGCGCGCTTGACCTTCTACGACGCAAAGGGAGGCGCGGCCGGGTCGGGCATCGCCGCAAAGGCCTTTGAGTTTATCGATGTCCTGCTTGAGAGGGCCGTGCAGCGCGTGGCGGCCTGCCATTGTCTCGAAGGGTGTACCGAGTGTATTTGTGACGAGAGGTGTAAGGAGAAGAATATGATCATGAGCAAGGCAGGCGCCGAGGTTATCTTGAAGAGTCTCATTGGCGCAGAGATCGATATCGATGCTTTGCCCGAGGGCGAGGAGGAGAGGGTTCCTGCCGGCGTGGAGACGGTGGTGTTTGCGGACGAAGTCATGGGTCACAATGGCCGACGGGTACAGGAAAAGGGGTTCGTCAAGCGCGAAAAGGATGATGACGAGTATATTATCATCAAGGAGGAATCTGGGGATTAAGCTCACAGTACCAGTGTTGGCGTCAAGACTTGAAACTCCGATCCTTACGAATTTTACGAAGATCACGAGTGTGTAAATGTAAACTGGTCAGTCGATTCCTACGTGGGAAATCTTGATATTCCGGTTGTAGATAGGTATGTGGGTGAAAACCGTGTAGCGGAAGATAATCTTGACATTATTCGATCCGTCTCCAAAATTTGCAAACCTTGAGAGCGTCGAACACATACATACTCCTTCTCACCGATGTATACCGGGCATAGAAGCCCGAATTTGGCCGTTGATGATCTGTGATCTGCTGGCGGTTCGGTAGTGCTTCCGTCCAGGGACATAGTAATCGACGTCGTTAAGAATTTGTTGCTCTGTTGACATTCGGAAGACCAACATTGGCGCAAGAGCGAAACGTGTCGTGCTGAAAATCTAGGCAACTCCAGCCTTCAAGGTCTAAGCTGACGAGCTCCTGCGGACTGGCGCGAGACGATTGCTTGAAGGAATTGAGGCCATCGGAGAGCACCGGGCAGCTCTGGAAAGCACCTTGCCTCTGTAACGACAAGACTATCAACGGGATGTAAGACCCACTGCGAGAAAAGCCCCAGCAGATCTCCTTGAGCACAGCTGCGAGATAGCGCTCAGCCAGGGTGGAGACGAGTCTATCTTGTCGTATCTAACCATCGCGTGACGTTCTTGACATAAACGTCTGCTTCCTTCCTCATTTGCTCGACATTCATGGAGCCAGATCCATAGGCTCTCGAGATGGCAGCTTGGACCTCTTCATCCTCAAACACCCCTCGATCATCACCAAGGCCTTGCGATTCTTCCACGCTGACGACTCTCCGCCAGTAGTCGTCGTCGCTGGCCTTGAGCGTTGTGTTGCGCACGGTCGCGTTGCGGGCGATTGTGTAGGCGCGCAAATTTGTCTGGGAGAGCTGGAGTGACAGGTTGGCTTTCGTGACTGCCTCTTCCATTCTCCGCCGAGCCAGTTCTGGGTCCGCGGCCGACGGGGCACTGAAGAGGAGGAAACGTCCTGTCGCGCTGGCGTAGATGAGAAAAGCCACGACGGCGTCAAAGAGACACAAAGCCAGATAGCGCAGTGTCGACGCCACCCAGAATATGCCGCCTGGAGCGGGTATGCTTGGACTCACGACTGGCGAATACGTCGTTGTCACGGCGATGTCGACTGCGGCGAGTGCGAGCGCACATAGGAGTGCTTGCCCTCGCCACCGGCTGGACTCATAGCCGGACACGGTTTCCGAGGTTGCCAGTCCGAGGCAGAAGATGTGGAAGATGTGTGGTAGGAGAATGTTGATCGAGTAGTGGTAGAGGAGATACGAGAATGTGTCGTCAGCGTGGCAGAATGTGCAGTTCAACAGTGTCGAAGGTCCGAAGCGGAGATAGATCTGACGGAGTCTGAGTGGTTTCATTATAGTATTAGATTAGTTCCGGGTAGCTTCATCCTCCGTCTTGGAAGGGTGGATGGGGATCATCACGTACGCTGGAGAAGTGAATTTCGATCGAAGAGCTTCGTCCACGGGCGTTAGCGTCCCGTGCTCACGAAGCATGGCGAATCGTGAGAATAGCGCGTCCGTGGGCATGGCGAATCGCGATTGTGTTACGACGAAGATATTGTGGTCTTCGATGTTACCCCTTAGGGGCAGCGAAAGGTAGAAAAATATACATATCGACGCAAACAGGGCGTTGAGGCCGTAGCTGGTCTTTTGTGGTAATGGTCTTGGGGGAGGTCTCGTCCTGACGGCAGTCTTGACCACTCGGTAGTAGTTAATGGCCCGAGGCAGTATGAATGTGAATAAGAGAGGCCAGAAAGGCTTGACACTGGTGTTTCAGACGATGAGCATCTGCTGGTCTTTGTTTGTTGTCAAGGGTGAATGTGACGGGGAAACCCTACCTTTGGATCCAGCTCATGCTGAACAAAGCAGATAGGTATTTTCCACAACTCGAGATTTTCGCTACTGCCCCATTGGATCATGGGACAGGAACATCAAAGACGATTGTTATTAGTAGAAGTTGTCTTACGGGTGTCAAGCAGTTCTCTTTCCCAAAGTGCCAGCTAAAGGAGGAGACACGTTCGTTTCGGAGCGCAAGAACAAAACTCCGGTGAGAAGTATAGTATGCCAATCTAGCAGTGTATTCCGTAACAGAACAGAGCGATCCCTCATACGTAGGGCAGATGGCAGGCAATGCCGGGCCTTAGGGTCAATAACAGTATTCAACTCGTCAATATGCTTGTCAGCAACGGGGAAAAGAATGTGAACTGAACCTGGCAACATGCGACCATCGACTGCTTCGACTACCGCAAAGGAGGTCGCAGAACATCTAGCACATCTCACTTTGAGGAAATTTCGTCGCAAGAACAGTTAAAGACAGATCACACGAAAGATGAGAATGTAGGAATACTGGGCGTCTCATAAGCTCGAAACGAGAACATCTACGAGTGGTAGTCAATTTCAGTCCTGAGGTTTGGTGTTGGTGTATTGAAAATGCGCTTCCCCATGAACTCCCTGCTAACGCTCTACAAAATGGGAGTGAGCTGTATCAATGAAGATTGCTGCATTCCCGCATATTGGGACGATGGTGTTCTTCAAACGTTGCGTAAAACAGCTCATGGCTCATGTCATTTCTTCTTCGTGGAGGCGGTATCTGTTGTCTTTTTGGCTTCGGCTACACATGCGGTCAGTTTTCTGACAGATGACCAACTTGATATTCAAATGAGACCACCTTTTGCTTGTTTTTCTCGCATAATGGCAGCCTGCGCCTCTTTCGTCCGCTGGAACTCGGTGCCTGATTGCGTGTTCTTTTTTTTCTGTGTTGCACTACAAGTCAGCTATCTCGTTGCAGGATGAAGGAGATTTCTGCGAGATCCTCGTATCGCATCGTATCCCGGCATGGATCATGCATCCTACGCACCTGTCCTGCTTGGTCTTTCAAGTTCTTCTCACGGGCCTTGTCTCGCTGGTTGCCTCGAGTCATGGTTGCTCTCCTACAAGTATCGCGATCGGAAGGAAACTTCGGTATTCAAGGTACAGACAGCAGTGGGAGCTCGCGATGGCTAGCGGGGAGTACAAATAGCGCCGCACCGTATAAGTACCCGTGAGGTGAGACGAACGGGTCCGTTTGAGAGTCAGCCCTCTGCAAGGCTTCCACGAAGGTCTGAATAAATCCGAGATGAAAAGAAGTGCGTCCTGGTTGATTTGACGTACCGTAATTTCTACTGCGAGGTTTAGAACCTCCGGAGCAATTTCGGGTGGCCTTGGGGTCTGATTGTCCTTCGCATACCAGGGTAATCGAGACTGCAGGACAGCAATATCGGCCAGAAATAGAGCGGAGTCATTTCTTCATCTTATCATTTCCGTGACATATTCTATTGGATGCGACATTGTTGAATCTGCAGACGAAGTTCGGCGTCTAGAAGGGCCATGTGAACTGCTCTGAGGCGCGTTTCAGATTCATGGACTGCCCCAACACCATTTGATCACAGCCATTCATTTCTTTCAACTCCTCAAAGCCTGAGGAAACGATGCTCTGTACTCTGACTGACCGGTAGTGATCGATTTCAAAGGTGGCAAAATGCCATTGCGGTACCTTCTCTGAAACTTTCTCGCAGAGATTCTCAGACAACTTGGCCATGTCACCAATTATCACGTCTGGCTCGCGCGATGCCCGACGCATGTACTACAGCTTCATCATTCTTCGCGCGCTTAACACAATGTCATTCTTGTGTGAGTATGACGGCTCTGTCGAGGTCAGAGAATAGGTGAGAGAGTAACAGAGAAGATGTCCATCGCTGCTGCACCTTCAAAATACACAATCATTCCCCGTTCCTATCCATCTTCACTCCCCTATTCAGTTCTATTCATGTTGTTGCAGCCGCTCAATGCTTTTAATACTACTATTGTCCTCGTCAATCAGGCACCTTTGAACACGGCCATCTCTCCTTGTCAACTTCTATCCCACATGTGATCTACATCTCTCACTTTGACATACCCGATATTTAGTTCCTCAACAACCTGCAACTCAAAAGTCGACTTTTCATCCTCATTCCTTCCAATATCCCAAGATGCTGTTCTTTGGAAAATCTCTGCTCGGCGCTGGTTACGTCGTGCTCAACGTTATTCGAGCTATGAACATAATTGCCTTACTTAGTGCAATGGCTGCAAGCTCAGTCATGCTGGTCAAGACATTCATTGTGTCGAAGTTTTTCTTCTTCGACGCTTGCGAACACATCATTAGGATTGTGATGAGTGGTATGTCTCTGGCAGCCACGTCTTATACAGTATGCTGACATTGCTCTAGGTTTCCTGATCGTCACAGAACTTCCACTCTTCAAAGGCTACATTTCGCGGAATTGGCCTCTCTTCAGCCCCCGATCTAGCTTCATCATGCTAGGTATAGTCATGATATTCCTGGGCAACAGCATCTTGGGTAACCTCAACAAACAAGCGACGAGTCAAGAGAGTTTGGGCCTGCCATTCTGGCGACTTGTCATTGCTTCTGGCATCGTCGTGCTGGTCATGGGGCCGATCAACATTCTTGCGGTGAGCTATTACCACAAGCTTTGGATCTTTATTTTGCGGGAACACAAAACTAACTGGCCTACGCAGAGTTTTGTGTTTAGAGACAAGAAGGCACATCTCACTGCACGTCAAGTCCGATCTCATGGCGCAGTGGCCTCTCACAAAGCCGATGTCGAAGCCTCGACTCCCAAGCCACCCAACCGGCGCAGCCACTACCGGTCATTCTTCTTGGGCTCTAAACGTGATACTCTCCCACCTTACAACGTCCGCAAAGGTACCAAGCAGAATGACATGGTCGAAACCCCAAAGATGCACCTCGCTATCTCATCACCGTTCCAATCCCAGGACGCCACTGCCCAGAGTCCAGGTGGTGCGAGCTCAAAGTACAGCCAAAGTCCCAAGAGTGAACGCTACTTCACGAGCCCGGAGCTGAACAGACCCGACCTAGCACATCATCCTGCCATCACACACGGGCAAGCTCTCTAGGCGAGAGCTGCGAATGGTGATCTGGAGTTTCAGAGAGGTCCTTGGACGGCGTCAGGTTCAATGCGCGAATGCAAAAGCCAAAGAGGGTCTCTCCGGTCGTTCATGCTGGCGCGCTGAATATTTGATCAAAGTATGTAGAGTTGCAGCAGGACATCTATCTTTCTTTGCTCAGGATAGCACTGAGCGAATTGGGATGCCCTAGTTGGATAAGGGCAACGAGACGCTTGGATATCTGTCTCAATTGTCTTTCGGTCTCTTGGACTCCTGACGGTACAACGAACACGCAGCGATCATAGAGAGGAATGATACCAAATTAATTCTTGAGATATCTAGTACAGTTGACACTGGTTCTGCCACGAGTAAGCAAACTCTATGTTCGACCATGGGTACATGTACTCGATGTATCTTTGTATGGACGCGATTGGGATATGTGAAGAGTAGAGTCGAAGGGGGGGTGTAGGCACGGAACAACACAGACCCTGAAACCCTCAGATAAGAGAGTCCGGCCCGGCCTACCCACGGAGTGCAATACCAGTACCGAGTGCCCAAACATTTTTTTGGTACCCGACCCCCATTCCCCATTCCCTCATTCTCACTTTGCCGCCGCGGAAGGGAAAGTAAGCACTCGTACACCATACTGTGTGAGTAGAGGTCTGTATGTTCCTCCGTCACTGTTACCTACCGTACTCACGCACCTCCGTCCAGGAGTATTGTACGAGTAGGTCCTGACTAGTAGCCAGTAAGGCAGACAGACTTGTACCCGTACTGTCGCAGGAGCACCTGTCTACTCGTACTCGTACTGTTACCCGTACTCCGTACGAGTCATGCTCGCCTCGTTTTTCCCCCCTTCTCAATTCGCCACCACCTCCTCTCCCCGTCGTTTCGCCTTCCTCGTGATTCTCGCCACGCAGTTTTTGGCGGTTCCTCGTTGGAGTCTCTGTTCTGTACTCGTACAGCGACAACTCGCAAAGTGAGGGAAGGGAGGTTGGTCCCCCCCCCCCCCCCCCGGACCCCTCCAGTTAGGCTCACGTTCACACCACCTACCTCAGGTACCTAAGGTGTGTGTATGTGCCTACAAAAGTCAGGGGTCTTTGGCTTTGGCCCGTGCTTCTTCGATGAGTTCAAGTGTCAAGTCGGCTCGGCAAAGAACACCCAGTGTGTGTCCTGTCCCGACCACGTCCACCAAGGTAGTTGGTTAGCTAAGGGGCACCTCGCGTATTGAACCCCTCCTCCTCCCGGTATGCTCTGGCTGTCTGTCTGTACTCGTACCCCGTAGCCGCGAGCCTTTTGCTGTTCAGACAAGCCCTCCCTCCCCTCCCCCTCCCCCGAAGTTGCCGCCCGCCTCTGCCCGTCCGCGAGCTTAACTAACCATGACACCTCCCCCCCCATTCTTCTCCCTTCTCTGCCGCCCCCTCCATCCTGCTGCCGTTTTTGGGGTCCTCAACTGCCTAACGCGGCAGTCAACTCTTGTTTTTCATCAGACAACAAGGCGATAATCGCCACCCCGAGTGGACCCCTTGGACGCCCTTGCCGGCTAGTGATGCTAGCCTTGGGTTGTGAGCCGTGGTGGTGGGTTGTTCTGAGCAAGGCGAATCGAGAGGCTTTCCAACTCTCTGGTGGTACCGACTGTCACTGTACCGTACGTACAAGAGTAGGTACCTACCTGGTATCGTTGATGTGACGCCTCTGCCGGACGCCCCTGCACCTGCTGTACTCAAGGTACCTGAGATCTACCTGGACGCTACATGTCCCCAGGGTACGGAGTAAGTACCTTAGGTACAGAATTCACTAGGCAGAGATTGGCTTAAGATTGCTTTCTCGATAATCAGGGCGTACATACTGTAATACTTCTGGAATTTGAGATGCGTACTTCGTAGAAACTTCCAACCTGGCACAAACGACCCCAGACTCATGTATCTTCTAACCTTCCAAATTAAGTCACAATCATCACCACTGAAATGTAAACGTAAATCAAGACCCAACCGTCGAAAGAAAATCCATGTCGTAGCATTCGTTACAGGACTGAGTGAGGTGGTGGGCACCTTGACATTGCCATCGTGCATCGTCCTTGTGACTTCTGCCATCACTGTCCTGGCTTCCTCTCTCCTCGCGAAAGTCCCTCGTCTGATCCACTGCATTTCATCATCTCCATGTCTGGGTGACACACACCTAAGTAAACATCCAACTACTTCGCCGACTTCGACTGGGACTCTTGCTCTTCTCACGCACCACGTACATCTTATCACCCTTCTTGACATAGGAGTGGTCGTTCGGGGTCAGAGTCGTGATAGTCTTCGTCTCCTTGACGTAAGGGCCCGTGATTAGTTTTCGCTCCTTCAATCGACGGGTGTGCTCAAACAGTTCGTCTTGGAAAGTATTGTCGATGTACTTCTTGATGATGATGTATTCCGTGTCACGCTGAGGATACACACATTTCGTTAGCCATTGCTCATTTATGTGAATCCACCCAACCATGCCACACATAGAGGAAATGCTCGTTGGGCGACAGTCCCGGGTTTCAGCACCGCGTCTGACGGTGCAACCCTCAACAACCCACAAACGGCATATCGTACAAGTTTGTGGCACTCTCCCACTGCAACAAACAACCAAAACAAAAAAAGAATGGAAGGGTGGGAAGAACAACTCACCGAATCCCATTCCCAAGGCAAACCGTAATAGTCCAACGTATCCGGATGCAGGTACTTTCGATTGACCTTGATGTACGTCGGACGCTGGAGATCAATAGCGAGCGCCTTGTTGGCCTTTTCCTGCTTCTTCTTGTGCAAAATCTCCTCGATGTACTCGGGACTGTATCCTGTAGTGTCACAACACCAAAAAGAATTAGCCAACCATTCTCATGCAAATGTCTCAGATGATTTTCGTGAGGGGAGCAAATGCACGGAGCCATGTCACCGGCATCCGCACCAGCTTAATCGCACACGCCATCCATGCCCGTTCTGCTCCTGACCCTTATTCCACAGATGCGGAACAGTGCAACACCATGCAGAACTACCAGTAACTGCCATAGCCACAACCCCCGCCACCATCACGACGAGGATAATGATAATAGTAGTAGGGGGAGTTCAGCATACCAGCATTCATAAACTTTTCCTTCACCTTCCTCTCGAATTCTTCCTCCTCGGCCTTCTTCTTCTCCTTTTCCTTTCTTTGCTTCTCCTCTTCGTCCTTGAGAATCTTCTGCCTTAGCTCCTCGGCGGCCTTCTTCTTCCTCTCCTCCTCCAATTTAGCCTCCAACAAGATAGCTTCCCTCTCCTTCTCTCTCTGCCTCTTCTTGTCCTCTTCTTCACGTTGCCATCTCTTTCGTTCTTCCTCGCGAGCTTCCTTCTCCCTCTCTTTCTGCCGAATCTTGTCCTCCTCTTCACGTTGCCATCTCCTTCGCTCTTCCTCTCGATCTCTCTTTTGCCTGTCCTCGTCACGTCGTTCGCGTGCCAAATCCAGCTCCTTACGCAAGCTATAGGCTAAATCGTCCTCGTACACTTTGCTTTCTGGTCGTCGTCGATGTCGCGACCTGGACCGTGCGCTATAGTGATCCGAGCCCGAAGAACAGCTGTCGTGGCGGTGGCGGCTGCGGCTTCGGCTGTGCCCGCGATCGGAAGCAGCGATGTTGATGGTCATAGGAGCCTGCCCTCCTCCAGTACTGGCGGCACGAGGACGAGATCCACCGGGCACCACCAAATGATTATTGATCACCACCTCCTCTGGCTCTACGACCCGCTCCACCACTCGTGTAGTCCGTCGCCGTCCTCTGTACTCGCTCCCCGCATGGCTGCGCACTGGCATCAAGACATAGTCGTCCTCAGAGTCGGTATAATATGGCATCTTGAATTTGCGGCTCGGTACTGGCGTAAACGTAAGTTACCCCTCAGCTAGCCACGATCTCAGCCCTGTCGGGACTTGCTGATCGATCTGGCGGGTGGAGGTGGGGTCAAAACGCCCGGTCGGTATGGTGTGGTGCGGCGCAGCCACAGACACTGGAACGGAAAGGATGAATACCTGCTAGACGATGAATCCTTCGGTGCAAGTGAATCTGATGCTGAGAGTCGCAGTCCACGTCGAGGAGAGGAAAGAAAGTAGAGGGCCGAAGGGTAATTTCAGCTGATGGCGGGGACGCCTGTAGGTTTATCACCTTGTGCAGCAAGTCGGTCAGAAAACCAGCCACAAGACCACAAAACTGGGGGCCGTTCTGTTTGGGCAGCAGCAGGCACTTGCCTCTTAGCCCAACTCGTATTTGTAATTTTGCCAATGGAGATTGGACCCGAACAAAAGAACGTCTATTGGTGTTTGTGTAAATACGCAAGGAGTGTCCAGCGAAGAATCAACAGCTTGACAGGTCTTGCGCCCATATATAGCTGTCTCGGGAGCGTTTGATCGAGTGTGCACAGAGCGGCCGGTTTGTTTCGTTTGGCCATGCAAGGGAGGATTGTTCGGCCACAAGCCGACCCTATGGACGGCGTTTACAGTACCAAATAAGTTTTGTGGGCTTGGTAGGGGGGCCTGAATGTCCCGAACTATGTAGCCCACCGTGCAGCTCATCTACCTGCAAATCTTACCGCCAACCTAAGCATCGGCTGACCCAAGAGTGTCCATCCAGGCCGTCAGCGGTAGTGGTACAGGTGGTAAAACCAGCGATCTCCAGACGAAACATTTCACTTGGGGCCAAATCATGCCGAAACACAGGCCGCTATATGGTCCTTTCTTGGGCGGTAACCCCTGTTTGTCCCGACTTCTTCGAGCATGCATACTTGCACCGTCTCATACAATGTTGGGCTTGGACTGCTTCTTCCAGGCAATCCCTTTCCATCCTTTCCTGACCCACCATGTTTGGCTATTACACCGTATGTGGCGTGTACAGAGTCCGCAGTGTGGGAACCCAGGTGAGCAGAGTGAAGCACAGCACAAAGGCTTTGCTGTTGGCCATTGCAGATTTGCAGCGGTATTTTCTTCGGCGTATGGGTTGCTGACTCGCCAAGTCGGGTAACGCAATGTGTTTGCGTGTGTGTGACAACAGATTCATTTGCTCAGTTCCGGTGAGGACAGGTCCTTTGCGTAATAAGTAGGACGAGCGCGGAGCTACGGGCGAGCTCCAGATTGTAAGATCTTTTCAATGTGTTGGCGACTGTTTTTGTAGGTGGTCTCTTGATAGTGCAGCCTCTTTTCCAGATCCGAGATCTCTTTGTTCAATGTGGTTGATTCGGATTCGAGGCGTTGACTGAGGGTAGACATAGGCACGGCCACGAACCTATAAAACATGTCATTAGCATCGTGTTGAGAAGAAAGAAGACAGCTTTATACATCTTGCCAACTCCCTCGTAGGTCTTGGTGTCCTTGGACAGCGATCTCAATTCATTCGCTGTGAGGAGATTCAACCGTGAATCCCGTCGTTTGGCACTGAGTTCAGCCTGCGTTTGAGTGATTTTTTGCTGAGAGAGAACTGCCTGAGTTTCGACCTCCTGTAGTAGCTGTGACACCGTTAGCAGTCTCCGGGCCTACAAACAACAAGGTCGCACCTTTTGCAAAGCTGCGTTAGGAATAGCCATCTTGAGCACTCGGTGCGAAAAGAAGCTCGCAGTACCTGAGATTTGAATCTCTTGTTTGAAGTGGCTGAGGTCTGCGTGTGAAAAAGCGGGTTAGATGAACGGTACAAGTAGGTGCCGCGCAGAGTACAGGCAAGTTACCTAGGCTTGATAGGCTTGATTTGCGATAAGAGTGGTGGTGGCATGGACAATGTTCCGGGTGGGGGATGCTTGATGATGCCGGAAGCTACTGTAGTTAGTGAGACTCCTACAAACGTGGGAAGCATGAGGCTGATCATTGGGAGTCCCTCCAAGTCTTCTACAGTTTTCTATTATACAGTCTCGCTCTGCAAGCCCCTTCGGAAGCAAAATGGTCTGGCGCCTTCAGCAGAGAGATGAGACGCCCTCGCCCGCGTCGATGCATCTAGCTCCCTTGTTGCGGCTGACTGCCATTATCGATCGGGCAGCGTACGGAGTATTGTAGTACTGTTCGTCGCCCTGGCTCGTAAACGTCACCCTCGGATCAAAACGATCAGCCTCATGGCCCCCTAATGGCGCTAGGTATCTCGTATGCATGCATGTTTGAGTCGCAGTACGTCACACCCACCTCGACTCGGACTTTTTGCTTGTTGGACTCTGGTGTCGCGAAAGAGAATCACAGCAAGTCCTGCTCCACTGGTATTTAAATAAGTCCCTATTACTCGTACCTCCTGTCCGTCAGCAGAATATCCGCTCTGGATACTGTTTCCGCCTGCACACCCGCATCATCCGGAAGTCCTGAAAAGACCTTGTTCTTGCGCACCTCGAGTTTATTTTCGACATGCCAACCTTCTGAGCTTCACAACCCCCAACTGACCTCAACGCACACCGGCTGCCAGGATGCCCTCATGGCTGCCATCAATTCCTTACCCTCCCCCGGACCAGCCGGGTTATTGGCATCCGGTCACCTCGACTCTACAATGGTGTGAAGAGGTACAATGGTGTCCCAACGCGCGCGAAACCCGAGACTGACTGGCTTTATCATAGGACTACTATGCGACATACTATTCCGCCGAGATCATCAACACCTTGACGAATCTTATGTTCATCTACCTTGCATACAAAGGCGTCAAGAGTTGTAGGAAGCAAGGCCATGACACTGTGTTCGAGGTCGCATACTTTGGCTACTTCCTTGTCGGTTTTGGTAGCTTTATGTTCCACACAACCTTGAAATGTACCCAGACCACCAACGATCAGACACGAGACGACGAGACTGACTGAGATACTTAGACCCATGGCAACTAGTCGACGAATTGAACATGATTTACACGACTTGCCTGATGGCCTATGCGAGTTTGTCGTATTCCCGCCCAGCAAACCACCAACTTGCCCTGGGCATCTTTCTCCTCATCTTTTGCGCCGCGATTACTTTGTACTACCACTACCTGCAAGACCCGGTCTTCCATCAAACGGTCTATGCCTTCCTCACCTTGTTCATCGTTTTGCGAAGCTGTTACAGCATGGAGTTCAGTCTGCGACCATCTCTGCGGCAGAGTGAGGAGAAACATCGTTTAGAAAGAGCAAGGAAGGGTCTGCCGGTGATGACAAAAGAAGAACAAGAGTACGAGAATAAGCGAGATATGGAGATTCTCCGAACCATGTGGTTCTTCGTTGTCTTCGGCGTCTCCATTTTCTTGGGCGGATTTGGCATCTGGAACCTGGACAACCAGTACTGTTCGACTCTACGTGAATGGCGTCGAGAACTAGGTATGCCCTGGGGTTTCTTCCTCGAAGGTCACGGCTGGTGGCACCTGATGACCGGGATCGGCGCATATTTTTACATTCTCTGGGCCATCCATCTGCGACACGTCCTCAATGGCGACCAAGAACATTTCCGCCTGGTCTGGGATAGATTCTATCAGCTGCCAGAAGTCGTCAGAATCTCGGATCCTCCCAAGAAGGAAGATGCAAATGGAGCCGTCAATGGCAGTCTGGCGAACGGTCATGCAAAGGGAGACGCCAAGAAAACGAAATGATTCCACTCATCGCATTACACCGAGGAATCTCGTTGGGCTGTATGACCGGCGAAATGGCATGCGTGTGAGTTTAGCAATTGATGAGCATTAGATATCATGATACCCTCCGATATTTGAGCGCGGCCTGAATGATTGATGCCTTTTCTTATCTTGCTCGGATGGCGATACTGCGTACCATGTCCTAGCATCTGGAACTTTTGCTCAAGTGGTTTGCAGGTTGGGCATATCCTTGGAAACCAGCTGTTTCGTGGTTTGAAGTGGGAGTCTCCGCCGGTTTCCGTGGCTCCCTTCCGTGACTAGAACCTCAAGTAAGCTTGTCTAGTCGATATCAATAGTCGTGGTCTGGATGAACATTAGAAGAGGCGAGGGCTTCCAGTCTCCAAACTTTCTGTCTTTTTCTAAACGAATGGATTTTTGGATGATGAGGCTGTTGAGAACCCTGATGAGTGGTGAAGGGGGCGCGGGATGTGTTTAGTTCAAGCCGTCAGTATTTCTCTACAGTTGACTTTGACAGCGTGGGTTGTCGAGATAGGACAGTAGCGTTTATTCACAAGAGAACGTCCCTCCAGTTCGACCATGGATTGCCAGAAAGGAGGCGTGATGTCGATCTGGTTACCATGTAATATCCCTAAAGGCAGCAACACCATTTTTGCGTCTCCATCCATGATGTAGAAGAAATTAATGGCGTCGATGATTGGCCTGTTGCCAACGACACTGATTCGACATTGCCCGCTTCTGTGAGTACCGGCCTGATACAGGTGGTAAATATTTACCTCATGGTGTTGCACTACCTCCGTACCGTATAGTACCATGGATCAATCAAGAGCGCGAAACTAAGTCCACTGCCTCTGTGCAAAGCACGCCGAAGTCTTGCCTTGTCTGATCCCCAGCCGACCACCTACTCGCCATCGCGTGTCTCCCGACCATGACAGGGTAATGTACCAGGACCGCGAACCGCCGACCTATACATATCTCGACTCAATGCTCAACCAAAGACGAAGATGGAAGACACATCACCTCCCTTGTCACCATCGCTCCAACCCACGCACCCCAGTCTTCTGTCCACGCACAGAGGACTGATCGAAACCATCGCATCCTTCCTGACCGTCGCGACGCACCACATCATCTTCCTCCGCCGCATCTACCCGCCCATCAGCTTCCTCTCGGTGCGAGCATACAACTACGCTGTGCGCCAGAACCGGCACCCTGCCGTGTGCGCGTGGATCAACGACGCCATCTCCGCCGTCCAGGACCAACTCGAAAGAAACACCGTCGAGAAGGTTTCACTCTGCATCTACGAGTGCCGGAGCAACCGCGTCCTCGAGAAATGGACCTTCGATCTCCACTCGCTGCCCTCGATCTCCCGGATCGATCGCGACATCCCATTTGACGCAGCCGAGCCGCCGCCGGAAACGGCAGAAGACCAGCTTCTTCTCACCCACGCCCTCAACGTCGCCGACCTGGAAGCCAACTTCCGGGCGACGCTTTCGCGAATCAGCACGGCCGCAGGGAGACTCGGACCACTCCCCGACGGACCCAACGCTCCAGGTTGCAGCTTCACGCTCGCCATCGAGGTCAAGGACGACGCCGATAGACCCGTGGGGACCGTCGAACCCGAGGAGCGGAGATGGATGGCCGCCGACCCCCCGCCACCACACCCTTTGACCCCCACGACCACAGACAACACGGCCATCCCCGCCCCGGAATCTGCCTCGCAGGCCCAGACGCACTCGGTCCGCCGCGTCGAGACGGGCGAGTTGCGCATGGAAGTGTGGGTTGAAGAATCCGCTGCGAAATTCGACTACAGCCTACCGCCGCAGCCCGGTGCTGCCGCCGAGAGACGGGCGGCGAAAATGTCCTACGGCGCCGGCAAGGACAAGTTCAACCCGCAAGCGGCAGGTCATGCGTCCGAATACGATCTGGAAGCGCCAGACGTGAACCGCAAGCCCCAAGGAGGTGCGATGACGGATTACCAACGAGATCGATGATGACGACGACACCGCCCGATAATGAGGTTCACGGTCACAGCCGCACATCACAGTCGCTGTGAGCCCATAGACGAACCGAACCAGCAATGTGACACGAAATGATATGACTTGACAATGTGCCCTCTGGTGCCATAAGGAGCCGTCTGAAAAGAGGAAAGGAGCCGAAACCGGCACAGCACAGCACAGCACGAGATAGTCACGCAGAAAAACACTCTTTGGGTCGGCCCCCCATGATGACCACCCGAATTACACCTTCACATTGCCAAAAGTTGAGATCAAATCTCTGACCATATGCGGCGCAGCACACGTACACGGTAACTGCATACTTCTTGCCAGATAGTCGCTATCGCATAGTTACCTTTCATCCTCTATCACACATCGAGCCTTAACACATGCTTCAAAGGAAGCATCACTACAGATATTGCCCTGGTTACCCTGTTCTTGTCCAGAGAACCTGGCAGGGACCTACACAGACTCGTCAACAACATTTTGTGTATTTGATTCGAATAAACTAAAACCCATTGCATTCTATCTGAGCTCACAGGCTGTCAATTTCTGGCACTCAGTTTGGTTCTCTCATGTCATGACCCTGTTAAAGTAGAGACGGCCCCGTTCGTCATTATCACTGTGACATACCACTTATTCCCATGCTGGATCCCTGAAGACGGCGTGAGTCACATTGATCCATTTCTCATGCACTTCCAGAATGTCTGTTTCATTCCTTGTTGTGCCAGCCTTTGTCATGAGGCTCTAGCCCATCGAACATGAAGGCCTGGGGAAAAACCAAACCACAAAGCAACAAATACAAGATTGGACCACCGATGAAGGAGAATAAAAACTCTTGTTGTTTCAATACAGGTCTGGTGTCCGCGACCATGTTTCCGCAAAAATCATCCTTAACACCTGAACACCGACGTAAAGCTGTCTCTAATTCAAGCGATGCATGTGTGGCGTATCAAGCTGTCATGATCAACAGCGCTTATCTCAGGGACGACGTCGACCAGGAATCATATGCGGCGGATTCTCTGGCTGGCCAACATTTGGTTGACGAGGATGGTTTAGTCTGGCTCTGCGATCCGCATGACACTGCGCTGGCTGCAATTGACGCTCGCCCCCGAGCTGGCCTTGCGCTAGGGGATACTGTACTGGAAGTCCTGGCGCTGCTCCCAGCATTGGAAGCCTTGGAAGGTTCGGTAGATTAGCTGCACCTCGGAAGTGGCCATTTCTGTCACGGCCCAGTGCCGCAGGAGCCGCCGGAGGGTTGACAGGCCAACCCATTGGAGGCGCTGCTGCATTGGGTGCTGCTCCCAAGTTCTGGTCAGCGCGTACAGCTGCCATCTCAATCGCATCCGCAAAGATATTCGCACCGATTTGTCGATCGAGTCGTACTTCTAAGTTCGCGTGCAAGTCGCGCACTCCATCTCTATTGAATTGCCCGGCCTCTGGTTCCTGAAGCAGTGCTTGAATAAAAGCCTCTTCCTCAGGGTCAGGCATCATTTCCTGCATGAGAGCAATACGCTGCTGTAGTACTTGAATGCGGTGCTGTTCATGACCGATGCGTCCAGCTCGCTCCAACATACCCTGGTAGAAAAGGTCCGCAGCCGGATGCTCATCTAATTTGAGCGCTCGCGATTTTCCCGACTCAATTCGAAGCTGACTTTCGTCGACGTCGACATTAGTCTTCTTGAGCGTTTCGATTGCTTTAAGCTCCGCAATCATAGCCTCTTCTTCGTGTCGATTGTCGGCCCCTGCTTCGTCATAGAGCGGGCATTTGGCCCCTGGTTTGTTGAAGTGCCAGTACGCGTTGTTGCCGAGGTGCGAGATGTCTTCCTTGCAAACGTAGCACATTTTAGATTGACACTTGACACACTGCATTTTGTTGCAGCCAAAGTCTTTAATGATTTTGACTCCGCACTTCTTGTTGGGACAGGTCCGCATGATTGCCTCCGACCGAGCCTCCTCGATGTTATGACGCCCACTGAGCAAGCCATCTTGCTTGTTTTCTTTACAGGACTTTGGCAAGTGGTTATCCTGGTTGCATCTTCGGCATGTTGCGCGCTTGCAATCGGGGTTGAGACAAACAAAGACAGGATCGTGTTCCACAGTGTCACAGATAGCTTGATAATCACACCATCTGCATTTTTCAAGACCGTCAATACCGGCAGCCATAACTTCGGCTTGTTGTCTGTTCATCTCCAGTCGGTCAAAGGTCACTATGGGCACGGCCTTGCCAACATGCTCGTTGGAGAGATCAGCAGTGCAACCACCGCCGTCCATACACTTCATCTCATGCCTCATCATGCCGACCTGGTTATTCGCCAGGCTCTCAACACAAGCGTAGCAAAAGTAATGCTGCTGATCTGCCATGCAAGGTACAATTCGGTTGAGTGGTGTCTCGGCATCAAAGCAACACTGACATTCGGCCAATGCACCCGTCTCAATGTGTGAAAGAAGATTCGCAAGCTCGGCTACCTCCTTTGCCTTTCTCGCGGCGTCCTGGATGGCTTCCCGAGCCACATGTTGTTTAGCAGCTTGCAGCTCATTGACTCGGTGGTAATACTGGTAGGGTATGCGCCGATCGTTGGGGGTGAGCAGATATTTTTTCTCGACTTCTCTCCGAGGGTTTCTCAACCGATGATAAGGACGTGCTGACGAAGAGTAGAATTGCTCCTCCTGCTCATAAAGGTGTACGTATGCGTTGAATATTGATTTTTTCTCCTCCACGATCTTGTGGATGTGATGCGTCGGCACATGATCGAATGTCTTTGCCAGCAAGATGACCGCATCCTTGAGATACATAGCATCTTTTTCAAGGTCGCGATCCCAAGAGATTGTGACACCAGTACCGTCAGGAGGGGCACGGTCCCGGCCGCTAGAAGTAGTAGTGTCTTCTCTCGGATACGTATCCATCTCCAAAACTTCGTCGATGACAGTCTGGGCAACCTGTGTGGGTTCCGGTCTGACAACAGCACCATCAACGTTGGTGAGCGCAGCCTCTCCCGTAGCTTCGATTTTCTTTGTGATGAAAGCGACCTCAATATCTGGGAATACCTCTCTGACACTTTCGAGACAGCGTTCTAGAAGCTCTTTAGAAGGGTCTTCGTGATGATCCACCTGATCGAGAAATGCAGATTCATATTTCCAGTTGGGGTCCTTGCCGACGGAATTGAGTTCTTGTCGCAGTCTCTCCGCCTGGCGTTCCAATTTCTTCTTTTCTTCTGCATCCCACTTGTTGCATATCTCTTGATGGCCTTTTACTGTGCCCAGGACAACAGGAAACTTTTCGTAGCCCGGTCCGTTGTACATTTTTACCTCAAAGCAACCATCCACAAAGTATGGCGGACGCCGCTCTGCTTCCACCTGTAGTAATCGTGAGTTCGGTGTGACGATGCTGCTTAATGAAGCTTGACCACTCTCCAACGCTGCTGCTTGTTGATAAGTCGGCTCAGCCGGGGCCACACCTGGCTGGATTGGATACGGCTCGGCTAGATGATCATGCGCACGGTGAGACACCTTCAGTTCATTATGATTGCCTCGGTTCGCATTCAAATCAAGATGTTCATGGTGGAGGTAGAGGGTTGCATTGTCTTCAATTTTGGCACGCTTGTACGCATGAGGGCTCTGAATCGGACTGGGTTTGTCCCCGCGAATTGACAGATCATCATGGCTGGTCGTGGGACGCAAGTCATTGTCGCCATTGTGATGCCAAGACTCTCGACGATCAGCTATGACTTCAGGTTCAGATTCATCGTCCGAGATCACGATGATAGTTCTTTCGTGCGGGATCTCTGGTCGGGGAAGCGCGACATAACGGTCGTCGTAACCACCACCAGGGCCCCGCATTCTAGGAGGAAGAAGGTGATCAGTCACAAAGTAGCCTCGACGAAACATGTTTACAGAATTATCTTCCTTGAGGGAGTGATTTGAGAGAGGGGAAAGAGGATGCAGGTAGAGGCGACGACCGATCCGCGAGGTGGAATAAATGGAAGCTCTAAAGACAAACACTTACTGTTCTGTCAGCTCTTGCTCCATGACCATGAGCTGTGACGGTCAGGCACAGGCAATGATGAACTAGGCGCAGGTGAGTGGGCTCGTTTCGAGTGAGGCTCGACAAGCGACCATTAAAGCGTAGCAACAGCACCGGGGGTGAGGACGGGCTCAGATGACGGCATTCATCGACAATCGCGATGAAGCTCAGAAGGAGAAGCTGTCAATATGGTGGAACAACAAATGAAAAGTCGACAGTCTGTTTCTGTGCGATGACGATTGTGAGCGCGATTTCACACGTAGAGACGCGAGGTAAGTACAGGTAATTGGGCAGTGAAGTTAAGATCGCGGAAAAGGCTAGAGCGACCACAGAAAACGCCGCGACACTGCATTTTCCAGAGGTGAGGTATAAACCCTGGACAGCTGAAGAAGTGAAATGGGAGGGGGAAGGGAAGGTCGGTCAGGCTGATTGAGGTATGGCAGGGATCCTACTGGACCGTCAACATCTCAACGTATGGGCAGGTAAGGAGAATGGACGTGAGAGGGCAACCATCAGGCTGAAGATGCCAGGCTGATCCATTGAGCTGTTGGTACCATGCAATCTGCCTGGCGGAACCAGAGATGGCTACAGAGTGAAAAGAAGGACATTGATGAGGTTCGCGAACGATGAACTAAAGATACCTTATTTATTAGGTATGGAGATCTCATATCCGTACCCGCCCTTGTATTGTACTATGCCGTAGTGGGCTATTTTCATCTCCGTGCGCACTGACACTGAGCACATTGATGCTGTGTTTCTCCAAGTCTCGAGACGACAGGCTGCTTCTTCTAGAGTTCTTGTCATAGAGCCCGAAGAGTCGTTCATGGGCAGAGCTTCTATGCTGTTCCCCAAGGTTAGTCATATCCTGCAGAAGCACTGTTACTGCCTGCGCCCTTCAGGTCCCTAACAAGTGATTTTGTTGTACGCCTTGTGATCATTTCCTTCTGACATTCTATGTTTTTCCTCTGTTCGTGAATTCAGCTACTATATCGGACAGCCTCTACTCACCCTTTGACAGTTTGCCTCCTACCAGTAATTTAATCAGCAACAATCATGGCCTCCTCGAACACACCTTTTAACGAAGTCTCGACGTCTAAACCTCCTGCGGTTGATCCACAAGCCCAGCCATCCTCCCAGTCTGCCGACCTTGCGCTTGAGCCTGCAACACTCCTCGAATATGTTCAGACTGCATATCTGAACGCCGACGAGTGGAAGGGCCCTCTGACCATGGCTCAGTACCTCGACCGAGAGACGTACCTGCAGCAGGTTGAGCTCACAGAAAATGGTGGGATCACTGGATGGATTTTGACCTCTACGACCCTGCCAGTGAATCCCGACGGGTCTCGGCCTATTCTTGCTTCGTGCGAGAGCATCCACGTACATGCCTACATTGCGCGGGGAGGACGGCTTGAAAGAGTTCGTGCGCATGGGATTGCTTCCGTCTACACACGACCTGAGTACCGTGGGAGGGGATATGCCGGCCGCATGATGGCTGATCTGGGTAAGAGACTGGAAACATGGGGACAACCTGAACAGCAGAAGAGTCCTTTTTCCGTTCTCTTTTCCGACATCGGGCCAAAATTCTATGCAAGATATGGCTGGAATGTCTTTCCCAGCACCCATGTTCACCTGGCACCAGTCCACAGCCTGAGCTATGACAGTACGAGGAAAGCGTTGCCCGTAGTTGAAGACCTGACGCTCTCGGACTTGCAGCAAATTCCTGCAGTCGACTATCTGGAACAACGACTTCTAAGACAGTCAAGAGAAAACCCAGACTCAACGTTCGTCTCTATCCGGCCTGATATGGCACACTTTATATGGCATTTTACGCGTGATGAATTTCAGACCAAGCTGCTGGGGAAAGGTGATCCAAAGATCAAGGGTGCAATTCATCGCGATACTGGTATTGCCTTGATCTGGTGTCGAGTCTACGCGGCGGAAGAAAAAGACTTTCAATTGCACATCCTGCACAGCATTGTTCCGGACTCGGTCAGGAATTCGCCAGCCGAACAAGCGGCGATGGCGGCTCTACTCCTAAGAGCCCAATTGGAGGCGCACCTATACGGCATGACGGCCGGTGTCGAGGTATGGGATCCGTCTGAGCTGACCATCTCTGCAGCACAACATTTGCGCGGAGAAGAGCAAGCCCCGGTAGAGGTGGTCACAAGAGACAAGGAACACTTGTGCAGTCTACGCTGGACTGCTAACCCCTCAGGCCAGAAGCAAGACCTTGTCTGGCTAGCGAATGAAAAATATGCCTGGTGCTGAAGGCTCGGGCTGATTTCGTTGACGTCTACCCTATATGCACACTAGCCACTTTCTCCCTAAGGAGCCTTCAGCATTGTCACTATCCAGGCTTACCCATCTGATTCGGTCCATAACAACCAATTCGAACTCGCTCTGGACCCCCGCTGCAGCCGTGTAGACGAGAATTTGTTGTCTAGAAGTGAAACGGCTCCTTGAGGAGGGTGAAGTGGGGACTCTAGCCTGCTTGGTCCCCTCGTATTTCGTATACGGATGATTATCCATGCATTGTGGCCTTGTCACTACTGTACTTGGAGCAAACGTAGTGCTGAAGACAGCTCGAATACAAGAACTGATTCTACTAATCCAAAAGATAGGTCAATGCACATGTCTCCGACCGAGGCTCGAAGCACCGATCCTAGTTCGTGGAGGAGGCCTTATAAAGCTTGACCCTCGCAACAAAGTATATTGTCCTTGCCTGTATCTTGAACATTGCTTCCTTACCCCTTCTCGTTGTCTCGGTGTACCTTTTCCTTGCTCCCAAAGGGCAGTGAACTGCTTCTGTTCGACATCTTATGCCGAGTGCCTAGAACATGACTGCCAACATGCAGAAAGACCCACTCTGGGATTTCCAACAGCTGGCAGATGGTATTCATCTCTACCAGCCACCAGCTGCATCGACCTTCCTGGCTTCAGCCCCAGATACTGGGTCCGATGTCCAACCGACCTTGATCATCTGCTGTGTGTGGATGTACGCAGCACCCCGTCACGCGGCCAAGTACTTTCGCCAATATCAACTCCTGTTCCCGGAGGCCCAGATTCTCCTCTTACAGAACAACTTCATGAATGTCACCGTCACGCCGGACTGGGTCCAAATGCAAGCACTCGCTCCTGCGGTGGAGGCTCTCAAAAATTCTTTCAGGAAGAATCCTCACTCAACCGTTTTTGTCCACGCCTTTTCCGGAGGCGGTTGCCACAGTGCTATCCAGCTCGCACAAGCCTATCGGGAGAACATACAGTCAGGGTCAAAGTCTGAAGAGTTACCTCTTGAGATTCCCATTTCGGCAATGGTGTTGGACTCGTCCCCTCCGCACGGGAGCCCACCTTTGCAGACAGCCGTGGCGGCTGCCTTGTCATTTCTTCCAAAGAAAAGTGTGACTCGACGAATGCTGGCAACTCCGATCGCGTGGGCGGTCATCGGTAGCTGTGCCCTATTCAATGACCTTGGATTGATCGAATCGTCGCCGAGCAAGATCTGGCGGTGCTTGAATGAGCCCGACGGCTCCTTCCTGTTCAAACACGATCACGCCGTGGATACGCTCGGGTTCAATCCATCGAAGAGGACTGTTCCCCGTACATACATCTTCGGCAAGGGAGATCAACTTGTCCCACATGAGCATATCGTCCTGCACGCAGCTGAGGCACGCAACAAGTGTGTAGTGTTTGCATCAGAGGCAGACCCGAACGAATCAATTCGCTTGGAAGAATTTATTGGGAGCCCACATGTTAACCATGTGTCGGTTGACACGCAGAGATATTGGCAATTGGTGAAGGATACTGTTGAAAGGGGTCTGGCGATTGATGAATAGGTGTCGAAGTTGGGAGTTCAGCAGCTGGAAGTACGAGATCAGTCCTTGAGATTCTCGAAGGGCTATCGTCGCAGCGTATCCAACATCGAGATCGCAGTTATCTAGGTCGCTATTTGTTTCATCGGCAGGTTTTCTCACAGCGAGCGCGTTAGAAAGATACTTGACCTTGGGATCTGCAACGAGGCTCCAAGTCCCTGGGAAAGCGGCGTTATAGGCGATGATGTCATCCAAACACCGCCCGTGTGCGGCTTTTTCGGTGTCCTACTAATTCATGTATAATCTGCCAGAGGGAAATAATTAACCTCGGAGGCAAGACAATTCGGTGAGATGCTGAGGGCGAGTCGTCGTATCTTGCGTAGTACATTAATTCCTCGCCATCTCGATCCTGCGTCCTGATTCATGCAGTAACGACACCTCCTCGCGATGGCTGCCCATAGCGCTATCCAAACTTTGATCTCGCAACGGCCGTGGATCTGCAACTCATGCTTGCGACAAATCTCAAAGCAAAGCTGCCGAATCCCTGCTACCGCCCAAAGTCGCGCCATAGAGAGAAATCAAAATCGATCTCCCAGTAACACACCGTCGATATCCCGACGGTCGTTCCACAGCGGACAGCGACTGCTCCGCGACCATGCAGACCAGCCTCACCAAGCGATGCCCCTAGGCGACTTTTACACAGAGTTGCTCTCCTCGCCCATGCGCGAAGCTCCTCACACGGACAGTGCACTGCCCACGTTTGTCACTACCAAGGACGAGTCGGTACAAGCAAGAGCCAGGAAACTATTCGGCACGATCGAGGGATCTGGTTACAAGAGCAGCGTCTCAGACACACCCGATGCAACATGGAGGACGGTAAATGGCGTACCGGTGCCACCGAGACCAGCTGAGCCAGACAACTGCTGTATGAGTGGTTGTGTACATTGCGTATGGGACGATTACCGAGACGATGTGGAGGCGTGGGCTGCAAGGGTACGCGAAGCACAGTCAAAATCTCCGAACAGGCAGACAGACGATCCCAAGGCGCGATTGTCTCGTCCCGAGGTTCATGAAGCTTCGGGGAGTATGGACGAAGACGGTGGTGGGAGTGAGGGTCTTTGGACTACACCTTCTGTACCGGAGGATGAGGACGCCTTGTTCGCAGAGATACCGGTCGGGATCAGAGAGTTCATGGCCACCGAGAAGAGGATTAGAGAAAGAAAACGAGCGAAGAAGCAAAGGGCTCAATGACAGGAATGCTGGTTCATTCAGCGTTGGAGATTGTGATTGAGCAATGCATAACGATCTAGAAATGTCCAGATATGTTTTGATGACTTGTAGAGCTAGAGCAAGTGCGCGTTATTTTGACCTGGCGTCCTGCGAACGAGGAGGAGGAATGTGTACGAGTCGCTGGGGAATTGTCTTCGACCAGTTTATAATGAGTGGTTATCCATCTCGAGAACGTTATCTCTCTATCTATATATGTGTGCAGTGGTCGCTCAATCGTCGACGTGGATTTCGCTAGAGACTGGCACGGCTTATCGGCAGTTGGAAGCGGAATAAATTCTACCAGTTCTAGAACTTTGATTTCTTCGCCTCTTCCATTGTCCCAAAAGTACTGATAAACAGATCACATAGAATGCCAAACTTTGCATCTTTTTACTCCACAGAACTGTAAGTGCAAAAACATGCGTCTCGATCTCTGTTTTTTGCAGTTGTAAGGTCTATCAGTTTGAGATTTTTTTTCTGTCGTCGACTTCTTCCATCCTCCCTCTCTCTGTCTTACTCAACCGCATTTTCATCTTTTCCAAAATTGAACAAAGCGGACAATCAAGAACATCCCCCCAGTGATATCAAGACACTTATTCCCGTCATGGCCGAGTCTACCTCCGAAGATCCAGTGTTGCCGCCACTGTCGGCCGCCGACTTCAGACTCTTCAACCGCCTCGCCGAGGAAATGGAGTTTTATCACAGCATGCTACGGTCGACGTGGGATCAAGTGTACGCAGGTACCGCACCAGGATCGCGCCTCAAACCGTCTCAGCTGATCAGTCTGGGTTTACGATTCTGCCAACATCTCGAAGTCCACCATGACATTGAAGAGGCGCACTGGTTCCCCGTGCTGGGCAGGAAAATGGCCGGGTTCCAAGCCAGAGGGTTCGCCAAGGAGCAGCATAAAGAAATGCACAAGGGCCTGGAGAGATTGGTTCCCTACCTGACGGGGTGCAGGAGTGGAGATCGCGAGTTGCGAAGAGAAGAAGTAAGGGAAATCATGGATTCTTTTGCACAGGTGTTATGGTCGCATTTGGAGGACGAGGTCAGGGAGCTGGGGGCTGAGAATATGAGAAAGTACTGGACGAAGGATGAAATGAGGAGCTTTCCATTCTGAATCGACGATCAGGGGGATTTGCACGACTTGGTTCTTGGAGTCTCGCGTACACGACTGATGGAAGGAGAGGGGGAGCCTGTGAAAGACTTGTCAGGTCGGTTGGGAGTTGATGATATACAATACCAGTCCTGCCAGCCACGAAGTTCGTAAGCCATGTACCAGATATATAGACATCTGTATTCCGTTAGACTTCACGAGATATGACTTGGTAAAGTCACAAGATGGACCACAAGATAGATCCTATTCTCCACCCCACCAAGGTAAGCACCGCTGTCCTTTGTCTTGCTACTGAACGAGGCAGATACTAGGTACAATATCAAGGACCAGAGTACTGTAAGACTTCATTTTCTGGCTAGGGCGGAGTCAAGGTATGGGATCAGGCCCCCCTATCGTCTACGTGTTATTATCCTTGTTCTCACCGCATCCACCGTTTTCACTTTCTTCTGCTACTAAACGAGACACTAGGAGGTGGTGCAATATCCAGGACCATAGTATGTAAGACTTCATTTTCTGGCTACGGCAGAGTCAAGGTATGAGATCAGGCCCCCCTATCGTCTACATGTTATTACCCTTCATCTCACTGCATCCGCCGTTTTCACTTTCTTGCCCCTAATCTTGACCGTCGGCTCTTCCTCATCTCACACTCTCATCTCGTCAAGCACAAGCACAAGCACAGGCTTCATGATATGCCATGCAACGTCTCCCCCTGGCACAATATCTCTTCAAACGTCTACGTTCTCAAGGAGTACACGCCATCCACGGTGTCCCAGGCGACTTCACGCTCAAAGCTCTCGACCACCTCTCTCCAAGTGGCGTACAATGGATCGGCACCTGCAACGAGTTGAACGCAGGGTACGCCGCCGACGGGTACGCTCGTGTCCGCGGGCTCGGGGCACTCTTCACCACCTACGGCGTGGGTGAGTTGTCGGCCATCAACGCCGTGGCAGGGAGTTTCGCCGAGTCGGTGCCCGTCGTGCACATAGTCGGCACGCCGCAGAGACGCTTCCAAGACTCGAGGGCAAACGTGCACCACTCGCTAGGCGACGGACGGCCGAGGGTATTCGCCCAGATGCACCAGCATGTTACTGTCGCTCAGACGAATTTACGCGACGAAAAGACAGCACCCGAGGATATCGACCGCACCATCGCCGCAGCCCTCAGAGAGTCAAAGCCCGTGTACATCGAGGTACCCTGTGACATGGTCTCGAAGGAAGTCGACGGCGCGAGACTCGAGAAGACGCTCATGGGCGGTGATTTCGCCACGTTTAAAGAAGTCGACGTCGGCAAAGAAGACGCACTCATCGCCGATATCGCCACGAGACTCTACAATGCTAAACGGCCTCTCATACTCGTGGATCGTGGCGACGGCGTGCGTTCTCCGTCCCTCAGGCACGAGATCAACGAGTTTGTCCGCGTGTCGGGACTGCCAACGCTATGCATGCCATCTGGAAGTGGGATGGTAGATCACGGATTAACCAACTACTATGGTGTCCACTCTGGTCCCGTCGGCCAGATAGACACGATGCCGTATGTGAGTGAAGCCGATTTGGTACTTGCATTTGGACCCATGTTTTCAGATACGCAGACTCTGGGATGGAGGGTCGTTCCAGACCCAGAGAAGATCATTACGTTTGGAAAGAATTTTGTCACTCTTCCACAATCCGCCTTACTGTCATCTGCTGGCAGCAGCAGCAGCATATATCCCGGAGCGACCACCACGACTTCTGTGATAAATCTACTTTCTTTACTTCCCCGCCTGAAGAAACACCTCGACACTAGACGTCTTCCTACCCCGGACGTCTCATCACTAGGCGACTTTCGAAACGTCGTACCAAGACAATACCCGACGTTAACACCCAGCACGTCTACCGTTACAACTACAGCACCACCTGCATCTGCTTCCTCGTCTACATCCACTTCCCCCAAAGGGGACGATGGAAAAGCAGAAGATGGTCCCATAGATCAAACAAACTTCTACCACCGTCTGAACCCGTACCTCCGTCCGAACGATACAGTGTTGCTGGCCAACGCGACACCCAAGCTCTGCGGTCGCGATCTCGTCCTCCCAGCTGGCGCTCAGATCATAGCGTCCGGACAATGGTTTTCAATAGGGCACATGCTTCCGGCCGCATTGGGAGCCAGTCTGGCGCAACATTCTGAATCTATAGATTCAGGCACCACTTCTGATTCAATTTATGATTCTGTCTCAGGCGGCGGCGGTGGTGGTGCAGGTGGTGACAATAGTACCAAGGGTGGTAAGGGTACCACTGCAGCAGCTGCTGATGCTACCACCACCACCACCTCTGTGCAAGAAGGTCGTACGATCCTGTTGGAGGGCGACGGGAGTTTCCAAGTGACGGCCCAAGAACTGAGCACCGTCATCCGCCACCGCGTGCCTCTGACCGTCTTCCTCGTCAACAATTCAGGGTACGCGTACGAGAGACAAATCCACGGTCTGCACGAGACGTACAACGACCTCGCACCGTGGAAGTACGACGAGTTGCCGTTTGTGTTCTCGGGCCGTCTTCCACAACGGCAGTCACAAGAACAAGGACAAGGACAAGAACAACCATGTACTACCACCACCACATCTACAACCGGCGGCGGCGGGGGCAGCAGCAAGTACGGCGACGACGACGACGCGAGTGCTTCTTCGTCTTACCCGATCAGATCCTACGTGATACGCACGTGGCGAGACCTCGACGCTCTCCTGGCCTCGGAGGAGTTTTGCGCCGGGCAGGGTCTGCACTTTGTGGACGTCAAGATGGACAAGTACGATGTCCCGGAGAAGTTTAGGGTTGTTTTCCAACGCGCCGGGGAGCAATTGGGTTAAAAGGGGAAAATTGAAAAAAAGGAAACTTTGAAAGAAGGGAGGAGATACAAATAAACACCGATACGTAGGCCTACAGCACGAGAGAGCGCAGAGAGCAGCAGCATCGCGAGAATGCCAAACGGATGGAAAATCTCAAAAAGTAACACGTACGCATACCGACTACTACTTTTATTTGCAGTTTTGCGCAGCGTAGCACCGCACACACTGCCCGTAGCATAACAAATCGCAGTGTGGCGGAGTACACACACCTACTACACATCGTACAGGGTATGCCCCAATACGTGCTCTCCATATTCACCACCTGGAACGAGATAATCGTACTTTGTTATTCTCGAGGAAATCAATCATAACCACACTCTACTCTACTTTTCCACGCCATGACTCTCCTACGCCGTACGCCATACCGCCATGCGCCGCCACACTATTCTCCAATATCCTATCCTGTGCTATGCGGTGCTAATATCATGCCAAGTTTACGCCCATTGTCTGTATCTCAATCATCCCTTTCCATAAAGCAACACCTTGGAACAAACAGTGAGACAAAAATGCCCAAGACCGATACTGTGGAACCGAGTCCGCGCATGTCTCTCACATGGAAAAACTTGTGTCGAAACTCGGTCTCCTCTCAAGGCTGTGGTGATCATATTCTCTTGTTGTTGGAATTGATCCCGCGACCGATGACGACGCTGCAGCTCTGCTTCTCCTCGAACTCGCAGTGAGACTGCGTGACAGAGGCTCACTGGGTGAATTGAGGACCGCGATCTCACTCTCGTCGCCACCACCGTCACCCTCAGACTCGGACTCAGACTCAGACCCCGAATACTCGGTACCCGCCTTGTCCAAATCCTCCTGACGCTGCAAATTCGGGATATGCACAGGCGATATCATCACAATGCAAACAACACTGATGACTATCGCCATGGAGAAAGTCACGCGGATACTGTTTGCGTACGCTTCGATGACTTGTCGTTTATGCACCGGATCGAGGTTTTTGATGGCATGGACCGATTCCCTCACTGCTCGTATGATGTTTTCTTTGGTCAGTTCGTCCGGAGCCGTGACCAGACGGTCCAGGTACAGGAGCAATGCGTTCTGGAGGATCCAACTACTAATGGCAACCCCGAGAATCGCACCCAGATTCCGCAGTAATCCCAGAGTAGTCGTCACCACGGCCTGTTCGTCTTGAGAGTTCAATGCCAATGAGGCAATCGTAGTTGCCGGGAAGGACAGACCTTGGCCGATTGAACAGAACGGGATGAGGAATGGCACCGACCACGTTGGCGTGTCGGCGGATAAACAAGTCACACATATCGTTCCGCCGAGCATTATAAATAAGCCCAAGACCATCGGCGGCTTCATCTTCCGTGTGAGAGTGATGTACAGGCCACACAAAAGCGCCGAGGCCGTGCCGCCCAGCAAGAGGATGAGAAGATTCAAGCCGGAGGCGGTCGGACTGGTTTGCTTTACGGCCTGAAGATACAACGGAACGTTGAAGAGGACCGTGTTTGTGACAATGGCACCAAAGAAATTCATCCACATCAGATTGCCCATTGGTCGTGTGCTGAGAAATTTCAGCGGCAGCATTGGAAGTTGGGCCTTTCTCTCCACGAAATAGAGAGAGACGGCCGCGACTGCGAAGAGTACAAGACTGGTGATGACCAGCGGATGTGTCCACGTGAAGACGTTTCCACCTAGATTCACCCCCAGGATCAGGCAGGTGACGGTTGTCGTGAGTGTAATGGCTCCGAGAGTGTCAAAGGTTTTGAATGCTTGTCGGAGCGATTTGCCTTGAGTCTTTGCGAGATTCGGTCCCAGGTTGGAGGGGCAAAAGACCAAGGTCAATATAGCGTATATTAAGATGAAAGGGAGCTGGACATAGAACGCGGCTCGCCAACCCAGCTTGTCACAGAGCAGTCCACCCAAGACGGCACCGAGACCGTTGCCCAAGCCCCATGACTATGCAGGTGTTAGATGAGTGCTACGGGGAGTTGACAGTAAAGACTCACCATGTTGAAATAGCTTTGGTAAATCCCTCGGTATTCAATCTTGACAATGTCACTCGTCAATATAGCCGACATGGACATTACCCCTCCGGCTCCCAAACCGCAGACCGCTCTCGCGGCAATGAAGCTGCCAATGTTACCCGCGAACCCGCACCAGGCAGTACTTGCGAGAAACATGCTCGCCGCAAAGAAAACGACCGGTTTGCGTCCAATGGTGTCAGACACTCGACCATAGAGCGGCTGGAAGACGGTCGAAGATAGGTAAAACACGGTGCTCAGCCAAGATGCCGCGTTTGATGCGTGGAAATAGGACGTGATGACTGGATGAGAGGAGGCCATGAGTGTCGAGTCGAAAAACGCAATGGTACACCCAAACATTATACTCAGGAAGAGAACGATGAAGCGAGTGCGTGATATGTTTCGAAAGTGAGTGTTGGATGGTGCCTCTGTGGACTTTTTGTTGATCAATGGTGTATCTTCGGTGGGTTGGACCGATGCATCTGGTGGTGCAAAGCCATTACGGGGAGGCGAATCTCGTCGAAGAGGCGCCATGTCCTGTCTGGCCACAGCCATGGGTAAGTATTTGCGTCCAAACGATGTTCTCGTCGCCTCTGCAAATTCTATGTGAGGGCTTGGGCTCAAACAGCGGTCTCGATGACTGTGTCGTACTTTCCACGCATTTGAAGGATGTTCTCGGTAGCGTCGGAACGAAAGGCTGACAGATGACAAATGACACAGATCAAACAGGTTGATGCGAGGTATTGCTGTTGTTGTAGAACAAGTTATCCTCGTCTATCGCAAAACTTGTGACAAAGAGGGTTGCTCCCAAGTAACCGACCGCTTTGGGCTTTGGCGTCTACAGCTAATATGGACAAGATAAGTCGTGCTCGGGACTACTCTGTAAATACGCGAAAATGGAACGTCGGACATTCGAGTTTCATCGTAGTCGCCCGCTTCTAGTCGTGTCTGACAAGGTCGTACACAGAGTCCTGGTGACTTAGGCTGGTGAGGCTCACGGTGTAGGACACGATACAGGGGCCTTGATCTGCGGTGACAGGGCTTTTAACGATGCCTGCAGTGCCTATCAAGGTTCTTCAGGTGTAGCTACGAGTGTTTAGCCAGCCTGGGACCAACTTATGTACTTACCGGTACAAGTGCAAGTAAAAAGGCCCAAGTGTCTGCACGTCGATCCGGCTTGTTGTGCGAAGAAAAACCGCGATTTGATGCGCTCATATCCGTGAAATGCCAGTTAGCACGCAATTGGTCGCCCATTGGACGACTGGGTGGCGTCTCGTTGAACAAAGGGCGTATGTATGAATTGCCCAGCTGGGTATTAGATAAGGGAAACAAAAAAAGAACATGCTGGACATCGATCCAACGTCCGACTTATACGCTGTATACAAAACTAAGCAATGGCCTCTCCGAGATCTCTCTAACATTCGAGATCAGATCACCCCAAGCATTTGCCGGCAGAGCTCTTGTTGGTCTTCTTCCTATCTCTCTCTTCCGATACGGTACCTACCTATCTGAACGATATCCACAATGAACTTGAAAACGCAGCAGCAGCCGTTTCGAATAGCGATCCTCGAATGCGACACACCATTGCCCCAGACCAAGGCGAAATTTCACGGCTACGGTGGCGTGTTCGAGTTCTTGCTTCGCGCCGGTGCAAAAGCCCTGGGTCGACCTGATCTGGTAGATCCAGAGACGGGGTTCGAAGTGTCGAAATGGCAAGTCGAATTGGAGCCAGACAAGTATCCTGACCCAGACACGATCGATGCCATTCTCATCACCGGTTCGAGTAAGGCATATCCTCTCTCTCTGAGGCAGACTGGCTTGCTGTTTGTTGTTGTTAAAACTCCGTGCTGACGAAGTATGTGTTTTTGGTGCCACACAGAACACGACTCGTTCGCCGACACGCCGTGGATCAACAAGCTCGTCGACTACACGGCCATGATCCTGTCAGAAACCAAAGTCCGCGTTATCGGTGTCTGCTTCGGCCATCAGATCGTAGGACGGGCCTTGAAGGCCGAAGTCGGGAGAAATCCATTGGGCTGGGAGGCTGCGGTCAACGAGGTCGATTTGTCGCCGAGAGGAAAAGAACTCTTTGGGATCGATAAACTGGTACGTTCCTACAGCCTCACAACTTGACAAAACTTGCATTACCCTTCCCTCTCCTTCCCCCTATTGGCGTGATGTGTTTTGCCTGGTGGACCCAGCTGGAGAAGCCCGTCACTATGGTCATGTATACCACCACCTACCACGCCCTCACAGCGTGGAAAAAGATCCGGACAAGATACATGTACGTACGTATATCAGAACTAACAAAAATTTTACTCTTTTTTTGCAGCGCATACACCAGATGCATCGCGACTGTGTCCTTTTCTACCCAGACGGTGTCGAGGAGCTTGGGTCTTCGCCCGTCTGCAAAGTCCAGGGCATGTATTCGCCTAAACGGCTGATGACGGTGCAAGGCCATCCCGAGTTCAACAAGGAGATCATGGACGAAATCGTCAAAACGCGCCACGCGACCGGCATCTTTGACGACGAGGCCTACAACGAGCACGTAAAGAAGGTGGATTTGCCGCACGACGGTTTGATCGTGAGCCAGGCCTTTTGGAGATTCTTACTGGAAAAATAGGAAATGAAAAATGGGTGCGAGGCATTACGCTCCTCTGCACTCGGTACCTATCTTATGCAGCGCTCTGACACGTGCTCGCACTCGTACCCCCGGATCGGAGTTTCAGTGGACGGGAGAACCGGAGAACCAGCCAGCAAGGAAAGGCTACTATTACTGCTCGGATGAGGAGGACGTGAAGACATTGATTTGATTGACGGCGCTATATGCATGCTACAAGGGTAACGAATGCATTCACGATTACTCGGACTATCGCACCGTCGTTCCCAAATCTCTCTCTGGCGTCCTCTGTTTACGACACCATTCGGTCTGCATCAGCTGCCCCAGCCGGTATGCGACCTTCGGCGAGATCTTTCTCTATCCTCGTGATTTCCGCCAGACTCTTTGCGTTCTTGATCATCTCTTGCACCCTCTTCTTCTCCGTCTCGGTCAACTGAGTCCGTACGCCTTTCCGCTTACCGTCGGCTTTTCCGTTGACGGCGGCACCAGATACATCAAACGACCTGCTCTTGACACCTTTGATCTTTGCTGCCAATTCGGATGGTTCTTCAGCAGTGCCAAAAAGTTCGGTTGCTTGCTCCCGTTCGGCGTCTCGGACCTTTTGAAAGTCGAGGAATCGTAACGACGGGATCGCCCATATGAGGTAGAGTCTGTAGTGCTGCAGGAGGAAACACAAAGAAAGTCAGCAGCGTCGACTTGCGGGGGTGTTGCACAACAATCCAGCAGCGCGCGTTGGTCCACTCACTTCTTTTTTCGTCACCGGGTTCTCCAGCAAACATAGATGCGTCAACCTTCCACACCCCATCAGCCCCTCCAGATCTCCCAGCTCTTTGACATGGTTTGCGGTGAGGACAAGCGTTGTCAGGTTTGGGATCTGCTCGGCGATTCTCTTGTCGACGCTCTGGATGCGATTCCGCGCACACAACAGCGTGTTTAACCGAGGCGAGAGAGGGAAGTTGGAGATGGTGATGATGTCGTTGTCTGTAAAGTCGATGGCGTCTTGTGGACCAGCGACACCAAGGTTCTCGATGGTAGGGATTTTGTGGCCTGTAATGTCGACAAAACAACACCGAGAGTGTGGTCAATTATGTCCTGCGCGCTCAAACAAAAACGGATTCAAGTGTAGCATCTGCTCTTTTCAGACATACCTCGGAGGTCAAGCTCCCGCTCCTTGAGCGGGTTCAGATATGATAAAGAGTTGTTGATCAGGTCGGCGGTGAGCCTCATGATTGTGAAATAGAGGGTAGGTGTATGTGGGCTTGTAATGCCGAAGTTGAAGGCTTGATCTAATGGGATCGTTCACCACTCCTTGCCGTGCTGTATGCCCCCTTCTTCTTTACAAACGTTGTGGTTATCAGAATTCTCGGATCAAATTGGTCCAAGCGCCGTAGGTAGTTGTGATTCGAGGTATTGTGAGTCTAGACGTCGAGGAGAGAGAGGAGAGAGGGACAGATGAGGACACGGTGCATTTGCCGAAGGGTTGGGAAATTTCGACGCGGTCATCTACAATCCCTCAAGTCCACATCAGTACCTGATGCGGCGCAGGAACTTTTTTCACGCAGCGGGAAGAGATGCCAAGGCCCAGCCAGCCAGAGCGCGGCCCAATGGATGTGCAGGAGCTTCTCCCCAGATTTTGCGCAACAACAAATCCACCAGCCTCGGCCACAGGAACCTTCGGTACACTGGACGCTGGATGCGGGATACTGGACACTGGACGACTTGCAAGTTCCTACGATGCAGGGCAACGTGCCAGGGCAGGTCACTACTCTCACAGAACCTACTGTGCAGTACTCTTGACTCGTCCTGCATGGACTGGATGAGAAAGTCGACAACCGCTCTGAGGCATCTAGGCGAACACGAGATTACACATCTCGTTTTGGGTAACTCATGCAAGGTAAATCGAGTCGCGTGAGGGTCTCGTGGTCTCGTGTGGCTGGTCCTCGCCTCTGCATCCCGCATCGGTACAGGATGCACCGTCCAAGTGCAGGTTCGTGGACGGATGTGGCTTGAGACCAACAGGTGACGAACGAGTGACGACGGCACTGCTCAGAAATGAGTTACGTAAACTAATGTATGTTCGGGAGTAGTGAGTACTCGTATTGTACAGTAGGACGTTTTCCGGATCAGCGTGTCCTTTGATAAGCGATACGTGGTAAGTGTAGCCGTTGAGAGACGGTGTTTGTATGGGCCACGGGCAGAGAATGCAAAGTGGTGGCTTGCCGTGCTCGTCCTTTCGGGACGTGGGCGAGCATCATCTGATGTCGTCGTGTAGACTATTGTGCGCGGCCCCGTCAAACCACGCACGGCTCGATCTGATCGATGATCACTGGATGAATTGACAAATTGACAATTGACGGATTGGATGCTTGACAGGCTATCGTCCTTCGAGCTCCTCCTGGGGTCCTCCTGGTTCCCTGCTGGACCCTCCTGTGCGCTCGCTGATCTCCCTGGTCTCCCTGGTCGCCCTCGACGGTGGTGGCCTAGTGAGCCTCGGTGGCATCGGTGGCCTCGGATGTGTCTGGTCGTCGTTCGAGCTTCCACAACAGGACGACAACCCCTGCGGCCTCCCCGCCTCAAACGCTCCGTCGACTGTTAAGGCCCAGCACAGGGCATCAATTCCACCCTCGCCTTCTCCGAGTGCGACATCCCTATCTACAGATGACACTCTACGAGCCCCGGCCTGATTCTAGAAGGAAATCCCTGCCCCCTCCGGCCAATGGCGCGCCCTCTCCACCTAGACCTTATCTTGCACTATGCCTCTTGCAGCCTGACGCTGGTCAGCCCGATGTTACCTCACCGTGGCAGCCGCCAATGCGAGGGCGAATGGATCCCGGGATCTGTTGCGCCCCGAACCACTTGGTCCAATCGCGGGCGGACGCCTATCTGCGGAGGAATTGCCGCACTGCGCAGGTCACTACACACACAGACATGTCAAGGGTTGCTTGGTCGAGGAGCTTGTCGAGCTTGTGGCGCTTGGGAAAGCTTGGAACGTATAAAGAGACCCGAGGCAATCTGGCATCCAACGCCTCTCTCCCTATCCCTGATCCCTCTTTCTCATCTGCTCCCTCCGAGGCAATCTGGCATCCGACGCCTCTCTCCCTATCCCTGATCCCTCTTTCTCATCTGCTCCCTCTTCGTCGAGCCACCGAATATTAACAGCAAAGATGAACAAAGAAGACCCCAATCTCGTGGGCGAGAAGGACGCCAACGGCGAAGGTCGCAATGGCTCGTTCTCGGCTCATGCCCGGGGTCGCCAGTTCAGCGTCGACCCAGAGGACCAGGCCATGGTCGCAACCGATGTGAACAAACTGCACCGCAACCTCAAAGGCAGACATATGCAGATGATTGCCATGTAAGCAACACGCAACACGCAACCCGCGACACCGACTCCGTACTGATTGAATGCTCGTAGTGGTGGTGCCATTGGTGCCGGTCTGTTTGTTGGTTCTGGGGGTGCTTTCCAGACGGGTGGCCCTGCCTCTGTCCTTCTGGGTTTCATGATTGTCGGTGAGTGTGACCTCTATCCCATCTCCAGCAAGACTTTGTGAAAGACGCAATCGCTAACTCTCTTACTTTCCTCGCAGGTCTCATGGTGTAAGTTCTGTCCGGTTGTGTCAGCCGCAGTCTGGCCTCTTGTCTGACATCATGATCTTTTTAGCTATCTCATGATGCAAGCACTCGCCGAAATGAGCGTCATGTATCCGATCAACGGTGCCTTCACCATGTACATCTGTCGCTTCGTCGATCCGTCTCTTGGATTTGCCTGTGGATGGGAATATGCCATCTCTTGGCTCACGGTGCTTCCCTTCGAAATTTCGGCCGCTTGCAACATTATCCACTACTGGCATGGCTCGGACGGTATCAACAACAGCGCTTGGATCGTTCCGCTTCTGGTCGCCCTTGTTGCGATTCAATTTTTCGGCGTGAGAGGATATGGAGAGGTCGGTTCTTGCATGTCCATGTCTAGAGGCCGCACTGAACTAATGATATGCCCCAGGTCGAGTTCGTCCTCAGTATCATCAAGGTTCTCGCTTGCACAGGCTTCATCATTCTCGGCATCATCATCGACTGTGGTGGTGTGCCTACAGATGACCGAGGCTATATTGGAGCCAGATACTGGCATTCGCCCTATTCTGCGTTCCTCAATGGCTTCCACGGCTTCTGCAGCGTCTTCGTTACTGCTGCTTTCGCCTACACTGGCACTGAGCTGACTGGATTGGCTGCCGCTGAAGCCGCAGACCCGAAGAGAGAAATCCCAAGAGCCTCCAAGCAGGTGGTGTGGCGTATCGCCATCTTCTACATTGTCAACCTTTTCCTGGTTGGTTTGATCGTACCTGCAAACAGCCCACTGTACTCTGGAGAAGGCTCCGAGTCCCGTCACTCACCTTTCGTCATTGCCATCCAACTCGCTGGCATCAAGGTCCTCCCGTCGATCTTCAACGCCGTCATCTTGATGGCGGTCATGAGTGTCGCGAACTCGTGTACCTTTGGTTCGACCCGTACTGTCCAGGCCCTTGCTGCAAATGGCATGGCTCCCAAGATCCTAGCTTATGTTGACAAGAAAGGCCGCCCGGTGCCCGTGGTCATTGTTCAGCTCCTCTTTGGATGCCTTGCCTTTATCAACTTGGCCAAAGACGGTGGCACTATTTTCACCTGGCTTCTGTCTCTGTCTGGTCTCGCGATCCTCTTCGTCTACGGCAGCATCGCTCTGGCGCACATTCGCTTCCGCGCCGCCTGGAAGGCCAACGGTCACAGTGTGGACGAGCTCCCCTTCCGCGCCGCATTCGGTATCTATGGCTCATACCTCTGTCTCCTCATCAACATCATCGCTCTGATAGCCCAGTTTTACACCGCATTGTACCCGGTCGGCGGACCCAACTTGGACTCCGAGACTTTTTTCCAACTCTACCTCGCCGGACCCCTTCTCATTTTCCTCTATCTGTGCTGGAAAGTCTACAGCTGGTACTATGTCCCCTCGGACCGCCCCCTGTTTATCCGAACAAAGGATATTGACATTTACACGGGCATGAGAGAGTCTCAGCTCGCCATCAGTGGCCGCGATGTTCCAGAGGATCAGAGACGCGCCAGCGTCATGTCCATGATTGAGGAAAACAAGAAGAAGGGGATCAAGGGTTACCTCATGGCCGGCATCAGAAACATCATCTAAATGAGACATTTGATTTGCTCGATTGGTTGTTGCCTCTTATCGAGATCTCAGAGACACTTCCCTTGGTTCTCCATGCGCGAACGTGCGCGACTTGTCTCCGTTGTTCACCTAACGTGGTCGCCATGATCAGTGGTGATGCGTCAAGAGGAGAGAGGGTGTGAGGAGGGATGAGAGATGAGAGAAGAAAAACAAAAGTCGTGTTGTGTACCGATTATACCACGTGTCAAAATAGCTGTGTATTTGAGAGAGTGCCTCTGGGACCACAGACCAATCTCATCGCCTTTTTATAATGGATGGATGCAGAAGATACCTACATAATATCAGCCAGATTTCCAATTGAAAGCTCAAAACTGAAATCGTGTGAGTGCCATTTATCTATCACATTATCGATGTGAGAGAGAGTGTGTGTGTGAGAGAGAGGATTTGGTAATGAACACTGTTTCTCGACCGAGGTGGCAGGTAAGTAAGCACCTTATGTACGGTCTCTTATGTCACCCTATCGTATCCCTCGCCTATAGCTTCGTGACTACCGAAGGGAATAACATGTTACATTGTCACAATCGTGTACTCGCATGCGTACGGTCTTGTGACACTCATCCTCTTGTTTTCTCTGCATTCTCTTGTGCTTTCTGTGCCTCGTGTCGTCAGGTACCTCCTCACAAGCGTGGGTGACCTGTACAACCTTGACTTCCTAATCTGCGTACGTACGTACTTTAGCAATGAGTCGGCACCATGTCTACTTATGTAGGTACGAGAGAGAATCTGTACGGAGCACATACATACATGCATACACCACGGAGGGCTCGCCAGTACAGTGTCGAGTTATCTAGGTTATCTAAGGAAAGTATGATTCGACCTAGGTAGATAAGACAACAAAGGTACCTTATAATTTACACTGGACTAGGGAGCCAAATCTCTCTCCCAGTTGCGTCGGGATTTTCCGATCCGTTGATAAGCGAATGAACTCGATCTACGAAGTTGACGCTAATGGTGAGGCGCATAGACTTAATCTACAGGTATCTCCTCCTGTATTTTCGGCAGCCAAGTGACCCGTACTTTTTCATCATCGCGTTGAGCGCCGACCAGATCGGCAAAAGCCGATCTACTTTGCTTGTTGCCATCTTTCGAGAAGCATTATCTACATAGGATGCATCCCTTTCCGTCCACCGCAACATGCCTTATCGTCATCTATTTTCTCTGTCACGACTGTGAAGGGATGGATGCATACGTACAGAGAGTGCTGCGCGAGAAGACTCACACGGCAAGCACAAGCATAAATAAGGTAGCCCGGCCTCAGCTACTCTGTCATGACTCTCAATGCAAGAACTCAAAGACGTTTCATCATCTTCGCAGACTCGTGACTTTTTGAAGCTGTCCCCTGAACTCGGAATCCCCCTTCCCAAAGCATCGTTGGCTTCCTGTGGAGGCCACCGTCAAACCATCATCTGCAGAGATGGATGCCAATGCTGAGACGGAGAAGAAGCAAGGTCTTGTTGACACCAAGTACCCCGTGAGAGATGAGGTGGTAGATGCCGGTGACGACGGGCTGGCAAGCCACCATGCTGTCATTCACATTGACCCTGAGAAGGAGAAGGCCGCTTTCAGGAAGTTCGACAGATACACCATACCGGCGTCGTTCGTGTTTATGGTTCTTTGCGCTCTGGACAGAAACAACGTGAGTGAGGGAGAATCCCACCAACTCCTCCTCCTCCTCCTCCTTCTTCCTCTCTCTTCTTCCCCCCGTTCCCCTCGAGGGGCGTTCGGCTACTACGAGTTAACTCCCTAGTACTGTTATTTTCATCGTTTGTACTGACACAATGCCATCGTCTATATGTGCAGCTGGGGAACGCGCGTGTCTTCGGATTCGATGCCGACATTGGTCTCCACGGCCGGCAGTTCGGGAACATCAACACGTTTTCCAGCCTGACCACGATGCTGTTTGAGATCCCGTGGGTGCTGGCCGTCCGGCGGTTCGGTGCCAACAAGGCTCTTGGGACGGCCTTCTTCATCTGGAGCGCGTCCACGTTGGGCACGGCTTTCGTGCAGAACTACGCGCAGGCCGTCGTCTGCCGTATGCTCGTCAACGCCGCCGGCGGCGGCCTCGAGCAGGGGTTCGCCTACCTCTTCTCCACCATCTACCCCCGCCACCTGGCGGGCAAGCGGATCATCACGAACAATCTGGCAATGTGCGTCTCGGGCGCGTTCGGCGGCCTCTTCGCCTGGGCCATCCAGCAGATGGGCACCCGGCGGGGTCTCGCGGCGTGGAGGTGGCTCTTCATCATCGAGTTCGCCATCACCGTCGTCGTCGGCGGCACGTGCTGGATGTTTCTCCCCGGCACGGCCGAGACCGCCTGGTTCCTGACCGCCGAGGAGAAGGAGACCATGCGCCTTCGAAAGGAGCGCGACGCGATATACCGTGGGCCCGAACGGTTTGATCGCAGGTGGATCAAGATTGCCCTCCTCGAGCCGTTCGTCTACATGCTCGGTGTCGCCTTCTTTACCTCTTCCGTCGCCATCAACGGTTTCAACATCTTCTTGCCAACCATCCTTGCAGGTCTCGGGTGAGTTTGGTGTCCTCCCCTTCCCCCCTTCTGCTCTGCCCCCCCCCCCCCCTTTTTTTTTTTTGGTTCTCAAAAAGACAAAAAGGCAAAAAAGGAAATTCAGTCATGGTGCATTTTTTGGCTTACAAAGTGAACCCGAGACAGTTATGCGAATCTACACGTCAATTACATGACCATCCCGGTCTATGTCGTCGGCGCCGTGTCTTTGGTCACGGTCGTCTATTTCTCGGATCGGTTCAAGCGTCGAGGAGCATTCATTATCGGATGCTGTGTTCCTGTCGTGGCCGGCTACCTCATAGCCGTTGGCACGTCGAATGCGCACGCTGGCTATGCCGCCATGTTTATCCTCGTCCTGGGTATGTGTTTTCTTCTAACTGGACATACCTGTGCCACCAAGGCACCCACCCTACTAGGCTGTCTGAACTTTGAATTTTTGGTGGCTTCTTCTTTGGCTAACAGAAAGATGTTTTGCGCACCAGGAATCTATCCCATATCTACTTTGGCCGTCACCTGGGCCGCGGGGACTTTTGCCCCCGACGACAAGCGTGCCTTCGGTATGCCTCTTGCGAGCTCGATTGGAAATCTCTCCAACTTTGTCTCTTCGCAGCTCTATCCAACCCAACAAGGCCCGAGGTACATTCAGGGCAACGGCGTCACGGCTGGCCTCACCGTGGTTGCCGCGTTCCTCTACGGCTCTTGTTGGCTCTTGTTGCGCTCACGGAACAAGAAGAAGGAGAAGTTGATCGCAGAGGGAGCCACCACGAATGGCTTGGAGGGAGACAGAGCTCTCAACCACAAGTATATTCTCTGAGCTCAAGATGATGGGGAACAGCGAAACCGTCTCAATTGGAGAGGGTCTTAACAGTCAGGAGCCACCACCATAGGAGTATCCAAGCAACAAGGCATACGCTGCGGAATCATGGCAAGACTCAAGAAGTCGATATGCCCTCAAGGTTTCACGCGTGCCGGTCATACGGACTAAGTAGAGACTTCACGGACGAGAAGGAAAGTCCCCAAAGCCAATTGCCTCCAATATTGTATGGGTGTTAGCCAAAGATGTGCCGCTCTTCCTAATCTGTATATAGAGTGGGGTTTATGCGGCTGAACTCAATCAAGGGCGACCGATGTATCATGTGAGTGTCAGATATGGCAACAATCTTGATGAAGAGATGTCCCAGTCCACAAGCCGGCATGTACCAGTCTCTCAAACGTTATAGTCGTTTAGCCACGGGTCATCGAGAAGCTCACGAGCCGTTAGTCGGTCCTTCGGGTCCCCTCGCAACATTGACCTGATAAAGTTAAGAAATAGAACTTTCTTTTCGCCTTCAAGCCGTTCTTCTCGAGCCTCAAGTGATAGCTTGTCGGCAAGATCGATTCCAGTTAGAAGGCGGCCTGTATGAAGAAGCTTAGCCTCCAGTGCTCAACAAACAGACTCGTGAAACGAATGAACTTACCCGATCGGTCAAAATACTTCCAACTAGTCTCACTCTTTTCTAAGAATGATAGAGGGGGCGTGCCGAGATAGGCTACCATTTCTGCTAGGTGATATTTATTTGAAAGCTTGTTTGTGATCGGGTCATAGGCGTCAAACAGATGTTTATCGTAGAAAAGATCCCAGATCTGAAAAGGCTTGAGGGGTTAGCAAGCAGCAATCCAAATCCGATTCAGCGTTGCCCAGGGGAAAACCCGTACCATAGTGCCAATGTTCCAGATGTCAACACTGTAGCTCCAGTCCATATCCAGTAACACCTCGGGTGCCGTGTAGATTTCTGGCTGAATATCGTCCTCCCCAGTTCCCCATTCGAATCTGGCTAGCCCGAAATCGCTCAAGACGGGAAGTCCAATGGCCTTTGGCCTGTCGATGGGGCGAGACTGGTAAATTGTTCGGTCTGGGTAGATATTCCGGGCGCTGGGGTTGGTCATCTCGGCTTGTTCAAAGGCTTGTAGAACTGAGGGGTCGTCGAGACCAAGCATAATGTTGCTTGCCTTGATATCTAGGTAAGCGTCAGCTGGGGGGTTAATTTGTGGTCGAACACCGCAGCCTATTTCGCACCTGTATGCACCAAGTGGCATTCACTGTGTAGATAGTCCATTGCTCGAATAACGCAGGTAAGCACCGGTCGAAGAAGCTCTTCCGTGAGTCTGTGCCGACTGTCTTGGTATTGGAGTGCCCTGAGGGTTTGCCAAAGAGGAGTGTGTACTAGACACTGATGCTTGCCATCGGGACCGTCGGCCTCGAAGCTATCAAGGCAGGTGCGAATATATTTCCGTCCAGGATGGTTAGAATCGATCGCGGAGAGATATTTGTAGATCGTGACTTCGTGGTCCAATGCCGAGCTCAAGCCTCGTGCAAAGATCTTGAGAACGACGTAAGCCTGTTTCCTACAGCGCGGTTTGTTAGTCTCACAGTCTTTTAAGCAGAGTCATGACACGAACTCCAAATCCCAGGCGAGCCAAACCGTCGAGCTGGCACCAAATCCGAGCTTCCCAACAACTCTGTACTTTGCCCCAAGAATTTCACCAGTATAGACTGGGTAGAAGTTTGACGGGCTGTAGAAAGGAAGAGTCTCCTCTTCGATTTTCCTCATCCGATTCTCTTGCCTGAGCTTCATTCCTCCAGTGGGGGCATAGTTTCTGTGTTGAGGAGGGCATCGCAGATGCTTCCACGGTGCACCTTTGATTGAGATCGGGGTCTGGCGCCATTGTATAAGCGCCCTCTGCATGGAGTCTGCGGTGTTGCGGAGTTTATAGAGCGCCCGGTAAAAGCGAAAGGGGATTTGCGCAGCGTCACTAGGTTGGGTTGGGTCGGGCTGGCAGTGGGCACGGCTGGTACTGGGACTATCAGATACAAACGTGGCTCAGAACCTTGATCCGTCCAGAGGTTGTAGCGTTGTACTATCTCAGAACCAGAACATACGCCTCTAACTAGAACTGGGGATCTGTTAACAGGTTAATGCGGGCTGCTAGACAGGATTACAGTGCAGGATTTTAGCGCTTGACGAACATCTAGCCATGGATCTTGACAATGGAGGTAAATAACGAATGCGTCTAGTGGAGTGTCTGAGCTGTCGGCATTTGGGAATTAGTAGGTATGCAGGTTAGGGAAGGGAACTAGACCAAATGTTACAATAAGAAACGTAAAGACCGAGTTGATAATTTGGAACCTCCGTATATACATTAGGAAGGTACTGCAAGACACTCGCAAGTGTTTGCGCTTGCTACGGAGAAAGGAATGGATGGATGTATCTGGTGACTCAGCGAGGCACTTTCCACATCGTTGGACGAGTGAGAGCGATCGCAGTGAAACAAAGGCCACGAGTCAATCCTCTCGGAGACAGTCAGAACCGGCCGTTTCCTATGACATCAAACAGCGAAGAAGGAAAATTCCATAACCTCAGACTCGAAGTTTCCCCCCGACATTCGCGATTCCGCGGTCCAGCAAGTTGTTCGAGTCGTGCGATCATGGCACGAGAAATTGAGAAGGCAAACAATCTGAGTGTAGCCATGTGATAGAAGCGAGGAGAAGCCTGGGTATCCTTTCGCAAGGAAAAGATACACATCAACTCCGATGATGGCTTTTTGTCGAAAATCACAATGCGCAAGTATGAAAGTGTTGGCGTGGCGGTTGAAAGGGCAGCCCTCCTGGCTCTCAGCCCGATAGTGTATCAACCCCAAGCGCCATGCAGCTGCAAAGTCTATCCGTATCGAGATAGACACAGCGTTCAAGTGTGATCCAACATGCATAAAGAGGATCTGCAAATGGAATTGCTCCAATTGCAAGCATTCGAATGAGACGAGGACCAAGATCCACGTCAACGAGGCAATTGTGGACAATTGCCTTCGGAGTCCACATTCATCTAATCAGCGTCGGGGTCTCCACCTAGACGGAGAACCATTGCCCGCAGGCGTTGGATCTCAGTGGTGAGGAGTTCAGTATGCTCTTGCTTCCTCTGCCGAGACTTCCGAGCGGCAGCAGTATTCTTCTTCCGCTTGGCAGTTTCCTTGTCGTCCTCACTGTCGATAGTGATTTCCGGCAGGATCTTGCGCGACTTGGACTTGTTGATACCCACAGTATCAGACAACTTTCGGCCATGAATCAGTGGCTGAGAAGGAGGGCGACCGGGAGAAGACTTCTGGCGAACCATGGGCGCAACTGGTTCTGATCTTTTGGCGGGCTTGGCTTTTACAGACTCAAAACTCGCCTTCAGTTGCTCAGCGGTAGGTACCGACTGCTGGGCAAATTGATCAAACTCGTCCTTAGGGAAGAGTGGGGCCATGGCTTCGAGCTCAGAGTAGTTGAGTTGGCCGTCGAGAAGACCGTCCTCGAGCGGGGAGGTATTGAGTCCGCTGCTGGGCATGGCAGGGGACTCGAGGTAGCCAGATTCTGGGGTACTGAAGTTGGGGAAAGCGGTGGAAGGAGGAGCGGACATTGTGTAGTCATCCCGGAACAACTCGGACGGAGAAACAGTACCACTTGTGGCATTGAACTCCGTCTGGGCCGAGTAGTTGGCTCCAATGTTGAAGAAGTCATCCTGGGAGGCGAGCAAATCACCTCCCGGGAGATACATCTGATCAAAAGCACTAGACATGAAGCCTGGTGAGGTCAGTCTCTGGGCAGCACGCCACAGCGGATCAGGATGCTTAGTACCTTGTGGAATGGTCACAGTAGGCCGAGACTGACGATGACTATTGGGCGCGGGTGCGTTGAAGAGTGGAACTGGCGGACGCGAATGCGATAGGGACTGCGAATGAGCAAGCTGACGCAAATGCTGTGCAGATAGTCGTTTATGCAAAGATGGACTGGAGAAAGACCGATGATTGGTATTGCCTGAGAACTGGGACTGAGAAGACTGAATGGGAGACACTCGATTGCCGATGGAGAGATGTCTGGTTTGCAGTGGTCTCGAGTTATTAGGGACTATACTCAATGTCGCCTGCGCACGCGAGGCTATCGGAAGGACTTGCGAAGTCTCGGGGACGTCGAATAGCTGAAAGTCCTGGTTGAAGCTGTGTTGGATACTGTTCTGCGACGATGCAGTCGATGGTGCTTGAGTTGAAAGACGCCATGGTTGCTGGTTAGCCGTGGTGAAGGATGTGAAATCCAACGCGTTAATGGTTGCGGTGGGTGAAGAGTCCGGGGCGCGGGAGGCGACGACGAAGTCTCGTTTGTTCACAGGTCCGGGTGGACGAGTGGACTGAGGGGGGTGAGGTGAGAGTTGAGAGTTGAGTAACCGTGGGTGGGTGACAGACTCTATCTTGCCGAGGCTTGATAGAAGTGGCGAACGACGAAAGATCAGAAGGTCTCCATTACTGATGAGTCCTTGTTGTTGCTTGGTGACGGTGATGTTGAGGTGTAACGGAGGGGAAGAAGAAAAATCGCAGGCAGAAGCGGGAGAGGGAGAGATTAAGTGCGCGAGCCTGAGGGAGCCTTGGCGGGTCTAACCCGGAATAGGCATTAGGCGCACTAGACTGCCTGAGGCTGTCTCGGCTCCACTGAGTGATACGCAGCACCGTCTTGCGCCAGACAGGACTCCGTCTGGAGAGTAATTCTGGCTTAGTTGCACGGGCTACCCAAAGTCCCCCTGCAAGGCCATTATTCCCTGTCATCCTGGAGTCATCTTGAGGACGAGAGAGGCCTCGAGTGATCGACTAGGCCTCGACTTATCGATCCTGCATAAGGCGAAGACATCACTACCAAAAAAAATGTGTCTACAGCCCCAAGGCATATATGCGGATCCGACCAGGCACGTCTTGAACCACTCGTCTGTCAACCGCAAAGTATGTGAGGTACTGTATGTTTGAACCGCAGGACGTGCAATGTCCATATCCAGGAACCATTGATACACCGGTCCGAATACGAGAGTGTGGGCACCCAATCCACATGGAGCAGCTGCGCTTCAACCTGTTTCGCTTCTGCATGGGTTTTGTGAACACGTAAACTACAATAATGCAATTTCCGCGGTGTCAGTAGCAACACATTTTGATGGCCTGATGGCGGATGGGCAGGTCGCGGGCGAGACACACTTCATCCATCGTACTCCGACTTGCTCGTTGGAAGAGGAATATGAGTCACAGTTCCAACGTACAGGACGATAAGCGAACCAGTCAACAGCGAGCGACCAAAAGCCCCCAAATGTTAGCGGCTTCGTTTCGAGGCCCAACCACCAAATCAGAAGCCACCGGGACGTTCCCACCTCGCACGCTTTCTACCGAAGATTTCGCACAGACGCCGCGCGCGACGCCTTGCAACATGATCTCCAGTTTCCAGAGGACTAGAGAAACGGAGCCGCGGGTGAGGTTGTACGAATACGCACAGTAGTGTACCGGTACCCAGGTCAGTCGAGCTCTACCACATGGCGGAATACACATACCTCCGTTACAACTACATATAGTCTGGCCAGAGGATTGACTGCGCTCGAAGTGTGTACAATTACTCGGTACAATCTGGGCCACAGAAAAGTACTCCTTACATCTCGGGGGGAAGGTGAAAGCCAGCTCCCATGCTCAGCAATATGAGTCACAGCGACTACTCCATAAAAGGCTCTAAATTTGAAAGATGAACCCTGCATATTTCATACCTGAACGATCCTTGCTCCTGTGTTTTTATCCCCTACGAGGATCGTCCCGACGCCGTCACTCTCGAAGCCCCTGTGCTCGTCTCGTCGACCTACCTAAAATGTACAACTTTTTGTTCACGTACTACTCGGATTACGACATTCACGTATAAACGAGACCTGTGTCAATCAAGATCGCCGTACGGTAGTAGATGGTGAATTTCACACTGATACAACCGATGAGACCACCCCGCGGGGGCTGAATACCCCTTTCCAAACCTACCTGTACGCAGCATCCAAACAAAAACCATGGATCCCGAGTGTGTCCAGTTGAGGCTGTGTCCTGCATGCTGCATGTCTCCCCGGCCGAGTGACTGAATGACCAACGACCATTCTGACCATGGACTGGAGCACATTTCTTTTCCGCAACAAGCCCTGACTTGCCTTGGCTGACCGGACCCCGGGCTCCATTTTTAATTCATGCACTGCAACCCCGTAAACCGCAAGTTGCGCGCTTTTTTTCCTTCACAGCGTTTGCTCCTATCACATCGATCCAGATTGGTTTTTTGAGTGCTGACCTGTCTTGATAATCAAAGACGATCGAGACGATTCCGCACGGCGGGCACGTCACCGTACAGGGATAGCAGCTCGAAATGGTACGTAACATCCTTTTCTTTTGTTTCCATACCTCTGAAGACGAACGAGTGGTACCCTCCGTACTGTATTTCTTCTACAGTACCTCAAGGAGAGAGCCTCCATGCGAAATACGAACACCACGCATCCACCAGTCGACCAGGACCGCGGCTCACGAATACTACCGTAGACTGTAGAGCCACGGATACCTCGTTTTGAGAGACCTGGAAATGGAGATTTGACTAATCATCTACATGACCTCGGCGCCGCGGTTCCGCTCTCCGCCAAATTCAGAGTCGACACTGGGGGTTCAGGGTGCTTTTACGTGTAGTACCTACCTATTTACACCCCTGGCCTTCGAGGGCAGATGATGAGAGAGACCACGACAGGCTTCATCAGACGAGCCAACTTCTGTACCTCGCATGGGGGGCGCACACAGGAGGTGGCTATATGTCGAGACCCGGCCGAGATGGACCACGGACGATCCAACTAATAAATATGTAGGTTCGCGTTTCGCCCTGCGCCCTGCGCCCTTCCGGTTCATAGACTCGGTAATGCAAATGTACACTTGCGTGCATATTTCCCTATACACCAAGGTACGCATGCAAGATGGGCTCAAGTACAGTACGGGTTTAGTAAGGATCAACACATGACGATTTCACGGAGGTACGGGCAGTCACCACCTCACAAGGCTTCGATTCGAACATTCTTGCTGCCTCGGGCACCTACGGTGCTGTTCCCGCAGCATTTTAGGTGTGCCTGGATCGTTCCGACATACGAGTACGCCGTACATGCAATACTTACCTACCTAGGTAGGTACATATAGATATGCACCCTCAAGGTAAGTGCCTAAACGGGGGAGGTTCGTCCGCAGCCCACCGGTTTCCTCCCTCCCCCCCCCCCCCCCCTTTTACGAGTTATTACAGTAGGTACTCTGGACGTTCGCCCACAACAATTTATCACTGGGCCACAAACCCACAGCCGCCCCCCCGTCCCAGCAGAACGTTATGCATCATGGAGTAAAACAAAGTTATGTTCCACTTGGCTTCCCAGTAGTGACTTTTTGTTGACTCTCGTGTTCTCGCCCAATGACTGCCTCCCTCGCAATTCTTGGATACGTCGGTCTTCCGTACCTTTTTCGGTACCTGTACCCAAACATCGACAACGAGTACATCCCATCCCAGGCTTCGGCGAGGATGGGGTGTTTCCGGGAACTTCCCCATCCATGAAATCGACTTTTCCACATCCCGGTTCTCCCGTGTGCAAACGACACCTCGATTTTGCTCACTTCCACCTCAGCCGAGCCATAAGACCAATAGTTTCCTCATTCGGCAGTCAAGTTGCTTCTTTCGGCCTCGGTTTCATACTTTTGATCGCCCAACAATGCCAAGAGGCAGTGGTTTCTTAGCCTCGTGAACAGCCTGACAGGGGGTGGGTTCCTTTTAAAGGACGAGCGAGGCTGCAGGCCACGAAAAACAAGAAGTCTGTCAACGCTAAACGCCATTCAATAATTGTAATCTTGGGGAAAGTCCCTTTGTGAACCGAATCTATTATAACCTCTGATCGCGTGGCGTGGCATGGTATAATTGTTCAGAAGAAAGATTTCAAAAAACACCCATTATGTTCCTCTCCTCTCCACTTCCGCCCACCCTTGTCGTAAAAGCATACAAATAGGTACTTTTCTGCGCCATCCAGCCGTCTATGCACCCACGTTCGAAACATTCTTGAGTGTTTCGAGGGATGTCCATGGATCTTCGTCCTGTTCGATTTTGTTGCCCCCAAACATCTCCCATGTCTTGCTGGCTTCAGCACGCAGGACAGAGTCTACAATCTCCTCGGTGTGCTGCCACTCTGCGCGGCGATTCTCATCCGCACCTTTCTCATCGCCTGTCCCGCGTCTGACTACGTTACCATTCGCGTCTTCAGTGGTCGCTCGCAAGTCTTCCAAGTCGTGCTGCAACTGCCGACCCTCCTCCTCGGCCCAGTGAATTTGACGGCGCAAAAGACGGTAGTATTGAGAAGGTGGTAAGCTTCGCTCATACTCATCCATCGTCTCGTAGATGTCGGTTGGGTAATAGTCGGGAGGCACGGGGAGAGTGAAAGGGAAGCTGTCCATGTCAAGCGCACCGGCGAATTTCTCGCTCCCGTCGGCACCAACCATGTCCACGTCTTCCAGATCCCTTCCCACACCCTGGAGGGGGGGCAGTGGTGGGAGGTCGCCAATTAGCAACGCTTTTTTGTCACCATTTGTTTTCCCGCCCATAGTCAGCTTGATTCTTTTCAGTGGCGCCAAGGATGCGCCTCCATTGGAAATTCCTCCGGTGTGGCCACGAGGAACCGGGTCACTGGGCCGAAGGGCTTCTGTTTCGTGCACAGTTCGCATGTGCTTGGCCAACGCGTCAGACCGGGTAAAACTGCGGTCGCATTCTGGCAAGGCACACATGAATGGCTTCTCCTTCGTGTGGCTCCTCATATGAGCTTTCAACGCGTAAGCACTGGTATGTGGCTGACCCTTTCGAGCGCAGCCCTCCCATTCGCAGTAGTATTTTTTCTGGCGCGGAATGATGTGGACATCATTGATGTGGGCCACTAGATTGTCCATGTTTCCCTGCTCTCGATCTTCGCAGTTGTCCCAAAGGCATCTTGTAACTTGAACGTAGTCGGCCACTTCGGGGTTCTCTGGGTTTGCTTGTGCGGCGGCATAGGCGGTGGAGAGGGGATGGGTTGGGCCAAGGTGCGCAAACGAGGGTGATGTGGGCACAGATCCTGATGAGTCGCTCGATATTGAGCCTGTTGGCGATCGCGGTGGGTTGGCAGTAGAGCCAGATTGAGGTGTGGCATGATCATAGCTCGCTGTGCCTGTTTTGCGACGTTTGGTCGGAGGCATGTCGGCCGGTCTGCCTGTTGTGCTCAGGATAGAAATAGAGCCGTCGTCTGAGACCGAGAGAGTCGAATCTGGGGAGTGGGAACGTGATCGTTGATTGAACTTGACATCTTCAGGAAATAATTCATCAGAGTCGATTTCCGACAAGGGCGACCCCGAAGCCGGGGTTTCAGCATCCTGATCCATCGCAACAGTGAATACTCGGTGACAATAGGAATATAAGTCAACTCATAACAGTGAGACAAAAGTAAAGCCAGACACCGCGACAACGTGAGAGGGCAAACGCGCGGTCCAAGATCTCCGTTCACGATCTGGCTTGACGGGGCTGTAGACACCTTCGGCCAACCTGCTATGTTTGTCGTCATCTCGGGACACGCTAACAACTTGCGCCCAACCCGTCAAGTTCGCCCTCCCAGCATTCACCCTGTGGACTCTGTGCATCTCAGGTGAATATAGACCTCTGTGTTATGAGAAGCAGCGAGAAGTCAGGAGGGCTTGGTCTAGCTTCACAGCGAGATCAAGATTACATGGTTTCACCAAAAAGACAGTATTGGCCCAATCCGGAAGGTTGTGCCAGAGTCTCACAACGCCCTTCGAGTTGATCATTGAAAATTCCATTTGTCTCCTCGGTCTTCTGTTCCTGAATCCTCCCATCCTTTGCACACCGGGTCGCTACAATACAGTAGAGAAAGCCAGAGCCCTAGAATCTCATGACTAGACCAAAAAAAACACAGCCCACTCCACGCGACTATGATGTTCCAGGTATAAAACACCTCGCCGCTCCGTCGATCCATCACGACTTCCCTGGTCTCCCAAAAGCACCGCATCTGACAGAATGGCCGCTTCAATACGCCGCACTGTTTTATCATACCAGCTCAATGCCAAACTCTATACTCTCCCAACTTCAGTGGTAGCAATCACACCTTTTCCCTCTCTAGCCGAAAGCAACCGCCAACTCTTCAAATCCGCCACAGACGATGATTCTGTTGTCGTGACGGAGGAAACAATCTTCCACCCTCAAGGCGGCGGACAGCCATCCGACACAGGATCCATGACATCTTCGTCGGGTTCTTCATTCTTGGTGTCCGCGGTGCGCATGTCCGCCACCGACGAAGGCCAAGTTCTCCATCTAGGCCGCTTCGCCGACCCGTCGAAACCGTTCGCGTCAGGCGAGACAGCTACCCAGCACCTCGACGTCGACAAGCGCCTTCTATACTCGCGTCTGCATACGGCAGGGCACGTTCTTGGGGCAGCAGTACGGCACCTTCTCGAGAAACAAGTCCCTGGCTTCGATGAGCTCAAGGCCAGCCACTTCCCCGACAGCGCTGCGTGCGAGTTTGCCGGTCTCATCGAGGGAAAGTGGAAGGATGGCATCCAGGCCAAATTAGACGAGTACGTGGCGGCCGCGATGCCGGTCGAAGTCGATTTCTGGACCGAGGAGGACTTCAGGACCAATGGACTCGAGCGCCTGATCCCCAATGGTGACGGTGTTAAGCTTGCACCGGGTGAAAAGTATTGTGTCGTCAAGATTATAGGCGCAGAGGTATACCCTTGCGGTGGCACACATGTTGACACGACTGATCAGTGTGGGAAAGTGGGTGTCAGGAAGATCAGTCGAAGTAAAGGCACCAGTCGGGTGTCCTACAATGTCAGTTGAGACACGGGACTCAGTTATTGAGAAGTTGGATCCAGGAGACAGGCGCGCAGTGAGCTATAGACCCACCGTCTTTAGGCAGAGCAGCTGTCCACACCTTCTGGAAAATGGCTTCTCGACTAGAATCTATACAAGTGTGGATACATTGGTGGAGCACACGCAGCCCTAAATCAAGCTATCACGTCTAATGATGCTTCTTCTCATCAACGAGCCCAGTCGCCCTCTTCCATTCATAGTGATGTGGTCCCTTGACCGGCTTGCCCGGCCCTTCGTCCCACGTCTCGTAGTTATGTGACCCGAAGTAGTCGAGCTCCGCCTCCATGAATTGTGTAGGCAACCTCGTTGAGCTAGAATACTTGCAATACTCCAGGGTGGCACTCAAGGAGGGTACGTAAGCGTCGACCTCGATACTCTTGAGCACGACATTTTTGAGCCGGGGCCAGGACTTGGTCAATTCTTCGGCGATGTCGCGATTGGCGAGCAGGTTCTCATCGTCGTGATCTTCACGTGAGTGCACGCCATCTAGCAGGTCAGAAATGTGGTCGGACTGAATGATACAGCCACCGCGCCAGATCTGCAGAATCTTGCGGTAGTCGAGGTGCCAGCTCTCCTGACGATCCATCTTCTTGAGAACGTGCAGGCCTTGGATGAATGAGCACAGAAATGCCGCGTAAAGAGCGAGCTTGAGTTCTTCTGTGAAAGCGAGTGGAGACAATGGAGTGTCGATCAAGCCGGGTTTGGCAACACCACCACTAAATGCCTCGTTGACGGCGAGGCGACTGGCTGCATCGGCAGAGGCGCAACGGAACAAGTGTGCAGAGGTGATGGTCGGTGTGGGCACATGAAGTCGTATGGCTTCTTCGTTGGTCCAGATTCCTGTGCCTTCGGTGTCGTCGGCATCTTGGACGACTTTGTCGAGCACTTCGGAGAGGACGAAGGTACCGTCGTCCTTTTTCGTTCGGTTGATGTCGGCGCCAATCGAGACGAGGAAATTGTCCCGCAAAGGGCCGTCTTTGTTCCATGACTCAAACACGTCGGCTATCTGCTCGTATTTCATGTCAAGGCATTTGTTCATGATGAACCAAACTTCTGCAATGGCCGACATCATGCCCTGCTCGATACCGTTGTGAATCATCTTGACATAGTGACCACTGCCCCGAGGTCCAATGGGCGTGACACATGCACGGCCTTGCTTGTCCTTTGCCGCCACACGTTCTAGGAATGGTACGAGTTTCTTCAAGACTTCAGGGTTGCCACCTGGGGACATTGACGGACCATGGCGTGCACTCTGATAGCCACCGCTTACACCACAGCCGATGTAATGAATGCCATGGGGCTCTAATTCTTGCTGTCGTCGCTCTGTAAACTTCCAGTACTCGTTGGAGCAGTCAAGGATGATGTCGCCCGCGTGTAAATATGGTCGGAGGTCTTTCAACACAGCATCGCCCGCCCCGCCATGAGGTATGCTGAACAGGAAGAGTTTTGGATCGTGACCGGACTTCAGGCTGTCACACATCTCATGGTAGTCCTTTTGAGCATGAATACGGCTATCGAGGCCAGTGTCCTTTGCTTCTTGCTGAAGTTTCTTGACGTTTTCTTCGCCTGATGATGTCTGGTTAGCTTCGAACTGACAACGGGAATCTGGGAATCTTGCTTGGATCATAGTAAAAGACCTCGACGCCATGCTCAGCGTATAGAAGAGACATCATCCCACCCATGCTGCCCGTGCCACACATGCCAAGCTACATCAAGCATTAGTGATATTTCTATCCTTTCTTGGCTCTACCAATACACCTGCCCCCTCTCAGGTCTGCCTCTGATATAAATAGTGGTCCCGAGGGACAACATACCTTCTTGAACTCGAGTCTGTCATCTTGTCCCATGTTGCAATTGTTCACTGGTGTTAGGGTGCTGAATACTCAAATGTCGCGGATCGTCCAGAGTGTGGTTTCTATCCAAGTCGTGCAGAATTTGGGGGCGAAGCGACGTTGCCTGCTTTCTGCAGAATATGAAGACGATCACCTCAGGATGTCATTCATGAATCATGTCTAATTAATTCCCATCCGCAGTTCCGCATCCATGCGGAAGTGTAAACATTTTGATCATGGTTTGCGGCTCCTGACGCTCATCTGACGTCACGTTGAAACAGGTCAAATAGGTAGGAACCTTGACATAGGCCCCCGAAGAGACCGAATATCTTCGAATCTTGATAATTTGCCGGAGAGACGACAAAACCCTCACCTTTACTACGTCACATAATCGTTGCAGTTGTAGGATATCGTCGAGGAGCGGAAGGTTTGGTGAAAAAAAAGACACTTAACAGAAGTCTCCATGGCCACCTTCAAAGGCGAGAAGATCCCAACTTGTTATGCGTCCTGTTCGATAGGACATAATGAGAAACACACGCTGCCAGAGAAATTGAAAGCTATTGCTGGTGCAGGTTTCGACGCTATTGAGCTCTCCATGCCGGATATTCTGGCCTATGGTCAACAAATCTCACAAAGCCAATCAGAGATAGATCCCAACGATTTCGCAACGATACGAACCGTTGGGCAGAAAATAAAGGAACTATGCAAGGAGAATGGTCTGAAAATCTTGATTCTGCAACCATTTGCCAATTTTGAAGGGTGGCCCAAAGGGAGCAGGGAGCGCAAGGATGCCTGGGAGAGAGCCAGGGGATGGATGAGTATCATGGAAGCAACTGGAACAGACATGATGCAGGTAGGTTGGAGCACCGTCGCTCAGATGAGCGGGTGAGCATTACTCACAGGTCCGATAGATTGGTTCATCGGACGCCGAAGGTATCAGTTCGAATTTTGACGAACTCGCCTCGGACTTGGCCGAACTTGCCGATGTCTTTGCAGAGAAAGGATTCCGAATTGCCTATGAAAACTGGTGTTGGGCAACTCATGCACCAACGTGGAAGAGTGTGTGGGAAATTGTGAAGATTGCGGACCGACCGAACCTTGGGCTGTGTCTTGATACCTTTCAAAGCGCTGGTGGAGAATGGGGTAGTCCGGTCACCAAAACAGGACTGATCGAAGATATGGACAAGGATGAGCTCGAGAGAAGATGGAAAGCGAGTTGTGAAGAACTCTCACAGACGGTGCCCCCCGAGAAAATCTTCTTCTTGCAGATTTCAGACGCATACAAGATGGAACCGCCCCTGGAAAATAAGCCCGACAAGAGTGGATTGCGACCACGAGGTCGATGGAGCCACGATTACCGCCCGTTACCATATGACGGCGGGTACCTGCCCATTGAAGACTTCACAAGGGCAGTCCTCAAGACTGGCTTCCGTGGCTGGTTTTCTATCGAAGTGTTTGACGGTAGAGGGCCTGATAAGTATGGCGACAATATGCAACCCTACGCACAACAAGCCTTCAACTCTTTGCAGAGGTTACTCGATGAAGTTGCGGCAAAGGACTGAGCGGCATCGTGGGACGAAGGAAGCAAGCCCCATCTGGACAGGTTTGCCAGCATTGGGGAGACCAGGGCCCAAAAGTTCTGAAAGTTCTCGATGTATTTGCAATGCCGCGATCCTCTGCTGTCAAGAGCATGACGGTACTTGTAGCAGCCTGAATCCGAATGATGAGGAGGCCTCTCATCCAATCACACAGCTAAGAGATTGCTACTCTATCTGCGAACCGAAGCAGGTGGCGGATCGAAGGATTTCGTGTACCATTTGGTGGAATAATCCAGCACCTTCAAGCTTCGAGAGTGTGAAGGATGTCGCACAAGGCAGAAGTGCGTTTTGCCGTATATGGTTTTTCCACGACGTGTCATCCTACAGCCAAGACTTCAACGTGTTACTCCTGTCATACTTGTCAAATGTTTGGTGTCAGATAGAACTTTTGGCTCGCGACATAGAGCGTCATAATCGGGGCGATATGCTACCGGCGCACGGGCCAGATCGTCACTAATAAGTTGCATGTTTCAGGATTAGTACCTCGATCTATCGAATGCGTCAGTGCAAGGTGGATAGGACAATGCGGTTCATTATATTGAACGTCAATTCAGGTGGCAGGCTCTTCCGGCCATAGTGGACGTCACCTTGATAAAATGGTGCAGACGGAGGAAATTGCTGTAATCATGCAAAGGTTCAGCAGTGATAACAATCCCTCAAGATACCTACTTTACGAAAGAGCTACTCCAGGTTGTGGTGAGTGCGTCTCTGTTCATCCATCGTGCCCAAGGATTGTAAGTGGTGGACCCAAGCATCCCTGTCACTCGTGCATTGGACTCAATACGCCGTATCGTAAGGCATCTGCGTGCCGAGTAACGTTGGTGGATTTGCCCACGCTTGTCTCGAAGTCATAGCCACCAAATGCGACCTGGCTGGTACAACAGTGAGACAGGGAGGGCTTTGTTGATCCAAGCAAATATCTTCGTTTGACATACAGTACCTCTGGGGGACTCCTGCATGTCCGAGTCGGACAGTTTGTATCCGGGAGTTGCACCATTCAGTAGATAGTTCCTGTGCGTTACTTCGATTCGGACGAACGGAGTCCGTGCGAACGAAGCTTTGTGCGGGAGGAGGAAGAGGCTCTGGCATATCTCGGAAGGTTGAGTCCCAGAGGACAGGAGCGAAGAAAGGTATACTGGGGTTTGATTTCCCACAAGGCTTCCCTGAAGGATTGTGGATGCTTGCTGAGGACGCGACTCTGGACGCGTGAAGAAAGGGTTAGCTGAAGCTCACGGAGATACTGTCCATGTGCTGGGAGGGCGCCAATTCGAGGTTAAGGTTCCGGGCTGAGACAAGCCTGCACCAGCGGAGGTACCTCGTGTTGCTTGTATTTGGGCACAACGGTGGTGGCTGATGGTCTGATAGATTGATGATTCCCTTCTGCCATCTGGTGCCTGCCATTTTGTCCGCGATCGACGCCTACTCCCAATCGGGTTTGGTGGATCAATTTCCGAGCGGCATCTTTAGACTTTTTGGGTCCGACCTCAATTTCCTCCTCAACCACCGACTCTCCGACTTCTTCACCTCACACCCTTACCCCTTGGATCCTTGCGTCTATCTCCCTATCATATCGTATCACGATCATCGTTGTCGCCATGTCAGGGTGGCCTAGTTCGCTCCTCTCCATCGTACGGCCCGTCCTCGCTATTGTTTCAGCTTACCCTGACGGCGCACTAGTCGCGAACCTAGTGCTACGTTGGATGAAAAATGCCCGGTCGGCTGGCTTCCCGACCGTGTGCTTGCCGTCAATTCTCCTGGTCGCGTCTCGCTCGCTTGCATGAGCCTAAATCCTTCGACGAAAGCCGGAAAACAGTCTGCTGGCTGCGTTAGCGCGTGGAAAGACAAAAGGGCAATTATTCAAATCGCATGCATGGGTTTCCCTTGCTGACTGAACATCAAAGAAGCACCTCTTTGCCGGTCCAAGGCTGACCTTCAGTACGGCGCATGCGTCCAAGCTCTCGCCCTAGTCTCTCACTTTCTCAACGCCTGTCGAGGGACGTCCGCTCATCACCCTCCACCAATGGAACCGTTCTATTGAACTTTAAGCATTCAGTCGTGGCTTTTCCTGGCTTCTGTCAAGCGTGCTTGATCTATTCTATTTCGTGCGATTTCCGTCAGAGCGCGTTCGATCTCCACCGCACTCTGCCAATGGGCTGGATGTACTACAACCTGCTCTCTGCAAAGTCGGTCCTCCATTATTGCTGCTACAGCTTCCATGGAACCATGCCCTTCATAAACGGCAGGTCGGCGCCGGGAGGATCCTGGCTCATGATGCCATGGAAGGATTGGTGGTCTATTCCTGCGCAACGCGGGTATTTTGTAAGTGCCCGACTGTGACATGTGTCTTGTATATCTTTGTACCATACCCATCGGTTGCGTAGCCACTTCCCCAGACTCTTATCATTCTGTGCTGCTGGCATCTCTCACCAGTCCACCTCATGCTGTGACTTGAGCTTTTCTTGTCTGCTATGGATTCCACGCCGTCACATGGCCTCAATGTGGTCATCCCCCCTCCACAATCGCAACAAGGTTCTCTCAGCAATTCCCACGACATGGAGAAGGGTTGCCGGAGCGTGGAAAAGCCTTCTGGGCCCCCTCAAGGGACTCCTCCGGGGCCTCCAGGAGGATGGCTCTGTCAGAGGATGTCGACATCTCAGGAAATTCTCTTCAACGTCATGGTGGCCTTCCTTCAGCTCATTCCACAGTCGACATTAACCACCGTCTTTCCTGTTAGCAGAGACATTGCTATATCGTTCAGAATAGCCAATCCTTCGGTTCTGCCGTGGCTCGTCGCCGCCTATGCCTCATCCTTTGGTACTTTCATCCTCATCGGAGGGAGGCTGGGTGATATCTTCGGGCACAAAACTATGGTCTTGGTTGGTTATACCTGGCTTGCCTCCTGGAGTGTGGTTGCAGGTCTCAGTCACTATGTTGGCTATGAATTGTTCTTTGTTGCGAGAGCCTTTCAAGGCTTAGGATCCAGCATGATGGTACCAAACGGACTCGCACTATTAGGACGCACATATCCACCTGGATCGAAACAGAAAGTCATCTCCTTTACAATATTCGGTCTCTGTGCCCCTATCGGCGCTTACATGGGCATGATTTTCGGCGCTCTCTTCACCAGATTTGTGTCGTGGCGGTGGTCATTTTACACTTTGGCTATAGTTTGCACGGTTTTGGCCATGATCGCACACTTGGTACTAATCTCTCCTCCACCAACTCCAATGCAGATGAAACCAACCAAGGACAAACTCCGCGACATGGACTGGCTGGGTGCCATCACTGGCGTGGGTGGACTAATTTGCGTTCAAGTTGCCCTCGTGTCAGCCCCGGCATCTGGGTGGAGCACTCAGTACATCTTCATGCTTCTTATCGTCGGCGTTCTACTTATCGCTTTCTTTCTCATCACCGAGCTAAAGATTGCAGAACAACCACTTGTGCCATTTAAGATGCTGCAGGCAGATGTTGGCTTTGTTCTTGGCGCAGTGGCATGCGGCTGGGCGAGCTTCGGTATCTGGACCTGGTACTTATGGAAATTCCTCCTGAGCGTCAAGCACGACACTCCGTTGAACGCGGCTGTCCACGTCGTACCGATTGTGCCCGTCGCACTTGTTGCGTCCATCTTGACCGCTTGGATGATGCGACATTGTATGCCTGCCTGGACACTCTTTTGGGCTTTGGTGGCGTTCATGCTTGGGCCCCTTCTCCTGGCTGTCGATGCAAACATTGAGAGAACTACATACTGGAGTTGGACATTCTGCTCCCTGCTGATTATGCCGTTGGGAATGGACATGAGTATGCCGGCAGCCAGCTTCATAATGTCTAACTTCTTTCCTCCTCAACAACAGGGCATAGCTGGGAGCCTTATCAGCACTACCATAAATTACTCCATCTCCCTTGGTCTCGGACTGGCTTCTACAGTTGAAGTGCACGTTAACAACCACGGTGAAGACCGTATGGCTGGCATTCGAGGCGGGTGGTTCATGGGTGTCGGGTTAGGTGGTTTGGGTGTTGTCATCTGCGTGGCCTTCGTCGTCAAGTCCCTCCGGTATCCCACGCCTCAACCTCAGAGAGGTCCGCCGGGGCTTCCAAACGCACCACCCACAGGAGGTTCATTACCAATCCCGATGACTCCTCACCGACAGTCGAATTCTACACGTACCAATACGGTCTCAAGCTCAGCAACCACCATGGTTGGAGATGGCCCTTGTAGCCCCAAAGGCGACACGGAGGCGTTCAAACCGTTTAACTTTGACACAACACCACTAAGATCTCCAGTCACCCCGGGAGCGATTTCACCCACAACAATGGCACCAGACGACAATGCTTCTGACTTGTTGCAATTTTCTCCAACTTGGCCCATGAACATGACGCCTCTGAACACGTCCTATCCAACCAGGTCGTTTTCAAAAGCACCAGGCTCAGGCGATCAACATCGTTATCATGCCAGCGGAAGCACGATGGCATCGCGGTCCCGGTCAAATTCGCAAAGTCACCTAGCGTCACATCCTGCGCAATTCCCCATTTCTCCCCCGCCACAGTCAATACCACTACCAGCCGAAATCGAGGCCGCCTATCGTGGTCGTGGCAGCTGGGAATCTGGGGATGATGATCGTGATCGAGAGGATTCTTGGGTCCTCGGAAGACACGAGCGTGTCCCACAGGAACAAATTATTCGTCTAAGGTCTGCTTCAGTGTCTCACGGCAAGGACGCAGATGGCTTTGATCTGGAGAAGAAGGCTAAGATGGTGACAATCATAACAGATGGTAAGCTGCGAAAATCTCACAATGTGACACCCATTTGAAAAAGGGCCGAAGCTGACTGTTTGGGGGGTGATTTTAGGTGGATCTCGACGAACGACAATGTGTGGGCTGGATCAATACATGCATGATCGAGGCATACCGATATGATTCAACGTGGGAGATTTGGAAAGTGCTATGAACATCGCCCTTTCAAAAGGTATGCCAATAGAAACGATAATGTGACAAGGATATATAGACGAATTGGTGGGCCATTCAGGAAGGAGGGTTTGGGTAATGCTAGTTCAGGCCTGTCATTTGTCTGGTGTTTTAGGACTTGGGCAAAATGGGGTTTGGTTGGTTCCGGAAATGATGAAGAATGAATGAAAAGGCCCTTTAGAACTTTTGGGATTACGAGGGAACCGATTGTCCCTTTTTCGCAATATACTGGATGATATCAGTCAAGTAGGAGTTTTAGTCGATCATTTCGGGAAAAGAACAGGTTCTCAACAACATCCTTACACCATTTTTCTTCTTTCATTCTGGGACTCGTGAAATCAGCAGTTTCTTTGCGGTTTCTTACGTTATTAATTACACTCTGGAAAAATCACAGAGTGTTTTCTATGAAGTTCTATCGTGTCCCTTTCTTTGTTTCTCGCCGTTCTGCTCGAGTCCTTTAAACCCCGAAAAAGAAAACCAAAAACACTTTTTGTCGAGATGCGATGATCCTTCTGCGAGACGCTAATGTTCACATCCAACCAAATCGTAACAAGACATGCTCAACATTCCATTCTTCCTGGAAAGGGATCAGTCAGCGAGTCACCCAGTCCGCGAATCGGCAAGAACCTTGACGATGGACCAACACACACACACACACACACACACACACCCCCCACCCCGGGATGCGCCATCACCGGCCCCGGAATCTCAAGAATCCCGCATCCAAGACTTGAAGAAGAACCGAAGCTTCAAGCTTCAAGGTCCGAGCAAATTTGAGGATCGACAGATCGAGGAGAGAGCCAAGTCTTGAGTGTTCGGCCTCGAGTCTCGGGTTTTGAAGAGTTCAAGAAATGACCACACGCACCACCCTCCTGACTCCGGTACGATCTTCTTCCCCCTTTCCCTGTCGTCGCGCCGCCCTCTCGCGCCGTTCCCGTCCGCGTTCGCGTTCGCGCTCCCTCTCCCACTCACGCTCCCGCTCTTTCTGCCGCGTCTCTATCTCCCTCGCCGCTCTCCACTTCGCGTCCCTCTCGCCGCTGGCCCTGACCACTTCCTCCTCCGCACCCCTGAGGCCTCTGTTGAGTCGGTCCAACTCACTCACCGTGGCCGTGAATGCGGCTTGGAAACCCTCGACGACACGCTTGGCTTTGTCGAGACGGGCCTGGGCGCGCGAGAGAGATGTCTTGGCGTCGTCGTCGTCGTCCACGGTGGAAACGGCGGCGGAAGCGGGGGGATCGAAAGTGGACGGTGGCGACGTTGGTCGCCGGTGACGGCGTCCGGCGTGCGACGGGGACGAGGCGACGACGCGGATCCAGTGGACGGATTCAACCGGCATTTCTTGACGGGTTGACCTCTCTGGCACCGACGCAAAGAAAATACGGGAGAAAAGTGAACGTGGTTCTTCAAAAACCGAGAGAACGAAAAAAAAAAAAACCAGGGCGAGTCCTGAATCGGTTTGATTGGGTTTGATCTGACCCGATCCGCCCTGATCTGGTTTGCTTTTGTTTTGTTTTGTTTTGGGTTGTTTTGGGTTGTGTTGGTTTGATGAAGTTGGGTCCGCGTCGATTGGAACTGTGAGTTGTGGAATCGAGCTGGGCTGAGCTAAGTGAGTGAGTGACCTGAGAGGCTTGAGCGAGTTGGGCGAGCGCTTCAAGTCGTGTCGGAGGAAATTGATATTCTCGGGGTGACGGCAACAAATGCTGGTACTGATGCTCTGAAAAGATTTGACCCAGAAGACGAAATGACAACTTCTCAAGACCCCGTGCCCTTGGAGAACTTGAGACTCAGACAGGCGTGAAGATGAAGCTGGGGCTGGAGGTGCCGATTGAGAACTGTCAGGATGAGAAGGGAATTTATAGGGGTTTCGACGCAGATGCACAAAAGCACGGCGTGCTGCACTGAATAAAGAGCATGACTGTATACATGTACGTCAGTCCGTGAGTCAGGAGTAAGTGAGCGATCGAGCGACTGGGTGAACTGCGTGCAACGCGGCAACTGACTTCTTTGACACGATCACAAAGAGAATCATTGGCGAATAACGCACGGCGGCTTGTTGTTGATTGCTGTGGATGCAATGCTGAGACTTGAACAAAGACGAAGAAAACCAAAACAGAACAGGGGCATTATAATAGCAACGGGTATATGGTAGATTCCCAGCATCGGGAATGAACCATGTCAATGAGACAAAACCGAAAAGTTGAATCAGAAACCCCTTAGTGCATAAATGCTTTCATGGTAATGATCATGTACATGAATTCAAAGGACTATTATTGTAGGGCTTATTATCGTATCAATATGTGCCCATTGCGGCATGACAATAAATGCTAAAAGTTGAGTAAAACTACTCTCTTTGTCTTTGTCATCACTTTTCAGATGACCGCATCACATCCTGCCAAAGCCGAGACAACAATGGATAGCCACATTTTGAGCACGGCTTGATGTCATGGAGGAACAGATCAAGACATTGCCGTCACACCATCAAAGCTTTGTCAATGAATTCATTCTTGCAAGACATAACCCATGTCAACTGCCGGGATGGACGTTCGGGAACTTCCGAGTTGATGAGGATGTAGGTAATCAAAAACCTTGGACTTAAGTACCACCACAAAGGCCGAACGCCGCAGCCTTGCAGAATTTTGTCTTTTCGGTCATCGCGGCAAGACGAATGATTGCATTGCAGAGGTCTCTGGCTTGCTTCTGTTCAGCCAATCACTGGCCCAAGATATGTCCGTAAAGTCCGCATCGATTCATTGACATGCATACGGTGGATCACCCACAGCCTGGTGAGTAGGAAAATAAAGGGTATATAACTCAAGGCATGGGAAGAACAGTAGAAGTCTGGCGATAACCCCCAGCGAGATATTTGAATAGTCTCCTCCTCGGCAAGCTGATGTCCATCATGGCATTCGGATTCGAAACAACCGGTGACGAGGTCATGGCCGCTTTCCCTGACAGAGTCAAGAACAAAACCAGCAAGTCATTGTCCTGAGGAGTTTGAAACTTTGCTGATAGAAATAGTCGTCATCACAGGGCCGAGCTGGGAGAGCATCGGAGCCGAAACTGCTATTACCCTCGCCAAAGGAAGCCCCGCGATGTTGGTCCTGCTAGGTCGAGATATCGAAAGGCTCAAACCTGTCATGGAGAAAATCCATGCGATTGATTCAGAGATAGTCACAAAGTTTGTCCAGATACACCTGGATTCCTTGAAGAGTGTGCGCCATGCAGCTCAGCAGATTCTCGAGGATAGCGCCATCGCCAAGATCCACATCTTGATTAACAACGCTGGGATTATGGCCTGTCCATACTCCAAAACTGAGGATGGTATCGAAAGACAGTTCGCAACGAATCATATTGGGCACTTCCTCTTGACGAACCTGCTCACGCCGAAGATTCTGGCCGCAAGTCCTGATGCTAGAGTTGTGAACGTCTCCAGTTACGGCAATGTTCTGTCAAACGTGCTCGAAGACCCAAGCTTCAACGATGGAAAGGAATACGTCTCTTTCCTCTCGTATGGACAGAGTAAGACTGCAAATGTCCTGATGGCGCTGGGGTTGAATAAAAGGCTTGGGCCTCGCGGCTTGAAGGCGTTTGCACTGTGTCCAGGAAGTCAGTAAATGTGCTCTTGGATTTACTGCGACAACACTCACGCATCACAGGTGTACCAACAAATCTCCGCCGCTTCATGAACCCAGACACGATGAAAGAAGGGGCCGAGATCATATCGAAGAGTCAGGCGGCAATGCCACAGCGCAAAACTCCGCAGCAGGGTTGTGCGACCACTGTCCGCGCGGCGATAGATCCTAACTTGAATGGTAGAGGCTCCCAACCAGACCGTCACGGAATGTTTGCTGACATAGAGATTAGTTGACCAGAGCATTTTTCTTTCGGACACTCAAGTAACATCCAGTCCAACCGTAGTGGCTCCATATTCCTTGGATCAGTCAAATGCCGACAGAGTTTGGACTCTAAGCGAGAAGCTGGTTGGCGAAGCATTTGAATATTGAAGAGGCGCATGTATCCAAAAGGGGAGGTCTTGCAACGATCAAGGACCGGCAGACTTGAGGTCGGCAACCCAACCGAGGGTGTTTCTTCTGTTGTCTGTTAGGCGACCGTATTCTAACAGAAGCCTGGCGACGTAGATTTGCATATCAACTTTTCTGAGAACCTTTGCGGCCCACTCACTGCCAGCTTTCGCAATTTGTTCTGCTTGGCTGTCATGCCCCTCAAACTTGCCAGCCGCACCGCACGTGTCCTCGTCGCAACCAATAAAGTAGGCCAATATGGCATAATAATCCGTGAAGCGATTGTTCATGGGAACAAAGTGCTTCCATGCAACGAGCCGAGCGTCGTGCCACTCGCGATACAGGGTGGATTTGATAGGAACAGAGTTACTCATGAGAAACGAGCGGTACCGTCCAGAAAAGGAGTTGCCATCGACATCGGGTAGGTATTTGGAAGCATACTGATCAGAGAGGCGCATGGTTGCACCAACCTCAAATTCGTCTGACAGGTACCAACATTGGCCTTCCTCGGTGTGAATATCACAGAACAGGTCTGTGAAGCAGACGTCGTTGTATTTAGTGAGCCATTTGCTTAAATTCTTCTGGATCTCACTGGGGAGCCCAGCGAGTGAAGATCGTTGTTGCAGAGGGGTAAAGATGCGGTCGGTGGTTTCGTCGGCCAGCGAATATTTGGTGCCATTCGTCAAGGCCACGAACCTGTGGCGGTGGAAATTGGGCCAATTCAGTGCATCGTGCCGCCCACCGGTTGCAGTTCCTCGCCAAATTGCTTTTACACTCTTGGAGGACCAAAGATGAGGGTCTTCGGACTCGAAATTTTCATTACCATTCCAGGTCATGGGGGCAGGAATCAGAATATCATTATTGACGGCAAATTTGGAACCGCCGAACATTGGCAGCAGTTCTTGGCTGGTTGATTTGGTCAAAGGGCTGGTTAATGCCCCGTGGTATGCGCCGATGCTCGGATCTTGGCACAAATCCGAGGCCAGGGTCCAGTTGCCCACGAAGCCTCCGACCATGAAGCTTTGAGGTCTCGGTTGATCATTTTTAGATGCCATGGCCCGATGAAGCATATTGGGCTCTGCTCGCAAGGGACTGTTCAAATCACAAGCGGCTCGTGCGAAAGATAAAGGAGCAGATTGGGACCATTCGATCTCCGACTGTGGCTCTCCCGGCTCTGCAGCCTCAGACCACCCTTGGACGACATCAGAGACTTTGTCATGGTGCGGCAAGACTCGAAACTCCCTTGCCTTCTCCAATCGAGCGTTGATTTCCTCGAAAGGAACCATAATCCTAGGTTCGTCCATGGCGTTGAGCGGGATCACCATGTCGGGAAGCAGATGCGCAACTTCGTCGATCATGTTGGCCCATATGACATGCCAGAACCAGCCAGTGTCGGCTTCGGCCTTGTGCTGATGCACGCGCACATGCATACCGAGGTTGCGGGCTTTCGCACGCATGTCATGAGGTGAAACGCTCCAAAACGGCTCCAAATCATGATAGATTTGATCGAAAAATTCCTCGACGATAACAGCATCGTTTCTCGATGCATATTCGAACCACCTGTCGAAACCTGGAGGTGGATGTCTTCCTCGGCGCTGGCGATATGCGTTTGCAGCATCCTCGAGGGTCTCCGAACGCTTCGCTACTAAGGCATCGAAAGCCTTGTCCGCATCGGCGATTAAAAGAGCTATCGGACTCGAACTTGCAGAAGTGCCGCCGGCTGGGGATGAATACCAGTCGGACAACGTCTGATTACCCAGAACGCTGGGCCGAAAATAAGTCAGCGACTCGTACAGTAGGACAAGAACGAAGGCTCCGACGACGAAAGAAAGGCGACTGAGTCGAAGCATGTTGAAGCCCGGCAGTGAGCGTGAGGTCGCTATCAGCCCACAGCAGTGATTGCCGCCCGTATAAAAGTCGTGAAGCAAGTTTGCCATGTTGGTGGTCAGAGGGTCTTCGGCTGTATGACTAGTCCATGCCTGTAAGCGTGCTAACTATGTTAGTATTGGTGTGCTTAGGCGATGTTCTAAATATGAGAAAAGCCACAGTGGCACTCCGGACTTCAGAGGGTGAGAGGAGCAATTGGGCCGGTGGAGGATGGAGCGAGAACTCAAAAAGGCTTGTGAGAGTTTTGGTTGTTGCTGTCCTGATACACGATCTCGACTTTGTTCAGCCGCCGAGATAATTTGTTGACAGCGATCAGGACCCGGAAATGCGTCTCCTGACAGGGTTGACTCGATACAAGGGTTTGATTACGAGTACTTGGGATCAGACCTGCGGCCCCGATAAGAGGATAGCTTTGCAGGCGGAAATGAAGGGATGCTGCCAACAGGGTTTGATGCAGGAGCCCGGCTTGGTCGCTGGGAGTTTAATGTCCCTTGACACGGCTGGTGAATCTGGATTGATCTGAAGACTGGCCAAGGAGACCTAATTGTCGACCGCCTGTACTCGTGGCCCGTGGACTGTGCGTACAGGTCCCTTGCACCGTGCGAGATCTGGAGGTTTTCATTGACAAAAAATTCTCCGGACCAACCGCAGCGTGGGTGGGCAGGACCGTGTCAGGGGCAGGAACATCCCACCGGGTGTGGGCAGAGTACAGTACAGTACAACCTGTAATGTGCGGAACTGGCGTCACTGGAAACTACTGTACTCATAAATGCTGAAACAATCGCGGGATCTAGTCTTTAGCTCTATGAGCTTTACCAGAAATAGTTTGGTTGAACCAGAGTAAGCCATCCAATTAGCTTGATTCTATGAATACGTGTAAATAGCGTCATTTTCATTACGCTCGTACTAGCTGTCATTAGATTAAATTATTCAGCGCCAAGTCGAGACAAGCACTGAGCACGTGATTATAGCCTTCACCTGGCGACTTTCCATGAAGAAAGAACCTCGAGATTCTGACGGGGAAACTACGCTCTTAATCACGTTCTTCGCGAGGTGACCATATTGACCTACTTACTCACTTTTAAGTATATTTTGTAGTGGCTATTACTTCTGCTGTAGCCTCAGAATATAATTTAGAATCGAAGCTTTTAGTAACAGGCTGTTAGGAAACGCCTCGAGTAACAGGCAGAGTGTCACGGTCTGCGGGCAGGTAGGAAGATAGGTATCCACCAGGTAGTGTATTTTCTACGTATAGCTATTCAACAGGCACAGGCAGCTTGCTGACTAGGTCGGGGTGGTTGACAAGGACGTAGCTTGCGTGAAAAGTGCGAAGCTCAGGAGTTCGCTAATCTATCGCTTGATCGCAGGTCCATCATCAAGTTATTCTCAACGTCTGCCGATTTGAACTCATCGATGAGAATATATTTCGGACGTTTTGAAATTGGACTGTATACACTACTGCATTCATCTCCCAACTACGGTCCTTGTTGAAAGGATACCCTTGCCAGCGGGAAGTTGCATTGGGCAAAAGCCCGACCCCCAAGGAGAAGCCAAAAAGCGTCAACACCTGAGCAGAGACAAAAGGGCGAGATCCAGTACTTTCACACTCCTCCAACTTGCCGAGCAGAGCTAGCTATCCTGATGCGCGGCGGAGATCCACGAGACTCGACTCCAGATTTCGTCGCCGACCTTTCAGGCGTCTCACCGGCGATCCTATTCAATTTCTCGGCTGAGAGTCCAGCCACCGTCGTGGCTGAGTAGATCGTCGGTAGAGGGCGAGTGATGTGATGCTCTATCACTTGCCTATAGACATTGTCGACAAAGGTCTTGAGAGCCACCTAGTTTCATGAGTTTTGAGTCGTCGAAAAGATAGGAAAGCTATACTTTATTAGTAGGCTCGTAATTCCGATAGTGCCTCAACACATGCTTGTTGAATTTTCACACCCTAGAAGATACAAAATCGATCTCGACGACCCCTCTTTTCATGTCCTTCTCTGTCACTAGAACCTGGCCATTATCGTCCACCTCATTTGATTCCACGTCGAAAAAATCCGTGAGCATCATATGTCCATTGCGGCTACGTCCACGTTCGCTTCACAGGTGCCTTTCAAGACCAGCCTCCACTCTTGTGTTTGCTGCACCTGGCTCATTGAGGCCCAAAGAGTCGCCATTCTCCCACATCACATCCAAAAAGAGGTAAGAGATTTTCCAGGTCTCGCCAACTTTTCGAAAGCTCCAGTAATAGTAGCCCCCTTCGGAAAAGTTCTTGTCGATGTCGTCCGAATGTACCCCACAAATGGCAAATAATGCAGACCGACCGTGGGCGACTGTGTCGCTTTCGAATGTCATTGTCATGTTAGACGACATGTGCTGGAAGTGGGTTAGAATTCGATGGCTGATAGTCAAGATTTGCAGGCAGATCTCACCAGCATTCTACTAAACCTCGTTTCCGCACCAAGGCACCAATCAGCAAGACCCTTGGTGCCATAGTGTGTTCCAAATGGAAATGTCACGATACAATCATCCGTAAAGAGCCCTGCCCAGGTTTGTGCTGCAGCATGGTGGACCATGCATGCATCCAGGACATACGCGTATTCGTCGAGAAGGGATACGAGTCTTTGTCGTTCGAACAGAAAATGTACCTTGTCATCAGCGCTTTGAGGGTTGGCCAAAGAAGAGTGCTCCGTTGGAGTCTTCAATTTGATCTGACGTCCGTCTGTTGGTGATGAACAGGCCAGAGGGTGATGCACGGGTAACAAAGCCGGTCTAGGCATGGTCGCGAATCACTCCAATGATTAAGCTCCTTGGTCAAAATCGGTAAATAAGAGAGGCGACGAAGCTTTCAGCGAAGGCAACTACACTGTCTGTCTCAGTTTTGTCCTTCAACGGCAAGGCTGATATGAGTACTCGATAGGTAGAGTGTGGGGAATTTGTGGACCTCAACATGGTAGAAATTCTGTGGGGAGAAGAGTGGGAGAATTTCATCCCGCGGATTCCTATTGGCAGTATGGTCTTAGGCCATCGTACACAGCCAGATCCACTCCCTATGCAGGACTCTCGACCATGGTGACAATTTTGAGGGTGGCAATATGCGACTAACCCTGTTCTCCCAGGTGTTGGAAGAAAAATGAGTCCACTTCCTGTGTCCACTGGGCATTGAAACCGGGTTCTTGCGCCAGGTCGCCTGTGGCATACTTCTCGCTGGCAATCGCACCAGAAATGTGATCGGAAGAGGGCCTGCCAAAGTCAAATGTCGGGACGTCGAACCCGTGCACAAAATCCAGAATCTGATCCGAAGGTGATCCAAAATGCGGCAGTCGGATGTCGGTTTGGTAGCCAGGATCATCTCCATTCCTTTGGGCGTCGTCGAACGAGGCCATGGCTTTGTTGAGTAAGATTTGGCCTTTCTTGATTGACTCGGGTGCGGATGCTAGGGCATCTTGATGGACAATCAGGAAAGCAATTGCCGTTTGAATGGTTGAAATGACAGTGGCGTAATCTGGTGCGGTTTCAGGCAGAGTATCACGGACTGCCTGGCTGGTAACGTAGAGCAAGAGTGTGATTGTCGCGTTCCAAAGATAGCCAGCTGAAGGCAAAAGAGCTGCCTGAAGAGTCCCTGAACTGCCTGGGTTGATACAGGTTGTGGTGGTCTCAATCAGTGATATAGCCATCACAATGCACCTAGCGGCTGCTGCGATCAGGTCCTCCGGGATCATCTTGGCAGCCTCTTTTTTCTGCACGACGAGGTTGAGGAATGCCCTGTACAGCAAAATTCGCAGGTTCAAGTAGCCTGTACGAAAACATTGGGTTAACGGTGTTCATACGTCCACAGAGTGTCATACGCAGCCGGAGTATCAGCCCATGAGGTTCCTTGGCCCAAATCGAATTCTCAGACCATTCATCGTACCAAGTGCAAAGAGCCGCGTCGGCCATTTTGAGTGCCACGGTCCGTTCTGAGACACTGGTGTGTTTGTATTCCAAAGAGTAAACCTGTTCATATGCATCCCAAGCCAGGTATGAGAACTGTCGCATCCTTTCGAGGTACTGGAAATCAATCGGTGATGAGTCCAAGGAAAATGGTCTGACATCAACTTCTCGGGGTTGAATCCCGCAGGGTCGACCAGAGAGAGCAGCGAGTTCGCTAGGCATTGTCAGAAACACGGCAATCTTTGACGGCTCTCGGGACTTACGTTTCATAGGTGAATAGACACCTGGAATAATCAGCTTGTATCGCAGTAATCAGATTGCTGACTTACCACCACGATGCGCACCAGCCATTAGCGTCTGCGTTTGGACCGCCCAAAACAATGAGCTCCCTGTGCATACCAATAGCATAGCCAACTCGTGTTGCAACCCCCATCATGGCGTAGGCTTCGTGGAGTCTCTGTTGGTTATACAGCCACGCAAACTGAAGAGTTAGCAACGGGTAATCTGACCTTGAGCCTACTTACACCAAGAAACAAACTGTTGACACTTGACATATCACCAGATGTGAAGGAGACATCGGTAAGAACAGCCTTTGCCAGGTTAAAGCAGACTTCGCCATGATTAGAATTAAGCGCGGCCTGTCGCACTGCGGTGTCTGGATCGACCATGCTACATTGGTGGCCATGAGCCAGTACCATGTACATAACCGCTATCCAAAGTTCATAGCCTCTTCCTTCCGTCGGTAGTCCTTCCCAGAAATTTCGATACCTCTCCATGAACGTTTTTTGATTGAGAATTGGGTAGATGCGATGGGCAGTCTGAAAGTATCGATTTACATACTCGTCAGCGACAGGCCTGGGAGGTAAGGAGGAACCGGATGCATTGGAAAGACGAAGATTCGGCGAAACGTGTATCCATTGCTGTGCCGGTAGATCTGGCCTCATCGATGAGTCGTGCTTCTGTGAGATCTGGCTAGGGGCTTCCACCGCGCTGATAATGGCGTTTGAAGACGACCCGCCGTAGAATTCTGGGTTTCTCGTTGAGATAGTCAGAAAGTTCACTCCACGTAAAAGCTGGCTCATGTCATCGTCGGGTCGCTGGCTTTCTGGGAGGTAGTCGTAGATCTGACCAAGATGGCGTGGTGACGAAGTTGTGGCGCCATCTTTCTCAGATTCTAGATTCTCATACTCGCGCAGTCTGTTCTCTAATTCGGAGATCCGTCTGGAGTATAAGTTGGCAAGAAGAATCAATGCACAAATAGAACAGCCGCTTACTTGAGTGCCCTAGCCAGGGTCATCTTCCCCGGGGGTTGAGCATCGCCGCCGTAATCGCACGGAACTGATTTCTCGACACATGAACTGCAAGGACTTTGACCATTGCACTATCCTGGGATATTAGTACATAGCATGCTTCTCGGTGACCCACCAACCTTGCGGCGTAAAACGCGACAATATGAACAAGCCTGTTCAATCTTGGTTCGCTTTGGATTTGATTGAGGGGATGTTCCCGCAGCGCTTGGAGGGAAAATCGTCTGATGATCTCGTTTACTGTTTGGGGCAATATTTCTCATCGGCTTCATGTCCGCTTGGAGAGCTCCATGCTCGATGCGTCCTCCTGATGTGAGTCTGAATTCGGGGAAGAGAGTCTAAGAGTCAGAGTCCAGGTCAAGGTTGGGCGGGAAGAGGCCGGGGCTGCCAAGAGGTTGTAGCGGCGTGACGCGAAATGCGTCAGACTACTAACGAGAGGCTGGCCGCTATAAGAACAGCAGCAAATTGGTCGGAAACATCCTACGCCAAAATTACAACCATTCGACCTTCATGAGATGCGAACTTCATCGACCGTATGGAACAGGTTGTCGGTATTCACGATACTGACGGATTTTAGTGTTGACTACTAATGCACAAGAATTTGGGCACTACCTCTCGAAGAAGACGACAAGTTTGATTTGGCTGAGCTGAATATTTATTATGGACTTCTATATCAGAGGTGGCCTGATTACATTCACATAATCGCAGCCCTTGGATGATGATGAGTCTTGCATCCTCCCACAATAATCCCAGAGATTCTGATTTCAAGCAGTGACTGCTACTTTCCTAAAGCTGAGGTTTGTTGTTCTCCTCCAGATGGTGTACCTCTTCTGCCTTCTCCGTCAATGTGTGCGTCACAGCCCGATCTTTAATGAAGAGTGTATCGATCTCCTCAAGAGTCAGTCCTTTCGTTTCTGGGTATAGGAACCAGACTGTGACTTGGTCAGTGCCTGGATTGTCATCGTGGACGGTCACAACTTACCGATTGGCAGTTGAATGAAGGTGAAGATTATGAAGACAATGTACAACCGCCATCCGATGTTCGCTATCCCAATCGGTCCAACCTTGACGATGATGAATGTGAAAGTCCCTGGTCGATGAGCAGTCTTGTGAGAAGGATTCCAGATCGCGACTTGGGTTTCTTACAATTTGTGAAGGCGTTGAGAGCACCACCAACGTGACGATACTTGACTGGAACTAGTTCGGGCCCAATGCACCAGGGTCTGCGTGGATGATCAGTTGATATGCTTAACAAGAAATTTCTTCCACTTACGCTGGCAACCAACTCCAACCAAATGCCAAACAGATCAGACATGTAGCTCCGAAAGCCACCCATAGCTGGGTACTTCTGCCATCTTTCACCATGGGCAGATAGATGCAGTACCCGATCAACATTGGTATGGTGCCGGAGATCAAGAGCTTCTTGCGGCCGATTCGTTCGATAAATGCAATCCCAAACAGTGACCCAACCCAAAAGCTAATCGAGGCAACACCGCCTAGAACCAGCGCAGTCTCGGCAGATATTCCAAGCTGCAGGAACACGGTGCTGGAGTAGTAGATGACGATGTTGACGCCGGGCAATTGCTGAATCATCTGGATGATACAGGCCAATGCTATTCGGATCGGTATCTTCTGACCTGACTTGTCGTAGAAGATTGTTTTCAAATTATACTCTCCAAAGTGTTCCTCCAGCGCAATTGCGGCGAGGATTTCCGCACGCTCCGCCTGTACAGCCTCATCCTCGAGGGGCAGACCTTTGAGGGCCGACATGACTTCATCAGCTTCTTCGTGTCTGCCCTTGGAGTAAAGATATCGCGGGCTCTCCGGAAGCCAAGTAAGTGCAATTACGGTGAAAATGGCAAAGACAGCCTGGAACGCTATATACTACCTATCAGCTTGACATGATTTGCATAGGATCTCACTCACCGACTGGGAACCGCCACACGATTTGCCCGGTGAGATGGAAGAATCCGTAGCTGTGGAAAGTGAGTTAAATGTGTATTCCCAAGGGTATGTAGGAAGATACTGACTTCATCCAGTATGCAATGACAATCCCAAAAGCCGCAATGCTCAACTGTGTGGCGACAAGCTGTCCTCTGTGCTTTGCCTTGCTTGTCTCGGAAACCCAGGTTGGCACAGTGCCAGTATTCATCCCGTTTCCGATACCCTAGATAGCCATGTCAGTAACCTTAAGACTACCGTAAGAGGGCCACATCTACCGAGACAATTCTGCCGACAATCATCTGCGCAACACTGTACGAAGCGGCTTGCAGTACCGCTCCTTGTAGCAGTCAGCATTGTATAAAAGTCGCCCAAGGTTGTCTTACCAATCACCATGATGCCCATCCCAATTGCAATGGTGCGTCTGCGCCCAAGAGCTGACCCCCAACCTGCAGCAATAAGGCAGCCAACCATGCAGCCAATATCGTAGATTGACACAACCGTCGAGATAGTATCGGCGTCATCAGCCTGTAACTTATTCAGCTCGATCGTCTTTGTTTGGAGTCTGAGAATCTGCCAACCTTGACGTTTATCGCCTCGAGAAAATACGGTGTGCTCACAATGCTTCCCATAATCCCTTGGTCATAGCCTATCTCCAATCAGCTGAAGAGGTTCACGAAAGTATTTTACACCACTTACCAAAGAGTAGGAATGCACTGGCCGAGCACAGGCTAATTGCCCATGACAATGCCGTGCCCTGAAGGCCCAAAAACTTTTTCGAAGGCGACAACATCGGCGAGTATCGTTCACGATCGAAAAGGTGAGTTCTGGTATCGTTCCGGAGAAGTTGACCGCATCTTCCTCCCAATATATAGGAGAACACAACAGGTCGCGGGGATCGCCTCCAAAAGTCTGGGAGACCTGAGATAAATCTGGGTCGACGCCGAAGAAATTTGGGGCAGCAGAAACATGGGGCCCCATCTGGACTCATTCCGCAAACTCCAATTGGTTGCAGTTTCGCTCCCTGCGTTCCCATTGGAATATGTTTGATACCACCTACAATATGTCAACTCCGCGAAGTTCAGCTAACCCTCAACACCTCCAGCGATGCTCTAGATGCGTGGGGCAATGGCCCGCTCAAATACTTGTGGCGACTTTAAAAGTACAGTGCTATATCCGAGACCTGATGAGATGAAAAGTTTTCAGCACAGCCAAAGACGAAGTTTCGACCTTTCCCGGGACATAACAAGTGAGCCATTGTCTCTCCGTTGCTGAACTTGAACCACGACTGTACAGCCTTTGCCTCCGGCGCCACCATTCAATACCCATCAAAACATCACTTCGAACCTACCATGTCCCAGCCTGGGGACTTCGCTGCAGAGCTCTACTCTCTCAGAGACACGGTCCGATCTCTTCAGCAATCGTTGTCCAATGTCCAAGACATCCAGGCGGTCCAATGGCTGCTAAATCACTACACAGCGCTCCACGATGAGGCGTGCTTCGACCTGAACAAGCAACAAGAATGGGAGAACCTCTTCGCCGAGGATGGTGTCGCCATCTACCCCTTCGGGCAGCACAAGGGTCGCGAGGGAAAGGGTGCATGGGCTTTTGGCGGTGTATCGTATTTCGAGCGGTGTCAGCTGCTCAGCAGCAACTTTGACATCACCTTCGGCCCCGGACGGAAACAGGCTCATGTCCGAACGAATTGCATCGCGCAATGGATGAAACGAAAGGACGTCTACCATGAGCATTTCGACGAGGGCGGGTTCTACAACTGGATCCTGAGAAAGGACGATAGTGGCCAGTGGAAGATCCAGCAGGTCAAGCTGACCATCACTTGGACCACCGGCGACGATCCAACGGGTGTGGGACCTAAGAGCAAGCATTCAGAGATGCTGTGAGACAAGGTGGAGTGGACAGGGCCGAATGAGTACGCAAGGTACTGTGAACTTGAGACCATGAGAGCACTCCGACATGATGGCATCAGGGATATAAAATTATACCCGAAAGATCAAAATTGGCGAGTTCAGAGTAATTGCAACGCACTCGGATCGGATAATTGTAGCATTTGGGGCATCATTGTGTTTGCAAACTTGAATACTCGCTTCGTCCTGATCCCACCTCCCAAATGCATTTGAAAGCTTTTCTCGGCTCTTTCACTAAACCTTGCCTATTTTGGTGCTTGAATCTCTCAGAACGCTTGCGATGTCCTCCTTCAGCACCCCCTTTCTCCTTTATTCAGATTAACGCGAAGTTCCCGTTCAGTGGAGGTCCCTAAGTGATATGATTGATCTGTGGCGTCGCTTTGGAGGAGGTGTTGTTAGGTGCCTAGCTGGAGTTTTTTGCGTCAACCTCAGTGTTGTTGTCGTCTTTGATAGTGTTTTCGTCTCCACCGGCATAAGTGTCGAGATTGGTCTTTTCAGCTGCCTCCTCTTTCAACTTTTGCTTTGTCGCCTGAAGTAGTTGCTTGAAGTCTTCTCGCCCCTTGTTGTCGAACCCAAATCTGGATTCGAGGGCATCGTGCAAACGGCGGAAGGCTTCTGGTCCACGCACCATCTGCTCTGTCTGTTCAGGAGTCAAAACGGACTTATTCTGAGGAGTAGATTTTGAAGCCATTGTGTATTATCAATGGGCAAGGTGACTTACAGGAGCCTCCGACCTCGATTCTTCGGCGGAATGTTTTTCCGCCAGCTTTGTAAAGGGTCAACGTCAGGCGAATCTGCCGCAGCGTTCCATGAGTCAGCACCTAATCTGAAAGGTCTGCAGCACTGTTATAGCTATTCCCTGCCCGCAATCACATATAACCGGAAAGAGAAAATAAGGGTGACTGTCTAGTTGCCAGATTTCTGCACGCCACCACCCACAATAGCGGGACTGATCTGCACGGCACCGATCAAAGGAAAGCTTCGGCCGCGCACTCTCCGTGTGTACTCTTGACCTTTGGCAGTAGATGGTAAATAATCGATCCTTCGATAGGTCATCTTCCTTCTAACGCAAATTCTCTCGCATTCAAGCGTCTTGAACAGGCAGCCCTGCTATGTTCGTCCTACCAGGTGCAACATGCTTGGATTTGGTTTCCTTATCCTGCAGCACTGCAGCTTCCTCTAGTCGACGCCGCCACTACTTCTCCGTCTTCGACCGAGATTAAATTAGACATAAATGGCCGGTCGGGCGCGGATCATCACAGGCGCAGGCGTCATCAGCGGCACGATGCGTCAGCGACATTGCAGAGTCTGCGGCACCAGCACTATTGATCGCTCCATGGTGTCACGGTGCCCGTGTTGGTTGTGGCATGGGTTGTGACCGGCATACGCCCTTATACTGACTGTACGGTCCGGGCTAACTGATTAGGTAGGTTAGCCGGGGCTGGACTGCATCTGTGTTGTCTGTTTACATCTGAACGTAGCTTCTTGAGCTACGTCCCCGTCTTCCTGCCGACCCTACCTGGGGTTTACAGACTGTTCGTATATAGCTCTGATAAGAATACACATCAATATCACCCTGTCCGAGATCACTCCGTGACACATTGGTAACGCCCGCAACTCAGCCTAGTTCAACAGTAAAAGTATCTCGCACTTCCGAGAGGCCCATAGAAAGACGTCAAGCCAAGCTAATAAACGCTGTTCAAATGACATACGCATTTCTTAGAACAAGATATAGCTTTTCCAGATGATAAATTACAGTTAAATATAATTGGACTGTAAGAATACTGCGCGCTTAACTGTAGTAAGTAAAGCCTCGACAAATGTGGACAGTTCATAACTTTATTTATCTAGTTCAAGATTACCAAAGGTGACGCCAGTTCCGCACATTGCTGTACCTTCCCCTAGTAACTGTAACTTCAGTACCTGCAAGTACCCCCATAAACAGTACCTTGGGGGATCTTTCGCTCGGCTCCCTCACTTAGGCTGGGTGGACACGGTGACACCTATCGGACCTTATTGGCAGTGCCGATGGGCCCCTGCTACCGTCGCTTGGGGGGGCTCATCCCGCCTAAGCAGATTTAAGTCAACAGCCTAAATGGGTGCCTAAACCGAATCCACGATGCCTATAGACCCTACCTAGGTACAAGTACCTACCTAACCTAATCGAAGGCACCGCCGGTAGCTTTCAGGGATGGTCAATTTCTAAGACACAACCAGACACTCATCAACCCTGCTCTCTCTTCCTCTACTCCATCCTATTATTGTACTCTACTGAGCACGTTGCAGCTACTCAGGGGCACTGAGCGAGTCTTTGAATCTCATTTTCCCCTCCTCGTTTTCTCATGCTTACCTTGTAAGCTATTTACGGCGACGTGGACAAAGCCCTTGTTGCTACGCGCGTCTCCTCCCCACCAACCTCGTAAAAAATTGCTTGGGGCGCATAGGAATGTGTCCAGAGATGCTGTGACGCAGCAGTGACAGTTCTTTTCCCTCCATCCACGTCAGGCTTCAGCTCGAGCGACTCTCCAGAGTTAGATCTGCATCGTTGGGCGTTTGAGAAGATTCTAGCTGTGGAGACTCCCTGCGAGTCTGCGACCCTGACTGACTCCTCAACCGAATCCGCACCTGGCAGATACTCGGATTCTGCCTCTGCCCTATTGCAAGGCTGCAAGGTTCATTTCTGTCCAACCGGCTCGCGAACTTCCAATGTCGGTGCTATCTCTCGGCTCGCGCATGAATGTGCATTGGCGGGTTCTGCTCCTGATCTTCGTGGCCATCATTTCCTCCTACACCATCTTCCACACTTCGGCGCCAACACATCTCAAAGATGGAATCAGCCACATCCTCCCATCCTCGTCCTCGACCTTAACATCATCTCCGTCCGGCCACGGAAAACAACATTTCACCAAGCCCGATGGAGTCAAAGTCATTGGGATGGTCTTTTACGGCCGTCGTGACCGAAGCCAGATCCTCCACTGCTTCCTGATGCACAACCTTGTTGACAATGGAGGATGGCTCGATGAAGTCCAATGGATTCGCAATACCGACAACGAAGACGACCTGAGGTATCTCGATGAAATCCTCACCCAGACTCCTCGATACAAGCAGGTCCACCAGGAAAGGACCAAAGACCAAGGCTACAGCGATGCGTGGTCCAAACTCGAGCCGGGCCAGATCTATGTCAAGATCGACGACGACCTGGTCTGGATGGCCGACGATGCCATCCCGCGCCTCGTCACCACCAAGATCCAACATCCCGAGTACCTCGTCGTCTCCGCCAACATGATCAACTCGCCCCTACTGGGCTGGCTACACTACCGCATGGGCGCCGTACACCCTTACCTTCCCGAATACACCTCGTCTCCCGAATCTGCATCACCGTACGAAGAGACCTCGCCCTCCGCACGTTCGGATCAAACCCAGAGTGTGCCTCGTGTCTCATGGAAACACGTCAACCACCCCCCTTGGACTGGGCCTGACAGTTTTACTTTTCCACACGAGGAAGTACCACCTCGACAAGGCCACGCATGGTTGCGACTGCGCGAGACCGCAGAATCCCGTACGGCTCAACTCCGCCGTACACCCATCGTCAACACCACTTACGAAACATGGGGGCCCGGACTCAAATCCTGGGCCATCGCAGCCCAACACCACTACTCGTTCCTGGAAAACCTGCACGACGACAACCTGCACCTCTACCAATTCGGGCCCGACTCCAAACCGTGGATTTCCGACTACGACCGCCTCAGCATCAACTTCATCGCCGTCAACTCCACGGAGATCCTAAGCCATCTCCCCATCCCCGACGACGTCGTCGACGAGGAATGGTTGACCGTCACATTACCGAGACAAATCGGCAAGAGCGTCGCCGTGGATACTCATGCTCTGGGTGTACACTTCAGCTTCTTCTTCCAAGGAGACCTTACTTCGACGGATCTGCTAGGTCGGTACCTCGACTATGCCCAGGAAAATGTCTGCGTGAAGTGAAGTGATGATGAGCTGTGATACTACTTGAGATTGAAAGGGAGGAGAAGCTATGTGGTGGTGGCGGTCGTCGTCGTCGTCGGACAATGACGACCTCTACTTCCGATCTCCGCCACGAATCATGGAACCCTGGAACCAGCCCACCGTTGCCGCATCGAAGTCTCAGAACCATGTACGAATTTCTGAATGCATCCAATGTCAGAGAGAAAGAGAGAGAGAGTACATACAATTAAAGCGGGTTTCGGACTGGGCAATGTCTTCCACTATCAAGATTCCACTTTCGAACGGATCGTGTGTATGGCCTAGGACGAAGAACGGTGGAATGCTGGACCGTGAGACTAATGGACGAAGGACGACAGACAGGCAGATAAACTAGATGGTCGCACTGTGTTGTGCTATCATATTGACCTGTATGTGTACACACCAATGATCATCTACCGATCAAGCGGTGGATATCAACCACCATGCAAAGCTAAGGAAGGCCCTTGAAGGACTTTAAACGTCCTTAGGACTCTTTCGGGGCTGTTTGCACGTCAACCTAGTCATTGGAACGACGGCAGAAAAAATGTACTATTACTTACTGTACCTTACTAAATGCAACTGCTTCTAAAGAGCGATAGAAAAATTTCCAATTTCTACAAACATGATTGCAAATCGCTCACCATGGTTGTCGTCTTTGCCCTGAGCCGTGATCATCAAAAGCCGGGTGTCTGATGCCGTCTGCTTCCAATCCGTCCCTGATCCGACTGATGGTGGTAGAAGTTCCGACTGATTCAGTGTAGCTGCTCAGCCATAGTGAGGACTGTCACTATCAAAGGACTCTTATCGGTGATTCGAACAGACGAGGTATCAAACACCCAGGGAGCCGGTATGGGATCCTACAAGAGTTGCAGCCTGCTTTACAGTCGAGAGCTGCATCCACGTAAGTATCACAGGGGTTCAAGGGCACGTCGGCCCCACCAAAGGAATCACTGCACCATTTTTGGGGGCATGCTGTGGTACTGGGGTCTTCGACTCCATCGTATGAGCGGTGCAAAAAGCGTCAGCTCGTGGTTGAACGCATACCTATCTGGGTGAGACACCCGGATTGCCCGGCGGAACACGTGCAAAAGGCCAGAGTTTGCGGATCATAACTGGGAGAGCAGGCCGAAAGCTGTCGAAGATTGTAGTATTGGAGAAAGAAGATAAACAGCGCTGCGACGAGAGAACGCCAGATTACTTGTCCGGAAGGAGGTAGCGACGGGACAAGATGACGATAAGCAATGAGAGCAGCTTGTCTTTTTCGTTTAAATAGTAGTAGATCGCACTGCGAGCGGAGGTTTGTTAGCAGGTAATGGGGCTTAGATTGAAGTGCGGTGAGTCCTCAACTCTTGAGGCCCTCAATATTGCTCGGTGGGAGAAAATACAATACAATACAATACGAGTAAGCGACCCAATGGATCGGGTCGCAGCCTCGCGGTCTCAGCCACAGCCTCAGCCACAGCCTCACCAGCCTCATCAACCCCTCCAGGCGCCGGGACTGTACGAGTACGACAGTCGTGAGTCTCCAAGAAGAAAAAACAATAAAAAAAAATCCACCATCGACCCCTCATTGCAGTGGTTGATTGAGCCGCCCGATACGGAGCAAAACTACAGTATTAGGTCAATCGTGGAGTTTGCGCCAGTCCACTTTTTTACTACGAGTACTGCTGGTTGAATTATGAGTCGCAACAGTCAGTGTCTGTTGAACTGCGAACTGTGATTGTCACCTGAAAGAGCTGCCACTTTGTTGTATGCAACTTGGTGACCAAGACGGGGAAGCTTCCTTCTTTTCCTCTTCCTCTCTGCCTCTCATACCAGCTCGCACAACTCCTTCCTACGCCCCATACCTACCTACCTAGCCTCAGTCCAGGCCTTGATTTCCTATCCCTCTTACCCTGAATCCTAACCGCATCGCCATGCCGGTCACCGTCGTTCTCGGTGCGCAATGGGGCGATGAAGGCAAGGGCAAGCTGATTGACATCCTCGCCCAGTCGGCCGACATGGTCTGCAGGGCTGCTGGTGGCAACAACGCAGGCCATACCATCGTCGCCAACGGCGTCACCTACGACTTCCACATCCTGCCGTCCGGCTTGATCAACCCGTCCTGCAAGACCAACCTCATCGGCGCGGGCTGTGTCGTTCATATCCCAAGCTTTTTCAAGGAGCTGAAGGCACTGGAAGACAAGGGGCTGCAGGGAGTGCGCGATCGCATCAAGATCAGCCACCGTGCCACCGTCTGCTTCGACCTCCACGCCGTCGTCGATGGCGTCGTCGAGGACCACCACAAGAAGATCGAGGAGGGCAAGGGCATGATCGGCACCACTCGCAAAGGTATCGGCCCCAGCTACGGCGGCAAGGTGACCAGAAAGGGTGTCAGTCTGTGGATGTTGGTCAACGAGGAGCAACAGTGGGAGAAGAAGCTGAGGGAGTTGGAAGCGGAATGCCGCAAACTCTACGGCGACGATGCGCTGCAAGGCTACGACGTCGAGGACGAGGTCACGAGACTGCGTGGCTACCGTGAGGAACTGCGTAAGTACGTCGTCCACCAGGTGCCCCTGCTCGCCCAGGGACTGGGTCGGATGGGGGTGGCCGAAAAAATCCCAGAGGGTGAGGCTGCTCGGCAAGCCAACGTTTTAATCGAAGGCGCCAATGGCGCGCTTCTTGACATCGACCACGGAACTTACCCCTTCGTGACGTCCAGCAACACCGGCCTCGGTGGTGTTCTTACCGGCCTTGCGGGCGTAGGTCCTCGGACTCTCACCGCCCCCGGTAGCAACGTCGTCGGTGTGGTGAAAGCGTACACGACGCGCGTCGGTTCTGGGCCTTTCCCGACAGAACTGTCGGCGGCCATCTCCCCTGTCGATGCGGACTACGGTGTCAAACTGCAAGAGATCGGACGGGAGTTTGGCGTGACCACCGGCCGAAGACGGCGGTGTGGATGGTTCGACCTGGTTTGCTTGAAGTACTCTGCGTTTTTGAACGAATACACACAGTTGAATCTGACGAAGCTCGACGTGCTCGACACCTTCGACGAGATCAGAGTAGCGACGAGCTACAAGCTGGGCGGTGTCGTCATGGACGACTTCCCCGTGGCCCCGGAGGAGTTTGAGAAGCTGGAAATCACATACAAGACCTTCCCTGGCTGGCAGACGAGTACCACGGGATGCAAATCCTTTGAGAGTTTACCGGACAAGGCTAAAGAGTACGTGGAGTATATTGAGCGCGAGCTCGGCATCCCGATCAAGTGGATCGGCACAGGTACGTTACTTTCCCCCCTTTTGGAGCCAATGCCCAGTACTGACCGTCATGCGCGTATAGGCCCTCGCCGAGAAGATATGATTGTCAGGTAGATGCCGCGTATAGAAAATGGAAGCCACACGAGGAGACGGGAGCGATCTGCGGATGCGTTCCGTTGAAGAATGTTTGCATTTGTACATATGCGGTCTTGGGCGGCCAAACTGCCACTCAGAGGGAAGGTTCAAAGAATGCTTGAAGGCATGGGTATCTTACTATTTCGCCGCGCGCGCTAGAATAGACTGAAACTGAGAAAACTGTGTGGATCTCTGTTTGCTTCTCACAAGACCGCAACCACACCTGCAATCGCAATTACCGCGGCCGCAAAGCTTCCCACTTGTCGTGGATCAGATGCGGCGTTGCCCGTTGCCGAGGCGCCTTCTGCGTTCGTCGACGAGGCTGAGCTACCTGTCGTAGTAGCGGATGAGTCTGTCGGGGCCGAGGCGCCCGACGTGACGACTGTGCTGCCGGATATGACGGTGGTGTAGACGAAGCTACCAGAGGAGGAAGGGCCGTTGGTGGTGGTCGCAGTCGCAGTCGCAGTCGCGGTGAATGGAGCTGTTCAACAGGAGTAGGATCACGTCAGTCGTGAAAAAGTACAGTGCAGGAGGAAAAGGTGCTACGGATGGGGGAAAGATGAGGGAGTTTTCGTCCGCCGGATCGACCATGTCTTTGGCAATCAAAACACATGTCCACCAGAGGAGAACTGGGACGACCAAAAGAAAACGTACCGACGCTAGACCCTGCCGCGGAGCATGTCGCGATGAAAGCAGACTGGGCCGCGGACTTGTTGGTGGAGCCACTGCAGAGGCTGTTGATGGCAGACTGGACCTCCGTGGCTTCGTCGCCGCAGATGGACGAAAGGTCGGTCGGGTTGTCCTGAGTGTTGACGGCGCTGAGGAGACAGCCTGGAGGTGTGGCTGCCAGGGTGCGGGTGCCGAAGAGGGCGAGAAGTGTTGGGAGCACGAGTGAGGCTTTCATTGTGCGTGTGTCTGCGGGAGGGTATGATGCGGTGGTGTGCGAGATGTATCCGTGGCAATGACGGTTTCCTTTCTTCTTTTCTCTCCGAGGAGGCGGATGTCTAGCGCGGCGAGAAGATACCTCACTTTTGGGATGGGGTTTTGGTTGGTGCTCCTGCGAGCAACTCGAGTGGTGAGCGTGAAGATGTTGGATGTTTGTGTTGTTGGCCGACTTGACGCGTCGGTCAGGTAACTCAGGTGAAGTGAAGTGAAGTGAAGCGCAGCCAAGGCGTGCGTGGAAACCGAAGCACGAGAGAAGATTAACAGTTTTACACGTTCCGTCAAGGAGTGGTGGAATGGGGTTTGGTGTCTCTAATAGACCAGACGTTGAAGGAGTGTGTACAGGAAAAAAAACAGAGAAAAAAGAAGACAACGCCTGGGCTCTTTGATGGTGGTGGTGGTGGGAACAACGAAAAGACTGCACAATGAGTGTGTTTGGGTTGGTTGAGATGCTGGGAGATGGTTGAAGCTGCGGTTCTACCATGATCTCGCAGTCTTCGGTCTCCGGACTAAACGACCCCTGGATTTCAACTGATTAGAGTTTCCGCCTCCAAAACGGGTCTGGGGCACGTCCACACACGTGACAACGCTAGACCATATCAGGACAGCATGACGTTGCCTCTTTTCCATGGCGAAGTTGAGAGATTGATCGGCACATGCGAGTGCGTGTTCGACATCCTGCGGCTGATAAACGAACTACAATTTGTACACGCGCTCAGGGAAGACCAAGTGCTCCTTGGAGCCTCTCGAGCCCCGGCATATCAAAGTACCTCGTACGATAAACCCCTGGACTCGCTGTAACACCACACCAACGACGGTAATTCATATGACGATACAGCACGAAAACCAGCATCTTATCTAAGATGGCTTTGATGTGATCCACCGACAATATCTGAATCCTATTAGAACAGCAGAGCTCTTGATTCGGACGTTTCCTGAGGCTTCCATCATCCCTCCTCGATAGGAGAAGCCGCGCTTTACTGGGATCCGGTACAGCGTCCGTCCGGTTAAAAGCATATACCAGGGCATTCTACGTACCTGTCTATTCTTATTCTCTTCCTCTGGTGAAGCACAAGACAGCAACCGCCTCTTTACCAGCATTATGGAGGCGCACGTTCAGCGTCTTGTCGACAAGACATGGGGTAAGCAAGCATGCCTCGCTGCGTTCATGACCTCATATCTGCCTTCTTCTTTTCTCTCTCTCTCTCTCTCTCGTCACCTCAACCGAAAACATCCATCCTCGTTGTCCTGCGATTCTTTCGTCGTAACCGCACAGATGACACGTCGTCGTACCTCTCACCCTAACTAATTCATACCTACGTCGCAGAGAAGTTCTCCGACTGTGACCTTTCTCAACGGCTCCTCATCGCCGTCGCAGGGATCCCTGGGAGCGGCAAAACCACGCTGGCGGCATCGGTCGCGCGCGGGCTGAACAAAGCCTACCGGCAATCCCGGCACGCGCAGTTCCCCAACAGCCCCGAGTCGGACACGTCGTGGCCGGACATCGCGATCGTGGTGCCGCTGGACGGCTTCCACCTGACGCGCAGACAGCTCTCCGCGATGCCGAACGCCGAGGAGGCCATATTCCGGCGCGGGGCGGCCTTCACGTTCGACGCTGACGGCTACCTCGACCTCGTGGCGCGGGTGCGCCGGCCCATCACGCCCGAGACGCCGACCGTGTACGCGCCCAGCTTCGACCACGCCGTCAAGGACCCCGTGGCCGACGACGTGGCGATCCCGCCCACGGCGCGCATCGTGCTCTTCGAGGGCCTGTACACGGCGCTGGACGCCGACGCGTGGCGCGACGCCCATCGGCTGATGGACGACGTGTGGTTCGTCGACGCCGACATCGAGACCGCCACGCAGCGCGTCGCCGCCCGCAACTTCGCCGCCGGCATCACCGACACGTTCGAGAAGAGCCTCGAGCGCACAGAGGCGAGCGACATGCGCAACGCCCGCGAGATCCTGGAGAAAAGGCTCCCCGCGAACGAAGTCGTCCCCAGCGTCGAGGACGAGGCGTGGGCGAGGAGCAAAGAACTGGTGCGCGTCGACGGTCAACTTCAGGGAGTGGATGTCGTCGTCGACGACGACGACGACCAATTGCGAGGACAGGTACAAAACAACAACAACAACAACAGCGGTCACGGTGACGGCAATCACGAGGCCGACGCCGACGACGACGAGTCCGTATCAGAAGAGTTCAGACAACAGAGAATGATGAGGATGGACAGCATTGCTGCGTTGGCGGCCGATGGCGTTGGTATGTAGAGAGGGAGAGAGAACAAACCAACAAACGAATCAAGGCTCAAAGTCATGACTCTCATGAGATTCAAGACCCTCTTCAAAACATTTTTATTCCCCCATTTTCTAAACGTATGAATGATCCAGTCCATGTTGCATTGTCCCCATCGCGTAGCCCTGTTACTCTGCACGCAGGCTGGCTAGGGTACACATACGTGGGTACCCGAGCTGAGGTGACCACACACGAGGTATCCTCGCCAACCCATCGTTTTCTTTTGCTATACCTCAGGCGGGAAGGTATTAGGTGGACAGGTACCCAGGTAACTAACTAGTACCCATCCACGGTGGTCAAGAACGGAAGATGATCGTAACACATGAGGCAAAGCAACCTTGTTCATGAATCATTCCTCACCCAAGCAAAAAGTACCCCAAAGTACTCTCTACCCTGTACCCAGAGTGTTAGTGCGACAAAGGCACTTCCAACACTTGCTTGGTACCGAGTATATCCAATTCCTATCTGAATCGTGCAAGACTTTTTTTTCCCCTGTGTCCTCAAAAGAGCAAAACAAAAAACAGCAACTCCCACGCTCGACGACTTGTTATGTCGATGGGAATTATGTGTAAACAAACACAAGAAACAAGACTCCCAGCAAAACAACCACTGTTCCGAAGCTCCGTCGTGGCCCCAATACCTTGCAATTTTCATCGCTCCTTAAATACGCATCGAAGCGTGTGTGTGTGGGAAGGTATCGCTCGATCATGCAGCTAAGCAGTCAAGCTCTTTCTCACGCTCTCGCCTCCTCTCTTTCTCACGCTCTCCGCTCTCTGTGTCGCACGACCAAAAGCCTTCCCAGGCCAGATATCTCTCGTATCAATACATCACGCACCATCAACGGCATCGTCGCTTATGCCCTTCCCCGAACCACCTCAGATGAAAGACCCACGGCAGCCCACCAGTCGTCAGGGATTTCCTCTCTTCTTTGCATGCGGTCCAGTATCACCCCGAACAACTCCAGTTCCAGTAACCGGTCATTCCCTCTACTCAGTCGCTCCAGCTCTTCGGAGGTCGGACCATGACGTCTGACGCCAATCGTTCTCCTCCCCAGTCTTCCATGTCGTGCTCGGATTTGTCGGGCATCTTCTTCGGTGATTCCGGAGGGCAGGTCTAGATCACACGAATCATCACCGCCAATTTCACCAAAGCTCGTCGCTGCTGTCTGAGAGGATCGGTTAGATCCATTTCGCGAGTCTGAGCGTGACATAAAAGAAGTTGCCACACTTGATCGACCAGTCCCGATATTACTCAAAAGACTGGACCAATTTTCCTCTTGGGGCGAGCTTGGACTAGGGCTTCGCACGCGATCGCCCAAGCCATCCATTCTCGAACTTGACATTCCCAACGGCCGTGGTGACATGTGGTTGACACGTCGCAGAGGCGGATACGATGCTTCCAACCCTTCGGGGGGAGGCGTGTCCAGCAAGCCATCCACACCGCCGATGGGTCGTCGGGTACCCGCGACTGGTGGAGGTGGTCGAAATGGTGATCGGGGCGGGAAAATTGAGGTCGAAGAAGGGTTCTCGTTGTCGTTGTCATCATCGGTGTCGCTTGCTGCAGGACCGTACGCCCAAGCAGGTGTTGACGCAACCGGTGGTTGGAATGGGATTCTGAGGTTGTCGCTGTCAATGCGGGCGCGACGCGATTGCTCGGACTCGGACGAAGGCGTGGCTGCAACTTCGAATCGCAGACCCGATTCCCTCGACGGACGCGGCAGGTGTTGTGTGAGGTTCCCTTCGGAGTCGGACAGGAAGACTTCCATTCCAGCCTCAGCCAGCGCATCAAGGTCAATGTCTCGACGAAGATCGGCTTCTGGTCGGATCGGATCGATGTTGGAACGACTGGCTAATTCTCGCTCCAATTGTGTGGCACGCGCGCGGCGTCTTTGGCGCATGGAGCGTAACCGGTCAAGCTCAAAATCGAGGTCATGGATGTCGCGTTCCGGTATCCGTGACGGAAGACCTGAAGGTCTGCTGTGTTCCGGCTCTTGCACCACTTGGACCTCACCGGCCCTTAGAAGTTGTAGGAGTTGGCGGGATGTAGTATTCCGTCCAGGGCGCAGGGTAGATTCACGCCTGATCGAGGAGCGACGTGTTGCTGCATTACGATCGAGCTTGGTAGTAGCCTGATCTGCTGCATCCTCTTCAGGCTCCCGGAACATCCTGAATTGGCCATTCCTGTTAGCAGATGCGCTGGGTGCGGCACGGCTCGGGATCGAATACTGTGGTTGCTAAAATGCGCAACAGCGGCAACATGGCGAAGGGGATGCGGAATCGGGGAAAAAAATTGATGGTTGTAGGCAAACTTACGGCAAACCCATGGTGTCGCAGAGCGCGCGCGAGATGCGCGTCACAGTCGAGGGGCAAAAGAGGTGAGTAGAGAGTCGAGGGAGGCGTGATTGGAAAAGAATCAAGGAGGCGACAAACAAAGGACAATGGAGAATGAGTGGAGTGGAGGATGGATCGGACTTGAGATGAGATTGTAGAGGGATTGATTGATGGTTGTTTCGCTGATGCGCGGCTGGAGAGGAGAAAGTCGAGATTTCCGGGGGTTTTGGGAAGCGGGAGGCGGGAAGCGGGAGGCGCAAGTCACTTGTTGACCCTAACTCAGGGACTACTCCTATTCTTTGTTACGCAGCGTACGAGATGAATCAAGAAACTCTTCAGAGTCTTGTTCTATGTGATAATCATGCATGCAGCAGACTTCCACAGTCCATTGATCACTGTAGCTGCTAATGAAGGGTATATTCACTCTCTACATCTCGTGATGTTCGAGGCTGGTAGGGTGGACCAACCGACGAGCTGCGGCGGAGCATAAGTACGGTCGGGTCTCGTATTCGTATTCGTATTCGTATATCTGGATGAGGCCAGTACCTTCTCACCCGCCTCGACCACACACTTTCCTCACTCTTTTCCATCCAATTGTTTTATGCCTGAAGCTCAATCCCTCCTTAAATGACCCGGAGCGCTGGTGTGTGATGAACATTTCAGCCGTCAAGGGGATCCTAGCATCTGCCCGAGAATGATGAAGGCTTAGGCCCAGTTGGTCGGCGTCCCAGCGGTGGTTCAACCTGATCACCCAGTGGCATATTATGTGCGTCATCCTTACGCCTTTGTCTTCTTTCCCATATGACTCGGCTCGCAAGGCAAGGAATTGTTCAGTGCGATTGCTCGTCGATGCGGACGGGGATCGGCGGTGCTTCTCGGAGCGACCATCACACAAGGAGCCGCGAGACTCTGTTATCCGTCTCGGTCTCAGCCGGTTGTGCTTGTAGAAACAGGCTGGGTCGGCGGGAGCTGAACGAGAAAGAAAAGGCCGTCCCTGGGCTCGAATCGCATGACAGGCTTGCCTCGGTTCTTCACCGTCAGGGATCCGTCGGCCTCTTCCTCGAGGCTGAGATTGGCGCCTTTGGCTCTCTTCAGCTGTGACCAGCTAATGAGGTTGACGCCTGCTTGTGGGATGTGACTGACATGCCGAATAGTCATGCGGTTAACCAGAAGACCACGGGATCCAGTCGAACCACCTGCAATAGGTTCGATTCCGCAGGGCAAGTCAAATGTGACGTCCCCAACTCCAACGATTGGGACCGGATTCGGCCCAAAATAACCCACGGCTCGCGGGTCAAGCTTGTTATTGTAGGGGTTCAATGTGTCATAGGTGTGTAGAAGGCTGCGGTTGCTGCAGACATGCGTAGTGGCGCCAGTGTCAAATATCCAATCGTTCTCCGAGAATGGCTTGCCTCGCCGCGGGACTGATGATGTTTGAGGTTTTGGTCCGGATGATATGACCATGCCTGGATCGGCTGGAGCTGGAACGTGGATCTTGGGCTACGGATTGAAATGATTAGATCGTGAAGGGTGGGAGATGGGAGCAGAGAAACGGTACGGCTAAACGACGAGCGTACCTTGATATGATCATATTTGATGATGGTCGAATCGTCATTCCGCGTAATTGAGATTCGCGGTATTGCAGACTAGGGATCATGTCAGTCTGTGATCCTCCCTAGAGGTGTCCCTGGCGAAGGATGAGGTTTCAGGGGGAGGGTGAGGGCGGGAAGAGATGTCTCGACCTGTGGCCTTTTCACGCTCATGGTTTGGATACCAAGCCACCACAGTCACAGTACACACTCGGACAACACTTCTGTCCACCATACAGCGGACAGCAAGGCAAACAACTCACATAGGCTCCGATGAAGGCAAAAGTCCCAGCAACCGTCACCAGTGCCTGGAGTCGAGTACCGCCTCTCTTCGCCATGGCTCTTTGATCTCCGCCAGGATCGAACGAGCGAAATCTAATCGTGCAGCAACGCCACTCCTACAGCCTCGCCCAGCTACCACATCCAAATCGAAAGTTTAGGTGTAAGCCACCTCAAAGAACTGTAACGTGAGTGATGATCCGAGACAGTGTTGATCCGAGTGTCCGTACCTGTAGGTCGGTAAATACTTGTGTCATTTGAAAACCCTGACAAAGCACTCCACGCTGTGTCTCGTACTGAATCCTCCCGCTCGGTGGCTGTTGACCCGAGGTGGACGTCCAGTGTCAGAAGCACTCACCCACTCACTTGCATCAAAAGAACTTGCTTTACCGAAACATGCCTCCCGCGAAAAGAACGTTTTGTGTGCGATTGATCTGTCAAGTACTGTGTATATTGTGATCGCGGACTCTTGGAGAAAGTTTTCCAAGATAGACCATCCAAAAGCATCTGGCACTGAGTCGGGTACATCGCACTCTGTACGTAATTCGTCATTGCTGAGCAGAGCAACCTATGGCGCTCCCACCTCTTCTCCAAGGACATGTATGTGCCGTGACGGGCGGTCTCACGGGGATCGGAAGAGCAATTGCTATCCTGTTTCTCTCACACGGTGCCAAGGTGGCTATCAACTACCTCCCATCTCACAACAAAGATGAAGACACCCTCCTCTCGTCACTGCGGACAGAAGCCTTCGAAGCCATCAAGAGCCGTTTTCACTCTTCTTCTTCTTCTCCCTTGCCAGGTGTGGAAGAAGATGTACCCCTTCTTGCTGTCGCCGGCGATGTCTCCCGACCCGAGGCAGGGCGAGATCTCGTTGCGCAAACGGTAGCAAAGTTCAACAGACTCGACACCCTGGTCTCGAACGCGGGCATCTGCAAGTTTGAGGAGTTTCTCGAAATCTCCCCCGAGTCCTGGCAAAGGCACCTCAACACCAATTTATCAGGGGCATTCTATGTCGTCCAAGCAGCGGCCCAACAGATGGCGAGGCAGGAGCCACAAGGGGGTTCGATCATCGGCGTCTCGAGCATTTCGGCTCTTGTTGGCGGCGCCCAACAGTGTCATTACACCCCGACAAAGGCCGGGGTGTTGTCCCTCATGCAGTCCACCGCCACGGCACTGGGGAAGTACAACATCAGGTGCAATGCCCTCCTGCCAGGCACCATTCGGACCCAACTCAACGATCAAGATCTCGCCGACGGGAGTGAGAAGAAGAGGTACATGGAGGGTCGGATTCCCCTCGGACGGCTGGGAAGGCCAGATGACATGGCAGGGCCGGCGTTGTTTCTGGCCTGCGGTGAATTGTCGTCGTATGTCACAGGGGCGGCCATCTTGGTTGACGGAGGAGCATTTGTGAACTTTCAGTAGCGCTTAATGAAGAGCCGGTCACTCATCTACTCTGCGGTCTTGGATCGGAATCGGATCAAATGCGTCGTATACTGTAGGCTTCAGTAGCTGTGCCTGACCATACCATCGCCTTTCCTTCATCGTCCAGACCCTGGGACTCCAAAATGGCCTCGACAACAGCCCGCCAGTGCTGCCAGGAGGACTTGATCCCTGGACCGCCAACATTGCACACCGGCCAGTCTGATCCGAACATGATTCTGCGGGGGCCGAATGCCGCGAAGACAACGTCTACCCATGGCTTCGCGTGCGCCACAACGTCTGAGACAGCCGTCGGCGTGTCTGCAGTTTGCGGAGGCAGTTCGGAGAAGAATCCAGATAGCTTCATGTAGGCCGATGTGTGGCGGGACATTTTCTGGATGTACTGTTTCCATCTGGCGAACTCACCGTGTCCCGCAAGAGCTTCCTCGGGTGATACCCGCAGGTTAGGCTTGCAGAAATGGTTGATGATGATCTTGAGTCGGCTGTCTCCTGCGTACACGCAGTCCATCATTTCGCATGCCTCTTCCAGTTGACGAAGCCCGCCGGACCTGGCGTCCACTCCGAGGTCGAACGTGAAGTCGTTCTTGCCCAGCCATTGTAGCGCCTCGATAAATCGTTGTTGCAGCATTGTCCCGGGCGGCTTGTCCTGGAGAAGATAGCGAAACCCTTTGACAAGCCGAAATTCTGCTCCGCATCGCTGGCGAACTTGTTCGACGTACGCAGCTAGTAACGCCTCGCCGGCCGCAACGGGGGCCCACGGAACGACGGCGAGAACGAGCCCAGCATCGACTGATCGATGGCCTTCTCCGTCTCGGGGAGTCCCGCGGGCAATTCTCACGAGGAAGTCGACCTCGTCCAGAGCGTTCTGCCACTGATCTTGGCCCAGCTCCGATCTACGATCAGTTTCCAGGAAGACAAATCCTACCACACCATTGTCGTGCTGTAGGGCTAATTTGTACTCTTCGACAGAGCATTGTCGATTGAGAACATGGTCACCCCCGAGGTCACTTGTCCAGCGCAAAGATGGGATATGTGACGCAGCATACAGGTGGATATGCGAATCGATCATGGGAAACTCATTGGCGGCAGCGTTCTGAGAATCCATCCTTTGCAGTTTCAGAAGTGTAGGTGTGATGCGGTCAACGGTTCTTAAGTCTGTTGCAGATCCTAGACTTGATCGATCGATAGAGAAAATGTCTCCAAGAGATCTGTCGGTCTCGACGATTGCTCCTATTACCCATGTCTGTCCATCCTCCACTCGGGGTTTCGGTGCAATGTCGTTGCCACGAAGCGCCCGGAATTTCGGAACCAGAATGCTCGCATATGTCTCGTCTTGGTGAGACTGGCATAGTCTCTTCTCTAGAATGATAATTGCTTCTCTAGTCGGTCTCACACAACTGCAATTACGATGCTTACAATCCTTGACTATCGCATGAAACATTCCAGTATATATGAGCGACTCACCGCCGCAACCGAGACAGCTATGACAAAGGGGTTAGTCCCCAAATGCCAATTCGGTATAACGAGGCAATACAGCTTCTCTACCTGAGGGAGAAACGAGACCCCCATCCATCCACGTGTCGGGATGTTAATGCCACATCACGTCCCGCCGGCAGGAAGGGCGCATCGCCGAGATAGCCATCTACCAGTGCTGTGCATAAGCAACACAGGGATCTTTGGAAATGGATATGTGGCGCAAACCATTGTCGTATGCCTCGAGATCATCAAGTTATCTGACCGCGAACGTCATCTGTAGCCGACGACCACAAATCTTTCTTTATCCATGAAAGCTCCCAGGCAAGGTGAAAGAATGTCTCCCCGTCATGTCACACGTGTTGACTTCTCCATCCCGTAAACGCCCAGAACCAGATGCCCGGGTATCGCTTTTTCAAAAACCTCAAGTCCTTTGTCCCCTTCCCCAAACGCCTTCGCTGTATGCCATAGTCACTCACACCACCCCTGATGATTTGGTTTCACAGTCCTATGAAAGTGTCGTCAAGAACAGCCTTTGCCAGCCGCGTATGCCCAGAGTCCGCTATTCGGTTTCCTACCACCGACCCGACCTTTTCAACTAGCTTTGTGCGCATGTTATTCATGGCCTGTTCCGAATGTCCATTCATCGTGGGAACATCGTCATCAATGAGAGTCCCGAGAGCGTTGAGAATCGCGTTCATTACTTTCTCTGCCTCGGGCTTTTTCATGCCTTCGGTGTTGATATCTTCTTCCAGCAACTCACCATAGGCTTTCAGGTTGGGGACGATCAGTTGTCGCACGACCTCTGCTCCACCTATGGCTTTCAGTCCGAGAATAGCACCGTAATGACTGCCAAGGGGTTTCGTCGGATCGAGAAAGGTCTTGAGACACGAACGGGCCAAACGTGGCTTCAGGTTGTGTGAATGCTTCGAGTACTTGTTGCAAAGATGTCCCAGTAAGGACGCGGCGAGGTCGCGTAGGTCGTAGTGGTCAAGACTGCCAATGCCTGAGCCCAATGATCGCCCGATGAGACACGTCAAGACAGGAGGCACCATTGAAGCGACCTAAAATACCGTCAGCGTGTCATGCAAATATGCCTCAAGCTTGCCATACATAAGGTGTAAGGTTCAATTTCTCGTTCCGCGTCAGTGCCTCCGTAACCAGCATCATCTGGGTGAGCACAAAAAGATCCTTGAGATTGTGCGTAACCTTCTCCGCCACGAACTGAACAAAGTACGGTACCAGCTGATGGAGGCCTGGATCTTCCTTTAAGCTCGCTAGCCCGGCCGTCCTATATTCGGGTTGTGTCTCGTCAAGGATAGAAGCGCACACCTTTTCGAAGTACAACTGGAGTTCTTTTGACAGTATATGTTTGACTTGAGGTTTCGTAGCAGTATTGTCAGAGCCGGCCATCGCAGCAAGAGCCGGGTTGGCATTCGGTCCTTTGGGCAGAAGTTCGAGATTTCGGCCTTCGTTGGAAGTTGGATTCTGAGGAATAGACGGCTGAACACCTTCGACGGCAAGCCAGTGTGCTGCAGGACAGTAAGCGATTGTCCGTCTGTTCATTCCGGGTTTTACCAACCTGTAAATGATACCTCGCGGGGCACTTTCGGCAGAGGCGCATTTATGAGCTTTTCAAAATCCATTTCCTCATCCTCTACATAAAACAGTGGCTGCCCGGGTCCCAACGACGCCTCGCCATATTTCAGAGGTCTCGTCGTCTCATAGCCATACAAAGGCTCCAGATCCAGGACTCGCAATGCCTGTGCGATATCTTGCGACCAGAGAACGGTCCTTCGAGCGTGTTTCATGAACTTGAGGGCTTCTTGCAGGACTTGGGATATTCGGTATTCGACGTCGCGGCAGAGGGCTTGATTGACATCCTTGTTGAGGTTGATGATACCGACGGACTCGGCGACATCCCTGACGGTGTCTTGGCCCCAAAGAGTCATGGCCGCATATGCTGGTCGACCCTTTGTGCTGTGATCGGCCTAGACAATGGGTTAGGATATGGGTTAGAGGTACGGGTTAGAGTATGGGTTAGGGTTAGGGTCAGGGTTAGGGTCAGGATTAGGATTAGGATTTGGCGCAGCTTGGAGAAGGTACGGTGGATCATTAAGGCACCAAGTACGGTAGGACGAAGGCCCCACAAACGCAGGTTAGTTTTCATTTATCAAGTGGTTACAATGCCGAAAATAAGACTGCAGCTATGACAACTACGATGGTTCCCACTTGCATAACGACAGTCACGATCTGATAGCATGTATTATACATTCAGTGCAGGAGGTATAGCCAGTCTAGCCACAAGAAAGTCTGCCCATGTCAGGAGTTACTCGTCTGCGACTCGCCAAACAAGTCTGGCTCCATGGACCTGCTTATTGCGCAACATTTCCAATGCCTTTGTAGCCCTCTCCAGCATCGTCTCCCCTTCAACAGTGATGTATTGGTTGGGTTCAACAATAGCCCTTGCTAACAGCGTTGGCATAATTTCCGATTGAAGTTTCTCTGCCAGGAATTTGTTGTCCAGATAGAAATGAGTTCGAACACCGGCAACCTTTACGCCAGACTGCCAGTCTGCGCACGTGTTGACATCCATCTCGTACTCGGGTTTGATCCCTTGAGCAGCATCCTTCACAATGACTGGTAGCAGGATAGCAACTTTGCAGCCTGCGCTTGCAAGCTTAGCCACAGGCCTGACACTTCCCTGGAGGCTTCCGATGCAGTCGTAAATATAGGCAAAAAAGGTATTGTTGCCCTGAGATCTGAGAAAATCCAGGATGTCATGGACGACGCCCGCGTCTTTGTAATCGAAGCACTTCGCAGCACCATACCGTAGCAATTTTGCATGATGCCTTGCACTTGCCGTGGCAATCACATTCTTGTAGCCATAGTACTTCAAGATCTGCAGTGCGTACTGGCCTACACTCGATGCCCCGCCCCACACAAGAATCGCCTGAGCAGCCTCGGTTGGCACAAATTCGTCTGGTTTTGGCCATGGGAGCTCAAATCCAAAATCCTTGGTCAAGGTATGCCAGACTGTGACGAAGTTGTTTGGCAAAGTGACTGCTTGTTGCATCGTAAAGCTTGCTGGAATCTTGCCGACGAGGTATTCAGGTGCAACGACGAACTCCTGGTGAGCTTTCTCTGCTTGATTGCGCCATGTGAACCCGAAGACTCTGTCGCCAACCGCCAAAGTGGAAACATCTGGTCCTGCCTCGACCACAGTCCCAGCCACTCCATCACCCAAGATCTGAGGGTGTGTTACAAGAAGCCCACCGTCTGCCTGATGCAGATCCAGGGGCGTCGACGCCGTCCACTCGCTTCTGACCCGTACTTGATCCCGGATTGGCACTGGAGTGGACACTTGTATAACCTGTAGGGGGAGCCCGGGTCCAACTGTCACTATAGCAGAGTGAGTTGTCATGTTGTCGTCGTTCAAGCCTTGTTCTTGGGAGGTACCTGCATTCCTTAAGAAGGTGCTGCCATGGGAATTGGACTTTTAATAGGCACCAATATATACCTCCCTCAGGTACTTGGGCTCCAGCAACACATCACTTGTATTCGACCGAGGTGGGGTCGGTTTAGTCAGACTTCGAGTGAGCATTACCGTTCCCCTAAGAAATTTCGTCCGTGGCTATCACGTGACCCCATTCTTCTCGACAAGCCAGACAGGCACCAGCTTCATCAAGGAAAGTCTCAGGAGAAACTCGTGTGCGAAGTCTCCATTGACTGGTAATCTTGTGGTTGCTCAAGGTCCTCGAGATGACAGTCTTCAAGGTTGATCCCCACATCATTCCAATCGATGTCGAAATCTCGGGGATCAATCTGCGTCAACTCTTCCCCTTCCCTGTCCTGCTTCAACACCGATATGTCGGCGGCCATTTTCATGTGCGTACTTCCAATCTCGCGGAGTTTTCTCATTACCCAATCCCTTTCCACTCCTGGTTCGAGAACCATCAGAGAAAGACGCAGGGCAAAAATTATAAAAAAGGGTCCGAGGAAAGACGACTTCAGCATGTAGGAAGTGGTTCGACAGATCTCTCTGACGAATTCCTTGTTCTCCATGACATAAATACCAGTCTGGCCGGGGCCTTCTGCAGACTCCATTTCCTTCAGGATCAGATTCAAGATGATCATTATGGTATAATAGCCCACATAACTCGAGCTAATGAAGACGTTGACATACATATATTGTACGGGAAACACCGGGTCGCGAGTCTGAAGAACGGTGGCTTCCAGTCCAATCCGTTTCAGGGCAGCTGCGAAGCGTAGGTTAATTGATTTGAGCTTTGCCCGGTGACTTCGACAACGGTCGAGGATAGACCTTTGGTATTCTTGATACCCGTTAGGAGACAAAATCTGCCCCATTTTAGAGCTTTTCATGGCGTCATGACATGTCGCTGGGATGAATATGTTCTCCAGGTAAAATTCTTCGGCCAAGTCGAAAAGTTCCATGCGCTCGTGCTGCATGGTGCCACTGTGGCGTAGATCCTCGTGGACTTGCTTCGCTAATTCCACCCAACTTGGCTCACTCAGAAAACAAGGCTCGTCCCGCTCGAATGCTTCAATATAGATTGTATGGCGGTAGGCCAGATAAACGTCGCGGTCGAGCCCCGATCGATGCTTGGACGGCCCACGGATGCGCATCAAAGTCGACGCACCGCCTGCGTGTCGTATCCAGGCTTGATTGGAGTCCGATGCAAACATCTCGTAGAAGGACAATAGGATAGTTGCAGACAGTGTCTCCGTAGACATCCCTTGCGCATTGTCCGAAAGCGCGTCATTGAGCAGTCGTAGAGACCTCCCGTAGAAACGTCGAGACTCTTGTTCCAAGGACTCCAGCTGATGCATGCGACTCAGGTGGACCAGAGAGACTGCCCGCACCGCGTTATCTAGCAGTTTGCAGCCGAACAAGTTGGGGAGCTGAGAGAGCCAACGCACATGGCTCTGTAATTGTTGGGGGAAAATTATTGCTGATCCTGAAGGAGTAATAGCGGAGAAAAAAGTGCCGAGAAGCTGTTCTTGAGCCAGGTTGGGGGAACACAGTGAATGATTGAGAGTCATTTCAAAGGGAACACCAAGATTGATGCCTACGTCCCTTGGTTGAGCTGTCAGATTAGGCACAGTACTTCTGAGACTGAACAGGTCGGCATCGGGACGGAATTGACTCTCGAACGGCGAGATGAACGCATTGCGCGAAGGGAGCAGGACGTCGACACGATATAAAGACGGATCGCGTTCAGGTGTGTCATAGCGGGACGCTAATTCCACTGATTCTTCCGGGGACGAGCCTGAGGACTGACTGTGGCTACTCGTGGCAGGCGATGAACTCTCGACATCGCTTTTGCTCTCGTGCGGATGCTTCTGGCCGAAACGTTTGCGTAATTTGGTGCCCTCGTCCTGAATCCTCAAGTCTGTGTCATAGCCGGGACATGGACGGTTGCCTTTGACGCAGTTCTTGCACTTCGGGCGTGTCAGGTCGCACTTGACGCGACGCTGAACACAAATCCTACATCCCTTGCTCCGCGGAACGCCGACCATGCCGATGTAAATTGATGTACTAGGGTAACAGCATGGGTCTGTCGCCGACGCGAAAGCGAAGTCCGCTCAGCGGGATCGAGGGCTTCTGGACCCGGAAAATCGTCTTGAAAGAGAAGCGCAGTAGAATTGCTGAGGTAAACAACTTCAGATGCGATATTAGGAGGATGATTTGGACAAGTGTAAGCAATTGCTGGCGCCTGGATAAAGAGAATTGATGCGACGAAGCGTAACACCCGCTAGTAACCAAGTCAGTAACTAAGAATACGAATACGAGATTTTCCGACGGGATAAAAAGCGGCAGATTATTCAACCCGAACCTTGTAGGGCTGACGCCGGAACCTTTAGCGAGAAACCCCGCCTAAAGTTCGGCAGATTAATGTATTGTATAAGGCATATTACAGTATCGTTTGAGCCGCAAAATCATCTCTGGCATACGGACAATTCACAAATTCGCGTGGCATAGAGGCTGCGTTGACACTCTGCTCGGGGCGAACAGCGGGCGTTGCACCCAGTATGATCCGATGAGGTCGTCCTTTGCGAGGGAGTACGCGAGTTACATGATATAGAGCTTCATTGCTGTCGTCAATACGGATACCTAGGTAGTTATGAGCCAGTATCGAATCTCACCCAGCAGCCTGATCACTTTTTGGATGACCGGGACATCCTACAGCTCCGAGCACCAAAATCATGATGAAATCACAGCGGGAAACTCGGTGATACCTTCTCACTAACGCCAGCTTTTAAGTCGTCAAATCCCTATTGTTAAATGTCACAGGTACCCGGCCAAGACATCGTTGCTCTCGCCTCTGAAAGGAGCCGCACCGCAGTAGGCCAAGGGTTGGGAGCGAAGGGCAGACATGTCCCGAAATCTCGTCTGAATTTCTAACCCTCCAGTTCGTTCATCGGAACGTCCTCGTCGTCAGGCCCTACGATAGCCTCTGCAACTTTCCATACCTGGATCAGGTTATCATCGGCGGCACTGCAAACTACCCATGGACTGTTTTTGTTCCACGAGAAGTCACTGATTCGGTTGGTGTGTCCTCCATGCATAAACAACAATTCCGGCGGCCCATCCTCGCTGTCTTCTGGGGTTTGCTCCTCGCCAACTCGGGCCAGATCCCAGAACATGATCCTTCGGTCATAGCTGCTAGACGCAATCACCGACTCTTCGAACGGGTGCCACTCGAGCGTCGTGACGCTATCATTATGACCTTCGAGGACATGTAGCTTGTGATTAATATTCCGCAGGTCCCAAATTGCAATCGTCTTGTCGGCACTGCCTGTGGCAACAAGCTGGTCAACCGCCAAATTGAAGGCAATGGCGTTGATGGCATCCCGGTGTGCATTATCGCACTTCAAGGCTGACCTGGTGGTGTCAGACTGTCTCAAATCGAGGATCTGCATCGTCATATCGTCCGACACCGTGCCCACCATGTTGCCAAGGTTGGGGTGGTATTGCACGTCGTTGACGATACTGTTGTGGTGTGTATACTTCCGCGACTCCTTCAACACATTGTTGGCTTTCGATGCTTGTGTGATATCCCATAATCTGACCGTGGAGTCTTCGCTGGCGGTGGCTAGCTGGCCAGCTTGACGGGGGTCCCAACTGAGGCCGTATCCCTCCCGTTCATGTCCATGAAGCTCAATTGTCGGTGTCGGCGTCCCTGAAGGGCGACCTGACAATTTACTCTTGTCCCATACCATTACTCGTCCATCCGTACACATGGTCGCAATGAGGTTCGGGTTCTGAGGCTGGTATCGAGCTTTGTTGACTTCGCCCGGGTGGTCAATTTTCTGAATGATGTTGAACTTGACTTCCAGCTGGTTCTTGCCAGCAGGTCCTCCACCATAGCCTCCAATCTCCCCAGTCTCTTCATTGTAGTCTTTTACATCTGGTTTCTTCGGCTTGGGTAATTGAACCTGGGCAATCTCTAGGTAATTGGGCAGGCCCGGGGAGGTGTGAGTGCCAATAAGAAGACGGTGTTTGAGGTAGTTGGTTCCAGGCACACTGCATATGTCAGTCTCAATTCCAAAATGTATTGCAGGCTTCTTACTCGTGGACATCTGGCATCCATTGCGTGGTCAGTGTTGGCCAATCCAGGGCCGTACTGAGAATCATATCATAAAGAAATGGTGCGTTCTTCTTCCATGTTTTGTATTCTTCGTTGATGATCTTCTGCTCAGTTTCCGCATCTTCGTTGTTGAGCTCTTCGCTCACTAAGGCTACATTAGCATGCGCAGGCGCCGTAGGAATCTCTCACTCACGGTTTTCCTCGTCGTCTGCCATTATGTAGAAAAGGCGTGCGAGCGAAGAAAAGGTCGGCAAACAAGTCGAGTGATTAAGGACAAGATTCGGTGTGCGCTGATATCTCTGGGGTCTAGAAATCTACCAGCGAACGAGTAAGGTCTTTTGCGAAGTACTATCGGCACGCAGAGTAAACGCGCTCCCACTTGCTAACGCGTGATGAAAGAGGTTTAGCTCCGGCCTGGTCTAAAGTGCCACTGCCATGTTGGGCAAGTCTACCGAGATTCTTGGCATCACGATTCCAGCCAGGGTCATCGTCAGATGTCAAAGTCGCCATCATCGACGACACCACGATCCACGAAAGCGCCGATTCTCAACTGCGGTGTCAGTGGTATTTGTTCCTTCCGCCTTCAACCGCATGTATCGTTGCTAAGATCCTATCAAAATCACTCCCTTTACTCCCGAACACCAACATCTTTCTTTTGGCCTTCACCCACCGCCACAATGGGTGTTCCCAAATTCTTCAGATGGCTCAGTGAGCGCTACCCTGCGATTTCGCAATTGATCGCTGAGAACCGTATTCCCGAATTCGATTGTCTCTACTTGGATATGAATGGTATCATTCATAATTGCACCCACAAAGATTCCGACTCGCCATCTTTTCGGATGACCGAGGACAAAATGTTCATTGCTATCTTCAACTACATTGAGCACCTCTTTGGCAAGATTAAGCCCAAAAAACTGTTCTTCATGGCGATTGATGGGGTAGCACCCAGAGCCAAAATGAACCAGCAGCGTGCTCGTCGATTCCGTACTGCACTCGACAACGAGAAGGCTCGAGACAAGGCTATCAAAGACGGCTTGGAAATGCCAAAAGAGGATCCATTCGACAGCAATTGTATCACTCCTGGTACTGACTTCATGGCCAAACTTACAAAGCAGTTGAAATATTTCATCAACAAGAAAGTGTCTGAAGATGTCGACTGGCAGGGCGTTGAGGTTGTTCTTTCTGGCCATGAGGTTCCAGGTGAAGGTGAACATAAAATTATGGAATACATCCGACAAGCCAAAGCTCAACCCGGCTACGACCCGAACGTGCGTCACTGTCTGTATGGACTGGATGCTGACCTAATCATGTTGGGTCTGCTCAGCCATGATCCTCATTTCTGTCTGCTCCGAGAAGAAGTTACTTTTGGGAGGCAAACTTCAAAGAAATCTAAAGAACTGGAACATCAGAATTTCTACCTCATGCATCTGTGCATTGTGAGAGAGTACCTCGAGCTCGAGTTTCAAGAACTAGAACAAGAAGGTGCTCTCGATTTCCCATTCGACATGGAAAGAATCATTGACGACTTCATTCTAATGGCTTTTTTCGTTGGAAACGACTTCTTACCTAATCTCCCGAACCTACATATCAATGAAGGTGCTCTCGCGCTGATGTTTCAGAAGTACAAGCAGATTTTGCCGGGGCTCGGTGGCTACATCAACGAGCATGGAGTGATTAATCTGCAAAGATTGTCGGTGCTTCTGGACGAATTGTCCGAAGTTGAGCACCGATTCTTCGAGGCAGAGTATTCCGATGCGAAATGGGTCGATGCTAAGCGGAAAGATGCTGCGCTCGAGGAGCCTGCCAAAGCATCACGAGGGCCTGTCAGGGTTTCGCCTGAGCAGAAACAGCTCTTTGCGGATATCAAAAAGTGGTTTATTGCACCTGGTAACAAGGACCTGGCCACGAGACAACCGCTTAAACTATCCTCCACTCTCCCTGCACGAGATCGCAGTTTTGTACAGCAACTGGCAGTAGACCTGAACCTTCAGTGGTCTACCAAAGAGGACGAGGAAGGAAACAGATTTATACAAGTGGAGTTTCCCCAATCGCAAGACGAAGATTCCGAGGAAGAAGAATCGCAAATGGCCATTACCAGAATCCTAAAGCGATATGAAAAGGCCAAAGTCGAAGAGGTCACGAATGAACAAGCTCAGCAAGACTTGAAGAAGAAGTATGATGAGAAGTTCTACGAATGGAAGAACAAATATTACAAAGAGAAGTTCGGGTGGGGCTTGGATGACGAAAAGAATCTGCGCCAACTTACGGAAAACTATGTCCAGGGTCTCCAGTGGGTGCTGTATTACTACTATCGGGGTGTTGCTTCATGGCCATGGTTTTATCAGTATCATTACGCTCCGATGATATCCGATGTCAAGAACGGCCTTGGTGCGAACATGAATTTCCAGCTAGGCCAACCATTCCGCCCCTTCCAGCAACTGATGGGGGTTTTACCTGATCGAAGCAAAAAGATCGTCCCCGAGATCTACCATGAGTTGATGACCTCCAAAGATTCGCCGATTATCGATTTCTATCCCCGAGATTTTGATCTGGATATGAACGGCAAGAAAATGGAGTGGGAAGCCGTGGTGAAAATCCCTTTCATTGATGAAAAAAGACTCCTAGACGCAATGGCTACCAAGGACCACCTTCTTTCTGAAGATGAACGACTCCGCAATGATTTTGGGGTCAGCCTCAAGTTTGTCTACTCACCTGAAGTCGACTACACCTATCCCTCTTCATTGGTTGGCATCTTTCCGGACCTCCCTCATTGTCACTGCATACAAAATGAGTTTGAACTCCCCACTATGGAGGGTCTCGAACCTCATGTCGGCCTAGTCGATGGAGTGAAACTGGGCGCAGCTGCTCTGGCAGGCTTTCCCAGCCTGAAGACGCTGCCATTTACTGGGTCACTTGGATTCCATGGCGTCAACGTTTTCCAACAGGACAGTCGTAACGAAAGTATGGTAATAACGTTATCAGACACTGAATCACGAAGCAACACCGAGTATGCCAAACAGCTGCTCAATCAACGCGTACATGTTGGATACCCATTCTTACAGGAAGCCAAGATTGTCAAGATCTCTGACGAGCTGTTTGATTACACGATGGCCGAAGGAGGTAAATCACAGGTACAAACTGTCGAGCACACTGGAAGTGAAATCGACCAGTTTCACAAGAAAGCAGAGCGCATTGAGAAATGGTACAGTAAGAGACTTGGCATGCTAACTGGCGATGTCGAGACGCTCGTCCATGTCGAGATGCTCAAAGGACTGAAGAAACTCGACGACGGTTCTACCGTCAAGGAATTTGCCGAACTTCCTGGCATGGAGACCATTCATGCTACGCAGCTCGTTGTTCCGAGTGTCATCAGCGAGGATGTTCGATTCATTGAGAAAGCGGCACTTCCGATTGAAGAAGAATTTCCAGATGGAACCAATGCTTTCTTCCTTGGCGATTATGCATATGGAAGGCCCCTGAGTGTGGTCGGGCATGAAAACGGTAAAGCAAAATGTCTTATTGCACTTTCTAGTGGTCGACAACATGAATTCGGACGCGAAATCGCTCGTCAGGCAGAGAGATTGTCACCCTACACGCCATCATTTCAAGTTGCCCGGAGTCTGAATTTGAACGCACTGGCACTAGCCAAGATCACTTCCTCATATTCCGTCATGGTTGACGATCAGAGGGTCAACCTTGGGCTGAACCTCAAGTTTGAGGCCAAGAAGCTCAAGGTGTTGGGCTATTCACGAAAGGGCCAGAGTGGCTGGGAATTCAGTCAGAAAGCCATCGAGTTGATCCAACAATACATGATTAAGTTTCCTCAATTCATTGCAGGCATCAACAACAACCCACAAGGCGACATGCTACCCCCTACTGCGTACTTTCCGGGTGATGAAAAGGAGGCCAAAGCCAAGGTCAAGGAGATTCAGGCTTGGCTAAAGGAGATTGAGTCAAAAAGCTTCGAGAAAGTTCCTCTAGAAGCCGAGCAGCTGGATTCGGAGGTTGTCAAGAGAATTGAAGCAGCAGCCGATGAAATGCTTCGCACTGAACCACCTCCCCAGAATAAGGTCATTGGAGGAGTTCCTCGACATGGTCTTCTGAAGCCATCTGACGCTCAATGGCGTTTAGGAAGCCAGAGATACTCTCTCGGAGACAGAGTCATCTATGTGGCTGACTCCGGAAAAGTCCCAATCGCATCCCAAGGCACCGTTGTTGGACTTACTCAAACAACCAGAGAGACTTGGCTGGATGTTGTGTTTGATGTGTCCTTCATGAGCGGTACATCATTGGGAGACCGTTGTTCACCATTTCGTGGATCCACTGTGCCTACTTGGTCAGTTCTGAACCTCAGCAACCGTCAAGTTTTGGCCTCTTCAAAGGCCAGTGCGAATCGACAGACGAATACAACACAGTCACCACTCACAGTTACTGGCTATGGGCAGCCAGGCATCAATGGGCAAGGTCAATTGCGTCCTGCTCAAACACCCCCAGCATTACGCGGGTCGTGGCGCGGAGCTGTTGGTGGACAAGTCAACGGTCGTGGTAAGATGAATGGAACTGCTGGACGTGGTCAGTCGAATGGAACACACATGCCAATTCGAAGTCTCTCCGGAAGCCCTGCCAATGGTAATCGTGGAGCAGCATCAAATGGTGTCCGAGGTGGTCGTGGTAATCATACCACCCGAGGTGGCTACAATCAGGTCGATCGAGGTGATCCTCAAGCTGGTGTGATTCAGAACAACCCTGCATTCAGGCCCAAATCACACCATAATGTGCCGCCGCCACCGAGTCTGAATCACTCCAACGCACCCCGCGGCCGGGGCAGAGGTGGTCGCGGAGGTCCAGTTCGTGGAGGAAGAGGCCCTTCTTGAGGCGATTCCTGGACAGCCAATAGTACTTGTGGGGTTTCTCTAATCATGCAATACTGTATGAGTGGCAGAAGTACGGACAAGCGGTAGCTTAACGATGGAACTGGATAGCTATTTGGTTCTGAGAACCTTGCGAGGGTGGGATATGGCCATGGATTGACTGCACTCCGACTCCCCATGACCCGGTAAATATGGATTAGACAAACCGCGCTTATGAGCAGCTTGCATGTCGTGCAAATGAAGCTTGGCAGATGTCTAACCGCAGTTTGCAGGAGGCAGTACCCCCCCACCAACTCGCACCAGTGTATCCTATAAGAAGTGCATAAGGATGGAAGCACAGCTGTCGTCTGTTCACTTTAGCGGGCAGACAGGTGAATTATCCTGTCACTCCCGAAGCTAGCACAGAATTCTTGGGAGGAATGAATCAAAAGAAAATAAAGATGCATGTCCGACTATCGTTCCATTCGCAGCTCAAGACCACGTTATGTAATGCACAAGCTTTGCTACCCAATACAACAGTTGTCAGCTCTGAGAGTCCAGAGAACAGCCTCACGAGTCTGGGGAGCGGAGGAGGATCAGGAGTAGTGCTCTAGTGGCTTGGCATCTGGTGCACGTCATGGAAGGGCAGGTGGGACTAAACCTAAACAGAATTAGCGCTATAACTGGCGTCTAACACACCACATCCCACCTCAGACTTGCCCGTCACAAGTCAACACCACCGCCGACCGTTGCCGTCCTGCCTTTCCCGCGTCTGCTGCATCAACCCCTCTTCCTACCGGGCCATTGTGTTCCATGATTCGACAAATTTCACCATGGGTTGTGTTCCTGTGTTCCTACTTCCTTCAGGCTTGTCCAAAACCACGTCAGATTCGTCTCGTACCACGCCCACAAAGACCCCCACGCTACCAAAATGCAACACGTTTTGCGTTGTGCTGCATTACTTTGGCTAAAGTCCACTCGAATCACGCTGTGAAGTGCCTCGGCCTTCTCAGGTGCGTGACTCCATTCTGTGATCGCTTTAACCTACATTGGCCGTTGCAAGAAGTAGCTAGGCAATCAGGATGCTCTCATCTGACCCTACACCACATTTGTACGCGATTCCATGGTCAAGATGCAGGCCAGGGCAGCAGGATGACATCAAGCTGCTTTGTGCAAGTTAGCACTCGAGCCGAGAAGCATGCTATACGAGGACACGGAATCCCGGGATCACTCGCGCTCGACGTGCCACTTGCTCCGTGCTTTGTGCTGAAGACGAGACCTATCCTGCCGTACAGTACATCAAATCTGTGTGACAGCCGAAAGTCTCCTCGTATGTGTCTTGCAGGCCAGACAAGTAGGAACAGGAGCCCCAATTCTGATTTCTAGTTTTCTCACCTCATATCTCTGCCTCCCCTTATCTCGCGAGCTAAAACTCCATGATCCATTCCGCAAGCTGCCAATCACAGTTATTTTCGGACTGTGGCCCGCTCCACATCAAGGCCATCGCAACTTTTTTGTTGCTGAGCAAGGGTTGCACTCTTCCACCTGACCTGCCTTTTTGCAGATTCCGTTGTTTGTCGCGCCACATCTATCTTTACGGTATTGGGAAGTCATCTCTGTCTTTATCATCATAGTCAGTCATGAAGCCCATCAGCCTAACGTTCTACCGACCACCGGCGCATGCGAAATAGCATTCTTGATCCGTGGAGCATTCAGGGAGTGAGGGCTGAGTTTTCCATCAGAAAAGCACAGAATCATTTGCAGCTTTACCTGCAGCTCAAGTTCTCTTGCTCCGCAAATTAGAGCTCTTATAGAGCCCAAAGTTTCTGTCCCCACTAGGTTTTCGGAATACTTGAGTTCCTGGATTAGCTCGCTTTCGTTCCAAAAGCAAGACACCGACGGACCTTGGAAAAGCAATGGCAGATTCTATGAATCTTATATCGGCGCAGATATCCTTTCTGGTACGTTTGAGAACGTTGAATGCCTCTGGACTTCGTGAAGCTCTCTGGACGAAGGCTTGGAGATTCAGGTTAGTCATATGCGACTGAAGCTGACTGGACTGCTCAATAGGAACCACAACTTGCACTCGTCCACATTCCCATTGAATTGTACTCTTTCTGCCTGCAGCCGATACTCCGGCTTCTCTTTGGAGAGGATCACGACGAGGATGCTGCCAAAATCTCGTGGACCAATCGACATGACTTTTTGAACGTGTCCATAACACCAGTGGAATGCTCTATTATATGTTCTCGATACCTAGCCGAGACTTACGTGGCGCCTGTTGCACAGGTCCTGAATCAATTGTACGCCGCCAATAGCAGCGGTAAGGATTCGAGAACAGAGATACAAATCAGCTCGGAGGACTATGTGGCGATTCAAGTCGATGGTCAGGGCCTTGATGCCGGTCAAAGGGTGCTGGAACTGACGTCTCCTTTGGCTATGGCGGGCATGTGAGTGCTATTTCTTCTTCAACACACCGCCCCAAAACCGAACTGATCCCTTCTTAGAAGCATTTTCTTTATCACAACTTATTTTTCGGATTACATACTTGTCCCCCTGCGATCTCGGAAAACTGTAACAAAAGCTTTGCAGCAACGCGGATTTGTTTTCTCGCAGAGCGTTGACGCATTCGTCTCCCAACTTTCTCCCACGTCACCAACCGTGGGCCAGAGTGGTCATCCGCTTTATTCTCCGTCACTTCATGACATCTCTGCGCCGACGACGCCGCCAGCCAAAGACATACCGGAACTGCAAATACGCACGTTTACAAAACTCAGGAAAAACAACATCAGCCCGCTTGTTGACAGCCAAGTTCGTCTTGTCAGTTGTGCAGGCAGTCGGGAGTTCGACCATGAACGGGATGCACAGCTTCGAAATGACCTTTTGCAAGTTCTGATTGCCACGGTGCCTGTGGCCGACGATACTCGTAAAGCCCGACCCCTGAACAATGGCGCCAACCTTTCTTCCGGGGCTGCTCTTGCCCCCGACCTAAGTTTCGGGGCGAAGTTTCTTTCGTTGACAATTACAGCTGGTGAACCTATTTCAGTACTGATGGAACAACGACTTCTCGAACGCCTGGGACAGTCGCTCCTCGGAGCAAAGTCCGAGGATGATGCACTGATACCTATTACGCTTGATCTCCGCGATCTACCGCTTGATGCTACGGGTATTGTGTGTGGAGTGGCTGGACGCTTAGCACAAGGAAGTGCCGATGAGCAGGAGCAGCCTGATTTCAGTCCAGTGTCTGCGTCGGGTCAGGATCCGCATATGCCGGTGGAGATATCCTTTCTTAGTACAGTCAGGGCTGGAACCGTGATTGTGAGGGCTAGTCATCTCGACAAAGCCATTGATGCATTGAAGTATGGTATGGAGAAGGTCGCCGAGGCCACAGCATGATTGTTACGAAATTCAGCATCACGAATGAAGGACATCAAAAGTTCCCTTTTGACCAGCAACGGGGTCTGCATTGGGTGGGAACATGAAAATTTGCATGGATAGGGAAAAATGGTCTGGCAGAATGGGAATCTCGTTGGACATGTCTTGTTCATCGTATTGCGCCCACAAAATCTTGAGCGGATAGACTCATGCCGCTGAAATCTCAACTATCTACAATGACAATGCCTGGATATAGTGGTTTGGATATCCAGGTCGCATCCACCATCAACCAGTGCTATAGACCTTGACAAGTCCGTCAGCGCTTCCTCCAGCCCATACACCCTGCCTGCCCTGGGCTTGACTGCCCTCTCTCCACTTGACCACGCTGACGACTTTGCCTGAAGGACTGACCCTCACCGTTCCCACGCTCCTTCCAGAAAGCACATCCCATCCTCTCACATTGCCATCGCCTTCACTCCCACTAAGCACGAGACTCTCGTTGATCGCAAGGCAGCTCTTGAGCCGTAGACTGGTGTTTTTGTACCCTTCAGCATCGTCCTCGGGCGCCGGGAACGCTCTCAGACAGGTCCCGTCCGCGCGGTCCATCATCCTGATCCGCCCGTCGAGACAGCCGACAAGGATAGTCTTTGCATCCCTCGATATGTCCAGGCTCGTCACCGGCCCAGGCATCACGTCGGCCGTCACCCTGCCCATTCTGATATCGTAACTCCTGACTCTCCCGTCCACACTGCCCGCGACCAATTCGTATCCATTCCCGGGCACCACGATGCTAGATATGCCGTCTTTCGCCTCCTCGAGAATCATCAGGGGCTTCGCATCCCGGCTCTTGACGTCCCACAGCCGAACCGAGGTATCGTCGCTTCCGCTCGCAATCACACTGTCGCTGTCTCCGGCAAATGCGACACAGTTTATCCGACTGCTGTGCCCTTGATTGGTGTTACTTCCGAACCGTCTGGTAGTTCCCTCTGCACCGCTCGCCACGTCCCAGAGGAAGACGCTGCGGTCTCCACCGACGCTGGCAAAGGTCTGATTGTCTTGGGATACCGTGATGTCCAGAATGGGATACCCGTGCGCGACATATTTCTGGATCGGCCCTGCGGAGGGCTTGTCGGGGTCCGCGGGCTCGGTTCGCGAAAGATGAATCTGTCGATCAGACGACCCGGTCAGGATGTACGTTCCGGTTTGAGAGGAGAAGGCGATGGCATTTATGGGCCCCGTGTGCGAACTCAAGGTGTTCACGGGGGAGGAGGGGAGTTTCGCCGTCTTGCTCATGACGGCGGGTGGTTTGAAGGACTGGGACCGTGTACCGACGCAGCGGACAAGTCAGCAAATAGCTCCATATCAGCGCGGTTCCTGAAGTCACACTGAGACAAAGAGACACATCGTCCCAGGCGTGAAAGTTGTTCTCGAGCCGAAGTTCATTCTCTAACAAAATGTCCGCAGCCTCAGAGTCCGAGTCGAGGGATTTGTTCCGATGTTTTGCCGATGTTTGCAGCCACCAAATTCGAACGTCTTTGTTTTGCCCCTTGATGTTACCGCGGGCATCACCTTGAACGACCTGCTCATCAATTCTTGCTTGTTCCCGCTTCAAGTCTAACTTCTACAGTGAACGTCTAGATCCAGACGCCTCACAGATCACGGAATTGCAGGCTATCGCACCCAGGATCTTTCATGTTCAGTCCTGACATGGAGCGCGGCATCAGCGTAGTGCGCTCGGATCACAGATCGCTCCATCTCAATCTGGCAAGCGACGAGACACAAAGAAACGTATGTCACGCCTGAAGACTCTGATGATGCATGTTCTATGATTGAAGGAATGATTTTCGTTGCATCAGTACTTCGAATTCATCTTATCCCTGCCATTCCCTGGTCTCCATATCCCGAAGTCCTCCGACACAGTCAGGTGTTCCTTGCTGAAACCCATGGCACAACGAAACAAGCATAGCTAGCAATCGACAGAGCGCGAAAGCACACACCATCATTACACACAATCTGATCACTCTTCCCCCGGTCAGCGCTCGCCGTGGAAACATTTACAAAGGCGGGGTCCAGCCAACAAATAACACTTCAATTACACCATTCGTCTGAATTCTTTGATTTCGACTGACAACAGTCTCAACAGCCTACTGCTTCTCTCTTCCCCATCAGGCCTGCGTCCAGATTCTTCTCTCGACCATCTCCGAATCAGTCAGTGCCATCGACTGTCTACCCGCAATCATGTCAGACGCAACCGAAGTCAAGCCAACTCTGTCCGCAGACCAGACTGCATCCTCTGAACCAAGATTGGCTGAAGATGAAACCAAATTAGTCCAGAATCCATTAGGTGATCCCTCCACTGAGGCTCCCGCCGGCGAAGACAAGTCATCCTCAGTGACTGAGACTGGCGGTCACATTTGGCCCTGGTGGAAATTTGGCTGTGCGTATTGCTCCAGAAGCAAACCACCGTGCTGGCTCTGGCCGACATCTTGAGCCTCAGACTTGAGGCGTCTGACCTCGTGGTCACCAGCGCCAGACTGTCTTTTTTTGGGGCTATTCGGTTTTTTCTTCTGGAGAGCGCCAGAGTTGACGACCTTGATGTCGATGTTGTAGCGTTTGCGAATCGCCGTGAACTTGGGAGGGATGCTGGACAGGCTCATGCCAAGTTGCTTTGCGACCTTTTCGGCATCAACCTAGAACACCCCGTCAGGCTGCTAACAACCTCATCAAATGGGATTAGTCACGTATCATTACCTGGATTGGCCCAATCGAGCTCTGAATAGCAGCAATGAGGACCGCAATGTCGGAATCTTTGACCTCGATGCTCGACATGGCTATTGGATGGGGGCAAGGTATGTATGGAGTGTGATTCTTATCAAGTGTGACGTTCGAAGATTATGCAAAAGGTATGAGAATGTTTTCTACCGTTCAGGATGACACGTCTCAGCGGGACTGCTCATGCCCTTTTTATACTTCACACGGCCCAAGCGAGAGAGAGCTCACCGAGCAGGTCACAGAGACAATCCGAGGACAAAGTGTGAACCGGATCAGCAGACCAATCCTGTCGTCGGTACACAAGACGGTTGTCATTTACCCCTTGCTAGATACGATATGCAATGTGCAATTTTGTCGACCGGTGAGTCAAATCGGAGTGCCTCGATTGGGTCTGAACGCTTGCTTCCTCGAACAGGGTACTGGGAAAGGCTCGCTCTCCGGCACTAAATATCGTTTTCATGTGCATGTTTTCTTGAAGCGCCACGCTCGTCGCCCCACATACATACTGTCCGAGTGCCGACCATGCTACTGTGGTCGCCCATGGCCTACAAATACCGGGCAGTCCGGCCTTTGGACAGATCAGCAATTGCGAACTTGGCCCTCTCATTCCAGACTACACTTTCAGACTACCTGTTCCTTGACCGTCTGGTGGACTCAGGCGTAATGCCCAGCCCTTGGACCGGCTTGAACGAGCGAAAGCTCCTCCTGTGCATCATTGACCAGAAAAACACATTCAAATGGCAGCACATAGCCCAGAGCATGGGTCCACAATTCTCTGCGGAAGCGTGTCGGTGAGACACCCCCCTCTTCTATCGCTCTTGTCACCCTTCTCGCATTATTATCTACCTATAACTGAACCTTCTTGGCTCGATTTTCTTCCCACGAACTTTCTCATCTATTGTTCCTCTTCCCCATTCCTCCATTTCTCGCAGACCATCTCAAGACTTTGGCCCTGCTTTGCAGCTTCCACACAAAACTCACTGCCAGAATGCCTTACCAATGGACCCCGGAGCGGGAGCGCCGTATGCTTCTTGTTGCCATTGCGTCGGCTAACCTGAAGCCATCCGCCGACACTTGGACAAAGGTCTCTCAACTTCTGGGCGGAGGCTTGACTCCCTCCGCCGTAAGGTCTGGCTCCAAGACTTGCACTGCACCCGAGCTATCTATGTGTTCAGAGGGTGAAATTGGGAAATTGGGGAAAATTGCTGACTTTTACGCCGTAGTCAAAAATACTACAAACTCCGAAATGAATTCGCCAAGCTGCCCGACGGCGGCCAACCGCCGTCATCATCGCCGACGTCTACATCGACATCGTCTTCGACGCCTTCGACACCAACCAAGCGAAAGGTATCCGACAGCGACGGCAGCGAAGAAGAAGAAGAGCCTAAGAAACCGACACCACCGTCAAAGCGTGCAAGGAAGACGAAACGGGAGGCTCTGGATGGTGTTCCGTTTTCGAATTCCAGTGGCAGCTTCACTTCGGGCATCAGGGAAGAAGACATGGCCGCGAAGGTGATGACCATGACTCCCGGGAATATGTTCGAGCAGCAGCAGCCGTACAACATGCACGAGCAATTTTTCATACCAGTGAACATGCCTGCGGAAGAGGACAATGCCCGGGGTGTCAACAATGGTTTCTCGTGCTGAAGCATGACTAATCGGAGAAGGGGGAGGAAGAGAACGAGGGGATGGGGTGGTGCGGGAGGGTGAGTGTGAGGGCGAGTAGCGATACCCTTCTCCCTACTCCTACTATGGTGCCAAAAACAGACAGGAAAACCCAAAGGAAAAGCGGTGTGTCCCTGGCGAAAGAGCTGTTAGAGGCCGATGGCTTTGGACTAAAAGTGCGGCGAGAGTGATAAGACCATGCATGGAAAAGGACTTTGCAGGGAAGACAAGTACCCGTGTGTCCGTACGTTATCCATGGTCCGTAGCGACGTGGCGACTATCGAGCACACAGAGCATGATGACTCGGTGAGGACCCCGTCGAGGTGTACGGGGGTTGTTTGATTTGTCGAGCGGAAGTGAGTTCAACATCCGTACTGTACCCAGGTTGAGTTTCTTTTTTCTCTTTGCCTCTTGTTTGCTCCTTGACTCGGCGCGTACGGGGAACGTACGGAGTACGGTGTAAGGTGTAGGTGTAGGTGCAGATGCAGCGCAAGTGTGGGTGTAGGTGTACCCTTGCTCGTCGTCCGTACGTACAGTGACAAGTTTGGTGTGCTGGACGTGTCTCTGCCTGATGCCGGGGTGCTGGCTGGGTGGCCCAACCTCCGGAATTTCCAAACCTCGTATAAGTGCACGTACAGGACGTCCTGGAGGGCCAGAGATTTGTCGTCGTCCATTTTAACAATAGGACGGTGTCCCGGGCAAACTTCGAGCTGGCGTAGTCTGGTTTTGCATTAGCGTGAGCGAATTGGACCAAGTCGAGCTTTTACTGTATGAACGCACTCCGTGAATGGCCTCGAGGCAAGCTAAAGGAGATTACAAACATGGATCCCCCCGGTCATCCTACTGCATCCTAATATTTTCTACTCAAACTCCAGAGTCACATACTGTGGTCCAGTCCAACGGCAACGAGACACGACACGCTTGCCCCCGGTTTCTAGAATCCTACCTAAAGCAGGATTTATGTCGGTTTAGGTCTTACCATTCTGTCCTCTTGCGTCTTGGAAGTTACTCCCCTCAACCCCCCCTGCTCGTTAGTCTCGGTAAATAGTACACGGGGGGATGTAGCACACGTTCCGCCAAAGAAGAAGCCCCAACGCCATCCTCAGCCTGATCCCGTCTGAAACTAGCTGATCCGAAGTATCTTGCTTTCTTCCGCAGTGACAATATCGGTCAGTGATAAATTTGTCGTTGCTGCCGCCGTGCTGACACATCAGGGCGTGCTTGGGGCGTCCGGGGGGCGTCTATTTCTTTGCTGTCTGTCTTCCTGTGCGCCTTGCCTCAACGGATCACGGTCACCTCGAACTAGGGCAGAGAAGCCTGACCGATTCGGAGCGAACAACTCGGACCTGTTGTTTGTTGTAGTCTGTTGCCAATTTGCCACCCGCGGATTCATGTTCCGTACTTCGTACCCCTGAAAGAAAAGCACCACATTTCGAGTAGGGGCGAGGCGGGAATTGTGTGATACTCACTATCTCCTTCTTGGATTGGATGGAACCTGTACACCGCCTCCGCTACTAGAGAACGCCTCACGGCGGCCGGACCTCGTCCGGGGCGCTTATGATTCAGGGCGTCACTATGGAGTATCAAACCTCGACTTGATCACAGTCGCAGCCACAGTCCATTGGTGCTGGTGGATCCGGGGTAGTGGACCTGATGCGGCATAGCCACCGGTATAGCTCCCTCAAGGTGTTCTTTATCTGCGGAGGTCCTACCTGCAGTACCTCCGGACGCTGAGTCTGCAGCGTACTTGCGCCATCAGCGTCCTGTGTACGAATGGAATCGTCGATCGAGGCTATCGGTGACTCACTGGAATTTGTTGAACAGTCTACAAACTCAACGGGATCCCCGATGCCTCAGGCTCCAAGGCTCCCTATCCATTGAAGCCCTGCATCTGATTCTGTTTTTCGCCAGCCGCATTATGTGGCCGTGGTGTACGGAGTACGACGTGCGTTGTCGACCTCTGTCACGGTAGTAGTGTGTGAATCGCTGAATTGTGGCTTGATTGCCAACTCACACACCATACCTCACCGAGCACCAGATACCAGGGGAGGGAAGCGAGAGCGGACCTCACGAAGGGAGGGGGAGAGGGACACGTACAAGACCAGGGTCTGGATTGACGAGGTCTGAATGGAAGAGGCCTCCTTTGTCCCTTCGTCGTGATGGTCGTTTCGGTTGCTCGATGCACCGTCCACCCTCCTCTGTCCCCTGGCCTCTGCAGCCTACATTCAGTGCCTCACCGGTTTCGTCTTGTCTGGACGAGAAACGGCCTCTGTTGTTCCGATATCAGCGAAGAAACAAAAATACGGTGAAGACGCGATGAATGCTGACGAGGCGTATATCTCTTCAGTGACATTTCCAGACGCTAACCACCACCCACCGAGTTCGCCCACTCTCACCAAACTTTCTTGTCTTCCTCTTGTTCTCCGTCTTCATCATCCTGTCTCGGTATCAATCTCGGCACGTTAAGTCACGGTCTTTCTCCAGTACCGAGTACCTCTCTGTCATCGCCGCCACTGTGACCTCTGGAGTGAGCTCTCCGCCACGGGTGAACCGCAGCCATGGCATCCACCGCGCCCATCTCAGGCCCCAATGTCAAAGACGCGCTGTACCTCGTCGAGTTCCTGCAACAGAACCCCCAGGCCATCACGGTATGTACTACGTATTTACTCTTTGCATGTTTATAGGAATCGCCTCGTACCCCCTCTTCAGTCGACAGATAGATATACAATGCTCTCCACGCGCCATGACGCTCCTCTTAACCATCGATTTCCTTCATCCGGACTTTCGTCCTGACTGTACCTGAATTGTGGGAGATGGCATGTTCCATACGCTAACGAGTAGTTTCCGCACTAGTTCAACGTCACTCCATTGGCGGACAAGACAGGCGCCAAAGCCAGGTCTATCGAGTCGCGTCTGAAAAGCATCAGAAAGAGAAACCGCCTCAATATTATTGTCTCGGCGAATTCTTCCAGCACTAGTGGCGGTAGTGGAGGTCCCAAAGGTACAACAAAGTCACCTGTCAAAGACGAAGGTTCGAGGGCGAGGGATGTGTCGGTGGTCAAGCAGGAGAATGAGAATGAGAGGGATGCCGATAACGATGCTGGATACGTCAATGTCAATGTCGGAGGCTCAGTGGCCGGTGGTCTTCCTTCTCCCGTCGACTCAATTGCTGGTTCAGCTACGAAGACGAATACGACTATCGATACTGTTGCTGGTGCTGCTGACACTACTCCACTTCTCGCTGCTGGTGCTGCTGGTGCTTCTCCAGTTCCCATGGCACCGAAGGGTCGCGGCCAGAAGAAGCGCGTCGCCTTCACCACCAAGACCGAAGTTGGCCGGGACAAGGAAGTGCGAGGACGCTGCGACGTTGCAAAGAGGGTCAAGACGGAGTAAAGAATCTCCCCCGTCCTGAGTTATGAGTCCTGGAAGACATCGATGACCTGATCATGCTGTAATAGTGATTAATTGGTGATAGAGAAGAAGTTAAAAGATCAGTAAACCATTTCATAAAAGGCTACGACCTACTTAGCATATAAGAGCACTATGTTTCACCGAGAGGGTTTATCTCGCACGACTTATTTTATAGTGTTGGTGTGTTGCAGAAATCAGTAAATCGGAGAATTTTGGAAAGGGCAACACACTCAATGCTTCTAAATGGCCAAGCGAGAGTTTTCAACAACCACCACTCCGTACCATGAGATCTTTGTCTAGGGGTGCTCAGAATGCAATTCTCTATCTATCTGTGTTAGTGTTGCTGGTTGTGCACACCCGGTTGTAGTGAAATGTTGAGCAACCATCAATTAACTCGATGCTATTCTATACCAAAAGTTGATCTTGGCACTTCATTCAAGCATATAAAAGATAAGGTGAATACAGTGTCTCACAGTACAATCGACAATTTCTCGATATTTCACTACAACTAGGTGTGCACAACTAGTAACGCTGATATTCTGGTGGCTCTTAATGTTGCACTTGTACTCCGCAAACGCGATTGACGGAATTTTGCAAGGGGCAAAAAATATATAGTGGAGACTTGTACTTTAAAAGACTTGTAAATCACCCCAGTCTAAACGCACCAACTAATATAGCTCTGATATCAAGAGCTGTCACCGTCACCTGCTCGTACTAATAAGAAAACAACAGACTACAGAGACGCACCATTATACTAATCTTGTGCGGTAGATCGCTCACAGAAGCTTATGGGTTCAGATACGACAAGGCCGAGTTGACGCGCCCGGTTCAAGTGTCCGTTGTCCTTTCGGTGGTCGCCAAACTTTTGACTCCCACCCGGGCTCAATAGTCTGTGGGCTGTAGAGCGTGTCCGTCATGTTGTGATGAGCTAGACCGTGTGCAACAGTCTCTGGAAGGGGTTCCATTTTGCGGCGGCCATGGAGCCAAGCGGGTGTGTTGAGACTGGGGGGCAAAAGGGGTCGAGAGATTGTTTCTTCTTTCGAGCAGGTACACGGACGACAGTGTACCGCACGGTATCGGGGTTCTCAATTTGCGCACATGGTGGTACAGAGACGCGTCAATACCGGTCAAGTTCCCAGCATCCTTCACAGGTTTCAAGTTCAGCGCACATCACAGTGCACGGCACAGCGACTTTCTCGGCGCGCGCGGTGGAGATGTTCCTGAGGAGCCCTGCATCCTGTCCCCCCCCCACCCCCCCAACCCCCCACTCTATCGAGAGCATGCACCGAGAGACGTGCCACGAAATTGGTGAGGCAAGACAAACGTTGCAGGGCGATGAGAAGGGGAATCCCGCAAGTGAATCTCTCCTCTCGACTCATTCCACCTGATTGACGACAGCCCCGTGCACCTGGTGCTTTCCCTGTCTACTCCGGTTACAATGTAACAAGCAGAAATAGGCGATATTTAGGGGTTAAATAGGATGGACTGATGAGCCTAATCTCGACCACTCTGGCAGCCCCCGAAACCCTCTTGGAGGATGATGAGTCTCTTTCAACAATCACCGTGGACTTGACCAGTTCATCACGTGATTTAACTACATTTGATGTAGTTATGTCACGTGAGCAGTACCCCTGACGTCCCCATTATTAAGAGACTCTCCATCAACAGGTTCGGCTGCGCTCGATCGCCTTCCTCGACCATAGAGCCAGGTTTTGCGAACTAGAAGCTCGAAGAACGAGTGTCATGCTTGGAGTCACATGTTCAAAAAATGCAAAGAGAATCAGACAAAGGGTCCCGACAGCATGCTGTCGAGAGTGCCAGACAAATCCCCCGCTCCGGCTGTGAATGGCCCAGCGGTGTCGCAAAGAGCCAAGAACGAGTTGAAAAAGGCTGGCGAGTTCGACATGATGGGGTCATTCTGGAACCCTGTCAGGAAGGGGTCTTGGTTATAATAATTTGGTGATTGGCGATCTGTTGTGAAAGTTGCGTTCGAGATCTGGCCCCCAACATTCTGGTCTGGATTTCTCGATCCAAACAAGTTGGACTGACTGTTTTCTGCGGGAATCGGGAAGCGCTGTGGGACGGTCGGGGCGGCGGTGTTGTTATTGTTGTTATTGTTGCTCTTCCGCTGTACCCCCTGGGTAGCTTCAGCCTGGTCAGGTGCGTTGTCTCCAGCAGATGTAGGCGGCGTCAGCGTCTGTGAAGAGATCCCTTGGTTTGAGACTGGTGGTGCTTGAGAAGGAAGAGGTTGATTGGCACCCATCCCAGGGTGTTCACGCCACTGGTGCAGGTCACCGCTATACGACACATCTCGTCCGTGATTCAACGAGGATGGGACAGATGGCCGCGGTGATGCCGTCAGGTCTCTCTCTATGGACTTTGTCCTGCGTGAACTGTCCCCGATATTGTTCAGCTCAACCTCTAGTGCAGACAAGTTTCTCTCGAGCATGTTTGAGATGCCCCAGTAACTTTCGAACTGGAGATACGTCACACGGAGCAATTCGGCGTTGGATGCGGTCAATCCTTTTTCAGAGGTGTCGGCTTGTAACAATTCACGCTTCAGAATCTGGACCGCAGTCGCCAGCCATATTGTATTCGCCAGAAAGGGGTTGACAAATTTGTAATGGTCTCTCTGGGTTCGTTGGATGATGTTGACTACACTCTGAGACGCCTGAAGATACAGCACAAAGGATTGTCTCGAAGCATTGTTTGGAGCAGTGCTGCCAAATTGCCTCTGCGGCGCAAGTCCGCTCTCGGCGTGTTCTTTGAATTTGGCGACTTCCGTCTCCAGGTGGATCCAGCTCATTTGGCCTCGAAAGATAAAATACTTGTAGATCATCAGCCTAGCCAACTGCACCACCATATGCATGGTGTATATCTCTTGGTGCAGGAGGCGTGTCGAGGTGGCAGGGGACTCGGAATCCCGGGGGGAGAAATTGAGAAATTGGTTCTGGTATCGAAGCTCCGCCGGCATCATTTCGACTACACATTGAAGCACGTTGTGTAGGGTGCTGACCTTGTTATAGCCTTCTCGGGCATCTCGTAGCCGACGATTCTGTTCTAGTTGGATCTGCGCAGGATCAGAGTATTTGTTGTGCCGATACTTCTCTCCAGATTTCACCATGTGGAGCTGGTTGTCGTCCTGTTGCGTCACATTCTGCGCATCCTTGACGATTGAGTTGACAACCAGGAACCACGCTTTGTACGACTTGTTCCCCGACGATCTCAATTTTTTCCATCGATCAACTATGTTCGGGTCGAGGCAGCAGCTTTCCTGCGGCGCATCCATAAACCAGTTCTTGTCTGGGGCCGGGAGGAATGTTTCGTTGTAAGACCAATCAATGCCGGTGGGACAGCGACGCACTACGCTTGCAAAGACGTCCATTTCCCATATTGCCCACCATGCTCGTCGCTTTTCTTCGTCTTCGCGCCATTGATCGACATCCTCGATCTGGCTGTGTGGCTGTGTACCTTTGTCGACGGCATGAAGATTCATTTCATAGGCGCAGCGGATACAAATGCCCAAATAGCGCCATGACTTGCCCCGCACTGACCTGATCAGCAGCCAATGGTTGATTAAGATCATGGCCTGAAGAAGTGACAATGGCACTCCCTGTTCTGCATGTTCATGCATGGCCTGTTCAGCAAATTGCTCAGCCAAATTGCCGAAGTGCTGAGACAAGTCTTTGGTCGAATCGGGGTTGATTCGGGCCGCTGCGGCTGCCACAGAAGGGTCATGACTGGCCTCCTGATCCTTGAAAGCGAAGATGAGCACTGCGGCTACAAGAGCATTTAACTCGTTCTTGCTCTGCAGCTGTTGTAGCTTGTCCCAGAATGTGGGGCGGTGGAAGAGCTGGAAAGATGGAAAGGTGTCGAAAAACTCGTCGACCCTAGGCACTTCAATTTAGAATTCTTTCGATGGCTTGGTTTCGAGAAAAATAGGAACTTACAGGGTCTGCAAATCATCTAGCGCTAGACCGAGCGCGTGGCAAGCTGACTCCAGATTCGATTGTCCGCTTAGGGCTTCATCCACTACGACTCTGGAGTCTGCCAAAGGCTCCTCGTCTAGTCGCTCGTGGGTAGGGTGCATGATAAATGAGAGTGACTGAATATCACGCGAACGCCTAGACATCGAGCTTGAAATTGAAGTCGACGGCGATGAAGCTTGATAGATTGCGGTAGAAAATGGCACTGCTGATGATTGCGGGACAGGAAGTGGCGCGGCTGGGAGGGGAGGAGGCTGGATGTGTGACTGTATAGATGTGCGACGATGCTGAGGCTCTTGATGCCGGGAGGACGCATGATGCACCGGTGAAGGAGGATTCGGGTGCGCTGGCGGTTGCGAATGCGGTTGCGGTTGCGCTTGTAGTCGCGTCTGCTGGTGTTCTAATGGTGGTGTCGGTTGGAGAGTTGGCTGCTGGTCCTGATTCTCCCGGGGCCGTCTGGACTGCTCCGGCGGATGAGCCTGGCCACCACGGATCCTGTCCGTCGCAGACTCTTGCTCCCGCGGATCCTCAACAATTGAACTGTGTTTGCGCTTTCGTGCCTGTTGAGTGCTTCCAATTTTTGGTCCTGGCCGAGTTGTAGTTGGAGGATACTCGCAGGATTGATTTGTTTGCAGACAAATCCCGCAGTGGGGGATTTCGCGTGTACACTTGACCTTTCGCCGACGGCACGAGTAGCATGCAATGCTCGACACAGAACCTGAGCCTGCGGCTGCCCCGTTGGGAGGGAACGATTCCATGTCAATCACGCATACATCCAAGGTAGAGGGGCTTTCTGTGTTTGTTTTCGAACGAGGAACTTTGGGTGAAATGAAATGAAAGATGGAGTGGAAGGAGAACTGAATGCGAAGAGCACCAGAATGTGCGGGGCGGCGCCGAGTAACGATGTCTGAGCGATAGTCGGGGCCCCAGCTTTCCTACCCCGATAATCTCTCCTTGGGATTGGGGGTCACTCCGGTCAGACGGGGGGATGGACGGGGCCTAACTAGTTAGAGTACAGAAAATGAACCAAGGCTGACCCTTGCTTAGCCGAGAAATCCACAGGTCCGGCACAGAGATCGCGAGCCCGAGAGAAAAGATGGCACATTACCACCATGCTCTGTTTTCCTTACTCTGTACAGTCCTTGCTGCAGTTTCCGCGACCGTGCTTTCGCGGTTCTGCTGTACGCCGCTGCATTTTGCCAACTCCATCGATTCAAGGTTCACCAGACGAGGCCTGAAGTCGGCCAAGGTCACCACATCTTGGTCCAACGTTTATTGGCGGAACGATTTCGGTCAAACTTCGCTCAATATTTGACGAAACCCGCCCTCACCCCTGGAGTTAAAGCCCAGGCTAGTGTCTTATTGGTATGCGTGACCAGATGGATGGAAAGTTGAGCTCCACAACGACTCCATACGCACTTGGTTCTGAGTGTGAGTGTGGACCCTGTGAAGGGGTCGACATGATTGGGTCTGTCAACCATGGAGGACAGGAAACAAGGCCACGCACGTCAACCTGTGGCAGAAAACGGTGGGCGGGTGGGTGAAAACAGCAGTCAAGTGGGGGAAAATAGAGCCATGGCTGTGGTTTCTTGGGTTAGCAATAATCAGAGTCATGGGATGGGCGCATGATCAACGGCGAAAGAAGAACACAGGTATCAAGTTTTGGTCTTCAACGAACAGAAGACCCAGCGTATACACATTGAACCCGCAAGAATGATCCCGGGCCTGATGATGGTGCCCATGGCACTCCAGCCGGACCTTTCAGCCCAAGATTGTGATGATTGGTACAATAACGAACATGTTCCTATGCGCATGAGACTGCCATTCTTTGAGACAGGATATCGGTACCGCTCGACTGAGCAACATGAGGCACTCACTGGGACAACTACACGTCAACCGCCAGAGTGGCTCGCTCTTTACGAGGTCAACGACATGAAACAACTCAAGGAACCGACTTATGAGCGACTTCTGAACCCTGATGTTCAGTCGTGGCGGGAAAGGGTGGTGATGCAGAAAATTTCAGCGTCGCGAAGGTACTACGACTTTGTGGCTAGCCACGGCAGGCAGGATTCGAGTACGGGTGGCGTCAAACTCGAAGACAGCCAAAATCTGGGCGATGCAGCCTCGGCATACGCGGAGACCTTGGTGGTCGTAAGAGTTCGTCTTCGAAGCGACTTGCCGGCGGCAGAGGCCGAAAAGGAATGGGATCGTTGGTATGTGGAAGACCACCTCCCTCCATTATGCAAAGTACCTGGGTGGCAAAGAACTCGACGATATCGCACATCTGTAATTGACGACCAACCCTCTGAAGCACCGGCTGTCGGCTGCTCTGCCATAGAATACTTGACGTTGAACGAGTTTGCGCATGACGCGGCAATAGGGGGACCAGAGCATCAGATAGCCATCCAAACAGAGTGGTTGACAGACGTTGTCGAAAGTAAGTGGAGGCAATCCTACAAACTGCACTACATTCAAAGCAAAGCTCCGCGGGATCTCTCAGCCTTGTATCGCTCCGCGGCTGACGAGTTTGTCAGTCCTGATGGCATGACTCGAACACTTTCTGGGCTTCGACCCAGAGTCGAAAGCTATATCGCAACTCGCGACAACAACGTCGTCCCGTACAGATTAGAGGGTTGTGGAACTGACACCTCACCCATCATTGTCATGTGTGTTTCAATATTTGGCACGTGGATTTCAATAGACGATGTGGCCGACACTTTTCTCTCGAGGGAAGTCTTCAGGAAGGGTCGAGTCTTGCAACTAACTCTACCCTGTCGGGTGCGCAACGAGAAGAATGCGTTGGCACAGTTCCCGGACGTGGAAGATCTAGAAGATTGCTTCAGTGCCTTGATGATCCCAAAATGCTCTCTTCTCATAAGTCTTGACGTCCGAGGAATGACAGCGGAAGGCAACCAGCCGCGGGAGATACAACACATTTCAGCCGAGGATAGCCACTATGGGATTGGCAAATTGTGTGACAACGCACTCTTGCTCGTGGCTCGATCTAAGAAAGCCACCGCCAAAATGGTAGCGGACCTGGTTTCGGCCGTATCAGAGGCAGATAACGTCGATGGAGTGCTCGAGAGTGTTCTTAAGGAGTTAACTACGACACCGTGAACCAAAAATTCAGCGTCCGATTAACTGAACTAGTATCAGAGCTGGGTAGCCCCGTGCAAACTTAAATGTATCTTGTCACCATTACACGTCAGCCACCTATTGGAGATAGAGATATGTAGACCGCAGAGACGTGGCCTCGCGAGTAGGCAACTCCTTCCCTCTCTTTCTATTTGGTCCCTGTCATAACAGTATGGGCTTACTGTTTTTCGTATCATCTCTCAGGTAGGTCCTTCGCCATTGACTGATTAGCCATGGCGATTTGCAGATGTGATCAGGTCGAAAAAATTCGTGGAGCAGATCTCGATCGCGTTGCCCCAAGGATCTTGCACGTAGAGTGCCGTATGGCCGTTGGATAAGGTCACGGCGTCTCCCACTCGTCGCCCTCCGGCATCTTCAATCTTGCTAGCCAGCTTCTGGGGCTCAGCTGCCGTCACGGCAACGTGAAAGAAACCGCCTTGAGTCCAAGACCTTGCATCGAAGCGTGTTGGCTGTTGAACTGTCCCTGCCTCAGATTTCGGATCAATGAACTGGAATATTTCGAACCCAACACTGTTTGAAGCTTCAAGATATGCCACTTTGACTTTGTGAAGCTCGCCACCATACACTGACGTAGAGGGAAATGATTAGTCAGTGTTCGTATAAGCATCGACGTAAAACTTTAGCGAAGCTCCTTGATGGAATACCACTAGTGTACAGAAGCAATTTTGACACACCTCGGAAAACGATTCCTTTAGGATCTTTCTCTCGATCCATATAAGCTGAGGGAATGATTTCGCAAAATCCCAGATTTTCTGTATACCATTGAACAGCCTGGTCGAGATCGTCGACCGACAAAGCAACATGGTTGATAGCACATGTCGTGCCAGTCACACCCGAGTTCGCCATTCTGGCACTTTGGCTATTCTGGCCCTTTGATTGATGGAGCAAGTGTATGGATAGGAAAGTGAGGATCGTTCCCCAGTGCACCGATTCTACCACTCAGGCGAGACTGCTCTATATGGTGAGCAGGTCTAAATATCCACCAATTTCTGAGGAACTATGCCGCCTTATTGAGCACAAATCTGACAAGGGATGAAAAGCAGTGTCTTTCGGTAATGTTATTGTTGCTAGTGGGTTTGTGGAGTTCTACTACAAGATCTAAACTAAACATAGAGTCGTCAACTTGAAATAGCCACTGCTCTTATGTAGGATATCAGATCAGTCGATGCAACATCGCCGTGATTATACTATTCCATATGGATGGTAATCTTTTAGGCGGGCGTGGGTGAAGAAAACGCTTCTGTGTCCATTCTCTGCTAGAGTTACAGGACGAGGACGCTATGGAATACTATCTGAGCTACGACCTTACAAGACTTCGCTGTTAATTTACCACCGTGGTTTCCAGTAACCACCAACCATCACCAGCCTGGAATACCTTGTCTGACCCCAATGTTTGGTCGCTTCTTGATAGATTCCTCCGATTCGCCACTCCTTAGACGCTGGATTAAGTTCTCAGGATCGAAGTCGACCCCAATTGGATTATCCTCGAACTCTTTGCTGGCGAAAAAAAGAGTGGCTTCTTGTGGACTGTCGAAGTTGTCCACCTGGGTTTCAATCTCATTGCCATCTGGGTCGTGGAAGTAGAGACTGGTCGTCGGTCCATGGTTGACACACCAAAAGGGGTCGATGCCTAGATCTTTCCTCTGACGGTACGAGAGCGCAAGATCCTGGAGTGTTTTGTATGTGAATGCTATGTGGGCAAGACCTGCTGGTTTTCCCACACGTTTTGTTGTCTCTGGAAAGATGCCAATCGCAATGCGATGGTGCTCCTCGTCGTAAGTGAGGAAGCTAAGAACTCGGGTCTGATATGTAATTTTGGCGTTGAGGAACTTGACGTAGAAATCCGTCATGGCAGTGAAGCTATCAACGTCTGGCGTCCTCAACACAACATGTGCCAAATATGCTGGTCGGAGAACTTCCGTCCCTGCAGTATCAAAAATATCCCCACTCATCGTAGTGGTGGTGGTGATGGTGTTGTTTCTATTGCCTGACGAAGTGCTCAAGAATCAATCTAAGAGTGGGCTTTTTGGCATACCACCAAAACTTTGAACCCGAGTTTCTCAGCCTTAGCAGCGATCGTGGAGAGACTAAATGTCCCATCCACCTTTGAGTGTCAGGACCAGCCGTTTGGTAAGTTCTCTGACATGCTCGGCTTGGATTTTCTGGCCCGGGCAACATCACAGCCAAGTCAAGCCAGCCGGATGACCGGGAGCATTTCGTGCGGCTGTCAGGACTGGTGCAGAGATCTCATTCGAGCGCAGGGTCGAGACTAGCTTGATTAGATCTTTCGATCTTTCTTCTGCGCATCGAATTTCGCTCCATAGCACAGTTGGCGGACGAATTTCGGCAACCGTTTCATTATGTTCTTTGGAGCAGAGGTACAATATTATTTTGTACTCCTTGACTTGGACTTCGTTCTGAATGGAGTCCATGGCATGCACATTGCCTTTCCGGATATAACGTGGATCGACATAGGGTTGAAATAATCACCTGTACCCTCGCCCCGTTCCTAAAATTCATCTACGAATTGAGTCAAGGTCTCACTATATGCACTTAAGTTCTCACACAAGCAGAGGTATTATCACGCAAACATAAGCAGAGCTCTCTGCGATACTCGGCACAATGCCTGGCGAAACGATGAAGGCATTCCGCCTGGTAGAATACGGGAAACCTGGGCAGTACTGCGAAGTGCCAGTTCCCTCACCCAAAGAGGGAGAAGTACTCATACGAATGAAAGCCGCAGGTTTATGTCGGTCTGATCTTGACATGGTCGATTCGTTGCCAGGTACAGATCCGTATGCCTCAGCTGTTGATGCTCCCTACACTCTAGGGCATGAAAATGCTGGGGTGATCGAGGTGCTAGGAGAGGGTGTTACCGATTTGAAAGTGGGTGAGGGAGTGGCCGTCCGCCACATGCCACACTGCTCGCACTGCGAATTCTGTATCCGTGGCGTCGAGCAACACTGCGAAACATATAAGCGCGGAGCTATCGAAATCACCCGTGGCTCTGGCTTCGATGGCGGTCTTGCAGAGTTCATGCTCTGTCCCCGTGACCAGCTCGTCAGCATTGGTAACGAGGATCCCGTCAAGTACGCTCCGCTTACAGACGCTGGGGTCACGGCATACCACGCTGTTGGAACGATCAAGGACCGTCTGCGACCCGGATCATCAGCACTAGTCATCGGGTGTGGAGGACTGGGATCTTACGCCATCCAGTTCCTTTTGCTTTTGATGGGTGTTAAGGTGTACGCGGTTGATACCAATGAGAGCCGCATCCAGATTGCTCGGGATTTGGGAGCCAAGCGCGTATTCAAGGCTGGCCCAAATGCCACAAAGGAGATTCTGGACGAAACTGGCGGGAAGGGGATTGATGGTATCCTCGATTTCGTAGGAAACACTGCGACATTGAGGATGGCTATGGAACTGTCTAGACCACAGGGTCGAGTTGTCCTGGTTGGGATGGATATGGGTTCGGTGGAAGTGGGGTGGAATAAGATCGCAACGAGCTGTGAATTTGCCATAAGCTTAGGATCAACACGCAGAGATCTCGAGGAGGTGTGCTATCTTGCTTCAGAAGGGAAGCTTAAGATCGACGTCGACCGCTTCCCATTCGACAAGATTCCTGAAGCGTACCAGGCACTGCGAGATGGAAGGCTAATTGGCAGAGCCGTTATTACGTTTGACTAGCACCTGAGACGATGATCATCATGAAAGACCCAAGGCCGCCCTCGGAGGTGCTTCCAAGAGATAGAAAACTCCCACACAATTAGCCAGCGGTGCCGTGCCCGACTTTGGCCACATTCAAAGCCATACGCAAATAATGCTCAGGCTGTGACTGTAAGCTGCAAACGTGCTGTCAGAGCTTCAATTCCGGAAGACCATCATGTCCACAATCCGCCGAAGGGTAGTCCACCAACGGGCTGGGGAAATTCAATGTCCTCTGCCCGAGCCCTTGAGTGGGGCCGGCTCCGGAGGAATTTCGCTGGGCGGGCAGATCTCAGAAGCTGGAAAGGGGGTTACTGAGGCCGAACGATTGGTCGGTCGGCAACATCTACCCACAGATTGCCATGATCGAACTGTGATATACAATGTACACCCACTCACGACCAAAGCCAACAGTCCAAAGCGACGGCAAGCACAGGATTGTAATATGGCTTCAGCTCAAAACGCTCTTCAATTAATAATAGTGCCGCACCGTCCAGTGCATACAGAAAATGAAATCAACAAAGATCTCGCCCCATCTTTGAACATACTGCAAAGGTAAGTAAGACCAGGAACACAATGTATGACCCCAATACTTAACTTCCACAGAGCCCGAGGATTGAAAGCACTATGGAGAGGCAAGAAACACGAAGATCGCCACACCCAGGTTGCTTTGATACTTTGGGAAAGTCTCGCTGCTAGTCATGCATTTTTTACTAGCCCCGAATATGCCGACTTCCACCAAGCAATCCAGCCTGCCATGAACGGTCGTCGCATCGAGTGGACGAACCACGTATTAATCGACCCTACTGGTTTGAACGACAAGACTCATTTGTTGAACGCTCTCGACTCGCCTGCAATTGAAGTAGCCTTGACAAAAGTTGTTGAAGGCGGTGTTTCGGGGTACTACTCTCAGTTTCGAAAAATCGTCGTGAAAATTCTGGACGAGGATCCAGGATGTGAAGGCCATTTCATCGGTCCATTGATAGAAAACCCCCAGGACCAGCTGCTGCTGATCAACTGGCAATCTGTTGACGTAAGTGCCCGGTATCTCTCCTGACTTTGAAGTGGCATGAACTGACTGAGTGTCGAAGGCTCACCACGAAGAGTTTGAGAAGAAACCGACATTCAGGGCTTGCATCGATGGGCTTCAGGACTACTATGCTGTCTTTGTGATTCCATGGCATATCGTGGATCTGAAACTTGTGCATGGTAACCCGTAGTTAGGTATATCATTTGACATACTATGTACAGCGCCACGCGCAGAGGCCATCTCGTCTCAGTAGTACCTGAACTCACAAAAGCACTTGAACATACTCCACTCAGCCTGCCCTGTAGAAACCGCATGCCGAATACCCACCGTCTACAGTCCACCGTGCTATGGCCGTGATCAGTATGAGCGTGTAGAACAAGACGATATCTCTCACCGCCCGTAACGTACGAGGCATCATCGCTCAGTAAGAAAGCAATTACTTTGGCCACCTCTTCTGCCAGGCCCATTCGCCCCATCAAAGTACCAGCACTCACAATGTCCGCGTTAAAAAGACCCTTTGCTTCCCCCTCACGAAAGATCTTGGTGTCGATCGGGCCTCTGTGAAAAGGAGATTAGACTGTCTGCACCACTCGGGGGCCAGTACATACGGTAGAACAGCGTTTACTCTGATTCCTTGCTTGCCATACTCTGCAGCCGTGGATTCAGTCAAGCCAATCACCCCAAACTTACTCGATGCGTATGCTGCATTGTTAGGTAAACCTCGGAGCCCCGAAGTACTTGAAACGTTGACGATGGCCCCTCCTGGCCTAATAAGATGCTGGAGCTGAGCTCTCATACAAATCATCACGCCTGTGAGGTTGACCGCCAGCATTTTTTCCCACGCTGCTTGGTCCTATCCCGATGTCAGCGCAGAGTCAAGGATGTAAGAAATCCAGCATACATACAATCGACTCAGTGCTTTGACCGTCCCCTCCTGCCATGCCTGCAATGTTGGCAGCTCCATCAAGCCTTTGAAATATTTCCATCGTGTCCTTCAGCCAAACATGAACCTGTTCGGCATTACTAACGTCGACTCTGGTGATCCTGACTTCTGCTGAGTACTGGCTACCTTGACGTCGTCAATCGCAATGCACTGCCTCGGGTAACAGATAAGCATACACAACTTCTGCGTTTCCACCAAACCTGACTCGTCTTGGTCACTGAGAGCAATGCCTCTTGCCCCTAATTCAGCGAGCCGGACAGCGGTGGCTCTACCAATTCCTGAGCCTGCGCCAGTTACAGCAAACACTTTGCCCTTCATCGTCGTTGCATCAAATTGAGATAAATCGTATCGTGTTGGATGAACCGTGGTCCGACGAAACTATTAGTGCCTGAAGAATCAATATATCCCATCCTTACGCCACTAAGCTGTCTAAATATGGTGGTCGTGTACCAACAGAAACTCTAGACCCACCACATTCTCAGCGGAGTTTGTCCGAATCCTCAAAACCGGGAGGTAGCAAGGAGTTAGAGTTGGTGGTGCAAGCTTTGCGAATCCTTCTGTGGAGCTATTTTGCCGAGCATACTCTCCCTCTTGATTTGCTTTGTATTGAATAATGCCCCGGGCCACAAAGTATTGCTACAAAGGACCGAAATGACGATCGGGTTGACTTCGCTCGTTGGTAAATGGTCCGTGCGATGCACAATGCGATTGTGCCTCATCTCCCATGCACTTTAGCTCGCAAAAAGATCTCCAAATCGTCCTAGGAGATATATTATTTACGAGACGCTGGTGTAGGAAGGAAAATTGGGGGGAACACCCTGGCTTTCACTTCCTCAACAGCCCAAACAGCCCACGAGCCAATTTAGACGAAACCTATTCCGCTATGGCTGATCGCCACGACATTATTGCACAACTTCAAAGACGTCTTCAGATCCTGGAGGACAAGGATCAGCTTCAAACACTTCTCAATCGATATTGTACAATTGCAGACGCCAAAGACTGGAAGGGCTACGCCAATACCTATATTGATAAGGGTGCCATCATGACCTTCGAATCCTGGGGCGACATCGTGGGCAAGGAGAACATCGCCAAAGCAGCCAGCGCCGAACAAGTCTTCGATGGGCTCCAGCACACGATGACAAATATGGAGTTCACGGTCGACGGTTCAGACAAGGCAACTGGGACCGCATATCTCTGGTTTTGTGCAACTCCCGATACATCGAAACCTGAGATCAATTATGCCTTTGGTGGACCATATCGGTTCGAGTTCCAGCGGACGGAAAAAGGGTGGAGGATTTCGCACATGTGGTTGAAGAAGATCTGGTCGTTGGGCAAGGATACGAAAGGCGTCTTTGGTGCTACATAGGAGAAACCGCACGGGGTCGAGTGTCGCATATCTAGGTACACATAAATCATCATACTAAAGAGGCTAGTGATTTGTGTAGAGGTATGCCCTGTGACAAATGGCTACACAGCATTTCCCGTCTGCGTCTTCGCGAAGTTCTTTCGGGGTGGGGACCACCTCGGCTAACATGGAGCCCATTGCCCGTCGAAGTGAGTTAGTCCGAAGAGTTGATTCTGAAAAGATGCTGAGGTGGAAACTCCATTCGGTATAAAGGGCTGTTTCTGCCGGCAACTTTTACAAACCCTCCAGATGCCCAAGAGTAGTCATGTCGTCGAATTCTGGATTACTTCAGGGCCAGGTCGGATTGATTACCGGAGCTGGAACTCCATATGGTATCGGGAGAGAATGTGTCAAGAGATTCGCCTCTGCAGGAGCCAAAGCCATCTATGCTTGCGACTTGAACCTAAATGCCATCGAGTCCTTGCGGGAAGAATGCAAGAAGGCCGGATACACCTCGATTATTGAAGGGAAACAGCTTGACGTGTCAAGTGAGGAGCAAACTGTGAAGGTAGTCAAGGAGATTACCAAGGCTCACGGTCGCTTTGATTTCTACATTGCGAATGCTGGTTTTGCCAACTACAGGTATCGACTTTCAGGCACTCTGCGCCGCAGTAGCGTCACTGACTAATATTCGCCAACCTAGGAGTCTTAACGACACTGAGATGAGCCACTACGACCGTCAAGTCAATGTTATGACCCGTGGAGCTTTTCTTGGTGTTAAATATGGCAGTCAGGCTATGATGGTGACGTCCACAGAGAAGCCTCACCCGGGCGGTGTCTTTGTGGTCACCGGTTCATGCGCTGGGTTCCTCGGCTCCTATAGCGATCTACCTTATGGTCAGTTAAATGCGTCCGTTACATTTGTAATTGGATCTAACTTCCTTGATTGCGTACAGCTATCGCCAAAACTGCGTTGCACGGCCTGATTAGCGCTGCCTCGGTTCAATTGTCATCGAGCAACATTCGTATAAACGGCGTGGCTCCTGGCTTCACTAAAAGTGGCATCTTGACGAATTCTCAAAAGGCAGAGCAAGGTGAATACAGAAGCGGAGAAAACGAGGAGCAACTGAAGCAGAATCATATGTGGTTCTTTGAGCGAGCAGGACTTTTGAAGGCGACCGAGTATTATTACAATCGGCTTCAAGATCCTGTCGAAATTGCCAACGTACAATTGTTCTTAGCCTCAGGCCTTTCTTCATGTATCAACGGCCAAATGGTCTTGTGCGACAGTGGCAAGACTGCGGCCGCGACTGGGGAGGCATGTACCGGACCTGTGGGTCCAGTCCGCGCATTAGACTTGTCTTGATATGCCACGACTCCAGGAGTCAATCTTTGCATAGTAACCATCAATCAAGTGAAAACGCTCCGGAGTATCTCCGCTCCTCTGGGGCTCTTCCGGACTTTATGCTGTAGAGCAAACCGACCGACCATCATGGGGTACCGCCAAGCGGTCTCGTACTGAATGCCATTTTCTGTGACCGAGGTCTGGCTACAACAAGGTTTCTACATCTCCATTCGCCCTCGTGTAAATTCGACCGAGCCCAATTCCGATTGCTGGCGGAGATATAAGTATCTCAAAACATAATCACCTCTCACCTAAAGGACATTTGCGTCACTCTAATAGTTTCGAACAAGGTCTGATTACCATCATGACTATTAACTTGCATATAGCTATCGCCCTGGCCGTCATTTTCGGGCTATGGAGATTACTGAGAACCGGTCGACGAGACCCTAGACTTCCACCAGGACCCCCGACTGTACCGATTCTTGGAAACGCTCATCAAATCCCGCTCACCGGTTTGGGGAAGAAGTTAGTTGCCTATCCTTCAAGGAGATCCAGCCATAGATGTGCAGGGCTAACTCGTCCCCAGGTTCCACGAATGGTCTCAAGAATACGGCAAAATATACTCTCTAAAGGTTTTCAACTCGACAATGATTGTACTAGCAGATCGCAAGGCCATCTACTCCCTCCTCGACCAAAAAGGCAGCATCTACTCGGAAAGGCCGTACCTTGCTGTACCTACATTCATGAGTCGAGGATGTCATATGACTTTTGAGCAAGCCACACCTGGCTGGAGAGAAAAACGTTCGGTCATTACCAGAAATCTCAATCCCCAGAATCTGGACAAGAAGCATTTCAGAGTTCAAGAAGCAGAGTATGATTGTTGTGGATGGAGCTGGTGATTTGATGGACTGATTGGTTCTCCCAGATCGATCCTGTTCATGCACAACCTCGTCCAACACCCGAACCAAGCGTTCGACTACGCTCGTCTCTATGCCTCATCAGTGGCATCCATTCTAGCTTGGGGATTTCGGGCCAAGGATTTCGACTCGTTCTTCTACAAGGACTTTTACTCGTTTGTTGATCAGGTAGGCAGAACTTTTCCAAGACCTGCTCAAAAGTTCATGTTTTGTTAGTGGCTTGACGCTATAGAACCTGGCGCAAATCCTCCAGTCGAACAGCTGCCATTTTTATGGTACCTGCCCGGAGCGTGGAAGAAGAGGGCGACCCACGTTAGAGGGCTGATGGACTCAACGTGGTCCAAGGCGCGCGAGATGGTAGAGAATCGACGTCAAAGAGGAGACATCCGCGACTCGATAGTCGACCTCAAACTAGCCCAGTACGAGAAAGACGGATGGCCCATGTCTCAGTATGCGTTCAACAACTTGTTTGGTGAATTACTTGAGGCCGGAGCTGACAGTGCGTCCCAAAAGAAGCTTGGGTCCAAAGAAAATGCTAACCATGCGGCAATAGCTACTGCAAACATGCTTTTGACAATTATTTTGGCGGTAACGAAGTTTCCTGAAGTCCAAGTCAAGGCAAGGCAAGAATTGGATGCAGTTTGTGGAACTGAGCGAACACCACTTTTTTCTGACTTTGACAAACTACCCTATATCAACTGCATCATCAAAGAAGCCCTCAGATGGCGTCCAACGTAAGTCCTCTCTATAATGCACACTGTCAGAGCCAATTGCTAACGTTCTCTCAGATCTGATCTTGGAATCCCGCATAGACTTGCCAAAGGTGAGCAGCGAAGCTACGACATAGGCTCTCATGCTCACTTTTGTAGATGACTGGTACGAGGGCATGTTTTTCCCTAAGGACAGCACAATCTGGCTCGCCGCCTGGGCTATTCATCAGAGCGATGACGAGTTTCCTGATCATGATCGTTTCAATCCGGATCGATTCAAAGGTCACGCCAAGTTAGCAAGTGATTACGCAGTCGGCCCTGACTGGAAGGGACGAGATAAGTTCACACCCCAGTCCATCTCGGTTCCGGACCTCAGCTGACTTCCAATTTTACATCATTACGGGTATGGAGCAGGTCGCCGGATGTGTCCAGGCATCCACCTCGCGGAAAGAAGTATGTGGCGTGTCACAGCTAAATTGCTCTGGGCTTTCGAATTTGAAGAGATCCCGGAGAAGCCACTCGATGTTAACGCGTACACCTCATCAAATCTGGTGCGGCCTTTGGAGTTTGAAGTGTCGGTGAAGCCTCGGAGTGAACTCCACGCAGACGTGATCAAACGGGAGCTAACTGGTGCCTTGGACTTCTTGAGTCAATACGACTAGTTCTCCGCAACTGAGCAGCAGCAGGGCTAGGCAGAAGGTGGAGAGATAGTCTTCAGGCAATTTCATGTCGATCGCATAAACATTCTAGACGTTCGGACTAATTAGTGACTGCCGTGCCGTTTACCTCGTATCCGGACCATCTTCGGTGTGGAGTACCGCAGTCAGTGCGCATTGGCTCTTAAAGTTTCATAGGATGGTGTCCGCTACCTTACCTGCCAAGAATCTCTGTAGGAATACATCGACGGAAGAAAGGGATGCAGAAAAGTAGCTTAAGGACCATTTGGCTTGTCCAAAGCCTGCAGGTATCACAGCAATCATGTCAGTGCAGGGCAAAGCAGCGATTGTCACGGGGGCTGGCCTAGGCCTGGGTAGACTGTACGCACTTGCCCTGGCTGCTAGGGGAGCCAAAGTTTTGGTTAATGACTACGGCGGCGACCTACAAGGGCAGGCTGGTACTATCACTCGGGCACAAGCCGTGGTCGATGAGATCAGGGCTGCTGGTGGCATCGCAGTTGCGCACAATGGCGACGTGTCGAAAGACGCCAAAGATATCGTCCAGACTGCCGTCAACGAATTTGGGAGCGTTCATATCTTGATCAATAACGCGGGCATCACTGGCAAAATGAGTCCACACGACGACGTCGACGGACCTGCATTTATGCGTGTCCTTGAGATTTCAGTCCTAGGCACGACCATGGTCACCAGCGCTGCGTACTCGGTCATGGCAAAGCAGCGATACGGCAGGATTGTTAACGTGTCATCGAATGCAATCTACGGATTCGGGGCAGGAGGAGACTGCGCGTATGGTGCTTCCAAGGGCGCCGTGTTTGCAATCACGAGGGAGCTGGGCAGGTGGTCGGAGAGAGATGGTATCAAGATCAATTGTATAATGCCGTCCGCAGCGTCTCGTATGGGAGATTTGTCTGAAGGAACCAAGAAGATCACCCGAACTTACTTTCCTCCGGAGGTTAGTCATCTCCGTCTCCTCTTACAAGCACAAAGGCGATACTAACTACCAGATACAAGGGGGTGGTTCCGTTCGTTATGGCTCTTTGCTCAGAAGAGTGCCCATCTTCCGGGGAGGTGTTTTCTGCCAGCGCCAATAGAGCTGCACGCGAGACGTTGGCAACTTTTCCGGGCAAAATATCCGACACTGCGGAGGGTTTCTTAGCAGACTGGGACAAGGTCTACGGGAAGGATGAGACTCCCTTCTTAGGCGACAGTACCCTCGATCAAGTCAAGTATATAATTCGAATAGCGCATGGGAAAGAGATGGAGGACATCCCTGAATTTGGAATCGCCGGGAAGTAGGAGGTTCAGTCACAGTTACGACCAAAGTAATCAGATCTTGATGATCTACACCTTGCACCGTGTACATGGTACTCTAGTTAGTCTACGCAAGATTCTAAAAAGTCATAACAACAGTTTCAAACTACTCCGCAGAAGATCCCCAGGCACACTGGAAGCATGATCCTGGTGACATAGGATGCAGCATCTGAAGCCAGCCATAAGCCCCCTGAGCAAGCACGTTGATTCAACATTGATTCAGGGAATCTCACAACTGTCAATATCTCGTGGGCCATGCTCTAGGTTTTCAATCCTCTCGTTAAACATGGCCGTAGGAATTTTGAGAGGAATGTTTAAAAGCTCTGGTATTGGAGCCGCTATTGAAGAGTGCCTCGCAGGAAAAAAGGTTTTCTATTCTTCTAGGCCACACAAGTGAGTCTTTGATTAAAAGGACCAAAAATCATGTCTAAAGTTTCAAGATAATTATAAAGTGAGGGCCATACCCGCGAAGATAGATATAGAGGATAAATATAGCGGCCCCACAATTGTCCACATTACTAAAAACAAAGCTCGAAATCACCGGCAAGAAGGCGTTCTAGATTGATATTGTTGTCAATAACGCCTCTATTTAAAACACTTAAGATTATTGTGCAAACGTTCAATGTAATCTATGCGACACTCGCCTCGAGTCTTAATTTTTCTCCTTGAAGCAAGCTTCCCATATCTTCCCGCAGACCTCTCAAGTCCTATATTCAACGTGTCTAGCGTAGGTTGTGTGTTTGGACTTCGGGAAGAGGCGGTGTACGCCGGATCCAAGGGTGCCCTGGAGGCAATCACCAGAATGTCGGCACCTGAGTTGGCAGAAATGGCAACAGTCGACTCCGTCAATCCGGACGCTGTGTTGTCCGATATATACTAGTCGACCCCGGAGGAATCCAGTGTGTGCTCTTGAGCAATGGAATCAAGTTACGCCGTCGGCTGCAGTCAGAGCTCACTACATTGACGACCTCAAGGGGTGGACCCCATATGGCGGCAGAACGGTACCCGCCCTAGAGGTTACTTCGGTCGTAGTGATGCCGTGTACCCCGGACGTAGGATGAAACACGGGAAACGCGACTTCGGACAATGCTGGCATGAGTTTCTCGCATCGACTTCGGTATGCTTCCAGGTTTGCGTGTTTGTTGCAGTCTGCAAATTGGGGTAAAACCGCTGCGGTCTCTGAGTGCAGCAGTGACTGGGAGATTTACCGTCGTTGTGGAGATGTACAATTTGTTCTTTTCACTCGGAAAATTCAAGTGGGAGTATATCCGTCGTGTGGCCTTTTTGCGAGGTTGAACGTATCGAGTTGGGTGCCTCTGGACCCTCAAGGTTTGATGCATATTACTCCACAGGGATAAACTTGGCAATTATTGCATGGACCCACAAGTAATGTAGCCGAAAGCTTCTCCTGACAGTGGCTATGTGCAAAAAGTCCAGGCATCATCTATCATTCAACAGAGGCTGTGCATCTGAGTCTTGAGACCAGAAGCTGGGGAGTAATTGTAGACTTGTCACGTCAAATAATCTGCTCGGTTCGCGGTAAGATTCGGGGTGTCGAAGACGAGGGTCGCGCGCACTCCTGCTAGGCTTTCACCAGTCGTACGCATCTTCCTTTGCGGCCTTTGCTGTTGAGATGAGAGAATGTGCACATTTGGCTTCGCCTTATGGACGTAGTGTGGCTACAATTCATATACTTGCGCACATTGAGATGTTTCTCGTTCATGAATAATGTAGACTCCTAAACGCTTTTTTTTTACAAGTACACCACAATGGGTTGTTGTGGTGTTCGACTTAAATGCCACCAAGAGCCTTGCACTGAGTTTAGAAGATGCTCTCTCGCTCATGGCCCATATTACCAAGGTAAATGGGCACTTGTGGAGGTTGCAGAGGTCACTCTCTCGACCTGCTCGTAATTGCAGACCTAGATGTCTGCTGTTGATCGCTTTGCCTGAACCGGAATGGCTTCAGGTTTCGCCATCTCAGTATGTGTTGCAGTATTGACATGCTTCATTTGTTCTTCCAAGGCCTGTTCGAAATCCAACGCCACAGTATCACCGAACAAACCCCCAAGATCTTCCAGCGGAATTCCAGCAGTCTGGAACGGCATTTAGCAAGATGTGCCGTCCTGTTGGCAGACAAGGAAGACTCACCTCTGGCAGATAGAACATGCACGGAACAACCAGAGCGATTGTCACAGCAATGAACACCATGTAGTACTTCCATCCAATTGACGCGAATGCTTGAGCAGCGGGCGCCGTGGACCAGATGGAAAAGATGTAGAAGCCGAAATAGGAGATTGCAGACCCTTTACTTCGCAAGTGCGTTGGCCAGATTTCACAGCCATATACATACCCGGTACACTCCAGAGTAGAAGTGAACCACCATGCAATAATGAAGTAGATTGCGACAGCAGCCTTTGTACCGGCTAGATTGCTGCCGTCAAGATAGCGCGCCTGTAGCGCGGATTCACAGGCAAGCAGGATGACCATGCCCCATCCGCCGGCGACTGGAGGAAATTAGCGATTCAGCTCATATTCATGACACGGAAAGCATTTCTTACCAATCAACTTCACTCTACCAATGCGATCAATGAGGTAAATGTTGAAGAAGCAGCCGATAAACAAGCAAACAGTCCACACCAGGCTGAGTGCGAGTTGAAGAACGGTGCCGTAACCGAGAGCCCCGAATAACTGTGGTGTAAGGTTCGCAAGAACAGTGATGCCTGTTGATTGTGCCATGGTCCAAACCAGAAGAGTGCAGATGAGACGTTTTCTGAGAGACGGGCTTCGAATAATATGCATCCAGCTGCTAGGCAGGCTCTGGTCAACCTGAACCTGTGCGATGATTTGGTTCAACTCGGCATGAGCCACTCTACCATCGGGATCGTCTTCTGTCTTGTGTATGCTGTTTAGGATTACCCCAGCCTCTTCAGGTCTCCCGTGCTCCACGAGCCACCGGGGAGACTCCGGCAGAGTGATCAAGGATGCAAGTAGTGCGAGAGCAATGGCAGTGGCAATAACGAAATTGAGCCGCCATTGGTAGTCTGTATTGACGAAGTGGAATCCCAGAGCGGCGCAGGAGGAAAGGATATATCCGAGGACGATGAAGTTGCCCTGAAGGCCGACGAGCAAGCCACGGCTGTGTGCAGGAGATATCTCACTGAGATACACTGGTGTGTTGCTGATTACCATTCCAGCTCCAAGCCCAGCTGTGTACCTGCCGACTAAGAACATGGCGATATGTACCGCACCGGCTTGAAGGGCATTTCCCAAAGTGAGAAAGCAGGCCGCAACTGCGGTTGCGCGTTTTCGGCCCCAACGATTGGAAATATACGCTTGTAGAAAACCGCCGATGAGCGCAGCCCCAAAGAACCTGATCAATGCCTGTTAGAAGAGTGTTGCCTCTCGCTGGAAGGAGATAATCACCCCGAGATGATTCCGTCGATGAGCGCGGTGGCATTAGATCCAGTCAAGAATTTCGCAAGGAACGAAACCTGGGCCAGAGACCCAGCGATGACATTGTTTGAATACCCATAGTTGAAGCTAGCGAGGGTCGCGGCAATGATGAGCTATTCGGGGTCAGAAAGCCTTCTTCACAACAGATACGGCAGACCACGTACTAGGATGTTCTTCCTGCTCGTATGGCCTTTGAGCCCTCGGACATCAAGATGACCGGTCATGGTAGTTCTGCGAGAGGGTTGTGCTGCTAGAGAGTTCGACTTCAGGAGAAAACTGACTGAAGAGTAAGGGATTGAAGTGAATTGAGAGACTTGTTGGGGCAAGGAGGACAGGAATTATATGTCCGTTTTGATTAAAGTACGAACTGCCTAGATATCAGTTGGGGGGGCCGTCCCCAGGAATTCCCCCACAAAGCAGACGCGCCTCCGGACTTGGACCTGGCTAAAGTGGATCTCGGGCGCTCGAACCCAGTCCGGGAAAGTCGAAATGAGACTAGGGCGAAGATAGTCCGGGAGGTATCATCTTATCGCTCTCCGGCGATGAATCTCGCATACACTCCCAAAACCCACGACGCGACTGCAACCCCAGTCCATTTCCCGAAGTCTCGAGGGTCACGAGGTATCGCGGACAGCTCCTGGTGCGAGCAGTAGGAACGTCCGGTTTGCAACTCTTCGTCATAGCGATGACCAATCCCGAAATCAATAGCGTTTGAAACCACCGCCCGGCGGGTCTGATCCCAATCTGCTACCTCTGCAGCTGGCAAATACATACGTTTTAGCATAGCGAGCATAAATGAACATTGATCAATATAATATCCTGGATGCCAATCCGACGAACCTAACATGATATGAGAGAAAGGGTACACATTGATTAAAGATCCTTGCATTGTGTCTGTCTACCTAGACTGGTCCAATTGGTGGCTGCTGGTCAATATGGCCATTGAATGCTTGTGATCGATGGATCTCCGACTTCTCGTTTGTAGGGGCTACCTCTTCCAAGATTTGTTTGAATAGATTGGAAGATTGGAAGGTTTCCCAATCCTGCTTACTTCTAGATCTGCGCCCAAGTCGAATATGTTAGCCTCGTCTCGTCTCGCAATACAGTGAGTGTACACACCTGATATAGAGGCTTGCCATGTTCAAGTCGAGGCATTCCTTGAGGATTGCGAAACTTTGGATGGTTATATTAGGACTGTTTTCTGCCGCACGAACTCGATCGGCTCCCGCGCACAAAGCCCCCAGAAGCTGCTTGCGACGGCCTGCAGGTGACCAAAAGTGCACAATCACAACAAAGCTGTCTTTGGCATCCTTGTTCTTGTCATCCGGGCGACTTAAGAAGCCATAATGCATGTCGTAGTAATGCAAGTCATAATCTGGGCTCCCGAGTCCCTGCACATGTCGGAGAAGTTTGTCTTCATCCACCTTCTTCATCTCTCGCTTGAAAACTTCAGATGCTGGGTGGCCGATGAAGAAGCCGATTGGGTGAGCATACCCTTCAAGACCCCATAAAGTATCTGGTTCTCCGTCGACATCCTGCCCCCAGTAGTATGATGTCGAGTACGGCTCCGTAGCAGAAACCTCGCACAGCGGCACCAGTCGCTCTTTCCACTATAGTGAACAAACTCTGTCAATTTATCATTCTAGTGCAAGTCGGGAGTTATGATACCTTTGGAAAAGCACCGTCTGATCCGACAACACGGGCTACAACGAAGAAATCAGGCATGTTGTATTATCGAGGCTCCGGTACCACCACAAAGTAAGACACAATCAATATCGTATGATGAACACTTTATCTGAAGATCGGAACCAGCGCAATGGTCTTGTGATTTCCGCGCGAAATTATTCTGTCACCTATTAAGCCTTCCTCGGTGGTCTCATGCTAACCCTCCAGGACCACAGTTGCTGAGTGCGAAGATGATCCGAAGTAAGGCGAGATCGGCCTCCAACAACAATCCCTACTCTAACGTTGAGAGGTTCTTAAACTAGTATCAACTCATGCGAACTACAATGGCACCATAAAGGCATTAGAGTCTAAACATTCTTGGACATCAACTCGAGCATTTTCAAACAAACATTGCTGCTTGCTATCTTCCTACAACCATGGCCACCGTAGGTAGTTTGCAGACGATGCGCCCGACATCTATCTCTGGAATTGCCTTGGTGGCATTGTGCGTCTGGATTCTTTACCGTCTTTCCAGAGTAGGAGCACGAGACAGAAGACTGCCACCAGGGCCGCCTACTGTTCCTATTCTTGGGAATCTGCACCTAATTCCGACGAGTGGCATAGGGCTCAAGTATGTTCATGGAATAGGCAGCCCCGTGTTGAGAGGAAAGGATGAGCTGACAAGGTATCATCAGGCTGAAGGAATGGGGAGAAAAGTATGGTGGAATCTTTTCGCTCAAGTTCGGCAACAGTACCGTGGTGGTGCTGTTCGATCGAAAGGCCGTACACCATCTCCTTGACAAGAAGGGAGTATTGTACTCGGAGCGACCACAGAGCTATGTCCCGTCGCTTGTGACGGGCGGTGATAGTTTTGCGTTCATGAACAGTACCCCTCTGTGGAGAGCAGAACGGAAAGTGGCAGTTCACAACTTGTCGGTCAGTATCTAACCTGCAACTCTGGCAAGAAACGGACTCTGGCTGATGACGCGTTTAGCCCAAGATGCTTGAGGAAAAAGTTGGCCACATCCAAGATGCGGAGTACGTTCTGTACCACTGGTCAGGGCTCATCTGATTGCGAATAGGTCTGTCGTGCTCCTGGCAAGCATTCTCGATAGCCCTGAAGAGTATTATAAACACATTAAACGAACGACGTCTTCGGTTGCCAGCGCCGTGGTTTTCGGACACCGTGGTCCTACCATGGACAACTTCTGGGCCCGAGTAGGACAAGCCCCCGTCTTCCTAGGCGCAGACTAACCGTTGATTCAGGCCGTGTATGACGCCATGGACAACTACTCAGCGTCTCTGGAGCCCGGTGCCAATCCACCGGTGGACGAGTTCCCATTCCTGAAGTACATACCTGAGAGATTTGCCAAATGGAAGAGACGCGCCCTTGGTTCTTACAAATGTATGGACGACACTTGGGCAGAGGCCAGACGTAGGGTCAACCTAAGACGAGAAAAGGGTATCAAGAGAGACTCTATCATAGACTCCATCCTAGATGGAGAGAAACACAGCGACCTTGATGTCACCGACAAGCAGCTCAACCACTTCTTGGGGGTTATCGTCGAGGGGGGAGCTGACACAACAGCATCGGCGACCCTGACGTCGATAATGTATTTGGCCCTTCATCCGGAGTTCCAGGAGAAAGCCCGCAGGCAACTTGACGCCGTATGTGGAACGGACAGGTGAGCTAATCAGCAAAAAGCGTGCAGTAGCAGATACTGACCGTGTTGAATGTAGGCTTCCTTCGATCAATGATTTTGAAGCCATTCCATACATCAATTGCCTGATCAAAGAGGCATTGAGAATACACCCTGTGTAAGTTACGCCTGCTCCATCGTTTATGTTCCACCATTCTGACAGTAGCCTTGCAGTCTTCCACTCGGCGTTCCACACCGGGTCAACCAAGACGACTGGTTCGATGGGATGCTGATTCCGAAAGATTCAACTGTCATTCTTCCCACGTGGGCTCTACACTTGAGCGAGAGTCAAGGGTACAAAGACCCGCAAAAATACAATCCGGATAGATTCCTGGAATATCCTCGAATGGCAGACAGCTACGCCGGAAGTCCAGATTGGCAGCACCGTGATCATTATGCCTATGGAGCTGGCCGACGCATTTGTCCAGGCATCCACCTGGCCGAGCGAACTCAGTGGCGCTTGAACGCGAGACTTCTGTGGGCTTTTGAGATCCAACGCAAAATAGATCATGAGACCGGGAAGCCGATACCCATCGACGTCAACAAATACCATGAGGGCATCTCACACACGCCAGCCGAGTTTCCTGTTGTTTTTAAACCGAGAAGTCAGGCGCATATTGCTCTGATCAGAGAAGAAATGGCCAATGCTGCGAAGTTCTTGAAAGCATGGGATGATTGAAATAGAACTCTTGTGAGCGAAGGGTAGGACATAGTAAAATAGCTTGGGAGAAGACTGAAGTTTGTGTTCCATCATCGACGGGTGATAGGACAGAGTTTGTTCTAGAGGACATAGCATTGTAGACATCCTCTGCCAGAGTAATTACTCTACCTTTGGTCTGCTGAGAATGAGGCCCTTACATCTGACTGAACTACGTAGCCTTTCGTCACAGCTCACCAATACCTACGTAGGCAGGAAGGTGTCTATCGCTTGCAAACCCCCCTTCCCACTACAGCTTCCTGGCTCGAAGGAGGCTGGCAATGTATGGAAAACCTCCACCCCCTCTCCTGGTGGCACGGTTTGACCCCAGAGCGTCTCGGGCACTTTGACGGTCAGGATACCTATACTTACATCGTCCGTCAATATAGAATCACTAGCGCGTCTCTCGGTATCTAGCATTGGGCGGGATGTGCTCACCACGGGATCGTCACCGAAATTGGTCCGGTGCATAATGGGAAGGAAAGCTAGTGTCAACAACAAAGACAACCGAGGGTGGATCCAGCTTCAAAGCTCCCTCAAACTATGTATTTACTCCTTTAGACAGACTCCGGTGACCTGGACTTCCATGCCGTGCATTTCTCGCAGTCTCCGAGGTGATGCTCCGAAGGCTTCTCAGAAAATTGATCTGCTAAGGTTGATTTAACAACGGATAAGCCAAAAGCACCGAGGAAGTGGTTATGAACTTATCAGGGTAGGATCCTAGCTGCCTTAACCGTCACTTTTGCCCTATCATCGTTGGCTTCCTGACTGACTCGGGTGATCATATAGCGTTGCCTTGGTTACAGGTGCGGGTGGTGCTATCGGGAGGGCCGTGGCACTCGGGTATGCTCGACACGGAGTAACACGGATTGCTGGACTGGATCTTAGCAGTAATGGCCTCCAAGAAACTGCATCAGAACTTGCATCTTCGTATCCGGGAGTCCAATTTCTTCCAATTGTGGTAGACCTGGCATCCGAGGAACAAGTGGCCAAAGCAATCGCGCAAGTGGTCGCCGAATATGGTGCCATCCACTACGCGGCCAACAATGCAGGTATCGGACGGCCGTACGGACTCACTCATGAGACCGATACAGCCGACTTTGAACAAGTTATGAGTGTGAATGTCAGAGGGGTATTTCTATGCGAGAAGTACGAACTACAACAGATGGCGAAGCAAGACGCTCGACCAGTTAATCCTCTGGTCCCGTCTGCGTTGGAACGGGGTTCGATTGTTAACACCGCGTCAACATTGGGTCTCAGAGTGATGCCCTTGCTGAGTGTATACAACACGTCCAAACACGCAGTCTTGGGCTTGACGAGAACGGATGCCGTCGACTACGCACGACAGGGAATTCGTGTCAACGCCGTATGCCCGGGATTTGTCGACACCCCTCTCCTGCTGGATTCGACGAGGCAAGCGCTGGCGAGCACGATTGAAAGGATACCGCAAGGACGCTTGGCTAGCCCAGGCGAAGTTGCCGATACTATATGTTTTCTATCTGGTGGGAGCGCCTCTCACATTAACGGGGTCGCATTGCCCATTGATGGAGGCTTCACAGTAACGTAGCGCCGCAGCCACGAGCGATTAGAAGGCTAAAAGCGCTGGGGGCCATGCTGCAAATATGAGTGAAGATCAGGATATAATAAGTTAGACAATACTTCTGAACTCCCCGTCCGCAAGCCGCATGAAAGCAAGTAGAATTTCTTCGTGTTCCTCGTATCAATAGCAACAAGAAACAATTCTTCAGCGGCTTGAACAGCTAAAACATCGAACCCTGGCAAAGGTTACTATTTCACTGATTTCTGTGGTCGGCGGAGCACTTTCGTGAAGACTCTCTTCCGGCTCAAATGGCGTGACTCGGCAAGACTCTTAACCCTGAGGAACGGTATGGCTATATCAATGCACTCGGAGCAGCATCGGATAGTGGTCACGACAAGGTGGTGCATCTGTCGTTTGAGAGGGAGAGCTCGGGTACTGAAGTCATGTTAGATGGCGAGTTGCGGAATGCTCCCTTTGGACAGGCCTGTACGTAGAATTCGTGTAACAACTGATTATCGCCGGGGGAGGGCACGTTTTAGTAGTCTCACGACACCCCGGGTCGTGGCCGGAAGAAGCGCGTCCGTCCGCCATTGATACATATTCATGAAGACCGAAGATGGCCAAGACAACAAGGTCCAAGGGGGCCGTGGGGTTGAAAAGAGGATCAAAACAGGGACGGAAAACTCCTGAATGCTCAAGTCCTGGCAATATCAACAGCCACCGCTTTGGATGGCACCCACCAGTAGAAGACAGCAGGTTACAAAGCCGCAACACCATATCAGCATTGTGCGATACATTTCTGGGGAATGTGTGGATTTGGATATGGCGAGGTGCTGATGATGGTCCCAGAGGGAATAATCATAAGCAAAAGACCAGACAAGAAAGACAACGGAAAATCCTTCAACATTGATGATCCACCCTCACTTCGTGCATGTTAAAAGCAAGACCAACGAGCTAGTCCAGATCGACGTCTCAACTTGGCTCTTGCTACGGGTCATTACCATTAAAAGGTTAGGTAGATAGAGTTGCCAGAAAGTTCAAAGATAGCATAGCATACGTCAAACCCCAAGTCAAACAACGCCGGGTTTTCCCCTTTTTCAAGCTCATGCCATCGAACCTTAAAAAAAAAAGTAGGAGAAACATCATCAATCATTAACATCATCGCTGTGGGCCTCCAGTACACAAAACTGGTACCGCTTCAATCGTCGATCATAATATACTCTTGTATATCTTCATCCTCCCTCCTCCTTGCACGTTTCCTGGTACGTTGAGAATCTTCTCGATCGTCATAAGCTCTGCCGTTAAGCTTGCCACCACCCTCGCCGTTGAATCTGCCGTCACTTCTGCCGTGGCCCCTGCCACCGGAAACTGTGAGAGAATCAAGGCGCTCATACCCACGAGGCTCTGCATCATGGGCAGCTGGATTCTCTGTGCTCCTATACTCGCTGTTATACCTTCGCGTGTTCTCTAAAGGAACGTGGCCTTCGTTCCAAGGAGGATTTTCACGGTACCCACGACTTGGCCCGGCCAACGGAATCATGTGCCTGCCGCATGTAGGATCGCTGGTCGAGATGCCCTTCAAAACGGCCGAAATAACAGTGTCAAGTTGGACGTCACCCGCCTCCTGCATCACCACCTCCACTGTGGAGCGCAAAATTTGCGCCAGTTCTGGCCTTATGAAGCGAGGTGTCCCAATGGAGCTGTTGACGGACTTATCTGTGTATCCTGGTCGTCCGGGGTCCTGGTGCGTGACCACGGACGGCGGCCACGTGTCCGGTGTTATCGGCTCCAATTTTCGGACTCCTGGTGCAGGGGTTTGAAATTGGGGATTCGGCGATGACATGTCTGTTTGAAGCAGAGCCACCGAGGATCCTGGAGATAGTGTGATTTGGGCCGACGACATGGGAGACATAGCACCCACGGGAGTATAAGTAGTAGCAGGGGTATTAGGCAGGGGTATTCGGCGACCAGGAGGGGGAGGGGGAGGGGGAGGCGGAAAAGAATGATGTCGCACAGGAGGCGAACTATCCGCGTCGACCACGTGTGATGCATGTGGCCCTCGATGAGGATTGGCTGCACGCAGTTCGGTGTCCTCTCGCGTGTTCGGGGGTGAAAGGCGATCTGTTCGTTGCTTGCCCTTGTCGGCCGGCTGCATCCTCTGCGGGGAGGATGGTGGTGACGGTGGTCGCCGCCGCCGTCGTCGTCGTAGATCGGGAGTTTCTGCGTCAACCGCACCATCAGCCACGGTAGGTGCGGACGGCGTACTGGCAGGCCTTCTCCGCACTTCGATTGTATCTAGGAAATCGTTACGAGTGTGGCTCGTTTGAAAAGCACTGTTTTGGTGATGCACCTGGGCTTGCGAAGATGCTTGATTGTTTGTGACATCGAGAGTTTCCAGTCTACGGGCCGCTGCGGACGCTACTGGATTGAGCAGTCCATTGATGCTTATCTGCTGTCTTGGTATAATGGTGGATTGAGATGGTGCGAATGCAAAGCCTCTGACTTCAGCAAGATGCTCTCTAGCTTTGCGGACCTTATCGGGATTTGTGAGATTGAGCAGGTGCTCATGGCTTTGCCGTTCATGGAGATAGAGCTCCAATTCGGTGGGGAGCTGAGTCAGGCACAAGCCACAACGGCAGTCGCCTCCTTTGGTCGTGTAGGTGAATAACTCAACTTCTGAGAAAGGACCCGTAGAGTTAGGTGCTGGAAGCGAAGCACTTTGGTCGCCCTTGAGGGTAGCACTTTCGACCACCAAAGATGGCCTTTTGTTGGTTCCGTCCGGGGTCTGCATAGAAATCCGCGAATGGCGTGCGGGTGCCTGTGAGGAAGTTCCACCATCGTACGACACAGCATTGACACGAGGTGGTTCGGGCCGACTCTCAAGTGCGACTTGTTGAACAGAGTGAGATGTGTTGGGAATATATTGTGGCGCCGGGCTTTCTGAAAGTACTCCCCAATTGCCTGGTTCTTCTCTGTTGGGTAAGAGGTTGATAGCTAGGGGACGCTTTGCTGACGTAGAAGGTGAATGGTCAGGATGAGCCTCGTCTTCACGGCCGGTTGATATGCTCGGATCCTCCTCGTCGAAAGAGAAAGGTGGTGACTGGCCCGGCTGTTTCGAAGATCTCTGATTCCTTCTCCCTGTTGGTGGATGCTTATCATTTTTGGCCTTCTGTACAGCTGTCTTTTTGTTAAACTCCTTAGCAAAAAACTTTTTGATATCTTTCGCTATCGCTTCAACCGCCCCTTCAGGCGCATAAAATCTGGCAATGGCGTCATATCGACCTTCAAACTGTTGCAACTTCAGTGTAAATACTCAAAAGGATGGACCGTCATGGGACAGCGACGTACTTCCTCTTCCCCCAACGCGGCATACACTGCAAAGAGGAGTTGGGAAAGAGCGTCGATAGAGTTCCAATTGATCTTCATAGTAGCCTTTCGGTTGTCAAGGAGACTGGCAGGCTCTAAGGAAGATCACATCGACACCAAGAGCAATGGGATCGGCGTGGGATTCACAATGAAGGTAAATAAAGGGCGGAAATCGAGAAAAGCTTCGTGTCCAAGAGTCTGGAGCGGAGGAAAAAAATGAGGCGGGCGACGAACTTTGGGATCTGGACATGTGTCCCAGCCATGACCAAAGTGCACTTGGACAAGGCCCGACTGGATTGGTCGGACATGGGAGTGCTTGCATGGTTTGATGAGGTGTCAATGCCATCTCGACGGGCATGAGACGCTAGGGGCGGTGTTGTGTAACTGATTGGCAGCCACCAGCCTTCGCACGCAGCATGCAAGCGATGGATGCAGAGCAAAGAGGGGACGAGAGATGGAATCGGTGTGATGGACCAGGGCGAGTCACTAGGCGAGCTGAGAAGATCGGGGTCGCTGGTGATGAGGCTGCAATGCATCTGTCTTGGGCTTAGCGCGCTGACAAAGTATTGTCATTACAAAAAGTCGGATCGACCTTGTCCCCGGTCACTCTCCTCCGTGTTGGGTTCCTGGCAACGATGGTCACGAATTCGGGCTACTGTCACTGTGGCAGGCTGAGGAGGTGCTATTTTGACGGCGCCTTCACCAAGGAATCAAGCCCAACCCTCGATTGAATCAATCCTGTTTCTGATGCTGAGATTCTTATCTGGTCTCAAGAGGCGATGCTGCTGTTGACTCGAGCTCTATGGCTCTTTGCTCATGCTTCACCCTGTGCATATTCTCTGAGCACATCCTGTGTGTGACCTCTGCGTGCCTCTGTGTCTTCTGAACTGCAGCTCTCTACAGTACACCCAAGCCTCCCGTGTTCTGCCCCAGTTGCCCGACTCTGGTGTTCTGTCACGAGGCGTCAGTTAGCTATGCGCTACGGTTCAGCTAGATGAACTTACGCAAGTTGGAAAAGGAGGATGACAACCGTTAAAGGTCCGAGTCTTCGACTTTGGGTGCAACGCCGCCATTGGTATTCAACTCCTCCGTCTTCACTTCAACAGCACATAGCTTCCTGTTGGTTTTTTTGGCGGGGGTGTCCGTGGCATCGTCGGCCTCGGCCTTGCGCTTGCGTGAGGTCGAATGCTTCTCTTTCTTGGTGGCGGAGGTAGCTGGAGTAGTCGGACCGGGAGCAGTACCATCCTCGCTGAGAAGCTTTTCTGATTCCTTCTTCAGTTTGTAGAACTTCTGACTATAAAGGATTATCTGTTAGTTACGTTGCCAAAAATGTTGAAAATTTTCCAAAACAGTGAGCAAAGAAGGCGATGCAGGGTGAGCAATGAAGACACGTGTATACCTGCATGCACTGCCACTGAGGCCATTTCCCAGTTGTTCAGCGACTTTATTCCAGACAGTAGCAGCAGGAGGAGCCACTTCAGCAAAGGCGAGAAGAAGAAGGGCCCTCTCAGACTCGGGAGTCCATTTGTAAGGCATCTTGAGTGTGGAAATGAAGATAGAGGAGTGTGAAGTTGGGTGCAGCCACTGAGCAAGAGCAGAAGAAGAGGGTTGTGCGAAGGTTTCAAGCTTGCCTTGAAACAAGAGAAAATGAAAATCCCTGCGAGAGAGGATGTCATGAGAAGAGGAGTTGAGGGTGGGAAGAACAGGGAAGATGCAGTCAAGTGAAGATCAAAAAGCACGTGCTCAGGCGCACAAGGTCAAACAAAGTGAGGTACAGGTGAGAAATGACCGCAGGAAAGTAACACGCCGACACGCTTCAGACGTGAAGACATCGCCCAAAAGTCTTGCCATATTCCACCAGGCTGATCAAGATTTCTCATCAACCAGAAGCCTCAACAGTGAGGAGAGACAGTCCAGACGAAAAGGCCAAGCAGTGGAAAATCAATCAACAATGCTGCCACGAGCAAAAACAACAACAGAGCAACAACAGAGCATGAGACGACGTATACAAGTGGCAGTGAGCATAACGACAAAAGCAAACCAACAAGATGGATAGAAGCATACACACATACCGGCACGTATCAGTCTTGCGACCCAGTTTGATGGCTGCGGCCTCAAAGGTGTCGCGAGTGATAGACACGTCAAGATTCATAACCAGCAACAGAAGCTTGAGATCGTCACAGTCGGTCCAAGGTGATGGAGGCATAGTGTCTTTGTGTGAACTTGTGTTTTGAAGGGGATCAAAAGCAACAGAGATACTGGAAGAAAGAAGGGGAAGTGGAAGTGGAAGTGAGCCTTGAAAGATGACGAATGAGAGCACCGCATCAAAGGAAAAAAGAGATCGACGTCGCTTACCGGCAAGCATTCCAGCTCAAGCCATGCCCAAGTTTCTCAGCCGCTTGCTCAAACTTCTCTCTCGACACATTGTCTGGAAATGGAATCAGGGCGAAAAGAAGAAGCTTCTCCAGATTGTCGGTCCATTGGGATGACATGGTTGCTCGTGTGGTCGTGAGAGGTTGTCCAACTGGATCTCAGATTGAAATGTCACGCGCAGGAGATGCTTGAAACAGAAGATGCGCAATGGAAAGTGGAAGTTGTGCAGGAAGAGTTTTATTCTGAGAGGGCCCATTTCACCCTGGTGGTGGCCCTGATATAGCCGTGATGTTCTCGGCATGCGCAAGCTTGGATCTGCTTTCACCCACGCCGAGCAACCGACGACCATGAAGATGCTGTCGGCCACCACAGCGCTTTGCTCTTTGTCGTACCTGGCTCCTGGTGCAAGTTCGCTTGTTGGTGAACGAGCATCGTGGTCCATGATGCCACCTGTTCCGGCTTGGGTGACTGTGTTGCAGGTCCAAGAACGCAACCTGTGTGCAAGTCGCAACTAGGGGTCGATGCCTAGATGGTCTTACACATCTTACACATCTCAGGGCAACGATGCCTGGTGAGCCTGGCAGCTGTCGTCTGTGGGGGACAAGGCGGTCTAGGCAGGCGGTTACATAGGCAGAACAACGCCCATCAACGAAGATGTTCGCTGTGAGCGCATTTCCTATTTGTCCCTACCATGGTCCATGATACATGATCAATGAGTGCTGCAATAGGAGGAATGATGGTGTAGTTGCTTGAGCTAGATAGGTAGAGGTTGAGGCGGTGGGAGACGAATTTGCAGTTGATTTTGCCCGGCCAACGGCGGCTGTGCAGCTGACACGCCATGGACCCCACCATTTTACCTGATATTCATTCCCTCATGCTTCGTTGATCGAACTGCGCAGCCCATTCTCCTGCTTCCAACATCTCGACGTTGACGTTATCTCGCTGCCTACCTACGTCCTCGCCGTCGCACTCGTCCAATCTGCCTTTCTCGGCGGCCTCAGGTACGTAATGCATCCGCACCCGATTCATTGATGCCTGGCCGCGCAAGTCAACGTCCTTTTCAATCCGTCCCTCTCTCAGCCCCCGTTCCGAAAGTCCATGCGATAAGTTGTCGTTCAGGCGCTGACCCTCAAGGTAGAATTGAACTTCTTCGCGTTACTTCAATCACCATCAACCAGCAACCATGGTTCGTATCATCCTTGTTTTCCTAGCATTTCTATATACTGACTCGTATCTAGCCTGTTTCAGGGTATGTCTTGCTGCCTCCCAGGATCGAGGCGCTCTGCTCGATTGGTTTCCGGTTCCTCTTCTAACCCTTGCGGCCTCCCAGACTTTCCGTCAACCCAGAGTGTGTCTCCGCTTTCAATGAGCTGAAGCTCGGCCGCGGTGGCCCCAAATACATTATCTACAAGATCTCCGATGATCAGAAGGAAATCGTGGTAGACGAGATTGGCAAAGAGTCGGATTACGATACCTTCCGAGAGAAGCTTATTTCCAAGAAGGAAAAGACTGGCAAGGACAGACCCTCCTACGCTATCTACGATGTTGAATTTGAGCTTGAGGGCGGTGAGGGCAAGAGGTGTGTCCAACCATATGCCAGTGTGCGCAGACGTTCTCCGTACTGATCTTCAACCTGTAGATCCAAAATCGCCTTCATTACCTACATCAACCAAGACGCCACTGGTGTCAAGGTATGTTGATCCGCACCAATTACGCACCCTGATACTGATGTATGCAGTCCCGCATGGTCTACGCCAGCTCTCGCGAAACCTTGAAGAACGCACTAAACGGCATTGCCATGAACTGGCAAGCAAACGACCCTGGCGAGTTGGAATGGGCCGATCTTCTCAAGGAAGCCAGCAAGGGCAAGGGCACAATCTGAGACTGGCAAACGAACGGGCCGGTGGGCGATGCGCTTACAAGAGACCTTTTTGCAGTCGAAGCAGCAAGTCGATTAAGAGATTTGGGCAAGTGGGAGTTTCTTTTGACGTGACGAGCTGAGCACCGCTTGTACAGGTTGCCATACGCCTTTGGAGGAGTCGACATTTCATGCCGTGACGAAAACAGGTTCTATGCACTGAAGATTCCAAGATAGATGGTCTGGAAGAAAATCAAAACATCTTTCCCAAATAGCCACTTGCTCGCGCCCAGAACAATTAGGCGGTATCAGGAACATGCCAGTTTCCTCAGTCGGATTGATTGTTGTTCACGATCTCGGTTCCTGTGTTCTACCTGTTCGTGGTCAAAACTTATCACGCCTTCTATTCAGATCATCGGTCCGGCGTTTGAAACAGCGATACACCCTGTAATATCGGCTTGTTCCAGCGTAGAACCTGGCCCAGATACAGAATCTCAGACTTGGGATATCCGGTATGACATGGACGTAGAGGCACCGTACAAACTATTGTTACGACGGCACAAGTGGCCCGATTACAGGTACCTAGTAGATTGTGAAAAGCATTGCACGGTACCCAGACACGGAGAGGTGGTGTGAGGAGTTCCTGAACTGGCGGTAATTTTCGGTGCCAAGACCCTTGAGCTTCCTCTGATCCAGGCATGTCGTCCTTCACAACTTCACGACCACTCACCCCATCCAAGCTCGATTCCGCTGTCAACCTCTCGCGATAGTGACTGCGAAGCTTCAGGCTTCGGCAGGGTCCTTGATATTTCTCTCTCATATGTTTTAAGCCGAACCTCCGACGATCCCGCAAGATGTATCTCCACTCCCTGCCTCGCGCTGCTCGTACCTCTACGAGCAGCTTGAAGACATACACACGGATGACTTCCAGCCAGATTCGAAGCTTCCAATCCTCGACGCGATCGCTCGCCCCGACCTTCTCGGCGACTCAGCAGCCTCCCATGACGAGCCAATCCCATGTTCGATCTGCTCACGCCATCTCCAACCCTACCCTTGCTGGAATCGAGAAGCGATGGGAGGCAATGCCTCCGCAAGAGCAGGCTGAGCTTTGGATGCAGCTTAGAGATCGCATGAAGGTTGATTGGCACGAGATGACTTTGCAGGAAAAGAAAGCCGGTATGACTCCTTCACTCACCAGGCGGGCGCGTCATCTGCAGCACCAGTATTTCTATTGAAGAGCGGGTTGCTGCCAGAAAACAGAGGCCTAATTGAGAGTTGTAACCGTGACTGACAATGCTGTAGCGTGGTGGATTGCTTTCGGACCTCATGGACCTCGTGCAGAGACCCCACCCGGCGAATGGACCAAAGTCTGGCTGTACACCGCCGCGGGTGTTGGATTATCAGCAGTTTTGTTCCTTGGAATTCACTCTTTGGCCAGACCACCACCACGGACCATGACCAAGGAATGGCAAGAAGCTACGAATGAATACCTCAAGGTAAGCTATCTGCGATGTGTCGATGCCACATATGCGGGCATTGTGCAACTATTCCGGCGTAGAAGCTTCTACTGACACTGCTATGCATAGGCCGAGAAGAGCAATCCTATCTATGGTATCAGCAGTGAAGGATACAGCGGCAAGGGTCACGTTCAAAGCAAGTCCGCAAAGGCTCAGGGTATCAGCCTCGATGCAGAGTAGAGAAGGATAGAAAGACAACAGATTGCTTTACTCTAGCTATAGCAATCACCCCCTTGTACTGCCACTAGTATCAAGAGAACTCAGCCTTCTCTTATTTTTGTCCATACAAAATCAATATCCAGTCCAGCTTTGATTTTCAGGCTTCGGGTTCGTCGGATTGTACATAGATTCCATCATATACGGGCTGAACCCATTCACACCAACACAACACGGTTTCTCCCAGCGTACGAGCCCCTGCAGCATCTTAAGGGAGGTCTTGGACCTTCAAACGACCATATAATGTGCTTGATGAGGACAGCCGGTGCCGGTTTTCCATCGGGATTTTTCATGCCAAGTTAGGACTAGCGCGGAATTTGGAAGAGCTCCCTGCTTTCATCTGAGTTGACCTCGTAATTATTCTCCTTCGACCACACAACTCTCCTCTCTTCCCTGTAAAACCACCTCTTCATCATCTGCAAACATGCTCAAGAGGTTAGTAAAGTCCCCGTCTCTGCTGAACAGAGCTTCTTCGGCCATTTTGAGTCGTTGCTAACTGGATTCAACAGCGGCATCGCCCGTAGCTTGGGCAAGTCTGCCTTTGCCCGACCATCCTTCACCCGACGCGCATTCGAGCCTCTTCGAAGACAAGGTGTCCCTGCTATTGCCAAACGATGGGCCTCGACGGAAACTGCTGGTGATGGCAAGATCCATCAGGTCATTGGTGCCGTCGTCGACGGTATGAAAAATCCTTCTTCCCGCCCTCGGGAGCTTTCATTATAGCTCGGACCCTCCAACACATTTGCGCCAAATGAGCAAAAACAGAGCTGACTGCTATAACTAGTCAAATTCGATGGCGAGAGACTGCCTGCCATTCTCAATGCTCTCGAAACCGATAACAATGGCTCTAAGCTGGTCCTGGAAGTTTCGGTACGAGGTCTGCAAGAGCTATAATGAAACACCTTGTACTAACGGCATCAGCAACATTTGGGTGAAAACATCGTGCGATGCATTGCCATGGACGGTATGCAGCTCTGGGATCTGCTTTGAAGCTTGATTTCTGACGTTTCATAGGCACTGAGGGTTTGGTCCGCGGACACAAGGCCTCTGATACTGGCTACCCCATCAGAATTCCTGTCGGGGACGGCACCTTGGGTCGTATCATAAACGTTACCGGTGATCCCATCGATGAACGAGGACCCATCAAGGCTACAAAGCTTGCTCCTATCCACGTTGACGCTCCCGAGTTCGTCGAACAATCCACCTCTGCGGAAGTGCTTGTCACTGGTATCAAGGTCGTCGATCTCTTGGCTCCCTACGCTCGTGGTGGAAAGATTGGTCTCTTCGGGGGTGCTGGTGTCGGCAAAACTGTGTTTATTCAGGAACTGATTGTGGGTTATCCGTTATGTTTCCATGTAACTGTTACTGACGATATCAGAACAACATTGCCAAGGCCCACGGTGGTTACTCTGTCTTCACTGGTGTCGGTGAGAGAACTCGTGAGGGTAACGATCTGTACCACGAAATGCAGGAGACTTCCGTCATTCAACTCGATGGCGAGTCCAAGGTCGCCCTGGTGTTTGGTCAGATGAACGAGCCCCCTGGAGCTCGTGCTCGTGTCGCCTTGACTGGAGTAATTATTCCCAAACCCTGTATCAATCTACGTTACTAATATCAAAACCAGTTAACGATCGCTGAAGAATTCAGAAGTCAAGGCCAGGATGGTGAGTTGATGTCTCTTATCGTCGTCGACGAAATTAACAAGATTCCAGTGTTGCTCTTTATTGACAACATCTTCCGCTTCACGCAAGCCGGTTCCGAGGTGTCAGCCTTGCTTGGTCGTATTCCATCTGCCGTCGGTTACCAGCCAACCCTAGCCGTCGACATGGGTGCTATGCAAGAGCGTATCACCACCACGAAAGAGGGTTCCATCACATCCGTGCAGGCCGTCTACGTGCCTGCTGACGATTTGACTGATCCTGCTCCTGCTACCACCTTCGCTCACTTGGACGCCACCACTGTGTTGTCTCGCGGTATCTCTGAGTTGGGTATCTATCCTGCTGTCGATCCTCTCGACTCGAAGTCTCGAATGTTGGATCCCAGAGTTGTCGGTCAAGAACACTACGACACTGCATCCCGTGTTCAGCAGATGTTGCAAGAGTACAAGTCGCTCCAGGATATCATCGCCATTTTGGGTATGGATGAATTGTCCGAAGCCGATAAGTTGACCGTCGAGCGTGCCCGTAAGATCCAGAGATTCTTGAGCCAACCTTTCACTGTCGCCCAGGTTTTCACTGGTATTGAGGGCAAGCTTGTCGATCTCAAGGACACCATCTCTTCTTTCCAGAAGATCATCAACGGTGAAGGTGATGACCTCCCGGAAGCTGCCTTCTACATGGTTGGCGATTTCGAGAGTGCTCGTGCGAAGGGTGAGAAGATCTTGGCTGAATTGGAGAAGTCATAAACAGCCAAGAGGTAAAATAGAAAGCCAAGCAGCGTAGTCGGTGGTTGACATACAGTTCTCTTATGTTGCAGTCAAGAAACAACGGCTATTCGGCTCGCGCGGGAGTATGGGGACGAAAAAGGCTTGAGTAGCTGATCTGTACATTGAAACTTCAAAATTGTTCACTCGGTTTCCACTAGACCTTTTTTCTGGCAGCCTCCAACTTGGTATTGACGTTCTGTTGTGTTGATCTCCATACCATTTTCGTTCGGCGAGTAGGTCGACTTTCAGAAGGTGTAAATCAAGAATATAATTTTCTACCAGGCGGAACTCAAGGGTAGAAAGATAATGGACTAACACACAACGACTTTTCCCTCCTCAGCAATACGGGTATTACATTAATCTGGGCATTCTACCTCAAGTCAAATCAATACGATCCCGGTCATTGAATGGGAGAAGGCCATTGTGTGATACTACACATGAAGTATCTACATTGAGACTGAGCGCGAAGGGACGAAGCATAAGTACCTTATGCTCCGTAGGAGTGCTGCGCGTTGAATTCTGCGCCATTAGTTGTTTGATTCGCAGTAGCCGATATTGCTATTTGTAGTGGCTTAACGATGGTTAGATATGACTACCTAGATTATGTCGGCAACAGCAACAACAACATCATACAACGAAATACAGAGCTTATGGGAGACGAGCCAAGTCACCAGCAGAAAATCTGCTTCTTCAAAATTCTACCACCACTGAAGTTTCGCCCACATTGATATCAGGCGGCATCGCTGTTCCGTCCGAGGAGCACTTCCCTTCTGGTCTCCGTCAAACCTTTCGTCTTCTTTGCTCATAATCCTAAGTACTCTCGCTTCAAGCTATGGACGGATATCTAGCAAAAGACAAGAGTACAGATGATTGTTGAGGCAGATGAGAGGTGACCTTTTTTTGCATATCAATTGGAGGTGCTCAAGACAGGTCCGTCCACAAGACCCATCAAATACCCATGTGGATGAAAATCCGCGCGTCCAGACGCAATGCTGGATTCACAACTTTGGGAAATGGAGCATGATTCCATCACTAGGACCAAGAGCTTCTGTGCTTCTGTGCCTTTCGCTGTGAGTAGGCGGAGATACTCGCTCGACGACATGCTGCTCAGGGGTTTGTTGCTGTGTCGAAATCTTCTCTAACTGCCACATAACATTTTATAGCTTCACAGCAAAACGCTCCCTGAGCCATCCTCCATATCGATAGAAGAGAAGTGGCACGGGAAGAAAAGCCACTCCTATCGCACCTAGGACGGTATTTCCGACTCCGAGTCCTAGGTTTGCATACAATGACGGCCCTGCCAATGGCAGGAAAGCCGCACAAAGAAGTCGGACGACCACGTTCGCAGCCAACGCAGAGGCGGCAGCTTCTGGGCCAAAAGCATCCACCATGTAGAGCTGAACCGGCATTAAGACCCAGATAACGCCGAACCCAAAGAGAGAGGTGCCGATGATTGGAACAATCCAATGAGTCTGCTTCTCGGCTGCCCAGCCATACCAGAAGATCCCGATGGGCACGGCGGGCAAGACCCACATCACGGGCTTCAGGCGTTCTTCAGGCTTCGGCGCATCTCCGAGTGACTTGTGCAGCTTGTCACTCACCGTGGCGAAAGTTCCGAGAGAGACGCCCATTCCAATCCCGACCCCGAGATACGACAAGCCAGAGACGCTGGCGGAGAAGTGATATTGCTCCTCAAAGACCGCGGGAAACGTGGTGAACAGCAGAAAGAGCAGGCCGAAGATGAACGCGCACAGGAGTGAAAGGAGGAGCACGATTGGCGACAGGACGAGGAGCTTGGTCGGTCGAGTGATGGCGCGGATGAATAGCTCGCGGGGTGGTAGGCCCCGATCCATCTTCGAAACCAGAGCAGTGTTGACAGTTTCCTTCCGGAGGCGCGCAGCTTTCCATTCCAGGAGCACGGCGGCATTTGTCTCGCGGAGGAAAAAGATTGACGTTGCGAAGGACACTCCTGCCTGTGCCCCACCGTCAGCAACTTGAGAAATAGCGGGGGTTGTGCTCTACTCACAAGGATTGTGATGATCCAAAACGTCCATCGCCAGCCAATTGAGTCGGACACAAAACCACCGACGATTGGGCCCAAGACCTGGAAAGGATTGTCAGTATCATGAGCGTTTGCCCCAGATGAGGAATGCGACCTACTGGCCCTAGAAGTGGTCCCACTACAAACAGAGACATTGCCTTCCCTCGCTGGGCTGGCGGGATGACATCCGCGACGGTTCCTCCGCCGACTGTCAGTGGGCCTGAAGCAGCAGATCCGGCAAGGAATCGAAAAGTGAGAAACATGCCGGTATTTTTGGCCAGCGCACAGCCGATAATGAAGCCAATGTAAAAGACATTGCAGGTGTGGTAGACCACAAGTCGTCCGTACAGTTCGGATAAAGGTGCAATGAGCATTGGCCCAACGGCGAAGCCACAAAGGTAGATAGACACGGTGAGAGTGATAATCGTGGAACTCGTGATATTGAACTCCTTTGCAAGCGCAGCGGCTCCAGGTGCAAACATTGTTGCAGCGAGGTTGCTGTACGGGGTTGGTTAGTACGAGAATTGTTTTGCTAAAGGGCCTCAGGAAATGCCTTACGCAGCGAGCAAAAATGCGCTGGCAAAGACGACTTGGACCATGCGTTTCCATGCTGGCCAGTTTCGCGGATTCTGGGGATCATCTGGCCCGTCCCAGTCGACGATGTTGTCCTTTGTCTCCTGTCCAATAGCCTCGCTAGATTGGTCAGGCTTGCTAGAATGCTGAGTCTGCTGGCCGTCTTCGAGTAGGCCTGGCTTCTCATGCGCGGACCCCAAGTCGGCCGACATGATATGCTGCAGAGGGCGGTATAGATCTGGGATATTGGCGTTTGGTGTTCACTGGTGCCACACCTTGCTTGCCATATACGTGAAGGAAGGGCACCGCCCCCATGATATAATACCTCTCGGCAACCGCTCATTGCGCCAGCTCCTAAACCCGCAAGATGTTCCGTAAATACGAAGCTAGATTGGAGATTTGCTTCACAGGAGGCGATCTCGACCAGGAGACGAAGCGGAGGATCGGAGGAAGCGTGTGGTAGTAGGTGTCGAGAGCGGTGCACGTGATGGTCCCGCGCGGAGGATCGTGCGGACGGTCGGAGGATCGATCGCTTTCTCCGTTGCTTCGTTACGTCGCCAGTACCGACTCCCTTTTCGTCTTCAAGTGGCCGACCGGCGAGAAGTTTGATCTGGGTCAGAGGATGATTACACCTTGGGTATACCCAGATCGTAGTGGACGTGGCTGAGGTTGGCGAGCGTCTCAATCCAAAACACCATGGCCGACCATGCTCAACGAACGCGTCCGCCACCAAATCGACGCAGAGACAAAGTTCAGCTCTCCTGCGGCCCTTGCAGACACCGCAAGTACGTGTTTCATACATTGGAAAGTCGTGCAAACTTAACTTTGCCAGACTGAGGTGCGACCGACAGCACCCATGCGGATCCTGCTCAAGGCGTGGCGTCACCAACTCCTGCAGTTATGCGATCTCTTCTGCCACGCCCAATGCTCAGCGATCTCCGGATACACAAGCGTCCAGCAACCTCCATGGTAGAATATCTGAGCTGGAGAATCTTGTCTTGGCTTTCATGAACGGCCAACCATTACCCCCTCTGCCAGTACCGGAATCGCCGAGAGCACGGTCTCTATCATCCGCAGATGGGTCTCCTGAGATACAGAAGCCAAATGAAACCTCAGAAGAAACTCTGTCTCCAGCAGACCCTGGTACTTTAAATTTGTGTGAATCTGGAAGCAGCTATGTCCAGAGTGGCCACTGGGAGGCCATTCTTACCAAAATCAGAGGACTAAAGGAGGACTTGGTGACTGACAGCATGCCCCCGCTCGGCTCACACTTGTTTTATGGCCCAAACCGTCATGCAAATCGGGATGAAATACTGGCTGCTGTTCCTCCTCGTCCTGTTGTTGACCGTCTCATGGCTCTTCACTTTGATGCCTACATTCTCAATCCGTGTTAGTACTTCTAAGCCTTCTTTCCACTCCTAGACTCACTGACTGGATGATGTAGATATCATTCATCGCAAGAAGTTTCTCCGGGAGGTGGGTTCTTCGGTCACACGATCATTAACAGTCTGACATTTGAATAGTACGAAGCCTTCTGGAAAGATCCGTCAGCAACTTCAATTGCTTGGATTGGTCTCATGTTCTCCATGGTATATATTGCTGCGCAGTTACAGGCAGACGCCATAGACTTCGCAGGTGGACGAGTCGACTCCTTCAAAGCAGACCCTCTTACCATGAAGGTTGCCTTCCGTGAGAAGGCCGTTCAGTGCCTCATCCTGGCCAGATATACGACTGGAGGACCGTACATTCTGGAAACCCTGATAATGATTCTTGCTGGAGAGTGCATACTCGTGAAAGAGAGCGCTACCGACGGCTGGCTCTTGATAAGCATGATCCTTCATCTTGCAATGCGCATGGGCTATCACCGTGACCCCGACCACTTTCCCGGAATATCTCCATTCGAAGGCGAGATGCGTAGACGCATCTGGACGACAATCCTCTCATTGGATCTCGGTATCTCCTTGGAGAGAGGTCTTCCCCGAAGTGCCACAGACAAGCACATTGATACCAAACAGCCCAGCAATCTGCGCGACTGTGATTTCGACGAGGACACGACAGAGATGCCGTCGCCACGGCCAGAAACAGAATGGACGCCGGTGCTACCGCTTATCGCGAGAGGACGACTGGTTAGAGCACTTGGCTTGGTTTGCGATGTCATCGCCGACATAAATCTCCCCTCGTACGACGAGGTGGTCAAGATCGATACACTTCTTGAAGACGTGCACAAACGAGGTATTCCGCCCGTGCTGCGCTGGGAAACGATGCCACACCCCATCACGGACAGTCCAAATCTTGTGATACAGCGGGTAAGTGTAGAAACGACCTACTACAAATCACGCATCCTTCTTCACCGGATGGCCTTGACCAGCTGCCCGGTTCGACAGCCTCCAGAGCGGGACAGGGAGTCGGCGCGGATTTGTTTGGACTCCGCACTCAAGATCCTATCATTTCAGGCGATGCTACACGAAGAGTCTCAGCCGTTGGGTCGCCTGTGTCAGCTTAGATGGAAGGTCACCCACATCTTCAACCAGGATGTTCTCCTCGCCACGAGCGTCCTCTGCCTTTACCTTCAAGAGGTCGATAAATTCGAATTGTCCGAGACTGCAGGACAGACAACGTGCTTGCCTAGGGCCGAAGAGGTGCGGCAACAACTAACAATCTCGCAGCAGATTTGGCTTCAAATGAGCACATCGTCTGCCGAAGCCGGAAAAGTAGCCAAAGCTCTGGGCATCGTGCTTGGAAATTTAGAAGCGTGTGCCGAGGACGGTAGTAGGCCCGCTAGTGACGACTTGCTGACGGATTTTGATACTATGCCTTTAAATGAATTTGGCGCAACTTTCAACGCTCAATGTGAGCAAAGCTCCCTCGGTCAGGTCTGATTTTCAACTAACAAAGAAACTTGACAGATTTCCCCCACGGTTTCTACTCCCCTCTCAGCTTTTTCGATAATGTGCTGGAAACTCAAGGGACATGAAATATATAGCTCTGACGATGTCGTGGAGCGGCAACCCAACCCATGAGCGTTTCCAGACGGCAAGCCAACGTACGGTGGTCATGACCTCTTCAATGTCTTGTGGTGTCGCCCCAGGGTAGATTTCCAAAGAAGGAAGACCTTGAGCGAATCGACAATGGCTCCCTCTGCAAACTTGGCACTTTCGACTCCAGCGGCCGCATTGAAGCTCCTGATAAACGAGACAAAGGCTTCGTGAAGCGAGCTCTCTTCCAAGTACGGATGCATTCTAGGGCTCCAGAAAAGGGGTAAGTGATGCTGGGGGCTCAGAAGGTGACCTAAGACTCAACAGAGGGCCAAATCACCGGAAATAGGTTCCACCAAACGTTGGAATGTAAAGTACGGATACTCCGTGTCATCCCCAGAGAAACACCGTCCGTCAAGTGGACATTCACGAAGAAGCGACGTGCAAAATAGTCCGAAACTCGGGATCGTAAAGCTCCGTCCACGTAAGTTTCGGGGCGGTAGCTACAAACCCGGCCATGGAATTCGTGTCCCGTAGTCTGGCAGGGAAAGGGAAGTGAACTATTCCTGGGCTGGCTTGCTACGTTTGAGGGGGCGTGGAGATGGCGATGCCGAGATGAAGGTGAAGAGAGCAGAGACAGTACAGACTCCCAAGTACCAGTCTACGAGAGGCTGGGGCCCATGGGAAACCACCTACGAGGTATACGTACAGTACCATGACCTGATCAATTCCACTCGGGTATACCTGTAACGATATGGCAGCAGGGTGTAACTTTGTCGGATGTCGGGGTTGCATTCAACCAAGGCTAGCGAGGCCGCAAAAACATTTCGTGCGGGAAGCGCAATATCTATCCACGTTCAGTAGGGAGATTGTCCAGATCTGAGACTCCTTGAAGAGCATGGATGATGATAATCATGATGATGGGACTGTCGATCAGGGCATTGAGGCGAGAATGCAGGATCACCGCGGCACGAGTAGCGCAGAGTAGAGTACGTACAGATTCGGGCTCCGCTCCGCCTGAGGACGAGGAATCAATGAATCCATTGGCCCATCGTCTTCACAACTTCACGAGTACGAGTGTTACAGGCCACATGTAGGTACTTAGGTACTTAGTCCGTACGTACAGGCTATCATGTCTGGGCGTGTCGCTGTGGTGCCGTGTTGGGACAGAAGTATCCGCACTGGGGTGGATTTCCCGTGTACGGTATCTCGTGTTTGCGCAGCGTGCGCAGCAAGCCGTGACAGTGTTGTTCGTCCAGAATCGTGCAGGATCGTGCAGGATCGTGCTCGATGGTCGGGAGCCAAGTCCAAGGAGAAAAGCTACAAAGTCAGCCTACCGTGGAAAGTATTGTACAATACAATTCCGGCCCCGGTGCCATGGCACACTACAGCAATAGGCTAGCTAGTTAGCGATAGACCTGTCTAGGTTGCGCAAGATACACCACCGTATGATTTGTACACTATGACTGACTACCTTAAGTAGTTACGGGAGCCGGGGGGATCAATTACAATATTTTAGTTGGAAAAAAAAGAGCCCCCCACCCAGAGCCAGCGGGCCGCAAGATCAAAAGGGGGGAGACACTCAAGTCACCTTTCGTTGGTAGAGATTCCACAGTGGGCAGCGGTGGTTTTGAGTCAAGGACGGAGTACTTAAAATGACGCCAATGCAAAACGGAAACCTCGAGAGATCTTGGAAAGGTTGACTAGCCAAGGTACCTAAAATTCGTAATGAGTGAGGCGTGCACATTTTGTAACTACCTACTGTAGTCGTGTACAATACAAGGACAAAGCACAAGCGAGCCAAAAAGAAGTAAAGAGTACGGTACGAGATTGTGACCTGCACAGGAAGAATATGGAAACCGGGACAGACACCATTGCGGGCCAAAAAACCCGCCTGGGTAACCGGGTCCTGGGCTCCTTGTGCTGCATGAGACATCTTTCTCTACCCGCGGTCCCTCTCTCGCTTCTCTCCTCTCCTGGCCTGGGCCCTAACGTTGAAAAGTCCACCAACCCAACGGAGGACCTACCCACTGTGGGTAGTAGGTACTGTACAGTTGTAGAAGTGCGTCGTACTGTACAGTATGTAGAGGATGGAGCACGGTCTGGCACATGAAGGATCTGTGATCAGTGAAAGCCCATCAGGACCCCCCCCCCCCCCCCTCCGAGAGCACTACCCGGCGATCTCCCATGCGGGAGTCCTACGGGAGCACAAAAGCACAAGCTGTTCGAACTACTCTACCAAGTTAGTTTACAAGAACAGGTACTTGTATTGTGCACTCATCACTCCCGTCCCGCTGGCTCCCTGGCTCCCGTAGACCGACCCGTACTGTAGCCTGTGTTGCAAAGTTCCCTCCGTAGGTACTTTTTGACAGGGTCGTGTGGAGCGAAGTTTATCACCACGTATGCACGTACGGAGCACAATGTTCCGTGCTGCACGAGCGTCCCTTACGCAGGTAGTCTACGACTCTAACTAGTACATTAGGGGGTGCATAAAAGGCAAGAGTCTAAATGGCAAAACACCTCTGAGAGAGAGACAGAGCACTGCCGTACGGAGCACCACAAAGCATGTGTTTCATGGGGCTATTCCTGGTCGTGCGTCTCTTTCTACCCTAACGCCCACGAGGACCAGACAGGCCCGGCTGGATCATGCACGGTCTGACTAGTTAGTTAGTTAGTCAGGCTGGCTTTGGGGGGGCTGCTCGCTAGGGGGACATTCCCCGGCGCTGGCAAAGGCCGACCATTGTACAATAACGCATGGAATCTGGATTAGCATACTAGCCTAGACTTGCCATCCTGCCTACAGTATGAACGATGTAGTCAGTCGGTAGTTCATGCACCCTGCGAGGATCCCTGACTTGATCCCTGGCATGGTTCAGAAAAAGCTCAGAGAAAAAAGTAAAGCGCAGTAACTCTGATGTTCTCGTTTGGAAGCCCAACCAAGGCCCAACGCCCAAGGGGGGTATATGCATTCATACTCATACTCGTCCTCATCTTATGTGCATCCATGTTTTCGGTAGTAATGATACAGGCGTACTCTGTAAACATCCTTGGTCCCTTATCTCCAGGGACAGAAAGTCGCAAGAGACACGCAATCCCCGGCACTTTGTAGAGATCAGCAGTACATACCTAGACATGATGATACCACGCACTCCCAAAGTACTCCTTTGCTAACACCGACACCTCCGATCTCAACACACTGACCATACTCCTCTGTATCCACCAGGACAAGATCGTTCTTCATCTTCGACACAGCAACCGCACACCTCTTTTCTATAGACGTCTCGGGCTTCCACGTGGAGCATCGTTAAAGCCATCTGCGTCACTATGATCCTCGTATTCCACCTTGTAGTCAACCGTGTGTAGGATGATATCATCTGTCAACCCCTTGACACTGTCGCTGCGATCGTTCTCAACCTTGCTGCTGGCCTTGGTGGCGTGAGGTCGATTGTATCCTCTCTCCATCGCCGTCACGGCCTCCTTTTGTTTCTCTCCCAACATGCCAGAACTACCGCTGCTTGAGTTCAAGACACTCCCCCCATTGCTGGTTAGTCCAAAGCGGCTCGCGAATCTTGAGAGTCCACCAGTCCTGGTGCCGGCGCGTTTCCCATTGCCCCTGCTCTTGGAATGTCGCACAAACGACGCCGTCAGTTCATGCTCAGGAATGTTGACCACAATCAACCCCGGTTTGATGTCGGCGAGGAACGGCTTCAGCGAGGGGATACATGCCGCGATGATGGACGCATTCATCATGACCTGAGCAAACACTTGAGGTACAAGCGCGTACCACGTCGGGTCGTTTCGGCCGCGGGTGGTGTTGAACTGGCGTTTTCGATACACGAGCATCGCGATCGTAAAGGCCGGGACCCTGGAGAGAAGAAAGGGAAAGTCGTCAGCTTTACATCGCCCGTCAATAGGGAAAGATGGTTTTTTTGACGTACGCAAGTCTGCACGCGAACAAACCGCTGACAACGAATCGCTTGGTCCGAGACACCTGAACCTTCTGCATCATAATAAACGGTACAGCCACGATGCCGAGGTCGCCCAGGATGCTAAGGCTGTATATGCCGACGTTAAGCGCAAATAGGTCGACACATTTGTTGCCATCAATGTTCCATGGACTGGGTAGGTTGCATTTGAATGATACTGCAAATATGCTCGCTATCATCCACACAGCTAGGTAACCCAGGAGAAAGTAGCACGAGAGAAGCAGCTTCCGGGTGGGATTGATGGCAATAACCAGGAATGTAAGTGATGCTTGCGACGCGGCCATCGAGGCTATCAGGAGGATGTCTGCTGCGTATATCGACTATGACCATGTTAGCACAGCAAAGCCTCATCAGGGCAGGGCCCGAAAGAATACCTTCTGAAATGATCCGAAGTCTGCATCGGATACTTTGTTACGCTTTCTTCCAAGGCCATAGTGTTCAGCGATCGTGACGGTAATGGTCTCAGCTAACGCCAGGAACTGTACAGAACTTGAGTATTAGCTTTCACCTTCCCCCGTGCACAACCGGAGGCCGACATCGTGACATACCGCTGCAGTGAGAATAAAGTAGTCGTTCGCTGTGAGGCGATTTGTTGCTTTGAATCTCGTCAAAATTTTTATGACTATGGTAATGACACTGAGAACGATGAGGATATAGCCACAAACGAGAACCCATGGACCCGACTCGTCAGAGGACAGTTTCCCCAAGGGTGCGCTGATAGGTGAATCAAAAGCACCGGACGACATCCTGGACAGAAGGGCGATGTGGCTTTGAGGTTGAGGTCCAGCGGGCGCGGCGAAGAGGGAGGCTATGCAGTCGTTCTTGTATAGATGTCGGGTGTTCTTTACAGAGACAGAACATGCTCAACAGCCGATGCCCAGCCACTCAAACCGAGTCGAGTATAGACAAACTCTCTAGAGACTAGGTAGCGATGCAGGAACGCACGCTTCTCGTGGAGCCCAGAACGCAATCGGAAAGAGCGTGCTTTGGAAGTTGAATTGTCGACACGAGCGCACATGTGCTCCGTACGAGTCGTCAGTACTTAGGGTTCATGGGCCGGCCGGAACAGGGAGCCTCCTCGCGAATAGAAATGCCTGGATGCTGGTCGCCAAAAGATGTTGTTACAGCGTCAAGGGAGTGTCCTCGCATGATCTGCCGGCGCCGCGGGTTGATGTACGGGCTAAAATGCCTGCACTCTTGGAAAGTGGACAGTCCTTGGAGGACCAGACCTTACTGTATACAGAAGAAGCCTTTGAGGATCAGTCACGCAGGGACAAACGAGATACAGGGTACAGAAAACAAGCTCAGGGCGTGCCTCAACGTAACTCCGTAAAACAAGCAACGACGGCGCGGAGACAGAGACGACTCACCACGTCTAGGGTGGTCAAGGCCTGTACAATTCAAGGACTGCAGCGTCACAGTGGCTCGAGACTATCTAGGCTTCAAATGCCCACTGAGGATTTCGCGAGCTTGGGTGATTTCGATTGGCGACGGCAGCACCTGCACATCATTTACCAGAGGATTGGAAATGTCATTCTCGTGCCGGGGCCAAGTCTGCCGGTGGCAAAGGGGACTCGGGAGGAGAAGACGGCCGTGCTTTGGTCCAACAGGGTCGTATCAGCTGGAGGGGTTGCTACTGGCGGAGAAAATCCTTGTCTGGTCTGTCTTTTCTGGATTTTCTCCGTCAATGGTTTGGAAAGTTGTAACAGTCTCAGCAGAGTCTTGTCTACAAGTCAACTCTTCAGTTAGTCAGTATATTTGTCCCTTCCAAGGCACCTATTGAGGGTTTCCCCGTGTCCAGTTCACATACAAAGCACGGGGGAGTTCAGAGCTCACCACTTTCGCATATTGTTTCCGCCGAGTCTAGATTGCCTGGCCCCGCCCGAGCGAATTCCTTGCCAAGGTCCTGGTGGCTTTGCATATGCCATTTTTTTCTTGCTCTGGTGGAGGGATTAGACGCGGATCGTCGTCGGGGGAAGTGGAAGTGGAATCCGGTCTAATGGTTAGTGAGACGCCACAGCGGGTCCCGCCCACTGACTTGTCTGTCCTGAGAACAAGGGATGCAAGTTGGCAGCCCTCAGCTCGCTGCACGAGATCTCTTCCGCTCATGGCACCATCCCGCGCCATCCAATTTTGTTCAAGAGAAGCCTGCTGTGGCACGCTACTCGGACGATGGACCCAAAGCGTATCCCTGAACTCTGCTGCGTCTCGACGGAGGATTGCGGAATCACCCAACACTCCTCATCCCGTCAAGAACGGTACGGCCCTTTGTTCCCAAAAAGACAATTATGTGTCTAGCACAACTTACGTCGACACAGAGATCGCTCCTGAAAGGCAGTGAGCTTGACAGAGCCCCAGGGATTCCCTCTTGGGCAAAGATGCCGAACATGGACGCTGATCATCGCCTCACCAGGGGCTGATCCCTTCGGGACATGACCCCAAGGCTCTTATCTCTGATTCTCTAGCAGCCGCACCAACCATCGCAAGCCAATAGACCCTTGTCAAGCTATGGCTCACCAGATGCCCTCCTCCAATCTCACCAATTAGTACGACATTGGCAGACCAGGGGTCGAAGCCTCTCACGAGACGTTGTCTGTCGGTGAGACTGCTTCGGAGTCACCTTCTCGAATCACCTGTCGAGGACAGTGTTTTCTCTGCACCCTGGATCCATCAGATGTATACCACTTTCCAAGAACAGTACTGGCTAGGCCACCTCGAGCCTTGACCACCCGCCACATCCACACAATGCGATCGCTGGATTGTCTTTTCATCTTTTCACAATATGACAATACGAACTGGTGACCATGTCGTTCCTCTGTCTGGAATGCTGTCCTGGTATCCGCAGTCTTGCGTTCCGCACGACATTATCTAAAGTACGGCGTTCAAGCTAAACCACCTGCAGCTATCTACGGCTGAGCCAGTGCTATAGCCATGTGGGTCAGAATCCTCTCGCGTCTGTGCCCACTGTACTGAATACCCCAGTATTGTGACAGTAGTGGCCTGGTCTCTGCACACTGGCTTCCGGAATTTGACGCTTGCCCCGACCCTAAAGGTCACTCTTGCGCGGGTCTGCGTTAGGCCCAGAGACCGCGTTAACTGTGCTTGAGACGGTATGAGACCGAACACCTTGTCTAAGCACTTTTTTTCACTCTCCACCGAACAGAATTAGCTGTGCTTGAGAGTTCTACGACGATCCTTGCTTGCATCGAACAAAGCCTCCCCAAATTCATTTCGCTATCCCCACCGTCTCTCCGTCGACCCTGTTGGCTGTACGGGTACGAGTAGTCGTCAACTTGTCAAGGTCGGATTCGGACAGGGCCTCCTCTGTTGGTCTACTCGGAACTGTACCTGCACAGCGTGCCATCGAATCCCCTTCCCATACTCCTCTAGCATCGCTTCTCGATACATTTCTGTCCTGGCCTACTCCATATCCACGTTTCTCGCATTAATCCATCTTCCGTCGCCACATGGCAGGTGTCTAAGCTCGTTCGTGGCGACACCATCCAGTTCGGTTCGCGCGTGGTACACTTTTAACGATCGGGCGTATGCCGACAAGCGTCTGTTTCTCTTCTTCTCTTAAAAACAAACCCTTTCCTCGCCTCCTCACTTTCTCTCCTCAGCCAATTCAACTTTTTGAAGCTCACCGTCAATATGGGCAACCCAAACGAGACCAACAGCATGGAGATGCAAGAGCCCGGCAAGGACTCAATCTCTTCCCTTGATCGCACATCGGAAGAACCCAAATCCGAAAGGGCCGGAGAGAAACATGTCGCAAAGGCCTATCCTTCATCTAGTGACGGTCCTTCGCTGAGGGTAAGCTGCTCCATGAAGGACGATGTGTCTGTCGACAGTGCGACTGACGTGTGAATAGCGACTTTTCAGCTTCGCCCAGCTGCTTGCGTTCTCCTTGACGTTTATGGAATCATGGGAGGTCATGGCAATGTATGTTCAAGGTGTACTTACTTCTACCTGCGGAAAGGCAGTTGAGTTGACCCAGGAATTCTCAGCAACATTTCCGCGACCTTCTGGAACGGTGGCCCACGATCTCTGATATGGGGATGTATCGCCGTGGTCGCCGGCTCCCTGTGTCAAGCATACTCAATGGCTGAACTCGGCTCCATTCTGCCCATTGCCGGTGCTCAGTACCACTGGACTCACATCATGGCCCCGGATAGCACGAGGAGATTCATCACTTGGATGCAAGGTAACGTCCTACGCCACCCTCGTTTACGATCTCGCTGGCATAACCACTGACGTCTGTCCACAGGCTGGGTCACTTGGTTTGCTTGGGTGTCCGCTCTTGCTGGAAGTACTTCTGGTGAAGCTGCCCTTCTGCAAGCCTTGATCGCCGAGAACATGCCCGGATACACACCAGAAAGATGGCACCTCACTCTGATCATGTGGGCACTCCTGATCAGCGTCGGATTGATGAACATGTACACCTTCTGGGCCATCCCGTGGCTCGAATTGACCGCAGGTATCCTGCACGTCGTGCTCTTCATCGTGTTCATGGTCGTCCTCGTCACGCTCGCCCCAAGGCACGACTCGCACTTTGTTTGGTTCTCGGACTCGACGCAGTCCGGGTGGGACAGTAGTTACGTGGCATTCAATCTAGGAATGCTCGCTCCCGCCTGGGGATTCATTGGTATGTTCCAGTCCCGACGTGATGCCGTGCCCGAGGTTTTTGCATTTGCTGACTTGAATGCTACAGGTTTCGACGGTGTCGTCCACATGTCTGAAGAAGTGCGAAAGGCAAAGCACGCCGTCCCGCGCTCAATGATCTTGACCATAGTCATCAACGGCGTCATGGCCTTCGCAATCATTTTGGTTCTGCTGTACTGCCTGGGCGACCCGAACACGACCCTCGACGCATCCTACCCGATTGTCAACATCTGCTACAACGCCACCGGGTCATGGGCTGCCACCAACGCGCTGGTCTCGATGCTGATCATCATCACCTATTGTGTGGTTGCGGCCAGTGTCGCTTCCGTCTCGCGTATCACCTGGGCGTGGGCTCGTGATGGGGCTCTTCCCAAATGGCTTGCGATTGTAAGTAACTCCCACCTTACAGGCTGCGCTCCCGCCTCTTCCAGTCCAACGCGAGACAATTGTGTCTGTGTTCGTGCCTCTGAGACTCACAAAATACTAACACTATGGCGAATTTGCCTAGATCGACGCCAAACACCACGTCCCAACGAACGCACTGTGGCTCCCAATCGTCATTGTCATGCTTCTTTCCCTGTTGAACATCGGCTCGACCGCGGCGACTGCTTTCAGCGCCTTCACGGCCCTGTCGTCTCTTGGTCTGTACACGTCGTACATCATCGCCATCAGCTGCATCTTGCACGCCCGCCTGACCGGTCGTCTGAGCGACAAGCCCGGCGCGGCGGTCCAATACGGAGGCTGGCGCATGTGGAAAGGGTGGGCGGTGCCGATCAACATCATCGCGCTCGCGTGGACAGTCTACCTGACCATCTGGCTTCCGTTCCCTACCACGCTCCCCGTGACCGGCACAAACATGAACTACGCCCTGCCCATCTACACCGCCGTCGTGCTGGCTTCGCTCGGGTACTGGTTCATCTGGGGTAGCAAGCACTGGCCCGGTTTGAATACCGGTGCCATCAGCATGGTCGAGGCACACGATTAGAGCACGAGTTTTTGGATTGTGACAAGGTCAAGGGGGGGGTTATAATGCAAGAGGCGGAAAAGTGAAATGTCAAGAGAGGTTCTACCGTCTACACAAACACCCCTCGTACCCATGGACCCTCGAGACATTTCCTCCTTACTCTGGTGTCTTGTGTGCTCTTGCTCTTTTCCTGCTCTCTCTCTCTCTTTCTCTCTCTCTTCATGAGTCCACCATTCATTACACCAAACCATACCACACCGCTTCCGCGTCTTTTCGCATTAGATAGATGGGGCGTTCTTTTTTTTCAAACTACGGACAAAAATCAACGCGCCTCTTCCTCTCTCTTGCGACTTCTCCCGCGACCGGCAGGACAGACTAGTTTTGAGACTTGGGCGCAATGTGAATATAAATACTTCGTGTTTTCGTACAAAATTGACGATCAGAGGCCGAATTGCTTGATGTGGTCGTTCGTGGTTTTGACGAAGTCATATTGACACGGGCTCCGGAATATGTGTCCGTATATTACGCGTGCCATGATATCTACACATCACTGGTTGGTACGTAGCTCTCGACGCTCGTGTGTTTCTTGGCTTGAGAGGCCGATAATGTATAGAAGGTCCGCCGTGCTCTCTCTGAGACTCTGGCGGAGAAGCACATGTGGTACCTACTGTTCTTTTGCTTTTTAATTTGTTCTTGGAAAGCGATAGTGTCAATAGCGCCGCGGTGAACATGGTGATTTTCGCACGCGTGGCATGAAGGTGGCTCAGGTAGATACTATCTATACTCGCTGACGACACCTGCACATACACATCCGACTCGGGGGCTGTGGGCATTGGAAGAAATAATAAGAAGAAAAAAAAGGTACTTTCCTCGCCTCTAGTAGGTACGGAGTACTACTACTACTCGAGAATAAACAAACACCTACTTATTTGGAGGCCTTGATATGAGATGTCCATCAGTAGGCATCTCGTTAGACGGAGGCCATGGAGTTCATCCCCCGATAGAATATCTCTCTCTCTCTCTCTCTCTCTCTCTCTTCCCGGGTACAATTCGAATTAGTACCTAGGAACGAATCACAGAAAATGACTCAAGAGATTTAAAAAAAAATGTTAGCTTGCCGTGATGGCGATCGTGTTTACAAGTTGCGACTTTTGTTATTACATACATACATCCATACCTTACACGCAGGCACAAAATGCCCTCTCATTTTTCAACCTACACAAGATCAGCTAGCTATGATACACAATCATCCACCACCAACACAGCCACCGCCGACGACGCCGACGACGATGACGACCACAAGATTCGTGTTGTCGAATCAGACAACTCCCAAACACTCCTCCTGGGTTCCCGTCACGGTTCTCTATACTACCTTCACCCACCAACATCGAGACATCCACAGCCACAATCGCCGCCGTCCACAATCTCGACTCTGATCCGCTCTCGGTCGTGCGCACACATGAGCCCCTCCCGAGAGACAAGACCATAGTTTGGTTGAACCATATCCCTTATCAGAAGTTCCCGACCTGTTTAATGGAAAATGCTTTTGGCTTAGAAAAAGAAAAAGCAACACAATCTTCGAAAAAAAAAAGAAAACATGTTGAGTGGAGTTGGTGTGACAGAAATGCAATGCAATGTACAAGTCAAGAGTGAGGTGATGGATGGTAGGTAGTCGGTAATATCGAGTCCGATCGGCGACTAGTCTCTCATACCAGACGGTTCCCATGCGATGACTGAGATCGGTTGCCGTCTAGATCCAACATTTTGGCGGAGAAATCGTCGCCGCCGTCCCGTCCCATCCTGTCCCGTCATCGCCGAGAGTGCAGCCATGCCAAGTGGAATACAGTCGCTAAAACGCAGGAAATTGTGCACAAGGCCTAGGACAGGTAGGCAAGTAGTAAGCAGTAGTTCAGAGAGGTAGCGTCGCGCAGTGTATGGCGCTACACTTAGAAGCCTCCCATGCCACCCATGCCGCCCATTCCACCGCCCATGGGTGGCATAGCAGGCTTCTCCTCTGGAGCCTCCACAATGGCAACCTCGGTGGTACCAAGCAGCGAAGCAACGCCGGATGCATCGACCAAAGCGGTGCGGACTACCTTGAGAGGATCCACAATACCCTTTGACAGCATGTCCACGTATTGACCGCTGGCAGAGTCGAAGCCCTTGTTGAAGTCGCCACCAAACTCATCCATGAGCTTGCCAACGACAACGCTGCCTTCAAGGCCGGCATTTTCCACGATTCGGCGCGCTGGGCGTGTGATAGCGTTCTTGATGATGCTGACACCGAGTTGTTGGTCGAAGTTGGTGGGCTTGACGTCCTTGAGGGCGTTGGCAGCAGCCTTGATGAGAGCAGTGCCACCACCGGGAAGAATACCCTCCTCAACAGCAGCACGCGTGGCATTGAGCGCATCCACGACACGGTCCTTCTTCTCACCGACTTCAACCTCGGAAGCACCGCCGACCTTGATGACAGCGACACCACCAGAAAGTTTGGCAAGGCGCTCTTGAAGCTTCTCCTTCTCGTATTCAGAGGTAGTAGGATCAGCCATGACGCCGCGGATCTGCTCGCATCTCTGAGCAATGGCGTCCTTGCTTCCTTCACCGTTCAGAATGATTGTGTCCTCCTTGGTGATGGTGATGCTTCCGGTGGATCCGAGCATGTCTGGGGTTGCCTTCTCCAGCTTGATGTCGAGCTCATCAGTGAAGACGGTGGCATTTGTCAAGATACCAATATCACCAAGGATACTCTTGCGGTTGTCACCAAAGCCTGGGGCCTTGACAGCAGCCACTTGCAATTGACCTCGGAGCTTGTTGAGGATACAGACGGCCAAAGCTTCGCCATCGATATCTTCAGCGATAATGACGAGAGGTCGGCGCAGTTGAGTCGAGGCTTCGAGAGCAGGAATGATGTCCTGCACAGCTGAGATCTTTTTCTCGGACAACAGAATCAAGGGCTTCTCGAATTCAATCTTCTGTGACTTGGTGTCGGTAATGAAGTAGGGGGAGGTGAAGCCACGATCGAACCGCATGCCTTCGGTGATTTCGAGCTCGTCTTCAATTGTCTTTCCCTCCTTGACTGTGATGACACCTTCCTTTCCGACCTTCTCCATAGCATTGGAGATGAGGTTGCCAACATGGGTATCGCCGTTTGCAGAGATCGTAGCGACCTGAGCGATTTCGGCGCTTGTGGTGATATCCTTCTTGTTCTTTTGCAGGAAGTCAACAACGGCCTCAACAGCCGCTTGTGTACCTCTTCTCAGATCCATGGGATTGCATCCTGCAGCGACGTTCTTCACAGTCTCGGAGAAAATGGAGCTGGCGAGGACGGTCGCGGTGGTGGTACCGTCACCAGCGACCTCGTTCGTCTTCGAGGCGACATCCTGGATCAGGCGGGCGCCGAGGTTTTCGAATTTGTCTTGGAGAACGACAGCTTTCGCGACGGTGACACCATCTAGCTCTTAGTTAGCCAATACGTCCCGTTCGGAACGGACACGGGCGCATACCTTTAGTAATCTTGGGTGAGCCGTAGCTTGATTCAATCAACACATTGCGACCCTTGGGACCGAGGGTAGTGGCGACAGCTTTTGAAAGTGTTTCAACACCCTTCAGCAGCTGAGCTCGACCTTCTACACCAAATCGCAGCTCCTTGTGAGCGAATCGGAGTTGTTGTAAACTCTTGCCGGCAGATCTGGAGTATGGGGAGGAGGAGGAGAGCGAAGATCGCGCCACTGAGGACAGAGCGCGCTGCATGATGGACACAACTGGACACTACCAACACAATAACAGGAGTGAGGGAAATAGACGATGACAGGAAAGCAGCGATGACAGAGGTGTAGAGATGCAGGAAGACAAGAGGTTCATATCCCGGCGTCGAGCAGCCATAAAATTTTTGGAGATTCGCTTCGAAGGCCCTGGAAACGGGCCTACCCTGTTTTAGGATTAGCGCCTTGGCCTCCAGGTTTGTGCCGAGAGACCGAGCAACGACCGACAACCGACAACAGACAACTCCTTGCGTTATGATCTGGACGCCAGGAACAGAGGTCACGATGGAAGAGCTCATCTTGGGTAATAAACAACTCTGTTGTGGTTGTTGTCCTATGTGATTTTTCGTTTTTTCTGTTTTCTCATAGCGCCGCCCTGGCAACTCATCGTTCCCCAGCTTCGTTCACTTCATCATACATGCCAAATAAAAGGGATGTGCAGCCAGCCATGGTTCATCTCTTGTGGAACTGGCGAGATTCAATCGAAAGTCCAATCGGCTGACTTGGGGGAGGGGGAAAAGCACAAGCAATGAGCATGACAACTCCTTCTTTGCACGGTTGAAACTCTGCCCGGACTACACCACGCATGCCTCTCCGTCAAAAAGTCTGGACTGCCATCGTGCTCCAAATGACTCCATCAAATGTCCGCCTCTGTGCAATGCGCAATCATAGTTGGTGGAAGTCGGACTTGAAGCGCCTACCTCCGATTTCATTAGCCCTCCTTCGGGTCTCTGACTGGGGAAGGATCTTACCTAGAAACCGAACACATTGCGGTGCATGGCAGAGTCGACTGGGTCGTCCCATCCAAAAACATCGTCGCCTTTCCAGTCTTCCGTGTTGTTCAGAGTTGGCTCTGCTGCAAGTTCATTCAATTCGAGGGCCAAGAGCTCTTCATCATTGAATGCCAAAGCTGCAGGCATCTGGACTTGAGATTGCTCTTGTTGCGAGTCCGATGCAGAGCTGAAGGAAGTCATACCAGTGGCTACCGAGTTGTTGCGGCTGGCCTGGTAAAGGTAGGAGTCAATTGAATTGGGGCGGAACATTTCTGGTGCAAAGCTCGTTGTGTCAGATCCCATGGTGCCAGATCCCATGGTGCCAGATCCCATGGTGCCAGACTCCATGGTGCCAGATCCCATGGTGCCAAATCCCATGGTGCCAAATCCCATGGTGCCAGATGCAGTGGCGCCAGATCCCATAGCGGCTGGCATATCATAGGTTTGCATGTTCATTTGTCCATTGTTGAAAAAGTTGTTTGTCTTGAACAAGGCTGCTCCATTGACAGTGCCGGGAGGAAAGCCACTAATAGGCGGGCCGCTGAACATGGTATCGACACCTGGCCAAAGGTATTCTGCGTTGGTCTATCCGAAGGTCAGTAAAACATACAAACCGCCGACATGTGGCATGTACTTACGAAGGGATCGATGTTGGCAGGGTTGATGCTGTCAGCCACGGCTCCAAGAATGTCACCACCCAGGTTCGGCATCTCGCTGTTGTCTTGAGCAGTTGTCATGGTCTTGACGGTTGTAGCCGCAATGCTATCATCCTGGACCTTTTCCTCGGAAACTGCGGTTCCATCACCGGGGTTGGAAGAGTCGTCACCATCAAGAGTCTCAGCGTCATCTCGATCAATATCGGCATCCATGTCATCCAGCACAGTGTCAATCAAGGTATAGTCACGCTTGATGCCTCGGGTGCGGCGACTTGGAGGAGTGGATGGCGCAATTCGGCTGACCGAGTTTTGGCCAGCTCCCTTGACCGCCTGCTTTGGAGTTGCTGGCGTCAATGGAGTCATTGGGGTCGGTGGAGGGTCATTAATGCTTGCAGTCGATTTGGTCTTGGTAGCTTGCTCCGGAGTTGCCGGGAGATCATTCATGCTTGCGGACGATTTCTTCTTAGCAGTACGACGCTTCTTCTTTGGACTGACATCCGAATCATACAGTGTCTCAGGCAAAGTGTCATCGTCTTCTTCATCGTCACTGATGTCGCGAGCACGGCCACCAGTACGCATCCGACCTTTCACCTGCAGGGTGGGAGATCCACGCTCTTCAACCTTGACTTTCTCGTAGACGGATCGATTTTCACCACCATTTGCATTGGGGCTGCCGGCATAGAGAGGCTTAATGCTCTCGAAGATGCGTTTGGGAGTGACGTTTCCATACACTTTGGAGGGTGTCTTCGTCAACATTCCACGCTTGAGGCAGGGTGGGACCGGGATTTCGTGTCTCTCCATCAGAGTACGAAGCTTAGCGAGATGCTGAATGATCGCTCCTTCGGTGAAGTGAGGACCCATGATTTCCGCAACTCTGGCCCCTTGATGAAATTCTGGTTAGCTTCGATAAGGGAAACAAGGCCGACAGGCTCTTACATGGCAACTTGATTCCAGCCTCGGCACAAGCGTATTGGACAACAAGCAACACTTCCTTGTCGAGGTCGTCTGTAACAATGTCAAAGATCGGCTGCTGGATGGAAGATATCTTCAAGACTTACCAGTCCATCGAACAAGGTTGCGCTTGGTGGCGCGAGCGCGTCGAAGAGTCATCTTGGCTCGACGACCGAGACCGAGTCACTACCTGTGGCTTATCTTGAATGTTAGCCCTTTGCTTCCAATGTGGTTCCAACTGATGCTTGTTGATGTTTTTGCTTGGGAGACAGGAAAGTGAAGGTGTTCGTCGTCGAGGATCACTGGATTGAACGCGATGTTAGCCTTGTCCAACAACAAAGAGCCGAGAAAGACAGTCCCATGGAGGAACGGAGCGTGTTCGCGGTCACATCCGGGGACGGTCAGGGCACAAGAACATATGGTAAGGCCAGGAAACCGCACTTTGCTGAGCGTTTGAGGCAGCCAATTTGTTTGTTTTGTGTTGGAAAGGGCTTGAGTGAAGGAGGTAGTGATGGAAAGCAAGGCGATGCCCAGGAACTTACCTTACAGACAAGATCTGTCGTGAACAGGAGTCACCAAGACCCGTCTTTGATTGTGGTGGTTTTGATGAAGTTTTCAGGACGAACGAGAGCAGGGGATGCGGAGAGTGATGTGTTTATGATAAGGTTGTGGTGAGGAAGATGTGCAGGAGGACCAGCATAGGAAGAAGAATTTGAGGGAGGCCGAATTGTGTTCACAACAGCATCGCGACACGCTTGTGCCATGCTTCAATGATTTTGGGTCTTGACCGCCTTACTCGCGACGCGACGCGACGGTGTGCAAATTGCTCTTCTCGTCAAGAAGAGAACATATTGAATTGCTCTGTATCCTGTTGTCTATCCACAACATCCAAATTCCTACCACACACATTGGGAGGCTTCCTGGCAGCGACGAACGTGCGCAAGAAGTGGTATCTGCTGGCAGTCTCCGACCATGGTATTGGGTGTATCGCTGATCTCGATAGGGTGTCCTCATGTTGTCGAAACATTCTTCTCGTCATCTCTCCTTTCTTCGTACCCGTCACAGGGTCAGCCAGATTGATCCAAAGCCTTTCACCCAACTTTCATGACAATGCTCGCAGACTCGACCTTCAAGATGACGGGTTGCAGCTACTTTACAACTACAACTCCGAATTAAAGTCTTCCTTCTCGGCCATTGGTTTCGCAGGAGCTGGTTGGACCTCCTGTGGCGGAGGTGGAATCTTTGGCTGGTGATCGACAGCGCCATGGCCTTGAACAGGAGGAGCTTGCGGTTTGAGACGAATGGGGTAACGCTCTCCAATGACGGGCTTGAACAACTCTCCACTACTGTGCCTATCAAGATCATGATCATCCCCACGGAGCATCGAGTTTGCCTCTTGATAGCGCCTAACAAAATCCCTAGGGACATCAGGAGATGGGACCCTGCCAGGTGAGAAGTAGTCGTATCTACTTGGTGGGAAAGATGGCATGAGGTGAGTGTACGGCGGAGGATAATGTGCGCTCGGCATCGGTGCAAAGTAAGCAGGGGGAATATCCGGGAACAACATGTGCTCCGTCGTTCGCTGGCTCGAGGGACGTGGCGAGGGAGGGCGAGCAGGGAGATGATTGGGTAGTCTGACGGGGGCCGCCGTTTTCGTTTTTCTCTGCTCGACCGGAGGGACTTGACTCTTCAACGAAGCTCTGGTGATATCAGGTGCGGTGATGTTTGACGCCTTCACAGTCGATGGAGCCATGAACTGTCTGTTGTTGGCCTGCTTTTTGGTCGACCTCGCCTCGACAAGATCATCATCAGTCGCCTTTCTCTTGTGAGCTAATGCTGCCATGGGGACTTCATCGTCGTCGGCATCATCATCAGGGTCTGCGACCTCGCATGTACCTTCCGGGGTGCTGTATGCTTTCAACAGTCTTTCATACCGTTTGGCCCTGTGTTATGGTTCAGCTTTTTTGAGACCACTACATGAAGGACGCTTCTTACGATGCTCCCTTGCTGGTAATTCCACAGTCTGTTGCAACGGCAGCATGATCGATCTGCATTTGTCAGCTGATAATTGCTCCCCTACAGATCGCCTTGGAACCTACTCTTCCATAGTTTGAGTGTTTGCAGCACGCGATCAAGAAGCGAATTTGATCGTCTGGTGTGGCTTTGCGCGTGTTTTTGTGTGCTTTCAACATGATGGCACAATATTTCGACAGTCTATGAGCAGTACGTGTCAACAGTGACTCTTTGGGCCTGGTTGGAGGTTCGGGACAGTGGAAGAAGGTACGTACTGTGAGATGACACGTTTGAATCTCTCTTTTGAAGACGTCTGGGCTCAAATACTTCTTTCCCAGCTGACAATTCCAGTTGTCTTGTCATTTCTTTGATGAGAAGGATTTGTGTGGACATACCTGCTTTGATCAATGGTCACTAAGCAAACCAACGTGATGCAACCACGTCTTTCATTCTTGGAGCCCTGGGTTGATGTCAGCTCAAAGGAAACCGACGGTCAATGACGCTTTCACGATGCCAGAGTCAGTTCGCATCAAAGGATGGAGGAACGGGTGATTGTGTGGGAGAAGGAAGAGATGACGGGTTTCGATTGAGTTGAATTCACAAGGTCAAATTGCTGAACGACAGTCTGGCACATTGAGAAAACCTCTGCGTGCCGAGCTTCTGACTCTCGGCGATGGCAGTCACTTCAATATAATGTCGACGACTAAGCGATCTAGCTACCTGAGGTATGGAGAGATGCCCTGAACCTGCCCTGGTCCTGCGCGGATGTGCTTCATCATGCCTCCTTCAGCCGGATTCTAGCCTGCCGCTGTCAAGAATGGAGCTGGCCTGGACAAAGAAGGAGCGCATGAAAGGGCATCTTGTGAGGGTGGCTTTCTTCTGCAAGCAAATCCTCGTCCCATTGTCAGGAGCACATTCATTAGCCATGACATGAGTTCTCCCACGACAAGAATCAGAGTGTCGACGAGGCTCTCGCATAGGGGGCGTGGTCACGTGGCTGGGACTGCCAATCCACCTTCCCCTCTTCGTTGTCTAGAAGGCCAGAAGTCAATGCTTCATTAGACGCCATGTTTGCATCACAAGTTCACTAACAGTGGACACCACAATAGTTGACGAGACGTAGCGAAAACAAGCGCACTTTGCTTCTGGTTTCTTAGGCCCTCCTTCATTTTCTTCGAGGGTTTCACACGCAACCGTTTAATTCTACCGCCCCTCTACAGTTTGGCATCCCTCCCAATGGTCGGTCTTCCTGGGCACAATCTACTTCGACAGCCCATGAGTACCATACGAGAAGAGGTTGAATCTAGTCCTTCATTCATGTGCTTGTCTCGTACTTCGTCTTCGCACGGAGAAGGTCTCCATATCGCCAGAAGAGCCATGGTATAGGAGCCATAGCTAAAGTACAACATGCCAGTAACGTGGTCGCGAAACCTACGCCTAGTTTCTGATAAAGCTGGAGGGCGAACAGTGGGAACGCCGCCGACAACCCGTATCTTGACAGCATCGCTGCTCCGGCCGCCGACGCTCCGTAGAGCGGTCCGTACGCGTCGACCATGAACAAATTTACCGAGGAGTAAATCATCACGGTCGCCATTATCGTCAGCCCTTGCAACACAATCGGCACCATCCAGTGTATCGCTGGACGCGAGGTCCAGGCGAAGATAAACAAGAAGGTAGGCAAGGTGAAAGACGCAATCATACTAGGATACAGTCTGTACTCGGGAGGAAATGCCTCTGTGTCAGAGTGAACTGCTCGAAACCTCTTCAGGCGTGGCTGGTAGAGACGTAGGTCGATTGCAATAAGAGGGCCAGGTGCCAGTGCAGTGCCGACCATCAAACCAAGAAACGACAATGATTGTGCTATCAAGTCGAAGCCATAGTAGTGCTGAAATACCCACGGCGAGGCTACCACGAAGGTGTACATCAGCCCGAAAAGGAATCCGTTGTAGAGGCACACCAAGGTCACGATGGGTTCGGTGATGGCCATGTGAACCGGTCGAATGAGCAAGGCTGTCAAAAAGTGCTTGATGGAGGCCAGGACGGGATTCTTAGCTTGAGGCACCTGGTGCACGCCCAGCCTCCGTGCTCGTCGTTGTAGTATCGTCTTTTTGTACGTTTCCTTAGTGAACAGGATCGGGATGTAGAACACGGCAATGAAAAATAGCGTGATCCACTGCGTCCAGCGCCAGCCTTTCTTTTCGACGATGACGCCACCCAGAAGAGGCCTACGACCGTTAGAATATGACCTGAGGCATCCGGTGATTTACGTACCCGAATACGGCACCGAAGAAGGGGATCGAGTAGTAGAAAGCCAACGACACAGCTCGATACCGTCCTGCGGTGTAGTCGACGATAGTCGCCGACGCGCAACTGATTGCGGGAGAGGCAAAGACACCGGCGAAGAATCGGCAGATGGTTAGCGACGCAACATCTTGCGAGAACCCAGCCCCAAGGGTAAAAAGCGCAAAGAGTGGCGTTGTGCTCAAGAAGACCGACTTGCGCCCGAACGTCTCGCTCATGGGACTTCCCGCAAGAGGACCGAATGCCAACCCGCACGAGTACAGTGACAACGGGAGAATTGCCACCTCGTCTGAGACACCAAAGGCTTTCGATACTTCATCGTGGCCTGGACTGTAGATCGAAGCCGCCAGCGTACTCACGAAGGCCAGAAATGTGACGGCAATCGTTGAACATGTCCTCCTTCTCAGTGAGAAGTTGCGAGGATTATCTGGATCGTCCGGTCCGTCCCAGTCGGTCACGGTTGTCAAAGCGCTCCGGAGTGCAACTGTACCACCTCTTTCCTCATCGCGCATGTCGAACTGTAGATGAGGAGAAGAGGGTCATTTCCCGGGATGGATGGGTACTGGGAAGTCATTGATTTGATACGGGTGCAAACAAGTACAACCAACACAGTGATCATACCCCTCAGCATCGGCTATCGGCACAGCACCGAGCTGTGGACGCAGAGTATGGATCATCGCGTGAATTGTAGGTATTGTTGTCAAACCCTCAAGCCCGGTACAGCTCTTCATGACAAAGAATCTCAGATCCACGCAAGTACGACTTATCATGCAAAGTAAAGCGCTACGTGCCCAAGCGCTGAGGCGCCTCTGGCCGTTAGATAGACAAACGGGGGCTGAGGGAGAGCGCCGGAAAATGGTTATTGCGGAGGGGAACGAATACGGATACGGATACGAGATATGAGGGCCGTTGGGATGTTTCGTACTGTACGAGTATTGTAAGGAAGGGAAGCTTAGCCTGATCGAGTCGACGTCATCCTGATTCGATGGTGCTGGTTTGATAGACATATTGTTCCTCGAACCACCTGCACAATTCCACCAGACTCGGTTGACATTCGGTACGTCAACGACAAAGCACCCGCTCGCTCATTGCGGAAACCCTCACATTGATATTGCAAACAACTATGCTTCCTCCATCTAGATGACCTCCAAGGTAATGCGCAAGCTCCCGAAAGCGACAACCCGTTCCTCAGTTTCCTCATGGACCGGTAGACCCTCATCCCCGTCGCCGGGTCGATGCCGCCACAAATCTACCTCAGCTGGCAACAGTGCTCCGCGTCAGATACTGCCTAGAAGGTATTTGGCCCAGGTCAGACCTGAGCCACTGTCAGAACTATGGTTCACTGCTTCCTCTCCGCGCTTCGGCCCTGCGGATGAACTGCTTGGACCGCCCACGCCGGGAAAAGACTGTGACCACCAACCACCGGACGAGCGACTGCTGAAACTGGGTAAAAGTAACACACTCCTCAACCACATTTTGCAAGGCGAAAAGCTGACCACAGTCATAGCGCTACGACGACTGTCTCCTCTCCTTCCCGACATCCTCACAAAACCCCTTCCTCAAGAAATCCTGTCTCCGGACGTAACACTCCACCTCTTCCCTTCGACACACCCCCACCTCCCTGCTGTCAAGGGGAAAGTCGCATACCGAGCCGCCCTGTGGACTTGCCCGGTCGCCTGGGGATGTGTGCCCATTGTCGGAAATGTAAAGCTGAAAATCATCTCGGAAAAGATAGTCCGGACGGGGTATACGTACGCCATTCCTCAGAGCGACGACGAACCCGCAGATCTCAGCGCAGAGAAGCTGGTTGTGCGCTGGCAGACCGAGCCGAAGCAAAACGGCCAGACCTCCACGGCCTCGCACTTTTCAGCCTCCTCGTCAGCTGCGCAAGCCAACGAAGTATCCCACGGTGGGATCAACAGGGGCCTTTCGAAATTGCTGGGCGGTGACAAGCCCATTTTCAACCTCAGCAACGACGACGAATTCTCTGGCTTGTTCATCTTCACGTTCGACTCCGAGGGTCGCATAGCGAGCCACACGATCGAGCACGCTGACGAGGACAGTAGCTTTGACAAGACGAGCAAGGTCGTCACCCTCACCGACTGGCTGTTGGGCAAGGCTAGGTGGAACCGGGCCAAAGAGAAGGAGGAAGAACTCGTGCCGGGGCTGGCGATGCGAGTGTGTAGAGAAGAGTGGGATTTGGGAAGGAGACTTGGCCAGGGAAATGGCCACAGATGAGAGCGGACAGACCTCTCCATCGGAATTTTGTATCAAAAAGGAAGGGACATGGGTTTTGGCGAGCACCACTCGCGACGTGGGTGATTGTCAGTATATTTTTGTTGATACCCTCCACTCCGTGGAACGATGTAAATGAATCCTCCTCGAAAGCATGCGCTTTAGGCACTCCACTTTTAACCCATATATTGCAGTTCTAAACAACTAGACAAGTACGCTGTACTTATGGTGGCATGTCACTCATCGACAATGTGTTTGATATGCTAAAGACGGTACTTTTGATATGCTAAACATTATATGTCGAAGCATTGATGTCCTGGCTCCCCTTCTCAAGACTGGCCCTTTCCTTCATCTTGCATGTGCGACACTTCGGCATCAAACATTAGCTTTTCGTTGCTCTTACAATGTACTCTCAGGAGCCAGAACCTACACGTACACACATACACGTTAGCTCGCGTTCTAGAGTATCAGGAAAGATTTCGGCTGGACTTACCAGAGCGGTCCTGGTTGGGATATAAACCTGCGTGAAGTTTTTGCGATTGTTCCACGGCATATCGGTGGTGAAGAACCTCGTCTCCTTCGCGTTGCGTCCTAGGCCACCAAACTGGGGGTCGTCGGTGTCAAGCACAATCCTGTACACGCCTGGCACCTCGACGCCTACGCGATAGTCTGTGTAGGACCTGGTCGGATGAAAATTGAAAATCCACAGGAGTCCAGCACGTTCGAATACCAGAACTTTGTCAAGCTCGTTCTTCAAAGAGACATACGCTTGTGGTGAGTGTAGCCATCCATACTTTTCCTCGGTCCATTGCATGCTTCTGTCGAATTCGTTGAGGAACTTATATCTCAACAGATGGTCATCGGTCAAGTTTAGTTGGCGACGCGCATACCAAAAGGAATTGTCGTTTCCCGCGCGCGGGAAATCGAGCCATTCGGGATGTCCAAACTCGTTGCCCTCGAAATTGAGATACCCTTCACCACCAAGAGAATGGGTGACAAGCCGGATCATCTTGTGCAAGGCCATGGCACGCTCGATGGTAGGTGTGAATTCTGTCAGCGTCGACATATGTGTGTACATCTCTGCATCGGCGAGCCACATCATAAGACTCTTATCACCTACCAGAGCTTGATCATGCGACTCGCAGTATGCAATCGTCTTTTCTCCATGGCGACGATTCGTCAAGGTGAACGCAATGTTTCCAATATCCCACTCATCGTCGGATTTTTCCTTCAGTAGTTTGATATACATATCGGGTACAGCCATGGCGAGGCGGTAATCGAAACCCACGCCTCCGAGCGAGAGCTTCAAGCAGAGCGCTGGCATACCCGAAACATCCTCAGCGATTGTGATGCAGTTGGGGTAGATGTTATGAAGCATCTCATTGGCCAGCATAAGGTAGACAACACCATCTTCGTCAACGGAAGGGCCAAAGTATTCGTGGTAGCCCCCTGAGAAACCTGTACCGATGCCGTGATGAGTATACAGCATGGACGTTACACCATCGAAGCGGAAGCCATCGAATTGGTATTCTTCCATCCAGAAACGGAGGTTAGAAAGAAGGAAGCGGAGGACCTCGTGGTGACCATAATTGAAAAGCCTCGAGTCCCACAATTCGTGTCGACCTTTGCCTCCTTCGTGGAAGTAGAGATGATCACTGCCATCAAACATGTTGAGCCCGTCGAGGGTATTCTTGCTGGCGTGTGAATGGACCACGTCTAGAAGGATAGTGATGCCCATGCCGTGTGCGGTGTCTATGAGCTCTTTCAAGTCTTCAGGAGTGCCATATCTCGAACTCGCCGCAAAGAAGGAGTTCACCTGGTACCCAAAGCTGGCATAGTAGGCATGCTCCATGATGGCCATCAGCTGTATGACATTGTAGCCCAGCCATTTGATTCTCGGCAACATGTTCTTTGTGAACTCCTTGTAGGTAGCGACTTTGAGGTCTGGCGAGGAGATGCCGACATGAGCCTCATAGATCCTGACACTCTTGGGATACGGAGGGCGAGGGTTTTTGAAAACATATCTCTCCGATGATGGGGGATTCCAGAGCACAGCCTCGTACACCGGGGAGACTGATAGATCTTGCGTGACTCGTGTGATCCATGCTGGGATCCTCTCTATTCTTTCCCCTCCTGGTATGACGAGGGAGATCTTCAACTTAGTATTGTGAGGTATGGCAGGCACTCCATCTTTTGCAGGGAGATGCAGCTCCCATACACCATAGTGGTTCTTCTTCATCGGGTGCGAGTCTCTGTTCCAGTTGTTGAACTCTCCGATCAGGTAGGCTTGCTCGGCATTTGGTGCCCATTCACTACCATAGTGTCAGCCACTTGCCCATACTCCTAGCTGTAGCTGCATACCGATATGTTATATCTCCATTGGGGCTGAAGGTGAAGCCCATCTTCTCGTATCCTCGACTGAATTTTTCGAGGCCACCCTCTGTGTCGTTGATTGTCTTAATCCATTTCTGGGCTTTCGCAAACCGATGTTTGAGGGCGTCTTTGAAGGGCTCGAGCCAGGGGTCGAGTTGGATTACGCCTACAAGGGAGTGAGCCAGGAGCTTGAGGAAATTGATGCCGGGCATGACTTACCTGTACCATCAGGAGGAGCATCACTTGATCCAGCTGCCGCCACGACAGAGTTCTCCGAAGCTTGGTTCGATGCCATGGTCAAGGGCACGAGCTTCGAGCTTTTAGGGATTCGAAGTGCAGAAGGAAGTACGCAGATGATTGTGTTCTTGCTTGGAATATTCTGGTGATCAAGCAGTATTTATTCCACCTCTTCTGAAAGCGACGAGGACAGTGGAAGGCAAATGGGTTGGTAGCTCAAAAGGTTGAACGGCGAACGAGGTGTTTACTCGTCTGTGGCATGAGACTGATGCTAGCGGGGGTGTTTATGGGCGAGATGACATCAGTTGTGGGGGAGCTTCACGGGCGCCAGAGGCACCGCAGGCGCCTGGAGGCATCAATAGCCTATAGGGCACCAATAGGCGCAGCCAGACCGAGGCGACCCCGCCAAACCTTGCACATGTCTGCTATTGCTGCCGAAAGTTTTTCCGTTCCGATGCCTCTTCCACAGCGCGCCCAACAAGTATTCGAGGCATTAACGACACCGTGAAACGGTCTAGACCTAGTATTATGGCGAGCGTCTTGCCGTTGAAGCCAGACTTGGACTGAGAGTCTTTCGTCGTGAGAGCTGAGCAGCCGTATGGCATAATGTTTTGTGGGAATAGTGCGAGATACTATCGCTCGCAATGCTGATGTACGAGCATGACTCGAGTTACAGTAACTCCCTACCTGCAGGTACTTGTAGTATCATTCAATAGTACTCAAACCTACCAGGTAAGTCGCATATGAGGACGGACATGAGTGCATTAACTTAGACTCCTCGGACGAGCCAAGGCACGTGACTTGCTGAATAGCATGACGCCTTCTGGGGGCATGCGGAGCGATGGCGATCTGTAACGCTGGCGAGCCTATGACTATCAGGACGACAAGGCGCGGAGCTCCGCATGCGTCGAGTCATCCTGGTTCACCATCTCGACATCTGGACACAGCGACAACGTGTAAATATCATTATTCTTGCTTCTCTCGAAGCACCCTGCTGCTATGCAGGCATTCAGTGCACTGCCTGTCTTCCTGTGCCCTGCCCTTGACGGCACCATGGCAGCGTCTTCCGCTGCGATCCCGTATCGACTGCGAACGTCCTACGTTGCCTTGAGTAGACGGTCCTTCTCCAGCAGCCCTACCCAACCATCTTCGTCTCAGTTTCACCGATCCGATTTTGTCAACCAACCCTTCACCGGGTCATACGAGCCCGGACAACCCACCAGCGGGCCGTTGGGCGGGGCGTCTTACACTACACCCAGACTTACCCCTAAGATGCTGAAGCAGCATTTGGATCAGTTTGTCGTTGGGCAGGAGAGGAGCAAGAAAGTGCTAAGTGTGGCTGTATTTAATCACTATCAGAGGATACAAGAGTTACAACGGAGGGAAGAAGAGGAGGAAGAATTAATGGCACAACGAGAGCGAAGAGAGCGCCACCCAGTCGAGGACGAATTTCCCGGCCAACAATCTACAGTCCGAATGAGCAATAGCCGCGCCTCTTCAGTCAACGGACGCCCGAGTGGAATGCCCTTGATAGATACAAGCCCACTTACGCTCGACAAATCAAATATACTGCTGCTCGGCCCCAGTGGCGTCGGTAAGACACTCATGGCTAAAACATTGGCAAGAGTGTTATCAGTACCGTTCTCCATGTCGGACTGCACGCCTTTCACACAAGCAGGCTATATAGGCGAAGATGCCGAAGTCTGTGTCCACCGTTTACTGGCCGCTGCGAACTACGACGTGGAGAGAGCAGAACGGGGAATCATATGTCTGGACGAAGTGGATAAGATTGCCACAGCAAAAGTCAGTCATGGGAAAGATGTTTCCGGCGAGGGTGTACAGCAAGCTTTATTGAAGATCATCGAGGGGACAACCATTCAGATACAGGCTAAACCTGAACGCAATGCTCCTCGGGCTGGCGGCCAGTCACAGAGTTACCCGACCAATAGTCCTTTAGGTGCTGGGTTTTCATCAGGAGGACCGGGCGCTGCAGCTACACCTGCGAAGGGCGAAGTTTATAACGTCAGAACAGACAATATCCTGTTTATCTTCAGCGGTGCCTTCGTCGGCCTCCAAAAGCATGTCCTGGACCGGCTGACGAAAGGAAGCATCGGGTTTGGTGCCAGCGTGCGCTCGAGCTCCAATTTACGGTCATACGCCCGCGACCAGAAGTCTACAGACAACGCTCCGGTGCCCATTTTACCCGGTTCACAGGAAGAAGAGCTATACCGGAAGCACTTGCCGTTCTTTACTCCCACCCCCTCGCCAGATGACCATACCGCAGATGGCACGTCGGCTGAGCTGAATTACTTCAACCCTCTGGACTTGGTTACTCCGGCGGATCTCCAATCTTACGGCTTCATTCCAGAACTCATTGGGCGGATACCAACCACAACGGCATTGTCGGCGCTGACACATTCCATGCTCTTGCGAATATTGACAGAGCCTCGGAATAGCCTTGTGGCTCAATATGTTACATTGTTCTCTCTATCTGGTATTGAGCTGCGATTCACCACCCCTGCCTTGCACGTTGTTGCCTCAAACGCGCTCACTATGGGCACCGGAGCACGAGCCTTGCGGACCGAGATGGAGACCATTCTTGGAGATGCTATGTTCGAAGCACCCGGGAGCAGTGTGAAGTACGTATTGGTTACCGAACGCGTAGCGAAACGTGAGGAAGGCGCAGTCTATTTTGGCAGAGGTCAGGGTGGAAAGTTTCACGCAATGATTGCTCAGGAAGAAGGTGATTGGGAAGACCAACAGAAGCGCAGGGGACCCAAGAAGAGTGAGAACATGACTGCTAGCTTTGAAGATTGGAGGACCAAAACCACGATGGCAGTTGGAAGTGGTGGTTGAAAGATTCCGTATGCCGTCCGACCGCTATTGACGCTAAACTCTGGCGAATGGCGATGATAATGATGCATCAAATAGAATGATTTTCTCCAATGACGACCTTGGGAGGGTTTGGATGACGAGGCTGAGGATGCTGAGGATGACAGCACAATTACTCGTACCTTTACCACCAAGACACGAAGGACACGGGCAGTGAGATTTCAAGCCCTCGACTTCTTTTTGACACAGAAATGTAGTCTAATGGCACGTAGTCACAAAGACAAGTCTCATGCGTGATGTTGATGATGTAGTCCTCGCCTCTGTTGGCTGGTCTTACAGTACATAGTCAATCATTCTTGGGGAAAATCCCTGTGTTCTACACAGCCCATCCGCAATACCCATGATAGTAAAACACCCGACTTGCGGTGTCCGTTCATACTCTCACATCTCAGCATCCGCGTGGTATGATCAGGCTGAGGGTAAAAGGGGCGACGGAAATCGAGACTCCACTGTCCAGGGCTGCGCAGCTCCGCCGATGTCGCGTGGCTGTCCGCCGCCGACCTCCGACCTCCGTGTGGTCTCACACACTGCGCATGCACATCGAGGAATGTATCCTCTTTCGTCCTCGTCGCATCTCAGCATTATTGTTCTTTCTGCATTTCTCGCCCGGTTTTACTCCCTCTCTGCGGTTGTATCAAAAGTGTTTCTATTTTTATTAATAGCTTTCGACGAACGCGCTGGTCGCTTCATTACCCTCTCCCTTACTAGACTCGACAAGAACAAGCTGTCTCTTGCTACACCTCAGACCGACGACTCTGACGACTTACGAAAACCATGGAACACGCACCATCTCTGCAGAGGAACAAGATTCTTCGAGTTCTCTTCATCTCCCTGTTGTTGGACTTGGTACGCACGACGTGGTCACCTCGAAACGGCGGAAGCAGGATACTGACTCCCAGGGTAGATCTCGTTCACCTTCATCCTACCGCTATTCCCCTCGCTGCTCACTTTCTACCGCAATCTCGAAGCGCACCCTCAGAGCACTTTGAACAACATCCTGCACTATCTCAACGCGTACAAACAATCTTTCGCCGTTCCCATTAATGAGAAATACGACATAATCCTCCTCGGCGGCGCATTGGGCTCGCTGTTCTCTCTCCTCCAAGCCATCGCATCCCCCATCATCGGCCGTGCTTCAGACAAATATGGCCGCCGCACAGCTCTCCTCTGTAGTATGGCTGGTAATATCGCCTCCGTGGCACTGTGGTGCGTGGCCGTCGATTTCCGCACCTTCCTCCTGTCTCGAATCGTCGGCGGTCTCAGCGAAGGAAACGTACAGCTTGCAACGGCGATTGCAACAGATATCAGCACTCCGGAACAGCGGGGTTCGACGATGGCGCTGGTGGGTGCATGCTTCAGCGTCGCCTTCACATTCGGACCGGCCCTCGGGGCTGGACTTGCGAGTATAACGACCGTCGCAGCGAACCCGTTCGCAACGGCAGCCGGGTTTAGCTTGCTTCTCATCATCGTAGAGACGGTATACTTATACTATGCACTACCGGAGACGAGGCCCGTGGCGCAGAAACCACAGGCCCCATCCACGAATCCCAAAGGCAAGCAGGAGGGAGACGTCCCAGCCAAGTTCAAACACACAAACAACCCTGCGATTCTGAACGCCATCCATTTCCTCTTCCTCCTCCCCTTTTCGGGACTCGAATTCTCGTTGCCGTTCCTGATCACATCGGTACTGTACCCGAGTCACCCGTCGCCGTCGAAACTGAATGGTCGACTACTGGGTTTCGTCGGTCTCGTTGCATCTCTGCTCCAAGGATCCGTTGTCCGGCGATTACCGCCCTTGACCGTGGTGCGCCTGGGCGTGGTCTCGTGCACACTGGCATTTTTCATGCTTGCGCGCGTACGAGATACAAGTGGCTTGTACGCCGCAGGTGCACTGCTGGCTGTCACTTCGGCGACAGTCGTGACGGGGTTGAATAGCCTGGGAAGTTTCGAGGCAAGGGAAGGAAACCGTGGACAGGTGCTGGGTTCGCTACGAAGTTGGGGTCAGTTTGGAAGGGCCCTGGGTCCGGTCGTATTTTGTACCTTGTTCTGGTGGGTCGGACGCGAAACGGCTTATATCGTGGGCGGGTGTTGCATGTTGGGAGTGACGACGGCTTTGTTTGCGCTTTTGGAGGCGCCAAAGATCGAAAAGAAGTGACGTCGCCGGTTGTTTATAGCAATCTGGAACAACTGTACTCCAAAGATCTTCATCTCCAGGCTGTCGATCTGTTCTTTCTCCACTTCTATCCGGACATATTCTTCTCACTCCATGAGCCATCTGTAAGGTCTGCGGCTGGCATCTGCAACCATCAAGCATGTGCTTGCAGTGGCTATCATTGCACCGACAGTTCGTTTTATTCATGAGTTGGCTATCAAGCATGGCCTATCTATGCCCAGCCTTGGTTCTCTTGCCTCCTCCATGTGAGGCATGACGAGGGGAAGGTGGTGGCACCGCCAACACTCTTACCTACGTGTGGGTGTGTCACAATCTTGAGGTTGGCATTGGGAGAAGCACAAGAAGAATGGTGATAACAACCAGATCCGAAGAGAACACGGCGCCAAGTATCACCTCCGGCGCACAAATCATGCCACAGCCACGGTGGATGGCTGCACATCTGGAATGTCGACCTTGCCAACATCACTCACTTGGGTGATGAAAGCCTCAAGCGAGCCAGCATTCCTTCTCCTTTCCTCCTCACCAAATCTCCTCAGTCTCTCTAACCTGTCTATGGCACCCATGGCGTTCTCCCTGAACCATTGATCTCTCTTGTTAGGCTCAATTTTGGTCGTGTCATACCCATCGTCGAACCCAGGAAACACCGGCTTGCTGGCACCGAGTCCGTCCAACAACCCGAATTCGTATCGCACCGGCGTGGCACTCATCTTTGGAAGAGGAGCCAACGTCTTCAGATATCCCCATGGGGTGTCGCCCTCGATCGTCTCGGGACCCAAGGCCGTGTTATTGGCGTCAACGGCGGCTGGCGTTTCCGTTGCCGGGAATCGGTCTCGAGTCTTGAAGTACTTCATGATAGACATACCCGTGCTGCACAAGCTCGGAGAGATGCGGCACCCTTCCCGCGGGTCGAGTTCGCCTTTGCATCTCCGCAGAACAACACTCATGATGGCTAATGCAGAATAGTATCCCGTGACATAATCGTTGATGACCATCCCAGGAGGCCATTGGGGCTTACCATCCTCCGAGCCTTCGCCCATCAGGGCCATCATCCCACTGGAAGCACTCCCTTGCATATCAAATCCCGGCTTATTCTTCCAAGGTCCCGATGTTCCATAGCAGCGGACATGGTCAATGATCATGCTAGGATTAGCCTCCCAGATTTCTTCATCCGAGAAGCCGAATTTGCTAATCCCGCCTTCACGGAAGTTGTCGACCCAGACGTGGGCGTCTTTGATCAATGTCCGCAAGCGACGGCAGTCGGATTCCTTTTTCAGGTTGAGGCGAGTGGACGCGGTACCCAAGTTTGCATATGTGAACACAAATGGATGCTCGTAACCGTGGGTGTACATAACTTGCAGCACTGAAGCGCCATGTTCAGCCAGTGTCCGTCCTGTACTAGGTCCCGCAACTGCATGCGTCATGCAAATTACTTTCAACCCCGATAGAGGTCGATCTGGGGATGCCGGGAGGTAGGTTGCAGGGAAGTGGAATTCGTCGCTTGAATTCTTGTGGTGAACGACCTTGTCGATGGGTACGATAGGCAGTTTGGCCAGGTGGGAGCCATGTTCAGTACTGAGCCATGATTCCTCAGAATGGATAATGGCCATTGGTAACCCAGCTTTGGCAGCGGCAGCCTCGAGATCTTCAACGAAGTGACGTATATCAGCACGCGTGATGGATCACCATAACCTGGGAGATGCGGATTCATACTGACCTTCGGCATTCCACCGTTCGACCACCTCCCTAACACGACTCTCCGTCATTGGACAATCGAGCAGCGCAGTCCACTGGTATGCCAGATCGACGTAAACGGCAGACAAAATAACATTCTTGCCATCTTTCGTTTCATAAATCGTCTTCAAGAATGGATTGCCGGCAAGCACATCCATGGGGATTTCCTGACCGTTCAAAGTCGGTGTCATTCCAAGATCTGGATCTGTATAGTTGTGGCTGCGCCGGAGGTCGATCTCGATGCTCTGTCTAGCAGCTTTTCGAGCCTCGAAGATTTGAGCGGCTGCAACAGCATTGGCAAGTGAGGGAATTGCTCCAATTAGGGAGAGGTTCATCTTCTGGCTATGGGTCTGCTCTGCCGGAGGAATCGCACCCTTGAAAATGATTTTCGGGCCACTTTCGGGCGTACAGCGAGGAATTTGGAAGTCATCGAGAATGTCATTTAAAGTCTCCAGGGCGACTCGGTGTGTCGGATGGACTGAGTCTGCCATTTTGTTGAGCTGTCAGAAGGGAGCAAGTGACACTCAACGTATCTGATAGACCAGAAAGATGAGATGAGAGCTTGCCAGACCATCTAAAGACCATAGGTCTGGTAGAGACATTTATACCCTCTCGAAGACCTCGCCATTGCTGTGTAGTCCACGCAACGCTGCTTCCAAAGACAGTAGTGATGTTCCAGTAATGGTGGGTTTGTAGGACAATCAACGTGGTCTAGAAAAGAAGGACATGCTGGCCGGCCGAGCCGACGGGTCAAGTTGGTCGAATGCGAAGTCAATTGACGTTCACGCTAGCTAGGCTGCCGAAGGTTTTGCGGAAATGGAGCGAGCGAGGGTCTTGTTGCGGATATGGACCTGCGATTGCTGCGGATATGGATTGGAATAGTGTGAGGTGGACACTATGTGAAATGATGGGAGTTGGATGGTGTGCGGATATGGAAGAACTGCCCCTACCGCCGCCCCCCTCTTTCAAGTTCCCACGCGGTAAGCCGCCCCAGGCCCTGTTTCTGTACCCCAGACTTTCTTGACACCAGCCCAACTCATCTTCTAGACCATATCCCATCTCACCAACGTGAAAGGCCCAGAAAGGAACATGAGCCATGGCCTCTGCCTATTTCAAAACCATATGTCTCCCTCAGCAACTCCTCTACACCTCTCAGCCAGTCGACGACATTCTGATCTTGCCCTTATCCTTTGAGCCAACATGAAGGAAGATAGTGTAACACATGTTGAGAGTGGCGGTGACCAAGTCATCCAAGATGAAGACATTGGCACTATGAAGAAAGATCCAGCGAATGCTACCGCCGCTGCGGACGACGACGACGTTGCCTTGAAACTCGTCGACGATGCTGCCCCGGCCCAGCTTTCCCTAGCGCAGACCAGACGCGTCACCAGGAAGATCGACCTCTATTTGATGCCTTTACTCATCGTCACCTTCATGCTTCAATACATCGACAAGATCCTTCTCTCAGGTGCAGCACAGTTCGGAATAGTTCAGGATCTGCATCTGTACAAAGTGGCTGGCGTCAATCCCAAGACCCACGAGCCAATCTTGAACTTGCATCGATACTCGAATGCCACCCTCATATTTTACTGGGGTTGCTTGGCTGCGTGTAAGTGATTTCTCCTGGAGGATAATGGAGTTTCTGACTGCCCGACAAAGTGCTTCCGGCATCCTATCTGGTGCAAAGGCTACCAATCGGTAGATATCTCTCTTGTACGGTCATTGCTTGGGGCGTGATTATTATCTTGACCGTCGTCGTGGGCGGATACGAAGGTTTCATGGTTCAAAGGTATCTCTCATTGTCTACACATGTCTCTTCTTGATGCATATGGTTAACCTTGCCGTTCTTTAGATTCTTCCTCGGGGTGACAGAATGTTCCGTCCCTCTCGGCTGCTCACTCATCGTTGCAATGTGGTGGAAACGGGATGAACAGCCTCTCCGCTATGCCGTATGGTATACATCGCAAGGCCTAGGTGGATTTTTCGGGTTTATGCTCATGTATGGAATCGGTCACATCCATGGCAGACTACATCCTTGGAAATACATGTATATCATCCTTGGATCCATCACGGTCGCATGGGGAGCCCTCCTCTTTTGGCTACTGCCCAACAACCCTGTTGAAGCGACATTTCTCAAGCATGACGAAAGAGTGGCGGCCGTGGAGAGGATGAGATCGGAGCAAATCGGTATCGAAAACAAGAGATTCAAGCCCTACCAAGTGATTGAAGTTTTGATCGACCCGAAAACGTGGCTGTTCTTCATTATGACCTTCAGTCTTCAGTTCATCAACGGAGCCGTATCTGGATTCAACACCATCATCGTCAACAGCCTGGGATACTCGCACTTTCAGGCTGTCTTGATCGCAGGCTCGCTTGGCGCCGGTGTCTTTGTCATGTGTCTTGTGACTGGGCTCTTGGGGACATTGATCAAGAACTGCCGCACGTGGCTCTTGATAATCACTGAGTTATTAACCATTCTTGGGGCATGTCTAATCTGGAAGTTGGACTGGGACACTCAACGTGCCGGAGCCCTTTTCGGCTTCATCTTTTGCGGATGGTTTGCAGCCTGTTACACAACGGTGTTAGCTCTGGCCTTCGCTAACACATCTGGTCACACGAAACGAGCCTTCACTTCAGGCATCATTTGGTGTGCTTGGGGGATCAGCAATGGCGTATCACCCCTGACCGTCAAGACAACAGAAGTGGCTCAACACTATCCGACATGCTTTAAAGCGGTGGTGACCACCGGCGCCGTCACCGTGGTCGGTGGTATGGTGCTGCGTGTGTATTTGCAGCACCAAAATCGACTGCGCGACCGCAAATATGGCATTGTGGATCCTCAAACAGTCACGCAAGCTGCCTTCCACGACAAGACGGACAATGAGAACACTCTATTCAGGTACTCACTCTAGCTCGACCATCAACAGCATGATGGATAAGGTTCACGATGATGGGGGTTCGTGGAGTCGACGAAGAATGGACGGTTCAGCTGCGACTCAATCATCTGACTAAGCGCGAGAATATCATTACTGTAACCACCCAGGTAGCTAGCTACCTATGTAGGTACTTACAGGCACAGGGCACCTAGAGAGTGTCATGTACCCCGCATCTCGGTAGTTAAAAGTCAGCCAGTTGCATGTTTATCAAGCCTAAATAGGCACTAGGCCCCTAAGTGGCCCTTCCCTAGAACCAACTCGCTGCAGATACCCCAGTAAGTGACAGTCCGGCTCTCTACAAAGCATTTTCCATCATCTGCTTTATATCCATGCGTCTCATTAATCTCCTCGAATATGGCCACTCCTAGAAGGCAAACACGGCCTCATACACATCAGAAGCAAACATGGTAATTGGAACCGGCTTACGGTCCTCGAAAGCATGCGAGCATTGCCGGAAAACAAAGCGACGATGCCAGCCTCCATATCCTTGTCGAGCTTGCCTCAGGAATGACCTACCGTGTGCCGTTAGGGACAAGCCAAGGTACGATGATTTGTACTGATCTTCCATTCAATTTGGCTTCACCTGACATCTTCAAGATCTAGACGGATGGACGCGTCTGTGATCCAATGTTCAAGTTCTTCAGTGGAAGCGTCCCTGCTTGTTACACCCCGACCTCCACCGAGCGACAACCCTTTTAATCCATCAAGACCTCTAACGGGGCGTTATTCTTCGTCTTCAGACACGACATCAGAGATTCATCACGCATTGAGACTCGCGGGAGTCTCTGCTCGGAAACCCTTTGACATCGTATGCTTCCTTGTCAAGAGAATGGCAAAGGAACGGTATGGTCAGTAACACCAATATCCGAGAAAGACCTTCTCTAATCTATCGTGATAGATTATGATTTCCATTGCGTTCTGGTCGAGCCACAACAGACAAGCAGCGGCAAGATTGGCGCCCTGGCAGTCTCCCGCCGACCCAGTCTGATTTCTACTATTTCCGGTCTTGGCCTGCACGATCTAGTGCAGATGTTATCCTGCCTGAGGAGGTCGAATAGCGCTCCGATAGACCTTGTCAACATGGAAGAACTTAAGGCTTCAGCAGCAGCCCTGTTTCAGAGTGCCTCTGATCCCAACCCTTCTCTCGGCGACGTTGACTTACATACAACTGGGATTCCCATGGATCGACTTGCTCTAGTCTTTGCCGTTCTCGCAAACTCGACTTTTGAGCTTCGCGATCCCCAGATATGCCCGGCTTTTCTAGAGTTGTCCACAATTTTGTGCGAGGATTACGCTGGAGAGTCGACTTTTGACCTGGTCGTGACGTTCTTGCTTCAGCATGTTTGTGTCCTACGCACGAGCACTTCGAACAGAGCAAGAGATTTGATCGGCCAAGCTGTACGAGCTGCACACGAGCTTGGTATCAATCGAGGTCGTGGGGTTCGAAACGCTTTTCATGCAGCTCGACTGTATTTGTTGCTTTTCTTCTGTGACCTGTAAGTTTTGCTCTCTCCTTCCTCCGCTTGAGCTCCACTTATGAATACTCACCCTACGATTTCTAGATACTCTGCCATGACGTATAATACTCCACCATATATCAAACCGGACGATTACGATCCTTCTGTCTTTCAGCCACTACTGCAAACAGAACCTCGGTTGAGGTCCCTTCTCGACCTTTTGAGTCTGAACGGGCAGATCGTCAACAAGCTCTATAACGAAGACTATTCATACGAGAAGGTTATGTCTCTGGAGGACGTCATTGGACAAGTTTACTCCAGAATCGGCAAGCCTTGGGACAGCAAGTGGCATAGCGAAGATTCTTTCGTATTCCGGTGTGAGACATTGGCCCTCAACCACATGCACTGGTGAGTCGTCGCGGATAAGTGCTCATTCGCTGCTTGGTCAGCATGAGTGGTTGATGTTTATAATGTTGCCTTCTAGGTCGCGAATTCTGCTTCGGAGCCCTCTGTTACTGTTGAAGTCGCACTGGGTTTCATCTCTCAGCATTTGCGTTCGATCGGCCCAAACACTCCTTTCCATTTACTTCAACATTCTCGGTCCTGGAATCAGAGTAATGGCCCACGCAGCCACACCTCCAGTAGATAATCACGAGGGACGACAACTTCAAGAGGCCACCAATCTGCCACCGACGTGGCGCCAGGTGCAGCGGATTACCACCTCGGCCCTAATAGTCATCTATTGCTTCTGGCATGGCGAGACTTCTTACGAGGAATCAGGCCGTGCCTGTGCTATGGCACTTCTTCTGCTGGAATTCCGGCGCACGCGGTGGGGATCGACGCTTGACGATGCACAAAGATCAATTCGAGCCCTTGCCGGTATTAGTGGCATTTGGTTACGTCCATTCTTGGAGGAAATGCTTCCCCGCGCCAGTGAAGAATGTCTAGCAAGAGTGGCCGGTGATCACCCGAGTTTCCCATTTGCCCAGCCTGACCGAAGTTTGACGATACAGGAAGCACGAGGAGATCGATTTGAACAGCTCGAGTGGCATTCCGCTCTCACCGACCCGCGGGATCAGCAAGGTCAGGCACCCTCAAACATGAATGTTGCAGACGGAGCACCAGCTGGCTCATCAACAGCTCCGTCCCAGGACATATACGACTTTTTGTTATTGGATTTACCCATCTCATCCTTCTGGAATTCCGAAGGCTCCTAACCTTTGGAGCATGACAAATGGTAGAATCTCAAGTCTCCCTTCATCCGTTCATTGGATCTGAAAGAACCACTCATACAAACAAGGATTACTCTCACTTCTGACTAAAGCTTGGATTCTTACGATTTGATCTGCAAATCATGTCTACTAAGCTCTCTGGTGCTCTTCTTACCCATGTTTCCGAGCGTATTGTCCGTGTCAGCGAGTAAACATTTGAGGACATGCTCGACGCCTTCCTCGCCTGCAATGGCAAGTCCGTACATGTATGGGCGACCGATACATACTGCCTTTGCGCCTAAAGCAAGTGCTTTCAGAACGTCACTTCCCGTACGGATCCCACTATCGAAGAGAATGGTTAAAGACTTCTGGACTTGTTCGTCGGCTGCGATTTCAGCCAACGCGTCAAGGGATGCGATTGCCCCATCACACTGTCGACCGCCGTGGTTCGAAACGATGATACCATTCATACCGTACTCACTCGCTTTCCGCGCGTCCGCTACAGTTTGAATGCCCTTGAGGACAATAGGCTCACTTCCCCAAAGCTTTCTGAGAATTCTCAAGTCTTCCCATTCTCGATATGTCCCCGAGTTCATGATGTCTAGCCAAGCCCTCGACTTTTGAAGGATATCGACATCTTGGAGGCCTTGAGCCGCGCCAGAGGCTGACCCGGAACGTTGTAACATCGTCTGCAACTCTTCTAACTTTTGGGCATGACTCCTCGAGTCCTTTTGAGCCATCTCGGCAAACTTTTGGCAGAATACCGGATCACTGTGACCGATTTGACACCCTTGTCCCCAGATGAAGGGTAAATATGACGTGTCTAGGTCAGTCGGTCGCCACCCTAGAGTGAAAGTATCGAGCGTCACGACGAGAACCTTATATCCGTTCGATTTTGCCCATCCGAGGATGCTGGCCGTGATATCATCGTGTTGTGGTCGTGGCCAGTAGAGTTGAAACCAACGATCACCGCCCACTTCGGCGATCTGCTCGATCGTCGTACTGGCGGCAGAAGAGACAATCATGGGGACCTGGAGCTTTTTACAAGCCCGAGCCGTGGCTTCTTCGCCGTCACGATGCATTATGTTCTGCACGCCCACCGGCGCGACCATCAAGGGGCTTTTGTACTTGATGCCAAATAACTCGACACTCAGATCGCGTTGGGTAGCGTTGACGAGCATCGATGGTCGGAGGCGATATCGATCAAAAGCACCCAAATTGGCTTGGTGAGTTCGGCCACTGCTTGCAGAGCCGTAAACATAGCCAAAATTTGGAGCCGGGACTTTCGACCGTGCCAGTGCCTCCCATTCGGACGGAGAGGTGGAAAAGATGGGACGACGGAGAGACGCATAAATCTCTCGCTGATATGAGGTGAAGTTGTTTGGATCTGGCTCGATATACAACCGCTGTGGCTGTTGCTCGAAGTCACCGTCTGGCGGTGCCATTTTGCACAGTCAGTCAGCAGCGGAGAATTCAATGAGGGAACAGGGAAAGACAGTGAGCTTTCTGACTTGACATGACCAACGCCGTTGACCGATGCCTATATCTCTACCACTACCTATGATGCCCATAAACTTCCTGGGGCACGAGATCTGACCCTAACGGCGTGGATTGAGGTCGTTAGGTGCAACTAGCGAACAGAAGTAATCGGAGATATGCCAAATACCCGGTCAGCCACATGCAGGAGATCCCTAGACTGGTCTATCAACATCTTGCTACATCTGCAAACAACTCATGTCAGCCTTCCATATCCGCAGTCCATATCCACAGTCCATATCCGCAGTCCACATCCGCATCATCCCCGCTCCATGGACGACGATGCTTGAAGCACCACCGCTACTGCCTCCACTCCGTAAACCAGGGTCTACCTTTTCAAGCTGTCTCTTGATGACAACATCAGCAAGATTGGTCCGAAGGGCGATTCTTTAACCCACACAATTCGAATTTCCCGGGATCTCGATCGTGCACACCCCGCAACCGTAAATTCTCGCTTTTTTCTCGCCGAAGCTTCAATTGGAGAGAGTCTCGATCAAAATGCTGCTGCCTTGGTCGTCCTTTACGCTAAGTGCCTCAGTCAAGATACCAGCGCGGAAATGCAGCGAGACTAGCTAGACCAAAATGCATAATCTGGGGACGTGGAAATCTCAGAGAAGGAGGAAAGTCCGAGAGCCGACGATGAGATGCCACTAAAGGGAGAGGGTACAAAGAGAAAGAGTCGGCGCGTTTGGTCTCGTTGAACAGTCCTCCGATTCACATTGTCTTGTTGTGTCGATGTGGCCGAACCACGCGATGGCGAAATCAAACACGCACATGTCAGCGACTTTGCTTCTCGTCTTCCTCTCGTTGGGTTTAAGCCAGAGCCAGTCACTTCCAAAAGTAGACCTTGGGTATCAAATCCACCAAGCCATTTCTTACAATGTCAGCGTCCTATCCCTCATTTCCCCTTCTTGTTCTGTACAATGACGCCGAAAGCACCGTTGGCTGACAAAACAATACACAGTCTGAATATCAATATTACAACTTCAGCAACATCCGATACGCTCAGGCGCCGGTTGGAGACCTGCGCTTCGCCGCGCCCGTGGCGCCACAGGGTCGGAACGAAGCGGTGCAAAATGGCAGCGTGGGTGCAATCTGCCCACAGGCCCAGGCTTCATGGGTCCCCATGGCATATCAATACGCCGCTGCTGTCCTGGCCAACCGATCGTCTTCCTTCAACATCACGCAAGCTGAGGAGGTCATTGCACAGACGCCGTTCGATGAGTTGCCTGTCGGCTCGCCTCGGCTGGGTGAATTGCCTCCTCGAGATCCGCGCGAGAGGGAAGACTGCTTGTTCTTGGACGTTATGGTGCCGAGGTCGGTGTTCGAGAGAGCTGCCAACAAGAGCGCCAACGGTGCCCCTGTTTTGATCTGGTTCGTCCCCAAGTCCACCTGTCTCGTACATTCCACCAAAAACCCGGGTAACATCGACATTGACAAGGCGTATTCTCGCATGCAGGATATTCGGTGGCGGCTATGTCACCGGCTCCAAGTACGATTTCGACCCCCGAGGTATGCTGGAGGCTGCCACCAAAGATGACGGTGAGGGTCTCATCTACGTCGCCATGAATTACCGTGTGGGTGCGTTTGGCTGGCTGGGCGGGCCGACTCTGGAGGCAGCAGGAGGTACACCTAACGCCGGCTTCTTCGACCAACGACTGGCAATGCAGTGGGTTCAAGATCATATCCATCTTTTCGGCGGCGACCCAAACAGAGTCACCATTCAGGGTGAATCGGCCGGAGGTAAGTGTCTTCCCTTTTTTGACTTTCACAAGCCTCGAAATGAGGAACGGGAAAATTCTCTTGCACTCCTTACCTCCCCTTCTTTCCTGCAACTCACGGCTCTTGTTCAGGTTGCTCAGTCGTCAACCACCTCCTAGCCTTCGGCGGCGAAAAGAAACCACCTTTCCAGCGCGCGATTGCCAACTCGGCGGGGATCATCCAGTCATATTCCAACCAGGTGGTGGAGAACGTGACGCAGAGCTTTCTCTCGTTGTTGAACGTCACGACCATCGAAGCCGCACGCCACGCCCCGTCGCGCGATATCATCATGGCCAACGCCCGGCAAGAGCTGGCGTCCGCGTACGGGCTCTTCCTCTACAACCCGGTGCCGGACGGCGTGTTCATGCGCCAATTGCCGAGCCTGGCGCTGCTTTCGGGTCATTTTGCCAAGAATATCAGCGTGTTCTACAGCTACACGCAGAATGAGGGGCTTCTCTTCGTACCGCCGTCTCTGCAGAAGGAAGAAGACGTGACGCCCTGGCTGCGCACCGTGTACCCGACCATAGTCGACGCCGTCGCCACCCACATCCAGACCGTCCTGTACCCGCCGGTCTACGACGGCTCGCAGCCCTATCTCAACCTGCCGCAGCGCATCGCCCTGATCATTCGCGAGATGGCCGTCAGCTGCAACGCCGACTTCCTGAGGCAGGCCTACCTCACCCGCACGTACACGTACCGCTTCGACGTCGGGCCGTCGCTGCACGGCTCCGACCAGGCGTACGTGTCGTGGGACGGCCGCGCCGGCACCAACGCATCCCAGTCCTTCTTCGCTCCGCTGGCTCGGCAGGTCCAGAGCTACTTTGTCAACTTCATCCAGACGGGCAATCCCAATGCACAGGGATTGCCGCCGTTCCCGATCGAGGGTGCGAATTCCAGCGCGAATCGCTTGACCGCGTCGGGGTTTCTCACGCAGCCTGATCCGGAGAAGAACCCGCGCTGTGCGTGGTGGGCCAAAGCTTTGGCTACTTGATGACCCGTAGACATCACAAATTCATAGTGCGGTGTTAAAGGGCCGAGAATCGCTGAAGTTATAGCCGATGCTGCCACCGACTTCCAATCTTACAATAATCCCTGCTAAAGTCCCACGCAGGCTGCATTTCCGCCACTTTACTCAACCATGCAGCCGCCCATATAAATCGACGCTGTTGGCGTATATCCTAGCAAAACTTAACGTTCTATAGACAGAGATGTTTGTCATTGCGTTCTCTATCGAATGATATAGACCAATCGCTTGTAGTTTATACAATACGTGTTATTACGAATCTATCTGTCGTCCCAATCTCTTCCGGAATAGGGGGGAGAAGGGTGTGGTTTTATTGTTCGCCTAGCAGGCAGAGAAAGGGGGCGGCCAGAAAATAGCGTGCAAAACACGCCGCCCAGGGTAGTCGAAGGGGGTATGCTACAAGACAACAGCGCCCGTCTTTACAATCATAATCATCGATAGCTCGAAGGCTAAATGCTCATGGCATTGCCGAACAGATAAGTTGCACAGAAAGTCAACAGACACATGGACCAAAAACAAAAAAAGAAAGGGCAAAAACAATCAACAATCAGGATTCCCACCTGGACACCCACGGTAATACTAACTGATCGGCTTGTTGGCTGTCTTTGTCGGAATCCGGGGTAAGGAATAGGCTTCACCAGTCTCCTGAGTTCATTCCTTGCCTCCCTTGCCCCCCTAGGATGGCTATATAGCCCAGGGCTCCCCTAGGACCCTTTGATAGAGAACAAGGAACCTTTTGAACCTCTCACGGTTTGATAGTCTTCCACTTCGTCCACTTCGGGCGGTGTGTTTCTGTCGCCTCTTTTTTTCGCAACCCCCCGGTCTCTCTCCCTTCATTTTGAGCGCAAAACCCTCCAAACCACCGCCCCTTCCCCCCTTTTTTTCTCTCTAACATTTTCCAAATCCAAAACTTATTAAGAATAGTGCTCTCTACTAGCTAGTAATATTCTTGATGGTTATAATGACCAAGACCTAAAATTATAGGCCTAAATTATGAATACAATTAGTTTAATCTAACCATCTATACTTTGTATATTGTCTCTTGACTTCAGATTAAATCACAAGTTACGTGTCACACTCATTGAGGATACAGCATATCTATCACACTCTTTGGAGGAGAAAGAGTCAACCTAGCTCTTTGAGACGCCCAGAAGCTGGGAGAAGCAATCGTCGAAGCTTCTCAAGATAGATATCTACCACTTAACAGCCTTGACAGAAGAGTGGCAATATATAAAGCTGAGTTGTCTAAAACAGGCTTCAAAGCCCAGGAAATGGCGTATGATATGATGAGAGCAATATACTTCACTGGCGGAGCACCTCGCGTAGGAGATGAATCGTGGGTGGTTGCCCGTGCAGTGTATAACTCACCCGCCGGTCCTGGTAGGTATTTCTCGTCTCTTTCTGGTGGATGGTCGGAGTATACAGTATATTGTTACTCGTCGAGCTCTTTATTTGACGGAATTTTTCAGCATGGAAATGGTTGATAGCTATTTCAATACCGGCTCGATTCTTTTTAGTGCGAGAGATCTGTGGAAATCAGTTTTATCTTTTCGATCGGTTGCAGCCATTTCAGCACCGTCAACGGGATTCCATGATACAGGCCGTGACCAAAACCCCGCGGAAACCATAGTACGACAAGAGGGGACACTAGTCCAGGCTACTCTATGCGTATTTCGAGAGATACTTGGTCATCGACCTGCAATCAATGAAGTACTCCTTGCCCTCAATGGCAAGTCTGATGAACTGGAGAACGTACAACGCCTTCAAGTCAAGTTGAGAACATTACAGCCACCCGGAGGAGATGAGAAAGTTGACAACGTTCCGACGATTTGTAAAAAGTAGTGGCGAGTGAAGCGCGATACACCCGACAGAGAAAGCGTGCAGCTCAGAGAGCTTGGTAAACTTGGGCTAATGGCAACTTGACAGTATACTACCTAGTATGAGCTTTCTACATGCAAGTAAATGCCTTGGGCACCGGAGCCCTTGTTGACTGCTCTGTGATCGCTGATTCGCACCACGGTATTTCTGACCGATGCACAAAATGTCGGAGGCCCGCAAGCTCCAATGGCACTCTCGCCTTTTGCGCACTCGACAACTTCGGTCAACACGACGTACCAGTTCGGCCTGCCGCTGGTAAAGGTCGCCCACTCGTACCGGTGGGGATTCGAGTCTGACGGTGACACTGGCGTGATGATGGGAGAGGAATTACAACAGCAATCAGTGCTCTTCTCACCCATGCCGGTGTCGCCGCCGCTGCACTTGCAGGTCTCTTGGGAACCGCTTTCCCTTGTGTCCATGCAAGTCGGATCGCACGTCACAAAGAAGCGGATATGAAGATCAATCCCCGCAGTTTTGAGGAGCTCAAGAGCCATTTGGAGCTCGTCGGAGATCCAAGAAGCATGGCTCACCCTCTTGACGACCCATATGAAATTGATTACTCGCAAGGGAAGTTTCGGATTCTTCGAGGCTCGATGCGCCAGGTCCAAGAGAACCGACGTCGTGAACGACACACCCGTACCGGCTGCTACAAGGGTGAGCATGTCGTAAGCGGCGAAGTCGCTGCAAGAAGAATTGTAAGGCCCATCAATCAGTGCAAAGTATGTTCGTTGCGGCGCTTCGGGTTCTTGTAGGAGCGTGCTAGAAGAACCCGCGGCACTGGCTAACTGACGAGTGAATCCTCGGTGGGCCCGAAGGAGAAAGATGAGATCTCCTCCGTGCGATGATGGAGTCGACATGATGGTGGCCGGGTGGGATTGCAAAACTCCCAACTTGGGGATTGCTAGAAGAACATGGGCGCCGGAGTTCCATCGCTTGACGCGCCGGCTTGGAACACGAACCTTGGTAGCCGTGCCGTCGAGAGCGATCAGGGTTGCCTTGTGCGTCGCAGCATTGTTCCATGCAGACCGCAATGTTCTGACCGTGCGGTCGAAGAGATAGAAGCCGATCGGAATCCAAATGTACACTCTCGTGTACAATGCCGTTGTGGGCAAATGCAACATGATTGCAATGATGAAACCGAAAAAGGTGAGAAGATGCTGGAGAACAAAAAACTCATAGGACAAGTTGCGGAAAGGAGCGAGAGTAGTGATGTTCATCCATAGCAAGATAGCGTAAGCTCCCATGCCCGTGGGAGGACATGTATCTGTCTTCCATTCAAGCGCCATCAACCCGTACTTGGCCCATCCACCGCTCTCGAGACCGAAATGCAGCGTCGACAGAAGGAGGAGACCGCGAGCGATCCATCGATGGTAGATATTGAGGCGTCGGTAATTGACCCCTGTCAAGAGGCCAATCCAGTTGTACTTGCCGGCAAGTAGCACCAGGAGAGGAACTTGAGATACTGCCAACCATGAGGCGCGGATACTCAATGCCTGATAGTGCTGGGCGCCCGGATAGTCTCCGTTGACAAATTCGAGAGCCAGGATAAATGCAAGATAGGAGGCGATGAGCAGGGTCGATCCGAGGGTAGGGAGAGACGTGAAGAGATGCGGACAAGGCGCGGCCAGTTGAGGGTACGAGGACTCTCTAGCCACAGCAGTTAGAGCAGCAATGCTCTGGCTGAATATGTTGTTTGGTCTCGTGGTTACATGGTTGCCATGTTGGGCAGCTTTGAGTCTACAAACCGGTCAGATGAATATAAAGCAGAGGTACGGTACTGTCCGACGTACCTGTGACACAAAAGAAGCCATGTCGACCAGTTAAAGATTGTCGCCAGCCCGATGACTGTGACCACTCCATACCAGAAGTAGCGGGCATATTGATTGCTGACGACTTGCAAGTATGTATCATCCAATATGTCGCCCAAGAAATCAAAAGCCTGAGTTTCATTCGAGAAGTCAACTCCAGAATCATTCAATGGCGTGAATGAGGAGGATCCTCCACCTATGGACATGTCCATGGCTGGCGACGAGTGATTTAAGGCACTCAAGAGATCAAAGAAGGACGGGCCAGAGAAGCACACAGATCTTCAATCAGCGCGTTGGCAGCAGAGAAATCGTTTGAGAGAGGAACTGTTCAGTACCGCATTGGCATCTCGCGACCTGAATGTGTAAATAAGAATCCGCCCACGCTTCATGACGAGCGGCTGATCGCACGGCTGAAACACATGCACCCGGGGCCATCCCACGTTGTCTGGCTGGGGGCCGCGTGTGAAATGCTAAGCTTTGCAAATCAGTGCAGGTGAAAGCTTGACCAAAAGCTTCGCGACGCTTGTTTGACGACGGACTGTACGCTAGAGGGACATAAACATGCTCGTGCTTTCGAAAAGGTGATGCTAGAAAACCTGCTCACGCATGGCCCAACCAGCTGTCAAGAAAACTTGCTCAAGGTGCCACACGGGAACCCAATTCACTCACCAAACACGCCGTCGCCCCTTTTCATCGTCGCGGCATTCCACCAAGCATCAGCTTACTGTACATCGGCGCTGCTTGACTTTGGCAAGTGTTTTGTATCTGTAAAGGGTGATCTTCCGTGCGGATATATGTCCAGGCCTTGGCTCGGATCCTGAAGGTTCCCAGCCAGGTAGTTCTCTCAAGTTCGAGAAATACTGTACCAACAACTTGGCAATAATACTGAACTGTGAAGATATCACCCCAGGTCCCGAAAAAGCGTCCTGACAATGAATTCGATGAGTTCCATGACCATGTCTGGAACGCCGACAATGACGAGCTCCATACCCATGGGGACCGACTCTGCCGCTGGCAGTGCAGGTTCCAACACTATGATGATGAAGATGGCGACCATGATGATCTTCAGCAATGACAATATGCCCGTGTCCATCTTCTCTTCAGCCTTTACTCCCCAGACCGAAGCCCAGTATGTTGGCGCTTGGTTGTTTGCTTTCATACTGGCCGTCATCTGGCGTGGACTCGTGTTTGCTCAGCTCAAATTAGACCAGCACTTCATCAGAAAATATGCCGGGTGCAACATCATTGTCAAGCAGGGCGATGTCGGCTTGTCTCCCACGAGAGCTCTGCAATCATGGCGATTGTCAACGAATCTACCTCGGGCCGCTCTTGGATTTGTCACTCAAGGCATTGCTTATCTCTTGTATTTCTCACGGCCCATGGTTCTTTGGTACATGCGCTAATAGCTGCAGGATGATCATTGTCATGATACTCAATGTTGGCCTGTTCTTCGCCGTCATCGTCGGCTTCTTCGTTGGTGAGCTGATGTTTGGTCGCATTGGTAGCCATTCAGGTTATGACAGTTCCGGCTGTACCTGAGCGAGATGGAGGCGCCAATCTCAGCAGATCCTGAGCACACTACTGAGGGATGCGAGGGGGTGCGAAGGAAGCTTTTGAAGATTACAACACGCAATTCGCAGCAAAAGAGACCACGGGCAGGGCTATAGACGAGGGGTTTCACAATCATCGACGATAGCCATGATATGTGTCGAAACCATGGAAATTCTCTGAGTTTGATTGGAACTTGGCAGCCCAAGGGATAATATTTTAGATGCCGTTCATTCTTCTCTGGTAGAAGAAGAGAACTTGGGAACATTGCCTGGAATAAAAATCTCAGGTTATTCACTGCGGCGCCAAATCGAAGCCCTCCGTACAGATAGATAGTCAGGGACAAAAACAAGCAAAAACAATCAACAATCAGGATTCCCACCTGGTCACCCACGGTAGTACTAACTGATCGGCTTGTGGCTTAAGTACGGCTGAGCGGACGGGAAGCCCTGTATTACACAACCTATGGTCGATTGCGAAAGAAAATGTTGCAAAGAATTATATGGACCTACAAATTTTCTCCACACTTAAGAGCAAAACCATTCAACAATCAGAGTTCCTAAATAGTCACCCCACTTGCTATTGTCTTGTAGCATCCAGTTCGACCACTCTGGGCGGTGTTTCTTGCACCCTATTTATTTTTGGGCAAACCAACACCCTCCGTCTCGGGATGAGAGCACAAAAGAACCCCCCCACCAAACGTCCTTGCTTGCCTTCTCTGAGCTTCTGAAGAGATTGTGACGACAACCGGATTCGTAATTACTTGTTGCATAGATTACAACCAGGGTTTTCCCGTCCGCTCAGCCGTACTTCGGCCAACAAGCCGATCAGTTAGTACTACCGTGGAGCGGCGATTGCATTGACCAAAGTTTTTGTGAAACTTCTCGGCGACGCCTTGAAAGGACAGCAGGCTCAAGGGACGTCATACTACCAAGAAGTCCCACCCTTTCTCAATCATGATATCCATCCAGAAGACCTCAGGTCCTTCTCGATCAGTGCGAGCCCATACCGTGAGCACGAGGTCCTTCACGAGCTCAGTGGATCTATAGGGCAAAAGCTCACAAATTGATTCAAGACGTCTGAGCAGGGTGGAACGAGCCTCCTCCACAGAGGCTGCCTCCGGTGTACCGCCGGAAAATGCTCCCTGATCGAGTGGTTCGACAACAGCGTCAGGTGGGGGCTCACAGAGAAGAGACGCACCTTCGTCCTGGAAATGGGTTGAATCGGAGAGAGGCTCTGCGTCAGGGGTTTGGAAGATAGGGTCTGAACTGGTTTCACAGCTCTGTGAGATCGAGATGGTTGCTGGCGGCTTCCTCAGTTCTCCAGCAATAATAATCAGAAGGATTTGTTCGATGCTTCTTGTTCCAGAGCGAGCCCCATTTCGACATAGGGTCTCCAGAGCATGTACGGCGAGTGCCGTGATCCAGGATAGCCTCTTCTGCTCCGCTACATAGTTGCCAACGGTGCCGTCACCGGCATCACCTTGGTTGGATGTAAGCCTCGCGGTTAATAGATCAGGAAACGCGCGGTAAAGGAGCACGAGCGCTGAAAGGCGATACACTTCTGCGGTGTTGATGAGATCTTCAATCGGAGTGTGTGGGTCACCGGTGTCCACGAAGTCTGCAGCTTCGGGGAGCTCCAGCGATAAAGCTTGTTCTTCCAGTTCCTGGGCTTCCTGCCACGCACGGAATTCCTTCTGCAGAGCGCCCATGCTGACGAAGGCGTTTCTACGACATCGGAGTCTTTGCTCGTGTACCAACAAGCCCACCTGTCCGAGAAGCCTTTGCGATGAAGGCGATACGCCGACGAGTGGATGAGGAATAAACTTCAGATTCGATTGTTGCAGACAGTCCCAGCTGGGTGGTTCGTGAAGAGGACACTCGATCGTGTCTGAAACAAACGCGAGTCCCATCCACCAGTACAGGAGACATCCCGCGAAGAATTCTTGGAAGCCACCAGATGTCGCCGTGGCGGACCTGGCAGCGGGGATGTTATCGGGGTGATACATATGGCGATACATTCGAACTGCGGCGTGATAGTGCAATTTGCTCGGAGAATTTGACCCGTCCCAATTGGCAGCGAGGCCATACATGATGACGGCCATCAGCACCTGTGCCAACTTGGCAGGCTGAGATATATCCAGCTGCGCCACCTCAGTCTGTAGTCGGTACAATATCTCGGTCTGCGCATTCTGCACCACCAGGGCGTTACTGGCTTCGAAATCGCTGGAGTTGAGGAAAGCCGCAGTCAGATAGCGGCACAAGGAGAAGTATAGTAGCGACTCCTTTATTCGCAGACCTCCGACGCTCCGAAACTGGTTGTAGTTAGAGTCGAAAGCCGTTAGGGCTCTGCATATCTTCTGAGTAAAATATTCCACCTGGCCTTGGGGATCGCCGAGCACAGTGTCAGGAGATTGCCACACAGACTGGTAATGGCTGACTGCTTGCGTGCGCTGCACGACATCAGTTGATGACTGCCCGGGAATCAGGTCGAGTTTGTGTGGGGGTGAGGACTGGTCATCTTGTTGCCTCCGCGCAGAAGGCGGAGACCTCAACGTGCCGGCGGCGAGTTGAACTGAAGACAATGACGGAGCGAGCATCTTGTCGGACTCGGAGGAGATTTCGGCCACGTTGCGCAACTCAGGGTCAAACGGAATCACCTCGCCGGCATCGCATAGGGTCGTGGCTTTGCTCGAGTTCTTCCTACTGGGGCGGCTCACAACTTGGGAGGAATTCCGGCGGCGAGGCTTTTCATGTTTGGTAGACCATTTCCATCGTTTCTCATAGCCGGGGCATTCAAGATCTCTTAAGACACATTGCTGGCAGGACGGTTTCGTCTCGTCGCACTTCACCTGGATAGTCACTAAGTTAGCGTCTGATAAAGAAATCAGAATACCACAACCATACTCTTCTTTGTTTGCACGTTCTGCAGCCAGAGCGAGATTTTGCATTCTTGTCCACAACGGACATAGTGAAGCAGAAGTCGACACCGAGATGATCGAACAGTGCATTATGCCCGAAGAATGCCGGTTGTAGGGTGGCCGCGGATGGTACTATCCTCTCAACCTTGAATCATTGAGTGGATGTCTTATCGAAGGAATTATGATTATGAGGGCGGTAGAGCTTGAGCCGGCGTGAGGGGCTGTCACTCTTCAGTCCAACAGGTCCGGTAGGGCTTGGAGGTACCGAGGGAGGTAGGGAGACGCCTCCCTGGCCTGGGGGGCGTCGTAAGGTTCAATCAGTGGGTTCCTAGATAACTAAAACAACCGAAGCTAGGCATGATGGGCCATGCATTTAGATAAGGCCTCAAACACCCCGAACCAATCCCCAGGAACTGTCACTAACTAACTAGTTAGTTAGCCTGGGAGACCGACAAGCCGTCGTCACGTTCCAAGGACTTCAAGATATCTCGGGCGCGTCAGATTTCGAGAATGATAAAAGATTCCAGGGGGTAGTTCCTCAAAGCATCTTTGTTCATGCATTGCACACGCTGACTGCTATACTGCACAAGCCATCTCAAAGCTTGACTACCAAGATGAGTCCCTTGAAGTATTGCTACAAACATCCCGGCAGAACAGTTCTGCTTCGGTGCCATCGCAGTTGTTTGTCGACCTCTTGACCGGGGGGGATTTCTCGACCCAGAGCCTTTTCCTTCGTGCGATGCTTGAACAATAATCGCTTGAGCAGTGATTTTGACGTACATGACTCCCTTCTCATTGAAAGGGTGCAAGGGTCCTGAGATATAGTCCCCAGCGTTGATATTCTTCTGTGCATTCGCGCAGAGATACTTGTCTTCTCTTTCGACTTTGCTTGAAGAATTGATCCAACTCCCCAAAGTCTTGATCGATACTGTTGGCGTTGCGGTAGACTTAGTATTCCACGGACACTCGCGTCTCCGAGATAGATACGACTCTCATCAAAGGAGAAATAATGGTCTCTCTTCGTATGCTTAGCCCGATTCCATCGCAGCAGACATGTTCAGAATAGCAACTCACGTCATGGTGATGGATGCGTTTGGGAAAAGGTACGTGGGTGCCACATTCCCACCAGCATCGATTCCCTTCTTCTCTCGGCATCGTGTCCGATATAACCAGCTTCCGATTCCACGCTGTAGCTCTCCAGATTCGTGATTTTGGGAATTCCAGGGTGTGCAGCTCCACAGTGGTAGCACTAATAACCAATGCCTGGGTGAAGTGGCTCGAAGCATCAGAAAACTCACCTCATTGTAGTTGTCGACCAGCGTTTTCCAGTTATAATCCCCGTCCATGTCCGGACTGTGGTCGTCGCACAAATCACAATATGGTGTGTTCCGTGTCCATGTCAAGGTCGACGTGAAAGGGTTTGCCTGGGTCAATCTGGATGGGGCACTGGTGCCCGAAATCAAGTGGGAAAATGGCTAACCGCTGTTGGAGGTCGATACCGGTAAGCTATTTTCCCACTTGATTGCGGGCACCAGTGCCCCATCCAGATTGACCCAGGCAAACCCTTTCACGTCGACCTTGACATGGACACGGAACACACCATATTGTGATTTGTCAAAGTCTCCGACCTTGTCAAAATTGGGTACTTTGGCGAGCTTTCCATTCAAGCCGTACGACCAGCTTTGACGATTAGACAAACTCTCAGGAACAAGGCAGGTCAAACCTAATCATGATATTTGCAAGCAAGGATACTTGCAGTTCCCTCGTCTTGGAGCACCACAGGAAAGGCCCGATGCTGACACATTTTCAAGAAAGCGTTCAGATCACCGTTCCGGGCACGGATGATAAAGAAACGGTACCCAGTAATCGTAAACTTTGCGTAGGCGCCGGGAGCAGCAAGTCGAAGCTCGTGTGTGACGGTTAGCCACTGTCGGGAAAAGATGGCTCGACTTTCCAACTCGTAAATTCCCCGAGAGGAATACCAGGATGCAGGTAAAGCCGCTCCTAAACTGGAGTCAGACATGGTCTTGTTAGCCTTCGCTCCGTTCATGGCGGCGGTGAATTCTCACTGGTGACGATTTGGCGTTGTGAGGCAAAGGCGAAGACGAGCTATATAGTATCACTCGCATAATGCATTTTCGTACAGGGACTGACAATTTCAACATCTGTCGGGAACGCCCTGAAAGGAAATATTGAGCCTAACTGATCTGGGAGAAGAAGTGCGATTGGTTCAACTGTCTCGGATATCATCAACCAGCTCCGCATCACCCATCACAGTCTCGCCATCAATCTACTGCCACACTTGAAAGCGATGCCGTAGTCACTGGAAGAAAACGCAATCGTACTTCCTCGATGGATCACAAAGCTATCGCCGATGGTGACGGTCGTCTCCGCCCCTCCATCTTCATCTTTGAGGGTGATGGTGCCTGACATGATCAATTTCCGCGCCAGGACTTCTGGGCAAGATGCTAGAGAGTGTCTTACCTTCGATGACAACCCCAACTTCATCATACTCGTATTTTGGTGGCGTTGCAGGTGTCCCCTTTTCAATACGGAACCACGCGCCCACGATGGGGTTCGGAACCTTCTCATCGCGCGTTCCCAGAAAATCGGCTGTCCACGAGACCTTTGCTTAGCTGGGTTTGTGTCCCGAGTGGAAGTCAACATAGACCATCTCCGCAAAAAGAACAACCCTCGGGAGAGGGCCGTCTTCTGGGGACATCGAGATGAGGCCTTACTGAAATAGACGTGCGGAGGCGCGCCTTCGATGTTTTGGGCCTTGAATTTGGCCGTCTTGGGAATGACTTCGAGTCCCATGTTGACGTTTCTGTTGGCTGTTTTTCTGTCTGAAATGTGGGCTCCAATGTTTGAAGTGAACGGCATCTCTCATAATATACTCACATTTAACCTGCAAGCGATGAAGAAAGTTCCTAATCGGGCAAAACTGTGCGTCGGAAAAGTTCCGCTTAACTACCTAGTCAGGGTTTAGAAGTAATGAAAGGAGCGACAATACGCATGGTCCAGGGGATCTCCAGTATCCTGAAAACCCTGTCACCGGCATTCTCGTGCACTGCAATTCATCGCTCGACCTCTGCTTACCGCAACGATGCCTAGGGCTCGCGAAGGTTACCTCTGGACCAAGACTGGTCTCACACAGGGTCTCACCACGAATGCGGTCGTGTCAAGCACCAAGTCGATCCGATCTCACTACGATGTGATCATCATTGGTGCTGGGTTCGCTGGTCTGATAGCGGCACGAGAACTCTCTCGCCAACATCGGTTGTCAGTCTTGATTGTGGAAGGACGAGACCGCGTTGGAGGCCGGACGTGGACCGCGAATGCACACCGCGAAGAGTTTGAAATGGGCGGCACATGGGTATGGACAACAACGGTCTCTGATGCGCACCCTAAGACAAGTAGCTGACCGGCGCAAAATTTAGGTCCATTGGAATCAACCACATCTGTATGCGGAACTGTATAGGTACAACCTCCACAAGAATCTGAAGACATCTGCCGGAACTCTCGCGGCCGAGAAGACCTATTATCGAGGAGCGGGAGGACGAGAAGCCCAAGTTGAAGAAGTTGATGGTCAGGATTTCGGCCAGATCGCTCAGGCTGTCGCCGACAGATTTTTCGTGTTGGATGGTCTCAATAGTAGAGAACTTATGCCGTACCCTCACGACCCTTTCCGCGATCCTGCACCTTGGAAAAAGTACGATCATCTCACTATCCGCCAACGCCTTGATCAGCTTGACTTGCCGACCGTCCACAAAGACTACTTTGAGACCCTATGCAATTCTTTCGGAAGCGCCACCGGTACTGAGATCGGCTTCGTGGAAGCCCTGCGTTGGTACGCCCTAGGTGGACATAGTATGGATCGAGTTTTCGAGCTTGCGGGAATCTACAAGTTGGGAAACGGCGGTATGACCTCTTTCGCCCTGAAGATTCTTCAGGATACAAGGTGCGATATTCTGCTCGACACAGTCATCTCCGAAATAATCCAGCAATCTCCTTGTGGATCGACCATTGTGAAATCTCAGAACACACAAACCGTCCTAAACGGCAAGGCAGTCATCTCCACTGTTCCCTTGAACTGTCTGGGCGACATAAGTTTCACCCCTCCGCTGGGTGGCCCGAAGCGTGAAGCCATTTCCAAGGGCCACATCAACAAGGGTGCCAAGATTCATTTCAAGTTGAAGGCTACCGAGCCAGGCTGGTTTGCCGCCGCCAATGGGTACGGAGATTCATCCTTCTGCTTCTCGTTTTCAGACCACAACGGACATGGGCCGTCGGGCCCGGATGGCACCTATTGTATCGGCTTCGGTTACAACGGATTTGTCCCGGATCCACGCGACAGCACCACTATCATTGACGAGTTCAAGCGAAACCTACGTCCTGACGCCGAGGTTGAGGCGTATCTTACCCACGACTGGGCAAATGACCCGCTGGCCAAAGGCGTTTGGAGCTCTTGGGGCAGCGGCTGCATGACCAAGTATACGAAGGTCCTGCAAGAACCACACGGTCAGGTCTTCTTTGCCAGTGGGGACTGGGCCGATGGTTGGAGAGGGTTCATCGATGGGGCCATCGAGAGCGGCAGGAAGGCAGCTAATGAGGTGGCAGCGCTCTTCGACACTTCCGCTCAAGCAAAGTTGTAGATATCATGTAACAATGATGAATCGAAGATATGCGATAATAGCTTTTCATTCTTGTCAGTCGCGAACACTATATACCTGGTGAGACAACCGACTAATCATCTATCCAATCTTCACGGCATACCTCGGAATTCCACTTCCGCACCAGTCTCCTACCAGGAGTTATACTGCGGCTTTATGTGAAGAACTGAAAAGGAGATACTATGAAAAGGATCATTCCTGTATAACGCAATTCACGAGCTGGCGGTTCGCACGAGCTAGTGGTTCGTAGGACCACCATCGCCCATCGACTCATCTTTACCACCAATTGTCTCCAGCAGTATGAGTGCTATTCAATTACAACAAGAAGGCAGACTTCAATTAGCCCTCCTGAGCCCCTGCGTCATCGTTACTTCGTCTAGCGCCGAGGTCCTTACTTAGGTAGCTAAACGTTGCTCATGTCGCTGCTTTTGCTATACCTCGACTGAGATTTTTGGTTCGTGCTTTATCATAATGGCGAAGCGGCAAGTCCCTCACAAGTTGGATCAGCGTGACTCGTGCTTATCAAGTTTCTTTAGACACACGGGATGAGGTAAGTATTCCAGGATCTGAAGAATCTAGCTTTGGCGCCTTTCAGTCTCTTGGGTGAGCTAGGAAATAGCTTGACTTCTGTACCTCAGCTGCCATGGATTAAAGCTCGCTCGGGCCAGGTTGCAATTCCCGCACTTTGGTGATGGAATTGTCATCATCTATTCTCACGTACTCGTAAACCTATTTTGATACCGACTATTAGAGCTGTTGAACAAGGCTGAGTTATGACGGGGTCATTACAACCTCCATACTTGCGCCGAACGCCTCCGCGGAACTCCGCCGCCTAGAACGCTCCTTTTGCAAACCTTGCAACACCATGAATTCACTCACTTTAGTCACTTTTTCGCTATATCATAGTCCTCAGGCTGGAGGAACCGGACCTCCCCGACACAAGGACGCCGGCCCCCGACGAGGAACTCATCGATCGCCGCCGATACTCGGGAGAAAAGTCTCTTCACCAGAACGAGAGAATTTTCACTCCTTTGCTATATAAATAGATAGAACAGCGATCTCCTAGTCCTGAAGATCAGACTCGTTAATACATCTCATTTAGCCCCTTGATATCGCCTAGAACTAAGTGTTACATAATAGTTATAAGCCTGATTCTTGATTTCGCTTGAGACACCTATCAGTTAATACTCTGGTAAAGCCTCATCATCACAAGGCTATTCAACTAAACATGTCTAAATATATTAGGTCTCTACGCGTATTTCACGCCTCAAGTATTTATATAGTAAGAAGCATATTTTACTATACTTTCTCCACCACAATACTTAACATGTTGAAGCTAAATCTCGAGCCTTAACCAATAAAATCAATCACAATCACCCTTTTTAAGTCCTTAGATTAGGATAACTAGTTTATTTCTATTAAACTATATACTAAACACCGAGAAATATAGAAATATATTGACCCTAATATTAGTAACCCTTCTACTTTAAAGTATCTATCTATTCTAAACTTATAGAACTTACACTAAGATAGTTAAACTCTAGAATAATAATGAATAAATCTTCACTTTATGGAGCGATAATAGAAGTAGTAATATAAGCGATATAAAGATAAATTTAAAGTTATTAACACTCTAAGTATTTAGATAACAGAAATAATCTTGATTAATCTTATAGTATACCTAAAAGAAGAATACTCTTTCTTGTTACGAATCGGCCTGCGAGCAGGCCATATACAAAGCTGTGACGATAGCCAGGACAAGAGAGGAAGCTATACCGGGAAATCACGTGTGAAGAACCACGGCACGGATCACGTGATACGCTTAGCCGGCTCAGCCCTAGGGACGCTGAGCACCGCTAAGCACCACTCGGGAATGCTCAGACGTGCTCAGTGTGCTTGGCCTGAGCACCACTAAGCGGGACTGAGCAGTGACGAATATATATATATAGTCATTTCATAGCTTTACCATATAGTCAACTTTGTTCATAATTATACTTATACATTTTGGACTATAATCACTTCGCTCTAGTACTTACTTAAGTACTCCGTTCTTAGCGACCTCGCCTTCTATACTTCCCACTTATCAAGGAACGATATATATAGTAACACCCTAAATAGAGCGAAATATAACACTTTAACTACCACTTAATTGGAAGTATTCAACATAATGTTCAGCTTTAAAGCTTCTATCCGCTCATTATTCTCTACTGGGTCGGTTTGATTCACCGCGCCGGGCGCACCCACACTAGGACTTATCTTTACTGTTATCTCTAGCTATAGTAACTATAATAATCATAACAAGGACAATATTAAGGTTAATATGTTCTATAGATCTCGTGAAAAGTTGGGACTATTTGTCACCTAACTTATCGCGACTTTTAAATTGAACTGCATCAGGTATATCACTCATAAAGATAAGGTCTTATTCGCGGGACTTTATATAAGGGGATTAGTCTTTTATTGATTTAAATTTATTATGATAAACTATATAATGTCCCTTGAAGAATAAAAGGACCCAGAAATCATTGCCATTTTCTCTAACTTCGCGATATTCATGGAATGACTTAAGTAAATATTTAGAACTCTAGAGAAGAAATAGGTCGCGGCCTAACGAATCTACCAACTCAAGTAGAAGGGGTTAACTGCGTAGTACTATATTCTGTTCAAGAGGCTTCAGGCTAAACTGGACTGAAACGACAATATACTTGTCGCTGCCTTCTACACTGGCTTAAAGAATAACATCAAAAAGGAGTTAGGATCAGAGAGGCTTGATATATATCAGGGGTTAGTTAATAAAGTCATCGAAATTGATAACTAACTATATAAGTTAGAATTGAAGAAGAAAGGATATTATGAAAAGATAGATAGCGTGTATTATAAAGGTAAGCGCATTAATTATTAGTCTTATAGTGATTTAATGAATCTTAATATTGTTAAATAAGGTCGGTCCTTATGACCGAAAGGCAAGTTTTAATGTAAGGGGCTATTTAATAAGAAGTGAGAATAACGCAAGAAAGAAAATCTATACTATAATTATAGAAATTCGGGATATAGAGCTAATGAGTGCGATATAAAGCCTATAGAACTGTATATAATTAAAGCCGGTATTGGAGAAGAAAAGGCCGACACTTTAATTGAGAAAGAACTCGAGCGCCTAAGACTTAAAAGTAAAGAATAGATTCGAGGATTGAGAAGCCTAGAACCTAAAAGATAATAAATAATGAAGATATACCTAGATGGCCTCAAGAAAGATAACTTAGAACAGACTAGTCACGCCGAGAGAGTATAGAAAGGAAATTTCGAAGAAATCTAGACGGAGGGAGCGACTTCGATATCACTGTTAATAGTTAACGGTGAAGAGGTTATTAACATTGCAGAAATCTATTCTGGCTAAGGTTAATAAAATAAAATAGTCACGGCACGAAAAATCGATAAAGAGCGACTAAAATACACGAACTTATTATGAATAGTTTGTCATGACGATAACTACTCTATTCATTACTCTAATAAGCAGGGTATAGAATAGTTTCTTCACGAAAAGAAGCGTAAGAATTATTGAAGCAAAAAATCTAAGAGAAAGAAAGTTAACTAGAAAGAGGCTAAAATAGTGACTATAGTGGAAGCGAGATCATCATTATATAAAATAATTAGCGTCGAATACGGGTTTGCACGGATTAGGACTTGTCATTAAGAATATAATATTAACGAGACTGTATTTAGCCCACACACTAATATCGAGCAAGACTAAATACCACTAAGACTAAAAAGATGCTTCTAACAATATAGTTTTAAAGAACTCTATATCTATCTAGCAAGAGAAGAACGATATTAGTTCCTGTTTAAACTGCTACGGGAATGGACCTCGAGCTAGATAAACTGGGAAGTCGCAAGTATCTATAATCTTATAAGTAGAGCGGAAACACTAGTGATGATATAAATATATTATTAGATTAGAAGAGGGGATAAAACCTTCTTAAGCTTATATTGAGGAAAACAGTCAATAGAGTATATCCTCATTATATATATTTATTAAGAACCTAATTATATCGAGAGGTTCTGTCTATATATATATAATATATAAGGAATGCCTATAATTTATTATTTTCTATTCGATAACAATTTCGATAAAGAAAATAATGAATCTAGCGACTAAGAAAAAGACAAAATATTTATCTAGGTGGAGTTCAATATCTAGAGAATGACTATATTAATAATAAAGACATAACATAAAGAAAAATATAGAATAATTACTAATTATAGTAATATAATAATACTCATGACGAAGTATTGAAAGAATATATTATGCACTTAAGTATATAAAAGAGGTTACATCATGGAATATAAAAGATTCGATCTTAAAGGAAGTCTAAGAAATAAGAAAGATCTAGTATTCGTGACAAAATATAAAGAAATATATAAAGGATTCACTTATATATATAATGTACTAGGGGAGAATCGTTACGATTTTATATTCGGTGAAGAATTGAACTTAAGCGACTCTAAGCTTGAGTGTAATACCGTGTTGTTCTATAAGTACTATTACGCGGTTATTAAGACACTAAACTGAATTTATTATGAGAAAGAAGTACTCAAGATATATATAATTAATAACGAGCTTAAGCTAAACTATACTTAGAAGCAGAAGGAAAGAAGGTTGGTATCTATATAGCGATACTTTAGGTGTTTAGGTCTAGCTTTTTATACACATTAAACTAATATCGAAGAACTCTACTTCTTTCTATTTAAAGAACATGATAATCTAACTCTAGAAGAGATCGATCAAGACGTGGCGAGACACTATATTAAAGAAGAAAGAACAAGGGATGTTATGGTTATAAGAATATATTATTAAGTTTAGATAGTAAAAGGGGTCTAAAGATATAGTCTCTATATTAACCTAAATACTCACTAGATTTTTATAACCTTATATTTATATTATGATAAACGATGTCCGTACAAGAGAGAATATATATATAATATAA